AGCAGTTTAATAAATATAGCTTTTAATTTTTTAAATACTTTCTATACTTTAGGTATTTATTTTAATAGGCCTATTTTTTTATTATTCTTACTGCCCTTAAGTAGATTTATTAATAATATTATAATAGAGGAGTAATTATAGATAAATCTCCTAAAAAAACTTATAAATTTTAAGAAAACTTAAATATTATAAAAGGTCTTTAATATAAGTTAATTATAAATTATTTTAATTTTAAAGAGATTTATTTTAATCCTATCTTATCTTATAATAAATTTAAAGAAGGAAACTTCCTCCTTATAGAATTTATATTTGCTTAGCTTTATATATAAATTATATTTATAGAGTCTTTTTAGCACTTCTATAATATGCTGTTTATATTCTTTCTTATTTATTAAAAAGATTAAGATATTATTTAAGTATATAATGCAGCAGATATTTAATAGACCCCTTAGTACTATATTAATATAGGCTTAAAATATAGCTAAAGTATTATATAATCTAAATAATATAATAAGATATTTAAAATAGCTATATTAAGTTCTAAATACTATTTTCTATTTATCTCTTTTTTATATATAGATTCTGTAGTAAGCTTCTTAGAGATTAAGTTTTATAAAAAATCTCGCGCCTATTAATTAATCTAGTATCTTATCTATTTATAGCAGTAAATAATAATTCTTAATTATTTAAATATTTAATCCTTAATAATTAATATATAAGCGCAGTTTATTATCTTTTTTAAGGATAAAGATAATTAGTAATCTAGCTAGGCTAGTTAAAGCCTAAATTTAACCTTATTATTATATATCTTCTAGATATTTTTATAGTATATCTAGTTCTTTAGTAAAATATAGGTATAGAGGCTCCTATAATAATATCTTATTATTAATTAATTTAATTATATAAGTCTTAGTATCTTCTAGTAAAAGTAATATTTTAGCTTTCTCCTCTAAAAAAATATCTTAGAATTATATATAGTATAGAGGAAGTTAAATTTCTTTTATACCTGTCTTAATATATTCTCCTTATATATAATAGATTAGTTAATCTCTTACTATCTCTGTAAATGCTTATAAGCTTTAAATCTTAACCTAGGGTAAAGCCTCTTACTAGTATCTCTAAGTTAAGTATTTTTAATCTATAATAAGATTATTATAGTATAACTATAATAATCTTAAGATTATATTTTAATTTTTCTTAACTATATTAGGTTCTTATATAAAAATAATCTAGAAATTAATTTTATATTATTTTATCTTTCTCTTTAAATTCTTTACCTTAATAATAATTAGAAAGTTATTATAGATTAGCATTATTTAATCTTCTATTTATAAGGCGTACCTAACTAGCTACTAGGGGAATTCTTAATATTTATAATATATTAAAAAATTATAGTTAATAAAGTTACTATATATTTAAAAGTTAAGAAGTATATTTATCTTTATAGTATAACCCTTAATTAGTACTTTTATTATTATTATAAACTTTAATTTTATATTATTAAGGCGCTAAAGTACTTTAAGCCTAACTTTTTTTTTTAGGGGGTTTAGAGTTCTTCTTTAAATCCTAGCTTTTTTTATTTTTTTTTAAATATTATCTGCTAAGGTATTTATACTTCTTATAATTAAAGTATTATCTCTTTTTCTTTAACTGTTCTTACTCCTCTATAGATTTAAACCTCTTTATTTTATATTTTAAAGAGATCTTTAAGGAGTAAAAAATCTTTATAAAGTTTAATTATAATAATTTACTCCTCTACTTACTTCTTTACTTATCCCTTATATAAAGATAAAATCTCTCCTTCTTTCTAAAGTCTTTTAGTTAGGTTTTAATAAAATTTTTAGGGCTTTATTTAATAACTATAGCCTTTAAAGCTAGTTTTTATATATTAATTAAAATCTCTATATACTTAAATAGCTAATTTTATATATCTTTCTATAATATAAAGAAGAAGGTTTAGCTCTAGATATTTTCCTCTAGGCTTAATTTAGCTTTATAAAGCTTAAATTTATTAAGAAAGTCTCGAGTAGTTTATTTTAATTATTATTTTAACCTTTAGAATTATATAGCTATTATCTAGGGTTAATATTATAAATCTTTAAGATAATTTAATAATTACTATTATAATCTCTACTATAAAGTTATAACTAAAGCAGGGGGTTTATAACTTTAAGTTATTATATATTTATCTAAAAGTAATATAGTAATATAGTTTACTTTACTTATTTTAGTTTAAAATATTAATATATTATAGGTAAAGTATTGCTTTATATAATAGCACTAATAATAATAGTTATCTAGGTTTTTAGCTTAATATTAATAAGGTTTAGGCAGTTTAATAATAGATCTAGATTTAAAAATTATATTTATTTATTTTATTAGCTCTATAACTACAGCTATATTTATCTTTTTTAATAATCTCTAAGCTATATTTTATAAAGCTCCTATTACTGCGCTATTAACTTAATACTAAGAATTTAATAAGGTAGTAAGTCTAGTACTAATAATATTTAATTCTTATTAAATCCTAAGGTCTATAATACTTCTTAAATTTATTAAATTTCTTAAACCTATAGCGGTTACTAGTTTAAGTTAATTAAGACTAGTATTACTAGCTAATTCTAATTATTTAGAATTAGTAATAATTGCTAGTTTAGGTTAAGTGCTAGGCTCTAGACTATATTTAGATTTAGATCTAAATTGCACAGGTCTTAGGCTATATATAGATTCTTTATATTAATCTCTAGTACTACTTCCTAATATCTCTTTTTTTCTTAATATACTATTAGTTAAGCGATTTAAACTATAAAGAGTTAGAGTAAAGAAGCTCTTTAATTAGGGGTAACTAGCGGACTAGTTAAATAGAATATAAGATAAGAGGTTAAAATACAGGCAAGTAGCAATCTATATATAGTAGAGTTAAAGGTTTAGTTTAGGGGTAATTAGAATAAATTGCTAATCTATTTAACTTCTATTTCTTTAGGGGGTTTTTATTTATCTATCTAGTCTACTAAGTTATTTAAATAACTTAGTCTTAATAGCTCTATCTATAACTTAGCTAATCTAACTATTATATATAGATTTAATTATCTTATTATTCTGCGTCCTCTATCCTAGGTCTTAGTAAGTCTATAATATCGAGTATAGTAGCCCTTATTCGTAATACTCTGCAAGGAAATTATTATATTTTTAATATATCTTTATATATAGGTTAGTAAACTGGCGTTTCGCATTCTATTAATAATTCAGGTTATAGAATATAGCTTAAAAATAGTTAAATATCTCTTTAGCTATCTGAAAGGGGAGGCTTAAGTTTTTATAAAATCTTAAAGATATATAAGCTATAGCCTTTTTACCTAAGTAGCTTTAAATATATATAATATAAAAGTAGTTACTTTTATAATAGTTAGCATTTATTCTTAGCTTATTTTTAATCTGCAATAGCTAATTATTAAACTTAGGGTTTTTTTTATTAATTAGCAGAGGCGGGTCTAATAACTTAATAAAATATTAAGGCTAGTCGCCTCCAGGTCTTAAAATCTCTTCTTATTTAAGATAAAAGATTATATTTATAATAGCCTCCTTATAGTCTTCTTATTTATATATAAGTTTTATAGCTTATTATTCTGCTTTTATTATATAATATTTCTTTTAATAAAGCTATTAGGCGAGATTATAATTATAGTTAATTACACATTTATTTATATATTTAATATATTTTAAATTATTAATCTTCTTTAAAAAGGTAGTAGCAGTATAATACTATATATTCTAAGTTTTATTAGGATCCTCTTTAAAGAATTTCTAAAACTTATCTTAAAAGAGTTCTACTAGCTTATTATTCTAGTAATATAAAATATATTAATTATTAGTTCTTTTTTTTAGTTTTTATTTAGGCTATTTAGGCTTCTTACTATAGTCTTTAAAATTATTCTTAAAATATTTAGATTTATTAATAGGCTTTGCTATAGTAAAGGCCTAATTTAGTTCTAATATTTTATTAATTAAGATAGATAAGTTTTATAAGCAGTAAATTATACTTAAATAAAAAACCTTAAAAGTAAAATAAAATAAGATAAATAGAATAAGCTTAAAGTAATATTATGCTTAAGCAGACTAAATTAGATTTATTAAAGCTTTTAATCTAATATAGCAGTATAATAGAGAACTTTAAGCTAAAAAAAAAAAAGAAAAAAATTCAGAAAAGGAATCCTAATTCTTTTATTTATAGGATTTTTTATTTCTTAACCGCTTCTAAATAGCGCAGGCGGTTAGATGTTCTGCCGGCAGATTCCTCTCTCTGTCTCCTTGCTGGGTCAGCGCTGTGTCAGCGCCGTAACACTAGGAGTTCCAGTTGCATAGTTATCGTGTAGATATTTTCCTGTTTTCAGCTATTTATTAAGCCTGCCTGTATTAGCATGCTTGTTACCTATAGATAGAGAACCTTATAGCTAGCCTAAGTATTAATCTCTTAATTCTATTGATTCAACTGCCTGCAAGAAGCCTATACCTTAACATTATATAGCTTTTACCTAAGGAGTTAATACTGCAAAAATGTTTACACTAGTACCTTTATCCTTATTTTAGGACCTTAAAGAATTTAGCAAGCATATTGCTAGTTATAGCCCTAAGTAATATGAATACTATTATCTAGCATATAAGTATAGTTATTTGAAAAAAAAAAAAAAAATAAAAATGAAAAGTACCCTAAGTTACTACCTCTATAGAGTTCAGCAGATAAATCTTCTAAAACTTTCACAGGTTAAAATTTCAGGCTCTGCCCGCCGAGATTTTTAAACTAGTGATATTAACATTAAGAGTCTTTATCTAACAAAGAAGATATTGAATGAGAGGGCCTATCTTTATTTGAGAAGAGTTCTCTTGCCTACTAACTCGCGTAATGCAATATCAGCCGGCATTGTTGCAGACTTGTATCTGTACCGAGAGGTTAAGTAATACACGAAAGAAGCATAAAAGACATAAGGAACAACAATACTTTCTCTGTATAGAGAGCACATAGAGTTTCATTTCTAATATAGTAATATAGAAGCAGTTAATGTAAACATGATTGTAATCCTAATAACACTTAGATTTCTACTGCGATATCTTGCTAAACCAGGACAAAATGGCCGCAGGAGCTGAGAGTCCTGCTCATTTCCTGGAACGACAAACCAGAAAAACAGAGAACCAGAGGACCGGCAAATCAGATCCTACCACACCGCGCTCACCATTACGAGGACCAGAAGGGAATAAGATCACGCGGGGCGGGATGTCTAGTATTGAAGTCCACATTCAATAAACACCCCTCGTAGTCAGATAAGAATTTTTCTCGAACATCATCATCGCGAGCGAGGGGGAAAAATAACCTCTCGACACGAGGGACCACATATTTCAACCGAGTTTCGTGTAGTTCACCCATAAACATGGGAGACAAAAGGACCCTCCAATATTCAAACAAATTTAAGCAACAGAGGCGACAACAGTGGCCGCAACACCCTCCTCTTCAGCCCTGACGGTGACCTTGGTCGTGACACCAGTTCTAGCAGAGTAAGCCATCTTGACGAGGGCAGCAACTCTGCCTCCCGAGACGGTCTTTCCGTAAAGCTTGAGAGTGTGGGTGGTGTTGCTAAGAGCCACATCGGTTCCCTCGAGTGGCTGCAGCGACAGCGTCTGGATGAGCTGCTCGGTAGCATCTGGACGAGTTAGCTCCAAAGTTTGAATCCCAGGAACTGCTGCTATCCCTGGAAGAATGAAAGCTTCTTGACTTACCAGAAATTCCCTTGACGTTACCCAGTTGTAGAGTCTCACTAGCCTCTTCTCCGTTGGCACCGGTCTGCTCCCACACGTGGTCAAAGCTTCCAGCAAAGGCAGGGATGACATAGTCGCTGCCCGTCAGCTCGAGGTCTTCGACCTGGTATTCGTCTTCATATCCACTCTCCTCCGGTTCACCGGTGGTTGGGTCGATTTCCTTGCTCGTAAACTTCAGAACGTTCGTAAAGGACGTAACGGGGAAGCTGTGCTCGCCGCCCAGCTTCTTAAATGCGACATAAACGACGCCTGGCTCATTGGTGGCGAGCTTCGGCAGAGGAACAATGAAGTCCTCCTCCAACACCTCGTCTTCCTCAGATGGCGTTGCGACGACTGAAACATCCTCCAAGACAGTGTCAGGAAGGGTGTTCTTGATGTCATACTGTAAGACGACATGCTCCTTGAAGATGTGCTTGACCGCGCTGACAACATACTCGGTCTCGCTCTCGGTAAGCTCGACGGGAGAAGACGACTTGAGCAATGTTCCATATTCCTTGAGCTCTGGGATGAGGATGAGTTGCTCCGCGTACTTCTGAGTCGCTGCGGCCGCCGAGGCGGCTCCGTCGACGGCACCCTGGGCCTTCTTCGGGGGACCAGCGGAGGGAGCCTTGAGGGTAGGGGTCGCGGTCGTGAGCTTCTTCGTCCTTTCTTCTGCCAGGGCCTGCTCGTGCGACACGACCGGGATCGTGGCTAGATCGAATGCCTTGGCGAACGTTTCCTTATCCGTTGCAGTCACATACATGACCAGCTGGTGCTCGAAAGTAGACAGGGAGTACATAGAGTCTAAGCCCGTTAGCTTTCTGCCACCAAGACAGCGAACGAGGCAGTGACTTACCGTTCTTGATAAATTTCTCCGCGATTTCATCCTCCTCGCTCATCAACCTGAGGTTGAGCGCAGCACGATCACGGACCTCATCATCGGTATCATCCAAACATCTCGTAAGAAGGACAGACACGCTTCTCTTGACCTCAGGGTCCTTCTGTCCAACGCCAAACTTGGCGAGCGCTGTAACGGCGGCAGCCCGAACCAGAGCGTTTTCCAGAACCACCCTGTTATAGATATACCGGATATACTTGGTGGGGTGAGACGTCTTGGGGCCCTCCACACCGAGAAGGTGCAGGATTCTGACGGAGAGCTTGGTGAACTCACAGTCCTCGATAAACTCGCACAGGTGAGTGAGAGCTGCTTGTGGTTAGCATATAGGGCAACGCTTCGAGGACTTCTTCGACATACCATCTTCCTTGCTTTCAGGAACGAATTTAATAAGATCGAACATGCTCTCAACCACACTTCTCTTGAATTCATAACCACCCTCGTCCCGGAGAATACCGCTCAGGAAGGACAGCATGCCAGCCTGCTTGCTGGGGAACTTGAGGCACAGCGTTCGAATAGCCTCAACAATTGTAATCTTGAATTCGTCCGTAGTATCAGCCATGAAGCCAGAGATTTGCTTCATCAGGCGGTCTACACTAGCTTCATTGCCGGTCTTAAGAAGCGTGGTAATCGCAAAGGTGGCTATCGAACGGTTGCTGCTGGAGATGAGCGCTTCGATATCGGGGTTACATTGGTTCACAACATGCGGCTTGAAAGAGGCAAAGTTGTGGAGGATACGGATGGCAGCGAACTTGGTGATGTTCCGAGGCGAAGAAAGGAAGAGCTGGAGGACATGGACGGCTTGGGAGGCCTCCGCGTCCGTGACATCTCTGAGATCGCAGATAGCCTTGGCAGCCTCGAAGTTGACCATCTCGTGCTTGTGTCGCAGCCAGCCGTCCAGCATCTGCACCATGGGCTTCCTCAGACTTGGGTCCTCCTCAGCCAACTTCGCAGCCAGTCGTACGAGCAGCACAACAGCCGCGGGACTCTTCACCGCGCCAGCCCCACCATATTGCTGAACCATCTTCACCAAGGCCATCCGGTCGTGCGCTCGCATCTGGTACAGGAGACCAATGGCATGGTATTGGGTCATGTAGTTCGCCTGGGAAATCGCGTGAGAGGCCCCGCCACCTCCGAATCCGAGGAAACCGGTTGACTGCTTGGACGACGAAGCCGCTTCTTGTGTTTCGCTCTGCCATCTTCGGACCACGTCGCGAGCAATCGGGAGAAGGTGGTAGGAGGAGACCAGGGCTGCTGACGAGACGGAAGGATTCTTGTCGACAATGGCAGTCTTAATAAGTCTCTCAATGCCTTGGACGGTCGTAGCCTAGGTATCTCCGGCGTCAGTTTGCATTGTCATCTGTACGAGCAGATGGAAAAGCTTACGTCGATGATGCGACAGAGCGCTCTGATGGCATTGGCGCGGTAGAGCACATCACTGCCCACTGCGGTGTCCTTCATGATAATACTCGTTGACATGATCACATCTTCCGCGGTATTCGCCAATTCCTTCAGGATCAAGTACACCATCTGTCGCAAGGAGGGGTCCTTATTCTGAAATAGCTTCGAGATACCGAAAAAGAGCGTCGTGGCCTCGTTCACGGAGAATTGCTCCCCGGTGAACAAGAGGACACCGATCTTCGTTAATAGAGTGCGGCATTTTCGCGGCGATATGGGAGAGGAATTGAACAATCGTGCTGGACGGAGGACAAGTCAGCTCTCCGCGGGCTGGAGGGAGGATCTGACCAACTTCCAGCACCACCCCGATCTCAGGAGAAAGTGAACGTACCATCCTGGAATACAGAGGTCCGATCTAGCTTGATCATGACCTGATCTGCATCCTCGTCCTTCTTAACGTAACTCATTGTGACTGCCTGCTGAGTTCACAGCGGCTCAGAACCGGGGGGTGGCGTAAGTAGAGCGCGAAAGGGAGTGTGAACTGACACCCGCGAGGTTGAGACTCCGGGGATCAATAAGGGCGGATAGTAAGTAAGAGCGGGCGGTGTAATAACGAGACTACCGCGCCTTCATCATTCGCGGCCAGACGCAGAAGAATAAGTAGTATATGAAGAATGAATCACGGACCAGTCGCATCCAATGGTCAGACTGCAAGCAACACCCCGAGGACTTCTGGATGCTCGACGGTGGTAGTAGATAGTCCAGCTTGTCCGCCAGATCTCCAGTTGTCCTTCCCGGGTCTGTTGTGGGCGCATCAGCCACGGTGGCCCGACAAACATTGCAAACATCGAGCATCGGATGCTGTACTGGTAACTAAGAAGGACTACAAGTTAATGATAATTCTGCGAAATAAACAGTTATCTGCTCGGAATTAACTTGACAAGGTACTGAGTATTTTCATCACGGAATCATCATGAATCCAGCCGCAATGGACATGCCCGTCGAGGTGCCCGTTGATGACCCCAACGCAGACACGGAATGGTAAATGCCATCATCCCACTTCCCCGCGCTCATGATATATCATCCTTATTTGGGGTAACTCCACAACTTCGAACGGTACCTAATCTTTTCCTCTCCAGGAATGACATTCTCAGAAAACATGGCATTATCCCCGAGAAGCCTCCTTCCCCCACCCCGATCATCGAGCAAGCGATTCTCGAAGCGCGGCAGAGAGAGTACGAGAACCGACTGGAAGACAAGGATCTAGACGAGCTCGCAGACCTCGAAGACGAAGAAGATGAAGAATTCCTCACACAATACCGGTACGACTCCCATCCATCCATCAGACCATTTCCCCCTTCTCCCCTTCTAACAACTACCCCAGAAACAAGCGGCTCGCAGAACTATCCACGCTCCAACAAGCCAGCATCTACAACCAAGTTTACCCTCTCCAGAAAGTGGATTATGCCCGAGAAGTCACAGACGAGTCATCCAAAGCCTTCGTTCTCGTCCACCTCACCTCCTCATCAGGAAATGTGGAGTCGCGCGTATTATCAGAGCTCTGGCGACAACTCGCAGCCAAGTTCGGGGATATAAAGTTCTGCGAGATCCGTGCGGATATGTGTATTGAAGGGTATCCCGAGAGGAACACGCCTACGATCTTGGTTTACAAGGATGGCGAAATTAGACGACAATTCGTGACGTTGAGGGAATTGAATGGTCCTAGGACTAAGATTGAAGGTGGGTTCATCTTGGCCTCTTCTTGTGGTTTTCATCTCCTGAATACGTATTGGGGAAATACGCTAACAACTGACCGTTTTTATGCAGACTTGGAGAAAGTCCTTGTAGAAATCGGCGCTGTCAAAGAGAATGATACTCGTCTACGGAAGCGGTCCGATTCCACAGATGATGAAGGCTCCCGCCGACCCAAGGTCACCAACAACAACAACAATAGCGATGACGATGACGACTGGGACTGAGCGCCAAGGTTCAATAACTCCAACAAAAAAAGAAAGAAAAAACGCAGCAAAAAAAAAAAGAAGTAAAAGAAAAAGAAAACTCCCTCACGTGGGTTTAGAACACAACCTCCTCATAGAAGAAAAAAGCGTATCAGGATCGCCCGCATCAGTTTTCCATCCTGTGTCTGAAATCGCTGGGCATAAAGAGTCGTGTCCTCATCAGGATCGATTCTATATCTGGAATGACAAGCCCAATGTGTACTGCATTGGCCTCCTGCTTTTCTCTTTACGTGACCCCGTGGAGAACGCGGTACATACATGTACAATAGTTGCATTATTCCCCAATCGCCATCCCCTTTATCAGTGGAGGTGACGGCGGAACAGCATGATCAAGTATGGAAAATGAGAGAAAAAAAAGAAACCAAATCTTTCATAATATCAAGAATGTAGAAAACTCATATTGGGCCTTCTAATCTAAACTGTGTTCAGACAAGATAATTCGAATAGGGCCTTAACAGCGTCAAATCAAGCGGGTTAGGATGGCGACGTAACGACAAATCTAGAAAGTATCTGTCGAATCCTAAACAGCACAGAAGCAGGATTTGAATTGCTTGCTTGACTCTAGGTCTAGGGGGGATTTGATCCCATATTTATCTCTAGCATACAAAGAATCCAGTAGGTTCGATCCAATTCCATACAGAAACGTTGTGTAACAAATAATTGCAGATCACCTAGCGTTTGCTTTATACACCAACACACCCCCTTAAGCTGGCAATCATCTGGCCGGCCCAATAATCTTTCCAAAATAGGAAAATCTGAAGCTATCCGGCTTAGCCCAGTCTGCCTCGTCCAAAAACCTATCTTCAAATTCACTCAACCCCAAATTGAATATGAAGCCTTTTATCCTTATTACATATAAGTCCATTCTAACAATCTCTATCCGACCGCCTAGTCCGTAGCATTCGCCCTAACTCTAATCTTTTATAGATAACTCTGATCCTTTGTGGATAACTCTAATCCTTCGTAAATAGCCATACCTCAATATAGCTGACTTGCGTCATTAATATCTATCAGTTAATCTCTGGTGCTCATCTTTTATCGTCGATCGTCGATCTCTTAGATCCTTTAGCATCTTCGCGCAACTAATTCGTACAAGGATGGTTGATATTGGCTTTTCATAGCATAGCACTCTTAGCCGCTCGTCTGGCTATCTTAGCCGTTGGGTTAAGGATGTTGCTCACAAAGTAACAGAGGTACAGCAACAAATAAGGATAATATTTAACGTGCTTCAACAAAGGTCTTAGTCTTAATCAAATACCAGAGTACTCAGACATAAATCTCCGGGCTCATAACCTATCAAATCCTAAACAGCACGGAAGCAGGATTTGAATTGCTTGCTTAACTCTAGGTCTAAGGGGGATTTAATCCCATATTTATCTCTAGCATACAAAGAATCCAGTAGGTTCGATCCAATTCCATACAGGAACGTTGTATAACAGATAATTGCAGATCACCTGGCGTTTGCTTTGTACGCCGACAGTATCAAAGCGGCTGCAGAAGGTTGTGGCATCTACAGGTAATCTAAGTAAGGTACATACATACATGGCTCGTAAACCGAGAACCGGGAGCAAGAAAAGTAAATGATACAGTTATTTAACTGATTTAACTTCAACTGATGAAGTAATATACTGAAAAAAGAGAGATGCTATAGATATAGACAGTCATGGAAAGAAAAGTAAATGAGAGAGAGAAAAAGATCCTTTTTGCTCCTGGATATCCAATCTGACACTGCCCATTGAGGGCAGGACTAAGTCCACGGCTCCACCCCTTTTCTGGGATTTGCATATGTATATATATATATATATATATATAGATGGTGTCGAATAAACACAAAAGGATGGGAAGGCAATAAGAAGTAATAAACCCAGAGAGAAACCAGACCACATTATTCGGAAGAACTGAATGACCCCGTAAACATCGCAGAGAGTAGTTTAGTACCATTGCTACTCATCCCACACAGGCTCCAATGACTCCAGACATGTCCCATCATACCTCGTCCCATAACGGTAAATTGCCGATATTGATCCCAAATTCGACAGAAAATTCAAACAGTAGTAGGAAAGAAAAAAAGCCCCGAGCACCGGATAAGATATGTGAGCGTAAAAAAAAAAAGGAAATATGAGGAATCCTCCCCTGTATGACCAGCTCCATGCTGTTTTTCAGATCAATTCGTCGCTGCCACCTGCGACACTCTCCTCGATGGCCTTCCGTATGCGAGATTCTTCAAAGACGGGACCCTGACCATCGCAGCGTGCGACACCCCTGAGTCTCTCGCAGACAACACCAATGTCCACTAGACCCCGTTTAAACATTTCGTGCTGCTGGATCAGGTCCCAGGTGGCGCCAGCATCCAAGAGTCTCTCACCCGTCTCCTCACTGACGGTTATCCGGTGGACGGGACTTGGCTCTCCTTCTTTTAGAACACTGGAGTAGAAGTCCGTAGGGGAAAACTGCATCGGACCAGTAGTCGTGGCTTCTTGGGGTCCACGGCCATTGTTCGAGCCCAGACCGGAGTGGGCAGTAGCACGTAGGATCTCATTTTCAGTGGCGTATTTAGCCAGTTCACGCTTGAGACGCTCATTATCCGCATGTAAGGTGGTGGATGCTTGCTCTAGGTCGTTGAGCTTCTGTTCCAGTTCGCGGACGTGGCGTTCTTTCCTCTCACGAAACGCTCGTTGACTGCAAATGAAATCATCGGTCAGTTTTGTGTGTGTCTATTTTTATTCATCGCAAAGGTTCACATGAAATCATCGCGACATACGCGGCTCGATTTTGCGCCTTTCTCCTACTCTGAGCTGGAGTCAATGACTCCTTCTCCTCACTGCTACTCCGGCCGGCATTGTGTTCTCCGATCGCGTCTTCGCCCGTCTCGGGGGAAGTCTGCTGGGAAGGATCCGCCGGAAAATCGTTGCTCGTACTTGAATTCTTCGAGAAAGAATCTGGCGGAGAATGGGGTGGAACGGGCCCGATCAGGGTATTCGGGTCAAAGCGAAAGGAGTCGGCAAAGGGATCGTATGGAGGAGGTGGATTGAAGTGATCCTGGAGAGACGTGTCAGTAACGAGCCTTACGTGAAGGAAGAACTGGCGATGGATGAGAGAGTCTTACTGAATGAGGTGCGCCCCTGAAGTTCTCTGTTTGAGTGTTCGGTGGCTGAGGCGTTGAGAGCCCAAACGGAGCGAAGGACTGATGAGGCGTTGTGTAATAGGAGTAGTCCATTGTATGCACTTGAAGGACCTCCTTCGAGGCTATGACTCTGACAATAAAGACTCTTGGCTCTGACAATCTCAGGAGCGATGTTGATGGACAGTGAGAATCTAAGAGACGTTGAGCGGAGATGGACGCGGGCTGCACCGTCGTGGGGCTGAAGAAGAGCGGGAGACGGAATAAGCTTGGGGTCCAGCCGGATATAGTGGGGGAACGATCGCCACTCAACGGAGTTACGGCGTAGGGTTGACGAGTCTACCATTATTTATGGTACTCTAGGTTCTAGAATGAGCCTTATCTATAGAGATTTTCGTTTTCCACGCCCGGGAATCGAAAGAAGGTTAAGTTGCGGAGAGTCTAACGACGAGTACTATAAAGGCAAGAAATATAGATGCGATCCAGCAAAGCAACAACGGCTCACCGCCTCTGTACGAAGGCATGGCATCATCGTCGACTCTGGTACTAGATCATAGACCTTGGGGCTTGAAGGTCAAGATTGTTCTCATAATATCCAATCCCACCTAAGGATCATATAACATCAATCACCTACCCAGCTTCCAGAATGAATATTTACTCTAGATGAATTTGGGACCAGGTGTGCTATTACTATTATTACTAGTAATACTGTAATAATATACGGCTAGTGGAGATCGCACTGACATTTCCATCATCTAGTTATCTTAGAAAAATGCACTATCCCATCGATGACGATCATTTAGAAATCTCCCCCTTGTCCCGATACGTGAGTAGATCGAGGCGATCACGATGCTAGCATCTTTCTTGTAATCCATAAGTTACCTACCCCAAGAGGAACAAACTATCTATGCATGCACGAAGCGCCGAGGCCGTTATTTTTCACTACCCGCTACACAGTGAGGGTCAACCTACGAGATATTGGTTCAAGGATCAGCTCAATGGAAAATTGGACGGGAGAGAATCTGTGTTTATCTTGCAGAGAACAACTACTAATTAGAGAAACGGCGCGAAGGCGATCTCCCGAGACGTGATAGTGAACCCGTCCTCAGGACGGAAACCTACTTCCCAGGCTGACCTGCCTTCATAAAAAGGGGCGAGATAAACATTCAACATTAAGAAACAACGCGAATATCATGCAATTTGACGCAATACCACCCCGGACGCGACCCTAGCCACTTTCCTCCGCCAGGTACCCAAGCACAAGAGAGAGCGACAAGAGCCCGATTGCCCCCACGGCCATATAAATCCTTGCGTCAATCAAGCTTTCCGAAATAGTAGCAATTGATTGAGCGACTGGCCAAGGTAAACAATCGATCTCCGCCCGCATCCACTCCGCGCCCCGTATTCGTTTTCCGTCCACATCCACACCATTGCCGCGTCAATCGATACACACAAAAAAACAAAAGAAATAACTGCATGCTAACACGAGAAAAAAACGTGTTGTAAGGGGTCAACGAAGTCCAAACGATTGGCAAGGGAATCAACCCGAGGAATCTGCAGCCAGGGACGAGACAGTAAATCAGTGATTAACATTTCGTTCCCATGACACGCAAGCTCCATTCGATCTCCTTGGTCTCCCTTCTGGCCGTTGCACTGGGGGTATTTCCCAGCGATCACGGTTTGATCCGAAAGAACTTGCCAGAAGGTTGACACATGATAGCCATGGTTGAAGCGCCTCGAAACACGCATCAACTGCTGGGTGATTAAATGTAGTCAGTCGATTATGGAAAACAACGCAAAGCCCGGCACAAAATCAAGCCACTAGGCGATCGATCCCCACCAGTATAGTAGAGGACGGGTGCGCGAGCAGGCGATGGTAATCCACGGTTCGAGAACGGCCAAGATCGGAAATGATCGAAAACAGGCTGGACGGCTAAAAAGAAGAGACGGCATAAAAAATGGAGACAGAGTTCCAGGGTAGAGAAGTCCGATGGTTCTGCTGCGTTCGGCATTACGACACCAGCACCACAGGGTTTCAGACTTCCAGGTTCAGGATGACAGTAGCAGGGAGCCACGAATCCTACAATAGTAGAGCCTCGCCGCCAGCACCAGACTATTAGTACCACTGAGCACCAGCACCATCATCCCGCTTCGAACGGTGAGTTGCATAAGTACCTGCAGCAGCACCCTTTGAAGCAGAACGAAGCCTAACGCCGAAGACTATGAGATTAGTCAGATTCTTGAACCAGAGATCCTCAAAACGCCCAGCGTGACTCAAAACACCAAACGTAGAGGAGAGGAGTTCCCTACACGGAACCTAGGTTGCAGATACTCACATCCTGTCACTCCCTCCCACAGCACGATTGGTGTCTGGAGTGTCCATGGTGCCACTGGGCAGGACCTTGCGCCTGGGGCCGGAGACAGCACCCGGCTGCTTAGCCACAGGAGCCTGGTTGGGAGCAGCGTTGACCGCAGGACGGCGTTGCGCATCCTCGGCCTCCTTCTCCTTCTTGTTGTTGGCGTCAACAATCATGGCGGCATTCTTCTGGTACTTGTAGACAGTCCAGTCAAAGACGTAGTCGTACTGGAACGACTCGCGGACAAAAAGATCCCGGAAGATCTTCCGCAAGTAGGAGTAGTCGGGCTTGTCGTCGAAGCGCAGAGACCGGGTGTAGTTGAGGTAAATGGCGAATTCGTTGGGGAATCCACGGCAGAGAAGCTCAGTGGGGGTGGTCATCTTCTTCTCCATGATGCGGTCGTACTTCTGCTTCTTGGTAGCAGCCTTCAGTCCCTGCCAGGGAAGGGAGCCACGGCAGAAGTACAGCATCACATAGCCCAGAGACTCCATGTCGTCACGACGGGACTGCTCGACACCAAGATGGGTGTTGATACTGGCATAACGGGCAGTACCAGTCAAGTTCTTGTTCTCGCGGTAAGGAATGTGGAAGTGAGTCTTTGGGTCACGGTACTTCTTGGCAAGACCGAAGTCGATCACGTTGACCTGGTTTCCGCGCTTGCCAATTCCCATGAGGAAGTTGTCGGGCTTGATATCACGGTGGATGAAAGACTTGGCATGGATGTACTCAATCCGAGAGATGAGCTGGTCAGCCAGGAGGAGGACGGTCTTCAGGGAGAATTTGCGGTTGCAGAAGTTGAACAGATCCTCGAGGGAAGGACCGAGAAGATCGATGACCATAGCATTGTAGTCACATTCAGTACCGAACCAGCGGACGAACGGAATACCAACACCGCCAGCGAGAGACTTGTAGACGCGGGCTTCATATTCAAGCTGGGGGTGCTTGGCCTTGACACTCTCGAGCTTGATGGCAATCTCCTCACCGGAGATGATGTTGGTGCCTATAGACCTGGTCAGTCCATCATAACACAACCAACGACACAACCAACACATCCAAGAATCCACATACCCAGATAAATATCACCGAAACTGCCGCTACCGATCTTGCGGCCAATGCGGTACTTGTTGCCGACACGGAGATCCTAGAGACGTCGAGTCAGTTGGACTATCCCATGGAAGAAGAGCCGATAAGCAATCCCAGAAGCAGATGCGGTAGGCCATGATCTTCGATAAGTATTTTCCATCCACAGCTCTTCCAGTGAGGGGTCTCCAACTAACCATTGTCGTCATTGTAGTAAGAGGACACAGCTAGCCGCCGCGGAGAGCTGATTTTTTGTTTTTTAAAAAAAGGGGGTAATGTGTTTCAGAACCTGCATAACGGAGAAAACAGAGTCAGCAGAAGTCCAGGAGACCAAAGAGACGATGTCCAGATGTTGAAGATTTTATATGGGGTGCCAAAAAAACGTTCCGCGTGCATCCAGTGACCTGAGTGCACCCCAAGTCACAGTCCGGTTGTCAGTGCTTGTACCGACACGATATGGGGACCCAGGCCATCCGCCAAGTACAATAATTGGTGATTCCCCACCGACACAAGAACCCATACAACTCCAGAACCAGGTGGATATGAGTAGCAGAAGAGACGAAGAAGCAGACCAGAGTACACTGGAGGGAGGACCGACGAACCTTGTAGAGGTTAACTGTTGTGACAGGGGGGGGTGCTTTTGTCAAGGTGAGCCGACCGTGACGAGATGGGGTCACGACGGGAAATCAAGGACAAAGATCGATAAGGAACGGTGCCAGGAGCAACCGTGGATGAAAGACCACACTGAGAAGGAAGCACAGGGGCCAGGAGAAGAGGGAACGAAGAGAAGATCAAGGGCAGAGCCTTGATAATCAAAGGTGGTGATGGAGCGAGAAGGGGAGGAGAGGAAGAGAGGAAGAAGAAGACGATGAGGCAAGTCGGTGAAGCCGCCCGGAGAGCGAGAGAGAGAGAGAGTGAAGGGCGCGAGGGGGGAAGCGCTTAGCGAGAGGCAGGAGCCGGCGGACCTAGCGTGACGATACGGTAAGATTGGGCCTCACTCGCTCCACGCCCCCTTTTAACCTATCTAAGAGTACAATAATATGAGAAGCATTCTGCCGGAGTATTATTATTATTATTATGGTATTAGTTATTATGGTATTATTTGTTATCATGGTCACTATATACCAATACTCTAGTGAATATTATCTGCTGTCCTGCACAGATGGCGAGACCATCGGACACAGACAATGACAATGCCACTGCGCAGCCACCCAGCTGACCGAGGCACCCGCTGAGGCAAATCTAGAGATGGAATTGATGTGATTATACCGCATCTGTCCTCCCTGCGTTTTGCCTCCCGCTTGATACCATAGATACTCCAAGCAGAACGAGGACAAGGGATTCGTCAACGGCTCCTGTCGACCGCTGGACGGACTGGATTTGTTCAACCTCAGTGAGATCGGCGATCGGCTCGGCTTCCAGGTCGATACCCAACCCAACCACAGATACCAACAGCAAAATAACGCCTGAATTTAATACTCCCTCTAAGCGAGTTGGGGGCTGGGTGTAGAAGACGATGTGTTTCAAAGCACGCACGATGAGACTGCCGTTATCGTCCGATCTGCCTCCTGGTTGTCTCTAATAATACTCAAATGGACTCTAGTCTCGGGAATAAAAAGGAACTCGATCGGGCGGCTAGCCGGGCAGACGCCGGCAATCTCTCTCTCTGGGAAAGGCAGGAATTCACTAACATAAATAACAATAATAATAGTTTAGTACGTCGTAAGGTCGGTGAATCTCCCGCTGAACCTTGCAAAAAGGATCTGGACAGAAAACTTAATAATTGCCGCAAAAAGATAGTTATGGTACATACTAATTTGATACCCCGCTTGCTTGCGTTGTCGGGCTTCTTGACGGGGCTATCTACCGTCTTCCTATCATCACTCTGCTGACTTTTAATTCCTACTCGGGAGAGATGCATTCAATGGATTTGCTGTACTACCCAATAATGCATGCTGCCAGCCTCGTGGTCATTCCGCGGGAGCTGAGCCACTTTGTGTATGTGAAGTAACCAGTATATACAAGTGCCGCAGCTCAATTGCCTCACATATCTCACACTGTGGTGCAGATGCCATTGGGAAATACAAGTCAGTATCTTACACCACAGCAGCAGCCATCCTCTAATGACACACATTCCATGACGATGATTATTATTATTATCATCATTATTATTATCGGCCCGACCAAAGCACATACTATAATTTGAATTGCCTCACTCCGGCAACGTCTTCAAGCGGCTCTCCCCGTTGGCCACCTAGATAGACAAAACAAATACATAATCTAATCCCCTTAGTTCCCGACCGGCTAGTTGGCTTTGCATATCATCCTGACCAGGCTGCCGCAGAACCGTTCCACTGGGCATTTGCCAGCGAAGAAGCATCGTCCTGCCTGCTTCTGGAACAGGAAAATTGGGATTCCAAGTGAAACTAGTGGGCTGCAGTTGCAGGCCCGGAACTTAATCCAATGCGCTGTCAACTCTACGTGCCTGCATCTTGTGAATTAATGAGTTTCCTCGAATCGCCACATCAAGCTATTGCCCTCCTCTCCAACCTGGTATGTTTCTTTATTGTAAAGTAAAACTACTAACTAATAGTTATACTTCATTTTTTCCCAACGGTAGACTCTTCCAAACACTGCAATTGATATCCATAAACAACGATCAATTGCCTCCGTGTCTCATCTATTCAATTGCATCAACAAGACATCCCAATTATCTAAGAACCGACTCTTAACTAACTTAACACCGCACCTTCCTAATCCCATCTCACATAATCCAATACTGGTCTCAGGATTCAGAGCTCAGGCTCAGGCTCAGGCACCTTAATTTTAGAAAAAAAAAAGAAAAGAAAAGAGTCTCCACTATAAGCCCAGCCTTGTTCAAGAGGGTCAGAAGGAACAGTATTATTCTCATAAATAACGACTGCAAGGGCCTTTCTACACCGCCGTGCATCGAGCACACCAACCACTGAATTATTTCCCGCCGCCACCATCGTCATTATACATACTCCCCTATTCATTTAATATTTTGATTTTTCAGACCTGGAAAGACGGTGCAATGTGTCCTACCTACTATAATACTCTGGGACATGATATGTGCTACTTATCTCGTTGTTTGATTGGTTAAAAACGAACTGACTCGAAAAAAAGACACAAAGGAGAAATATTCGAAGGGTATTCTAGGAAATAATAATTGACAGTTGAGACACAACGTTAAGAGAAGTACGAAAGCCAAGAAAATGCTAGACTTATAATTCTCCACGGAAGAACGGATCAAGATACAGAGTGAAAGCGGATATTTATTCCTGCAACCACTGTTTCCGATCGATAGCATTAAAATTGACAAAAGAGCCCAGAGAAGACTGATCTTCACCCTGAACATCGTAGTAATCATACAACCACAAATTTGAAGATACAAAAAAAAAGTAAGACGCAAGAGTTAAACAGTCCGCATGGGTATGGCGGAAGAAAAGAGAATAACCATTCATGAGAAAAGTGAAAAAAAAAAATAAAAATAAAAATAAAGATAAAAAAAAGGTAGAATAGGAGCGCTGAAATGGTATACCCCATGATAACCCGTCATGCGACAAAATGAAAAAATAAGCAGTGGATGAAGAAAAAAGAAAGGTATAAAAGATCCCAAGGCTCACCCACAAGTAAACCCTGTATAGAGTGTATGAAGACCCCGGGGAAAGAGGGAAAGAACAGAAACGAAAATAGACAATGGTCAACGTGTGAATACAGGTACGATTCTATGGCCACTGTGTCCGTATTGTGAATCGTAAGAAAGATTGTTTTATGCGTGCAAGGAAGACGTGCAAAGAAGACGTCAAGTCATAGCATGCCAGGGAGCTGGCAGTGCCCGTCAAGGCGGATCGCTAATGAAGCATAGCTAATTATATCATGTTCGAAGCGTCGGCTGGACTCGTCTCAGTGACGGGAGACCGGCCGGGACTAATCGCTTTCTTCCTCTCGGCAGCAGCGTTCGCTGCGCCCCCTGCTCGGACTTCCTCTTCTTCCAATCTGCGCCTCCAGTTGGCGAGACTGTCGGTCAAATTGCCAGCATCGTGGGTTTCCTTTGTTGGTGTTCGGTCGAAATCATACTGATTACTGAGCCGGTAGTTGCGATTTGTGCTTTCCCAATGGTTCCGGAGGGCGTCGAGCTCGCTGGCAAGCGAGTCCAATGCCATAGAGCCTCGATTGTCCAGGACCGAATCGTCACGGGACACAGCACTATCTGCTCTCGGTCTGGTCCCGGCGCCGATTGTCGCCGTTGAGGCATTGCTGACCGTTCGCGAAAGCCCGTTCAGGCCGTTGCCGTGCTGAGACTGACGGCGGTAGTTGCCAACAGATGTCTCCACCTGATCAAGGAGCATGGTAACCTTCTGCTCAGCATCCATAGCACGTGCCTCAAGCAGAGAGTTTTCTCTCTTCAGTTGATCTAGCTCAGCATGGAACCTCTCAACAGTTTCGACAAGCTGCTGTTTGGCGGTCTGATGTTCAGAGTATAGCTGGTTCTTCTCGGTCCGAGTGTGTGTTAGCTCCGTCTGAAGCGCTTCCACCTGCGCCTCAAGCCTGGACACAGAGGACGTCATGTTCTCCTGAAGGCCCGACAGAGACTTCTGAAGCATCGTACGTTCAGCTTCCCAGTCGGCCGGTGCAGCAACGCTTGCGCTGGGAGAGCGCTCTAAATCCTTCTGGGCACTCTCTAGGTCGGACTGGAGCTTGGCAGTCTGCACTTTGTACTTGGCAAGTTCGTCTTTCATGCGCTTCAGCATCTTCTCAGTGCCTTTCACGTAATGAACTGCAGACTGGTAATCGTTTTCCAGCTGCTCCAACTTCTCTCGGTATGCGCGGTCTGCTTCTTGTTCACGGGACTCGAATTCGCTCTTTGTTTCCTCGTGGGCCTTAAGGCTAGCTTGAAGTTGTTGTTCGAGTTCACGCAAACGGTTCTGCTCAGGAGTTCCAAAGCGAGATCCAGGAGAATCCATCCTTGGAGATCGCCTATTGTCGGACATGTTGACCCCGCGTTCGCTGAGGAGATCCTTGAGGGCACTGTGTTGAATGGCAAGCGCATTGGCGTCTCTTTGGTGGTTCTCGATTTGGGCCTTAAGATCTCTGTTTTCAGCAGCAAGGGTCTGGCTCTCTTTCATTGCTGTCTGCAGTTGTCTTCGAAGCTGCAAGCCTTCCCTGCTAGCTTGTTCTTGATACGCCTCCAGTCCAGCAATTCGCTCTTCCGCTCGTCGAAGCTTCTCCGCTGCTGCATCGGCAGCTGCTTGGTTAGCCTTTGCAAGTTGGTTCGCTCTTTCGACCTGAGTCTGGAGAACAACAACACGCTGATCAACCAGCGACCTCATGGAACTGTCTGAATCAAATGACGAAGCACGCTCTAGACCAGACAAAACCGCAACTTTATGGGTTTCCGCTTCACGGGCGTGGCTTTCCGCAAGCTCTTCGGCATCCTTCAACCGACGGGTGGCCCTATCAAGCTCCGCGGTTTGTTCTTCATATTCCGCCCGAAGTTGCAACAGTTTCTTTTCTAGACCTTCGCGGTGGTCACGTTCTTCCACGAGTTGCTTTTCTAACAATGCGGATTTCGTGGCTGAGGCAGCTACTGCTTCTCGCAGAGATCCAAGACTGCCGCCGTGATCCTTCAATCGCGCAGAGGCCTCATCCAGCTTGTGAGATAGCTCTTCCTTGTCGATAGCTAATTGCTTCATTGCAGCCTCTGCCTCAAAGCGACGCAGAGATTCCTCCCTCGATGTAGTCTGAAGTTGATGGAGCTCCGCTCGTAAACTTTCTAGCTCCAAGGCAGTATTTTGCATTTCTAACTCCGCTAGCCTCTTTCTGGAAGCCTCATTTGTATCCTCGGCCAACTCTCTAGCACGTTTCTCTTGCTGTAGCTCAACAGACATCGCTTCCAGTTTACCTTTAAGCTCAGACTGAGAGGCAAGTGCAAGAGCTAACCGTCGGCTAATATCCGTTGCACGCTCAGAGCCTGCTTCATCAGGCTCGCGAGACGAGCTGTCAGGCTGCGGAGTGCTCCGTTGACTTCCACCGTGAGCTGCGAGTTTCGCACGAGCATATGCTGCTTCGTTGATAGCGGCGTCCCTCTGGTGCTCCACTTCTGCTACTCGCTTCGAGGCAATAGCTGCTTGACGATCAACAGTAGCTTGCATCTTTGCAAGCTCAGCTCTCATTGCGAGGAATGCTTCGATCAGAGGACGGTCTTCTTCTGCAAATGCATCCGTCGCACGTTCGTCCAGGGCAGGGCTGCCCGAGGGATTTGGACTGTAACCGGCCTTTCTAGCAAGCGCTAGTTCTGACGCATACCATGCATTTCGACTCTTCGCCGCTTCGAGCTCCTTTATTAGGGCTTCTTGATGAGGAGTAAGCCTAGGAGAACGTGGCTCATCCCCGAGGCTTCTGGAATTTCGATGGCTTCGTGACTCAATTGGTCCGTCTATGCTTCCTTGCCTTCCAAGCACAGCTTCATCTACACTGTCCATCGAGTTCCGCTGCCTTTGTCGAAGAGAGCGTTGCCGGGCCGGTGCACTCACCAAGGGTGCTGCTTCGCCAGCTTCCATGGCTTTCGCGGAGAGTTTAGATGGTTGTTGGGTCGGGGTCCGTCGTCCAGCTGATATCGGGCTTTGCTCTTGTACCGACCTGACGTCTCTGGGAGAGTCCCTGTTAACTGGTGACTGTCTGTCTTTTTCCATCGCCCGAACCCTGTCTACGGCGGGGCCGTACGGGCGGTCTGTTTTTGTTGGGGTCTTGCTTCTAGCATTTGGTCCATATGGAGCTCCTCGAGGTACAGGTGTAGGTGCTTGACCAGGAGGCGGCGGCCCAGAGGGGGGTGCCTGTGCAATCGACGCCCGTGGTAGACGAGATCCTGCTGCTCCTGGAGTTGGGCTAGATTCAGAAGGTCTGCCGCTAGCGGCAGCAAGAACGCTTTCGCGTCCTGGAGGCCCTCTCCTTTGTTGATCTGGTGTATTTTGAGCCTCACGAGAGGCTCGCCCGGATTGTTGTACAAGCTTTTCCCCGCTCATCTTCCTCATGCCTTGTCCCCTTTCGCCATTCTGTGAATCAGTCGGGTAACGGATCTTTGAGGTATCGAGCACGTAAGCCATGCTAAGGTCTGCTGGATCTCGAGGAGCCGAGCTGGGTTCACCAGCCATAACGATGATCTGTTTGCCAAAGGTAGTCATGCTGTGTCCAGATCGCGGAGAAGGAGCCGGCCCCATATTCTGGAAAGAGTACCATCTTTTGGTTGAAATACGGAATGCTGCCAAATCACCAAGATCCGTACCATCATCACTGCGACCGCCGAACACGTACATAACGTCGTTAACGAGAGCTGCGGCATGGCCCTCTCTGGGCGCAGGTATAAACCCAATGCAGTCCAGCTGGGTCCATAGATTGGTACGGGGATCATACGACCAAACGTCATTGAACCATTGAACGCCATTTGTGCCTCCAAATCTAAAGAAAGTTAGCATATGCCATAGAATGGATTTTAAAAGTATATCTCATACAGATATAGCTTGTCGTTGAAGCTCACGATCGTGTGGTTGGTTCTCGCGGGAGGTATCTGTCCAGGAGGAGGCCCTCCGTCGTGGCTATTCCGGATGAGAAACTCCCACTTATTTGCAGGATTCTGAAGAGCATTTAGGTCGAAGGCAATGAGATCGTTGAAGAAGAAGCCCTCAACCTGACCACCAAAGATGTATATTTTGGAACCGAGAATATTGAGGGTGTGTCCATATCTTCCAGAGGGCCGCGGGCCGGGAGGAATAGCGCGCGACCATTGTCGAGAAGCTGAATAGTCAATGTAAGCAGGCATCCAGAATCAAACGATTTCGACACATACAAGTATTCAGAAGATATAATGTATCATCCAGAGTGTCGTTATCATTCATCTTCGTATCTCCGCCAAACACGATGAAAGCGTTACCCACGAGAAGACTAGCATGGCCAACCCTGGGTCCAGGGCCTTCTGAGACCGTGGCGATGGGAAAGCAAGACAGATTTCCGCCACTGCTCTCTACCATCCACAAGTCTCCCTTAACCGTTGATCCGTCTATTAGACCGCCCATCATGTAAATATCACCTTCCTTCGAGGCGACAGAGTTGACGGCCGCACCATAACGCGGAAAAGGGTTCGATTGCGGCGTCGAGAAGTTCAACCTCCGTTGTGACCAAGGATACAAGGCAGCATTGGGACTGCTGTTGGGAGACGGGGTCCCATTCATGGATTGCTGAGCTCGTGGTACCTTGCGCTGAAAATCAGTGACCGGATCATTTATAGGGATTCCCAGAGTCAAAAAGAAGGAGAAAACATGAATGTTTCTCCTCGAGAGAAGATAGCAAAACATCGAATGAGACCAACCTGCGACTCGGACTCTGCTCTTGGCCGCACCCGCTGCGCATCTGGCGGGTTGACGCCAGCCACCGAGCTCAACGAATTATTCACACTACCACTGGGAGTAGGTGACTGCACAGGGCCTCCTTCTCGGTCCCTCGACCCATTGACTGATCCGGACGATGTACTCGACGGTGCGCCTTCCGAGGTGTGGATATTCCGGGTCGCTGGAGGTAGGCTAGCATTCTGCTGCTGGCTCTTCTTGGATTTGAATAAGAACGCCATCGTTAAGGTAAGGTCGTAAACGGTCGTCTAAAACGAGAGACTGGAAGGCCGCAATGGACCGAAAAAAAAGTCACACGAATGGAAAAAAGGCAGATTTCTCTGCCGGTTGTGACCAGCAACTGCACGGTGTATCCTCCAGGGAGAAGCGATGAAAGGGCGGAGGGCCGCGCGAGCGTGAACGACAAAGGACAAGACGAGCTTAATCTGTACGGAGAAGCATCGGAGAACTGGAGTAAAGTAATTAAACCAGGGTAAAATCTGGAATCTCGACGGGGTGGATTGATGCCAGCGTCTTGTCTTGTCGGGGAGGGTCAAAGCCGACTTCCCATACGGAGGTCCGCACCGTGTTCTCTGGGGTTAACTTGACCGCAGACCCTACCGTTGATCGGTCTCACAACTGTCAATCGCAGCTCTGCAGACGCATTAAACAACAGACCAGTACAGAAAGCAAATAATAATGGGCAACTATGCTGAAAAAGAAAATCTCCAGATCGGTCAGATAATAATAATCATGCAGGCGTTTACGTCAAGGCTTTGGGGCATAGAGAACGGGCTCCGGCGTTTCAAACTTTCCAGGCGGTCATGTTAAGTTAGGGGGTCAGGAGCGCCAAGGGTCCACGATCCGCCCAAAAGGCGAATAATCCACAGGTTAATTACTTGTCCGGAGAAGAATACCATTCATTACAGCATGTTGTGAGCCCTGGCCACTGCGACAAAGCACGGACTCTACTTTTTTCTTCCAAAACACGACGTTCGCTGGATTATTGTAATACTGTAGCTAGGGCTATTTTCAGTCTCACTGCTGCCATACTGCGAAATGCTGGGCGGAATGTCCTGCTGTTTGTGCCGTCGGCAGAGGCCGGACCACCTGCATTCCTAGGGCCACCATCACCTCTGATCGGTGTCCACCAGCCTCAGAATTTGAGATAATTCTCTGGCACCCCGGATTTCTAGGGGCTCATGACTTTGGAGGCCGCATGAACTGCAACAACAGACGCGCCCACCATTATGCGCGGGATCTTCGACGCTGCTCTTTGTACCCGAAGCACCTGTTATGGACAGGGGAGGGGGAAAAAGCAAGAGCAGGTGTATACCATATCTAGAGTATAAAAAAGAGGATCAAGGGGTAACGATGGCGCGGAGCCTTGGAAAGGGAAACCCACACCCATCTCAACGCCAACTGGCTCGCCGGCTGACTCTCCGGATGCGCCAAATACGAAGAAACCAGGCTCAACAACATAATAAATTCATAGTACGGAGTAGATAGTGGGATGAGTTTTGGCCGTGGCTGGCTACGCAGATGAGCTACGGACTGAGATGAAGAAAGCGGCCCAGAAGGATAGGCGAATTCCACAGATCCATCCGCCTCGTGCGAGCCGTGACGGAACTGATGTGGAAACGCGACCTGCTCGAACTTCTCCAGCCGATCACTTATCACAATAACGAGTATGCTTCCAAAAAAGGAACGTTGTGAGGTTCGTGCATCAAAAATAAGAGGCGTTCCCAGCAGAACATGAGCTCGTATAGGGGCCGCCGGGGCCAGGGGAAAAGGGGTTTGGGGCACTCCTATCAGAGCCGGTTAAGCGCGATGATCTTTGCTGGGGCCTATGTCGGGGCGTCCACTCACAATATCCGATGCTCCAGATGCTCCCGTCTACGCTGTTCTAGTGCCGTGCCGCCGTTGACGAGTTGTCGGTCCATGTCAACGGTTGGGTCGAGTAGAATAAGGTGATAACTATAAGATCCAGAGCTTCAGCTGATGTAATTAAACTTTCCTGTGGTGTAGACCATAAATGAACCGCTTTGTATAATCGAAGTTCGAACTACGTAGTTATACCCGTAAGAAGCTTAGGATGTCTCATTAGATTTCAGAGGTATGCTAAGTTGATCGTAGTAGTTAACTAACTCTCCTTTGTTAATACAGCGAGGAGGGTTAAATGGTAAAGGCCATAGTTTCTCCGCATAGAAAGACCAGAACGTAGTATCTGGAGCATCGGTTGGCTAACTTCCCACGTATGTGATACATAAAAATAAGCTTCTGGGGCCATTGGGAGTTCTCGGTATGCCTTACCCGAATCCCGCTTGTGGAAAGGCAATACTGCCCGTAGCTATCAATAATGGCAGACAGGCAGTAAATATGGAGTGTGACCAAGGGTAACTAGTAGGAGATTCAGTGGCATGTTACTTCCCCACGGAGGAATCGAACTCGATATGTTATCTTGAGTTGTCGAAGGCCTTGAAAGATAAGAACGGTGAGCTGTAATTTAAGCCTCCTGTTCTGTGAATTAAGGCACGAAAAAATATTTAAATCTTGGCGAGTATTCTCTCTTTTTAACATACTATCGAGTTATTAACTTAGAATGCAAGTGTATTGCTATACCTATTGTATCCGTCTGATTTAAATGCCAGACGAGGAGGATAGGTCAACACATATGGACAGAAACCATTTTATGCTTAAACTTATGTGATTCTTTGTAAGTAAAATGGAATTCTGATCATTGAGTGCTAGCGAAATGTTTCAATATACCAGGTATAAAAATTTTTTGATTTTTCTCCACTTTTTTCGCCTCCCTCTAATTGGTCTGTTTTAAGTTACAGTTATATAACCTCTAATTTAATTGGTCTATTCTGAGTTATAGTTATATAACCTTTAATTTGTTATATGTTTTAAACTGCTGCGTATTACCGCCTTCTGATTATTGAGCGCTAGTGAAATGTTTATTGAGCGCTAGCGAAATGTTTCAATATACTAGGTATAAAAATTTTTTAATTTTTTTCTACTTTTTCTGCCTCCCTTTAATTAGTTTGTTTTAAGTTACAATTACATAATCTCTGATTTAATTAGTCTATTCTGAGTTACAGTTATATAACCTTTAATTTATTATCGCCGAGCGCTAGCGAGGCAATAAATTAGGGTACTTCTTTTTACGATCTTTTGCCAAGCCTCCTTCTAATTAGTTTAAATAGTTTAGCCATTATATATTTTTTTACCGCTTTCCCTTTTTATATATATAAATACTCCTTCTTTTAAGCTCCTATATAACTTCGCATTAGCTTTAATTAATTACACCCCTCTAAGCTTACTTTCCTATTATTATTTTGCCTATTAGTTATATCTTTAGCTTTATAAACTTATACTTAATGCGCTAGGCTTCTGCCTCTATCTGAATTTATCTCTTCTTAGCATTTAATACCTACAGCTTAATGCTTAGAGTATTATAGTAAAGTAAGTCTTTCTCTATTACTATTATTCTTACTAATATCCCCTTTTAGCATAAAGAATATATCTTAAAAGAAGTGCTCTAGATACTGCTTTAAATATAGCTCTAACTTTTTCCCCTACTTTTTATTACTGCAGTATATATAGTTCTAATAATAAGGATTTAGCCGAGGCCCAGCAGCATTAAACTGCTATTTAATATATCTATTAAGCCGCTTATTGTGCTAGTAATAAACTTACTCCTATTCCTTCTCTTTATATTTTAGTATCTTCTCCTATCCTATCCGCGGCGACTGCTAAATATATAAAAGACTTAGTTTCTTAGTTTAACCCTCTATTAGTGTTTAGTAGCGCCTTTAATCCTCCCTCCTTTAACACTATAATTACCATAGACAATTTAAAATACTATACTTATAGTAAGCATGCGTTACTTATAGCCTTCTTTTATAATCTATCCAATATAAAATATAATATCTATAACCTATATTGTCCAGGGCTCCCTAATAATAGTTATTAAGGGATATTTACTGCTACGCTAAAACCTACCTATTTATTATCTTTACCTACATTTATCCCTCTCCTATCCCTGGATCCTCCTTTACCCTTTATTATTCTATTGCCCGGTGACCTAGCCCTATCTGTAAAAGACTAAGAATGCCTCTGCGGCTTCTATACTAAGATAAGGGAGAATATAATATAGATATATAATATTTATCTTAAGCAATAGTATATAAAGATAAATTATAATAGTATTTATAAACACTGTGCAAGAGACCTCCGCGCTAATAATAACCTTACTCTATATAGACCAGCTAACCATATAGATCTAGGTATCCTGCTAGAGTTTCTTCCTAAACTAATATAGATAAAAGAGATACTTATTGCCCGCGTTTATATTTTTATTAAAATATATTAGGTCCGTAGTTAGCAGTATAAATATAATAGCCATATAATTAATTTCTTGTAGAATATAGGCAAAGTCTATAATAAATTACCCCTTATTCCCTTATAGCTAAATATTATCCTACTTTGCCCTTTAAACATATTAGCCGACCCTTGCCTGAACCGGCAATTCATATAAGATTTTTATATTTAGCGCGACTGCATACTGCAATAGCTGCAGTATTTGCGCTAATACTACCTTAGCTATTGCAACATTAAGATTAATCCAGTAGCATTACAGGCTTTACCTAAAGATAACTCTATATTAGATTAATTAATTATTTCTAAGGTGTCCGCAAAGCCTATAATAGAGTCTAATAATAATTCAAATAATAACCTAGATATAATTAAGACAGTTATTATTCTAGATACTTTGCTAGACAAGTTTAAAATTAAGGCCCTTAGTAGATAGTTTAATAAAGCTATTCTAGATATATCGCTGCCGTTATTTAAAAGCATACCTTTGCCAGAATTTAACTGCAGTTAACCCTTACTAAGCTTAGTATTCCTAACACTATTTCCTACTAATAAGGCTAATTTTTTAACCCCCTAAATTCGAACTATATCTTACAAGAACTACCTTACTTATTTAATAAAGTATAAGGATAGACAATTCGCCTATTACCCGCGTTTCTATTATATAGTATTTAATACCTTAATATAGCAATAGGTAGGGACCCGCGCTAAATTCTATATCTCTTATAATATGCAGAACTGCAAGGAGCAATTAATTATAAAAGAGATTTGCCAGGCCTTGCAGAAGAGAATATCAGAGACTAAGGCTCTATTAAAGAGAGTTTTCTCTTTCTCCAATACCCTTCGCGGCATAACTTTATACTAAAATAGGTATTACAATAAGCTTATAGCCTTTATATTTAATCTTAGGTCTCCTCACCTATTCTTAATACTCTTTACAGCAGACTATTATTAAAATAATCTACAGCGCTATATATCCCGCTATAATAATTAGTTAACCGGTTTCCTATTAGATTGTATTAGGATCTTATAGAAGAATCTGCGAGATAATCCCCACATTATAGCCTATTAGTTTAACTACCGGTATATAGTCTTTAAAGAGAAAGTGCTTAAGAAGAAATTCGGCGTTATTAATATCTAAGACCGGTATAAATAGCAGGGTTATAGTTTAACCTATAACTATAGCATTTATTAGATGCCTAATACCCCCTGCCCAGAATTTACTTATAACTAGTTTAAAGCAATTTAGGATTCTTTTACTTAATAGTAGGGGGTCTATATTTCTACTATAAAGCTTCTAGGTAGTTCTTAGGGTACTATGCTAGATAAGAGGTCTTTAATATCTCTCCTATTCAAGGACCTACTAAATACAGTAAGCTACCTAAGTACTATAGTAAACTAGGTCTAGCGCTATTATTACAATAAACAATACTGCTTCTATTAGTAGAAAGAGATAAAGGAGCTATATTACTAGTTTTACTTCCCTATAGCCTGCTAAGATAAGTCTATTATAAAGCAGCTGCTAGGAAATAAATACTACTATCTATACCCTTAGCGCGATAACCCTATGCTAAATATATATAATTATCTTATCTCTATGTCCTAGCTGGCAAATACTAATATCGCCCCCTATACTAGAAGCGCAGCTGTATTATATTATCTTACTAAGTATATTACTAAGAAGAAGCAAAATATAAGCTTCTTTAATAATTTCTTAGACAAGATAATTCTTACCCTAAATATAGTAAATCCCCTTTTATTAACAGTGATAAAGCTAATAAACCGCACTATAATTAAGTAAGATTAGTTAGCTTAAGAAGTCTATTATCTATTTTTAGATCTACTATTACAATACAGGACTTAGGATATTATTAATATAAAATGCCGCAATTAGGAGTTACTAAGAGTCTTCTATTACTTTTTAGAGCATAATAATAATAATAAGCCAGTTAGGGGGAAATTAGTGCTAGAGAAGTATATACTCTAGACTAGTCTAGCTTTTAATAACTAGACTTATCTATAATTCTTTTATAAGTCTAACCTTTAGCCTGACCTATAAACTAAAGAGTACCCTAGGGTAAAGCCGCGGGTATTACTGTATAAGCCTATCTACTTAAAGATAGATATAAAGAATTTTGCGCAGATAAAGATAATATTATATTATCCCTTTTAGAGTATTGCCGATTTACTAAATACTAGTAATATTAGTATATTTAAGAGCTTTGCTGCTACCTATAAATATTATATCTTAACTTATAATAATTATACGGACGACTTCTACTAGCAGGTAGAGGATAATAAAGAGAATTTATTAGAAAAATACTTTGTCTAGATTAATAAAAAGGACCTCCTATAGGCGGCTCTGGCAGCTCAGGGGCTAATATATAGCCTAGATATTTAATTAAAGGATATTAATAATTTAGGAGAGCGTAATATCGACTGCGCCTATAACTAGACCTTTTATATCAGGCAATATATAGTCCCGCAGGATTACTGGGCAATATATAAGACTAATTTCCTAGTAAATATCGCAGTATATTTATCGGCTAATTTTAATAACCTAGAACCTAAGCAGCGGGATCTATATAACCTAATTATAGATTATTATATATATTACTTAAATAGAGATAACCCCGCGCAGCTGCTTATAAACCTAGATAAAAAGGCTAAGATAGGCAAATCCTATATTATTATGCTGATTTTATCTGTATTAGTAAATATAGCTAATAAGAGATAGCTACTTAAGTCTCCTATCCTCTAAGCGGCCCCTATTAGGGTAGCGGCCTATAACATTAATAAGAAAACCCTTTATAGCCTCTTTCGCCTGCCTATAGCGCTGCCTATAGCCTATTAGCTATTATCTTTATAAAGCCGGCAAAGCCTATAGGCTGCGTTTATAGGGATCTATTATTTAATTATTAATAAGAAGTTAATAGTAGGTCTTTACCTGCTAATATAGATTTCTTACTAATATTAGGAGATCTTCCCTAGTAACAGTTATTTATTTAGGGGTCTAAATATTATATTAGCGGGTAATTTCTTCTAGTTGCCTCCAGTAGCCGCAAAGCCTTTATTTAAGGTATATATTAACTATCTAATACTGGATAAAATCGGGCAGTTATTATATTAGCGCTTTAATATTATAATCTAATTAAATACTATATAGCAGTAATCTAGCATAAATAAGATCTCTATCTAATTTAAGCGGGCCCTAGATTATCTCCAGAAGAACTATATAAATTAGGCCGACTAAGAATTATTACTTATACAAACTGCGGCGGCAGTACTAGAGGAGGTTTCTTAGTTTTATAATATCTTATAAATTCTGCCTACTAGGAAGTTAGTCAGCGCATATAATTATAAGGTTATATATAATTTATGGCGGCCTATTATTAAGGTTACAGCCTTTAATTAGGGGCATAGCATAGCTATTAATAAGGTTAAGAATAATAAGGCTAGTAACTTAGCGCAGGAGCTTTAATTATCTATTAATGCCCGGATTATGCTTATAGAGAATATTTAGGTAGAATATAATTTAATTAATAGCTCCTTTAGTATTATTTATAATATTAGGTAAGATCTGGGTATAAAGGACTATTACAGGCATCCTCTGTTTATACTAATAGTCTGGTTTAATTACTATAGCAGGCTATCTTATTCTACAAATAATAAGAGTAGGTTAATTATTCTCTTGCTCTAGTTATACAGGGACTTTACTATTAAGAATATATAATATTTATATATATAATTCCTAGTAGTAGTGGCATACGCTATTAGCATATATAAGTCCTAGGGTATAACGCTGAACCAGGCTGTATTAAATATCTCGCATAAGGAGTTTAGCCCTAGCTTAAACTATATAGCAGTTTCCTGGGTTAAGACTCTCTCTAGTATTTTATTTGAGGAGCCCTTTAATCTATAGTACTTTAATATGTAAATTAATAAGTATAAGACAGACCGGCTAGCGGACGCAAAACGGCAATAAGATTAATATATATATCTCCTTTCCTTTATAGCTATAGTTACTAACTATTTATTCCTGTTGTTAATATTATTGAGGTTCTCCTCTACCTAATCCTATGCCCAATCCTTTTATTCTTTTTATACTATTAATACTGGCTCTAGGAGTAAAGTAAATAGAGGAAGATAAAAAGGAGGAGCTATATAATATTGGGAGTAGAGGAGATATATTATTGGGAGACGAGAATTTATCGGAATTTTAATCTAGCTAATTAGGAGCCATTATTTTAGGCTATTTTAAATACTCTAATTTAAATTGTTTTTCTTTGCTTTAAATGCTGGCTTCTTATTAGTCTATTCAGAATATTAATATTAATTATAATACCGCACCCCGGCCGTCCGCTGCTTATACTAAATTCCCTATCTCCTCTCCCCCTTCCTATCCTCTACTATAGCTTCACGCTTTTATATTCCCTTACTGCCTTCTTATTACTATTAGGCCTCCTTCTGTTATTGGTAACTAGTGTTATTTATTACCCCTGCCGCGTTCCTTCCCGTTTAGAATCTTAGATTTACCTAGAAAGTAATTATATTCTTTCCCCCTCAGATTTACAGCAGAGAGAGAGTTTATATCCTATTTTTTAGGTATAAAAGGGTATATCTGCTCCTATTTTCTTCTTTTCTTTTTTTTTTTTTCTTTTCCCTAGCGCAGTAGTAAGCCTACCTACCTATAGGCCTCGCTGTGCTTTGCTTCTTTTATTATTATGTGTTATTTCTTTTATAGATTCTATAGCCGAGGGCTACCTAAAATAGTAGCCCCTGTTTTAAGTTATTAAGATCTATATAAAAGCAAATATATTATATATAGGGGCGGTTATTATTAACCTGCTAGGAGCCTATAATAAGCTATATTATTATTTCTCTATTAGCTATTACTAACTTATTAGCTTAGGCCCAATTTATTAGAGCACCTAGCTAATTCCTTTGCAGCTTGCTAATTATCTTAGTAGGCCTATTCCTCTGCTCCATTAAAAGAGAAAGTAGGTTACGCTTATTCTACTTATTATTCAGTAATAAAGACTAATATTCCAATTAATAAGCTCTAGCGGCATTAATAGAAGCATTATTTAATAAGCAGCTTAATATTTTTAAACAACATACTTCTCTGCTCCGTTACCTCCTCTGCTCCTCTTAGTTTCTATCTAAGTCCCTCGAACCCCCCCTAAAGGGGGGGTCTGAGACTGCTCCTCTACTCCGTTAGCTCCTTTACTCCGTTAGCTCCTCTACTCTATCAGCCCCTCTGCTCTGTTATAACTACAGTAGCAACACCAGCCATACCAGCAGCACTAGCTACAGCAGCACTGGCCGCAGCAATATTAGCCATAACAGTACTGGCTGCAGCTGCCCCAGCTACAGCAGCTGCCTATTAGGGCAGTTTGGCAATAGAAAGGTTACCAGTTCAAATCCAGCTTCAGATTTCATCTTTTTTTCTTTTTCCGGTCTGTTCCTTCCCCTAAATTAACATGTTTCTACATGTTTTACACATGATATAATGTGCCTAGACATAAAAAAAGATAATCTGACCTAGGGATCAGCTTGAATAGTTTAAAATCATAGGGTTAAGGTCTTATAGGTTTAGATTAATCATCATCTCCCCATATATAAAAGGCGGCGGTCCGGTGCGAATACCACTAGACTACCGGTCCAGATTATATGGCAGGTTTTATCCCATTATTCTACATATAACACGCCTGGCTAGGGGGTTTAAAGGCGGTATTCATGTAGTCTACTATCCTGTATATACTGAATCTCTAAATCTAATATTAAGTTACATGCTCCTAGCTTGCTTAGTAATAAGCGCTCGGTGTCTTTGCTACAGTCTGGCGCGGGCGCCCCGTAGGATAACTAGTATATTTTAAACTGCTAGGTATTACTGCCTTCTAATTTAGAAAATTAAAATAACTCCTCCTAACCTCCTATATAAGTTCGCGTCTATATTAATTAACTTATACCCTTTATAGTCCTTACCCCCTACTTTTTATCGCCTATTTAGCTATTATAAAAGCTCGCTTTAAAAGTATTTTCTTCTATTTAAATATTAGCTTTTTATTGGTCTGTTTAAGATATTAACTATAATAGCTAAATCCCTCCTATCTATTCTTCTCCTACTTATCCCCCTTCTGCCTATTCTGCCTATAGGCTTTAATTTCTTATATTATCTGGTAATTACTAACTAGCTTTACCTATTAAATGATTCTTTATGATGATTATTAACTAGAAACCTAATAAATTACTTGATTAAGCAATTAACCTATCTGCTAGGCTTTGCCAGCGCGCCAGCGCGTTAGCGCTAATAGCCAGCTTAGTCAGAGCAGCCAGCTTGGTCACTACGCTCAATGATTATTTGCTACGGCCCCTCCTAGCCGTAGCGCACCTAGTAAGACAATAAATGGGTGTGTCTATCGCAAGGTAAGTTTTTAATAGATAGTATTCAAAGCTCCCTTCTCTGTCTCCTTATGGTTACATTTTTCGTCCAGCACACAGGTCTTCTAAGCGCGTGGGATTCCTGTTAAGACCACTAAGAACAACTCTGCTTGAAAGAGCTGAACTGTGATACAATGTTTCTGGCAAATATCATCCTGGTGTGAGCGTTATATCCCAGGCGGCTAACTCAGTGACGCAGGCGTTTACCGCCCCGGGCCAATGATTTATCCGAGTAAGTAATCTCGATGCCAAGACAAACCGCCGAGCTTATGAACGTCTTACTATGCTTCCCTGCAAGTCTATGTTCTATTGAGCACGCAGCAGCAAATTCTTCGGGAGAGCTCTAACGGCTGTGCTGCTGGCAGCGGGCGCTTGACATGCGCACGACCTTTGCTTTAAGATTCTGCGTTCTTTGAGCCTTTCTCTCCACTCATCCCGCGGGGCTTTTGGGTCAGGCTTGATACGCCTCTAGCCGCCCGCATTCAGTATCGGTGCTAGCTTTAGGCCCTCAGAGCACACTGTAATATGAGCAATCAGGTGAGCCATGATTTTAATCTGCCAGCATACCAGACCCTTATAAAGATGTACCTGAATCCATAATTATGGTACTTATCTGATATCCTTTATCTCTACTAGGCTCGTTTTGCTCCCTGTCAACGACTTGACTAGCCTGCCTCGTATTTCTACATCATGAACGAGTATTCATCATGAGGGATCCGAGCCTGAATATGGAACCGAATACTACTGGGCAGCAACAGCTGTCTGCAACTACAAATGGCGCTGAGCCGCGCAAGCAACAAAACAAGTCCGTACGAGTAGCGTTCGGTCCGGACTTGGAGACCTACATTCCTCCGCGCGATGAATCTCCTGCGCCCGTACAAGGGCATCATAGGTCATTCACTATGCATGCGTTACCGCCGCCGCAGTCTAGGCCAACGAGCTCATCCGCAGGGGAGAACCCAATTGTGGTTCCGGGCAGCCCTCCCACCGTCACTCCGGATCGCGCATCGGACAGTGGGCGACCAGCAACACTGAAGAGGGCGAAGAGTGACTATGGTCCCAGGTTGGGAGTTGATAAGGCAGCAACGGGCGATGAAGAAGAAGATTTCGCAATGAGGCATGGATGGCAGGAAGAATATACTTCCAGCGAATACTTGAAAATTCTTCATTCGGTGAGCACATCAAAGAACCCTCTGCAATGAGATTTCGGGACGGGCGGGAAATCTGATATTTGCAGAACTTCTACATGTATTATACGGAGAAGCGCCATGAGACAGACGGTATCCCGAGGGACCCAGTGGGAAGCTGGCCCAGCCAGGACTGGCGGATGCGGGATCGCCTAAAGACGGTCTCTGCAGCCCTGGCCATTTGCCTCAACATCGGTGTTGACCCTCCAGACGTCGTGAAGACAAACCCTAGTGCTAAGCTGGAGTGCTGGGTCGACCCTACCTCTTCTACAACGGGTGGACAGAACAAGATAATGGAGCAGATCGGGAAGAAATTGCAAGAGCAATATGAAACTCTCAGCTTAAGAACCAGGTATAAGCAATACCTCGATCCTTCGGTGGATGAAACGAAGAAATTTTGCATCTCTCTGCGTCGTAATGCAAAGGACGAGAGGGTGCTCTTTCACTATAACGGTCATGGAGTTCCGTTGCCGACGCAATCTGGCGAGATTTGGGTATTCAACAAGAATTACACCCAATACATCCCAGTCTCCCTATATGATCTGCAGTCTTGGCTTGCTGGCCCTAGCTTGTTCGTATTTGATGTTTCTCATGCAGGCAATATTCTCTACAACTTTCATGCCTTTGTTGAGAAACATGAAAAGGAAAACATAGAGGCAAAGAAAAGGGATCCTAATGCAGTTGTCCAGAACTACGGTGACTGCATACTTCTAGCAGCTTGCCAAAAGAATGAGTCTCTCCCCACGAATCCTGACCTTCCAGCGGATCTTTTTACATGTTGCCTGACAACTCCCATCGAGATTGCCCTTCGTTACTTTATCCTCCAAAATCCTCTTCAGAGCAACATCTCTGTGGATGAATTCAGAGTCCCTGGTCGTCTTCAGGATCGAAGAAGTCCTCTGGGAGAGCTGAATTGGATCTTCACCGCAATAACCGACACTATTGCATGGAACACATTACCGCGAGCTCTGTTCAAGAAACTCTTTCGTCAAGACCTCATGGTTGCGGCTCTTTTCAGAAACTTTCTGTTGAGTGAACGTATCATGCGGGCTTATCAGTGCCACCCGATGTCTTCCCCTGAATTACCACCGACTCACAACCACCCCTTGTGGCAGAGCTGGGACCTGGCTATCGAGATGGTGCTTGCTCAGCTTCCCGCCCTGATCGATCATGAGGAAGGGCGGAGGCATTATGAGTACCAGCATTCTACGTTCTTCGCTGAACAGCTCACTGCCTTCGAAGTTTATCTCTCATCCGGCCCCACGGAAAAGAATCCACCGGATCAGCTTCCGATTGTCTTGCAGGTTCTTCTGAGTCAGGCACATCGACTGAGAGCGTTGATCCTCCTCAGCAAATTTCTAGATCTTGGGCCGTGGGCGGTCCACCTAGCTCTGAGCATCGGTATCTTTCCTTACGTTGTCAAACTACTGCAGTCCGCTGCGCAGGAGTTAAAGCCTGTGATGGTCTTCATCTGGGCAAGGATCATGGCTGTCGACCATACGGTGCAGAATGATCTTCTCAAGGACAATGGCATCCATTATTTCATCAACATTCTGAACCCCTCTTCCCCCATACCTGTTGGAAACGCCAGCGAGCATAGAGCCATGTGCGCATTCATCGTTTCGATATTCTGCAAGAACTATCCACAAGGACAGAACGTCTGCCTTTCGCCAGAATTATTCGATGCATGTCTAAAGCACCTCACAGATGTAGAGAACCCTCTGCTGCGGCAATGGTCTTGCCTTTGTTTGAGTATGCTCTGGCTGGACTTCCCGGAAGCAAAATGGATGGGCATTCGCTGCGCTGCTCCAACTCGGCTCTGCGAACTCAATTTCGATCCTGTTCCAGAGGTTCGAGCTGCCGTGCTTCACGCACTGACCAGCTTCCTCGGCATTCCTGACCTAACGGATCAGGTCGAACAGATCGAGGAAACTATCGCAATGGGAGTGCTACCAATGGCCGCGGATGGAAGTGCTCTGGTGAGAAAGGAGCTCCTGGTCTTCTTTTCTCAATTCGTGAAGCGATACCAGAATAAGTTCCTGGTTGCGGCGTATGAGGAGCTGATAGAGGAAAAGAAGACGTTGCTTGAGCGGCTACGAGACGAGAAATCGCAGTCTGTCTTTCTGAACGGTGCTGTGATGGATAAATCATCTGCGTCCCCCAAGGCAGCACTGTCACGAAACACTACGTTCGGGACTATCTGGAAGCAACTGCTCATTCTTTCCGTCGATCCACATCCTGACATTGCTCAAGATGGTAGTATCGTCGTTGACTACATGCATCTTGCACTCTTGCAATCTCCTATGGCTGATATGACAGTAAAGCTCAAGGACGAAATCATGGACCTTACTAATCGCCTGCAATCTCAAAAACCACAAGCAGCAGAGCTAGTAGAGAGTAAGAACTCACGGCCTGCAACCCCCCCGTCCCAGTCACCTGCGAAACAGGAAGGATACTTCTCTTTGAGTATGCGCAGGACTGCCAGCGTCGCCGCATCGCTGAAGAACCTCGCCTTTGGTGGTCCGACCCCGGACCAGCGACCTTCTTCCCCTCTGAAGAACTCACCACAGTCGAAGAGTCGAATGCCGATGACCCCTCGCGGACGCGCTCCTCCGGAATGGACACGACCTCCCGAAGTGAACGACCAAATGGCACCCACAGGAGCGTATCATCAAGCACCCACGCCAACCTCACGTGGTTTCGAGCCGAGAGATCCATCTTCTCCACCCGCTATACCCTTGAAGAGCAGATTCCTAGATTGGTCCACAGAGGTAATCCCAGAACTCCTTGACGATATCAAACGTAAATCCCACAAGATTGTGAAGCAAATTCTTACCCCACCTCAGTATTTCCGGGAACCCCAGATGAAGCCGAACGAACCCGACGAACCCGGTAGTGCGGACTACAATGAACGTCTATGGCGACGTAGCCGGAACGAGAAAATCATCGCTGAAACCCAGCCGTTGAAGGACAAAGCAGGCAGTAGCCGTTGGGATCATTCCGTCTCTCTCTTGACAAATGATGCTCAACCGATGAAGATGTGTTTCCATCAATTCGAAGACCATCTAGCCGTTTCTGACGATAGGGATACGATCTCGTGAGTATAAAAGACATGTCCTTTATATAGCCTTTCCTGGCTTCTCAAGTCATAGTTATCTTTCGGTACGCTGACCATTTCTAGTATCTGGGACTGGCAACGTCACCGACGTCTGAATCGGTTCTCAAATGGAAACCCTCCAGGATCAAAGATTAATGAAATAAGATACATTAATGAGGATGACCAGGCACTGTTGATGACCGGCTCTTCAGACGGCATCCTCAAGGTGTTCCGGAATTATGAGTCCAGCAAGGGAGTGGAGGTTGTCACTGCCTTCCGCGCCTTGCCAGAACTTATTCCCAGTAACCGGAATGCCGGTCTTGTCTTTGACTGGCAACAGGGACAGGGCAAAGCACTTGTGGCAGGTGACGTAAAAGTAATCCGGGTGTGGAACGCAGCCACGGAAGTCTGTACCAACGTACGATTGCCTCTTTTTCCCCTGTCAGAGGACTGTCTAATGATATGTATAGGATATTCCCGCACGATCGGGCTCTTGTATCACATCCTTGACTTCAGACCAGGTTGCAGGCAATATTTTCATTGCAGGCTTCGGTGATGGTGCCATCCGCGTCTTTGATCAGCGTCTCAAGCCTACAACATCTATGGTCAAAGTATGGCGTGAACATAAGCAGTGGATCACAAATGTACACATGCAGCGTGGTGGCGTACGAGAACTAGTTTCCGGTAGCCGAAACGGAGAGATCAGGCTGTGGGATCTTCGAATGAACGACCCGATCTCCACCATCTACGCCACCCGCGATACGCTGCGAACTCTGAGCGTCCACGAACACGCGCCCGTTTTCACTGTGTAAGTCGTCCCTGATATGTGACTTTGCTATCGAGGACTAACGTCAAATTAAGTGGCACGAACCGCCATGAGGTCAAGACATTCAACGTCGATGGAACTCATTTGTCGACCTTCGAGCCATACTCGAGTTTCCTTCACCATAATCGTTCTTCTCCCATTGCGAGCACCGCGTTCCATCCTCACCGTACTCTCCTCGCATGCTCGGCCCTTCATGACAATCACATCAACCTGGTCGCCTGCTAGGTATGGTGTGGCATACTCTAATCAATTTCTTCGTCTCCCATTTCAATTACATTCTGCGCCCCTTTATGGATTGATGGCAATATCCTACCTTGTCACTCAAGCTTTAAAAGGGTTACAGCACGAGGCTTGTCCTCAACATTTCCCCCCGTTCCTCCCGCAACTACGGCTTAACGGTACAATTTCTTTCTATTCATTCTCCATACCTTTCTTCCAGATTCTATCAGCTAGCACATTCCCCAAACGTTCTGCTGGCATATATTCAATTAGTTGTTTCTTTCTATCATCCCTTTTTTTCTTCTTCCCCTTTCTTCTTTACCCAGCCTACCTTTTCACATCTGGCTAGGAATGGAAGGAATCATGCAATGATTTCAGACATGCGTCATGAAGCACAAATTGTGAGAGGCCCTTCTTCGTTTTCTTCTTTTTTTTTTCTCTGCGTCATTTTGTGCTTATGGCTTGCTTGCACACATGAATGAGGCGTTACTTGGTCGTTGTGTTTGAAAGGTGTCTGTTTTTTAGCTCTTCTTTTGCTGCTTGCCTATATTTCATGGATGTACTTTTTCTTTCGTTGTACCGATGTAATCTACAGTGATTGACCGAGGTAGATATGGAGTATATTATAATCTTGTTGCCCAAACGAGCTCTACCTTGCAGCCCATAGATCCGGTGTGCTAACATGCAGACTTATGGTCCCCGTAGTAAACTCCGGGGTCTAGGTAGGCCTGAGAAGCATGGGAGAGAGAGACGGCTCAAAAATAAACATATTATCATTTGCTGTATGACTCACAACATCGTTGTAAAACTTGTAGAAGTACACATAAAATCGGGGAAAGTTGAAAACCTTTTGCTCTGCGGCCTAGTTGCCTAAGACCGGGCGAATAGGATATTAGAAAACCCGGCTGAGATGAGACAGGAGGAGAAAAAAAAAAACAAAAAAAACAGAGGAAAATGCACTTTTATCCCGCAGAGGGTCAAGTCCAGCCGCATTATATGTAGTAGCTCGTGAAATCTGCCTGTAACCTGAAGCCCCAGATGAGCTCTTTTTCTGCAAAAGCATCATGAAACATATTCCAGTTGCTCCCAATGAATGCGTTTAAAAGAACACACACAGAGATAGTTAGCTCAATAGAGAGTCCGAGTGCCCACGGCCTTGATGGCTATGATACCAAAATCACTGCAACCTGCGTGACCCCAGCAGCTTTGCCTCAGCGGCTCCCCCGTAAGGTCGATAAGGACGGTCAAAGGTAGCCCGTCCTGGTGGGAATCTCAACTGGTCCAGAGAAGGGTCTCGGTCGAAATAGCTGCGACGTCCACCGTGGCTAGGTTCGCAGCAGTGCGGTGGCACATCCCCAAAGTCGGCAAAGTCTCCACGAGATCGGCCAATGTAGGACTGAATATTGGCAATCACATCCCCTAAGAGCACGGTAGTTTGCACGGCAGCCACATCCCCTCTGTTAACATAAATATCCCCTCTAAGTCTCATGCGTCTTCCCACATCTTCTCGTGCTATCTGCCGGACTCTCTGTCGGAGTTGCTTCTCTCCACGGTTATCGGTATGGAACCAAGTATTTGATTCGACCAACCGCGAGTTTGCATGAGGAAAGTATTCGGCTGAAGCTGCGAGATCCATAGGTATCGCAGGTATCGGAAGCCCGGGTGGGGGGAATTTGACAGTATTGCCATTAGTGGCATGGCTTCCAGAAGCATCAGTTCCCATAGAAGTGATTTTGAGCTTGCTGGAGAAGCACCCAGGAGGCTCGGCTGATCTTTCGTTCACGTTCTCCTTGGGTGCTGCTGGCATCATCAAGGGCGCGCGTTTGTCTCTTTCCCCTGAACTGGGGTTGATGGGATCGTTCGCCAACACTTCCCTCGACTCCAAAATCGTGTGTTCATGAGCCAAGAATGAATATTCCAGCTTGTCTTGAGGGAGTTCCGGTGACATTTGTCCCACGTATGAGGTCCCTTTGTTCGCTGATACGGGATCACGAAGGACAGTACGGGCAGTGTTGGATTTGGATGCCTCGACCACACCATTCAGATATGCAGCCATTTCCTTCTTCGTGTCATAGGGCTCGAGCTTTTTGGACGACTGAACACTCTCAATGAATGACGACTTAGCTTTCGTGCTACCGTATCGCTTTGCTGAGTTCGAGGATAGGGCAGACAAAGACTTTGGCGTCTGTGGATAACAAACAAATCCTGTGGATCCTACGTTGGTGTTGCCGACAGGCGAGTCGGCATGACCATACACAGTGCTGTAGCGACTATGATCATCGCGAAATGCGTTTTCTGAGACCTGTGAGATATCGAGGGCTTCAAAGCGACGACGGTATGTGTCGAGCTGTTCCTGTCGGATGGGCCGAGAAGCCACTTCGCGCCCACTGACCATTCTCAAATGATCAGAACCAGTGGCGCTGTAAGAGTCTGAGGCGTACAATGGTTGTTCAGACTGCGGCATGAAAGGGTCGTCTTGGAGGCGGTCCTGGTAAGTGACATTTTGCTGAAAACCTCTATAGGCTTGTTTGATCTCCCGCTCTGGCGGGCTGGTTCTTTCACTCTGCATAGTCCTGGTGTAAACTGGGCTGACTGGTCCAGAAAAAGGTGCCACAGGAACATAATGATAATTGCTCTCTGAGGATGAACGGCCAGATGGGGAGTCAGACATCACGTATTGATTCAGAGGATTCTCGTGGAGACGGCCATCTATGTCATGGGTCCACTGTTGTGTACTGCCCAGATTCACGTTTCCTGAGATCTTAGGTTTATCGTGACGAACTGATGTCATAGAATTGTGCAGTTCAGCTGTTCTTTCAGTATCATTAACACGAGTTGTGCCATGGAGCGACGCAATACGGGTGCCAGAGACATCAGTGCTTATGGGGAAATTGACTTCTGCGACTGATTCCTCGACGTCCTGAAGAGAGAGTGGCCTCCACGACTTTGAGCCCTTGTTTCTCGAATGAGTTCTCATGGAGAGAGCTGTCAGAGGTATCGGCTGCGACGATGCAAGCTCGTTGAAGTCATCCAGCTCTCTGCTCATGTTCCTAGCCCTAGCGGCAGAAGCAGCGTTGAGCTCAGCAGCTCTAGCTTGGGAGCTCAAAGATGGTATGAATACACTCCCCATACCCAGAGAAACTGGCTGTGAGCCTGATGCAGATGAGGATGGACGTGTGGGAACGCTATCGACGAATCCTGTGGGTGTGCATCCGTCTGAGACAGATGTTGTTGCACTTGCTAACTGGGTAGTAGACAACGGATGTTGTGGGATATATGAGGCGTATTCTCCTATCCCTGAGAAAACTGGGGCGGGGTGTTGTTTGAAATGAGGAAGGGTAGCAGTTGTATCTGACTTGGATCGAGTGGTATCGTGGACTGATGAAAAGGAGTCCAACGGTGACAGCAATTTGATTCGCGCAGCTTCTAGGGATTGAAATGGAACGGTTGAGGAAGAGACGACGGAACAGTTGCGATGACAACCTGGAGTTTCTACCAGAAGGGTAGAAGAGTCGTCCGATATGTCACTTGCGCATGAGATCTGATTTCTGCTGAGTCCATAATATGGCGTGTGCTCCAGTTCAGGAGGAATAAATCCTAGAGGAGCTCTTCCTGGGACAATGCTGTCGATCGTTGCTATCCTCTTCCTTCTGCCTGCTCTGTTTCCTGTGTTAGATGGTCAGAAATATGGACAGGTGAAAGGAAGGAGACGTGCTCCTCAATGTAACATAAACAAATGGAGAGTCTCACGGCGGTGGTGTCTCTTGGGCCGAATAACGTCGGACATTGGGGGCTCCATAAGTCCGAAATATTGTGTTTGTTAGACACTAAGTCAAGCCTGTATATAGTCTGAGTATGATGGATATTGGGCGAGCTATGACAACGGCGTTCTCGATTCTGTTTAGCCTTCACCCGTTTTGCTAAAACAGGTCATGTTCATGAGGTGATAGAGCTTGGTTTCACAAAGAAGGATGGAGGGAGAAAGAATTGCTGAAAGTCTTTACCAGGTTATCCGCGTAGCTGCGTTGGTAAACTGGCAAGAGGGCCCGTCATTGTACCTTCCCAATCTGAGCAGTGAAGAAAACGCCCGATGTCCCATTGAAAGATCTCTTATAGCATTCATCTAGAAGGCTCTGTAGATAAAAGATACAGTTGTCAATAACTTTACAAGTAACTGCAGGATATCCATCGCCTTTGCACTTCCCTGGTTTTGCGAATAGCTGAGAGGCTATCGCAAGTAGATCGATCAATCTTCGATAAGTAAGAATGGAAATAGTCTGTGAAATACATTGGATATTCATCGACGATAGAACAGGTACATATACTAAACCTGGCTAGAAGTAAAGGTAGATTTCTGGAGGGACTACGTGAGAAGATCAGTCAAAGTCACAGATATGTTTACCAAAAGTGATTCCTGGTTAGACGGCCTTTAGAAGCTATTGATACTACACATATTCTGGTTCGATTCATGAGTCTAGGCACTACTATGCATTGAAGCTAGCATTGTTTTCCTATGTTTACGTAGATACTGGTCTGTATCGGATACCATAAAGAGTATCTAAGGTGTTCCAACTTAACTTTATCCATCTCCTTATCTCCTTACGTATGGAGACTAGCGGGAAAGCTGTTACTCGGTGCTACTATAACTTGTTGCTGTGCAAGAAAAAGATTTCCTGACCACAAATGTTCATGGCATTGTTGATAATTATGTCTGCAGTATGGTATAACCGAAAATACTATCACAATCAAACAGAAATCACAAGGCATAACATCATAATACATGAACGCCACTCTGAATTGGGATTGGCGTCGTTGTAGCATCCATCAACAGCTGATATTGGATATCGAATCTATCGCGAAGCGACTCTAGTAGTTGGTGACATTTCCACCAACGGTACGGCTGTTGTCCAGATCGGAGTCGACGCGGGGGTCAAGCTTGTTGGCAAAGTCAGAGTCGTGCGGGCCAGCAGTCTTCCGAGTGTTTCCAGAGCCTGGGGTGTTGTAGCTGCTGCTGCCAAGGGCACCACCGCCGCCGAGTTGCTGGTGACGAGCTCGGTTGTCCCGGTCAGAGTCATATCTCGGGTCCAGCTTGTTGGCAACGTTGGAGCCATGTGGACCGTAGTTGTTAGAGCCAGAGCCGTAGTTGTCGGACGAGCCATAGGTGTTAGAAGATCCATGGCCGGCGCCAGCACCCGAGGATCCATAGCCACCGGTCGTACCGCGGTTGTCAAGGTCGCTATCGACACGAGGGTCTGCCTTGTTGGCAAGGTTGGAGTCGTAAGGACCATAGTTGGAAGAACCACTTCCATAGGCGTTGGACGAACCGCCATAACCACCAGCAGCGCGGTTGTCACGGTCGCTATCGACACGAGGGTCTGCTTTGTTGGCAAGGTTGGAGTCGTGAGGACCGTAGTTCGAAGAACCGGTTCCGAAGGTATTGGAAGAACCGCCATATCCACCAGCAGCGCGGTTGTCCCTGTCGCTATCTACGCGAGGGTCGAGCTTGTTCGCAGTGTTGGAGTCATGAGGACCATATTTGGAAGATCCGCTTCCATAGGTGTTAGAGCCATAAGTGTCGGAAGAGCCGCCTCCGTAGGTGTTGGAAGATCCATAGGTGCCAGCAGCACGGTTGTCTGTAAAGCCCTGTTAGCAGACTGCGACTGCATTCAGCTAGCTCATCTGGACATTGTTGTTACTTACCACGGTCACTATCAATGCGAGGGTCAACCTTGTTGGCGGTGTTAGAGCTGTGAGGGCCGGCGTTGGTTGAGGAAGGGTTGTCGGAGTGCTTGTCACCAGTGACAGCATCCTTGACCTTGTGCAGAAGGTGAGACATTTTGGAAAGATATGAATTGATAAGATACTAGGATTTATTGTTCCTGGGTCAAATTATGATTTGTTATCAATCTGCTGTTTTGAATTTCTGAAGATATGGATTTAGACCTGAGCATCCGGGGGTATATATATCTCTCGAGCCGGAGAGACATCCCTATCCTCTGAAGTTCATGACACCATTTCCTTCCCCTCAAATGAGCCATGGGAGTCTGGTTCACAAGCATCGGAATCGATGCATTACTGGCTACAATGCGGAGTCATGACGTGCCGGTTACAAAGAAACCTTGGACATAATCCCAAACAAATATCTTGCCACACCTTGGAACGACGAGCAATGAGATGCCAATGCCTTACAACCTGGGAGAGAGAGAGCTGGTCAATAATAATAATAATGGCGTAGGAGGCTCCCAAGTCTGGAACTGGAGATGGTGGTGTTGTCATCTGTCGTCATATTTTCATATTATTATTATTATCCTACTTAACCAGCCACCTCAGCCTCTCACCAGCCACGGTGCCGCCACAGATCCCCATCACAAACATACTATGGAGTAAATTACCAGGTATTTTTATGATAGATACCAAGATAATATGGTTCCACAGCAAAAGCGAAAACGAGATCCTTGTGCGATGGTTATCAGATGAGGTAACCTTATTTCTCCGCCATGACACGCATTTGAGCATCAATCTGGATTTGGGAACGTGTTGAGATCTCTCTACTCTCTAAGAATAGAACCTCGCAGGCGCCACTAACAGTCGATCCTAGGGTGACTCTAATCTCGATGTATGGACGTGGAAGATATTTGCCATCACCAATGTCTACTGGTATGGCACAGGGCCATGATTTTAGTCGAGAGCCCAATAATAATGACAGACAGGAGCATCACTCGTTCAGTTCATGCCATCCCCATGAACGATGAGGTTGACTTGGTGTAACGGTAAGACAGGCAGAAGAAAATAGAATAGCATGACGTTTTCGAGCAGCGTGTGTGGTGAGGGTATACCTATCATGACTGTTAGTTATGGTATGTGAGGATAAACCAGCTCAATGGCGTGACAGGACGGTGCAGCGTTCGACTGGAGGTTGATGGCGTGTACTCTTACTTGGATAGTTTAGTCGACGTTATGTAGTGACGGTAGAGTACGGCCTGGCGGTAGATCACCGTGGGGAGGGCCAGTGCGGGAAGCAGAAGACGGAATGCGGGCCGCTGATCATGACTTCAAGCGTCTTCCCCTGTCTCCAGAGTCCCAGATATCCATATTATTATTATTATCATTATCATCCTCTCCGTGTCGATGCTTCTCAGCCCCTCGCGTGAGGTGATCGTGGAGAGCGGAACGCACCAGCATCGGGCCCCTGACGGTGACGACGGCCAAGGGATCAGCCTGTAGAGTCGTTATCTCACTAAGTACCTAGGTAAGTTAGTTAAGTTAGTTATGGTACCTAAGTTACCTATGTACCTTACCATAGGTAACTAACCAACTATCTACCATAGTTAATTGGCTAAATACCCAAGTTAATCATCTTGGGCCTGAGGCCACCGCCACTGCCCCCCCAAAGGTCCCGTGACGGCGCCCGACGACACCCGACCAGGCGTGATCCCGCCCTTCTCTCTCACTCGTTTGTCCTCGCTATGCTCGCTTCTATCGATCTGACCTCATCTGGATCCTCGCTGTTCCTGAACGCTTTCTCTTCGTCCATAGTGCCAGAGCCCAGGCCTGGGTATCGACAGCCGTCGATCTTGCCTCTCTCCATGAGCGGCCGTCCGGCCTTCTAGACCTCAGTCTGGTCGGTCATAGGCAACTCTCCCGGTTCCCTATCCAACACTCCTCTACGCGGCCCTCGTTCGTCGATATGCGCCCTCCACGCTTGATCCTTCTCTTGCTATCTTTCATCTTCTTGCCTATTCTTCTCACTTGTCTCTCCCTCCTCTCGGCTCATCCCCGTCATGACGCCGCCGACTCATCACTCGCTGGCCGAACGAGTCGACTACGCGCCCTCTTCTCCTTTAATGCTCCCTCATCACTCTTTCCTCCGTCTGCCATCATCAGTCTGACGGACGATAATTCAACCTTCTTCTTGGCCCGACCTGCAGCGTTTGGGCCGTTGTTGCCGGCAAAAGGACTCAGCGGGCAGCTATGGATTGGAAGTGGCTTCGGTGAAGATAGCCTCCGTAAAGGAGGTGCCACTGCCCGAGCCGAGGGAGAACTTGGTTGCTCTGATGTTCCGGGATGGGGCGAAGGCGACCAGCAGCATCTGCCAGACTTGAGTGTCAGCAAGAACAGTGATAGAGATACGGCTCGCAAGCCGGCAGACGGGCCAGAGAACGTTATCACTGGAAGAAGCATCCACCGTAGAGGTGATGCTCTCAGTAATGCAGAACTCGCAAAGGACAGCTCAGGTGCTGGTACTGCCCCGTCAGCGGATGACGGTACAGACGACCATCTGCATCACCCTCTTCCTGGATCCGAGTCTCCGGACCCCTCAAGCCCCGACAACGGTGGAGATCATGCTGGAAAGAATACACATGCAGACATACAATCTCTGCAAGAGAGCGCAGAAATTGCGGGGAAGGTCGTCTTGCTGAGCAGAGGCGGCTGTGGTTTCCTAGAGAAAGTGAAATGGGTTCAACGACGCGGTGGTGTGGCTTTGATTGTTGGAGACGACACCAGGGGAGGAAACCTTGTCACTATGTATGCCCATGGCGACACTTCGAATGTGACCATCCCCGCTGTCTTTACCTCTCACACTACAGCACATCTGCTCTCTTCCCTGATCCCTCCTCAGACAGTCGACGACTCAGGTACTGGTCGCAAGCCCATGAAACTACCGGAGAGCAAAGGAAAAGGATCGGAGCAGGGATCCCGATCGACAAAAACAAGCGGTCCCATGTCAACACCAACTTCAACAGCGCGTTCGAGGAGCCTCGCAACTGTCTCGAGCTCGTCAGGATCAGAATCAGGATTCCTCGGTGCGATCTTGTCTGTTCTGGGTCTTGGCAGTAGCCGGAGCTACTCCTGGCATCTTCCCGAAGACAGTCGACGCCCACCCAGCAGTGGGAACATTGATTGGGTTATAGTCGATCACTGGGAAGAAGAAGAGACATCCAGCAATGCGAAAGCACCGGTCGATAAGACCAATCAGAAGAATGATAACGATGCCCAGTCTAGTGGCTCCAAGCAATCGGCCTCTGAGCCTAGCAAGTTCGATGGCGACGGCTTTGTGATCGGAGTACAGGACTGGCGCGATCCTGATTTGGTTGCTCCTCAGGGTTCACCAGCACCAAAGTCGAATATCTCCCCTGGACAGTCAGGATCTAAGGCACAGGATGGACAAGACATGAAAGGCAAATCTTCGTCTAATGCTGGTTCGAATGGTCCAAAAGGGGGTAGCATCATGCCTGGTAGCGGCGAATACGTGGATCCCGAGAAATCCTCTAAGAATAGCAAGTCGGGCAAGGGTTCTGCTAAGAACCAAGACCCTGCGGCAAACTCCAAGTCTGGTGAGTCCAAGACAGCGAAGAATTGGTTCAGGGGTCATTTCGGCTGGTCCGAAGACAAGGGATCTGTCTCTGATAGACCTTTAGATACGATGGATAGCCATGGACCTTCAAATGACGGGAAAGCCTCCAAATCAACTGGTTTCAGAAACCAGCCAGTTCGAAGCAAGGCAGATAAACCAGAAGAACATGAAGGCCTTTGGGTCACTTTAACTCCAACGACCATGTCAACAAGCCCGTTCTTCGATACTCTCCTTGTTCTGGTGGTGAGCCCCCTGATCACTCTGACGGTAGTCTATGCTCTCCTACTGTTGCGATCTCGCATCCGACGTCGCCGCTGGCGGGCTCCTAAGTCGGTCGTCGATCGCCTGCCGGTGAGAACTTACCATACGATCTCACCTTACTCTTCCGCATGTAACACCCCTCGGCCACCAAGCCCGGGTTCCTCATCTCCCACGTCGCCTCTCCTTTCCTCCGAGTCGCATCCAGCACCTTCTAGATCTAGACCCCGGTCGCAGACTGCGTCTGGAGTGGTTCTGAGTACATCGGAATCGGCAAAGGATGCTCGCACAGCAGGCGAGAAATCAAGTTCGGGATCTACTCTTTGGCGGCGTAAATACACGGGACGACAGGTGGAATGTGTTGTCTGTCTTGAAGAATACGTGGATGGACAAAGCAGGGTAATGAGCTTGCCGTGTGGACATGAATTCCACGTCGAGTGCATGTGAGTATGATGTTAATTGTCTTTCGGTAATCCGTACTAACTTTGTTTTCTCAGCACTCCTTGGCTCACCACCCGTCGTCGCACATGTCCCATTTGCAAAGGAGACGTAGTTCGCTCCATGTCACAATACAACAACGTACCTGAGCAGCGTGAGAGGAATGAACAGACCGCGGATGATATTCAAACTCGTGCCCTCGAGGCTCGCAACGACTCTCCATCCGCAGCTGTTCCCATTTCGGGATTGATGGAAGATGAGGCCTCGGATCTGGAGCGTGGCGATGACTCTTCCGTTCCTCTCCTCGACGAGCATGCATATTCTGCGCCGCAGTCAAACTGGCGGCAATTCGCTTCTCTTAGCCTATCAGCCCTCAGCGGTGACACTATTTGGCACCAGGCCAGGGCCGACAGGAGCAGATAGACTATGCTTTTCAGTTCTCCACTCTGCCTCCGCTCAACCTCGACAGACTTGATAAGAAAAGCCTTTTCAGCGGCCTTTCAGACCCCTGCCTATGAATGAGTTCCTATCGTGCTGCATTAGCGATTTTTCGTTTGCCTCTGTTTATGGAACGGCGTGGCGTTTGACGGATAACCAGGGGTTCGGATAAGGATCAAAGCAACAACTTTGGAAGTAGTTGCGGCAGGCGGCTGGAATACGCTTGTACCCTTCTACACTTTAGTCGACGGTTTTCATTTTTCTTCTTCTCTTCAACTGCATAAACCTAGTTGATACCATCGCTGGAACGCGCTGTAAATGATTCCTCTGTTGCTATCCGGCTTGATCCATCTAGCTATATGATATTGTGTGTCCGGTAAACTTCGCTCATTGCTTCTCAAGACTAAACTCTCTGTGTCAAAACAGTGCACCACGAGGCATATATTTTGTACAGAGAAAATATTAGTCGATGCGATATTCAACGTCTAGAATATATTCTTAAAAAAATGCCTCGTATCTATCCAGTCAGCGAGTATAAAGTGATAGCTTTAATGATTGGCAGCCGGGTCTCTCTGGAATCAAAAACCTGAGCGTGATCCAAAGCATCGTACCAAAGAATTTCAAGGCCAGACCCCTGCCACTGTCTCCTTTTCCATGATGACGGGTCTCTTTCAGGATAACCTATTGATAACCGTGAATGCTGCTTTGCCACTTTCTCTGTCGTGGATTGGAGGTATTGGCCCACGGCCTCAGAATCCACGATCAAATCTTGGCCACTGAGAGCCACGGTGACTTTCCTTCCTTTCTTTCGACTGGGTCGTGCTTCTTCCACACCGAGGTCTTCCTTCCAGATTATGTTATCGCTCCATGAGAACCGTTTGGCTAAGGTATGTGCTACTCCCATATCCTTGCTCGCGAAGTACCATAACTGATGCTCATTTGCATGTACCGGCTTGCGAACGGTAAAATTGTATGCAACATCTGGCAGATGGAGGAGGAAGCATACGGGGTCAATAAACACGGCGGGGCCAACGTATGGGGCCGTGACGGGCGACTTGATCAGATGCGTAGCGACGACCGTCCCGTAGGAGTGCGATACCAGAACAACTTTATCCCAACGGTGCTTTTTGAGAATGGCGTGGATCTCAGATACCATCTGATCCTTTTTGGTGGCCGGCTGGGTCATTCGAGAGCTTATGGGCATCATCTCAAGAGCAATGATGCCGATGTCTTCGTTCTTTCCATCTCTGATCAGCTCGCCCAAAAACTTTGTGTAAGGCCATAAACCAACACCGATTCCATGGAGGAATAATACCGGTAATCGGTCCTTTGCTTTATGCTCGCGATACCAGTAGGTAAGATGTGGTGCTGGAGACTTCCTAGAGGAGAAGAGAGTGTAAGGGCGCAGAGGGAAGACTCTGAAAAAGCGGGTGAGAGTCGTTCTGTAGAATGAGAAACCATTGTACATCATTGAGGAATAGGTGATGGCGTCAACAACAAAGATGACCTGTTGATATTTATTAGAGGGCTATCATGTTGAAATGAGAGAGCTAGTTATAGAGGGGGGTTCACCAACCAGATACCAGAGAAGACTTCGATGTAAGCCATCAGTTTTTTCGAGTCTTTGTCCCAAGTGTTCCAAGCTACTGTTTTTCCCTGGAGGGAACCGTCGACCTTGTAACTCCTCCAACTGTCTTGTATATGACTCGATATCATCCTCTGTCTCCCTGCCTCCAGGTAAGTTATTGAAGAATCCCCATCGAATAAAACCTTTAACATTCTCTCTTCTGATCTCATCGATCTCTGAAACCACAAACCATCCCTTGAGGAACCGTTCCATTTCTGGAATGTTCATGCTGCAACGTCTGAAGAGCTCATCTCTCTCCGTTTCTGCGATCGGCTCAATATCAATGGTCGAGCGACTTAGAAGGTACTTATGTGGGAGAAAGATTATGGAAAAGAAAATCGCCTCTGCTGCAAGCCATATTTGAATCGGTAGGGGAACGCGATGCAGCTGAATGCCTGGTAGGATCGATTGACTGAACACAAGTAGAATACAGTAGAGCACACTAACAGGAGCGATGTTATGTAGAAAAAGAATGCTACAACGAATGAACACATATTCTGGGGTGGATTTCCCGATCATGATGAGCTATGTGCAGAGTTAAGGGGCATGCTTTGCCCATTGGGTAAGTCGGTTAATTACATGTAAAAATATAAATGCCATCTCTTATCAGGATTATTGGAACTTGTGGGGGAACTTGTTGGAGGACGTGTTTCTGTTGATTATTACCGGAAGTGAAGGCGGTAAATCACCTGATACTATCAATAGATGGGGCCAATCAGGGGATTCTGCCGTCTATTTTTTTGGGGAGATTTCTTTACCTTCAATGCAACATGTATGTCCCCTAATCAAACAAGTGCCACGAAGGATCGAATAACAATAGTTCTTGGGTAGGCTGGAACGGCCTGATGCTTGGATTCTCTAGCAAGCTTACTGTAGGCCATTTATCCCCTGGGTGGAACTCGCTAATGAGAACTCGTGGTGGATCACCGCCAAGAATTTCCTATTTCGGTAGGTATGTTGCGAGACTCCTTAAATGTATCATTTAAGGCCATAATTCTTATTGACCAACTTCTGGCAACGCTGAGTCCTACCATCACGGCGCCTGGTTCTGACATGGCGTCTCCGTTACCCTTTCTGACTCGTCAGGACAAGATCGTGCTCGAGAGTCTGCAAGATGACATCACGGCCGGCGAGCACGCGCGCGAAAATGTCGCTGCAGACGATGCGCGGATAGAGCAATTGGCCGCCATGGCCGATAGCTCCGACGAGCGATTCGAGCCAACGGTCTTCACGGGATATGATTTGCAGTGGGATACGAAGGATCCGATGTTGTTGACCCTGGTAAAGAAGTATGTATTGCGTCCGTACATCAATTGGGCGCAGACGGTCGTGCGGCGGCCGACCGATGTGGTGTTTCTCACTCATATTTTGCTCTACATCTCGATACTGCCCCTGAGCGCAGCCATTCTCTTCTACCGGTTCACCTGGATCCATGCGGTTCTACACGGGGTGATGGTAGGAGCTTCCTGCGGGCCGTTTACCCTACTGCTCCACAACCACATTCACAACGGCGGCATCTTCAATCGAAGTTACGCCTGGTTCGACCACGCTTTTCCCTACATCTTGGAGCCGCTGCTGGGCCACACATGGGACTCTTACTACTACCACCATGTCAAACATCACCATGTCGAAGGCAACGGTCCGGGCGACCTGTCATCCACGATCCGGTACCAGCGAGATGAGCTCCTCGATTTCCTGATCTACACCGGTCGATTTTTGCTCTTTATCTGGATCGAGTTGCCTCTCTATTTCTATCGCAAAGGCCAGTTGCGGATGGCGGCGCAATCGTTCTTTTCAGAGCAGTTTTCATACTTCACGATCTTTGCGCTATCTCGGGTGAACTTTCGCGCGACGATGGTGACCTTACTGGTGCCGTTAATATTGATGCGGATTGGCATGATGGTTGGGAACTGGGGACAACACGCACTTGTGGATGAGATAGACCCAGATTCGGATTTCCGATCCAGCATTACTCTGATTGATGTGCCGGTATGCAATAATGACCTTTCTTTCCTGAAGACAATCTGATGAATGGACAGAGCAACCGTTTCTGCTTCAACGACGGATATCACACATCGCACCACCTGAACCCCCGCCGGCATTGGCGAGACCACCCGATCAGCTTCCTGAAGGCTAAGAACAAGTATTCTGCGGAGGGCGCCCTGGTCTTCCAGAATATCGACTACTTGATGATGACATACCACCTGATTCGAAAAAACTACGACCACCTAGCGACCTGTCTTATACCGATCGGCGATCAAATTGGAAAGAGCCCGGAGGAACTGGCGGCCTTACTGCGCACGAAGACGCGCCGGTTCACAGAGGAGGACATTCAGCGGAAATACCGGAAGACGGTCTCTAAATGACTGGATCTTGCAAGATCTATGACGCTTCAGGCGGCTCTCTCCAGATACTCCCCGCATATGCCGTTCGATTACCTTCAATAATCTCATGTGCGGTCAGCATTACTGTAAATACAATAACGCAAGTCTATATCCAAGGAGGCGAAGAAAGAGAAGATGATTGTAAGAGGCTCAGCCTTGCCTCTAGGCTCTTACGCCCAAAAAACAAAAGCTTTTCAGCTGGCATCCGTCATATAGCTATATGGCCCCGGGGAATTGGTGATGAATTAGACATATTTGAATAATGTTAAAAGGATAACCTAGAGTGTAGGCTCAGTGACAACTTATCTATCCTTATATGATGCTTAATATAGAAGAAGTTTATATACCAAAGTCAGCGAAATAATTAGAATTCAACATGCTAGCTATGTTTATTACTTGTAGTTTGGGCTGAAGGGAGATTTAAGCTACGGTGTGGTGACGTCATGAACATCGATCTCCGGAAATAGACGACCTTCCAAGTTCAAGCATCAAAATAGTCTGCCCAGCTGCTTTTGCAGCCTTTGACTGTCTCTCTCTCTCTCACACACAAACTCACTCTATCTCGCTCACTCGCTCGCTCTTTCAACCCAAGCCATACAGGCATACGCGTACAATGGCGGACAAGGTCAGGCAAGTTGCCTTAGAAGAGGCACAGCAGTTGAAGTCGCAAGCGCAGAAGGCCGTCCGCTCAGGGGCATGGCTGTATCCGTTTAGGGTGAGCTTCCATCAGCAGACGTCAGCTATGTCTAGGCTGCGCTAATCGAGTATGTCAAAGGGTATCATCTATTTCCTCACTCATCGGAGCCTATGGCAACCGTTGCTGTCACGAATTGTGCCGACAATCACTCTCGGGCTGAGTGTCACGTCGGCCATGTTTTTCTTCACTTATGTGCCCCAAGCGGCCATGTTAGCCTTTACCAGTGGACCATTAGCCCCTATATCTGCAGCGCTGCTCGTGCTGAGCGAAAGCTCTACGATCACCAGCGCCCTGTCGCGATCGTTGCTGCTCCAGGAAGCCTTGGTTGACACCTTCGATGGGACACTACTTAGTCGAGGGCAGGCTGCCCTCGTCGCCAATACCCGTCAGCTCAAAAGTGGTTCTATTGATCCCATTTACCGACTGGGGAAGTTGATCAAAAAGCCGTTTGCGAGATTTTCGCCGCGCGCCCTGATTCGATCAGTGCTTTATCTTCCACTCAACTTTATTCCAGTGGTGGGAAGTATCGCGTACATCCTGATCCAAGGGAAGAAATTGGGGCCTGTCGCACACGAGCGGTATTTCCAGATGAAGGGTTGGAACGCGAGACAGAAGGAGGAATGGGTGGAGAAGAACAAGGCTGCTTATACTAGGTGAGTAGACCGCGCTAGCATCACATGCACTATACTTTTTTTGCTGACGACTGCAGCTTCGGTGTCGCCGCCTTTGTCTTAGAGATGATACCATTTGCATCCTTGGCGTTTGCGTACACGAATACAGTTGGTGCCGCTATATGGGCAACGGATATCGAGAAATCAGAATCAACGGCGCCAGGTTTGCGAGAGCAAGCCGAAAAGGCCAAGTAGAAGGATCCAGGGTTTCTAAGAGCACCATTTATGGACATAATCGACCTCTACTGCTATATATCATGAGATGATGCCCTTTTCGAAACGTGATCTATACCATATCTACCCGCATCCATATGTCATGAAATCTTGGTTCCTTAATTCACTCTTGCCATCTGTATAATGCTGATAAACTATGCTCTTAACAATATGAAAGGGTTGCATCTTCTAAAATCTTACTTCGTGGTACTCCAACTGAATACTCCTTTAATGCCAATGAAATATCGTTGGTTTACTTGGCAGCTGATACTACAGTACTTTGGCTTCTGGTAGCACAACAGGACGGTACTCGCTCTTCACCATCCTCAGCCACTTCCGAAAATCACCCTTTTGCCCTTCATTTGTTGTCTCGAAGCGCCTAATTTATGCGCGCATACTAAGACGGTATCACCCGCCTGCCAATATCATGTTCTTGGGACAATCCTAGTAGCACACGTGGTTCGATGCGGAGATATGGAAACCGAATCTGATCACACCTAAATCACCTCTTTGCTGTACACAGGGCGATGGCAGTGTATTACCATCTGGAGCGATGTATTCTAAGCTGAGTGGTTCTGCGGCTGAAAGCTCGCGTGACTCGGTCTGCGTCTTGTTGGTCTATACTTGCAGCCTCTCCCAGTGTTGAACAATGACTTGAACAATGAGGGTGGTTTGTATCCCCTTGCACCTGCACCCACCATATTAAACTTTAATGAGATTTTGTCCGATTTGGGAGTGACATGCTTCCATGGTTTCAGAATCTCAATTGCTGCGGTTCACATCTCCGTCTGGCCCGGCAGTTTCGACTGCTTTAGGTTATGCTAACATACGTACCGTACATCACAGGGCGACGATTCAGAGTCACCAAGACCATGAAAGCCGTCAATTGTATGGCTACGCTTCTTACTTCTCCTTAATTCGGTAGCGGTAGTCTGTCATGTCCACATAAGCAATGACCCATGGACTTCTTGACGACCACGCTCAAAGGAAACAAAGGAACTGGGCGCACGTATCACCTCCCTCCGGCGGTCTCCGCTTCACCAACACGAGGTACTCAAGGGATGGTTGATTGCCTGACTATTTAACCAGAAACAGAAACCGAATCACTGAAAGACAGAATCGATGTAGTGCTCCCTTATTAAGCGGAATTCCAAGAATCGAATACTTATTAAGAGGTACAGTGCCGCGCAAATTCCGTGGAGGAGAAAAGTACAGAGACCACGGTGAGAAATTCACAACAAAGAGTACAGAAGTTTCACTACTCATCATAAAGATCACTAATAATAAACTACATAGAAGACGAGAACAATCTCTTTAACATATCGAATATTTCGAGTCTATATCCACATAATCGATTTCCCGACCTTCCCGGCTGAACCAAAGTATATATATACATATTTCCAGCCAAGGGCCTTGTTGCGAAAGGAAAAACCATGCATTCAATCCGTTCCTCAGCGTCCGAATCAACAAGGTACTACTATCACTTCTCATCTCCTTCTGTTGCTGTCGAAGTCGAAGTGACCGACACGCGCCCTCTCTACTCCTTCGAATCAACAACCAACAGGAACAACCATGCGTCATCTTTCTCTCACCGCCACGAACCTTCTTTTACCTCTCGTTGCGATGACCAGTACCACGGTGTTGGTGGATGCCATCACCACCACAGTCAGCATCGCGCGGACGAGTTTTCCTGTTCACGACGACGGATTGCGGCGCCGTCACGGGGGCACTGTTTTAGACAATCCCCGTGTGTGCTGTCGCGGAAGTGGCTTTGAGTGCAGATGTACCATACCCCCGAACACAAATGGTGATGATCCTTGCTGTAGGGAGTGTTCACAGTTCGCGGGGTGCGTTTGAATGGAGTAATCATATCTTCGGTTTTCTGTGTGGGCTCTTTCCCTTCATTGGGGTCATATGATGATCTCTATCCATGTTATTTGCAATTTTGGTTCATTTAATACGTTATTCTTACTGAAGAGCTATTTGCATCCCTTCAAGTACTAATCTATTGAATCTCGCATGTCATTTTAGCTATTTCATTTTTCAGGGTAAGCTGGAGCTCGTGGCATGTGGGCGACAGATTTCAATGAGACAATTTAGGGATGGAAAGAAAACAGAGAATATGCAGAGCCATGAAGCGATTTGTACGTTTATACGGTTTACACGTTATTCCGTGGTGTTATGTTTCAACCGTTTAATGCAATTGAACTATCCAAGCATCAAAAACTAGACTGCTCTACCAACTAACGGAAAATCCCTAAGATCCATAACTTGCGAATTCTAACCAAGATGATCCAATCCATCCCTCTGCTTAGACTTTAGCAGCCGCCTTGTCTCCTTCATCCTTTGTCTCTTTCTTGCCCTGAACAAGACCACCATTCCACGAGCCATCCGGCGACCGTGTCCATTCGACAGAACCGAAGCTGGATGCTCGTAGAATTGTCATCTTGAAAGTCTCAAGACGTGGGAGATGAGCCAGTAGGTCGCTCATGTCGGATTGTGAGGGGAAGATTTGTTTGAGTACTTCGTCGGTGTTGGCTTGTGTGGAATCGGAGGAGACCTGATAGTAGGATGGGTTGTTAGTCTTGGAGTGTTCTGCCTACCTACGTGACCTTCCCCTTACGTGGGATGGATGATTCTCCCATGGTGATATAGAACAAGACAGCAACGATGATTAAGATGAGGGATAGTAGTTAAGTAATGAGGAAATATGTATTAACTTACCGCCTGACTGAATTCTGCATCCGGAACACCCACGATCTCAACAACCTCGAGATCCTTTCCAACCGATCCATTTTGACCTCCATGGAGACTATCCAGAAGAGCCTTCTTAGAAGCTTCTGTCGCACTGACGATGACGCTCGCACTCAAGATGGCCAATTCCTTCTGCGCGCGAAGGATATGCGCCAGCTGTTCCGTGTTCAGGGTATAGAGGGTAGAATCGAGCATTTTCAAATTTCGCGGTCCAGGACCGGTACCAGGAATATGGATCTTGGGTTCTTTATCTTCTCCTTTTTGTTGTTTTTGTTGTTGTTCTTCTTGCTTTCTATCATCCTGCTTGACGATTTCCAGACCTTCGTGATCGACTTCACTACCCGTGAGCTTTCGCATGAGCAGAGCAGTTCCCGCATTCGCTGGACTAAACGGGACGACGCCCTCTGGTCTACGTCCTGGGATCGGCACGCCATTCTCATCGACATACAGAGGATCATCAACCAAGTCAGACGACGAATCCTCAGGCCGTTCCGGAGGCGCAGCCAGACTGAACGACGCAGCTAGCAGAGACGGTACCAGCATGGCAGGGAGTTCATCTGCGGGGATTCGCTCCAAGAAGCTTGCATCCGCATGACCACGATATGTATAAGATACTTCAAGGAAGCGCATCGCGCTTCGTACACCATACTTGCTCTGAGATTCTGGGTCGTTGAGTTGTTCGAGAATGCCACCCAGACCGGCCATGAAGCCCTTCCTGCAGAAGGCATCGAGGAGATGCAACTCCCGCAATCCGCCGCCGTTCTCTTTCTTTCCCGTCAGGATGTCGTTGAAGAACTCACCCGCATCTTTCCTGGAGCCGTCGCCAACGCCATCGATGAGTTGGCTGTAGAGCGTGAGGGTCTTGAGTTTAGGCAGGGCTTTGCCCAGTGTTGTTAGGAAAGGAGGTGGGAAGCCCAGAGAAAAGAGCTCGAGAGTGAGTGCTTCGATGCCCTTGGGAAGAGTGGGCGGGACAGCTTCCGGATCAAGAGCCGTGGCTAGCTGATCTGAGTAGTCTGTTGGTTTGATGTCTGATGTGAGAGTCAGAGCTTGTAGAGCCGCTGCCTGGGCTGGGAAAGTAGGCAGTTTGAAGCTCTCCAGCGGTATTTGAGCAGCGTTGGGAAGAGGTTCCGGGACCTCTGTCGCTGCAGGAGGCTTGATTACCTCTGGAGGTTGTCCGTGATGAGCGACTGTTGTCATGATTATATACCACTATAGATATGGGAGGAGCTTTTAAACGATCTCAACGATGAAGATGAAATGAAGCTGGAGGACTTGATTGATTGATTGATCGAAAGGAGAAGTCAAAGGACCATAGCATCTTCTCTGCTCCTCCTTTCAATCGACCTCCTCCTCCTCCGCGTCTCGCTAACCGAGCCCAGCTCTTGGATGTGCATAGCTATTGTGCGGGGTTACGTCTGTCATGTCAGTCCGGGGGCGGAGAAAATGCGGACGGAGCAAATGGAAGATCAAGCAGAAACAAGACGCCCAGCGATAAAGAGCGACCTGTGCATGGATCGGTCATGATTGGATCTGATAGCATTTTACCCCTCATCTGATATCCTTATATGGTTATCCTCGGGCGTTGCGACTAAGCTTACTATCCTGTATGTAGTTGGCAAATCAGTATTATTACATGTTCCACAGAGCGGGGAGTCGAGGAAAAACTGGGGTAAACGTGGAGAAGGCGGAGCCCCACGGACTTGATGGAGATCATTGCTTGGATGCTAGTATGGTATGGTGTGAACTTCAACCATGAGCATTGGATAGAGAATAAATAGAACGCAATACTGTGTTATTCAATAACTAGCTGTGGTTTACTGTCTAGAATAATCTTTGCGGGAAAACGGGCTCCTATTCCCAAGGTGTGCACAGCCTCCTAATAAAAATGTACCGTACATTGAAATACATACAATAGCCTCAGTAAGAATGCACGAATCACGCATATCACCTGTGTCAAAATGGTCACTGGTCGAGAATATCCATCGCTGAAAGCCGTGAAAGTGAAAATATTTCTACGCTGATCAGCTCAACAATATACACGAACGTAGACTGTCCCTTGTCGCAAGCGAGGAAAGTCAAGTTGGAACTAAGCGTCTTCGAAGAACGTAGCTCATGTAAAGCGGGTAGATAGAGGGTTCTAGTCCCTCGTGGAAATCTCTCGCTGATTACCGCTTCCCGGGGTGTTTTCTCTCTGTAAGGTCCTTGTCGGCACCAGGAACACAGGCCCAGCTGCAACCCCGTCGCAGGAACGGTAAAGGACGCAGCTTCTCTTTGGATGGCCGGGGTCCTTTAAGACCGGACTCGTAGGTTGTACAGTCCCACCACTCAATCCACTGCGTACGCGGAACCACGAAGCTGCGGTGGCACACGGAACAGGAGCGGCCACCAACATCTCTAATATCCCGAGCCTGCTGGAGTAATCGCACCACGGGACTCGGGAAGTATGAGAGGTCTGAGGCAAGAAGCTGGTCAAAGTACGGGTTTTGGTTGCATGCCAAAAGGGAGAGCTCGCGTAAAGACGGCACCCGCGAGGTATTTGTGGAGTTTTTGTACTTGTTAAAGCTCTTCCCCTCTGCCACAGGCAGCCCTTCCATGTTGAAAAAGCTGACTGGGCCCGTGGCAACGTGGATCGGGGCCCACGCTTCTTCTGGCGCCGGACCTTCGTACTCGAAGAGTCGGGTGTCTTCCTTGGAAGGTATCTGACCGTCCGGATTCCTGTAATGCCACTCTTCAATGGTAGCATCTTCAATCTGGAGGAATGGATTTGGGCGCAATGTCACATGTTTGAGATCGCCCTTCCAAATCAGCCACAGGAGCTCCCAGGGTAGGTATTGAAGCCTGTTAACTGAAACATTGATCTCCTGTAACATGGTCAACTTTCGGATAGCGGCCGGAAGCTCGTGGAGTTTGTTGTTGCGCAAACTGAGGACCTTCAAGCTCCCCAGTTCAAAAAGTTCCGCGGGTAGACTTGTCAGCAGATTGCCCGACAAGAATAGCTGTAGAAACGGCTCTAAGGAACTATAGACTTCTTCCGTGACCGGTGCCTCTTTGACACAAGGCTGCTTCGTCAGATGAAGCAATGGTCGAAGGAGACCGTTTGGAATTGTCTTCAGATCCCCGTGGCTGAGAATAGCCCATTAGCAAAGCTTCAAAAGAGATAGGAGAGGAACCAACCTCAAGTCAATGCCATCTTGGCCCTTGTCCAGACAGTCATTCACAATGGACCGCGCCACCTGATGCTCCTTGGGCTCCTCCCGTCGAAACGCAGCACGAGGCTGAACGACGGGGCCATTGCGCGACTCCTGGTGTCCCTTGGAGATCGCATCCGTGATGGCATTGGAAGAAGACCATCTGGTTGCCTTCGAGTCCGTTGCATTCTTGAGAAAGTCCTCGCCGCACGAGTTGGCATCTTCCGACGTAGACGAGAAAAGCTCCACAGACGAGTCATCGCTCGCCATCCAAACACCACTGTCAACGTTTCTCTTTTCCTTGAAATCCGCCCTCTTGCGTTTCGGATCCATCACCATCTCCCCCCACCAGGTGCCTCGATACCGCCTCTTCCGCGATAGTCCTCCACAGCTGATGCCATGGTGGTAATTCTCGAGACCGGACGCGGGCGTGTCATCGCTGGAAAACAGCGCGGGGTCGCTGGAAGGCTGACTCGAGAGGTCATCGAGTCGTGAGCGCGATGGATGATGCGGCTTGTGGAAGAATGCTTCAGGGATCGACTGCGCGGACGCTTGCTTCGTAGGTGAGCGGTGGCGGATCCGCCGCGGCGGAGGAAGAGGAATTTCGCTATCCATAGTATCCTCGAGGCCGTTGAGCTGCAAAAAGGGCCAGTCTCGATAAAAGTCCAACGGTCACGGAGCGCACCGTTGAAGCGCACGCGCGCAACTGTACCGTGAGGACTTGACAGACGGTCGCAGCAATCGCACTATCAACCCACGAGGTCGCGCCCCAGAATCAATGGGCGGCGATGGAGAAGATCACAGCGGACGGCGCATTATAAAAGCGCGAGAAATGCAGCGATCAGAACGAAGTGAAATGCTCGTGTGATCCCCCAGTGTCTCGAGTGTTTATCCCGCAATTCCGGACGCGTCGGGCGCGCCAATCAGTGGCGTGAGCGATTGATAAGACAGCCGGGACGTCATCCGCGTCTCCGCCAGTTCGTCTAGAATTATTAGATTATCTGAAGTTCGAGTTATCAAAGGATGATCTTCGCTGGACCAGCGCCGTTCACCGTCCTTGTCATCCTTGGCTCCTTATTGATGGGATTGGGATGAGGGACGGTGCTCCCGACTCCAGAAGCCCTGATGAACACGGATGAACATCCCCTAAGATCGTCCCAACACCGCTCATCATCATCGGCTGCCGAGATGGAGGTCCACCGTCGATCGACACTGTCAATCTCGTTCGCGGTCGATCCTGACGTTGGGAAAGGATTAAAGTCGACTACCTGCCAACTTCATGAATACTTTGATGATGCATTCATTCAGTCTTACGTCCTTTCTACTGCTGAAAACATGACCGCGATGTGATCTGATACAAAGGTGATATTAACTAGATACCGACAACTTCACAAACGGTTGAGAGGTTGCCACACGATATCAAAAATAAAAGAGGCCACATCTCGAAAGAGATAAAAAGGATGGGCCTTCTCCGTTCCAACAAAACGCCCACGCTTTTTTCTTCGATCACTTCCGTTTGCTCATACACCTCACTGAGGTGATCCAAGATCTTCGCGAGCTACCGCGATGTATGGGTCAAAAGCAGCATGGACTCATGACAGTCAGAGAAATCATATTCGAAGGGGTATAATCAAAAAGAAGTAACCAACAGGAGTCCCCCGCTTCCACGTCTCATTGGGACCGTCTGCTGATCAAAGAAGAGAAGTTGAATCGTTGAAATAACCCCGTCCACTCACTCTCCAGGAGAATCAAGGATAAAAGGCCCCGCCAGATCTGGCACAAAAGTTATAAACAGGATAGAAGAAGAAAAGGGCCAATGTATCCAAAAGAGGCCGGCATCAGCAATTGACGATACCGCCTCCTGGTTTCATAGTTCCGCCCCGGTTGCCTAGAAGGGTAACCTAAACAGCCACACCCATGATGAGCGCAAAAGAGCCAGCAACGAGTGCAGCAGGAATACTGCCCGTGCCAACACTCATGGCAGCGTTGGCGTGGCTTGGGCTTGCCGAAGCCTGGGTGCTGCTAGCAGAGACAGAGGCCGAGGCCGAGGCGCTAGCCGCGCGAGAGGGTGTGACAGCAGCAGAGCTGGATGCGACGGCGACGGAGGAAGACGGTGTCACTGTGGCCGTGGCCACGGCGCGGACAAGAGTCTTGGTGAGCGTCCGGGTGGTGGTCATGGTGGACGATGCGTCCTCCGCAGCGACAAGCTGGGTTCCAGCCAGGAAGATGGCAGTCAAGATAGCACCCACGCGCATTTTGCTTGGTTGGAGGCTATATACAACAGACGATATATCTGGATTTGTTTTGTTGTTCAAGGGACGTTTCACCGCTGAGATACTCGACAGGAAGGCCGCGAAGAGGCTAGAGGTCGAGACTGCTCAGTTGAATAAGACGCTAAGAAACGTGGCAAGGACCGAGAAGAGCTTTCGATGGGAAGCTTTGTTCAATGTGACACCGTGCGGCTTAGATGAGACTGGACAAGACAGCGCAAAGAGCCGGTGAGTCTGTTGACAGGTGAGAACAGGATTCCGGGACAGCTACGCAAGAGAATGAAGCGTTGCAGTCAACCTGTATCTTGGTAAAGAGTGTTGAGGGGAGCACTGCTCGACTGAGGTAAAAGAGCGAATGGAGCTTGCAACTATCGGCTTTCAGGTGCGTTGGCAGAGTGAGCGCAGAGGTGAGTATATAACGGGGGCGGAAGGGGAGTTTTATGATGGTTTGGGGCTACACCGTCCTACAGGTCTATGCTTGTCAAGCGCCCTCCGGGGAAGGCCCGCCTTCCAATAGCTCCCAAACAAGCTCGATGCGAAGGAGATTTCGTTCCTCTCCTCATCATCATTGGACCGCTTACTCCTGCTGTGGCCACCGTTGATACCATCCCTTTAACCTCGCCCCAGATCAGGCCATCAATTTGGCCTCCATCTCAGAGGTGGGGCCCATACGGGGGTATCCTCTCCCAGTCTCCAGAAGCCTCGCAAAACAACAAGCCTCTCAAGTCCCGGCAAAGAGACGCGCCCAATTCTGCCAAGAGGTCATGTCGAGCGTTGTACACTATCCATGACTAAGCTCACCCACACGCCTTCCGGGCGTGTGGGTGAGCCACAGCGTACTAATAATTAACACCCTAATCAAAAAATCTTCATATTTTTCAACTCCAAAGCTCTTCAACCCACCTACCATGGCTGAAGCTACTAGTCTTAATAATCTTAATATTATTTAGGCTGTCGCCTTCGCCTAGAGCCAAAAAAAACCTAATCTTATAAAAATTGCGCATAAATTTAGTATTTCTTATTAGATCCTACAGAGTTGCGTTAAGAACCTTTACTAACCTTATACCGCTAGAATACCGGTTAATAAAGCGCTTAAAAATCATTAAGAGAAGGCTTTAATCTAGTAGATTATATTTATATAAGGAGTTTATATATTAGTAACTCCTAAGCTGCTGGAGGCATAAGCTAATTAAACCCTTACTTGCACAGGTAAGGAATACTATATTAATAAGATATAGATATATCGCTTTAAAAAAAAGCTTTCTAATAAACTTAAATTGGGTTCAGTTAAGTAAAAGATTAAAAAATTAAAATATATTTAAGCTAAGGATGCTGGATTTTTTTGTTATTAGTATACTTAGCTTAAAGGCGTGCTTAAGGATATACCTCTATATCTAGTCTACAACTTTAATAAATGTGGATTCTAACCTGGCAAAGGTTAAGATAAGAATATAATTAGCTCTAAAGATTACTATACAAACCTTACTAAAGCTAAAAAGGGTAAAATTATTACTGTTATTAAATATATTGCTGCTAATAATTAATAAATAAATTCTTTTTTTATTTTTAAAAGTAATAAGATCTTTATAAAAGATTAGTTCTATAGCAATAAAGAATTCCCCCCTAATATTATTATAGCAATATCTCCAACTAGCTAGATTAATAATAAAATAGTATTAAAATAGCTGAACTATTTTATTACAGCAACAAACCCCTAAATAAGAAAAAAAGAATATTGAGTTCTTCTATTTAACAATTATAGATCCTATCTTATACTTAAATTCTTCTAGATATATAAATACTGGAATATTACTCCCTTTAGCTTCCTACCTTATATAATATATTTTTGCTAACTGCTTAATAATAAGCCCTATTTAAATTATAAGTAATATTAGCGGAGGATAAATAATAAGCTATTATACTAGGCTAGTAAGCCTATAAAGAAGTTGGAGTTTTTATAAATAATTAGACCTATATAAGCTAAAGCTTTTAATACTCAAATTATCTGTAACTCCTTTTATAAGTATAATATTTATCTAGTTAATAGCAATGATATTATTAATAAATTGGCTAATTAATATAAATTAACCCTTGAGCTCTACTAGCCTAAAAAGAGAACTCTATCTTTAACGCCTATAAATATCTTATTATCTAATATTAAACCTTCTCCACCTAAGTTAGCTGAAGCTCTTAAGAGGAATTAGATAAAGCTATTAAAGTATATTAACTTTTTAATACTAAAGTTATAATAAAATCTATAAAGAGTTTATAAATATAGTTAAATTATAAGCAAAGAGTTAGCTATAGTCAGCAATATAGTTAAGTAGATTAAAGCAGCCTAAGTACTTCTATATTACCCCTATACTAACTAATAGGTTAAATATTTTAATAGCAGTGGGATATTAGCTATATAAGATATAAATTGCTTAATTACTGATAAGAAGGCAAAAATGCTTAAAGTAAAGGAGCAGAAGTTAAAGAAATAACATAATAAAGTCTTTGGTATAATGCTAATCCTAGCCCCTATATAAAAAATATAGGTGCTAATTAGATCGGCAGAAGCAGCAGAATATAACAGTACCCTTTTTAAATAGATAATTACCCAATTAGGTTAAAGATATGCAAATATCCTCAAATTTTTATTAATAAGGTGTTAATTATTACTACGCCATGGCTCACCCACACCGCTTCCGCGGTGTGGGTGAGCCTAGTCACGGATATGCGCTAGTGGGCCAAGGGAAGCCGTGCAATTTCTTTTGCGACAGGGAGTCTATGATTTGTTGCAGCCCCTGGCGCCGACGGCCGCTAAGACACGTAGCGACCACTGTAAGGGCAGACGTTCCTGGGAACTCGAGAGTACGAAGACCATAGCGGCCGTAGTCTCCGGGAGATTGAGTATGGTTAAAAGGCGCCAATATGCGTGGTCCATGGAAAGTCCAGAAAACCCTCTTAGGCGGGTCTTCGGTTCAAGCCATGCGACGGTGGGTCATGAGATGATCTTCCGGATATGGTATGAAGACGGAGATGGAGGGGAAAATTCGGTTAGATTCTGAAGAGAAGCTCGGCGCGGGCGAAAGGCCCACCGTTTTTGGTCTTTGCTTGCAGGGCGACGTGCGCTTCGCACATCGTCTATCCAGGAACAACGACTCGTGCGTCTTCATAACAGGAAGGTGAGCCATTTGGGAGTTGTGGTCGTATTGCAAGCGGGGGGGCGACTTTTCAGGCACAAAACGCTACTATTGTCTCCCTGAAGGCGCTGCCCGGAAACATTATTATTGTTTTCATCCTGGCGCTGTGCTGGTATTTCCCCCTGGCGCCAGCTCCTGCTGTTGTATGGGTTGCGCGATCGTCGTTTTATCTCGATCCGCGCCTGGCCATTGGTTGGACAGAAGCGTCTCATTTTAAGAATGGCCTTATATTGCACTATTATACTGTTCGTCCAACACCGGCTGTCCTGAACAGCAGACCGCTACTGATTCAGGAAAGGAGAGTAACAGCGCTTACCCCCGCCCAATCTCATTTCCGGAGCTATTCGAGATACAGCATGGCAGTCATGGGACTACTAAGGGCGGTCAAATGTCGCTGTCAAGATCGCCCTGTCTGTCGGAAATCGAAGCTTTCAACTGAACCACCCTATGAAGGGCTCAATGGGTCTGAAAAGAGGAAAGATTTTTCTTCCTGCTTTGCCTTCCCTGCAACGTAAGAGGCGCATGCGGCCAACACGAGCGGTTGCGGTGTGGCAATCAGACTGCATGAAGCCCAACTCGCCTCTCTGTGCGATTGATGAATAATAATACGGAGCACCACTGTCGGGCCACGGCCGACATGCTCGTATAGCCGTTGCTGGCTCAACTCAATTGTTGTTGGCGCCGGGTCCGTGGTTCAACTGTTCGGGTTCCTGAAGAGGTCCACAAAAGAGAGATCGCCATCACTAGAACGAACAGCTGCTCGGCTGGACGACATCTAGACCCAAAGATCATCTGGGAGCTCCTTGCATAGTCGCGCGCGCTGTTGATGAAGCAATATAACTTGCAAAGACGTGCGATTCAATAATGCTTTCAACTGCTAAGCGAAGGGGCGAATGTCTCCAGGAGTCAATAATAATGTCCATAACTACTGGGGACCGAAGTCGGAATGTCACGTGACATACATAAGGCTGAGCGTTCGCCTCCATCGGCACAGCCGGGTTGGACTGTGCGGAATCTGTGGAATCTGGATAGACGGTTGACTGACGTCCTGTCTGCCATCCGTGGTAGTTCGGCTGGGTCCAAATAATAATAATAATGGCGAACCGTTGGGCCGTTCATCCTGCTTGAGAAGGGCTGCCCTCAACGCTTATTATTGCTGAGCAAGAGTTCTGTGATGCCATTCAGATCCCATTTTTCTCTTCAAAACCCGCGGACTCGCCACCTGCTGCGACATCAGCGTCGAATCAGAGTACAATTCATGCAAAGCCAGAATATACTGTTCTGTAGACTTTAAGAGTATGTCGTTCCTTCGGCTCGTTCATCGACCGGCCCAGAACACTCACCCACTGCAAAGCAGAAAAAAATCTTCCAATGGCAGACAGCGGAGCTTTTTCACCCGCACAGTACCGCATGTACCGGATATGGTCTTGTCGTCCATGGAATGCAATGAGAAAGATCTGAAGCGGACTGGATCTTACGCGTAAGCAATACTTGGCTGAATTCTGAGTGTAAGCTTGGAGGTGAATGTTCTATTCTTGCAGTGCCCCATCAACGAAAAGTCTATAACTCTATCATCGCTATTGTAGCCGAATACGCACTACTAATCACAAGGCAATTACATATGTTCAACCGGGTTATCTCGGAATCAATGCTTAACGATTTCACTCTCTTCAAGACTTCATTCTTTCTTGCGCCTCGACTGTGTGCGTCCGCTTAGTAACCAAAGCACAGCAGTGTCATGCCTCAAGCATTTTATGGAAGTCAACTAAATTCAATCTGATAACGAGGGTAATCTGCTTTCTCAGACGGTTTATATTGACCTTGTCCGGGCACTGGCTTTATATATGTACAGTAGTAGTCCTTAGAATATATCCTCTGAGATTGCACTAGGTACGTTACTAGGTAATTCGATATACGTCACAGAACATAGAAGCGCATACATCTTGTAGAGTTAATATGTGCTTCGAATACATATCACATGAGCAGATAGAGCTACACAATCTTGTCAGATTATGCTTCGCAGTATGTGTATGATAGGAACTATGTGCTCTTTAGCAGTAGTTCTCAGTGGTTACCGGATCTCCACGACTACATGTCTAAGAGGGTAATAGAACTGAATTTGACTCAAGTACGAGAACATATCAATTGCATACGACCATAGGGTGTGGAAAACAGGGCTTCCCGTCCGCTCAGCCGTACTTAAGCCACACGCCGGCAGGTTAGTAGTTGGGTGGGTGACCACCAGCGAATCCCTGCTGTTGTATGTTTTTTTGTCTTTTTTTCTTCTTGGTCCATTGTCGTTGCATCTAGTTTTTGATAGATCTTGGTCTACCTATTATTGACCAGGTGGTGACCACATCACCAGACATGGTTAAGCTGACCCTGCGGTGGCCGTCAGATTAGAAGAAAAAAATTAGATCTACATAGTCACACACCTGCTTGGACTAGGCTCCGGAGGGTATCTTATTTTGGAATTCAGTATTTATCTTTATCTCCCGAATAGGTAAATAATAGATCATAGATCATATAGATCTACTAGTCAGCACCCACCTGCCATGCTGCAAGCCGGGCTATATCCCCATATCACTGCAGTAAAACCCGTCAAAGGAGATGTGCAGCCGGGTTGGGACACTCTTACACAGTAGATGAAACAGCATGTGAGCCCTCTACAGACCCCAGGGCATTTATAAGTAACAGCTAGATTGGCAGATTTAGTCCTTCAAGCAATCTAGAGCAATTCTATCATAGACCCATGTTCGGCTCCCATCTTTGTAGTATCTGTAATACTTAGCCTGTTGTATAGAAAAGTATTGAATTACAACCTTTATCCCAAATTGACCTTTTACTACTAACATTTTTACCCTTGATGCCGAACCTCCCGCACGGAATCCCTATACCATAGACCAGGATGTCTGATTGTAATGCCTCAGCGGGGCTTCGGTGCGGCCCCCGAGCCCAGGGAGTCCAAAGACGGACCGACCGGAGCGAAGTGCATCATTGTACTCCCTTGCGACATGTCAGATCCTCATAGCGTCTTACCTATGGCATAGTTATGCTATGGTGCCAGTGCCCGATCTTCTTGTTCTTGAAAGACAAAGTGGGTGCACTAGCCGCCGTACTGTAGTATGCTGATCTGAACATCTTGGGACAAAATCACAAGCACCTCAAACCACCAGCATGAATCTTTTAGGGTATAATTTTGGTGTTTTGTATATTGGTGCAGCAGCAGCAGTGTATTTCAAGCCAGAATATACTATCTACGACTCGAGACTGTTGACCCTTCTTGCTGTGTTTTCTATCATCACCCTCTTCAAGTTGATATACAATGTGTCGTTATACCCAGCTCTTTTCACCCCACTAAAAGAGATACAAACGCCGTCAGTAAGTGGGTCGAGTTAAGCATACCATACTGCCTATTAATATATTTGAAACTGACATTATTATTTTCATAGGGTCGACACTGGCTTAGAGGAAACGGCGTGTCTTTCTTTGTTGATACACCATTTGAACCAATGAGGAAATGGGCACGCAGTATGCCGAATGACGGTCTGATCCGTTACTATACTGTCGGAAATTTGGAGAGGGTCTTTCCGACAAGCACTGCAGCCTTGAGAGAAGTATTGGTAAACAAGGCTTATGATTTTGCCAAACCTCGAATCATACAACAATTCTTGTACCCTATAGTTGGAAATGGCCTTCTACTTGCAGAGGGGGAAGAACATAAGGTACGTCATGATTATTATGTCGATTCTATGTATGTATGTATGTATGTATTGACTCACTTTTCTTCTGTTCCAGGTTCAACGCAAAAGCTTGATGCCAGCGTTCTCATACCGCCACATCAAAGATCTCTATCCGATTTTCTGGACGAAGAGCATAGAGATGGTGAAAGGAATAGAACAGGATCTGCAGCGCAGAGGGCCCGATGAAGATAACACGATACAAGTCCGCAACTGGGTTGGACGAGCAGCGCTCGATATAATCGGCGTGGCGGGCATGGATCAAGACTTCGACTCGCTACGCAACCCTTCTGGAAGATTAAACGAGTCTTATCACAAAGTATTTACCCTGCCTTCCTTTGGAACAAAGATGCTTCTGTTACTTGGCAGAATCATCGGTGATATCGCATGGGTCCAGTCCCTGCCAACGAAGCGAAACAAGGACATCCAGGATGGAAGACAAACGATCCGCGATGTCGCGCGGCAAATGATTCGAGAAAAGAGGGAAAAACTGAAAAATGCCGACTCAAAGACCGGCCTGGATATTATCTCTGTTGCCATGTCTGGTGACTCTACCTTCGAAGAAGAAAGATTGGTCGACCAACTCATGACGTTCCTCGCGGCGGGACATGAAACCACCGCCAGCGCTATGCAGTGGGCTGTCTACGCGCTCTCCAAAAGACCAGAGATGCAAACGCGCCTACGCGAAGAGATTCGCGCAAATCTTCCCTCCATTTCTGTAGAAAGACCGGAGCAGATCGACGCCGTCACAATCGACAACCTGCCTTACCTCCACGCTGTCTGCAACGAGGTCCTCCGTTTTCACCCAGTTGTACCCAACACCAATCGTGTCGCTCTCAAAGACACCACTTTGGTGGGCAAGCCCATTCCAAAAGGTACAACCATTGTCCTAGTACCGGAGGTCATTAATAAACTTGAGGAGCTATGGGGTCCGGATGCGGACGAGTTCAACCCAGATCGATTCATGGGTCAGGGTATGGCGAATACGGGTGGTGCAAGCAGTAACTACGCTCTTCTCACATTCCTTCATGGCCCTCGTAGCTGCATCGGACAGGGCTTTGCAAAAGGCGAGCTAGCCTGTTTGCTTGCTGCTACAGTCGGTCGTTTCAAATTCGAATTGAAGTACCCGGATGCTAAGCTGGAAGTGCAGGAAGGTGCTACTCGCGCGCCTAAAGATGGTGTTTTGGCGAAGTTTACGCCAGTGGAAGGGTGGTAAAACTGATACTGGCGAGTCTTTTAGACTGTCACGAACCAGGGTTACGGCGGACCTGCCTAGTCTTGGAGAAGAGATATACGTGTAATAGTTAGATCAGCTAGTCATACGATACAGCTGTCAAGACTAGGTCGTTCTAATGACCTAGTAAGATAAACCCCCTAGAGAATGGAAGTTAGACGGATCAGCGCCTCTTAACTAGTTCGACTGGTCACCCCCATCAAAGAGCTTCCACACCCCAGCTCTTTACAGTTCGAATCGCTCGACCAGCAGTATGTCGGGAAGAGGAGAGACACCAGGAAGTAGTGCTGAAAATCAGCATGGAGAACCATTGGAATATAGCCCGAGACGTGCGGTGCAGCCCAAATCCGAATACAGCCCGGAACCTGAAGCTCAACCCGGACCAGCAAGCAGTATTGGTCCTGGGGATCCAACGAACCCAGGAAGTAATACGGATCCTGATGCTCAACAGGAATCAAATACTGTTGATCCCGGACCCTCTACTTCCACGGCTTTACAGCAGCAAACTGCTTTTGCAACAGCCGAAGCTATGAGAGATACAGCTAAGGGGACGTCAGAGCACAGCACCCTAGCCGTCTTTCTCAGACTGATGGACAAGTTGATACCTAGTCCAGGAACTACGGCCAATCCAGGAACTGTGGCCAATTCAGGAACTGTGGTCGGTCAAACAACTGTGGCCAAGCTTCCTGAACCTCATCGGTACCGAGCTACAAATTTGGATGCCCATTACCGTTGGTGCTGCTATATGGATCAATACTTTATCTATAATGCTCACACGTTTCAAACTGAAAAAAGCAAGGTAAACTACGCCGCCGCGTTGCTTGGAGATGAACACGGAATAGCCTGGAGTCACAGACCCCCTGCTTCGGCCACGACTTCATGGCAGGGATTTCAACAGTGGTTGTTGGATCGTATCGAGGATCCAAGATATCGGCCATGGACAGCAGCCGTACGATTCTACCGGCTAAGGCAACAGCCAGGACAGACTGCTCGGAGCTTCCTCAATGAATTCGAGCTTCGCCGAGGCGAATTGGACCCGGATACCATATATCAGCCGGATCACCCTAGTTGGACCCGGATATTTTTTTCTATGTTACGGGAAGAAGTACGGAGTCAGCTATTCGAATGTACGGAGATTCCGACAAACTTGTTACAGTTAGCTTGGCAAGCTACAGTCGTCGAGCAGAATCCTGAAAGCTCAGTCAAATCCCGGACGTCGCGTCCTCTTCGGAGGTCGAAACGCGGTCGTGGCGACGCCGCTCTTACTGTGCCCGCAGCGGAGGGAACTCCTGCTCGGCCAGTTAAGAAATTGCGAAGGAGGTCAAAGGCGAAGGAGGTTCCTAGTAAGGAGACCCCAAGAGTTCAGGCCGCCGTCGAGGCCAGGAGATGTGGCCGCCGTCGAGACGCCCGCTCCTGAGTCTGAACCGGCTGCCGTTGAGACGCCGGTGACGACGATTACTGTTGCCGATGCTGATACAGTAGTTGGGGATCGTCCTGCTGCCTCCGAGGAGGACCCCGTTGCGGATCCTTCTTGCCCAGAGGGTTCGACCGAAGACTTTCCCAGGGGTCTCATCACCCAGAAAGAATGAAACGCGCTTCGAGCGCGTGGGAGGCATTGCTACGCCAATTAGCTTTGTCACATGGAGTTGCAGAATTACAACTTACGTCAAAACGCACGCGCCAGACCACGGGAAAAACAACTCGAAAATCCGATTTTTTGATAGGTCTGTATAATCGTTAGCACTTTTCCATATTCAGATTGTCGAAAACAACGCCAAATAAACCGCGGAAACAGGGAGACCACAGCTCAACGTACAGGCAGGAGGATGGGAGTTGGTGGGTGAAGACGAAGAACACTCCAGATCCCCCAGAGGAAAATATCAAAACAAAGCCAACATCAGATGAATTCACATGCCGAGCACGCCTCGACGGCGACTCCCTACTACTACTACAGCTACGCCCAAACCTCCAGATCTATACAACGAACTTCACACCGCTCGGGACGAGCCTTTTCACGACAAAATCAGGGGTTGGGGTAAATACAAGAATCAAATACTAGCCCAAGGCTTGACCGGTATATATCCTCTCATTGAATAATAGAGTGTCTTTCCGACCCAGTGGGATGTTGTATCGCAGTGCGAGACATCGGAACAGAGGTACTCCCGCAACGTGTCAACACAGGCAAAAGCACGGTGATCACTATGTAGGTGGAAAGTTCGGTGGAAATATCGGGATAATGTCAGAAGGAATTTGACCGATATCTTGAAGTAGGGTGCATTACGCATGGAAAGAGTTTGATCAATTGTGGTCCAGCATACAAGACGTGGACGGATTCTATAAACGAAACGACCATAAGTCATCAAGATGGTCAAACCCATTCTGGTTCTAACATAGAACCCCGGTATTTTGCATCGAGTGGATGATGATGGATGTATCCCCACCCCCTTTTTGTTTTGTTTTTTTTTTTTTTTTTTTTTAAAGCATAGCTAAATGGACCATATATAATGGATTGAAATCCTTACGCCAAGGAACCCTTTAAGAAAAGATCCGCAAGTGCGGCATAAAGTCATCTGAGCCCGGAGCCGGGTCAACAGTTGTAGAATTAAGCGAATTCAGGAACACAAATGAGGTATCCGAATCTTGGAGCGCAAAGGAGGCGTCTGGCTCTTGGAACACAGAATTGTCAAACCCTGAACTGTTAATTTCTTTAAGTTCCGACCCTATGTAGCCGTAGCCGCTTCCAAGGGGAGAGAGAAGATCTGTTATAGAGCACATGTTTGTTGATGATTCCGGGCTTGGCTTTTGCCGTTTGTATTGGGTGTTTCGAACGCTTGTTACGTCTTTCACAATAACTGATAATTGGTAGAGCTTACTGTTGTAAGAGTTTTCGGATCGGCCGTCTGTGATTGCTTCAAGCATGTCGATATAGTCTTGGAGCATGCTGAAATCGGACTTTGAATCCTTGTTGCTGAGGATGGATGAAAGAACTTCGTAGAGATACAGTGGAGGAAGCGAGGCAACAAAGCTATGGGCGTGGCATCATTAGTCATCTGTGTTGAGAGCAGTTATGGGTTACTTCAATACTGACGATGGGAAAACAGCGTGCTTGCCTTCGTCGGGTGGTGAGTTCCAAAGGCTTAGCACAAGTTTCATGCACATCCTAGCGACCTCTTTACATCGTTGATATATGGTATCTGGGTGGTGTTTGTGGGGCCAGATTAGTAGCAATTGAACATTTAGGTACCTGATCGTCAACTGAAGCTTATCAGCAGAGGTCTCAGGCGGGGTTTGAATCATATTCAAGTCAATTCCCGAGTTCGTCAGCCAGACTTGAAGTTTTGATAACATCATGGCTGCGAAAGCCCTAATCTCATCTTCCCTTTTAGGCTTGACCTGGCTTGCGTATATTTCCAAGTATATCGTCTCTTCAATCCTAGCCAGCTCGGATTTTGCGATGAGAGATGATGCAAGACTAACTTCAGAGGACACGGCGTATGTCTCGAAATGAATATCCGATGCGGGCATGTTAGGAGACAAACCAGTTGTCCAGCACACTGTTTTATCAATCGTGTACAAACAATACGAGATGGTCTGGCGCTCTCTAATGTCTTCGTCGCTGAGGTGACCTTGGAAAGAGTGCCATTGATGGATACCTGTCAACTTTGCGCATCGGGAAGCGAGATCAAACAATCTCTCGGATTCAACGATGGAAAAATGCTCCTGAGCCACCATGTACTGCATATGGTAAGCCTCACGCTAGGTAGCTACAGAGATAATATGTATTTATTTGAAACGCACCAGAGATAAGAGAGCCTGAACATTGATCAGACGAGGTAAAAGAAGCTGATCAATATTTTGAATAGCTCGCTTTGCGTTGGCACGGAATCCCGCGATCATGTCAAATTCCATTGACGAAACCTTTGTCCCTTGTCTGTTCTGCGTTGACTCGCCACGGTTGGAGCACAATGAGTCTGCCGACATGGCCATGAGGATAAGGTTATTGCAGCAGATAATTGACGCAAAGTCTCGTTCCGATGATGGAGATTGTCGCAGCGTGGTTGCCATGTCAATAAATTTCTCTTTTGTCCAGATGGGGAAGTGAGGGTTGATTGAGGAAAAGTATGGCTCAATCATAGCATCCAAAATAGCAAATGGAGGTGTGGTCGGTGGTAATATATCCTTGGCACATTCTCCCTCCTCCTGTTTAACAAGAAGATCGATTTTCCATTGTGCTTGTGAGATGCATTCCTTGAACGTGTGGCTTTCACTGTCGCATCCATCTGTCATGTCGTCCTTGATCTTGAGCATGAGTGACTCGAGAGACGTGGATCCAAAGTACCTTTCATCATTATTGTGACCCAAGAGAAATCGACCAGGAGGCGGCGCAAAGTCCGTCGTTTCCAAAGTGTCCGCGGATTGCTCCGGAGAAAACTGGGGTCTCTGTCCTGGAGGGCTGGACGAATGTCGTGCAGAATTTGGCGGGGTTACCCATTGCCCATCAAAGAGTCGTTTCAATGATCTTTGCGTGTCTGCTATTGTATTCTTTTATCTAATCAGTAACAGGCGGCTTGAGAGGTATATTATTAGCATTATGCTTGACCTACCTCAAGGTGTTGGAGGCGACTTCCCATTCCAAGAATCGTGTGGCTTCTGTGAAATTGTGGGTTAAGTATCACCACGCATCAGAAACATGGCAGACATACAGGAGCGTTGTTTGATTGCGCTTTTTGCCCTGACCAGACCACTCGCATTGTATTCCAAGGCGGGTACAATTTCTGCATGATGGTTTCTCTCTACTGCAGCGAATTTTCCTGGATCGACATTGGTCGCAGACTTGGAAGTGATTGGCCACATTAGCTTTCCTCTCATTGACTGAAACTGACATGCTACCTACCAGTGTACTCATCTCTACTGACCTCTCTCGTCATTTTGCTGGGCTTCCTAGGGACCGGTTGATAGTCACGTAAGGTTGTTTTCTCACTAGAAATTATGACAAGGCTGTGCGCAGAGCATAATTATAGCCAAGTTGTGAATGGGGGCCATTCGGAATACTGCTTTTTGTTCTTGTTTTTTGATAAATACCACCTTCAGATGACATGCATTTTCCTGTCTAGTATGGTCTTGGATGCAGCGTTCGGTTCTTGAATTGGATGATCCAGGAGGTCGTCAGCTTACATGCGTCAGCGTTAGCTTGAGCTGATCTCAGAAGCCCAGCCTCGCCAGGCGTTCATATGCAAGACGATGGAATGTGAAGATCGTATGGACAACGATGTTACACCAAGTGACGGGAACTATTATTCCTTACCTTACGTCCTAGTAAATACTGCAAGGATTATAACATATTCAAACGTAGTGCCGGTAAGGTTTCTCAGCTATCAAAAGGTCGAAGTTATCATGCGATCTGTAAACCTTCCTTCGCTCGACAAGTGAATTGAAAGACCGCATGGGGGTAGAACTGAGGCCAGGCTATGGAGTATAGAAACATGCACTGCTTGGTATATCCAAATCGCATAGTCATAAATCTAGTCATTCAGACACGTAACTGGATGAGGCTGAAGACTTTATTGTTGGATCTAAGGAGGGGTCGTCGCATGCCATATCGAAAATTGCTTCAAGTGCTAGAGTCTGATGTCTCAGAGAATTTCTTGCGCCGGCACTTATGAAAGAAGCTATTCAGACTGTGTTGCCCTTCCCGAACCACCTATCTCTAAGAAAAACGGCCCGCGAGCACTTGAGCTGGTCCCTGGAGCGATTGTATACAGTGCTTTGGAATGATGAGACCTGGGTGTGTCCTAGACATCATATTAGAATCGTCTTCCAGAGAGGGAGGGTCGGATGTTCTTGGGTCCTTTAGGGGCAATAAAAAGGGTCCATCTGTTTTCTGGGAAAACACTTAGGGTTCAATTGAAGGGGAGTCTTATTGTCAAAGGATAACTCGTCCCTTTAATTGACAAGTATATGCATCTGAAACCTCATCTTCTCCCAATGCAAGACGGTGCACCAGGACATAGTGCCAGATTGTCCCAGGAGGAGCTTCAATATCGCGCAATTGAAACGATCTTCTGGCCACCCTATTCGCCAGACCCGAGTCCGGTCGAGACAGTATCGGATGAAACTCGGGATTGAATAGATCAGCACTATTCTCATCGTAGAAAGCTGCATACAGTCAGCTTTGCTAGGTGGATCAAGAAGGGTGCAAATGCTATATCATGATGGCGCCACCTGTACTACCAAGCTTACCAAGGGTAACACAGGAAATAAAGTAGTTTAGGTTCGAAAAGTTTGATAACATCCATGAGGAGGCGTCCGGCCCGGCCCAGATTTGAAAGTGTCAAGGGCTCCTACTGGAGGTCACGCAATCTAGGCCAGGATATGTTAGAGGTCCAGGTAGAGTCTCGCCAACTAGGAGTTCTCCTTTTTGGTCGAGTGGCAGAAAGCCGTCAGGATATATGCCTGCCTGCCACTAGTTGGTATTTAATCAAACAAGCTTACAACTTCCTTCAAAATCAAAGATGACAAAGCGGTAGAATGCCAGCAGCAATGCAGAAAGCTATCCATGATATCTCGTATTCTCCCGCAAATCGGGGACGGGATCCGGGGCTGGTTTCTCGATCTGCTCGGCGCCCGGGCCCCGATTGGCTCACGGGACGTTAAGTATAGGTAGCCCTTTTTGTAAAACTTGATTCCCATGGTCGATGTCCCGACGGATTAATATTATTCTTCATTGAATGCAACTCATACATTAGAATCTGGTAATAGAGTTCCACCTATACTTTGTCGGCTTGAACAGATTTTCGGACTACTCTCTCAACGACCAAAGTATGAAGCCTAACCAGGATCTATTTGGCAAAGTAATCGTCGAGTTCACACATATCAAAGGATATACATTGACATGATTGGCAGACAGCCTTTGTAACTGGTGGCTCTGGCGGGTTAGGGAAAGCTATATCTAATGCCCTTGCTTCCCGAGGTCAGTTGGGTCGTCGAATACCTATCTACATCGATATTTGTTCACTTAAAATCAACTTAGGTGCACATGTAACTATATTTTCGCGACGACTCGGCCCTCTAGAAGATGCAAAGAATGAGATAGTCACAAATTGTGCTGATGCTAGTCGGCAAGAGATCAATGCGGTGCCTCTTGATCTGGCAGATGCAGGGGCAGTACGTGATCCTGGGATACTTTTTCCCTGGTGAATTCTTCTAACTGGCAAATACTACTCAAGGTATCCGAAGCCTTCAAATCTCAACCTCGAATCGCCGATATCTTATACTGCTCAGCGGGTGGAAACCATGCCGAAAACGGATTCTTCGTCGACCTCAGTGCCTCACAGCTAGATGCTTGCATGAAGAATAACTACTATTCTACAGCTTACGCCGCAAAAGCCATGCTGGAAATCTGGGTTGAAAATGACAAGAAGTCCTCCAGTATAGATACCCAGAAACAGCCCAAAGGACATACTACGCGGAAGATGGTTTTCATCAACAGTGCAGCAGCGTTCCTGGGCCTACCAGGTAGCGTCGCGTATACTCGTGAGTCCACTTTTTTTTGCCTCGAATATGCCTCTGAATTCCCGTTGAATGACTTACTCTTACTAACATAACACGTCGACTCAGCCGCCAAAAGCGCTGTCCGAGCTCTCGCAGATACCCTTCGCTTCGAAGTCCTCCGCCACAACTCCGCAACGACAACCTACACGATCCACATCGCCTTCCCAGCAGACTTTGTGTCTCCTGGATTCAGACTAGAACAAAACACCAAGCCGGATCTTACAAAACGTATCCAAGGAACGAACCTTGCATCATTGGCAGAGCTGGAGAAGAAATTCCCATCGTCAGAGAAGGTCGCGCTTGGGGTTATCGCGAGGGTCGATAAGGGGGACTTTATTATATGTGAGGACTCGCTCGCTGCTAGTTGTCTGTTCACAAATATGATTGGGTTGAGTCCAAAGAGGGGGCTTGGGATCATGGATTCGCTGATGGGTGTTGTTGTTGGGTGGTTGGTTATGCCTTTTTTGAGACGGAAATGGGAGCGGATGTGCAGGGAGGATGGGGAGAGGATGTGAGATATAGACCTGGGAGAGCGTCATTTGTTAGCATATCTATTATCATATACTATTTTCTAGGTCCAATATGTGTGTATGTGAGAGCTTTATCAACATATATCTTTATGTAATGCCGCATCAATGTTGAGCAGTGTATGCTACTGTGAGGCGATGTACTGGTAGCTTAGCGTATTACTATTGTAGTGATATTCGCAAAACTATATTCTATTATTCATCGGACATCTGGCGAAGCTGCTGTTCCACAGCCGGCCAGAGGTCTTTGCGTAAGGAATACAAGCACCAAACATTGCCAGCGGCATCCTTGCCAATAACCACGCCAGTATTGCGCGTTGCATATCCCTTTGTTCCAGTGCCCTGGATAGAGGACGGTTTGCCTAGCGAATTGATCCGGCTCTTCAATGGCAATCCTTCCTCTTGGACAGCAGCCGAGAAATCAAGTTCGAAAAGCTTCGATTTGGCCCAATTGGAGATCATGATCATGTACATACTGGGTTTCCCAAATAGCGCCGGATGATGTGTATTGTCCAGTATTTCCTTTTGAATAGAAACCAATGCCTGGAGTTGCTCTGTGTTCCGTTGTTGAATCAAAGATTTGCGAATCTCGGATGCGGTGAAACTCAACGGTTCTTCAATGACTTGGCGGACGGAGAGGAAAGTCAAGGTTGCAAAGACAGCGTTGGTTACCAAAGCAGAACTAGCAGACGGAATATGGCCAAGATCTGCCAAAAGCGATCTACAACAGTATGTATTCCGCATGTTGATCGTGCGGTTGGGTGATGGTTTATCCGCTCGAAGAATAACTCGTGTCCACCAAGCGAACAGGACATCACCTTCGCTGACGAAACTGGGGGTATTGCTCTCATCGGTATGCCTGGCTGCCAGGTCTCCCATTGCCTTCTCATGCATCCTTTTCACATGTTTCGCTGGCAAGAAAATGACCCTTTCTTCCTCACGATACTGCCAGAATAGCTCGACCCCGAGAATGTAGCGCACGGCAAACAACAACCAAGCCCAACCGATAATCACTGTATCAGCAAAGACATATTTCTGCACGACTCTTGTCCTTGTCTCACTGAGGCCAGCCAATGGATCATGAGCGAATCCCTCAAAGGGCTTCACCTCCTGTTCTCGTCCGTCCAGTACAGCAGTCCAGGCATCCAGTACCGCATTGAGACCCATCATATCCATGAGGCTATGAAGAAAGGAAATAGTAACAAGCGTGCCGTCTTCAAAGGCGATTATGCGAATTCCAAGTTGTGGACTATCTGAGGACAGCCAATCTTCCAGGTACTCCGGGAAACCAGGAGTCCGAATGAAGGATCTGAACTCCGGCTTCCTCGCAAATGCAACACTAAGAACAGATGCCTGTCCCTCTTGATGAATCTGATGAGGGTTCGCTAATTGCGATGCCTGTGGATGGTCGGCTATCGTGGTGTTGTATGCGACCGTGGAGTATGCAAAGCCTGGCCGTTTGTCGTCGAACCTCTGTGGCACATGATATTCGAGCCCGCCCTTTTCATTTCTGCGTATTCGAGCCCCAAGTTTTCGCCAGTTTCCAATTTCGAGAAGCCGGGCTAGCGAGGCTCGAAGCTTTTCATGGTCCAAAACATCGTCGAAGCGGAACGTGATATCGAACGAGAGGCCTCGCGTGTGGGGGTCGTCATCCCAGTAATGGAATGGGATGACGGTGTCCGCTGGGTTCGGGGCATATCCCATTGTGAAGGGTAAATAACTTACTTAGAGCTTCGCAAAGGGAAAATACATCCAACATATCTACCTAATTACTATATACGTACGGAATACATGTATGGTTCAAGAAGACCGGAAAGCGCCACCGGATCGGCCCGATTGAGTAATTACGGGGTTTAGTTATCTACTTATGGCAGTCACCACATATTTCCTACTTCGGCGTAGCTTCGCCGACCGGAACCCGGAACCCGGTGATCCGGCCCCGTGTCAGATAAGCCCTAAAGCGATCCCGGGGATGTCCAAGTATCTACAGCCAACAATGGAGATTCTTTGTACGCAGTAGGTACTGTACATGTACATGTAAATGTGTATTGGGTCGTATCATACCGTACCAAAATTACCCTTTCCTCCTGTTCAGGATGCTCCACGTGATGATTCATGCTGAGAGCGATTTTCCAGACTCCTTAGCATGGAAATGTTCTTCTGTCCGAACGTTCAAAGATCACTGCAGACACACTCAAACACATGGCCCAAGCTTGACAGGGTGCTAGCAGCTACCAATCGAGCCACTGCATATTCTATCTCTGCCTTCAACTTTGGCCCTGACCCTGGCCCTGACACGAGCGGTGGGATACTGTGTCAAAATGGGCTCCTCTCATTCCGGCACCGACGGGCCTGAGATATCTGCTCCCGAGGTTTCAGTTCAATCAGACGCGGAACTTGGATCAGGGAATACAGGTACTGCAGAGAAGGAGGTGAATAATTCCACAGAAGCCAACAGTGTGAGCGATGAAGCGAAGTCGCCAAAGAAACCACTGTCTTTCCACTTGGCATTCATTGGCCTCGCCGCCAGCGTTTTTGTCTTCCAGATGGACGCAACATGTCTGGGGTTGGTGCTGCCTGTAAGCCACGAAGATGCCTCTTTGGCTCCAAGCGTATTCCCTCGAGGATGAGGATGATGCAAAGGCTAACCCGTTTAACAGACTATAGCCGGTAACTTAGGCGGCTCAAATTTACAGTCTTTCTGGGCGAATCTGGCCTACACGCTATGTGGCCTTTCCATGCAACCAGTATGGGCAAGTATCTCCGACGCATTTGGAAGGAAACCACCTCTCTTCGTATCCATGGCATTATTCTTCGTTGGATCTATTGTTTTCGCCACCTCCAAAAACATGAACACGATCATCGCTAGCCGAGTACTGCAGGGCTTCGGCGGTGGAGGAATCGACGTTTTGGCCGAAGTCATTTTGGCCGACATGACAACGCTACAAGAGCGCTCGACATACCTTGGCTTAATGGGGATTCCCGCGGCTATTGGTAATATTCTGGGACCATCGGTTGGTGCGCTGTTCGCTACTTACGCTAGCTGGCGGTGGATTGGATGGATGAATTTGCCCTTTCTCGGGGTTGCTACACCGTTGCTGTTTCTCTTCCTCAACCTACGGCCGGTCAAGTTTGATGCTTCTCTCCGCGGCAATCTGGCTCGCCTTGATTGGATTGGTATGATGTTGATGATTATCGGTATTACGATCTTCGTGTTGCCTCTCAGTTGGGCGGGTTCTCTGTTCCCGTGGGCTTCGTGGCAGACGCTTCTTCCGATGCTTCTGGGAGTGGTGGTGCTCATTGCCTTTGCGTTTTACGAAAAGTACCCAGCGTCGCCGATCGTTCCTCATCGACTATTCCATTCAACGACTGCGAATATGACACTTGTAGGGGTGTTCTTTCATGGTGCAGTTCTAGTATCTATTTTGCAATATCTACCTTTGCTATATCAAGCTGTGCAGCTCGAAACACCAATTCTCTCTGCCGTCTCCTTACTACCCGCTGTCATCACCAGTGTGGTATTTGCAGCTATTTCAATGATGATGGTCCCGTTATTTGGAGGATACGCGTGGCTCCTTCGGTTCTCGTGGCTCATCCTTACACTGGGCACTGGTTTACTCGCTTTGTTCCGTGTCGGATCATCGAAATCAATGGGTTATGGGCTTCCGATCTTGTGGGGAACGGGTGTTGCTTTACTTCGTCTCAGTATCCTTCCAATGCAAGCGAGTGTCAAGGATATCAATGACACCGGCCTCGCAATCGGCTTACTGTTAGGTGTTCGCATGTTCGGAGGTCTGGTAGGTCTCACCATCGCTTCAACAATTTTCAATACAACCTTTTCAACCTCGATATCTTCCTCTTCGATAAAGCTTACCGGATCACTGGCTCCTCTTCAGAACGCTGCCAATGCTGTCAGCTTCATTGACAAGCTGAGGTTGTTAGACATTTCAGTTGCAACTCTCGATCCCGTCTTGAGAGTTTATCTCAAATGTTTCCAGACCATCTTTTATACAATGACGGGCCTGAGTGGTCTTGGTTTAGTGACTTCATTCTTCGTTGCCGAAATTGATTTGTATCGGAGAAATCTTGGCAACCAACGGTTCGAAGAATAGTTGATTCCAGCAAAATGGAGATCACGCGACCTACCGTCGAAACACATTGAGACTACACAGCTTTATCGAGTTACGGGTACAGTGTATAATCTTATTTTCGTCTGTTATATTTTTGTCCAGATAAGTATATTGTCATGTACTTTCCAACAGGCAATGTAATGCAAACATCATAGAGAGGCCTGCAATTCTAATCTCTAAACATTCTCATAGTCAATGGTATCCCACTGCTTAGGCTGATTGATAACATCCTGTAACTGCTCCATAGCTCCCTGAAGATCATCCAGCCCCAGATGCAACGCCAACTCCAGATAATCTTTAGTCCAAAGCCCCGGGGAGCCACGCGGATACTGTGACCTAAAGCCAACAAACCTCTGCGCCCTCTTTGACAATTTTTTCGCCGTCTCCAACGTAATAATAAACGGATGCGCCTCAGACGGCGTCAAGAAACTCGGGATAACAGTAAGCTGGATACACTTCCGCTCCATCTCGGTCTTGTTCTCGCCCATGGCATGAATCACCTTCCCACCAATAAGCAAACAATCACCCGTCTTCATCTCCGCCGGAATAGTCTGTCCCATATTGCCACGTTGGTCAAATGGCCACTTATTGCTCCCAGGAATAATCCTCGTCGCACCCTTCTCCTCCGTGAAATCCGAAAACGCAAAGAGAAAATTGATCTGCGGCTCCGTGCCTTCAGGCCCCAGCTGTGCATACGGTGGGTAAGATGTCAGATCTCGATGCAGGACCTGTCCCGGCTGAGGCCCCAAAGCATTCAACGTCGTTGCTGCAGAAAGCCAGTAATCGCCATTATGACCGCCTTCGCTGAAGGTGCGCCTGCAGATGGCGTGGATAAAGTCATTTTCCACGATGAGCTCGCGGAACGTCGGACTGTGATTGATTATGTCGCCGGCGCGCTTGGTCTTTGTGCCATGGAAGGCAGCTAGTTCTGGATGCGGCACTCGCGAGCCCCGTTGGACGGAGTCTAGACGGGCTTCGAGTTCGTGGGTGATTTGGTTTGCTTGTGCTTCTGTGAGCATATTCTTGAGAATTACGCCGCCGCTTTCTTTCCAGTGTTTGAAGACTTCGTCTAGTGGGGTGTTCGATGTGACTTCGGCGAGTTTGAGGCCATTGGGGACGGCAATTTGGGGGGTGTCTGTTGGGATGCGCCACATTTTTTGAGATTAATCGGGTGTGACTCGAACGGTTGGTTGGAGAGAGCAAGAAAGAAAAGAAGACGTTTGGACGACTGAGTTGAAGTCACTGTGCTTTGCTTTATTGTGAAGTATATGAATAAATAACATGAGCACCGTTCAGAGGTTGTAAGGTGTTATCCACCCTCTCCAGTGAATCATTACTCAATTACTCTTTTAGTCCATAGCCTCATGTTGTCAGCATCGGGTTCCGTCCCCCGTTGCCCGTACGTAGTCGGACCCGAGTCGCGTACGCGGTTTTTCGTCTTTCTCAGGTCGTACGATTCGGGAGATCTTACATTATGCATCAAGTAAAACCGTACGGGAATTGGACTGTGATTTCGGGTTTCAAGACGATAGGTTCTGGGTCATATATGGTAGGTAGCTAGGCAGCTATGTGTCCTTGAGCCATATGGACCAGGCGCTGGATCAACCTAGTATTGGCCTCTACATATCTAGGTACAGTGGATGCTAGTAATGAGGTATTGTTAGTGGTCGACTTGGCTCTAATACAAAAATGAAAATGGAAATGAAAATGAAAAAACAAAGTCATTCATTCCAAGATGATGTACTCCTCTTAGTGAATGAGTTTGATAACCTTGGTATTCACTAAAAAGGTCAACTCACAGGGCTTTCTCCTTTTTTATTTTATTTTATTTTATTTTTTTTTTGGAAAAGATTCCCTTAATCATTTATCTATGGTGATTGGTGTCTAGGGTAACGGCTCATGACATTTACTTTAGCAAGAGGTCTAAGATTTCTGGCGATGCGGTTTTCTTACTCAAGTATCGAGTTAAAAAGCAATTTGTTTTGTAGTAAGTATATGACACAAAAGGTACATCCTTTTCCCCTAAGACGACATCTAAAAAGAAGACAGACCATCTAGCCCTGATTGTTCTCGGTTGCAATCCGGAACATCTCATTGGCAGCATGTTGACCGAGGATATCAAGAGATCCAATACTCATCATCTCCAACACAGGAAGATCGAATGCAAGCACCTGCTTAATCCAAGCACGCAGCTCCAGAGCAACCAAAGAGTCAAGTCCAAGGTCGAGCAGCGGCAAGCTGGTGTTGAGATCCTCCTGGGGCTTGAGCAGCAGATCCAAGAGCTTCTTGCCGATCTCAACAGCAAAGAGCTTTGATGCCTCAGCGGACTTCAGAATCGAGGGGTCCGCCTGGGCGTTGGCCAAGAAAGACTTGAGGACATCGGTAGAGCCAGCAGTGATGCCAACCACGGAGTTGTTGTGGTAAGAGGCCATGCGGCGGTCCTTCTTCCAGATCACGTAGTTGCTAGGGTCGTGTAGGGGAATGAGTAGAGCTAGACCAACGAGGAAGGTGTTCTTGTGGAGGAAATAGAAGTTGTTCTTGGACGAAGTAGCAAGTACCTTCTTAGCAGCTTGATCGGGCTTGTTGTGAGCCAACATGGCGATCGCCATGGCATCAATGACCTCCTGCTCCGACACAGGCTTGAAACCGCTGCGGGACATTTTGCCCATCATACCCTGGTGCTCTGAAATCCAACCGACGTCCTCGACAGCACCCATGTCAACTACGGAAGCTGCTAGGCCCATATCGTTGCGATATTGGGCGAAAGCATCAAGGAAACTGTTTCCACTGGCGTAGTTTGCTTGACCAGCCTGTCCGACGATTCCGGAGACAGAACTGAACATCAGGAAAAAGTCGAGGTCCAAGCCTGCGGCCACAGACGCATTGTGCAGATTCCAAGTTCCCTGGACCTTTGGTGCCACCGATGCGGTCCACTCGGAGAAACTCATCCTGGTGTAGTTCTCGTTGGCGACGACCATGGACATCTGCACAATACCTTTCAGGGGGGATGTCGCGGCAGCAATGGCCTCATTGACGTCCTCAAGCTTTGTGACATCTCCACTGACCAGCTTGACAGAGCAGCCCATGCTCTGGAGTTCGTGGATGAAGGCATCATCCTTGTTGGTGAGGCCAGCGCTGCGGGACATGTAGATAATCTCGCGGGCGCCGTGGTCAACCATCCACGTGGAGACAGCGCGCCCAATGCCGCCAAGCCCGCCAATCATCAGGTACGACGCGCTTCCGGGGAACGACACCGCCAGCGCCCTCTTCGTGGTTGGGAAAGCAATGCCCGTCTCCTCTGCTGCTTCTTTGATCGCTACACCAACGCGACCAATGTGAAGACCCTTCTCCATGAAGCGGAACGCATCCTGGGTCTGAGCTGCAGGGAAGATCGTCGTTGGCAATGGAGAGATGTGTCCCTTGCCATAGAGGTCTAAGATGGTGAAGATGAGGGCTCTGGCGATGTGGATTCTCTTCCACAAGCCGTCGATGTCCACACAGCAGTAGTTGCGGTTAGCCAGGAAAGGCTTCATGTCGAGCTTACTGGAGCCGATCAGATCTCGCTTTCCAATCTCAAGCAGCGTTCCAAACTCCGCAACACAGCTCCAGGTAGCGTGCAGAAGCTCACCGGACAGGGAGTTCAGGATGAAGTCCATGCCACGGCCTCTAGTTTCCCGCATGACCCCATCAACGAAGGACTTGTCACGGGAGTTAAAAATGCGGTTTCTCGGTATGTTATAATTGTCCATCAGATACTTCACCTTCTCCTCATTGCCAACTGTGACATACAGCTCTACCTCCAACATCTGGGCGACCTGGATAGCTGCCAGGCCAACACCACCGCAGGCACTGTGGATCATGACAGACTAGAGGAAGTGAAGTTGTCAGTCATTTCTCAATTACGAGTGGAAGTGTTATGCAACTTACTTGGCCCTTGGTGACCCGTCCAACGTTGATCATCGAGTGGATTGCAGTGAAATAAGGTATAAGCATCGTTCCAGCCTGGTTGAAGGTCAGGCTGTCGGGAATGCGAACACAGACATCAGCCAGGGTAGTGGTGTATGTCGAGAAAGCATCCTTTCGGCAGAAGCAAACGACGCGATCACCAACTTGGAGATTGTCAGGGCTGACGTCGGCTCCAACGCGCCTAACAATACCAGCGGCCTCGATGCCGAAGAGACGGACAGGAAGCTCAACGATTCCGAGAGCGACCAGAATATCCTAAACATGTTTTGTCAGAATCATATCTTGAAGATTAAACCTTTTATTGCATTGACTTACGCGGAAGTTCAAACCGGCAGAGTATACTTCGACTTCAACTTCGTCCTTGTCAAGATCCTGTCGTGCATGACGTTGGTAGTGCAGACTGTTGACACGACCAGGAGTGCGAACATTCAGAGTAGCCATCTCGTTTGAGTCCTCTGGGACCAATAGGTTGTCTGTCAAAACAAAAGGATGGAAACGAGCAACCTGAATGCGCTCATTGGAGATTACCCATTCAAAATCAGGATTCAGCTCCTGGTCGCCCTGTCGGGTCTGGAACTTGCCAAGTACTTGGATGAGATACTCGACGGACTTGGGGTTCTCGAAACTGTCAACCTGGCAGGTAGCCAGGTCAGCCAGCTGCTCTGTGCGAACTGTTCTGGCGAAACCAAGAACCTGAGCATAGCGAGGATCGTGGCAGCCGATGTCAACAAGATGGGTGGCCCAGAGCATTCCGGCGTCACGCCCCTGGAGGCTAAGAAGGAAAGTCTTGAATGACAGGAATCGGTCCTCATCCATATCGTGGAAGAATGGCTTTTCGATGTCCAAGAGTGAAATAACATCCTGTCCGACGGGCGCCTCGTCGCCCAACTGGCACTTGCTCACCTCGTAACCTTGCTTCTCGAGTTCTCTCAGAACCTGGATGACAGCAGGGCCTTCTTGTTCGAAAAGAACAGTGATCTTGTTCGAGGGCTTTTCAAGAACATTTCTTACGATCATGGTTGTGGTAACTTGGTGAGGCTCTTCTCCATCGGCGGTGACAGCTTGCACGTTGCCAAAGCCGGCGGCAATAAGTCTTGTTTCCCACTCACTCTGTCTCAGGTAAGGGATGTCGGTGCGCTCGTCAGTAGCACCCCAGGTCGTGGGAAGCAAACCGAGCACATAGTTCACCCACTTGGATGACGGGCACAGCTCTTGCAGAAGGAGGCGACCTTCTGGACTCAAGAGCTTCTTGATGTTGACCAAGCTTTCCTGAACATTCTTCGTCTCATAAAGAACATTGGAAGCAACGATGAGATCGAAGCCGACTTCCTCGAATCCTTGGTCGAAAGGATCACGGCTGATGTCCAAACTAGCAAAGACCATGTTGGGGAATAGCTTTTCTTGGGATTCAGAGACGACGTATCCCGGCGCGGTTAGCGTGTAGTTGGAGCAGAGAACATCTCCATTTGCGTGGGTCAACTCAGCGATGATTTCGCCATGGAGCGAAACGCCCTTTCCTGTTCCAATTTCCAGAATACGGAGGTTGGGCTTCGAGTGGCCCAGGGCCCGGATGAACTCGCCCCGTTCGAGCTGTCCCAAGAACCCATAGACTCGGGCGAGATCACCCTCTTGCAAAACACCCTCCAAAGGTTCACCAGCGAGTAGGGCATCGATCTTATTGCAGATCTGATGGATGACATTGGCGACTGGGGCTGCAGAAGTATCAGCAAGCTGGGCCTTGATGCTTTCAATCCGGGCTGAGATGGCCTGGGTGTCAAGGCCTGTCCAGGTTGAAGGCAGCTTGGTCACTATCGATGTTGATTGAGCTCGAATCCAAGCAATATACTTTTGCAGATGGGGCAGAGTTGAATGGCTTGCGGTTTCAGTGAAATGACGCTGGGACAACAACAAGCAGATTTCTCCGAGTTCTTCAAGCAAGCGCGATTGCTCTGAATGGTCTGATGGGATATGAATAAGATCATTCACGTCCAGGAAGTCGATGTCTGGCTTCCACTCGCATCGCGAAGCAGCGTGGTCATCATTCGAATCAGCTGAGCCGGCGCCATCAGCTAGAGACATCCGGATTCCGGTGGCTTCGACGACTTCTTTGCCCTCGGCTATGCAGCGGCTATCTCCAACGACGGAGAAGTTGCTTGAAAGCTTCGCGGCCGAACTGATTAGCATGTCCGAGGAGCATCGGTGAATGGTCACTTTGTCGATGCTAGTCGGCAGCCAGGTCTTGGTCTTGCGAGCATAGCCGTTGACGGCAGCCGCGCCCAGAATCTGAAGTGTGCCGTCGAGCGCGGTGGGATGGATGAAATAGTTGCCCTCGTCGCCTTGTCTTCCATTGGCGATGTTTCCAAGAGCCTGCTGTTCAGAAGTTGAAGTGGCAATAGTCTCCAAGGTCTGGAAAGACTGTCCAAGATTCAATCCACCTTTAATCATCTTCTCATACCATTTTCTGACATTAATCTTTCGAGGCAGGGGCTCGGGCTCTACAGCATCTTCAGGGGTGGAGGGCAGAGCGCAGACCTCTCCGGAGCAGTGTTTGGTCCAGTTCCGTCCGTTGTAGGCTGAGACGGAGAACTCCCACCATGAGCTATTCAAGGAGTTTGTCAGACGGTGCGGCCGGAAGTTAGTCATAATCTCCGTTGGCTTGCCTTCGCTGAGCACCAGAGCTGTGCTGACGATGATGTTGCGGATGCTGAATCCCCCATTCACATTTGTCAACTGTCTGATGGCCTCGCCTGCAAGAGCAATATAGCCACAGAATGGGTAGACGATGTTCTCCCCGACCTTGTGGTCACGAATCCATGGCACGTTCGTAACGTGGAGCAGATTCCGCCAGGCAGGCTCAGTGTCGCTGCTCTCAGCCACCCTTACACCGAGAAGGTCATGGTGAGGAGCTTTGCGGTTGCGCCATTCTTTGCTGAGGCGAGACTCATACCAGTAGCTGCCTTCATGGTTCCAGGGGTAGCGCGGAAGGTCTGGCAAACAGATACCACTTGGGAAGAGGGCCTCGAGATCAATGTTGACGTTGAGTGAGTGGAGTCCTCCAATAGCGGACAGGAACGAGGCGGTGCAGTCCTGGTTACGCGCCATTGTAGAAATATAGGGAGCAGAAGAGCGAGCTTGAGAGAGGATTTGTCGCAATGGTCCAGCGAGAGCTCCGTGGGGTCCGACCTCAAGGAAGACAGCATTTTGGCCAACCTCGTGCTTCAGAATGGCAGTGACAGCCTCGCGGAATCGAACAGGCGACTCCAAATTGTCCTGCCAGTACTTGGGTCCGATGGTGTCCTCGGCACCCAGGATTCTTCCACTCACACTGGAAAAGAAGAGCTTTGATGGGGTTTTTCCAACCACTTGTTCGCCAATCAAAGCTTGGTAGTCACTTCCAATCTCCTCCATGTGGTATGAGTGGTAAGCCTTGTCGACCTGGAGCTGCCTGGCGAGCATTTGAGGCTGCTTCTGCTTGATAGCAGTGATGACAGATTTGACAGCATCAACATCGCCAGAGATAGTAACGCTCTTAGGAGAGTTGTCGCAAGCGATGGAGACGTGCGGGATAAGATACTTCTCAGTCTCACTCCAACCCATTCCAACCGCAGCCATGGCTCCTGGCCTTTTCTGCTTGGTAGTCACGGCTCCACGATGGTGAGCAGCGGTAATGGCCTCCTTAGCAGTGAGAGCACCGGAGGCATAGGCGGCAGCGATCTCACCACTGGAATGACCCACGACGGCGGCCGGGACAACTCCAGCGGCTGCGAGGGTATCGACCAAAGCAATCTGGATAGCAGTGCACATTGGCTGAGAGAATTCCGCCATGCCGATACGGCTCTTCTTAGCTGGCTTCTTGAGTTCCGCCTCAATCGAGTATTGCGGCTTTTCACCGGAAATGGTCTGCAGGTGCGCATCGAGGGCTCGGATGCTTGCCTTGAAAGTCTTGTTCGATTGCAGCAGCTCACGTCCCATCTGGGGCCATTGAGCGCCCTGGCCAGTGAAGATCATCACAACGTTGGGCGCTTTCGTAGACTTGAGGTTTGCGGGCTGCGACACGCTCTCGATAGCCCCGTTGGTGACGATAGCATAGGCTCGGTGCGGCAAATGCTCACGTCTTCTTGCCAAAGTGTAGGCCAAATCGCTTATCTTGTCTGGATTTTTCTCAATCCACTCCTTGCAGTTGTCGACCACCCTCGTTATCGACTTGGCCGAATTAGCTGTGAAGAGCAGGAGCTGGGGTTCCTCTGGCGTTTCGTAAATTGCATCCGGAACGTTATAAGTAGCCGCAGACTCGAGAACAACATGGGCGTTAGCACCTCCAATGCCGAAGGAGTTGACACTAACACGTTCCAGCTTGTCCTTAGGCCAAGGCATGGGCTCAGTGGGAACTGTGAGCTTGGCCTCATCGAATGGAATGCTGGGATTTGGAGTGGTGAATTTGATATTCGGTGGAATGGTGCGATGTTCGAGTGCTTTCACCATCTTCAAAAGGGACACAAGACCGGATGCTGCTTCTGTGTGGCCGAGATTCGGTTTCACTGATCCGATATAAACACCCTTCTCTCCAAAGACGCGGGCCACAGCATTTGCCTCGATTGGGTCTCCAGTCGGGGTCCCAGTTCCGTGACATTCAACCATTGCAGTCTCGCCAAAATCAGTAATACCACCAAGCTCGTATGCTCTCCGAATCAGGGCTTCTTGTGCTTGTGTGCTGGGCTGTGATAGTGTTGGGGTCTTTCCATCCACGTTGTGGGATGTGGATCTCACGACAGCTCGAATAGGGTTACCGTCCCTAATTGCATCTGCAAGCGGCTTGATATAGACTGCGGTGACTGCTTCTCCGCGGGCGTACCCATTGGCATCAGCAGAGAATGTCTTGCAAGAGCCATCGCTTGACAAAACACCCTGCTCTTGCATGGCCATGGACATTCCTGGTGCAAGGATCAGGTTCACACCACCGACCAAGGCTGACCCGCAGTCGCCTCGGTTGATGGCAGCACATGCCTCATTTAAAGCGACCAGGGCAGAGGAGCACGCTGTACGGATGGTCATACTGTTCGAAATGTGAGTGAATTGCTCTTTGGGCTCTGGTTGATGAACGTACCTTGGTCCTTGTAGATCGAATTCGTAAGAAATACGGTTGGCGACAACGAAATCGCCAGAACCGGAGATACGATGAATACCCCATGGCTGACTCTCCTTTCCAAGCATCTCCAGCCAGTCTTCTCCGAAGTTACCGATATAAGTACCGATAGTCTTGCCTCTCCAATTGGTCACACCGGCGTCTTCAAATGCCTCTCGTGCGACTTCCAGCATGAGCCGTTGCTGAGGGTCAGCTCGCTCTACCTCTGTTCGCGTCATGGTGAAAAAGGACATGTCCAAGGCGCCGAGATCGACGTTCTCATCGAGGAAGTATCCATACTCCGTCGATACAGTTCCAGGCTTCTTTGTGTTTGAATAATATGAATCTACATTGTACCGCGATTCAGGAACACGACATCGACCGTCTTTTTTTTCAATGAGGAAGTCCCAGAGTTCTTCGGGTGTAGTCAAGCCTCCTGGGAGACGACAGGCCATACCACAGATAGCGATGGGGATTTGGCCATTAGTATGAGTTGCAGTGCCCAAAACACCGTTCCTGCTGTTGATATCGGCAGAGACTCCGTTCGTGGACTCACCATTAACCGGCACATTGGCGACATCGTCGCTGGAATGCCCGTTGGTGAACCCATTGGTCGAAGCCACGGGCACTCTACGGCCCTCGAATGTGTTGCTGTTATCGATAGTCATGGCGGGCCTGTTCGTGAATGTAGATCGAAAATGCAAATGGCCTGTCTCATCGCAGAGAGATCTGCACTTGACTTTAGAGTAAAACATAACAAGCCCAACAACGTGTATACGTCTTGTATGCTCTTCGGGGTCGGCTCGGCAAGCCGGGGTCGGCAAGCCACGCCGTCGCCTCGGTTTACCGATCAACAGGGCCCGCCGGGACCCGTTCAGCGCCCCGCGTTGGCAAAACGCCGTCTCTCGGGCCGGAGCGCCGGTGGGGGCCATTATTTTTAGTTGACACTCCCGATTTGGACATAAATGGGATTGAGATGGGACTGAAACGAAGAACGTCGTATTTGTCGAATCATAAAGGGTTTTCATTACGTTCGCTCGGTCGCATCTTAGTCGAAGAATTCACTATCTCGTCATGGCAGTCCCTGACAAAATCGTCTCGGAGCTGGCCTCCTGGATGAAGGACCAGAAGCTAGTGGCTCCCCAGATGAAGGACGCCACAGCATTCTACAGGAATCTTGAGGAAGCTCTGGATGTTCGACGATCCACCCAGTCCATGAACACCCGAGGACAGAATACATGGAAGGATGGGAGCGCCATCGACTTCTGCTCCAACGACCTTCTGTCCTTGGGACGCACTGGAGAATTGAGAACTGAGTTCCTCTCAGAACTTGCCAAATACCCCGACTTTGCGCTGTACTCAGGTGGATCGCGTGTGCTGGGTGGCAACTACGACTACATCGAGAAGGTGGAGCAGGAAATCGCTGACTTCCTCGGTGCAGAGACCGCTCTCATGTTCGACTCAGGATTCAATGGAAATGTTGCTATCTACACTTCTATTCCTCGTCCTGGAGACGCCATTGTGTACGATGAGCTGGTTCACTTGAGCACACACACCGGTATGGCCGCGTCGTTGGCTGCGACTAAGGTTGCTTTCCGTCACAACGACATCGATGCCTTTCGTGAGGCAATGATTTCCGTTATGGAGTCTCAGCCCATGATCCAGGATGGTTCGCGCTCTATTCTTGTTTCTGTCGAGTCGGTATACAGCATGGATGGCGATGTTTGCCCTCTCGTGGAGATGCTCGAGATTGCCAGGGAGATTTGCCCTAAGAAAAACTTCGCCTTCATTACGGACGAGGCTCATGCAACTGGAATTATTGGTCCCAAGGGTGTTGGTCTTGTTAAGCACCTCGGTCTTGAGAAAGAGATTGCCGTTCGCCTGAACACATCTGGAAAGGCTCTAGCCTGCACTGGATGTGAGAACCCCTTTACATAACTCCCATGTTGGGCGACATAACTGACAATTTCAAAAGCGGTGGTTCTTGGAAGCGCCACTGTCCGAAACGCAATGCTGAACTTTGCTGGCTCTGTGACAAATACCACAGCTCCCTCCTTCCCTTCTGTTGCCGTTGTTCGATCGGCTTATAACTTGCTGCGGACTGGTGCTACCCAGAAGGTATGCAATCCATATATTGAAGTGAATCTTTACATGTCATACTCACAGGTTTTTCCAGGCTCAAGACAACATCCAGCATCTGGTAAGATACTTCTTCAAGAGCGTCAGCTCCCACACTCTTTGGGACCAAGCGAACGATATGGGTCTTCTTTCCATTCCCATCATCGAGGAATCAAAGGATCGCGATTTCGTGACGCACATCGTTCCAATCTGGACCAGACAAAAGTACAACTGGTGGCTGTTCTTCCACCTGCAACTGGCTAAGATCGCCGTTGTTCCCATCAATTATCCCCAGGTTCCCAAAGGTAAGGCTCGCCTAAGAATCATGATTCACGCTACAAACACTGAATCAGAGGTCGATTACCTTGTTTCTATGATTTACGGCTTCGTTAAGGAGATGATGGATATCGAGGAGAGTGGGGAGAAGGGAAAGATTCCCAAGGCTGCGCAGAAGATTTACGCGTTGATGGCCGCAAATGCGTAAGGCACGGGCTATGTTGACAACGCCCTATATAAGGGGTTTTGAGGGGCAAGAAAGTATAATCACCTATAGATACTGCTAGATTTGAAACGCGGTAAAGCGTGTTGGAGCCAAGCCCAGTTATGAAAAATGTCGTGTTTGCAGGGTCAGTGAACTATGACAAAGCGAGAGAAGTGCCCATGGACTGGGATTTTATCTTCAGCTGTGGTACAGGGTGGGGTTAGACCCTCTCGCCCGGACTGAGAGGACCCTGTTGCCTGAGCGGTTGCGGGAACATAAATGGGAGTAACTCCTATATAGATTATCAACCCATATTCTCTAGGGGAATCGTGAAAATATGCCATCGATAATTCGGTTTCGTATATATTCAAATTATATAAAGTATGAGGCTTTCAATATAAGATAGATAGAGACGTACCTGTGATAAAGCGAAAGGTATTAATATTTTTTTTTTCAAGCAGAATAAGCTTAATCTTATTCTAAAACTTTACTCATTCGCAAAGTTCTACGTATCTAGAAGAAAGTGTCGAATCCAAAGGCACGGAAGCAAACAGTTCTTCAACCATCTAGCTAGCAGCGATATTAGCTAGCTACTGCTTGATGGATTCTAGGATCTGGGGGGTAATGCCCATATTTGTCTCGTAATTGCACCACGAAATTAAATCCTAGGGATCTAGTAGGTCCTATCTTATATGAAAGAACCTGATGCAAATGGCAATATGGCAGGTTGTCAACATATAGGGGCCCTTACTCAAAACACTCGATTCTAAGAAACAACTCTCTTGGCACCATGAAATGTCATTGGGACTAAGTTGTCTATGCAAAGACCCTCTTTGCCGGGCAAGCGGTCCGACCCTTCGGGTTGACGGCCCGAGCAGCGTCAGTGGCAGGGATTCTTGGACAATTGAGGATAGCTTATAACTTTGAGCTTTATTGTATTTCGATAGTACCACGCTAGAACAGAATCTCCTCAGGTTCTGAAGTCCCAAATACGCATTGATTCAAAATGGATGACAAAGCATACGCTCTCCCTCCAGGTTCTCGAGTTCTTGTGACTGGAGCAGATGGCTATATCGCTTCACAGATAATCAATCTATTGCTAAGTCGTGGGTATCATGTCCGTGGGCAAGTGCTTGAACATCGACAATGGCTTGACGAGCATTTCAAGGGGAAATATGGCAATCTTTTCAAGTCTGTCATCTTGTCTGACTTGGATGATCGCGAGGGCATAGTCCCTTTGCTAGACGATGTAGCTGGCGTGATCTTGGTGGTATGGGAGTAAAGTTAGTACCGAAGTGGAAATGGTGCGGGACTGACTATTGTTAGGCAATGGATATGTCCTTTGGAGATGACCCGAGCATTGTCGAGAAAACAGTGAAAAGCACTCTGACTTGGCTCGAGGTCGCTGCGGAATCGTCCTCAGTGAAACGCGTGGTATTGACGTCTTCTTCCTCTGCATGTGTGACGCCCGTGGCGAATTCACCCGCTCGATTTGACAAAGGCATGTCCCAGAGATCAGGATACGACAATGTGCTAACAAGTACCAGATTCATTCAACCATGCAGCCGTCGCTGCTGTCCAGAACAACACAGCTGAGATCCCAGGTATGATGTCCGCGTCGATATATGCCGCCTCAAAGACAGAGGCAGAAAGACAAGCCGTGAAATGGGTACAGGATCATGAACCCTCTTTCGTTCTTAATATGGTTTTGCCTTATTGGTGTGTGAGTATTGCCAATTTGCTTTTAGCTATAACGCATTATTGACTTTATATAAGCTCGGACCTCGCGTTCACCCCGAGGCCGGTAGTCCAATGGGAAGTATGGGCATGGCAAGTGCGCTCGTAAAGGGTTACGGGGACTTTATGTATAGGTTCCCACCCAGTGAGTGAATTTCCAACTCTCTCTCTCTCTCTCTTATACTGTTCTAACGGTATTCAGTGTGGTATGTGAGTGTCGAAGATGTAGCATACCTTCACATTGCCGCTCTTCTTCATCCAGACCTAAAGCTGGAACGCATTTTTGCTATGGCAGCACCGTTCAACTGGACTGATGTTGTGGAGATCATTCGCAAACTCCAACCGGATAACGATAAGATTCCAGATCCACCAGCTGACGAAGGCCGCTGTCTGCACGAGTTCCTCGAGGCTGGCAAGGCAGAGAAGCTTTTACAGGAATTCTGTGGACGGTCTGGTTGGACCTCGTTGGAGGATTGCCTTGTTGTTGGATTGCCAACATACGACTGATAGTATATTGAGAATGAGATGGATTTTTAAAGCTAAGTGGGAACTATTTGACGCGTTCCTGGTTTCTCAAGCGCAAATAGAACCTCCTACGTAGTACGGAGTAATATTTATTTCTATTTATTACTTAAAAGAGTGTAAAAAAATAACTAAAGTATCTATATATTAAATTGTATTTAAACTATTTAATTGTAGTTAAGTTATAAAGGTTTAATTTTACTAATTTTCTATAGGGAAAATGTGGTCGTCAGCTGACTAAACACGGTATTCTGCCATAGTTAGATGTAGTCTATGATGTCGCCTTCGACCCGCCATATCTACATAGTTTCGGGTAGATAGCTTTCTTCAAGAATCAACATGCATCACACAGTATTTTGACAGTCTTCTCACACCGCTACCAACCAGCCGTCACTATCAACCAGTCGTCCATCTGCCGCTGTCCGCTACATGTGTTACGTCTTTTACTGCTGCGACTCGATCTGATCCTGTCATTATTAAGTTATTCGTTCCAGTCAGTCAACGAGCAGATTGATCTATATTGCGAGGTCCATTTCATCACAGCCATGTCCTCATCACAGGAAGGACGTGCCGTAGAGGCAACGGCTCGTATGACTTTAGATGAGATGCTCGCAAAATACCCAAAGCGTTCCGTTGAACAGGCCGTGATCCACAGGAACTACAAGGAGTATGGACTCTTATTCCCCCCTGTGAATGTCTAATCCACCTTTTGACGTCTAATAGAGGAAGAGAACAGACGATTCGCAAGTTTGAGGAACAGATCTGTCGAGGGATTCACGTCGAAACATGCATGGCGGGACTGAAGGGTTTCTTGGAGAATACGCCGCCAGCACCCCCGTATGAATCTGTCTCCGAAATCCGTGTCCGCCGCTAATAAACAGGATAGGTTCGATCCAGAAGAGCCCGAAGACTTGGATGAAGACGTCCAGTGGCGGCTTCGAGTCCTCAAATACATGGATCGCGTTGGAGAGGGTTCTGATGCGGGTTCTGATGAGAGAGACTTGAAAAATCGTAACGCCATAGTGAAAGCTTATCGTCAACAGAAGCTGAAGGTACAAGATGGTCAGATTACGGTGTGGTTTGCAGGCCACATGGTCATGGGTCCATTGTCACAGCGTGATTTTGACTTTCAAGATATCATCGACGATATATCCAAGTGGACAGAACAGTATGGGCCGGGTCGTATCTGGGTTGAGGACGTATGCCATCCTGATATTATAAGATTTAAAGGTTCTGACATATTCAATAGGCTACTCTACCTCTCGCAAAAATGCAATCAGCGGCCATTGCGCCGTATGGGCAATGTTTACAACACGTGGTGTGTTGAATTATGTCCTTATTTTATTTATCTGATTCTCATCACATGTAGCATGAAATAAGGGCCCGCTTGATAGGAACAGTTCAATTTATAACTTTGCAGAATATTCTAGATGATACAGGTTCGACATATCTTGAACTATTTCGTGGCGACGACTGTCAGCAGCTTGGTCTTACTCCAAATTATCAGTTCTCGAGGGGCCAGGCAACATTATCTACCGCGAACGGTTTCGTACAAAGGCTATTGATTGAACTCGAAGTACAGCTTCTTATAAATGGAGCTCCCTTTGGAGATACTGCTAGAGTCACTGCCTGTATCACGCCTGGCTATGGGGGAAATGAGTTGCGGTGCTCTGGAATGTTTCTTCGTAGCCAGTTCTTTACTGCTACTTCTCCCTATAGTGGTGACTTGTATGTTTCTGATCGAAAGACTGGTGTTACGAGGCCTCTTCCGGCAGCTTAGTATAGTGGGACTCAGCTTTCCGGGATGGCTAAAAAGGGGGTTCTACTGACACTGTCACGTGTAAATAAACACGCAATCTCGTTATCCTCATGTTACTTCGGCATATTGCTTCATTTGAATCCTCGAAATTCGACAGAGGTCCCTGACATGGGACTTCATATCTGCCGTGTTAGATAAAGTGTGAGGACAGATAAAGGGGAGAAGATCATGACATTATCACTCCCTATCCAAGGAAGGAGCGGTGTTTGATATTCTCATACTTATCCTTCCCTTAAGTCACCTTATAACGCCATGCAAATGAAAGTGACCATCATCGGGTAGGCTGGCACAGGTTGGCCGTCTGATCCCGAGATCATCCGACAAGTCGCTAGTTATTTACATTCCCCAATCCCCCAAGTCTTCCTCTGCTCTGGCCTTGTGAGCAGTGTGGCCGAAAAAAAGGAATAGAGAGGAGACTCCAGATGACTAGACGCATTATTATCGCCTGGGTCTCCCTCTTCATCGATATTGTTATACATGGATTCGTCTTGACGTCGGATCTTCAGCATTAGGGCTCTTCAAGCACGGTAAATTTGCTGCTGCTCTCCAGTGCGCAGTGCACTTATTGACTGGATCGCCGAATCGGGTACTGCCGAGGAAGCATCATTGGGGGGCCACGAGCGCGGAGCCAGGCGTCGTTGTGTGGTCCTTCGTTTCGGATAACGCTGCCAATGGACATAAAGAGACTAAATGATTCCCGCAAATGTCAGTTGGCTTCTGCATGCGAACTGTGAAAAAAGCACCAGGGAAACTGCGCGAAGAGGGATTTCTCGACGTACCCGAAGGTTGCACCTGAGCCAAGCATGTACTTGCCCAGCGTGCGCATAACACCGTTGGGTCCAGCTCCGTATTGGAAAATGGTGACGGTTCCTATATTTCGAACGTCAGCATCCTGTGCACCTTTGAAAACGTTTCCCTGTCGAGGCTTCTGTTACTGACCAACAATAAAGCCCATGATTGCGCCAACAGCTGTCAGATCGTCATCAGTGAGTGTCTGCCATGGTCTTTGGTAGGTGCGACGTACATCCGCCCATCAAGGCACCCATTTTCACTACACGTATATGTCAGTCTGACGATTCTAGCACAGTCCATAACTCGAGTCAATTGAAACAAGCAAAGGGGACATATCCCACGGAGAAATGTGCTAGGTAGGTAGCTATAGCTTGTAGACACTTACTCTTGTCAATGGTGGAGGGGCCGCGGCCCGGAGCAGGAGCTGCCACGATAGACATTTCGAGATAGAAAAGAAAACGAGACGAGGGACAGAATGATTGCTAGAAGCCAGTGATGCAGAATCGTATGAAATGAAGACGAACTCGAAGCATCTATCTAAGTATTATTCTTTCTATTCTATCCAGAACGGGAGCCATCCGGGTCTGCCGCGCCCGCCGTAGCGGCAGCTCGCTTAGGGTCACGTGCGGTGTCAGCCTCAGGCGAAGACAAGTCAAGTCAGAGAGAGCGTGACCCCTTCTCCCGCAGTTGTGGCCAACCCATGGATCCCCGATCCTTACGTCTTCTGAGCATCCCCAGACTGTATCGTTGCTGAGCTGCTTACCTCCGAGTCTGCGCAAGGCGTGTCAGGGTCCTCGTGTGGCCGGCCGTCTGTTGTTAGTTTACGCTCATCCCTTTGGCAAGCTTTTCCGGCGGCTATTCCAGGAAACGACACCTGGATCGGATTCCGTCTCTACACGCAGAGATATATGCCACCGACCGCCGTGAATCCGTCTCCCAAGTGGTAAGTTTGGCATCATGCTCCTGGCTGAGATATCGAAAGATCGAACCGCGCCGGCCTGGGCGACAGGCATATGCAGGCTGGTACAGAACACTAACGCTAAGATCTGTTGACAGTGCAGCGACCGCTCTATCGCGTCTTGCCTCGGGTTTGGCGCTTGCTTCCTAAAGTATCCCTATGATCGTCGAGACCGTCCGTCTACCGCTCAGACTGCAGCGTCCTTCAGTCTCGGCTGCTGCGCCGTGAGTGACGTTTCATCTGGCCCGGGAGAGGACGGTTCACCAGAACCCCGGTAGCAATATCGTTGATATTCTTCTTTTGTCCTGACCCTTCCTACCCATGACTGCTGTAGCGTCTCCGCCGAGTGTGCAGTCCGGGCCTCGTCTAGGATGGTATGCTTCTGGTAACGGAGGACAGGGAAGTCTGACTTCAGTGAACGCGGACGAGGTATCGCGCATGTTCATGCCACGGAAGAGCGTACAGAGATCCAACTCTTCATCCTCGATATCGTCAACTTCGTCGACGTCTACGGTCGCCGCAGCTTCTCAATCGAGTAATGGTGGACAGCACCCGGGCAGTGAAGGAGGAACCTACTCATCGAAAAAGAAACCCTCGAGAGGTCTTTGGCCGAGCTCAAAAGCGGAACCCGTCTCTGGCGTGACAAACGCTCGGTCACAAGCCGTCCCAGCGCCGTCATCTGGGCCTACGGCTTCGTCGGCCATGTCTGCCATCCATCAGCCGTCGCCGATAGTGCCATCCCAGCATATGCTCCAGTCCGCACAGCAAAATGGCATCCACCCGGGGGTTGGGCCATCAAATGACCCGCCGGCAGTTCTGACGCTCCTGCCTCTCAATGGCACTTTCGAGAGAAAACAGATAAATGTCCCATACTTCCCCGAAGTTCTGCGAGTGGGTCGTCAGACGAACGCGAAGACAGTTCCGACTCCTGTCAACGGATATTTCGACTCAAAAGTTCTTTCTAGACAGCATGCAGAGATATGGGCTGATAGAAGCGGAAAGATTTGGATCAGGGATGTAAAATCCTCCAACGGCACCTTCGTCAACGGACAACGCCTCTCCCCAGAAAATCGCGATTCTGAACCTCATGAACTCCGCGAAGGTGATACGTTGGAATTGGGAATTGATATTGTGAGCGAAGATCAGAAATCTATCGTTCATCACAAAGTTTCGGCGAAGGTCGAGTATGCTGGTATATATGGGTCGAATCCCAACATTCTCGACCTGAACTTTGGGGACATCGATCCTACGTCGGGCGGAGGCCTTCTGCCCTCCCCCATCAGCCAATCCTTGGCCCATCTTCGTGGAAGGCCCGGCAGTTCAATGAGTAATCGGAGTGCTCAGAGTGCCGCTAGCAGCCAAATCAGCGCGCTACATCAGCAGCGCCAGATGAATTATTGGGTCTCGCCGATCAGCATTGAACAGGTCGTCAAAAGGCTCTCGGTATGTTTGCTGTATAGCAGTTCAGGAACCGTCAAGCTGACAACATTTAGAATGAAATGAAGCAGGCAAAGCAGCAGACCCAGGATCTACGGCAAACTGACGACTTCCTCAATGCGCTCATCACTCATGACAATTCCGACAAAGAAAAGGCTAGGCCGGTTTCGCTCGAGAATAACTCTACTCGTCAGACGAATGGAAGGCCAAAGGTGCCACGGCTTGATCCAATTTCAAGATTTACTGATCCGCCTGCACCGCCTCCTCAGCAGCCCTTGCCTGAGAAACCGGATGCGCCAACTCGTGCAGCTAGTGACTCCATATCCAGTCTGAAACGTTCTGATACAGAGAAGCCGAAGCTCTCAGGTGGAAATTCACCTATGGCTCGGGAATCGAGCCAGGTTCTTTCTCTAATCGAAGCACTATCATCCGCCAAGAAAGAGTTAGATTCACAAGGTGCTCGCGTGAAAGAACTTGAACTTTTGCTCCTTCAAGAACGATCAGCCCGTGAAAATGCCGAGGAAAGAGCTCGAAAGCTAGAAATACAAGCCTCGAGGGATGGCCAGCCCTCGGAGGTCGAGGCTGCGTTCGAACCACCGAATGAGAAGGAAGAGAAAAGTACGAGCGAAGAGCTACCGCACGAGAAGGCCTCCGTTGTCGATGGCCTTAGCCCATCTCAAGTTGCTGATGTCCCTGAAATAAACGGCGAGGTGCCGTCTGTGGACCCTTCGCCCAAGCAACTGCAGCAGCGTTTGGATAATATGGTTGCCGAAATGGAAGAGATGAAGCAGCAGGTGGAGAGCTTTAAGAAGCGAGCGGAACAAGCAGAGCAAGACAAACAGGAGGCACGAAAATCACTCGCAGAAATGATCGAAACATTGCGGCGTGAGCGCGAAGAAGCTACTCGCGCAACGGATCATAAGTCAGAAAAAGGCATCCCTGACCGTACAGCATCTGAAGATGCTCCAGACCCTATTGCTCAATCCCGTCGTTCTGTCACTAGCCACCAGGTCAAGGAGCTCGAAAATGCATCCACTGCATTCGCGACGCAGCACCATCGAGACGATGTTTTGGTTCAATCAAGCCCTTATGCGTCCATGCTTGGTGTTGTTCTTCTTGGTGTCGGCATCATGGCTTATCTTAACGGTTGGCAGAAGATGGACAAATAGTTGTCCGCTTGTCAAGCTGTCGGGAATGTTCAGCTGCTGGCTTGTCAGTTTGATTCATTCAATAGAGGCATCACCGGTGGGGCAGCCGGTTCGAAATTCTAGTGCTTTTTGACACATCTGCTTTTCACCATTAGCAGCATTGTGCTGTTACCTGTTCACAAAGCGTTTTAGTGGTTGCTCTCGGGGTTTGAGGAGTTTGCTCGGTTCCTATTATTCTAATCAGCGCCGGCCTTCTAGAAGCATTCGCTTTGTTTCATCTTTTTAGTTTCTAATGTCGTTCCGTGCTCCAGTCATGATCCCCTGGTAGCAAGGACTCGATACGTTCCAGCATTTGCTGTATGTTTCTTCCTGTTTCCTGTTTATCGTTCGGGGCCAATGCCTGAATTGGCCCCATACCAGCGTGTGTACTACACTGTTCTCTCCTTGCCACTATTTGTGACCTCATCCAGTAAGAGGATCTGCTCGGCGGCCTCTTTGTCGACATCTTTTCTCCTTTGTGTGTACATGATCGGAAAAAACGGGTATGCGATGACACGGGAAATCTCTTTGGACCGAACCTCTTCTGTTTTTGTTTGTTTTTCGCTTTCTCTCCCCCCACTTTTTTCTTTACTTTTCTTGTTGAAGAGCTTTTATCAGACTTTGTTCGGAGTCTGGGTGGTGAAGGTTTCGACATATGTATTTGCCAATTATTACAGATGAGTCTGAAAGTGAGTTATCACATAACAGCCTTATTCATTTCTTCATTCGTCTCTCCATAGATACTCTAGAAACGATTGGGTTGTAAATACTCGCATGAGGACGAGGAAGTTTTGTTCGTCCTATCACTCCTGATATATTGAGACCAGTTGAGCTGAGCCCCAAGACACCAATTTACCCTGTCGTAAAGGTCATCATAGTGCGCCTCGAACTAGGGTCCCTAACGGCAAGTGAGAGCGGTGGAAATTGGTTCTATATCGTTACCGCATTTAGAGATGAGCGCCTCGTTGTCTGTCCCAGGATCCGACCGGGATGGCGCCGTCAGTTCGTCCTCTGATGCCAAACGTCGGCATAGACGTGATTGAGTGTCAGATTGCCTGATACGCACAGGCATGAACATCCCTTTGCTCGAGGAAGCTGTAGCTGATGAATAAGTTCCACAGACATTGTGGACGATAGACCGCTGGACTAATATCCGGCAGCATGATAACGGCGAATGCTGTGGGCGCTACGCCTGTTTTCCATCAAGTCTCTTATCCCAGTACGGAACGACACGATGTACCCATGGACGAGGATCGCCATGATCATTCGGTATTTGTCGACTCCTTGATGCTGCAACTGCGATCTTCACTTGAGCGTGATAGCGATCTCGACCATGTTCACCCATCGTGTTCGAGATTCGGGCAATTCCACATCACCAGAAACGGCCGCCTTTGCGCGTCGCTTTCTTTTCTTCGACGGCTGCTTCGATGGAGCAGCAGCTTCCGATTCCGCAGGGCGAGTCGCATCTTCGCCGATCGCAGTCCCATCCTTCTTATCATCATCACCACTTTCCTCCCCTATCTTCTCCTTCTCCATCTCTTTCCTCTTCGCCTCCTCATCCTCCACAATATCATCAACAACCAACACCGTCCCCGTCTTCACTCGCACCTCATACTCCTCCTCTTTCTCCTCAAACCACCTCCCCACACTCAAAGCCCTCTCAATCGCTCTCCCAGTCGCCTTGATGAAAACCTCCTCTTTCCTCAACGCCTCCTGACCCTTCGCTAGACGCGCCAGCTTCTCTTTCTCACTGATCTTGTTATTGCCCAGGTCCACGCCCGCAGTGGCTCGTTTCTCAGCATGGCGCAGCATTTTCTGGACGCGCTTCACGACGCTCATGAAGGGAGTGTTTGTGCCGACGTAGATGACTTTGGGTACGGAGGATCCAGCGTATGGGGACGCGACTGGGGGGTGGGGGATTGGTCGTTTCTGCACGCGGGCATCTTGGATAGTGTAAGCGTTGGGGTTTTAATTAAATCCATTCCCATCTGGGAAGAAACCAGCAGTGGATATTGTATAGAATATTAGAAATGAAACGATATGAAACAAAATAAACGTACATTTTGGAAGTCTCACAAGATCTTTATTCTTCTTCTCAAATTGCAGATCTTTGCTGAGAAGCTTCTCTTTTGCCGCCATGACGGAGGTAAACGGAGAAAAAAGGATCAAAAGAATCCCTGCTAAGTCTCGTGGGGATTCGTCGCAAGACTGTCTCGGAGATAATAGTTAACTTGATAATCAGTAATCCCCTCTCAGAAGAATAAGAAATCTGGGATGTTGTTTTGCGCGAATAAATCAACCCTGGAGAATCGGCATGAATTAGTCTATGGTACAAGGGTGAATTCTGCCGCTTTTCTCCGCCAAACTCTCTTCGTTTCACGTGTTGGTAGTCTAGTAGTAGTAGGATTAAGTATGGGGGTTCAGGAGTTTTATATTTATATCCGACACGTTCTAGGTCTGATCGCCGGTTTAACTTGGTTGATAATTATGTGGTTGATTTATTTTGGGGAATGAGGAATACTGAGCTGTTGGTCTACTTACTACCGTAGTACCTATATATTTCCTAACTCCTACGGGTAATAGCATCATGCAGTGAGTACGAAACAAGTTCGTATCTCTCATTCCATATAGATATACTGCGATGGATATAATCCATCAAAAAGAACAAGAAGCTCATGAAAGACGAAATGAAATTTCCAGTGATATACGGTAAAAAGTACAAGTTCCCATCAAAAGCGCATTATCCTCCCAAAGTCCCACAAGGCTATCCCCTATATCCCGTCCATGCTTTCCCATGGACAAAGTGGTATTTCTGAGCTGCCATGGCTCTAAACACGATCCAAACCCAACGTGATTGTAGCATTGGTTTCGTCGCTCGGGAGCCATGGTCTATAGCACGGTGAATGATAGACCTAGGTCATGCAGGTCCTATTGATAATGCATCACAGCCACCCTCAACTCGAGATCTTATCATGCCGTTTACGCAATGAACTCTCTTACGGCGAAGCGTCCTCGGCCACGGCGACCGCCTCCAAAGCCTCCAAAGCCTCCAAAGCCTCCAAAGCCACCATGCTGGCCACCTTGACCGCCCTGGCCGCCCTGAGCTTGGTTGTTTTGACCATTGTTTCCGCCCTGACCACTGTTTCCGCCCTGAGCCTGGCTGCTCTGACCACTCTTGGCAGCGCTGCTGGAACTGCTGCTAGCAGCGCTGCTACCAGTGCTGCTACCAGCGTTGTTCTGGGCATTCTGCTGGTTGTTGCTGCTCTGGCCAACAGTGAACTTCTGGCAGTCATCCTGGGCACCACGTTGCGCAACCTAGCAAAAAGCCGTTAGCCAAAATCACCCTTCCATCTAGACAAAACTATTCAAACTTACAGGCATCAGAACGGGCTGGTGGTTAGCAGACGAAGTCATGGTGCAGACACGGTAGACACCAGCAGGGAGGCCTCCAGCAACATCGGCTGATAGACCGCCATTTCCATCTCCGGCATCGTTGATACCCTTGAAGAAGGCGAATTGCGTTGCGTCAGGAGGTTGTTGAGTGTTGACGTCGTTCCCGAGAGACTGGATGGTGACATGGGTGTGACCGACGACCTTACCACCCTGCAAAGCCTGAGGGGCGGCATAGTAGGTGTTATCCGGGTTTGTGAAAGTACCAGCTTGAAGGTTGTCGACTTGCAAATTGACTTGGAAGTCCTGGTTAGCTGGGATATCCTGCATAGCTTGTGGGTTCGTAATAATGGTCGAGATCATGTTGCTCTGTGCTGGAATATCTCCCATAACTGTAAAAAGTGTCAGCCATAGTTCACGAGTATAATCAAATGACGGTGAGACAAACCAATTCCACTGCAGGAGCCCTGCTTCAATTGCTGACCGTTGGTCAGAGTCTTTCCGGAACAGAAGTTGATGAAGTTGGCATTGTCCCTAAGTCTAGTCAGCAACGATCTTTTTGGTCATGGGGTTATCAACTTACGTTACAGAGGCCGCTGTTCCAGGGTCTGCAGAGGAGTCAAGTCCGTTGGATTGACTCCCTTTCTGGACATTGTTCGGATCCAGTGCGAGGTCACTGCTACTGCTTCCGCCGTTGTCGTTGTTGTCGTTGTTGTCATTGTTGTCATTGTCATTATTACCGGCCAACGCGACGTTCAATGCGCTGGTAGAGGCCAGCAAGACCAGGAGGAGGTTCTTGTAGAACATATCGACGGTTGGACTTCAAAAAAAAAAAAGGATTTGAAGGCAAACTTTCAGGACAAGGTTGGCGTCTTCCACAAAAAGAGATATCGACACTCAGTGCTCGCGGTGGTCAAGCGAAGGACTTCGAAAAAATTCCGGCTGGCGGAGTATTGGTAAATAGATACAACAAAGTCGACTGCAAAATAAAAAGGCAAGCCAAAGAAAATAGATCACGATCAACGTGATTTCCTTGCTGAGAGGAGAGCGAAGCCGCGAAGGGAGACTGGTGGGAGAATGAATGGAATCCCTCAAGAATGCAAAGCGGCACAAATAACTACCTCTGGCAGATTGAGAAGAAAGGAGAGAAGTGAACTGAGCAACTGAGCACGGAGTAGGAATGGAAGAAAACGGCCGGAAAGGCTTGGACATGAAGGGCTATTAAATGCCAAGACGATCACATCTCGAGAGAGTGGTATAGATCATGAAGCCTGCATGAAGCACATGGGATAGTGTGAAACCGGGCCTGGCGGGGGGGACTGTCGCAGGGTCCCGAGGGAGAAGAAAGGTTGGTAACACCATAATTAGTTCTCCGACAAACTTGGCAGATCGAGGAGCAAATCTGGAGGCCTTCTAGACAGATTAGGAGTGAGAACAGCCGCTCTATTTCCTGTCTGGGTGTGCTAGTTACTCCAAGCGCCCCAAGAGAGACACCATAGGAACCGAATGGGCGTGCCGTCTGACGATGAACGCCGCACCTTCGTCTGGGCTGATACACCCCAGAGTCCGAGCCACATCTGATCGATCGACGAACACTGGACACTACTGATGAGGCTCATAACCACCGACCCTTAATACCAGTCCTCGATCGCGAGGCGTTGCAGCGGTCGCGATGATCGTGACTGCATAGAGTAAATCGTAGAAGATAAGTTAGCTTACCATTTTCGCCTTCAATAGTTAACTAGTCCCCGACAAGCAAGACCATCACCGAAACCTGGAACGAGATTATTTGCCTTTCATCATTTCTAGATGCACGGTATCGCAGATGTTTGTCAAGCGTACCTTGTATTTAGACACTTTGTTTGGACGTAGCAGCTTCGATTGGGTGTTTTCCAAGCATGCCTAGACGCTATCTACATCGCCAAGGCCATCACCACTATCAAGGACGTCTACGTTTCGATCTGTGAACACTTCGCCAAATCAAGTCATGTCGGGCATTATGGCCTCTCGATATAGATGGGTTGTCTCATGCTCGAATACTCTAAACTGATCGGGACTGAAGGATTCTAAGTGCGGCAACGGTATGATTTCCTAGCCCAGCAGTCCAGCTGTTTCCAAATCTGTAGTGGCGCCTGTTGTGTAGCCCCTGATCATCCCAGGACAGGAAATCTGACAGCACATGTTCCATCCTCGAAAGCGACAGACGATTAGCACAGACCAGATTCGGCAATATGAATAATCGGGGCACCCTTCGGGATATCCCGCCCACGCTGGGTTGGAGGATTTTCTCCTATTATCGTCGAGCGAGACCGGAAAGCTCGGCCAGTCGACGTTTCGGATTCTCGGACAGGATGTCGACTGCCCTATATCACATCGTCTATAGTTACCTGCGTTTCTGGAAGTGGCGGCTTAGAAAGCAGATACTGCACAACCGGTCCCTTTTTATGGATGCCGCTGGTACTTGCTCTGTCCCATCTGAACCGATGAGACAGGTTTTTCCTAGAGAGGAAACTCGAAGTCGCTGAGGGAAATTTTGTCAGTGATCCCGCGAGTAGGACACAAAGCTGACGTAGATAACCGACCCTGCCACGGCAATGTCGGCTATTTTCTAGAAGAACCCTCTCTGTCTCGCGTTAACACTCGAGTGACCGCAGCATGGAGGACAATGCATGGACTCCTTCAGCATGGAATCGCCCTGGATATCGGACCCAGACGTATAAGCAGTTAGGGATGGAGTATCAGAAATCAATTGCCTCACTGTGTTTTCCTAGACAGGCGAGAGGTCGACGCCCTTGTCCAAAAGAAGAAAAGCAAATCTGCGTTGCTTCTTCTCCAGGGAAATGTATCATGTCTATTGCCCTCGATGACAACATGAATTGTTGAAAACCAAAAACCAAAAGGAAAGGAACAAAGATAGTAAGAGCAGAGAAAGTGAGTTGAAAATACCATTGCCGCATAGACTGTCAAGAGACAATATTAGTGACGATAATAAATAGTCCTTCAGAACGAATTCCGTCCGCCATTGACCGGTGGGAAAGCCCTCATGCAGGCCACAGTGATGCTTGAAGACAATTGATATACCAATAAACAAACGATGGCAATTTCACAAGAAAGAGTACAAGCATAGATGGCACTACAAGATTGATCGAAGTAATTTGCCCTCGGTAACAAAGACTGCTTTTCCGGATAGTGTCACAGACGCTACTTTGTCTCCGTTCTCATTCAGTACAACTTCAACGCAGATCTGGCTTGGTCGGCCCATTTCGACGCCTTGTTCGAAAGCAAAGATGTGTCTGGATCCTTTGCCGCCCTTGTGCAGAGCCATATAACAGGCGATAGTGCTACACGCAGCACCGGATGCTGGATCTTCAGCACCATCTGCAATCATTCGAACGCGTATTCGGTTGATGTGAGGCTCTTCTCTTGAATCGGGGTCAAGCTGCACGTAATAGACACAGCCGCGATATGAGGATCCCCAACCATCATCCAGGTAGGCCTCCGGCGCGTCGCCCACCTTCAAGCTCTTCAGTAAAGAGGGCTTGTTTGTGAAGTCGACGAGGGTGAAAGCCAGGCCCTTGACAAACGAAACCAGCGGAAAGGAACCTTCCATTTCGGCGACATCTCTGTTTTTCCGAAGGTTTGGTTGGACCGCCAGAACGTTGTCTGACGGTGTCTCCCTTTGATGGATGTGGACACCATGCGGCACCTCTGCTGCTGCAACCTGTCGACGAGGGTCGAAAAAAATCGGAATGCGACCCGCTTTCGTTAGTAACGTCGAGGTCCAAGGCCCTTCCTCGTTGGCAATGTGGTGTTCATGATCCAATTCCCGAAAGATGTAATGGGCGGCCCCGATCACCGCCTGACCGTCGAAACTCAGTTCTTCGTTCCGACTGTAGATATCCAACCTTCGCGAGGCACCCGGTTCTGTATCATGCAGGAAGGCCGTCTCCGCTAGATTGAACTCCCTTGCGATTTGCTGTTTTCTTTCCCGCGGTAGGGCGTCATTCCTGGTGCTTACAATAGCTAGCTGGTGACCACGATATCTAGACAGATAACTAACGTTAATATTGATGCTTAGTGATAGATAGTTCGTAACTATTGGGAAGTTATACTTCTCTGAGGTAAAAACATCGGCGGTCACTGCGGTTGGTCAGATCGTCTGAAGATCGTAAGCCAGAGGCTGATCTACTTACCAAAAGTGAATGGTCCGGAAGCCATAAGGGCAACGGAATCAGCTTCCGCTAAACAAGCTTGAAGCGGTGGGCGTAGACTGGCTGGTTGGCTGCTAATGCAGCTTAGGCGCAAGGCCGTTAGCGATCGCGAAGTCAGTTGATCGGAACGCGATCTTCTGTGCAGTGTAATTATTGGCGATCGGCAACGTTGACGACTCGAAAATGGTGAACCAGGCGTTCAGCAAGGGCGACAACTGCCAGAGGATGGATTTGGATTTTGGATTACATCGAGAGATGTCGTGCGGAGAGACTGATCATTATAATTCAAGAAATGACGGTCGCAAGACATGGCCGTCATGTGCTCTGCCCGCCATCATGATGATTCATTGACCGCATCCGGGCACACAACTTGATCTTCTGCTGTGCGGATGGGCAGTCATATCACGCCACGATGTAGACCAGGAATGTTCGACTGGTCAGCCTCTGCTAGATGCAGCTGTGCCATCAATCAAAGATCCTGCTATCCAGCGCAAACGTGCTTGCATGCTGGGTGACCTCCATATCTACATATGTTACTTACTTCTTGACTCTACGTCCCTCTTAAAGAAGGTCTATCTACCAGAGAACTTCCCGCCGGAATCTCCGCAGAGACCAGAGCCTCTACCATGGTGCCTGCAGGGGCGAACAGCGGAAGACTCCGTAACTTAAAAAGAATCTGGCCAGTGCTGTAAATAGAAGCCGTCGAGACTCGAGAGTCGAGAGCGATTGAGAAGCCCCACTGGCTCAGCCTCTATCTAGAGAACAACTGCATGGCGTTCGTCTGCACGCATCATGACACGAGACTAAAAAAGACGATCGCGTATCGCGCAGCTCCGTGTGAAAAGAGAGAAGTCGCTCTATCTATTCTCGACCCAACACGCTATCGCAGGCTCAGAATCATGAACTAACAACTGCCGTCGAATGTGATAGTATGACTGCCACGGCAAATTGGTTGATAACGTCCCTTAATAATAATTGGTGGCTGCTATTGTTTCTTCAACAGGTCATAACTTTCGTAGATTTCTTTGTCGAGACCCGAATCTGGGCTCGCGATGTTTGCCTTCAAAGTGACTAACCTAGCAGGGCTGACAGAGCGTCCGCATGAAGCTGCTTTGCTAACACTACAACCCCCGAGATGGAGGGTGAGAAGTTGATACTTCATATCTCCCGGAGGATTGTGAGACACATCCTTGGCGGTCTCCCCTTGCGAACTGCAGGACACAGGAGGCCGTGGATGTCCGCGAGGGAGTGCGTCGGAGATATATCATCTGTGACTGCAAGGATCGGTAAGATTCGCTTGCTTTCCCCGGGACTGAACGCCGAGATGTGATCGACGAAACGGCTCAAGCCATCCGACCCTCTGACGCGTGAGTTGGCTGAGCAAACTCCCGCGCGTCTGCCGATGGGACCTCGCTGACTGTTGACAGTTCCCGAATCGATTTACATAGATCGACTAACTTCTCAGGCGAGCGGGGAAGACAAGCAAGGGCCGGGTCTCGCCCGTCCTGGCCGTTCTATTCCGGAGGATGCGAACTGGATATTGTGTTTTCCGGCAGACTGGGCGGCCCAATAAGCGTCTGTCTACTAACGTGAAAGCTTCAACATCTAGGATCGGAATATCTCACGGTTGGGCGGAAGACCAGTTCCTGCCCCTAGCTTGAGGGCAATCAACGCCACTAGTTCTCCGAAGATTGAAAGACACGGCCTCGTGGATGCTGACTGGGTAGACGAGCAGTTATTTGATGGAGGTCGAATTCGCGACCAGGATTAACGGTTCGAGCAAACGCGTGCTCCCTGTAAAATCAGATGCGAGCGTAGGAGGGAACAAGAAGTTCAACTGTGCCCGGGCATGATCACCACCATAGAGTAACTACGTACTCTAGTCGATCCAGGAGTGTCGACGGCGCAGCGGGCCCGCTTCTGTGTCTGAAAAGATGGGATGGGAACAGCCGAGTCGGCCCTGTAGGAGGAGGAGGCAGTGTCTCCGCCAGGGAGTGGACTCGTGTGGGTTGGTTCAGACGGGGGATCCGTAGGAGTCAGTTCATAATCCGAATGCTAATAATAATAATAAATAAGTCGAGGGAGGCGAGACGCTTTGTTGTTTTCGTGCCGCTCGAGAAAACCTCTGTCCTGGACCGTCAGCGCTGTCTCCTCTCTTCAGCCTCTTGGATTGAGATAATAGAACGTCTTTCCCTTCAGCTGCGTGTACTCAGTGGATCTGCTCGTGCTAATTTTTTGGTCGATCTTACTGCTTCAGTTCATCCCAAGGTCTTTGCGCGCGGGTTTCACTTTTTAGTTTGGGTCCGGCCCAGAATCCGTTCGTTCGGTAACAGTCTGACCGTCTTGCTCACGTTCAGCTTCCCATCTATTATTGCCAGCAGATCTCCCGGCGAGATAGCAATTGGGCCCAAAGACAACTGCAGATATTAGTTGCTTGTGGTCCTTTGAATCAAACATCACCAGACAACTTTTAGAAAACTTGTGATCAGAAGATATAGGGGGCTGGGAATCCGCCAACTGCACACTGCGCGAGCAGAAAGACAGGGAAGATCAGCGAAGAAACAATAACATCAACCTTCATCGAAGAGCACATAACACACGTCAAAGGTTATGGCAGAGCTCTTTTTCGCCACCCTCACTGAACAGCACGCGTAATTACTGAAAGAAAGAAAAAAATAAATCATCATCTGCACTTCCCCGCACGCATTAACATCACTTGTTTTCTCCTCCACAACTGTCAAAGACTCAATATCGACATTCATTTGCTTGTGATCATCGACCTTTCGAGATCTTCTCCATGAGGATGGCGGACAAGGAGCGTTCTGGCAGTCTCTCTGAGGACTCTGCCTTGCCTTGGATTCTCGATCATTTCTTAAAATATCCCGGTTCTTACGAGATCCCATTGCGCACGATGTATGCTTTGAACTCGACACCCAGCGCACAACCACAGCCACAGCCAACTTCACGACCGCCGACAGCATTCTCTCGCAGAGGTGCACAGTCGCCTCCTGCGAGGTCTCCGCCAGCTTCCCCAACCTCTCCTGGGTTTCCATCGGACGACAGAGCCTGCCCGGCTGCACAATTCAGAGCTCAGCTGTTGAGCCAGATATCTCGTTTGCCATCTCAGCCCTGCTCGCTGCCTCCAAGTTTCGTGACATCTTTCCTTCGTCGTTGCTTTAGTCCGAATATCGATGAGGTCGACTTCCCTCAGGCACTCACTGGCCTGGACTATCTCAAAGACCTGGAGACACGCCGCAGAAAAGAGGTGTTTGCCGCCCTCAAAAGACTTGGCCTTGACCGCGATGATCTATGCAGCAAAGATGAGCTTGCGAAGAAATATCCTGGCGTGTTGCGCTGGCTCGAGTCCATCGAACAGAATGAGCGAAAAGTAGAGGCCCTGTACACTCAGGTTTATATTGGTCTGCGACGTTGGGTAGGTTGCAATTTCTCCAACTTGAATATCGATGATCTCCCCGGCTAACATAAGCGCAGACGCTGCTCAACGAGATGTTGACGGAACCATTCAGCAGGACAAACTGCATTGTCATGCTCAACACTCTCTTTCCGCCCGTCACAACGGCAACCATCCAGCCAACATCACAGCTGACGCCGAAGATCCTGCAGTCCCAACGCGATGGTTTCTGGCGTTACATATCCGCGGTTGAGACCAATGGGAAGCAGATCCTTGACAAGGTCATCCAGCAAGGGGCCCGGGAGGGCGACGAGACCGGTTGGCCTCTTGTCCGCGATGCCTTGGACAAATATCTTCGACTTGCCAATTCTATGATCGACGAATGTAACGAGGTGAATGGCCGTGACAGCCTCGAAGAGGAGGATTGCTCTCGTAAGAGCCACAAGGGTCGGAAGGTAGATTCTGGAATCAGTTTCGGTTCCGCCGAACGACTTCCACCTGTCAGCACCAGCAGCAACACCGCAGCAGTCCTGGACAAGCCTCTTCCTCCATCGCCTACCTTTTCCAAGAAATCAGGCAGCTCCACCCTGGAAAGAATAGCCAAGGAGTTCCGCAAGATGGGAGAAGGCAAGAGCCGCAGCCTCAAGAAGATGCGCTCCACAAGTGCTCTTAGTGACCGCCATGAGCCCTTGAACAGCAGTCAGAGTGATGCTCCGTTCTTCGACGCTGATGAGTTCAAGCGTAAGAGGATGATCTGGGAGGCCACGACCAAGAAGAAGGGATATCACTCGAAACAGGCCAGCACTCAGTCGCACTAAGCAGTGCATTCACTCCCCGCGTGGGGACTCTTGAATATGATTTGGAACACCTTGAACGCCTGGATGAGCTCAGGATAGACCAGTCATTGCCCACTTTTCAATTCTTCGGTATTGAGCTCTTTCTTGATTGATTGTCATTATTACCGGCGGGGTTTGGCTGGATTGGCATGTATTCCCACTAGGTGTTTGGAAGGATCTGGCGTATGGAAGGAACTATGTCTGATACGAAAAAAAAAGGCACGATGATGATGCATTCCTTGATGATTTCTTTATTTTGTCTTTCACCTTTCCTTGATGGACTTGTACATTGAAGGTCGTTCTCTGTGATTTTCTTTTCTCTCTGTTGCATATAGTTAGTGACTTAGAGTAGCTATTGATAGCCTGGAGTTCAATCAACTGAGCTACAAAAAGAACTGAGGACGTCTGGTATTCTTGTATCAAAGAATAACCATTAGCGTAAGCACATCTATTGAATCCAGTCACTCCACTATTATTGATGTCGCTCATTATTCAAACAGTAAATGGGTCGGAGGTCACCGCCCTGCGTCTTTGGCTGCTTCGCCCGGCGTAACTAACAAGTTAGTGCTGGAGCTCCGCTATGGTTCGCGCTAATCGATAGGTGTCCAGATGAGCTATCTGGAGATCGTGTAAGACGCGAGCGACAACATCAATACTACAGAACCTTCACAAACTGAAACCCGCTTTCTGGAGTACAGGGCTGCATTAGCCGTGCTAGATTGGGGCTAATTGCCCGCAATGCTATATCCTCTGCTTACTCAATCGTGAGCGAAGAAAGCATATACAATCGCTGCTCCTTTTGTTTAAGACCAGAGCAAGGAAGGGTCCTGAGAGAGGAGTCGTCCACGACACAGCACCACGATGCTGACAGCTAGGCTCTGCCACCTGTGGCAGTCGAGCCTTCTGCTCATGACGATAGTCCTGCCTCTGCTGGCACAGGCAGGTCCATCAGTCAATGTTGCTCTCCAGGCGTCGTTCAATTCGGCGCCGTACCTTTTAGAACTCCTGTCAGTATGTCTGGTGTGATTTATAGAGATCCGGAGTCAATTGCTGATTTTTTGTGGATAGTGAGACAGCTGCAGAAGAAAACTCGACGTCCTATTTCCCCCTCCTTGACCGTATCGCTGAAGGCGCGTTTGAGCACTCCGTGACCGAGAAGGAGCTCTACGATCGTTTCTTAGACGTCTTACAGAAAGATGGACACCTTGTAGGATCAGAGAGCTTGTCGTCATTCAAACTGGCCCTTTCGATCCGATCTGCGGCCCCCAGAATCGAGGCTCATTACCAGTTCTACAATACTTCTGTCCAGCCGTCATTGGCAGTAGCCCAAGATGCTGCCTGTCCTGTCTGGGCGCATTCGGACGGAAAGCAATATTGTTCCTCTACTCTGGAGCGTGCTCAGCAAGGCGTTGATGGAGAGCTGTAAGTCTCCTGCTTACCGTACGCTTTACGGCCCATAACTAAGCTTGATATGCAGAGATCCCCGCGAGTTGCCGTTTGACCGAGTGCTTGGGGACATCTCTGCGCCGCCATCTATCCTCTACGCCGATATTACCTCGCCACTGTTCAACGAGTTTCATCTGAAGCTGAGCGCTTTAGCGAGGGACGGTCAGATTTCATACCGTGTTCGCTACCGACCTCCCCAGCATGCAGAGGCACGTCCCCTCTTCGTCTCCGGATACGGCGTGGAGCTTGCTCTGAAGCGAACAGACTATATTGTCATCGATGATAGGGAGGCCGATCCGAAGGATCAAAAGATCTCCGCTGGCAAGAAAGCTTCTATAGCGGGAATAGATGATCTGAAAGAAGAGTCGCCGGTCGATCTCAAGCCGCTGTCCGCCTCAGAGCTGTCAGGCTTAGGTCTGAGCGCTGCCAGTTTTATAGTGAATAGCGCTGATCCATTGGAGACTTTCCTGAAGGTCACTGAGGATTTCCCCAAACATTCATCCGCAATTGCCGCCCATAATGCAACGACTGAATTCCTAAAAGAATTCCGCTCCAATCGTGCAGGGACTTTATCTCTACCTTCTGGGTACAATGTTATGTGGATCAACGGTGTCCAGATGGACCCACGACAGATTGATGCTTTCTCGCTTCTAGAACACCTACGCAAGGAGAGAATGTTGATCACCCGGTTTAAGGACCTGGGTTTGTCCGCTCAGGATGCTGTTAATCTATTGTGGCATCCTGCCCTTGCTGAAGTGCAAACCACGGACGAGCCACAGCGTTATGACTATAGGGACAGTACTGAGGGTGGCAATGTAATCATTTGGTTGAATAATATCGAAAAGGACAAGAGATATGAAGGATGGCCAACTGCTCTGGTAGCGGTAAGGACTACTTTGCTGGTCCCTGTCATGCTCACTGGATTCTTGCTAATGAATTGCATAGCTTCTCCAACACAGCCGTCCTGGTCAACTCCCCCCAGTCCGCCGGAATATCCACAATGTTGTGGTCCCCGTAGATTTGACTGATATCGACGACATGCGGCTAGTCGTAGAGACCTTACAGATGTTCGTCAAGCGGAAGATACCAGTCCAGTTTGGCCTCGTGCCCACTGTCAATTCTCCAGATGCCATCTCTCAGCTTAAGATCGTACATTATCTTCACGATGCTTACGGTTTGGCTGCTACCCTGCAGTACTTGGAGGAGGTAAGCTCTTGGCAAACTCCAACTCATCGGATAGTGGCTAATTTCAGAAGTCACTGTCAAAGAACCTAGCGTTACCAGATAAGTCTTCTTTCCAATCGGCTATCAAAGATCGGAAACTCCGCCCCGATGCAAAAGGGCTTTCCTTTGAAGATGTACAAGCAGACGAACTTGAAGACATTGTCTCACGCACGACTCGTTACCTCAAGCGACTTGATGCTCTGGACGGAAGACCACCCACTTTCGTTAACGGCGCACCCGTAGCTCGTGACGAGAATTGGATGCAGGGTTTGACTATGCGCGTCAACAGGGATCTGCAAGCCATCTTGCAAGGTGTCTTTGAAGAGATCTTCGAGGAAGATGCATGGTTGGGAGAGTATTTCCTGTCTCAAGCAGCCGAGAGCCGAAACAAGTTGATTATCCCTGAAGACGCGAAAGATATCCGTATAGTCGACCTTGCTTCGGTATATGATAAGCACGAAGACAGCATCAGCGACCTTCCTCGCTGGAGCTCCACCAGTGGTCAAGGTCACGCTCTGGAAAGTCTACATGTGATAGTCGTTGCCGATCTGGATACTCGCCCTGGCCTCGATCTACTGGCTACCATACTCAGGTTTCGAAGGTTACATCAAGAGGCCGAAATACTCTTCCTGCACAATCCTTCAGCGGGCTCGCAGCCAGATACTTCGGTCACGTTAACTAAGATTCTGCGAGACGGTAAGATAGACACTACGGCACTAGTAGCAGATATTGAATCGGACAACCTCAAACGAGAAGTATCCGAAACTGAGGCGGATGAGATATCCAATTATTGGTCCGAGAAGCAGGTTCTCGCTGAAGCGCTTGGCTTTGAGCCAGGAGCGAGAGGTCTTGTCTTTAACGGCAGAGCCATCGGTCCAATTCCGAGTTCCGCAACATTGGCTGCCATGGACATGGAGCAACTCTTGAAATATGAGAAGTCTAAACGCATAGAGCCTATTTCTAAGGCTGTCAAATCTCTTGGTGCCGAGTCGAAGTTGTCTGATCCGTCGAGCTTCGCCAAAGTCGTCTCGCTTGTGGCTCTGTCCTCGATACCGGACGTTCCAGAGGGCCTCTTCGACACAGGATCTATCGCGCGTCTCAACGTGTTCACGAAGTGGGAAGGCACTCATACTGCTATAACAACTTCAACCTCTGAGGACGCGTTGATAAATATAGTCGCTACTATCGATCCCACTTCTGAGACCGCTCAGAGATGGGTCCCGATTCTCAATGTTCTCTCAAAGATGGGCGGAGTGGATATGAAGATATTCCTGAACCCTAGGGAGCAGATTCAGGAGATCCCAATCAAGCGCTTCTATCGTCACGTTCTAGAAGCGGAACCTTCATTCAACAGTGATGGGTCTCTGGCGCGACCTGGAGCATCATTCTCTGGCCTGCCCGTCGAAGCTCTGCTAACTTTAGGCATGGACGTTCCCGCTCCCTGGTTGGTGGCGCCTAAGGAGTCTATCCACGATCTAGACAACATCAAGCTGAGCTCAGTCAAGGACGGCTCGGATGTGAATGCCATCTATGAGCTCAAGCACATCTTGATCGAGGGTCATTCTCGCGATACGACTACCCTCTCTCCCCCGAGAGGTGTTCAGCTTCTTTTGGGAACAAAGAATAACCCTTATTTTGCCGATACCATAATTATGGCCAATCTTGGTTACTTCCAATTCAAATCTCAGCCAGGATTGTGGAATATCGAGCTTAAACCCGGACGCAGCCAGCGCATTTTCAACCTCGACAGTGTTGGGAGTCTGGGATACACTCCCCAGCCTGGTGATGACAATAACGAAGTTGCCTTGCTATCTTTCCGCGGCAAGACCCTCTTCCCTAGACTGTCTCGCAAGCCGGGTCACGAGGATGATGAAGTCCTTGACATCGGTCCAGCTCCCGGGTCTGCCATGGATTATGTCTCCAAAGGCTTCAACTTCGCATCTAGTGTTCTATCCAGCGTTGGAGTGAAAAGCGGCTCGACGGAAAAGCATGCGGACATCAACATCTTCTCCGTTGCAAGCGGCCACCTTTACGAACGAATGCTGAATATCATGATGGTCTCCGTGATGCGGCACACCAAACATACAGTCAAATTCTGGTTCATTGAACAGTTCCTGTCTCCGTCCTTCAAATCTTTCCTTCCCCACCTGGCAGAGGAATATGGCTTCTCTTATGAGATGGTTGCTTACAAATGGCCGCATTGGCTACGAGGCCAGAGAGAGAAGCAACGGGAGATTTGGGGCTATAAGATCCTTTTCCTTGATGTACTCTTCCCTCTCTCCCTAGACAAGGTGATCTTCGTGGATGCAGACCAGATCGTCCGCACTGACATGTATGACCTCGTTACTCTTGATCTGGAAGGGGCGCCTTATGGCTTCACCCCGATGTGCGACTCCCGCGAATCCATGGAGGGTTTCCGATTCTGGAAACAAGGCTACTGGAAGACCTTCCTTCGCGGCCAACCTTACCACATCTCCGCCCTCTACGTCGTCGACCTGAACCGTTTCCGCGCTCTCGCAGCCGGAGACCGTCTTCGTGGCCAGTATCAAGCTCTTTCCGCTGATCCAAACAGTCTGAGCAATCTCGACCAAGACCTGCCGAACAACATGCAGCATCACATCCCGATCAAGAGCCTCCCGCAAGAATGGCTGTGGTGCGAGACATGGTGCTCTGACGAGTCTCAGGCGCAAGCCAGGACCATTGACCTGTGCAACAACCCGATGACCAAGGAGCCTAAACTAGACCGTGCCAGACGCCAAGTACCCGAATGGACGGAGTACGACGAGGAGGTGGCCTCACTGGCTAAGAGAATCGCAGCTGAGAAGGAAAAAGAGCAAGCTTCCCGTGATGAAACACGGCCTGAAAACGAGGACGAGGACGAGGACGAGGACGAAGCAGCTTGGAAGAAAGATGAATTATAGAAATCTCGTTTAAGACTCACCGACCATTGTTATGTCCAGAGTGAAATTGCTCTTGTTTTTTTCCATGATGTATCATTCTGGATATAGAATGACTGTTTAGCGTTTAGACGTATTTATATAGAAGCGTCATTTTTTAGGAGCTCATGAAAAATAAGAAAGATTTCAAGTCAAAAATAATTCACAAGGGAGCTAGATATGTAGGGTATCTCAAAGCTATCATTTCCCAAACAATACACAGCAATCATTACAATGCAGAAAAAGATGACCATCCCAGCTTTGCTTCGCGTGTTGAAAGAATAAGATTTACAGATCAGAAAAGATCCCCAGGGGATAGGATAGTTTGTTGGTTGAAGAAGGAAAAGAGAGAGAAGACAGACAAACGTTTCACAGTGAAATCGTACCCGGAATAGCGTACAGTCTGTGAAAAAATTCTCCCATAGCAAATATAACTGACTCAAACTTGTGAATGCTTGAAAGCTGGGAATGACATTGAAATCATGGAGTTCCAAATAGATGGATGAATGCTTTGACGGATGTCGCCCTAGATCCCTTTCGTTCACTCACTGTCGCTTTCACTCTCGCTTTTAATAGCGGGGGAAGATGAAAGCATTGAGCGGGCGGGGGCCTTTGGGAGAGCGCGTTTTTTAACCAGTGTTTTCTCCTTCTTCTGAGGCGCGGGTTCTGGGTCTGATTCCGACTCTGATTCTGATTCTGATTCTGATTCTGACTCGGACACATCGGACTCTGATGTCGACTCTGACTCGGATTTCAACTCGGTTTCATCAGAGATATCACTACCACTCTCACTTTTAGGCATGGTCCGTTTTAGCTGTGTGTTGGTCATGCTGGGTGCTGAGTTGTCGTCTGATTCAGAGACGTTGTCAGAGGCGCTATCGGAGTCTTCATCAGAACTTTCTTCGGTTGAAGACTGCTCCGTCTCTGCTATTTCGTCCTCGACGTGTCTAGAGGTATTGGTCTTGGGCCTCTGAGGAGATTGTGCTTTACGCAGCTTTGCACTCGAATGGGCCTTAAGAGAGGACGCTTGAGATGTCTTCTTGGGAGGAACCTCCTCGTCTTCCGACGAGTCAGATTCGCTTTCGCTTTCGCTTCCCTCTTCGGATGATTCGTCCGATGATTGCTCCGTCTCTTCGACTTCGTCGGCTATGTATCCAGACTTCTTTGACTCAGCCTTTGCCGCCGTTTGGCGGGGTTCAGATTCCTCGCTAGCAGAGGAGTCATCGTCGCTTTCATTTTCAGAAGATTCGTCGGCTGATTCATCCTCAGATGCAGAGGATGACTTGCGTCGCGTCGCTGCTGAGCCGTTGGGTGTAGTCTTTGGAGATGCAGAAGATTCTGTATCTGACTCCCCGTCGCTCGTATCGTCATGACTGCTTTCTGCGCTGTCAGAAGATCTGTCCTTCTCAGACACAGAAGGTGACATCTTTCTTCTCTTTGCTGACGGCTTGTTTTTAGGCGCTGGTGCTTTCTTTACTGGTTCCGGGGTATCTTCGTCACTGGAACCTTCCTCGCTGCTTTCCTCGTCTTCGGACGGAGATGGTGACTTCTTTCTCTTTGCGGCTGTTGACGTTTGCTTCTTACCATCGGAGGCTTTCTCTGTTGTCGCAGGACGACCAGCGGCAGCATCATCTTGAGATCCCTCGCTTTCTGACTCAGGTTCAGATTCAGGTTCAGATTCAGAAGAGGACTCGGACTTGTCGGTGTCGTCACTCTCAGACACGGGAGATTGTTTCTTCCTCTTCGAGACTGGCTTCTGCTTGGCTTCAGGCTCATCTTTCTTTGCTTCACGAGCTTCTGCTGGCGGCTCAGGATCGGCATCATTGTTGTCACCATCATCCTCATTCTCATCCTCCGAATCAGAATCCGAATACACATATCTGGTGCTCTTTGGTGCAATCCGCCAATTCCCCTTTTTCTCAGATTCTACCCGTTCCGGCGTCTTAGATGAACCCTTTTTAGATGAATCCGTTCCCCTTGCCTGAAGCCTCGTCTCCCTAGCAGGATCGTAAACAGCGTCCGGTTGACCCTTCGCTCGCTGTGTGAGAACCAATCTCTTTATCTTGCGCCACTTGTCCGCGCACTGCTGTCTCGATCGGACGTTTTTCATCTCATTGCTCACAAAGCCCCAGCCGATAGCTTTTTCTTCCATCTCGTATATGTCCTTCCCTAGATCCCTGCTGTTTTCAGAAAGCAACTTGTTTCTGACAGCTGTCACAGCCTTTATAAGCTGGCGGGCCTCTTCCTCCGTCCACGGTCCCCGATGCATCTTGTCCCTGTGCTCGACACGATTCTTCCACCGCTGGACAACATCATCCTGGCTTCGTTCCAGCATCTTCGCGATTTTAGCCCATTGCGGCCCGTAGCGTTTGGCCAGGGACGCCAGTTCATCATCTTGTTCGTCCGTCCAATGATGTGGTTTTTGCGTCGAGGCTTGGAAGTGGCGTCGCATGAACCTGTATACAGACCGCCGGTTCCTGTCCGGGAGGATATCGTAGATGTTTTTCCAGAAATCCACTTTTGTAATGATACTCGAGTCGACGGGGAAGTCACTTTTGTCACGATGTGAGTGTTGAACCATGCGGTCGAACGTATTGGCTGGCAATCCATTGAGGTTGCAGAAATCGACCTTGTAGTTTTCGAACGCTTGTACTTCGTCAGCTCGAAAAAATCCAGTCAGCCTTTCCTTCTTCTTCTCTTTGCTCTCTGCGCGACTAGGTTTCGGAGCCGACAACGCTGCTGACGAGGACTGGGGTCCCGACTCATCCTGAGGCTGTGAAGGTGATTCTGCTGCATCCTCAGAGGATTCCACGACCTGTTTCCGCTGCTGCTTATTGTTCTGTTTCTTTGACTGCGACTTCGACTTCGACTTTGGTTTCGACACTGGCGATGGCGGCTTCTCTACCACAGGAACCGCTTTTTCCGAGTCTGATGCAGCTCGAGAATCGACTTCAGCAGCAGTAGCAGCAGCAGGCTCTGGCTCAGGTTCAGGCTCAGGTTCTCTCGTCGCAGCTTTCTTCTTATCTTCCCTGTCCGTTTTCTTATTCTCCTTCCGAGTCTGTTCTTTCCCTGCCCGTTCTGCCTTTTCAGTTCGCTTCCTCTTCGTCGGTCGAGGCGTCGATTCCCTCCCATTCGCATCATCCGAAGAAGACGAAGTCGAAGACCGTCGTGCTGGCGCAGAATTCCCATTCGACAGCTTCCTCTTGCGCTTCGTCACCGTAACCGCGTGCGGCGTCGCATCCTTAGTCCGCGATCGCACAGTTTCTTCTGCAGTAGAATCTATTTGCAGCAAGAAGCAAGAAGCGCAAAGAATGATGTTAGCCCGGGCTAGTTCCGCAATCGAATCGAATCAAGCTTCAAGAGAGAGAGAAAAAAAAAAACATATGCAGGGAAAAGTGCTAAATTCTAGAGATTCAACGTACAGGAATTTTCTTCATGCTCAGAGTCGTCCCCTTGGACTTGCTGTGAGGAAGCTTGACCCATTGCGATTTGATGTCAAGAGAGCAAGACGAGGATGTTCCTGCTGATGCAGCACCAATGGGGGAAGGGGCGAAAAAAGCTCGATTTCACGTCGTGGTGGTGGAGGGAAGCTGGAGTTGGAGCTCCGATTTGTCGGGGTATAGAAAAAAAAATATTAGGCCAAGGGAGGCGCGTCAACTGTCCTCGTGCGGACGATCCGTCGCTAAGTCGGATTCGGCACCGCAACTGCTTTTGGTGCGTGCATTTGGCAGTTGCGCCAGCCATGCTAGAATTGTTTTCGTAGTATATTTATCATTGCCGGTTTTACGAATTTTTATCTAGTTTTTTTGGAATATGAACCAAAAAGGAAAGAGGAATCCAAGGGGGTCCATTGGAAGCTTCGCAAAATAATCACATCCTGCATCATAAACTGCGCCGGGGAATGAATAGAAGACGGTGATATCCGGATAATAGAATAACACATAAGAAAAAGAATTAAGCGTCTATTTTCATATCTCGTAAGATCTTCGCGACCAGCTTTTTCTGGTCCGCGGCGTTCAGCTTGCGTTCGTCCGTCTCTACCAGACACCGTCCGATAGCAACCGTCATCTTCACAGCATTGTCGCCGCTGTTCGAACAATCAACCCAGACCTTTCCATTCCGACCAATTGCGATTTCAAATCCTCCCTTGCTTTTGAATCTCGCGCCCAGTTCATCGAGAATGACGATCTCCGACGCACCAGGCTTCATCAGTCTTGCTGCCAGACCGGTCGAGATCTCAAATAGCATCCCGCCGGTCAAGGGACCTAGACCGCCGTCTGCCTTGCCCGTCGTTGGATTCACACATGTTATTTCGACTTCCGCGCCGGCTCCCACTCCAACGGATAGGACGCGAGCGTAGACCAGATCTCCAGCCTTGAGCATCGGCCTCGTCTTCTTCGTTGCGCCTTCGAAGGCAAGCTGGCCCAGCATCACTTGCGGCGCATGTGGTGTGAGAGTACAGTGGAAATAATCTGGACTCGAACGGTTGACCTGCGCAATTACCAGATCATGGACGGTCGGAACGTAGCGACGGTTCGGGAATGAGAGGAGAGAGACGGCATTTCGCTTAGCATCGGTGGTGAGTAAACCCGCTTGCGTGGCGGTGATGGTGTGGCCTGAAGGTTTCGATCGCGATGAGGGTATCGTAGGGTTCTGTTGAGATAGAATGCGCAGTCCAGATCCTAGTTTCAAAGGGGTAGAGCCGGTGGAGGAGGGGAGGATGTTCGAGGGGACATTGTCGCCCGGTAGGAGGATCGTCGGGGAGGTCATGGTGAAGACACCTGGGTGCGCAAGAAGAGATGCAAAGGGGAAAAGGTCTATATTTCCAAGATGACCATGGCAGGACGTTTAATTCCGCCCTGGTATTGAAAAGTGCGCGGGGAGAGGGAGAGCGCTGATGGTTTCCAAGATGGTAGAGAACTCAAACGTGAGAAAAATAACCTTATCGATACCGTGTTTAGTCATCTGCCAACCGTTTCCACCTGCCGACCGTTTTTTACTATAGGATGCTGAATTATTAAATCTACTAGATTTTAATGATAACATATTCAAATTAATTAATATTTAGAAGGTTTAATCTAGGCAATTAATAGATTATATTAGACTAGTTTTTAAGATCCTTAAATTGCTTAGGCAATCATATCTGCTATCCTCAACTAATTACTGCTAAAGGGCCTACTTCAGCTTTAACCACCTATTTAGTAGTATTTTCTTCTAATATCTATTATTTTATAGATTTAGATCTCTTCCTTAGGCTCTAATTAGCCTATTTTAATTCCTTTTAAAGCTAAATAGCTGCCTGCTTTATTACTTTTTTTTTTTTTAAGGTGTTATTTTTCTTCCTATATTTATAGGCGAGCTAAACAGTCTGCTTTTTAAATTTTATATTTTTTTTAAATAATATATTATTTCTCTTCTCACTGCTGCTGCTACTAAAATTAAAGCTCTTATTTTTAATATTATAATTATTATTTAGCTTTCTCTTTATTTATTAGAATCTACTATACCTTTTAAACCTTAGTTGGACTAAAAAAGATAATATTATTATCTTCTAATTAGCAGGGAGGAAGCTATAAAGTTCTAATAGGCTATTGCTTTACCTGCTTATTAAAAATAGCATATTATAGACTAATATTCTATTGCTAGAAGAGTATATTTTTAGTATATAGGTCTATTATAATATTTATAAGCTTTAGCGCCTTCTTATTATATATATTATTTAGAACTTCTTATAAAAGTTTTTTAATCCCCTGTTAATTATTTATAGATAATACTAACTGACTTAATTTACTTAAAGAAGGCCTCTCTTCAGATTTCTTTTTAAAATACTTAAAAATAATCTGCAGATTAAATAGATACAGATCAGTCGCTGCCTACCTATTATTAATATTTTTTACTATAAAAATAGTATCCTAGCTAGAGAGAAAGAGATTAAAGAAATCCCTCTTTTTAAAACGGCTAAGTCCTAGATATTTATTTAGCTAGATATCTAAATAAATATTATAGGCTCTAGCTAATAGACTGAATAGAGAAATATTAAGCAGTTATAATATATATATAAAATAAGGCAGAAATAATAATAATAGAATTCTATTATAATTATAATAATTAATAAAGTATTTTATAATATAAGAATTATAGCTATTAAAGATTAGTAGCTAGTAGCCCTTATCTATCTTTACCTTGGTCTCCCTATCGAAGATCTTAACTAGCTACTAATATTCTACCTTATTATTAGTCTAGCTATTAGAAGAAAAGGTAAAAAAGTATTTATAAACTTTAGGATTAAATGCTTAAAGCTATATATCTTATAATTTCTTTAATATAGCCTTATAGATTAGAACTAGCAATAATAATATTTTATTTATATAAATAACAGCAAGCACTATAATTTATTTCTTATTCTTATCTTAGATTAATTATCTAATATATCCCTACTTATAGCAATAATAAAAAAAAATTCTCTTAATTTTTTTTAAAACTCTAATTATAAAACCTTTTTTATCTATATTATAGATATTATATAGCTTAATATTAAATTTCTATAGCTTTTAATCTATAAACTTAAAATATAGGGAATATTTAAATATAAAATTAGCTTACTTATACAAGGTATCTATAATAATACCCTAGGCTAATAAAAGATCTTTCTTATATCTTTTTATAAAGTGTAGTAGCTACTACTGCCTAAACTCTTTTTTAGAGATTTTTTTTATAAAGTTTTATAATATTTTATATAAGGGAGATAGGCTATATTTTATAAGGCTATTAATCTATTTAATAAATATTTTCTTTTATTAGATATTTAGGAATTATTAGTTTTTATATTAGACTATTAATAGACCCTAGACGCCCTTATATTATCGCAACAGGGTTATTTAGTTTATACTATATTTTTTTACAGTTTTTATATAATTAGGCTTTTTATTAGGCTTTAAAAACTTTAAATCTTTAAAAGCTAATAAAATAGGATCTATATTAATAATTTGGTAGGTAGTTGAATTAATTGGGGAATTTTTAAAAAAACGGTCGGCAGGTGGAAACAGTCGTCAGATGACTAAACACGGTAAAGTATCCACGTGATCTGATGTATCCCCAGGAACAAGATGGTCGGGCACATCTTATTGAACTGGATGATATAAGCTCCATAAAATAATATGTGAAAATTGCCATGTAATCTTCTAGGATCTAGTTAGTATGTCGTTCATAACCAAGATTCGAACCAATCTGTACGTTGCTGCTCAAACGAACTTAGCTATAGCGGAACCAGACATATATTTTCGATAACATGACCGACCCATCGATGCTATCCTCCCTCTTTAGAAACACCATTATCAACGAAGTATGAGAAGACCTGAGCAAAGAGCCCTGTTCCGACTACTGGTGATGGAATATCGACTGTTAAGATAACATCACTTCTGAATGTAGTATGCGCGATGAAAAGCTATATTCTATCCACATCGACTGAAGAATTATTGAGAGACCTCACCGGAAAGGGTCCCTGAACGAATGACCTTCCAATACTGTTATTCAGTTTTTACTGACTTGAAGATAATCAATATTTATTATTGTTAACGAATACCTCTTCAATGACATCCCACTGGATATTCCGCTTCGCATCTCTGGTGATTTAGACCTTGCCGATAACAAACTCCGAAAAAGTCACTGTTCAACTAAAATCCCTATTTCTTTCATGTCAGTGATTCATCATCCAAGCTGGTTCGCTCAATTGCTGTTTTCCAGATGCTACTAGAAAGGTCGACAGATCGGTCGAGACGGACCACAGGGTAGATATCTAGCCACTTACGCGACGTCGAACGACGAAAGGAGACTGTATCCGAAACACCGGGGAGGAGTAGTAATAAAGAAAGGCGGGTATGTGACTGCCTAGGTAGATAGTTGAAGTAGGCGCCAGTTCAAGGATCTGCATTCGAGATAAGCGCTCAACAGTCTACTGAAACATGAGGCCAGGCAATAGCTATCGCTAGCCTTGTTCTCGTAGAACAGTTACTATGGTTAGAAATGATCGGAGCGTTACAACCATGGTGGACTTGGGAGTAAACCTGGCATAGAGTGAAGTTCTCCTTGGCCATGTGGAGTGTCTGCCTGGGAAGGACGGAGAACTTGGCGTTCCGCCTCAGGCAGCCAGCGGCGACTGTCACGGGCTCGATCTACGTAGTAATTATACCATTCAACCTGTTGGGATTCAATATCGAAGATGATCGCGATCTGCTTCCTGGTTCGAGAATATACCACCAGACCGCCGTGCCAGGTGGAACGATGGTCGTAGATGAAATGACGGTGTGCTCTCATCGAGTATATTGACCCGCTTGGGAGTCACTTGTGCGGCTGGAGGTGATACATAGAGCGCAAAGAGAAGTTTAAGCTCATCATTGATGGGACCTTGACGTATGCAGGAGAAAAGACCGTGGGGACAAACTTCCAGCTTCCCAGATGTGAGGGGAACTGCACAGTTACTCCTGGCAAAGCGGGCCGCAGAAGGTTCCCAACTTACATCAAGTATAACTATCAGCTTCGCGGGTCTGACGAATAAAACATTATCGAGTCACGGTAAAACTTGACAAGAGAGATGATCCTTACATCATTATTGGTACCCGATACCGGTCGTATGGGCCCGTGGTTTGTAGATGGTAGTATCATTCAGATAGCTCTTATTTATTTTCTTTGGTCTAGAAAGAAATCGCAGGATGACCGAGCAATTCCTCCAAAGGAAAAATAGACGACACTGGAGGATTATGCTTTGGACCCATCAAAAAGACCCATCATATGTGTTGACTGCATGTTGTGCAGCAGAATATGCAGTCATTGTTGTGCAAGAGGCTGAGATGCCAACATCTGACATGCCGGGGATGCTCATCGCTGCAACCCAGCATGACATCTGCAGCACGAAGAAATATCGTCCGGACAACCCCGGAGACTTTACCCTGGATCTGCGAGATTAGCTTCGCAACGACGTACGGGACAGTCACAAGCAAGGAACACTCTTATCCCAGGGTGGTAGTTTCTAGTGTCGCATCGAGTATCCAAATCAGTAGTGAGACGCATCTTATGCTAAAACAGTAGGTGAATGCGAGAGATAGGATTTGTTACTCCGTCCAAAGCTGCAGTGCTGCAACGTCGCCTTTGGATATTTCCCTATCTCACACCACTGATCTCAACATCGTCCAACACGTGCTTGATCGTGGCTGCGCCGCTGGTATCCTGCGTTAACTGATCAACGCAGCACCTGACTCCGCGAGACGAACCAGACGTGGTTATTTTGTTCTGAAACAGAGACGGGGAACTTTCGGACACGGTGACACAAGTGATAGACCACCGGAAGTTCCTTTGATGCTGATCGAAGGCGCCGGTCAGCAGCTCAGCTCTGATCGGGTCTTCGCCCCGTTCAAGGAAGGGCGTTGAGTCTCCGGGGCTGAGAATCGACAGGAATCGCGGATCATCTTTCAAACATGACTATCTACCCCTGACATGGGATTATGACATGACGATTCGAAAGAAGCAGCGGACTAGCGCCGCGATAAGTAGGCTGCAAGGATCCGACGGGTTGGTTCTCCGGATAGCGACCATCTCCCCGTGTGGGGGATGTGCTTATCAGTGGTTGTAGTAGGAATAATGCGTATCTATGTAGTGTATGCATTATTATTGTTGAGAAAGCGATAGATATCAAGCAGCTGGCGATAAGAAACAGACCGCCAGAACCCGGCAGCCTGGGAATGGGGGCATCGATGGGGCCAGCCAGCGACCGCCCGGGATGGCTTAGGGCAGAGGCTGCCACGTGGGAAGGGGTAGTCGGCACAACAGTGGAGAGAGGATGGGAAAAAAAGTCCCCAACAACGACAGACGAGGCGGGAAACGGTATCTAGGGAAGAAATGAGGGCCACCGCCGTGGATCCTTGATCGTGTGCTCGCTTTCCGTTTCATAACAGTGGCAAAAGTTTCTCCATGAGATTCGGGGCATTCCCGAGTGGATCGATCGTTGTTTACTTCGTATACCTCAGGAGTCTTGCTCTGGTAGAGAATCACGCAGTAGATACCTGGTAACTTAGTGTTCTCTGTACAGTCAGTTCATCCCCGGAGCATTATTATTACTAACTCGAGACAAAGACAGGTGATCCCTCCGGATCAGACTCAGGGAACGCTTCTGCGGCTCTGTTTTCCCGCTTGTCCGAGCTACGAGTCGACGCTCAACACTGATTCGAGATCAGCGTGGTCGGGAAGGCGGATAGGTGCGCCCTGCACCTCTGACGGCAAGGGATCTAAGTATCTGTACTCGAGTAGACGCCGTTGGACGAGTCTGATGGACGGGTGACCTGTCATGCCTCGGCCGGAAAACATGCGTGCTAGTAACTCCGTAGACGATCTATGGTAGACTACGGAGTACTACTACTCTGTTCAACGGTCATGGCGGGGCCCTGCTCTAAGCAAGAAGCGGTGTAACTAGTTACTCACTGTACTGGGACATATAGTAGTCGGGACGATGGAATGATACACATGGAAAATAATAGGGCAGATTACAAGTGTTGATGTGCATGTATGGGCTCCGTCATCGGTGGGTTCCACGCAAGTCATCATGTCCCATGATCAGGATCCAGAAGTAATAATAATCATAGAGATTTGACAAGCATATGACATCTCTGCGGATAAAGGCGACCGCCATGCGAAGCGATTTCCTCTAAGGGAGCTTTGCTTACCCGCGCTGTGCCCTCACTGGAGGAAGGATTCATGACACCGCTGCAACAGGACTCCCATGCAATGCACACCGCGAGGAGTATTCCGGAGTATCTAGGATGCGAACAGGGGTTGGATGCTTGTTTCCAACCGAGGATGCGCAGTAGATAGTGATGAATAATAACGATGATCCCCATCTAGGAATTCTACACTACACAGCTGAAAAGAACGACATGCGGACGAGACAAACAACAGTAGTATTACCCGAATCAGGATCCGGACTGGGCGAGAGAGCAACACGACGGGAGCGTGTTCACCTTCCTGTTCGGCCAAAGTTGTTGAAGGCGAAGCACTGAGCAGTAAACGGTTCTGTCTCGTGGGCCGGCGGGTCGCGGATGGAATATCGGGTCCGATCTACGAACCAGCGTGCATCGAAATAATAATGCGAGAACTTCGCCAGCGAGGCGTGGTGGACGGGTCCGCACGACGGCGTCCCAATGCTGGAGACGTCGATGGAAAATCCGCTGGAACTAGACGAATCAGCACTTGAGGAAAAATGGTTTTGATTAGATATTTCTCTGATTTTCTAGGCGCGTCTGGGTCCAGCATGTTGAGGCTCTCCCGTGGTTCCCGGGCGACCTCTTAGCCCGAGTTTGCAAGGATGGAGAAACTGAACTACTGAACGAGACTGCGAATTAGAAATAGATAGACCAGGTCCCAGGATCCGATCTCTGTCCGAGATTTCCCATATCCTCGGATAAGCACATGGAGCGCGAATGGTGGGGGAAAAGACAGTGGTTCTTCTTCCTCTTCTTCTTAGCGTTTGATTGTTACGATAATAATCATAATAATTCCAACGCAACTTGTTGATAGACGATCCGGGGGTGTTGAGCAAAAACCGGTTTGGAGAGGGGCGAGCTGCATGTTTTCTGCTTTGCTGCACGAGTGATCTCTTGCACCTGTGGCTGAAGCAGAAGGATGAAACTGGACGGACTTTCTGTCGCGGATCGTCGCTGAATAGGCCGTGCCCACCGTCGCAACGAGTGTTAGAGTCGTCAGCAACAGTCGTGCGCATTCTCGCGATCATTCGCCCAAGAGGAACAAGAGGAATAAACTTAGTGCTATAGGGCGGATTTTGGCCCCTCCACCGCACGGCCATACCAACTTACGGCCGATAACTACTGGTAGAACTTAATAAACTACCGAATGGGGGCAATAGTAATAATGAATAAATGAATAATAATATAGCAAGCAGACTAACTAACTACTATCTAGACCTTGCATTGATCGATGATCAGACACGTTGAGAAGATGGGCTGCGGAATATTATTATTATTGTTCTGGGGAGTCGAGACTTGAGCGCTGCAGGAAATCTTTGCAGACCCGCCGCATTGATCTCATCTGTAATTTAATATACTGTAGAGTATCACTTTTGGGAGTGATGGTAGGCAGCATCAGTATCAGAACTCTCTCCTCTGCGTGGTTTTTTGGCTGTTGCTTTTTTTCTCTTTTTTCTTTTCTTTTATTCGCTGCCTGAACGGATCCGAAGTAATAAGCGATGGACCCCGGGCTCTGCGCATCCTCATCTCATCTCACGTCCAGCGGGCAGAGTCCGAAGTGCTGGGCCGAAAGAAGCATGGTGGCCCATGTTCGCGGGGAACAACCCACGGTTTGGTGGTGGGTTTCATTTCTTCCGTGTACCGTTCTACAGGGCTTCGATCCCTTCCATTTTGCCGAACTGGTGAGCACGGCCGGGCTTCTAGGGCGCTTCTAACCTGCTGGAGCAGGCCTAGGATGGTCCCAGAGATCTCCAGGGCGACAGCCAGCCGTGCAGAGCCGACATGAGAAGACGGGGGTTGGTTAATAATAATAATTAATTTGTTGTTCTTTTTAGTTTTTTAGTTTTTAGTCATTTGGTGTGATGGGTTATTTAGTTAGTTGACTAGAGTCGACGCTGCATAGATACTAAAGAAATACTAAAGAGACGAACAAAAATTAAAAAAAAAAAAATGACAAAATGAAAAAAAAAGAAGAGAATTGAATAAATAGATGAAAAGGGAAAACAAGCACCTCTAAGGCAGTGATTTAATTGCTACAATAGTATTGGGAGTTATTAAGTGGTGCGGTGCTCTTCTGGCTATATGGTACTGTACCATAGTTCCTCCATATGCTGCTATACTACTACCGGCCTGGAAACCATCCGAAGAACACACAACCCCGGCGAGTTCTCGTCTCGGGGAGTCTTCAAGGAGGGGGGACCAAAGGCTGGATCTCTCTCGGGCTCCAGGGGAATGGCCAGCGCTAAGATAGTAATAGACCGCTCTTTACCGCGACTAGTCGGCCACCGTCGCCCGCGGTGGCTGGAGCCGGGGTCGGGCATCCCTGGTTGCAGCATCCTGATGCCGCGATGATAGATGATGATGTCCAGCCCGGTCTCGTCCCCGCCAGTCGCGCTCGATAACTAAACATACTCTCCTAAACTGACTGGTCGCTGGGCCTCTTGCTCTGTTCGGCCACTGTCTCCATCTGCTTTGCTTTCTTTTCTCTGGCCTCAGTTACCCACATTCCCAAGGCGCCTCTCATGCGCCGCCGTTTTCACATCCCATCCCGTCCCAGATTCGTTGCTCCGGACTTACAAAAGACCCTCAGCCGCTCTTATCGCGGATCTGGATTTCTGAACTCCCTCCTGCCATATACCTTGGGGTCTCTATCTTCCCCGTATTCCCATCTTTTGTGTGATAGGTGGTGAAAACATCTATTCACGGGGTAGTTAACAATCCTCAACGACCCTGGCCACATTGTGTGTCCTGGCAACGACTGCGTCATTGCCACTGGAATCCTCTTGCTGCCACTTATCATCACGGAAAGCATGTCGCGCAATCATGGACTAAACTGGCAGTTAGTTCCTTCTAAATAATATTAAAATCAGGTGGATATGGATTTTATTGTAAGTCTTTCCTGTTGCAGTCCCGTTCTGTCCGTTATATGCCGCAAGCTGGCACACTGGTCTATCTTGTGCTGTCGCGTATCGGGGCTCTCCCTAGATACAGACGCACCCAATGCACCAAGAAATCCTGCATCTATATACTCCTGCACTTAACACGATATGTGAGAAGAAGAAAGATCTCTTCTCAGTGGTCACATGCTACATTTATGTGTTGCGATCGTGTTGCCTTTTATGCGCTGCGTTGACCGTGTTGCTGACATGACTTTTGCCTCTAGCTCTCTCTCACGCATTTCTGCGAGGTGCATGGCCCAACCTCGATTCTATGCTCGCAGGTCCTTCCTTTTACCTGCTCACAATGTTATCCTGATCCTTCCGACCTCTCCCCTAATGACACTCCTGCGACCTCACACGAAACCACCTCTTCCCATGGCTTAGGAAACCGTAGCCGCGATGGCCGGTCTCCATCCTTGCCGCGAGAGCCTCCCCTGTCGACCTCCGTGGCCAGCGCATCGACAACGGATCCGTCGAGCGGCTCTCAGAAGATTGAAGACCACCCGTACTTCCTAAGAGGACAGCAAAAGCGAGTGGATGCGGATGCGCTGAACCGTTTTGGGGGCGCCGATGGCGACACTTGCGCCAGCTGCAGTTTGACGCTTCCAGAAGATGTCAGCAAACAGCTGCCACCAGGTGCGCCTGGTACTGTCAAACCCGACGGCAAAGGCAGGAATGGGAGTCCGGTTCTACGATCGCGGGAGATGGTTTATTCTTGCGGCAGCAGTCATGATACCGACGATGACCACGATTCCCACTACCATTCTTCCTTTCCGGACTCTCTTCACTCGTCTTCAATCGCTTCCGATGCGTCATCCTGCCATACTCATATCCTCACTTATCTCTCCCTTCGCGGACCCCCTAACCCGGCGGACTACGCCCTTCTGCGACGTTCGTCGATCCGGACACTGAGTTGCGAACTTCTGCCCAGAGGTCTGTCCTCGGGCCCGTTGTGCTTTGGCGATTCCGTTGCCGGTTACACGATTGCGTATATCTTCCGTCTTCCCGACCCGATGGCTCGTGGCAAACGTCGGAGCTATGCGCTGGTGGCGCTTGCTGGCAAGGATGCGGGACGGGCGTTCCGCGCGTCTCCCGTGATCTGGCGGGCGTTTGGTCGCATCGCCAATGGCATCGTCAAGGCAGCGGAACGATACCAAGAGGAAGAAAAGCGCCGCGAGGAGCACAGCCAAGGTGCGAACAAGATCGGTGGACGCAACTATACTCCTGTCTCGTCTTTCCTGACGGGCAGAACGATGGATCCTGATGGCATGCCCCGACGTGCTGGCCAGATCCGTGCCCGAAATTTGGCGGAAATCGTTGGCAACGAAATGATTTTTGCAGAATTACACGCCAGTTTCGTGGCTTTGCTTCAGCAGCTAGGTTCAATGTTTGGCGGAGTGCCCGTCTCTGAAGAGCAATTCGTCTGCAGCGTGGTCGGAGATGGACAAAGCACCGCTGCTTCCCGGAAACCATCAGTCGTGTCGGTGAAGGAGAAGCAAAAACCGCAAGCACCTCCAGCAAACACTGCGAATGACCTTCCCATATCGAAATTAGAATTATCATCCGGCCCGAAGCCGATACCAATAGCCCAGCGTCGACCGGTCGTGGCGTGATCGTCTTCTACGCTGAGCTATCCTTTTTTTTTTTACGTCTTGACGACTCCCACACTAGATCTCGTCCTCCGTGTGCACACACACACTCTCACCGACCTTACTATTGCCCTTTGAAGCGCGCAAAGCGTCATCCATACCCCCCTTTTTCGAATCATCTTCCTCGACTTAACGGCCGAACTTCCTCATGAGCAGGTATAGAACTGGCATGGCGTATTGCATATCTGGGTACGGAGTCCGGCATACCATCACAGCGATTGCTTCCATGGGTGGCTGAGCGATCTATTTGTCTTTTTTTGTCTCTGCATGGTGTCTAGTCCCTGCTGCGAGCGGGCCATGATGGGTGGCGTTTTAACATTTCTTGACTCGATCTGATTGATCATAATGAATCACGGCAGATTAATATCTATAGTAGGTGTAAATAGCTTATGAGCTTATTGAATCCTGTTGCCAAGTCCTACCATCTTTTCTATCTTGCCTAGGCGTATGCTTCTGTATGCACTGTAGATTGTATCAGCATTTAATCTCTGTTTAGATGTGTGATGTAGACCAGGAACTATTCGGCGATCGGAGAAACTTTCCCTCCGCGAGCAGCATCGGCATTTAGCACGAAGCGACAGCCTGAGGACACCAACCGGGAAAAAACCCACCAAGAGCACAACCCGCATTGTGAACATCGAATTGCGCACCAGCCACCAACCACCACCAACGGTTTATTTCGACTCGAGAAAGGGGCACCCTTACTTGCTCTAGATACAAGAATATTAGACTGCGAGACAGTCTTCAGACAGAAACCATGGTTCTCGCCTTCGACAAGTGCGAGACGCGCCCGGCGCACATTGATGCCATTCTCAGCGGCCTCGACCGATACAACCCAGAGACGACCACCGTCTTCCAAGACTACGTGGTGCAGCAATGCGAGGACAGGACCTTTGACTGCTATGCTAACCTGGCTCTGCTGAAGCTGTGAGTATTTCTGCTTTTCTCCTGCTCTCTTTATCTTGTCAGTTCGGGATTTTATGTGAGTGTGGGGTTACCCATTACTCGACGGGTTCAGATGATGATGAACTTTTTTTTACCACGTTTCCTATTACCTGACCTCCCCTCTTGAACCGGGGGAGTATGGAGATCAATTATTAGCTCTACCTGAAATTGTACCCGCGAAACAGTCATCCCGGTTGTTGGTTTGATGGATCGTATTTGCTTTGCTGCATTTCGGGCCACGGTTTGCTGACGATGATCGACTCATATCCGGTATAGCTACCAATTCAACCCTCACCTCCTCCAGCCTGAGACGACGACAAATATTCTCGCCAAGGCTCTCACCGTCTTCCCCTCTCCCGCCTTCTCCCTCTCCCTGGCACTTCTCCCCGCGCACACGCAGCCTTTCCCTTCTTCCAACAGCGAGGAGTCCTCATCGCAGACTTCCGACTTTGTCGAGTCGATCCAGAAGCTCGCTCGTCTGAACACTCTGCTGGAGTCTGCCCAGTACTCTCTGTTCTGGTCGACCTTCAACTCTGATGACCTGTACGCTGACCTGGTCGCTGATGTTGCTGGGTTCGAGGAGCTGGTGCGTGTCCGCATCGCTGTCGAGGTTGGCAAGGCATTCCGTGAGATCAGCATCGACGTGCTTGCTCAGTGGCTGGACCTACGCAGCCGTGAAGCCCTTGAGAAGTTCGTCGCCGACGTTTGCGGCTGGGAGGTCGACAAGGCCGCTGCCATCGTGAGAGTACCCAAGAACAAGGAGAACGAGGCCCGCAGCGAGATCAAGGGCGAGCGTGTTGGAGTTGACATGTTCGGCCGTGTCATCAGGAGAGGTTTCGAGCAACCTGCCTAAATGGTGGGCGCTACTGCCTTTCCCTCTACCGGCCTGTTCGCAAGCATGCGAACCATTTCTTCACATTTTCGTCCCGATAAATACCACCCTTTCCTATTCTCTACTATTTACTTTTTTTTCTTTCCTATCCTACTTGAAGCCCGTGGATGAAGTTCGAAGGAAGCTCCCCACGGGGAGATGACTCGAAAACGACGAAGCATGGCGGGGTGGGAACTAAAATTTTCGCAAGGGGGGTACTCGGCGCAAATTGGCGTTCATGCAGTTCGCTTCAGACTCATGTTTGTCGATTTCTTTTTATTTATCCTTTTTTTTTAGTCTATGCATATTATGCCTATACATGTCTTGATGAAGAGGAAGACGAAGATGAAGCGGAGTGTCGAGACCCCATACCGTACGTCCGGGATGAAAAAAATAAATCGAGGATTATAGACATGTGAGAGAAAAGAGGATATTGACGAAATAGAGATAAAAGAAGATGATTCACAGTTCAACCCGTCTTGTGAACTGTATGTTGGAAACGTAATATGCAATAATATATTATCCTACTTCAAATATCGAATATCAGATGGAGGATTTAACATGACTATTTGAACATGGAAGAAGAGCGTGAAACGCTCTTTTTGTTTGCATTTACTGGATCAATTATCTATGTACTTCTTTTTCTTTTTCCATATCGAAAGAGGTAGAAGAGCTAGTTAAATCACTGCCTCTCCTCCCACTGTACACCAACCCATTCTTCCTTCCAGCCTGCAACGCCCACCTCTTCCGGACCACAGTCGCCAGCGCAGACGCCTAGGATGATGGTTCCCCATTCCATGCCTGCGTCATCCTTACCGAGACCGACGCCCTCGCGGCCTTCTTCAAGGACGCTGATGGCGTGTGGGACGAGTTGTAGCTCGAAGACACGCTCGCGGCCGCAAGATTCGCAGCGCGGGATGCGGTTCCCGCTGCTACCACTAGCGGTCGTGACTCGGGTTCCGGAGCCTTGAGTATGAGTGTGGCTTTGAGGGAAGAGTTTGCTTACGGCGTCCTTGTGGGAGTAGAGGAGGGGAGAGCCGCGGAATTCGTAGCGTAGGGCTTGCTCTGGATTATGAGCTAGACGGGTCGAGAAGCGAAGGAAGGACTTGTCAACAGTGGACTCAAAAGCGTCCTTAGAGTCAGCGCCAGCGGCACCGGACTTGTCGTCCTCTTCTAGAGTCTGCACGTTGCTTGGGACGGTAGGTGTGGATGGCCGCGAGAGAGTCTCGTATTCCGCGTCCAGGTAGTAATGAGGGTATGGTTCTGGGAATGCAGACTGCGGCGGCCATGGCGCGACGGGACCGGCGACGACTGGAGCTTTAGTTGGAGGCGGAGAAGATACACGGACTTTATCCGCGAAGGATTCTGAAAGACCCTGAACGGGCGTCTGCGCTGGTTTCGCAGCAGGAGTGGGCAGCGGCGCGAATGGGTTCGATTGCGCGGCGGATGAGCTCGAGGTGGTGGAGAAGGGGTTCACGTTTCCTCCAAGACCATTGCTCGAGGGAGCTGCTCCAAAGATACTCGCTCCAAGATCCTGCTTGGGAGCTTGCGTCTGCGTCTGCTGCTGCTGCGGCTGCGGCTTTTTCTCCTCTGACTGCTTCTTTTGTTTCGTACTTTGCTTCAGCTTCCTGACCCCGCGAAGGGCCCTGATACTTCCAGCCTTCCGATTGCATGTCTTTCGGGGACAACCAAATATATATAGCCGTCGCTCATCGTCGGGGAAGTGTTCGGGTAGGTCGCCATTTAGTTCGAGGAGCAGCAGCATGGGGTTGTTGCAGACCTTGCATTTAGCAAAGTCGCCTGGAGGCGGGGTCTTTTCGTCGAGCCACGTCTGCCAACGGAGGAAAGGTCAGTAAACCGCGCGATAATGTGACAAAATGTTTGGATACGCCCTTGACATACCGGCCATCCACCCAAGTGGCTAATTGTATCATCTGTGGCCTCGGGGGAAGCAAAGCCAAGGAGAACTCCGGTCTCCGTGTAGTCCCCCTCATCTTCAAAACCGGAGGAGTCACTGTCGTAGGGGTCCATTATGTGTGGTGATTTGGGCGTTTAAGTAAGGCCCGGGGGATTAGATTTGGGTATATCGTGTATTTCAGCTGATCCCAGCTCTTGTTGGCAAAACTCTAGACCAGCGCGCTGGCAATAAATCACCGTCAACTGTTTTAAACAAAATAATAAAATATTCAATCTTTCGCGATAAGCGATACCTAGATGGCGCTTATCTTAATCGGGACTAGTTGGTTCAAAGTCTCCACCACAGCTGTTACGGACCGGTAATTTAACGGTATCGATACGAGTTGACGGTATCGCGCTGTACGGGATCTGCATTGCATCCCTGTCAAGCACTGACTGGAGATGCTGCGCTGACGTGCCGACACCGCCTGGAGCATCTGATGTTTTTAATGTCGTTATTGACTTGCTATTGAGAGCCTGTGAAGTCCTTAATTGACATATATATGTTATCCCAGTATTGCATGCTGGTATCCGCTTTGAATGATATCAGCTAAGTATCGTTGTGCTGTGACTGCCATTTGAGGATACGGAGTACCTGCTCTGGGTTGGATTTGTGTAAAGATACGTTTTTATGGGATATTCATCGACGACTGGAGCCATGGGAGCTTTTCGGAGCTTATTTCTCTTCTTCTGGATTACTGCATGGTACAGTTCTCTCGTCTACGCTGACAATCAAGTGCCTCTGCGTGGCGCTGAAGAGAACCAGCCCAAGCGGATCGCAGTAATCGGTATGATCATACGAGAATGAATAGGTGTGTTGAAATGATACTAACTGATTTGCATAGGAGCTGGTTCCGGAGGTGCATCCACAGCTCATTTCCTTCGGAAATATGCAGACTACTTTAAGGTTCCTGTGAACATCACGGTATACGAGCGGGCTTCCTACGTGGGTGGTCGCTCCACGACGGTCAATGTCTTTGATGATCCATCCATCCCGGTCGAGCTGGGTGCCTCGATATTTGTCGAGGTGAATCGGAACCTGGTCAAGGCGGCCAAGGAGTTTGGCCTTCTGACTGAGACAGCCTTCAGCGCTCGTCCCAGGGATTCCGATGACAGCCTTGGTGTCTGGGACGGTCAGCGGTTCGTGTATCAGCAGCAAGATACCTCCTTCTGGTGGAACATTGCCAAGCTGCTCTGGAAGTATGGATTGGCACCTGTGCGCACTCAGAGGTTGATGAAGCAGACAGTCAACAAGTTCTTAGGGCTGTATGAGTCTCCTCTCTTCCCTTTCAGTTCCTTATCCGATGCTGCGAATGCTGCCAGTTTGCTGGATGCCACGGTATCAACGGGAGCGGAGTTTCTCGAACGTAATGGTGTCTCCGCGGACTTTTCTAGAGAGATCATCCAGGCGAGCACGCGGGTGAACTATGGTCAGAATCTACCTCTGATTCACGGCCTGGAGACGATGGTCTGTATGGCCGCTGAAGGTGCCATTTCTATCCAAGGTGGAAACTGGCGGATCTTCGACGCGATGCTGAAAGCTTCTGGCGCGGAGGTGCGACTGAATACCTCCGTGGCTTCTATCAATCAAAAAGAAGATGGCACACTGAGCGTGTCCTCTACCACCGGCCATTCTGCGGCGGAGCAATCAGAGTTTGATGAAGTGGTGATTGCTGGCCCTCTGCAGGAAGCTGGTCTGACGATCTCCCCTGAACTGGACCACGTCCCTGACAGAATCCCCTACGTGGAGCTCCATGTGACGCTATTTGCGTCGCCCCATCGCATTTCGCCGCAGTATTTCAATTCCGGAGCTTCCAGTGTTCCTGAAACTATCCTCACTACGCTTCCTCAAGGATTAGATCTCGGATCTCGGCGGGATGGCGTCGGTCCGACTGGATTCTGGAGTATTAGCACTCTCCAGAAAGTGAAGGCGCCATCGCAGTCTGAGGAACATTATGTCTATAAGATCTTCTCTCCTCAGCGTCTATCTGCCCAGTTTGTCGCCGATATTCTGGGATTAGATAGGGAAGCGGAATCAACGAAAGCTGCGACTAACCCCACGATCGGAGACCTCCCTCGAGAGGACGTCAGTTGGTTCTATGAGAAGACATGGCACTCCTACCCCTATCTGTACCCACGGGTGACCTTCGAGGAGATTTCCCTGGCTCCCCATATCTGGTATACGAGTGGCATTGAAAGTTTTATCTCGACGATGGAGACGAGCTCACTGATGGGGAAGAATGTAGCAGCGTTGATCGCGCGCTCTTGGCTGGACAAACCCGACCAGGATACGGAGGAGGAGTGGAATCATTGGGATAAGGCTGAACTTTGAAGAGTTGCGTTCCCGAATAATTACTGTATACATTTATGACTCCGAAAATGCAGATTTCGATGGGATATACATCTCACGTGGGGAGGGTCATGACCAGTAACCTCTACTGATGATCGTAACGCCGTTTATAATAATCTACGTTACTCCAAAGCCAATCAAGTCTCGTATTCGGGCCTTCTGATCTCACTCCCTCGATGAGACTTTTAGAACAGAGCATGATCACCATTTTAGACTTGTTTGTTGTACATAGACCGGTTTGCAACCAGTCCACGGCCTTGTCCAGTCACAAATGATGAGTCATGAACATGCATGTACGATGCCTACTGAGTGGCTGAGTTCCCATCACGACTGAGATAGCGGTACACAACGCGCCTTTGTCCTCGACTCTTTGAATGCAGGTATTTGTCCGAGCCCTAGGAGAACCTTGGTATCGCCGCAGTAGTTTGAGATACTAAATCGCGCTGGCAGCTGGCTGCCAGTAATACAAAGCGGTGAACACATGTTTCTGGACCTTTTCTCGCTGGGGTCTGTGAGCCTGAGCCTCACTCTGAGGAGGCGGTGGGAATATAGGCTGAAGCCCCGGAGTAGACTAACTAGCAGAGTAATAATAGGTCATTACCAGGCTGTACTACCGTAAGTACCTTGGAACGCCAGGCAGCCTCACAGTCTGGGGAATGCAGATTATCGTAGAGACTGGCCGACACTTACACTGTGGCCTGCTGGGGGTCATCGCAGTGAGAAATAGTCTCGATAGATAGAAAATGGTCATATTGGTTGATGAGATGACGCCGTGAAAGTCATCGCCGTCATTAATATTGCCTATCGAGCGTCATCTGTAATTTGTAACTAACCTAACGTAACTAGTCAGTTAGTTTACCAAACTAACCACGTCTGCTGAGGTAATCGAGCATGAGGCTATGATTGTATGGTCCTGATTGGCTTAGTGGCGCTGCATAATCACATGCAACAGCTGTGATTGGCCGCCCCAGACATTATGCCGTACAGCTGATACGGTACGGTCACGCGAGAGGGCAGCAGCGCCAACCTCGACGAACTGCAGGCGCCAGATCGTCTCCTCCTCGTCCTCCAACTCTCTTTGATCCCACAAATCCAAGTCTTGCAGTCCACGGGCCATGTCGCTGCTGCCCGTGATGATGGCTGACCGGTGACGGTGCGTCCTGACTAGGTGTTTCTGTCGCTGTTCCCGTCTATCCATTGACCGATAACGGGTACCGTGCCGGAGTACATCATCTCAACTGTCTGGTGAGCTCCCATCGCTGCTGATTATTATCTCGCCCTCGCTAATAGGTGAGCTGCAGGGCTACTCCAGTTCATCGGTAGCTATAGAACTGAACTACTCAGATCTCCGCATGAGATAGCTTTTCCACCGTGTGACCTGACATTCCCTGGTTCTTGCCTCCGATCGACTTGTCGTCTCTCCGGCCTGCAACCGGGGGCCACTTCCCCTTCTCACATAGGATTACTGGTTGAGGCTCTTTCAGATCTCGCAAGCCGTATATACTCGTAACGGCTTTCCTTCTAGGCGTCCGGTGTTGTTCTGCTCCTGTACCCTATTCTGTGCTTCATCGCCGCCTGCACCGACAATGCAGCCTTCCGACGTTGAAGACTCCATCAAGAATCGGATGGGCCGCCGACTCAACTTCCGCTCCAGATCGATCCATCGGATACCCTTCCACCAAGTGCCTGACCGTTTCAAAGATGGCGACGATGCCCAAGACGATTACACAGCGCCGCCCAAGGGTATTGGCGGCCGCGAATACATGCATCAGTCGATCTTCTCCATGATAGCTGCGGCCGGATCCAAGACAGATTTCCATGGCAGATTCGACGACCCAAGTGATAGTGACGGGGAGGGTGAAGGGATTATAGAAGAGGATTCGTCTCGGGGGGCTTCCTCCCAGGCATCGACGAGAGGAAACAAGGGCCGCGAGGCAAAGTCGCCTACGAAGCGTGAGACGGAGAATACCCCAGCCAACAAGGACTCAGCGAAAAAGGATCTGCCGGAGGAAAGGGGTCGCGGACATAGGAGGAAGCTCTCAGATCATAGGCTGTTGCGCTCAGTACCGAAGCTACAGTCGAAGCATACAAAGGGCAAGGAGTCCGTTAGCCGGAATGGGTTGGGTGCAGGCGAAGAATTACTCCCAACATCACCCCAGAGACGACCACGGAGTCTGACACCGCGCGCTGCTCCAGTGCTTAGTCGAATGATTGAAGCTGAGGCTCGTTTTGGTGATCCGCCAAGCTCCAGAAAAGAGACCAAAAAGGCCCCTGAGGAGAAGAGTCCCACGAGGCAGCGCGCGGAGTCTGCGCCGTCCACATTGCTGTCTACACGTCTTATGGAGATCTTTGGGTTCGAAAAGCCCGAGAAGGTTATTGGAGAGTACGCTTGCTGGCTGCTTCAGAGTGTCATGTTGCAAGGCTACATGTACATCACGGAAGGGCATGTCTGCTTCTACGCCTATCTTCCGAAGAAGTCTAATACAACGGTCAAGTCGGGTTATCTCTCCAAGCGCGGCCGCCAGAATCCAAAGTATAACCGGTATTGGTGCTCTCTGAAGGGAGATGTTCTATCATACTACGCCGACCCGTCCAATCTATATTTCCCCAGCGGCCATGTCGATCTCCGCTACGGTATCTCTGCCGCCCTTGTCGAACAGAAAGACAAAGGCAAGGATGTGAAAGACTTTACTGTAACGACTGACCAGCGCACATACTATTTCAGAGCAGATAGTGCCCCAAGCGCTAAAGAATGGGTGAGGACGCTACAGAAAGTCATTTTCAGATCGCACAATGAAGGGGACAGCGTCAAAATCTCATTACCCATCGAGAATGTGATAGACATAGAGGAAAATCCGATGATTGAATTCGCCGAAACCATCAAAGTCAGGGTGGTGGAGAGCGGCGAGACCTATGCGATTGATGAGGTACGCTGCAACTGTTCATTGATTAGTATTGGTTCTGACTAACTTGATATCTGTAGTACTTCTTTTCGTTCTTCAACTTCGGCAAGGATGCGTTCAATGTCTTGAGGAATCAAGTCAAGAATAGTCCGACACAAAGTAGTTCGCAAGAACTCCCCGGTGCTATCAGCGGTGATGGATCTGCGAAGCAAAACCAAGAACGAACACTTGATGCTCACTTTCACAGTCCTCGCTCTGGTCGGTCCAGTCCCCGTTTCAATGAATCCGTTCAATCGACTCTTCTATCCCGTTCACCTGATGCGGGCAAGGGTCGTATTCGGAGCAAGTCGACTGAGAGCGCGGGCCCGCTAAGCCCTCCTCGTGCCTATCTAGATCGATCTCCCCCCGATAATAAAGCCTCTTCCGATTCCTTCGTCCATTCCATTGAGCAGGGAACCGAGTCCTCTGCTGTCCTTCAGTCGATTACGGGCACTGCGGAATCAGCAAGCCAGATTTTGAATCGAAGCGATGTTTTTCAATCTCCGACCATTAATCGGTTGCGAGTGCCGTCTGACGCAGACGCGACTGGTCGTCGACAGTCTAACGATACAGCTCGCTCGGCGTCCGCCCGGGCCAAGGGCCGCGCCGACACAGTTGTCAATAAGGGGGACCACGAGGCTCAGGAAGCGCTCAGCGATTCGGAGAATGAAGTGAATAGTCGGAGCAAGTATTCTACATCCGCACCGACCTTACAGGAGCTTGTCAAAGCTGGTACTTATCCCCTGCAACGAGCCGCCGGGTTGGCAGGCTATCTCAAGAATAGGTCAAAGCGAATGAGCACTCTCCTAGCCACGGAATCCATGGGCTACATAGAGAAAGTATCCGGGATGTGGGCAGGTGGTCGCAAACACTATGGCGAAGGAGAAGGCGTACTCCCTGACGACCAACTCGTTGATCCTGAAGATGAGGAACGTGGTTGCGGACATGGAGATCGCTTCCGAGCTCACTTTGCTCTGCCACCGACGGAGAAGCTTCAGGCCACCTATTTTGGTTTTCTTCATCGACTCCTGCCTCTCTACGGAAAGATCTATATCAGCAACAGAAAGTTCTGTTTCCGCAGTCTGCTACCGGGGACGAGGACGAAGATGATCCTACCGCTCAGGGATATCGAGAATGTGGAGAAGGAGAAAGGTTTCAGGTTCGGTTATCATGGACTTGTCATCATTATTCGTGGTCATGAAGAGCTTTTCTTTGAGTTCAATGCTTCTGATGTGCGGGATGACTGTGCCGTCACTTTGCACCAGAGCTTGGAGTCCATCAAATTCTTGGCCGAATCTGGCATTCTTGCACAGGAAGACAGAGCGGAGGCGGAGGCGGCTAAAGCGGAACATCAAATGCTGCAAGAAGCCAGGCTGGGTACTGCCGGTGATACTGGCGAAAACTCGCGGGCTCTATCTCCACCAGAATCGCCTGAAATCCATCCGATCTTCGATGACCCGCGAGCGTCGATTATCAATTTCAAACCTACAGAGCCGCTGAGGATTACCTGCTTGACAATTGGTTCTCGAGGCGACGTCCAGCCATACATTGCACTATGTAAGGGTCTGCTCGCGGAAGGACATAGACCTAAGATCGCTACCCATGCGGAGTTCGGACCATGGGTGAGAAAGCATGGCATTGACTTTGCCCCCATCGAGGGAGATCCTGCAGAGCTGATGCGTATTTGTGTCGAGAATGGGATGTTTACTTATTCCTTTCTGAAGGAAGCATCGCTTAAGTTCCGTGGCTGGATTGACGATCTTCTATCGTCGGCGTGGGCCAGTTGCCAGGACAGTGATCTCCTCATCGAATCTCCCAGCGCAATGGCTGGAATCCATATTGCGGAAGCCCTTCGGATCCCCTACTTCCGCGCTTTCACAATGCCTTGGTCGCGAACCCGTGCGTATCCTCATGCCTTCGCGGTGCCTGAGCACAAAATGGGTGGTGCTTACAACTATATCACCTATGTCATGTTCGACAACGTCTTCTGGAAGGCCATCGCAGGCCAAGTCAACCGCTGGAGGAAGAATGAACTCGGTCTCCGGGGAACAAACTTGGATAAGATGCAGCCAAATAAGGTCCCATTCCTCTACAATTTTTCTCCTTCTGTCGTTCCGCCGCCTCTCGACTTCCCAGACTGGATCCGCATTACCGGCTACTGGTTTTTGAACGAAGGCGACGATTGGCAAGCTCCACGCGAACTCACCGACTTTATCCAGCGTGCCCGTGCGGATGGCAAGAAGCTCGTCTACATCGGCTTTGGGTCTATCGTGGTATCTGATCCGGCTGCCCTTACAAGGACAGTCGTGGAATCGGTTCAGAAGGCCGATGTCCGCTGCATTTTGTCAAAGGGATGGTCTGACCGTCTAGGCGATCCGGCGAGCACAAAGTCAGAGATCCCTCTGCCACCAGAGATCCACCAGATCCAGTCCGCTCCGCATGACTGGCTATTTTCTCAGATGGACGCTGTCGCGCATCATGGGGGAGCAGGAACCACAGGCGCCAGCTTGAGGGCTGGCGTACCCACGATAGTCAAGCCCTTTTTCGGTGACCAATTTTTCTTCGGCACACGGATTGAAGACCTTGGCGTGGGTATCTGTATGAAGAGGCTGAATGTAAGCGTGTTCTCGAGAGCTTTGTGGGAGGCGACGCATAGCGAGCGAATGATTGTGAAGGCGAGAATGCTGGGCGAGCAGATCCGCAGCGTAAGTTCGCCCTTACGGTTTATTTCTCTGAGGATTTTTACTGACGTGTGAGTAGGAGGACGGAGTAGGTACTGCCATCCAGGCTATTTACCGCGATCTGGAATATGCCAAGACACTTGCTCGCCAGCGTTCTATTGCATCTGCGACCCCCTTCTCTCCAGTTGCCAAGAAGGAGGAGATTACTGAGCCGACCATTGATGACGACGACGTGGCTGATAGCGAGGAGTGGACGTTCGTCGGTGACGATACCGATATTGATATTTCTAAGAGAATGCGAGATCGAGAAGAGACAGATCCTGATTTGCCCCCACCCGCTCTTTGCTCGCATGGGAGTTCGAGTCCCGCCCGGACTGTGCAATCTGATGCCAGTATTAGCCGGAGGAGACACGATATGAGAGCGGAAGCTTGATTGTGCGACTTCCACTCATCTGATCTATTATTAATGCTTTGTATGATGTTGATGACCACCCCCTTCTCATTATATGGTCTGCCGAGATTCAAGCTCTTTTACGTGATTCTTTGATGTGTTTCTAATTCCGGTGCCACATGTCCCACCATAATCATCTTCCTTTTCCTTTCCACATGTGGTTGGGCGTTCAAGCTTTGGACTCTATGGAGAAAGCGGGTTGGGTGATGTTGATAGAGGCAAGCGTGCAATATCCCTTGCATTATCTTCTCTCACGGCCTTTTCCCCAGAATGATATGATTCACGACCTCCATTTAAGCTTTGTGTTTCATTCCACTTGTCTGACAGCTTGAAGGTTGCTATGCTTAGCCGATCATGTTATTGCTTTGTTTTTTCTTTCATATCTTTGGGCGACTGGGGAATAAGGTACTCTATATACCAATACATTTCAGATTTCCGTGGTTATCAAGTGGATGGTGTTTTGTAGATGCTGTGGCATTGGGGCATCTGCATAGACAGATGATACCATGTGTTATTGTCTTTGTCTTGTTCATGGGACAGATCCATAATATTACTCGAACTGAGATCGGAGACCGTTGTAGGCGCTCTATTAGACGTAACTGAACTGGAAAGGTAAGCAAGCTTGTGACTAGCCGTTCTCGTGCTTGATTACGACTTTTCCTAGCTGCATCTGATTAACCCACTTGATGGACTTCAGAGATATCAACCCGTTTCGTACATGGACATGTTAGAAGGATATTCTATTATAGGACATAGTTATTACTACGGTATCTTATAAAGCAGCACCATCCTTTTTCTCAGCGAATCCCCGATCTTGTAACTCATCGGCGCCAGCGTCCGGGACAGTTACGGAAGATATCGATTCCGCGTACTTTTCAACGGCATCGTCTAAACGGCCATAGGCACGGGGATTGCGCTTCGGTTGACCCGGTCCAGAGGCGGGGAGTTGGTAGCCGCGGAGTCTGTGTATATAATATTAGTTCTGTCTTTTTTTTTTTTCTCTTTTGTTGTTGAAGGGAACTGTCCGGCAGGAAGGGAACATACCTAGGTCCTGTACCCGTTTGTCGCGGTAATTCTGATTCATATATTCGTGAAAAGGTCCTTATGTCTTCATCAAAAGTGGCTTTTTCGATGCTATTCCTGATAGCAGCGAAGAATAAGTCTATGGTGTGAAAATTGTGGATCTGGATGAGTGTCCATGCGAGCATCTCTTTGGCTGATAGGAGATGTCGGATGTATGCTCGGTGGTGTTTCGTGCAGGTGTAGCATTGGCAATTGGGGGTGATTGGAGAGAGGTCTGTGGTATGTGATGGTGACCACATGTCGAAAGCTAGAGGTCGTGGTGGTGGTGTCGATGGGGGAGATGCAGGAGCAGGGAAAGTAAAGTCCAGCGCGATGCCGCCGTCAGTGGCTGCGCTGAGGAAGGGGATCGTCACGAGGTCTGCACCTAGGGAAATATCTCGTAGGATATCGTGAGGTGTCTTGTACTCGCTGAGGGAGAGTCTGGGCAGATCGCCAAGTTCCTCGGGGACGATGGACAAGGAGGCTGAGTCGTATAGAGCCAGGCCTGAGATTCGCGGCCGCAGGTCCTCGGCCAGGTCCTGGAGGTATAGTTGCTGCTGGGTATTCTCCAGCGGCAATACCGGGGCGAAATATAGCGCCTTGTCTCGGGCCTCTGGTGCAACCCAGTCGCCGTATAACCGCTCTGTCGCATCCCTGGTATATGCATGGGTTCGATCGACCATCTTCATCCGCCTCTTCGCACCGGGTTTGGCACCCAGCACGAGATCCGACAATCCGATCGCAATGTCCGGTCGTAGTTTCTGGATCGCCTCGATATACTGACCAGCCTCGAGCTGCCGGAACCCAACCGACGTCATGATGGAGATGGAGTTCTCCGTGTTTGATGTCGGGCACACGATGGGCGGGATTCGTCGGGGTCCCAGGACCAACAGTACATCCTTCGGAAACGCGATGAATTTTCGAAGCGGGGATTCATGCGCTGCAGTGGGCAGCTTGTAAACGGGGCTTTCATGGTGGGCTTTCTGGAGGACTAATCTAGGCCGCGCATGGCGGTTGTGTCAGTCTCTCAATGCAACTGTAGATAATAATAAGTACAGGGATTCACACATACAGTCTTCCAGTCCGATATAGATACTGTCAATCTTCACATGGTCTCTCATCACATCGTGAGCGACGTGCGGGACTGTACCCCGCGACGTGATCGGGACATAATGCGGCGTCCGCTGAGGTTTTCGACCCGCGATATTCAGACAGCCCAGTCGAGGGGCTAAGATCGAGGGTCCTGACGGGTTCAGGAGGCTGAAGCTGGACTGCTGGGACAGGGTCTCGAGGCCCATGTCTGCGTCGTGGGTTTTCGTTCGGTTTCAGATCGCCGGCGAGCAAATAAGTATTACTTACAGGAAGATCTCCGGATCTCCACCGCTGCAGGGCTTAAGAACCTTCTGAGACGAACGAACTGCTGCTCGCAACAGCCCCCTTCTTCTTCTTCAAGCTCTCCCTCGTTTCTCAATCGATATTTTCTTGCTCGGTGGATTCAGAGGTATTTTCTAGCAGATATACAAATTTACCAGACTGTGTACGTGCGATGGCGCAGGAGGGATTTGACAGCGAAAAAGGTCGCCGCGGGGCTCTCATCGTTGTCGAAGGTCTGGACCGCGCGGGGAAATCCAGTCAATGCGAGCTGCTGTTGCACAATCTGCAGACATTGGGCCATCAGGCCAAATATATTCGATTCCCAGGTACGCAGAATAGCCTCTTCTGGGCAATGAAAAACTTCGTTGCGAGCTGGAGATCTAGACTAGCTAATTCACCTCCGCAGATCGAAATACACCTATTGGAAAGCTCATAGATGGCTATCTAAGGGGCCAGTCGCACCTGGATGACCACTCCATCCACCTGTTATTCTCTGCAAATAGATGGGAGGTTGCTCCAACGATTCAGGAGCTCATTGCAGACGGGGTCACTGTCATAGTTGACCGCTACTCATACTCAGGAGCTGTCTACTCGGCCGCTAAGCGCAATCCCAATCTGTCGATTCAGTGGGCATGGCAGCCTGAGGTTGGTCTGCCTCGTCCGGACCTTTGTCTCTTTCTAAGTATCTCGCCCATCGAAGCTGCGAAGCGCGGTGGCTTTGGTCTAGAACGGTATGAGACCGACACGATGCAGAAGCGTGTACGGGATTTGTTCCAGTCTCTCCTCGAACTGCCACACAACGACGAGATCTGTGTCATTGATGCAGGGAGACCATTCAACGAAGTAGCCCAGGATATCCTGGAACCTGTGCTGGAGTGTATGAAAAATGTCGACTCCATCGGCCCTCTCAGGAGACTAGGTCCGTGGTCTTTCATCCCCAGCGGTGAGAGTTCCACATGACACTACAGTCTGCGTATAAGTGAACCCGTCTGCACCTGCGATTGGTTTAGTCTATGATCTCTGGTTCATCACAATCGCTGTCCTGGATCACGATCTCGACTCGAGTCTGTGCTGCCTTGGACTGGTTCTCCAACTGGCTATTGGTCTCCAAGTCGGACTCGTCGACGTCGAATACATCTACCCAACTATCGTCCAGCGGCTCATCATCCTGATCATATTCGCCATAAACACTCTCCCCGTATTCACCACCATTGGAATTCATCTGATCGTCAACTGGAGGCTGAGAGAGTCTTTGCTCGTTGCGACCGGTTCTAGCATTGCCTTTCTTTGCGGGTCGTCCGGTTCGCTCCCTGTGGGGTTTGTGATCGCTCTCTCCTCGGCTGCGCAGAGTTAGCTCTTTCATCAGCATAGGCCATTGAACGGTCTCCTCGCAAGCAACACAGGTACCCTCCAACGGTAACATTTGGTCTGGCTCTCCTGACTCTTGGAGAAATCGGTTGGACAGACAAAGCAGATGAGAAGTGCTGCGACAGCTGGGCGCTGGACACACGACGATCATCTGATCCTTCACTTGCAGCAGTTCTTTGCATACGCCACAATGAATATTTTGAGAGTCATCTAGCACCGTTCTCGCCTTCTCTAGATAGCTTCTCATGCTATTGTAGCTACTATCCACAGCCGCCGCATTTCGGATGCTGCCACCATCCTGCGGAGATATAATTTCTACGTTATCCGGGATGAGACCATCCACTCTGTCGGACCACCCCTGCCATACCCGGTAAACGTCCTTCGAGAAGAAGCGGACCTTCAGGGGCCAGGTGCGGAAGTATGTAGATCGGAGCAGGACATGTAAATCGCCCAGGTGGCTAGCCAAGGATGCCCTTGTCTTGGGCTCACCCTGGGATGTCTTGACCTTTGACTTGGGATCGATGCGTCCACGGCTCTGGTGGGTTGCGTTGCGTTCTCCACGATTAACATGTCTGCATTTGACTGTATGCTGCCACGACCATCTGCATGTCATCAGTTCGGTAACGCCTTGAGAATTGGGATCCGTATCGAGGGCGCGGGTATATCCATCGACGCATATATGACGCACTTACTCAAACTGCAAAGCTCCAGTCCGGCTCATGAATCCCTCCACTATCATTACCATCTCCCAGGGCCTCAGGTTTGCTGTCCGCTTGGCTCCTCCGTTGGTGATGCCATTGTGCTGAGCGAGTCGCCTTCGTGGATTGGGAGTCGATCCGATGTAGAGCTTCCCGCGGTTCACCGTCGAGCGTAGGAGGTAACAACAGTAGAAGGCTGGAATGGGCTTGGTGCTGTCAATCTGCGCGTCCATAGCTGTTTCTGAAAACTCCAGCGCTGGTTATTGTCAGAATGTCGAGGCTGAGCAGCAGCAGTCTCTCACGATGGAGCTGCACCAACCGTGGAGAAGATGGCCTTTAGAAGCTCTACTGAATAATGAACAGACGCTCACACCACCAGTGGAGGTCGAAGATGGAAATTCTCACCACTTTCGACTAAGTATCGTTATCGTTTATCGTCTCCAACGCGACGGATCGCGTCCGGGGAAGAACCCACCGCGCTATCACGTGATAGTACTAGAGTGACTCTGGAACAATAATGCGCCAACAGTCTCTGGATCAATAATACATTTCAATATGTATTCTACGATAGAGAGAGATCTAGACAGTGATCGACGCAGGAGCGTTATGCACATCGACTACCGCTAAACTGGGGTTCGACGAGCTTCTGTGTCTGTCCCGATTCTCCATGGATACGAAGAGGGGAAATCGACACGAATAAATGTCTCTCTGATGGTAACATTGCAGATCCGATCAGTCCAATTCCGGACGCTGGCTTATCTAACACAAGCAACAAGAGCATTTTATCGAGTAATATTATACTATTAATATTATATTAACTGGAAAGGCCGACCAAAACACATGAACTAGGGCTGGCACGGTCAGATGACCCCGGTGTTGCCATCCTTGAACGCCCCGACTTTCTTCCGCTTCTGCTTCACCAGATTCAACTCGACTTGACGATTTTATCAGTTAGGCTATGGTGCTCTCTCTCTCCAGCAGAGACATCCAGAAGAGACCCAGAAACCTACTGGGTATCAGTTCCAAAGGCGATGGACGAACGCAAGCCCGTTGTTACTTTGGAGTCATCATGATCCAATGCCGGATCTGAGTTGCGGCCCTATGTTCCTATGTCGGACAACAACCGGCTGCCCGCGAGTTTCCATCGAGTAATGCGAGGCCTGACGATAAGCCGGACGGAGAACACACGCGGGTGAAGATTATTGTTGGTGTTCCTGACGATGCTTGTCCGTGCGATCGCCAACGGGGATCGAGCTTGGCGGTTAAAGGCCCAATCGCTTCTTTTTGATCTGGAACCTTGACGATTTCTAGTCTAGCCCACGTCGACTCTGCGGACCGTCGGAGGTGCCCGATGATGGAGTCTTGCTGGGACTGCGCTACAGTTGGACTACAGACTATTTCCATGCGGCCAGCTCATCGATCTTATTCGATTGCTATCGAGTAATAAAAACGGCCCTTAGTACGATTACTCGAGACTTACCTCTCGGTTGCCATCTCGGCTGCCGGAAAAACGGATGGCACGGACAGAGACTAAGTATGGTATTCGCCTTCTGCATACAGTACACCACGAGACCTCGACTGGCTGCCAGAAAGGGCAAACCTGATGGTATCCCCGATGCATTCCAGTCTGTATTGGGGCCTGTACTCCAGGCTTACTCCTAATATACTAACTAGCGGGGGTGCGTGAAAGATGGGCTTCCCCGGCAAGCCAGGCGCCAAATGCCCCAGGACCCAGCGTTGGAAGGCGTGAAACCCCTCCTGGCGGTATGGGAGTCTAATTGTCTTCTGGAACTCCCTAGGGTTTAGCAGATCCCGAGAGGAAAATCGGCGATGGCGGAGACTACTGATGTTGTCCCTCTCGCCTTCGTTGTCACCCGTGGGACGCGGTGGACCCGCAAAGATGGCCACGGCCGCGGCGATTTTATCTCTCCAAATAGTGCCCTGTGGCCTCCCCTTTCGCGGGGCCGGAAGGGAGGCTGGCTTGAATTTGGCTCTTCAGGAACAGACTTATCAATCGTCTGGTCCCGTAAGTTATTATTATTATTTCTGTTTCTTTTTCTTCCGTCCATATCTGGTACTTTGGCTTCATTATCTGGCGGGCTTACGGGATCCACCCAGAATCCTTATCAGCGTACACTCTGTGAGCCCGATAAGCCACTCCCTGTACTCAGCACCCTCGGAGACTTCGAATTCTCTCTCTTCCCGTTGTCTTCAGTGCAGTATCATATACATTGTCTGTTTCCATTGCTTCCATCAAGCCGTTCTGGACCCTGGGCGCCGGTGGCAACCTAGTACTATATCTCTTTATCTTTAAGCGCTTAACTCAGACCCGCCGCCGCGAGCGCCAGATCAGATAGCTTGATCGCAGCACGATTTACCCCGGACTCCAGGTTGGAACCCACTAAGGAGACAGGACCCTGCTGGCGCAATGAGTGCAACTATCAACGGTGAATCCACCAACCCACCAATCGTGGTGGCTTCATCCCGCGCCGTCATATCAGGGTGTTTGACGCCGGCCACAGTGGTCATCTCTCGCGAGACGGGCAAAGTGACCTCGGTCTTCTACTCAGTCCTCCCCGCCTCTGGTTTCCCTGATGGCACGCAGTACACAGACTACTCTCCCCTTGTTCTGCTGCCTGGTCTGGTGGATGCACATGTGCATCTCAACGAGCCTGGCCGTACTGAATGGGAAGGTTTCTACACCGGCACCCAGGCTGCCGCCTTTGGTGGTGTGACCACGGTCATTGATATGCCCCTGAATGCAATTCCGCCAACAACGACGGTTGCCGGGCTGAAGGAGAAAGTGAAGGCCGCTCAGGGGCAATGCTGGGTGGATGTTGGTTTCTACGGTGGCATTATCCCCGGAAATGCTCATGAGCTGAAAGGCCTTGTGAACGAAGGAGTCCGAGGATTCAAGGGATTCCTAATTGATAGTGGAGTACGTTCAAGGACAATGAATCTACAATAAGACAAAGTACTGACATGTTCCAGGTTGAGGAATTTCCGGCTGTTACCGCAGCGGATATCAGGAAGGTCATGGCTGAATTGGCCGATGAGCCTACCACGCTGATGTTCCACGCAGAAATGGTACCTCCCATCACCGCGTCCGTTGGTGATGAAGTGCAGACGTCTGAACCGCCTGCTGCACCAGAGGGGCCCCTTCAGGCCTATTCCACATTCCTGGCTTCTCGTCCAGCGGCATTTGAGACGTACGCTATTGAGGAGATTCTATCACTCGCGCATCTTGCCCCTAAACTTCCTTTGCACATAGTCCACCTTTCTGCAATGGAAGCCATCCCGTTGCTGCGCGAGGCCCGTGCTAAAGGGATCCCAATCACTGCGGAGACCTGCTTTCACTACCTTTCACTCGCCGCAGAGGAGATTCGCGACGGTGATACTCGACACAAGTGTTGCCCGCCCATCCGTTCCCAGGCGAACCAGGATCGCCTCTGGGCAGAGCTTGAGCGCCATGCAACTGATGGTGTCATCAAGACAGTAGTCTCTGACCACTCTCCTTGCACGCCTGACCTCAAGTTGCTTCCGTCCCATATCTCTGGTCATTGCTCCTCCGCTAGTTCGTCGGCGACAGCGACACCTTCTGCCACCAGCAGTGTCTCTGACCTTGGCACCACCCTAGACCCTGAGCACGATGGAAACTTCTTCTCCGCCTGGGGCGGTATTTCTTCTGTTGGTCTCGGTCTGCCTATCTTGTGGACAGAGTTGAACCGGAGGAAGAAGCTGGACGCTTCTAGCGAGGCTACCAGGGATGCTCTTGAGAATATTGTACGGTGGTGCTGCATCAACACTGCAACTCAAGTCGGGCTTCAGAAGCGAAAGGGCGATCTTACCGGCGGCTGTGACGCTGATATCTGCGTCTTTGATGACAGCGTCGAGTGGATCGTGGAGCCGAGCACCATGCTCTTCCGCAACAAGTGCTCTCCGTACCAGGGCAGGATGCTCAAGGGAATGGTGCGGGAGACTTGGGTTCGTGGTAAGCGCGTCTTCAGTCGTGAGGAGGGCTTCGGGAAGAACATTCCATCTGGAAAGCTGCTTCTTGAGAAAAGATCCCTGGCTCCTTGAGGAGTCCCACCACATTGATTTCTCTTTTTATGTTCGATATCTTTTTCAAGGTTCCGTGTGTCTGTTTGAACCAGCGGATATGAGTCCCATGTTGCCTTCATTTATCATTGATGTCTTTCATCATAGCATGCGCCTGCTGGGTTCTGGAGTATGTGATTTGTTTGTTGCCTGCTGCCGTCTTTTAAGCATGTTCTTTGGCAAGATTCTCATGATGATGCTAGATAGAGTACGCCTTGGACATAGATGTCGTGGAGTTTGACGTGATACGGTCATGCCGACTGCGATGGCGGGAAAGAAGTATATAATTCTAATGTCCAGTGATGGTCAATTTCCAGATATTATAGCATAGTTACAGAATTGAAATTCGAAGTTGAACTTGAAATTTGATAGATCAGTGGCTACGTTATCCGCACCATCTCCACCGGACTACAAGAGCGGGTGGACCAAATGAAGGCATGCAAATATTCCTATCTGAATCAATCTTCACATGGAATTTTCTGTACTTGGTTCTAAAGCAGATCTTCAAATGGTAACTATGAAATCACCACATACACTGCGGTATCGACCCAAACGCAGTGGATCTAATCTAGTATTGTCTCTGTTACTGAAGTAGGGAAAATGCTGTCTATTCTCTACAGAAAAAGAAGGCTAAAGCATACATAGTAATCTACAAAAAGCACAATCACTCAACTCTCTGCTCATCTGAATCCTTCTCCTTATCCTTTTCTCTCTCTTCCCATCTTTCTCTCACCCTTCTTCTCATTCCACCATTCACGCCTCTTCCCCAGATCTCCTCCTTCTCCATCTGACTTCCAACATCCACTATCTTCTCCGGCTGTGGTTCCCCCCCCTCTTCAACAGGACCGACCAATTCCTTCTTCTCCTGGACTTTCCTCTCTCGTTTCCGCGCATCATCTACTTTTCGCAGATAAATCGCGTATAACACCACTTCCGCAATTCCAATAAACAGCCCTGCGAACAAAGAGACCAAAACCCGAACAGGCTGCGATGCCGTGCCCACACCTGATGCAAAGCCCGAACCTCGTTTCGTAGCAAAGGTTAAAAAACCCGGAGTGCGGTAATTGCTCAGTGCCCAGTATGAGCTGAAGCCGGTAAGGAGGATGGAGAGGAAGATGTTAAGGACGAGGGAAGGTGTGAGGGGATCGTAATCGGCGTTTGTAGAGGTGTTGTCTTGGAGAGCGGTGACGTTTGAAGAGGAAAAGATGGGGTCAGGTTGAGGTGTTTTTGAAGATGTGGAATATAGCATGCGGTTATAAGCATCGGCTTCTGCGGCGGCTTGGAGACGGGCTTTGAGAGCGAGGTATTCGGGACTCTGGGATGGAGGTTAGAACTTGGGAGGGGGGTATAATGATTTATGTTGTGTTTTTTAGGAAATCGTTGCAGATAACCTACCGGTGCTGGCTTCGGTGGTGGAGGTGGGATATAGATTTTAGTCCCGCGAAGAAGGGAATTGAGCGTATAAGCTGCTGCAGGGTTGAAGTTGAATCTTCCTTGCTCCTGCGAGCTCAGAGGCTTTCCATCCTCCTCCGCATTGCTCCCTTCTTTCTTGTCCTCCTCTTCCTCCTCTCGGGTAGTCTTTGGCATCTGCTCTCCATCTCCGCGTGTATACCAACGCGCCAGCGCAATCAGCTGTTCATGGGATATGGGACCATCCAGCGCAGGAGACTTGGGGAGGTCGAGAGTCTCGCGACATGCGGACGGAACCGCCTCGAGCGCGGAGAGGATGGTCGGAGTCGTTACGAGAAGAACCATACCCTGGCCATATCATTAAAAACGGATTAAGAAAAAGAAAAAACAAAGAGAAGATCCAAAATATAAACTTGAAAGTTGGGGTTGTTGTGCAATGAGTTAGTTAGTAGTTAGGACAAGAGTTCAAGAGAAGAGATGTCATTCCATGGTCTTTTCCCGAAGAGGAAACCCAGCTCTTGATCTCTCCACCACCGAAACTCACGCTGGAAACTCCGAACCCCTCAGCGTCTGCGTTCGACTTCTGGTAACAACAAAACGCAAACCCCCACCAGAGCATCCAATGTCACCTGCCTGAGAGCCGACCTGAATTGGCCCTGCTCTACTGGGCAGTGAAATAATCAAGAAATAAAATCAAATATGGCCGACAAAACGCCCGCGGCGTAAGTCGCTCTCTATCTTTATTCACTTTCCCCGCGCTATTCCTCCTGAAATCCACTGACAAGCTCCAACTGCAACCAGTGCGCAAGCGCAGACCAATCCACGCGGAATTCCAGTCGCTCCCTTCGTCGACAATGTGTCAGATTACGTCTCGTCTCGCGCGGACGTCGAGCCCACACTCCGCTCGTTCCAGGAAATGATTGCAAAGTATCAGTTCATGGAAGTAAACACGCAGCGACGGGCAGCGGGGTTACGGGAAAAGATTCCGGATATCAAGAAGACATCAGAGACTGTGAAGTTCTTGAAGTTGCGCAGGAAGGTGAGATTGCGTCTTCTTTGCCCCATACCATATATCTCTGGTCCAGTTGGAGCTGGAGATAATATACTATTCACACGCACAGAGGGGAATGTTATATATTTATATCCATGGACATCATTACTGAGCTGTTACTTTTACCCACCCAGGCTGGATCAGAAGAACCTCTCCTTACCAACTTCGAGCTCAACGACACCCTCTATGCTCGCGCGACTGTCTCCCCTGCCGACACTGAAGAGGTGTATCTCTGGCTTGGTGCCAACGTGATGCTGGCATACCCACTTGATGAGGCTGAGACTATGCTGGAAGAGAAGCTCCGTGCCGCAGAGTCAAGCTTGAAGAACTGCGAGGAGGATTTGGAGTTCCTGAGGGAACAGATCACGGTACGTTAAAACCCTCCCGAACACACATACACAACGCATGATATTCGACTTTTATAGTCTGGATAGACATCCCCAACAAGACAAAAAAAACTAACAATAATCAATAAAATCTAGACCCTTGAAGTTGCGACCGCGCGCGTATATAATTGGGATGTCGTACAGAGACGGAAAGAGAAAGCAGAAGGCAAGGGCGGAGACGATGAAGATGTTAAGGCTGGTCCGGCCGGTTAGTAGTCGGATTTGAGAACAGGAAATTTCAAATTAGCAGTTTTAAGGCAGCTCCGTTTTGGGGGAGGACGAATAGCGATCCTGATCTATGGTTTTATAGAAAAGTAGTCGGTTTTCTTAAAAATCAACCTTTACGAAATACTTTAACCTTTAGCCCTGTGTGCGTCAGGCAAGCAGGGTAGTTATTATTATGATCTCCTATTTATACGTCCAGTCTATGTGGTCTGGATTCGAAAAGTTGCGCTGCAACATATTTTTATCATCGTCATTGTATCTAATTCGTGAAAGCTATTTACAAAGTCGAATGCGGCATCTTTCATGCCGGCGGACTTGCGTTTCATCAGAAGATTTACCCAGTTGGTGGGTGTTCCATCATGGTCAGAACAAGTTCTTCGACTGGGGCCTGTTTCAGGGAGCGAATTACTGCTCTCCTGCCAACACCCTCCAGAGCATCTTCACTTCATCCTCTTCTTCTTTCGATCCCGGCTCTGTGCCTGCCCCATATCGCTGCCCAATGACGCAAACGAGCCAGACATCATTCTTGGTCTCGTCGATGAAACGTTCAGTGGGAGATCCGCGGGGATAGACACGGCGCCATTCATCCCAGATGCGGAATGCCTCTTCACCCCAGGCGCGGAAGCTGACTTCCTCGATAATGGTTGGGGTAATAATCTCCTTGCCTTTGAAGACACCCCATGTCACTGCGTTCACGCCATTGTGCACTTGATCTCTCTCGGATTCATCTCCATTGGACTGGGTGGAGATGTAGGACTCTAGTTCACCGGTTGCGTTAGTTGCGAACCAGGCAAATTCTTCGTCGCCATATTTCTGAAGAAGAGGTTTGAGAATAGTTTGGTAGTCTTTGTTCGGACAGAAGAACTCGACGAATGGCTTTTGGAAGACAAAGCCCTCTTTCTGGGGACCCCAGCCATAGGTAGGGTCGTCACTTCGGACACCGTTAACCGCAGGTTGGGACGCCACTGTCCACCAGCCTCGACCCTCGATCAGCTTCAAAAGCTCGGGACGGATTGTCAGAGTTTCAGGATTCAGGCCACCAGAATTTTCTTCCGCTCCTCCCTCCGACCATGGCACCATGTGCAGTTCACCAGAGACGTGTCGGCGAAACAAGGTGCTGATATCATCACGAGAGACAGGGTAACCCCAAATTCGACGAGCTACAGCAGCAGACACGTGAAGTGATGGACCATAGCCATCGATCTCTCCGAATGCAGGAGATCGAGCATCACCCCAGCGTCCATTGGGGAAGTCATCCCATGTGGCTTCCCGACCGAGAGAGCCAAGACCCTCGGAGATCTGTAGCGTTGTACTGCGAGGTGGTGGGTTCAGTGCTGGCAAACCAGCACTGAGAGCAGCGGTTTCATGCGTGGTGGAGCCTCTGGAAGAGCCATCCGAGGGTACAGATGGTTTGTCAACAATCAGACGGTTGTGAGGCTGCGAGTTGATGGAGGAAGCTCGACGCCTAGAGAATGAACGCTTCTGGACCTCAGTTAGAGGTGCATCTTTGGGAGCCTCCACAATTACAACGCCATCCGCATCTCGATCATCGTCATCAGCTGCGTCAGTTGATGGCGGAATAAGATCGCACCGCTCGAGGATAAATGACACGGATTTCTCAAGATTCAGCGTATAGAAGTGAAAGCCACGAGGTCCTGGGCACGGTAGATCCTTCATCTTGTCCACTATCTCGCTCACAATGTCGACACCAGTGCGCTTCACTGCATCGTCGTCGGTCTTGACTTTCTCGATCCGAGACAGGACATCCTTCGGAACCTTGACATGACTCAGCTTTGTCACTCTCGTCAGGATGTTGTAGCTCTGGATAGGCATAAGACCAGGTATGATAGGAATGGTCTTGAAGACACCAGACTCATGGTTCCTCAGTAGATCTTCGAACTTCCTGTACGCATCGATATCGTATGTCAATTGGGTCATGATGAAATCCGCACCGGCCGTGGTCTTTTCGATCAGATAGGGCAGGTCATGCTCTGGCGATTGAGGATCCTGGACAGATTCGCCCGGATGACCTTCAGGATAAGCTGCAACTCCAATGCAGAAGTAGTCTCCGTGCACCTTCCGGATATATCGAACGAGATCAACCGCATACTTGAACTCCTTATTGCTGTCATCCTCTCCATGCATGTTGTACTCTTCGCTGCGAGGAGGGTCACCGCGCAGTGCAAGGATATTCCTTATTCCCAGAACCTTTGCTTCCTCCAGTGCCTCGTCAACCAGCTTCCGGTCCATGTTTGTACAGGTAAGATGCAGACATGTCGTGAGCTGCAGCTGTCGCTGGCAGATCTCCGCCAGCTCCAGCGACTTCGCCGCGGTCGTGCCTCCAGCACCCCATGTAACCGTCACGAAGAGAGGACGGAGGGCTTGAGCCATACGCTCCAGACGAGCCTGCAAGTTGGCAGAACCCTGAATAGCACATGAATGTCAGCCATGTTCAACTCGACCATCGCCGCGGGGTAGAATGGACGACCCCACCATCTGAGTCTTTGGGGGGAAGAACTCCAGCGAGAAGAAGTTCGCATCTGGCGGCAGCGCCGCGATCTTGTCTGTGATCTTCTCCATAATGCCAGGCGCGTGTCTGTGAGTTATGACGGCCTGCGTCGTGAAGTCCCCAGCTGTTGGAGATTTTTCAGGTGTTGCAGTTTAAAGTCCGGAAAACGAACGCTTGGCCGACGTCCTCCCCGGAACTTACATCGAACTCTGGACGGGAATTTCTGAGTTAAGTGCTTAGCAACTGTGACTTTTCTGTCCAATTATCTGCGGAGAAATAAAATTCAAATATAGCGGATTATCAGTGTGGACATCCAATATCCAGACAGTTTTCAGCCAGCCGCATTGAACTCAATCGGCAATTGTACGCTGCTGGCTGCCGACAGCAACATTTGGCTGTTATTTTCTCAAGTCACAACTCGAAACGTACAGTAACAACCAGAAAGAAATCTGTATATAATAGACCAGAACACGGGAAGAGCTGCGCTACTATCCTGTCCATAAAATTCAAATATATACGATTCCATTGACAACGTCACAGCCATATTCAGCATCCCACCACCAACTCCATGCCTCAGTTTTTCTTCAATCAAACCGCTGGATCGTCTCCACAATCCACTCGAAGCGTCCATCTTCCGCTATCTGAGCGAATTGATTCTATTTATGCTAAATGCAATAATGGGTGCCTGCAGCACATCAATCAGATATAAAGATGCTGCCTGTGATCAGATGGTCGATCCCGAGCATCATGGCACTAACTCCGCAGCTACTAGCTAGACTACTCGTGAACTACGTATTAGGACGGAGTAGCAATCCAATGCATGCTTTTGTGACTCGTCTAATCAACTTCCATTCTGCCTAGGCGATAAGTATGAAGAACAAACAGAACAAACATGATCCATCGCGACGACTGAAGATGGAAGAATTCAATATGAGCGACATTCTCTGAATCCTCGCGATATAATACTAAAGCAGTGACTCCATCATGCAGTACTAATCTTGAGACTGCAACTGACCCAGTTGAGCGGGTGTTCTACTGATATTCTATACGTCTTTAAGCAGATATTCAAATCGCAATATATCTATCTGCCTCTACGTTCAACATTCCCCAGTGCCAAATGATTAAGCTACTACGGTACTTCGTCAATTGATTCAAATCCTACAACATGGCATCCAATTTCCTACGTCCTCTACGATTCCGTCCTCTTATCAAATCCTGTCCTCGCCGATCCCTATCGACTCCTCCACCGCCCTCGTCCCAACCAGCGCGCGACTCCTATTCGCGCCTTCGCCGCTTCAACGAACGTCTTCCGTCGTTTCTACGACCGTATACGGCCCCTCTCTTTGGCGCACCAGTCACGCATATCACCTCTTTCCTGATACTACACGAGATCACAGCCGTGGTGCCGCTCTTCGGCCTCGTAGGGGCATTCCATTATGCTGGTTGGACGCCGGACTCGAGTTCTTGGGTTGGCGAGGGAGGAGCTTTCGATGAAGGCGTGAAGAGCTTCGGAAGGTGGCTGAGAAAGAAGGGCTGGGTGGAGGAGAGCGATGTGGACGTTTTAGCGGGAACAGGGAATACAGCAAGCAGTGGGCCAGAGCAGCCGGAGCTTAGGGGTGCTGAAAGCAAAGGAGTGCGCTTGCTTCTGGAGTTTGCGACAGCATATGCGATCACAAAGGCATTGTTGCCAGTTCGGATTGCAGCGAGTGTATGGGCTACACCCTGGTTTGCAAGAACGGTTGTCGGACCAGTGGGAAGTTTAGCCAAAAAAGTCTTTGTTCGCAGGTAAATCATGAATACTCTGGCAGATAGGAGTAAGAATCTCCGGTCCTCTGCTAGTATCTACTGAATATATGATATTCTTGGCGTGGGAAGAAGCAGTCCATAAACAATGGAAGGGTTTCTATTTCTCATTGATCACTTCTATTTTGTATTTAAGATTCCTTGGCCGTCATGACTTATGCGGCTGCAGAGATCTCGTTTCGAGGTCCTTAGATCGAGATAATTTAAGGCTTCTCGTAGATCCAGTCCTGCTGGGAGTGCTTGTACTCGATGACCTCACCCTGGCCGAACCAAAGGGCGATCTCCTTCTTGGCGTTCTCGACGCTGTCGGAGCCGTGGCAGACGTTGCGGCCGACGTCCTGTTTGACCTGTGTAAGTATGGTTGAAAACGGGCTAAGGCGTCTAGAAAAGACTTACAATGGCGTAGTCACCACGGATGGTGCCAGGAGCGGAGGCAAGGGGGTTGGTGGCACCGAGGATGGCTGTAGATAGATGTTAGACTCGAAAAGCATCATGATTTTCCGGATAGGTGGTACGTACCACGACCGGTCTTGACGACCTCACGGCCCTCCCAGACCATGGCGACAATGGGGCCGCTCAGCATGTCTAGATAACGTGTCAGTTACGATCTGCGGTTTGACTAGAAAACCTCCAGAGGGAGAACGTACAGGTGACGAGACCCTTGAAGAAGGGCTTGTCGGAGAGGTCAGAGTAGTGCTTCTCGAGGTGCTCCTGGGAGGGAGTAACGAGCTTCAGGGCGACGAGCTTGAAGCTGCAGAGATATCAGTATATAAATCTTCTTCTCGTTCATACGGAAGGCTGAAGCAACTCACCCACGCTGCTCGAAGCGGCTGATGATGGGGCCGACGAGTCCACGCTGGGAACCATTAGTCGACAATACAATCGCAGGAAGGCAATCGAGCAGAAGCTGTGCTGTCTACTCGACGCTATAATATTCATACCTGGACACCATCGGGCTTGATGGCAATGAAGCTGTACAACCGTTAGCCTGACCGCTCTGGATGAGGGGCAACGAAAAAGTTGTGGAGGGGCAGAGGGGTATAGAGGGGCAGGATGGAGAAGATGGGATGAATAACATACGTCTGCTCGTTGGACATTTTGATTGATGTGTGTAAAGGACGACTGGAAGGTCGGTCAATGGAGTTAACAAAAAGGCTGGAGAGGTGAAAGGAGATACATCCCAAGGGTTGGGCGGGCAATGGCTGAGTTGGCGAAAATATATACGGGCAGTCCGGCGACGACGGTCTGGTGCTGTGGGGCTTTGGAGGGGTTGTCGTCGAGCCCTTTTTGGGTTTGGGCCGTCTCGGGCTGTTTGGCTTGTTTGGCTTCCCCGGCTTAGCTCTGGACACGCTTCGAAGCTCCTGTAGAGCTCTTGGTATATACACCTGTTGGCCGACACGACCGGTCGATGGAGGCCAGCAGATTTTGTGTTTAGGAGTCTGTATTCTGCAAGGCCTCAGCATCTGCTGCTTGGACCTTGAGTGTGATCATGGCGCGCAGTCTACATGCGGCCCCTAGATGGGCGCTGTTGCTTTCCCTAGTGATACTGCTTAGCTGTCTTATCAGCCCCGGAGGTGAGTGAGCATCCATTATCCATCCATCCCAAGTCAATGCCGCTCTGACTTCATCATCTAGCCGCTGTCAAGCACGAAAACTTCAAGAAATGTGACCAATCGGGTTTCTGTAAGCGGAATAGAGCCTACGCGGACGATGTTTACGCCAAGGGCTCCTCTTGGTCGTCGCCCTATGAGCTCGATTCGAATTCCATCCAATTCAAGGACGGTCAGTTGCAAGGTGTCATTCTGAAGACCGTGTCTGCGGGTGAGAAGGTCCGGCTACCTCTCACTGTTTCCTTCCTCGAGTCTGGTGTCGCTCGCGTTGTTGTAGATGAGGAGAAGAGGACCAAGGGAGACATCGAGCTCCGTCACGAGAGCAAAGCGCGCAAGCAGCGATACAACGAGGCCGGTAAATGGGCGTTGGTCGGTGGACTGGAGCTGAGCAAGTCCGCTTCATTGGACCCGGAAACAGAAGCTGGTGTCACCAAGGTCCTCTACGGCCCCGAGCAAAAGTTCCAAGCCATCATTCGCCATGCACCCTTTGAGGTGGACTTCCAGCGAGATGGTGAAACACACGTGAAGTTCAATGACCGCGGTTACCTGAATGTTGAGCACTGGAGAGCAAAGGTCGATGAACCGAAAGAGGATCAGGCTGAGGACCAGAGTACTTGGTGGGAGGAGTCTTTTGGCGGCAACACCGATTCGAAACCAAAAGGCCCAGAGAGTGTGGGACTTGACATCACGTTCCCTGGCTATGTGCATGTTTTTGGAATTCCAGAACATGCTGATTCTCTCTCCTTGAAGGAGACCAGGTAGCTAAACTCGTTCCTTCTTGCTTTCTCGGTGGAACTAACAAATCGATCAGGGGTGGTTCTGGAAACCATGATGAGCCTTATCGGTTGTATAACAGCGATGTCTTCGAGTATGAACTCAACAGCCCAATGACTCTTTACGGTGCGATTCCGTTCATGCAGGCACATCGCAAGGACTCCACGGTCGGTGTATTCTGGCTCAATGCCGCAGAGACATGGGTGGATATCGTCAAATCGAAGACGTCTGCCAATCCTCTCTCGCTGGGCGTGGGCGCTAAAACGACGACCCAGACCCATTGGTTTTCCGAGTCTGGTCAGCTCGATGTATTTGTCTTCCTGGGTCCCACACCGCAGGATCTGAGCAAGACCTACGGAGAGCTCACGGGATACACTCAGCTGCCTCAGCAGTTCGCCATTGCCTATCATCAATGCCGATGGAATTATGTGACGGATGAAGATGTCAAAGATGTGGACCGCAAGTTCGACCGATACCAGATCCCTTACGATGTCATCTGGCTCGATATCGAATACACCGACGGCAAGAAATATTTCACTTGGGATCCTCTTACCTTCCCTAACCCGGAAGGTATGCAGGGACAACTGGACGAGTCGGAGCGGAAACTTGTCATCATCCTGGACCCTCACATCAAGAATGAGGCTAACTACCCGATTGTGGATGACCTGAAGAGCAAAAACCTTGGTGTCAGGAATAAGGACGGTGATCTCTACGAGGGTTGGTGTTGGCCGGGTTCTTCTCACTGGGTCGACTGCTTCAACCCTGCGGCCATTGATTGGTGGGCTAGCCTGTTCAAGTACGACAAGTTCAAAGGCACGCTCCGCAACATGTTCGTCTGGAACGATATGAATGAACCCTCCGTCTTTAATGGGCCTGAGACCACTATGCCTAAGGACAACATCCACTACGGAGATTGGGAGCACCGTGACATTCATAACGTAAACGGTATGACTCTTGTCAATGCCACATATAAGGGACTTCTGGAGCGGAAGAAGGGTGAGGTGCGTCGACCGTTCGTCCTGACGCGGTCCTTCTACGCTGGAACTCAGCGCCTGGGTGCCATGTGGACTGGTGATAACCAGGCTAACTGGGACCATCTGGCGGCTTCTCTGCCTATGGTTCTGAACAATGGTATCGCCGGATTTCCTTTCGCCGGCGCTGATGTCGGTGGTTTCTTTGGTAATCCTAGCAAGGATCTCTTGACTAGATGGTATCAGGCTGGTATCTGGTATCCCTTCTTCCGCGCACACGCCCACATCGACACCCGCAGGAGAGAGCCTTACCTTGCTGGAGAACCGTACACAGCAATCATCTCGCAAGCGATCCGTCTCCGTTACCAGCTTCTCCCCGCGTGGTATACGGCCTTCCACGAGGCTTCCGTCAACGGAACTCCTATTGTCAGGCCTCAGTACTACGTGCATCCGTCTGATGAGCATGGTTTTGCACTTGACGACCAGCTCTACCTGGGATCCACCGGTCTTCTCGCAAAGCCCGTAGTGACTGAGGGGGCGACCTCGGTGGACATCTACATTGCGGACGATGAGAAGTACTATGACTACTTCGACTACACGGTCTACCAGGGAGGGCGCAAGAAGCATATTGTTCCCGCTCCTCTGGAGAAGGTCCCGCTCCTGATGCAGGGAGGTCACATCATTCCCCGGAAGGACCGTCCCCGCCGTAGCAGTGGATTGATGAAGTGGGATCCGTACACTCTTGTCGTAACCTTGGACAAGAACGGTCAAGCCGAGGGCACTCTCTATGTTGACGATGGAGAGACGTTCGATTTCGAGCGTGGCGCATACATCCACCGTCGATTCTCTTTCAGCGATTCGACCTTGGCTTCGGAGAATCTTGGAACCAAGGGTCCAAAGACCGCGGAATATCTGAAGGCCATGTCTGGTGTCCGCGTCGAGAAGATCGTTATCGTGGACGCCCCTCAGCAGTGGCAGGAAAAGTCCAGCGTGACTGTGATCGAGGAGGGAGCGAAATCCGGTTCCACCGCTCCTCTAGAGTTCCACCTGCAGCAAAATGGCAAGGCACCATACGCTATCGTAAAGAACCCTGGTGTCGGTATTGGAAAGACTTGGAGGATCGAGTTCTAGAGTATGTTCCGTTGTGCGTATCTTGTGCGTTATGTTGTACGTCGTATCCTTTTATGAAGCGTCTCCGACAGTAAGTTATAGCAAGCTTGGATGAATGATATTGTGATTTCCGCCAGTATATGAGCCCAGTAGAGTAATGAATCATAGCTATAACCAACCTGGGCAGCTTGGCAATTGCTTGTTTGTGCATATGTGCTGACATAATCGACATAAGCCGCCAAGACCGGAACCCGTTATGATCGACGGAGCGCCTGGACCTCGAGGCGCCCCTGGCCCGTTTGGTTTCAGCGGACTTTCGTATCGTCTCTCTGGTTGTCTGTCATTTGGACTTCGGTAGACGTCTCTTTCCTAGACCTGGAAATACGTTGATCGCTGCATCCTACAACTGCTGCGGCGCACCTCCCTTATTCCGCGGTATAATTCCTCGAGCGATACGGAACCTCCGATCCAACTCACGAGTGTTCTTCTCCGCGAAGTTGTCGACCGTGGGCACGCGAGCATTCCAGTTTTCAGGTGCGGGAGTCGTACATCAGAAGAAAGCTTTGGCATCCTTGAGCGAGCTTTGTACTCGAATCTTTACACTCGAATCTTGAGGACCGGAGACCATTGATCAACATGGGTCTCATTTCCCTTGCCCTCGAATATGGGGCCCCGTTTTTGTATGTACTCCGCTGGCCATCGTCCATCTGGAATTGAAGGAGAAATGCTGACTTGGGGCCTTGTGCATAGTCTCATTACATCGCCCATAACATCTTATGCCGATCAAATATACAGTATACATAGGAACAAGAACTCGGGAGGTTTCTCATTGGACATACCATTGATCATGCTTGTCGCGTCTATATTGAAGTAGGTGTCTTGTTGAAGTGGGATGGCACATTTCTTTAGCGGCATACTGACTAATTTGACAGGGTCTTTTACTGGTTTGGGGCTTACTATTCTTATTCGCTCTTGATACAAGCGATCATCATGGTTTTCGTGCAACTCCTTCTACTCAAGGTGGCTTTGGATAACCGACCTGCAACGGGCATCAAGGGTGGCATCGAACATGCACCATTCAGCGAACATGAAAATTCGGGGAGGCCGTACAACTTTTGGAAGTGGAGGAACACGAAGCCGTATGTCCATTCCAGCTTCTTGTGACGAAAAAAGCGATCCCTTCGTTTGTTCCGGCGTGACTAATGTCTTTTTGACACAGGTACTGGACCTTCCTCACCTACTTCTCCCTTGGTCTCCTCTTCATCCACGTCTTTCTGCCGTTTATCTCCCGCTCGGAATCCTACATCAACCTCCTTGGGGTTGTCGGCCTGGCGGTTGAAGCATTCCTTCCCGTTCCTCAAGTGCTGGCCAACCAACGTTCGCGATCTTGCAAAGGCTTCCGTCTCTCTGTACTTGCATCATGGATTATTGGTGACCTCATGAAGATGAGCTATTTCTTTGGCAGCAAGCAGGTCATCCCATGGTCATTCCGGATGTGCGGTATGTTCCAATGCGTATGCGACTGCTACCTGGGTATCCAATATTGGATGTTCGGAGAGGGTCCCTCAGGGGTCGCCAACAGCCCTAGGCAAAGCGGCGATCGCTGGGAAGCCGAGGAGAAAGATATTCGGTTGGCCTAGATCCATACCCGGTCCTGCATATATGCCATTTGTTTCATATAGATAATTATAATCAATTCCCCGTGATGATGGCGAGGCATAAATAGAATTTCATTTTGATCATAATCGCTCTTTATTGTTAAGTACTGCCGTTTCCGCTTATGGAAGTCTCGGAGATTTCGACATGCTGACTTAAACCCCGCCATTATTACCCCACCAGCAACAAGATCTTCGGGAATTCAAACAACCACGACCTCCCAGAGCGCATTGAAGTCGTCAATTGCGTTGCGCATTATTCTTTTCTAGCTGTCTGATATACTTATCAATTAAAAAGCGCTGAACCATGGCAGCATCGAGGGCGACAATTCGGATCGGCTACGTGCCAGGTATGACTTCATCTTCGCAACATCTATCTATGTCTCGGTAGAAAACCGCTCGTCAATTATGATCTATATTGTCTACGATTGCGAATATCCTCTATCCATCCACAAGAAATGAGAAGTCATACGCCAATGGCTAACATGGTTCATAAATAGAGCACTACCTCACCCCTCTCCACCTTGCCGTCCGATCCGCATCTTCGCTCCCCTTCAATTTCACCCTCGTTCCCTTCCCGTCTGGCACAGGCCATATGATTACGTGTCTTCGTGAGAAAGAGATTGACATCGGTATTGGTCTGACGGAAGGATGGGTTGCGGGTCTTACTGGAAAGTCGCAGCTGCACCAGAATGTTGTCTCAGGCGGATACAAGGTTGTCGGCCACTGGGTCGAGACGCCATTGCGGTGGGCAATCGTGACAGGAAGGGAGAGAGAAGATATCAATAGCGTTAGTGATCTGAAGGGTAGCAGAGTCGGTGTTAGTCGATTGGGAAGGTAAGAGCTCGTTGTTGCTATGTGTACGTTTATTCACGACGTCTGGATGCTAATATAAACTTGCGTTTGCTTTAGTGGTTCGCACATCATGTCTTTCGTCCTCTCTCAACAACAAGGCTGGGGCCCCGACTCTCTCAGCACTGTTCCGCTCGGTCCTTTCAGCGACCTTCGTGACGGTGTAACTGGATTCGATGCTAAGAACCCAGACAAGCCGCCCAAGCCCGCTGCGGAGTTCTTCATGTGGGAGCAGTTCACCACTAAGCCCTACTTCCACCAGACTGCGGACAAGCCCCATCCCCCTCTCAAGAAGATCGGTGAAATCTATACCCCATGGCCATCGTGGCTGGTTGTTGCCTCCACATCGACTTTCCCCAATCCTGAGAAGGATGAGAATCTGGCAAAGCTATTTGAAGTCTTAGATCAGGGTATTAAGGAGTTCGAGGGAAATACCGACCAGGCCGTCAAGTTGCTGGGCACTGGAGAACTTGGCTGCACATACACCGAAGACGACGCCAAGGAATGGTTGAAGGATGTCAGGTTCGCGCAGGGAGGAACGAGGGGTGTCGACAAGAAGGTCATCGAAGGCGTCGTGGACGTTCTGAAGGTTGCTGGAGTTGTCTCAGAGGATATGAAGAACGATGAGGCTGTCCAGAGAGTTGTCGGAATCTCGAGATAAGCGACTCCATGAACAAGTGATCTCCTTGGCCTATTTAAATTTGGCAAATAGCCAAACGTTTTGTTCTGGTCAATGAGATTGCGGTCAAGTTGAGAGACTTCTTCTCGTCAGTTACAAGATGCCGTCAACCTGCTTCTATGTGTTTCATGAATAAACTTTGATTCCCCATAAAATTCTCATACACGATTACCTGTATATCCCTCTTTCTTTCTCATGCTACATGAACAAGAACTCAGTTCTTATGGTAATACAATATTAAATCTACGATGTTCACTTGGCATAATTCATACATAGTTCATAATAGACCGCTAGCATGTATAAATTGCCAGGATGGTCCTGGAGTTAAAGCGCACATTAAGCCTCTACTAGAGCCCTCACTCAGAAGCTGACGATATCTTCCAAACGTGGACAGCAATACACAATTAGTCGATGGCCAAACTGTCGGTGCTGCAGTTTGGAGGTAGCATGCATGCAGTACCTTGTCATGTTGTCCAACAAATATAACCACCTTCTTTTTCCGCGAAGGTATACGTCCATTATTGAAGATTCGGGTAGGCATGCAGTAAAAGGAAGCGCATAATGCTTTGCAACCATCGCATGCGTGTACATTTTTGGGGATGTAACTCCTGGGATGATAACCAATTCGATGTCGCATTCAGTATGTCTATCATCCATAAGAATCAGTGGCAGAAGAAACCAGCACCTCTACCATATCCCATAACTAAGTGGAGAAATAACAGACAATGATGTTACGGTTAGTATCCTCAAACTTCCTTTTCGTTCTGGCAGTTGTCGATATCATCACCATGCATAAGCTTTGCAACAGTGATGCAGCTGGGTCAGTATGCAGAACATCCGGGTGACATTCTATCGAGGTTATCGATGCCAGATAATGAAATCGATCTCATATCAAGTCAAATAAAACAACGTTGCCGTACTCCCCAATATCGGCTTATCGGAAGCTTATCGAAGTTACGTGTAGTACCGGACGGTTGAAGACCTTCATCTGCAGAATATTCCATAAGATAAGTAATGTAGCATTCAGCAACAACGAGACTGACATGGGTTTGGCTCGTAGTATATCTCTTTATGGAAGATCCTCCTAACTAGCTCATTTAGAGTCCTGGGATCGACACACGGTTCTACATGTGAAAGGATCAGATTTAAGCCACTCCGGACCCATGATACTAGTCAAGAGATAAGGACTACCGTCGGGAGTTGGATGGATCGGAGATTCATCGCCCGCTTTTTTTTTGGGTTCTTGACTAGGGGAGGGAGGATGAGAGAGAGAGAGAGAGAGAGAGAGAGAGAGGAGACATTGCTAATGCAGGTCAACGGGATTGGTATGGGCCATGTTCGTGAGCGTGGATAGCACACAGCGTGATTGTGTAGGATGACCTCCATAGATAAGCATACACATGTCTAGCGTCCGCAAAGAGGGAGTCGAAAAAGCGTTCGAACAGTATTGATTCTGGTACCGACGAGTACACTGTTCAATAATAATGAAATTTCCCTGACTCCGTCTGATGAGGATGGGGAAATTAGATGTAACAGTAAAACTACGGGGAAGGTCTAGGTGTAGTGTGTATGAAGCCAAAAGGGCCAATGCCCGATTGACTTTCTTGGTAGCGCCCGCCGTGGCTTTGGGCTAAGTAAGTAGAGCATCCAGTTTCGGCCCTTCCCGACTGGCAACTATTACTTTGTCCATCTCTACAGAAACGAGGAATCCCTATCCATCATTCCTCAGGGAGCTTCCTCTCCCTTCTGCGCTTATTCGGGGATGGATTGCGTATTACTACTCGGGCGGAAATTCAGAAAAAAATAAAAAAAAAGCGCGTCCAGAAGTGTAGGGCGCATACCTCGGCAGGACCGTGCCGTGAAGGGCGACTAGGTATTATCGATCGACTCTGAGTCTCTGACACAACAATAGCTTTATGTGCAGCGGAGCATCATAGGCTTCTTCCAGAACAAGGGAGCCAAGCCCCTAGTTTCCATACAGAATTAACTTGTCATCTTGAATACCAAGCGTGATGATCGCTAACTGTCATTGGATGCCACAGAAAGCTTCGCCTTCCATATCACGTCGGCTGGCTGATTCACGCGCGCCAGTTGTGAAACGAAGGAAACCAACAGGGGGCCCATTGCTGTTAACCTCATCCTCTGGTCTTCGTTTCCCCAGGGCAGTCATCCGCCAGGCAATCAAAGAATGTCGGAACCTTTGAGCATCGTGATGGCGGCACACTCCCGCGGATCAAATAGATTGAATCTTCGTCCAATCTCGTACAAGATAGAATAAGCCCCCAGGCACACATACGGCGTTCCACTCTACATTGCTACTGGCCTAGCGCAAATCGCATGCAAATCATGGTCTTGTGCCCGTGCCTCAGGAACACTTGATGCGGGAAATGAAGAGCCTAGACAGCTGGGCGTTTGTCCGTTCCTGGAGATCTACTCCGCTTTTCTTTATCAAACCATATTCTATGGACCCTTGCGGAGTTACTTCGTCTTTCCGCTCTGGAGCCCCGAGCTGTTACCAATGTAGCGAGAATAAGCTCATTACCCATGCTTGAAGCTTGGCCTCTCATGGAAACCTCACGATATGACCTCTTGGTGCAACGCTCGGAACTCGACCACGAACCATTATAGCTCCTGTGACCCTTCGGTTTAGCTTCATCTAGAATTACCCAAGCAGGTAATCGTGAAGCTGTCAGGAGCGGTTTGTCTGCTTGGCTGTCGAGCCTGGCCTCATCGGATCCGGTGCCGACCCGGAAACGTTACATTCCATCACTCGTGGCCCCCCTGGAACTAAAACTGCTCACTACGGAATGCTCACTTGCACATGGACAGTATAGTCATCTAACCTGCTATCTTCACAACTTGGGTAGGCGGGAACGGTTCTGGACTATCAGCTATGACCGCGTGTCCATCACCGTCTATACCCCCAGGGGAAGGTGACTCGAAAGCGAATTCACGGGGGGTGCCTGTAACCGAATTCACCAGAGTAGGAGAAAGGAAACCTCGAATGGATATATTAAAGCGCTTTCTTCATCACCAGTTTTTCTCTATCTCTCTTGTTTGTGTTAAGGACCCACACCGCAGTAGTTTCACCTTCATTGCACAGTTTTATTGCAATACATTCCTTCTGAAACGATCAATTTCTTACTTTCCTTGACATCTATACTTGTCTCCTCTTTCTAGGATTCCATTATGCCTTCCTTCAGGAATACCTTTGCCGCAGCTCTTCTTGCTTCGATGCAGGGAGCTTATGCTACTTTGGATACCTCATCTACTACCAACATAGCTGTCTACTGGGGTACGGAAGCTCATCTTCCCCCAATATGGGCCTCATGACTGACTAGTCACTTTTTTCGAACAGGTCAGAACTCGTACGATCAGTCGAGCGGAGATCTTGCCCAGCAGCCCTTGGCTTACTACTGTGACAGTAAGTAACACAAAGCATTATAGTATACTTATACTATATCAAGTGCTCCTACTGACGATATTCATTTCTGTAGATGATGATATCGACGTATGAACAATTCTAAAAGGCGAGCCATGTTCTGAATACTTAGACTAATGATCAAATAGGTCTTTCAACTTGCTTTCGTTACCATGATCAACGGACAGGGTGGCGCTCCGGAGGTCAATTTTTCCAATGCTGGAAACAACTGCACTACCTTTGATGGTACTGCTTTATTGAACTGTCCTCAAATTGGGTATGTTGCACTGACTCTTCTGTCATGATTGTATACTTGAAGCAAGGCACGTCCCTCTAACACAATTTATCTGTCAGTGCCGATATTACTACTTGCCAGAGCAAGGGAAAAACTATCCTCCTTTCTATTGGAGGTGCCACCTACACTGAGGGCGGTTTCACTTCAGAATCCGCTGCTGTCGCGGGTGCCAACCTGATTTGGGAGACCTTTGGGCCTCAGTCGTCTAGCTCTTCGGTCAACCGTCCTTTTGGAGACGCTGTGGTTGATGGATTCGATTTCGACTTTGAGGCCACAGTTAGCAACATGGCAGCATTTGGAAACCAGCTACGGAGTCTGATGGATGCCGATACTTCCAAGAAGTACTACCTTACGGCTGCGCCGCAATGTGTCTACCCTGATGCTGCTGACAACCAGATGCTTGATGGGGCTGTGTACTTCGACGCAATCTGGGTGCAATTTTACAACAACTACTGTGGTGTGAACTCCTACGTCGCCGGCTCCTCTACGCAGAACAACTTCAACTTTGACACCTGGGACAACTGGGCCAAGACCACCTCGAAGAACCCGGATGTCAAGGTCTTCTTGGGTGTCCCTGCCAACACTGGTGCCGCCGGAACCGGCTACTTGCCTGCGTCCAGTCTGGCTCCCGTCATCCAGTATTCCAAGACTTTCTCCAGCTTTGGAGGCGTGATGATGTGGGATGCTAGTCAGGCATATGCTAACAGCGGCTTCATCAGCGCGGTCAAGTCAACCTTGACGACTACTGCGTCTCGCGTTATGCGACGTATTGCACTCTTTTAGAAATCCAGGGCATTGATTGTCTTCGTCATATCTCTCCCTAGTGGAGAGCGTGTCTATGCCACAACCATCTGGATCGTGCGCATCTGCGCCCGCTGGTAACGGTTGTGAACTCGGACCGGTCGATTTTTATAAACTTTCTGGCCGTACATATCTTCATTTGTTTTGAGGCATGAATGAGTCACTCGTTTCTGTCTCTTTTTTGCGACCACACGCGGTGTTCTTGTATATACTTTATAAGTGTTAGCGGATATTCACGGAAGTGCTGATCGATATGGTTGTAGTAGTCTCTGTCTTTGCTTTTAGTTTCGAAGTTTGCAAATATAAAATCACATATGGATCGGAAATAGACCATCACCATTTTCGATGTTTTTGCTATGTTTGGTATTTGTCTGTGCCTTTTCTGGCAGCAGTCTAGGTTACAGTCTAGCCTCGTCTTCAACCATCAGTAGTAGTAGCTTGACGTCTGTCAAGTGGCTGCAACATCTACTAAGAGGGATTGATTAGACTCAACGTTAATACGTCACATCACGACGATGATGCGCAATCTGACAAACAGCAGAATCACTTGGGGGCCGAATACTTATTGACGGCCAGCACTTGATTGCTTCACCTGTGAAGGGAACGCTCTCGTCTTCTTCTTACCGAGGCATCTCCTCCAGTCAATTGGCCGTTGTCACTTTGTGAAGGCAGTGATATCACGGGCTGAATAATGAAGAAGTTTAAGTGATAGCTTCGCGACCCCACCTGACGCAAAAAGACATGTTCTTTTGTGCTTCCAGCCAGCATCTGCGACACTAGAGGAAGGCCAGTTGCATCCTGAATCCAGACAATTGTATAAAAAGCGACTAGACAAGTAGTTCGAGCTATAAGTATAAGTAAAACGGCAGCAAACGGGCGCAAGTGGTGGATGCTGTCGCCGGAGACCAGCCATTATTGGATCTGTGACCTCCGCCACTAACTAGCCCTCAGAAAGCTGGAATCTGTAAGTTAGCGAGTCTCCCAGATCTTCTTCGGACCGTGCCTCATCCCCTTCAGAGCTGCACAACTTGCGACGGTTCAGTTCACTTGACGCCGCCTTTCTTCTCCATTTTTTTCCTTCGTCCGTCTGATCTTCACTGAGTTTGGCTTTTCTGCCTGATCCGCCTGCAGCGCACTGCCCTCCCCGTCCTCGGTGCGTGGAGGCACTTCCCTTCATGGACAACGTAAGAACCTCGACTCTTCTTTCTCTTGTGCCTGTGCTCGTGCTTTGATGCACCCAACGCCATAACGCAGCCATGGCCTCCGATCATGGCCTTCCAGGCGCACAACTTGACCAGACCCTGGCTGACTTACATATCTCTCCGGAACAGCTCACGGATAATGACATGCTCGTCGACGAATATGAGCAGTATAATAATGACCGAACAGACGTCGTCGTCGTCTCCCGTTCGGGCTCCGAGGAGCCTGAACCGGAGCCTCTTGCGGATGACTGTATGAACTCTCCCTGCCTTACCTGCAATAGATGACTCTTCCTCGTTCCCTACCTCTCCGTTCCCTACACAGCGGCGGCAGCCTAGTTCGAGCCCATTCGGAAAATATGGTTCTGTCGGTCGGGTCCAAGTCTGGCGGAGCTGTCGCATTCACATTCACTACTGGGAAACATTATATCTAATACGTCATGATGGTATTACAGATGAAGCCATGATGGCGCGACTGCTTCCCAAAGACCCCGACCTCGAGACACAGGACGAGGCATACCATACATGGCACATTCAAGATTGGCGGAAGCTGAAACGGAAGGAGCATGGTCCGATCTTCCAGTGCGCAGGATTCCCATGGTGCGTCGATTCTCCGAGAAACCCGTAACCTGGATTGTATTCTGATATTTTTGTTTTCTTCCTCACAGGAGGATTTTGTTCTTCCCTTACGGAAACCATGTTGAACATGCATCTTTCTATCTGGAGCAAGCGTGGGAGAAGGATCCTCCGGAAAACTGGTACGCGTGTGTGCAGTTTGCCCTCGTGCTATGGAATGTGAACGATCCTTCGATATACGTCTCGCATGGTATGGATAGTCATCTCTGTCCCTGTCTTCGTCCTATTTTTGTCGGACCTTTCTCTGACATTACGATCAGTCGCAACGCACCGATATAATGCCGAGGAGGGAGATTGGGGATTTACGCGCTTTTATGAACTCCGCAAACTTTTCAACACGCAGTGGGAAGGCCGGGGGGCCACGCTGGTACAAAATGACGAGGCCAATGTCACTGCTTACGTTCGGGTCGTCAAGGACCCCACGGGTGTTCTGTGGCACAGTTTCCAGAAGTACGAGTCAACCTGGATCTCTTAAGCTCAAAGATCGTACTGACTCTCTGCAGCTACGATTCCAAGAAAGAAACCGGAATGGTCGGACTGAGGAACCAGGGTGCTACGTGCTACCTTAACTCTCTCCTACAGTCTCTGTACTTCACCAATGCTTTCCGGAAGGTAAGACTTCCGCTCAATCGAGTTGTATTGGATTGTGTCTAAATATGTGCTCTAGGCCGTGTATCAGATTCCTACGGAACAGGAAGCGACGAGAGAAAACAGCGCGTGGACCTTGCAGCGTCTGTTCTATAATCTGCAGACGAGCGATAATCCAGTCTCGACCACAGAGCTCACAGCATCATTTGGTTGGGAATCACGGCAGATTTTCGAGCAACAAGATGTACAGGAGCTCTCAAGAAAACTTATGGAGAGGCTGGAGGAGAAGATGAAGGGCACCCCTGTCGAAAGTGCGCTTCCGGATCTGTTCGTCGGGAAGACCAAGACATACATATCTTGCATTAACGTCGATTATGAGTCTTCACGGGTGGAAGATTTCTGGGACATTCAACTCAACGTGAGAGGCAACAAGACGTTGGACGACAGTTTCCGAGACTACATCCAGGTGGAGACTCTGGAAGGTGAGAACAAATACGACGCTGGTCCGCCATATGGCCTTCAAGATGCCAAGAAGGGTGTGATTTTTGAAAGTTTCCCGCCTGTTCTGCACCTGCACTTGAAGCGATTCGAGTACGATATCAACCGTGATGCGATGATGAAATTGAACGACAGACACGCCTTCCCAATGGAATTTGATGCGACCCCGTATCTCTCAGAGGACGCGGACAAGTCAGAGCCATGGATCTACCAATTGCATGGAGTGCTCGTGCATAGCGGAGATTTCAATGCGGGTCACTACTACGCCTTCTTGAAACCGAACAAGGACGGTAATTTCTTCCGGTTCGATGATGATAAGGTAATCCGTGCCACAGAGAAGGAAGTTCTTGAAGAGAACTACGGTGGCGAGTACGACCTGTCGAACGGTGCTGTCGGCGTTCGCCAACCCTATGCCAGAGGACTGTCTACCAAACGGTCAATGAATGCCTATATGTTGGTATATATCAGAAAAACGAGAGTGGATGATGTTCTCGTGAACATTACGAAGGACGATGTCCCTTCTCATATCGGTATGATCTTTCTCCATTTCTCGTTATGACGTTTTACTGACTTTGTGACGTAGAGACGAAACTGGCTGAGGAACGCGCGGAGCTGGCCCGCAGGAAAAAGGAGAGAGAAGAGGCCCATCTCTACATCAACATTGGTGTTCTGGATGAAGAGTCATTCAGGACTCATCATGGCTTTGACTTGACGAGCGTGGATCTTCCGCCGGGCGATCCAGCGCTACCAAAACAGTACCGAATCCTGCGAGCAAAGAAAGTCGGGGAGTTTGCACAGCAACTAGCTGAGGAGAAAGGTCTCAAAGCCGACCAGATCCGCTTCTGGGTGATGGTCAACCGCCAGAACAAGACAACCCGTCCAGACCAGGTTATCAAGGATTCCGAAATGACCGTCGAGGATGCTTACAACAGATATGGCACAAAAGGAAACCCTTTCAGGCTTTGGATGGAAGTTGGCGAGCCCTCTGCGGACGGCACAGTCGTCTGGCCAGACTTGAGCGCCTCAGTTCTCATATTCCTGAAGCATTTCGATGTTCCCAGCCAGACGTTGACCGGTGTTGGCTCGACCTACGTTCGCAAGAACCAGAAGGTCGGCGATCTGGCTCCTGTCATTTTGGAGAAGATGAACTGGCCTGCGGGCACTGAATTTTTGCTTTTTGAGGAGATCAAGCATACGATGGTCGACCCGATGAAGCCGAAGCAGACATTCCAGCAGTCAGAGATCCAAGACGGTGACATCATATGTTTCCAGAAGTCAATAAAGGAATCCGAACTGCCTCCAACTGCCATCTACACGGAGGCTCGGCAATATTACGATTATCTTCTCAACCGGATGAACGTCAAATTCGCCCCGATCAAAGGAGGAGAAGGAGAGGAGTTCAGTCTCACTCTGAGCCGAAAGATGACCTATGACCAATTCTCGAAGAAAGTTGGTGAACATCTTAATGTCGATCCGACGCATCTGCGCTTCGCGCCCGTCATTGCAAGCACTGGAAAGCCGAAGCAATTCATCAAGCGGAGTGCCAACCAAACCCTGTACCAAATTCTTAACGGCCAGTATGGTACTTACGGGTACAGCATGCATCGGCCTGATGCCTTGTATTATGAAGTCCTAGAGACCAGTCTGAGCGAATACGAGACAAAGAAAGTTCTGAGGGTTTCCTGGCTTCCGGAAGGCATCAGCAAAGAAGTGAGTGACCCATACATGCTGATTAGACAATTCATACCAGTCCTAACTCCATCAGCAGCAAACATTTGAGCTACTGGTTCCTAGAAATGGAAACATCTCAGACCTGCTGGCCGCACTCCAGAAGAAGGCGGGTCTCGATGAGGAGACTATCCAGGACGTCCGAGTCTACGAGGCGCACAGTGGCAAGATCTACAAGGAGCTCAGTGACAACTTCAGCATCGCTGGCATTAACGAGTTTGTGACATTGTATGCGGAGAAGGTTCCGGAAGAAGAGGCCAATATGCAGGAAGGCGAACGGACGATCAATGCATTCAGCTTCGACCGCGAGCCCAACAAGACCCATGGAATTCCGTTCAAGTTTGTCGTGAAGCCTGTAAGTGCTGCTACAAATTCCTGGCAATGTACAGATTCTCACACTTCGCAGGGAGAGATCTTCAAGGAGACAAAAGAACGGCTCTCGAAACGGACAGGAATCAAGGGCAAGCAGTTTGAAAAGATCAAATTTGCTGTTGTCGCTCGCACAATGTATTCGAACCCAAGGTATTTGGAAGATGGTCAGTATACACTCTCTTTTAACCTTCTAGATCGTCAAGAGTGGCCTTGCTGACATCTTTTGTTTAGACGACATCCTCTCGGATGTGGCTACCGATCCCGACGATCTTCTCGGTCTCGATCATGTAAATAAAAACCGGAGCTTCTGGAACAGAGGTGAATCTTTCTTCATCCGATAGATGCTTTCTGGGACATGGTGCCGTGGCGAGCAAGGGGGCTGTCTTTTGTTGCTTATTGGCACACATTCTACTGGAGTTAGACAGGTCAAAATGTTATAACGGTGGTGACCAGCTGAACGACGTGGACGGTCATGAACATGCCTCCCTAGCTATTTGGTCACGGCAAATGGAAAGACATCATAACGTCATGGACATTGGCAGTGGCATATTCTTGTCTATTCTTTTTTCTTTCTTTCTTTCTTTCTTCCACTGTTTGTCTTTGGTCTCTTCATCTGGGGGTGAGGTCATTATTGGTTCCGAAGTCGCGTCAGCGTCTCCAGCAAATTATGTAGAAGGTACTAGCACGGAAGCAATGAAATCTAAAAATGGGTCAAAGTTAGATTTGTCCTTTCTATCTTTATTACTTTTGCCCTCTTGTAACCAGCCAGTTAGTTAACTAGTTAAATGCTTCGAGGTCTTAGTAAGATTTGGCATGGAATCGAGGTAGTTATATACTGAGCTGCCTGAGGCGCTGGGGTGCAAATCAGACAAACACGGGCGCGGAACAACCCACAGCTGTCCAGAAGACCGCTTGGCTCCCTGAAGAGTGACAACAAACCACCAAGGGAGGACTCAACAGTACATCGGCCTCCTTCCCAGACAAAATGCGCGTCGCGGCTCTAGTGCTAGGCCTTCTGGCCACTGCAGTTTCATCTGTTTCTGCAACTGCTCTGACCTACAAACTTGAGGCCAACGAGAAGGCGTGCTTCTATGCCCAGGTCGAGCAGCAGAACGCCAAGGTGGCTTTCTACTTCGCGGTAAGTAGTTGTTGATCTCGAATTGTCATCATCTTTTTTTTTCTTTTCCCAAGATTGCTTTCTACGTCAGCTGGAAAGGAGTCAGGAAATGACTGATGTGTGTTCGTTTTTACTACAGGTTCAATCCGGCGGTTCATTCGATGTCGACTACTCCGTTACTGGACCCAACGAAAAGGCGATCTTGGACGGCATAAAGGAGAGGCAGGGAGATTTCGTCTTCACCGCTCAGGTCCCCGGAGAATACCGATTCTGCTTCAACAATGAGATGTCCACGTTTGCGGAGAAGCTGGTCGATTTCGAGATTGCGGTGCGTAGATCTGATAGCTGGCTATGGGTCGTGTACGGACGACTAACATCACGCCTTCTTGGTCGTACAGGTTGAGAATGAGGAACGTGCCCAGCTGCCCTCCAAGCAGGGGGCCAGCCCCGAGCAGGCATCCGCCCTTGAGGAGTCTATCTTCAAGCTCTCCGCCCAGCTGTCCACCATTTCCCGCAACCAGAAGTACTTCCGGACCCGTGAAAACAGAAACTTCAGCACCGTGCGGAGTACGGAACGACGTATCTTTAACTTCAGTATCATTGAAAGTCTCATGATGGTCTCAATGGCGGCGCTGCAGGTCTTTATTGTGCGGTTCTTCTTCCAGGGAGCGCGGAAAGGTACGTTGCGAGCACGTGATATAGGGGTTCATAATCCCCTTACTAGAATACATTTTTGACTAACATGGAATAGGCTACGTGTGATGATTATACGTTGTAATGCTATTTTGGCCCTTCTCCTGTATTACTCTAGTCTCTGACCATTATCTACGAAATTTCTCTTCATAAAATGAACGCCAAGGATTGAAATGCATTCAAATAACTTTGATCAACCACAAGCTTTGCTTCTATCGTCATTGTCTGGTCTAGCCTTGGTGTTCGGTCTGCTAACTCGGAGATAATGAAATCATCGCACCCATCCGACCCCATTTGCCAAGTAAGCATGTGCACCGCTCGAGCTGCAACTACCGACACCTTCTCGGTTACATTTGAGTCGTCCCTGGCCTCAGGATTCTTGTACACTGGCCTATCAAGTAGACAGGACTGGCAACCGATGCCGTGAGTGGGATCCGAACTGGCCTATTCCCCTTGTGCGTGGATGGGCCGCTAAGGACTTGCGGTCGCTAAGGCCCCTTTACACGGCATGTCTATCAGAGTGATGCAGGATCAGATTCCCCCTCTGTCTGCAGTACTTTCCCCGTTGTTCATGAGAATGACCTTCTTTGGGGAAGCTTCGCGTGTCCTATCTGCAGTCTCCAATGGAACGTGCTAACCAAGCATTGGGTTATTGTCATGCACTTCCTTTGACCGCTGACATACGCCCGACATGTAGTTACCCCTAGAAACAGGAGACCAATGTTGGATGGTCCGCTTGATGACGAAGGGACCGGTTTTCTATCACCATATCGCCAGCTAACGGACGTCTTGGCTGACACGAGAATCGTCTGGTTCCTCCCAGCCATCTGAACGACCTTCCTAGTTGATGTGATGATAATGCAATCAAGCCAACTTCGGTGGGCATCTGATGCAAGTCAGGCAATAGATGACATTGGGGGAACTGCCAGAATCCTGACTACGAGAGCTATCTTTTTGACAGTGAGGCGACATCTCTCCTGTTCTGGACTTCAGGCTTTGCGGTCGCCACCAGAGAGAGTGAAGAAGATCCATGTTAGCGACCGAGGTCACTGCCAAGTTCAAATGGAGAACATGAGGCAAGAGGCTCCAGCAAAGTAAAGTATTGACTTGGCTCAAAGGTTCGGGTCTCAACTCTATCTGGGGACCCATCATCTAGTTGAGCCTCCTTGGCTGTCTTCTTACCGAGTCATAGAGTCTCCACCATTATCTAACAAGGGCTCCAGCCTTTCTTTGATATTGGATCTCATGGCGTATCCCACAGCTCTGCTTGATGCCAGCTTTCCATGGCCCCCAATTGAGAATCATGAAATGGGGTACAGCTGAGCTTTTAGATCCGTCAGAGTATTCTTGGGAGTTCTTCAACTTGTCCGTATAGCTTGTGGTGTGATCTCCGATCAGCAACCAGTCTGGCCTTGCTTATGACGTCCGTCTTGACAGGGCTACCTCACTTGTTCCCAGGCCAGCCGACAGCCACCCAATGGGGAGAGCAATTACAGCGCAGGTTTACTATGGTCATTATACTTATACTAACAGGTGATCAGCCATTGTTGGCTACTAGTTGGCCACCTTAATTGTAGTGTGTCTGTCTTTCTTTCCCACCTCTCTGCGTTGGTCAAGGCCATGTATGGCATGGGAACGATGCGGATCCCCGAGACTGCGGGTGTCGATCATTAGGGGAAAGAAGGATTCTAGACCGTATTATTATAATACAATCGAATCGGATAATTGTCTACTTCTCTACGGGATCCCGATAGTTATATGTGGTAGAGGTGAAGAGATAACTCTGCTGTCGTTACGCACATGGATACAGTACTTAGAGCTCCAACGGCGGAGTAGTATGCTAAGTAGCAGGGGATTGGCTGAAGCGGTGATTTCCTTTGATCAGATCAGAACTGCGTATAATTCCTCACTGGATTGAATTGAATTTGCACTCTATAATATAATAATCGCGATTACTTCGAGATATAACTATTAATTGATTTGATGACTTTTATGTTCATTTCCCCAAGGGAGCAGCAGCATGACGTCAGCGGGCTGAGCTAGCTAGTTAGCTAGCTGACTGACTACCTAGGTAACGACAGGTAACGAATCAATCATCATCCAACATGAGAACGGATTCGATTCATCGAACCCCCGGGGAGTAACGCGAACCGCAACCCAGAACTTCGCTTCGCCGTTGGACGAGAACCGTGTCTGGGCCCTTGTTCGTGCGTTCCGAGTTCTCAAGAAAACGCAAATGGAGTAACTACATACATACTAACCGAACCTCCTAGGGCTGAAAGGGAGGAGGATGACGATCATGAGCCATGGTTCTCTCCGTCGATGCATCTCCTGATGGTGCCTGCACTACCAGACGTCCTTCCACACTGGACTATGACTACTATGGACATGCCATCGGAGGTTTTCCTTCGGGCCTTCACGGTAGGCGACGACCATGAGACCCAGGCCGTCATATTGAGGGGGAAAGGCACGCGGGATACTGTATTGGGGTGATGTGTCCTCAATGTCGGCGACGAAAACGGTCGACCGGTCCAGGCTTGGCCGATCCCTCTGCCATTGAATACTCTCTCTCCTTCATGGTCCAGACCAAGAGCCCATATCTATCTAGTTGCTATTGAATATGGTGCAAGTCCACTTGGTGACGCGCCTACTCCGGATCGAACTACGGAGGTATCTGACCTCGTTTAGCAGAGTATACCATAACTGAATGATGTGCGTTATGTTACTACTATCTGGATGATAATAACGGGAGTGGGGTCCCCCTGATCAGAGCATCCGTTTTAGGGCAACGGATAACTCCCTATGGATGTGTACTTGAGTATGTAGAACCACAACGATGACCTTGGACCCAAAAGCACCGTGGAGACGGATTGTCAGTTCGTGGAGCCGACCAGTTCGATCTGCAGGGACCGCTTCGTTGGACGGGCGATCGCCGGGAACTGACGATGCGGTGCTGGTCGGAATTGCCCAGTGACCTCATCAATGGCCGTCTCGATCTCCTTTAGTGAGAAAACATCCAACGCAGAAAGACCCATGGCTATCGTGGCGCTTGTGCCGCTGTGTGACGGCCTCAGCTCCTCCCGTAGCGGATTCTCCATGACGCTACGGGACCATCCAGAGCGCTTAGTGGCAACCTCCCATGATGATGTCGGCCGCGAACCGTCAGCCCCCAGACCGTAGGTGGAATATGATATCATGTTGCTTGGGTTAGTCGGCCGATGGGGCCTCGTTCGAACGAATCATCGCCGACGGGCCGGCGATCTATGTACATACATTATCAACCACGCCGGCGTTGTCTCGAAGGCACGTACATAACAGCACTTCTAGTTGAAAAGCAGAACTATGGTACCGTCTAGATCTTCGCATCAGTCTAGTATTTTCTGATAGTTGTCTCTTCTGCCCATCACATCCCAGGACCAGAGAACACCGTTCACTACCAAAGATCTTTGGGCTGAAGATCTGCCTATCTTGGTCCATTATCAATTGATCCCCGACGAACGTGAGTTGAGAAATTTTCTTCAAAGTTGCTTGGATTATTTCTTCTTTTTTTTTCTTTTTCCTTCTTTTTATTCCGGAAGTATGGGGGGTTGTTTCCTAAATGCTTCCATCGATCTCTTTCCCGTTACGGTGATTGAGGCATCTATGGTTCCGTCGAGGACACGTTCAATGTTACAAGATCATTGTTATGATCAATGAAGACATCAGAGCTAACTCCACTATAGAAAGACACAACGTGATATAACATCCATCTATCAGCTCCTCCTACAGAGCCGACAGCAACCATGCAACCGACAGCATCAATGTTTCCCACACACTCGGGAGAGATTCGACACGACTCGAGGACAGAAAACCAGTCCTCCAACTCGCGTCCCAATCCTCACCAGTCAGTAGATGACTACAACAGAGTCATGCTGCAATATACTCAACGCCAGATGGCTTCCTTCACCAAGTCCGCTGACCCCAGTCGCCGAAACGACAGCGTGGGCAGCGGCAGCAGTGGAAGCAGTGGCCGCAGCAGCAGCAGCCACAATAGCAATCGAAGCAACAACTCGGTCCGCAGCAGCCTTGATCGGGAACCCAGCGGTGCTGGTCCCCCTCGTGGAGGCCGAGATCGACATCAAAACGACGCTGAGGGCGTTCCCTCGCAGTGATGAAGGCTATGGTTCTCTACGAGGTGAGTGCAGTTACAAGTCTGCAGCAACCAATCAGGAAGGATCATAGTATGGCTGACAACATGACATTCAGTCGGGAAAAATAATATCGAGCCTGTGGTTAGAACGTACGGGTCACGCTGGTCCTGCTGTCAGATCTTCCCACCTTGAAACGATGTCACGACTCGAGCGCTCGTCATCATACTTCCCCTTTTTCGACTATCTCCGCTATAGGTTTCTAGCGTTCTGTCAAGCATAGATAGATTGCACCTCGAGAGAGCGTCCATCCTCCATGGTACTCGTTCCTGGACAGTCTGAGCTTTCGTAGGCGTTGATCTGAATTTTTAGCCAAAGCTCGGTGTCTATAATGTTCTTGACAGAGGACCGGCTTTATCTTTTCTTGGCCCGTGGACCATACTGCCCTCTTGCTCTTTTTTTTTTTTTTTTTTTACTTTCTTGTTTCTAATAATTGAAACGAATTTGCATGCCGTGTGTTTCAAGCGATGTTAATTTATTTTTTTCCTATTTCTCATCACGACTGTTACGATTACAACTATTAGTTACCTATACTGGGATATTCGATGGTGCTTATCGAGTAATGAGATAACTAGTTCCGCAGGGTATTGGTTGAGAAGAAGAAAAAAGTAACGAAAATTCTTCTGCAAGTTACGAGATATTATTTTATTTCTTTTTTTTTTCCTTTTTTGTTATATATATGGTAGTGTGTGATTAGTATTTCATTTATAGAAAGGGGATACGGTCTTCCGCTCCACACATGCAGACCCATGTATGTATGTACCTAATGTACGTACTACCGAGTTTAGTGCCAGTTAGAGTGTACACTCTACTTTGTTTGTACTGGTCAAGTGGACGATGACGTGAAGGCTTGCTGGGATATATGGTAGTTATGTGCATACATTTGTAATTAGGTATTATTAACTACCTAGTTACTACTCATCTTATCTAATCCGTCGTGTTTTCGAGGGTTATTTCTGTTTCTATATTGTTCTACCGTCTCCGGTCTGCTTGATGGTTCGTCAGCGGGATAATAACTAAGTTAATGGAAACGCGCGGGTTGGTCGCGAGGTGGAATTTGAGAGTTCTCTCTATGTGGATCCTTGTTGTCGGTTAATTAGTGTATAAATACTGTAGAGTAGAGCAGAGTAGAGGAACTACTGGTATTTATTATGTATTACTCCAGTTCTGCTTTGGAGTTTTACTAGCACGGGCCAGTAAGTTGACACAGAGTCAGTCCGTTATCTAGTGATTAACTGTGTCATCTTCTTCTTCTTCTTCTTCTTCCCCGCCGTCGGTTACGAGATGGTTGTCCATGACGCCTGCCCTTTGAGAAAAGAGTACGAGAGAAAAATAACTCGGTGACTAAATGACTGGCTAAGCGGCTGACTGAATGAAGGACGGGCGGACAGACACGCAAGACAGCGCTGAAAGTTTTAAACCACTCTACCCAGTACGCAGGCCTCCTCTCTCGAAGGTTCCCATTATTTCCGACAAGAATCCACCACGTCGAAGAAAAAACGAAGGTGTCCACGAGCGGAGTCAGTGCCGGGACACACTACTAGTTAATAATAGACGACAGTTTCTCCTGCGCTTTCTTTTTCCGCCGCCAATCTGAGGGAGTTCTGGAAGAAGGGGGGGAACAAGGTTACTACGATATCGAGTAAGTAATGTGGTTGATCGTCGGCTTGATCCGCAATCGAGAACCTCCACCCGTGCCTTGTGCGCCTTTTTCCTGAGGTCTGGGGCTGCTGGAGATTAAGTAGGGTAAGTGGCTGAAATGGATGGAGATGGCCCCGTAGATGTACGGGTTAATACAACTACGGTCGATTACGGGAAGAGTACCATATTATGTGGTGGAGCTGGAGATTGCTACATAATAATAATAATAATAAGCAATTACTCTGGTATTGATATTAATGCCTCGAATTGAAGTTTGCTCTGTCTGTAAGTATGCTCGAAGCCAATAAAAACTCGGTAGTCATGAAACCCCCTTCAAGCTACCTCATATTCATTCCTACTACTTAGTTCTGCGTCACGCTAGCCCGGCGCCTTATGCTTGTATGTCGATACCTCATATAACGACCTATACAGCAAGTCCATATGATGCCAAATGATCAGAATAAGTATCGCAGACCAGTCGGATAGTTCACATGAAGACTTTCGTATCTGGCGTCAAATTAAGTATATGAAGTGTGAAATGCTTCGACTGTATTCAGCTCCTGCACCCTGTGATTTATCTCACTGTTCAACTGCTACTACATATATAACCCAGTTTCCTAATATGGCCTTCTTATTCACGTCAGGTGCACTTGGAACTTCTAGATCATGCGCTCGTTACTGACAACTTTTCAGGTAAGTAGATACTGCAATTGGTATGATCTGAGCCTTCCCAAAACTGCAGTTTCCCTAACCGGTGGCTGCTAAGGTCCATAACAGCCGCTGCTGGATGGATTTGTTTTCTCCCTTTTCTTTCTGTTACTAGTTAACTAGGTATCGCTGACAACAATGGAAGCCATCCAAAATCTCGTCGTCGTTATGGCCGCAATCGGCTTTGTTTTTGTTGGAGCCAATGCTTTGGTTACCGGCATCAAGGCCGCGAGAGCCGAGTGGGGGAGAGAGAATCGCGTTCCGGAGAACCAGGGGGAGGGGGGGCGGACTCGCTTTTTGATGCGAGTGTTGAACGCGGGATACGCGTTCTTGCGTGCGGTGGCCCGTCTCGAGGCCACTAGAAGCGGGGTAGGGCCAGGTGCCCAGGGACAGGCGATCTCTGGTGCTGTTGGTGGTGGTAGCGGTCCTGGAGGAGGAGGAGGAGGAAGAGGAGGATAAGGGGAGGAAGAGGAGGAGGGTCAGACCAGTCCATCGGTGCCTTTGCGGGAGGGCACCGGTGCCTCGACTGGGACCCAACACCAGCGTCGAGTTCACACTTCTACGCAGTGCTGGTGACGAGTACCTGTTAACTGGGAACAGGGAAACCAAGATGAACTCACAAACAGAAACAAAAATCGAATCGATTTCATGAACGAAGCATCATTCGAACCTCCCCTATTTAACAGACACCTGATCCAGGTGACTCTCAACAAAAGGGCTCGACTTGCTCTATGCAGAACATTTGTTGATACTGAGATTGTCGGTTTTTCCTCTCTGAAAGGTACGACGACGTTCTGTCGTAGCTCTGTTGAGCTGCTGTTCAAATTTCCCCCCCTGATCTGTCTTTTTATTCAACCGAACCTTGTTGCTGTCAATTCTAATCCGCGCAAATCTATTAGCGAGATCGTTGAGTATTGTTTCGACTCCGAGAACAAAAGCATTATCCATACCTTGACACACAGAGATCAAATCTCATTTCTTGAGCCGGTCTTATTATAAAGCTGCGGCGTCCCAGATGTCTCCAAAAACCCAGATTCGTCGCACCGCGTTGCTCTTACAGATCAGTGTCTCGCCGCTTTATGATCTTATTAGCGCAGACTGATAATCAGCGCATATCCCAACAATCACGGCCACTTTCCGAGAATTGAAACGTCTTATTCCATTTATAAAGGAATGAGATTCTCTGGCAATACGACTTAATCAGGAAGATTATAGACCGGGATATTGGGAAGATTAGAAAACATGTACTCCCGCAGATGTACCTAAGAACACTTAGCCATAGCTCGTTTATCCCAGAGACAATCTGATAAATCATACCTGATCGGCTATGATCTCGGATGTTGAACCAACTCAATTGGTTATTCATGTGGGCTCTTAGGCGGAAAACAGACTGGGGGTTCAGATAACTAACAAAATCGACCAAATTAGATAAATATTTGTGCAGGAAGTGGTGGAAATCAACTAGCTATGTAGTTACTTACGTGGTCTGAAGAGTTGTTGGATCCCCCTCCGGTGGTCCCTGCTGGGCGCCCCTTTGCACTGGCGATCACGTGACCGGGAGATCCTATATAGGATCCTCCGGGCTTCCTAGTTAGTAATCAAGCAAGCAAGCTTTCTCCCGCTTCAACCACGCTCAGGATCAGTATCCCTAGACACGATCCTCGATTGAGTATCTTAGCAGGTTCAACAAGTTATACTACTAGTTAGTTAGTTGGCTACTATCATTCCTACATAAACGCCTTGGTGAGCGAGATCTGCTAAGGGGAGCTAAACCAGGGGGTAATTATGATCATTGAGCGCTAGCGAAATGTTTCAATATACTAGGTACAAAAGTTTTTTGTTTTTTCTCCACTTTTTTCTAACCTCTCTGATTGGTCCATTCAAAAACGACCGCATGTGACTTTGAATTGCTGGGTGTTACCGCCTTCTTATTCGGGGAATTAAAATAACTCCTTCTGATCTCCTATAGGTTCGCGTCTGTGTCAATTAATTTACACCCTTCGCAGTCCTCACCCCCTACTTTCTTTTGCCTATTAAAGCTCACTTTTAAAGCATTTTCTTCTATCTAAATACTGGCTTCTTATTGGTCTGTCTGAAATATCAACTATATCAGCTAAATCCCTCCTACCTATCCCCTTCTGCCTATTTATCCCCCTTCTGCCTACCTATCCTATATAGACTTTGGTTTCTTATACTATCTAGCAATTACTAGCTAGCTTTATCTATTAGATAGTTCTTTACAATATTTATTATCCACAGTTACTACACTAAAAGAACCTGATAAATTACCTAATTAAGCAATCAACCTATCTGCTAGGCTTTACCAGCGCGCCAGCGCGTCAGCGCCAGCAGCCAGCTTAGTCAGAGCAGCCAGCTTGGTCACTACGCTCAATGATTATTTGCTACGGCCCCTCCTAGCCGTAGCGCACCTAGTACCAATTACATGATATTTTTCCAGTCTTCCACAGAAGCACACAAATCCAGGGCTCGCTAGGGTCTAAAAAAGTAAGATTCTCCCTATAGATAACATGAGGGTTTCTATTGCTCTGTATGGCGACTAATGGTCTCAATAGGCAGAAACGTCAACTATGACGCTGAGAATTGGTAATAAACTGTGAAAATTGACGACCGAGATCAGAAAAGACATCAATCAACTATTAAAATTGACTTGAGTTATATATCCATTTCAGAAAATGCCTCTGGTAGGTCACAGAAGAAGACACTACGAAACGTTAACGAAAATTGCCAACTCTGTACGGCTGAACACAATACGGACCCTTAATGCGCAAAATCCAGCATCTCTATACTGTCTTCCTATCGAGTTAATCCAATATGTCTGTCAGTATCTCCCTATCGCGGAAACGTTCTCTTTAGTACTAAGCTGCGCTCGATTTTGGCATGCCAGAGCCAGTATCCAAAAATTTATCAAGGCACACCGGTTACTAAAAGCACGAATCTACCCGGATTGGGAATTTATTGAAGCGCGTTTTCATATCCTCCGTTTAATGGAATTTGATAGACTCCATGGTCTAGGCAGCCGGTCTTTTTGTTGCTGGTCGTGTATGACGACTCACTCAAAATCATTATTTGGATATATTTTTTGGCCACGTGTGGATCTCAAGTTCTCAATTGAAGAGCAAAGGATAAAATGCACGGCTCAAAACACCCGCAGTTGTTACGATAAGCAAAGGAAGATTTGGGTTGGCATATGCTCTGAAATGACATATGCACAGCTCCGAATCTTGGTATTCGGGATACATAATTGCAAAGAGCGCACTACATCATCTATTACAATCTCAGCGGGTTTTTCCGAACACATCGAATTCGATTTAAGGACCTATAGCCTCAAATCCCGGTTCTACCTTGGGAGGCTCTCGGATCTTGGCGTCGGTGGATTTGATCGCCTATGTCTGATGGCGAAGCTTCCGATATGTCCTCATACAAGAATTAGTATATTCAGAGGACGTTTCCTCCGGGGCCTAAATCCAAATTATGCATACTCTTGCTATTACTGCGGGGCGAAGTATTACCTGACTTTGGGCCTCGAAGGAATGATTGAGCTCCATATTTCTCGCTATGTTGGACCTCTTAAAACAGGATCTGAGCCTGTATGGATCAATGCGTCTTATATATGTGTTAAGACTGCCTTCATCGATCACTGTCGGGCATTTTCTGAGTGGGTACATAGAATGTATAATCCCGAAACTGGGGGTGCGTATAACGGAGGATTTGAGATGTTCGTTTCCTCTGAAAAGAAAAAGTATCGATTTTATGGTTCTCAACCGGGTGGGTTCTGAGCGCTATTTGGATTTTGTCGTCCTTCGTTTTCTGGACTTTCGCAAGCTCGGATAGGAGAGTGTTCCTTTTTGCTATAGGTAGCTACTGTTTAACATGATCTTTCTCCTCTCTCTCTCTCTCTCTCTCTCTTTATTTTTTTTAAGTTGCAGGGGGATATGTGATATGTTCGACTAGTTTTTTTTTTATATTGATGGCTTTTAATCTTAAGAGGGGAGTATAAAGCGGGTAGGGAAAGGATGATATCTGGGGTTCTTTTTTTTTATTTCCCTTTTTCAAGTATAGAAAGAAAAGGGAGGATAAATAGAGTATCGATACTTATATAGTCAGTTTGATTTAGAATATTACCAGGAGAGATAGCTGCTAACATCCTCAAAATGTCAACTCTAAATGTAGATTCGACCGCAAGTAAGAAAAGACCGGCCCTCGACGAGACCGGCGGTACTCTAAAAAAGCCTATGACTAATCATTGAGCGCTAGCGAAATGTTTCAATATACTGGGTAGAAAAGTGCTTTACTTTTTCTCCACTTTTTTCTAACCTCTCTGATTGGTCTATTCTGAGTCAGCACCACGTGACTCCTGATTTAATTGGTCGGTTCTGAGTCAGCGCCACGTGATTCTTGATTTGTTATATGGTTTAAACTGCTTAGTATTACCGCCTTCCAATTCGGGAAATTAAAATAACTCCTCCTAACCTCCTATACCAGTTCGCGTTATTAGTTCGCGTCTGCTTTAATTAATTTACACCCTTTGCAGTCCTTACCCCCTGCTTTCTTTTGCCTATTAAAGCTCGCTTTTAGAGCATTTTCTTCTATCTAAATACTGGCTTTTTATTAGTCCGTCAGAAATATCGACTATATCAGCTAAATCCCTCCTACCTATCCCCCTTCTGCCTACCTATCCTATATAGCAGCTTCTTATATTATCTAGCAATTACTAGCTAGCTTTATCCATTGGGTAGTTCTTTACAATATTCATTAGCGCGCCAGCGCGTCAGCGCCAGCGCGTCAGCGCCAGCAGCCAGCTTAGTCAGAGCAGCTAGCTTGGTCACTACGCTCAATGATTATTTGCTACGGCCCATCCTAGCCGTAGCGCACCTAGTATAAACCCCAACCGACAAGAAACGGTAGAGTCCCTTTCGCGTCTCCTTGCATGAAAGCTTTAATTAATCTGTTTTTACTATAGAACAACACCCAGATTATATACCATAGCTCTATCGATGATAAGGAGAACCCTCGTGACGCCTGTGTGGACAAAATGGTCCAGGAAGCGCCGTTGCTACAGTATGACGCTGAGCAGAAAATAGCTGCTAACGAAAATGGCTTCGGCTTGCTTGCGGAAATGCGTCATATGCGTGCAGATATGGCAAAAATGAATGATAAGATCACGAAACTCGAGGCCCATCGCCAGAGCCATCTGGATATCCGTCAAAGAGCCATTTCCACATGGGTTAGAGACGCCCTCAACAAAGATACGGAGCGTCGGAATGAGGATATCCGGAGATTAAACAAGGATGTTATCCACGGGGGTGATGTGAGGTCTGATGCCATGGTAGTTACTGAGCGCTATAAGAAGAATAGCACTGAATGGAAATCTTTCCGTATGCTATATGGCCTCACCCCAGATGAGATGAATGATCTCGGTATTGTCTACAAACTTCCTTGATACCTTTCATTGCTAATATGTTCTAGACCAAGCAAAGTGCTACCAATCCCTGCAAGCGTTGGACACCATAGCTTCTGTCCTATTTAAGGATGCTAAAAAAGGCCTTCCTGAGGGATTGGGGAAGCAACGGGAGGATCTCATTGCCATACTGCTGGAGAAAATATATGAAGAGGCCGAGAAGATGAGCAGCACTTTTCGTTGAGAATGGTTTGAGGCTATGGCTCATCAAGATATAGGATGAGTGGAGGGATCAGCATTGCAGATGTGAGTAACTGTTGGGGTGTTTATTGATGTTTACTGCTACGATATATCTGTACTCGTGGAGGGTGTGTCAAGGCTCAGCAGAATGTGTGACATTGAGTATTAAGCATGTCCTAGAGATCCTGCTTTTATGATGGCCCAGCTCGCACAATTTTTGCGTCAGCTGTAGGAAGCGTGGCTTAGCTATGTGGAAATGCGGAAACTGGCTCTTATGTCTAATTGTTCCTTGTAAACAGGTTCTCCTTGTATATTGATATAACATCACGATCAGGGTGTTGTCCCATAAGAGGATGTAGAACAGTTAAATAGTAACAATATCTATATCACTTCCAGCCTATGAAATGTATAGAAGACACGACCAATCGCTTGTTCTGATCATATATATACATACACTCGTTGCGTATTTAGTCCAGTCGGGTCTAATGCCTGCGATTACGAGTGAGGATGTGATTTCCAAGTCGGAACAGGGATATAATTTCGCACCCTCGGTCTTCCAAGGGATTCCGGTGATAGATACTTATGCGTAAAGTTCTGAATCAGGAGGACTCAATTGCAGCTGCTGTTGATCTTGCCTCCAAGACAGAACAGGTCGTTATTTTCGCCGGTCTGAGCGGGGAGTGGGAAACAGAAGGTTACGATCGTGACCATATGGGCTTGCCGCCGGGGAGCGATATACTGATCTCTCGTGTCTTGAGAGCAAACCCAAATACCGTGGTGGTGATACAGAGCGGTACACCAGTTACGATGCCGTGGGCAGGTGATGCCAAAGCATTGCTACAAGCGTGGTACGGTGGTAACGAAGGTGGGAATGGGATCGCGGATGTACTCTATGGAAACGTCAATCCCTCTGGCAAGCTACCGCTCAGTTTTCCTGTACATCTCCGTGATAACCCGTCCTTCCTTAACTTCCGTTCCGAAAGAGGCCGCGTTCTATATGGGGAAGACGTCTACGTGGGATACCGCTTCTATGAGAAGACCGAAATTCAGCCCCTCTTTCCTTTCGGTTACGGTCTCTCCTACACTAACTTCTCACTCTCGGCTCTGAGAGTTGCGGTATCACCGGAAAAGCATCGTATACAAGCCGGGGAAGACATCAAGGTATCTGTGATTGTCTCCAACACCGGGTCTACAGCAGGCGCAGAAACCGTCCAACTCTGGGTGATACCACCAACAACTTCTAGTATCAGCCGCCCCGTACGCGAGCTCAAGGGCTTCAAGAAGGTTTTCCTAGAAGCTGGAGGAAATAAGGCGGTCGAAATAGTCGTGAACAAGGGAGTAGCTACCAGTTTCTGGGACGAGACGCGGAGCTCTTGGATCTCAGAGAAAGGTGACTACGAGCTACTCATTACGGGCACTGGTGAGCAAGATCTGAGGTTTCCATTTCAAGTAGCAAAAACGAGGTGGTGGTCGGGTCTGTAACTGGAAAGCTCACCGCAGTGATCATTTCATGATAGGTAATGACAGTTCAAGAAAAAGAAGAAACGAGAGAAAAAAAATCATAAGAATCGTGTCGTAGCGATCATATGCATCCATTTTGATACACGATTCTTTTGAGTGAGGTCTTCTACTCCGTATAGTAAGGTGTCATAACCCCCTTGCTTCATCGTATATGGTACAGTGTACGTACTTAATATTAATGACTCCACAGCCCTCGCAGCTCTGGCCTTGGACGTTCAAAACGGTCATGGAGAACGATCCAGTTCGGTCGAGGAAAGACATGAGGAGAAGCCTATCTAACGGTATCAACGAACGGAATGTAAACCCGCGAAGGCGTAGTCGAAATACTGTATATACTACTTAATTAAGATTCTATTCCCATCTACGGTATAACCAACCTCATCTAACCTCGGAATGAATCCAGATTCACCATCCAAAATGCATTAACACGTTATCCATCCATATTCTGCAGGCATATCGTAGAGTATGGTATAGCGAAGTCCGAGTCTCCATTCTTCAACGCGACGCGACTTATCAAATGCACATTCCTCGGGATTTCCTAAAGGAGCATGCGTGCATGGAGTAGCGTGGCTGGAGACTAGCGAAGAAAGGGATGATAATAAGGATAAGAGGGAACCAACCCTCACGCGTCGGCTGCGATGACCTTGGATAAATCTCGTTGTTTCTCTCCTCTTGGTTATTGTAGCTGATCTGGATATTCGTTCTTTTTTTTTTTTCGTTTTGCATACCGTTTTCGATCGAGCACTTACTTTATACCCCCGTGGCTATCCCTTTCCTGAACTAGATATTAGGAAAGTATATCCGACCAGAAAACAACACAGCAACAAATAGAAACGACGCAAAAGAAGCAACAAAGCCACATAGTGCTCAAATCTCACCAAACCCCTCGTCAAAATGCACCTCTTCTCATCAAACCTCTTCATTCTCGCCGTCGTCACCACCACCTCCTCCCTAGTCACCGCCGCACCACCATCGCTCAAGCCCCTACCTTCAAACGTACGACATCTACTACCGACCCCGAGTGGAAACCCGAATAAGATCTCGACATGTCCCGCAGATGCGAAGAGACAGTGCTGCGTCACGCTGCAGGAGGCGTCGAATACGTTGTTGTCGGGTCTGGGAGACCTAGTGCCGTATTTAAGTGGTGTGGAGGTTGGGAGTGTTCTTGGGATGGGGTGTATGTTTTAATTTATCCTTCCTTCCTTCTCCCCCAAAAAAAAAACCCCTTTCGCTTCTTTTTTCCAGCAGTAGAATATTGCGTTGGAAGAATGCAACAGAACTATATGATGCAATGCAATTGATGTACAGAAACCGCTAACGATTTCTTTCTTGGAATGGATATACAGGCACCGATATCGCTGATAATGCCCCTGATTATGATTGTCGGGACACAATTGCATGCTGTTCGGGCGCTGAGTTGGTATGTTTAGTTGTGTCCTTTTTATTTCATTCTATTCTTATTTGTCAGGCCTGACCTTCGAGCGTATACTGACTTTTTGTGAAAAGCTCGGACCGCATACGGTGACTGGTGGATGTTACCCGCCGCCTTCTCATCCTTCTCCTCCTCCTTCTTCGCATTGAGTTGGATAGGAAAGTGGATGGTTTGGTTGCAGGGGGATATGTGATATGTTCGACTAGTTTTTTTTTTATATTGATGGCTTTTGATCTTGAGAGGGGAGTGTGAAGCGGGTAGGGAAAGGATGATATCTGGGGTTCTTTTTTTTTTTTTTTTGTTTCCCTTTTTCAAGTATAGAAAGAAAAGGGAGGATGAATGGAGTGTCGATACTTATATAGTCAGTTCGATTTAGAATGAATAATATGGAATATTTCTTTCTCATTGTTAAATTTGGTTCCGATGATAGATATTGTTCTGCATGTAGTTTCCTGCTTTGGTTTGAATATGGCCTTATTATATGTCCTCTCTGTCATTTCTTTCATGGTATTGGGTGCTATTGTATGGTACATGTACATGTTTGCATGCAAGCAATTGCATGGTCACTTAGAAAATCAATCCTTATCGCCATCCACCACGGCCTTGGGGAGGGTATCCTCTGCCACCTGGTTGCTGATGGCCCCATGGTGCATGAGATCCGGGGTACTGCCCAGGAGGCGGTGGGAGATATTGCCCCCCTTGCGGTTGAAAAGGAAATCCCGGGACAGGCATTCCTGTGCGAGGATCTATACCACCAGGAAGCGGTGGTGGAAACGCTCCTCCTGCTTGTGGAGGCGGAGGTGGAGGTGGCCATGGGCCCTGATAGTTCGGGGGCGGGGGCGGGGGCGGAGGAATAGGATATCCGCCCGGTCCAGGCAGAGGGACAAAATTCTGAGGGGCGAATGGGAACTGGCCTGGGGGGGGAGGGATGGGGATTCCCTGTGGTGGGGGATATGAGTGATGTGGTTGCGGGAAAGAGGATCGCGGAGGCGATGCTAGTCGAGGAGAGTAAGACTTCTCCCGGGATGGAGAACGGGAGCGGCGTCTTGAAGGGCTCCGTGAACGAGAATAGGAGTGGCGCCGTCGGGAACGACGTCTATAAGGAGAACTGCTCTGCGACCTGGAGCGTGAGCGGCGTCTGCCATCGCTGCTAGGACTGCCACTGTAACGACGACGCTTTCGAGGACTCCTGCTTGAACTCCTACTTCCACTGCGGCTGCGACTGCGACTGCGACTCCGACTGAGACTCCGACTCCGGCCTCTTGAAATCTTCCCGCTCCTCTTTTTCATCTGCTCGCAGAACCCACGGGACCATCCGTAGTACGTCTCTCCTCCGACGATCTCACCGGTAGTCTCGTCTCGGACTACCGTCTGGCCCATCTCGTCAATGTCGATGACAGTGTTTTCATCATGTTCCGGTTCGTCATTTTCGTATATGCGATCAACATCCTTCAGGAATTTCTTGAGGGCCGTTACCAGTTTCTGGTCTGCGGGCCCGGCAAGGAACTGCAGTGGCTTCACGGCGTCCGGCCGTATAGGCGCCGTCGAGTCGGGTATAATATGGGGAACCAAGTTCCCGGCTGGGAGGTCGTAATACGGTGTAGACGCATCTCCGTGGGTGGCTGGCATAACGAAAGGAACATCCTTTGACGTAGCCGTTTTCGCAACATCTGCATTGGCATCACTAATCCCCACGGAAGCTTTGATGGCATCAACAGATGCTGAGTTGCGGACCGCTTCTCGGAGCTTGTCGACATAGTCCGAGCTATAGTATCCGTTGGCCTTCCATATATCCAGTAACTCGTCCAGTCGTCTGTGGTGCTTGGGATTCTTCTCGCGGTCGAACGCTGCCGCCTGGCCGATCAGGTCGATAATGTATGGCTGCAGCGCTCCCGTAACCGTCGAGAAGGCAACATTGTTTTCGGAGTGGTACTTGGTATGATGGAAGAGGTCGTTGAGTAGGTAGAGGATGTGTAACCTCTTGCGCTTTCCAGATATCTCTCTGCGACCCTGTGGATTGGGTTCTCTGGACTTTTCATCCGTGGGCTTGAATGACTCGGACAGCACAACGAGATACTTGCCCAGCACTCCCACCCTGTTGGATGATTGGACAACATTCCTAAGAAGCCATGCTTTGCAGGTCTATGACCAGACTCATACGATCAGTAAGACTTGTCCTCGTATCGATGAACCAAATGCGCAAACTGTCCAGACCTGGATGTTTGCCGGAGAGCAATGCGACAGTGCTTTGTCCAGCGCGGAGTGGAAACCGGTGATCTCGTCGCGAGGGACGGAGGTCGGATCGGGGCGTAGGAGTCCCGCTGAGAAGGACGCTTTCGCGATGGCGATCTGATGGGATGCCATCTCTTATCGAGAGTGGAAACGATACTGTGAGGGAAGGAGTTCCATGGGCCAGGAATCAAGGTCAAGATAAGCTGGGGAGCTGTCGCGAATTCTTGAGCTTCTTGTCGGAGCTCCCTCCTCGATCCCGCCTGCGGCACGTGATCCTGCAGCGCAACGATCGATATTTGTCTGGCCGGTAATGCTTCTTTTGTTGGGTATGGGCTTTGGCGACAGAGATATGGATTTGTCAGTCTCTAGCGGCCGTCTAATTGTGGCTTCTGATCCAGCTGTAGTTAATGCACGCCGCCCTGTACTCGTTCGATATATATTTCCTGCACATGGTATACTTTAGCCACACAGCAACAGTATTGCATGGCACCATGTTGGATGACAACCTCTTTCTGGTCCCTTGTATATAAATCATTAGGACACTACAAAATGACATGCATGAGTATTGTGTTTATAAAAGTAGTTGTTGATACTTCGAGGACTTAGCGGAGCATACTCTGCAGCAATCTAGACAAGTGAATATCGAGTGGTTGTTCCTAATAAATTCAACTAAGGATCGCCGATGCATCAAAGCCGCCGGGCTAGCTCAATCGGTAGAGCGTGCGGCTCTTATCATCTCGAATGGTTACCGCAAGGCTGCGGGTTCGACCCCCGCGTTCGGCTCAATTCCGGACATTTCCACTTCGGCTTTCTTTTTTTATTTTTTTTGACCTCCGCAGACCACATCAGAAGTGGCTGCTAGAGATAATTAGGGATGTGAAACGCTTGTTTCTTGGAACCAAACACTTGACCTGAAGCAGTATTAAGGTCTGCCGGAACCACATGAAAGCCCTTGTTAGCTATGCATCCAGTAGTGATGCTTAGTTACGAGTAAATATCGACGAATGATGACCCGAATAGGAACTCTGCTATATAGCTCTACCTAATATGATACTCTTCACGGTTCATGTTCGATAGAAGTTTATATCTAGATAGCCATATCCACAGAGTTGGAAGCCATTAACGTGCGCCCTCTAGGAGTTCCATATTTGGACCCTGGAACACAGTCATCCACATCTTTGTTCGATGCATAGCAAGTAAGAGAACATGAAGTCTGACGATAGGATCTAGTGCCATGCAGTTCGAAATCGCCGAGCAGTGTTAGGCTACCACGTACCTGCGTTTGATTGTAATCATCAGTCGCCCGATTTCTTCACGAACCTATTTCATTTTCTATGGTCATTTCTGGTATTACAGCAGAACGGAAAGACCTTCCTTATGACGGAGAGGTCGATATTGCCTAGAAAATTTATGGATATAAATGCGAGGAGAGCCTAGGTACGAGGTGAAATGCTCCTAGCCTCCTACCGACCAGACGAGGCTCCAGTGGGTCGGTCTACTCTAACAGGTCGCCCTATCTAATCAGCTGCTAGCCAAATGTTCCTGTGTGCCCCAGACAAATTTGTCTCACTGCATCCCCACGCTCCGACTTTCATATCAGTCAATATGACGGAGACTCGATCGTTTCTTCCTCCGCGGCCCCCCGATGGCTCAAAGCTGGAGATGGACATTCTGGACTCAACTTTCTTCAAGACTCCCGGCCAGCGGCTGCCGACGCCAGCACAAGTCCGGGCCCTGTCAACAGATATAGGCACGATGCCTAAACCAAAACCTATCATCTTCAGAAACCCAGACATCTTCGTCAAGCTTGGTCACTACGTTACTGTTGAAGAAGCTCAGTGCCTTTGGATGGTTCAGCGGGCCTTTCAAGGCACTGTGCCGGTTCCTGAACTTTTCGGATGGCGTGTAGACGACAAGGGCTACGTATTCATTTATATGCAGCTCATCGAAGGTCAGACGTTACTTGATGGATGGGATAATATTCAAAGCGCAGACAAAGAAGTGATGTGCAATCAGTTATACGAAATCACAACGTCTCTACGTCAACTTAGCCAAGGTTCCGACAAGTACATTGGTACGCCCTGACCTACTTGGACGTGGATTCATTGCTGGTATTAATTTGTCCGTCTAGGATCTATCAACCGCCAAAAAGCTCCCGATTATGTCTTCCAACATCTGAAAGAAGCCGGGCCATTCCCAAACATAAAGGAATTCAACGATTGGTTCTCTACCTTGCCCCAGTCGCGGCTTCCGGCGTCCATGAAATTTAAAGATCCCTATAGAGACCTCTTGCCTGATGACGGAGAGATTAAATTCACACACGCCGACCTTCATCGAGCTAACATCATGATATCCTCGACCGCGCCCTTTCGAGTCATTGCAATCGTCGACTGGGGTCTGTCAGGCTGGTATCCAGATTTTTGGGAGTACTGCAAAGCTCTCTACACCTGCTGGTACGAGAGTGAATGGCGTCAGGATTGGATTGACAAGTTTCTACATCCACGAACGCAGGAGTTTCTAGTCTTCTCGGAATACTGCATGGCGATCGGTGCTGTCTAAGTTGACCTTATACCGGACAGAAGACGCCTGCCAAAGACTTTCGAGGGGTGGCTACAACTTTGCCTAAGTGTAACTCAGTATAACTCCTTGTGCTCTATCGTAGATGATATCCTCGGATATAAGAAACGCAGGCATCAATAAAAAAGAGAAAAGACAAAAAAAAACAAAGAAGTGGTCAATTGTTCGGAATTGAGCCGAACGCGGGGGTCGAACCCGCAGCCTTGCGGTAACCATTCAAGATGATAAGAGCCGCACGCTCTACCGATTGAGCTAGCCCGGCTTCTTTGATGGTGGCTTGAGCTCGGGAAAATTTAAGAGGCGTACATCCCGATTATCCAAATGGGGTAAAGCGGCATGCACAGGTAATGACGCCCATAGCGTGCGAAAAAGGTTATAAGTATTAATGCAAATAATGTCTCTAATAGCTGCCACGGAGTTATTAATATATTGTTTAATATCTGCGACAGTGACATATTGCTCCCATACTACAAACTCTGGCGGCTGCATGTGTGTTGTGTATTAATGTGATCATGACCGCAGATAATGATAATCATTCGCATGCGAACAATAATTAATATGTGCATAATCTAGGTACTTTGATATTGTCAGGAACCCAAGTGAAGAGGCTACAGTACTTAAGTGGGACAGGCCAAAAGTTTGTGGCGTGGGTTGGGCAGACATGGGGACGGATGGGTCAGTATTACGATCGCAGCGTTGGCTGAGTTCTCGCACCATCGAACGGTGAGAAATATTCCGATCATTAATTCCGTTGCGGATAGTTGAAAAGCTTCGAGGAAGAGGGATCCGTACCGGGCAGATGAACACCTTCATCCTCAGCGTGGGTTCAGACAATTTCCCGACAGAGTGTTGGTTGGGGCCTTCAGATCTCCATCGGATGGATAGATGTTAACTCTGGCTGCGGCATGGCGTGGATTGTGTTGAGATTATCTACGGCGAATAATGAATTCCCGCCTGTCCCACACGGAGGGAAGCCCGAGTAAGTAGAGTACCATAGTGGGGGACTGATGCGTTGCGGGGCGATCTCCGGACGGAGAGCAGCGATTCCGTCGTCAGTCCAGAGGGCAGATTGTTGAGTTGGTGCCTGTCCTAAGGGTGGGTGAAGATGCAATCATATGTAAGTATCTAGGACCACGTAGTTATTATGGTAGTAGGAGTGGAACTATCGATACCTGTTGGGAGGGGACGATGATGATGTTTTGTTTGGAGGGGCCGAGGGGCAGAACTGGAGAAGGAAAACGAGTTCCGGAGTGGGAAGCCAGAATGAGAACTTCTGCCTGGACGGGAGTTTCAATTGTTACATGCCGGCTGTTTCGTTCAGAAAGTGGCCTGACGCCGACCCAGGGGAACAGACAACCGCCTCGACGACGATGATCACTGGAGAGGCTGTCGGGATGCGCGCGTGCCGCCATCAGCCCATCAGGCGCTGATGTATGTACCAGGGACACATCCAGCGGTCTAACTATGGTAGAGTCAGTAGTTAATGAAATATTATTGCATAGTCAGAAAGATCTAATCAGTTCGGATCTCTGGCAGCCCCGCAGAGAGAAACGAGTTGGACAAGTGTTTATTATTTAGTGTAGCCACTCGATGGCGTGACGGAGATACAGGCAGCCATTGGAATTCCGGTGCTTGTCCCTTAATCTTATAGACCCTTATTATTGACCCTCTTTTCTGCCTTTCTTATCCTTCAGAGACCAGACTCCTAACGAGGTACCATACACTGATTGACTTCACTGATTATCTTAGTGCCGGTAAGTAACTAACTGGCCTGGACGATCCCATCCCCTCTGCTCCCCACCGGCTTCACTTCTCCACCGTCTGGTGTACTTATCGTCATCAGGCCCGGTCACAGGGCCGATGGCGCCATGTTTCATCCTATATAGTTAATGCAGGAGACCCCCTGTTCTCAAATCCAATAACTCTGACATTTTCCTCAGACTCGCAGTGAAGAACTACCAGACGCGTGAGACAAACAGAGAAACATTCGCGCAGCTCCTGCGTACTTAACTAGATCCCGCCTTCAGTTTCACCACCTACTTTTGCTCCAGTTCCAGTTCGCTCCCCTGTCAATCGAGCTCCAGAAAGCAACAATGGCCATCACTGTCAATTGCGTCCGGCCGACCATCCGTCACTTCTCTGCTCGTCGTCCTCGTCCCGACAGCCGTGCCTCGCGCTTCGTTGCCTCGTCCTGCATCGCCTCCGCCGTGGTGCTCCCCTTCATCCCGCCGGCCATCGAGAGCTCCCGGGAGAAGAGCCTGGGCTATCCCAACCACAACAAGTGAGTGCACGCTGCTCCTGATCGTTGCGCAAGCCGCCTCGTCGACCCCAAAAAGCAATGCTTTTGAAGGGATCATTTCTGGAGATTTGTGTGAATTTACAAAAGAGGACCTGCTCACCCCGCAATCTATTTATAGATCCCACCCACCGCTCTGCTTCCACGCTCGCTAGACATCACCACCGATGAATGTCTTATTTTCTTTTGTCATGACCACTCCATCATTTTTACGAATTCCAACAGTCCGACCTGTTCTCCAGAAGACAGGCCGCTCTGTTGATGATGCATGCTTCTACTTGAAGGCGGCATACGGACGGCGTTGGCAGGATGGGTGCACCGCTTTTTGTTACTGGAACTAGGTGCTACTACTCGCAGCGGAATTGTTCCGCTAGTTACTAGGAGCTACTGATCCAGTTTCTTTGATTGCTGCATGGGCACAGGCGATACCCGCATAACAGCATTCCTGCACATTTGACGATCACGAGGGAGGCGTTTTCGGTGGGCGTTTCTTGTCAAGTATTCCTTTATATTCCTTTACACTGTCGCCAGTTTCATTGGGACACAGAACCATGACTGGATGGAGGCATTGCTCCAGACAAACTAATAATATCAACTATGAAATCGTAACCGACTGCATTCTTATCTGGTTCCGCTAGAGCTAATTACCGGATTCGGTAGCCCCGGATTGCTGTAGGGTGCCTTTTGGGGTTAAAACAACCCCGGATTATTATATAAGACGGAGGGTAAAAATAGAGCAGATTCAACATTGCTATTTACAGATCGGATCATCGTACAGCTTGCGCCACATCAACACGTGGGAAAAAAGACGTTCTGGGAGTTTGTGATCCTGATCACTCTGGACAAACCACTCTGGACTAACAAACAAAACCTCGTCCCTCCACTCAACTCAACCGGTTACCCCTGGGCGGCCGGAAAGTCTCCGTAGCTTCATATTTACTCTTCTCCAGCACGCGCTGCGCATCCGTATCGGGTTCATGCCGGGTCGGCGCGGGGTCATTGCTAGCTTCCGAACTCGGGGAACCCGCGACGTCTGACACGTTATTCTGCTGGGCTAGCTTAGCGCGCTGCAGGCTGGGGTCGTCGGTCGGCACGGGCGTCTTATTCGGAGGAGCGGACGACAGGGTGGGAGGTGTCGGGGCACTGCGGCGTTCCTGGTACTCAGCGGCGGCCAGGGAGGCCTTGCGTCTCAGTTCTGCTTCATGGCGAGATGCCCGGTCGGCATTGATGGACTTTTTGGCGAAGTAGTAGGCACCACCGCCAGCTAAAGGGGAGAAGGATTCGTATGTCAGCACTACTCTGAGAGGGTCTGCTTGAAGACAGCCGGTATGGAGCTTGAGGGGAATAGGAGAGGACAAAGGAGCGAAGATAATTAATGACGACCAGGGAGGAGATTTAAAAGGCATTGGAGATGGACTGATTCTTACCAACGCAGAGGGCGCCCCAGCCAAACCTATTCAATGATCAAATTCTCGTCAGATATCTCCGGACGAAGCTCGGCGGAAGCAGAGAGTAGTTTCTCGAGAAATTGCGGCTTACCAGGTAGATCTGACCTGGATTAAACAAGACAATTAGTTCGTGTATCATCTTACACAGGCAAGAGGAGGGCACATACCGTGTTCATTTTGCCGGAAGCAGTCAGTCGATGCTCAGACGAGATGAGTTGTAGTTTGTATCGGCGAAATAAACTAACTCCTACTCTTCTACGTCAGGACCGAACGGTGAGCTCTGGTTGCCCGGAGGAACCTTTTACCGCGGCAGCGCTGGCCAACCAACCAGAGGCCAAAAAGCGCTTGCGGCTCCCGCGTCTCGGCCGGAGATCGATAACTAAGCCATGAGTTGATAACCAGTCGCCTGGTTATGAGTGTTCCTCTTTTCTTATTCTACATCTATCTCACTACTGCCATCGATATCCGGCTGTGCTGTGCAGTCTCTGGGTGTAGGGATCCGTTAAGGACGCTGCCTCTGCTGTTTTCGAGGCTCTGGCAGCCTGTTCGAGCTCTGTCCCTTCGTTGACCTGCTTACTCTTCTTGGACTCTCCCTTGCCACTGAATATCTGGAAACGCTGAAGCAGGATGCCTGTGAAGCGGAAAGCCGTTGACAGTAAGGATATCCCTGTCTAATGCGAACTGAAGGAGTAGTCGACTAATACCGGCCAGATGGCCCGGCTGGCAGGGCGTCGAAGCGTGCGACTCCCGTTCCGGATCATAGCATCGACAGCGACGACGACTACTCCGAGTACGAAGAGGAAGTGAGTGGGAAAGATAGCAGCTTGAAAGGTTAGCACGGAGTACTTTCCCTTCTGCGGAAAATTACGAAGTGCTAATGCTGGCGTTCTTTTTCTGTTCTAGATGTCGTCGAGAAATTCTCACTCGAATCTTTCAGCAGAAACAAGAAGGCTGCTGTCCAGAGGGAAGACCCTCATTTCGGATACAAGGATTTCTCGTCTCTGCCACTGAAGCCAGATCATGCCAATCGTCCTCTCTGGATCGAGCCGCTCAAGGGCACCATCACGCTGGAGAGCTTCTCGCCACTGGCGCCCCAGGCGCAGGATTTCCTGACTACGATCGCTGAACCGCTGTCACGACCTACACATCTACACGAGTATCGGTTAACAGGAAACAGTCTGTACGCTGCGGTCTCGGTCGGGTTGCTTCCAAATGACATCATCAATTTCCTGGACCGGTTGTCCAAGACGCCTCTTCCGGATACGATCAAGTCATTTATTGTCGACTTTACCAAATCCTACGGAAAGATCAAGGTCGTTTTGAAACACAATCGGTTTTTCGTCGAGAGTTCGGACCCGGCGATGCTGCAGATGCTCTTGCAGGATGAGGTGATCGGTCCTCAGAGGTTGCAAGGGTCGGAGGGGATCACCCAGCAAGCTGCCCCCAAAATGGGTGGGTTGGTTATTCCAGGAACGAAAGATGCGGCGGGAGTCAAGCAGGCGGAACAGAAGACGGCGGAAGGCAATGAAGGTCAACCGAAAGAGGATGATATTCTCGTCTCGTTGCGCGACGAGGATGATGACGATGATCAGGCCCAGGTCCACAGTTTCGAAATACCGAACAGTGCGGTGGAAGTTGTTAAATCTCGATGCCAGGCGATGGGTTGTCCCGCTCTGGAGGAGTACGACTTCCGGAACGATGAGATCAACCCTACCCTGGATATCGACCTGAAGCCGAATGCGCAGATTCGAAGCTACCAGGAAAAGAGTCTGAGTAAGATGTTCGGTAATGGTCGAGCTAAAAGTGGAATTATCGTCTTGCCTTGTGGTGCTGGAAAGACGCTTGTCGGTATCACTGCAGCTTGCACTATCAAGAAGGGAACCATCGTCCTCTGCACCAGCTCAATGTCTGTCGTTCAGTGGAGGAACGAGTTCTTGCGCTGGTCAAACATCGACCCCAGCGACATCGCTATCTTCACGTCCGACAACAAGGAGAAGTTCCGCAGGTCCACCGGTATCATTGTGTCAACATACTCCATGGTCTCTCAGACGAGAGCTCGTTCCCACGATGCTGAAAAGATGATGGATTGGCTGCAAGGACGGGAATGGGGTCTGATGATCCTGGACGAGGTGCATGTCGTCCCCGCCTCGATGTTCCGAAAGGTTACGTCCGCCATCGCTTGTCAGGCCAAGTTGGGTCTCACGGCTACACTACTGCGTGAGGACGACAAGATCAAGGATCTGAACTTCCTGATTGGACCGAAATTGTACGAAGCCAACTGGATGGAACTTGCCGATCAAGGCCATATCGCCAAGGTCCAGTGTGCGGAAGTCTGGTGTCCCATGACCACGGAATTCTACTCGGAGTACATGAGGGAGAAATCCAGAAAGGCAGCACTGCTGTATATCATGAACCCGAGGAAATTCCAGGCTTGTCAGTACCTCATTGACTATCACGAGAAGAGAGGCGATAAAGTGATTGTCTTTTCTGATAACGTGTACGCACTGGAGCGGTACGCATTGAAGCTGAACAAGGCGTATATCTACGGTGGTACGCCGCAGAACGAACGTCTGCGCATTCTTGAGAACTTCCAACATAATGAGCAGGTGAACACCATCTTCCTCTCCAAGATCGGTGATACTTCGTTGGATCTACCCGAAGCTACCTGTCTTATTCAGATATCGTCGCATTATGGCTCTCGTCGCCAGGAGGCGCAGCGTCTCGGCCGTATTCTGCGAGCCAAGCGTCGAAATGATGAGGGTTTCAATGCCTTCTTCTATTCCCTCGTGTCCAAAGATACGGACGAGATGTTCTACTCTTCCAAGCGGCAGGCGTTCCTCGTCGACCAAGGCTACGCGTTCAAGGTCATCACACATCTCCAGGGTATTGAGAACCTGGAGGGTCTCGCATATGCCACACCTGCAGAGCGTCGTGAACTCCTGCAGGAGGTGATGCTGCAGAACGAGACTTCCGCAGAAGTTGAGCATGTTACGGATGATCTCTTCAGTGAGCGTTCTGGCGGACCTAAAGCCAAGGGTGGCAAGAAAGGTGGCGTCAAGCGTAGCGCTGCGACGCTTAGTGGACTTGCTGGAGGTGAAGACATGGCTTACATTGAATACAACAAGAGCAGGAACAAACAGCTCAAAGACAAAGTCGGCCATCATCCGCTGTTCAGGAAGATGGAGAGAGACCGCCAGCGGAGGAAGAAGGAGATGGAGGAATTGAGACGAGAACTGAAATAACGATCAAAAACTATGTACAGTACATTTCTCGCATATCAGACGGCGTTCATTGGTGGTTCGTTTATATAAAGCGCATCGGACGCAGCTTCTCTAGAATATGAGAAAGACGGTAAAAGTCTTAATAATCGACATATCAACCTTCTCACTGTAATTTAGTTAACTCACCAGGTCACTCTACGTGTAGACCGAGTCTTACGAAAAAGCCAAAAGCCGGTCCACGGAAAGACACAATCTCAGCAGAAGCTCGAAGCCAACGTATACCGTATCACGTCTATCTATCTAAAAGTACATACAATATAAAAATCTATTTCCCACAATGCCCCCCGAAAAAGAAAAGGTATCATTTCACTCCAAAAGTACACCTCGTGCCTGTCGAGGATACTTTTTACCAAGAAACAAAAACGAAAGGATCGGTAGAGGTATTAACGCGATTGCTATAATCAAATATTAGATCCTGACCCCATTTACATATGCGAAAAAAGAACGTAAAAAGAAAAAGAAAAAGAAAAAGAAAAAGAAAAAGAAAAAGAAACAACTCACCAAACACCGAATTCATATAATAATACCCGACAGTCCCATGAAGCGTCCCCGAAATTATAGGCCCCGCCATCATAGCCAGAGTCACCAGGAGACCATTCAAAGCATAAGCACGCGCAGACCCACTATTAGGACCATAGACTTGTGGATTTTCAACCTGTCTTTCCTTAACGACGGCCGTTAATTCCAACATTCCTATACCATTGATAAACGGCATGATGGCCCCGATCCCAATTACAGCAGTAATATAGAGAGTCGGACCCATAATCTCTCCATTCGCCGAGGGAAACTGCTCTGCTCCAGGAATCCCTAATACCCAGATCAAGGGTATCAGGCAGACTAGACTGATTGTGATGGGGTATTTGGGACCGATGACATCGTACAGCCACCCGGATAAGGGGCTTATGACGAGAGTAGAGGCTTGGAGGCAGAAGAACATTAGTCCTGTAGCGGATGTTCCCCAGTTGAAGGCCTCTTGGACGTGGAGAGGGAGTGTGGTGTCGAGGGTGGAAGAGATGAAGATTGAAAGAGATGAAATGAGTAGTGCTGTGAGTACTCGGCTCTTGTTCAGATAATCGCGATAGAAGCTGCGTGGTGGGGTTGGTGTGAGATCATCTGGTGGATCTTGAGTCTGGATTGATTCTGGGAAGGAGTGATATGAGGATCCGGTCTCAGAGAGAAGGGGTCGATCTTCTGTTGCTTCGGAGGATGGAGTAGCAATCGTGCCTTTCGAGGAGCAAAAGGACGAAGAAGAAGAAGAAGAATAAGAAGAAGGAGGTCGTGCCGGGACTTCTTTGTCTGACTTCTCTACTACCATAAGAAGACGAGCGATGAAATCCAGCATCAGCACACCGAATGGAGCGGCCCAGGTCGGCCAGTATCCAAGCGCCTCGAACAGGAAGCCCGAGACAACAGGCCCGACAATGAAACCCGCTGAAATAAACGAATTTACCGTCCCCATGACCTTCCCAATGTCATCCTCGCTGACTCTGTCCGCGATTGTGGCCAGACCAATGACCCAGGTCGCGGAGGCAGCGATGCCCTGAAGGATACGTGCGAAGAAGAAAATCCATAAGGAATGCGAACAGGCGAACAGAACAGTTCCCACCAAAGATAGTATCAATGACAGCAACAATGGCTTCTTTCTACTCGGTTTGCGGTTTGCGAAATGCCCAATGATGGGACTGGCGATCAACGAAGTGAAGGCATAGAGGGCCAGAACGACAGTAATGTAGAATTGAGTGTGGATTGGGTCGATATAAAGGCGGTCCTTGAGCATGGAACTTAAGATCGGGACGATGAAACTGTAGAGAAAAGTATCTATAATTTTTTTTAAAAAAAGATGTCAGCGAAGCACCTTGAGGCAAGAAACTAAGTATGATCTTACCAGAAAACAAAGCGACACTGATACAAGCGATAACTAACGTCCTTGATGAACGCCATTGGGTTCCCAGCAATCCCTTTGAAACGGCCATAGTGAGTGGTCGAGAAGGAAGCTCAGAAACTGAGAGGAATCATGGAAAGAGAAATCCTGCCCTTCTTTATGATTATTATCTCAGAATTAAAGTGCAATTCCAGTGGAGAATAAATGGGCTAGTATGAAAGAAAGGTCTCCTCTCTGTCCTTAGTAGGTATTTGATTTTTTTTATTTACTCTGGACAGTGATTTGGAGCTTCCATTCCTCTAGTCTTTCCCCTCCCCCTCTCTTATCCCTTCTTCCACCCTGGACTGGTTGTCAAGAGGCTTAGTATGAAGGCCGAGAAAAGGCGAAAGACCTCCATATACCGAGTACCACGATATATTTAGCATAGAGGTAGTAAGATTGAAATTATTCTCATGATAAGAATAGACAAGACAGAGTACAATGCAAATAATAATAAACTCCTAAATGGTATGAATTACCACCTGTTCCTGCGTTGCTGAGAACCCTTGGATTGTCGATAGTCCCGGGATAATAATGGAATCTGCCATCCCTTGCAACGTTAGTGTCGCCGTATCCACCGTACAACAGCGGCCACGTTGGTGATGATAGACATCCCGCGAATCTGGTTCAAGGAGGTGGCTTGCATATCTACGCGTTGAGCTTGTTACCACGCCAGAAGGACAATGTGCAGATTCTTGGGAGAAACGATCCACTCGGATCGAGTCACGAAGGCTATTTTGGAGTAAGTTGTAGATCGCCGGGGAGTTATTAGCCCTATCTATTACGGTTTCCCTTTTTGACCCTGGTTTGCTTCGACTACATTTTGAAGAAAACCATTCCAAGAATTTCATCCTATTGGTACTTGCATATCCTGGGATTTAAATAATACAGATTATCGCTATCGGCAATATCGATCCGCTATCACAAAATTTGATCAACTTAACGACGGTCCTGCTTTCTCAAATAGGAGCAATTCTAGGGACAATAATGAAAGTTCGTATTCAATCTAAAACTGGAACCCAACCCTTAAATTGTCATGGTTGCTCGTAGTCAGGACATCTGGCTTATCTTCTGCTGCGGGGTAGTTACAAGAGGCACACTTACGGATGAACCAGCCCCAAGATCTTTCTTAGTTAACCAACTAGTCCTGGAACGTACCATCGATCACTCCTGCTGATAAACAATCCATGGACGAGTAGCACAGAACTATCTTGTCAAGAGATACGAAATACGCGGTAGTATACCAAAATCATCAGCATGGTACCTCAAACCGAACGCAAGCCTGCACCCTTCGGAACGTGGGAAAGCCCTATATCCAGCCATCTCCTATCAGCACGTTCTGTCTCACTTCTCGGGCTGGATGTGTATGTATGTATCCCCTATTAAGAGCGCGCTTCAGGACAAATTCAATCGTGCTACACTAGCTAACACATACAAGGAACCCTCTTCGAGGCTATACCATCTCGAAGGCCGCCCCGCTGAAGGAGGCCGTTGCTGCATCGTCGAACATGACTTGTCACCATCTGGCGATATTACAAGCAGAGATGTCCTTCCTGCAGAATATAGTGCCCAGACCTCTATCCACGGCTACGGCGGGACACCGTTCATCGTGAACCCCGCTACAGGCGACTTGATCTTCACTGATGGCAGAACGAAAGGAGTGTATATCTTATCTCCGGAATCAGGAGAAGTCAAACCAATTATCGATGTAGATCCCAGCTCGCCAACAACACCAGTGCGCTATGCGGATTTTCATGTCTGCGCTTCGGAGCCGAATTGGGTCCTCGCCGTCGAGGAGCGAGGAGCAGGCAGTGACGAAATCGATAGAGTCATTGCGATAGAGATATCTACAAAAAAGCAACATGTAATTGCCGAAGGGGCGGATTTCTACTCAAACCCACGCTTTAGCGCTGATGGAAAGCGTGTCTGCTGGGTGCAGTGGAGTCATCCCGATATGCCCTGGACAGGATCCCTGCTTTATGTAGCGGATTGGCTTGGTGATGGGAAAATTGAAAAACCTGTTTATATTGCAGGGGAGGCTCTTAAAGAGAGTATTCTCGAGCCTAGATGGGGTATAGATGGGACGTTGTTCTTTGTTAGTGATCGTACGGGCTATTGGCAGCTATATCGTCTCGATGTCGGGGCCTCGGCGGCAAGGAGGGTGAATTTGAAGGGACTGGAAGAGGTCGAATTCTCAGGAAGGAACCCTGCATTGGGAAGGTAATTAGGCAATGGGTCACTAGGTTGGGATAATAATATTGGTATTCTTGCTGACAATTGCGAAAAAGCTATACCTACGCCTCTATGACTGCCACGACCATCCTAGCAGCAGTCACTATCCGAGCTGCAAACCGTCTGGTAGTCATTGACCTCAAGACGGAAACTTTCCAATTCCTCGATTCAGATCTTATCGAAATTCGCTTCAATGCTCTCAGAAAGCTAACCGACACCAAGTTCGCCATCATCGGAAGCACAGCGCGATTTCCCAACTCCCTGTACGAATTGGACCTCGCTAATCCTTCATATAAACGACTCATCAAGACATCTGCAGAAGTTGACCCGATCCTTTCTACTTTCTTCTCAGAAGCCAGACATATCTCTTTTCCCCGAGTATATGGAGAAGCCCAAGGGGAACAAGCTCATGCGTTCTTCTTACCGCCTCAGAATCCGAACTATCAAGGTACCCCAGGTTCCCTCCCGCCTCTGATTGTCTGGGCCCATGGCGGGCCGAGCAGTCATGTCCCTCCAGGCTTGGCTATGAGGGATCAGTACTGGACTTCCCGAGGGTACGCGGTGGCCTTGCTCAACTATACCGGTTCTACCGGCTACGGACGTCGCTACCGTGAGCGATTGGACGGTAAATGGGGCATCTTGGACGTGGACGATTCAGTCAGCTGCGTGGAGTATCTCGCATCTACCGGGCAAGTTGACCGTACTCGAGCCGGAATCATGGGCCCCAGTGCAGGCGGTTATACTGTACTGCAAGCGCTGTGCGTCTATCCTGATGTCTTCGCGAGCGGCAACAGTGAGTACGGAGTTGGCGACCTGAGAGCCTTGGCGGAGGATACACACCGATTCGAAAGTCATTATCTTTTTGGATTGGTCTTCGAAAGGGGCGGACGATGAATGAGTGAGGATGAGAAAAACCGTGTCTACAAGGAACGCAGTCCTTTGTTCAACGCGGATAAGATCAAGAGTCCCCTCCTACTGCTGCAGGGCGATGCGGACAAAGTAGTTCCCCCAAACCAGGCCAAAGATATGGAGCAGGTCATCAAGGAAAAGGGAGGAGATGTGAAGTTGATTATCTTCGAGGGAGAGGGTCATGGCTTTGCACAGAGCGCTTCAGTGCGAAGAGCCGTTGAAGAGACAGAGCAATGGTTTCGAAGAACGTTGGTGAGATCTGAGTAGTCGATAGTCATCATGCTCATACATGTCTTACACTTCAAGTTCACGGCCATAATCTACGAAGATTGAAAATGAATTGCTCTTACATATATAGTACCATATTGAACTATGCAGAAAAAAGAAAATGTTCAATTTGTCACTTATAGATATATTCCAAAACAAAGCCGTCGCCATAGCACCGTTCCCCTAGAATGCAAGCCAAGGAAATGTAAAGGAAGGCAGATTATTGTTCTGCAGCCAACATTGGGAAGTGAGTGGCGAAAGAATATCAGACAAAGGAAATTCGTGAAGTAGTTGCATCAAAATGGACGTCCCAGGCTGAGAATGCCTAGAGGTAAACCTGACATGATAAATCACTCCTTCCAAAACCAGCCTCTTCGGGAAGCTTTGTCAGAGATCTGGGAGTCACCACTCTCAGACTTCTGCTGGGAGGAATGCTGGGGGTTGAGGACCTCGACGGATTCGTTGCTCTCTTCGCGGCCGTCGGCAAAACGCTTCGTCTTGACGGTCTTCGTCTGGACAGTACCGTCTGGGAGGGTCCGCCGTTCTGTGGAGGTCATGGTAGACACTACAACCGAAGATGGCGAGGCAGTTGAGCCATTAGCAGTCGCTGGGTTGACGGCAGTGGCCTCAGCGGTGTCATTTGTAGTTTCAGGAACGGAGTGCTTGTTTCCACCCGAGATGAGGTCCAGCCAGCTTTCGTTATCTTGTGAGCCGTCGATCTTTGAAATGCGTTGCAGCCTGCGTCTCCTTTCCTCTATCTCATCGCGGTACCGCTGCCTTTCCTCATGAAGAAGACGAAGCAGAGGACTTTGGGAGAACTCTCTGGAGAATTCTCTCTCTCGTGCCTCGATATCCTGGAGGAATCTGTCATACAGATCCAGCTCGCTTACTGGTTCAAATCTTTCAGTGTTCCTTTGAACCTGTTCTTTCGATTCAGGAGACGGCAGGGCTGGCTTGTTATCCTTGTTTTCTTCCTGGGCCTGGCTTCCGTAGAGCATACTCGAGTGACCGTTGCCATTGGCCGTAGGAATATACTTCCAACGATCTCCAAGGCTTCCTCTCTCCACCAATCCACGTAACCAGTTGCTGCCCTTTTCCTTTCTCCTGGACGATTCCGTGTCTCTATCCAGCATAGGCTTGCCATTCTCTAGACGCAGTAAATCCTCGAATGCGTCACGCCAGTGAGGCTCCTTTGGATCTTCTCCCGAGGAAATGTTCAACGACGAAAAGAGCGAAGAGACGATACCCTTGTCACGATTTGCACGAAGTCGAGATTGGCGCTCTAGATGTAAGGGCGAATAAGGACTGAACAGGAGGTATGGGATGGGCCAGGCTCCCGCTTCAGCTTCTTCGAATGTATCCCAGAAAGGGTTGAAAAGGCCGGTGGAGAAAGGGAAGCGATCATCGAACCAGAGTTTGTCGAAGAAGGAATCAAGACTGAAGAAGTCGAACGGCCGGGAGCGATGGGTGTGCCAGCGCCATCTGTCGAAGTCATCATAGTCGGAGCTGCGCGACCATCTGGGCCATTTGGAACTCGACGACGATCTATCGTAGTCTGATTCATAGTGTGTATCCATCGAGGAACCATCTTTGCGACTCGGATCCGTCCCAGCGTTATCGCCCTCTCCGCTCCGTCTTTGTCGTGTATTGTCTTTATACTTGCTATCGTCGGCGAAAATCATCCAGTGGTCTGCTGTTGGCTGCGAGACGGCTGACGGGAGACCCATGACAGATTGGAGAACGGACGATATCTGTTCATCGGCGTAGCGACGAAACGCTACAAAAGGATTCTCCTCCTCATGCCATGACTTCGGCTGGGGTGGCGGGGAGGAGCGCTGCGACTGTTGTTGCTGTTGCTCAGGAGCTTTGCTATCTTCCGGAGAACCGGCCATGCTGCTTTGATGTGATACCCACGATGCGAGCCAGATTGTATTCACAGAGCAAATCACTGTCAACAGAAAGAAAGGGATCCAGAGAGCATCAAGGGAGAGCTCTGATGGAAGCTGTTGGGGACCTTCGCGTGGGCGGCTGTAATCACCACGTGATCGGATACAAACACCGCAAATCTTCTCGTCTTTTCGTTCCGCTTCGTTGCGCCACAATAATTATGGTAATAATATGTCTCCTGGACGGGATAATAATCATTAACTGCGACAAACGCCAGCCCTCATTGATGATATTGATACAAGCATTTCCAGGTTACCATACAACAAATAATATTATTCATTCTCCTCAGCTTCTCCTATTGTCAACATGTTCTGTGTCCTGGAACACTCGAAGCCTCAACATTCAACAAAGTTACGCCTCGATGGATCCACTACTTAGACTAAAGTATGGAATTCAAGGCTCTATTTTAATCTAGCGCCATCTTGAGAGTATGTTTTTAGTAATATAACTACTACTAACTAACTAGTTAGTTAACTAACTACAACCAGCATGGAATTGTCATATTTTCATACGCTTGATCACCCTGAGTCTGGTAACATTTATTCAATCAAAAAGAGTTATATATGATTTCTTATCCACAAGGGAGAAAGCTCCTTGCAGCCTTTGAGACAAGTTCGGATCTGACTCCCTCCTTTTGTTTTCGGTTTGTTTCATCTCCTTTCGTGTCTGACCTCACTACATTCACTTTTATCCCACTGACGCTCTGAAGTCCGCCTATTCTAATGCGGTTCCCTAACCATTCATATCACCTGTATGGCTGTCTGAATAATCCTCCGACAATGGCTCTAGTTATTGCTGCTGTCTGCAGAGGATGCATGGCTCCCCTACATCCCGGATTGATTTTGCATGTGTAGCCATGCCTGCTCGAAACCAGACATGGCAACCCATGGCTGCTCATTATTGAGCGAATCAATAACTGTGCAATATCAAGGTTAGCAGGCACCGCAAGTCTCTTCCGTTGAGCGTCACTGTTCAGAGGCTGCAGCTGTTGGGGATTTCAACTTACGTAGATTGGCCATTTTTAACCACATGCTGTCTACAAGGAAGAAACCCCTGTCTCTCCCGCCTTTCTCAAAGGGTGCACAAATTTTCTGGCCATTAGCAATTGCTCTCAATGTTTTCGCTGTGTGTACATCCTCCTCGGGCCGTTTGATGATGATGTCAAACATAGTTCTCCAGTCTCGCTCATCTTCGTAATTTATAATCGGACTGAGAACCAGTTTCGGTGCGTTATGTGCCGCGTACATGGACATGTCGCAGCGGACTTTCCACTCGAGCAACCGGACCTTGTCCGCCGTCGTCAGACAGGCCAGAGAGTTGATACTCTGGAAGAAAACGGACGCGGTAAGGGCGTGTATAAAGGCAAAATCGAATTTGACCTGTTTTGGCGGATTTTGAGCACCCCCGGTCATGTAAGCTTTGGAGTCAAAAGGTTCGTCAGCGATTTCACGTCATTTCAATATCGATATGGCTCGGCTGCAGGGTAGTCAATTGCCCGAGTGTCACTAACCTACGGCATTTATCATTTGCGCTACAGCCTCATCTAACCGATCTGGACGCACAGAATACTGGCTCGCGTACTTGTTTATCTCATCCGGCGCACGCTTCAGAATCCCGTCCCTCATTTTGCTGATGTCTGTCCATTGCGCCGCACCACGAAGTTTCTCGTCGTCACGGATCCGATCCAAAAGCCCAATAGCGTCTGATGTCTTCTTATCTTCGGGCAAACCATCCGCAGTCCTTTCTGCCCGCAGCAGATATTCACCGACGATCGGCTCCTGTATAGAGCTCTCTGCCAGAGAGGAGGCAACCAAGGCAGGTTGTCCCCATTCGATCCCAAAACCAAAGCGAATCAATGGGTGCATAAACCCTGAAATTGTTATCATGGAATATCCTCGTCTTAAGTTTTGACAATAGCTCACCAGAAAACATCCTGACCAGAAGACCATTGGCGTGCTCATCTCTTGCCAACAGATGTTCACGAATAGTATTTTCTAAACCTTTCGACTCAATCTCGCGTTGGAAAAACTCCAAGAAGTGTGGATAATTCGCATCATCACCAAGAAAGTCTTTGAATTTGTTCTTGTCACTCATGGCTAGGACAACATATTCGTCAACGGGAAGCGCCGGATCATGATTTTTCTTGTTGCTGTTGTAAGTAGTCAGCAGTTCCTCAGACGTTGCCCCAAGAGCATATAATGTCAGGGTCTTTATCGACAGTTGATCTGCCAGTGATCAGCGAGGCATTTCTTCCAGAATGAGTTAATCGTAACGAGAAGCAACGTTACTAGGTACACTGGGTATAACTGGATGCCATATAGCGGTTCCAATTATTTTTACCAGATCAGAGGGAAGAAGAAACCCAACTTACTCCGGGATTTATTGGGCCCAAAGAATATGTGGTGGTTCTCCAAATCGTCTTGTAAGATCTCGGAAACTATTGCAGCCGATTCGGGTTTAACTTCATCAGTGAACGCAGAGGCTTGCGGCGAGCCAATATTCATACGTCGTGCTGTCGCCATGATTGAGATCTGAAATCCTTAAGCATTAGCAGCTTGAGTGTTATAAGAAACAGAAGGAAATTCGTCGAATACGAATAGAAAAGGGCTTCCTGATCTGGTCATTTGGGAGGCAATGAGAGAGGATACGCACGATTGGAGCCTGTGACTTCGACAATGTCAATATATTTGAGCTCAGGAATGTGATTCTGGTAATACTAGCCGGGTTATATACCTTATTCTCTCTCAAACCCTACGTAATAATCCGATGATGGGGGCCGCAGTGGCGAGAGCACCCAATAAGGCTCTCTTCGAACGGACCTAAGTAATGAAACGTTTGATGATGGACAAGTAACTATGCAGTCAGAAAGGTACTGGAAGGCTCCGTGAAGTTGCAGGTGATTGTATGTAAGACAGAGGTGTAAGTAGCGTCTGTGAGGTACGCTCCCAGGAGAGACAGACCCCTAGGCTGGGTGTACATTTAACTTCGCCGCCGATTTGCCTCACGTCACGGACAATGACATCGTGGTTACATGCCTAGGTAGGGGAAGTGCCACTCTATTAATATGTGAAGCTTCTTCATATGTCCAATTCAAAGGAAAGGGAATGGTGCAAGATTCCGAGTATCAGTTCTCAGCGGTCGATTCACACGGGCATATAATCATCCTGCTGTATGACATTTCAAGCACAGTAACCAGAACATAAGCTTCTAGTCCGTCATATAGGACAATGTATATCTGTTCCTAATCCCACTATCAAATGTTCCCTACTATCTCGGTAGCTCACCATGAGTGACCACATTTCAATTGATTATACATCGAAATGCATATAAATGCCCATATCTGACAAGATCAAATAAAAGAATTGTAGCTCTGATAGTATATAATTACTCTCTTCCATAGATTCAGGTCAGATTTTCTGCAGTCAGGTCGCCACAGCATACTGCGTAGAGGATTGGGGTGGAGCTGCCGAGAAGGCACTCCACTGACCAACAGGGGATTATCTCGGAGGCACGCGACTGAAGGAGATGAGGATGCTTTGATTCTCTAGGATTGAGCTCTGAAGCTCTGAGCTATCTAAACTGACAATGCGACTAGCTAAGCCTAAAACGGAAGGAGGCAGGCGATAAGGTATCCGCCTGGTCTGGCATGGCCCTACAGGCCCGAAAGATTATGACCGAAAATAGGTTCTCTTAGCGAGTTTTTATGTTAATACACTAGAAATTCTGATAGGATAAACCGTACAGAAAATCTACTACTGATACTTCCTGGAAGATGCCTAGAAGAACACATGAGATGAGATGCCACACCCCTTCTAGATCTATTTGTAACAAGATAATATTTATTACAAAATGGTACCACCATCGTCTATCTGCCATGTATTACGAGAATATCGACCAGCCTTCAGATCTGCTTGCCTATCAAGGCTAATTCAGGCACTCTTCAGGCCTGTTTTCTGTGCCCGGCCTTCAGTCCATCCCCTGGACTCCCACAGTTTAACGTTCTCCTCCATCTTCTTATAAGCCCAGCTAAATTTCGGGTCTGGGAGATTCTGTAGTTAGCTCTTGCGCATCCTGGAAGTGAATAAGCAATAATAAGATGTCACATACACAAGTATTGCCGGAGGTCGTGTCGGTGGTCTTCAGGCGAATACTGCTCCGCATGGTAGCTTGGCGTGAGAATCGTCATCTTGTGTCTGTTGATAGAATAGTGATGGAAAAAGTGCCTGGTCTTCTCGTAGATCTCTCTGGGACTATATTCGTTGCCCCACAGGTGAAGCAACTTCTCGTACATCGACCAAGGTCCGAGTTTCGCTACCTTTCGCAAACGCCCGAATACAGATAGCTCCGAATACGTAACTCCCATATCTGCCTCGTCAGACTGTACGTATGTGGAGGTAATCGGTTCTAATTCCGCAGTTGGCGTCGCATTGAGGAAGTCCTTTAGGATTGGCAGATCGAAGGAATCAACGGCCCATGCAATAAATTTCTTAAGGTCCACCTTAGAGATAGAGCCAATCTTGGATGATAGTTAGTACTAGCGTGGGGACGAGAATTTCTATTCTGATGCTTACAGGATTCAACTGTAAAACTTGTCAGCAAACGTTGTCAATAACATAGTGGTTAGAGATACTTACATCAGCGCTGCTGCAATCGTACTTGGTGAGGTACCCACGAAGACTGCATAGTTATTAGTAATGAATCAAGGAGCCAAGTAGTTAGCTTATAGAAAAAACCAGTACCTTTCATCCACGTTGGCAGACCCGAGAACTAGAAGACCACCGCCTCCTTGACGTTGACGGACTGTCGGGAGCAACTGTGCGAACATATAGGAGAGGACCATTCTGAGACGTGCTTGCACGTTCTGAAGACTGGCATTTTCATCAGTGCTGCCCCCATGGACCTTGAATCGAGGTGCGAAGTTCGTCACAAAGGTAAAGAGATCGGTGACAGCCTACATTTGTGTCAGCAAGGAAAAGGAACTGGCCGGAAAACACTTTCTAGCGTCACACCTTCACAAGCGTGTCCATGTTTAGATCCACATGATATGCCCCTATATCCTTTGCAAGGTTCTTCGCTCGGTCTCTGGTTTGCTTACTCGAGTTCTCGGTGCCCATATAGCAAGTGTGGAAAATACGGCTAAGATGCGTCAGTGGAATCAGGACATAGTGCAAGAGACTATCCATAATACTAACTTGCAGACTTCCTGTGGCGTTTTAGGAAGCCACTGGGAGCCTTCCGGCTCCCCACACACCCGGCGAACATCTGCTATAACTTCTTGATTCCCTTGCTCGATACCTTTAATCACTTCTCGACACATCGAATATACTATGACAGCGGTAGCACAACTGTCTATGCCTCCGCTGAGAGGAACAAAGTATCCTGCGGAGCCACATCTTCGAAGATAATCCCATAACCAGCACGCAGGTCCCAATGCGATTTCTTCCTCGGGAGCATGGTAATTCGGCTTGAAGGGGTCTGATGGGCAAAGGCTAGGCTCAGAATCACATTCGCGGCGGGAGAGACTGAAGTCTACTTCCAAACGGGTATAAGGTGCCTGCTTGCTGGCCTGGTTGGCCTGAAGTCCACGGCTCGGTGCACATCGGTAACTCCGGACTTCTTCGATATCAACCGTGGCGGTGACCACTTCGACATCATTAAGTGAGAACTGAGAGCCTTGAGCGACAAGATCACCGTTGATAATAATCATGCAGCAGCCATCATAATATAATCGATCGCCGTCGCAACCCTGCTGATTGGCATATAAATAGATACCACCGCTCTGATGACAGTCAACTAACTGAGTATCTGTTCGCTACAGATCTATGTACGCACCAGCCGCGTTGCTTGAGTTATCAAGTTAACCCGTGTGTCAAGCTTTCGGAGTTCGTGATGACTCCCAGAAGAGTTGGAGATGATCTCGACACCTTATACCTGTTAAGACGCTATCTGTATAGTAATAGAGAATTTATACTTACCAGCCAGGCCGTACGGAATGTGCGGACTGATGACCATTAGCAGGGTAGGAAAATGTGACATGAGAAGCATTGACTTACCCATCTGGAGTAAAAAGTTCCTCACAGGTCTCCAAACCTACCATGGTTCATCAGCACAGATAATTCCCGACAGAGGGAATTTCCACATACCAAGACATGTGTCCCTAGTACTAATTACAGCATCTCCGAATGGGACAGTATACTGTCCTGTAATTTCTCCAACGATGCGCTCTAAGTAGTACTTTTCGATCTCTCGAGGGCGCTGCCACGGGGTGAAGTACCGCATTTCTCGGTAATTGCCATCTATGTAACTCAGAAATCAGCGACACAGCTTCCTTTAAATGCAGAGGGGTCCAGGAAGGCATGTTTACCATTAGCCAACCACATTTTAGGCCGAATCAAAAGGATCTTCTTATTGTAGAAAATGACTCTACAGTTGTAACGGACATTCCGGTGACGGACCGGCATGCCGACATCAACCAACATGTCCTGGCAGACTGGATCTTGAATGATGCGGGCGAGCATCTCCCACGAGTGTAGGAACGTGTCCCCCTCAAGGAAGTGATCAAGACAGCCATAACCGGTGATCTCTAACTCTGGACCAACGCGTAAAGTAGCACCAGCTTCTTTCGCTCTGCGGATACTTTCAATAATACGGGCAGTATTTCCCTCAAAATCTAGAGCCCATTGATTCAAGGAGCTGTATATGAGATCAGTGACTGAAGTAAGTACAGTGGAAGTTGCCCAAACGAGCTAAGAACTTAATGACCCGTACCAAGTTGCGAGGGTAACGAGATGACCCATCTTGGAGTATATCTAGACGCTAAATCCAGTAAGGTGAAGCTTTGGCCTATCGATAATCGGTCTAGATACGCCGCGTACTAATGGTTTACCCCGCTTGGCAGCCACCAGAGTCCAACGGGGCGGAAAACTGGACGGTTTGATCTAGAAAAGGCGGACCAATTGAGGAATATCTTCTTAGAATAGATGGGATCAGCCAGGAATACCAACTGTGAACAGATAGAAAAGTTCTGTGAGGCTCAAGAGGCGTCAACTCGTCCAGCAAGATGTCTCCTGCGTCCGCATAGTCAGCATGACGTCGATCACGTGTGCGGGGAAGCAAACACCGCATACGGGGCCGTTAGTAGCGCTCGGCGTATGAAGATTACATATCCAACCAACCGTTGCTCGGAGTACGCGGGCTGATTAATTCCCAATGGGCAAAACCCCTCTTTACTTGGGTTTTCTCCCTCGGATATATTCTTCCTGCGCGTCCTATAATTATAGAAAGAGTTGCAGGCTTTTCTTTTGTTCATTTTCTTCTAGACCAGATCTCTCCACTCTCACTATGACAGGTCCGCAGATTCCCGATCCCCCACATGTCCAGGCGGATTCAATGCTCGCACGCAGGTTTGGAAAGGAGACGGTGAACTACTTCTCTAGTAAGGCTCCTCTATATATGAGTTGACTCGAGGGAGATCTATGAGTAACTTTGAGTCTGACCTGTGCAGGTTCACCGTTGAATCGTCTCTCTTTTCTCCGTACCGAACATCCCTTCCTTTCCGCTGCCATCAAGCACCCTGGCACGCGCTTCCTGCTCCTCAAGGACCTTGCACCTCTGGCAAGATCACCTTCTGAGCTGTATTTTGCGCACTATGACGAAGTCAAGAGCATCGTCCGTCCGGACATCTACGACAAGTCTGAAGAAGAGATGCTCAAGGAGTATGACTCGCGCAAAACCGACCCACAACTGATCTTCCTCGGTGTGGACGAGGAGCGCAAGAACAATGCTATGAGCTGGAAGATCTACAGTGGTGTTCCATATTTCGCTTTGGATCTCAGTGCTAGAGGATCAGAGGAGCAGCAGGCGCACGCCAAATCGATCGTTGAAGCTCTGGAGGCCAAAGGAACCAAGTTCCTGCAATCGCGCATGATCATGACCCTGCCTGCGGATGAAGGTGCGTTCTATATACGCTTGCGTGTCATGTATCTGGTCACAACTGATCACTAATTTTCTTTTCTGCAATAGCCGCGATCTTTGCCCAGGCTCGCGCCCTCATGGACTGGAACATGCGCAACACCTTCTGTGGTACCTGCGGTCATACTACGTTGTCTGCGAATGCGGGCGCCAAGCGGGTTTGTCCGCCCACGGATGCTGCGCGCGCAGCAAAAGGGAAGCCTATCGAACGACCGCCATGCAATACACGGACGACAATTTCCAATCTCTCTTTCCCCCGTACTGACCCTACTATCATCGCCGCCGTACTCTCAGCCGATGGAAAGCGGATTCTCCTGGGCCGCTCGAAACGCTTTCCACCAAACTGGTACTCGACTCTGGCAGGGTTCGTCGAACCAGCTGAATCTGTCGAGGATGCCGTCCGACGTGAAGTCTGGGAAGAAGCAGGAGTTACGCTATCGCGTGTTGTGATCCATTCGTCTCAACCCTGGCCATACCCCGCGAACCTGATGATAGGAGCCATTGCGCAGGTCAGTGACCCGGCCCACGAGACGATTAGCCTCGCACATGACCCTGAGCTGGAAGATGCTCGATGGTTCGAAATTCCTGAGGTCGAAGAAGCCCTTAGAACAGGCACCAGCGCCTTGGGTGACCCTCCGGGTCCGGAATACAAAGAGGGCAGCCTCAGAATTCCTCCCCCTACGGCCATCGCAAACCAGCTCATTCAAGCTGCAATTAATTCGGAATATGTATCGGGAGAGAAGACATCGAAGATGTAGAGGATGTTTTCTTTCTTGACCTGAAACATGGCAGTATATAGGCGCATGCTTGTTCCCAACTGATTGAGGACTTAGGCTGTGGCCATATAAAATAGTTCACGTTATATGTAGGAGTTGTGTGGGGAGTCCGGGGAGTCCGGGGGCCGAGGTGACTGACAGGTCTGATGGCGTTCTGAAGGAGAGTTCATGCATAAGATTGCACCGATATATAGATATGTCCTCGTTATAGACTAGGCTATAAATCACGACAGTCGATGACAGACATTGATTTCTGTCTTACTATTATATATACACAAAATGCCAGACCCAGGCAAGACAGTAACCACCCGCTCCAGTTTCATGACGTAGACACTCGAAACACAATGCGTACAGATACAAACGATGTGCTTGACGCACATCTCTAAATCATCGAAATCAGGAAACAGACCATGCTATGCATGGGCAGCCAGGCAGCCTATATGGACTGAAAATAATGGGGAACTGCCCTTCATATGCAGTCTAGGTACTGGCGGCAGTTCGACGCGCGTTTTCATCCCTTCACAGCGATTGATTCTGGATAAATCCACGCATGAAATAATTCCCGCGTACGATGGCAGATGTTAGCTGCAGACCCGCAAATGATAGTACCTTTCTAGACCTGGACAGGCTGAGCGATACTCAATGGCCGGTTCTATATTGGGAAAGGACTAGGATCAGGACCAGCTACCCCTACCCAGCTTGAGAAGGTGGATATGAATCATCGGTTTCCTGCTTCATCCTCTTCGGGTCTCGTTCAACTTGGGAAGCTGAAGCGCTAGCCTTTCGCTTTTCCTTTTCTTTCTGATATTCCGCACGGCGAGCTTCTTTGTCCTTGCCCTTGCGAAGCGCTTTAGATTCGAATTCGTGCCAGTCGCCTTCGATCTTTTCCAGCCTGTGAGACAATTGTTAGCATCTATAGGGCCACGGTCCACGATCGCTACTTACTCAATAGCCTGTTGGGGACCCGGCTCCTCAGACGTAAAGTAAGGATGCGCTAACACCTCTTGAGCCGTGGGCCTCTTTGCAGGGTCATATTGAAACATTTTCGCGACAAGATCTAAGACGGCAGGGCTCAGGGCTTCGCGATACAAGTCCTCGAAAACCCTGGGTTTCCGTTCTGTGGGCCGCATCAATTCAAACCAAGGCATCTCCACGATGTCAGGCCAATCTGCTCGGGTGGGTGTGCCTAAACAATTATACAACTTGTCCAACTGGCTGATCTCGCCCCCTTCACCGGGAAACACGGCCTTCCGCGTGAACATCTCCATATAGACGCAAGCTGCACTCCAAACATCAACGGCCGGACCATATCTTGTCTCACCGAGAAGAAGTTCTGGCGGCCGATACCAGATGGTGATCACCCGATTTGTATAATCCAACTGGCGGCTCTTGGAAAAAAAGCGAGCCAAGCCGAAATCAGCGAACTTCAATAGTCCCGTGTTACTGATGAGGATATTAGCCGCCTTGATGTCACGGTGGAGAACTCCACGATGGTGAAGATAGTTGAGCCCTTCGAACATCTGCTTCGCAAGGTCCTTCTTGTGAGCTGCCGTGAGTGTAAAGCTGGGATGGTTAATGAGACCAGTCAGGTCATGTGAGAGATATTCGAAGACCATGAAGCATTCATTTTTCTCAACCATGACTTCAAGCAAGCTGACGACGTTGTGGTTGCGAAGATGCTGGAGGAGTCGGATTTCCCGAACGGCAGTCACGGGGAAACCGTCTTTCTCTCCCTCCATACGGATCTTCTTCAGAGCAACTTTGCTCTTGGTGTAGATGTGTATTGCCTTGAATACCTTTCCGTACGTCCCCGCACCAATAACCGACTCATTACCTGGCTTTCGGTTGTATACAGATTCAGAATTAGAGAATTCTTCTGGGAGACTCGGTCGGGCTTTCTGCCGCAGCGCTATCTTCTTTTGCTTCTTCGGCTTCTCGGGGCTGCGTTCACGGCGGCGATCGAATCGGAAGTCCATCCGTCGATCGTCACGTCTCCTATCGTCACGATAATCATGACGCCTGTCGTCTCTCCGCATATCTCGAATGTCCCGTTTGTCTCTCGACTCTCGGAAATCTCGAGGATCGCGACGATCATCTCGATCACGCCCCCTGTCCCTATCGCGGTCTCGATCGCGATCTCGCTCACGATCACGCCGATCAAACCGTGGATCATGCTTGAATTTGGGAGACGGTCCCGGAGGTGGCCTGTTTCGAGGCGGCTCAGCGGCTCGTTGGGGTGGATTTCGCGGTTGCATTCTTTGTGCTAGATCTGGAACAGGTTTTGGCATGGGCGCAGTATTGGCCTTGGATTTGAAGGCGAAGCTGAATTTTCCGCCTTCCTTCGCCGGGGTAGAGGATGCGTTGCTCTGTCGGTTTGGTGGCAGCATTTTCTTCGTGTCTCCATTCTCTGAACTTTGTTTAGAACCCTGGTCTTCAACCTGGAGATCCTTGGAGGGTCGGAAAGGATTATCTCCTTCATCCGCATCTGGAGACATTCTGTCACTTGAGGGGGGTTGTAATGAGCCGGTTGGAGAAGACTGTGCGTGCGTTGAGTGCGGGCTGTGTTGACCACCTCGACCCCTCGACCCTGACGCAGTCCACTGAAGATTGCTAAAATGACCCCGACCGCGCTGAGACGACATATGTCCATAATTTTGAGGGCCACTTCCAGAGAATCGTCGATCTGGGCCTTGATTTTGGTAATTACCACGATAGCCGGAATGGCCCCCGCGATACGGTGGCCCGGAGAAACCCTGCTGCATGTGACCCGGTGGCCCATTGTACTGCCCCTGATGATTTTGATAATACTGTCCCTGTGGACCACCCTGCGAGTAGTTATTTTGCCGATAGGGAGGAGAATGACCGTGAATTTGCCTGCAAAATTTAGTACATATTCAAGAGAATATAATACCAGAAGGGTTGCTTACCCATGTTGCCCATGGAATGGAGGCTGGCCGCTCCATCCACCCCGTCCATTAGAGTAGGGCGAACCAGAAGGAGACCCGTGGTATGAGCTAGTCGGGGTCACGTACTGAGGAGAGTTTGAATATTGTCCATGAGATCTTGAAGAGCGTCCGCGTTGATTGCCATGGACATCTGACGCTCGCATCCCATGCATTGGGAATGCTTCTCGTATACGGCTCTCACCGTCGAGCGGACCACCAGCATTGTCAGCATCGAAGCTGGGGATAGGCCGCAAAGGTGAAGGTGATCTTTTAGAGTCGTCAACGACGGATTGAATGGGCCGAGTCGAATTCATGATTCGGTCACGGCGGATTCCACGGTCGGGAGACGCAGACTCTCGTAAGCGTATGGAACGGAAAGATTGGCGTGAAGCTGAACGACGACGACCCCTTGAGCTCTCGTCTCTTCTGTGCGAGCTGCGACCTGGTCGAGGGGACCGCTGCCTCCTGTGATCTCGCCCAGCGGGAGACCTGGACCGCCGAGAGCGTGGGCGATCCTGCGAGTCAGCGTCAAAAGGGTCACGCCGGGCAATAGATGACCGGTGTCCCTTTTCTCTATCTCGAACTGGCGACTGCCCAGGTGATCTGCTTCGGTCAGGCAGATGCCTCCTACTTCTCGGTTGACGGCTTCGATCGCGGCTATGCCCAGGCTTGGGGGAGTGACGGGAATGGTGATGGCGGTGATGGTGATGGCGATGGGCACGAGGCGAAGGGCTTCTGCTTCGCTTACGCTTCGAAGGAGGAGGGGAGCTCGGAGAGTCGTCCCTTCGTGAGGGTCTCCGGGGTGCTTTCTCTTCTAGCGGCCGTGACCGTCTGGCTTCCCTAGAATCTGGCGCCGGAGAACGTCTCGACGTAGGGGAGAGGTGACGTGAACCTGGTTGGCGTTCTTCTCTTGACACAGAATCGCGAGACGCCGGCGGTCTACGGTGAGCGACGGTATCGGGAGAAGGGTCACGGCGCCTTCGAGGCGGGTCGCGGTCAGAAAGGGCACCACGACGAGATGGTGGCGGTGACCGTGTTCGTCGCTCTGACCGGTTCTCCCAGGGACGGCGATGTGGTTTGGGGTCACTGTGTCTGTCCCTTCCTCTTTCGCGAGCCGTATCTCGATCACAGTCTCTTTCTCGATCTTCGGGGTCTTTGGCGGCTCTCCACTGATCTCTCAACAGCGGACTCCTTCGGGACCCAGCCATGTAATCTCCTCTAACTGCATCTGGCGAGCATGTGTCGTAGAAGGGCGAGGCAGAGGATGGAGGGATGTCCAGCAGAAGCCTCAAATGTCAAGTTGGAGCGTGCAGAATGACTTGAGGGCGAGTTTTGGTGGAGCCTCCTCTGTCTCTGGTCGGCGTGTCTGGCGTTCGCTGCTTTCTGTCGGCGGGCTAGCGTAGGCTGTGCGGAGGGCTGGTTTTTCCGGGGTGCACTGTGAGTACTAAGTAGAGCGTCAAGATAGTAACCAGCGAGTACAATGCGGAAGGCTCGGGGTGATACGCACCTCTTCCGGTCCCGTCTAGGCATACGAGCTCACCCATCAAGGAGAGCGAAGAAAAGAATAGATCTACTGGGGTCGAATGGGGGGGTTCTTCATGTCGCTCCGGTGCCGTGCGTTGCGCCCGAAGTATGGTAGGCATGCCTCTCGCGTGCAGGGCCAACCAACCACGCCTTTTTGAGTTGCTTTTTCCTTGCGAGCAAGACGCATGTCCTCTTCTGCTGAGAGGAAAGGCTCTACGAATCTCGTTCGAATGAATGAATAGCAGGCAGGGCTAGAGGCCCCGCTGTGACGCTCACAAGTCCTCCGCGCCGGCTATACCCCGATAGTTCATGCCTCCACGAAGATCGGATCTCCATGTGCATTTGTTTCTGCCCATTTTGTCGTGCTCAAAGCTCACGACGTCCTTTCCAGACCTTCTGTTGCTTCGAGAACCCCAGATTGACCGGTGTCTGGGGTCGCCTTAGATCGGCGTTCCGGTCGTTAACAGGAGTTCATGCTTCCATGTAAGCCAGCTCTTTCCCACATGCTTTCTGTATGCTCGGATGCCCGTGGCGTATCTTTCATCGAGAACACTCGCCTTCACCCGGCGCATGAAGCTATCTACGGAACGCGACAAAAGAAAAAAGCGAGATCAGAACAGGAAGGAGAGAAGGGCCTAACCATGGTGTGTCGCTTGACAGCTTCGCTTGAAGGGAACTGCATCCACCATTTCAACAAGTTCTGCCGCAGGCCTCGGTATGCCCATGCCATCCATAGATGGACGCCAGACCGATAAAAGGGCTCTGCTGCTCAAGGCGAATTGAATCATTGCCGACGGAAATGGCTGCGCAGCTGTTCGACAACTCGTAATATGGAGGACTGCGAGACTATCTATCCCTGAAGTGGGATCTCAACGATAGTTAGGGGCAACTAGTCCGACTGTGGGACCATGGAAGGGTCCCGAGGTTGAGACGAGGTCATTAGGATCATAAAATCCTAGTTCACTCCCATAGCGAGCATAAACATGAGAGCGAAACGGCCAGAGGCTGCTGGACCGTTTGGACATCGCGAATGGAGCTGGAGATGATGCCCCAATTCCGAGTTGGTCGTGCTCCATGCCAGCTGCGAAATCATTGTACTGAAAATTTATCCCAGTGTATATCTTCTGAAATCCACTGTCACACATAGAGTAGGTTCATATGGCGAGCAGACAACGCTAAGATGCTCCCAACTACCCCGACTGCTGCCAGCGGTCCGAACCATGACGGACAGCTACATACCCAGACACTGTACAAATCATCATCGCATTTGGGACCAGTAATAGCCCCTTAATATGCAGTTAGTAGCCCTTGATCCGGAACCCAATACCCACAAAGCTACCGTCTCCAACTGCGGTTGCGAGGAGCAGAGAGACGCCAGTGACCGGCTTACCGGGGGAAACCGTTGGCTTCGTCACGACCTTGAAATCGCAGCGTGCATTCGTATAGCCTCATACTAGATACGAGAGCTGAAATGTTTCTGATGCGAGATAGTTCCCTAGGGAGTTGTTTGAAGAGGGCAGACGTGAACCGCAAGAGGGAGACGTGTTGTGAGGTCTGAGGGTCAGGTTGAGTTGAGGTTTCGAGGTCGGCCTAAGCTTGGTGGTTGCGCCCGTAGACGCCGCTTGAGGCGCTCACCGCCGGCCTTATCGCGCACGTGATGGCATTATCGCCCGGTACGCATCGCCTTGGTGAAGACACAGCTACTTCAGAGAAGCCCATCATTGTTGCAGGCAATTCTACAGTAATTCCCAATCATGTGAATATTAAATTGTGAAATTCAAGTCTATTTGTACATTTTCTCCTATGATTTTCAAGTTCTGGTTGCTTCATCAAAATGCTGGCACAACAAACTAAACTCCCCATAGAGTTAATCCCCAATTGATCCCTAGTTTATCGGGACTGATCTATGCTGGAGTTATTCTCAAAAGATTCGCTCGGCCCTGTGTTTCTGCATTCTGCTGCTGCCTTTGCTCTTTTGCAGCCTGGGCCATTATCGGGTTCACATATCCCCAGAGGAACATATCCATGTATCTATCATGCATGCTGAGCCTCCGTCTGATCCCTTCCTTCAAGATAAGCTCGTCTACCCTCTGCAGCCGAATTTTGCTTCCTGTCTTCCCATAGCCCTCAAATTGGAGCGCGCCGATCTCCTGGGGTGGCACTCCAAACATGGTCTTGTCTGCTTCGTGTGGCAATGGTCGGTATTTCCAGCGAACGTAAGCTTTGAGAGTCTCAAAATGGGTCTGCAGTGCAGTGCGTCTCAGCAGTTTCCACAACAACGAGAAGCTGGGCTGTGCGAGAACCAAGCGCCTCATTCCGTCACGGCCGCCCCCAGAGAGCGGATCTGTGAAACGCATGTCAAGTTTCACGAAGAACAACGAGGCGAAGAACAAGTCAGCGTTCGACCAGAGGTTCGAGTTCTGAATGATACCGATACGACGAGCATTATCCGGAATATCCATCAGGAACCAGAGTTTCTTGATCGCCGGTATGCAATCCCTGGGCATACCGACTCCATCTCTCTGCATCAGCCTCATTATATCCATCACGACACTCTCGCGCCAGAAGATCATCAGTAGCCATCGCAAGGAAGGCACCTTACGACTCACGCCTAAACCTGCACGTGCCAGGTCTGGATGAGGGTTCCGTGCTGGGTCCTCGATGCACAAGTTCTGGTAGCAGCGGAAAGGAAAGATGTTAGCGGATTCTGGCGCTTTCGTGGTCGCCTGTGTCAGGACCATGGTAGTGAATCGCGTATCCATCAGGTTATGGAAGTCCCTGGAGATAGCATAGAGACTTATCAGCTCTTTCACACGAAGATGCTTGGCAAGGGTAAACGCCAGTTCAGGGTGCCTCATAATGGCGTTGAAGATATTGAAATCACTGTTGACCGTTCTGGCGTCTGATTCATGGCCCGTTTTCAGTTGAGGCGTGGGTCTAGGCCTGATAACTAGTGATGTTTGTCGTTCAGGTTGAGGTGTCATGATCAAGCTGTTCGCCCCTGACGACCCAGACACCTGAAGGCCGTTTGACACTCGGTGCGTACCTCGTCGAATACGTCCCAGTCCTCCATGTGGCCTCGATCGCAGGGTTTGTCGTGATCGAAGACTAGGACCTCCTCCACGAGCAACACTACCCCCGCCCTGCCTCTGGAGTTGAGACCTCAGAGCGGCCTGGAGGGTCCCAGCTGGCTGTGCAGTAACTGCAGGTGCCTGAGGAACGGCCCCATTGAATTGTGCAGGTGGAATGTGCGGTATGACGATGCCATCATTAGTGATCTGCACTATCGGCGGCGGCGGCGCTCGATTTCGTCGCCAGCCCGCCTGTTGCTGATTGTTGCGTAGTTCATCCATCATGACGATCTTGTCTGGTGCAATCCCAGCGAGGCGTTGCTGATGGATAAGGTAAGCTTGCAAAGCCGTTTGGTTCATGGCTGCTGGAGCAACTGGAGCAACCGGAGCCTGAGAGGTAGTGGAAGCTCTTGCACGAGTATCCAAAGTACGATATGCTTGGGCGGTTCCAGGTGAAAGAATACCCTTGTTTACATCTCTCGTGGAGGCCAGATTCGCGTTTGTCCGTTGCTCGGTTTCACGAACACTTTCCCCATGACCACCCATCGAAAGAAGGCTTAGAGCCTCAGCAGCTTCTATCTCCAACGCGGTTTTTCCCTCCATCATGTTACTATTGTCCAACTGCTTTTCTGACATGCTGTAGACTCCTCCGTCAGTACAACAAAGCAAAGTATAAGCTTTATATGGACATGAACCAACATCCTGAGATAACAATACAAGGGAACTCACATTCACTCGGATTTCACGTGCTCCAGAAGTGGTGAAAGAACGTAGCTCTTCAACTTAAAATTTTGTTGTATGTGAGTCAGTAGCAGGCTACTCGCAAGATGGATGCTGTGGAAATATCAACGATTCCACAGGAGACAGAGATAATAGTGATGTCGCATAAAAGTCCAGCAGGCCTTTCTATTGACTGAATCCAATAGCCCTCGTCTTTGAAAGTAAGAAGGAATGCACTATCACGATGGTCCTGGTCGTCCAGTATCTCAAGATGCAGAAACAGCAGCAAAGAGGGCAAGACTGTCAAGAATCCACAGCACATAAGACATCTGTTTGTTTCTGTGGACTCTTTGCTTTCAGTGAAGCGGATTTTGCAGGTATCACGATGTTTATTCACTGCCAGGCAACAGACATGACAATAGTAACTAAGGGACCCGCCGCCTATCTGCGATTCCTTTCTCAGTACTACTAGGATGATGTGAATTTCCGGCTTATGGAGTAACACTAGACGCGGCATGCTGATGTGTTGATCAAGGAGAGTTACTGTGGGAAGGCAGACCGGCAAGTCCCTATAATAGTATCAATAGGTAGTGGAATCAGGGCATGCACCTGGAGATCGAGTCTGCCTGGACATGGACATAGTCACCATAAACCCCCTTTCCAACAGGTTATTAAAGAGAGGCTAGAAATTTTAGTTGATGTAGTAAGTGATGGAAACTACAGAGACAATATATTTCTATGCCACTTCCTGCATATACCTCGGAGGAGACTCTTTCCTTGAGTCTTGTAAACCGGGAACGAATCTATGGTTGAACGTCCAGGAAATAAAATGAATTTAAGAATAGACCATTATTGGCTCAATTAAGTTTGGGGAAAAGAAGGACCTTCATGTGTCTGTAGCTTAAGCATAATGCATATCATATAGTGCTCGTCACTATTGTAATATGACCGGCTGATCCCCCACCCCGTCTATAATGCTCGAATCAGCCTCTTTATTGCACTGCACAGTAAGTACCAGAAATTACGAGAAGAAGCGGCGCGTGTCTTTCTCGGTGTGTCTTTACTCTGTTGGAGACTTCCCTGTTTCTCGTCTCGTACACCCAGTAAAGCCAATACCAACGAAAACTCAACTGCCATAGTCACAACAGCTAAACCAGAATAATCTGATATCTCATAACGCCGACAATGATCCCTGCATGACATATCTTATTATATAGCCATTAGTCTATAGCCAAACCGAAAGACGCCCGAAGATAGCTCAAAAGACAATCCATGCACGTACCTTTTACCACTTTTCTTTATTCAACCTGACCAACATCAAGCATGGATTCGGCACATGGTTGGCTTAACATGTATAACAGAATCTGACGAGTACTTTACTCAAATTCTTTGTCTTGGTTATGTCACACAATGCGTCCTTTGCTAATCGTGGTGGTTGGATGTACGGGTGGCATGGATCTCGGTGGTATTTATAGACTCTGTTCCTCGAGAGAGAAGAAAAGTATCTCTCACCTCTTAAGTGTATAATCTTCTGAGATTGTGCAGATATATCATAGCTGACATTATATTGAACTTGAAAACACGCAAGTATGCGTGTAAACGCTGTTGTCTTCGCGGCTCTAGCTGCTGGGCTTGTTGCCGGTTATGCCCATCCGGCAATGCTCCAACGTACGTTCGCAATTAGAATATCGATATACCTGGCTCTTCTGACACAATCCTCTACTCCTGCTAGATCAAAAGCGTGGCAGCGAGGTCTCTTCTTCGTGGTCTATCACTCAGTCAGTTCCCTCAAGCCCGGCGGTAGACAGGGTGACGACTCGTGCCCCTCAATCTTTTTCTACTGGTGGTAAGCAAGTCACGAACCTAGACATGATAGCAACAATATCACGATATTATTTTTGTCGAGCAATATGAAATTTCGAAAGGGTTGCGCTGACATCTTAGTTTCTACAGTTCGAAGTCTCGAAATTATCCCAACAATTCCAGTCCCTACTCCATCTCCCCAAAGCTCGAATGTCCACCCAGACAAGGAAAGTGCTCAAGCAGAGGCAGAAAACTTTTCAGAACTATCGCCCCTGCCAACATTGACCTCTCCCCTGGGGAAGAGGAGCGGTGATGATAAGCCACACCTGATAGTACCACCAGGTGCAACCATATACACGATCTTCCCACCTACTGCAATGCCAAAGGATAAGCGAAATGAAAACGGAGAATATATCGTTCCTCTACCAACATTGACTGTTCCCCTGCCCCTGGAGAAGAGGAGCGGTGACGATGAGCCACATCTGATAATACCACCAGGTGCAACTATGTACACGAGCTTGCCACCTATTATAACGCAAACATGCGTCACCACCTACAGCATCTTGCCCACTCCGCTGCCAGAGCACAAGCGAAGTGGAAATGGAGAACACATATTGCCTTTGCCAACATTGACTATTTCCCAGGAGGAGAGGAACGATAACGATGGGCCAGGTCCAAGATGTGTACTGGTCCTGCCAACCGTTGCACTGGCAGAAGAGAAGACAAAACAAGATCAGGCAGGAATTAGCCCAACTGCGCCCCCGTGTCCCAATCCATGGATTCCAAGCTGTAATGCCACGCCGCCAGAAGGCAAGAAAAACAACCGGGAAGGAGAGAGAGAACTGGAGAAGACCGTTCTGTCACCAGGTCTGACCTCGCTCATACCGAAAGATCCATTGCCGAGACCAACTCCGCGTCCTTCTCTAGGTTTTGGTGACCCACAGAAGAGAAGTGATCAGAAAAGGCAGCCAGAGCTGCCTGCCAAATTTCTGACTCTCACTGTTGGGATCGGAGGAAATGTGCCTTGAAATTACTGTCGAGTTGTCGAGTGTCTTTCCTTTTCGGGAATCGGATATAGCAAATGGTTGATATGGTGAGATTCCAGTTCTGGTTTCGAACTTTCTTTCTGAGGCAAGGCCTCGCGTCCTCCATACAGAGAGAAGAAATGCGTTCCTTTCACTTGAGAATTAGTTACTTCACTTAAGCAGTGAACTTACTAAGTTTAGTCCGCAAATCTGCATTTTGGCTGAAACTCGAGCTGTGGCATACTTCCTGCCACTACGCTTATTTCATATCTCAATGTTGGGACGAAGAGCGTGTCAAAGATATATGATAATCTCTATTCTATACGTAAAGTACAATGCAGAGTTATTATAGAACGCGAGTCCCGGAAGGCAGATGCCAATATCAGCATAATCTAGGAATTTCCAACCGAATCTAGATTATAAATGTTGAAGAGCACCATCCGGCCGGCGTAGACCTTTTTTTTGTCTTCCAGCACCATCAACCGCGATTTTCTTAATACAAACCGGAATAACAGCAGTATTCATGATGACATGCCTATCCGTTTAAGTTGCCAACAACGCCAAGAATAAAAGTTTCCATAAATACATCATCAAAGGTGTTGAGATCCTTTCGTCAGACCATGGAGAATCAAGAAAATGAATAGAAGCCAATGTGAGATGATAATCAGACCGAGATAAGTTTGAATACCAGCGAAATGAATGGTAATTAGTTGCCTGCCGAGGTTGAATGAACCATAACCCGGCATACCTGTTGAAAGGCCGCCACCATAACTCCGCTAAATAGTGAGATCGACAGAACGTAACTTGATATACAGTTCGATGTTAAATTTCGTGAGAACGCGGAAAATCTGCCGAGTTCATTTGCGATTCAAGAGGGTCAAGAATTCCTCTCGAGTTTTCGCACTGGACCGCATGCATCCGAGCATACAACTCGTGGTGGTTGTGCTGCTCGTCTTTTGAACGCCGCGCATAACCATGCAGAGGTGAGACGACTCCATGACCACGCCCACACCTCGGGGCTTCAGTACCTCTGAGATTGCTAGTGCGACTTGTTTGGTGAGACGCTCCTGGACTTGTAGTCGTCGGGAAAACATTTCAGCCAGACGAGCAAGCTTTGAAAGACCAAGGACGCGACGGTCAGGGATATAGCCAATATGCATCTATGAAAACCATGTGTTAGAGTAGTGGTAGGCGTAGTATCAGGTTAGCGCAACTGTACCTTTCCTGTGAAGGGAACCATATGATGTTCGCATAGCGAGAAGACCTCGATATCTTTCACAATGACCAGCTCGTCGTGGTCTTCGTGAAAGACTGCTCCATTTACAAGGTCCCTGACATTTTCTTCGTAGCCCTTAGTGAAGAAAAGAAGAGCTTTGGCATATCTCTCCGGAGTCTCCCTAAGACCTTCTCTGTCCGGATCCTCGCCGATGCATTCGAAGATAGTTTTCACTGCCCCTGCCAATTTCTGAATTCTTTCTTCGGTTTGTTCTGGGGTCGACTCCAGTCTGGCCCTGGTGCCAGGACCTAACAGACTCTTAGCCAATATACACAGTTTTGCCTGGGGAGCACTACTCACAAGGCCAGCTCAACCCGTCGAAGTCAATCGGAGGGTTAAGGGTATATGGACTGGCAGGTCGACTGATAGTCGGAGTCAATGGTGCTGCCTCGTCTCTGGGATCTCGAGCGGGGTCACGAAGGGTGGGTCTAAAGCCGATTCAGTATGGATGCTTGCGCAAGATCTCATGTGATATACCTTGTAGGCTCCAGGGAGTGCGAGGCAGCTCCTGTGTCCGCATTGGAGGCACTGTTGCTGTTGGACATGCTTTCCGTCGACGATGAGTCAAATTCGGCGGGAACGCGAGGATGGAAAGAGGAACGGATGGAAGAGTTGAGGTTCTCCCGCTCACGAGAATCGCGAGTCGCCGTAGAGCCGCTCAATGGAGAGCTACCGTTAATCAGATATGAGGGGAGAGCGGACTTGGGTTTCGGACCCAAGGGAGGAGGAGAACCAGAGCCCATTTCTTGCCTTCCAGAACGGTTACTAGCAAGCCCTCAGGTTATGTTATTCTGTGGCGGATGAGGATCAGAGAGAGGCAGAGAAGTTCAGGGACCTCTAAGCAGTCAATGCATAGTTGGGAGAAGAAAGATCAAAGAAATTGTTCCATGTAGTGGGTAGGTAAGTCAGTAAATGGAAAATCGCGGAGGGTTCCAAGCGGGGAGCTGATAATAGTTTTCTTATCCCGCAATCCTCTCCGTCTGATCTCATCCACTAAACTATTCTGGGAAGCCCGAGGCCACCTGACCCAATCGCATCTCCGATCGGCGACCGACAGCGCCGTTCCTGACAGAAACGGCGATCGCTCAGTAAAGACAATATGCTGATACAATCGATGTTCTTATCGTGACACCGATACCAACGGTAAGTATTCTGTATACTGCCTACCAAGTCTTCATGGCAATTAGCAGGTCGTCCTTTCAGCTATTCAATATCTGCGTAAGCAAGCTCTACACTCTAAGAGTTCAATGACGCCTATTATCCATATATACACTGAGCCCCTTCATATCTATTGTTAACCCATAAGAATGAGACGCTCTCTGAGACCACGATTGCTATTTACTCGTACTCAAAAAGGAAAACTTGGATCGACCAGGATAAGGCATAGTTATACTGGAAAGAGAGTCAAAGGGGAAGTACGCTGACAACTCCATGCCTGCCTTGTTTAGCAACTATGATCATCTTTGCATATGACAAGAAGTGAGCAGACCTAGACCACTGGCGCGCCTTCTTGTTATATCAACTTCTGAGAAACTAGACTGCTGTTCTTCCAATATACAGACCACAGTAGCACTACTGGCTGCTTTATTTCTCATACAGAACACAATTGCTTCTAAACAATTGTCGATATTCTTCGAGATTGCACTTCGGTACGGAAGCGTGGATGGTTCTGAATCACAAGTCGACCAACATCACCTGAGCGATATGAAGTTCCCACTCCTCCTCGCTGGTCTCATTACAGCCTTCTCAGCACCCAGAAACGCACATACAGCTGCTATACTCACATCCCCGGAAGCCTCATCGACAATCAAGGCCCTATACCCGCGTGCCGTTTCACTGTTCTACGTCTCGAGCGGCGACATTCAGTATAATTCCAGCTACGGCCTCATTTACAAGGGAATCGGTTCCATGTCCGACTCAGATGTCACGACTCTCGTAACATTCGACGTCCCTGAAAGCTGGGCTGGCAAGAGTTGCAGACTATACTTTGACCTAGCACCGGAAGACGTCCTTTCTGGTTCCAATACCGCGGACGTGTTCACGTCCTTGACCATCGTTGAACAATCTTCATCCAACTGGTCCCCCGGTAACCAAAGAAATGAATACCTTGGTAGATTCACGGTTGATGGGTCGCATAAGGGGAAATGGATCGATACAGACGATGGAGATACTCCTCGGTTCAAGTGCCCTGCGAATGAGGCCATAGCTTGGGAACTTGTGGGTGTTAGTGACCGTGTCAAGATCCGCTGGGCGGCGAAGTCAGGGAATGGTCCTAGAATCGAGATGGTCTAATTGTGATGGGCTGGCCATTTCGCTTGAAACTCCGTCGAGGGCATTGCAGAAATCATTGACGTGTATATGCGCACCCGGTGGGAGTCAATTCATTGATGGAGCAGCTTCCTTGTGCTTGAGCGACAGTTGTTGCCTTTCGTGGCGCGGGGATGGATATTACTACGCGCTACATTGTTTGCTAGGCAAGCGAGAACAGATCTTTTAAAGTCACTCGTTCCATAGTTTATTCAGTCGAATCAGATACCTATTCCCCGGACCTGACTAGTAATGCTAAATAAGAGCCGCAGATAATTCAGTCAGTCATACATACATCGATCAAAAAGCGAAAAGATCACAGAAGTTCAATAGAGGACGGGTAGGACTCTCATGCGCAATATTGATATCCCCGATTTCTCACGGATTCCCGGAAAACAGATTATGCCAGAGAAGGGAGAGAAATAGGAGCAATGATGCTGGTAGTGACGGATAGATGGACACGGGACGAGAAACCGCACAGCTTCTCTCTTTGGAGTGCTGATTGTATGGCCCCCCTTTTTTCTTTACTGCGCCATATATGGCGCGTGCGGTGATATCGACGTCGCAGGAGTGTTCGGATACTCCCGTTGTATTTTGGTTTGTCAACAAGGTTACTTAAGCTTCCAGTTCCTCAGTGGGAACGTCCTCCAGGTCCTTGCCCACAATAGCATCCGAGACCTTCCACACCTGAAGCAAATTGTCCTCCGCTGCAGAGCAAAGAACCCAAGGGTCATTGAGGTTCCAGCTGAAGTCGGAAATGCGGTTGGTGTGACCACCGTGCATGAAGAGCCTAAACAGGGGCAGTTAGCGACTATCGAAGCGGGATGCTGGAAAGGACATAACATACAATTCAGGCGGTCCATCCTGCGCATCCTCGGGAGTCTGCTCTTCACCAGCCCGGCTGAGGTCCCAGAACATGATCTTCCGGTCATAGCTGGCACTGGCCAGGACGGACTCCTCAAATGGATGCCAGGACAAAGACGTGACTGATTCGGTGTGGCACTCGAGCGCATGCAGTTTTGACTTGAGGTTGCGCAGGTCCCACAAGCCAATAGACTTGTCTGCGGATCCGGTTGCCAAAACGGTCTCTGCAGCTGGGTTGAATGCAATAGCATTAATGGCATCACGGTGCTGGCCTTCAGCCATGGCAGCGGCACGAGTCGTGTCAGGCTCTCGGATGTCGAGAATCTGTAGCGTGATATCGTCGGAAACGGTACCAATAAGAGAAGAGTGCAGTGGGTGGTATTGGACGTCATTGACAATAGACGAGTGATGGGTATATGTTCGGGCGGGCTTCAGAGCTTTGTTGCCTTTCGTGTATGTGTTCAGGTCCCTTCATGAGGTCAGTTATCCTGGCCTCCGCAGCGAGTTATTTGATTGGTTTGACGCACCATAGACGGACAGTCTTGTCCTCACTTCCAGTCGCGAGATGTCCGGCAGTATGCGGGCTCCAGCTCAGGCCAAAGCCTTCTCGCGTGTGCCCTAGCAATTCCAGCTGTGGGTTGACGGTGCCCGTTGGCAGACTGGGGTGCTTCGAACGGTCCCAGATCATGACTCTTCCATCCGTACACATCGTGGCAATGATGTTAGGGTTCTGTGGTTGATAGCGCGCCTTGTTGACCTCGCCCTTGTGGTCAATCTTTTGCACAATGTTGAATTTGATCTCCATCGGAGGCTTCTTCGAGCTGCCACCATAACCGCCAATCTCCCCGCGCTCTTCATCGTAATCTTCTGCATCAGGAGCGCTTGGGTTGGGCAGCTGGACGTGCGCGATTTGTAAGTAGTTTTGCGCATCGCTCGAGGTGTGCGTTCCTATCAAGAGACGGTGCGTGGAATATGGCTTGTCCGGAACCCTAGCAGTTGTCAGATTTCATAACTGCATCAACCTGGCCGGGAACTGGGATATTACTGTTGCTTATCAGGTAGCCATTGCGTTGTGAGAGTCGGCCACTCGAGAGCTGTGCTGAGGATCATGTCATAGAGGAAGGGCGCATTTTTCTTCCATGTTTTGTACTCTGCGGCGATCGTTCAGCACGTCTGTATCGCCAAGCAAGAGCGCAGTGCGGAGAAGTAAATACCTTCGTTGATGATCTTCTCCTCCGTTCTCTCTTCTTCCTGCTCTTCCTGCTCCTCAATGAAACCTGATATGACATTATTGTCAGCATAGTTCCCACATGTACGACATATTATTAGCTTACCGTCGTCATAAGGCTCCATGGTTTCTGTTTGCTCGAAAAATTACTGGAAGCGAGTCTGAGAGCTGAAGCGAAAAGGTGGAACGCAAGATCAACTGGGATTCACCAGACTAGAGTGGTCAATAGACCGTATTCGAGCTCGCAAGTGCTGCAGAGGTCGAGAGAAGCAGTTCCGCCTGGCAAAGAACGCGACTCGTCGATCGCAGAGCGCGTTAATGGGCATAGGATGCGCTAACCCGGAAGAGGAAGGCGCCTCGGAGGCACGGACAATCATCGCCGACGGCGTGACTCTTGAGCTGTCGCAACTTGGCCCAGCATTCATCTCTCCCAGAATACCGCCACGAACGGACGACTGGGGTTTGCTTTCTTTTAACCTGTCGTATTGTTTTCCTTTCTATTTCATACGGCGACGTATAGTGGAGGACTTCGGTCGCTTTTCTTCAGACCTCATTTACCCTGATGCCGCACTTGCGAGCTTGCTAGATATCTCAATTCCCCGAGAGGCGAACCCTACCCCGACGACTTTTCCTTGGACATATTCAAGCTCCCGGTATCTACATTAATTTACTGCCACCATGGGTGTCCCCAAATTCTTCAGGTGGCTCAGTGAGCGGTATCCGCCCATCTCGCAGCTCATCGCCGAGAACCGGATACCAGAGTTCGACTGTCTGTATCTGGATATGAACGGTATTATCCATAACTGTACGCATAAGGACTCGGATTCTCCCACATTTCGTATGACGGAAGACAAGATGTTCATCGCCATTTTCAACTACATTGAACATCTCTATGGCAAAATCAAGCCAAAGAAGTTATTCTTCATGGCTATCGACGGTGTTGCCCCTCGCGCTAAGATGAACCAGCAGCGCGCACGACGATTTCGAACGGCACTTGATGCTGAGGTCGCGAAAGAAAAAGCTATCGCAGAAGGAGTCGAGATGCCGAAGGAAGATGCTTTTGATAGCAATTGCATTACTCCGGGAACCGAGTTTATGGCGAAGTTGACCCAACAACTGAAATATTTCATCAACAAGAAGATATCAGAGGACGTGGAATGGCAAGGAGTGGACATTGTGCTTTCCGGACATGAGGTCCCTGGAGAAGGAGAGCACAAGATCATGGAATATATTCGGCAGGCGAAAGCCCAGCCAGGATACGACGCCAACGTGCGACACTGTCTCTATGGTCTGGACGCAGATCTAATCATGCTTGGTCTGCTCAGTCACGACCCGCATTTCTGTCTTCTCCGTGAAGAGGTGACTTTTGGCAGGCAAAACCAAAAGAAGAGCAAGGAGCTCGAACACCAGAATTTTTATCTTTTGCATCTTTGTATTGTGAGAGAATACTTGGAGCTGGAATTCCAAGACTTGGAAGTGGAAGGAGCGCTGCAATTTCCATTTGACATGGAGCGCGTTATTGACGATTTCATCCTCATGGCTTTCTTTGTTGGAAACGATTTCTTACCTAATCTTCCGAATCTGCATATCAATGAAGGTGCTCTGGCACTTATGTTCAAGACTTACAAGGAACAATTGCCGAAGATGGGTGGGTACATCAATGAGCGCGGTACTATCAACATGGAGCGTTTGGGGATTCTACTGGATTCGCTCTCCGACGTCGAATATCGCTTTTTCGAGATGGAGTATTCGGATGCACGTTGGGTGAAGTCGAAAAAGAACGGCGGGCAGGAGACGTTGGAACTTCAAGAGAAACCCAAGGGTCTCACAATCACTCCTACACAAAAGGAACTCCTCAAGAAAGTCAAGCAGTACGTTCTCAATCGTCCTGCAGACACCCAGGAAATCGAACCATTGGATCTTCCGCCGACCCTTCCGGCTCGCGATCGAAAGTTCATTGAGCAACTTGCTGACGACCTTCGACTGCCGTGGACGACGGTGTTGGACGAACACGATCAGCGATTCATAAGGCTTCGGCTTCCATCAAAGGAGAATGATGAAAATGGCGACAACGAAGAAGATGAGGAGGATGAAGAGGAAGACGAAGAAGCATTGGTTGCGCTCCGCCGTGTTCTCAAGAAATACGAAAATGCAAAGGTCCAAGAAATCTCCGCAGAAGAGGCTCAAGCGGCGGCCGAGAAGAAGTATGAGGAGAAATTCCGGGAGTGGAAGAATAACTACTATGAGAGCAAATTCGGATGGGGCCTCGATAATGAGGAGGAGATGAGGAAGTTGACGGAGAACTACGTCCAGGGTCTCCAATGGGTGCTCTTTTACTATTACAGGGGTGTCGCTTCTTGGCCGTGGTTCTATAGCTATCACTATGCCCCGATGATTTCAGACGTTAAGAAGGGTCTGAAAGCGGATACAAACTTCAAGCTCGGACAACCCTTCCGACCCTTCCAGCAGCTCATGGGAGTCTTGCCTGATCGAAGCAAGCAAATAGTACCTAAGGTGTATCATGAGCTGATGACTTCACCCGACTCACCCATCATCGACTTCTATCCGCGAGAGTTTGAGCTTGACATGAACGGCAAAAAGATGGAGTGGGAAGCTGTTGTTAAGATCCCTTTCATCGATGAGAAACGACTACTAGGCGCTATGGAGAAGAAGGACAAACTACTCAGTGATGCGGAAAGGGCCCGAAATGAGTTCGGGGTCAGTCTCAAGTTTACATATTCCCCCTCGATCGAGTTTGAGTACCCATCTTCACTCCCTGGAGTGTTTCCTGATATTCCACATTGTCATTGCATCGAGAATATATTCGATCTGCCGACCATGGAAGGACTCGAGCCCTATGTTGGCCTGGTAGACGGTGTGAAATTGGGTAAAGCTGCGCTTGCAGGCTTTCCCACTCTGAAGACTTTGCCTCACGTTGGCCAGCTTGGTTTCCACGGAGTGAATGTCTTCCAGCAAGAGAGTCGAAACGAGAGCATGATCGTTACCCTCCTCAATCCCGAGTCGAGATCGAACATCGAGCTAGCGAAAGCTAAACTCGGGCAGCGTGTTTACGTTGGATACCCTTTCTTGCAGGAGGCTCTTGTTGTTCGCGTTTCAGACGAGCTTTTCGACTATGTCCTTCCTATAGGGGAACAGCACGTGGCATCCGTTCCTCACACACCTCAACAGATTGAGCAGTGGAAAAAGAAAGCGGACAAGATCGAAGCTTACTATAGTAAACGACTGGGAATCATCACTGGTCCAGTTGAATCTATGGTCCACGTCCAAATGCTCAAAGGCCTACTGAAGACGGACGAGGGTGCTACGCTAAAGGAGTTTGCCGAAATTCCAGGCCAGGAGACTGATTATGCTCTCCAGCTCATTGTGGATGAGGTTATTAGCGAAGACGAACGCTTCATGGAGCGGGAAGCACTTCCCATCGAGGAAGAATTTCCCGAAGGCTCGAGGGCCTTTTTCCTAGGAGAATTCAACTATGGCAGACCTGTCCATGTTACTGGCCACGAAAATGGCAAAGTCAATGGGCTGATAGCTGCCGTGAAAGGCAAGGAGCCTGAATTTGGGAAGCTGCATGCTAGAAACGCCGAGAGGCTTTTCCCATACACTCCCTCATTCATAATTGCTCGCAACTTACACTTGAACCCATTGGCCTTGGCGAAGATAACGTCCTCCTTTACCGTCGATGTGGATGGCCAACGTGTCAACTTGGGCCTCAATCTCAAATTTGAAGCAAAGAAGCAGAAGGTTCTTGGCTACTCTCGCCGTGGTGAGTCCGGCTGGGAATTTAGCCAAAAGGCGATTGAACTCGTACAGCAATACATGATCAAATTCCCAGAGTTTATAGCTGGGCTACAGCGAAATCCTCAGGGAAATAAATACCAACCCACCGATTTCTACCCGGAGGAGATTGCAAACGAGAAGATCAAAGAGATCAGACAATGGCTCAAGGATATTGAAGTCAAGGGGTTTGAACGAGTGCCACTTGAAGCAGAGCAGCTCGACTCAGATGTTGTGAAGCTCATCGAGCAAGATGCGGACCGTCTGATCCAGAGTCAGCCTCAGGTAGAGGCCAAGAAGATCAAGGGTGTTCCCCGAGGAGCACTGTTAAAGCCAGCTGATGTGGAGCACAGACTCGGAAACCAAAAGTTTTCTCTTGGTGACCGCGTGGTCTACGCTCAGGATTCTGGCAAGGTACCCATTGCTACTCGAGGAACCGTCGTGGGCCTTACTCGTACTCCTAGAGCTATCTTACTAGACGTCGTCTTTGACGTCTCGTTCATGAGTGGCACTTCCCTGGGAGACCGGTGCTCTCCCTTTAGAGGACAAACCGTGATGTCCTCCTCCGTGCTTAACCTGACATATAGACAGCTTACCGCTAGTACTCGCGCAGCTGCAAATCATCAGGCTCAGCACCAACAGACTCCATTGACCGTCCAAGGATATGGCGCCGCGCTTGGACCTGCAGCACTGGGGCAGCTGAAACAAGCACCAGCCCCTCCGCCCTTGAGAGGTTCATTCCGTGGTGCTGTTGCCGGACACCAAGGCAACATTAGAGGCGGTCGCGGTGGTCGTGGTGGTCTTAACGGCGGCCCTGCTTCGCACGCCGAGACGGGCGTATCGCACAACTTGCCTTTCCGTCCTCGCGGTGGTCAGCAGAATGGTGATTTTGCCCCTCGTGGCAGGGGACGTGGAGTAATCGCCAATGGCTCCCGCGGTGGTCGTGGGCGTGGAGGATATGTGTCTGTCGACAACAGCAATCCTGAAGCTGGTGTCATCCAGAACAACCCAAACTTCAAACCAAAGAATTACTCAAATGTGCCTCCACCGGCAAGCATAGGCAATAACAGAGGTGGCAGAGGTGGAAGAGGAGCCAGCGGACCTCGCGGTGCGGGACGTGGAAACGGACCCAGAGGCAGAGGTGTGAACCGAGGAAGAGGAGCCGCCGTTGCCGGAGCTAGTGCTTGATTGATCAAACATAAGTTTGTGGATATCCCACCACTGTAACTGGCATCGACTGTCCCTTTTCTATACTCATCATGTTGTATATGCTTGAGATGATGCCGGTTTATAAGAGGATTTCTGACCAGGCGTGCTCGGATAGCGGTTAGCTATGATGTCTCACATTCTAGTCTCTCCCAGCTGAAATGGGTGCATGTGTTTTCTTTAGCATGTATCTACCTGTACATTATCAGGCGCGGTCCACAGAAGAATCAGACGAGAAAATGATACTGGCAGGCAGCTTATTCATATACCTGCCTAATGGTATTAAGAAAACCGCATCTTTTTCCTAAATTTATTCGGAACAAATAGATCTATAAGCGCATACTACTGCGGCTATAATAATAACCAGTAGACGTACGCATTCCTCGTATTGGATAAGGCTGCCACGAAATAGCACGAAGTTCGAACATATCTAAATCATCAAGTGGAGCAACGAACTCGATTCAATTGAATATCAAAAAGATGATGATGCACTCTATGAATTCATGCATCCATAATATTGACAACATAACTTTTTCTAATCCTTTTCCTAACCAGGTATATGATAACAAAGAAAGATAACAACGCCAGACGCAGATGCAAGTGCTGTAGATATACACACAAAGGAGGAATAACCCGTCATTTATTCCAGACCAATCCAATCGCCTTCGTCGCCATCTGCTCCGTCAGCATCATCCATGTGCTCGTCCACACCATTAGCGACGGGTTCGCTGTCGTCGATGATCTTCACCACGCCATTCGCGGGTTTCTTTCCTGCCAAGACAGGCTTTGCCAGTAGATAGTCCAGTTCATAAAGATTCCGCTCGGTCATGCGTTTGATGTTGTCTTGAATGTCATCAACGACCCGCTGGACGGCACGGAGTTCGGTTGCAAATGTGCCCGTGTTATCCTTCAGATATCTGCCATGGATACTGAGAAGAGATTCGATCCAAAGCAGGTTGAACTCCAGATGAGGGGTCTCTTCCGCAAAGTTGGCAACAAAGCGAAGGAGGCGGGGGATGTAGACCGTCGGGAGTGAGCGGACAACATGAGGAATGTCCGTGTGGGGTATCCCCTCATACACTGCGCGAATGAGGGAGGCCTCGTTCAGTCGGAATGCCATGACCAGAGCCTTCAGGAAAGAGGACTCTTCATCGGGGGTGGACGACGCAGAGGCTTGCTTGGCGGCGTCGAGCGTAGCAAGAATAGTGGAAGGAGTGATATCAATATCGAGGTCGAAGGGGTCGAAAACAAACTGGGTATCGAGACTGTAGACGAGAAGGCCTTCCGTAGAAGCAGCGCAGAATGATCGTCCTGCAGGGGAGAAAGCAACTCCTGTTACACGGACATCGGGCCTCGTAGTGCGAGCTGCAGCATCGCCACGCTTGACACCAGGCAACGTGCGGTCGATGCGATCTTCCAGGTCGGAAGCTTCACCAGTCTCATCTATCAGGCCACGGGGCCCAGCTTCCGTCATATCGCGACTGTTAAGCACCTCCTGGGTGCCGTCAAGAGACGTGTTAACGGACACGGTGAACTTCTTCAACAAGGAACCCGTTCCCACATCATATAGACAGATGTACTTGCTGTTTCCTCCTGCCAAGAGACAACTTCCATCTGCGCTGTAAACGATCTTATTGAATGACTTTGTCCCGGCAGAGTTGGCGGCGGTCCGTCGATCGGATATCTTACGGCCACCGGAGACATCGCGACGGCCATCAATGATACCTTCTTGAGTAGTGGTCTCCACTATCCAGAACGAGAGTTGTCCATCTAGAGTGGATGCAGCGACTTGCTTCCCATCTGGGCGGAAAGCCACACTCAGAACGTCGGACATGAGCGGCAAAGGCTCACTGATTTGACTCCTTCCGAAGATGTTCCAGATTCTCACTGTATGATCCCAGCTTCCACTGACCAGGTTGCTCCCATCAGCAGAGAATGCCATTGACACCACTGGGCCTTCGTGTCCCGAGAGCTGATCAAGCAGCTGACCGGTCTGGACGGACCATATATGGATATCGAACGAATCGACAGAGCCGGCACAGACAACCTCGCCGCTGGGGTCGACCGCGAGGGAAGAAAACGACAGCCGCGAAGGAGCGGTAAAAGTGCGGAAATTTCGGTAGCGGATCATATCCCAGGCTCTGACGGAACCATCCAAAGACGAAGTGAACAGCACATTTCCACGTTTGGAGAATTCGCAGGCCGTCACTCCGCTAGTGTGCTCGGTGAACGTGACGATACAGAACCCGGACTTCACATCCCACACCTTGATCTTCCCATCATCGGCTGTTGTGATGATCTTCTGGCCATCCGGGGAATATACCAAAGCGTTCATCGAATCCAAATGGCCCTGTTGCTTAAGGATGTAGGACTCTGATTGCCACTCCCAGACAAGCAACTGACCATTCTTCGAGGATCCGAAAGCCAGCCATTCGCCGGACTTGTTGATCGTGACGTTGTCGATATTACTTTGAGAGACACTGGGACAATTAGCATTGCACGGTAATTTCAAGAATGGATAAGAGGACATACCTTAGCATGTGAATGTTGTTGAAGTCTGGAAGTTCGTAGAGGCCAAAGAGACCATTTGAGAATCCGACCACCAGAAGATTCGACTTCGCATGGAAAGCCGCACAGTTGACCTTCGCATCATTCTGCATAAAGAAGTCTTTCTTCACGATACGCCAGCGTGCCTCCGAATCCTCGTCCTCTTCCATGGTGTCACGGTCAATCTTGCGGACATATTGCCACTGGAACAAGGCTCCATCCTGGCTGACCGTATAGATAGACTCCTGGTCTGCTGAGAAATAAGCTGCCTTCACACCCTGTCTGTGGCCCGCCAAAGTGGTCGGCTCGAAACCATCCTCTGGATCCAAACTCCAGACCCGCGCGGTCAAATCTTTGGATGCCGTGAGCAAGAACCGCGAGTCACTCGACCATTCTACACTCTGTATCGTGTCAAAGTGTCCTGCGAGATCACGGTGAAGGACGAATGGGGCGAACTCCAACTCCCCGTTTGAATCCGCTCCCGGCGTGGAGGGAGTGTGCCATATCTGCAAGCGACGCCCGACTCCCACTGCAAAGTGGCGGCCTGAGGGAGAGAATGCAAGAGCCGAGACTGGGTTCTTGAAGGTGAAATGGTGGATCGCAATTCTGCGGTGGAAGTTGGTCAGGATCGCACGGCCATTCTCGTCGACGGTGAGCAGCAGATTTCCTCTTGGCGAGAGGTCTAGACGTGCGATGTTGGTGCGGTGAGTAAACGGGAGCGTATATGAGGTGTTACTACAGCAGACGTATTAGCATCCATTGCTTTCCACAGGAAAAGCAGCATGAGCTCCGACGTACTGTACTAGGTCGAACACCGTGACTCTGTTGCCCACTGGGGAGAGCAAGCAGGTGCCATCCGGCGTAAAGACTAGGTTGCCTTTGCGATACACCGTCCCCAGCAAGTTGGAGAACTAGATACTGTCAGTCGCAAGATCCAGCCCTGAGCGCATGAGATTGCCTTACCTTGAAATCCGTCTTCATCGTCGCTGGCGTCCTTCACCTTTGTCCTGGACTTATATTAATTCAAAAATTATGATGATCTCGGCGCAAAACGCGATAAGATAATCCGGCGCCGACAGGAATGCTGCGCGCTAGCCCCCATCTGGCCTAGTGCGATCCGGGGCCTGTTTACTCGCTTCTTTGGGTCTCGCCCGGCTTCTCCACCGTTCAGGGGCAGCAGAAGAACAACAGCTCTCTCTGTCCATCCAGACTCCTTTCTTCCAGTCTCGTCCTCGTCCCTCCATCTGCCATCTAGGCTGTCAGCTACTGGGTTCGGGCTGCTTGTATCTTCTTGTCCGCTCTTGAATTGTTGTCATCGGAGCGTCACACTCCCGTCCCCATCATGGCCCCTTCCACCACTTCGGAGACCGCGTCTCCTATCGGTATTGCCAACGTAAGTTGCTCGTCTGTCCCCCGCGCAAAGAACATGACCGCTAACAGAGATGTTTTCTAGCTCCCCAACCAGCGGTACGTAATGAGGAACCGCCAGAGAGCGATGGGATGCAGGGAATACTGACGAAGACCGACCAGACACAAGATCGTCGCTAAACGGGGTGCGGCTTTCACTATTATGGTGAGTGCAATTGCAACAGCACGCGCATAGGGATGCGACTGACATCCATAGGTTGCTGGAGAGTCTGGATTGGGAAAGACCACATTCATCAACACTCTGTTCTCGACCACCATCAAGAACTATGCCGACCACAAGAAGCGCCACGCCAAGCAGATTGATAAGACCGTCGAGATCGAGATCACCAAGGCTGAGTTGGAGGAGAAGTTCTTCAAAGGTATAATAATAATAATGAAAGAATTTGGCAAAAATGGGTGAGATTTCAAGGCTAATACGATCGGGTGTAGTGCGCCTGACCGTCATCGACACCCCTGGCTTCGGAGACTACGTCAACAACCGTGACTCGTGGCAGCCCATTATTGAGTTCCTCGATGACCAGCACGAATCATACATGTTGCAGGAGCAGCAGCCGCGCCGTACAGACAAGATCGATCTCCGTGTCCACGCCTGTCTGTACTTCATCAGACCCACCGGCCACACCCTGAAGCCCCTTGATATTGAGGTTATGAAGCGCCTCTGCTCTCGTGTCAACCTGATCCCCGTCATTGCGAAGGCTGACACTCTCAGCCCTTCTGACCTGGCTAGATTCAAGCAGAGAGTAAGCAGACCGGAACCCGTTCATATTTTGCCCCTCCATACTGACTTGGATAGGTCCGCGCTGTGATTGAGGCTCAGGGTATCAAGATCTACCAGCCCCCGATTGAGGAGGATGACGAGCACGCTGCTGCCCACGCCCGCAGCCTGATGGCTGCCATGCCATTCTCGGTTATTGGTTCGGAGAAGGACGTCAAGACCAACGATGGCCGTGTTGTCAAAGGCCGTCAGTACATCTGGGGTGTCGCAGAGGTTGAGAACGAGGACCACTGCGATTTCAAGAAGCTCCGCTCGATCTTGATCCGTACCCACATGCTGGATCTCATCCACACCACCGAAGAGCAGCACTACGAAGCTTACCGTGCCGGCCAGATGGAAACGCGGAAGTTTGGCGAGGCGCGTCCCCGCAAGCTGGACAACCCCAAGTTCAAGGAGGAAGAAGAGGCTCTGCGCAAGCGCTTCACGGAGCAGGTCAAGATCGAGGAACAGCGCTTCAGACAGTGGGAGCAGAAGCTCATTGCGGAGAGAGACCGTCTCAACAAGGACCTGGAGAGCACACACGCTGCGTATGTTGAAGGTCATCCTGGACTAAATCGATTGCATGCTGACTTTAGACAGGATCAAACAACTGGAGCAGGAACTCGAGCAGATGCAGGCCTCGACCGCTCGCAGTCACGGTCGTCGTTAAGTTGGGATTCTGCGGATTGGAGCTGGATTTGGTGGGACCTTTCTTTGGGGAAGATTATGCATTCGACTCGCCTCTTTATCTTGATTACCCGGTATCCTCGTCCTCACTCTGATGGGCGAGAACCACCAAAACTGTTGGGCGATCCCCGCGTTGCCTCCTTTATAGGACATTGCGGTGATGGCTGGTTTCGTTTTTCTTAACTACCGCTGGTAGCTAGCGATGGTTCTCTACGTCCTTGATAATAACCCCCCTTCGTATACTGTAGCGTGGCAATGCAGACTTTAATTCTTCTTTCTATCGATCCCTATTCTTCTGCTGCAGAGTTAGATACGGACTTGGCTCTCGAAAGGTGGAGCCTAGTGGCGTCCCTCACGAACAGATGCCCGTGCGATGGTGGGCCGTGGCGTCGATGCTTTCGACGTTATCCAGCTCAGATATACGTTCACAGGAGGTGGATTCAAGTTCTGGACTGGCAGAGAGGTCCTTGAGAACAAAGAATCGGATTCGGAGCCCAAGTAGCATAAGTGGTATCAGTCAGCAATAAATGGTGGTATATGAAAGAATTAGGCCATGTTTACTTCTGATATATATCAAACCTCATTTACGAGAACTAAATCCAGATTACCATTGATTAATGCCTACTTAAACTGAGAGACTATGAGCATCCAAGTAAAACTCACTTCGTAAAATCGATACCTAAGTTCCTCGGATTCAACGAGAACAAGGCTATAGGCTCTACACTACAGTACTAGATCAATCCTTGAACTGGGTAGTGGATCTTCATGGTCTTTAGTTACCCGCGCATCGCGGAGCTTGCGGTGGGTCCTTTGATGGGAACTTTGTTCCGTCGCGAGAGAGCTCATCTTGAACTTTGAGAAGCAACGTTACCCTTTGCCAACATCTAACACTACGGCTTTCGACACCCTACCAGAAGCTACATCTGTCGAGCACCGATGCCTGCTACAAGACAGTTTCCCACGAAGCTTGTTCATACGCTCAAAACCCACAATGGTGAGCTCGCGCAGACCACTCCAGCGAAAGCAATGAATCTGACAGCTCCCATCAACAGGTCCGGTGAACGCAGTCTGCTTTTCTAGCTACCCGGGCACCTATCTCCTCACGGGCGCATCTGACCGTGCTATCCATCTGTCACGCGCTGTTCCTGCAACCGAATCGTCGTCGCTGGTGGAAACCACATCTCCGATTCAGAAGTATGAAGCGCACGGATACACTGTGCTGGATATCGCGGTTGCGGCCGATAACTCGCGTTTTGCTAGTGTCGGAGGCGATAGGCAGGTGTTCCTATGGGATGTCGAGCAGGGAGGGACGGTGAGGAGATGGGGTGGACATAATGCCAGGGTAGAGGCAGTGCAGTTTGCGGGAGAAGGTGATACGGTTGTTGTGTCTGGTAGGTCCTGCGCTGTTTGCTTTCTTGACTACGGTTGGCAGCTTTCAGCGACCCTCTGGATGTCGTGTCCCAACAGTGACGATATAAGCTAACGTCTTCCTTACTCAGGGAGTGCCGATACGACCATCAACCTTTGGGATGCCAAATCCAATTCCCACAAGCCCATTCAGACTCTCACTGAAGCTACCGATACTGTCTCGAGTCTGTACGTCCATATGCCGACCTATTCTATTGCTGCCGGAAGCTACGATGGGCGCGTTCGTATCTACGATATTCGCATGGGCCGGACCACAGTCGACGTCCTGGCGCATCCAGTGACTAGTGTACGCTGCTCAAAAGATGGAAATGCTCTGCTAGCATCAACTTTGGATGGGCGGATTCGCCTGCTCGATCGAGCTGATGGGAAGCTTCTGAAGGCCTTCGGAGGAGAGGACAGTGCGGACAAGGGTCCCAGCATCCCCAGACCAAGATACCGAAACACAGAGCTACGAATCCGGTCACTCTTTGCAAAGGCTGACGCTGTTGTCTTCAGTGGCAGTGAAGCGACTGATGGACAGGCGTCTGTTTTCGCGTGGGATGTGCTAACTGGGGAAGTCATTGCTACTGTGCCTGCTGGTGCTGGGGTCAAAGTTGTCAGCTGCGTAGCCTGGAACGAGAAAGGAGGCTGCTGGGCTGGCGGATGTTCTGATGGTGAGATCTACGTCTTCTGTTTTCTAGCAGGCGCCGCATGGTCGAAGCTGCTGGGCCTTGACTAACATTATGCCAGGAACGGTGAAAGTATATGGATAAGTGAGATGCTTCCGGTCTGTGACTTGCATCTCTTGTCGATCCGGGTTCGCGGATGCAGCGACCAACGGCGGCTCACCGCCCGCCCTCGTGCGGATGATCTCCGACCACGAGTGACAATGAGCTTCCATTATTGCCTGCCGACATCCTGCAAGACAATGCCCACGTGGTGTTGTTCTGGGCTATCCTGCTACAATCGGGCCGTGCCATCGGGATATCCAGGTCCTTTTAAACCAGCCATGTCCTAACCATACAGCTACTTGTCCGGTCATCCCACTAGTCGGTCAATAGACAACATGCGTCTTTCGTCCGTTTTTGCAGCATGTGCTGTCCTCAGGTCTAGCACTGCGCTAAATCTCACTGTTTCCCGCCCCAATGAGACATTCGTGCCAGGCAACAAACTGCCTGCCTCGCATGCTACCTCAGACGGTGCCTCGATCGTGGAGCTCTTCACCAACATTGGCCGCTCCACAGCATGGAAGATTGTTTCCAAGACTCGATTTGAGGGAGACACGGGTGAACCCGAAGGCATGGTCCGTATAGGTGATGATCGTTTCTTCGTCTCTGCCGGCCAATGGACTGTCCCTACGGTCCACTACAATCGGACCATCAACGGCACAGATCGCACAGCAGGAGCGGGATACGCACATATGCTAGTCTATGATGGGCAGGGTAACCGCATCGCAAATGCGACCCTAACTGCACCCGGCAACATCGAGTACCATGGCGGAGGCATTGACTACGACGGTCGATACATCTGGATCACACTAGCCCAGTATCGACCAAACACGACCGCCACAATCACTCGAATCGACCCTTTGACCCTGGAGCAGACGCGTCTCTTCCGCACTGCAGACCACAACGGAGGCATCGTCCACGATACCATCACCAATAACCTCGTCACCTTGAACTGGGGCAGCCGCAATGCCACTACCTGGTCCTTGCAGAACTACCCTCACGGCTTCACCCCTCTACCTGGCTTCACTGCCCCAGACACTGCTATGCCAAACCCTAGCTTCTTTACCGATTATCAGGACTGCAAGTTCCTTGGTCATCACCTACCACCCTCTTCCATTCTGCAGCAATCCAGCATCAACGTCGAGAATACTAAACGGCCGCTCATGCTCTGCGGTGGTGTTGCTACCATCTCAGACTACAATCTGGGCGGTCTGGCTCTTGTCGATTTGCAAACCATGCTGCCAGTATGGGAAGTGCCAATGTCCCTGACGAGCGATTTGGGTACGCCCCTAACGCAGAATCCGGTCGACGTCGCAGTCGTAGATGGCAAACTGCGGGTGTACTGCCTGCCTGATCAGCATGTATCGACGCTGTATGTCATCGAAGCTGCTTAAAGTTAGTGTATAAGTAGTAGATAGATATACTACAACTAATAAAGAAGGGATATTGCTTCAGAATCAATATGTTATGCTCTGAGGGACTATTGTAAAGTATATACTGCATAATTGCTTTCTTGTTCATTATCTCTCATGTACATGAAAAAGCACTGGATGGGATGAGGACGTCTTCCACATGGATAAAAAGACAATTTCTGATTAAGGTACATCAATAAAGAACCAGAATGCATACTGACTGGAGCAGTAGTTCCTTGTTATCGGTATAATCGCTTGAAAAGAGCAAAATATGACAGCGAGGGGTATCCATTCGTGCTATCATTCCCAAGAGAAGATTGCCTTCCGGAGATGAGAAATCATTCAAACAGGCTATGCAACTTGCTCAAAAATCGACGTTTGGACAGAAACGGGCGAAGGGATTAATCAGAAACTGTGAAGCCAGGAAGAAAGAATATTCTGAGTCTTGAAGCAGACTGGTGTTGGATCTTTTGAGGCACATCAAGAAGAGAGGAGATGTTTGATATATATATAAGAGAATCGAAAACACATCAGATAGAATGTAAATGGCCTTAACTTTTTGTTTACCGTCCCCTTAGCGCCGTATTCTTATATGCAACTCTTTTTATGCTTCCCATTCTGACGTCACGGGTATGCGTGTAACATGAATTCATCAGCTGCATTGGCAGTTGGTTTTGCTCGCTTGCAAGATCATCTCCAGTGGATCACTGTTGTCAACCTGTGACAGCAGAAGAGTGGCAGAGCGGAGTCTTCTGATCAGAGCATCGTGGCCCTAACAAGAGCGTATCTCTGCGGTAAAGACCCAACGTTCAAGGGAGATATGATCCCCCCAAATTTCTGCCGTAATCATGAAGGCTCCTCCCCTACAATTTCGCTATCGGGTTCGCGGCTTTCTGCCTCTAGGGCGTCCACAGCACGACTAAGCTCTCGCTCCCCAACAATAACCGTCCCAGCACGGACGGTGCTCAGGAAACTGATCTCAACAGCATCCGCATACGTCTCTGGATCGGGTTCGAGGTGGTGTGATGATGGAGGGCTCGTAGTACCGGAAGGATGCGTTCCCGGTTGCGAGGCGCTGCTTGCAACAGCCGATACTGTGGAAGAGGTTCCTGTACTAGGCATGGGAATAGGCATACTTGCCGCGGGAAGAACTGAATTAGAACTTGTCAAAGAAGAAATAGAAGCATGGCTGTTGCTTAAGTCTTCCCGACTGTGCGTGGCCGCTGCTAGCCGGCCAGCGAGGCCGCAGACAATACCCGTCGCTTCTAGGGGCAGGTCTCTCAGATCCAGCATAATAGGAACGAGGATGTCTTCTTTTGAGCCAAGCAGAAGGCTGTTTTCGTCATTTGGTTCGACCTCGGGCACCGGGTCGATGGAAAATCGAGGCAAAAGCCGCTTTTCCAGTAGAAGGGACGCTGCTGGATCAGCGGTTGTCGACGTCAAGGATAGAAACCGAGGCTTGTCGACCAGTAAAGCTGTGGTGAGCGCAGGCCGTAAGAGAGCAAAAGAGCTAGTGTCGCTAGACCATCGATGGTGAGCCGCACACTGGACCAAACGCAGGGACTCGTCCACTCGTGGCACGATATTGTGCTTTCGCAAATAGGCAAAGGTCCTGTGCTGCAGTTCAGAAAGACTTGAGGGGGGAGGGGTGTTCGGTGGTGACCGTGCAACAGGCCCTGGCGGCGAGACAGGAGAGAAGGGACCACCGTACTGAGACTGACTACTGTTGACAAACGCTTCTGTGGAAACTTCGAAGGTAAAACCGCGTTTCTCGAGGGCTTGCACAACCTGACCTTTGGAACGCAGAGGGACCAGGATATAGTCTGAGAAGTATGTCGAGATAAAGAAGATGGAACTGCGGAGAGTCAGTGACCAGATCGATGTTATCCTTCGGGTAGTCACGATTATGACTTACATTCCCGCCATCGCCAACGGACTAGTCAACTCCAACACACGCTGGCCTGCATCCAGGCCCTGTCCCTCGACTTGCATGACGATGAAATCTTCCTTGCTGATGGAGACTCGACTCCCACTGGCAGAAGCGGCCTGGTCAAACTGCCTGACGAGCGGCTCGAAATAGAGTTCCGCCAGATGCCTTGCACACACCACAGAGCATTCGACCGGAGTGACAGAAAGATTCAAGAATACCGGTTGTGAGACCCTTTTAGCTTCGTCATCTTCGTCTTCGACTTCATTCCGCTCATCCATGGCAGGGACCTCGTGGAAGATGAGTTGCAGAAGAGGCTGCACGAAAAACGGATAGAGGTCCAGAGGTATGTGGACCAAGACAAGCCGCTCGTCCTGACACGGTACGAAGTCAGTAAAGTCCAGCTCGGAATATCCAATGGGTCTGGTTATAGGATCTCATGACCATGGCAGCGCCCGCAGACATTGGACATGACTTAACATGCATACACCCATTTCGCCAAGGAACACTGGAAAACTTACCATAAGTTGGACTTGAACAGATATGAGGGATAATGGTTGAGCCATCTTGAGATTCATTACTGTATCTGAGATGTTCTTGATTGGGACCGTCTATGGGCATTCAGATGGCCGCGTCTGGATATAGTTCGATACTGCGAGGGGGATGTCGCACAGGAGAGGAAAGCTGACATTCGGCACAGCACAGCAACGGTGAAATTGATATCGGAAAATACCAGAAGCACAATGGTCTGGCAACCGACTAGACGCTAAAGGGCCGTAAAAAAAAGAGGTGTGGAGTTTTAAAGAGATGCAGGTTGTCGTGGCGAGCGCCCGAGCGAGGTTGGATTCAAATCACCGTCAATAATAGACAGCAAACACTGGCGAACAGGCTGCACAGATGTACAGAGCAGGATTCTCCCCAGACAGTGCTGTGCAACTGGAATAGAAACGCTTCGTTCAGGCTTCCGGTGCCTGTATACTCATACTTCCCCAACCGGGCCTTACGCCATCACCCGCACCGATGGTATGACGCAGACAGGAACAGCACAACTGACAAGAAAAGGAACAGAGAGGCGAATGACCCAATGCAGATGGTTTATTGATCACAGCTGAACATAGACACGGAGACAGGTTCAGAAGGAAATGATTTCCATGGCGTCAGACACGGTACCAAGCACGAGTCGAGTCGAGTATGACTGTATCATCCGAAGCTGGCGGCAAAAATACTTGAGGCGGAAAAAGGTGAGTGCGCAATCAGCAAGTAGTTATTACTCCTCTCTGATCAATAATCTTTTCTCGCAACAGGTCAATCCCTCTTGAATTTCAACGGGGATCCTTTTTCTCTTCTTCTTGAATCCCGACCGACCTTTTTTGACCGTTGTCTTTTTCACCCGCCTAGTCAATGGGCCGAGCGGTTTGCCGCGGGCTTGCTCTCCCCCAGGTTCCACTGCTATCAAGGAGCTTTTGTATCCACTGACAGACCAACGCCACAAGGCAAAAGCGCCAAGGGCAACCTCGTGCGTCCGAAGAGCGATGCGTAGCGACTCCTCGATCGACTGTGCTGCAGCCACGAGATGGCCGTTGCCGTCAGCGGTGAGAAGTTATTATGAATGGTCAGCGTTTGGGATCCGGCAGTTGTAAGGTACTAGTCAACGTGGGAGCGAGATAGGTCTCTATAACAACACGTGTGGCACGGATCTCCACGCAGCTTGGACTACAATCAATCGACCATTTATTATTATGTTTTCAGTTGTTAGGCTCCGGCGTTATCGGGACGGCCGCTGACCCAGACAGAAGATGAGTCCGATCACCAATGACGACGGTCAGCTGCAGTCAACGATAGCAGTGGGGTTTTGGGACAAAGCCATGGAGGAGAAAAACGAAGTGGAGCTGAAGAGAAGGTTGAAACTCTGAAGAATGACGGCTTCTTCTCCAGAGGGGCGCAGTCTTAAGCTTCGAACGGGCAATTGGAGGCCTTCTTACGGTCACACGGTCGGCACTATCAAGATCCAGGCAGCATAATGATCAATCCCGTGGTTACTACTACTGATCACTGGAATGAAAACCAGAGTTTCAAGAGCGCGCATGAGCATGGGAAGAAAGCAGACAAGATCATCATTCTGGAGACCGTTTTATCGCGGCCAGGGCGCTTACAACTTTTCTCCCTGGAGCATGCTTGTATCTGTCAGAGACACAGGGTCCAATATTGATCTCTGTTATTACCCTCCGAGCCCGATCGGATAGCTAGCTAAAGCGTTCCGTCGTCCCCGACAGCGCTTGGAGCAGATCGTCTTGGTCCTAGGGAGACAACACGGCTCATCCTGAGGACCGCTCGTGCCCACGTAAGTACCAGGCTATTTCTCGGAGGCATGGGCATCTTCAAAAGCATTTGCTGCTAGCGAAGCTGCCAGCGGGCACGAACGCATGCACAAACCACTTTTTAGTGACGCTTCATCTCGGACGAACTCTAGACGATGTGGAGATCAACCGTCTTGCCATTCCCTTTCGGGCCTTTTTCGTTCTTTTCGCTCGCTTGAAAATCGTGGTTTATCAGTGCCCTATCTTTCGCTGAGAGCGATAGCACCATCACAGACCACCTCTCGGCCTGTGCGCCAGTCTGTAGTACTTGATGCTATCTTGTAATAACACCCCTCACTTACACTTATCTCTGAGTTTTCTTCGATTCATTCGGCGTGCGGTTCGAATAGAGGGGCTCTTTGAGATAGCTCTCATCCGAGAGTTGACCATGAAATCTCTCGAAAAGAATGGGGAAAATTAGAAAAGGCCATCGAAGCAGTGGTACCTTGCTGCGGACCTGAGCATAACAATCTGAATTAACTCAAGACTACTGTACAGCGCTACTTCTTACATGCAGGAGATTCCTCTACGACTCCCCTGTCGCAGCCCCGCTCCGTCAGGCTTCTCGTCGCAATGCTTTTGCTCCTGGCCAGCGGACTAAGCACTCGAGCGCCAAACAAAACCTCGCGATCCCGGTTGATCGACGGACAATCCTCGTCTTTCACCGTGTAACTGACCGCGGCGATCGCTCGGGAGAAAACACACTGTCCAGGGGCCTTATTATTATCCAGTGGCGGCCAGCAAAGTGGCATTGGACGCGTTGAGCAGGCTGGCCACAGGCACGCATGCACCAGCCCCCTCAGATCGAATCTGTCCTCATCTCTCCTATCAACTGATGAACGGGCTCGGATAGTCGGTTGGTTCGCTACTTGGATCCAGTTGTGAGTGCCGAATAGACTAGTCATCCGGCGTGCTAGGACTACCTCCTTTGATGTGGTCGTTCTCCATTTGATAGCCAGTAATCCTCTGGACGTATACATAGGATCTAACATAGACCAGGAATGTTCCTGCCTTCGTGGCCGGCTTGAATGAAGCCAGGGGCACTCAAAACTCCCCGGCGAGTCCGTGCATTTAGTCGATCTCCCCGGGTCTTTCTCCGCATTTCAATTTTTCCCCGTTGCTCTCTCCCGAGTCCACCATGACAAACCCTGCGTCTCTATGCCCTTCGTTTTTTTTCTTTTGTCCCTGTTAGAAACACATGCTGTATTACCCCCGGGTCTCTCTTCGGATGCTACTCCGGGGTAATCTGCTCGAGGATATCTGCTAGTCTTCATTATCCAGCCAATGCGTCATTTCAGACACAGAGGCGTGTGATCCATCACAACATGTAAATGTAGAGATGCGGGGGAAGAAAACGTAGCGCGACTGGGCTTGGGTGGCTCTCCCGAATCTTCCGTGCAGCGGCCCTTTTTCCTTGTTCCCAGGGAGAAGAAGAAAAAGACGAGCAAGGAAAGGAAAGGAAACGAATGGAAGGAAAGAGACCGTCTCCAAGATAGAGCTAGTTACTACTTACTAGGGCATAAGCTTCCAATTCGCTCTATACCTACTACTACCATAGATAGTAGTATCACAATCATATGGACATCCCGGTGCAGTGCCGGTATAGTTAAGTTCTCCGCAAAATGGACTTGCTTTTTCTCGGCTCTTAGACCGACATTTGACGTGATCGTCATCTTATCTCTGTCAGGTGTCTTATGTGTCTAGCAAGTGTGGGGAATGTCTGCGATCTCTGCCCTCGTGCTCTCTTCCCTCTAACGTATCGTAGAGCTCTCATAGAAGAAGAAGAAGTCCCTGCAGTTCGGGCAACGTCATCATCATATATGAAAAAAACAAGTCAACCACAAATGATGAGGTAAGCGTAAATATGATAACTAGTTAGATTATTGTTATTTTTGGTACTGTCGTCTTAGCAGTAGGTCATCTCAATAGAGATTGGGTATGAATATTTTAATCGCAGGGGAAAAAGAGCATTTAAAATTGGAAGTAAGTTGGACTAGTTCATGAGTTACATATACTTAGTGAAATAGTAAATAAAAAGGGGGAAAGCTATTAATATGGTTTTAGGGGGAATGTTGTAAAACAAGTCATTTGTATGATGAAAATCTTCAAAAGCTTTAGTCAAATCGCTGCATGTTGTGAATAAAGCCAAAGAGGCGCAGTTTATTCAAATACAAGTTGCACTTTCGGTGCTGATAAATAATCACACTCGCTTTCATTTGCACAAAATAGATTAGCAGAGCCTTAAAAGAGAGAGGAAAATCGTCATGAGTTCCACATGGCTATCTTTTTGCTAGTCTGACTTCAATTGACATATCACCTCAAGGGTGGTTCACTGCCATACCATACATGCGGACGTTTCGACTTTCGAGAACGTCTCTAATATCGAGAATGAAAAGTAAGATCCGAGCCCTTCCAGATAACGCCCGCAATGCATTAAACTGTACTTGTCCCCAGTGACACGAGAAAATAAAAACGGTAAGTTGAGTAGAAGAGAAGTTGTGCTTTGCATCTCTTCCCAGATAAGGAGGCGCTGTGATTCTTTTTCAAAACAAGGAAAATGAAACAAGATAAGGTGGCATCTTATCACATGAGGTCCGAGGTTAGTCCGCCTCTTCCATTCTCGCGCGCTTAGACCCGCGATCTTCGTGGTCAGCTTCCTGGAGACCGTATCGCTTCTGGCCGGCTCCGCCGCTCGTAACGTCGGCGATCATGCTGTCGATACCGAAAGGATCGGTCGTATCCTTCTCGAATTGAACGGGGCCTTCACGAGCCTGAAATGATAGTTAGTTGGCGGTTCCACAAATGGAGGGTGATATGATAAGTCACAAGATCCAGAATAGGATGATTCTTACCTCAGCGTCAGCCGTCCCTTTGAATCCTTCCTTGGCACGGCCCAGCACTTCGAACCGGCTGCTCTTTTGAATCTTGCCCATCTCACCAGCTGCTGCTTCTTCGTCATCGACGTCATCTACCTGAGCTCGCGGGCGGTAGATACTGTTGATGGCGTCCTGTGCGGCGAACAGTGGCTTATCGTACGGGTTATCCTCGTTGAACCCAGAATCCAGTCCGCTCGTCTGGTTGAACAGTCTAGAATCGTACATGGTCTCGGAGCTTTGGGTCGGCTTTGCCATTCCCAGCGCGACCTTTTCAGAGATATCACGATTCTGTTCTCGAGCCATCATCTGGATCCTCCGTTCCGTACCCATACGTGACTGGCGGAGTTGACGCTCTGCCTCTTGGCGCCTCTCACGACGGGCGCGCTCACGCTCTCGAGCAGCTTCTTCTTCGTCATCACTAGGCGAGACAGACCTCGACGGGCTTCTGCTGGCGGTGACAGAGCGAGAACGAGCTCTAGAGTCGCGCCGGCTCGAGGCAGCAGCCGCTCGTTCTTCGCGCGCCTTCTGCGCGAGCATACGGAGATGCTCTTCCTTCTGTGCCTTCTCCTTTTCAGCAAGTTTCTGCTGCATGAGGGCACGTTGCTTGACTTCCTCTCTCGCGTGTCGATCAGCAGTAAACAGTGCTTCGGCAAATTGGGCGAATTTATCATTGATAGTGGTGTCCTGCAGACCACGTCCATCTGCAGCCAGACGCTTGTCAAGCGGCACCGTGTAACCCTTGGGATTCTTCCAGTTGGAAACGGGTGGAGGAATCCTCCACGCTTCCTGATCCTCGGCCGTAAGCTTCCTGGGAGGTGAGTGCATAATGGGAGGCGGTGGTGACGGCGGTCCACGGGGGATCTTCTTGTGCTTGAACTTGGGCGGCTCCATGGGATCCTGCTGCCTTTCGACAATCTTCATGATGCGATCATTCTTCTTGCTTGTATCTCCCATCTGGTTCGCGGGAGTGTATCGGACAAACGTAGGCTCTGCTCTTTGTCCGCCCTTCACGTTCTTCGGCTTCTGCGAAGCCACGGCCCCCGAAACCAAGTTTGCCAATGCATTCTTCGTCTTCTCCATCTGTGCCTGAACTTCCTCCTCTGACGGTCGATCTAACGAAATCTCGCCCATATCGACCCTCTGGCGCAGCGGAATGAGATCCTTAAAGGAGGCATGGACGATGCGATTTTCACTGTGACCGCGGCGGGCGATAGCATCGTACTTGACTTTTCCTTCCGCATCGACCTGCACAGCCAAAGCATTGGACGTAGATGATGTGCCCTTGCGACCCATATCAAGAGGATACTGAGCAACCAAAATCTCAGGGAACGCGCCACCATCGCCAAAGTCTTCTGGGGCTCGAGGTCGCCATCCTGCGCGGTTTCCGTACGGCGGCGGTCCGGCTCTCTGTAAAGGAAAACACACGTTAGACACTATCCACTGGAGATATACCTCCAGGTATCACGGATATAACTCACCCTTACAACAACTTGCGTCTCGTCAAGTTGACCAGCGCCGAGAACCCGCGGCCCGCGCGGCTGGGCGTGAGGCGGCAACTCCTCATCCTCGCCGGTGTATTTAGGCTTGGGCAATGACTTGAAGAGACCGGCTGCGATGGAAGTCATTGTCGACCAGTGACGGGGAGTTGGGATAGGTGGTGTTGAAAGATCGTTGATAGATCGAGTGGCCCAGATGCGCGCAAGTTCAACTTCTGTCGATGGCGCGGAGCACTGCATTTGTGGTTACTGTGGGTTGCCGTAGCGATGATGAAAGGATCCACCGAGCATCAACTTGGAGTATTTCAATCAGTGAATCAACAATTATTTATGCCTACATCAAAGGGAATAGACAGATGACAGTTATTCGAGCGTATTAGATAACAATTTTATCGAAACGCTCACAACTAGCGTTCTCGAAAGCTCCATATGCTATCTATCTTGTCTTTACATTCCCTTCATTTACATCTACATACCACAGTCACCACTCGAAAAGGGTGCAATATGCGACCTCTGACTCAAAGATTACTATTCTGATAGGAAAATAGAAGCGAGATTGTTCTTGTCAATTGACTAATATTATGCGCCTTATGGACAACAACTGCAATTATGCAGATCCTGCACAACAGAGCAACCTAACTAGTAACTAGGCCTTGAAGCATCATCATCCAAATTCACATATTGGGCAATAGCATACTATCATAAACCAAAGCATATGTGCTGTCACGAAAACAAGTAACAGACCAGAGCCTTCATTCACCGGTAGCCTTCACTGAGTATTATTAGGAAAACAAGCTAAATATGAGCAGGTCAGGCCAAGATGAACCACGGCGTAGGGACCTTTGCTATGTGATTCCTGGAGAGGATAGTAGCTTATGTCTGTAGCATCTTGAGTGTGGGAGATAAAAGTCAGTTACGGATTCTAATTATCTGCATAATAGGTAAGAGGCCTAGCATACCAGAGCATAGACAAATATCTCATCCGCCGAACGACTCAATTGGCAGCAGGAGCTTCAGCGCGCACAAAGTAAGGATATCCAGCGTTGGCATAAGCCCAACGACCCGGCTGACAATTTTCCATGATATCGTTCGTGGTACGCAGGGTAAAGGAGCCGTCGAGTTCACGAACCCACCACTGCTGTCCGTCGGCAGCCTCGTAAGGGATCAACTGAGCTGGCTTGGTGGCTCCAACCTTTTCCGCGATCTTAGCGTTCTGCTCCTCGACATCTTTCTTTGTAGGGCCGCGCCATGGCGTGCTGCCGTCTTCGAGGGTGGGAGGCTGCGGCGGAGCCAGAGGACCGGTCATGGTAGGGTAGTAGAGGACCCCGGGCTCTGCGTAGACTGGCATTCTCGGGACCTAAAAGTGATGTAAGTAACGAGTTTCTTCTACTCTCAAAGTATCAGATGAAATACATCACAAGGCGCAGGCATATAGGTCACGGGAGCCATCATCATTCCCATAGGGGAACATAAAGGGGCAACCATGAAGGGAGCAGCGCATGGATGCTGCAGCGTCTGGGGTGGAAGATAGGTGAAAGTCATAGGAGTCTTTGGAGGCTCTGGATTTGGTTCCTTTGGAGCCGCCTGGGGAGGGACGTATGTGTAGGTCACTGGTTCCTTATGCGGTTCCTCCTTAGGGGCTGGTGTGGAAGACATTTTCGAGGGATCCTCTGTGCCATACTGGTAAAAGTCGGGAGGCATAATGGAGGACACAATGATATTGAGGTGAACCTAGAAAAAGGCCACTGCCAATCTTTGATGTGGAAAGGCGTAAAGCACAAGGAGGAGATACAGACAGGAAGGTGAGCGTTACGTGCCAGGGGACAGTTGCTGGAGCAGTGAAGGGAGGGAAAGTTCGTTTTCAATGCGGGGTTGTCAACAGAGACAGGGACAAAGAAAAAATAAGATCTGAAAACAAAGTGGACATGAGAGAATTGTGATGTGAATGAAGATAGATCAATGAACCAGATTATTGTAGACTTACATTTACCGGGTAGAACACATCACCTTCTTGAACGACATACCAATCGGGCTTTTCTTTCTTTTCTGGCTTTTTAGGAGGACCTTCGACGTTGTATTCGCGAAATGGCCAGCAGAAACACATCCTGGCTTTATGAAGTCAGATGAAAGTGGCGACAGTAGGCGAAGCTCTTGCTACATCAAACGATGTGGGATTGGACCAGAAAGTATCTGCTAAGTTGAAGCAAAGATGTGAGGAAATTAACCGACCCATCACCCAAGTGAAGTATTTGCATATTGCCTCTTCTCACCGGGCATAGACGCGCTTGACGCGACACAGAACAAAAGCATGAAAGCACACCGCTTACTATCAGGTTACACAAGACTGACTGCGGTGGGTAAAAGTAAAATCCTGAGGATGCAGAGTGAAAGGAGTATATGTTTCTCTAGCGAGTTATATGACTCTAGATGATCAATATATCTGCAATAAATAGGGAGATAGGATCGTGACAATATGTAAACATACATGATTACTGCATAGGGGATATAGGGTGGAGAGTGGCACTAAGACATCTTTGCATCCGACGTTTTCAAACTGCAGAGACAGGTCCAGACTCGAGTATCAAGACAGCAGTACCGCTCTCTAGACCTAGCGAGTCTGGATGACACAGATTTCATCGGACGGACGACTTAGCTCGAACGCTATCCTCAAGACTCGCATGATTCATGGACGTATATGTGGTGACGACTACTCTCAGCCCGAGATTAGATGGGAACGCATAGGGCAGGTGATTCCTTCCGAGTCGCCAGCCTCCACTATATGTTCTTTGCCCCCGAATCTGTACCAGATCTTCAGCTTTTTAGGCCTGAGCGGAGCTGGGTCATAGAAACCAATCATTTGAAACTATACAGTTGTTAGTGTTTGAAATCGACAGCTGGAGAAGTGGGATTTACCTTGATGACTTCACGCGGTATTATGAGTTGACCATGGTCAACTAATGCTGCCACAGGAATGGTGACATCTATAACCTTGCTCTCTCCAGCATCGCCCTTCTTTTTCTTATCTCGAGATGGATAATAACCGTATTCCGCTTTTGTAATCACCAGACCACCATTCTCCTCTTCTCGGGCCTGTCTTCTCAATACCTGTTCAGACATGAGATCGATAGCTTGCTGGCTTTCTACCCGTCTCTTGGCAATTTGTTTCTCTAACTGCCGCTGTCGCTTGGCCAGTTCCAGTCGTCTCCTCTTCCGTTCCCGTGGGCGGATGAATCCAAATTCAACACCGCAATATGTAGCCCAGGGGAGAATGACTGCAAGGGCCGCGATTTCCGCACTGACAAGAGGCAGAGGACAGATAGCTATAGGAAGCTTAATCTTTTGACCCAATCGGTTCCACGACACACTCACGACAAGTCCTTTGTTCCCTTGCAATCCGACACCGAGTCCCATGCGTGTGAAATCAGAGACTTGTCTAGTTCCAGAAATGTGCCAGCCGAGAGAAAGATCGATTCCAACAGTGGTTTGTATCTCCAACCGTACAGGTCGGGCATCATGGTTTTGTGATATGGGATGATAGCCTTCTGTGCTCCACTCCGAGCGCAGTTTCTCGTCACCTTTGTGTGAGAAGAGGTTCCGCCCGTAGACGACAGATAGACCTCCCCCTTGCGGCGAAGCGTCCACCTGAAGTTGCCAGGATTCAGCCGCTCCCACTTCACGTTTTCTAGTAGCTGGCGCGTCGATATCATCTTCGTCTTCGTCTTCCTCATCCTCTATTGCGCCTGATTTCCTGGGAGCTGATATGTAACCAATTTCAACCTTGCTTGTCTGGGCTGGCCTCGACAGCACATCGTCCAACGGTACGCCGAGATCAACAATCGGTTCCAGCAATTCTCGGATGACTGTCGGCCAGTCCAGAGTCCCGCTTGACCAGGAGCAATATACGGTCCGCCCCACGTCCAGTTCACGGGTAACTTGCAATCCGATCACCGGCAAAGACTGAAAGATTGACCTGAAGAAGCCAGTTCGAAAAGTGAAGATCAATGGCTTCGTTCCGGGAAATGGTGAGATGGCTTTGGCAACAACAGCCTCCACTGTCGGAAAAGGCAAGACGAGACCAGTGATGCTAGCATCTGCTCCTTCAAGAAAGGACAATGGCAGCTTTCCAAAAAGTCCCTTGGTAGATGCAACGTTCCGGAATCCATGGTTAATAGACGCTCCAAGTGACATATTTTGAGCTACCAGAATCAGCGGCATGGCAACCTATGCAGAGTTAGTATCCCAACACCCATTAGGGGTCAAGCCGACACATACGCGTTTGACCTCCTCTGTTCCGTCTGGATACAGAAACCTCGCTTCTCGCATGGGGGTCTGCAGTTTGCCGCCAATACTTGCACTGAAGGTCACCTCGCTCTGTATTGCTTGCTTCGAGGGGTCATCGTCTTTCTCTGACTCGTCTGTTTCGCTTTCGGCCCCTTCGTCCGTCTTTCCCCACAACTCTTTGAATGACGGAAGAGGCGTTCGAAAGCTATATCCTATAGCATATGATGACGGTCGCAGCGTGGGCAACTGTATATAGACATAGTCCTCCTCCTCATCCGCTGATATCATGGAAGTAGCGTCGATAGCCAGTGATATCGATCCCTTCAAGAGCAAAATCAGCCATATTTTCTTCTCTCGTTGAACGCTATATCGAAACTACAAGCAGCACCAGAAATCGTGCACATTTCTCCATCCTCGAAACAACACAGTTGACTCTACAAGGCATAAAAGAACATGCTCTTGTAAAGTATGGAAGAAAAAAATGCGCGTACACTGGGCTACGCACCTTGCTCTGAACCAGGCTATCAAGCACCTTCCTCTCACGCGCCTTCATTGTATCCAAGAACCATCGACGGAATTCCTCAGGACTGAGAGCCTTGACTCCCACCTGCTGCTGCTCTGCCACACCACCTTTGCCCATAGCGCCGCCTGCACTCCATTCTCTCCGAACACCTTCGGCTCCCAGAAGGTCATATACTGTCCGCTTCTTCGGGTCGATGAGTGTATCGTAGGCCTCCCGAATCTTCTCAAACTGCTGCTTTGCTGCTTCGCGGAGATGTGCAGGTTGTTTATCCGGGTGAAAGCTCAATGTTAGACTGCGGTATGCAGACCGAATATCAGCGTCCGTCGGAGGAGGCGTCCGGGAAAGTCCCAGTAGACTGTAGTAGTCGACATCGTCTGGGTACTCCATCAACCGATCATAATCCACATCCGAGATAGAATCGCGGTCGTTGTTCGCATCTATGCGACCATTCAAATCTCGCCTTGAGTTTCCCAGAGCATCTTGGGACCGCGAGAAGCCATTGGCAGCACCGCGGTCTTCGCCATGGTCAGGAAACCGCGGCATCCCTATCTCTTTGTCTATCGTGAACTTTTGCCGGCAGTCAGCTCCAGTATTAGTACTCAGCTTTCCATTTTCCGACTCTCAATGGCATATATGCCGTCGTGTATTGTTGAGGTAAATAATGCGAGGAGAATTCCTTAACAGCATTGCGGGAAATGCGCTTTTTGCATTCAGGCGATGACGTCGGAAAAAGGTCGGCGCCGTGGAAGCTTCCGGGCGGAAGTTTGCGGGGAGACAAGACGCGTTCTATTATTTATTCGATCTATGGCATTCGAAATGATAATATTTAATAATAATCTTTCACTGACACAGCAGCATACTGCCTACGTGAGACAGCATTCCTGAATGGTATTGTCTACACCCCTGCAAGCGCCACCACGATGCACGGCGCATTGTTCCTGCTGCAGCCTAATCCTTAAAAGTACTTATCTAGCTTCATCACCCCGGACAAAAGTACCTGTTGGCTTCTCCATCGGTCTTGCGTTTATTCTAGCATTATTCAGATATTACTATGTTCTATTCATGTCGATGTATTTGAAAATACTTTGAAATTAGCCAACGCCTTAGTCTAAGCAAAACAATCATGGTCCACTCCACGCACCTCGGAGATAGACCTCCAATCTACAAAATCGACCTCTCTCTCCCGCCAGCGGAGCGTTATATCGAACTAGCCAGTATATACCGCATTCAACTACGATCTATCTCGCATATCTTCGATGATCTCGTTTCGTCCATTCACCCTAACATCCCTCTTGGGCTCGTTCACAAACTAGCCCGACTCTGTATGCGGCGTCTGTACACTTCGGAAGAAACCGAGGAAATCCGCGGAATCAGCAAAGCCACTGATATACCATTATATCTTCTAGTTGCCTTTAATGTCCTGCTTGACCTTCTTATGGGCTGTACCAGTGGAGGTGTAAGAGTAAAACCCCACCGTGATGCAACGGAGACGAAGATGCTGCATTTCAGAACCCTAGACTGGGGTATGGATGCATTGAGAGAATTGGTGGTTCAGCTAGATTACGTTCGAGGACCAGATACAGAGAAAGTTCTCGCGAGGAGTATCACTTATGTTGGTTTCGTTGGCGTTTTGACTGGAGTGAGAAAGGATCTTAGCCTATCTCTCAATTTTCGGCCTACACATAATGTGGTATCCTGGGTTTCGAATTTCTTCTTCTACGCAAACCATCTGCTTGTCTTGTTTGGGATTCGTCCCTCGATTGCATCACTGCTTCGACAATACATCGTTCCTGAGTTGAACGATAAAGAATCGCAAGAGCACCAGACAGTTCTCCATATGGAAGAAAAATATGGGCCTGAATCGCAAGCTCCATCCCTAGTCAAAATCGAATCGACTCTTCCTTCAATACCAACCACAGCAGCGTATCTGATCTTCAGCGACGGTATATCCACCCTGACCATGGAAAAAGACTACCGGAGTGCCGTCATCCGAAGCTCAACCTCTTTCATCGTCACCACCAATAACGATCTAGAACCAGACACTCCTCCAACAGAGCAAGTCGCAGCACAGAAACGAAAGACTCATGCAGGCCTGGGAGTGATTGCTGGTGAAACACAAAGTGTGGCTGACATCATTGAAGATAGCAATGAGCGGCGAGACTGCATGCAGAAGAACTGGGATAAGAAAGTTCATCGTGAGCAGCAGAGAAGAGCTACAACTAGTCAGTTTGGCAGAAATCACCGATCCGGGGATGAGAAGCTTCATTCAATGAAAGAAAAGAGATACTCGACCAGGTCCAGTAAGAAGAGTCAATCTCTCCAGAGCTACACGCGACTTCGTGGATCCCCCATTCGAGAGATGAATACCATCAAAGCGACCAAATTCGATGATGAGTCCGTCTCAGCGACACCGAAAGAGGCCATTAAGTGGCTAAGTGGCTGGCCCGTGACAAATGAAACGACACACTATGCGATGCTCATGGACCCCACTGAGGGAGAGATCATATGGATCAAGCGTTATCTGGAGCCCGTTGATTTGTATTCTAGTTAGATATCCCAAGGATGTCTCACATATGCGAAACTGATGACTATTTCTATCGTCTTACCAAACAAAAACGACACAGAAAAGCTCAAATACTGCCTCCGTCACCTCTAAGTGCATAAGCCGAATATCAATTAACTATCGGAACAAGGCATACAGCAAGTGTTTGCGTTGATAAAAATGTACTTTTGATAGTTAAATACAAAGTTCTAGTCTATAGGGCTTGGAAGCTATCACGCTCGTAAAGTCAATACAGCAACCAAATGCACATTATATCCCCATCCAGATGGGCTGTCTAAATTGTGCATATAGTCGGGCTCAAATCTCAGGGATAAAGTCATATAGATAAAGTGAAGGAAGTAACAGAACGGAAGTAAGTCGTCTTTTAGAGAAAGATAAAGGGGTATTCTTGTTCAATAAGGACCTATGGATCTTCTCTGATCCAAAGAACATCCTCTTTGGAAATCGAGGCATCCAATGCTAACACTCGAAGATATTGGTCTCTGGGAAACCCGTAGATAATGTCGAGATCTGTTGCCGTCCCAGGCTCCATCTTTGGCCCATGAAGGCCCGCACGACTGTATAATGGAGGGCCATTCACGACAAATCCCACTTTGTCGTCCAATTTCGTTTCGTTCCTGGCTGCGGAGATTATTGCTTCAAGACGTTTCTCAATGAGCCGCGAGTGTATGCGGGCGCTTTCCCAAAAGCGACAGAGATCGTCGATCACGTCCAAACCGCTATGTATAAGAGAGATGCATTCACTTAGATCTATCGTAAGACCAGCAGCGCTGAGCACATCGGTAGCACACAATATCAAGTAGCTGATGAGAGGGTACGAGAATATCACTCGCCGCGTAGACGTTGACGGATCGTATCCAGAATTCAGCTGCGTCACAGCCAGGGATATACGCAGTATCTCAGCGGCATGATGTCTAGCTCTACCAATATTGATACGAGCTGCCTCCCCTGAAAGATATTCGAGTCGTACATGCCGGTGCAACCTCATAAGCACAGCATGGTATAGCATGTGAACAGAAACGAACATATCGGAGCTGCCTGTGCGAATGCTCCGTTCTATATTGGCCATACTGTATATGAAAGTTTCGGGAAGGTTCATATTACTTTCTTCCAGTCGTCTCGTGACATTCGCATTGAATTCTTCAAGCCGTGTCGTGTACGTCTTCTGAGGTATATGAGGAGAACGGATCACATGATTCGTGACTTCTCCCCATTGAAACGCCAATTCTATCAGACTGGACATTGCACTGAGGGAAGGCTGCTCATCCAACTTTAGTGTCTGGGGGCGATCGATCGTGTTTTGGAAGTAAGGCGTGATCGTGTACTGCTCTGCTTCGTAGACATCTTCGGGACACGGGAGTCTCAAGAAAGAGTCTTGCGGTTGCACAGAAACAGGACGGAATGAATAAAATCCGGGAAGTCTCTTATCAATCGTCAGTCGTGCAATTATCACTCAAGGGAATAGACGTTCAACCAACATCCAGGATAAATGCAACCCAAAATGTCCGTCTCCGGCATTCGATCAGAGACTGAGGCTGTAAACCATATTCACAGGTTTGGCTTGTATCCCGAGTTAATCCTTCTGCTTCGATATTATAATCTAGCCCACAGACAGTCCTGACGGCCGCGCCTATCAGGTCCCAAGCCTTCACCAGAGCACCGATAGAATAGTACCACAGACTAAGTATTATCCTGCTCTGGGCGAGCTGTAACGTCAATGCGTGTTGGCTCTTTTCCACTGCATAGCTGGCCGTTTTTGAATAGCGTTTCCCGGCGAGAATGTTGTCCGGACGGTCAGAGAACACTGAACCCATAGCCATCATCGAGTATATAAGCATTTTGTCATCGGGAGATTTCGTACGGCAGGATCTCAGCCACTCTAAGAAATTCCTTTTCGGAAATATATAATAGAATCCATCGTTCACGTAGGTAAAGTATTTTTCGATATAATGGCTCATTGCTTCCGGGTTGGCTTCGTAGGGATCGGTGGCCCATTCACGAACCATCGGGTCATCCGGATCGACGTCTGTGATGTCCGCCAGTATGTCAACACGATCAGCTCCATCCCCAGATGCTGCCCTACTCGTCTTCCATCTAGGATGATCCGTAGTGCCGCTAGAGGAATTTGAGGATCCTCTCTTTTGGGAAAGCGAAGGATCCGACCGTGCACCTCGGATGGTGCCGCCCACAGATGACATTATCGAAGAGTCGGAAAGGGGAGATTGATTGCTGCTACCTGGAACGAGCACGTATTGGTCAGGTGCTTGGACCTTCTTGTAGTATTATTGGAAAGCAGAACTGAATGTGTGAATTTAATAATCGCGATACGTACTTTCTTTCGCTCGCGATGATATCGATCGGTACTCATGAGAACCTTTTGCAGCCGCTGAATGGCCTCGTGGCCTGAAAGATGCCAACTCAGTAAGTACCTTAATTATCGAAAATCAGACCCCAAGGGAATAACTTACGCGCTCTCAAACCTACACTCCTTGCCAGATTTCTGGCATTGATCACACTTAGGAATGTTTGGCTGGCACTTGATCTTCTTTTCCCTGCAAGATATGCAAGCTTGTGCTAATCGTTTTCTGGGCTTCCCAGCCTTGGTGACACCCCAGTTCGCATTGACGGGAACACCGTCGATAGATTTTGGACAATGCGACCCGTCCGCATAGATGTAGCAAAGCCCTTCACCCTCTATATATCGCTCATCTACCACGTGAGGTAGCTGCTGACGCGGACGAGAGCTGCCAGATATGGAAGTCATATTGCTTTGCCCCTGTGACGGAAGAGACTGCGGATCCCGTATATCCTTCCCGTAAGACGCTCTGTGAGAAAGGGACGAGAGTGGACGAGTCGGGTTCGGCGGTTCGACGCTCATTGCGGCGTACTGTTGCGAATCACCCATAGGGTTGATATAGCCTTGGTCTGTTCCCATCTGAGCGATCGGAGGTAATTTGCCCGTTGCATGCCTTCTTTCTTGCCCGTAACCATCCAAATGGTATGCTGGAGAACTGGCGCCAATCCTCGAAATGAGCCCTGGAATATGACCGGGAAAGGGTTGTGATGAAACATCATAGCGACTACCGATTGACGGCTCATTTATAGTGTCTGCTCCAAGTCGACTGCTTACTTGAGTATTAGGATCATATGGCCATGCCGGAAAACTAGAATCAGACGCAGACGTAAGCAGTTGGCTGACAGAAGGTAATTTCTCCCCACGCAACTGTCGCCTTCCAGCGTCCGCTCCCTCCCCTACATCTTGTTGATGCCCAGTTATTTCGATTTCCAGCTGTGATGTCCTTGTCTGTCGAGGTGGTGGAAGTTGGTATAGGCCATCACTGACCGTTGTTAACGGCCTGTCCGAGTTATCGGGATCTTCCGCGGTTTTTCGTGCTTCAGAAGCAGGTTGCATGCGCTCGACTGGTCTCATGAAATGATCTGACATAACTAGCACCTCTTCCGTCGGTTACCATATGGCGTCGCAGCATGGCCATCAAGGAGCGCGAGCAAACCAGCAGAGAGCTATGGGATATTGCGTAAAAGATGTGCTGTGCCGCGCGCGAAAAAAAAAAGCCCCGAAACTAGAGCATGAAGAAGTATCTGGTGGGGTGAGTGTTGCCAATTCTGTCCTCTCGTAACGACTTTCAGTTGGGGAGAGCAGGCGCAAGTGTGCGTCCACAATAAAGCATAGTGAGCTGCAGGGCAGGAAACTATTAGCATCGTCGGCCTGATCGCAGACACGTATACGTCTGCCCATGTCAGGCGCGACATCTGGGAAGAGTTCAACGTACCTCAGAATGCTCTGGAACTAGTGAATGAGAGAACTGCTCCAGGAGGTATAATTTCCCCGGGAAACGACCAGGCACTACGTCGGCCCTACTGGAAGGGTGGATCTGTTACAAGAAGATCAGATCGATACCGGTATAACTGCAAGGTCCGGGAGAAGCAGTACATTGAAGATAGAGTTTGGCCGGCCCTTGGGTCAGGGAACCCAATTGTTCTTGTGTCTGACTGCAGGTTTATGGTGGGGAGGACGTAAAAATGTCAAGATCGCATCTTACGGCGCAGACTGTGTATTTCAAATCCGTCCACGGTCATGGAGACCCTCCAGAAGAACTGATTTTCCGATATCAATCTTCTCTAGAGCTCTCAGTCGATCACAGTTACATACATCAGACACTCCCTTTGGAGACGGTTTCAGCTCAGGTCGGGATAGGTTATATACGTGTCTCCGTGGATATACCGACTTCAGGAGATCGGGAAGAGGAAATCGAATCAGCTGCTCGCGATTGAGTAAGCAACAGCAACAAGCTGGTAACTAATAATAATCAGCACAAGAGCTCAGTCAGGAACTGGCACTCTTAGGTGGCAGGCTGACTTGCCTACGTTGGAGTAGACGGTAAATGAAGCGGCTCGGCGCTTGGATGCCACAGGGACCGATAGCTTCTTCCCGATCTCATCAAACCTAAATTACGGAGTATTCCGCCAGAGATGAATTCGGTTTTGCGGTCCTAAAGATGGGTCGTAGCCTGCGGGAATTTACCGCCGCAATGTGAGTAGCGCAGCAATTATTGCTCCGTACGGAGTACACTCGACGCCGTTGAGCACAGAAGCCGGGGTCTGCTAGGGTATCTCGAACCACCGCTTAATGAACGGGGGCCAGAACCCTTGTCAGGAGCTCAAACCAGCGCTTCTGTCTATGGGCCCCGTAACCGTGGCATTTACTGTAGCACGGTCCAGGGCCATTATTCTCCGCTCTGAGGCATTCGTTCTGTTTGCTGACCTTGAAGTACACAATATTTTTGTAGTTAACAGTCCCAGCGATTCAAGATGCACTCGGACTATCCATTGCGGCATAAGAACAGATCCACTGAAGACTGAGTACATATAGCGCGGCTCAAAGAACTCCTTGGACTCTGGAGTCCTTTTGTCTCTGGTGGATCATGGTGGATCGTCGCCGTTATCCGGTGTATCTAGAGTCGCGAGTCTGACCCGTAACTAATCTTATGGCGTATAGGAGAAATAGTGTTGATGCCATGCCGAACGTTCAATCACTTCCAGAATTCGCCAGGTGGCTTTTTACTGAGTCAGAACTCAGAAGTCACTGGCTGCCCAAGTCATGCTGTCGATGTTTGAAAACGCCATGTCATTTCTGAAATTAGCCTCTTCCTCCAGGAGGGAAGCCGGTGTGAGCACTGATACGGAGTGCTCCGCACTCCACGGTCTCGGTTAAGTTAGTGCTTCCCACGTTACGGGATATGGGTCTACCGTTCGATCAGCATTCTCTTATTGTTTAGTGGCCATCATCGTCGTCGTCTCCCCGTTCGAAGGTTTCATAGGGAAGGCTTCTCGCAGCCCATAAGTTGGTATTACATGGTGGCAGGAGAGCAGGGTTAGATCTCAGATGATAACCATGCGAATCGATATAAGACTCGAAGTCGACTGTTCGATATGCCATACTTAACTTGCTGCAGGGCCAGATCTTTCTCGAGTATGTAGCGGAAGGGCCAACAGATCAGCGGGCCCAGCAACCAGGAAAGAATTGTGGGATTGGAATCGGATTCTCGTTCCGCGAGCACTAGCACGATCGGTCAGTCCCGGCTGCTTCGACTGCATCACCCGTTCACTTTCTTGGGCTGCCCCTGCTCACGGTCATTTAAATGATAATTGTTAGTTCGCTGTCGTCCACACGCCTTGGCAGATCCGATCTGCAGCCTATCTCGATCCTTTGATGAATCTTTCTGGTCAATAATAATAAGAACGACGCGGCACAGACAACATGGGACACTTGAACGATCGTCCAAATGAGGGACGTCAGAAAGAAAAGGGACAATAATAGTGTGGGCTCTGTTGCACTAGTCCGGACGATAAAAATTCGCACGCCATGGCGGCATGGCCCCTTCATGTCAGTGGAATCCCCGGCGATACGCCGAAGAATCGTGCAGTTGGCGCGCTTTCTATTTCCGCGTAGTTCAACCGCCAACACCACGGGATGGCACGTGAAACTGCCCGGAAAAGCCACAGAGACAGCGGCAGTTCAGCACATGCAATATAACGCAATCGCGAGTACAAGCAAGCCATCTGCAGTTATGAATTATCAATAAGTGAGTGAGTGCAAAAGGAGCACTAATTTGTTCCTATTTACTCCGGGGTTCTTCCGGTCTGAACACTTTTCCAGACAACCCTCTTGTTTTAGTGTGACACACCCTCTGGAGGCCGTTAAAGAGACCCCTTGAAAAGCTGACGGATTCAACACGAGAACTGGCAGGCTAGCAACAATAATATTAGAGGATCAATATCGTTCCTTGAGCCTACTATGCAGATCAACCATGTTGCCGTCACCTCTGCTTTCTCCGATTCGTAAGATGCGGCTCCGATGTTTCCTACTGCCTTTGAAGACGGCGACCATCGTCCAATTGCCAGTCGCGACGGTGCAAAGTTTTTCTTCCCTCCCGCGGACCTTATCAGCTCCGTCTCGCCCTACCCTGCACTTGTTGACGGGCTGGATACTCACTTAACTGCTTCCAGTAAACCGATTCTTTCCTAGTGGCCCAAGGGGAAGACTTGATGCACTCTAATTGATTGTTTGTTTCCTTCCGCATACCCCGATTGGGCACTAGCTAGTGTCTGGGCGCCAAGGATATTTTTCAAAGTTACTCCGCTCTTGACTACAGAGTTCAAGACAATAGTATAAGATCAAGACGACAGTTTCTACGGAACGAAACGCCACATGAAACAGATATGGTAAGACGGGATGATTCGAGTGCACACGGGACATAGAGTACATACATAGCCTTGCTTATCAATCATATCGATATTTGCAGCTGCCCAGGAGAGTGCCTGAAATATACATACGTCGACGGTTGCTGCTGAAATTTTTATATTATGAGATCCTAACAACTTTAGTCACGGAGTAAGCCAAAACTCGTCTTACGGTGATGGGGATAGCACCTACTCTCCAGATAATTGACTATGATACTGACCCACTAACAGCCCAGCCCATGTCCATGGACCAGGTAATATGTATGTATATACAACCTGTCCAAAAACAGCAACCCGGTACGTGCCAACTCAAGACAGATATATCAAATCTTCATAGCTGACCAGTAAACTCAACCCTAGACATCTCGAATCAATTCTAAATATTTACGCTCGCTGACTAACTGATATTGGCATCTCAGTGCGCTTTTTCACCCATATATTACATATCATGTAACTATTCCGTGTAGATGGACAAAGTTTACGCTAAACCTACCTTTCGTGGCTATCTATCCGAAATAGGCAATAGGTAGAGCTCAAAAATTGTTCAAGATACGCAACCCACAAATGCACGGAGCATTACTCTAGATGATGGCTAGAATGGATGTGGCTATTATCTTCCAGCGTCTACTGGGAAAAGGTGAGCTGCATATCAAACTTTAAGCCTTGGGTAGAGAAAGCAGGATCCGAATTTTTCTTCTCCTTTTATCGAATTGAACACAAAAAGAAAAAGCAAATGTAGACACACCTCTTTACCATATCTTTTTTTTTAAGTGTGAACTACCGATGGATCCTCTTACGACTAGTCAGCAAGCTATGCGGAGTATGTCTCAGATCTCTTGTGATGCAGCAACTTTGCTTGCTTGGCTCTAGATTCTAACAATATTTATTTCCTCGTTACATAAAGGATCTAGACCTGGAGGATCTAGCAGGCTTTATTATGCCCAAGGACCTGATGCAAACGGATGGTATAACGTGTTATCATGCACAGGTCGTCAACAGAAACTACTCTCGTGCAGGATGTCTCGGTGGTTAATTGAGTCAAGTTCGTCTACATCTGCAGTGCCATTGCTAGCTTAGATACGAAGATACCCCTCGAAGCATTGAGTGTCTGATCATGAAATGGGGGAATTTTCTAAGGCTACGTAAGTATTCGATATTCTCGATCAAGAGGATCAGCTACATACTTCGATTTGGCCCGAATCATAAGCCCGCCTTTCTTACGAGAACGAAAAGCGCGGAACAATTATTAAGTCGGTTACATATCTACGCATAAATGCTAGGTGCAGTCGTTGAGGTCATCAGAATTTCCCGCTCATAATGCACAAGCCGGGATCATGCGGCGATTAGAGGGGTCCGCATATCGCGGATTTATTACCATGGATACATGATTTCACGGGTATTGCACAAGCGTTGATTCATTCAGCTGTGACTACCATTTTTAACCGAAGAGAAATAAAACTCATATCAAGAACCCTCAGAAAATAACCAGTTTTTGACCTCCAATTTACTCCTCAGCCAGGATCTTCTGGAAGGTCTCGCCGGCACGCTCAGGCTTGCCGCTCTCAACACCCTTCTGGCCGAGCTTCTCCTTGGAGAAAGCAGCAGCGTAGGGGTTGAGTCTCAGCATGACCTGCTTGTTCCTGAGAGGGTTCTTCTTCTGCACGTTGGTCCTCTTGGTACGGGCCTCGCCCTTGGGCTCACGAAGGACGGACTGGATTTCGGAGGAGTTGATCAGACGGGCAATGTCGGCGTTAGCGACAAGGTTGGAAGGCAGGATGAAGTCCTTCTTCAGGGCAGAGGGAGTAGTGGTAGTGCCGTAGACCTCGTCCAGAGCGGCGAAGGCAGAGGAAGTCCAGACGATGAAGCGGCCAAGGTGACCACCGGGGGCGAGCTGGAGGAGGTTGAGAGAGAAGACGGGGGAGGTCTCAACACCGGGGATGTTGCGGAAAGCCTTGACGAGCTCCTTGCCATCGACCTCGGGGTTGTAGACAACCAGAGGACCACGGCGCTGGCGGTGACGACGGCCACGGAGCTTACCCTTACCGGCACGGATCTTCTTGGACTTCTGGACCTTGACAAGGTCAGGACCAGCACCAACAGCCTTCAGGAGAGAGACAGCGGCCTTGGTCTTGGTCAGGGCAGCACCCTCGAAGGTCTTGGAGTCGACAACCAGGGGGACCTCAGGAACGCTAGCGATGCGGTGACCACGGGCGAACAGGAGGGAAGGAACGGAAGAAGCAGCCAGGGCGGAAGCGGTAGCGAAGCGCCTGGTTAATCTGTCAGTATGGAAACTCCTGCCAATACGGGTCTTCCTGATGCGTACTTCTGGCCAAGGTTGATCTTCTGGTGCCACTTTCTCCAGACCTTGGTCGGGGCGAACATACGACCAGAACGGCACTGGTTACCGAAAGCAGCCTGACCAGCACGGTGCGTACCGCCACCAGAGACACGGGGGATACGGGCGACAGCACGACCTGGCGCAAATTGTATCAGTATGAAGATGTCCCCAGATCAAACATTCTTAGCATCTCGAATTGGCGACGTACCGGTACCCCAGGACTCAGCAGAAGTCTGTTCACCAGCCTTCTCGCTCACAGCATAGGGCTGGCGCTTGTTCTTCGCGATACCGGTGTGAACCTTCCTGCAAAATCCATCAGCACCATTTCACCCATTGCCTTTCTCATTTTCGACGGCTTACTGGACAATGTCGGGACGGATTGGCGACTCGAAAACGGCGGGCAGAGGAATAGTCGCTCCGCTGGGCTTGCCATCCGCCGTGGCGATGGTGACGGTAGGGCGAGACGCCATTTTGTCGACAAGTTGCTGGTCGTTGTCGTCGTTAAAGGTTGGAGTTCAAGATGCTTCACGAAGAGCTGTGGGTTTTCTCGCTTACTCGGAGATCGGTGGTGAGAGTGCGGAAACCCTAAGCCCTCAATTCCACTTTAGGCGATGCTGGCCGTAGCGCCAAGCCTTTATGCAAGTTAGCGCCCGCCTTCTCTCCACAGCCAATCGGAAGCGACAGACCGATCTGTCCTACTTTCAGGCGTTCAAGTAACCGCTGAGCCCCAGAGCAATCACATTGTCATTGTTCAGTTTCATGACCGGACAGCCTGGCCCAGGTGTGATGGATAATGCATTGCAGCTCAGTTGTACCTCTCTCTCTTGTGGAGCTTCTGCTATTGTCTTCTGCAAGCAAGCCTATGCTCAGGCGTCATCACCATTGGACAGATCTCTAACGTGTATACAGCAGGAGTCATCTCACAAGATGTCGATCACTACGTGCTACTTTCTTTAGACAGTCGATGACACTAATAATCAAGCTATGCCGCCTGCAACTCTGCGGCACAGCAGTTTTATGCACCCTGGAAACTTGCTGTGGTATCCCAAATGTCACTTTCGAGGAGTCCACCAATACCAGCTCTCGAGCAAGCGCCGTGAATGTGCCAGGCGACATGGGGCTTGTTTTGCTTTTCCTATCCCCATTCGTACCTTTTTTCTTGCAAACATGCAGCTATTCATTAGTTGACGCCGGCTACCTACTGGAGAGATGCAGATCATTGTATCCGCATCATGTAGTAAAACCTGGACAACTGCCGTTTAAATGGCAACTCATATCCTGTAAGAAGGGCTATGGCCATTCTAATCTGACATAAACTGTTTCTCTCCCTGATTACCAGGGACTCTGCAACCGACTGCTCATCAAAACTGTTACTCGGTATTTGCAGTACTAAGGTATCTGTAGCGGACCTCGCGGAAATAACGAACGCCCCGAGGCTGGAATGGACATCGAGGAGAGGCCTTCTCAAACTATACGTGAACGAAATACGCCCCGTGAGTCGTCCGTTTTGAGTCAATACTTAGAGGGGCGCTGGCTAAGTTTTGACCAGGGGCAACATGGAAACCACTCTCTTTGCACCCTGCCCTAGTGTCGTTGATGATCGCTTTCACTTTGTTCATCATCGTAATATTGATTATGCTGCAACTGAAGAGTAACAATGACGGGGGCATACTTTTCTCGAATGATGTCACTAATTTCCCTGTCGGACTCAACTTTCTCTATCTATACCTCCCAACGATCATCGCCGTGATATATACCACACTCTGGAACTGGGTTGACCTCAATGCAAAAACACTGGAACCGTGGTATCAGCTGTCAAAAGAATCGGGATCTTTAGGCAAGAACTCTATCATGCTCCAATACCCGGCGGAATTCCTTGCGTCAGTACCTATTGGGTCAATGAGACGGAGGTATGTTCATAAGATCGCAGCTTTCACTCCTTAACTAATCTAACTTCTCCGCAGACATTGGGTGGTTTTCTGCACATCCACTATTTTGGTTGTTCTTTTCTGGGCGGTTACACCTGTTCAAAGTGGCATTTTTGCTGTCAAGTCTGTCCGAAAGTCACAAATTCAGCCAGTCATGGCTTCGCCAGGGTTGCTTTCTCCCGAAGAACAATCACGCGCATTGACAATGAATTTCATAAACCAGGGCTATAGCGTGGCATGGTATGGCGAAAAACTCCCTGCTTTTACCACTAGGACGTATGCTCTCCTCCCGTTTCTCCCTGCTGGCGATGACTTATCCGGGTCAAATCAGACATGGACAGGGAATACTATCTTATACGACACATACCTCGATTGTCGGCCTCCTGTCTCTGTCACAGATGACGAGGATTGGTTGACCTTTGATGATGGGCAAGGCTGCATTGCTCGGGAGATTATCTTGTCTGCCGAAGATTATGGCAGGCAGAATATAAGTGCTTATTATATAGGTTACGATGGAGATGGTGGAACCGGCGGTGGTGTTTCATTGAGAGGGGCCGGCTGCAATTCCAGCTCGCTGCATACTTTCCTCGCCGTGTGGAGTCGAACTTCAACGACACCAAATTTCCGAAATTCATCATCATTCACAGCTTTGTTCTGTTCGACAAAATATTACCACCAGAGCGTAGAGGCGACAGTGCGCCTTTCGGATCATTCCGTTCAAAGCTTCCGTTCGCTCGCAGGAAAGGAGGAACTCTCGGAAGATACGTTCAACTATACCTACTTTGAACAGCTTATTGTTACGCAGAACCTCCCCCAGAAGCCAGCGACGAGCATAATAGCACAGGAGGCCATAACTGATAGGCAGGAATTATCGGACGAAACAGCATTCCAGCACCAGACTCTCCTGGACGACAGCGATATTCTTGGGTCATCTGTCATGATTCCGTTTGCATTAGGAATGACAAACTCATCTACTGAGGAACTGTTGCAGCCCTCAATCCTCCACCATGCATTTGAAGCTGCTCATCAATTGCTCTTTGCTTTGGCAATACAGTCCGTCATGCGGGATCCGTCGAACGCCCTCGGAAATATCTCAGGCATTGTGGAATCATCGTTTGGAGCAGTGGTTATGGTTCCACTTTTCACATACCTAGCTATTGGGTTCCTCTCGGTGGTTGTAATATTATCCCTATGGATGCTCTATGGCAACAGGAATCGTGCTCTGAACCTCCAGGCTGGACCAGATTCTATTGCCTCTGTTATTTCAGTCACTCACCAGCAAGAGGCACTGAAATACTTCCGTGATTCCGATACAGACAAAATCGAGAAATTGACGAGGCCTGAAGATATTACCTTCAAATTGAAGATGAAAGGACAGGGGAGTCAACTCATGGTAGCGACATTGGCAGAGGTGGACGAGGATTGTCCTCTCAATTCCAGAAACACAAACAATACTCAGCCCTGGCCGTGGGAGCTGAGGCCGCTAGGCTGCTGTTTTCTCATATCTGTTCTAACAGCGAGCATAGTTGCAATTATAGTTATAAATGTACTGATTGAGAGACAGAACGGTGAGCATAGCCTACGTACAGTTCCTGAACACCTTGGCTAATTTTATTCGTTAGGTCTTCCGATGCCTTCTCAAAGCGCTATTGTTCAGCAGATCGTGCTCAATCTTCTCCCTACGGCCCTGGGCACCATATTGGAACCATTTTGGACCGTTTTGAACAGGCTATTGTGCATTTTACAGCCATTCTTTGAACTGTCAAAGGGCACAGCAATGGCTTCGAAGTCTCTTTTGCTTGAATATACCTCGGTTCCTCCGCAGCTAGTTTTCCTCCGGGCTCTCAGAGCAAAGCATTGGCTGCTGGCTACAGTCTGCGCCGTTACAGTTTCTGCGACTGTCCTAACTGTCGGTCTCAGTGGCCTTCTTGAAACGAGAATTGTGAACCAGCAGATTCCGATCCGATATAATTCCTTATTCTCTCCAAAGATAGAACCGCCAGATTCGACGTCAGGACCTACAGGCCAATATGGCCAGCCATTACAGATCGTGCTCACAAACTTTTCAGCCGATATATCCCTGCCACCGTGGACCACACCTAAATATTATTTCATACCGTACACGATTCCTGAAGACGGAAACCATCAAGATACGTCTTATACTCTTACAACAATGGGAATAGGCTCAGAGCTAGACTGCCAGGAGCTGAAAGAATCGGGCTCAGATTTATTGTATCGATTTACGCTTAATGATTTCGCTACAGAAGCCAATTTCACCGTCACCGAAAGGTTACCAAACGGAAGTACTGTCCGCTGCTTTTCACCAAACGGCGAAATAGGCGACAATGCTACAGCCCCCGCTGAAACGACACAAGTTTATCTTCTGGGTTCACCAGAAGGCAAAAAGGGGCTCGAACTTTTCATGCAGCCCATTCCCAGCTATGTTTCAGGCACAGAGGAGGAAAATTACGCCTGTCCGCGAATGTTTGTGGCTGGTTGGGTGAAGTCTGCTATATCACTCGGGTCAAAGAGTTCTCAGACCATATATGGCCCAGCGAGAGAAATGACGAGTTTGTCGGTCAGTTCAACATTCATGATGTGCAAGCCTCGGTTCCAAGCCGCAAATTTCAGCGTTACCGTCGACCACGAAGGCTATGTCCTCGACTACACAAGAATCAGCCCGCTTACTCAGGATGTAGACCAGCTTCTAGCTTGGAGTATCTGGAACGCCACGGCATTTTTGGTAGGAGCAATGCCTAACCCTCCCACATGGCATAATGATACGGTGGCCAATGACTGGTTCAATCTCCTTTTAAAAAGCTATTACAATTCGACAACGATCCTCGATCCTCGATACCCGCTGCCAGACTTCCCGACCATGGCCAATCTAGTGAGCAGCGTCTACCAGGAGCTTTTCGCTGTGACCTTACAATCCAATCAAAAATGGCTCGAGACGTCAACCACGGCATCAGTAACCGGGGCAAAAATAGCACCAGCATCGAGGATCTTCTTTTCTAGTACGATGTTCAAGATTGTCCTGGTGATCTTGTTAGTGGACCTGGCCGTGGCTATTTGTGTATACGCGCGACTGCCAAAACCCTTCCTCCCAACGATGCCAACGAGTGTCGCAGCCATACTCTCCTTCGTATCAGACAGCCACTTGCTGCAAGATTTCGGCAAAGTCGAGACAAACGGGGATCGCATTGACAAATACCTCGAGGAAAGAGGTCCAGTTTTCGGCTTCGGGAAGTATATTGGCACGGATAGGGAAATCCATGTGGGAATTGACAGTCAACCCTACCTTGTCCCACGCCATATTCGTCAATCCAGGCTGCGAAGACTGACATCGCATTTCGAAAAGCAAACCAGCAAGGGCTCTGACCTCATCTGACCAGAGATCGGCCTGGCGCATTAATTCAAAGTTTGACTGCTATTAGATTTCTACACATACTCGTCGTTTGACCTATGGATAGCCATAAGCCATAGTCATAGGTCATTCGTTGTTAGCTTGTTGAAATAGACTCGGCATCCTACAGATTACCCGAGAGGAAGTTGTCTACTGCTGAAAATTTTAAGCGTGGAAAAACAGCTTTTGATTTCAATGCGTATTCAGATGACCATCGAGCCAAGTATCTAACAAGAAGCTTTCACACTTCTGAAATGTCAAGAAAAAGAAGAAAACGGTTACTCAAATGTACAGGAGAAGAGAAAAAGAAAGTGGTCCCGTCAGTCTTTTACGACGCAGGATGAAGAAGACCCAGCTGGGAATGGGGAAAAGAAAAGGTCATAGCATCCGAACCGGCAGATACCGAAACCTTTTAAATGTGGCTCGCACGGTTGATATGTCTCCTGGCGTGCAGGTGGCCAGCAGGGACTCTTGGGGACCTCTTGACAGCGGCGACCTTCAGGGAATCGGACTTGCCAGCGGTGCAAGTCGTGCCGGACGCCATGTCGATGGGGCTGGACCAGTTGCCGCTAGCACAGCGCTGGAAAGAGCTGCCATTGATGCAGTTCCAGGTTCCCTCAGGGGAGCAAGATCCGGACAAGGCGCCGCTGCTGGAGCTAGAGCTGCTGGATGGACTGGCGGCAACAACCGACACAGTCGCGGTCTGAGACGCAATGGGCGAGGCGCCAGATGCGAAGATTCCCGGAGCGCCAGTCGGGGTGGATTCAGGAGCTGAGGTAACAGACGACTCGGAAGCAGCACTGGTAGCCGAAGACGCAGCAAGAGAGGAGGTTGCAGGAGAAGCGGTAGGAGAGACGGTACTGGGAGAAGAGCCCGAAGAGCCAGATGGACCAGGGCCGGGACCACCAGTGCAGGCGGCCTGACCCACGGCTTGAAGGTTACTTGGCTCGCCAGCATAAACAACAGAATCGCCGGGGTCAGGGAAGCGGATGTCGACGTTCTCTGGGGTCGTGCAGCCATTGATATTGGCCACGAACATAGGCGGGAAGCTGTCACGTTTGGAGAGCGCTTTGGAGCTAGACTCGTCACGCTTCTGGCTACCTCCGGTCACAGTGATAGGAGCACAGTTCATGTACATCTCGCGGTTGCCAACTCTGTTGAACCATGTCCATGCCAGGGCATACTTGCCTGCAGCAATGCCGTCTGGGATACTGAACTGGAAAGTGTTGGGAACAGGAGTAGTTGCGCCGCCATCATCAAGGTTTCCGGCAGTGTTGATAGGGCATCCACCCTCAATCGAATGGATAACCATCCATTTCGAGTCCTTGGTCGGTTCCAGGTCTGTTGACAAGCTAATCTGACAAGATCCACCACCGTGAGTGGCAATGCCCTCGAATGCAAGAGTATGATTTTGTCCAATCTCGAATGTGTTGAGTTTTAGGAGAGCCTCTTGATTAGCCCACATGTCAGACCGAATCTTGCAGGGAAAGTCACTGCCGCTTGCATCGAGAGGAGAGTTGTTGAGAGTGGTGTTGGCATATGGGATGGGGCTGGTCATGATAATATGAGCATCCGCAATGGCCGAGAAAAGGGCTGCAGCCGCAAAGATCGCCTTGGAAAACATTGTGTCGTGAACTGGTCTTGTTTCGACTTTTTTCAACTTTCAAATCAATCTGATGCGTACCGGACGAATCAGATAGGTCGTAATGACTGAAAAGGTTTGATTGAACCAGCAAAGAGAGGGATCTTCAGAGAATGTCAGTAAGGACCGCCCAGCAGTCAACAGAAACAAACAGCAATGATATGATAGAAAGAAGAAGTTGACATTGCATGCCAGATTTTGGATACAGCTCATGAGAATATATCCAATAAGTCCATGGGCCGCAGATAATTGGACAATAAGACAGCGACAATGGATGCTCAATAAAGAAGAGGTGAAGGAGACAATACCTTTGTGTGTTAACGGTGGAGCTGGACAGATCCTGCCTTACGATTGGTTCTGAAAAGGAATGATGTGCAGAAGGATGTCTGCTTCAGTTTGGACGGTGCAATGAACGTTGATAGTCTGCCACAGGCAAGACGAATGAAGATAGAGAAAGGAAACAGGAACTGGCCTGCAATGAAAAAAGTCGAACAAGAGAGATCTACCCTTCGAGCCGTGAGGATGTGAGGAAGAGAAGATCAGTCTGGGCAGGACAAGAAGGTGTTTATATCGGCCTTGGTGGAGGTGCCCGCCTGGCACACCGCAGTGGACAGTGGACAGTGGACACTGACCAGACGGGGCTTACCACAGCACATCCCACACACATGGACACTCTGATCACTCACATTTTACGCCTATAGGCCTACCAGAATGGACATTAGTGAAAAGAACCGAAAAAGCACACGTATTAACGGATTTTGCCGCCTGCTGTTGCAGTGCTTGCGGAGAAGGTTACAGCCAGTGAGGATCCCCGGGTCTCCTGTGGACCATGACGGTTGAAGCAGATGAAGCTGATTATTTCGCCTGCAAGAAGGGAACGGTGTCCGTGCCTTGCAGCATAGATACTGCCGTGGCAAGCCATACGGGTACCTCATGATGTCCTGAGTGGGCAGCTGTTGAGCCACCAGGGGGCATTTGTGCCTGGTATCCGTGACTAGCTCACCCACGCCCTTCCGGTCGTGGGTGAGCCCTCCCATATCTTCAATTCCTACCATACCTTCCAAAAATTTTTTAGGTACCTTTTATATGGGAACACCATACAAAAGGTACATAAGGCCAAAAATACGATATATCCAATTATCTCAACATTTTAGTAGAGAACACCTTTATTTTAATTAATAATACTAAAATAATATGATATAATAACCTACAGCTTTAATTTGAAATTAAAATCTTAATTATTAAAGTAAGCGTTTGCTTTTTTATTTTCCCCATACAAAAAATTTTTAGTGAGAAATCTTTAAATACCAATATATCTCTCATTTTTAATGAGAGCTTTTAAAAAATTTCAATATAAATTATTTAATAATAATATTTTAATATTATCAGTTAAAATAAAGGTGTCCTCTAATAAAATGTTGAGATAATTGGAAATATTGTATTTTTGGCCTTATGTACCTTTTGTATGGTGTTCCCATATAAAAGGTACCTAAAAAATTTTTGGAAGGTATGGTAGGAATTGAAGATATGGGAGGGCTCACCCACGACCGGAAGGGCGTGGGTGAGCTAGTCACGGATACCTGCACACACAGAACCGATGGATTGGCCAGGAGGAATACGGAGTAGAGTCAAAACCTTCGAGCAGCCATACGGGATGCCCAGGCCCGGTTGTGCGGACAGACTGATCTGCAACGTGCTGATCCAGAAAAGCGCGGTGGAGAGATCACACCGAGTCGACGGACACATAACATTCTCTTCTGAAGCTGTTTCTCGACTGCCGGGTGCCCTGAACACCAACCCTTAGTGGAAAGGGATGGACGTCATAGTTTGCCTCCGGTGCTTTAATTTACGAGGCGCAGCCGGTCTTTTTTTCGCGAAGAATCTGATTTCAATATGGCACAGCCTCTGCAAATCTCCGCAGAGTAGACAATTGACCACCGCATCGGACGTGGGATATGTTGTTTAGCGTCGACGTCTCGCTGGCCAATAATGGGCGATAACTAAGATGTAGAAGAGCCAGGGTTTGTCTTTCGGGTCGATTTCCTTGGGTCGAAGGACAACGGACGCCACTGGGGAGCCGGGGATGTAGCCCCGGGGTGATGTTCAAACTTCAGCTTCTCTTTTGCCGAACTAAGACGCGGCTAAACAAGAAAGCCCCTCGGTCGCGGCAATGGTGCGACAAGAGCCAAAACCCCTGGCTTCCAAAGAAGCCTTACAGATTTCCAGCGAAATGTCTCTCATGAAATGCCCGCACAATTATCTGCCAGCGTCGAGGATTCAAGACGCGAGTATCCCAGCGACATCGATTCTGCCTCGCGTTAATTGTACCATGAAAATGTCTATGTCTCGAAGACAATGAGTTTTTGTTCAGGGATCGAGTGTCCTGGCTCTCTACTAAGCGATCCTCGCACGTTGTTTCAGTGCTTATCCACAAGACGGTAGCCAAAAGACACCCCGTCGGTCATAGATTAGGTTAGGTTGTTTCAGATGTCTGATCTGTTCTTCCTGGCGATCTTTCCTATGACACATGGCCTTCGTTTTCCGATGGAACGTATCCCATGCCACTTGACGTGGGCGTGGCGGCGTGGCCAGTCCTATGGCGAATATCCACAATAAGCTCAAAATTTCTTTTTTATGTGGCTATCTTGGGCGGCTTCTGTGCTTCTGTGATCCAGTCGACTCTTACATCGCTACGGACTGGCTGCTGACCAACTCACCAATTGGTAGAGCATCACAGCCTAACTCGGCGAGGGGACGTATTATAGCCGAGAGAAAGGCCTCATACACGAACTGACGATGTCAAGAAAGCTTAGGTTTAAGACACTTCCACAAGCTGACTTTCCCACCTTACATCCCCATGCCGATCAATAATGTTTCGAAACAGTCACTTAAAAGTTAGCATAGAGACGGAAGCTTTGAGGCTTTGGGCATTCCGTTTCATTGCTTTTCCCACCGCTGATGGTGACCAACCACCTACAAATATGGGATAGGACCTCGAACATTGGTAGACTATCTATGGTTTACTTCGAGTGATTGGGGCCACAGCGGAAAAAACCGAACCGCGTGAGAATGTGTTCGGGGCACGAGATCGGGCTCCATCGTAGGGCTCATTCTCCAGTAGCTGGACAAGACGAACCGCTTAGGCGTTCCATCACAATCCACGAAGTAATAAATATACTCTCTCATCCAACAGCCCCTTCCGAGTATGCGATACTCAAACCGGACGTGCGTATCGTAACCTCATGAGCCATCGACTCGAACGGAGTACGAATTAACTATATTGCACCAAGGATAAAAGACATATCCCTGCCCACGGAAAAAAGAAGAACAACCTTATTATTAAAGATCCCTGCTCTCTTCCTTTCCTTTTCGAGAACGCATGAAACGTCGGAGATTACTATAACCCTGTCTCTGCGTATGCCATATGGTAGTTAACCCTTGGCACTTGGCATCGCGCAGGCTGTAACAAGACTCTTGTCCATGCGTTGTCTATCCTATCCTAATCATTAATATTAAATATTATGCGAGCTTCCTGTAGTAATAATAATATTTCCTAGGCTGTCGGAGACTGGATTTTGGTTACATCGGGAATCCTTCTGAGAAAATGTAATTTTTTTTTAGATGTACGGAGGTCTCTTCAAGGCCATAGAGGCTTTTGTATGCTGTTGGTTCTCTTAATTATTATATTCCTCAGGAGATTCCTGTATTTGAGGAGTTTACCATGTGCGGTCGGGCGGCCTCGGACGATGGAGACTGTAAAGGTGCGAGTATCGCTCCATGCGTGTCAAGGTATAATCATCAGCACACATCTACGCTGTATTGGACCCCTCCAGCCGTTATTTCCAGGGCTGTGCCAGGGCAAATATGCTTAGACAACTGCAGCAGACACCTGCGGTAAACAGTGTCCAGCAGCTCTCATGCTGGTGGTGTTGGTGATGCGTCAAGCATGCCTTCTGTCTCGGGGACATGAGCACCATAAAGCTCAGTGAGAGGCTTTGGTCATGTACCCCCACGGCCACGCCTGCGGATTTTGACATGATAATGTAATATGTCAATTGCATGCCCGTGAAGCCTTTCGGCCTGCAAGCTGCTGATGGCGTTGGTCATCCAGGCGTTCTTCCATACCAAGATGTAGACGTCTAGGAGCGCTTAGCTGTATGCTGCGGTTATATCAGATAACCTTATAACAGCATGGACAGAGAGATCATTTCTTCCCTTTCTTCTTCCCCTTCTCATTCGCACCCGATCCTTCTCCTTTCCCAAAGCCACCCTTGACCAAGGCATCTCTGCCAGCAGCGTTGATGATGCGAAATCTATCCGGACCCAGCTTGATGCCACCATACCACCTGGAAACGACAACCACTACATCCCAAACATCCATCAGTTGCATGAGATGCAGAAGACGTCCACCCGCAGCCGTCTCGCCGTCATCATCGCAGTCCTGAATGATCGTCTCTCCCGTCGAGGACGAGTCACCCTTCCCGCCCGCAGGCGCTTTCTTCTGCCGAATCCGCCATGCACTGATATTATGCGTTGCAGCCGCAACTTTCTTCTCCGTCGCCAGCAAATGATCCAGAAACGCTTGGGCTTGCTCCAGACTCGTTACGTGCGCGGCTCGTCCGACAAACACCGATTTCTTCTCCGAGATGACATCCGACAGGATCCAGTCCGGGGGACTCTCAAGACCGAACGCTTCACGTAGAGATAATTTCGCAACATCGCCCGCGACGTAATCGACCTCATCATCCCCAGTTGCCGTCGTATCCTCGTCGGTGATCTTCTCAGCACCCCCGTGTCCATTCTGCTCCTCTCTATTCCCACCAATATTCAACTCCTCGAACGCCTCCACTGCCTCATTGATCACATCAAACAGACACACCAGTCCCGGCTGATGTATCCTTCTCACAATATCCTCTAGAACATCCACTGCGATCTTGCCCTCGCCGCGCGAACTCGTCGATGCGGTTCCGATAACACGCGGCGCTGTCTCTGGATACTTGGCGTCGAAGCCAATAACGAAGGAGAGATGCGGATGGTTCGGGATCTGGAGGGTTACTGTCGTCGTTACTGCTGAGGAGGTATTCGCATCGGCAAGATCTAGTGTGGATGTGGATGTTGAGGTAGCTCTGCTATTGCTGGTGAGGGTAACGGTCGTAGGTTCGTAGATCGCATTGATCGCCTCGATCTCTTCAGCGAGGTCGCTGTTCTGTACCGAGTCGAGGGGTAAAGACATGGTATTTTCGTAGTCGTGTTCTTCTTTTGCGATCGAGTAATATTCCCCGCTCCCTGGAAGGGCCAGTTGAGACCAGTTGAGATAGATTAGTTAATACCCCGCGGAGGAGGGTGTTACAAGGATTTTCTTTCGTCGGTGCGGACGTCGGTGTGAGGTAGGTAAGCTATGTACGAACCATATATGGAGAGAAGAAAAGTCTATATTAGATACAAGAGAAGACAATGAGAAAGCAAGCAATTGCTATTATAGATGAAGTGAATGGGTGTGCGGAGTAAGTAATGATAAATGTGTCGGAGCTTGCCTACAAGCAGACTTCCTGTCGGGTTTCTCCCACGCCTTTTCAGCTCCACCCACAGAGATAAATAGGCTGGCTCAGCTAATTGCTAGAGAATTCAAGCTCAGCAAGCTTCGCTCCAGATAATGCTATCTGATTCTGCGCTTATGATCTGATCCGGTGTTGTCCGCCTTAATATATTATGTCGGTGTTCCCGCCGAGAAGCTTGATAGTGGCTGGATGACAATGAGAACAATATAACAGCGCTGAGATGCTGTGTTTCTAATGACAAGATACTAGTTTTATGTCATGGTCTTAGTAGACAATAATACGATGCAATTACGCGTATGTCTCCGTGCTGACCCTAAGCACGGTAACGCAGGGAGATAATCTTATATGAGCTAGAAAATATATAGTTAAATTACTTCAAAGCATTTGAACATTACGAAAGTCATTATAGAGCCACGCGCCATTGCCAAAGAACCTAGTGACCATAAATTCTCCGTTATGCTGTTCGTTACACCCAAACTATAGGCTATCCCACATGGACTCTTCGTGGTCATCGATATCTTTGGGGTCCTTAATCTGCCAGAAAGCCTTGAAGCCCTCCACGGTCTTCTGGCTTGCTTCCGTCACATCACTGGCTGCCATTGGAGCGAAACAGAGGCGCATATATTGATAGGCAATATCCATGGTCTTCTGCGTCGGAGCGAACATCTGGCCCGGGGCCACAAGGCACAGATATGGCTTCCGCGTCAGGTGAATCCAGAGGGCCTTGCAGAGTTTCTCTCCGCCAAGCTGAGAAAAGAGAGGATGAGTGTCAATGCAGATTTTCATCCAGACAAACATGCCAGCCATCGGCCATACGAAGTCGAACATCTTGACCTTGTTCACGACCTCCCAGTCACTCAGATCGCCCATGGAATTGAAAAGGTCACGGTCGGTACTGTCTTGGACGATGTATTTGCCCTCTTCCAGAGCGGTACACATGTCCTGCATCCGGCGCTCATACGCCCCGCGCAGACCTTCGAGCCACCGCACCCAACCGTCCATTTTCCAGCCGTGTTTACCTTGCAAATCCACGTCTCTTCCGCTCTGCTCCTTGGCTTCGGGCCCCATTATCATTTTTGCAACCATTGCCTGCACGAAACCTGATGGTTGTTGTGTGGATGACTCGGCGATCCGAGTTAATCTCTCGATAATGGCCGGCTGCGCTGTGATCCATCCCAGACGGCAGCCAGGCGCGATAGTCTTGGAGAACGTATCCAGACGGACGACTCGGCCATCCGTGTCTAGGGAGAGGTACGAAGGGACGAGTGAATCCAAGAACTCGTAGCCCGAGGACTTTCCGTGCGAGTTGTAGTTGCGATTGTAGAGGTTGACTCCTGTCGAGTCCCCCCTGTACTTTTTGGCCAGTGAATATGCAGACGGAAACTGTAGGTTCCAGTAGGGATCATCCTCGATAATGATGATGTCGTATTTTTGGCATAGAGCATAGATTTCCTTGCGACGCTCGACGGAAAGTGTCCCTCCGGTGGGATTCTGACCGATCCTAGAGACTAGATTAGGGAACGAAAAGAGCACACAGGGTTTGGCTGCTACTCACGTTACAGTGTACATGAGGTGCGGACGGCGACCTTTCCTGAAGTCCCAATTGTCGAGAACGTCTGCTAGACTGCCCTCTCCAGACGCCATCATTCCCTGCTCGTCGACCGCGATCCCCACGATATTGAGACCCTTGGGTTTCGCAGTCTGGATGGCGTTCATATAGGCAAACTCCTCGCAAACGATCCCCTCCCTATCGCGGATCCAATCGCGGTCTTTGTTCCACACATTGGTGAATGCCTCGAGTGCTTTGGAGAAACCGTCGGTCGAGCCGCATGACAGGATGACATCCGGACCTCCTGCATAAGGGACGTTTGGATGGAGGTGCTGACGGACGAACTGCTTAATGAACGCCCGAAGCGGAGGATATCCTTCAGCGGTACCGTACTGCAGAGCCGTAGAGAGGTCAATCTTCTTTATGAGGTCCGTCGCGCCGCTCTCCTTGGGCACCATGACCCGGGCCGATGCCGGTTGCTCGAGGCTCGCAACGTCCACCACATCATCCTCGGGAGGACCGACCGGTATATTTGGTGTCGGCTTGAATCGCTGGGGTAGCGCAACGGTCGCCTCGAGGGTGTCGTAGGGGAAATACGATACGTGGGGCAGGCCTGAGAGGGATTTTCTGGTCAGTTCCAACGGTTCCGTTGATGCATCACATTTGACGATCATCCCAATGAGAAATCGTTCAACAACAGCGTCAGTCGGACGTACCTCCAGCCAAGTTGTGGATTCCAGGAATCTGGAAGTATTTGTAGAAGTTCTTCACGCTGCTCGCCTGGCGGTTCTTCGTCGTGTACGAGTAGTGATGAGAGAGATCCAGAGGCGGAGGTATGTAAACGTGCTGATCTTTGTCCATTTGATACGGTGGAGGCAGGGAACCCATCTTCTAGATATATCAGCGACTCAGCGTCGGGCTGTTAGCTCCCCTGGCGATCACGACAGATGATGTGCGTCTTGCGAACAAAGTTTGTTGTTGGCTCGGCCTTCTCAGCGATGGAACCCTTGATATTATTATTCCATCGAATGTATGTAGTAATAGTACCAGATGGATGAAAGAAGAAGTTATCATCAACCGGCCAGACGCGACAATCTGTAGGCTGGGGAGACCGTTATCTGGGGGACTTTTGCGTAGTTAGTTAGGACGATGATTGATAAGCAGCAGGCTTTGACAGCCCGATTAACTTATCTCTAACACGATAAGTTAACTAGTTATGGCGTCTGGAGAAGACGGCTGGCAGTGGAGTCGACCAGCAATGAAATGAAGAGCCGTGCGGATGAACCGTGGATGCCATAAGGCTGGCGATCATCGATTCCTGATGGTAAACCATCATCAAGCAATAATATGAATATGAATGAATTCATTAATTCATTCATTAATTCGTTCGAGACGCTCTGCTTCATCCTGACAGGGCGACGGCGTCATCTCGGGCTCAGGTAAGCAGCTGGACAATCATCCACCTGCTCGTCTCGCCCATCCGGACTGGCTGATGCCTTTTCTCCCTCGTCCACGGATACACCCGGACTGTCGGTCTTTATCACCTTCTACCTCTGGATCATGTCTCTATTTTGTTTCTTCCTTCAGAAATCATTTGTCTTCACTGCGTCGATCTAGGTAGTTCTCTCGTTTCAACCGCCCCACCATTCCGTCGAGGTAGGTTATCTCTTGGGTATCTTCTCTGATCCGTTGCTTTGTTTCTCTGATCGACTGACCCTTGAATCATCGCTAGGGTTCTCACCATGTACGACGACCACCGCGACGAGGAACGGGGTGTCTTCGTCCCACCACCCTTGACGGACGAAGAGAGCGCTGGCGATCCGGATGCTCCGGACGGTCTGCTCCCCGAAGAGGCCGGCAGCGAAGGAGGGCTGCGTCGACTACCGATCTGGATACAAGAATCATCCAAGTCATTTCGCTGGGGATGGGTACCGCTGCCGCTCAGGAAAGCTGGTCGCGCGGTCGTGCGCTGGGTAAAGGGTCCAGAGCCACCGCATGAGCTGCTCTTCAGGCCTCTGTTCCCCAACATCCAGGCATTGCCGGTCACCTACTTCGAACGACTCTTCCCGAAACGAAAACAAAAGATCGCTGTGCTACTCTTTCTATATTTCTCGTGGTTTTTGTCGTGGTTTCTGGTTCTACTGCATTCCGCCTCATCCGGTTATATTGAAGGATACGGCAGGCCGCAGACTCTGTCCTGCTCCGCAAGCTTCTGGTATGGGAAACCTCAAAGCCCGTAGACAATTCTTTGTCCAGATCGTGAATGTGGAGGGACTAACAGACGTTTATCTGATACAGGTCCTATGGCAATAAATGCGGCCTCAACGGAAATGACTGCCGTCCATTTTCCGAATCGACATTGGCCTTCCGCTGCCCAGCAAATTGTAGAGCGCTGAAACTGCTCGAACCTCATACAGTGGGAAACCAGACCCTCAACTATCAACCGTTAGTTGTCGGTGGGCCAGAGCCAGAATCTCCTGAGCAGGGAGTCTACCGCGCCGACAGTTTCATCTGTCAGGCGGCTATCCATGCAGGTGCCATAACCAATACCGCTGGCGGATGTGGTGTGGTGAAGCTGGAAGGCGCTGCGCATTCGTATCCCTCTGTCGCCCGTCATGGCCTGCAGTCGGTCGGATTCCCATCGACCTTCCCGAAGTCATTCAGTTTCTTAAAGCTTTCCGGCTCGCAAGCGGGCTGCCCGAAGGACCCCCGGTGGCCTCTTCTAGGCATTACTATCACAGCAATAGTCTTGATAGCGTTGTTTACGACCTCACCGCCCGTCTTTTTCTTCAGCACGTTCTTCATGCTATTCTTGCATGTTGGTCTGGTGTCAGATCCACCGAATCTGCCCAGTTTGACAGAATTGTTTTCACTGCTGCTGGCTCGGCTCCTACCGGCCTCCTTCGTGGCCTACGTGCTGTACATGTACTGTGCTCGTCCACTGCTGACGCCGTTGTCCTCTCCAGCATACCAGCTCAGCAAGACGCTGCTCTATCTCCCTACTGCATTTATCGGCGCACTGAATAATTATACATTCGCTGTGCTGATCCCGATCCAGCGACTGACGCCTCACGACATTCGCGAACAACCAGGAGCCAAAGCAGCACTGGGTATCATGATAACGCTTGTGGTTTCAATTATTCTCTCTCAGGCATGGCATATTCGTCAAGGTGGTCTGATGCCCCGTTATCTGGCGATATACGGTTCGATGGGAACCATAATACTCATCCTGCTCGCCTTGCCTGGCCTTCGCCTCCGAATTCACCATTACATCCTTGCTATCCTATTGATGCCTGGAACTGCTTTCCCCATCAGACCATCCGTGATCTACCAAGGTCTGCTCCTGGGATTGTTCATTAACGGTGTCGCGCGATGGGGGTTTGCATCGATTATCCAGACCCCCGCTGCCTTGGGAGAGATCCCGTCGAGCACTGGAGGCTCCAACGGCTGGTGGGGCGCCACAAGCCCAAACATCACCCATTCATCCGTCCACATTTCTCTGCCTCGCAATACTGATCCGAGGCACCATGGCAACGGGAACATCACATTTGCGCTCTGGGAGCATGAAAGAATGGCCGAACTCGGAGTAGATGGGGTTAGCGTCCTTGTCAACGATGTCGAGCGCTTCCGCGGTTACCTGGATGAAGACAAGCGGGGCGAATTCACCTGGCACCGCCACGGCCATGATGGCCTGGAACTCCCTGGTGTGCTTATGCCTGTCGACCGCGAGGACGATTCCTTCGACAGGCAGAGCGACGAAGTAAAAGCAGAAAGCCAGAGAGCAGACGACGAACCAGAAGATCTCTTCTTCCGATTTGCATTCCTACGAGGAGCCGAGGCAGGACTTTACGGCGGAACGGGTGTTTGGTTAAGAGATGGACGGTGGCTTCCGCCACCTCCTCCTAAGACATAGAGATATATTTAGAGAGGCGTTGAGGGAATATGGATCGAATGCCTATCGATATAGATCAGAAAGCGTTGTATATGGCCTGATGTCTTGGACAGATATATACCCTGGGATCCTTAGTGATATGGCCCCGTCTTCCTTGTTTTGTGTTTGCTCTGTGAGTATCAAGTTGGTTATTTGGTTACTGAGCTATCCACTACGTGGGTGAGTCAACGTCGTTATGCCTGCTGTTGAATAGGTCTATGGCTTTTTAGTTTTAAATGAACCACGATCGATCTTTGCTCTTTCATGACTCAAGGTTCGTATTCTGTTGTCGATTTCCGGTCTGAGACTGCCCACGGAGTGGGCACGGGCTGATAGCTCAATGTAGCTGGCAAAACGATTGTTTCGTATCACTGAATGCTCTGATCCCTATACTTTAAATGCATTCCATTTCTTATATCAGATGTATTGAATTCCCCCCATGCATGGCCTTCCCGAATAAGCTATTTCCTGATTCTCGACGGTCCGTACACAGAACAAGTTTCAAGTAACCACCAAAAATCTTGACCAACGTGTCCCTTAATCATCATCTTCCTAACCCCCAATACTAAATGAGTTGCAGGTATCAAAACCAGCACATGACCCAGACGGCGCCGAAAACTCGCCTCGGCTAAAAACCATGGCAACACTCAACACTGCCGCGATCATCATCGCTGCCTTGGCCTGTAGAGAAAATGTCCGAACCCGAATCGTATACGGGTTTATAGGTAGAAACTATTGCTTAGACCTTTCCCATTTGGTACGCCGCTCAAACTCAGTATGGGATGATGGGACATCACAATGATTAGGAGATCTCAGCTAGTGCTTAGCAATTTAGCTCTGCTGCTGTAAATCTGGTTTTTGATAATCATGTAACGTTTCTATCAGCTCTTCTTGTCAATGATCGACGGGTCGAGCCAGAATGTCAAGAGGCTCTAAGCATAGATACCACATAATAACTCATACTGAGTACGCTTGCTTGCCTTCTTTCCAAGTTTCTATGATTGGTCGTATCCGCGTGTATTCGTCTAATAACTTTGCCGGTTCTATTGGTACCGGGCTGTGCTGGTTTTAATACTTGCAATTCACTGAGTTTGGAAGCATAACGCATATAATGGACAGCATGCGCTGGAGTTGGAAGATTTGTCAAGGTGTCAAGAAGGGTTTCTGATGGTTGGTGTCGCGAATCGATATTCTTATAGATGAATCTGTGAATAACTCCTACATGAACTTATTGAATCATATAGCATGCAAGAAAATAGTATATATTGAACCTCTAGCGCAGTAGCTAGTGTTCCCTGCTCGACTCAAGGTCTAGGGGCAGGTTGGTCCCGTGTTTACCTCCTAGTTACACAAAGAATTTTAGTCTCTAGTAGGCTCTATCCATATAAAAACCCCTGCAAATTGATGAACGCGTTCTTTGTGCGCTGACAAAATTAACCACTGTCAATAAGCGAGGTGGTCTTCAGTCACATGAGCTCTTGTGAAAGTGATATGCGACAGAGGAGGAAGATATGGTCAGAGATTCGCTGCATGTGTTCTACTTAGATAGGTATAGCTGGATGTAGTTAGGAATGTAACTATGTAGGTTGATTGAGTTCTTGGCATGGAATAATAAAGATATGGTCAATTTTCATTTCTGGTATCATCTCGCTATGCTGTGCCTTTGCACTTCAAATCATGATTGCATTATAATACATTTAGCTGAAGGGATCACGTCTTCAAGAAAAATCACCACTTGTTCACATACACCTATCAAAGTCCCCGTTCACTGAATTGCCTGCCATGGATACAGACTCCATGGTTTCTCGACCCTGGATGCCGCATCCAAGAAACGATTCAGCTCCTCAAGCAGACGGCTCATCACTTCAATAATCTCACTGGCCAAACGAGAATTATCAGCCATCGCCTCCATAAGCTCAACAGTCGTGTCACGATCAGTGGCCTTGATGTAAAACTCGATGTATTTTCTGATGCCCTCTTTGAAACGAGGTGGAAGCTCAGTGGGGTAGTCGTACAGAGTGCTAGCCGCCTCGAAATAGTCGTACGGTTCACAGTAATTGGCAGCGTGAAGGATGTGCTCGATGATATGTTCACGGAAGCCATCGAAAAGGTATTGGTCGGCAAGTTCATAGAGTCGAAGGAGGAAATCCAAATGCGCCTTTGCTTCCTCGGCGAATTTTTTCTCGTCGCTTTTCTCCCAGTCCTCCTGGTCCCAGTCCTCGAACATGGTGCAACGAAAGATCGGGGATATGTGTTCTGAGGAAGGGTACCACAGATGGAAATATCTCTGATCAGGGCACCAAGCAGTTGAGTACCAAAGCTTCTGATCGGTAAAGACGTCTAGGTCAGAGATAGGGTTTCCAGTGTAGTTGTGACACGGTATGCTACCAGCATAAAGGAAGTCGACCAGGTAGGCGAAGTCACTGGGATCTCCTTCAGGAAGACGGACCAACTTCTCGTTCATCTCGCGGAAGCCTCTATTACAGCAGGCCTCAAAGAAGCGTGATTCCTCTAGGAACCCCTGGTGCACCTGGAAAGGAGTTCTGTTCGTTCCGACTAAAAGCGTGATGATGTCCGTACCATACCTGGTTAGATATCAGTACAAGTCAAGAACACATCTATATTCAATAGGCTCACTTGGCAACTCTAGGATTCCTCGGTTCATCTTTGCGTTCCTCTCCACGATCAAGGTACACTCCGTCTAGACTTTCGCATACTTCGTCCAGGGCACCATTGGATGCTTCAGAAAGCTCATGTTCAAGAAGATCAACCTCAGTGCGGGCATTTCCAGCGTAGACATCTTTAAAAGGAGCATCTTCAGCAGGAGCACCTTCAGAAGGGACACTTTCAGAAGGGGCATTTTCAGCGTAGATATCTTCAACAGGAGCTTTTTCTGAAGGAGAACCTTCAGAAGGGGCATCTTCAGAAGGGGCATCTTCAGAAGGGGCATCTTCAATAATGGAGGTATACCCATCTTCCCGGCGAGAGGAGGCTGGAAAGTTCATGTCATTCTGGATGCGTGATACCCCATGCTCTCGACGGATACGTATCAGCCTGTGGAATCCACGAAACATGTTCGACAGGGAGATTCTTCGTGATCTGACGAACATTGGAGGCATTTTTTCTTTCAGAAAATGTGACTAGGTGATGTGAAGAAGGTGAGAGAGACGCGTTGCGTGATTTTTTGAACACATATCGGAATAAAGACAAGCCGGTTATTTCAGTGTTTGATACCTATAACTGCCAGGTTCCTTGGACTTTGATTGTAGTCAAACACTGGCTCGACCCAGCAGTCTTTGACCACATCATGTTCTCGAAGGAACTGCCATCTATCAGTGACAATAATAGCCTCGACGACGTTGGCGCTGAACGCCATAAGACTCCAGACAACACTGAGATTGTGCTTTGCGGAATTATACGCTTCTACATAGTGCTCCAACTCTTCGTCTGAGATGCCACTCATCTCCTTGTCAATCTTTGGACCATAATTCGGATCACGGACGAGTCTCGACACCGCTGCACGAACATATGCGTTGAACGAATCGAATGCTCCTTTCCTGAGAGAACCAACGATAAGTGGTGTTCCAGGGGTTTCCTCAGTAGCCGAGTCCATGCTAGAGGGATCGGCTGGTACCCCTGGCTTAGGAATGATCTTCTTGTCCAGAAGGATACGCTGGAGCAGGGCTCGATAGAAGTGGCGTGTGAAGAAGCTCTCGCTGTCCTCCTTGCCCCAGTTGTATGGCGCCTGTACGGCCATCATCCTGGCTGTGATGTTCAGCTTCATGCCAGTACCGCCCTCATATACCACCTCCTCCAAGCGTTTGGACATAGGAAAGCCGTGTGGATCATATGCTGTTCCCGTTTGTTCCAGTCTAGGATGCAGGGAACGGAGCACTGGGAGTTTATATGTGGCGGGTCCTAGTCTCTCCGTCATGAGATTGTAACAGCAGCCGATCATAGCGACTGCCACGACTGACGGGTTCGCAACGAGAGATCGAATTCCGTGATGAAGCAAATTTCCACACGAATGCAGCGAGATCACCATTACTCTCGGGTCGACACCAGACGCTGGTGAAGACGCTCTTGATTCTTTTCCTGAATCTGCCGACTCGGGCGTGACGACATGTCTGATAATAGGCTCCAGATAACCATCCTGGATGTCATGTTCGATGTAATGCATGGCACCCTTTGGCTTTTCTTCTTCCTCCTCATCAGTAGAGGGGAGCCGGCCACTGATCGTGGGGACTTGGTTGAGCTCATTGGGCTCGAGGTTGATCTCGCTGAAAACGTTGATCACGGTGACAGAATCATCCTGCTTATCGGCCTCATTCGAAGCGCCAACATCGCTGGAAGGGGTGTCTGAACCCTTCGGAGAGCAATTAGAGCAGTCAGAGGACGACTCCAGTGCGCTTTTCTTGCTTTTGTTATACTCTTTCTTGTTCCTGAGAATGACCGTCTTCTCCGCCAATTTAGCATGGACATCCATGCCTCTGGCACCAGCGATGTTATGATGTTTCCTTTCGATTGCGATTATATTCTTATTGAATGGAGGACTCGCAAGTGTCCGTCCGAGGTAATTTTGGCCCGATCCAAAGTCCACGATATGAGAAACAGACTCCCCTCTCTCCTCTTCTACAGTTGCGGAAAGGGAATTGACATATCGAGAGAAATTCTCGACCTCATGGCACTTTTTCGGCTTCATACCAACAGCAACATGTCGAGGTATCGTACCCTTGGTGTTCGAAGGGGTGAAGTCCCTCTTTAGACTGAACCTCCGAATCTGGTGAATATAGTCCAAGAGACTAGCTGGAGGTAGAGGGCCTCCCTTCCACTTTGCATCCTCATAATGGATGGATTCTTCTGAAGCTCCATTGCTCAATCGCGAAATGTTCTCTCGAAGCGAATCTATATCTTCCCTCATCAGAAGATGCAAGATATCTTGAATATCATGCTGTCCAAAGAACTCTCTCCAATCTTCCGGGAGCAAAGTCGTGAACAGATCAGGCTCTCTCGTCAGGAAATCTAGTATATGGACTCCACCACATAGATTCTGAAATAGAGTGGTCGTGGTTGCAAAAGAAAGGAGAGAGTCAACGTAAGAATCTGCATCCTTCCACTCATCAGAGAGTGGGAGGGGAGATTTTGGTTTCATGACGTGAAGTGCAGCAACGACAGCAATATCAATGGATTATGTGATTGACAAGTATTTCCATCAAGTATTCATTCACCTTATGATAAAACAATACCTTTCTTTTAACCGCCTGGTGAACGATTTCACTTTATTTTTTTGAGTTCTAAAATTTGTGGCGGAAGGAAATTACCCTGTGTGGCTTAGCGCGGGGACGGTCCTGCGGTTCCAAGGTTTCCGCTTACAAGCGCCGAGATTGGAGTAGAATAATAGTAGTATGATGAACGACTTTGCTTTAAAATATTTACTTAGATTCTGAATATTCGTAGAAATCTGTATAATATCTGTACTCAGCTTCTGCAATGAAGTATGGAACAATAGAGCTTAAGCGGCCATAGCCGCAAGAGCCCTCTGCTTCTCCTGCAAGGCACTAAAGTTCCTCTTCATGGCATTCGCAGTGAACTGCTCTCCAGTAACCATCGCATATTTCTTCTTTGGGCCTTGAATCAATGCATCCGCGCACGGCTGGTTGAAGAACGCGATACTATATCTATCACCAAAGTAATCACCCGGCTCTGACGGAGTCTTGACACGATGGAAAGTCGACTTGAAACGGTCATCCGACCATGACATGAGCAAATCACCGATATTGCAGATGATATCTCCAGCTTTGAGATCGACCTTTGTCCACGCGTCTCCAAGAGCAAACTCTGTGACGACTTCTCGGCCTGGACAGATCTCCAGTCCGCCTTGGCCTTCTCGTTGGAAAAGTAGGGTCAGGAATCCCCAGTCGCAGTGTGCTCCGGCACGATAATAGACTCCTGTGTTGTTTCCCTCTGGAAGGGCGAAGTAATGCAATAGACGCATGGTTGTCTGAGAGATAGGCCGGGTGATATCATGGAACTTGATGAAGTAGTCATCGGGGAATCCCAGACCGCGTGCAAAGCATATCATCAATTTCTCAGATATTTTTTGTACGCGGTTCATAAAGGCCAAGGAATCTTCTCGAAACTTGGGAAGGTATTCATCTTTGATCCACATGCCTTTCATATTCTGGCCAAACTGTAGCTGATAAGATTCTTTCCTGTCCGGCTTTCCTGTTGATGGTCGGATTTGAGAGTTCTTCTCCCATCCTACGTTCCTGGGACTCCACGGAACCGTTGCTTTGACCTCGTCAGGAAGAGAGAAGAAGGCTTCTGAAGTTTCGAACATGTGGTTGATTTCCTCCACCGAGAGTCCATGGTCAGTGATGGAGAAGAAACCTACTTCCTCCGCTGCCATCACAAGCTGGGTTGTTATGTCATCGATTCTAGCATCAAAATCGCCCAGAGATATTGTAGGGATCTCACGATCGACGTATTTGGTGCTTTCGGACATTGTCGCTAGTATATTGTATCCGTATACTTTACGCTTGTTGAACAATGTGTCCCGATGAGGTGACCGCTGTGATCTAAGAATCAATAAAAGATTTAGCTATAGACCGAAAGTGATGGGAAATATATCACTTTCCCATAGTAAGATGAAAAGATGAGGGATACAAGCGTTAAAACTATCTTTCGTATCCCATGAGATGAAGCGGAAGTTCTTATCGGGTTCGGATAGACCGATAAAGCTTGTGAAACGACGACATCACGATAAGCGCCATCCAGTAGTTACCTGTCAATGATCTCCATGACTGGTTCATCATGTAGTCGCATTTCGGATATCGGCGAAATCCTCGTACAGATATCACAGAACCAGTGAACAATAAATGGATATTCATACGCATGAAGCTGTGACTATCGAATCGGAGCATCGAACTGATAGTTACATCATAGAAACTGAGCTCTGGCATGTTGCTATTGATGCCGCCGTGACAGCCTAGAAAAAAAGCAGTATCATGCCACCTTATTAGACGATGTATCTCTGCCAGTTAGTATCTTCAACTGCTTTCCAAACAGACAAGGACGGATGCGGCTTGAAACTGACCAAGTACAGTAGAGCCCGAGCGGAGCCAATGGTGTCCGACGAGGCGCCAAGGCCAGCGTGGTTGTCGCAACCGAGTCCGGGGGATTCTCATCATCAACCGCAAGTAGTCGAGAAACAACTATCGCCTCCAACAGACGAGCACAAAAGCAATGGCAGCTCGAGTATAGAAATAACACCTGCGCGACCATGACGGACCCAAGCCAAATGGACCCTTTCCTCCAGGTCCAAGCGTATGTTCTCCCCGTGGGCCAAGCTCCCGCATGCCTGTTGACATTGCTGCTACAGAGATGTCCTGGCGACGCTGCAGACCACTCGTCCCCTATTTTCTTCTTACCTTCGTATCCGCTCCCTCGCGACCTCACCTTCAAATCCGGAACTGCAGCAAGCACGGTCGGAACTCGAGTCTACGCTTCAGGACCTCACTGCAGATCTGAGCGATCTAGTTGAGAGCGTCCGCGCCGTTGAACACGATCCTTACAGATATGGCCTTGAGTTGGACGAAGTGCAGCGTCGACGGCAGCTGGTGGAAGATGTTGGGTCAGAGGTTGAGAAGATGAGAGAGGAGTTGGAAAAGGCAGTAACTAGCGGTGCTGGGAAAGGAAGAGGTGCTGGATCGGAACTCCCGAATCCATCAGATTTCGACAACCTGTTATCCCCCGATGCTTCAGGAGAGGGAAGAGGAGAAGATTATTATTCATCCATGGAACAGCAGCGGCAGCTCGAGCTCATGCAAGAGCAAGATGAGCAGTTGGATGGTGTTTTCCGCACGGTTGGAAACCTGCGACAGCAGGCCGACGATATGGGCAGGGAGCTCGAGGAGCAAGGAGTCATGCTCGATGAAGTGGATACGCTGGCCGATCGCGTTGGAGGAAAGCTACAGAATGGACTGAGAAGGGTTAAACACATCGTGAGGAAGAACGAGGGTAAGCTTTGCGCCTCCGCGATTTTGATTATCAAATTGCGATATCTGAAACTAACAAACAATCCCGAAACTGGCAGATACAATGTCTTCCTTTTGCATAGCCGTCCTGATCTTCGTGCTCATACTATTACTCATCTTGGTGATTGTCATGTAATATACAACGGAAAACAAAGGGGGGTTAACGACTTTTCAACGACGAGGGGGTATTCTTTCAAGGGCGGAAACGATTCAGTTGCGAGCCTTCTTGCGAGGTCGCTCCTCCTCATCTTCCTTGTCGGCGTCCTCTTCGTCGAATTCATCATCATCGACATCGTCAATGTCGAAATCCGAGTCGAGATCCTCGGCCAGCTCGTACGATTGGACTACACTCACTAATTAGATGCCGATCGCACAGCCGAATGAATTGCAGAACTCACCATAGTACTTGAGGGCGCCAGGCCACAGATCCTCCGCGATAGCAACTGCCAGATCCTCACCATCGGGGAATATCTCAGCATCCTCCAGATCATCTTCTTCTTCGATGTCATCGTCATCTTCGTCATCCTCATCCTCCTCATCATCCTCCACCTTCTCTCCCTTAGCGATCTTAGCCCATCTCTCTTCCTCTTCCTTCTCAGCCTCCTTGGACTTCTCCGCAGAGACGTCCTTTCCGCGGTAGCCGAAGAAGGCGAAGAAGCTGACACCGGCCGGGCTGGTTGCGCCGATATCCTCATCATCGGCCTCCTCATCCTCACCGCCGGTGAGGGCATCAGCCTCGACCTCAGCAACCTTCTTCACAAGCTTCTCGTATTCGGGCAGCTTCTTCCTGTCACCACCGTGCTTCTTCTCTGCCTCAGCAAGGTCAACAGCGGCATCAAGCAGCCCCTTGGTCGGGTCCATGCCCTCCTTCCAGTTGATGCGGACGGGCTCAGAAACCAGGCCTTCCCAGGTCCTGCGCTTGCCCTTGGCGGTCTTGGTGACCTCCTTGCGCCAGTAGAAGTCCTTGACCAGCTTGGCGTTCTCAAAGAATCGGTTCGCCTCGCCGGTCTGAAACTCGAAGGTCAAGCGCACGCTGCGTGGCTCACCGTTGCCATTCTTGTCGACCTCGAAACGCTCGACAGTGAGGTTCTTCAGGGTCTCACCGATGATGGCGGCATCAGAGGGCAGGATGTAGTGGTCGATCTCCCCAGGAGCGTTGGAGAAGACGCGGGGCCAGAAGTCGGCATCCTGGAGCTCGGGGGTGTTGATGAGGGCATTGCGCTTCTCGTAGATCGGTTGTAGGAGAGGGACAGAGCGGCGCACTACCTTGAGACGTCAGTTTCACATCGCTAGACACCCGTAAATAGCGAGCGCATATTCTATATAGTCATTGTAGAGAATAGAACTCAAATCGATGATGATTTTCGAATCCTTTTCCCCTCTGCGCGACGCGCATTGCGACAATTTTTTCCGACCGCGATCGCGATCGCGATCGCAAGAAAAGAATCGCGATAACAAAACCACCACCGATAAGGAAGATACAAAGAACATCGAATATCCTCCATCAGAAAGCTAGAAGAAAAAAAAAAAAAAAAAAAAGGAACCACTTACGCTGTTCAACCTCCGCGCGGATGAATTCCTGTTCCAATTGCGCGATCTTGCGACCAGCTTCCTTGGGGATGGAAGGGAAATCGATGCGCTCGAAGAGCGACCGGGCCTCCTTCGACTCCTTTGCGACACCGTTGGACGCCATTATTTTTCCTCGACAATTTATTGATGATATCGGGGGTGGAATTAATCGAGTTAAGGAGGGGAGGAGTGTGTTAATGGGATAGAAGAAGACAAAGAGAGAGAGAGAGAGAGAGAGAGAGAGAAAGAGGGAGAGGTCGTAGGTAAGTAGACAGGTAGGTAGGTAGGTAGAAGCGCAATCGATATAAATTATAACCACACCTCTTGACCAGTAATAGGGCCAATTATTGAATTATTAACTAAGCTTACTGTTTAACTTAACTTAACTAGTTCAAAAAAATCTGTTAACTAAAAAAAATTTTTTTTTTTCTTCTTTGCCTATGTTTCTGGTCCGAGTTCCCTAACCTAATTAAAAAAGGGAGGCGTGAGCGCGCGGGATGAGAACTTGATGGGGAACGTTTGCCCGGGCGTTGCTTGGTGAACGCGAAGGGGGGCAAAAAAGTCCGCGGGCAAAAGACAAGAACGGTAGATGGATTGAGGAGTATGTATTACCTACCTAATGAGATCTATTTATGAGGATCAACTATGAGATGATTAAGAATAAAGTGAGAATTAGCTACCTAACTATATGATTACTGAGTTGGTGAGGGTTTTCTCTTTTGTTTTGATTATCTTTTTTTTGGTTTGTCGGGTGAGATGATAATCAGCTTTATTTAGGCTGTACCACTTGCTGGTTGAGACGGCATTCGCCTCTTCTTGTTGCTGACTTTCAAAACAGGAATGTCTGTGCGGTTCAAAAAATGGGTTGGCTCCGTCGATCATAAGCACTAGACTATCTATCTATTGGTGCTTTCTCGGGAGCACTTTCCTGGCGATATTCAAGCTATGAGATCTTTCTTGATACAGTTTATATGGAAGCGGAGCTAGCTTGTGCCTAGCTAGTGCCACAACTGCGAAATGGTTTGTATAAATGTTAACTTCTTGTATTACTTCCTAATATAGCGTCTCATAATCGTTGATAAAAATGACATTCGTTGAATCGTCATCAGCGCTCGGCTTCACGTTGATACCCAATCTCTGGTCGATCGTCCCGTCCAGTTACCACGCGTTGGCTGTGACGCCAAAATAGCTGCTGGTTAGATGTTTTGCCGGTGCAGTCTGTCTGGTGCTATGCCTTGTTGATGATATAGAACCCCGGCGCTGGAGCAATGAGAACAGAAATCATCGCTCCCGTCTGCAATAGATTGGTGATCGGGGAGAGGACCACAGATAGCAGGAGGTGCCACAGCATGGAAACCACGCCAATTCCCGGAGTGTCCATGTCCTCCATCAAGCAGGCAACGATGAGGCCATGGATATCGGCCGCGTGACTGAAGAGCAGCCACAGGAAAAACCAATATGGCACGGATATCGATCCACCTCGGACCAACGCGACAATTGGGCTGTAATAACTCTTATTAGCTGGAATGTCGCGGCTAGGATTACTAGAGATGGCACTTACTATATCAAGACCCAGAGCGGTACCAAGAGCGCTAGCAGAAGACCCATCTTGACAGAAAAACTGTCAATCGACCAAATCCCAGTGTACCATCTGCGCCGCTGCCGAATGAAATCATTCACAGTCTCCGGGGGCTGCTCTCGTGCAATGGCATGGATCCAACCAAACTTGTATCCTAGCCGTGTGGCCTATGAAGGAGACGACATCAGTAACATGAAACAAAAAGTACGCAGATGCCGCTGTTCGAATTATACACTTACGTTGAAGGCAAACCAGAAGTCTTCTGCAGCACAGTTCGTGTCCCAAGTGACATTGTTCTCCACAGCTCCGTTGATGATGTTCCAGGAACCCTTCATCCAGCCAAGCAGAGGACGGTGGGATACTCTCATTGGGAGTTGGAAACGGCCCCAATCTTCTGATATTCTCGAGATTTCTGCCACGGTCATCAACGTGTTCTGCCAGTGGTTACGACCATTGTAGAAAATGGTGCCCTTGGAAGACTTAGCATGGTTGGACAATAGGAGGTGCATTCCAAACCTACCATTCCAATATCTTCCGATCCCCGTTCAATGAAATCTATACAAGTTTGTATGGCAAAATCGTCGAGTTCCGTCTCCTCATCGAGGTGCAGCACCCAGTCTTCCGCTGTTAGCTGACATTGGATACGATACCACTCCAGAGCCCGTGCTTTGTGTCTGGCAAAGTTCGCCTGGAATGATTTGGCATCGGGAACTCTATAGACATTGATGAAATGCGGCAGAGCTTTCCGGAATCGATCAGTCTCAGGGGCGTCCACCAAGACGTCGAAGATCAGTTGCGGATAGTGCCTCAGGTTGTGCCACGAAGCAGTCGAGTTAATGACTGTCTATACGGCGCAATGTGTTATTTGCTATCCCGTCACGATGTTCACGTCCATAGTGTCAACATACTTGAAAGTTTGTCCCCTTGGTCACCAAGCATATCCTGATACTGCGAAAGGATCTTCTCTTCGGACTCCGGGCATAGGCAAAGGGTCGTGCTGGAAGGAGGAGACCCCACAAGGCGGCATATGGCGGGCGTTGGGTCAGCACCAGAGGTAAGAATGGGATTGACAGGATCAAACAGTCAACCGTCCACAGCGCATTTCGATCGACAATTCGTTGCTGGAGTCCGGTGTAGACCGTCAGTTGATACAGAGCTGAAGTTTCAAATCAATGAACGTCCAAAAAGCCAGTGGTCCTCAGCGAGAGTCATTGATCAATTCCTCCGCCTGGAATTCAGCCTACCATATAGAAGTGCCGTGAAGGTCAAAGGAAAGATGATCCAATTATAATCCAAAACATTGAACAATCTCCGCGAACGCCGTTGCAGGAATGAGGGGTTTACCCCCTTCTCAGAGAAGGCCATTCCGAGCTTCCTGTCCTAGTTGAACGAAATGGTCCTCGATGCGAAAGGAAAGGCAGGATGCTCAGCAATAATTGCCTCGAGGCATCTAGAAACCTTCGACCTGTACTGAAGAGCGGGAGAAGAAAAGAACAGAAAAGAAAATAAAAGAAAGGAGAGAAAATCAGCAAAAAAAAATATCTCGGACTGAGGGGAGGGGCATTCTAGATTGTGGCCATCCAAGTAAACTAATCCAGAACAACGAGACATACTACATCGAAAATGGCCATACTAGTTCACGGAACCAAGCCTCTCAGCATCAACGCGGAGAACTCGTGGTTCCCGATTTCCGGCACGTCCCGCAACTCTCCCAGAAAGACTACTAGCAAGGGAGCTTCTTGACCGCTGGGTGTAGCTTTCGAACGTTGGGTATATTATTCCCGCAACTGTAGCCGGCGTCGGGGACTGATTGCGTAGAAGCTACTAGAGTCTAGATCCAGAAGATCGACTTAGCGCCATCCAGCATGTCGACTAGATAGAACTATAGAACTACTCTAGATAAGTAGCTTAAGTGTCAGGCTGTAAGCGTGGTTCGCACAAAGGGCGGTGAGAGAAGTGGCAGAATTTCAGACTATCTATTATTCCCAAGCTTCGATTGTATTGATACGTCCAGATAGATAGGTACACCTTTTAACTTATCTCGGTTTCATCTGTAGTTTTTATCTCCTAATTCTAACAACCATGGAAACCAAACTTTTTGATTTCCCCGATACCTTTTGTAATCGATCCTCGAACGAGAATCCAACATCTCAAGTCTGTACTTTCAGAAGATCACTAGCAGTTTCAGAGACGGAACATCTTGAAACTGATAGAGATGTAAGGATGAGACCGGCTTACAACAGACATGACCGTCTGGATTCGTAACGGCGAAGTTATAGACCATGAGCCTGAGATCGATAAGATCTCGAAAGATTCGATCGTTTGGATGGTGGTTGGTTGTCATATCTGATATATATATATATTTAAAACATACATATCAAAAACATCTTTCGTACTTTCTTATAGAGAATTGGCGTTCATATGATGCACAGTCGACCTGTTGAATATTAAATAGCACAGAAGCATAGTCTGATTTGAATTGTCTACTTGAATCTAGTCCTAGGGGGGATTTGAAACCGCATTTATCTATTATAGCATACAAGGTATCTAGATACTGGTGATCCTTGTGGCAAGTAATCCGCCATAACTGCTCAATGCGGACTATTACCATAGACTGCGGGATCAACCAACACAATCAACAGGTTTGATGGCGCGTTTCTGTGTATGAATGATATAATATCCATGGAACTTCTTTACGTCCATAGAGAAGATATATTGGATGAATATTAGTGACTAAGTAAGACATACACACCATTAACTTCTACCAACCTCCCGAAATGTAGATCATGTCGTCAGTTTTACTGCTAAAAGCGGAGCCTGATATGTATATTCTTTTCCAAATAGAGAAATAAGCTACTAAGATAAACACCTGTTATAGGATATGCCGGAACAATTATGTATGTAGTAATGAAAACGATTCGTGATTTGGGTATCTTATTACCTAAGACAAATGATCTTCTCTTTTCCCCTCTCTCAATGTCGGAACAGCGTCTCGCGTTCAGTTCCATCGGATGTGGTTGGATAACGAAAGCGAGACCGACCCAGCCTGAGAGAGTTGCCGCATAGGAGAGGGAGAAACAAGACAAAATCTTGGAATCAAGACTGCTATTGCTCTGCTCATTAGCAGGACGGAACCACTGGTTCGTTTAGCAGACTGAGCCATGCGAATTTCCCCATATTTCCATCACATTAACCTATGTATATGTATGTCTGAATGTATATCGTGGCCAAACAAACTGCCACACATGATGATTATGAGTCATTTCACGAGTTTCGTCCCAGAGAGGGGAGGTCTCATCAAACGCGCCGCCCGTGATGTAAAGGAAACAGGAGATGAAATGTAATGGGAAGAATAAGGATCGAAGAAAACATGAGAAAAGCGCCGATGAGGAATACATCGCTGATGGGGAATAATGCCGTGAATAATAACTTTTATTTTCTTGAGAGAGACGCTCTGCAGTGTCTCCTCGATGCGTCATGATAGGAGGGGAATTCATAACCTCCGTTTTCGTGCAAAATCGAGCATTAAACTTTTGGGATATGACGGAACCGTAATTCGATGGCATCTCTCCAGATGAGATCTGCGTCGACGACGGCAGAAAAGTGATGGAGAGGTCGATAAGAAAAGTCGAGGAACTCGTATGAGAGAAAAGAGGAGGTAAGGTTGTGGGGTCGAAGGTGGAATGCAGAGAAAGGCCGAAGTCGGAGTCGCAGCCGAAGCACGCCGTACAGCCTGTCGCGCAAAAAAGTTGCGGCACGCGGTTCAGCACTCAGCAGTGACACGCGTCCGGCGACAGGCGGTCATATGTTGCAAAAAAAAGGAAACGGTGGACCAAGGTCGACTCATAACATCCAGTCCAAGCCGTTTGCTTCTTCCTCCACCGGAAAGACCTCTCTTGCATACTCTTCCATGTCCCGCCAGCCCTGCCAGAGATGGCGCGCCTCATCTGTTAGTCGCATCGAGATCACTCCTCCTGGGCCCTGCATCATGCCTGCTCCTGCACCCTTTCCACCAAACGGGCCCAGTCCCTTGGGTGATCCAGCGGCTGGACGGGTGAATTCTTCCTGGGGGAAATACGGGGCATTGAGTTGGCCAAACAGCACCTCGATCCCTTCCAGCTGTTCCTTGTAGCCAGCTGGGATGGGCACCTTGATCTCGATCTTTGGTACCTGCACATAGCGGCATCTTCGGTTGAGTGCGCGCGAAAAGGCCGCACATACTTGGTTTGGAGACAGAGTCTCGAAAGTCAGGGCAATCCTGTGTCACTGTTAGCTGTTCCGATCCCACAGGTATATCCATCGTCCACGGATATTGAACTCACCGATGGCCGTGCCATTTCTTTGGACCGTCCTTGAAGATCTGCAGGACAGCTGGGCCAACGTCATGCTCTGCGTCCAGCCAGGGTAGTGGTATATCCGGATGGAAAGGTGCCCGCCATTCGAAGCTGCCGTCTGGTTGTAGCTCCATCTGGAAGAGAGGGTATGGCAAGCTGGTGAAGTTGTTATTGTAGATGCCGGCGTAGACAAACGTCGCTGGTAGCCCTAGCTGCCGGACATAATTCTCGACGGTGAATTTGCACGCCCAGAGCGGGAGGCTAGGCCAGGGACCATGTACTGAGTGATCTGGCATGCTGCTGTAGACGTAATGTTGGATGGTACCCGCCCGCTTTGCGGCATCTGCTAGGGCACGACCAATAGCAACCTCATCGCCCGCCTGCGAAGTTGTGTTGATGAAGGCCAGACTGGCGCCCCTGAAGAGGTCGTCCATGAGCTCGACATTGTTGAGCAAGGGACCTTGGATCAGAGTCACATTGGGGAGACTCTGCAGTTCCTCCGCGATGATGCCTTTGAGCGAATGGACCTGAGCGCGAACCGCATATCCGACGGCGGAGGCGACACGGATCAATGAAGCCGCCTGGCGCCCAGTCGCATTGACTATGGCGATAGTCTTGCGTGGTTGTGTCATTCGGAAGGAGTATGTATAATGATCACAGAGGAATTGGCATCCACCAGTGGTGAGGGGCAATGAGGGGTGGGAGGTGGATAACTCCCCGGGGAGTCAGCAAGCCAACAGAAACGCGACTGCAACAATAATGGCGGATATTTGTAGCGGCAGTAGATAGGCAGACAGATGGTTGGAATATAGATCGGGGAAAGAGGGAGCTTCGCGAGCGATGATGATGTCGCAATCGATCCGGCGGCCGGGACTATTAAAAAGAGAAATGGCGATGGTGCAATATCAGCAAAGGGATTGCGCACCGTGTGGACGAGCTATAGCATCCACAACTCTCCAGCCTCAGATCGCTGCCAGGTGGAGAGCACCCGTGGAAAGCTTGAGACGGTTGACTGGACCAGAACGGCTTCCAGGGTCCGCCGTCCTAAACGTTGCTGCGGGCTGTGGTGGAGAGGCTGCAGGGCCAAGAGAGATGGAGAGAGAAGCGGAAACGAGGCTAGAGCTGGACGAGCGAGAATAAAAAACGTTCCATCCAACGTTGTTCTTGTCTTGTCTTGTCTTGTAATTAATGTCTGGTTCCGAGTATCCGCAATCCACTGGTTGGTGCCGGCACAGGACCAGAGAAAGAAAAAGTAGGGTAACGAGAGAGAGAAAAAAAATTCAATGTGCGCTTGTTGAGCTTGAATTTCCCGAGAGTTCGTTTCCTTCGTCTTTTTTTGCCTTTGCTCTCTCTCTGTCTTTCTAGTTTTGAGATCAGGTACCGGTTCCAATAATATTCATCAAAGAACACTGCAGCATAGACCTTGCTGGAGAAAGAACTAGGTGATGGTTCTGAATCTGTCACGAGAACGCTCTGAGGAAAATCTGAGTGCGTCCTCGCGAAATCCGTCTGATAATGGACTGGGGAAGTGAAGTACCGTGGTGGTCAACTTGGCTGTTGCGTTTCTGTGTCTGTTTCTGGTGAGATCGCACTGGGCTCCGGTCAACGCATGAAACCCCAAAGCAATCAACCCGAACAATCCTGGGGGAGAAGCCGGCTGCGGGGTGGTTTCTTCTATTTATATAGTCTTTTTTTCAATAAGTGTGAACCTTGTTCGAGCTGGATCGACTGATCTGGATGTATTCGAACTTCGAAAGACCTCTTCAAGACTCTGGAGGACTGAGGCCAGGAAGCCCACCAGACAAGCAGCAGCAGTAGCAGGGCGATCAAGAGGCGTAATAACAATACAGCGGCGGGATGCGGCGGACTGGGAAAGCACCAGAAGTTTCGTATGGTCATCCAAGTTACGGAGCGTTCATGGCATGTTGCGTTGCTGCATCGGCTTCATCCATTGACCTGCTTTCTCTTTACGTAACCCGACAGCGATGAGACGGGCGGTGCGAGGCAATCGAGAGGAGATCGGATAAATGTGATGATATTATGGATCATTATACTGTACTTCTGCTGCCCCTGTTGTTCTCATCCCAGGGGGGGTTCTCTGCTGTCTCTGCTGGATTTAGTTATCCGTGATGAGGGAGGCCAGAGAAGAGAAACGCAGTCGACAAAGAGACCTGGGGGAGGAAGACGGATAGCGTCCGGGATCGATCAGATCGTATGGACTCTCCCTCTTCCCCCCCAGTCTGCTGCAGAATTATCCGGCCCGAGGCCGTCCAGTCTCTCTAGCCTTGGATCCAAACGGAAAAGATAGTCTACAGCGCTTGAGAAGGGATCCAGCCACGGTGGAGTCGATGAGGGTGGAACCTTAAGCCATCTCCAGCAAAACAACGCACAAACCGTGATCCAGAGAGGATACCAGATCATCAATGCTCCTATACTACTCTACATAGTACAGGGACGAGGACCTGCAGGACGTTGTACGGGCTAGACCCCAAGGTGGTTTGATCCGTCAGGGATGTTGCACATCTCCTCAATAATATTAATATTACTCAGTGATAATATACTACACGGAGCAATAATGCTGCTTCAGGGATTCACAAATACAGTTATGTACTGAAATTGATTATCGTGAGAAGCATCAGAATAATACCACCAGGCACCACCATCAGCGCAACTTTCTCTTCAAAGTCGAGTCGATGCTACATACTAAGTACACGGCTGCCAGGAGCGGGGTTCAACAGCAGTAGTTTACCATCCATGATATCTAGGCTCGTCTTTCTCTTTGCTTATCATTGCCCCTCATCCACCACCATTACCATCTGAGCACATGGCCCTGGCAGCATCTGGATGGATGATTGCACAATCGGAGTACAACGGACGGGGTTTGCTGGCGCTTTCTTTGTTGGAGGATCGGGGTCTGCTGGAAGAAGGAATTGAATCCGTACAGTACTTAGCTTCCAACTGCCTAAGCGAGGCGGCGCAGACAAAAAGAATCATCTCGTCTAGAATCAATAATAACAATGTCATCCTGTAACTATCGAAGTTGAACCCCTACTCTAGTTAGTTATCGACCTCTCCAGGCCTTGGACTAAATAAATTTTCAAGGGCCAGCGGTGACCGCCGCCAAGAGCACGTTGCCTGCCCGGCGGAGACTCTGCTGTTCTTTTTTCTTCTTTTTTTCTTTCCCCTTTCCCGATGCTTCCAACTGTAAGTACTACTAGAGTACCTAAGTCGATGGAATTACTCTAGTTCCCTCCGAAGCGGTCAAGTGGTAGCCAATCTCTTGCCCCACGATGTTCTCCGGCACAAGGACGAAATCATCATCTCAGCTCCAGCTTACCCTCCCTCATGATTCCTCCTCTTTCTTGGTCTTCGCACTCCCGCCTTCGCCCGCTTCTGGCATCGCTGGTGGGGCAATCCCGGCAGATTTTTTCGTTATCATTATCAACAATAATCAGACGCGATCCTATGAGGCTTCTCGCTTGCAGGTACCTTGGGCGGAGGGCGACGATGGTGTGTCCACTCGTCAAGTCAGGCTGGATCGTATAGAGTAGGAGATGATCGCTGGTGCCGGAGCCGAGGTGACGTGCTTTCTCTCCAGAAATCCCATGGCCTCTTCTTCCGCCATTTGGCCGCAATCGCATTTCAATAATAATAATAATAATAGATGTTGGTCGATATCAATTCGCTCAACATCGCCAACATCCCGTCAGGTGATCTCGTCCTTCTGTCCGGACAGTCCTGTCCGAATGGAGCAATCCTACCCTGATGCACAATTTCGTTTCACAGCGATCTATACTCAGACCACGAGGTTCGATACTGGGGAGACCTGGCCAAGAAGGTTGAGCCTTCTTAACTGGTATATGCCGTATATCCCCCCGCCGCCTTCAAGCTGATCCATGCGCACTTCCAGGTGCCCCAGTAGGAAACGCACACCAGAAACAAATCCCTACCAATCAATCGATTGACATCCAAGAAAAAACTGTCGTCATTGCATTGTGGAAGGTTCCCATTTTTCTTTGTTATTCCTATGACCCTTCTCGGTAACAATTCTGCTCGATCCGACTCTAGTACTCTACAAGAAAAGCGATTTCTGCACAATCCGCTAGTGTCTGGAACCTCCTTCCACCTATGCAAATACCTAACAGCTTCTGGCACATCGATGATGATCCGACTTTACACGTATCTGATGTGCGGTGACACTATGTTGACCGTCATTAGCTGACCTGGCCAGTGTCACACTATCAACCTCTTGCAGTGTAGCCGCGGCCTTCCAGTGTCCCTATGCAGCAAAACTAACCGTAGTATGGGGTACCAAGTCAGTAGTTCCTGGATCATGTCTCTTCTTTTCGATATACACGCACAACCAAGCGGTCAAACGAGGGGCCCAAGAAGCCAAGGGCGCTTTGTTCGATGGCCGCGTCGATTTTTCCCACTCTCTCCGTCCTGGATAGAAGGGTCCCCTTCCGCATGCTTCCCCGCTTCGCGGTCAAACAATGGGTCTCTGGCTGCTATCAATTTTCAAATAGTACTCCATAGGACTCGTATACAGTGGGAACCCAGACGGACGAGATAGTGGCCGGCATAGAGCCACATGACTGGATCAGCTCCGTAAGTACCTAGGTGTAGCTTAGCTCCCTGACCGAACCTGGGGAAAGGTAGGCGTTTCTCAATAATGTTCAACTAGCCCTATCTAGATTCTACACTAACTCTATTCTCAAATAAAAATCATGCAGTCCCTTAGGATGGACCAGTCAAGTAACCATCTGTGTCTTGCCCGCAACCCCAGATTTCTTCCGGATTCCCATGGCACGGACGGCAAACCCGCAATATAAAAAAGAAACAAAAAAAAGGAATCAACGATAGACAGCGGCTCAACAAACACATAGGAAGCTTCTCTCTCTCTCTCTTTTTCTTTTTCTTTACTCTTCAAGACACAAGAACATGCGCAAGGTCCCCAGACAACAACACCAAGCAGCAAAAATAACGAGCCAATAAATCAACCAATCCGCGCCTCTTTCTGTTAGTTTTCTTGATTATTATTTTCCTCGGCCAGGGGCGCGCACGACCCCAGTCAACTAAGTAGAGTAGAGTAGTCAACCCCGCCTTTTTTTTGTGCTTGAGTCTGAGTCTGATGCCGTTCCGTCAAATCGGACCGAACTCCCCCTGCCACATTATTTAATACGACTGGGTCATACCAGACCAGGGATCCAAGGAAAAAATCCACTCAGACATCTCCGCGGAGCTAGTTCAACAGTAAAGTAACTGGTTCGGAGGGAAAGGAGATCCGATATCGCTGTTGTATACATACATTTTTGTTTCATTTTATCCTTGCACCGCGATATACCACTGTAGATTGATTAGACCTTTTCTCCTTCGAGTAATATCTTTTTTTCGCTGATTTTTGCCTATCTAAAGAGGATAATTCCGCATTAAAAAAGGCCAAAAATCGAATTTCGTTTATATGCACATAACGGGCGGAAAATGACGCGAGATATTACAATGTGCGTTTTTCTTTCTTTCACTTTCCCATCTATCGAGTAATAGCTATATAATACTAGTAGTAACTAACTAACCAACTAACTAACTATCAGCTGAGCACCTACACTGCTATAAGAGCCACCTATGTGCAAAGGCAGAAGTGATTATTGCCGCGGACGATAGTTAGGTAATCATCAAGAGAAGAAGAGTCCAAGCAGTGCTAAGTAGTAAATCGACGTATGTATTGTATATGCAGTCTTGGGGAAATGGGTCGCATGTCTATGTGTGAAGAGAGATGATGTAGAAAGAAATGGTATTAAATAATATCTATTATGGAATTGGTTGGGTTTTGGTTTGGCTATTGTCCTAGGCACCTTGAGATAGTTACTACTTTTTCTTTTATTGCGCCTTCTATGAATAAAGAAAGCATTAAATAATAGTGATTACCACTATCCTTTTTTTCCTTTCCGTGTTATGCACTCGCTTTTTATATCTATGCATCGCGTATAACCAATGAGATCGCCTCTACGAAATAAGGCTATAATATATAAACGCAACAAACAACACAAATCAGATCAAGAAGGCGCCGACCCCGCGATTCCCCCGAACCCATTCATTCTCAAGCTGACCCCATTTCGATCTTCATCGTCATCGATCTCGCGATCTTCGATCATTTTGGGTCCAACCCCGGCCAGACCCCAGATGGCCGGTCGACGCCGGGCATGCATCTCCGCCACAGCGCGCTCGTCCGCGTGCAGATGGGCACCTGATTTCCGGAGCAGCAGGACATGCTCCGATAGTCCCGCATTGGCTGCTAGGAAGAGCGGGGTACGTCCTGCGCGATTGCGTATGTGCACGGAGCCTCCTTGGAGGAGTAGGTAGCGGAGGATGTCGACGGAGGGGCATGTTGCGGCGAGGTGCTGGAAAGAAGAAAATAGTCAGTAAGATAAGAGGAAAGGTGGCTGAGAAGAAGATCTGTCTAGCGATGGCGAGTTTGCGGGGAAGGGGGAAGAGGTACAAAGGGAAACGCCAGGGGAATGGGTAAACTGGTGGGGCAGACGTTCGTATTCTTCTGGATAAAACGCCACAAAAGACGAACTATCAAGGAAATTGTGTTTGTGTCGGGGAAGAACAGTAAGAATACAACAGTTACCGTACAATTGGGGTGTTTCCTGAATAGTCTGCCTCGTTCAGCAGCCATCCATCCTCGCTTGTCATTACTTCTTCAACTTTCTCGAGTTCTCCTTGAGCAATCGCATAGCCCAGTGCGGTCAATTTCTTCGCTGTCTCAGGCAAGGCGCCTCCTGGATGGCGAAACACAGGTTGAGAGCTCTCTGTTAATTCGCCGCGGAGGGAGACAGACATCGCTTTAGCGACAGATTCAGGCGTTGAGTCAGGCAGGGCAAGCAGGTAGGCCAGCTTGGTGAGAGCTGCTTCGCTCGTCATATCGTGCCCTGCAACGACACCAGCTCTAGACAGAGTCATGCCGGGGGCATACACAGGACTGACACTGCCAGTGAGACCTATCTTCGGGATTAGCAGATGACAACCGGAAACAGAGACGGGGTAGAGAACTTGCATTGAGTAACGTTGACGATGACAATTCCTCTTTGGATGGCACTAGCCAGCACCTTGGTCATCGCATCATCTTGTCCGTTTGGTGCATTTCCAGCGCCAAAGGTCTCTAGGACTAGACCCCTTAGGCTCCCCAGCTTCAGGACAGCATCCACCATTGCTGGTTGAATCCCGGGGAATATGCGCAGACATGCAACGTGAGTGGTATCCAGGTTTGTCTGGATCCTGAAGTGTCCGATGTGTGTCGGCCTGTTCACGAGGTCCCAAGCAACCTGTGTGCGCATCGACGTCGTTACCGCCAACGGAGGTGCGTTTGGAGAGTCGAATGCAGCAAAATCGCTTGCTGCCACCTTTGTCGCTCTGTTGCCGCGGAACAACTTGTAGTTGAAGTACAAACAGACCTCAGGGATCATGAAGTGGCCAGCCACGACCAAGGATCCCAGAAGATTATCCGTGGCATCATTCTGTAGCTCCAACATAGGTGCTTGAGATCCTGTGAGAATGACCGGCTTTCCGAGATCTTGCAGCATAAAACTGAGCGCTGAACAGGTGTACGCCAAGCTGTCAGTTCCATGGAGAACCACGAAAGCATCAAACAGCTGGTAATTCCAGTAGATCGTCCGGGCAATCTCTGCCCAACCTTTAGCATCGATAGAGCTGCTATCCAGGAGCTCTTCGAATTCATAGACCGTATATCTCACCTGCCTGTCGTAAGCGCTTGGAGGCGTACGCAAACTGGCATAAGCCTTGGTTGTGCCATTCCCGTTGACAACGACGTCGAGTGGCAGTGGCAGAGATCCATCGTTGAATGTAGGCAACCGTGCTAAACAAGCCTCCTGGAACCCCCTAGCTGGAACGAAACCAGATGGAGATTGACGCATGCAGATCGTGCCACCAGTCATGATAATGAGGACCCTCGACTCGGGGATAATAGCCGCCGAGTTTGGCTGGTCAAGCTCAGAAATGGGAGCTGCTGTGGCTGTCATTTTTGCCAGTCTCCGTAATAATCCAATGGAAGGCCAACAGTGTACAGTTTAGCGACTTGATAAACGTAAAGATATAATATGACCGCCCCGTATAAGTGAGAACTATATCGTGAAGAATTACTCGAGATGGACTCGAAGTAACGTAATTCGCAAGACAGGCGTTTTAATTTGTTGTCGTGGGTTCTGCAACAATCGGACAGCCAGTGTTAATACGATGAAAATAAAAGAATGATAAAAAAGAGGTAACTTAATGCTCAAAGTTCTCTGGAGGTGCGATGGGTATAGTCGTTGGAAGGAAGCGTTTAGTGCATCCGAGACGGGCACCCTGGGGACTTGGTACCGTCTCCACGACAATATAAGCCAGTCTTTTCTCTGACAGCTCGTAACCGTGTCCAGTCCTCCCCGACAATTCCAGTCCTTTTAAAATTTTATAGAATAAATCATCGTAACGGTTAGCGGGGTGCGGAAAACGCGCTCCTAGCTAACCCGCCCCTTACCGCCTGCCGCTCCGATTATTCTGCCGCTCAGATCCACCTACTAGGTACCTAGGTACCTAAGGTAGCCAACAACCCATCTTCATCATTCGTCTACCCCATATTCTATCACTTTATTTCCTTCTTCACTTACTCCTTCACCTTCTCCTTCTCCCTTATAAGAGTCGCATATGTCTCCCTCTACTACCCGACAGCAATATACTATACTTATCACCAGGGGCCCATGCAACTGGCAGGGTAAAGCCGGCTTTCGATGCATATACCTAATTTAACATCCTGCAATCACTGCGAGCATATAATATCCATGCACCCCGATTATTGTTACTTTCTTACATGTTCTACGAACTGGAATTTCGCGGCTAATACTGCTATTATGCACTTACCCACTTTTATCTTCTTATATCCACCTATGCTCCATCGAGAATTATTGAACCTTATGGAAGGCAATTCGTCGCTAAGATATATAGAGACTTCCTTATTAGTTATTTTTACAGACTTGCTACTATTTATCGATACTCGGGCGAAATTGATCGACAAGCTGATAGCGCGAGACTAATATTATTATATTACCTGAGTGAGCGGCACACCAGCTTCCGGAAAGACAACTATAATGAATTCTCTGGTCAATAAATTGCGCTGAGCAGCAGATTTCGCTACAACCAGCCGAATATATTGAAGGTAATGGACCGAACTAATTACTGTCTTAAAGACTGGTTGGTTGACTGCTTGATGAGGATAAGGCAATAGATGTCATAACGCGACATGCATCAATTATCATAAGACCATCTCTGTCTCTGACAGCGGACTTGAAGAAAGGATTCCGAGCATTAATAGACACGTAGGGTTGCTTACAAGCCTCGTACGTGTTCTATAGGATATACCGGTAAGCATTGCCTTATACTCTGCAGTCCAAACGTAATGTTGATAGAAGTTCTGAGATTAATCTTTTCCGTAACAGGAATCTTATGACCTTATACAGAGAGATTGATTTGCTGATAATAAGCAAGATCCTCTTCAGTCAACCTCTGTTCTTTAAACGCATTAGTGGTTATCCGTTTACTAGAGGCCTATCCCCATCAGATATATCACAGCGTGGCGCTACCGCCAGGGTCTTCAAAACGGCTGTTGCTGGCAATGGGATTTATCCGTCTTGCTTCAAGACTAAGAATCAAGAATTGAAATAAGCTCTCGAGAATATTTAGCGCAACGGATGGCTCTATGCAGAGGAATCAAACGATGATGTCACTGTATATTTGCGAACCAAAATCATTATTTGTAGGTGCATATTCTACTGGTTAGTTACTTTGTGCTGCTCCCTAATAATCTGGTTCTAGATATTGCCGCTTTATTTTCCTAGATAGCTCTTGACGGCGAAATGAATTGATGGCTTTCTGCCAGTCGACCAAAAAGGAGAACTCCTTGTTGGTCTGCCTGGATCTCTAGCATCAATTATAGCACGCCGCTCCAATCGGCAATTGATGCTATTATGCAAGTCTAACTCCGTTAGCTAGTTATCAGATGCCCGACGTTTACTGGTAGCCAATAAGTCGCCGCTTCTGGAGGATCAATACTAGAAAGAGTTCTACCGCTGCCTATTATTCCCTATACTAGATGGCTATGTTGTAACTAGTTAGTTAATGTCCCCTGAGTTTGTAATGATCAGTGTCGGGCGTCTTGTCAATGATTGGTAGCTATCACAAACCGAGACCGCGGATCAGTTCACTATGGTAAATTAAGAAGGCTGAGTTTTCTAGGCGAAGGCTAGCTTGCCAACTAGCTGTCTGTCAAATAAGACAGCCCTGCTTCACGAGAGAAAGAGAATGAAGCCAAGACTTGCCAAGGCCCCGGAGCGAGAGGGGAACTATTAAAGAAATTAAATATGCGCTGGTCCCTTTCAACTTGCCTGCCAAGGGGTTGGGCCACTTCACCATCGTTTACAACTGTCACATCTGCAGTTGATATCATCTTCCAATTACACCGCTATAAACATGGCATTCTTTTTCGTGGAGCTTTTCCCAGGACCGAACTTCTATCCAGGCCACGTTCGCAGACTACCGCCCCTACACTCTGTGCTCTCCTTGACCGGAGACGATGGTAACTCTTAGGAGAATCCGCGGCCGCTGAATGGCGCCTCTGGGCGCGCTGGGCATGCTGGGCAGTGATCGCAAAGATTTCGCAGAGATCGGAGCCCAAAACCCAAGTGGGATCTCTTTTAATTAGTATCCCGCCGCTGAGATTCCCCAGCCACGGGTCCTGGGTTGTCTTTTGGTCCTTGGCTACGCCCTTGGCATGTCACACCACGAGGACTTAGATTCTTTCTCTTTGTGACCATTGGATGACCTTTCGCCTATCTTCTGCAATGGTGTCGGACAGTCAGAGTAGCCAACGGGGACCGATGGCCTCTATACCCCGTTTGGTAACCATCCCTTCGTAGAAACATGTTCATGGCATATTTCTCGGCGACCCGTCGCGGGGGTTCACTATGGTAGGCAGATCGACATAATTGCCACCCCTCGCCCTTTGCGCGCAATCTCCCTTTATTGCTCGAACGCCTCTTCTCCTTCCTATCTTTCAGGTTATCATCTGAATCCCCCTCCTGGAGTCCTGAAGGCTGGACTCACTTCGGATTCTGCCACTCCTTTGGACAATATTCGCTCTTTACCAATATACGTTCCTTACGTGCTTGTTCGGGCATATAGCCTTATTGGGTCTCTTGGTGTAGTATTCTCATCGATTGGGAGTTACTATAGAGCTGAAAAAAAAGGAGAAAAACCTTGTGAGCTCCCTCTCTTTGACCAACGTCAACCAGGACAGCAGGAACTGTTGATACCCAGCGCATCGAAACAAATAACTATCGATATATACACCTTTAGACGCTCTCGGAATTCAAAGAGCAGTCTTGTGCTTAGACCATTGCTTCTAGCTATCCGAAAATGAGGGCCAGTAACTGGCTCAATGCCGCGCTTGCGGCGGCGTTGACTATGAATGTCGACCTGGTCGCCGGTTTCTGGCGTCTCCCGTGTCGAGGACGCTCCGGTGCCGCAAGAGTTGATCCCCTGATGAGTCCAGGAGAGATCTCTCAGCATGTCCACGTTGTTGCTGGTGGTAAAAGTGAGTTTCTCCTGCAGATACTCTGCTCCTTTAATACCCTTTAAGGCTACCACCACAAAGGAGGCAGCATTGGACGAGTTGCTAACGTGCTCTTTGCAGATTTTGGACCGAACGCTGACCAGGATTCCTTGATGAATTCTGAGTGCACTTCGTGTGCCGTTACCCAGGATAAGTCGGCGTACTGGGCCCCGGGACTTTACTTCATATACCAAAATGGAACCGCCGAGCTTGTCCAGCAAGAGGGTGGTATGCTTGTGTGAGTATCCCCAAAACATGCACCCTTTATATTACATCAGACCACCATCTTTCCACATTCAGGGTGGCTTCACCGTCATATATGCCGATCACAGGAATTCTGAACGATTCATTAGGTACTATCTTCTGTACGGCGAGAACATCAAGGCTTTCCCCAACGGTTTCAGAATGATCGCCGGTGACAGCACCAAGAGGAACTTCACTGGTCCTATCCCTGATGCCCCCAAGTCTCTTTGGGGAAGTGCCGACGAACACCAGAATGAGCTGGCGGAGAAGGCCATTGGCTTCAACTGCTTGAACTATGCGACCAACCCGGAGCCTTCCCTCTACCGCCACGAGTTTCCCAAGAAGGATTTCATAGATGCTAACTGCCCCGATGGAATACGTGCCGAATTGATGTTCCCGTCATGCTGGAATGGCAAAGACGTCGACTCTGAAAACCACAAGGACCACGTCGCATACCCATCTCTCGTCATGGATGGCGAATGTCCTAAAGGCTACGAGACCAGAATTGTTTCTCTGTTCTACGAAACAATCTGGAACACGGCTGCATACAAGGATGTCGAAGGAACCTTTGCCTTTGCGAACGGTGATCCTACTGGTAATGGCTACCACGGAGACATGATGATGGGTTGGGACGAGGATTTCCTCCAGCAGGCGGTGGATACGTGTACCAATCCATCCGGTGAGGTCGAGGACTGCCCTCTATTCGATCTTCAGTCGGACGACGACCAGATCCAGTGCCGTTTCGATGTTCCATCCGATCTCCTTGACGAAGACGTTCTCTTTCACAATGGCCTTCCTGGAGGCCTGCAGCTTTCATGGGGACCCGAACCTCAGCTCATGAACATGGGTGGTATTATCTCCTCACTGGTATCTTCCCTAGTACCATCGCCATTTGCATCTTCTTCTACCCCGTCGCCATCTGTGGTATCATCATCGGCTACTCCCACGCCGTCCGAAACGACTTCCAGCGTCGCCACGTCTTCACCATCCCTCGTTTTGCCTTCTGACTTCACTCCCGTGACCAAGCTGGAAGAAGTTGCTGCGACTACTGCTGTTTCTGAGCAGGCCATCCCAAGTTCCCTTATTGGCAAGACCGCTGCGTACGAAATTGTGGTAGTCGAAGAGGACATTTTTGTCACGATGGACAATACCGGTAATGTTCTGGGTAGCTCTTCAGCGGATCTGAAGACCCTCTACACATCGAGCTCGACCGGCATTATCGGTGCCCCCAGCGCAGCTCCTGAGAAAAGGGACGGAGTCCACCCTCACGCCCACAAACACATCCACGGCAGACGGGGCGTCGGTCACCACCATTGAGTATTTTCGTTTGATTAAGAAAACTTCGCTTCTTCTGTGAATACTGCTTCTCCTGGAAGGAGGAGCATGTTATATTTATTATGTGTTGAGTTTGACCCCATGACCGCGAGACGGAATCATTTCAGGCTGCTTCTTTATTGTCAATAGGGTGTCCAGGCGTGGATGACAAACAACCAAACTTTTGAGCCTTGGAGCCTGTGTAGCCATGTATGTATTTATAGAAAAATCGAGTTGAATTAAGGTCACATCGCCACCGTTGTCACACACACACTCGAAGGATGTCCCCGTAGTAGCCTCGTAACTACTACTTCGGATCCTTCAGATCCTTCAAATCCTACCTTACCAGCTGGGCTGCTGGAGAGCGTTATGATAGCTGCTGATAGCTGTCGCTTGGCACCCCACAGCCGGGCGTTTCGCGCCGAACACCTGGAGGACATGATAAACTAGTCCCTTGCTTCCGATGTTTAACTGGATGGCGCGGGCAACCGATCGACCTTCGACATTACTGGAGGCGGCTTAGAATAGCACCAGCTATTCAAATTTCAGGCCCTTTTGACTCCTTTTAACTCGGGCTGAATCCTATCCAATGATTCATCTGATTTCCCTTACACCTGGGACCAAGGGGAGGTTACATGCAGCGCGCGGCAAAAAAATTGAAGAAGTGAAACCATCCCATTAGGCCCACGAGTAAAGTATTCAGATTGTTACTTCATGTGTGCTGGCGGCGGAGAGGCTGTGCAAAAGCTCCCCAGCCAACTGGTTCGGGTCGCTTTTGCCCAGATCTAAGTTTATCAATCTTCTTCAGACTTGTCTCTGACTAGTTCAATTCTTGTCAGACCGTGGCTTTCCGGGCGATTATTATTTAAACGTCCTGCCCCGCGCCTTGCTTTTATCTGGAAATCGCAAGAAAGGGTTGTTTTCAAGGGTTCTTCTTCTGTTGATCTGTGAATGCTTTTTTTTTCTCTTCCTAATTGGAGACTTCTTGTTTACAATCTTTTCTTATTCGCCGCGACGTCCTTTTACCAGACGAACATAACGGTACATACATAAGCGACTTAATATCTCCTCTGATTATCTATATACGCACAACTTAATCCTACGAAGCCACGAATATATTGCATTGCATTACTATCCAAAATGTTCTGGAAGACAGCTCTCAGTCTCCTTTCCTGCGCTCTCGCTGTGTCTGCCATCCCACAGCAAACACCATCGCCTTCCTCCTCCTCTTACTACACTCCAAGCTCTTCAGTGACTGTCCCGCCCTCATCGACCATCACACCGCCGCCAGCCACACTCAGCTGCTCATCCGGATCAACCATCCTATACACAACAGACTGCACGATGGGCTTCCCGATCTCATACTGCCATAGTCCCGAGCCCCCAATCCAGTGTTCGTCAGGCTACTATCCTTCCGTGTGGCACCCGGAACATTGCGTCGCGGAATCAACATGCTATCCGGTTGATTCGCCATACATTACCACGAAGTGCTCGAACGGTGGAACCCCTTACACGACTAGCACTCTCTACGAGGGCACTCTGGCTGGCGGAGAGTCAACGACTATAACCAGTAAGTCCCCAATAGAAGAAGAAGCAAGAATAATATATTCTAACTCAATATTCCAACAACCCAGACGTCGGCTGCTCCTGCGCCGCCAACCAATGGTACAGCATGACTCTCGGACCCGGTGGCTCGACCGTCGACACGTACTGTATGCCTCACAGCGCGTGCCCGGCTGGAATGAGTACTTCCGTGAGCACGAATAGCTACTGTGCCACGGCTCCAGCGAGTGCTTGCTCGGACATTCCTCTCACGACGGATTTTTGCGTCTGCCAGAACCCAACTGCGACGGCTGTTTACCCATCTGGTGATGGAGCTGTCGCGACTGGGTGCGCGTGATTTGTATAGTTGTTGTTGCTGTTCGTTTGGAATGAGGGAGTTTAGTTGATCATGATGATTTGATGAGATACGAACGCGTGGGATTTAATGGTGCGGTAATTGGTATGTATATTGGAGAGAAAAGGAGGGATTGGGATGATATTGATCTCGGCTCTTGAGTTGTAAAAAAAAGGCCAAAAGATACAGTGAGATGAGGGGGATCATAATAGGGAATAGTAGTAAATAATTACTCTAGAATGATTAATATATAGCTAATGTGGAACAAGGACCAATATAGAAAAGATACTATCTTGTACACTCCCCGTGGAAATTCCATACATGCTCCGTTACAGAGAAGGGAGTTTTCCTCGATCAATCAATGAGAATGATTTACTGTACTAAAAACGAGGATTCCTTCTTTACCAGCCATGTGATTATAAGCTTTTGGTACGACACATGGCATTCTCCGCTTGCCGCATTCAAGAATGCTGCAAGGATCCATCTGGCGGGTAACACGGACTATCTCGGCGCGTTCTTTTTTTTTTTCTCCCTTCTTGAGAGTATACTAATTTCGGCATTATAGACACTGTGGATATATTAGTGCATTCTCGGGATCGACATCGAGATAAAAGGGGAAACGCATCAAAGGAACCGAGAGCACGTAAGCATAGCAATGGAACCCAATGCACATAGAGCCATTTCTCTCCAAGACATCTTCCTGATATTCTATTTTACTCTAAATTCCCACTTCTAATGGGAAATCATATCCGATCTAGCTAAAGTACCGAATCCCACAGTCTCATTCTAGAATCTAGTAGGCTCGACTGCGGGCTTGTTCCCAACGGCCTTTTCGATCTTCTCGATGATCTCCGGCGTCAACTTCTCCACCACAGCGAATGCGCGCACGTTCTCCCTGATCTGCTCAGGTTTCGAGGCTCCAGTAATCAGCGACGAGACATTCTTGTTCGTCAACGCCCAGGCCAGGGAGAGCTGTGCTAGCGTGACGCCCAGTTCCTCTGCAATAGGTTTCAGCGCAGCGACCTGCGCCAGCTGAGCCTTCCAGGTCTCATTGCCAAACGTCTTGCGGAAGTTAACGGTATAGTTGTCCTGTGCCTCGGCCAGACGGCTTCCTGGAGGGGGCGCATCGACATCGTTATATTTGCCCGTTAGGATCCCCTGCTTGAGCGGCGACCAGACCGTCAGGCCGAGACCGTGGGCCTCATAGAGCCATCGGTATTCCTTCTCGACGCGCTCTCTCCAGAGGAGGCTGTACTGCGGCTGCTCGACGACTGGGCCGACTAGACCCAGTCTGTCTGCAATGCGCCATGCATCTGCGATCTCGCTGGCCGTCCACTCCGACGTTCCCCAGTAGAATGTCTTGCCTGTGTTGATGATGTGGTTGAAACCACGTACGACCTCTTCCATGGGCGTCTCGCGGTCGGGACGGTGAGCAAAGACAATGTCGACATAGGGGAGGTCGAGGCGCTTCAGTGAAGCGTCAATTCCTTCAATGATGTGCTTGCGGGAAAGGCCCTTGTTATTGAGAGGATTCGAGGGGTTGGCAGCGTTGGCTTGTCCGTGGTAGAGCTGAAGAGTGAGTCTTAATATCAAGAATAGTGCATCTGATTTCTCAGGAATACTCACTTTCGTGGAAATGACTAGATCGTTTTGTTTCCATCCATACCTCTTGATCGCCTGGCCGAGGACGACTTCGGCCTCGCCGCCAGAATAACCCTCTGCGGTATCGAAGAAGTTGATTCCCACATCGTACGCAGCTTTCATGCACTCAAAGGCAGTTTCTAGATTTCATCTGTTAACTTGCTGCTAGCCCCATGCAGTACCTCTTTTGCTAGGTAGTTACGACATACCATTGCCAACATGACCACCATAGGTGAGCCATCCTCCGAGCGAAATGGCAGAGACCTTGAGACCAGTTCGGCCCAGGAATCGATATTGCATCGGTGGCAATTCGTCTGCCATATTTATTGCCTGTCCAATTGTTTCCCTCGACGTGAATTGAAGACGAGCCAACTTACTTAGCTCTTCGGCGCGCACGTCTATTTATTTACAGTAAGAGCGGATAAAGTCGAGCGACGTAGGCAACTAAATCGCGTCATCCCGCCAAAATTATGCTCGATTTGTTTAAGCAGGATGCTGTAGCGACACCTCTTAATTGGTTCTTGTGTTTTAGTAAGGTCAATCTGGCTTGGAGTCTGCGAGATCCAAGTTGACTACTACTTAACTATGTACTGTACTTAGGTATCGCTTAAGTATCGACCCCGCAGACGGGCCATCGACCTTCCTGATCGAGGGAGATCAGACGGCGAATTAGTAATCGCTGTTTTGCACTTCTTCCGGAATTGGAGAAAATATCATATACCTTAATAGCTTCTAGATAGCAGAGCTCGTTTTGACTGGATCCTACGTGCTGCTTGTGTGATTGGGAGGTTGAATGGCGTGTCCTCGAAGGGATACTTGGTCTCATATTAAATGCGCAAGATAGATGCCACGTTTATTTGAAGGCATTTCTGAAGATACTATCGAAACATCCTTAGGCTAAATACTTGAAGACAATGGTACTGTACATGTACGTGCCACGTTTCCATAGCAGATCTCGTTGTCCCCAGTTCTAGCCGTTGGACATATCAACGATATCGAGATGAAAAAGCTTAAGGCGCCTGTGGGGATAGCTTGTTCTTAGGTCGGACTGGCTCCATCCCATTCCGATAATGTTATATCTACAGATATATGGAAACCTGTGTTGGAAGCTCAGCTGAGACCGAGAAGCGCGAGTCTTTGCGCGTAGAGGAGACGAAGAAATAGCATCTATAGCACTTGCAACCTGCTAGTACGCACCAGAGGATCTTCCACTTATCAGAAAGCTATCGGCCAACTGCTACCGTCCGCCTCAATGATTAAATTAGCTCGGCATGATCGATAACCATCATAACTCACCGATAAGCATTTGGCATCAGGATTGTCCTCTGGGACCTCTACGTGGGATAGAGATACCTAGCCACATGGCACAAATTCCACCGTTTTCTTAGAATAACTACCGAAAAAGCCTGAAAGGTAACCATGATGTCCTAAATTGGAGACGTTGTGCAGAATAATGGCGGACAGATATTTAGAGAGCGTCACCGTCCGAATCAAGGTTGGAAAGTCGAAGACCCCGCTTTACTTACGGGCTGTACTTAAGTACATCGCCGATCGCTGGACAAGCTTGCGAACAGCAATTGGCTTTGACGGCATAGATACGCAGTGTTACACTCGTTTATCGAATGGCAAGCTTTGTCAAAGATACCCATGCGAAGATCTGGGTGCAACGTCCTCAGTACATTGGCTTAATTTGAATACTACCTAGCGTTGAGACGGGACAAAGCTGTCAAGCATATAAAGACGGCAAATGTATCCTGTATCCATTATACATGTCTCTTTATTCTCAATATCCTGCAGTGCGATATATATGGTAATTGTGAAAGTGGGATTTTCGTCAGCCGGAGACAAGTGAGATGTATTATTATCAAGGGCTTTTATCTGCTTGTATCGCCCTGTCACTGGGGCTCTGCTGTATGTGCTTCTTTCTTTACTCATATACCATACAGGAGGTTTCTCCTTTTTGGTCGAGTTGTCTAGAGAGTTTTAAATTTTATACGGTAAAACAGTTACCTTAATTTTTTTTTTTTTTTTTTTTTTTTTTTTTTTCTGCGGAAGAAATCATTTTGATATTCATATCCTCTATCAACGCTGACTCTTATCCAGCTTACGCTCGTCTCCTGACTGTGCCGACGACACCTTTCACTCCCACAGAAGGAACCTATTCATTACATCAGCTAAAGAGCATCACCATAAGTTCTCAATACGCCAATACAGTAGATAATGCAGGCCAGACTTTGATCCCACCAACATTATCCGAATTTGGCGAGGTCTTTCGAGCCGATCTTGAGTTATCATTAGGCTTCAAGTTGTCTCTTCTTCACGGAAACAAGCCCGAAACCAACTCGATTTTCTTGACTATCGATAATGAAACCACCTTTCATGATATCGCCGGCCGTGCTACTTCTGAAGGGTACACTCTAACCGTGAACGAGAACGGTATCATTATCTCCGGTGCCAGTCCCTTGGGTACTTGGTGGGGTACTCGATCTCTAATCCAAGAAGCTGTGCTCAACGACTTTGAGATACCTCATGGATCCGGAACTGATGCGCCTGGATGGGCTACTCGTGGAGTTATGGTAGGTTCTAAAACCACAATAGTGTTTAGTTTCATGCGATTAGTTAACACTCGTAGCTCGATGCTGGACGCCATTACTACCCCCCTGACTTCCTTATCGAAATATGCTCCTATATTTCCTTCTTTAAGCAGAACGTGTTTCACCTTCATCTTAGCGATAACCTCTACAACAACGTCGATGAATACTCCAGAGAAGAATCCTTGGAGCTTTATGCTGCGTTTCGGCTTCTATCCGCAGACCCAACCGTGGAGGGTCTCAATAAGCGCATAAATGAATCCTATACACGGTCTCAATTCGATAATATCCAAGAGCAGTGCGCGAAGCGCGGAGTGACGATCATCCCGGAGATCGAATCCCCAGGACACGCATTGGTTATCGTGCAATGGAAGCCGGATATCGGTCTGGAGGATCTCAGCATGATCAATATCACTCAGCCAGACTCTATCCCTACTGTACAGACGATCTGGAAGACTTTCCTTCCGTGGTTTCATAGTAAGGTGGTTCATATCGGCGCAGACGAGTATGATAGTAGTCTGGTTGCGGACTATACCAGGTTCGTCAATTCAATGCATGGGTTCATCAAGGAGGAATCGTCCAAGGATACGCGAATCTGGGGTACTTTCACCCCGTCAGAGGGATCGAATGTCTCCCAGGAGGTATCGATCCAGCACTGGGAGTTCTTTGAAGATAATCCATACTTCGACTACATCAAGAACGGTTATAACGTCCTCAACTCAGACGACGCATTCTACGTCGTGGGGAAATGGTCTGGGAGCTACCCCCAGATACTCAACAAGACGCGAGTCTTCTATGGTGACCCTGCCGGTGGACCATACGCCCCGAACATATTCGACACCAAAAACGCAACCAACAATCCACCCAGGAATAATCCTCATGTCCTGGGACAAGTAGCAGCTTTATGGAACGATTACGGTCCCAACGCCACCACTGTCCTCGAAGCATATTATTCCCTGAGGGACGTCCTGCCCGCTCTCGCAGATAAGCAATGGGGCGGCGACCTGCTTGAGCAAGAATACGACCAGGTATTCGACAAACTGCACGCCGCTATCCCTGGACAGAACCTGGACCGTCGAATCAAGTCCAAGTCCGATCTCATCCTGAACTACAACTTCAAAACCCCCTCTGCCAAGATCCAAGACCTCTCCGGAAATAACTATAACGGGGTTTCTCACGGCTGCGCCGTCGAGGACTCCGCCATCCGTTTCTCCGGCACTTGCTACCTCGAAACACCCCTTAGTAGTAAAGGTCGAAACTACACGCTCTCTTTCTCCGTTAAGCCGCTCTCCAACAATCCGGGAACGTTGTTCTCAGGCCCAGACTCGACCCTCATGAACGGCAACGGGTCCATCACGAACGTAACCCTCATCAGTGGCGGGAATCCCTACTCCCTCAATTACAGCCTCCCGCTCAACACCTGGACGGACGTCAGGTTGATCGGACGCGGTAATCAGACTTTTCTGAATGTGAGCCCTTCCGCCAAGAACGAGTCGACGACGAGGATGATGGAATTCCTCACTCGTCTAGGTGTCAATGGTGAGAGTCTTGCCTGGGCCCCCATTGCTATTGAGGCGCCATTGGCCAGGATCGGCGAGGGATTCGAAGGCCTGATGAAGGATATTTCCCTTAGAGGGAGCGCGTGATACTTTTTCTCTTGGTCACTAGAGAGGCCCGTTCAATGTCCTCGAATGTCACCGTTAGAATTTATCTGTTTTGAGTGGCGGTTTCTTTTTCTTGTTATTTCTGCGCCGATTGGGGTCTAGAATCGATCGGTTAAGAATATTTCTAGCGTAGAATCTGAAGTTAGCCGAATGCTTCGTAGAACTGGACAGTTAGCCGATTCCCATGCCGAACGGATTCGCTGCTTATGTGATTGGCACTGGATTAGCTACTCTTTTCAAAGGCGTGCAAGGACGTTTTAGTTAATACTATCTTCTCAGAAAAGGCAACCGTTGACGGATTAATTCCCGTGAAGTGGGAAGGAAGATCTTAAGTAGTTAGTACTATCTAAATTAAGTACTAGCAGGCTGCGAGTGATATGGATGACGGACGATCTTTGGTGCCGTCTTACCCTAGTCTCGGGGAGATACCACTACGCGGAGTTCGGCAGATTCGCCTTGTCAATAGTGCGACTTGTCATAAGTTTATCAGAATATGGAAAAGTTCTATTGTGGTAGTTTCATCTCGTCGTCACAGAATGCATGTGTCTGGGTGTTTGCTTATGTACTGCAGAAAGAATTCGAAAGTGATAATGCCGCCATCGATGTTGGATGGTGCGTCGTATCGTACGAAACCGAAGTCTCGCGACCTGAGGACCGATCGTGAAAAGTTGAAAGATGCAGCGTAGATCAAAGGTTGTTCTCTTTCTTGAATTTGTCCCACGCTTCATTGAGCGCGCTGAAGACGGCGCCGGCGATCATACGTTGCTCTATTGTTGCGCTGGTAGGAATCTAAGACAAAGAACGACGGTATTAGTCAGGTCGAAATACGGACGTAAATCCCAAGGGACAAGTGATGAAACGTACCTTGTCAGGATGCACCTTTGCAATACCTTTCATGTACTGTATCTTGACTTTATTCGGCAGGACCAACTCGGACAGGTTGACTTTCTTCCAGCCAGCTTCTGGCCACAGGACATTGTCGAGGCTGCCCAGTAGAGCACGCAGGTTATCTTGTTTTCCGCCCTTCCATGCCGCGATTTTCGCATCGACACTGTCCGTAAGAGCGAGCTTCTCTTCATCAGCACGATCAGCCTCTGCGTTAGCTGCTCGTAAGCGTGTAACTGCTTCACCAGAAGCTGCTGCGGTGGTCGATGGCCCTGCGAGGTCACTGAGAGCAGAGGGCCTAGAGGCCGGTTTCTTTGGCTGAACTGGCCGCGAAGCAGGTCTAGGAGTAGGCTTGCTGATACCAGCCGCTTTTTCGCACCTGTTACGGCCTTGGATACTGGTGCTGCCTCCATGACCTGTCTCAACAGCCTGTTTCCATACTCTGGCTGCATCTTCCCAACGCTCGAGCTGTTCTAGTGCCTCGGCCTTGCGCATCAGTGCCTTTCCGTAGAAGTCCCTCATAGGCTTGCTTGGCTCGCCATTGCCCATATCTATTGATTCCGCTTCTCCTTTCGATGGGCCTATTATGGATAGGATCGTATCTGCGTCATCAATAGCAGATTTAGGTTCTCCAATTTTCAAAGCAGTCATAGCGCGGTTGCTGAGAAGGACAATGGTAACCGGGTGCTTATCCGGAAGACCTGACACAGCTGCGGCAAACGCCTCATGTGCGGCAGCATAGTCACCACGCTTAAAAGCCTCCGTCCCCTTTTGGCGATACTGATGTGAGGACATGAGCACCGAAGAGGATACCTGGGGTATTGATCGGGGAGGAGCTTTTGGCTTCGCGGGGAGCGGCGCTGATGGCTTCGAGGGACGTGAAGCTTGGATGGGAGGGGTTGCAGCTGATCCTTGTGGGCGAGGAACCTGGGATGGACCAGGACTATCGAACAGATCAACATTGGGACTAGAGGCCTGTTGTTCTGTGGCAGGACGTCTTCTTCTGGCAGGACTGATATACGCCTGAGTTGATTGTTCCTCCACGGCAGCACGGCTCAGACGAGATCTACTATCACTTGCCTGAGGCCGTTGTTGTGCGAAAGCAGGCTGAGGGGCACGTCTTTCCGGGTGACTGAAAGGATTCTTCGAGTTCAAAGGGAGCTCGTGACTTTCCCGAACCGGTTGAGCATCAGCCTTAGGACGTGTACGATGGCGAGTAGGTGGGCCTTCGCTTGCTTCTAGAAGGAGTGCCTCGTCAGTGAACTGTTCTGGGCGACTGCGATCAACTTCTGGCTGGGCTTCGCGTTGCGCTCTACTGCCGTCAAGATGATCCGCTCGAGGCCGAGGCGACGAACGTCGATGCTCCCCTGCGACAGATGCATCTCTCATCCATCGGGGTTGATTTGGATCATGATCGGAGTTGAGTTCTTGAACAGCCTGTTGGAACTTCTTGCTTCCAGTTTTCCAAAGAGAATTCGCGGTCTTGAAAAGGCTGTTGCCAAAATTAGCCGCTATGTGCGCAGCATCCCTTTCTGCTGTCGCAGGGCTTCGGCGATCATCGCGCGTTCCTGAGAAATCAGATCTGTCGCTGCCTCTTGACCAAGCTGGCTCGTCATGGCCTCGTCGTTGACTCCGATCCCTGCCCCGTTCGCGCTGATCAAAAGAGCTCGCTCCACCATCTCTGGCTCTAGCCTTCTCTCGCGATTCGGCGTGAGCTTGGTTTAGAAGCCAGCCGACTGCTGCCTGGACATCCATACCAGAGTCGGTACTGCTCAAGGCTTGGCGTGCTTTCTCTGCCGGGAATCCCATATCCACCAGCTCCGCCACAGCTCGGTCGACACCATCCGCGGGCTTCGGGATATCCTTGGTCTCCTCCTTAACAGGCGTTTGGCTTGAACTCCGATGTGCCTGTATGGACGAAAACTCCGATACGGGCTTGGCAAGGTCTCCTAGGAAATCATCGTCTGTATCCGTGGTTTCTTGTGTCGTCGACTTTGGTGTAGCAGCTGGCTTTGAGCTCATCTGTCCAAGACCGAATGGATCGTCGTCGTCGAGAAAAGACATATTGTCGTTCTGAGCTGTTGGAGCGAAACCGGAAGCGGGAGTCATCGATACTGGTGCTGGTGACGACGTAGAACTAGGAATTGGAAAGTTGGTCGACGCATCTACAGGCGCAGAGGCCTTGAAGGCAGCAAGGATATCGTCTTCATCTTCCTCAGTCGGTTGTATCTTCGGTGGTGCACTTGGCTGGGGAGCTCCGACAGTTGCTGGACTGCCTTCACCTTGTCCAAGACTATCCCAAAATCGCGCGTTATTCCCGCCATATTGTGCCTCCCAGCGTTGTCTCTTCTCTGCTTCCTGTTTTGCTCTTTCTTCTTGCAACCGCTTCTGACGCTCCGCTAGAGAAAGGTTCTTGTCAGGGTTGGAGGCGTTGAAAGAGACGAGATTGGCGAAGCTATCGTTTGCAGGCGTAGTAGGCTTAGAAGGTGGATTTGAGGGGCCGGAGGGACCAGAGGGCCCAGAGAGTGGAGTAGAACGTCCGGAGAGGGGAGTTGACCGCATGGTCGAGAAGAGAGAACTGGAAGTCATCGGGGGCGGTTTCGTTGCTTCGTTCGAGCCGGGAGTCCAGCTCAGACCACTCAAGTCCTCCATGACGGACGAGCGTTCCGTGCAAGCAAGACCGTATTATGGTCGTGGAGCTTCAGTGTCGGGACGCTCTAGGAGGACCACCGCAAAGCGCTGCGTGTCCGTACACCTGCTCAAACTGCCACAAGGCGAAAATGAGTCATCCACCTAGTGAGACATAACCAGGTGATAGAATGCTTGCACAAAGGCTGGATCAATCGATCGACACGCGCTGTTCACTGCAGAAATGACGATGGTGGTTCTGTGGCCGTTGAGCTTCATCCGGTGGCGGTGCTCATGATGCGTGGCTGAGGCCGCGTAAATGTGGCTTAGGGAGCCCCTTTTGGCCTCTCACGTGACACGCGGCCGAGCGCTGAGTCAGCGCATGGACAAAGATCGGCGGCAGACCATAACACATAATAAAACATCCGGTTTGACGGCACGGCCTAGACCATCTGCGAGTCCCTAAGGAACCATACTCTAGAGTACTCTAGCTCTCGAGGTTGGTGGAGATTTCCGCGCCGGCGTCGTTCCGCGCAAAAGTTCCCACATGCAGTGGGAGTCACTGTACCTGGTACCATACCATACCATAAAGCTGGACAATAATGTTTTGACTAACTTATCCTCCATACCAGTAACTAACGACCATAACTAGGTCCAGTCCCTCGTGCCTAGACCATGATTGCTGCTTTGCGGTCTTTGCCCTCGCCGTTCCAAGGCACAGGTGGCAGAAACTCGTCCACTCCTCCATTCCCCTAGAAGTGGCCCTGGCGTTCAGATTGGCGCTAAACTTTCCGGGATACTCCAGGCACAAAGTTCGCGTCAGAGGACGCTATCCAGGGACGTTGACGGGTCTAACCGAGTCGCGGAGACGGCAGGCTTCCCGTTTGATAGGACCGTCTCGGCGTCTCCGTCCACAGCGATGGATAGGACAGTTTCTGTTGAATCGGAGTGCAACCCGTACCTGGGGCCCACTGCACGTAGACTGCTAGAGTGGTAGGTCCGGATCGTGGTGTCCTCGAACCAGATTATGGCGACGCCTCATTTAGCTGGAGAGTCATATTGTTATTTTGTTTCTATGCATGAACGTCGTGTCTGCGGTCCTCTGTCGCGAATCTCGACCCTGTTTTCCATGCGCCGTCGATGGGGTTGCCCTGGCGGAAATTCGAGACAGAGGTGCGAGGACCGGACTGCCCCTAGAAGATCTCCCGGCGCGAGACGGGGATTAGAAGCGCTGGCTCCGGTCGAACCTGGCAAAATGCGATCATATCAGAATAATAATGGCTCGTGCGAGGCAAAGAGACTCCGCTGCCCGTGCTCCACGGGGTCTCTCTCTAAATACCCCCTTGGACTCATCAATCGAGCCGTATTATTAGTTAGATAGTTAGTCAACTTAGCTACCATTTGCCCTGCCGGTTCGGATTTGAGCTCCCCGGCCCCAAGAGACAATCAACCAAACCAGCGGCGACCCAGCAGCGTGGCCTCGGAGTTGTTTACCCCTCTAGCTCGGGCGATGGATCCTGGGCGGCTCTCCAGGGATGGATGAAGCCGGGAGAACACGAGCTCGCCATGCTGCGCCAGCTATGGTAGTTAGTTACTGCTGGAACCGCTGCCATCCATCGTAACTAGTCGACGGGAGGAATGATATCGCATTGAGATAGGAACATCAACAACGCGTTACGAGTGACGACGTCCTCGAGTCCGAACGACAGTTAACTAGCCCACGTTAGATACCAATGATAATATGATTCTGATCTTTCTTCTCTCACCAGCACGGGGTGACCCTGACTGATGGAGCAAAGACCTGCACGGTCGAGAAAGCTTCTCCTTAGCGGCGGGCTCCGCACTGTCGTCTCTGATCCGATTCCGTAGGCACCGGCGCACGGTGCCCCGTCCCTTGCAGATGGGGGAAATGTTTTGGTTGTAGTAATAATACTGTAATAATGATTGTTGTAACTAGGCTTAGCAACTTCATCCTAACCGGTGGCGAAAGAGCCCATTATTGGCTTCCTAGAGGCGTTGTCGCGGATGTTAGTGAAGGGTTTAATTTTAGCATGTGCTCGTGATGCATCAACCGTGATGGAGGAGGCAAAAGAAAAGGAATTTGATTGTACAGTACATTGTAGATCTTACCGGGGAGGGACAAATGAACTCTGATATCCAATCGAGCTGTCCCTGAGGGCTAATAATACTATCGAGTCCGTGCTGGGTCGCTATCGATAGAGTCTGTCACATAATAATAATAAATAAATAATTTTCTGTACCGCCCATCCATCTCCCCCCCGGCGGAAACACACTTTCGCCCATTCGAGGAAACCGAGAGAACATCGACTGTGGTATGGACAGTACGTACTAATAAACCGCGATGCACCTTAACTCCTGCTAGAAACGCGACCACGAAGTCAAATCCGATCGACCTCCACCAGCGACTCCGCCGTCGTTCTCCTTTTCTCTACCAACAGTTGCTGAGATCCCACTGGACCGGGGCTGCGACCTTGACCAGAAGTCAAGTTGGTTCCACGAGAGAAATAATTTAGTTGTCAGGCGTTCTCAGCCCGCCGGGCTCAGCTTCTCATTGAGGGGACGCCCGTTCGTTGTCGCCAAAGTTCAAAACAAGACATCCCCCGCGCTCTCGTGCAAAAGGATCGCTGGTGGTGCATTACCATCACTCGACTGACGAGACGAACCATCCCTCATCCTTGTCCCGCACCCCGCGGACTTCAGAACAAGACCTCCTCCATCGTGCAGCTCGCTGACTCGATTGCTGTCCATCATGGGTATCTTCAAACGGAAAGATTCCAAAAACTCCATCTATGGCTCGGACAAGGATGAGCAGGAATCCGTGGTGAGCCCACGAAACTCAAGTGCATCGCTCAAGTCGCCTTCTTTCGTCAAGCCCAGCGCTGTTCTCCCCGCGTCCATTCCGGAGGTGCCAATTGCCAAGCCCCCAGATCCAACTCTCGACCCGGGGGCATATCTTCGAAGCATCCATGCCGTGCGTGACCGGTCTCGGATCGTTCTGCAGAGAGCAAAGCGGAACCTATTAAACCACTTCGATGTTGATATGACCAAGTTCGAAGAGACCGCATCGTATGTTGTCTCCATTATCAAGGTAAGTTTTTTATCGAATATATGCTCCCCATGCCATCCAATATGGCTGGATGAACAAATAGCTTACGAGTTACAAGAGGGACCATGCTCCAGACTACCAGTCGATCCCTCCCCACGGTCGCTGGCAGCACTTTGACGTGGGTGGGAGACCTCGTATCAACCAACTGCTCCAGTCATGGCCCAGTACTATTGATGCCCAGGAGCGCACCAGGCGTCTGATAGATTTGTTCTTGGTTTCTGTTCTTTTGGATGCTGGTGCTGGGACCAGATGGTCCTACAGATCTAAGGAGTCCGGCAAAGTCTACTCACGAAGCGAGGGACTCGCCGTGGCAAGCTTGGAGATGTTCAAAAGTGGAATGTTCAGCAGTGATCCAACGGAACCGTGTCAGGTTGACGGTGCTGGTCTGAAAAAGGTGACTGTGGATATGCTCGCCAAGGGTATGCAACATTCAGAGGAGAACCCTCTGGCTGGGCTGGAAGGTCGCGCGGGACTTTTAGCAAGCCTCTCAGACGCCCTGAACAACCAAGAACTCTTTGGTGTTGACGCCCGACCAGGAAACATGCTCGGTCAGTTGCTCTACCGCCTTCTAGTCCGACGTCCATTGTTTGAAGAGACATACTGACAGTGTCTCAGACTACCTGCTCTCCCACCCCTCTACACTCGCTTCATCTGTTCCTATTGTTCCTCTGCCCATACTCTGGTCTGTACTAATGGATGGTCTCGCATCAATTTGGCCAGCCTCCAGGACGCAAATCGATGGGGTGTCTGTTGGAGACGCCTGGCCATGCTCGGATCTTCCACAATCCCCTCCCGCGCAGCCTTGGGAGAGCATCGTTCCTTTCCACAAACTTACCCAATGGCTCTGTTACTCCATCATGGTTCCGATGTCGAAGTTAATGAATATCCATTTTGCCGGAAGCGAACTATTAACCGGTCTGCCCGAATATCGAAATGGTGGTCTCCTCGTTGACATGGGTCTGTTGACATTGAAGGAGCGAGACATGCAGCGCGGGATAGAAGCCTACAAAGAAAATGCGCAGATAAAGGGTCAACCAAACATGGAGGTTGTGCCCCTTTTCCGAGCCGATGACGATGTCATCGTTGAGTGGAGAGCTGTGACCGTGGGATTTTTGGATGAGCTTCTTGATGAGGTCAATCAGCAGCTGGGCCTTAGGGGTGACGAGAAGCTTTCTCTCGCCCAAATGCTGGAGGCTGGAACTTGGAAGGTTTGTTCTCTCTTCAGCACGGATGGCATGTGTAACGCCGCTAATCATCACTCTTTAGGGTGGCCGCGAGATTGCAGAAGTCTCAAGACCAAACACCAAGGAGCCTCCGATCATGATCATCTCCGACGGCACTGTCTTTTAATAACCCTTCGTTTCTTTCCGTTCCAAAACCTTCATACAGCTTTCTCTTCGGGACTTCTCGGCCTTCTTCAACCGTATTCATCTCATAATGACTATTTCACGACCAGGTGTTTCGTTGGTGCCTTCTTGAGAACCTTTCTCCTCCAGTCGTAATTTTTTATTTGTCCCCAACTACTCTGTGAACGATAACGACGACTTACTTCATATTGGCTTTGACATGCTCAAGAAACTTAATGCAATCATAATACCAGTTCTTTAAAAGGTCCAACTTGTTGCATGAGGCGGATAGTTGAAATGTAACAGCTGCTAGGAAAACAATGCAATGCGACAGCTGATTCATCCTTGCATTGGAAATGCAATGAATCTATATACAGAAGCCGTATTCGATCTGGCGCCGTAACGTACTGTGTAGGTAAAATTGAGTCTTTGTCCCAGCTCATGCAGCATCTGGAGTAAGGCTAGAATAGCTAGTTGATCGGCTTGATGTCGATCTCTTTTTAGGCCATCGAAAACCCACTGAAAAGTCTCCGATAATGCACGGTCGGTCAAAGCTGCAGCAATAATAGCTAAAGTAATAATAACCTGGGAGCGTGCCTTGGAACCACGGCACGTGATCCTGCGGAACATCATTGACCCCAGCCACTATTATTACTCTCCGCAACGTCGGCCAAGATTCCCGCAACGCTTCGATATATCATTTCGAGAGCCCTCAATTCCACAAATCGTCCCCTTTGAAGCCGCTATCCAGATAAGTTTGAAGCCTAGTCAGGCCACATATTATTGTTGAATAGACTATTTGCATTGTATTCCCCGCAACGCTGATCTTGCGTAAACTGCTCTCTTATCGCTGCCACCTTTTGAGCTAGCCTCGAGCTCACACCGGACACAATGGATATGCGGAAAAAGAAGAAGAAGGTTCTCCTTATGGGGAAGAGTGGATCGGGAAAATCCTCCATGCGTTCCATTATCTTCAGCAATTATGTCGCCAAGGACGTACGCCGATTAGGAGCAACGATTGACGTTGAGCACAGCCATGTCAAGTTCATGGGAAACCTCACACTTAATCTATGGGACTGCGGAGGGTGAGTCTTTCTTCTCACATAATTTAGGGCTCGAGAAGAATCTTGTCTGACGTGCGTATATCGCGCTTGTAGCCAGGATGCCTTCATGGAAACGTACCTAGCCTCTCAACGAGGCAACATTTTCTCCGACGTCGCTGTTCTGATCTACGTATTCGATATCGAATCACGAGAAGTGGAACGCGATCTCGATACTTACAATGCTATAATCGATGCGCTGAAGGAGTTTAGCCCGAATGCTTATGTCTTCTGTCTTATCCACAAGCTGGACCTGATCCAGGCGGAGCACCGTCAGCGGATATACGAGGAGCGATCCTCTTTGATTCGAAGCCGTTCGGACCACCTTGCAATCGATACGTTTGGAAGCAGCATCTGGGACCAATCATTATACAAAGCCTGGGCGGGCATAGTCCACAAGCTGATACCGAACCTCTACGTCATTGAAAGGTTCCTGAGCGCTTTTGCAAAAAAGATCGATGCAGAGGAAGTCATACTCTTTGAGCGGTCTACTTTTCTCACGGTCACTTCTGTGACATCTGATGTTGGAAATATGAATCCGATCTATGATCGACATGAACGTCTGTCCAACATCATGAAGGCCTTCAAACATTGCGCTGCCAGGAACACACATACTACACCTGCATCGGCTGGGTTTTTGGTAATGCATACGAAAACTCCGCAATTCAACGTCTTTTTGGGCCGCTTTACCGATAATACATACATCTTTGTCGTCGTACCGCCCGGAGAAGCCGTGTACAACTGCGCTGTTTTAAACACGATGCTTGCAAGGGAAGGATTCTCGAAAGCTGCTGAAGCCGGTTACGCTGACGGGTTCCCCCTCCCAGCAGTGGAAGGCCCGGGTGCAAATGGAACGAATGGAACCGCCAATCTACAGTCTGACACATCTCCCGATGAAGAGTAGATGTCAACTTCTAGGACGAGTATTAACAATACCATCATCCTCCCTCCCCGGTAGATTTTCCAGACATGAGGCATATGACAGTCGAGTTCTGGATATATGATTTTCCCTATGTTCCAATGCTTGAAGCGTTCCAGCATTAAGACATGCTCATATGTACGTACTACGAGATACCCAACGATGAAATGTATAGCATAACGCCTTTCTTGACACAATAGAATAGTTTATTCTGTGTTTCCTTCATCCTAATATAAGAGACACTTCCGTTTCGCTCTGCTCATGCAGTGCCTTATTCTCGCCTATCTACGTAGAATAGCAATTTGGCGGACATCAAACCGGCATATGGCACCGACCTTATGGCTCACCTAAGTGTGACGAACAAAAAAGTAAAATAATACAGGAGACACAGGAGACACAAGACATATATGGGTGTAGATAGTCAGCATGAGGTGAATGAATCAGTTGCCCTAGGCTGAGATGCAGCTGCCCCAATCAGAGATACCGACTCATTGGAAAGAGCAGTTGCCTGAAAGCATATAATCCGGAAATGCAGGGTGGACCTAAGTATACACTAGGCTGTCAGTCTCGTATTTGACTTCCACAGCAGTGAGGGCTTAGTTACCTATCTCAAACCACCAACACCATAAACCAAGCATCGCTAGCTATCTCCAGTCTCTATGGATCTGCAAACAGTCCCTCTGCACTGGAAATAAGCATGCTTCCACTCATTCTGATGAGAGCATAGCCATCTTTATCGAGCCTCTATTCGCCAATTGAGACTAAGTCAGTACCTGGTGACAGACTTTTCTCCCCACTGGCCGGGGAGGGTAAAAGGAGGCGGTGTATGAATTGACAATGTCGATTTGCACTGACATCCAGCAAGGCAACTATTACAAGAGCCTCGGAATGCGGACCAGGTTAAAACTGATCAGCTCAAAAACCAATTTAGTTTCTTCTGACCGCCTTGGCCTTTTGTCGGCGTACTTGCTGGTCGAGAACTTGCACATGCACGGATGCCCATGCTGATGTGTCCCTGAATATCCGCCTTCTAGACCCATAGCAGCAGCTCACTTATATGTACCCCGTATTCCTCTGCCACACTCTTTGTATGCCGAAATGACATCTGTCGAATCGGAGGGAAATATGGCGGGAAACTCGACACATTATTATTCCGATTGAATAAACCAGGATTCTGCGCGGACTGAGTTGTCCTCGAAGTTTGTCTCGTATTCCTGCCGCCTGCTGATAAGTGATACGGAATACCCCAGATAATAATCGACCTCAATCCCTCATTATGACACCCTGGCCCTGTTATCTTTTGGTCAAAACCGACGGGAGCGTGATCTCTGACGTGAGAATATGACGCTTGAACCATTCTCTGTCCAGGGAGCAAATGTTTTGCGTGTTGCGTCCGTACAATTGAGGCAATCGCAAGAGCTCACCGGAACCATTGATTCCGCGTAAGCAGCGGGATGTATGCACCACGACATAAAAAGGTACTGTCTTGCAGCAAGAGAAGCAAGAAATCTCATATTCTCTGACCAACGAACATCTGGTACACCATCATGATCGTTGCTTTTTGCTGCCCGAATGAAGCACTTAGCGGATGCCTGGGCGGACGGACCGAGAGGCAACCACGAGGCATGCAAGCTAACGGAAAGCAACTGCAACGGGGCAATCTATGATGTGTCTGGAAGGGCCGATAGCTCGGGAAGTGAAGCTGAGAGATATATTTAAAAGAAGTCGCTGCTCTGAAAAGACTGACCGGATCATGATCAAGTTCGACATTCAGAGTCTATTGTGCTGAGGCTGGCAGCACTCCTGGGGATTCAGGCCTGGAACGAGCTGAGCTCTGCCTGCCAAAATGATCTCCTCTCCTGGACAGGCCAGAATTCACGATTGCTCCCTATGATTGATAGGATGGAGCGCTGATTTCGTTTGTGACCTCGTTGAGCCACCGTCACAATGCCGTCTATCGTTGATGAGACTGAAGAGGACGCTTAGCTACCAGGTCACCACTACCACTACGCTCCCCGCCCCTGTCTTCGGCCCATGTTCAGCCCACTCTACCGATAGATTGGAGAACATGAAAGAAGCAGCCTCCAGGACCCAAAGGCCGAAGCCCGCCCGCATTACCCGAGAGCCAGTCTACACAATGCCATAGTCTTTGCAACCTTGAGCGCTAGCTCGAAATCAGTTGAGCCTCTTGATCCGGATCGGAGGATACCACGGTCAGGTGGGTAAAGGTATCGATGACAGGTTGCTCGTGGCCTCTGGCTATCTGCGGCTCTTGACCACGCTTGTGGTAAAGGAACGCTGCCACTTTACTTTCGGGTATCCACACGTCCTTCCCACGTTGTCTCTACGCCAATTATTCTTGCATTGGGCACCCTCTGGATGATTATGTTCGGATTTCAGCTTGACATGTCATCATGCTGTGTGTTATCTCCGGAACGATCTGCAGGCCATTTGCGAGCGGTATCAGCAGTTGAGCCTCATGCCGATATGGGAAGGATAAAAGGGGAGTATGAGCTGGATAGGTCCAGCGAACTACTTCTGCATACGGCGGGAAAAGGTTGAAAATATCTTTTTAACAGAGATTTTATCAAATAACTCTTGTCGATTTATTGCAGGTACGTCATATTCATGGTTGTTTGATATCTACAATAAACTAAGATCGTCATCTCAAGCAGTCACGGATAATAGCCCACCCAGGAAAGACCTCAATACGCCCCAGATATCAGGTGCCGGTCTATCTCACCGAAGAAATAGGCCAGGTTCTGGCTGTTCTCGAGAATGGCCCCTCAAGACATTCGGGACCTTGCCTTTTTGTTCAACATCGTCCCCGTTACTGTCAGCGAGCATGCTAGTGAACAGCGCAAAGGCTTGGTATCAGCGCAATACTGGTATCCACCACTTGATCAGGATCAATTCGTCCGAATTGACAGTCAAAGTACGGGCTGGTGCAGCTGGTCTGCACGCACGGGAGTCCAGGAACAGGTCATTCCAAACGATCCTGGGAGAAACGATGAAGTATATACAGTCTTCTTTAACCAGGAAAATGACCATTTTCTTGTTGTTCCCATTGACTGCTCTCGAGAAAGTCTCCGACAACGCGTGGATGCGGAACCCAACTGGCCTACTGTAGGCTGGTTCAGGGTGAATTTCAAACACTTACACGATGGCCGGATGTCAAAACTTACTCATGAGCCTATGGACTGTTATCATCTTGGTGCAAGGGGATCACCAGAATGGGTACCTCAGCTGCTTCCCTTCGCCTATGACCAAAGCGAAAGCGACTTCGTCACAGGTCTTACGGGAAAGCTTTCTCTATTAGTGGCCATGGCGGCATTTACATCAGAGTTCCGACGTGAACATTTTATCACCACGATGAGGGACCATTTCCAGCCACCGAGATGGATACCCAGGCCTGCTGGCACACCCCCAGTTAGTAAGTCAAGATACAGCTTTGACGAGAGAATCAAAAGTGAAACTGACAATAGGATAGAAACATGGCCACGAAGTCATCAAATGGGTGTGATCGTCAGAATACGGCCCGATCCGAGATCAGGAATTGGGAGAACAGAGCTATCTCGTTTTGAAGAGGGTGACTTCGGCTGTTTAATTGGAAATTGAGGGCACTAGGTTTCACTCTGCATCCTTACAATGATCACGGGCAGTCTGCGAGATGTACATCACGCAGCTCTACTGTCGTCTCTCTTAGACTACCTCTTTTCCCCATGTTGATTGAGCCATCCTACATGCAGGCAGGCTACCAACTTGACCTGATCTATATACCGCCCCCTTTCTTTAATTTAAAAGCGTTTTCCAGGCTTACCTACCCATCATATAGAAAGCTAATGCAACAGTAAAGGAGGGCCATGCGACCAATGCTACACCTTCACATCTACGTCATGGTCAATAGCAGGAGAAGGTGCTTATCTCTGTTGGCGGCTAGAGCACGACATCTACCTGCCGGTCCGCAATTTTTGCGGCGACTTGCCCTAATGGCTGGATCTCCAAAGAAATCGGATTTGCGGCGTGTCTGCCAAGAAGCGAGGCTATGCATGACATGAGAAGATGAGATGACTAGTTAGTTCGCGAACCATGCAAGTGCTAGTTAGTTAACTTAATTATGGGTATATTAGTCAGGATCGACCGATCAACCCAGAAATTCTATAGGATACCCTGTGTTTATGGAACAGAAAAAGGGAAGATTTCCACAGCAACAATCATGCTAGGAATACTGTAAGGAGACAACCACAGGATCAGGAGTGTGAGAAAAAAAAAAAAATAAATCTTTTTCCTTGGTCAAACCGCCCTTGGGACCCCAAAAGAAGAGGAAAATGATGTAGAAGGATGAGTTGCTATTCCTCCTAGGTATTCGGAGAGCAATGGGGAAAATTAGGGACAGAAGAGTTTTAGGGCCGTGGCGCCTGCGGCATGCGGGCGCATACATCAAATTCGACTACCAAACAACGTTACATCATTGGACATCTGGTAATCGAACGGCAATGTCTCCAGACTGCGTAATGTATCGGACCCAAGGAAGGGAGGGATATTGGAGCTGTGGTCGGGGAGAAGTGCGAAGTTAGCGATTGTTTCCCATCACAGAAAAAAAAAAAAGTTATGAGTGGGCAAGGAAACCCGGGATAGGCATTGGACAACGGTGCCAGCGCATCACACAAGGCCCTGTGAGGAGCCACGACAGCGGTGCGTGGTTCTTTGAAGACGCTCGGATGAACCGCAAGCTTTACTGGCTTCTGCATCTGCCACACGGTCCGCCAAAAACTGCGGGAAATAGCAAACTAGTTGCTGCAGAAGCGGCACCGTAGCATAGCCCGGGCATGGAGGGGTTTGGTTTAGAAAACAGACAGCTCGCCTTCGAAATACCAGAAGAGATCTGTGGATGGTTTTCGGGAAACGAGTGGGAGGGGGACTGCATCGGGGGGGAAATGAGAGAGAAACTAATAAAACTCACCTTCGGTTCAATGATCTTCAAGTATCGGACTTGGATACCACTCGTGGTGAAGTAGGGTATCTCAAACTTGACGTTGATCGGGCGTTTGCTCTTTCCCTGTCCTACGCCACCCATACTACCTCCAAATCCACCAGTCATGCCGCCTCCATGTTCATCATCACCCTTGACGGACGGAAGGCCGAGTTCGGCGCGCATGAGGAATTCTTTCCCTCCACCGAACTGCTTGATCTTCCAAATGATAGCAGACTTTTCCGGCGCATAGTGGACGGAGCCAATATTCGTCCGGAAACGCGGGGAGTCCGCATCTTCGGGCACAGGGACTAAGATTTCGACATTGTTGGCCGTGCTTCGACGCTTGAACTGGGCTTTTGCCTACATCATCATCAATGATTTTGTTAGAGCTTAGTCAAGTCTGGTCAGGAAGATGAAATTGCAATGGGGTTGGCGAATGGTGAAGCGAGTCCAGTTGTATTTCGGGTACGATGCCCCGTGCATGGCTCTACTCACCTTTAGCATATACTCGATCCGAGAACCAGAGTGGGATTCAACTAGACATTCGACCCATATCAATGGTTTAACCTGGGTGTTTAATCGGTAGCTCATCAGCTCGAACTCTCCATCCGGCGGAATAAAGCTGATCGTTCGGTCATTTTCGAATCTGGAAAGTCTGACACATTGGTGGAACTTGACATCCTCCATCTCGACGGCCTTGCCTCTGGTGGCTCTACCGGTTGTTTCGAACATGACTTTATCATTCAATCCAAGACGAAGTTCCGGCATACCACTGAGGTAGCACTTCATCTTGATTGCGCCCAAAATCTCCGACCGCAGAACGTTGCCGTTGGATGATACGAGCAGGTTCAAGGACTCAACCACGTCGAGGAAGACCTCGTTCTTGCGATATCTGATTCCTTCGCTTCTCCACGATACGGCGTTTGTAACAGCAATAGGTGGCCGTGCCTGGACTTCAAGCTTGTGCGATTCCTGCGTGATGTACCTGGTGAGGGGTATCACAGTTAATGCCGGTGCCTCCCCTAGAGCGGTCCACGAAAGTCGCGATCCAAAACTTACTCTTGCAGGATCTTGCTCTCTGTAGTCTGAGGGTAACCAAAGTCCATCATTTCATCCAGCAGTTCGTATATAATGACGAAGTTATCTCTGATACTCTCCTCCTCCAATTCCTTGAAGTATTCCGTGAAGACCTCCACGATCTTGTGGAGGAACAGCAGGATCTCGGTGGCATTTGTGTTTCTCTTCGTGAGCGCGAGGATATAAAGGTTACTATGGCGGATGTAGAGGTACTTTCGAACGCAAGTGGTGGGTTAGCGACCATCATGACACGGTAACTCATTTTCCGATAATATTGGAGGAAGAGGGCCGGTTGACGACGCGCAAAGTAGTAAAACGTACGTTGATGCCTTCATCAGAGAAGCATGGAGGAACAGCCGAGCTCTCTTCTTCGGCTTCACTGAGTAGGATAGGGAATTTCTCGACCGCGGACATGGGAATGTCACCGCGATAGTTGCGGGCCAGAAGGGTCTATTGTATACAGACAGCACATAAACATGATTAGCAACGTTCCAAGCATGAAATCCAGCTGTGACAGAAGGAAAGAACACAATCACAGCCCATCTCACTCCCCCGAACTTCCCATACAAACATACCTTGCCCTTCAGGTCCAAGAAGAAGATAGCCGACGCCATGGCGGCGAGTACGAGTTGGTCTGCGGTTTCAGCGTCGAGGGAAATAGATCATTCTGCAGCAGCGGGCAAGCAAGCAATCAGGAGCAACGCAAAAGTCCTCCCTTTTCCACAAAAAACCCCCAGTGAATTCTTCTGCGCCTTACTCGCAAGCGCGCCAACTGCGTCCAGAGGGATGTTCTATGGGAAGCAATGGTGTTGAATTGTCCTTCTCCCGTCGCCTCATCATCCTCCACATGTGTCCGGTCGGGTCGGGGGGTTCCACGGGCGATACGCCAACTCCCAATCAGGCCTAGCGCCCCGCCCCTCTTTCTCGTCGCCAGGGAAAAAAATAATGCCGTTAATTATAAAAGAAAACCCGCGGTCCTGCTTTTTTTTTTGTTTTTCTTTTCTTCTTTCTTTTTTCAACGCTCCCAAAAGACAGTGCAAGACACCATTATGCCCTGGTCCATGCTGGCATTCTGTCAGAATGGACTATTTTATGGGTTTATGCCTCGATTGATGATACTTGCGATATAGAGGTGCGGAGAGTAGTTGATTTGAGGTCCCATAAGAGCTGGCCGGGTATTTTGCTCACTGTTATCCGGGCGGTGTCAGAGGGACCGCACATATCTTTTGTCTTTAATACAATATTGATTAATAATATTATTATTTGTAGTGCCAATGCCTGGTTCGTGGCTATGATACGATCATGTCATGGTTTAGTGAATTCTGTGGCATTTCTCTTGTTTTTCTTTTCTATAGGAGATTCGAGAGAGGTTTTTTTTTTCGATCCATATAGGTACAGCTGAAAAGAAAAAAAGCCCTGAAATGGTATCCCGCGACAACGAAAACGTGACCGGTAGAGATATAAAAGTACATGTACAGGCTTGGGTGATGAGGAAAGACAATGGGTTCATCCCCGCCCATAAAACAAGCATCGGAAAAAAAACGAAGGTGAAAAAAAAGGAAATAAACGCCTTGAAATGCTCCTTGCAGCCGGTTCCCCAAGACAGGATAGAGACGCTCTCTCTCTCTCTCTCTCTAAGGAAGTGTCGACCTCAGTCCCAAAGGCGCCAGTATCCGTTCCTGTGCGACTTTGTTGGCAACATGTCCGCCCTTCTCCAACGCAACAGCACCCACGACAGCGTACAGGGTATGAGCAAGGACCACGTCAATTCCGGAGCTCTGGAGGTTGTTGGGCTAGGCACCATAATGATCAGTATCCATGAATGAAGTTCACCGGTGTATAAATGGGAACGAAGGACAAATTTACCTTCCGCGGCGACCATCTGATGACATTCTGCAACTCGTATTTCTGAGCTAGCTCCGCCAGCTTCGTCTTGCTCGTGAGGAAGCTCTTCGTGTTGGTGGAAAGGTTGCTCAGGCCCTCCAGTGCCTGGTGCTGGAAAGGTTTCCGGCCGTAAGGATCTTCAGGCGTCTTCTTCGCAAAGTTGCCTGCATCCTGAACCAAGGCCAAGGAAGCCTGTAGCTGAACTATCCGCTTGCCTGTTGTAATTTGATGCCATCAGCACGTGCTTCTTCGTTGACCGTCATTTCTGTTTTACGCACCGAGAAATGCAAGACGGTCATTGAAACCTCTTCTGCCTTGGTCGAAACTCTTGTGAGTCACCGCGAGCCACTTGATCTCGTCGGACAGGAGCTTGTCTCCTCCGTTGCCCAGCATCCGGATGTAAAACTGATCGAGGACCGCGGGATCCTCATTGACGGGAAAGTCGGGTCTTCTGGAATTGATCCGCAGACTGAATGGCGCCTTTGCGCCGGGAGGAGTGTACGACCATCGTGGCTTTCCAGCCGTCTCTTCGGAGGCCGCTGACTCTGTTGAAAGTCCACGTCTTGAGACCACAGCTGTCGTAACAATCGCACTGGTGCAGACCGGACGAGCGCGCACAGAGGAGGAAACAGCGCTGAAGGCCCGTGAAGAAAGTTTAGAAGCCATCAGGAAAGCGATTGACAGAAACGGGCGTGAGGCTTAGCTTTGTCGTTATGATGAGGTCGATCTACCTGTCCGCCGGTTTTCTCCAGGCTCGAGTCGGTGGTGAGGAAGAATTCAAGAGATCCGCGCTAGGCCCGCTACGGATGGCGCGGCGATCCGCCGAAGCGCCAAGCCGCAGCGTGAAGTATGAGAAAGAAGCAACCCTTTGGGGAGGACTACAGTAACAGTAATGTGGTTTTTGAATCTCCAGTCTATATATGAGGCTATGGGAATAAATCATATTTCTCAAATACTAGTCACTTCTTAATGGGATGACAGGTATAGGAGATAGAACATTATGCGGCCGTACTCCATGTCAAATACAAAAAGTAGTATATATTTTGAGGATGAACAACGGCGCAGTCCTTAATAGCATGTAGATATCGAGCTATCACTCTGGAGAAACTACTGCGCACTCTCATATGCGATATTAACCGGCGCGAACCGATGGGTGTACAGACGACCCCAAATGTAGCATGCACAAGCTCGTACCCGCATGACACGCGGGACTTGGCAATGATAGAACTACCTGGCGTTATTCCATACCGCCGCTGCTTATACAAGCTAGATCGACTCTTAGGATGGAGTACGCAATCAGGAATGGGCCGACGTATCGCCAATCCGGGCCTGGTTCCCGAGTACAGAGCGGTCAGACTGCAGGACGCCGAGATTTTCGAGAGATCGGTCTCTGGTTTCTTTCAGCAAGGCTGGAGCGTCACACGGCATCCCCGTATTATTTGTGTCCTGCAGAATTGATGCGGATGACGCCCAGATGGTATATGCGTGATGCTTGCAGATTTCCACTGCGGCTTAGGTGCTGATCCGGACGTTATGGTTTCTCCTGTGAAAATGAAACATCATTAGACATGTTAGCTGAAACGACCCGCTCAAGATGTGAGTTTCCATAATAACAGCCCAATTTTGTATGATTCGTATCACAAATAGGTCTAAATTGCTTCTGGGAGTAGGTATGCATCAGCCACAAGAAACCAGCTCCCAGAAAAGAGCCCCGGATGAAGACCGGTTTTGCGGCTGGCCCGGCGATTGACAAATACTACCAAGATGGTTGTCCATCCCGGTACAACCATAACGGATCACTCATAGATGTTCAACAGCCAAACAAGTAGATCTTGCAGATTCGATTCTCTTGGCACTTATCCCCACATGGGCACCGAGATCTTGGATAAGCCCCTGACAGATTTGTCCAAAACCCATGTCAAGTCTGGTTTAGCCAAGGACACTACCACATCCCTGCAGTCAATGAGCATTATCCCCCGTGAAGAAGCGTCCGAGCCGGGAGTATAAGGTAGTTGTATACTTCAGCCTTCCATGAGTAGCTGGCCTATCTCTGCCTCTTTTCCTAGCACCAGGTGTAAGTTCTTGCCTGTATGCATTCTGGCGTGCCGATTTCCCGCAGAACTCTAAGTAGACAGCCGCCTCGGGCGCTCTAGCGGCATGCAGACAATAGTATAGCTCTTTTCTGTAGGACGATAACCGGCATCAAGTTAGGCCTTCACATAGGCCTCGTAAGCAATACTGTGAGCTCCCGGTCCGGTTTTTCTGACTGCCAGCATTTATGTGATCTCTTGATGAACATGGCATACTTCCCGCAACTATATCGACGTCGAGATAGAGTGCCTCAGATGAGGCGACCGATAGTGTCTTCCTAAGAAGCGAGATATCCGGGGAAGATGCGTGACACCATCCCGGTGCCACCATATCGCATTCCCTGGTTGGACGCCGGGATCCGTACAATGAAGAATTCTCAGGGGATTCCAGAACTTGATGTCGTGCTCGCCCTTGGTTTTAGGCAGAAACGGGGCGAAGACTCCCCATGGACCGTGGAAACGGTACGATATCAGTCAAAGATAGCTTTACTAGTATCCCGGCCGTTGGGATTCCGCTCCCGGATCCGTATCGGGCTCCTACAGACTTCCCCGAATATTGATACAGCTCTCTGGCAGCAGTCAGCCATCGATTGATACTGCTGAGCGCCAGCAGAGAAGCAGTAAAGATAGTGGCACCTTGCGCCTGAACAAAGTTAGTATAATTGCCGGCATTATCCTGTGTATGGAGGTCTCCACCGCCTTTCCTGGTAACAAGATATAAGGAATAGGAGCCCACCGCTCGCCATCGTGCCATATTGTGCCATCAACACCGGATTCTCTTTCATCCGGCCCAAAGAAAATACCGCAGATAAGACAGCAGTCTGTGTGGCTTATCTCCTGAGACTTATCTCTCTTGTTTTCACCTTTTTCGCGTCTTTCACGTCTCGCACACATCATCTCCTTCCTGCAAAACCCATCGTCATTCCTAACTCTACCATCTCGAGATTCCTTTGAAAAGACAAGAACGCACTCTCCAGAACAAACATCATCAAGATGGCTGCTTTGTCCATCGTTTCCGAGTCCATTGTTGACACTGTCACCATTGCCCCTGAGCAGCTCGGTGAAATGGCTGGAGGCTGCGACACCTACATCGAAGATGACGATGACTCCCACCAGGACCCGCCTTCTCCTAAGCCTTGCCCTCCCAACCCTCCCCCTAGCCCTGCTTGATTCGATCTGGGCGTGTCCAAAGGACATGATATCTTGAGTCTCCAACTTGAGGAACCGGTAAGTGGGTAATACAGTCATAACACCGACTGTCATATGTCCATACTGTGAACATAAGACTCGTCGACATGTCCTGTGTAACGGGTAATCAGCATACAGCTAACGCATATTGCAGACCAAACAATAAACAAAAACACAAAAAAACAATAATAATATCGATGATGAAGAGAACAAGCTCGACAGTAAGTGCTTAAAGTCGCAGGCGGGGCAGTTGATCCTCCTAAGCTAACTCCCACGACCTAGCAACGTCAGCCACGGCATACGAACCGTGATAATATGCTTCAGGCATAGAACTGTTCATTCTAATGGCCAGACTTCCCCTGACACTCGGGGTAATAATGATTTCGGAGGACTGGTTTAATGCACTTTCCTAATAACTCATAATCAAATGTAATGTCTGATCCGGTCAGCCCGGAAATTTGAGAACTGTTCTTTCCATTTAGATTTCCGTAGTTTCCGGCATTTCGCGCAACCACAGCAGATGGTAAAATATCCCGTTGCTCGATTCACGGTACACTCAAGGACTCAGTAGCAGAAGGGGGAACAAGGCTGAATGCCTAGTAGATTATGGGGAAAAGTAATGAATTGAAATGGCCTGTTATTGAGTATCTGCCTTGAAACATTTCAGGCATGAGTATAGTATTGAAACAGTTATGAGACAAACAAAGGAACACGGATATCCAAGAACAGGACAGATTAGATCAAGGCAAGGATGAAGGAAGTGACGGCAGCCAGTCCCACGGCAGTCCAGCCGCTCTTGATGACCTGCTTGTTGGTCAATCCTCGACCAAGATCCCAAACCAAGTGGCGGATGCCATTGAAGCTGTGGAGCGTGAAGGGGAAAGCAACAATGTACTTGGCGAGGAACTTGGCAGCCACGGGAAGGGCACCGAAGGCAGCAGCGATCGAGGTAGACTCAAGGTGCCATCCCAGCAGAGGAGAAACGAGGTAAGCAGTAGCGAAAGCGTAGAGACCACCAGAAAGAACGAAACCGGTGATACGGTGAGTGGCAGACAGGTACCAGGTGATCTGCGGGCGGTAGATCGCGAGGTGAGGGGAAACAGGACGGTTGAGACGCTGCTGGGCCAGCAGCTTGGTGGGATCAACGTTTCCAGCTGTCGAAGTTGCCGGTCTATATTCAAGTCAGAAACATTTCCATCATATTCGTCAAGGCAAACGCGCGCAGAAGGGATATCAGTAGCCGGCGGGATGGGTATGTCGTATGACGTCGATCCAACATCGCAATTCGAGCATGCAAGAGGGTATAATTCACGCAAAGGACTCATAACCGAGTCTACTCTCGAACTGACCTCATTTGCATGTAGTTTCCAGTCGCAACAGCGGCGGGGGAAGCGAACTTGGCCATTGATAGCCTCATGGCCGAAGGCTGCTGGACGGCAACTGGAAGCGGAAATGGGTTAGTTGTGATCATACCAACTGGAGGACTTGTAAGGGAACGTACGCCGTCGCAGCGACTGTTGCGCAATCTTCTGGGAGAACATGATGAATCAACCAATCTGTCGTGGCTCGCGATACTCAGCAGCGACGAGAAGACGAAGTCCAAGAAGTTGAGATCCTTCTTCTTCCATCTCGGAATCACGGGCGGCAGACCTCGGGAAGCCGCCAAAGTCACGTGACCATGACGCTTTGCACACACTCTCGAGCCAATCATGGAGGAGTAATTATCATCCGGAAGATCCTTCTTCCATCCCACCGACTTCCTTAAAAGACCTCCCGCTTCGCACGGCTCTCAGCTTCCTTTTTCCCTTCTGCAGAGCCTCTGCCTTCACGTCGTTACTCGTCTTCGGGCATGACGCGGTCGTGTCAAGCGTCGTCTCAATTGGTTTCGGCTTTCTGTCGCGACCGCCGGGACGACTTGAGGTTCTCAGAAGAAGACATGAGGCCCGTCGTTAATCGCCCATTCTTTTCTGTTCAATGAAGGGAAAGGGTTTCATATCAGGGTTACATAACCACCTGTCTCATTTGCACCATAGAAGACTACGAAATCTGTATATCTATTGTCATTCTGGCATGAGCCTCAATTCAGCGCTTAGCCAGCCCAGTAGCCAGTTATTATTTAGGTCGCGATGTGCATAGAAACACCAGCTCTGTGCGATCATTTATAGCGTACCCTGGAGTAGCTTCCTCAGGCTCTCATCAAATGAGATACATATCACGTGATTTCAATCGCTTAATCCAGTCACGTGAGTAACTAACTGATGAAGGCCGCTTGCTCATTGGATCTACCAGCTACACCTCAGTTATGCTAGTTATGCTATGTCTGATTACATAATGTAATAGCGGCACCCGACATGTAGACGGACCTCGGCAAATCTCCAGATCACCAGACCCTCCCGAGGATAACGCGATCCCAGTCTCCGTAATCAGATAGATTTCTATTCCTTTCATTATATGACGGTGGATAGGTTATATAAGACGCAGCCTCCCTATCTTTGTCTGCTGTTCTCTAGATTTTCATGTTTCTGATATCCAGAGAACCGGCATAAGTACACCCACATAACTGTTTCAACATGCCTTTCAACACAGCTCTAACAAGGAAGCTGGGGATTACGGGTGAGCTTCTCCGTAACATCAAAACATCCTAGGCGCTCTTCAGCTAAATTGATTTTCAGTCCCTGTCGTGCAGGGTGGGATGCAATGGGTTGGATATGCGGAACTCGCTTCTGCAGTTAGCAACGCTGGCGGTCTCGGAATTGTATGTTGCTTCTAGGATTTCGATTTAGCCTGCATGATATTAATGCGGGGTTTGAAGAGCATGGAGGAGCCCAGCTGTGCTGACACATCTTTCTCAGCTCACAGCTCTCACCCAGCCTACTCCCGAGGATCTCCGTAAAGAAATCAGAAAATGCCGCTCCATGACCAAGAAGCCCTTCGGAGTAAACATAACCTTTTTGCCAGCGCTCGTCCCTCCGGACTATGCTGCATATGCCCAAGTGGTTATTGACGAAGGCGTCAAAATTGTCGAGACAGCCGGAAATAACCCGGGTCCGGTGATTGCACAGCTCAAAAAAGCAGGAACTACCATCTTGCACAAATGCACCATGATCAGACATGCCAAGTCTGCGATCAAATTAGGTGTCGACTTCTTATCGATTGACGGTTTTGAGTGTGCAGGTCACGTCGGAGAGAGTGATGTCACGAATTTCATCCTCCTGAGTCGAGCCAGACAAGAACTGAAAGTACCCTTCATCGCGTCAGGAGGCTTTGCCGATGGCCAGGGTCTGGCTGCCGCTCTAGCTCTCGGCGCGGAGGGTATAAACATGGGAACGCGCTTCATGTGCACCGTCGAGGCACCTATTCATATCAAGGTCAAGGAGGAGATCGTCAAAGCCCAGGAGACCGATACCGCCCTTGTTCTGAGAAGATGGAAGAACACTACCAGGCTGTATGGCAACAAGGTTGTCAAGGAAGCTTTGAAGGTGGAGAAAGAGAGCAAGACGGGCGATTTCAGCGAGGTAGCGCCATTTGTCAGTGGCCAGAGGGGCAGGCAAGTGTTTCTCAATGGAGACGTCGATTTTGGCGTATGGACGGCTGGCCAGGTGATCGGACTCATCCACGATATCCCGACCTGCAATGAACTACTTACTCGGATTCAGAAAGAGGCTGTCGAAACCATTGAGAAAACGAGATCGCTTTACACCAATGAGAGCCCTCAGAGCAAGCTCTGAGTCAGATTCTCGTTACTGAGCAGCTTCGGACACTCCCATTATGCGATCTTCGATGGATTCAATTTAGCTGCCACCACGGATTTGGCTTTATCTTGCGGTCCGCTGGTGGATCATTAGCATTGCGCCATAGGCTTTAGTCACCTTTGTCATTTTGAGGTCCTTAATGTCCGGATCTTCATTGAAGGTTCTTTTCCATGCCGGAAACCTAAACAGATTGCACCGGTGGCAACAAATGGTTCGGCTAGATATGACACCGCGTATACAGTGTGATTCATGTCTTTATAGATGACTATTTACTACCTTTAAGTCTCCTTCCTATACTGGCTTGCTATGCGGCGATTTTCTTTAGGCCTGCCAATTATATATGAGCCATGTCTTCATCTGCAACCATTGCGGATAGAGATATCGAGTTGTCTTAGGAGTTGCATTTGGTATAGGGCGTCCTAGGTACCTGGCGAGATCTCCGGAAAGCTCTCAGATAGATTTTTCCTTCCACGTTTTTGCCATGCGGCTTTTGCATCCATGGACTTGACTAGGTCCCGGTTGTCATGATTCAGTCGGCTTTTTTTTTTTTTTGACACAGACCGCATTATGTCCGGATTCAGGATCTCGTCCGTATTCGTTCAGTCTTTCTGGCAGCCGCAGAAGTACCTGATTGTACACTCGTGAGTATTGTCGCTGAGATAGCGGTTATAATTTCCGCTTTATTTATGGAAAAGTCCTGTACCCATGGGCATAGTTAGGGCCAAATTGTGGCAAACTGGCTCATCACCTTTTCGATGAGGGTCTAGAAGACGCCATCTTCTTTCACGATTTGGAATATGCTGAAGAGCTTGGGCAAGGTAAGCCTAATCCAAGAGTCTAAAGCCATAAAAGGTACTGGCGATAACCTAAAATCGTGGAGCTGCTCAACAAGAGATTCGCATTCTCTAGATAAAAATCAATTATGATTCGGAGCATAACCAGACGAGATGTCACTGGCCGCATATGGCAAAGCCTGGGAATTCAACGCTAGTCCTTTTCCGGTCGAGCACGGCGAATCCGACTCATTCCAAATCACTCCCTTCGAGTCCCAGGGTTCTCTCCCTGTCGGCATTATTGACTCTCTCCTCACTTATAGCGGGACCACTTTCTAGACTCTGAAGTTCTGAACTATCACTGCCTCCATCTTACTGTTTTGGCAACTGACATTTTGGGGATAATTTTGAAAAAGGTTAGCAGGCGAACTACTACTGCAGGAGCGGCAGAGATTAATTTACCTCGCAGGACACCACACTTGTACCTCTCGCTTTGCAACGTCATCTGTGACAGTGTGTGAAGATGTGATTCGACCTCGTCCTGGAGACGGGCAGCTTAGTGCTGCACTGCCGTTAACAGAAGTCTGGGGAAATCCCGCTTGTTGAACCACTGCGGCATAGCCGATGCTAACTGTGGGGTCATTTGGATGAGATCGCGTTGCCACTTGAGGGAAACCCGGATTAACTAAACAAATGCGGATAGTCTTTGTTAAACTAACCCGTCCCTCAGTTCCATGGATGTCCTCATGACCACGAGTCCTGCGCGTTGTGGGCTAGTCCTTGTCATGAACAGATTACAGACTCAGATCCGTCATTCAGAGACAATCTTGTAGTTGGGAGAGGTCAACATCTGCAGCTTCAATGCAGAGAGATCGATCTATACAGAAAGAAACACGCCCAACGGGGGCTAGTAGCCGGATCACACCGTGGACCTACATAGGGTGGATATACAACTTCCAAGAAAACTATGTTATCCCCGCGCAATATGATACCGATTATTCACTACTGCACATGGGCCTCAATAGATTTTTCATATGGTCTACTGTCTGCTCTGGCCAAACGCCATCTGCCGCACATAAGGCCGTCGCACCAAGTCAACTCACTCGCACGCATTGCTTGCTTTGTACTAAGCAAGCCACGAGCCAGGGGAGCACGTGGGCCGCGTTTTTCACCTATCTTTTTTCTTTGTTTAACCTTTGTGCGGGTATCCTCCGCCGAGGAATTGTTGGTCGATGGCTTTAGGACCATGCTTAATGGTACCATCTTTTCCGTTTTCGGTGGTTCATCTGTAGCACCCATGAACCCAAGTACATTGATCTGACTGCATGCGGAAAGCTAAAATGGGTCCCTGTCGACGTGAATGGAGTCAACTTAACCCCTCGTCTTGTTCTTATATCAAGGTCTTGCCGACCTACTAACTCTTGTCCAATCCATCGTGCCTTGCGCTTCCTCCCTTGAGCCCACTACGCTCTCCCCTTCGAGGGGCATATTCGTGCCTTCAAACCAGTCTTCGGCTTCTCTTACTGCATTCGTTACAGTCTGCATTGGCAATCACTGGAGTGAGAACACTGCTTAGTCGAATCCTTCTCTGATTTCTCCAGTTAAATACAATGGGTCTCTTTTCAAAGTTGTTCCCCTGCGCGAAGGACCGCAACGGTCTCAGAAAATCAGCGCAATCATCGCGCAACAACAGGCCGCACAGCACTATTTCACCGTTTGCCCTCGTGCAAGAAGTTGAATCGGAGCAAGTCAACGCCAGGCCTGTTTCTGACATCCCGATGCTGGACATGCCGTCATTCTCGGGATACAGTGTCTCGAAGCCGTCTGAAAAGGATATCGACCACCCTCCTGTTTATGCATCTTCCTCGACGTCTCACAATCAACAAGAGTCCACAGAGGACGTTCCCACAGAGAGAGATGAGTCCAATAGTGCGGATTTAGACTCGTCCACGGAGCCACAGGCCGTCTCCGAAAATCCCAGAGATGTTGAGACTATTACTACGACCTCTGATGAAGCCATTGATCCTCTCTCCCCGTCTCAGCATTCACCACACGTGGCGGACGACGAGACTCCTCCAGAAATGACAGAGGTTAATCCTGACATCCTCGAACCCCCGCCTAGCTACGAGCTGGCTGCCGGAGTCCGGGAATCCTCAACCGACAAGCCTAGGCGGAGGTCAATCATTGATATCCTCATCAGACGCGGAAGCACCATCAAGACGACACCTCCGGTTGTAACTCCTATTTGGCGGCCGGCACCAGCACCAGCTCCGATTATACCAGATCCGATTACGGAGCATGACCCCGACAGATTCACCTACGTCATTGGAGGACGCGAGTTTGATGACAGCGCCGATATCTACTGTCTCTGAATTCTTACTTCTTCTGTATAACGACCATTTCTTGAGCACATAAAGCGACTTTACGACCTTAGACGTTATGTTCTTCCTTTCCTGGGTGGTGATAGACTATTTGATTCCCTAGACCGTGTCAGATCCTCTTTATCCTTCTTCGCGATATCATCCTCAATTTCAACGTCAAGCAGGGACTTCACTTCATGCACATATATAGGGAATTCTTGCATGGGAATGACAAGGAATTGAACCATCAGACATGTTCACTGCACTTACGCTGGAAATCTAAGGACACTTCCGTCCTCACGTAGTAGGTTACATGCGATGCATCACAAATCATCGTAGTATGTATAGAAACTTTGCACTTACTCTATGATCACCGCTCCCTCGCGCCCAAACTTCGGAGTGCCGAGAAGTCACATGGATCCGTTTAGTTATGATAGTAGTAGTAGCTCCCATGGTTGGTTATTTATCACATGATATGTGAACCACACTACCGTTGAGTGTCTGAATATAGAAACAAAATTCTATTCATATAGTGTGTCGCTAGATTGTGTGGTCAGAATTCCTTAAGACTTTTCGCGATGCTAAGGCTTAAGGCACGCATCCTACTTCCAGATCTCGGTAAAAGTACTCAAACAATTACATGTCCATTATTCTCTCTATCTATGCTCGTCATCGATGTAATTTCAGCATATCTCCAGCGTTACCTCTCCAGCATACGAGCAACATATTTTACACAATACGACGTGACTACCGAAGCAGACATGAATCGTGAGAGACAACATACAACAGACCCGATCTAGACAGGGAGATCATCCGCCGTCATCCCAGGTAGCTACCGTACCATCACCAACGTATGGCGATCACAAGAAAACACCCAATGAGAAGCCCATTCCATGATGCAGATGACTCTCTGTTGTGTCCGGATCGATCGACAGGAAGATCAGGGGGCTGAAAAGTCAAAGAAGCAACCAGCGGCATGAGCTTATCTATCGAATTTTTTTTTTCTTTTCCCTTATTGGCGATCATATAGGCACGAGCGATCGGCCTTGCAGATCCACAACGAAGGGTGAAAGTAACTTAGAATCTATGGTACGCGAAGAGCTATCCGAGCTTTTTGGATCAAGGTCTTTCTTTGCCTGTAATGTAAAAGATGAGCTATCCTGTGTGGGTTTTGCGGTTTGTATCTATTTACTTCCTTCACTGCATAGTCCGAGTCGATTCGATTACATCGCAATGTCATGGTAGTTCCATAATGATTATGAATACCTGAATAGTTCCGGAGGATAAGTTAGCAGGCCGCGTACAAGCCTCTAGGTGGCTGGGGTCCCTCATGGCCACATGATTGCAAATAGTAATCGATCAACGAGCCACATGTAGATGAAAAGAAGAGGCTAAGTTACGGAGTGCTCTAAGGCAGGAACAAAACTCTACTTTCCTTTATTTTTATTTTTCTTTTTCTTTGTTTTCCGGCATTCTTAGCATATCGCCTGTGCACGAGATCAGCATCCCTAGTCTAAGTAGCGGCTAGAATCGGTGGTCATGTATGGCAGGACTCGCGAGTGAAGAATGTTATAATACATCTATACATATCCCTTGCTTGATAGTTGGCGGGAAAGGATGAAAGCAAAGGCTGGCGCGGGGTCCTAGAAAAGAAGAACCATACAGACCGAACAGAACAGTGGAAAATGATTGTCCGTCTGCTTCACTGAGACCGTTTGGACCATTGACAGATATCGTTATTCCATTGCTTTTAAATATCAGATATGATACCGTTGGGGATAACGAATGCAGTAAATGGTAGATTGTATGGGGATGGCAGGAAGTAAAATTGCTCTTTTAAGATTCGGAAAAGGAATCAGTGCTTTTGTTTTTTCGAGTCACGAGCGCATCGCATAGATAGAGCGTGGATCTTGACGATCATTACTACGAAGTTTGTGGTAGTTAGTTGCCTGTTTATCTAGCATATCCTACAATACTATGGGGTGCACACCCGTGTACTACGCCAAATTAGACTAAGTCCAACCATAACACAACTCTAGCTCCGATCGCACTGTGCGGATGAGATTCGAGTAAGCTGATGCTACATAATATGTATCCTGAAGAGAACTACTGTTATTAGAATAGATTGGAAGAGTAGATAATTTCCGGTTGTGGGTCTACGGGTAGAAGGGAAAGTGGATATTGAAGCTGCCAGAGTACCAAAAAGAGTCTACAATACCAATCCCAGTTGGAATTGATCAGGAAGAACTACAAGTATTCAGGACCAGATACTATCATGTAAAGGCAGAGTATAAATGAAAATGTAAATAAATTGAAAGCTAAACCAAAACAGTCTTCATCGGAGGCTGTCACAGCAGTACATATGAAGCTATAGATTATTCAATATGACCAATTATGCGCAGTATCCTCCTTATTACTTTGGAACCCTTCTCTCTCAAGCATGCCCGTCGCACCAGGTGGAATTAAGCTCGGAAATAGTTGAATATGCTGAATGTTGCTTGAACGATTGACGGGGCGAGCAACATGCGAGTCGCTTAGATGATGGAGCCGAGAGCAACGCAAGGAAGGCCAACACCAACGACACCAGTGGCGTCGGAGGGAGAGTTCTGGCAGCATGCAATGTTCTGCTTGCACTGCTGGTTGACCAGGTCGTTGAGACCGACACCAATAACGTTGACTGATTGCTTGTTAGCTGGAATTCTGGGGTATAGTGATACATCGCAGGAGACTTACTGTCGAGGGGCAGCTTGCTGCACTGGTCGAAGAGACCGAGACCAGCACCGGAGCCACCGCTGATGAGGCCGGAGAGGGCACCGCCGAGGATACCAGAGTCGGCGTTGGTGGTGTCACCAGAGTAGGTGGCCTTGTTGCAGCAGGAGAGGGTGGCCTGGTCACCACACTTGGTCTGGGCCTGCTGGACGGTCACATCCTTCTTGACAGGGAAGCGGATGTTGTTGCCAGAGTTGGTGGCATCCTGAGGAAGGGCGACGACGGCGGTCGCGAGGGCGAGGACAGCGGCGGTCAGAGAGAACTTCATTTTGACTGTTGGAAGGGTTTTGCGAGGCTAAAAGCTCCGATTTTTTTGAAGACTGTGGTTTGGAGAAGAGAAGGTTGTTTGAAGCGAGAGTGTGATGCTGTTGATGAAGAAGCAATTTCTGCCGGCGACGATACAGGTTTATATAGCCGAAGCGAGGCCCAGTAAATCATGAATCTCTGCACCCTTGAAGGTGAGGTGCATCTACATTGCCCAAGATGGAAAGCCATAGTAACTTGGAATGCAGAATCCAGGGTCCAGTTTTCCTCCCTCTGTCCACTAAGGCATTGACGCTCACAGTTCCCCTGGCATGGAGCCTGCCTGGCATGGCAACTGGAATGGATCCTCTCTCCTGCCGCATGCAGCTGTGCACATCGTACTAGCTTGAGATCTCGCACTGGCCACTGGCATTCCAATGCTGATGAGGATCCACGTCCAAATGAGCGTTCATTCTTTCTTGGGTTCCGTAATGGATCCCACGGTCGAGATGGCCCAGTCTCTTCGGGAAGTCCCTCTGTCCGTGTTCGTCGAGTCTTTCTTTCCTTGAAATTTCTCTATACTCCCATCCCATTGACATTTGCCAATGATAGAGCTCCCTGGCATACTAGGAGCTTTGGCCCCTCGCAAATTCGGGACCCCATAGAAGGCGAATAACTCGCTCGACTTTGCGTCTGCGCAGAGCTTTCCAGGCAAAAGACATCCACAGAGTCTCAATAACTTTCCCGAATGAGGTATAGTGCCCGCAGCACGATTTGATTAAAAGGTATGCAGTGGCTGGGGCTCCATGGATAAGCTCTGAATTTGGAATGGACCCAGGAACCAGGAGAGAGTATGGATAGAGTACTCTGCAAGGCACGAGATGCCTTTCGGACCGCTCAAATGATTGCCGTCAGCCTGCCAAGCCCTAGACAAGCCTTCTAAGTAAATTAGCGCCGCAAGACACAAGGGAGCTCCAGCAGTTCAGCACATGCAAGGCCAGAGAGGACTCATTCCCTAGCAGAGCTAGGCGTCGTCTAGCAGTGTTTCGCCCCCATAGTTAGCTAGAATAGTAAATAGTAAGTCCTAGAGTCAAATCATTAATTGGAATTGGAGCTTGAAAATCTCCGCATAGCGGAGGATTCGATGTATGTGTAATCTCTCAACCATGGAACTTGATCTGCTGTGGTTGTTGTTCATCCCTAGCTTGGCTGCGTTCAGAAGTGCTGAGTCATCCGCGCCTGTCCTCCCCCTTCTCGTGCCTCGTCTTCTCCATCACGGGCCGCTCCTTCTGACCATCCTCCTGTGGTTCGTTATCGTTGCGGGCTCTGAAAATCATGGAGAAATTCGTGTCCAGGGTCCCGCATAGCCTTCCTACGTGCCGTATCACATAAAGAAGTTACAGCGTTTGGGCCCCTATTGCCGTTTTCAAGAGTTGCACGCGGCAAGGTCAAGATTTCTGCTTTCGCACAATTTGAGATCCCCGAAGCTTAGTTATCCGCAGGGCACTACGGGCTGCTGGGAAATGTGCAGAGTGAAGAAATTTTCTCTCCTGAAAGCATGTATACGGGATACGTTGTGGCGTTGGAGTTCCCTGTTGAACGTCCTTCCCAGGTGCTTCAAACATGATCTAGATGTTCTGGTCTCGCCTCTCCAATGACTTTGAGATACTTCGAACCTGGTAAGCGTGTCATTGAGCGCCGAACAGGGCAAAGGGCAGTATGGAAACTTCCTATAGCCTCGATTTGTACCTCTGTTTATTGGCCGTGTGTCCATAGTGACTTCCTCCGTCCCACGAGGAAACACCACGAGACAACACAACCAGAGTCTAATAGCCCGAGGATATTCTGTCGAACAATAGTTGCGTATGGTAGTTTAGTCCAAGTATACGCCGGGGTATACTTCGTTCGAGGAAAAGTGATACAGAGAATATCTTTCAGCCACTTAGACCATTCCCGTCATCCTGAAGACGTTGAGATAAGAGTCCTCACAGGTGGTCTATGCGGTCCGGGAACGGAGCAGGTAATCTTGAAGTCATTATTACCTATGGATGTGACACGTTATCTGCCGAATTTGCTTGATTGTGAGATCAGTCAAATCGAGGAGGGAATTTCTCAATTCAAATTGTAGATCATTCTGTCAGCTGGTCAGACTGCAAGCTGGCTGGACCTTGCCTTCGTTTCCTGTCATAGACTATTTTTATCGTGGACCTTGTTTTTTCTGCGCCGGGACATAGGCTGATGTCTTTGGATGTCCGATGCATGCGTACATCCTCTGGTCCTGAAAATCGTAGAGTGCTTACAGGGAGTACAGAGGAATCCTATTTACGTAAAAGAAAGTTCACGAATTCTAATTTGACTTGATATCTCAATCTTTTTCTCCTATAGTGTACCCTGGAAGTTGAGTTGTGACAAGTGAGGTTTTGAATGGATGACTGCCTATATCTACATGGGATACAGCGGTTTTCGTATTTGTGAGTATTTCTTCTTGGTGGCTATGTGGTCCGTAAGCTTCATGAAACTTGCACAAAGTTCGATTGTAGACTATATTCCGAATTACATCTGAGAATGATGAATGCTTGAGTAGATACTGTGGCTGACGACTAGTGCCTTCCAAAAATATATAAATATATATCCGCACTACAGACGAGGGACAAATGGCACCGCTTGCCAGACAGAGTTGAGGAAGCATTACTTTATCAAGTTCGAATCTCCCAAAGAGAGACAAAGCTCACATCCTTTATCCAACTGCAAAGGGCATCATTGGTGTTAAGTCTCTTTGTTCAACATGCGTGCACTGCCCTAGAGCGGGGATACCCCAGAAGGCCGGCCATTATCGAATAGAAGCACGCTATCCACAAAACGAAGCTTGTGTATTGATAATATATGATTTATACAATAGTACCCATCATATAGAACCGTAAATATTCTCTCTTGAACATTATTCTACTCCCTCTCACCTGTGAAGCAACATCGGTTGTTGTATTTAGATTGACCGAATCGGGAAGAAACCTTTGGGCGGCAGGGAAGCGCCGCGCTATACCAAATACAGACTAGTGCACTACATCGGCGGCTGCAACTTCAGCGACTCGGAGCGCATACGCATAATAATGCCTTCTTCCATATCGACGCCCTGAGACGATATCGAATGTGAGATCGCCTTGCCAACGGACAATGCGGTGTAGTGTGCACCGCTGATACCACTGAGAAATTTCCTTCGCTTCCCTTTGTTACTGAGAGAGCGTGAAACCGTGCTAATACAGGATGACTGCCAATCCTCCATCGAGCCCTGAGGACCGTCGTTCTGGCGAAGAGCCGGAGGTGGCGAGCGCCAAGTCCTCACCACAGCCCTCGTCCGAGCGAGGTGAAGAGAAGGAAAAGGAGTCAAGTGGATCAGAAGAAAAAGATACACCTGGAGAGACGAGACAGGAGAATATCGAGGAAGGAGAAGCTTCTGCGCCACCATTGCCAGACGAAGAGATCCCGCCGCTTCCCAACGAGGCGCCCCCAGGCGAAGTTGAGGACGATGGATGGGAGCCTGTCTGGGATGCCAACGCAGGCGCCTATTACTTTTACAACCGCTTCACTGGGCTCTCCCAGTGGGAGAATCCTCGTGTGCCTGCTGCATCATCAGGACCACCGGGCGTGGACGCTCCCGCCACCACAGCCCCGACCGTGAGACCTCCCACGACAGGCGGCTATAATCCCGCAATCCATGGCGATTATGATCCTACAGCCCCTTATGCACAGCAGTACGAGGCAGCTGAGGCGGATACGTCTGCCACGGGGGCTCCTGGCACGGACCCCAGCGCCATGTACGCCGCTACCGGGGCGTTCAATCGGTTTACTGGCAGATGGCAGGCGGCAGATCTCAATCCCGAGCGATACAATGAAGAGAATAAATCACGTCGACAGATGCATGCCTTCTTCGACGTCGATGCTGCCGCAAATAGCCATGACGGGCGGAGTCTCAAGGCGGAGCGTAGCGCGAAGAAATTGTCCAAAAAGGAATTGAAGGAATTCAAGCAAAAACGAAGGGAAAGAAAAGAAGAAAAACGGAGGGCATGGTTGCGGGATTGATGACCGCTCCTTGCTGTGTTTGAATGTTCTGGGTCAGTCTTGGTTCAAATGGACTCGGTGCGGTCCTTTCATCTCTTCCTTATGCCTCGAGCAGATGGGTGTTGAGGCGTTTTGTCGGTATATCCATGCATATTCAAGGAGCTTAGCCGTTGCTAACTTGGGTCATTGTAGCATCATAGCGTTGGGTGAGTGGGATGTTTGCCAATGCACTTTCTTTCCGTATTACTGGATAGCAACCACGCAGTGTAGCATATTTTCAAGTTACATTACCACATAAAAAGAATGACAAGACCATAAACATACCATGACTATCTACAAGATCGGCAATCCTAAGTAATCTGTCGACTCAACTCCCCTCCCCTCCCCTCAAAGCGAAGCAAAAACAGCATTAATTATTACATACTCGTATCTCGCATCGGGATCCCCACTCATTTCTTCCGGCCTCATGTCACGTGAACCGTATTTCACGGGTCGCCGACCAAAAAAAGATTCCCTGAACGCTCATATACCAGAACCTTGCAGGCGAAATTTACAGATCTCTCCGCATTGCATTATCCAGGTAAGCAGAATATATTTCTATCTCTCAGTTATTCAGTTTGTGCTTCACAAGTCGTGTCTTTTACCGTGTGGAGGAAGTTGCCTTCTTTTAGTGGCGTCTGGAAGAGAAAAAAAAAAAAAAAAAAAAAAAATTATTGATTAAACCACCCCTCTCTACCCACTATCGATAAGGGATTGATCGTGGGGTCAGTGGGAGTTGAGAAAATGCAATGAACCAGCGTCTTTTATGCTTCGGCTTTGTGTGTTCTGATTTTGAATATTTAATGGAACGTATTATTTGTTTGTGGAATTTTTATATTTTATTTCCTTGCGTTTTCTCTTGTCTCCTTTATTGGTGAAGCAATAGCTATTTTGAGCAACTTGATGTTCGGAGATGCCTGTCGATGACTTGATAATATGAAGCATGCTTGTGGATTATTTTCCTTGTTTTTCTTCAGATGAATATTGTCAGTGATGTTTTTTTAACCCTTTTGTTTTGATTGTTGATACATGGACACTTATGTTGCCTATTGAAAAAAAAGAAACCAACGCAACCACGTCGAAAAGACCAGTGCTAATCTCTTCTCCAGAACTCCCTTTCTTTCTTTCTTTATCTTCTTTGATACCCCCGCCACCATCCTCATTAAGAGCTATTATCCCGGAATCTCAAAATTAGAACCTCAACCTCAGGAAAGGAAAAGACTTACTGCAGAAAAAAAGAGGCAACGCAACCATGCCAATGAGCCAGCACAAAGCGCCTATCGCACTCTCATTCGAGGCGATCGACGACCTCATCTATGATGCTCGGTCTGGCGATCTCGATGCTCTGAAGACCGATATCGAGAACCTTAGTAAGGAGCACGGCTGTTCGGCCGCAGTGATCATCGAGTCTGCTGTCGATACGGAAGATGAAAGCGAGGGAGGTACGGGGGCGTGTCTTTTGCATTGGCCGGCTGCGAATGGGAATGTTGGTATGTATTCCCATTTTGCTTATTATCATTGTTATTCTTCTGCTTCTTCTTCTTCTTCTTGTTGTATAATCTCTGGGTCTTTCATGGGACTTCCCTCGCGGACCCTTTCCCGTGTTTCTGAAGCAGCTTGAACAGGGCTAATAATCGTCTAGAAATCCTCTCATATCTCCTCACCACCCTCTCATCAGCATCATCTCCCTCGTCGATAATCAACCACCGCAATCACTCCGGAAACACGCCTCTGCATTGGGCTGCGTTGAACACGCATCTTGACTGCGTCAAGGCCCTCGTTGAGGCTGGTGCTGATATCGACATTAAGAATGATGCAGGCCATGATGCCGTCTTCCTTGCTGAGCGGACGGCTTGGTCGACGGAGGAGAAGGAGGGAGAGGAGGAGAAAGATCAAGAAGCAGAGGCTCAAGCTGAGGTAGGAGAAGGCAAGGAGGTGGGAACGGGTAAGATTCCCAAGGGCCAGGAGGTCGTAGAGTGGTTATTGGGATGTGAGAAGGGAGCTGGGTTGGAGAGTGGAGTCGGTGCCGAGGGAGAAGGGGATGGAAGTAAGGGAGAAGATATGGAAGGTGTTGAGAAGACGAACGCATAAATACGAGCATGAAAAGAAGAGGATATCCGTCTTTATATGCTTGTGTATGTCGGGGTTTTTGGCGTACTTGACTTTCCTAAGAAAAGAGGCTCGTTATCTTTGGTATTTTATAATTTTTGAAGCATCGATGTACTCGGTTGATAGATATATTTGATCGAATATATTTGTTGAAATAGCTGACGATAATTGCACATGGTATAAAATTTGTGTATGTGAGAAAAGATCATCGGTAGTGGATATAACCCTTCTCCCTAATCGCGTCTGACTTTGTTCCTATCTCCAGAACTTCGACTCTGACTCGTCACCTTACTATTCAGCGCTGGGGGAATGTCGTCATAAGAACTGTCCATGGACACAGGTCCGCCATTTCCACAGACCTGGCCTATCTCTCTGACCTTCATGTCGAGACCGACTCTAAACACCCTATCTCTCCACACGACAGTGACACCGCCGTAAAAAGCCCATATCCAGATCGGTAGTGCCAGACCCTCGCGTCCGATCCATGCAGCTAGCCAATGCAAGAACGGTCTTCTTGCGGCAGCGCCCTTAGCTCTGGGCCTGACAAAAGAAGGAGTGTTCTCGTCTAGCTCGACTGTTTGTGCGGAATGCAATTTCAGATACTGCGTCCAGTCGACTGCGGCCCACAGGACGATGCTAAGGAACCACAAAGCGAAAAAAGCGGTCCAGCTGGTCAGGTGCGAACAGAACTCATACCCATTGCGCTGACAGTATGGTGCCAGGGAGGTGGTGATACCGAAAGCACCGTAGACAGAGCACAGCAGAGATTCCGTCCCGGGTTCAACGAGGGTGGCTAGAAGAACAGTAAACTTCCGTACACGTAGCCATCGTACCCGACGTGCAATGTAGGCTTTGACACTCATATTCGCGACAGGTTGGAAGGCGAAATCCCCGAAAACTATGCCATGCTTCCCCCAGCGCTCGCCTGCTTCCTTCTCTTCTCGGATCTTGTTCTTCCAGAGTAGATCTCCGATGAGATGGTCCTCGCAGATATTATCAGAAAAGTAATCTATGCCGGGATTCCGTCGGTGAGGATCGGTCGGCGAAGGCGCCGTGAGATAGTCGAGATGCGAGCGGCGGAACATGTTTGATTTGCCCACAATGCATGGCGCGATGAGGACGGTGTTGATGGCGGTATACATTTTCGCATGCGATGATGACATGAACAGCTCTTCCAGTCGACCACCAGCTGTTCGAAGTAGAGTCGAGACGTCCGATGGTTCCGCTGCATTACCCTTGTTTTGAGGATGGAGTAGCGACTGACGCTCCGGTCCCAGCCCATTGTCTTCATCCACATCCACCACAATGGGAACGTGGTGCACGAACTTATATCTGTAGCCCTTGCTGGAACCAAAGCCGCAAAGTCTGTCCACCATTCGGCCACAGACACCCTTTCCAACCCAAACGTTGCAATCTATAATCCACACAATGTCTCCCTTTGCCTCCCGATAAGCACGGCTCATGTTCCTAATCTTGGGATTAGGACCCAAGTCGTAGGAATCGGAGCTGTCGCCATGCAGCAATGGGTCTTCCTCCTCCACATACAGACGGGCGTCCGCATGTGGAAAATCCGCGAGCACATTCTCGATAATTGACACGGCGGGATCTGCACGAGTTTCCACGCAGAAGTATATGGTCAACTTGTCGCTGGGGTAGTCTTGTCGGAAGGTCGATGCCAGACATTCGTAGAGATGCGGTTCGAGACCCTTGATAGGACGGATGACGGTTATATGAGGAGCCTCAGGGGAAGCGGAGGAGATTGATTTGTTGGGTCTGCGAGAGTAGTGTCTCCATCTGATATCAAGAGTGTCCCCGACTCAGCAACTGAACTCCCACTTGAACGCCATCCCAGGGCATAACAGAAACCGCACTTACATCTGCAGATATCCCAAAGTACATACCGCCACAACCACAACATACCATATCAAACCAACCCAACCCAGCGCGACAAGCCATGAAGGTGCGTCATGGCCGCTACCGACATTGCGGGAGGTCGGGTCGGGCCTGACTTCTAGCATGGGCAAACACGGTTATAGGCGGGCAGACTGGACAGGGCGATCACACTCGGCGAAAGGTACATTCTAAGAATGAATGAAAAAGAGAGGCGAAAAAGAAATAAACAATTAGCCTCCGTACGATCAGCACTTGCGTTCCACACGTCCAGGCCGGATGGGGCGGAGCTGTCGTGTTCTTTTGTTGTGGTCAGTGTCTACCAGAAGGTGGACTTTGCTTCTGCTGAGACATTGACCGGTTCCCGGCCGCGCCGGGCTTCAAGGTGGAGCGCGAACCTCACCTCTGCCGTCGGACGCGATCGTACCTGACGGAAATCTCGGTTCGTGGTGTTTTGTGATGGATATGGCGCCCACTCGTGGGAAGTTGACTGGGGGGAATTTGGCTGGGTTGTCAGTGATCTGGTGCTGGTGCCATTTGTAGAAAGAAACCCACGGAAAGCCTAGCTGGGGATTATCTCCCATTGATCCGGAGAATCAAGCCCTTCCTGGTCCTGATGATCATTGACATGGTCTATGTTTCACGGAGACATGGAGCATCGAGGTTCACGACGCATGTGTGCGACTGAGATTGTTTTATGAGTTATGAGCAGGGGCAGGAGACATGCGAATAATAGGGCAATAGGGTATAGGAGATACATCAAACAAGTAAGAGACCAACACGGCAGCCTGGCCTCTTATAAGCACTGGCAAAGAGAGAAGCAAAATCATGAAAGCTTCGTGTTGCAGTGAACTCTAAAGCAGGCAGGCCAAATATTGTAATTGTCTCGTATCTCACGGAGCCAAAAGCCTATGGATATATGGATATAGATCAATATGGAATAGTAATACGGATTAGCGGCTAACCGTACTGGAACCTAGAGTATGAGCCTTGATAGCACCATCTCCGATTTTAGTATAGGTAACTAGTTAACGCTTAGATTGAGGAGTTACGCAGAAAAACAAGACAATCAAAAATCACCACCCAAATCCCGCGGATATCCTGTAAGAAGGCCAGCATGAAACTCCTGGACCTCCCAACGCCCTTCCCCTTCCAACTCCACGCTAAAGCCGGTTCGCTTTTTCTTTAAAACAACCGATAGAACTCCGAACCTCCTCGAATAGATATGGACTCGAATTTCCGTCATGTCTTCTTCTTTTTCCTGATGAAGTTGGCATTAAGAACATTAACGGTTCCCGATGGTTGGGAACCATCTGGCTTAGATGTTATGTCTGCAGCTTCTGGGCCAGCTGCATCACTTGCCGTTTTGGCAGCGGTGTTGTCATCCTTTGCCTCCTTCTTCCTTTTGCGGACGAGGCCGATATCCATGAGATTGGCCGTCTCAGACTGACTCGAAGAACCCTCGTTGATAGATTTCTTTCCCACCACGCGTTCACCCCAGATCAACTCGTCTGCGAGAGAGGCAACTTTGTCAACCCATGTCTTCGTACTAGCCACAGCAAGTTCTTGCGTTTCAAAGTCTTGATCAATGAGACAGTCGTTTGCAGTCTTATAATCACGGTCACTCAGGACCACATGTCCACGGCCAGCTTCAGGCCAATGGAACGCGTGTGTACCACCAGTACAATTTGAAGGCGGGATACTTTCTGATACGTTGGGTAACTGAGGGATTGCAGCTGAAAGTTTGTCCTTATCCTCAGTACTCTCCGGTGGAACAGGATTTTCCAATGCTTCTTGTGTTGCGCCAGAAGGAGCGGATGGATTGACGATTGTTTCTGACGCCTCCCCTGTGGGAAGTGTAGTAGATAAAAGAACACCGTCGGCAGAAGTCCGTGTCTGGTGTCCAGCCATATCATCTGAATTGATGAGTCCTGGAGGGTTGACAACCAACCATAAGAACCCAACAAGCCTTCCCGCCGAGCATTCCTGCCGGAAAGCCATCAGCTCCCAGAATTGGCTCAAGGACTTGACGCTTCGCCATTGTCCGGCAGTCTCAGAGGAATTCCCTGCATCCGTTGATGTCGGTAGCTCATCGTCCAAGTCTTCGAGAAAGCGCGCTTTGGGATCATCAGGGAATCGAGGCACGAGGCACCTCGGAGGAGCCTCTGGATTCATGCAAATCTGATGCAATGGATACGAGTTTACCCATCTTGGCCGGTTTGGATCATCCGTCTTTGCTGTTGGCGGGAAGAAGGCCCTCGTTTCGAATTTGTCGCATCCCGGTACAATCAAATAGGCAGTAGCGGAGCTTTTGGCAGATTCGACGGTCTGGTCGAGTATAGCCTTATCCTTTGACGACGATTCCGGTTCATGTTCTCTCAGAATGGGATCGAATGCGCGACACCACCATTTGATCAGACCTCTGTCGTCGAGAATATGCTTCCCTGAATTGTCAATGCTTCCGGGAAACAAGTACTGGTTCTGCGCGCGCGCGAACAATGACAAGACCAGACGGATGCCGGGACGCTGACGGGTCTTCACCAAATACGACAAAAAAGTCGTCGAAATGGTCCTGAGCAGAGATAGTTTCGGTGGAGCTTTCAGCAGATGCAGGTACCCGGTAGAATCGGCTTTGGAGACAAAGAGGGTCGTAAGGCGATCTGTGCTATAGACCAAAACCTCCATGCCAAAGACCAGGATATCGCGGCATTCATTCTCACCAGGTTTGATAGAAATGGTTAGAAAATGACTTTCACGATATGTAACTTCAGGCTCTTCTCCTGGAGGAGCCGAAAAGATAGCGTCGCACTGGGTTGGGGTCGTCGAGACATGGCGAACGGTGATCCCCACATCCTTCGGGAGTACCTCAGCGAGGAGATCACCCAGCTCGAGTTTTGACATTGGCACGATTCAATTATTCCCCGTTTAAGCTATGTAAGAATAGGGCACAGCGTGGGACATATGCACGCCGTCCTCAAAGCCATCAGTTGGTCTTCGGCAGACGAACGCGTCTCCTGGATAGACGCGTTCGATGGACGTTCACGGTCACGTGAAGTGATATACTTTGGCTGAACCAATATTACCCGATTCGTCGAGGAGTCTTTACAGCACAACCATGGGTTTCTATTCAGTGCAGTGCCTGGATTGGAGTCAAATATGACTCTATAAAAGCACCGGGGCCGAGTAATACCAAAAGTGTAATAATATCTTATTGTGATTGGCAGTCATTACTAGAAGAATTCTGCGACAGCGTCGAGATCATCTGCGTTAAGCAACCCGACTCCTTCCTTCAGCAGCTCCCGCCAGACGGCATTTCTCAGCCTGATGGGGTAGTATGGAGTGTCCCAGTATCTGGCTCCAATGCCACGACTCTTAGCGGTAGCAATCTGTGCGCGGAGAATGCTCAATTGCTCATCCGTGAAGACGGGGTCTGTGTCTGACACGGTGCCAAAAATAGACTGGAAGTCCGCGGAGGCGATAGGTGATATTAAAGACGTAACTCCAGCGTATTCCGTCTCATTCAAGGATGCGAGAGGAGCGTCATAGAAGTAGTCGCGGTCAGCAATTGGACCGACAAGCTCCAGAGGCGTATTGCCTGTGCCAATGATGGTCACTGGAGCATTGGTCAATGTCTTGTTATCCTTCAGAGTAGTCAGATAGCCCGCATCTCGAAGCGGCTGCAGCGCCTCTATGACGGCGTTCAAGGTCTCAGGACCGGAGGTCTTGAGATCTATGAAGAAGTAGAGAGTCTGGTCAGAGACGGTGTCAAAGACGCCACTAAGAAAATCGAGTGTCAATCATCATAGCACTGGACATCAATATTATCGCAGCAATTGATCTTACTCACTTCTTCGTAGGTGATGTTACGAAACGAGTGGTTGGGTTCTGCCTTTTCAGGACATCAAGTATAGGATTGATGTACAAAGACTCGAGGGTGCGTGCCTCAGTCAGAGCAGACTGCTCGTGACCAACCTGCCATAGCTATGAGCTTCACCCGGAGTTTTACAGCCCACGAGACAGAACTGTAACGCACATAAAGAGTACCATTGTATAGCCAGACATCTGCCTCCGTCGATGCGCAACCGTGGGACAGACCTGCGAAAACGCCCATCAGTCACTTCCTGAATTAGTTGTCACCTAACAATCTTGTCCTACCGGTGTAGAAGGGCACATCTCTCCAGTAATCGCTTGACGCCGTCAGCATCTGCTAACCAATGCACCGGGGCTTCTGTCAATTGGAGCTCGAAGGAAGGTGGCATACTTGTGCGAGTGAACCGGAATCTAAAGCCATCCCGGTAACGAATTAGCATATGTAGTCCACGTTTCTCAGAGGTAGCTTCGGATACCAGCGGAATCAAATGGGACACTCACGGGGAAAATTCCTCTTGTAAAATCCGTAGGATACCGGTACTCATCGCTTCGATGCGTATTCTTCAAGACATTCTGCAGATTCGACGAGCTCAACGTTCCCGCAACGAGCTGCGCGCTCGCCAGCAAAACCGCGGAGGTTGCGGAGAGGACGGATGACGTCGACGCGGATGGTAAGACTCTCATTTTGCAAAAGGCACAATTGAACGAAGGGAGAGAGAAGCCTGGAGAGCTTCTCGATTAAAGAATGAAGATGAAGAGATATAATTACTATGCGCGTGCTGGCAACGGTATGGCGAGCTCTGATAGCTGGCTGAGCGCCATGCTCTTTCGGTTGCCGTGCAGGTCCACAAGTGACGGGTCCAGCGCCAATCTTCTCCGCACGTGGTATGACAACGCAAAGCGATCAGTCTAATACTCCTGCTCTAGTCCAAATGGAATTGCCTTCTATATAGAAGTTTATCATGTATAGATTGCATACTGTTCTATGGACACTGCTGTTTTTGGTAATATACTCGATTCAAGTGCCTCCCTGGATAACCACATGTTTCATAAAACCGACTATTTACCATGCGTTAAAGCTGTTCAAATTAAAAATGAAATACAGAAAGAACATGATGACTAAAACACCATGGCCGAGAACCTTTGGAAGACACGATCTCTTGAATAGAACGGCTCCTGCAAGGAATCATAACCCGACCTAATGAGACCACCGAACTCCCGCTGTGCTGTCAAGTCAACAGGTGGTATCCCCGAACATGAGAAGGTAGAGAAAAGAAAGAGAGAAAAAGACACCTGCTGCCTAGACCTCCCGCACACTAGGTGATCTGGACGTATTTTGCGTATCCTGTACGCTGTTGTTTCGTCCTCGGAGGTTTAGGTTTCCGATGCGCTGCACCAGACTGCTTCCAACAGCATCCACAGCACCCTTAGGGGCGAGCAACGTAGGTCCTTGAACTGCTGTTTCTTGTACTCTGAACAGCCTGATACCTGTGCCGTTCCACACACCAACAGTGCCAGGAGTTGAACCCGACGCAGACCCAACGACCATCTCGCTCGCGAAAATGAAGCCCCAGAGCAGGGACTCATACCAACCCATCGAGAGTGCAGACCATTCGAAAGAATGCACACGAATAGAGGTAGGTTCTGAGAGGATGTTGTTGATCTGAGGCTCGTCGGAAAACGAGGGCAGGTTCGAGATCAATGTACGACCCTCTGGGCTGGAAGAGGACTTCAATGCAGAATCTGGAACATGAGAGGAAATAGCGGAGATAATGGTGAGGATGGTATGAAGGGGAAGTTCAGGCAACCATGACTCCAGCTGAGTCCGTATGTTAGCAACTTGCGACTAGTTGGAGGTGCCAGGAAAAGCTTACCCAACCTGCAGTTGGAGTAAAACCAGCCGAAGCAGATGTGATAGGGCCGGTATAACTGCTTAGACTGGTTGTACTATTCTGTCTGGAGAATGTTGCCCCGGCGGGCATTTTCCCCCGCGCTTTTTCAGACATCCCTCGCAACTGCAATGGGACGCTGTCATCCGCAGTCGATGAAATTGATGGCGTTCGAGAATTCTGGACCGACGGAGACGACTGCGATGGGGTGTCTTGTGCCTCTGCTTCTTCATCTGAATCATCTCCGCCAATGGCAAAAGGGCCACCTTCCTCGGGAATGTGACTTAACGGTGACCGCACGCCAGATGATGCTCGTAGATCGTCCACAGACTGAGATAGACGGGGGCTAGTGAGGCCGTCGCTAGATCCACCGTCCGCCTTTCTGCGTTGGTTCTGACGCTCAATTTCTTGTTGCCCGCTCTCAAGGGTAAAAGCTCTCACTGCTTCAAAACGCTGTCTTGACTTTAGGATTGCATATACAAGGTGAGGATTGCCTGGATGTGGTTAGCTGGTATACCAGACATGTACCGAAGTCAGCATGACTCACTCGTAAACTGGTGCTCCAGGACAGCGTTGATGAACTCCAGCAGCAATGACAGGAGTGCATGGTTCGTCTCGTTGGCTAACAGAAAGCTGGGTGCAGACATTGAAGAAAACAGTTGTATAATCCTCGAGCATGTGGCAGGTGACAAATGTTGTACGTAAGCGCCTATATTGTTTATTATAGCCAGCAGAGCAGGATAAACAGCGTCCAGTTTTCCTTTGCTCGTAGTCATCAAGGTGTGTACGGACTAGTTCTTTTGTTAGTCTTAGATGGCCATTTTATAACACCGCTACTTACCATGATCAGATAATCTGCATATGAACCGTTGAACGGAGTAATGCGTATAGTTTGCGGTAATGTATCCTGAGCCTCAAATTTCTTATTCAAGCTCTTTCCAAAGCTGGCTTCCACGCTCAAGGTCTGCAGGATAAAGATGCACATCTTTACCACTCCTTGTTTCGAAGGATCTGACCTGTATTCGATGGCATAGAATATACAGAGGATGACGAAGTCATGTGCGCGGTGTGAGTCAATAATAAATGACCTGAACCGTTTATTGCACTGTAGCGCTTCCCAGAACAGCATCAGCATCTCAGGGGCCCATTTGACAGTTCTTTGACTTCCCGGAAGGTAGGAAGTCGTGACTTGCATCTATATAAGGTTAGCGGAGTTAGGGCAAGAACCTGAGGTAGTATCATACCGGTTGGTTTAAGATCCTTGTCATCCCATCGACTATAAACTGGAAGTCCTGAGGTCTGTGTAGCCTTCCGAAGTAATGGCGATAATAATTCTTCGGCGGGGTCCCACGGCCATCTTCAGGGATGGGATAAAGAAGGAGCACAAGCAAAAGTTGCAGACAGTATATGACCAAGATCTGCTTTGGGTCCTTCCAAACCACATGGTCATACGGGACTCTCCACGATGCCGGGTTGTACTTGATTGTCTGCAGACAATGCCATTAGAAGATATGACGATGGGCAGGGCAAGGATAGGGACACCACATACTGTATTCAATAGAGAGCACAGCAAGGTAAGAACCACCTGCTTATCGGGGCAAGTTGTAATGTACGTGATGGCCTTCACTCCTTGCACAGGTAGTGTAGCTAGATACATTAGCGTTGGAATAGTCCCATTTGGCGGCCAATCTTACTGGGTGGCATATACATCGCCTTTCCGGTCAATGTAAGCAACAATCTGAGGATCTCGCATCGATTGTTTTCGAACTCCTTGCTGGAACCCATTGCACTGTTGCAACCCACTCCGCTCTGCCATATCGCATAGCTGACCTTACTTTTAGCAGCAGGTAGCCTGGGTATCGTAAAGCCAGTGTAGAACAATAAATCGACTAGGGTGTCGATTAGCTCTTCTGCCAGCGGTTTAACATCCTCGTAGCTATTCTTCACTCTTCCTGTCTGCGCTTGCTCGTTGCCGTTCTGGGCTTCATCGAAGAGTATTTCCGGGGCTACCTGCGCCTCACGGGTCTTCTTCCTGCGACGAGCCCAAAAGAAGTTCTCTTCCCAGTCCGCCAAGTGGTCCGCTTCGTAGACGAATGGGAGAACGCGGGTGAGGACACGCACACAGTTGAGTGCATCACGGTCTGGAGCGAGCTCGGGGTCTGGAAATGAGGGATGGCTCTTCAGTACGATGAGGCGAGATGTCACTGCGAGTATCAGTGTTTCTAAATTCGACAATGCTGAATCTCGCGTTCGCCGTATGTCCGCGGGCGTGAACAAGCTGAACACATCCTCTGTTGATTCTGGGAGCTCCCAGAACTTGAGCACACATGTCAGTTAAAAAAAGACACGAGTGCACATATGATAGATAGAGGGCAATCACAAACCCTGGTCCAGTAAGGATCATCAGCTGGTATATCCTTCTCTTCGGACAGCCGAAAGATACCTTGTTTGAAGACAAGCTTGGACTCCGAGGCTCCCATAGCGGCCGGTCGCTTCAGGAAAGCGAGTCCGTCATGCACCAAAAGATTCCACAGAAACGATCACTCTAGAGCAATCTGTTGAGGGGCGCCTTGGTTGTCGAAGATGTCTCGATTGTGACAGAGTCTTGTTCGGTGGGTACATTACGCTCCGCCCGCTTTACGAACAAGATGCGCGGCGGGAAGTCTACAGTAGGCGGTTCTGCTATTTAGCACTCCGGGAGCTCGGGGACTTCCCCACGCGAGACACAACAGGTCCATGGCTTGTTTTCAAGCCACGCCACGGGCTTGAATTCGTGGCAAAGGAAATAATGGACATGATGAATGAACAGAATGCTATCTCTATTGTACCTAACTCCATGACATATCTTCACATTGTGAGGCTCAAGTCCAAAGTTACAAACATCGCACTCATTTGCCAATGACGCCCATGCCCAACAACCAGGACTATGGAATCTAAAGGACACCACTACCGGCCGATAGTCTTCGGCTCTTTTCATACAACCATTTATTACTGACACCCAAGCTCGAGCGTTTGCGTTCAACCGGAGATGGAGTTGCAGGAGCCCTGCTAAACGTCGAGTCCCCGAAGAGCGAACTGGAGCCCAAGGAAGAGGACGACCCGATACTCGATCTGCGTCCATTTTCTCTGCTTCCATTTGTAACCGCTTTTTGGAACAGTGGGCTTGGAGTAGGCGAGAAAGAAGGGCCAGTGGAATTCCTCCCAGAGACTGTACCGTTGGCCGATAGAGGCGAGGTACTCCGGCTTGCAGGGCTAGCTTGACGAGAGCCAGCAGATAGACGATATCGTGGAGGTGTAACATACTCGGTGCCGGCAGTAGCAGGAGGTGTCGCGGTGGGATCGAGGCCAAGCAGGGCACGTTGTGTTGGCGTCAACGGGATATCCGAGAGATCGTCTTTCGGTCCAAAGAGTGGGTATAATGCAATGAGGATGTTCATGACGAAGAAAAGCCGTAGCACCAGAAGAGAAATTTCTGGGTATGTTTGGAGACTCAAGAGCTTCTGCAATCGGAAAGCACTGAAAAGGGTCAGTACGGCGAAGCGCCAGCTGAGCAGGTCACTCACTATGATCTGAAGCTGTCTCCAATGAAGGCAGTCGCTAAGAGCGCAGCACCATTCCACAGAAGCTTCTTCAGATTGCGATCACTGAATGTAGCGGCATTTTGTCGCCTAACGATCTCATCGAGGCGGGGATGACGCCACTTCCCAGGCTCTTGAGACGGTGTCGCTGGCGTTGCTTTTGGCGTCGAGGGAAAAGGAGAAGACGCCATTTGTTGTAGAATAGTTCAATCACACAAAAAGCACTGAAATGATGCTGATATGAGCTGGTGTCCCGTTTCCAGAGCTGGCTAGGGGATGCACTCACCTGGAAAGAAAACCTACCGACTTACCTTAAAAATAGCCTTCTCGAGAATTTTATCACCCGTGCATCAGGGCGACGGCAATCTAGAGCGGGGATGAGAAGACTACGGAGGGCATATGCCCCACGAGATCGAGGAGAGGCGTGGGTGTTGGATTGTTGTGGTGGTATTCGTCCGGTCACTGGGAGTTCTTCTCACGCGCGCGAGCTTCAGCTTTCCCCTGCCTGTTTCCGTTAGACGCGGACGCAAGCGCCGACAGGTCGGAGCGCCACTACTTACTCCGCATGTCATCTTCGTGAGCTGGACTTTATCTAGTATTAATTATTACTATCATCACAGAGAGGAAGAGTACTAATCATGGCCGCAGAGGAATCGGGCCTGGCGAAGCTCGATGCATTCATAGCAGAGCTTCTGTCTGACTGGAATATTTACTCTACTCTGATTACTGGTATCATCGTTGCATTTCTGGTCTACGGCCTAGTCTCTTCAAAGGAGCCTGACTGCCATCCATATCTGCTTGCTCGACAGGCAAGTGAGGCACCTGTGAGGCATCCAGGCGAATCTGCAGCACATCGCAACCTCGAGACACCGTTCGGTTTCCCGCTCAAGACCGGGTTGAACATCAAGGACCCTGGAGCGCCTAAATGGACTGGCGGACGCAACGGTGACCTGCGCGACATATGGAGAGCTGCTGTGCGCGGCGCCGTCAATGACGACGGATCGGTTTCTGGAAAGAAGGGCAAGATCTATACGGTATTGGGAAGACACGTCGAGGAACACAGCCTGGACGATATCACACAAGAGATCAATGTTATCGGACAGTACATCAGGGACTCAAAGGCTAATACGGTTGTTATATGCCTGTCTGATTCTATTGAACTTTTGGGAGCTATTTTCGGTCAGCCATGATTTCCTTCCTGACGCAATGACTTGTCGCAGTTGGACTGACAAGCCATGATAGCCGGCGCATTCTACGGATTCAAGACGGTGATCATTCCACACAATCTCCCTTCAGAGGTCCTTACGGAGTATCTCCAGAAATCTCAGGCAGAACTCTTGATTGCGGAGGCTGGTGCAGTAGATCTCTCGGTGGTAACGAAGGGTAATCAGCAACTTAGCCATGTATTATGGGTAGCGAAACAGGGCAGCAGACATATGGAGTGGGACCAAGTGCCCGAGGGCATTGGAGGTCGTCTCGAGGTTGCCGTCTGGCATGAACTCATCAAGGATAAGAAAGGTTCCATCACCTCTGAGCTTCCAGAATGGGAGCCCAAGTCCCCGACGCCGTCCATCACAACTGTTTGGCCGACAGCGTCAGGCGTTGGTGAATTTATCGAGTACGAACCAAAGGTATGTGGCTCCAAATTGAATAGTTTCCCACAATATTGACAATACACAGAATCTTGTATCCGCCGTTGGAGCGCTTATTTCTGCGCTGCCTCGCAACCAGCGTCTGACATCTGACGACCTTCTGCTCTCGATAGATTCCCTGTCTCGGTCTTATCCATTGTCCTTAGTGTTGGCGGCTTTGTTCTCCAATGCTTCCATAGCTCTTAACTCCGTTGCTGGAGAGGGCGTCGATTTCGCTCTCGCAACCGTGGGAGTCTCACCCACAGCGATTGTTGCCTCGTCCCGGACTATGTCTGAGTACCACAAGAAGTTCATGGAACCTCACACTGGCATCATCTCCAAGATTAGCAGATGGTTCCAGGCGCGCAGTCTCGATGCCGGCACTATGCCCAGCTCGAATCTACTTACCAAGCTTGCCAACATTGGGCCAACGGCTGAGCTCTCACTTGACAAACTTCGATTGTTGTTCATCTCCCACCGGGCTGATGCGCCTGGCGAATATTGTCTTTCCTCCGAACAATTAGCTGACCTGAGGATCTTTACTGGGGCCCGAGTTGTATACGCTTTGGCTGGTCCAGGAGTAGCAGGAGCCATCGCGCAGACGAATGTGTTTGACTACAGACGTCAGGATGGCCTCAGCCACTTCGGTGCTCCGTTGAGCAGCGTCGAGGTCACTTTGAAGGGCCACCCGGAAGACGCAGGGCTCGAGAGAGCTGTCGAGGGACAGGTAAGAATCTCATTTCCAAGATTATGACAATTCTCGAGTTGATACTTACTGGGCCCTTCTAGATTGCTGTTGCTGGTCCCGCAGTCGTGTCTGGGAAAACGACTATGCCAGCGTCTGGACGTTTCGGAGATGACAACACACTGCACCTAAGTGCATAGGGCTGTTTTGATACGTAGCGTAGGCTGAACAGTCAACGATTATGATCTCATGTAGTCAAAAGTTTCTCTACTATATATGGAATCTCCTCGTTGGGATGTGGTGAATATAGCCTCACTCTGTAAGCATGGTATTGGCGCGCCTGAAATCCGTATCCTATTCTCAGAGTAGACCTACGCACAAGTCATCCTTTGGCACGCCTTCATTTACTAAAGACGTGTTCTGGCAGGGCACAAATGAAATATCTATATCTCGAATCTCTTTGCTTTAGACGACCCTCGCTGTTGAACTGAAGTAATGTACAAAAGGGGGTTAGGTTATCGTAATCAACACAATGACGAAAAATATAGAACCGGAAGCCTCGTGCTTTATCCTTTAAAAGAACTGAAGCAGCTGCTTGTAACCCTCAGTGGGGCGCTCCTTGACCTTCTCAGGAGCATTCTTCTTCTGCTTCGTGATCAACTTGCTCAATTTATCCGCCCGGTCCTTCAGCTCCGAGCTGAGGGCCTTGTTGCTGGCAATGCCGTTCACCTGCAGAGCCAACTTGATTCCGTTGTAGATGGGAATGTTCTGCTGGAGCATGTCCTCGATGTTGTACCAGTTAGTGATCTCGGCGTCGAAAGAGCCGAGCGGCCACGTCGCCAACAGTCTTCGTGCGTAGGAGGCAACTTGGTCGCCCTCATCACGACCTTCGAACTCATTGAGAGCACGAGCAGCACTCAGCTCGAGAAGCACACCGATCACGGCCGGCCGTCGTCTCGGGTCCTTCGCGATGTCGTGTTCAACGTGCTCCGGAGCCTCCATCAGCTGGACTGCTTGTTGAGCCAGGCTCAATGCCTTGGTAGTGGCCGGTCCCTTGAAATCCGCCGCCTGAGCCTTCTTGTGCAATCCGTAGAAGTACTTGCCCGCAACGCCAGCATCGTTCAGACGCAGACCCGTCTTCTCCGACTGCTTCGCACATTCCAGCATGATTCCCAGAGCGTCCGCCTCAGCGGCCTTGCGCATCAGCCATTCCCAGCGGTCATTATCGAGATAACGCTTTGCCGTCCGCAATCCAATCAGGAAGGGGATGATGTTCTGCCAGTCCTTGGTCGTCTTCATCAACTTCACAACGTCCGAGATCTCAACCTTGCGAGGTCGCGTCATGTGGTCCATCGGGCGGAGAAGGAATTGCTCATTGTCACCGATCGTAACTGCGACGGGTTCCTCTTCGAGTCGACCGGAGTATTTTTGTCGGAAAATCAACTTTCTCTGTTGGATACCCAGGGAGAAGGGCACGAAGAGCTCTTCGCGAAACCGGTGCAAGGCTTGGTCGAGTTCGGCAGAGGATGTTTGAGAAAAGGAAGGGATAGCTTTCAGATAATTGCAACATTAGCAATGACCCATATTGAAGGATGACTATGATCACAACACACCATTTTTTGAGTAGCTGCGCGTCTGTCTGAACGGCGAGCTTACCGACTGCCGGAGACAACTCTGGCAGCGGAAAAGCCTGCCCACGGCGCTTTGCGCCATTCTGAACTCGAACTCAAGAGGACCTCGTCGTTTCTCAACGAAAAGATCTCTCCGGAAACCCCCGCGAATTGTAAGCGGGCGTAGTAAGAACAGCTGCGGAGTTCTTGATGCTGCTGGTCAAAAAAGTTCCCGCATCCCAGCTGGACGGCGAAGCAAAGAGTATTGCCCGAACAGGCAACTCCAGGCTTGGCGGAAATTCTGTCGGACGCTCGGACCAGGAAGACCGATTGATCTCCAGACGAACTCACGGGAATATCTGCATCTCGACCACTTCACAGCTATGGCGGCTCCGTTTTCTGTGATGCGGCCGCTGAGCTGCCTGCAGTCTGTCTCGCGCAAGCTCGTGCAGCCACAGATCTGTCGGCGAGCGTTGACCACCATCTATTCCGCGAAGCCGGAGCAGACGCCGATTCCTGAGAAGCTGCCACAGGCTTTCTTGTCCCAGCTGCCGGCTCGTTTTAGACCGGATAAGAGTATGTCTATTTATTGATCTTATTGCTGTGTTGATTGAGGATATGCTGCTTTGATTGCGCTCACTTTCGTTGTGATATCCTGGCATAAACACTGCTGACACCTTCTGGTACAGACAAGAAGAAGCTGAAAGTCATCGCACCTCCCCCAAGCGCCCTTAAAACATGCAAAGATCCCATTTCAGTCATCCAACAATCCCAGCTTGATGTGCTTGACCCGACCGGTGAGCGCAAGGCTCTTTTCGACTACCGACGAAACCCCAGAAGTGTCAAGGTTGGCGATATTCTGCGCGTTACCTTCCGGAGCGGCGACCCCTTCTCGGGTGTGTGTCTGAACATCCGATCAAGAGGCATTGATACCTCATTCCTACTGCGTAACAACCTTACCAGAGTGGGAGTGGAGATGTGGATTAAGGTCTTCAGTCCGAACGTGGAGAGTGTGGAGATTGTACAGAGGACGGAGAAGAGGAAGAGAAGAGCCAGGCTCTACTACATGAGGTATGTTTCTTTGGGGGCATTTTGGCGTGTCCACGAGTTCATACTGGCTACTATGGACTCCTCCTTTGCGGGTATGGTGAAGGCACAGACTAACGCATTACTACAGGCAAGCCAAGCACGACATGGGTACCGTCGAGAACATTGTGCGCAACTACCTCCGACAGAAGTCTGCTCTGACCGGTCAGCGTACGACTGGTCAGCGCACCGGCGGCCGCTCATAGAACTTATCTGACCTATTTATGCTCCCATGTGATAACATCTTTTGCGTGAATGTTGTACAACTATCAATATCGGTCCTGGCGACGAGGGTCGGCATTTCCATTTTGTATTTTATCCCTTGAAGACCCCATAACTCATGCCAGTAAGGCTTCCTGCATTGCTATATTCTATGACAAGCAGCATACATTATCTTTCAAAGCGATTTAAACGGTCCGCTCCACCTGGTAGACAGCAACTCTATCGTGGCACTAACTACTCATCACTGCTCATTACTAAAGGTGGACATTAGTAAGTACTACGAAGTCGTAACTGAGGATTTCCTTAGATGGACGTCATCCCGTCGTTATCCGCTTCGGTCCCAGGGCACACCGTTACTGCTATGACAAGATGACCGTGAAGTACAGACAGTCTTATCGGATCCAACATCAGAACCCGACTTAGAATAGTTACCATTTGCGCCCATACCCTCCCCCAAGAGCCAAGCAAATTCAAGCAAATTCAGGATAGGTCAACAGGACAAAAGATAAAATACATTTGATTTCATTCGCCCGCTCCAGGATAATTCGAGGCTGTTAGATCGACAGACGGGGTTCGCCAAAGTTGGGGTCGGTCTGCCAAGCTTCATGTCGAGATGATTATCAGCCACGACCTCACGGTGATGTCAGTTCCCTCAACCTGACACAACGTAGAAAGGCTAGGCGATTGACGTACCCACCGAGCATGGTTCACGTATCCAGGCTTGATGATAAATAGCAGGGCTGCCGGCACGATTAAGTTACATTTCAATTGTTAAATCGAGATCTATATTTCTGAACGTATCCAGTAAGTACATGTTGATTTCCGTTCATCAGGCTTAGTGATTAGCTACTCGGATGTAGCTAAATACTCTCTCACTACAGACAGCTCCCAAAGTCCCAATTGCTTAGTCCAAAATGGCAACGTCGCAGGCCGTCTACGGCGTCGAGAAGATTATCGGGAACACTGATGATGCTACCATCAGAACTGATATAACCAACTATGGCGATCAGGGAGTTGGTGACCCGTCGGGAGCCAAGATGAAGGCCCTGACCTGGCAGGGAAAGAACAACGTCAAGCTAGGTATGTTTCGTGGTCGATGTTCATATTATATTTTTAATTCCGCATCGCTAATGGATCTAGTTGAAACGGCGAAACCGCGAATTATCGAAGATCGAGATGTCATTGTCAAGGTGACCGGTAGCACGATCTGTGGAAGTGATCTGCATCTTTACCATGGTATGCGCTATTATCTTAAAAGTACTGGCTCGTGAATCTGATCAACTAATTGTGTCTCGCAGGCGCGATCATCGAGATGACCAAGGGTGATATCCTCGGCCACGAGTTCTGCGGCGTTGTCGAAAGCGTTGGACCGGGAGCGAAGAATGTCAAGCCTGGAGAGCGCGTCGTAGCATCCTTCCAGATTGCCTGCGGTGAGTGCCGCTACTGCAAGCTGAAGCTCTCCTCAGTTTGTGAGCGTACGAACGCGAACAAGATTGCGAATGTAATGTATGGAGGCCGCACAGCTGGTAAGTTAAAACCTCAGATATCACGGTTAGATTGATACTAACTAACGCCGTCATAGGTATCTTCGGATACTCTCACTTCACTGGAGGTTTTGCTGGTGGCCAAGCAGAATACGTCCGCGTGCCATATGGCGATGTTAACCTGCTTAAGCTTCCTGATGATGTCCCTGACGAAAAAGGTCTCTACCTTTCCGACGTTCTCTGCACGTCGTGGCATTGTGTCACCGACACGGGCGTCAACCCGGGAGATGTAGTCGCGATCTGGGGTGGTGGTCCTATCGGCCAGATGTGCGCCGAGTTTGCTTTCTTCAACGGCGCCAGCCGTGTCATTTTGATTGATGGTGGAGAAGGAGCATGGCGCCTAGACTGGCTCAAGACAAAGATGCCCAAGCTCGAGACGGTTGATTTCACGAAGCTCCCCAAGGGAGAATCGGTCACCTCGCAGCTGAAGAAGATGGTCGATGGAGGCCCAGACGTCTGCCTTGAGTGTGCCGCTGGTGAATATGCCAAGGGATGGGCTCACTACTTCGAGACGCTGCTCGGTTTTGAGACAGATACCTCTGAACTCCTGAATGAGATGATCACTTCCGTCAAGTCTTTTGGCCGTGTCGGAGTTACTGGAGTGTACGCCGGTTACGTACGTATACACCATTTTTTCCTTCCTTTCGAATTACATGCCATGACACATACTAACTCCACCACCAGACCAACCACTTCAACATCGGCGCTCTGATGCAGACCGGTATCCGTTTGATTGGTAACGGCCAGGCCCCCGTTCACAAGCACTGGAACCACCTCCTGCAACTTATCCGCGAGGACAAGATCCACCCTCTTGACATGGTCAGTCACCGAGTCAGGCTCGAGGACATGGAGAAGGTCTACGAACTCTTCAACAAGCGCGAGAAGGGCTTCCAGAAGATGTTCGTCCAGACGAAGTACTCGGCTCCTCCTTGTCCCGGAGCTCCGCAGTTGACGAATCTGTGAGCGCCTTAAAACAGAAAAGAGAGAGAAACAAAAAGAAAAAGCCAACTCGCACCACACGTGCAGTTAAAGTACGATACGATACTATTATCGTACTCCCCAGATTGGTCGCTCTGTCTTTTGAATAATTGTATTATTACTCTAATAATCCCGAATGATGAGGAATGATGAATGATGAAGCATGTCGACTGGTGTATTGAGCGAGAATTTAAGGAGTCATGGAGTGAGTTGTGTGGTATGGTGCGTCAAGAGAGATATATGGGGGGTGTTTATCAGAGACGAAAAAAAAGTGAGATGTTGTGATGATGACTTGAGAGAAATATGGGGGGAGTTGTTTTGGCGATGGGGAAGATTCAATACGCTTAGGTTGTAGGCGTTTTACTACTTTCCTTTTATTATGATAATTTGGCATAATTTGACAAGACGAGACAAGACAATCCTTAATTTATAAAATTGACTATCATTTGACAATGGAATCTTTCGTGATGTTGGTATAGGTTCCTTTCATGTCTAGATGTCTTTCCAAGATGAGAAAGCAGGAAAGCAATAATTAATGTATGAAAATGTCATTTGAAAAGGGCCGGAATTCAGCAGCTAAGATAATTCAACCAGTCTCCTGTGCTCGAGGACAGAGCCACGATTACGAGGAGGGGAAAAAGACAAAAGAAAGCAGTTCTTCGCGGTTTATCAGACATAGGGAGAATTACAATATATTTACAATTTCGACTTCTTCTTTCCCGTAACGCCAGATACTTCTGTTCCAGAAAGAAGGAAGTCCGGATACTTCATACCGGATCCTATGGTGCTGGAGGCAATGCGCCATGCAGCGCCGTCCACTGCGAGAGACATTAGTATGCGAAAGCTCGGGTGGATGATAAAAATGATCCCAGGTTAACTTACCAACAAGAGTCTGTCCGCTAACATAGCTGCCGGCGTCTGAGAATAGATAGACGGTTGCGTCGGCGATGTCTCTGACGGAACCGAATCTACCAAGAGGCTGTGATCTGGTGATCTGTTCCAGGTCCTGCTCGGGGATCAAGCGGGATGCGCCCTGGATTATATTATTATCAGTATATAACACTTGTATTTTCCTTACGATCGAGGATGGAGAATCTTGAGTGACTAACCTCGGTGTTGGCGATAGGGCCGGGCGCGATGATATTCGACGTGACGCCCAGAGGACCGAACTCGATAGCCGTATTGTTCGATAGAGCATCAACGCCAGCTTTTGCGACAGACACGTGTGTCTGGAATGGAAGCCCGGTGTAATGAAGAGTAGCACTGACGAAGATGATTCTGCCGCCGGTGCCTTGCGGACTCGGTTTCACTTGGGGGAGAATACGGATTAGCATGAAATGGGATAACAACGATATCGAGAGATATAATACAATCATCAGAGACGAGACTTACGGGTCTTAGAATCCACTCTGTGCTTTCCTGCAGACTCAACAAGATGTGGGAGAGTAGCCTTCAGAGTGTTGTAGGAGCCAAGGACGTCAATGTCCATCACGGCCTTGAAAGCATTGACAGAGAGCTGGTTGATCGAAGCAAGAAAATTGCCTGCCGCACCAGCACTGGAGGTGCATATGGATGTGAGCAAGCATCATAGACAGTAATAACGGAGTAACTAGATATGGGGAAATAGGAGAAAGAAGAGACAAAAGATGGAGTGAAGAGGACATACATCACGTAGTCAATCCTCCCAAGCTCTTTAACGCAGCGATCAACTGCATCTTTCAGACTCTCGAACTTGCGTACGTCAACAGCTCCGATTCCAATGACCTTTGCACCCGGTCTCACTGCGGCAATGTCCTTGGCTGCTCGCTCGGTCTTCTCGACATTTCTACCGACGATGCACGCATCCGCGCCTAGATGAACCAACGCGCGAACCTGAGCGCTGCAGATGGTGCCTGCGCCGCCCGTGCAGAAGACGACCTTCTTATCTGCAAATACTATGTTAGAGGCTGTCCTGCAGGGATCACGTTTCTCATCTATGGGTCCGATTCCGTACTAAAGATGCCGTCCTTCCAGGTGTCACTGACATACTCCGACTTCGACAGAGTCATGGTTGCGTTGTGTTGCGTTGCGTATATGTATGCTGGTGGGCAAGGTACACAGTGGTAGTGAGACTGCGATAGAGACTATCATACAGGGGGGATAAATTGAATGATGAAAGTCAGCATGGGATAAGTTAAGGTAGAAGCTAACTGGGGAGGAATAATAGCTTAATACTTACATGTTCCAGCTCACGTCCCCTCACGAGATGCCGCGGCATCTTTTCTTCTTGTGAGCTTCTTCGGCACATCCCCAATCGGTTACACCAGTTAGGATTATCTGCTAAATATTGCTAAATAATACCTTATTTCTGTAGATTGTAACTGGTCTTGATTACTATCTGATTATCATAGCCACGGAGGGTTGCAATCGGACCGCCCATCATTGGCCGAACGCGCGCTGGCCACAACTCCGAATGATTCCTTCCAGCGCACAAAGAAGACGTCACATCCATCTTGTCCCGCGGTGATCCTGCATTGGTACTCTTCTCGTGCAACTGAAGTCTGCCTGTTTCGGAGACACAGCTATCGAGTTTACTGTCTTGTCTTGGGGTCAACGGCTATCTTCAAGGCAATTGTTACCCTGGTCTTCCGGGTCAATACTTAGCTCGCGCGTGGCATACTTAGGCGCATCGGCAACCGGTTCTACCTAGCCCAGTGTCGCAGATCGTTAAGAGTACGACAAGCAAGATGGCCTGCCCGATCACGGTCACGAAGTTCGTCGGAACAGTGTCTCTGGGACTCTTGACGGTATGTACGCGCTGCTTTCTGGCCTCTCTGCCGACCGGACTCGATGTTTTGCTCCCAGGGAATCTTCTCCGCATCGCCGGTTCTACTCGCGCATTCTCAATGAATGAATACGCTCTGGATTAATCGATTGTTCGAGCGTGGCTGACAGATGTGAAAAACAGGGCCTGTCATATTCGACTGCCTCTATCACCATTCCTTCCTTGAGACTCCTTCCCACCGCTCCGGATGCCACTCGCGCTCTGAGGGAGGTTAAGCGTCGCACCCGCAAGCACGCTCTTCAGCTCTCGAACTTGACCAATGGCTGTATCCTCTTCGCTTATTGTCTTTCGTCCAAGCGACGCAAGCATCCCTACTTGATATGGATGGTTCTCACCTCCAGTATTGGCTCTTTCGGAATGGACTTTCTGTTCAACCGTAGCAAAGGTTTCGTGGGCTGGGCCCAGATGGTCGTTGAGGACCTTGGAGTGCCAGCTCTTGCAGGAAAGAAGAAGGCAACGACAAAGAAGGAGGACGACCTGGTCGTTGTTGAGCCCGCATCGGAAGTGAATGGTGAGACCGTCGAGCAGGAGATGGAGCAGGAGCGCAAGCTGCAGCGCGCTCGAGCCTGGCTGTCAGGCCTTGCTCTTGCCATGGGCATTGTTGGACTATGGGGTGACGGTGCCTAATTACCATACGTCAAATCCAAGTCTTCTGTCCCTAATATTCGAAGGCACGCCAACGCCTCGTGGGACTGGATCGAATTTGGAGCATGGAATATTGTGGTTTTACAAGGCTGCACGGCTACACGGCGTTAACGGCACTTCCGTATTTACAGCCATCTGAAAGGGCCCAAGATACTGCATTTGTTTACTTTCTGCACACGCCATACTTCTCTACTCATATATAGTCTACTCATGTAGTCTAGTCTCCTTGTATCGCTCTTTTTGGATCTTTCTTGAGGATTATGTTCCGGTGGATCTGTATATTGTCAAGAGGTCATCATTGACCTGGGAGCTTTCGGTGTCTCGGTTAGATTCTGCGCTGTCAACATACGGGATATTTGTTACCTTTTTTCTAGCGTCGACTATTTCATAAGTAGGCATGCGTTATCTATTTAGTGAAGCTCCCTTGCATTTCTCTCCAGGACATATACAAACTTATTCCGACTCACTATGCTGGGGTCTTATCCGGTTATGGGCATTATCATACTTGCTTATTTATGGCCAGCTTCGTCGTCCTCGCCTTAGGACGAATACAGTGACACGTCTTCTAATGAAAGCCAGATAGCTTCTCCAGACTCCGAGCTGAAAGCCTTTCTTGAGAATTGCTCAGCGAGACTACGCACGATGAGCGCGGCTACCGCGCTGTGAAAGCTGTAAGCTGAAACAAGGATAGTCTGTTCCTCATAAATATACTAATAGGGCATTTGTAGCTCCCCATGATAGCAGCCTATTGGGTTTGCAGGGGTCGACTCTGCGTCAATGAGAATAACGCTACTACTCAATACAGCCACCAGAGAAGAGATAGAAGACATAATCTAGTCTTCCCACTTCTATTCTGTACTCTAGTCAAGCGAAACGCTGTAATAATTCATAATGTAAGCAGACACAGTGTTGAAATTTTTGAAACGGACAAGATTAGTAGACCGTTGACGGCCTTTGGCTCGTATCTCGTATTATCATTTTCATTTGAGAAGACAGTAGTCAGTCATAGAGTCTTGTATATGATCTCAATTTGATCATAGAAAGTCTAGATACTTATATAAGTAGTCTATTGCAATGTGCCCTGCTATAGTGGCTATGTTGAGGATACTAATCCATGCCCTTAAATATCTAGACAAAGGTAGTATAAAGGGACGAATAGAATGACAATGAGATTGTAGTTGACTTGACGTAGTCGATTCTTTGTCTCTATCTTTCTGTAAACAGGGCCTCTTTCATCTATGCCTTTAAATATCAAGTCTACTATGCATTGTTGCCTTCTGGTTTGAAAGACATCATAATAGAAATCCTTTGACCTGAACTGGTCAAAAAGGAAATATCAATGGCGTATATGCAGCTCCTGGCTACGAGACGTATGGCTTACCTTGACCCCGCCACTTACCGTGTTTATATGGCGTCTGGCTGATTCAGGTCGACTGGATCAGGGAGCTCCGTCCTCGTAGTGAAAGTGAAGTCGAGGATGTTATTGACCTGGGGAGGCCGCCTGTTGATTTTGACCATCAATAACACAACAACACCTTCGTAGCTGGTTATTTTAACGCACACAACAGACTCTCTCCTCCTCTTCTCATTCCCCTCCACGTCTCGTCTTACTGCGTCTCGTCTAACTGCTACTTCATTTTCATCCATACCATACCTCCTGAGTACTCGAAACACCACCTAGATGGAGAGCACGAAGCGAATCAGAAGCCTCCTCAAGGAGGTCGAGAACAAGGACGAACAGATCGAGACTTTAAACCAAAAGATCCAGGAACAACACCACCTGGTGAGGTCTTTCGACCAAGAAATCGCCCTCTACCGCGAAGAGCGGCGAGGATGGGCCGAACAAGGAGAGGAGAGCCTCCTCAAATTGTCTCTTCGAGAACAAGTCGAAGAGCTCAAGAGGCGCCTCTCCAGAGCCATCCATATGGCCGACGTTGCAGAAACGCAGGCCATCGCGGCAAACACCACTGTGGAGCTCGAAAAAGCTCGCAGAGATGCGGCCAACGCCGAGTCCATCGAAATGGCTCGGGCAGAAGAGCAACAACAGAGAGCTCTGGCAATCGAGGCCGCAAAGTCTGCCGCAAAGGAGACCACGGGGGAGGAAGATAGCAGCGAAAGTGAGGTATCGGATGCAGACGACGACGAGGCTCCGACCTATCAACCACCCACTTTCGCGCCGTCGACCTCATACCAGCCTCCTAAGTACCAGCCATGGCGGCAGCAGTATCAAGCGCAGAGCACGCAGCAGACAACGGGTCTGCTGTACAAATCTCTCTCTGCAACTGTGCTGCCGGCCGCTGGTACGCCCACAACGGCGTCCGCTATCTCGCCATCCGCACCCAAGGTCTTTGATGGTTCGCTTCCCTCCTCTTCCCGTTCGCCGGTCTATACTCCTTCTCCCTCTTGCAGCCAACAGCAGGTGCCGCATGGGCAAGCGGTCGAGGTCAGTTCGCTGCCTCGGCCGGCTTTGCCTGGTAAGCCGGACCTGGAGAGGCAGATCTGTGTGCCGCCGAAGGAGTATAGAGACAAGTGCATCGGAACGGAGAGTACCCCAGGGAAGGTCTATCAAGACAAGTCCGTCGGTACAGAACCTGTCCAAGGGAAGGAGTACGCTGATAAGTGCGTGGGGACTGACTTTGACGTCCTCACAACCCCTATCCCGCAAGCTGGAGACGGGGAAGCCATGGGCATCTCAGCCCAGGGGCCAATTCCCCTCCCCGACTCCATGGACTTGTACGACGACTCAACGATGGCAGATGCGTTGGAAAGCCTACCGACTCCGTCGGTTCTGCCACTCTCGGAGAGACCTGCCCCTCTTTATGAGGGACTACAGGCAATCTCCTGGCCTTGCCAGAGAGGAGGGCATGGGAGAGTGACGAAACGTCAACTCGTTCCGCAGCGCTCGAAGAACCCGCGCGATTTGGTTCGCATCACTTTGGATGCGACCAAGCGACGGGGCCTGGTCAGGGCAGTCTTCGAAGACGCCATCGTGTTGAGCGCTCTCCCAGTGACCCGGTTTGAACCTGGTTATGTTGCGTGTGATAGCCAAGTCCCGCAACAACAGCCATACACGGAGCCAGCGGTAGTATCCAACGAAGGGCCAGACTCCGAGTCTGGGATATCGACCGCACAGAACTGCCTGCCGACAATCCACCAGGCTGAACCAGAGACGCCTTGGGCCAATGCTGCTGGCAGCAACCCAGGTCTCGGAGTGTTAGCGCCTGCCGACAGTCCCTCAGGCAGTTCTGTCCCCGAAATCACTGCCGCGACGTATCAAGAGGTCGCTTGCCAAACGGAGGGACCCTCGATGAATTCCACTGGAGTTCAGACGGCGGGAAGTGTTATGACTTCCAGCCAGACCCAGACATTGGGGGCTTCCACGACCTCAAGTGGCACGCAGACGCCAGCGCGTTCCGTCGCTACTGCTGCCACTCAAACCCAGGAACGTCCAGTGATTTCGGCCGGTACCATGACTCAGTATTCCGTGGAGTCTCGCGCATGCCAGAGCGAGGAGCGCCCAGAGCCGCCGGAGATCCGCGTTAAGCGTCACATAATCGTCTCCGAGTTGGTCCAGTCGGCGAGCAATCGCATCAGGCTGCAGACCGGCCTGGGTGCGAGAAACGGGCGTCTTCGGTTCTTGACACCGGCCCCGTTGCTCAAGGGAAATAAGGAGCGTCCTGCTGCTCTCCAGCAGGGACAATTGCCAGGCCGCCAACCGATCCCTGCTGTCAAGAAAGTCGACCGATCCTCGCGCCAAAACCGCCAAGCTCAAACGGATACAGACAAGCTTTCTGGCGAGAAACGCCAGCAAGTGTCCGAGCTCGACGGCTGCAGGGACCGGCGATGGAATCGGCAGTGGATCTTCCTGGCCCTCCTTGTTCTCTTCCTCGTCCTCTGGATCGCCAACCTCGAGGTTGAGGCCCAGGACTGCCGTTTGTGGTTCGAAGCTAACGACGTGGCCCGCCGGGCGGTTATCGCACGTCGACGGAATGTCACTCCGCAGCCGCTGTGGACGTTCGCCCCCGAGCATACTTTTTTCTAGATGGGCTTGGAGAGTGTGGGGGAAGGGGACATTCAATATACGCTCGCATGCCGTGGTGAGATGGCCTCTGCGAACTACAGTACGGAGTACTCTATGGAGTAGTTACATACACTTATGGTACAAATCCTAATACAACAATACGCTTTCTCGACTGATCTTGTCTGGCCACGTCGAACGGCATGTTCTCCGGTCATTATACGACGACCTGGCTAGGACTGTCTGTGTTTGGCACTGTTTGCTGTTTTGCTTTGCGGGAGATCGGCGCCGGGGCGTTTGAGGACTGTTCTTTGTTAACAATAATCTTCTTCTGTCTGTTTCTTTGTCCCCTTTCGTCTGTGCGGACAGTCGTCATGACTTCTGTCCCCGGCGACCAGTAACAGGGTCTCTGTATGTACATATGTCTCCTTTTTGCTACGCGCCTATGGGTTTGATTCGCGGGCAGCCATACGTCCTCCGCATCTCCAGCGCGAAGGTTGTACTGGGCTTGCGTAATCCCCATGGCCGGGAAATAATCTAAAGCCTAGCTAGCGTCTGATGGAGAAGGAAACGAATCGCGATGGTTGGCCTGGTTTAATGGCTCATATCTACTCTCGAGTATTTTTATTACCCTCCCATACATAGATAGAGCCAGCGTGGATGCCTGAATGCGAGGATATTTATATACTTTCTGCCTGAGGTGTCCAATACCGCCACACTAACCCCATACAGCTTAGCGGCTGCGTCACCCGACTCCGCCTCCGTCCGCCTTCCATCTTTATCGTTCAGCCTAGAAGGACTTCGCGAGATCAATCAATCAATCAATCATCAACCTGTTTCATCTGCGCCTATCCCTCGTTCATCAACTCTCATCTCGCTGTTTCTCTATCTTGACTGTTGTCCTGTGATCTTTGGTACGGCATATGTCGCTCCCGATCTAAGCAGTTCAACACCATGATTATCGCCTCGCTTCTCGCCGCAGGCGCCCTGTCCCTCCGTGCTGCCGCCTTCCTGGTGGTGCCCGAGTTCGACACCGTCTCTGCGCCGTTTCCCAAGGCAGTCAACCCGCACGGTTTGGCACAGGTGTCTCTCAAGTGCACTGAGTGCCCATTTCCTGAGAGTGATGCTGATGGAAAGGTGTCTTGGACGGAGGGATTGGATACGGCTCTGGTGAGTTAACCCGGGCGCCAGGCAGGAGACTGTATGCTAGTCAGGAGACTGTATGCTGACTGTGGGATATAGGATCTCAACATCTCCATCGAAAATGAAAACACTCTTGTGATCAACGGCAACCAGGTCTTCCCGCCACCCCCGCCTCCCTTGAGCATTGATGCAGTCCAGCGAAACATCGCTGATGGCCGAGAGAGCGATCCCATTCCTCTGGGATTCGCCCTTGAAGTCGAGCCTCTGGTGGCCCCCATGGATGAGCCAGGCCCCGAGCTGCTTTCCCTTCGCTTCACCGTCCTTGACCTTGCTGGCCATCCCGTGCCGCTGAACACGGTGATTATCGCGCTCATCAAGGATGAATCTGGAGCACTCTACATTGCGAAGACCGACGTTGAGGCAACGAAGACGGACATTGTTTCCTGGAGACAATGCCGTGGTAAGCCCAAGTGTCTGCAGACGTTGCTCTTCTCTCGCGTCCGCGCCCTGGTGGAATCAGCAAAGGCCCGCATGATGAGAGCCAAAGCCAGGCTGATGGGCTCCAAGGGCTGCCACGGCGGTCCTCGTTTCCCGATGGAAGCTTCCCGCCCCCCTCGTCCATTCTTCGACGAGGAGCCTCCGTTTTCCCGTCACGGCGGCCCGCCTCACCGTCGTCCTGGCCATGGTGGTCGCCATCACTTCCACCACATGCACCGTAGCGGTTGGGAACGCACTTTCTCTCGCGTATTCCGCTTCATTCTTGTCCCTGCTGTCCTGGGTGTTCTTGCAGGTCTGGTGGCTAGCGCACTCGGCATGCTGGTCGGTCAGGTCGTTGTCTTCCTGTGGCTCCGCTACCGCCGCTCTACCACGGACAGGTCCGTGTCTGCAGTGGAGGAGGGCAACGATATGGAGAAGGAGGCTCTTATTGCTGAGCCCGCGGATGATTTTCCTCCAGAGTATGACGACGAGAAACACGGGGCTATTGTGCTCCCTGCTGAAAAGCAGTAGACATCTGGCACGTAAAAAAGGAAAAACTGGGGTTCCGTCCACCCACAATGGTTACTGGTCAACCAATACTGTGGATATGGTAGAATGATATGCATTTCGGTGGGAAATTGGATGGAACGGTTTTATGGCAACCCTTACTGTGACTTTTGATGTGGGCACGACGCCTTCTTTCCTTTAGTGTCTTTTTTTTCATTTCTTTATCTCTTCATATCTTCATTTCTTTTCCTGTCGTAGTTAGGCGTAAAACTACCAATTTTCTGTACAATATCCAGATCCGTGTCTCCGTATTATTATGCAGCATTGTAGTGTATTCCTCTTGTCGATCATCGTGGGCTTCGTCAGGTCAGATAAGACCCCACGTGACCGCAGCCTCCTCTCTGGAGATCCGCTGCTCGCGTCGGATATTATACAACGTAGTTCGACGTCCATCCCCTCGCAGCTTGCTTCTGTCCTTCGTGGGCTGCTTTGGCTCGTAATGAAGCGAGCGATCCGTTGAATATCTATCTCCCCTTCCCCTACAATGACTGTCGAGCATTGGAGTCCCCTATACTGCCAGTCGTGGGCGTGTTGATACCTCGCCCGTCTTTGAACCACCCGAGCTCCAGACTCCGGCGCTTACCCCTTGTCTCTGCGCAATCGCGGAGGGCCCGATATCACTTTACGGGACATCATTCTCACCTTGCAGCTATCCTCTAGACCCCTGAATGATGTTCCAGTTTTCATCCTTTGTCCAAAAGGCGCAGTCCCTTATCGATCCGGCCAACTTCAACCTTCCGGCGATAACATCATCGGACCGCGGTCCGTCCAAGGCGTCCCTCTTCCGCCAGCAATTCTGTCTCCCAGACTCGCAGAACCCATTGCAGGAGATCACGGCCGAATTGATTCTCCCAGTCCCGCATACTTCGTCTTCGGCCGGTGGATCAGCGGATCGTCATAAAGAGGGCAACCGGTACACGGGACGACTCCACCTGAGTGAGCGGTATCTATGCTTTTCAACACAGCCAACTAGCTTCCTCCCATCGGCTAGCTTGAGTGCTTCAACTAGTTTCACCGGCCAGACACATGGGACAGGTCCGTCGGGTAATGGATTTACTCTTCCGCTCTGTGCCATTCGCCGTGTCGAGCGGCTCAACAGTCTCAGTCATGTCTTCTCCCTGGCGTTGACGACATGGAACGGTGCCCTGACGAAACCTGCATCACAGACGGCTAATGATCCCTCGTTTGTGCCGCAACGGTTCACCGTCCAACTAGTCGGGAGCAGGCAGGCCTGCGAGCGGTTCTGTGACGGTCTCAAGAAAGGGTTGCGAGAAGGAATGAGGGATATTGATAACTTGAGGACCGTATGTGGCGATTGTTACTCGGAATATTTACTCTCTGGAAGCAAGAATAAGGGACAGGAGGAAGATGCACCGGCTCGGCAACCCCCTGATGCCGGGCTGGGTATGGTTTTCCGGTATCCTGGAGACGCTCGCAAGCTCAGGGACCGCAGCAAGATGAGACTCTGGGGAGAATATTTCAGAGGTGCGTGCACGCAATAGCTCACCGACTATTGTCGCGGTACTGATTAAGATCTGGCTATGTAGAAAACGGCCGCAATGTTACGCTCATTCGGCAACCGACCTTCCACAAGCTTATCAGGGTTGGACTTCCGAACCGCCTCCGTGGAGAGATCTGGGAACTTACTTCGGGCTCTATCTACGTCCGTTTGGGGTCTCCCAAGCTGTACGAAGAAACTTTGGCCAAGTTTTCCGGTAGAGAGTCTCTCGCTATCGATGAGATCGAAAAGGACCTCAATCGAAGTCTTCCAGAATACCCTGGCTTCCAGAGTGAAGAAGGAATTGGGCGGTTGCGGAGAGTGTTGACAGCTTATAGTTGGACCAATGAGCAAATCGGTTACTGCCAGGCCATGAACATTGTTGTCGCTGCCTTGCTGATGTATGTCTTTTCGATACCCGTACGTTTCTGATATACTGATTGTACCAGATACATGTCCGAGCCGCAGGCTTTCTTTCTGCTATCTGTGCTCTGTGATCGTATTCTGCCGGGTTATTACTCGACGACTATGTATGGCACACTGCTTGATCAGAAAGTCTTCGAATCGCTTGTCGAGAAGACCATGCCCGTTCTATGGGAGCACCTGGTGAAGTCTGACGTGCAACTTTCTGTCGTTTCCCTGCCGTGGTTCCTTTCTTTGTATATCAACTCCATGCCACTGGTCTTCGCTTTCCGTGTCCTGGACGTATTCTTCCTTGAGGGCCCCAAGGTTCTTTTCCAGGTTGGACTGGCCATTCTGCGAATTAACGGGGAAGAGCTTCTGGACGTGCAGGATGATGGCTCTTTCATCTCCGTCTTGAAGTCGTACTTTTCCAGACTGGACGAGTCGGCACATCCACGATCAGAGAACCCGAAATTGAGAGCCATCACGCGGTTCCAGGAACTTATGGTTGTTGCTTTCAAGGAGTTTTCTGGCATCACGCATAGTACGATAACGGAGCAACGGGCCAAACACAAGGATGCCGTCTTGGACAATATTGAGAGTTTCGCCAAGCGGACTTCAATCCGCAACCTGGGACCTGACAGTAAACGCCTCAGCATGGATGATCTCGGCGCCATTTACGACCGTTTCTATGCGATATTGTATGAGCGTGAACAGCGGCAGAAGCTTATTGATGAAGAAAAGAAACGAACAGAAAAGAAGAAGGTTGGGAGATTCTCCATCCTTGGACCCCCCGTGGATGCTGAAGTGGGCCGAGTTGGCCTTGGTCCTAGTCCTACCCACATGGACTATGAAGCTTTCAGGGAATTCCTAGCAGCTACGGCGAAATGGGCTGTGGCAGACTCCCCAAACCGCTCGCGCAAGGGCTCTACTTCTGAGAAAGAAGGAAATGGATACAGTTCGTCAAGTACCAGGAGCTATAAATCTTCCAGTCGCGGATCGAATGTCCAGCCAGCGGACCATGAGTTTATGCAGAGACTGTTCCGCAAATGGGACACCGATAACACCCAAGGTTTGAGCCTGCAGAACGTCGTCAATGGGTTGGCGCGCATCAAAGGCACGCGCGATATTATGAACACCATCAACTACTTTTTCGATCTCTATGATGACCAGGGCAACGGTCAAGTCGACAGAGAAGGCATTCTCCGAATGTCTGAGGCTCTGCTTTTCCTATCGCGACGAGGCTTTGAGGGCACAGTGACCCCTAGTCAGTCGCTTGAAGATCTTAATGATCCTACCAAAGTCAAGCTCAGTACAGACGAGAGGTTCTTAGGGAGCATCAGCTCGTTTATCCGCCGCTGCTTTGAGTACGCCGATCCGAGTCACCCGCAGAACCAGCAGAACCCCAGTGATGCTGCCGACGAGGCTACAGCTAAGCTGGATTCGTTCGCTATTGGGGATGATGATGAGGACGAGGAAGACTTGCTCGAGCTCAACGAAAAACCAAGTGCAGCCGAAACGGATGGCTCAACACAAAAGCCGATCGAAACAGAGAAATCCTCCCGAGAAGTGTCGGAATCTGCCAACCCTGCCCTCGATCCGAACAACCCCCTACACATCACGCTCCCGACTTTCCGCATGGTGATTCTCGCTGATGAGCTCCTTGAACAATTTTTCGAATCCTTCTTCCCTCAGTCATTCCACCTCTCCAATAACCCCAACCCAGCCTCACTGTCAACGTCGGGTTCGCTCTCTTCCAACCTGACCACCTTCAGTAACATTGGTACGAAGACCTCAGGGCTCACTGCTGCATCGAGTGCAACCGTCGCGGGTCCCTCTGGAGGCATAGTGCCTCCCGGAAAGGGTCTGCGTGGTGTCCTGGACAACATCGTCTCGGACGGAATGCGTATGGCAGCAGAAGTCAAGAAGAAGATGGACGAAGCACAGCGTGATTTGGAGCGTAACGCACTACGCCGTGACGATGAAGATGATGATGACGAAGACGAGGACGACGATGGCCACCCCGGTATTCCTTCGAGATCCTCATCCGCTTCGGCCGCTCTGGTAGGTGGCATGCCTAGCTGGGGCGCAGGCGCGTACCTCGGCGACGCGGAACGTCGCAGCGTTAGAGAAAAGGATCGTGATCTCCTCGAGGGCGCAGAAGTCATCAGCGTCAGAGGCACATCCATGCTCGATGGAAAAGAGGGAGGACAGGCCTCATCATCTCTACCCGAAGGACATGATGCAAGCCCGCCTACCAGCAGCTCATCGAAAACCCCCACTACAAACGAAAGCGTAGTGAGCAAAGTCGTCGAGTTCGACTCGTGATGAAACACGCAACCACCCCCTGCCCGGTTTCCTCATTGTACCATCCATCCATCAATCCATCCTACCATCCACATCCATCCATCCATCCCATCTGTTCTCTCTTTACAATAATACTCCCTCTATTCCCTTTGTCAGGTCAAGGATCCGGTCGGTCAGCGTTTCCCGGTTTGGCTTTTATATCTTTCCATGTTGTGAGGTAGATCAAGGTCAGGCTTAGCTATGTTAGGTAGAGGTCAACTAGTGAAAGGAACCTCTTTTTATTTTCGTATCGTCATATTATAGTCTCTCTCTTCTATCTCTCTCTTTGTCCTATATTCGATGTAAATCTTTAAGCTGCATAAATCCCGTGTTAGTCAGTCATCTATTAATAAGGACGCTGGACTCAATCGCCTAAGACAAAAAAAAAAAAAAAAAAAACAAAAAACAATAGACGCCTGTGGAAGAGATCTGATATCATCGGATAGTTAACCCTTCGTTTCTCCAATCCTGGACACAAGAAGCTAACGCGGAAGAAGCTACTCCTCTACTTACCCAACGCAATGTACATACATACATACTAGAAGGAGAATCCTAGTTTAGGTAGTGATACCAGCCACTGATAGTCTAAAAGAGAATCATCGCTCTGCTATCTTTTTTCTTTTTTTGGAAGAAGTTGAGAATGATTATATGAGATCGATAATTGAGCCTTAGACAACACAAAAAGGGGGATATTAGAAAGATAAAAGAAGATGGACAATGGAAGTTTCAGAGCAGAAGTGGTAAGTAGTAATATTGATGGTATCACTTTGAAACGAAAAACAAAAAAGCGGGGGCGAAGCAAGAGTCAGAATATGAAGAGTATGTAAAGGTAGATAGATAGGTACGCGCCAGACTAGGAAAACGTAAGGGAAAGAGAGAATCAAAGGGAAGTCTGGGGTATAATAATGTGGTCCAAACAAAAGCCAAAAGAAATAGCGCCCAGTCGGCAAGATAGGGAAGAAAGGTCGTAGAAGAACGATAGACAACTTTTTTTGCCAGATGCAAAGAGACTCGAAACAACGAGCCTTTCATTTTCTTTTTTTATCATCCAAACATGGCCAGAATCTCCCAACGCAGATATAGTAACATCGAGAAGGAATCTAATCTTGTTGCAGCTCATTCTCAACAAGCTCAACGACGATCTGACAGCGCTCAAATTCTGGATGTTGCATGCAGACCTTGACAGTACGTCCACTACTAGTAGCAGATGTGCCGTTGGCGCGTCCGCCTGCTCCGCCAGAAAAGTTGACATTGCCACCCATGGAAGAGCTGCTGACGCCGCTGTTTCCAGAGCCAGGCATACTGCTTCCATCATCTAAGCACACGACATTATGTCCCGGAATGACCTGTCTTAGCCGCCCGTTCATGGCATTGCGAACCTCAATGAAGTCTTCGTTGAGAAGGATAAGGAACTTCCCACACAGACATGCAGTGTGAGCACGCCCAACAAACTCCATAACCACGCTGCGAGAGACATCGCCATGTTTGTTGACATAGACGGCGCACTCGGAGTATGCAACCAAAAACTCGCTGTCGCTTAGTCGGAACATGCCCAAAGGCCGCAAGTCCTTGATCCGATTGGCTATGCTTGTCAGATACGGTTGCGCCTCCGGGATGTCTGACCGCAGATTGGGCACTGTCCATGGCAACTTTTTATCGAGCGTGAGAACTTCTATACCACGCTGAGTCGAAATAGCAAGTGATGAGTGGAACATGTTGATCCCGTAGCTTTCTGCGGGGATGTAGAACTCGTCATATTCGCGGAAGAATTCGGTCTGTCCGCGGCGCAAGTTGAAGAAACGGTTGCGGCTTGATGTGGATTTCTGAAGCACCGGTTCGAGGACCTGTACAAGTTAGAATGATAGGTCGGAATGGACACTAATTCTAAACAAACCTTGAATGTAGATGACATGCCATCCCGCTTCTTGTACATGATAAGGGTGCGATCTTTCATGCGTCCCGCAGCGAAGAAACCGATCTGATGGCTGCCAGACAACTTCTGCGGTGCTTTCCTGGCTGAATCATTAACCGTAGCTTGAGTGGTCACTCCACTGGCAGGGCAAACGGCGTCGAGATGATACGCTATCAAGGACTTGTCTGCGATCACGAGGAAAAGATTGAACTCTTCAAATACCGCAATCTGCGTCACGCGAAGAACCGATATCGTCATGGCCTAAACGCAAGTGTTAGAGACCGGATTATTTTATTGGCGTGGCAAAACATACCTTTTTCCATCCACGGGCGTCGTTGTAGTCTGATATATACACACCATAGTCGGTACCGATTGCACACATCATTCGTCCCTGCGGCTGCTGGAAGACTGTGGCACAATTGACTGGTGCCCTGCAAATAGGCGGTGGCCTAGGCCCAGCCGGCGCATACCGGTATTCGACATCCTTAATAGCACGATCAAGAGGTGTGCCTTCAATGACAACGCTTGAGTAGCCTGCAACTTGGTCGGAATAACCGAAAGCTGCATCTGCAAGCACGCGTAGATGAAATGGTTCTGCATTCTGAGCAAAGAGAGATGCGGCATGTTTTGTCTTGGCCTCAATGATCTTATCGCACCAGTCTTGTCGATTCTGCGCGGTGGATGCATATAAGGTGTATGTTCCGGTTTTGCCCAAATGCTTTATTCTGAATGGATAAAGTATATTGTCATCCCTGGAGCTATCAAGCGTCGTACTTGGGACAAGTGTAGAGTTGCTGTTTACATGGCTGATTGTATTAGAACCTCCCGTCCGTGACATAGCTTGCGGCTGTCCCGCCACGGCCGAAATGCCCTTGAGAGCGGACTTCACTACAGGATCGTCATTCGTGCTCTCCAGTACCAACAAATCCATCGGAATTGGAAGTTTCGACACGTCGTATGTCTCGTACTTAAGCGTTCTCGTAGGATCCCGCGTTGTGACAGCTTTTGCCAAAACAAGGTAATGATCAAACAGGATGGCATGTGTGTCCACAAGATTAAATCTCGTTCTCGAACCTGGACGCTGCAGTTCGCCCTCGAAGATGATCTGTCGGCCCAAGTGCTCGAGGTTGAGTTCGACTTCCTTCTTCATCTCTGGTCGGAGTTGTAGTTTGGATGATAGTTCCATGAGCTCTACCTTCTTGCTCATCTCGCCAACCTTGGCGTCACAGTCCAATGCTACCACTTTGATTTCCTCAATGGCTTGAGCAAGGTTCGTTTTCTCTTCTGAATCTTTGACCATGTTCTTATGCACCGTAGCCAAAAGGAGAGTATACCGCTGAATTCGTGTGATAGGAGCCTTGAGATAGGTATCCCAGCTGAGGCGGTTGGACATCTTATTGTCACGCGCCTGATTAAGGAACGTACGGAAATGAATATTCCTTTCAGCCTCCTTCCGGATGAGATAGTTCGCATGGGGGAAAGTGGCAGCATAGTCGATATATACTGTTTTGGCTTTGCGGATCCACTCGCGGAAAATATCGCTGAATCCGACAATGAAGGGCCCTTGTTCTTTCTGACGATACTTGAGCTGCGCAAGCAGATGATCTTCGTTAACTTGTTTCACTGGATCAACCTTGCCAAAAACGTCGTTGAGGAACTTGTTGAGGCGCTTCGGATTCATAACCGCGGGCTCCGCGGTGGCCAGCTGATCACGATACAGCTCGCGCAGAACATCCAACTGTCCGATGTACAAATCCTCTGTTGTTACGATCTCGTGCAAATTGTTCTGACGATCAATCTCTTTCCTCGGGTACGATTCCCAGACTTCTTTCGGGACCTTATAGAACGTCACCCAGTCCTCTGTCTTCTTTTCGGACTCCATCACCTGCGCCTTTAAATCGACTTTCTTCAAGGTTCTCATGCAATGATGCGAATAACAGCGACCGAAGACCTCCGTTTCTTCTTCGTGCAACTTCGAGGAGTAGCACCCTGTCCCTGTGATCTGGAAAAGGACCCCTGACAAGGACCCTGGACCAAACTTAACCCATTCCTCCTCCTTCACCAGGGCTTGTTCAGCGAGCATATTCTTGACGACTCGAGCCCCTAGGGTCTCCGCATCTGCTGTATTCATAGTAGGAACTTTATGAGTGAAAAGAGCAACGATAGCGTCAATGATCGCTTGCTCTTTCAGATCGGTCTCATCTTCACTGAGATCCTTGATCCAGGCGACGACGGAGCTCAGAGCCCAAGGCTCACTGCACCTGTTGAACTGTTCAGAAGATAGCTTGGCCGGATTGAACTTTTTACGCCGCCCAGCAGGAATGGTAGGCAGATCAAGAGCGACAGCACTTGGCTGGAGGGTGGCATCATAACCGAATGACCCAGCCTGCTGCTGACGCAGGAGTTCCTGCTGTTGCTTGTACTTTGCCCGATCGGAATCCGTCTTTGACCTGATAGGGGGGTCAGTGCGAGGAGTGCTACTGTGACTTGATAACGACGCCGATCGCGGGACCTGTGGCTGTCCATAGATGTCCGGAGAAGAAGGATATGGAGGCTCTCTATATTGGGCCCCTGGCTGCGCGTTTCTGGATTCCGCGTGTCGATAAGTGCCAGCAGGCATCAAGTGCGGACGTAGGACTGCATTGTCCGCAGGTTCAACCGGAGCCGGTGGAAGCGGTCTCATGCCAGGATGGAAGAAAAGGTCTTCAGGTTCACCGTTTTCTGGTCCCTGACTGTCCGACATATCTTCGTCGTAAGACGCCATATACGTCTCTTCGGTCTCTTCTCCATCATCAAAACTAAGTCTTCGTCCAGTAGGATCGGGCTCTGACAGACCACCGGTACCTCCGGTATCAACCCGGGCATCCGAAGGAAGAGTCGAAGACTGGTAGTAGTACTCATCCAACAAGGCAGGATGGCCATCGACAGACGCACTCGAGCTGTGGAACGACCCTGATGTAGTAGGGGGCCTGCTTCGATCGTAGAGACCCGGACTGGTATCGTTATTGTCCCCGTAATGGACATGTCCCTCGTAGCCACCTCCGTACACGGAGAGATCATGACTCACATACTCATTATCATCGCCGCCGGTGTCTTGATATGTCGAGGCTCGTCTATCTGAGGAGTGCGATCCGTAGGCGCTGAATATTGACGCAGCGGTGCCACTGTAAGTTCGCTGGCGTTCCGCCATCGCCTTTTCCTCTTCATCTGCCATTTGCAACATGGCTAAACCTGCTTCGGCCTCTGCATCGCTGTCGTCACTATATGCACCATAATTCACGTACTGCCCTGTTCCGGTGGCTATACTGCCGTTGGTATGGGTGTGCCTTTCGTCCGGAGAGAGGCGCAAGGCTGAGGACGGGATGTGTCCATTGACCTCAGCATGATCAGGGACTCCTTGTCCGAAACGTGTCTCTCTCGAACCGCGCCGTACACTCACGGCAGCCTCCACCTCCTTCAATAGATCGTCGTAACTCATATCTTCCGATTGGTGTCGATTCCCAATGCCATTGTGCAAAGTCGTTCCGTCGTCAGAATCCACTGGGGGCCCAGGCAGGGGGCGCGCCTGTGGGTGGCGGGTCAATGTGTCTGTCCTTCGCGGGGATGATGGTGTTGAGGTCGGATAAGTCGGTGTGGTAGGAAGAGAGCCCCTCCCTGGCAGATTAGAAATACTCAATCGTTTTCCATGAAAATTTTCGTTGCGCGGTACATGCGCAGGAGGTGCTGGGAACTGTGAGAGTGACGGAGACGACGGGACTCGGGATTCATAGGGATACGGCTGTGGCACAGACCCTGGATCTGATCCGCGATGAGGCCCAACAGAAGGATGACCGGGAGCCGTTCCGTAGACGGATGATCTTCGAGGAGCAGTCGGTGAGCTTGCGTGGTGGGTGGGAGACGGGTAGTTATACTGCGGATCAGGCGAAGAATTGGCGTATCGATTCGGTCGACGAGCACCGTATGGATGTTCCGGCCCTCGAGGCGGCGGGGGAGGGGGTGCCTGGGCTGAATTCATCACGTATGGTTGTCGCTGGGTACCAGCATATCCACCCAGGCTCGTTGACTGATACGCGGCCGGGTTATACGAGGGATGAGCAGAGCCGTTGTACTGCGAATTCGTCATCCCAGTATACCCTTGAGGGTTGTATCCTGTAGGTACTTGTGGCTGAATGTGCGGCCTCGCGAATTGCTGCGGGTTGTACACAGATTGAGTGGGAGACGCAGATGAAGGCCCTTGGTACGGACGTTGATAACCCGACAACGCTGAACCGTGAGACGATGCTCGACTGGGTTGCGATTGTTGCGAGCTGTCTGCAGAGAACTGTGATCGTCTCGAACCCAAACTGCCCTGTCCGCTGCTAGCGTTGGTATAGGCATATCCTCCGCCGACACCGTGCCCACCTTGTACTGGATACCCAGCGTTTTCTGGTGGCCTCATCCCTTGTCCCTGTGCATTTTCGAAATACTCCGTATCGTCTCCTGGATCGTAACTGGGAACTCGCCGTATGTGCTGGTCCTGTGGAGGACCGTAAGCGCATTGGGTCTCGTATGGATATGCCTGCTGAGGCGGCACAGCGGGAGAGTTGCTGGACCGCCCATAGTAGGCTGACTGGCCGTTCTGGTAATATGACATGGATGCGGCGTCTAGTAACACGGTGTAAGATACTTGAATCTCCGGATCAGAACGGCGCACGTGTCGTCTCGAGGATGAAGGGTAGCCGGAGAGATCTCCGGGTGTTGGTTGTTCGATCAAGCAGCCTGAGGAACGATTGATGGGAAGTCACGATGATAGCAGGTTTGATGGAGCATCAGCGAAGGTCACTCAGACGTCCAACAGCTGCGCAAAGGAAAGATGTTCGTCCGTGAGGAGGACAAGTCGAGAGCAGCTGTCCACGCTTCATCCAGTCGGTTGGTGAGGCGCAATAATAATGAAAGATGAGTGATGGAGCAGTTCGTCGCTGTGGGCATCCCCACAGCAGCTCCCACGCGAATTAGCGGAACTTAACAGTCGTCGAGACAGCGACGACCCAACGCAGAGGTGGTGGGAAGATGAAAAAGATCGGGCTAGCAAAGCAGAGGCCGGGATAAGAGCAGCGCGTGCGCCGCGAGGTTGACAGCAGACCGACGGGCCGGAGAGTAATAATCCAGCCGGGGAGTACCTGGTACCTCCCGCGGCCCCCAAGCTTGGCGCCCAGGGGAAGTACCAGGTACCACTGCTACAGCCTGCAAAAGGGGGATCTTCCATCGAGGCTCAGACTAAGTCAACAAGGCTGACTGCGCCGTCTTCAACAATAATAATGCCCTTCTGCCTGTTGCTGCCATCGCACTGACCGTGTCATTCATTAGCATTATTATTGCAGAGACATCGATCGCTGCTTTCCTCCAGATCTATCTAATTATTACCTTTTTGGCCTGAGCAGTCACGTCTATCTAATAATTACTCCGTACACCTCACAGCCGTTGTGCCCCAGTTCTCCCCCCGCATCTGCAAAACGGTCACTTTTACGCGACACAGAGTGGCCCGAGTCCAGGGTTCAAGGGCGGAAATGACCAAGGATCGCCATCGAAAACTAGAATAGGGCGTATCAGAATCTATTCTGGGAGCCGTCCGGAACCATGGCTGGCGAGCCGCTTGGCGTGGACGTGGATAGAAAGATACACCTTCTTTTCATATCCGTTGTTGTTGTATTTTTCGTGCGGCATTATTGATCACCAAGACGGATGACAACATTCAACAGAGAAGTATTGGAACCGTATTTGAGTATTGACCTTGAATACAGACGATGATTTATCATGTTGACCATGCTGTTGCTACAGATTATCTCTCGGTCAGAAATATCCTGGTCCATGTTCCGTTACCGTAGTCTGTATACAGACTATGTATGGTGTCACCGAAAGACAGAGACTCAAAAGACTCGCGATTGGAACTCCCATCTCATCGAATTTCCGTTTTCCTAGTTCCGTTCAAGATTTACACCTGATTTCATTTCAACCTAGGGAACAAAGGAAAGGGCATTTTAGCGGTTGATCTGTGCCACCAAATTGGGATCCCCAAATTGATACTGGCCCTGTCGAGACGTGTGGAGTTTGATAATGTCGTGGTTCGCATACAGCGTATCGCTGCCATACAAGATATGACCAGGAAGTCCACCTCTTTGAGACTGAATACACGTTCTTTCGGGCCTCATTCAGCTTAAAGTTCATGCTTAAAGCCAGAATGAATCTGGAACAAAGTCATTGCAGAGGAACTATATAAAATCATACAAGAACAAGACTGATTTTAATTGTCCCATCATCCCCTTCTGCTAAACAAAAAGTCGGAAACCGCCAAGATAAGCGGAGCCTGGTCACCGTCGCTTAATGGCTTGGCGTGCCTGAATACCCTCAGATGTTGCCTACGGGGTAATAATAGATAAGTCTAGACTAATTTTCAATAATAATAATTCTACAGCACTAGTAGTAGACTAACTCTTCCGGCTTCCAGTTCTTAACTAGAACAATTTCCATCAATTTGATTCTTGTTTTTCTTTTTTCTCTAATTTTGTCTTTAATTTGCGTTTTTTTTTTTCCTGCACCCGCGTGGATCTTATCACATCGCCATAAATGGCTTCTTCAATAACAACTGCCGTTCCTTCAGGGATAATAAAGAACTGGTGTTTAGCTGATTTATCAGACTTCGGAAGCGGACCATATGAATGTGCCAACGAAACCGTTGGCCAGAAACCGGCCGACTTCCAGACCATTTGCTGCGATGGCGACATAATCGATACCGCTGAGAACTTGTGGCAACCATACCGCCCGAAATCCGCAGGACCCTTCTATTTAAACATAGACGACCTCGTCTGCTGTCGTCTTGTAGGCGCGCAGCAAGGCGGGCTACAAGCAATTGATCCAGATCAGACGCATTGTACTGCTGGTAGCCCCACGCCGCTTGCAAGTCTGGCGGCGACAAATACGGAAAATGCTGCAGATTACTTGGTGACATACACCAGTGCGTCGTTTGGAGAAAGCACAACTGGGGATTTTATTCCAACAGCGACTCCAAGATGTTTGTGGATGAATACCAACACAGCGCAATCGGCTGGTGTTGGTGTGAAAACAGTGACTGTGCCGGCTGCCAGTATCAGCACATTACCGGCTGCTACCACGGATATGTTTGGAAGGCCAATAGCAACATCTATATACAGTTCAACGTCTCGGTCTCATATGGCGTCCACCCAAGCAACACAAACAGGGAGCTCACCATCGTCATCAGCATCGTCATCAGCATCATCGTCATCTGAAGACTTATCCCAATCAACAGAGGCCTCGCCATCGGCGGCTGCGTCTACTTCATCTCGAGTTGCCTCCAGGGGCTCACTCATCTCAAAATCAAACGGTCTTTTTGTACTTTGTTTGTGGGCTGTGATTTCGACCTTTCTTCAATGAATTCATTTCAAACATGTATAAATATTTCCAATGAGTGAGACAATAATAGAATACTAATGTTTATCATTTGCTCCTGACAGAAATAGCTCACGGCCGCGCAGTACCTTTAAGAACGTCCACTTGAGCATAAATCACAGAACACTTCGTGTCCTGCTGATTGTCGGCGCTCACGGCTTCTTTGGAGATGAGCTGCAAACGGCTTGTACTACCCTATTGAAAGAGGGGTAGGATAAGAAACGCGAAGCCTCATTGATCTACCTATATAGGATCAAAGAAGATACGCCGGAATTAGCAAAGCTCAAAATTAGTGGCGGAGGCAGTGCTCCAGGCAGCTGAATTCTAGGATAGAGTCCGTGGGTATAAGAGCTGATAGATTCCGGTATCCTCTAGTTCTCCAAGCAATCAAGAGATTATTCCTGTTTCAGATGCTCCTTCAGAACCTTTGCTTCCGTAATCCTAGATCTTCATACTGATCGACACGAAGTTCAGGAACAGACACCTTTAGTCCCAGCATACTCAGCCACATCCCTCCTTTAGCATACAGGGTGACATTTCCGGCGGCTGAGCTGTCGATACAATCTGGCATCGATCGGAAGCGAGTAGATCAGCTACCGTCAGGTACGGAGCACTTTCTTTGCGGCTGAGCTGTCGATTATACAACTTTAGTGCTGTGACTCTAATTCGTTGCCTGATGGCTTTCTGCTACTCGACCAAAAAGGAGCACTCCTAGTTGGTCTACCTGGATCTCTAACATTGCCTACCTAGTCGAAAATGAGAAACGATGCGATGCAACCATCACGGATATGCCTGGAACTACATGTCCGCTTTCGACTGACCGTGTTCAGATGCATATTATTGTTATTGCAAGGCCGATGCACAATTCCAGTTTGGGTAAGGCTTACTTACTATAGTAACGATTGCCACAAGGCTGCGGAAGATAGCGCAAGATCAAAGCGTTAAGTTAGCCCGATAGTGAGGTTTATTGGAGTAGGTAGTCGACTGATGGGGTGCCCTTCGGGTAAGTAGTGCTCTCTAGGCTCTTTTCGAAGATGTTGACTGTCATCTTGTAAGGCCGTCAAAATGTCGTGTCGATACATATTAACCACAACCCTCGAAATCGGCTCATGTACGAGCTATTGAAGAGTCTGCCATATGGGCCATTTTTTTCCGAATATTTCAAAATGGACCAAAGAACGCGCATTCAATCGCTTCACAGCCATCCATCAATTGGAATTCTTAATCACTTTCCGCCCCCAACTTGCCAGATCCACCATCCTTGACCACGTGGTTAGCAAATGCTCATGAATTTTGGCCAAACCCCTGACCCACGGATGCTCTCCTCGACGTCAGGTACGCCCGGAAATACTTCCCTTGGGATCTTCTGGTGATCCTCATGTCGGTTGCTTCCGTGGTATCTTAGTCCTCTATTACAAACCACGGATGCTCTCTGGCAGGCGCTATCTACCTGGGCTGCAATGTTTCCCCGGCACCTGCCACGTGTGTTTTAGGAGTTTAGCTTGGTGGTACTAGAATTCTGCTCTTCGATATGGCTTGCATAGATGTGATAAAATAACTAATCAAGCCTCCTTCGCTCGGCAGTTGTTATGGATTGGCCTCCGGGGAGTGGAGATAGATCTACCACAATTTTTGGCTTTATATCCTGATCCTACCAATCGTTATCACTAATTTGCGGTGAGAAAGAGAGATCCAAGATAAGGTGAGAAGATTGGTGCATCCAGCGGCTTCTGAGGCTGAACACTAGGTTGCCTTGTCTTTGCTTTGTTGAGAATTCAACGTCTCAGCCTTGCGCTATCTAAATATAACCTCCTCGTCTTTGCTTTTATGAGAGTCCAGGAATAAGAGACGTCTCAGCCTTGCGCTAGATATCACCCGGGTGTGCCTCGCGCCTTGAACTTGAACGGGATTTGCAGTCCTGAGTCCACAATGCCTTTCCAGAAAATTACCAGGGTTGCACAATTGTTGATCATTACTTACACTAGATACTAATCTGCAGGCAACCAATATGAAAGTGACCAGCTCACCCTGTTGGGACCAGGGTGAATACACGCCCAGTGAAGGTGATAACTCCGGAATCCGTGCTCTTAGACAGCTTTGATCATTGCCATTCCTGACATTATCGTCTAATCTCTCATTTACACTGCCGCTGAAATATAAACCTTGAACACTTTTACCCCGTTGAACAAAAAACAATCATCTGAAAATCTATATTGTGAAACGTTCTTTGACCTCCAAATTCGTCCTTTACCTGAGTTGCATGAGCACTGAGTCTTGTATCACCGACAGGCTACCACTTCAGACCACACAGCACAGCAGTTGGTAGCAAGACGGCAGCTCTTCAAAACAGATTCCAGGCCAAGATGCTTGAGGCAGAAATCCGTCATGATGCTTCTTCCTGGAGTACCCTTACCATGTCTGAGACGTCATCAATCAGAGTCACCGAATTCACTGTCGGCTGGATTTGCGCTCTGACGGACGAGTTTATCGCAGCCCGACAGATGCTAGATGAGATTTATACAATTAAAATTGCCAAGTCACATCTGGATGAAAACGTCTACACATGCGGGCGGATTGGGAGACATCGGGTTGTGATCGCCTCCCTACCACAAGGTCGTTATGGTCAAGCATCCACTTTCAAAGTGGCATCAGGGATGATGACTACATTTCCATCAATTAAAATTAGTCTGCTAGTCGGAATTGGCGGCGGAGCGCCAAACTTGAACGTCGAGGGCAGGGATATACGGCTCGGCGACATTGTTGTCGGAACTGCTGTGCTTCAGTATACTTCCGGGAAGCGAACACACCACGGACTCGAGAACTTTTACCCTGTCCGTTACATGGATAGTAACCTTCTCGGTCATTCGCAAATTCTCGAAGCGCATATTTTCGAAGATAAGCTAAACCTCCAGAGAGCTGCAGAGGAAATGATCAAGAAAACAGGCAAGGCCAAGTTTCAACGCCCTGACCCAGAATCGGACCGTCTTTACGAATCGGATTACGTTCATGCAGGTAAAGCTTGTGACTGCTTGGGCATTCATTCTAAATGTCAATCCCATGTGGTCGATAGAGAGCCACGTGAAGAGAACGAGCTGGTTCAAGTTCACGTCGGCAAAATCGGTTCCGCCGATCAAGTCATGAAAGACGCCAGTACACGAGACCAGCTTACCAACGCTCACGACATCATATGCTTCGAAATGGAATGCGCTGCTCTGGTGGACAACTTGCGTTGCATAACTATTCGTGGAATATGCGATTATTCGGATTCACACAAGAACGACCGATGGCACGGATATGCGGCTGCTGTTGCTGCTGTCTACGCTAAAGCTCTGCTAGAAATCATGCCTTCCTTGGAGGTAGAAGGTCCCCGGGGCATTACTCAGCAGATTCAGGAATCGATCGATAACGTTGCCAAGAGAGTAACAGAACTAGAGGGACAGGGTGGTCAAAAGGACAAGCTCAGGATCACGGAGGAAGCGGTCGAGTCCCTTCGAGATGGGATCAACTTGATTGAAAAAGAGCAACAGGAGCTATTGGATACACATCTAGACCACTCTGATCAACTACGCGAAATGCAGGAACAACATAGACAGTTATGCGAATCTCTACAAGGGTTGGATCAAATCATCGATCAGCGGATAGCTGCTAGTACGGACGAGCTCAGACAAGAGTGGCAGACTCTAAAGGACAATGTGGAGGACCAATCTTCGAGACTGGAAACATTACGAAGAGGGTTTGCTCATTGTTCTCGGGCAATTGAAGATACATCATCTGTGTTACGAATAATTGGTGATACGATAGGGAATAAAGGAGTTAGCGATGCTGGAAAGATAACGGGAGGGATAAACAACGTCCTTCAAGACACCATTTCTGGAAACGCTCGCTCAAAGTCCCCTGGACACGCACCGACGCAGCCTAAATTGAATGGTGGAGATAGAGCAACCGACCATCTACATCAGCTCTTACCTCCAAAGGATGTTTTCTCGAAGAGCAACCTTCGTTTGAAGAATTTCCTAAAGTCAGCAACATCTATCACTATCAGACGATCTGGGCATAGCGGAAGAGAAGATTCGCAAATCCAGACAGGCGGTACCATTCCGAGGATCGAAAACCAATATTCGCCTCGATCTTCTCCATATATTCTCAGTCCAGCAGATGTATCAATTCGCTCGTCGCTCTCTTTATCTTCTCATATTTCGACTGATCGTGCCTCAGAACGACGTACATATCATGGAGCCATGAACGGCAATGCCGAGAATGGACAGAGTCCAAGAAATTCTGTTGAATTCTTCCAACCACGAAGGAAGCAGCTGACGGAGCTAACCGATCATTCCACAAAGGTCCGCGATGAAAATCCAGGTAGACCAACAAGGACTCCTCCTTCGTGGTCGACTGGCAGAAAGCCATCAGCCCGCCAACCCCTGACCCCACAAATTCGACGAGATCGCCCGGAGGTTCAACAAATCAACATGAATGCACGGACAACAAGGACAAGTATAGAAAGCTCTTCCTCTTCCTCGAGGTGGCAACAAACAAGCCACTCGTCCATCAACGAAGCTACGAATGGGGTGTTGTCAAGCTATACGCCGCGCGCACCAGGCTCCAGATACAGTTCAACGAGGCAAACCCAGGGAGCGGTGGATGCGAATCGTCGCCATCCTCCAGATGAGACATACCAGGCCGAAGCTGAACCCACTCCCTCTTTCGCGAAGAGACGAGAGTTTTTTGAGCAAATGCAAGATGATAGAAGACCATCGCTATATCGGGGAGACTCGCCGAATACCTAGTATTTCGTCGGCGATAAACTTATTACTAAGGTGTTTTGTAACATTATATTCTTGTAATCCAGTTATTCAGATGTTCTTTAACGATGGACTTCGTCTCTCCATATTTGAATATAGATCCGACTCTTAGTTAAGTAGTAATTACTCAGGACTTCTGCTTAGATCCGGGGAACCAGTCTCCCCCGCCCACACGGGAGGTTCTACAGATGGTTTGCATGCGAAGTCATCTCTGTAAATAATAGACTCCGCTGTTTTCATGTATATCATTCGAAAGGGAATCTCAAAATCTTTTCTCGAGCGGTTGCGTTACGCTGTGATTCTTTATGGAATTCTAATTACCCGCAGTTTTATCTGTGGTAATTTCGCCATCTGCTTTGCGCTTCTTCGCTATTCTTTTACTGCGACGCCTGTGTTCCCCGAAGCGCCTGCAGGCGATGCACTGTCCGTCGTCGTCAAAATAGTGCTCATCCCTAGATCAAGTGGGCATTCAACATTAGATATTGTTCCCGTCGACATGATTACACAATGAAAGTAGAACTTACAGCTCTATCTCGCAGTTTTCGTGCGGCACGTTATCCCAGCAACCATCACAGCTACTTATGCGATAGGTACAATCATTCAGGGCGGAAGTATGAAGGTTGTACCAGTTGTCAAACAGAGTCCCTTGGAACTTTGGACCTTGAGATGATCCATGTTCCAAGTTCCTCCCAACGGGCGTGAATTCTGCATCAGTGTCCTTGTCCACTGATACACGTTTGATGCTGACTGGAGGGCCGTAATCGACTTTATCTACCCACACCCACTCCACGCCATCCTCAAGCATATCTTCTTCATCGAGGTCTTCGTATAAACACGTCTCCATGGCCGGAGTCACATCCTGATCAAAGCGCACGAAGAAGAGTCCGTTCTGCTGAATATCTTCCCATGACCGACATTCCTTGGGAACAACAATGATAAAGCTGCGGTACCTCCTATCATATGGATGTAGATTCTCTCTCCAAAATTGAGGTGCACAGCACCAAGAGGGAACGATATGCGGTAGAGGCTCTTTCCCTCTTAGATTGAGGACTGCCTCCTGTGCAGCCTCCGCGACATCCTCTTCATCCATGCCAGCTGCTCTGGCAGTTGCTTCTGCGGCTGACGCTACCTCTCGATGTAGGTCATGGACAGCCTGTCGTCGGTAGATCTTCTCACGCCGATGATGCTGTATGCACTCATCAATACTGTCTAAAGGCGCATATACGTCTATGCGCGGCCAGTAATTCCGCATATTGCCCGCCTCGCATATGGCCTCGCTCTGTAATAAATTCTTTCCAACCTCGCAGGGGCTAGGAACCAGGTCGTTGAAGCAGTATAGGTGGATGCTTAGCTTACAGATAGCCGAGGAAGGGGGACGCGTGCCGCCGACAACGGTGTAAGGTCGACCGGCATGATCATTGAACTGGTGAGCTTCGACCTCGACCTTCCTTGGACCCCTGCCACCGGTACTTTTGCGTGCTGTCTGTTTGGTGCGCGCCATGCTGGAACTGGAGGTATAAAAAGAGAAGTAGCTGGCTTGCGCTCGCAACACTGCTTGGCGCTAAGTACCTAAGTAGTGACTTTCCACAATGATAAACTCAAAAACACATATTGAATCAACAGTCACAATAAAGGAAGCACATGTGCTGATTCAGAGCAAGATAGAGAGTCGTATACTCTTATTTCTTCTCTATCAACATATACTCTCCTCTTTTGGAAAACTAGAAGCCCTGAGGCTTTACTGCCTGCTTGGCGGCCGCTGCTGCCTAGACAGATCTTCACTTCAGTGTTAATAATCTGCGAGTCAAATCCTAGAGTGAGAAGGAAAACAACAAATGGAAGGTAAACTTGAGACAGATTCAGACCACCGCACCTGAAATGAGAAGGAAAGAATAAAACTAAAAGTACTGTCTGGCTTTTGCCTTTAAATATAGCATTGCCCTAGCAAGCATAAGCAATTTGGTAAGATCACTGAGGCACTGAATTGCTGGCCTAGATCTCAGATCTCAACTATTACATAGAGGGGTTGAGGTAAGGGTAAATATGCTCTCAATACTTGCACCTCGCGGGCGATCGTCGGGACGCACTCTCTTACATTATATGTGATAGGTCTATAGTTGTTGAGATATTCAGGTTTAAAGAATAGCTATGTTGTATGTGAGACGGCACTGGCCAGGTCGCCCGGGAAATACGTTAATCTGTTAAGAGACTTGAAACTCCATAACGCCCTCGCTCATCAATCATAACTTCGTGGCCGCATATCACCAAACACAATCGTCCAATGCCCATAATCAATATATAGGCATGAGAAAAGGAAGAAAACACAAGCAGAAATGCTAACAATACCCGAGATTCCAAATAAGGAAAGGAAAAAGCATAGACAAGGGCATCACAAGTAATCATGGACGACAGTGCAATTAGTCGCCGCGGTACTCGACACTTGCAGCATCGAAGACTCCCTTCTGTCTCTCCTGGCCACTGACATGGTCTGGTTTCACGTATCGTGCTGTCAAAGCGAATCGAAGCTTCTTCTCTTTGTCCGGCTGAACGGCATGCTAGTGACGGGTTAGTGTGCTCTTCATTGCCAAATATATTTAGTGTCTTACCTCGTAGTACTTCTGCAAGTTCTCACCGTGCATCACAACAAAGTCACCATGATGGATGCTCATCTTGATAAAGGTTGGAGGTTCTCGTCGTTTGTCGATCAGAGCTCTTCGCTGTTGTGCGTACGCCTCCTCTGTGATCTCTCCTCTCATGCGCTGGTCCTTAAGGATTGCTCTCTTGTCGTGCTGACAGCAGTGATCCAGTACAGGGTCCTCGGCAATCAGATTCTTGAGTTTGCTGCAACCGTAGTAGTATTTATACTTCATCCGGATACTCATTGTCGCTTTCGCGCCGAGAGAGAGTGTCGCAATTGTCGGCCCAAGTGATGACTCTCCATCATCATGAAACTGGGACAAGGTTAGTCATAGCCTAGATGTGGTCTAGAGCGTACCTACTCCGATGGCCATGTCTTCGAAGTATCCTAGCATGAGAAGCTCGTTCGGGTGCAGCACAGAGCCTCCAGCAGCAGAAACAGCTTGCTCAGTCGCCCAGGTTAAGCGTCCTAGAGCGTTCATGATCTCAGGAGGCGCTTCATCGAATCCCTTGGAGTCAACCGAAACCACGTATTTGTACGGCATGCCCTGGAGTAGTCTCTGGGTCAGCAAGCGGCCAAAGAGATTCCAGGTAAAGACGTACGTAGTTCACCGCGAAGTGAGAGGTCAGTGTACCTGCAACTTCTCGCGTATCAATGTCAGTGAACACAAAATTAAAACAGTAAGAATTGCACTTACCAACACTCTGCTGCAGGGGATATCGCCGCAAGCCGACATCCGCCACCTGTAGCTGCCGGAATAGGTCGTTCGGCCCATCTGGACGCGCTGTGGCCGCCTTGTTTGCAACGAAATGGGTGATAGTACCAACCCCATTCAGCGTATACGTGACTCGAGTGTAGTACGGAGCCAATGAACCTTTATCGACGTTTACCAGTGCATACCTGGAGTCGGCAAGGATAGCGCGTTGAACAGGACCGAGTTCGAAGTCATCAGAGACGGATCTTAACGAGATCGGTGCCATCCTCATCGTTTTCTCAAAGGTGCAGACTCCTGAAGGAGCTGCGTGGCGCTGGTCGATAGCGTCAGAGCACTTCCACCCCTTCCAGAACTTCCTGGAGATGCACTTTTTGCATTGCGGACACACGATGCCTTTCCAGGCCATGCGAGAATAGGTGGCGTCTGCATCGTCTTCAGGAATCGTGGACAGGAGATCCGGAACAAGGCTATGTTCTGGTTGGGCCGTCGGATCAGGAGGGGTGCGTGAATTAAGGAAGTCGGGATGGTAGGTAAGGTTGGCAGGGGCGGGAGAACCGTTGAGCGTCCAGAACCGTGCGCAGGTCGAGTAAAGGCACATCCAGCCTTCGTTGAATATACGGAGGCTGTGGTGCGAGCACTCCGCGCACTGGATGCTTTCAGGCCGCGTGCTGAAATCGCGCGGCCACGCGGGAGCGGGGGTGCCCGGGGCTGCCCACCAGCTCTTCTCCGCCAGATCGACTTTCTCGAAACGGATCTTGGCCCCTTTTTTGCCGCCGACCTTCTCATACCATATGTTCGTGATTCGGAAGAAGGCCATCACGTTGTAACGGTGTGGGAGTTTCCTCCCAAGGACCGTGTTTCGGTCACCTGAAGGACGTCAGCAGATGTCAGGGGTCATGATGACTGTCAAAGCTATATATACCGATTACAATCCCGACCGGCAGGCCGATCCTCCGGCTGTTCTCCAGAGCCCGGAACGCAGGCCCCTGCCCGTCCTGGTCTTTTATAGGGACCAGGTTCCCCTCCGCGTCCCTCTCGCACCCACCACCACTGTGAAGCAAGTTAGCAACTGTAGCAAAACTGATTTTGCAAGGAGACATACATCCTGGTGATGAGGATCTCCTCATCTATATACGAGCGGACCCCGCTGTCCGCGTCCACCAGACAACCCCAGCACAGCTCGTCCCTGTAGTATATACCTCCCTGTAACGAACGGAACCAGGGCAGAGCATCGCAGAGGTCTGGTCGACTCTGGAGAAATGTCTTGTTAGTGAACGCTATCACGAAGACGGACTAGGCACTAACCTCTGCCCATGCTGGGGGCTGCCCGTGGACGGGCGCGGGGTCTTCCCCTCCCTTGGCGATTGCCGCAGCCGCTGCGGCGGAGACTGTAAATATTAGCAAATATTCAAAGCTAACTAGCATATCTGATGGATGAGCTTGAAATAGAGTGTAAGGACGATCACTTACCCCCTTTGCGGGCAGGTCTCGCCCGGGTTATACGGCCGGCGAGAACAGGGCCGGCGGCCTCCACTTGGCTAGTCTTCCTAGCCATCTTATCGGGAGGCGTCTATAATCCGCCGAGGAAGGGTCTGGTCAGATGCAATCGTAAGGATTGTGAGAACTCTCGGAAGGTTAAGCACAGGACAGGAGGAGATTCAGGGAAGAATAACAGGAGCAGGGGAAAGAGAGGCGTGGCCAAGGACAGTACGAGTTCAGGGAGAAGATACGTGCAGGGACAGAACCAGTCCAAGAAGAGGAGTAGTTCAAGGACAGGAGTCAGAGACACAAGTCAGGGGCAATAGTGCGGGAACAGGACGAGTCTAGAGACAGAGATAGTTCGGGGACAGAAGTAAGCAGGAACAGAGGTAGTGCACGTATAGAAGTAGTCCAGGGACAGACGTGGTTCATGGATCGAAGTCAGAGACAGGAGTAAATCCAGGTACAGAAGTCAAGGCCAGTGATTCAGGAACGGCAGAAGTGCGAGTATAAGATGTGTCTCGATCTGGAGCGGCTATCTGTGTGAATAGGCAGGTTCTGCAGTCACGCAAGGTCTACCGAAGCACGCAGTTCTGTATGAGCACGCGTCCGTGATCGCACAGTTCTCACAGGTTCTGAAGTTTCCCAAGACAGACAGTGTGTATACAGGAAGTTTCAATGTAGAAATCGAGGACAAGTCAGTGCTGGAAGGAGAGATGATAGTAGACGTGCATGTGAAGGGTGATACTAGTGCTGGATAGGGGATGTGCTGTTGGGAGAGATCTGCTGCTCGCAACTGGACCGGGAGAAAGAAAGGGAAGAAGAGAGAAAGAGAATGGGGTGCGAACGGGGGGTTTAATAGACGCGTGGGATCAGTCACTTTCAAGCACGTGCTTGGATGCTGTCCGTCACTGAGGAAAGGGGAAGCGAAGACACAGTGACGCGAAGGAGGGGTGTGAGTGGAGTGCAAGTGACGTGAAATTGTGGTTGAATCCAATCCTGCCAGGGTGGAGAGCTTTTCAGCATCTCGCCCTGCTTGTGAAGATGGGGACTGCTGGCATAAGGGGGGCAACAATTGACGAGTTTGCGAAATCAGACTCACCTCCCTGCACCCAAAGTCAACAATTGCACAGTCTGGTTGATCACCCCGTTCAACAGGAGGGTATCGCTTCATTGACTTACCTGTATATATAAAAATAAAATAAAATAAAAAAGGTGTGTATATAAAAAAAATATAAAAAAAAAAGAAGAGAAAAGAAAAAAGACAAGGCAAGCCGGGAGGGCCCTTCGGAGGGCAGCGCAGCCCGGCGGTATATAGGATACCCACACCACCTTTCTCCCACCCACCCAAGTCGGGTATCCACTCGAGAACCTATGCAGACTCACCGGTCAGCTTCTTTCAGATATATCTCGCCATTCTCGCGTTCGATTCCCAGGAAGGAAACCTGCTCATGCGCGCGGCCCACCGTGCCTCGTCTCGGTCTGTGCCGATACCCGCGCAGTAGACGAGAACCACCAGCAATGGAGACAAACGATGGGAAATCATATCACTTACCAGTGTATAATAGGTATTTATACCTATTTTCAAGATATATTATATAAAGACGTTGGCAGGAAAAGAAAAGAGAAAGAGAAAGAGAAAAAAAGAGAAGCAGGAAGAAGAAAGGAAGAAGAAGCTTTATATACCAACGGAGTTTGCCTCACGTCTCAGGTACCGCAGGAGAAGGGTATATATACTGGGGATATATTCCCCAGGCGAATGGAGTCGGCAAGGATAGCGCGCTGATCAGGACCGAATTCGAAGTCGTCAGAAACGGATCTCAAGCAACAAGCTGACGACACGAAAACGAAATATACAGTATATAAAAGAAGAAGAAAAAAGAAAGAGAAAAGAAGAAGAAGCAAAAAATGCACGGCAGAAAGTGCGTTTATACGGGCCTCAAAGGTGAGCTTGGGAAAAGCACATAACCATTAAAGCCACGTGCATATATACCGCAACAGACTTTTCGTTTGGTCAACATCGGCTGAAGCCTTTCAGCACTGGGTCTCTATACTCGAAGACCTATAAAATGATGATTGCAAGACGGAGAGAGAGGATTAGAAGCTGGTGACTGGAAAGAATGAACCGGGAAAGAGTCGAAGTCAGAGAATGTGTACGACAGGTTTTCAGATCGACAACGCGCTGACTTGTCCACAGAGTCTATGACTGGGTTTCTCGTCACCCATCTTCTCGTCAGATATTCCATTTTGGAGCCTAGCAGTCAGAATGGGACTAATGCCTCTTCTGTTAGCCATATTGTGGTAGCGTCCAATGCTGGAAACCTAATTTAGCGGATGTCTCCGAAGATGATGTTCTGACTAGTTCGCAGGAAATAAGTTAGCTCAATGAGCACAAGTCTGATATATCATTGACATACAAATCTGGAAGCAGACAGTCCGAACCGAGATCTATGAAACAGTCCTCCCCGGTACGGATCTATGGTCGTTGAACGTAACTCGGATGATCTGCGTGCCAAGACGTTCTAAAGGAAGCTAAGCTTGGACACGAGCGGGTATGAACCTTGCGCTAGAGATCGGTCCGATCACCGCAAATGCAGCGGACAAGAGGTTGATATGATCTTGATGTCTTCGTCGACTTGCGGTATTCGCAGAAAGTAAGAGAGGAGTTTCGGCAGAAGGATGTAGGGAGGCAGAGATGATCCGGATGATCGCGAAATTCCGACAGAAGTCCGAGCAGTCTCCCGTCGATGAAAACGTCTTATGATTCCCCGGCCAAGACGATGTTGGCCAAGTTGTCAAAGGAATGATGTCTATCAAAGGTTCATGGATGAAGATGATGAGTTTAGGACGAAGGAAAGGTTCCAGATATGAGCGTGATGGAGTGGTCTTCGCTCAAGACAAGAACTTGATCTCGACAAACGATAAGCGAGGAGATATGGAACACAGCAGACGTCAGATATTTAAGAGCCCTTGTCTCGCTTTGAACCAGCTGCCACGTCTGTGTCTTCAGACCGCTGAAGCTGGCGCCTGTCCACAGGGATCAAGAAACGATAATCTCAAACGCTGAATCCGGAGTTGTACGAGATGTTATGGGGTATTGTGACGAGGCTCCAAGTCCGGATAGAGTATCAGAGATGGTCCTCTATCCGAAGTAGTTGAGTGACATGAGCAGAGAGGAGGAAAGGATCAAGAGCTGGAGGAAGAAGAAATAAAATCAAGACCGGAAGTGAGGTGAACCTCTCTTCTTGATCACAATCGCAGCTCTTTGTTCACTGGTGGTCTCGGCGGCGGCAAATATGATGCAATTGGCTGCATATACCATTCAATTTCACGGAGACCCGCATGAAGTAGAGTGCGGAATCTCACGGATGTTGCACAGCAGGTGGCTAGTGAGTTGTTTCAGGAAATGCGGCTCTGAAATGCGTGTACACATGTACAGTGTGCTATAGAAGCTATAAAACAAAGGATAGACTTGTTGAATAGCTATCAAGCGCAGTCCCACAGAAGAAGGTTATAATACAAACTCTTTGGGGAGGATAGAGTCTCTATATTTCTCTAGTAAAGGTAGCTGATAGTGGAACTACTAACCCAGAGCTGTCAGTACTGAGGTACAGACCCAGAGAGAAAACCTCAATTGTTCAGGACACTTACACTATCGCCGAGAGACCCTGGGTGACTAGTATATCAAGGAGGAATGTCCTGTTCTTAAACCCGGGGTTCTCCGCGAAGAATTCTCTGTTGATAAAAGCTCCGTTATCTGGAAGATGCAGGATTCATAAGGGAGTCAGCTTCGTGTTGAAAGCTTTTTAACTGGATGTATTGAGATGTCGGTATCCTAATGCAGGGATTTATTCCTTCTACGAAGACCCGTCTGCCCAAAATAAACAGTAAGTATCTTACTAATTTCCCATGAGTTCACAGCTAGACTAAGATATACTGATTATGGAGTCCATCCGTGAGTCAAAAGGAACCGGGAATATGTTGGCAGAAACCGATTTTCCAGATGATAGATTCTGTATCGTATTAGAAAAGGAGCTAGCGTTCAGTATAATACATGATGATGGCTAGGACGATAAGAAAAATAGCGCTATCAGTATTGCCCTACAACTATACGTATATGCATCCCGGATCGAGGCTACAATGCACCTAGATTCTAATTAAAACAATACCATAATGTTACTATAAAGACCAGCTCGGCAAAACATGTAAATCCCGTATTATCTCAAATGGGTAGATATGAAGATAATCTTCCAACCGTATGTGGTGATCTATTTTTAAATCCTAGTACCCATCCGAGTGACATTAAAAAGTTTGCGAGTATATCAATATATGTTTCTCTCTAGAATAATGAATTAGTGTATGAGAATAACCGGCGGAACCGCCATGCTTATCTAATCGATGCGGGGAGCCGTCAGGGAGAAAACGCGGGGAAAATCCGGGGATTCGAACGCGATCTCCGTCCAGGGATGGTAGATGCGCCAGATCACGCCGCAGGATCAAGGCCGGGATCGCAGGGATATACTGAACTTTTAACCTGGAAAAGTAATATGTTTCTCAGCGGGTTATTCGCTTACGATATATGCCGTAAGCAGCTGCAGAGGGGATAACTACTTCGATCCATAAGAGGTCCGTGAGGCGACAAGATTACCGAGAGCCGAGAGAGGCGTTAGTTATGCTTAGTACAGGCAACATGCCAATTCGTTGTTTCTGGTGAATAAATGCAAAGTTAGCCCAGTAGCGATATGCGAAGAATCTTCCAGTCATCGTGCATGTAAAGAAAAGACAGGCCCCGTTATTGATATTATTGTGGAACAAGCTCCGTGATATAGTTACCCCGGCGAGTTTACCGATACCCGGTAGATCAGAACCATCCCTTATGTCACCCGCCAATCGCACGGACAGAATGTGGTGAACGGCATCTTCCCCGCTTCAACATGGAGAAATTGACCTCGGTCTTTTCTCCAGGCCCCTGCCTCCTGTTTTCTCTGCTATCTCTTGTTCATGTCTTTCCCCTGGTTGTAGGTAGCTACAGTTTCTGTCATAGATTTTGTATTGCAATTGCCCTGCGATTGCGATCGTGGCAAGTCTTAGTCGTATCTGTTGCACTTCCCAACGCAGATTTAGTTCCAGCTAGGAAAGCCCGAAGATGGTCTTCTACCCGCCGTCGTGGACGAAAAATGTCCCTCACATCCCCGATGATGTCCCTATTTGCGATTTCATGCTTCAAGATCTCCACGGCCGCCATCCACTAGGTTATTCGCGGGACCCTTTCACTTGCGGTTTAACAAAGAAGTCTTACTCCGCACTCGATGTTGTCGACAGGGTCGATTACCTATCCAGATCCCTGGCGAAGGAGTTTGGCTGGCAGCCTAATCAAGGCACTGAGTGGGACAAGGTTGTTGCAGTATTCAGTGTCAACACAGTAAGTGGCCAATCGAGGTGGTGGAAGCTTCCTCCCAAAAGTCGGTGCTAACAATTTGTTACTGCAGATTGATACTGTCCCATTGGCATGGGCAGTCCATCGATTGAATGGCCTCGTCACCCCGGCAAATGCAGCATATTCCGCCGAAGAGCTCACGCACCAACTGAGAGATTCGGGGGCTAAAGCTCTTTTCACATGTCTTCCGCTGCTGTCAACCGCGCTCCAGGCTGCAGCTAAGGCTGGCCTTCCAAAGGAGCGTATTTACTTGTTGGAAGTACCTGAAATCATTCTAGGTGGCGCAAAGCCACCGGCTGAATATAAGACAGTTTCCTACTTTGTCGAAGAAGGGAAGTCTCTCCGAGCACTGGAGAGAACGAAATGGAGTAGTGGGCAGGGTGCTCGACAGGTGGCATTCCTCTGTTATTCGAGTGGGACATCTGGTTTGCCGGTAAGTGCGGAATGTGCAGTCAGTATTATTATATGCCAGAGCTAATAGCGAGCAGAAAGGAGTTATGATTTCTCACCGTAATGTGATCTCAAACGTGCTTCAAATCGCGACGTACGAGAGCGACTGGCGTGAAAGGTTGATCGAACCGGGAAATCAATCTGCGTATACAGATATTGTGCTCAACCTGTTGCCTCAGAGCCACATCTATGGTCTAGTTGTCATCTGCCATGCGGCTCCTTTCCGTGGAGATCAGACTATCGTACTGCCAAGGTTCGATATGAAGCAGTTCTTATCTGCTATTCAGGATTTCCGTATCTCCAGCCTGTTTCTGGTACGCCTCTGCCCGTAGAAGAAGCAGCTGAAACCGTGCTAACCATGCCCCTGCCAGGTTCCACCAATCATTATAAATATGCTTCGTAATAAAGAACTCTGTAGTAAATACGATCTGAGCAATGTGAAGGGTATCTTTACTGGGGCCGCACCATTGGGTGCGGAGACAGCTGCAGACTTACAAAAGCAATACCCGAAGTGGCTGATCAGACAGGGTTACGGTTAGTTTACTCTCGGAACCCTCCATCAGACACAGACCTTACGTGCTGACTTCACCAGGCCTGACAGAAACATGCACAGTCGTATGCTCTACTCATCCTGACCACATCTTTCTTGGTTCTTCCGGCTGCCTACTTCCGGGTGTCGAGGCCCGTATAGTGTCAGCAGATGGAAAGGAGGTCACGGAATATGATACACCTGGGGAATTGTTGATTCGCTCACCAAGTGTGGTGCTGGGTTATCTCAACAACGAAAAGGCCACGAAAGAAACGTTCCAGAACGGATGGATGCACACAGGCGATGAGGCGGTTATCCGACCTAGTCCCAGTAAAGAGGAACACGTATTCATCGTTGACCGCATCAAAGAACTGATCAAAGTCAAGGTATGTATTCGCTTCATAGACTATGGCCCATCATCGGATCAGTGGCTAATTACCTTCCCAGGGACTGCAAGTCGCGCCGGCGGAGCTGGAAGCTCACCTTCTCCTGCATCCCGCGGTGTCAGACTGCACAGTGATTGCCGTTCCCGATGATGCAGCTGGTGAGGTCCCCAAGGCATTTATAGTGAAGTCGTCCTCAGCAGGTAGTGATGATGCAACGACTGCTGCGTCCATCGCCAAGCACGTCCAGGATCAGAAGGCGCGTCACAAATGGCTGAAGGGTGGAGTTGAGTTCATCGATGCTATCCCAAAGAGCCCCAGCGGCAAGATTCTTCGCCGTATGCTTCGTGACAGAGAGAGGGAATTACGGCGCAAAGCGGGTGTTAAGCTATAGATTCACATCCTGGTTTGATTTTTATATATCTAGAGCTTCTTGTTATCTGTCTCTGTTAATATATATACGCGCACTTTTCGGCAGTCTGTACACTCTGAACATATCGATTATTGTAGATTATTAGTTGCAAAGACCAAATAAGCTCTATTATTATGAGGAGAAGAGCGTTAAGCAACAGAATCACTTATCAGAAACCGGAGATAAGATGCATTTCCCGGTGTTTGCAGAGTTTGCTTCCAAAAGCGGAAGAAAAAAGAAAAGCGGGCAACTTGAATTTCTAAGCTCGACGGAAGTAACTATTGATTATCAACACGCAGCGCAGAGTCTGCGATCTCCAATATCTGCTTTCCAGTTAACATATCGCTGTCGAAAATTTCCTGCAGAACGCAATCCGCTCAAAGGCAATCTTCGATCGAGTCAAAAAGGGCTAGTGAAGTCCCGTTCTACCCCTCATTGCCCCTCCAGCAGTGCGCTGTGCGCGACTGAAATACTCTTTCGAAATTACGACAAGAAGAAGAAATTGAACAATGTCTTCCTCGCAGGATCCTCATCATGAGGAAGATGTGTACCTCGATGCCGACGAAGCTGCGGAAGAAATCGTCGCCGATGAGGATCATCCTATGGACTCGGATGACGACGACCAGGATGTAGTCTTCGAGGACCAGGAAATCACACTGCAGAACGACTCTCTCGCGCATTTCGACAAGCATAACGACTCCATTTTCTGTATCGCCAACCACCCTGTTCACCCTTCGATCGTCATCACCGGTTCTGGAGATGATACCGGTTACGTCTTCGATGCTACTCCCACGGACGAGAGGCCTCTCTTGCCACAAAGCTATGAATCGAACCCGCAGCCGAAAGGAGAGCGGAAGTCGCTAGAGCCGCTGGCGAAAATGGATGGACACACGGACTCCGTCAACGCTGTGGCATTTACAGAGCCAAAGGGTGAATATGTCGTGACTGGCGGACTTGATGGACGTCTGCGCGTCTGGCGCGACACGACGTCGCAGTTGACAGGACTCCAATGGGCGTTTGTCGCGGAGGCGCAGGAAGTTGAGGAGATCAACTGGATTGCTGTTTGCCCTTATCAGCAAGGAGAGGAGGAGACTCGCAACGTGATCGCCCTGGGTGCAAATGATGGTAGCGCTTGGGTGTTCCGTATTGACCACAACGACACCGCATCCCCCATTACGATCATCCAGAGTTTCTTCCAGCACACCGGTTCTTGTACTGCAGGTGCGTGGACCCCGGATGGCAAGCTGCTTGCAACTGTTTCGGAGGACGGAACCTTCTATGTCTACGATGTCTTTGGTGCGGCTGCGGCAGCAGGCATCTCTTCATCTGCTGGAACCAGTGCTGTTGTCGGTATGACCCCGGAAGACCAGCGTTTCGCTGTTGAGGGTGGCCTGTACTCTGTTGCCATCGCCCCGACTGGTGCCTTCGCCGCTGTCGGCGGTGCAGAGGGTCATATCAAGGTTGTCGGCCTGCCCCGCCTGCCTTCGTCCACATCTGCCGCCACATCAAACAAGCCTTCCTCGAAATCCAAGTCTAAGTCTTCTGCTGGAGGTTCCCAAGCAGCCGTCGGTGCCGGAGGTGCAGGCACTCTCCTTGCCTCTCTTCAGGCGCAGTCTGAGAGTATCGAGACTCTGTCGTTCTCTGCACCACCTCTTACACTCCTTGCGGCCGGGTCCGTGGACGGTTCAATTGCTCTCTTTGACACGGCACACCGGTTTGCCGTTCGTCGCCATATCAAAGAAGCCCACGAAGGTGCTGCTGTAGTAAAGGTGGAATTTGTTCGCGAGGCAGCATCTGGCCCCGCCTTAGTTCCCCGCCCGGGCCCTGCGGCGCTTACTGCTGGCCAAGGCCGATCATGGCTCCTCACGTCTGTCGGACTTGACGGTGTTGTTAGACGATGGGATACGCGGGGTGGCACAGCTGCGGCCGGCCAGGGACTTTTGAAGGAATGGAGAGGCCACACGGGTCTCCTGGAAGGCCCAGAAGGAGAGCAGTCTGGAGGAATCCTCGGTTTTGTGCATGTCGGCGGCAAGCGGATAGTGACCGCTGGAGATGACGGAGTCGCCTTGGTTTTCGAGGAATAGAGATCTGCATCAGGGATCTCTGACTACTCGTGTTGATCTCGCTGTGATGGATATCCGATTGTATATACGTACCTGAGGGATGATTTGACCGAGGCCTTCGATGCAGGGGAGCCAGCGGATGCAGGATAAAAGTACCATATTAGGTTTCTACGAATTTAATGACACTATAGAGGTTTATGCATGCATTCAAGATGTTGTGAAGTTGCCACTCATTCATTCTTTCCCATCGAACGAACATATTCGGTTCCGGTTCGGTTGCAGCCGTCTAAGACTCGTAGCCAAAAATTGGCGGCCAATAAATAGCTTAAATAGAGAAAGCAATATACTTCTGACTTCCAACTAGTATATGGCATCAATGGACGATGTTGAGCCTTCACTTGAATTGCCCCTAATTTACCCAATGCTTGGCGGTTATTAATCCCAAAGAGCGGATTGGGGCGGGTCTTGAAGGCTTCCCCATAATTACAGAAGACAACAAGAGAAGGTGAAAATGCACCAAACAGCGTAATAGGAATATCGAGTAAAGTTGCAAACGTTGGTATTTACATACATTCCGAAACGAAAAAAAAAGTAGTAAAAACATTTCAGACCCCAAGCGCCATATATACAGCTGGACCTCGAAGCAGTCTGAAGACTTCGAGAGTCTGCCTGAATTTCAGCCGCGTCCATCTTGCGATGCAAAGACATGGTTGCCATAGAGGCAGATACGCATGCTGCGCGAACCCTTTGCTTTCCATCCATTCTCCTTCTTCCAGTCCCGTTCTTCCAGTTCCCGTTCGTCGTTCATTCCGTTCCGGCTCCGGTTGAATCTAGTGGTGCTCCTCGCCGTGGTGGTGATGGTCATTCTTGAGGAAGAAGTGCTCATAGGTGCAGTATCCAGCAAAAGCGACGGTGGCCCAACCCAAACCGGGGAAAAGGCCCTTGAAGCGGTTCCATCGAGTGAAGGGACCGGTGTATCGCCAAGTCTCGCTGGTGGTGGAATTAGCACAAGTGCGAAGACGATACGCTCTGGTATAATAAATGCTTACTGTCGAGCCCATGGGTCTTTCTTTGCCCAGATGGAGTTGGGAGAGGCAGCAGCCTTGAACTCCTTCATATCGAAGCCGGTGGGGTTGCGGTGGACCATTGTGGGCGATATGTGCCGTGAAACGGCGGATTGAAGGTCAATTGGAAGGGTGAAGGGTGTAGATGAACCGGCAAGGCTTTCGGAACCGCCTTGACAGGTCAAAGCAGCTTGTCTGGCAGGAGCAGCGGTCGTGGAATGCTGGAGGAATCGAAGAGTCGCTGCGCAGAATGAAGCTGTCGACGAGGTCCGACGATGCTTGGCGGTCCCGTGAGCAGGCTAATCCCGATCGGGGTGCTCTGTACCTGCGGCGCCCTCCAGGCCTGTCGTTCGCGACTCGCCTTTGCGATCTTGGACAATCGAACGCTCACCCGCTAAGTCAATGACTGAAGTATCAGACCAGCGCCCATCTAAACGACTACAAGAAACCAGCGCCAGTCCTTGCCTTGAATCTCGTCTCCGGGCGGTGAGAATATCATTCCGCCGACCGAGAAACCCATGTTCATAAACTGTCCGCTCAACCCCTCCGACGACCAGAGACCACTTCACAGATAGCAAAATGCCACCTCCCGTGGGCAGATATGGCCCGTCTGCGCTAAGTCAGCCCTTCTCTCACCTTCAACAAGCACACCTCCAGCAACAACAGTCACAACAACACCACCCGAGCCATGCACAATCTGCAAGCGCCGGGCTGCCTCCCCCTTCTCTCGGGGGACACCCTGGCTTTGCACCGGGCAATCCAAACTCAAATGTGAATCCATTCACATTCTCCGGTGCAGGTCTCATGAACGGCATGTCAGTGGGCGGTTTTGGAGCGGCAGCAGCTGATGGTGGTGGAACGGGTTTGGCCAGCCATGCAGCACAAATGGGATTTGTCAGAGGCGCTCAGATCCAGCAGCAGCAGCAACTACATCAAGGACACGATGGGCGGTTAGCGATCGAGGGAAAGGCCGGATCTGTCAAGACAAGGATACGCGATGTCTGGAGGCACAACCTAGCTCAAGAGTTGGCCGTTCTGCGGAGCTTGGTTGAGCGATATCCGTACATCAGCATGGTAAGATATCCTCCTCTACGGTCTACTAGGCTTTTGGATCTTGCTTCTTACACCTTTCTAGGATACAGAATTCCCCGGTATCGTTGCTCGTCCCATAGGTTCATTTACCAACAAGGCAGACTACCATTACCAGACGCTTCGTTGCAACGTGGACCTCTTGAAAATGATCCAGCTTGGCATTACATTATTCAACGCAGATGGGGAGGTCCCGCCTCCAACAGCAGCTGATACAAACGGAGGTTATGCGAACGGTCTTGTCCCAGCTCCTTGTACATGGCAATTCAATTTCAAGTTCTCTTTGGAGAACGACATGTACGCGCAGGAATCGACGAGCATGTTGGCCAAAGCTGGCATCGACTTCGCCATGCACGAAAAGAATGGTATCGATCCCTTCGAGTTTGGTGCCCTCCTCGTTAGCTCCGGGTTGGTCTTACTGGACGATGTCCACTGGATCTCGTTTCACTCTGGATACGACTTCGGTTATTTGATGAAGATCATGCTGTGCAAGCCTCTCCCAGATGACGAAGAAGAATTCCACAAACTCCTCAACATCTTTTTCCCTTCATTATTCGACATCAAGTACCTCATGAAGCACGCTGGGAGGAATCAAGCCGTCAACGATTCTCCATTGACTCCAGCCGCTGCACAGATCCTTACCAACCTGGGACAGAAGTCGGGTCTGCAGGATATTGCTGATGAACTGGGCGTCAAGCGCGTCGGTATTGCTCACCAAGCCGGTTCAGATTCTCTCGTGACAGGAGAGATCTACTGGAAGATGCGTCAACTTGTCTTCAACGGAACGATCGACGAGAGCAAGTACTCTGGCCAGATTTGGGGACTGAATGGGCAGATGCCTGCTCTGACTTACCACGGTGTCCAACAAACACCAAATTTGAACGGTGCCACAATTTACTCCAATGCTGGTACCCCTAACACCCCAAATACAGCCCATGCAGTAACTGGGAACCAGACACCACACCAACATGCAAATAGCGGCGTAGGTGCTCTGACTCCTGGAGGGGGTGGGGGTGTCTTCGGTACATTCCAGATGGGAAAGGTGTAAGACTTTGCCTGGAAGGAATATCAAAGCGGGTTGCAGTAAGGACATCTCGAGGTCACACTGTCCCCATTCGATATATAACCATCGTCAATTTGAGATTGGTCTTTCGGTTTCAACTTGTCCTTGGTTCTCCTTTTCCTCATACTTTCTTTTATCATCTTACCATTCGGGGGGGAGGGAAAAAAAGAGAAAGGGGTACGGGTTCGGCGTATGTATGTACATAAACGACACTATTAGCGTCTGGTGACTTGCTTTCCGCCACGTTCTCCCTGTCATGTATTTTCTCCTTGTCACTTGTCTGTCCATGGACTCCTCGGTAGCTTTGGAGGAGGGTGTTGCGGAGACGGGGGCACGGTGTTTGCTTTTTTTATCGTTTCTAGTTTCTAGTTTCCTCTTCTTGGCCGGAGTTTGTTTCCCCTACATGGTGTTAGGCAGCTTTTTCCACTTTTCACTCGTAACGCTCGTAACGTTGACGTCTTTTCTCTTCATATTTCGTCGTGTTTCTTCCTTTCCTAGAGTCTTACGTACAGTATGGCTTTGCAGGTCGTTCCTCCTTTCGTCGGCTGGTGTGGAGTTTTGTTTCCTAGAGCGTTACTCTTACCTAGGTATGTAGACTTTCCTGGTCCATTTTCCCCGCTATAGTTTTCCTCGTTCTATCGTGCTACGCCGTGACGATCGAGAACAGGAAATCAGAGATAGTATAAATGTACAGAACCAATTACATAGCCCTAGTAGTATATCTGAAGCGAGGCTCATTTTAGCAGCATGTGGTAAATGATTTGTCTATATATGCAGCAGACCACGTGTATATCTAAGCTATGGAAGCAACGATTTCATTATCTCCTCGTTGGAAATTGAATATAGTATCTGCGTTAGCTTTCTCTTCAGGCAAATGATGCCCGCGAGAGCCATCTGCTGATCATATCTAATGCGATTTCTGGTTGATCCTGGGGAACCTACAGTATGCCGGAGGAGTAATATCAGCTAGCCATTTCACATACTCATTACGCTCCTAATCCAAAAGAGTAGGAAGAACATAAATATCAGAGAAGAGAAAGCTAGCTACTCACCATATGTCCTGATCCATCGATCGTAACAAGTGCGAACCTCGTAGTGTTCGAATTTGAACCAGCAGCTCCGATCTTAATGTTAACTTCCTTGAACGTTCCGGCTTTCACTTTCTTTCCTCCAACAACGCTCGTCCATGGAGTAAGGCTCTTTGATGCGAACGCCGCTTGACCTTTCCACGGCATGGCGTCCATCCATCGCTTCGAACTGGCCGTGTTACAGGCCAAGTCCAGATTGCCGGAGTAGATCAGGACGTCGATCTGGTTTTGTAGGAGGTACTGCACGGAAGAGACCGTAGCAAGCGTGATGTCACTTGTGGCTTTGAATCGGCCATACACGTCGTCAGAGTTGATGGTGTAGTTCTTAACAGCGGCGGGTACGCTGAGTGCAGACCACGGTGCTGGTGAGTTTAGGTAGTCGTTGATAAGGGCACTTTTGGTGTAGCAGAACACGGCACTCTCGCATGGTCGAGTTACTATGCGCTTCTTTAGCTTTCTAATCTGTAGTCAAACATCGCTAATGGGGGGAAAAATCACGTACTATCAAAACGATTGCGACTTCCCGGCAGACCGTCAGCTTCACTATCATAATGGCCAATCACGCCGTCCCAGCAGACCGTACTAGCTGCCTCGCAGATCGCCGGGTCCGGGAACGTATTGCATGTCTTGATGACTTCCAGGCAGCGAGGGAGATTTTCCGCCATGATATCGCATCGTGTCTCATTAAACACAGGTTCTGAGACGCCCGGATTCGTCGTACATAACGTCTCCCAGTACCCGAATGCTCTATCTGCATCGCTGACAAGAGGGTTGCCGACAGCGATGGATTTCAAGTTCACATGTGGACGAGTGGGGTGAAGACTGTTCTGACGGACGATCTCAGCCCCCAGAGTGGGAACATAGTGACCCTAGAGAGAGGCATCTTTCGTGTCAGAAAATAGTATAGTTCCCATTAATGTGCAAGTGGCAAAGATAACGTGGGAAAGCCTACACCATAGCTCTCACCCGTTAAAGTGATTGGGCCATTGCGATGCACAGGAAACACCTGGCTCACGAACATCTGGAGGAAAATATACATATCGGCGGCACTGGCGTAGGAGTCTCCAGGCTGCTCTTCCAGAGAATCGCCATCATAGTACGAAAATCCCACTCCAACTGGCTGGTCAACAAACAATAACGCAGTTTCCTTGTTCCAAGAATATGGATTCATGACGGTTCTATTCCCATATTCATTAATTAGACAAGGGCCAAGCTCTTGCAGTAACCCGAGTATACTCGAGGCTCCAGGACCACCATTCTGCCAAAGCATAAGAGGTTGTTCATCCTGTGCAGCAGTAGAATTCTTATTCTCGCTCTCGAAGTACCAGAAGAATAGATGTTTGTGTCCATTATCCAACCACCCCGTGTATTGGTTCACGGTGGTGTTGCAGAGCGTTGCATTTTGGCTCTTGATGCGGAGGGAATGGTGCGGGGAAAGATCGCTCCGATAGATCTGGAACGAGGAGTCGATCTGCGTATCCAGATCTGATCGTAGGATTGTCTGCTGGGACACTGCCAACGCAGCCCCCAGTGGGAGTAGGAGACTAGATGAGCGCATTGTTCCTACGCACAACAGCCGAATACAGAAAGTTTTGATATCGATGAAGAGCAGAATAATAAATAAATTTGACGCTCAGATTGTTCTTTAAAATAGCCTCATGGCGCAATACGACCTTCTTAATACTGCATGGTGCGCGTCACGTGAATATGGCTTTGAAGATAAGAAAGTATTTGATTACTTGCTGATAAAAGAACAGAATATGAAGATTAGATTGGTATGCATTTGTTGATATCCTACAATTAATTTGGAGGAACTGGGTTGCTAGTGGGAAATGTCCGCTCTGAGTAAACCGAGTCCTGTTGTGTTTATTTGGATGGTGTTATAGATGGCTGAATTGACGATTCTGTCACATACTTATTTTCTTTCTTTCTTTCTTTCTTTCTTTCTTTCTCATATAGTTGCACATATGATAAGTAATACTCCCGATTAAGGAACCCTATGTAAGCTTGATCAACTGTATGTATAACACCCATTATAGATATGGGTATAACCTCTAATCAATCATCAGTTATATATACCTTTGCTAGTAGATCTCTCAGCGAAGTTAACATGAACGCAAAACCCCAACAAGACAATACCGTAGAGTATATAAACCTTATTACTGTTAAATGGGAAAATAATGAGCATGCTGTCTTCAGACAGTAGCGTGGAAACTAGAGTGCAATGAAGCTATAAAAGAGTAGCAGGTGGATCTTCTACTTTGAAATCCTATCCTAAAACCCCCCCACAGCCCAAATGCCACACGAACCGTCTCTTCTGTCTTCTTTATAGATGGGCTGTGACTTAAATCACACTCCACTGTCACCAAATCTATCCCTTCACTCTTCGCCCCATCAGTCATGAAATACTGAACTACTCCTCCGGGTTTGTTGACTCCAATTGACTACAAATTACTAAGTAAGTCGATGCATTATACCGTACTAAATCAACCTCAACAGATGAAATAAGGAAGTGGGTCAAGTCTGAACTGCGTGCATTAAGTAGGCGGCGATCTCAAAAGATGAGATACAACAGGTGATAGAACGAACGTATTTACTTGTCGTCCGGGATTGATATCCGTCTGTCCTTGCAGAAGTGACTTCTCCCAATATAGGCGATGTGATTGTCCTCTTCCCATCCCAAGTCCCATATATTGCATCTACGGGTCGTCTGAGTACGCTAAATGGATGTGACCTTCGGTGGTATTCACCTCTCAAGAGGATCCACGTCTGTTGGCTGTCGCGATCCAAACGGTGTATTTGCCTGAAACTCGACATGCAGGAATAACTGGACACTGATGATTCTCTTATTCGCCATTTATCTGCTGCATAGCACGGCGCCATTGTGAAATCCTTGACTTCAGAGGTGCAGCCGTATACGAACTCTGCGATCGGGGGTCGGCGAGCGGATTTTCGCGTCTTCGACTTCGTTTCGCTCGATGTGTTGCTGGGATCAGTCAGTGCTATTCGAGGTCGATTGATGGTTTCTGTGTCTAAGAACCTGAAGGCAAATCTCAATCGCAGTTAGCTGCTTTGCACTGCTATGTATATCGCGTGATCACGGATTTCCCTCATTTTGTTGTTCTCGGTAAGTTCTATTCCAGGATCGCACACTGCGACTGTTGACGACCTTGGAAATCTACTCCAACATGAGAAGCTGCAGGAAATGGACCAGTGGTGGGTTCAACACGCTATCTTGCAAGAGCGATTGCTGAGGGCTTCTCAATGAAGGCGTGGAAAAGCTGATCTCGCGCGAAGCAGTAGCAATCAGGAATTCCAGTGGCAAGGCCTTAATGTTGAAGTGGTTCATTGCATCTGAAAAGTTGCGACGCCTTTGAGAGCCCTAGACCGGATGAGGATGTCTTATCTCAATGATCGGTCAATTGCTTCTGAGATATTCGAGGGCCAGGCCGGACCGATATTGAGAGCGCATATCACGAAGTCATAATTCATAATAATATTGGCGAAAACATCGGGCCAGCTCCGTCCGCGGCGGTCGATAGGCATGATTACCTACTTATCAAAAAACTACCTAATTGGATTAGCTACGATGAGCTACACTGATGGATACGTTGAAAGGGTCCACGCGAGTAGTTACTATCTACTGTGCACACGGACGCAGTGGCGAGGAGCCCTAACCTAGCCACGTTCCGGCCAGGGTAACTGAAGCACACGAGCTTAATTGCTTAACAAGCGCTTGGTTTTTCGGGCAGGAGATTGCGACTTCGCAGTATCCCGCACAGATCGGTCATGGTTTTTCTTCAGAATGGGAAGCTCGACGCTGGAGGGCAAAAGGATTCACCTGCCGCATTCCGAAGTGAAAAGCGAACGGGATGGGGAGAAAGAGAGATCGCGGGGCGGGAGTTGCGCTATCCCAGGATAGGCGAACGCACCCGGTCGTGCTTATCGTTATCGCTATACGAAAAGACCCTCCGCAAATCGCAGCTGTTGAGAGGATCAAAATGGCCGAGATGCTCTTCCCTCGTTGACAATAATAATGGAGATAAATACCACAGTCGCGGCCTCTCTGGCGGTTCCTTCATCATTGCGTATCCGTCGTCACTTCTTTCCCTCTTGTGCACCGGACGCTTCGACTTGGACAGCTATATAACACTGTCCCGGGAGCTGCAAGTCCATCTCCAATACACACTTCCACAGCTTTTCCAAACCAAAGACACACGTTCGCTTCTATCATCTATCATTTCAATCGATATCTGAGACGACTTTTATTCCCAACATCCACATTTCGCTGTCACAATGGTCCTCGACCGCCTCCAGCAGTTGACCCTCCAGGTCAACGCCTCCTCTCCTCCCCCGTACCCTCTCGATCCCCTTTCCACGTCCGAGATCGATACTGCAGTTGCCATCATTCGTGCGGAACATGGCTCTGTCAACTTCAATGCTGTGACTCTGTACGAGCCGCGAAAGGCAGAGATGCTAGCTTGGTTGGCAGACCCCGAGAAGGCACCACGCCCTCTGCGTGCGGCCGACATCGTGGCCATTGCTCCTGGCGGCAAGATCTACGATGGTGTTGTAGACCTTGAGAACAAGAAAATCCTGCAATGGAAGCACACTCCCAATGTCCAGCCTCTCATCACGATGGAGGACCTGCAGGAGGTTGAACACATCGTCCGCCAGGATCCTGCCGTCATCGAGCAGTGTGCCATCATTGGTATCCCCAAGGAGGACATGGACAAGGTGTACTGTGACCGTAAGTAAAACAAGTGGAACCAAGGGTAAAGTGAGACGCTAATGCTGAACCAGCTTGGACCATCGGATACGACGAGCGCTGGGGCAGCGGCGTCCGTCTGCAGCAAGCACTGATGTATTACCGGCCTCACCTCGATGACTCCCAGTATACCTACCCGCTGGACTTCTGCCCAATCTACAATTCAGAGACCAAGAAGATCATTCACATCGATGTTCCACCGGTGAGACGGCCACTCAGCAAGGCTGCTCCAAACAACTATCACCCGGCCGCCATTGAAAAGGAGGGTGGATACCGCACCGACATCAAACCCATCAATATTACCCAGCCAGAGGGCGTCTCGTTTACGATCAATGGCCGTATTATTGAGTGGCAGAAGTGGAGCATCCACGTTGGCTTCAACTACCGCGAGGGTATCGTTCTGAACAACATCACCTTCAATGACAAGGGAAACATCCGTCCCATCTTCTACCGTCTCTCTCTGGCAGAAATGGTGGTCCCGTACGGTAATCCTGAGCATCCTCACCAGCGCAAGCATGCCTTCGATCTGGGTGAGTACGGCGGTGGCTACATGACCAACAGTCTATCGCTGGGATGTGACTGCAAGGGCGCCATCCACTACATGGATGCTGCCTTTGTCAACCGAGCTGGCGCTAGCACCATCTTGAAGAATGCCATTTGTATCCACGAGGAGGATGCTGGTATCCTCTTCAAGCACACTGATTTCCGCGACGAGTCAATTATTGTCACCCGAGGACGGAAGCTTATAATCTCTCAAATCTTCACCGCCGCCAACTACGAATACTGCGTCTACTGGATCTTCCACCAGGACGGCACAGTTCAGCTGGACATCAAGCTTACCGGCATTCTCAACACTTATGCCATGAACCCCGGCGAGGATACTAAGGGCTGGGGAACCGAAGTCTACCCTGGTGTCAATGCGCACAACCACCAGCACCTGTTCTGCATGCGGATAGACCCTAACATCGACGGCCCCAACAATACCGTTTTCCAGGTGGACGCTGTCCGGGCCGAGGGCGAAGTTGGCAGCGCCGAGAACAAGTATGGCAACGCCTTCTATGCCAAGAAGACCAAATTCACGACCCCTCGTGAGGCAATGTCCGATTATGATGGCAGCACCAGCAGAACCTGGGAGATGGCCAACACGAACAAACTGAATCCCTACAGCAAGAAGCCAGTCACCTACAAGTTGGTGAGCCGTGAGGTCCCCCCGCTCCTCCCCAAGGAAGGTGGCTTGGCTTGGAAGCGAGCTGGATTCGCTAGACACGCCGTCCATGTTACGAAGTGTAAGTTTTCCTGTAGAATGTTTTGTTTCGGAGCTTCAGTTTTGCTGACGATAATGCGCAGACTCCGATGACCAGATCCACCCTGCTGGTCGCCATGTGCCCCAGACCTCCGGTGAACCTTCTCAAGGTATCCCAATGTGGATTGAGCAGGCCGGCGAGGATTGCTCCATTGAGAACACCGATATTGTCCTATGGCACACTTTCGGCATCACCCATTTCCCGACGCCAGAAGATTACCCCATCATGCCTGCAGAGCCGATGACGCTACTGCTCCGGCCTAGGAACTTCTTCGACCGCAACCCAGTCCTGGACGTGCCTCCCAGCTATAGCCGCACTCCTACCCAGATCGCCTCGGGCCAAGGCGACTGCTCCTGCAAGAAGGGTGACGGAACCAGTGTGCTGGTCTAAGTTCAGACCATGACATTCCTTTGAAATTGTATGATGATATGATCTCAATCGCGCAAGAGTCGCATACATTGCATGTTGGTCCTCTGTAAGGGCCTCACTTTCTTTTGTTCGGCAGATTGATTATTACGGTTGGCATGATCACGTTTTAGGATTAGTTCTTGATGTATATATATATTCTTCTTAAGGCGTCTCTGGGAAATTCCTTTATCAGAATGCATAAACTTGATTCAAAGCACGTCATCTCTGTGGATTACAATAGAGAATAAGCCTCTGCTCAGTAGAGGGGACTTCGAGAATGGTGATCAACATGTGATGGTTAAGGAAACGACAGTGCTAGGAGAAGTTGTTGCACCCTTGCTAAAGACGATGTCTTCACTGCTCGTTGCCGTATATTGACCACCTACTACTACCCCATAGGCCCCAACACGGAATAGTCACGCGATGTACCGACTGATTAACTCTCCACACAAGCCGGACTTCTACATGGTAGACTCGTGCTATTTGTATGTCAACCCACCTGACGCTACTAAGGTTTACAGCCTGCAGTGGTGTGAATCTACATGGATGAGGAGGCGACGTGCATTTTGGTTCTCCACAAAGTCTTCTGCAACTTTTCCGATAACTTATTTTCTACGCCCCCCAAAAAATATGGATCTTCTCCAGTGAAAGGAAAGATTTTGGCTGAGAAGCACAGGGAGAAAAAAATGATACCCGACTTATTTGGTCGGATTGTTGCAACTCCGATAGGGGGAATCGAACCCCCGGCTGCTGTGTGAGAGACAGCGATGTTAGCCACTACACCATATCGGATGATGATGACATCAGTTTCGGTTTAGCGCTCTTTGTTGCTGTTCTTCCTCTTGTGTTTCCCTCTAGATAGTACTTATTATTAGCGCTTCAATCCTCCTTCCTGACCATCTCCCTGCTCGTGAAGAATTCTTGCTATTCGTATGGATTGCAGAGCTGTACACACTCCTTGTCTAATCTAATCCTCGATGAGAATTAACACCCAATGTCTTCATTACCTCGCACCCTGAAGAGGGTGCTGTAAGCATTAGAAATGCTTTTCTTCTGATTAGGAATCCCATCGCTAGTCCCTATCATAACTACGAAGTATTTTCGGTATGAGCACATAGTAAAAGCTGTCGTACGAATACTCTGTGTACGGGAATCGTTATTCCGATGCCTTATATACAGCTGACGGATCACTAATTCATCAACAGTATCCGATAATCGACAATCAGTAGCAACATGAATCTACGAGTGGGGTTGACCAAACCTCCGCGTCCTGTTATCGCGATTGCGGGGTTGGCATGCGAAACCTCAACTTTCACACCGTCACGCACGCTTGCTCCGGCATTTAATCCAAAGCGCGGGAAGGAGATAATTGACAAATATGCATTCATCCAGCCTGGAACAGTCCTCGCTGAAGCCGCTGATTGGCATGGTGCCCTCATCGGCCACGCGCTACCCGGCGGAATCGTGACGAGGGCTGCTTTTGAGGAACTCGCAGAGGAGATTATTGCTCGCCTTAAGAATATTCTGACCTCAGTTCCAGTATTACATGGTTTGTGGTTCGATATCCACGGTGCCATGTGCGTCGAGGGACTCGACGATGCCGAGGCTGAGCTTCTTCGTCGCATCCGGGCTGTTATCGGGGGCGACGTGATCGTTTCCGCATCAATGGACCTGCATGGCAATGTTTCTCGAGAGTTGGCTCATCAGACTGATCTGATTACATGCTATCGAATGGCACCTCATGAGGATGCGAGAGAGACCAAAAGGCGCGCTTGTAGTAATTTGGTTGAGCTATTGCAACAAGTATGGGAAGGAGGACCTTCCCGACCGATTAAAGCGTGGGTTCCCATCCCAATTCTACTGCCAGGAGAGCAGACTTCTACACGAGTCGAGCCTGCAAAACATATATATGGTACTATCCCTAGCGTTGAGGACAGAGAGGGAATCATTGATGCTGCAATATGGGTTGGTTACCCCTGGGCAGATGAGCCACGAAACCGTGCATCTGTCGTTGTAACAGGATGGGACAAAGACACGGTGGTAACCGGTGCTCAAGAGCTAGCCCATCTATTCTGGGATTCGCACACAGATTTCAGATTTGTTGGGCCTGCCGGGTCATTCACAGAATGTCTAGACAAAGCCATGGCCTCATCTGCCAGACCCTTTTTCATATCAGATTCGGGGGACAACCCGACGGCCGGAGGTTCAGGGGACATGACCTGGGGGCTTATCAGACTGCTTGAACGACCAGAATTCAAGAACCCTTCAGGACCCACTGTCATATATGCGAGCGTCCCAGGACCGAGAGCTGTTCAGACTGCTGTGGAGGCAGGAATCGACGCCATCGTCACTGTAACTGCAGGTGCAGAGGTGGACAATATCCACTCGGGACCGGTCACCCTTACTGGTCGAGTGCATTATATCAAGCACGGTGATAGAGATGCAGTGACAGAGGTGGTGATTCAAGTGGGCAGTATATTTGCAATCCTGACCAAGCTCCGTAAACCGTATCATTACGAGCATGATTTCACAGACCTCAACCTCCAACCCAGATCGGCCGATATAGTGATTGTGAAGATAGGCTACCTCGAACCAGAGCTGTATGATATGGCAGCGGACTGGATGCTTGGGCTGACTCCAGGTGGAGTAGATCAAGATCTGGTACGACTGGGGCATTGTCGAATTCGCCGCCCGATGTGGCCGTTTGATAAACACTTTGCACAACAGCCGAATCTAAGTGCACGAATCATCCCTATGTCTAATGAGCCATTAACTGGACCAGATGATTAATCTTTTGTTTACGGGCAATTCTGGAATGATATACTGTTGTGGCTTTTCTAACAGACAAGGAGAATGATTGAGATTAAACTAAACTACCATATTGTGATGCATACCTGCAATAACCCCAACTCACTATCACTCCACGTTAATCCGCCAAATCCGTATTGATAGCAATAATATCATCATCACAAACGGACTCTTTGCCGCTCTTTGAGAGTGCTTCTGCCATGGCTGCCTGGAGCTTCTCTGCAAATCTCGCCTCACATGGTACATCATAATCCAATTCACGACCACAGCTGACCATACTAATGAACGCCCTCTTGGCCGCCTTTGCTGCCGTCAAGTCTCTGCTATGACTGAGTTTTTTTTAGGCGCTCTCTCCAGAAAAGCCATCTTTTCAGGCTAAAGCCTCGCTGGGAGATATTCGCTCTCCGTGCTAGCTCCCCGGGAGTTGCCAGGTGAACTTTGAACTGCTCCCCATAGAATCTGTTTTGAACTGAGAAGGCGAGAAGCATGTGGCGAGAATCATCGATCCAAACCGCAGCTGCAGGAAGCAGTGCGATTGTCTTCGCCTCTTCATCTGTCTCGAGAGCTTCGCGCAGATACCGGAGTGCTGTTAGAGAAATTTCATCTCGACAGATGCCCGCTGACAGGACCTTAGCTGAAAAGGAAGCAAGGTTGCACTGCTGCGAGGTAGTGCCAGTATTGATGACCTCTTCCCATGTAGCTTGCAAGCTCTCGCCAAAACGGTATAAGTCCCAGGCGCAGGCGACAGTCTCTGTACAATGGATGCTTCTATGAAGCGAGTCAAACTCCTTCGTCCACAGAAGTAATGAAAGAAGCTTTTCTTGAAAAGGGTGTCCCTCTTCAAGTATCTTTGCTGTTTCCAGAAACATACTCCACAGTACACACAATTGTTGTTGGATCTCTTCGGACTCTGGCGAAGGTCTGGGGGAGATATCATTGGTAAAGTGAAAGCTGAAACTGTTGATGGAAACTAATACATCCACCTTGTCTACTTCGCTGTAGATATTGCGGAGCCCTGCATTGAATGCCTCTAGAACCTCCTGTCTGAACCGTTCATCTTGGTCTGTCATTATTTAGACGTAGATGATGGCTATCACTAAGATAAGGTTAGGTTACTGCCTCAATCGCTTCCAACAATGACTGTGTTTTCTGGACCTGGATTAGTTTAAATATTGACAGAAATCAGATAGAAGCTGCTTTTTAGGCACTATTTTAGGCAGCAGGAGCTTCTAGGCACACAAGTTCATGCATGAGCGGTAATGTGTACGAGTCGAACTACTTAATGAAATCTGCCACCGGGTTAACCTAAGATTCTTGAAATTTATAATCATCTCAATACTCTATAGGAGGCAGAGAATCAATAAATACCATGAATGATTGACATTTATCATGCCTATTCGGCCGGTAATGAGATCCTTGCATCAGACACGAGGATCTAAGTAGGTAAGCGAAGTGTGACAGGTGATCGACCTATCTTTCCGTGTAACATTGGCACTATGCACCATCTTCATTCAGAGTCCTAACGCCGCATTAGCAGTTCATGGGGCTTATCTAGATAGACACATGAGCGCGAGGATAAGCTGATCTCCGGGAGTTCTCCGAGGGTTCAAGGAGGATATTTATCTTCCGGGGGGGAACATTCCATAACATATAATCCGGGTCAAGGACATAGCAACTCGTAATATAATACATACTAATGTTTTTCAGAGATTACCGATGTCGTGTACTTCATTGTTTTCTGCAATTTCAGCAGCACAAAGATAGACCCCTCATGAGCACGTGATGTACTGTACGACGGAAGTCAATTCCAGCGCTGTCGCGTCCTCACGAAGTTTGTACTGTAGCCTTCGAAATAATCCCTCTCCCATAACAAGCAATCAGTTTCATACCACCCCACCAACGAATGGTCCCTTAAGTTGCATTGGACGAGTTATTGATACATTTGCTTCGTATGGCTATTTTGGGCGGGTTCTAGTCGACTCGACCGATCTTATCCGCCTTTCTATCTATTACCCAGATCAGTAGAGAGCTGCCTTCGGCCCTCTTTGCTATCATAATATGACTTCCTCAACTTCTGCCAGTGAGAAACATGGTAGAACCGCAGATGAAACCACGCCTCTTCTTTCATCATCAGGAGAGGCTTCAGCCACCAATGACACGGAATCTGCTTCAAGCGCATCCAATGCAGATGACGATGACAAGCCATTGCCAGTCGGCCAAATCGTACTTCTCTGCTATGTTCGCCTTCTAGAACCGTTTACTTTCTTCTCGATATTTCCATTCGTCAATCAGATGATAATGGAGACTGGAACCGTCAAGGAGGCTGATGTTGGCTTTTACAGCGGGTTGATAGTAAGTGATAACTACAGCAGTTCTTTGACAGTAGATGCATTCGCTGATAAGAGCTAGGAATCTCTGTTTTCTTTTACCCAGATGCTCTTGATGATTCCGTGGGGTAGAGCAGCAGACCGTTTTGGTCGTAAACCAGTGCTCGTGTTCTCCCTTGCGGGGTTGTCTATCTCCGCAGCGATGTTCGGTCTCAGCAAGACAATTTGGCAGATGGTTCTCGCTAGATGTGCGGCTGGGATTTTCTCAGGGACTATTGTGTAAGTAAACACGTATACATGTTAGGAGTGCAAAGTCATTAAACAATCTATAGGGCTGTCCGCGCAATGATCTCTGAGAACAGCACACCGAAAACCCAAGCTAGGGCATTCAGCTATTTCGCATTTGCTAACAATTTAGGCATCTTTCTTGGGCCTCTGATAGGTATGTGCGCTTTACTATCTTCTATAATAGTGATAATCTCTAACTCTTCAAAAGGAGGCGCACTTGTCCATCCAGAAAAGCAGTACCCATCGGTGTTTGGCGGGATCAAATTTTTCGAGGACAACCCATATGCGCTGCCAACGTTTGTCACTGGCGTAATTGGAGTCAGTGCATTCTTAGTTTCAATTTTCTTCATTAAAGAGGTATATTATTCCCAGCAAGAGAAACGTTTCAATCCGCTCACGTCGCTATAGACTCTTCATTTGAAAGGCGATCCTCAAACTGCAGAAGCAGAGCAGAAGTCCATCATAGAACTCCTTAAATGGCCTGGAGTGGCGATGGTGCTTTATGTCTATTTCCACGTCTTGTTCATGGGCCTGGGATACACAGCCAGTATGTTTCACCGAACCCTATATACTCATAGGGTACGATTAATTAACCACTTCACCAGTTCTGCCTGTATTCTACTTCACCAGTCCCAAACTGGGAGGCTTCGGCTTCCAGCCCTCTCAGATATCGCTCTTCATGGCACTGGCAGGTTTTTCGCAGTCGCTTTGGATCCTAGTCATTTTCCCTCCCCTCCACCGCAGGCTCGGAACGGGAAATCTCTTGCGTATCTGCACCGTTGCTTTCGCCTTCTTCTTTGCAATAAACCCTCTCTGCAATATGCTCCTTCGCTGGGGATTCATCACCGCATTTTGGGTCGTGGCAATCACATCTCTCAGTATCGGTAGCGGCGTCGCTATGATATACAGTAAGCCACACCTACCGCAGAATCCGACTCCCCTGATCCGTCGCATAAATACTAATCAACCCTCTGAAGCTTGCATCCAACTCGCAGTGAACGACATCTCACCCTCTCACACAACACTCGGTACCTTGAACGCAGTGGCTCTAGCATTAGGAAGTGGTATTCGAGCCGTTGCGCCAGCGCTCTTCTCAAGCCTCTTTGCTACTGGTGTTCGAAAGCAGATTCTCGCTGGGTACCTGCCTTGGTTGATTCTGATTATCCTTGCTTTGTTACTTGCTTTTATCATGCGATGGTTTCCGGAGAAGGCGGATAAGAGAGTTGAACCGGTGGCTGATCAAGAGGAAGGGGAAGTGATATAGATATTGGTCTGACAATGTAGAATGTCGTCGATGATAGTCGGGTTCTGAGTATATACTGTTTGATAATAACCCATTTTTATAAGATTGGATTGTTTCACTGAGACTCTGATATTTCCACACCGCGATCAAATAGAGGATCATATACTGCCGGACAAAAGATTATAATATAGTATATTATTCCTTCTATGCCCCTAAAACGCCCTGCGAGGAAGAGAACAATACAGCATAAGAGACCCCATCATTCGAGACCCCCTTCTTCTTGCCGATCTCAATAATCGACGCTCAAGCAAGTCGTGATAATAATCAAAGATAACAACGGGTATGCTAGCAGTAACGAACAACAATCCCATAATGCAAACAGACATAGAAAGAAAGGCAGAAGGCACATTCCCCCAACGATTAAAAAAAAAGAAAACCCCTACAATCGAATTTTAATCTCTCACGCCACCCTCTTCAAAGCATCATCAATATCAACCATCAGCGCAACCAACTCTTTCCCACTCTCTCCATTCTTCCCTTCAATCTCCAACGCCCGTTCCACCCACTCCTTCGCCTCTTCCCATCTCCCCATCTCACTTAAACATTTCCCACCGCGCCACCAACCCTTCGCATTCGCAATGGGCTTACACTCCACGCTTGACTTCGCATCCACCCATCCCTCAGGCCACTTCTGCTCCGCCATATGCGCCTGCGCACGATTCGCAAACAGACCCGACAACTCGTCCCGGACGAGCGACACAGGCTCCCAGCCCGGTCGACCCATGGCCATGTCGATCGAGAGGCTGTACAGCTTGATGGCTTCGCCGTAGTTTCCCTTACGGTAGGCTGTGTTGGCGGTATCGCGAAGCTTGGTGATCTGGGCGCTGCGCTTCGGGTTGATGGGGAGAGGGGGCGGAGGGATGTTCGGAGGGTCGAGAGAGATGAGAGAGCGGTGGAGTGTATTTAGAGATTGGAGCTCTTCTTGGAGGGATTTCGTTTGTGATGGCGTTTGGCCGGACGTTGTGGCGAGGGAGATGGCTTTACTGGATGGGTCCATTTGGAGAGGGTATTGGGTGAAGGAGTCGAGGGCGTCGATGGCGGCCATGGTTGTTGTTGTTGTGGTTTGGCCTTTTTTTTTGGCTATTTTAGATAAATTGTAGTTCTGAGTTTCTTTTGATGTGATTCTTCTAGGCGTTTTTGTTTCTGATTGCAGAATGGAGTCAGTACCGAGGTCATTCAAGCTAGGAGATGGGAGCAAGGAGATCCAACTTAAAACCTACCAACTGATATTCTCACGTTGCGGACCCCTGACCTCTATGCTCTTGTAGCCTTTTCGTCCCGGATCGAACAGAGGAGAACAGGTTTGTTTAACTTGAGATAAGAGGACTGTTTTGGGCCAGTGAATTATTGACGAGCTGCGACCAGTTGTCCAGAAGCATTGGAAACCCGGAGGCGGTGTGGATGTATTTTGCCGGCAGATGACAGACTCGATTTCATGCGGCGGTGAAGTCGATCAACGCTCGATCCATCATATAAATTACATAAATTACTGTACTCGTATGTCGGTTAATGCATGCTCATGGAATAATCAACAGTGTCCGTTTAGACGATGTCATGGAAAGCTAAATAATGCAAAATTGCTATTAAATGCTTATTCGGATCGGGCGTCACTTCACTAACGTAGCCACATCATCCCTCAGTTAAGTCAGTCGGTACATGGGTATGAGATACGACTGCACACAAGATAATCAAACACGAAGCATGGACCATGACCCAGCCTGAAACTGGCGTACTGCTTTAAAGATACAGAATTGACCACTTTTCGAGCGCAAAACACAAGCTGATATGAGAACATGCAAGAACAAATATGACACTGGACCGTTGTACATACACCGCCGTAGTTTGATCACAGGTAAACAAGGAGATATAGAGAGAAACCAGAAAAGGAGATACTAGTTGAAAACATCGCTTCATAGTCGTCTGGGAAACGGACATCTCGCCATGTCGAAGGAGACATCAGTGTCCGTATTCTGAAGTTGCAGGAGGCGCCCAATGCTGTCCGTAAGCACCACCATAGCTCGTGTCATAATCATGCATCACTCCTCCGGGAGCAGGAGCGGTGGGGTCATATGCTCCACTGACTCCAGCTCCAGCATGCGAACCGAGGTCATCTATTTCACTCTGTTGCAGAAGGGCATAGTCCTCGTCGCCATCCAGACGAGAACTAGACGCCGCATCATTGACGCGTCCAGAACGGAACTCGTCCTCTTCCTCGTCGAAGTCATGGGCAGGATTCGACGAGAAAGCCGCTTTGGTCTGAGCAGCGAATGTCGGATCCGAGATAGTATCAGGCATAGTTCCCGTGCGACGGAAGTGAGAAACATTTCGCATAGAGAGTAGACTGGTCCCGACGAAGGCGAGGCTGGACAAGACAATGTTAGCAAGATGAAGGAAACCAACATAAGTAGAGCAACTTACAAGATAACGACACCAACGATCGTAGTACCCGTGGCCAGTTTGCATTTGCCAGGGCTGCCATACGCAAAGGCATCGCAACCAGTCTTGTTTTCCTTGGTTTTGTCCTTGCTATTCTTGCTGTCCGATTCGCCCTTGGACTTCCCTTCAGCGACATAGGAAGCAGTACATACCCAGGCGGAGAACCATAGGATGGTGAACAGGCAGTCGATCGTCGCGAAGGCGTAGACATTACCGAACCGCCGAGCACGAGGAAACATCGGGACACCGACCAAGTAGATCAACGCGGGGATCGTAACCCAACACTATAACAGGCAGAAATCCCATTCATTAAAACTTGGATCCCAAAAAAAAAAGAAATCACCGAGAAAGAAAGCTCATGTTCGACCATCCCCGCCGAAAAGAACGTACCAGTGCAAAGTACCAATCTATCCTCCCATCGTTAGAACCAGTCCTTGTGAAAATGGCCACGGTCATAGCCCATGCGATGAATATGACAAATCCTTGGAATCCATGGATAAAGTTCTTTATCCGCGTGGGATTTGCGGACAGTCGTGGTAGTGGCATCTCTGCGCAAGGTGCAGATGGGGTCGATATCAAAGGAAGTCGGCTGCCTTTTATCCTGCCGTTCACAGGTCCCACTCAAGGTCGCCCGAGTAGAGCGAGAGAGCCTTCCACCTCTCACTAGACTTTATCTCCGTAGTTTTCGTCTCTTGCGTCAACAGTGATGTGTCGATAGCGTTTTCAGGCACGAGGATGAGGGGTGATTGTTTACACACGGCAAGGTGAAGCTAGGCAGCCTGTGAGTGTCGCAGAAGAGGAAAAAAATGGAAATGCTCCGCTGCGTAAACCCTCGTATCGATGAAACTGAGAGAAAGAAAAGGGAAGTATAGAGACCTTCAAACGGTTCTTTTGGCGGAAAAAAAAAAGATAGGATGGTGCAAAGGAGTCCACGAAGGCGACGTCAGCTTGTAACACTGGGCTACGAGAGGTGGATTCCGCACTGTCCAGACCAGTTGGCTCGCGCGGACCTCTCGGGCATCTTTTTCCTGTCCAGGAATTGTCCAAGCCACACTTGGCGCTCGCAACGCCGTCTCTCGGGATATATCAGACTAACAGTCAGACTAGACCACAGCGGTCTGTTGCGATGGAGTCACCAGCCACGCCAGGTAGCTCTGAAGAATCAATTGGCTGCTAACTTGCTTCGAATGACGGCCGGGATATGCCCATGTTATCGAATAAGCTATCGCAAACACGAGGCATCACCGTTACATCTATTTATGGAAATGGTGCTTCAGCCACAATCATGGGCATTTTCTGTGCAACTTCAGCTCAGCCCTACAACAGCAGAAAGTCACGCATGACATCTTCGAGACCTCAGAGGCTCAGACCCATGAGTGTAACTACTGGAGAAAAAGCAAGGAGACTACTGTTTTTATATGACACATTAGGTTTGTATGAATAATGACAAAGGAAATCGTCAAGACGTGTCTCTGCGCGCCGTACCATAATCGCGATACGTCGGTACACAGCTTACACTGCAATCGAGCTCATTCCAACGCCACGCTATGCTATCTTCAAACCATGCCAAACACCGCAACATAGGAAAGAAAACCGATAGGAAACACAAAGGGAATATCGAAACAGCGGTCGCAGATACCTATCACCAATCCCATCGCGAGTCATGACGTCTTGGCAGCTTTAGTCGCGTTCGAGAGCTCGTTGAACTCCTTCAGCGGCCGACACACATGCGCTTCCCACCACCAAGGAAGCGGATCGAGTCGCCAGAAGCGCGGGTCCTGCCAGATGAACAGGTGTTCGGTCTGCCTAGCCAAGGAACTGACGACCTTGGAGACCTGGCGCGTCGGCAGGAGCTTGGTAATGTAGCCGTCCACTGTTGTCGAGACGCTGCTGTATTCCTGATGGGTGGTCGACATAAAGGCTTTGATCGGGTCATGTTCGGGCCTGACAGGACCGGCCTTATGGACGCCATTTACGTGCGGGGTTAGCGCTGATAGGTAGGCGGGCGCTAGATTGCTGGTAGGGTCTTGGAGGAGGCTCTTGACCGCAGCCGTGCCCTGCTCACAGTCTCCAATATAGATAACATGCTTGACAGAATTGCCGGTGATCTCTTCATCTACCAGCAGCTTGACTGAGAGATGACCCGTCATCCGGGATCCTCCTTTGGCGGCCAAGGTTTGCATGACATTGTGCATAGCCATCGATAGTCCTTCATCGAGGCGGGATTCTCCAAAACCCGACTCAGAACGTGCGGGGCGTGCCTTGAAAGCCTTTATCTGACCGTGAACCAAGAGCATGTCTGCAAAGTACTCTCCCGCTCGCACTTGCTGGTACAGGGCCCACGGTTCATCCTTGGTGACCTTTATGACGCTTACATCCGAATATGTCTGGCTAGGGGTCCTCTTCGGTAGACTGAGAGCATCAAGTTTGTCTGCTTCCGCGGGTTTCATCTTGCGCATGAGATACGTCTTGGTCGGAGACCGATGTAAGATCTTGTGTACCGCATCTCGAGAACGGACCTGGTGTCTCTCGAGCAGAGGCAGCCCCTTTTCGAAGACCCATTGCGTGAAGGTTTCTTTTTGACTGAAGACGGTTGCTAGATCTGTGCCGAAATGAATGCACTTGCACTCGGTTCTACTCTCGACGATCTCCTTGGCCATAGCGTCCTCTGTGGCCGATGGCATGTCTGAACATGGGATCCAGAGATCGACCTTCTCCCTGTTGATAATGTCGAGAAGACACGACACGTATTGGGGTTTGAGGATGTGATAGTATGCGCTTATGGTTTTCGACATACTACCGGCCGAACGTACGGCGAGATTGCCGACGTCCGCACCTACCACCCGATGGCCCGCATAGTACCAGAGCCGTGCCAGTGCCAGGCCATGCGGTGTGTCCACTCCTGTGATAAGGACCGTCTTGGGATAGAACTGAGCGTCTTGCAAGACAGTATGTCGTCGCAGGTTGGGGCCATCTCCGGGAAGCGGAAGGGACCCCAGCAGATAAGATGCCAGGAGAATCGAGGTATCGATCGGGAGTAGAGCGACTGAGATTGCTATTAGAAACAGGTGGTAGAAAGGATCTGGGACCGAATTATCATGGCAGTCAGCTACGCTTATCGGGAGCGTATCCAGGGCTCGCGCGGCCCGTAGAAAAGCACGTCTGGCCATGGCTGCGGGCGTGCTCGACCTCAACTCTGTAGCGGGTTTGGCTTTGGTTTTCGAGGAAACAGACTCCATCCTGATGGACACGCGGAGGTTAGCTAACAATATATCTGATTCTGTGTCGAGGAGCGGTGACGAGGCAGGGCCGTAGCTGCGATAGTCAAAATAGACAGGTGGGCAAGCAGCAACGTGGACCATTCAGACGCTTGCAGCTGCAACCAACGGATTCGGAACGTCAGGCCGCTTCCTCCAGAGCCGTGTAGCTTTTGGGTTGGCCACTGCTTGTAGTCCGGTCTGCTGCCATCGGGCTTCAATACGTTGCGGAATCATGACGGTTAGGAGATGGAGCTCCATCTATGCGGCCTCATCTGTTGTAGACCTGTCGTGGTTCTAGCGCTGGACCTTTTTGTTTCACATGTCTGCCGTGAAGAGGCGTTGCGCCCGGTATGCCCCATTATTGTCCTGCTCGCAGACAATCGTCTGATCTTGCACTGACAATGCAAGCTGCAAAGCTAGCAGCTTCGAGGAGGCTGGCAATCAACAAAGCTATTTCGAGGTGAGCTCTAGAGTAGTTTGGTCCACTGGGATGGTCGAGCTAAGCAGCCTAACAGCAAAGCCGCCGAGCCGAGTGGAGGCTGGACAACGGCGCGCCAAGATGCGCGAAGATCAGGATTCAAAAGCACGGATGCTCACAGAAGTTAGAATCCAATTCCCAGTGAGCTTATCATTATTCCTGTCCAAGAGGATTAGCAGCTGGCGTAGAAGACAAGACAATCCTACTAGACATGGCTTTTTCCCTGGTCGCAAAAGGCCTGTTGTGTGTGTTGTGACGCAGTGCTCAAGTTTCTGATTCCATAAATTTGTTTCATGCGGCCTCATGCAGCGCGTTTATAGTTGGAAATTTAAGGCAAGCTTCGGCTGCTGATACTAGTCGGCATTCGCAGTTGGCGTCGATCTATATCCACTATACGGAAATCTCGGTTCAGAGAACGGTAATATCCGTGCGACAATCCTGTGGAGTAAATAGGTATCTTAGTGAAAGTACGACTAGAAGGATACTCAAGGTGGTCACCTTTTCTTAGTCCAGTTGGTCAAGATTTCTCCCATCATTCCACGAGGAACGAGCAACAGGGAACCCTTGCGTCCATGTTGGCAATAGATGAGATTTGCTGGGATAGTAACTGATTCTTGATGACCTGTTTCTGTCTGTCAACTGTCAAAGTGACTATCGCAAATAGCAGCCCTGCCTTTGATCAAAGCAAAGCGGACATCCCGCATTCTCCAGAAGGGCAAGCCTGGGTTCCTACTACTGCTACCTGTGCATGTACCTTTAGAGGATATTGTTTAATTCGTGCTTACTACTTACTATAGTGCAGTTCGACGATGGAGAGGCGAGATTCAACTCCTCCATTTCGTCTACAACCAGCCAAATACTTATCGAAGAGATCCGCGGCAACCCACGTAAAGTGTTGGACGTCATCGATGGATTCGCAAAGTCCCAAAAGACCTGATGAATGCCAGCCATGCAAAAGGCAAGACTGTCATTGATTTAACTGTGGAAGCGATGTCTCGCCACGATGCTCGAACTGGGTGTTTAAATTTCGTCGGTTACACCACGATCCTATTTCGAGACGCAGTGTCGCACACGCGGTAAACGATTTCTCCGTATCGAGAGAACCCCCAAGTCTACTTCGTTCGCACATTTATTGGACGCAGGGATCCATCCTCGCACAAGTTGTATACCAGCGGCGAGGTCAAACACGTTGAACTGATGTTCCTCGATCACTACAAGCCTGCCTATACGACCAACCTCAAGCTCTGCGAATACTGTGGCCTGATCTCGTCCGGTACAGTGCTTGCAGCTGACAATGTTCTGATCCCGTGGAATTCGCCGCATCTCGAATACAGAAGGGCCAAGCAATCCGGGACAGAGCCGACAAGGGCTACAACTACGAAGGGATCAAGAAACGCACAAGGAATCAATACAAGAACAAGTAGGAATAACAGCAGCCTGTCCTCGATTTCCCCAGGATTCCCAATATCGTCTACGCAACCACCCTCCACAACAGTTTCGAGCCAACTGGCGAGCCCGTAAGTTCTTACGTTCAATCTCAAACTCTCCTGATATGTACTGTGGACTCATGCACGCTCCAGGATGGTGTCGAAATCACGAAATGTGTCGGCGTAGAACAGGAATCATAATTCCGGAGGATACAGAATACTAATTAATTCCGACCCGGAGAACGTTCCAGCAGGCGTTGCAAGCCACGCGGATAATGATGAGCAGTACCCAAGACGTTGCAATTAGTACAGTTGCTCTTTATCCATTTTTCCATAGCCGACACACGCCATCTCCAGTTGAGATCACATCTACACAAAATTATTAAGCTACGTCGTTTTGTGATGAGATCGGCGATCGACAATATTAATGGATCGAAATGGTTCTCTCTAAGCTGAGCGAGCTAGACCCCGCGCTTTTCATCTCTGCCCCGCTATTGCAAAGCTTCCGGCCGCGTTGACCTGCCCAGCGCCACTGCGACGTGAACCGCGGATTCGTCCATCTGGTATTATTAATTTGCCTAATTAAAGCTCTGCGGTGTACATAGAGATAATCGCGTTTTCCCCGACATATAAAGCTGTTGGTGCTCCCCGGATTTAAAAGGGGTATCAGATATCGCTTTTGTCTTTTTTTTCTCTTTTTTTCCCCCTCAGGGTTATCGTACAATCCAATTCAATCCAGTCCAAAGAAAACGAAAGAAAAAACACAATGGCGTCCAAGACCTGGAATGTCGGAATTATAGGCTACGGTTTCAGTGCCAAGATCTTCCACATTCCTTTCGTCAATGCGCTGCCCGACTACAAGCTATATGCAATTGTGCAGAGAACACCCAAGCCCGATGACGATGCGGAGAAGGACTGGCCGGGTATCAAGTCGTACCGCAGCGCGGAGGAGTTAGTGAAGGATGAGAGTGTCGACGTGGTGATTGTGACGACGGCTCCGGACTCGCATGTTGCTCTGACCAAGCTGGCCCTGGAGGCGGGGAAGCATGGTATGTTTGCCAGCGCGATGGGTTTTCAATATCCGTCGAGGCCAATTGTATGGATGTGGTTGCAATTGACTGATACTGATGATTATTTGCAGTTGTCGTCGAGAAACCCTTCACACCGACCTCCCAGGAAGCAGATGAGCTTGTTGCTCTGGCTAAAAAGCAGAACAAGCTGCTGACGGTTTACCAAAGTTCGTTCTATCTCCCTCACGTCTCCTACTCATCATGTTCTCTCTAACAGACTATCTTTACAGACCGCCGCTGGGACTCTGACTTCGTCACTGCTTCTCAACTCATCAAGAACGGGACTCTGGGCCGTGTCGTTGAATACGAAACTCACTTCGACCGTCATCGTCCCGAAGTCCCTGCTAACTCGACCTCCTGGAAGACACAGATCATTCCCGCGGGTGGTGCCATCTATGACCTGGGCACGCACCTGCTCGACCAGGCATACCACCTGTTCGGAAAGCCAGACAAGGTGACTGGATTCATCGGGACACAGAGAGAGAACAACACGACTGGGTTCGAAGACTCTTTCACAGTGCTGCTGCACTATGCCAAGGGACCTTTGGTGACCGCCAAGGCTGCAGTTGTTAGTCCAGAGGAGAAACAGCTCAGATTCTGGATCCGCGGAGACAAGGCCAGTTACAAGAAGGTAGGCCTTCTAGATATAGCACTACAGATGAGGCCCATACTGACTGCATCGCAACTAGTTCCACCTCGACGTCCAGGAAGACCAGCTCAAGGCGGGCCTCAGACCAGGCAACAACGGCTACGCTGAAGAATCCCCTGACAAATACGGTATGTTTTTATCGCTCTCATATTTCTCCTTCGATCAATACTATTCGCGTAACATTGCTAACATCCCTCTCCATCAGGTGTCCTGACCACCATCAAGGACGGCAAGCCCGTCGCAGAGACCTACCCTACCGTCCAGCCCCCGACATATACCGAATACTACCGCGTCCTTGCCCGCGCTCTTGCTGGCCAGGGCGAAGTCCCCGTCAAGCCTGAGGACTCTAGCGCTGTTATTCGAATTATCGAGCTGGCCAAGGAGAGTTCGAAGCTGGGTAAGACGCTGGATGTTTAATTTGTCACGCCTGTATGTAATGAAATAAAGCGCACAATATACCCTGATTAGGACAATAGATAGCTATGTATATCTTTCTGAAACCTAGCATATAATTCATTATACAATATGAAGTTTCCTGACGTAGAAGCTTTCTTCTAAGCCATATCTATCTAAGTTACAGAATAAGTTAGTAAATCGCAAGCTCTATTTCGGCCCTGCGTCTCCAAATACACTTTGTTTACCAGATTTCCTGCGTACGAAACAACAACCTCATGTTCGCATAGGATCTATAGTTGCTTAAACTGGCTTTGCGCGATAGCCTTCTTGACTCCCACTAATTCAAGCCACTATCGTCGAATAGCCTACAGCTATGAATCGCTCCTAGTCTTTCTTCAATGTTTTCCAGCTCTGAAACACGGCCCGATGTCTCGCGTATATCCGTGCATCCTTGCTCTGTGCATTCTTCCCGTCAGGCCCGCGTACCAGTCTTCATAGACCCATGCCTTAGATGCAATTTCCTCGGGAGTGTCGGCCATCTCCTTCGCAGTAGCATCATTGGGAGTCCTGCAGTCTATGTTAGACCCAGGGAGACCAACAAACTCTTCTCCTTTTTGGTCGAGCGGTATGGAGTTCCTATAGTATATATTGGTGTCTTGTATTTCCACTGTTTGCATAACCAACTTTTTCTTGAAGCTGTGGTAAAAGAATTTCTCAAAGTTGCTTTGGCTCCCGCCCTGCACCATCAACTATATGTGAATGTCATCTTTTATTGACATCATATTGCCCTGCAGGAACCTTGCGTGTATCTGGCGTGCGTGGGGTGATTGAATCCTTCTCTCGTACTGCGATAATACGCTCCGATGCTTTAAAAAGAACACCTCTATGGTTCTCCAGCGTTGTTTTTTTTTTTTCTTGCAACTTCAGGAAAGAGCTTGTTCTTTCGATAATATATCCTCGGAAGTTTCAGTCGCCCACCATTGTCGAAAGGTTATTGGTATTTTGCACTGGATCAGTGCTGCTTCCTAGTCCGGGGTCTTCGTCTGATGGCCGGTGAAAATTCCAATCTCCCTCGGGAGTATATGCATAGTCCATGAATTCGTCAAATATTGCTATATCCCTATTGATTGTCGGCTGCAGCTATGGCGCCGCCATTAGGCGCGAAGATCTAAGTTCTTGTACGTCGTAGCGTACGTCGTAGCGGTAAGCGGTATAAATAAATCAACTCGAGAAAAAGTTCGTGCGCCTGTCTGCGCTATACAGGATTGCATTAATGCACAAAGGAGAGGAAGAGGAGGCAAATGAGTCGTGGATACTATGACGCTATGCGGCATTCGAATTGATCAGAGGTATTGAAAGGACAAAACGTATAAGATACTTCTGATTCAACGGGCTCAATAGTGCAAAAGCAAAGGAAAATGGAAATGAGGAGAGAGGATGAGAGGCAGTCCCGAGATCCAAAAAAAATCAATGGAGTGAATTGTTAGGAAATGGCAGATGATGGAAGAGGCAGCCGCGGTTTTGATCTTTAACTCTATTGTGAATGACACAAAATTCAGTGATTATGTGAAATGTGAAATACACAAATAAGAAAGTTCCAAGGCTACTTCGGAATTTTTTTTTTATCTTCTTCTTTCTTCCTATGGAATGGTAATGGTAGATGAGACAATCAGTATTTCGGGCGCCCTCCCGCTTTCGCAAATAACGGGACAAAGCAGGCTTGTCCAATGACTACAGAACAAAACAACCTTAATTTTTTTACTTTTCTATTTTCATGAGCCTTTAGCAATGATTCTGGGTAGCCCTGGCACTTGATGCCTATTTGAGCATTCTATTTACTGTTAAATGTCACGTGATGCTAGACGATATCTTCAGACGCCGCGGTAGAGATAAATTTCACTGGTCATATCTCACATTGTCCCAAATCTACCGCAGAATCATATCCCAAAGGGCATATAACTACTGCTTGTAGCCTTAGGTCATCTGTCGGACCAGTCTCTAAGTAGTCGCAATGGCTCCTCCGCGCCCCGACCGCGTCGCTAGCATCATGCTGTCGTGGCACTCGCTCGACCTCGTCTCATGTACTAACGTAATTCCCTGCCGACCGGGTCACCCGCCCGGCCGGGTCACCTCTACCACCTAAATGAAATATTATATGATTTTATACCCAAATAGCAGCGTAATTTAACAATTTCTAATCGCTATATTAAACTAGGGCATCTAACCCTCGTATGACCCCTAGTATTACAATTTAAACATATCGGCGGAGCTCGCTAGCGCTGCTGTACAGTCATAGTGCCTAATCCTTCTACAGTACTAATAGCAGCTTCAGTCGCTTCAGCATTGCTCGCTATTAAAGCTTAACCTTCTTCAATAAATAAACCCTATAGAGGACCCATTTAACACTTAGATCGTTGCTTTTTTTGCTGTAATTCATCATTAGCTAAGCGTAGATTCCGGATCTCTGCTGCCATAAGCGTTTTCTCGCTCACTAGGCATTCATATCATTAAATAAAACGATCTAGAACTAACTGGCTAGAAGACAGAGGACTCTAGGTTCATCTTCTAAGCAAGCTTTAAATCATCATCCAATACTTCTCCAAATCCTTCCGATTTCACAGCGTCTTAGATAGGGAAATACTAGAAGCAGTTAACTGAGTTCCTGGTAGAGTAGGAGACTTTAATTAAATAGTAAACCGTCCAAGCACTTCCTCTAAATTAAAAGGGACTATGCCAGTAGCTCTAAATCCGCTTTTAATAATATCCAAAGTAAATGATTTCATATGAGCTCCAGGGTAAATGCTTAGGAAGTCAAGCTTATCAATATGGTTAAATCCTTATCGTTACTTATCCTGAACTAGGCAACTATACGCCCCTTTTAAAGGACCGAAACAGCTGACATCTAGAGGTTAACAATAAGCTGACAAATACGCTGGCATACAGATTGAAATAATATTATTTTCACTACATATTTTATCAAATTCCGGGGTTAAATAACTGCCGTGCCCATCTAGAATAAGGAGGCTATACTGCCCAGTTCTTCAATAAACTGTTTAAGATATAAAAACCTTTTAAAGCCAGCGTAGACTAATCTGATCTATAGTCTAGCCATTATCGCTAATTTCAATTCTCCAATCCTTTGGTATATTAGAATCCTCATACCAAGCTTACATATAGGTCTTCACTTTAAAAATAATACATAAAGATAGAGCCCATCCTATAGCGTTGACGCATTCAATTAACATAACCCATTCGCGATTCCCTGGCTGAACGACTTAACATCTTCCATAATATTCAGCTTATATTACTACCTTGGCAGTAGCAGTAAGGCCCATAGCATATCCAGTTTCATCAAAGTTATAGATATCTTCATCCGCGATTCCATATTACATTCTAGTAATTTAAATACAGTCAAACCAGGGTTTAATTATCTTCAGATCTTCGCATTTAGCTTATTTATAGGTATATCATCTGGAGTAAACAGTCTTTAGCTCAGTATAACATTTAATAAAAGCAGAAGCCCAGTTCTTGCCCAGCTGAATCTCGCTATCTTAGTCCATAAGAAGACTCGCCATGCCTCAAACCTAGATAGGTCGGGGACTTACTCCACATTAATCCATAAATAATATCTATTGTACAAACAATTCCTCCTATAATTTAGACAATATAAACACGTTATTTTATATATCATCACAAAACTGACGCCCTTATAATCGCGCTTGGAGAGTTATATAGGGAACTTCAAAAATCAATGCTGCTTTTTATATAGACAGAATTTAATTTTCATTTAAAGCCTAAATTGCTAATAGGACCCTCCCCTCTTGCTCAGTCAAATCTCTAGATGATTTAGGCTTTTTTGGTGGCATAGTGGGTGGTTAAATAAAACTGATTTAATGATCGCGAAGAAAGCTTGAGGGGTGACCCGGCCGGGCGGGTGACCCGGTCGGCAGGGAATTACGTTATCTTACAGACGTTGTGGGCAGGTTACGGACACATCTGCGCAATTACCGCCCGAGCTACCACCGACGAAGTCGCAGGGCATCTTAGCAAGCTTTGCGGGGTTGGATCAGGAGCCGCGGGGACCACTTATCCTCTGATCCTGAAGCTCATCTCACCTCCAAAGAAAAGCGCTGGCTATGAAGATAAAGATGAGGGCCATCTGCGAAAGATGCTGAGTTACGAGGTGGAGCAGTTCTTTTACAGTGAGGTGGTTCCGCTGCTGGGCGACGAGATTGCTGTTGCCAAATGTCTTGCCTCGACGCGAGGCATGGACGGCAAGGAAGGCGAGGAGGAACTGCGAGGTCTGATGGCTACCATCATGGTCGATCTGCGTCCAAGGTTTCCAGTCGCAGGCGAAAAGAGGGGCGAACTGAACCGTACACAAGTGCATGGGGCGTTAGACTGGCTGGCCGGCTTCCACCGCCGTTCATGGGAACTGCTGCCAGATAGTCTTGATATTGACAAGTATGTCTTGCCACCGCTTGAAGAATCCAGTAGAAGACAGAGCGCAGCCAAGGATATTGAGAGCGGGCTGTGGCTCAACGGAGGGTACACGTACCTTGCGACACGACGTAAAGAATACGCTTCTCTAGCTCAAGATACAGAGTCGGAGTGGTCAGAAGCCCTGTGCAAGGCTCCGGAAGGCTCCTCATTATCTGTCGCTGAGATGGTTGCTTTATTTCTCACCCCCTGTGGAAGGTCGATTGAGTCGTATATTCATGGCGACGTCAAGTCGGAGAATCTCTTCACAACAACTAATGGAGACGGGGTGGCATTCTTTGACTTCCAATACATCGGGCTGGGTCTGGGAGTCTGTGACCTCGCTAAACTGTTTACATGCTCGGTTCCTCTGCATATGCTTGTTGATGCCAACGAGCCTTTGCCCGAGCAGCTGACGATGCGTGATGGCGAGAGGCGACTGTTAAAGCGGTACCACACGATTCTCCTCCGGGATAAGGAACCAGCCCGGTATGAATGGGAAACATTCATACGACACTGGGAAACGGCCCTGGTTGACTGGTGCAGATTCCAGGCTTCCTGGGGCTTTTGGGGAAATACTGAATGGCTTGAGGCCCGTGTGAGATCGATTTTGAGCGACCCGGAGTGGAGAGAATGGCTGCATCAGAACATCAGCAGTCGGGATGGTTGATATGAGATTCCAATCCCAATAAAGCAATTGGAGTTTCGAGGGCTTGAGCAGTACATTTTCACACACTTACTAAATGGTTAGTGTTCAGCACAGTTCACGGGTCTGCCGAGTTCCAGCTCGCCGTGGTTCGAATTAGAATATATATCAAGGTACATATAAGCTCGCAAGTAATTAGAAACGAATAGATCAAATAGTTAATACTTAAACTAGTTATGAAATCTCTATTTATTAGTTTCAGACTGCAGAACAGGCTAATATAAGTAAGCTGGTCTCATCGAGTTTCCTGAAACTAAACTCTGCCTGCTAATACTGGTTGCATCAAGAATTCGTCATGTGCGAGTTCCTCTGCAGTCGGCCGTTCATCAGGCAACCAACATAATATCTTCTGCACAAAGTTCAGAAATAACTGTTTATCTTCCCGTTCTTGATTTCTCTGGCATCGATACAGAACCTTCCAGTTGCCTGCAACAGAACTGCAAGAGGAGAGATCCAAATTATGGATGGAAGAAAATACCTTGTATATCCCAGTATTGGTAACATTTCTTGCTCCTTTGCAGAAACCCCAAGGGTGGTGGCTCTATCAAAGAAACCATGTCAGCTGAATGTTGTTCATCGTCGAGGAGTCCTTTGTTCTTTGCGAAAAAAGAGGTGGCATCATTCCACTAGGTCCTAAGCCCTAAGGCATCTATCAGTGTTCATGTCCGATTCTGAAGACCAGAAATAATCTAGACGCAACGTACCATAGTCGCAATTGATCATAGATCAACCTTCCACTGAATCTCGAGCGTCGTAGATGTGTGTTCTTGCGTGAAGATTTCGTGTTACTGCGTTGACATAACTGCCAAAAGTTATGTTTCAGCGTATAGTCTACGATACTCATCAGTGTTACCAACTCGTAATTTGAAGAGTAAGCATTGAGATCGAGTTATCTCACTAGTAGGTACCTATTAATACGTTTGCAGATGAGTTCTACTGGATCTCGTGAGATAAGTTAGTTCCAGAATTTTCACGGGCACTTTACAATTTAATATACTCCGAATTTATATTAAGCTCATACTAAATAAAACTTTGATATAGGCTCATTATTTACTTTAGGAAGGCGGAAAATAATAATAGAATTTAGAACTATACCAAGGAATCTTTTAAACACGCCGTAATTACTTACCGTCTGCGGACTGGCAAATTGACTCGGATGCCAATGCCGGGATACTTAAGTACCCCGGATTGCCGACTACCTAGTGCCCGTCCTGGCGCCTAAGAGAACCCCCTGAAAGAAATAATTCAAGAGACTCGATCATGATCTTTTCTTCTCTTCTCTTCTCTTCTCTTTCCTTGACCGATGCGGGGAAATAATAATAATGCCCTGTTCTCTATACAATATTCCCCTCATCTCCGCGGAAAAGTTCGCCAGGGACTTTAAGTACGCGGGCCGAGATGTACTCTAAGCTGAATCCGGAGTTTCTGTTACCAAACACCAAGCGCGCTGACTGGCTTCTGCTCGTTTTTCTCACGAAGATCGGCCGCCAGTGATTATAACTAAACCTACCAGATGTCCTGGCTGTGACGTGAGGGGAAGAAAACCTGAATAATGATTATTGAAGGCCAAAACGCGCCGCCCCAAGAACAATAATAATGGCAAAATGCTGTCCCAGATGCCCGTTCTCCTGGAAGACCCCGAGGGATGATGCGAGAGGAGGCCTTTTCCTGCAAGCGGAAGGTTCTGGGTCGGTACTTCTAGTGCCTGGTTCTTTTATAGGAGTCATCCCTGACGATGATAATTACCTTTCCTTCGATTGATTGATTGATTCCTTGAACGAACACCAATCCCCTATCCACTAGGTGCTCATCTGCTCCCCGACAATCAACAGTCGGTGGCCATGTGGTTACCCGATGCGGCCAGCTGGAATATTGATATTGATCGGTACCTGAACCCTTTTCTTCCACCTCCGCCGTGGAAGTACCTGCCCTATCCCGTCTCGTGGTGGTTTGGGTACCGGAAGAACCCCCCTCGTGCACTGGGAAATGTCCTGATCGCTTTCTGGTCCTGCATCGGGATCTTTTGTGGAATCCTCTTGATCGAGGGCGTGTCGCGCCATGTGCAGGTGTTTCGGGACCATGGAGCGCCAATAATCGTAGCCAGTTTCGTAAGTTACCTGTCGTCTCTCTTCGGATCTCCTGTCGTTGCCCCGTTGCGGGCGGGTGAAGAGGTTGTATAATACTCATTCCTCCGGTCATGTACTTAGGGCGCGGGCGCTGTACTGCACTTTTCTGCTATCGAATCACCTCTGGCGCAGCCCCGAAGCGCTATCCTGGGCCAACTCATCGCCTCAGTCATCGGGGTCGGTATTGCCAAGTTATTTGCCCTGAACCCAGACGCGGAGAATCTGCGCTGGATCGCCGGAGCCTTAGCATGCGCCGCAGCCACCGTTGTTATGATTTTGACCAAAACCATCCATCCGCCCGCGGGCTCGACCGCTCTCCTGGCAGCTGTCGACGAGAACACGTTGGCACTCGGATGGTTGCTCGTTCCCATTATGCTGCTGGGTTGTGCGTTGATGCTGGCCGCAGCGTTGGTCGTGAACAACCTCCAACGACGCTTTCCTTCTTTCTGGTGGACGCCGGAGGACTTGACGAGACAGAAGCCGTCTGATCTGGAGAAGACGGAGACCAAATACGAACCCTCTCTGGGGAGCAGTAGTTCCCCGACGGAGACGCCAGAAGTGCAGTTGATCATTCGGAAGGGGGAAGTGATTGCGCCAGAGGGGTTTTATTTGACGGACGAAGAGCGACAGTATCTGGAAAGTCTTGTTGAACGAACATAATAGTTAATATCTGTGATTATATATATATATATATATATATTATATACTATATATACGTTAATAAATTGATGGCCACGAAACCGAGATATCTTTCCCTTTAAGCAATGGATCAGCAGATGTTTTCGTCCCTTCAGTCTCCAATACGCTAGCTATAGCCTGATGGGTAGTATCCTTCCAGATATAGGGTAATTAATTTACAGATCTAGATAGACATCGAATATTGTCAACTACCATATGGTCCATCCAATGCGATCTATGGTATATCAGTTTGCCACTTCACGTGCGCTGGCGGTGACGTCTCTCGGCCAGTCAGCGATCAACCCACAGACGGGCGAATTCTCACAGATTCTCTCGCTTTTCCTCTTCTCTCCAGAATCTCTTCCTCTCCCACTTGCCTCCACACACACAGTTGGAGATAGGCATCAGATTCCATCGAGTCCTGCCAGCGTGTTGAGGACTCCCTATTCTCTCCATCCTTATTATTTCTTTTCCTTGTGTTGCGTGCTGTCTTTGCATCCTTGCCCCTCCTCTACTTATTGGGCAGGGTCCCTCGCTTCGTCTATCGATAAGGCTTTTTTCCTACTCTAACAAACCCCACTCGAGGTTTTCAGCCCCCTCCGATTTGAATTCTCGTTTTCACCCCGCCATAGATCCACTTTCTCGAGGCGCTTTTTCTTCCTCGCTGCCTTGACCTCACAACGTCTTTTCTTCGCTTGTGATCTCTTCCCATTCCCCCTAGAGGCGTTTATCCTGATCCCCAGTCAAGATGGTTTCTGCGTCCAAGGCTGCCCGTCAGGCCAAGCGTGCCGCCGAAGGTGGCGAGAAGAAGACTTCGAAGCTGGCCGCGAAGAAGGCTGCCCAGAACCCCGAACTCAATGAGGCCGACGGCAACCCTCTTCCAGGTGATGAGGCTGCCACGTCGTCCGACAAGATGAAGGCCGTCGACAAGTTGGCATCGCAGGTGGACAAGTTTGGTCTGTCCGATCGTGTCACCACCGGTGTCCTGTCCTCCATGCCGTCGTCCCGCGATATCAAGATCACCTCTTCCTCCTTGGTGTTCCACGGAAAAGTGCTCTTCAACGACTCTACACTCGAGCTGAACTATGGCCGTCGCTACGGTCTGCTGGGTGAGAACGGTTGCGGAAAGTCCACCCTGCTGAAGGCCATTGACAAGCGCGAATTCCCCATCCCCGAGCACATCGACATCTACCTTCTCAACGAGGGTGCGCCACCCAGTGACCTCGGTGCATTGGATTGGGTTGTGAAGGAGGCTGAGAACGAGATGGAGCGTCTGGACAAGTTGGCTGAAGAGATTCTGGAACGGGATGGTCCCGAGTCCCCCGTTCTGGAGGACCTGTACGAGGTACGTAGCAGATGCCCCATAATCCGTCAGAATGCACTACTGACTTTGCGCAGCGTATGGAAACCATGGACCCCTCGACCTTCCACACCCGTGCATCCCTTATCTTGACTGGTCTCGGTTTCAACAAGACCACCATCACCAAGAAGACCAAGGACATGTCTGGTGGTTGGCGAATGCGTGTTGCCCTCGGTAAGGCTTTGTTCGTCAAGCCCTCTCTGCTGCTGCTCGACGACCCCACCGCCCATTTGGACCTGGAGGCATGCGTGTGGCTTGAGGAGTACCTGAAGAAGTGGGATCGCACCCTGGTCCTGGTGTCTCACTCCATGGACTTCCTCAACGGTGTCTGTACCAACATGATCGATATGCGTCAGCAGAAGCTGCTGTACTACGGTGGTAACTACGACTCTTACCACAAGACCCGCTCCGAGCAGGAGACGAACCAGATGAAGGCCTACGCCAAGCAGCAGGAGGAAATTGCCCACATCAAGAAGTTCATCGCCTCCGCCGGTACTTACGCCAACTTGGTCCGACAGGCCAAGTCCCGTCAAAAGATCCTGGACAAGATGGAGGCCGACGGTTTCATCCAGCCCGTCATCCCAGACAGAGTCTTCACCTTCCGTTTCGCCGATGTCGAGAAGCTGCCGCCCCCCGTCCTCTCGTTCGACGACGTTACCTTCTCTTATTCCGGTAAGATGGAGGACACCTTGTACGAGCACCTCGACTTCGGTGTCGACATGGACTCCCGAACTGCTCTTGTCGGTCCCAACGGTGTTGGCAAGTCCACCCTGCTGCGTCTGATGACCGGAAAGCTGAGCCCTATCAGTGGTCGTGTCCAACGTCACACCCACTTGAAGCTGGGTATGTACAGTCAGCACTCCGCCGAGCAGCTAGACTTGACCAAGTCCGCTCTCGAGTTCGTCCGTGACAAGTTCCCCGAGAAGAGTCAGGACTTCCAGTACTGGCGTCAGCAGCTTGGTCGGTACGGTCTGACCGGTGAAGCTCAGACTGCACTGATGGGCACTCTGTCCGAGGGTCAGAAGAGTCGTATTGTCTTCGCCCTGCTGGCCATCGAGTCTCCAAACATGCTGCTTCTGGACGAGCCTACCAACGGTCTCGATATTCCTACCATTGACAGTCTGGCGGATGCTATCAACGCGTTCAACGGAGGTGTCGTCGTTGTCTCTCACGACTTCAGGTACGTTCCTATCCAATGGCCGTTTGTTTCTAGAATACGATGCTAATTTCTTCGCAGACTTCTCGACAAGATTGCTAAGGACATCATGGTCTGTGAGAACAAGACTATTCGCCGCTGGGATGGCAGTATCGGAGAGTACAAGAACTACCTCCGCAAGAAGATGATCAACCAGGGCCAGGTCTAAAAGGGCCGAGATCGATTAGACCAACAATTGACGAAATTGAGAAGAGCACACAGCCGTGGTACGGCTCTTCCACACGCCTCCATGACGATCTCCTATATCGACGTGGGAAGGAGGTGAAATCGTGCTGTCTCCCACCTTGTCGCCACCCTCGGATAAAGGCTCATCTCGAGAGCCCCTTTTCGTCCGGTTTCTTTTTTGGTACATTGCGATGCTTGTTTACGGATAGACTACTGCTGTTGGGATCTGTTTCTTTGCTTCTCAATTATAGGATGAACCGCTCATAGGTTTGCGAGCGCTTATTCCCCTTCTCTCACGGAAGTTACGAGTATTCCTGGGTATGAGAGGAGCGATGGGATTCCAATCCTCGTTTCTCTGCGCGGACGTTCGGATGGCGGTGATGGAATCGGGGCTGGAAGATGTCGTGCACCCTGTGTATGGTATAGCCTGAAATAGATGGGCTAGACTGAGATAATAATTTGCAGAGACAGTTACGGTCTCTGCTCCGGAAAAGTCAATATTACAGGTTCAAGTTTAACAAATAGTCTCGGAGATCATCTACTGTAGCGGCTATGAGTCAGTTGTACGTCGACGCCATTTACAATCACCATGTTTTTTTATCGATGAATCAGGTGCCATCAGGTGCAATGATTCTACTACAAAATACTCCCAGAACAGCTAGATGCGGGGAATTAGGTTATAGCTCTTGCAGCAGCTGGGAAATAGGATGGGAAGGACGACCCTGATTGATAAAGCTGGTTTGCTCTATGGTTTACTACTATTTCGTTCTTGTCAGATTACACTCTCGAGTGGTGGGGCTTGAAAGAAGGCACAGTCGTTGATGACGGTTGTGTTAGACGGATCTCTTTCAACTAGCAATCCACTGAAACATCTACAAACTCACGGTCCATTGAGCGTGTACCTAGAACTGAATCCTATTCGATTCCTAGCTGATGTGTCCAGCAACCGGAGGCTCTGGTGTTCTCTGTTGAATCACCCGGTTAGATTCTAATAATGACAGCTAACGAATCCACTTCCATTAACTTATTACTGACATACTTTTATCCGGGAAGGGATGGATGTTCATTAAACTAATGTGAGATCTCATTCTTGACAATAACTAGCAGCAACAAATAATCAGTCAGGCTTTCGTAACATGCGTCCATCGGTCCATCTACAAAGAGACCACAAGCTTCTTCGCGGAGACCCCTTTCTTCAGCGTATCAAGCCCGCTCTGCACAGACTCGAGACCATTTCCAACCGTAACCGTCTCCAAAGGAATAAACCGCCCATCAGCAAGAGCGGCAGGCAGGTAGTCGTGGAAGACAGCCTTGCCAACAGCATTGTCTTTGATGGTCGTTGCAAGAACCGGTTTTACGATCACTGTCTCAGAAATGCCATCTGGAACCCCAGACACGGTAGCCAGTATTTTGATACCTTTCAACTTGGATACCACCTCAGCCGCAGCCTGAACTGCTCCGCCGCTATTAACAGCATCCAACCCCCCGACAAAAGCCTTTGAACTGAGAATACCCACCAGATCCTCGACTACATTCGAGCTGTTATAGTCCACCACCTCACTGGCACCGAGTTTCTTCACGAGATCGAAATTCTTCGGCGAAGCAGTAGTGACCACTTCGTATCCCGCGGCAACAGCGAGCTGAATAGCACTAGAACCCACAACAGACGCACCACCCCAAATCAAAACCGTATCGCCATTCTTCGACACTGGCGTCGTAGACGCAGACGGGTACCTCAGCGCCAAATATCCTTCTTGAAACAACCCCGCCGCAGCAGTAGCCACTCCCAACGGGACACCCGCAGCAGTCTCAAAGGACACATTCTTCGGTATGCCAGAGGCGATAGAATCCTCCACGATTGTATACTGCTGAAACCCAGCTTCGCTATTCCTCTTCGTTAAGAAAGAAGCAGTAAGGCCGAAGACACGATCACCCTTTTTAAAACGAGTCACATCGCTACCGACCTCAAATACCGTACCGGCAACTTCTTCACCAAGTATAACGGGATACACGAATGGGATGAAGGCAAATGACTGGATCATGTAGTCGATGTGGTTCAGACCCAGCGCAGCGTTCTGGACGACGATCTCATTGGCTCCTGGGGAGGTGTATGGTGCTGGATTGACTTGGAGAGGGTATGCTTTGGCTTCGGTAAGCCAGGCTGCTTTGTTGGTGGGCATTGCTTTTCTTTTTTTGGTAAAGGAAAGAGGAAAGATATAAAGTATGGCTCTGAGAGAAGTAATGGATGGATGGATTCTCCGTGGGGAGTTTCGTGTGTTTGGTTTAAATGGATATATCTGAATCTTCTTACATTCCTTCCGAGAAAGGGCAGTCATCATGACATTTATATCTTCCGGTTAGTTAGTTGACCATAAAGCTTACAAAGATAAATCAACTAACTAACTAACTGAATCCCCACGGATTCAAACAAATATACAGCAATAGCAAAAAAATCAAGGCGATAATTTCCCATTTAGGAAATCCATCATATCCGACCAAACGCTCACTGAGCGGGCTCGCTCGCTGTTATCGGCATACTTAACTACCTAGCTGCAGGCTGACATCTCGGCGATAACAAAAACCCCGACATCATCATCATCATTCTAACTCCGCGCCACAATCCTGATTTGTAACCCATAGATAAACCCTAACTATATCTGATCTGACCTGATCTCTAATGTTCTTCCAACCGGCCATAATTCCCACTTCTAGAAACACACTCTAGTTAGATAAATAAATTAACCCCGAGGCATTCGGACTTCGGGGGCTCGGATGTAGTTGCTTTTACCTTTGTGAACTACTGTTTTAGCGGTATTTTATTCTAGCGCCATGTTGAGGAGGGAGCTAGGTAGGTAGCTCGGATCCGGATCTGGATCTGGATCTGGAGGGGAAGATGGTACGTATTGGAATTATCTAGCTAATGTATGTGCTAATAATAGATATAGTGCGGTATGGTCTGCTTTGGCGTGGTATGTTTATTGTGGTGTGGTGTGTGATGGGAGAGATGAGATCGATAAATATAGTTTCCTGCGTAGGTAGAGTGTGGATATGACGCAATGGTTCAAAAACGTTTTTCTGTTCTATGGGGAGAAGGGCGGCTTTCTACGTTTGGGAGCGGGGTGGGTGGTATCTCTCTGATGTATATTATTTATTACAAGGAGATGGAATGGTTTGACTTGTTGATCGGGAATATCACGCAAGAGTCTTTTACTTCCTCGAATATTCGTCTACATGTGCTGCTTCACAGAAATTATTGCAATGAGAGTTTGGAGAACCCCAGTGATATTATAGTGATAGTAAAGTTGATAATAATAACAAGAGATGAAGGTTATATAGTCGCTACATCGTGTCTGCATAATGTCTGATATCACCCCTCCGTGCTCTCCCTTGACCCTTCTGCGTTTTGCTGTTTCACACGTTGCATAACAATGTCACCTCCAAACAGATCTCGGGCCTCTTTCTCCCTCTTCTCTCTCTCAAGCCGTCGCTTCTTCGCAGCGCGCTCCATCTCGCTTTCAGAGACGCCTTCTGACACGGCACCACTGCCGGCTGCCGAGGGAGTGACGCCAGTGCTGGAGTTCCCCGAGTCACGCTTCTTCGCGCGGTTTAGACCCACCAGATCAATCTTCTCCGGATTCTGGCACTGATAGAGCTTCTTTCCGATTCGTTTGAGGGACTTCATTTTGTCTGGATCGGAGGAGAGCGGTTTGTATGACCCCAGAAGCGTACTGCAATCCGCTAGTCTGACAGAGAGCTTCTGGCGGATTATGGCTATCGGATCTGTAGGCTCTGCTGCAATCCCTTCAGCAACAAGCCCAAGCTTAGTGTTGAGGTAGAATTCTGCGAGAGGCCGGTCCGCGAGGAGGAATGCAGACAACCAGATCTGCGACGGCGTGTAGAGGAAATAGGCATCTGTCATTTGAGCAGCTGTCTTGAGGATTTCGCGGGTGTTGTGATGTGCCCTGCGGATGCGGTCCACGAGAGGAGGAGGCTTCTTATCTGCAGGTAGGTCTGGTGGTGGTGGTATCGAATGTAGCGCACGCTTCAGACTGTCTGCCGTCTGTGTCGGTTGATGCGGTGCCGGCCTTCCCTCACCCTGTGCGATGGCCTCTAGTTCCATAATTCCTCCCTCCAGGCCGCGGAAAGGATGTCGCACGTCGAATGTAAATCGTAATCCTTGAGTGAGAAGGAACTCAGGCGCAATGACGTCTTCTGCGGTGTTTTTTCCAGGAATACCATCGGCGAAGGATCGTAGAGACATGTAGTAATTTTCCGTCTTGGTAGCGAGGAACAGGGCGCAGGCCATTATGGATTTCGGATGGTAGGTCATGGGTGAGTTTGTCAGGTAGAATCGACGAAGATATTGGATCGCAGTTGCCTGTTTGAGAAGGGCTTTTATCAGTAACGAAGTCCTAGAGAAACAGGTCTTGATGAGGCTGTTCTGAGATCGCTAGTAACTTACCCTGACGATTGTTGGCAGCGGCGGCTTGTAGGTCTCCCCCAGCTCCAGCGTCTTTTCACAGTAATAGCCAACCAATTCTAACTCCTCCTGAGGTGTCAAGCACTCGATCTCCTTCTCCGGACCACCTTCTGTCTTTGCCTCTGCATCGCCGGGGGTGGGCGTTCCCGCTGCAGAGGGACCCTCTGTAGCGGACTGTCGTGCCTGGCGTGCTCGCCGCAACGCTGCGCGGACCCTGTCACCTGCGAGAGCATTGGTGCTACTGCGAAGGGAAGCTAGGGAGTCCTGTGTGAAGGACCATAGTCGGAACTGCGTCGAGGAACGGTAGATCTCGTCTTCGATCATGACTGATAGTCTCGCCAGTACTCTGCGATATGTGTCGATCACAGGGTGTAATCGAGGAAGCACGAATTCCGAGACTGAACAGGATTATAACTATAAGGATGTCATGATCTCATGTGTGTTGTTTTTCTTTTTTAACTGCTGCAGCGACCAACCCGTTCAAAGTGGCCTCCTGCGGCTGGGTTGGAGATCGAAGGGAGAAATGTGCTTATCGATACGGGAGCTTGGATCCCGCTTGAGCTTCCACCGCCTTACTTAGCTCAAGTGACAGTCAGGACGACATTATGGATACACCGAACCATTTATTTGCTCCATTCATCACATTCAATTCATTCGTTACATGAGAATCAGACTAAATACAGCTGGCATGAGATCAGAGGAAATTGGATCTAGCACTAAATGTGCAAACGCCACAGGAACGTCATTTCGCCAGGCACCATACGCTCGACCAGCACCCATGGATTTGTACCTTTCGAAGTACCCAAGTATATTTCGATGCAAATTCGTTACTGCGTGGATTAGGCCTCGCCCAGAAGTCGCGCGGTAATATCGCCCATATAAGCCTCTTCTAACTCATAGTCCTCCCCGCCCATGGGGTCGATCCCGACGTACTTGAAGGCCGCTACGACCCTGTCGACGTCGAAGCCCATACTGACGAAGCGATCGATCAAGTCTTTATTGTATCCATCATACCTGGAGGGTTTGTTAGCAAAGGAAACCGACTCTACATAGAATATTGGCGTCATACTTGGCGAGTTCATCCCGCTCCTGTTCCTCTTTTGATTTGATCTCCTGTTGTCGGATAGATTCGCTTGTTGCACCACCACTGCCCTCAGCTATCTGCTTCTTTGGAGCTCCTGCGTAAACGACGGCCCACTCCCTTGCGACTCGTTCAAACTCCCTTGGATTCCGTAAAAGCATATTGGCGACTTCCGCATCCTGCGGGTCTTTCGGTTCCGGGGTGCTAAGCAACGACTGCAGGGAAAGAAGAGCTGACTTGATCGTCAGGACGGGGGACCAAGCCGAGGAGAGGGTATCGAGACAGATTGCTCCCTGGGCAGTAGTGAACCCGTCAGCCATCGATGCGCTTCTCAATAATAATTCTCAGAGGCAAATTTAACAGTGGCCTACCGTCTGACTGCTGACATTGGGATGCCAGACCTTGGTCTCGAACTTCATGATCGGAGGGCGGAATGGGTATTCATTGGGTATCCTGATGTCGACAAAATAAGTGCCATCCTCGTAGGGAGTACCTGGAGGACCTTTGAAGGAGCCCCGGATATGAGTGAGGTCGTCCCCACCCCCTAGTGGTTCAGCTGTGACTTGCGAATGTGTATCCGCATGGATGTCTGCGATTTCTTTCGCGATACGGCGGTTGCGATTGGAAGCCATGGCGTCAGAGTCGTTGCAGACAGCGGAACCTTTCGACTGAGAAGGACGTCTCCAAAAAGACTTGAGAGCGGTTTAGATGAAGTATCTGACAGAGGCTCTCGAGTAGGCAGCACCGGTTGGATCGCCAGCTAAGGCAGACACGCTTCCAGCCCAATCTGCGTGTAGACTTAAGTTTATTAGCGGGGTTCTCAAACTAGAAAAGCAGTGAACTGCAGACGGCATAAAGTACGGTGAATATGACATCGATTGTTCAGATTGCGATGGTACGATGCAGGTGGAAACTACAAGAATAAATAGCGACGGTTCGAGGGCCGTTCCGTACCTTCAGGTGACCGTGACTGGGCGGAAATAAGCGCTGTGCAACTCCGCAGGCCTGAGTCAACTCACAAGAATAATAATAACTAGATATCTGTAGGAAATCCCTCCAGGATGCGTTAGTGGCGCGCTAGGAGTATGCACCTACAACTCGAGGACGGGATACTCGAGGAGGGGATAATTAGGCGTAATTCAGAGAGAAATCCAATCCAATCTTGGCGGGACGAGGAATACTGAGCTGGCGGACGATAAGCGGCAGAGTGACGCAGCCGTCGCTGACTGGGGTCACGTGCCACAGCTGCCCGGCGATGGCGACTTGACCGGACAGCTTGAGCTTCTGACAAACACCACTGCTCCTAGCTGCAACAACCATCACAACCCTCGATCCAGCCATCCTGCCAGAGACAGGAGAAGTCCCTCTGGCTTGCTGCTGATCTGTTTGCTCTGATTTTGTATCCTGCGGTTTCCCTCTAGTTCATAATGGTATGTCTGCGCATCCCTGTTGCTATCTGCGTCCTGCGTAGGCAGTCGCTGACACGTCGTGTTCCAACAGGGTAACCAACAGTCTGGTCTCGGAGGAGGCCCAGGCGGTGACAGAGATGCGAAGGATCAGAAGGTACGAGGGAAAATGCCTTTCGTGTATTTGATTTTGGCGGATCGACTAACTTCACTGCGATTACAGAAAGACAAGCCTAAGTACGAGCCGCCACCACAGCCTACCACCCGTCTCGGACGCAAGAAGCGCAAGGCTGCTGGTCCCAGCGCTGCTGCAAAACTGCCGACCATCTTACCAACGTCACGATGTCGGTTACGATATCTGAGGATGCAGCGGGTGCATGATCACCTGTTGTTAGAAGAAGAATACGTCGAGAACCAGGAGCGGCTTCGCAGAGCGAAGGCTCAGGCAGTGACGACACCGGCCGGAGTAGACCTGGATCCTACGGATAGAAATGCGGACGAGAGGAGCCGAGTGGATGACATGAGAGGCAGCCCGATGGGTGTTGGTAATCTAGAGGAGATGATTGACGACGACCACGCCATTGTCTCGAGTGCTACCGGCCCTGAATATTACGTCTCTATCATGTCTTTCGTGGACAAGGATCTGCTGGAGCCGGGTGCTAGTATCCTACTACATCACAAGTCGGTGTCCGTTGTCGGTGTCCTAACAGAAGATGCTGATCCGTTGGTGTCGGTTATGAAGCTCGACAAAGCTCCCACTGAGTCGTACGCAGATATTGGTGGTTTGGAATCGCAGGTTCAGGAAGTACGAGAGTCTGTCGAGTTGCCCTTGCTACACCCGGAACTGTACGAAGAGATGGGTATCAAGCCGCCCAAAGGTGTCATCCTTTACGGTAGTCCGGGAACCGGAAAGACTCTACTAGCCAAGGCTGTTGCCAACCAGACAAGCGCCACTTTCCTCCGCATCGTCGGCAGTGAGCTGATCCAGAAATATCTCGGAGATGGCCCTCGCCTCGTGCGGCAGATTTTCCAGGTTGCCGCTGACCACGCCCCCTCGATCGTGTTCATTGATGAGATCGATGCTATTGGTACCAAGCGATATGAATCGACGTCTGGCGGTGAACGTGAGATCCAGAGAACCATGTTGGAGCTTCTGAACCAGCTTGACGGTTTCGATGACCGCGGTGATGTCAAGGTTATCATGGCAACCAACAAGATTGAGAGCTTGGACCCTGCCTTGATCCGTCCTGGTCGTATTGACCGGAAGATCCTCTTCGAAAACCCTGACCGTAAGTGTCTATCTCACATAACAATTTGCAGTTGACTCTGGCTAACGACCGACATAGAAAACACGAAGAAGAAGATTTTCACTCTACACACATCGAAAATGTCTCTCGGCGATGATGTCGACCTTGACGAATTCATCAGTCAGAAGGATGACCTGTCTGGTGCCGATATCAAGGCCATCTGTTCGGAGGCTGGCTTGATGGCCCTGCGGGAGAGACGTATGAGAGTGCAGATGGCCGACTTCCGGGCTGCTCGTGAGAGAGTCATGAAGACAAAGCTCGAGAATGAACCAGAGGGGTTGTACCTGTAGGCTTTCCTGCCTGAGTTGTATACTCGCGAACTGGGGCTACTAGAAGGAGAGTTGCATTAGACGCCGTCAAGATCTGTATTGTAACGATAGCAATCTAATCGGGCTTCTCCCGGTTGTTGGTGCCAAATAATGCATAGTTTAACTATATACCATCACTGTAATTGTATCACGTATCAAGTTCCGGCCCAGTTTATTTTGCTACAGCTTTAGGGTTTCCTGCAGGAAGAAGGGCGGTTCTGGGTTCTGGAGGAGAGTAGACAAATCTCGTTCATTTTTACCGACCTTATGACATATCAGAAGTGATCATGTCAATGTGAGATATTTTCATCCCAAGGAGGTCAATAACAAGGGCACGTTTCGGCTGCACTTCAATATCAGAGCAGAGTAATAAAGCTTGTCCATGTCAACCAATCACCAGTGCCAGGAGAAGAGCTCCGGTGCAAATGTTGCAAACAAGACTCCGCGTTGATGATCTATCTGCTCAGCGCTGTATTATTTGGAACCCTACACGACCAAACAACAAGCCATGGATGACTTCGATGAGGAGGCGTTCAAGAAATTCTTCCCGACTAGCTTCGGGAAGCAAGAGACGAAGGCTGATGTCAGGGCCCAGATCGACCGCACCAAGCGCACTGAGAAGGTCGTGAAGTCGCAAGAACCCGGTGGCAAGCAGGAGTCCCTCGCCATAGAGGAGAAAGAGGAGAGACCTGTTGTTCCTGCAGATAGCAGTGATGATGATGATGACGATGACGACTCGGATGAAGATGAAGAGGATGAATTTCCGGTTTCTCACGAGCTCGTTCTCAAGACCCATGAGCGCGCCGTTACCTCGATGACGGTCGATTTGGCTGGGTCGCGCCTAATTACGAGTTCAACTGACTGCACGATCAAGTTACATGACTTCGCGTCGATGACCCCTTCAACGCTGCGGGCTTTCAAATCAGTCGACCCGACGGCGAAGAAGACATCTGCGGCTCAGGAAACACATCCTGTCCATCATGTCGAATTCAATCCTATTTCTCCCAGTCAGGTCTTGGTCATCGCCGCCACGCCTCAGCCAAGGATTCTCAGTCGCGACGGTGACACCTACACGGAATTTGTCAAGGGAGATATGTATCTGCGGGATATGCATAATACAAAGGGACATGTATCGGAAGTTACGAGCGGCGCCTGGAGCCCAACGGACTATAATATCTGTGCCACAGCAGGTACAGACAGTACAGTACGGATATGGGACGTGAATGTAGGAAGGTCACAGAAGGAGGTCATAGTGCACAAGTCGAGGATAGCTGGCTCTGCAGGACGGACGAAGATGACGGCTGTTGCTTGGGGTTCGCCAGCCCAGGGAGGTCCCAACGTGCTCATCGCAGCAGCGCTGGATGGCAGCTTAGCAATGTGGAGTGGCGATGGACCATATACAAGGCCAGCTGCTGAGGTCAGAGATGCGCATACGAAAGACACTTGGACGAGTGGCCTGGATATCAGTAAGGATGGCAGGCTTGTTGTCACGAAAGGCGGTGACGATACCATCAAACTATGGGACACGAGAAAGTTCAAGACACCTATTACGACTGTCTCTCATCCATCAATATCGAGCCGATATCCGACATCGAACATCAAGTTCTCTCCTACGTCGGCCAATGTCATTACTGGGTCAGAGACGGGTCATCTGCACATCCTGAACCCTGCCACTCTTAAACCGGAGCTTGTCACCCCGGTCACTCCTGGTTCACCATTGATTACGGTCCTGTGGCATGAAAAGCTAAACCAGATCCTGACTGGATCGGCCAATGCAGAGACGCATGTTCTATACAACCCGAACATGTCCACTAAGGGAGCCGCTTTGGTCATGTCCAAAGCTCCCAAACGTCGCCATGTCGACGACGATCCTACACTTACTACGGACCTGTCCCAAGGTCTTTCTGGGGACTCGGTCGTTGTCGGTTCAAATAACCTGCCGCATGTTGCGTCGAGCTGGTCCGCGCGGCATCCGACTGTTGGATTGACAGCATCTGGGCGCTCGCGAGACCCCAGAAGACCCCATCTCCCAGCGCAGACACCGTTCGCCAAATCTCAGCCAGATGAAAGACATATCCGCGAGAATATTCCTCTCAGTTCTATGCGCGATGAGGATCCGCGTGAGGCACTGCTCAAGTATGCAGAGAAAGCAGAGAAAGATCCTCTATTCACAAAGGCATGGAAGGAGACACAACCGAAACCTATTTTTGCGGAGCTCAGTGACGAGGAAGAGGAACCGGAAAAGAAAAAAGTTAAGCGATAAGACTATTAAAGACAAATTTCGTTGTCTGCATTTATCATTACTGCCAGGGCAATAGGGATTGGTTGGATCACGGCGTAAATGGAGATCTTTGTTTGTATGTACTGTATATACTTGGCGCTGGGATAGTAGGAAACTAGCGAGATCCATAAGAACCATGTGATGAAGAGGGAAGATACCCAGTTGACGTCAGACAGTGATTAAAGTATAGAACACCAATTATAGGTTTCTTGTGATGTAGTTCTCACTCAAAATAATATTCAATAGCATTAAAAATCCGACTATGCCGCATTGGACATTTTATAAAACGACCGACGATTCCAATTCTTTACCAGAAGCCGATCAAAAGAAGGTGAGAACTACTCCGGATACAGTCTACGATGCTCTATCTAGATGGCGAAGACAAATAGTGGGCTATCAAAATCACTGCAGGCAATGGGACCTTTGCTTCCTTGGTTTTGTCAAGACTGAAATCTCACCACATTGCCAGGTCAGCCTGGGAGAACGTCCTCGGGACAATGAATACAGTAGGTCCATCCGAAATGGAGATGTTGGGTTTCGACATGCTTCCCTCTGGCTTCAGATGCAGTGCGGTCATATATATACTCTGATGGAGACATTGATATGTGGGGCAGGGGTATACTTAGAAGCCGCAGCTGCTGGAATTTGTATTGCTGAGCAGGAGAATTTTCATGAGACACTCCATGTTGCGCATCTGAGGCATGACCCGGATCGATACTGGGATGTAGTACAGCGGACGTGGCTAGCGGCACATAAGGAATAGCAGACGGTCATGAAACTAATGTGAACAGATCACAGCAGCATGTAGGAAAAGGCTGCATGGTGTGCTTTTTGTCTTGATATAAGCATTGATCAGACTGATGATCTCTGCTAATGGTGAAACTAAGTAGCAGTTTCTTCTCTCAGCACTGCCACTTTTGTCCAGTTCCGCCATGATAACTGCACGCAATGAGAACCTGGAAGGTACTTGTAAATGAAGTGATTGATGTACTTACTGTACATACATTTAGTCTGCATATAATTCAATAGAACGATCGAAACTCGCACTAGCTGCCCTACTATTGGCCACCGGGCGCTTTAGTCATGCCCATTCTTCTCGGCAGTCAAGATGAGTTATTATTAACCCGGCCCGACTCGTAGTGTCCTCGTCTAATAATACTCAGTAATCCTCCAGGCGAGGTTTCAAAAAATTATCCATCTCCTGCTATTGAACCCTCGATACTGCCATCTGTTGCCTGAAAGTGCTGTGGTCATTGTGTCAGGAACTGGTGTTCTGCATATCCGTACGCGTGCGCTACTGGATTCCGTCTTCTCCGCCAGCAGTCAAAGCTATCCCCGACATCCGCTCGACGAAGCTCTTATCCGACACCGCGATAGGCCCGACACGCAACGAAACGAACCCAGATCATCATGAGGCTACTGGTCTCGAGGTCCTATCTTCAAAGCTAACACTAGACAGCGATCCAGATCGCTGGTGAGGGTGTGGGAGAGCAAAAACGCAACCAGAGGAGGAGGAAAAGCCGTCGAAGCTTGTGTGCCTAACTGTAGCGCTGATCTTACCGCATCCTTTCGCATCGGCCCCTACGGAGAGCAGCGCACATGCGGGTGCGTATGATCATCTGCCAGTTGGAAGAGTTATAAAAATTCTGTCGCGCGGCATTCGCGCTCTCTTCTCTTCTTCGGTTTCCTTTACACGGGAGGTCTCCGAGCCTGATGGAGGGCTCGCGGAATATTTCAGCAGCCGGTCTGCTTTCAACAATGGCCTCCTCCGCCGTCACGGAACCGACGTTAACGCCGTCGGCGTTTCAGGCGCTTTTGATGTTGGTGGGAGGACAGGACGATGGGAGTGATGGCGGGAACGGAAGGATGCGGTCGTGGTCTACACTCATCGGTATTGTGACTGCTCTGATCGGGAACATTTTCATCTCCTTCGCCTTGAATATACAGCGCTACGCGCATATTCGCATCGAACGCGAGTGGGAGAATGAGCGGGTTCGTTTGGGAGTCAGAAGGCCGCGATGGAGGCAGGCCAGCTCAAATGGGCAATCCTCGCATAACTATGGGATTGTCTCTGGTTCGATTGATGAGTATGGTGATGGTGAAGGCAATAGCGGAGAATATGCGGACAGCCCAACATTTGAAAGATATCGAGACGACCCTGAGGAAGATGAGCCCAGTCTGGATATAGAAGAACATGACGAACACAGTCGGTTAGGGCATTCTTTTCAGTCTGATCGGACACTGAGACCAGTGGAGAAGGATGTCAACGGCCCCGAACGCAAGTCCTATTTGAGCTCCCCGTATTGGTGGGCCGGTATTGTCCTCATGACCATCGGGGAGGCAGGAAACTTTCTGGCCTACGGTTTTGCTCCTGCATCGATTGTATCGCCCTTGGGCGTGATTGCTTTGGTGTCGAACTGTGTCATTGCCCCTTTCATGCTGAAGGAGAAGTTTCGGAAGCGTGATTTCTGGGGCGTTATCGTCGCAATTGCGGGAGCGGTCGTCGTGGTTTTGAGTGCAAGTTCCTCAGAAGAGAAGATCGGGCCTCATGAGATCTGGGACATGATTACGACGTGGGAATTCGAACTCTATCTAGGACTTACTGCGGGAATGATCGTGGCATTGATGTGGGCAAGTGGAAAACATGGCTCACGGTCCCTTCTAATTGATCTTGGGTTGGTTGGACTTTTCGGTAAGTACTGGCTTTGTATGGCCGTTCGATCTACAGGTTAATGCTAACTGCTGTTAGGTGGATATACTGCCCTATCAACTAAAGGTGTCGCCTCTCTTTTGTCTTTCACTTTGTGGCATGTCATCACATTCCCTATCACCTATCTGCTTGTAGCTGTTCTTGTCTCCAGCGCGTTAATGCAGATTCGGTATCTCAATCGTGCTTTGCAGCGATTTGACTCAACTCAAGTGATCCCCACTCAATTCGTCTTATTCACGCTGTCTGTTATCATTGGCAGCGCTGTCCTCTACCGTGACTTCGAGTCCACCACGGCCAGCAGAGCTGCGAAATTCGTGGGCGGTTGCGCCTTGACTTTTCTTGGCGTTTATCTTATCACGAGTGGCAGAGTCACTGCCGATGATGCCTCTTCTCTATCCACTGATGACGAGGAGGAAGCGATTGGATTCATGCACAGTGAAAGGTACCAGGACGAAGTCGACATCTCTGCTTCAGGACCCGACCGCCAAGTGCGTAAGCCTGGCCAGACTGCTGCTCGCGAGCAAGCTGTTCCACAGCCGCGTCGTGGGTCATTGTCAAGTGGCAGCATCGACATCAATGATGACGAATTAGTCCCGCCGCGGCATGGTCTATCTACTTCGCTATCCTCTCAGACACCCTCCCTCGCTGCAGCGTCTTTGACCTCTCCATCCAGGGAGGGGACCGTCTCACCAGAGCCTCCCCACTCTTTGATCAACAACCCTTGGGCTTCAGAAGCACATTCCATCGACACATCCCAGTCAGAGCCCGTGGAGCGACCCTCTACTCCCCCAGCAGCATCTACCGAACCACTTGATGAGTCGACTGTTGTTCTGCGATTCCCGTCGGCGCCCGGTGTAGTTGGCCCCCCGCAGCAGAATACTGGAACTCCGCAAACGCCAGCCACCCCGTCTGCGGCAGTCGACCGTACGCATCGCAGACCCCGGCATCCTCAAGGCATGCGAACGCCACCAGCCAGTTCACGGCATTCACTGTCACTGCATCTCACTCCTGGCCCGCTGTTGCCCCCTCTTTCGTCGGGTCTCAGTGCAGTGGTCGCAGAGTCTCTTCGACGGGGCGAGGGTAGTCCACGGAAGGCTCAGAGGGCAAAGCGACAAGGCAGAACAAGAAAACATTCTAGTGCTGCCGTTGACGGTTTCCATCGGGACAGAGACGGTGACGCTGGAGAGATTGGATATGATACCGAGGCCAGCGTCGACCACAGTTCTGGTGCTATCCAGTCCACCCCGGCCTCGACGAGATTTAACTCGACAGGCGACATGCACACTGATGGACACTCAAGCCCCGCCAATGGAAACACCGGTAGCAAGGATCCCACAGATGATGCATCTTCTTCTCGACTACGCAGTCTCAGTGATTCCTGGAACGGCCGACTGGCCTGGTTGGGAGGCACATTACGAAAATCCAATAAGGGAAAGCCTAAAACCCTCCTGCCTAGCGCTCCACTGGATCGCATAAACGGTGAAGGCGCAGATGCGGGTCGTGAATAATTCGGCATAACATTTGCGGAAGATAGTTACAGCGTCGCTGTCTTCCTATCCTCTATAGAGTTCCTTGTATTCTTGCACCATTCGTGTGTTATAGTTCTTGTTCATCGTTTTTCATGGAATACCTTGTCTACATAGCCCACTCTCCTTTTCACGATCCGTCATACATACATAGTGCTTTCTATTTCCCTTTTTCTTTTCCAAGGTTGGGTACTTTGGGCATGCATGGTTTAGTTTTGTATGTATATACCTTTAATCCAGATACCTATACTTGTTGTATATTCATCTTTGTATGTTCTTCTATATATAGGCGTACTCTTGATAGTGATAGGACTATTCAGCGTTATCAACGTAATAAGATTGTTTTATCGAATACATTGACTATACGACTCCAATATGGGTTCCTATATGTTGAAAACACTCTAGACTTAATGTAGCTCCAGGCAACAGTTGTATGAGTCGATATACCATAGGGCTTTACCTCCGAGATGCTTACTTCCGAGCCGAAGTTCGGACATCTCGGCGCTAACACAAATAGAATACGGCGCGCCTCCCATCTTATCTGATCGAAATGCAGTCTTCTAGAGATTATCATCGAGTCTGAATCATCTAATCTGATTTAGTCACTTGATCTGCGTGCAGACAGCTGGACGAATAAAGTTGCTCGTGCGACATGGATAGTCTGCAACCCGTCCTGCCTCAAAAGAGGATCAGGCAGATCTTCTCATGCAACGAATGTCGACGGCGAAAACTGAAATGTGATCGGAATATTCCGTGCAATAGATGCGTGAAATCTGGTTGTCCTGGAGCGTGTCTCTATACATCGCGCAACAAGCGGTCGATTCGCGAGAGGAGGGCCAATGTCGAGAATGCTCGGAGCGACATTACACCAGGACGTCCTGCGGAATGCAAGTCACAGGAAACTGCTCGAGTCGCAGAAACTGGGCAAATAACACCTGCCTCGACGGACATCCCCGAGGAACGGGATAATACTATCTCGGATCTTCAGAGAAGAGTAATGATGCTGGAAAGTCTTCTTACAGAACGTACTAGTGAACCTTCACAGCCAAGGCCCTATGACGGCTTCTCTCTCCGAAATGATAGCGGGCTGGCAGAGTGCTGGCCAAACCAAGCTGGACTTCGAAATATTCACTTCATGAGAGATTTCCTACATGGGAAGAATAAAAATACCAGCTTCCACGGGAGGAGTCACTGGCATTCACTATTTGGACAAGTATGTGCTGAACCGCTTTCAGGCTGGGTGTGATATGAGCTGATCACCAAGGTACAGTTTGACGACGTGATTTCGATATTGGAAACCTGCAAAAAGAGGAAAGATGTAGGTACTGCTAGGGAGTATAGATCCATGAAAACGCTCCTCAGGCAGACATGGGACAGGAACTGCTGTGGGGAGCAGCATCAGGCGATGATCCTGCACGGCTATATCCCTCCTCGAGACGTCGCTGATCAACTAGTCGACTTCTACTTGGAGACGTTCGAGTACACGTACAGAATCCTCCATGTACCAACGTTCCGGAAGTTGTACGACGAATTCTGGGTGACACCAGCCAGGGAGAACTTCCATCTCATGGCGCAAATATATTCAATTCTGGCGATCAGCGCCTCTTATTATTTCCAGATGGAAAGCGTCCCTCCTAGCATCCTACCGCTCAAGGACCAGATTCCCATCTGGCTGCATTGTGTTCAACATTGGCTGGACCATGCCCTTGAGAACAAAAGGAACCTCTTCCACGCCTTGCAAGTACAGTGCCTATTGACAATCGCCCGTCAAGTCAGTTCAGCCGATAGTAACATGGTATGGATATCCTGTGGTGCTATGGTACGCACCGCAATATCCGCGGGTCTCCATCGGAATCCAATGTCGTTCCGTAGCATGACACCGTTTTACGCAGAGATGCGGCGCCGGTTATGGGCCACGATAATGGAACTGGATCTTCAAGCATCACTCGATGCCGGAAAGTGTCCGACTCTTTCTTACAGCGATTATGATTGTGATATGCCGTCGAATTTAGATGATGATGATATCGCGGATCCTGATCGAATTCCGTCAAATTCGAAAGACCCTGACCGGTCTACACGGACATCATTCTTGGTGGCACTCTCCAGATCACTTCCGGCTCGGATTGAAGTTGCCAAGCTGGCAAACGGTCTCGATGCCAATGTCTCGTATAATGAGCTTCTGAGACTTAGCGCTGAGATCACGAAGTCTTTTCAATACCTGCCACCTCCACGGTCTGAGAAAAAAACCATACTGCATCCTTCTTTCCAGACCGACTTCTTTGACTTCCTTACTCGTCGTTTCCTTCTTGTCATCCACCGACAGGTAGCCATCATGGGTGCCTACGATCCAAAATACCACTTTTCTCGAAGGATAGTTCTTGATTCTTCATTGACAATGCTGTCACACTTTGGAGTCTCCACCGGGTCTATTGGTGAAGATGGTAACCGGAAAGCTCCATTGGCGACATACTGCGGTGGCATGTTTTGCAATGAACTTTTGAATGCGGCACTTAGCATTTGTGTGGAAATGCTAATGGGAAAGGTCGATATAGAAACCTTGGGTTGCTCAATTCATGACCAAGCACTGTCCACAATGACGGGCTCAAGTTCTCGTTTAGCAGATAACCACTTATTAACCGTCATCGAGGGAGCCATAAGGATGGTTGAGCGATGGATATTAGAAGGACACGGGATGTATAACAAGATATATCTGTGCTTATGCACGGCATTCAGTTCAGTGAAATCGCGGTACGCCAACGAGGAACCACAGGCTGCTGTATCGACGGCAATTTCCGAGAGCATTCAGAATTTCAAGATGTTGCTGCTCCAGAGGACGCCTGGAATTCAGATATTCGATGGTACAGTGGTACAGAACGTGAGTCCCCACGGCTGAAACATATACAATCGATATCAATCTGCTTACCTGGCCCAGGATACTCCCGAATCCAGTATTTCTATGGTGGACCATGCAGACGGTTGTAATAACATTCAGGTCAGTCGATGTTTTGCACATTCTGTAAGTCTTGGTCAGAAAATAAGTGACTAGGGCAAGGAGCTAACAGTGTATGATGCAGACACTTACAAGCGATATAGTGCGCGGAGAGAATGAGTGGGATAACAGTAACCTTGATTCGTGGGATATCGATTGGGAGTTTTAGCCTCATCTATAGTTTCTTTCTGGCTTGGTGGAATTGTTCTTGATTAATGCACGTTACCTGATACCCTTAAGCAACCTCAATCTGATGACAGAATCCACGCTCTAGCATACAATGTCCGTATTAGCCTTCCACGGTCTCAAAAAAATCTACCCCATGAGCAAGCATAATTTATAGAGGCATTTGACAAACATCGGGGATAGATAGGCATAACTATAAGCGACAGCGCATCAAGCAACAAAGAGTTTCATAAACGTCCCACTAACAACCCATCCCCGTACTTCGTTGTGATCATCACACCTGGCTGAGATCTGCCCTTGTTTGCTCCACCATTCCCACACCAGCGTTTTCTGTTCTCGAACAAGAAGTGAACGATCAACACACGTTTTACCCCGAGAACTCCGCCCCACAACCTCGGCCGAGCGCAAATCCGTCGTTCTTCTTCCCCCATAGCCAGTTAGTCCGACATCGCCCTTTTACCACCGAGTCGGAGTAAGACGGAGGCGCGAAATAATTCTATACCATAACATTATCAACGCTCTAACTTCCATCCGGACTCTACGACAATTCCACACGGACAAATATCAATATCAATATATATCGTTATTCGTCCGTGAATGGATCCAACTTAGAAACGCGAGGGGAAAAAGGATCATCACAATGGCTACTCCGCCTCCTGCCTCGAGCGCACTGGTGCAAGAGCCCATAGAGTACGATTCTGGTGTTTTCCTCATGCATAAGAAAGGATGTATAAGCTGATATACGAATCTCAGGTATGACTACGAGGGTCTCGCGCCTGGGACAAGTCTAGGTGCGAACCTGGCTGCGGGTGCTTTCGCTGGCATTATGGAGCATACAGTTATGTATCCTGTTGATGCTATTAAGGTCGTAATATGAATGGATCCTTTGTTTTCTTGTGTTTTGTTTCTTGCTGTTTGTTTCAGTTCCATCTGACTTGGGAGCCTCTTGGTATATAGACCAGACTGCAGGTTCTCAGTCCGTCACCGGGTGCGGTGTACAATAGCATGGGAAGCGCTGCTACGAGGATGTTCCAACGAGAAGGACTACGGTCTATGTGGAGAGGAGTCAACAGTGTAATTCTCGGAGCTGGTATGTTTTGCATCTTCTCTTAAGTACGTTGCTCTTTTTCTAATTCTAACCTCCATCCGCACTATAGGCCCTGCCCATGCAGTCTACTTTGCCACGTACGAAGGAGCCAAGGAGCTTCTTGGAGCCACATCATCAACAGAACATTATATTCTGGAAACAGGTATGTTTTATCATCCCCTTACCATATTCCAACCTACGTAAGTTACTCAAGACTAATAAAATACGAAAAGCTACCGCTGGCGCTTTAGCCACCATGGCGAGCGACGCCCTCATGAACCCATTTGACGGTACTGATGCCTTCCTCAAACAAGACATCGAATACCACCACAGAAGCTAACCAGATAATATATATACAGTCGTCAAGCAACGCCTTCAGCTTCACGACTCAACCTACCGCGGTAGCATCGACTGCGCGACTACAATGTACCGCACCGAAGGACTCCGATCCTTCTTCATCTCTTACCCAGCCACCATTTGCATGACAATACCCTTTGCCGCTATCCAATTCGCTGCGTACGATTCCTTTTCGAAAATCCTCAACCCCACCGGGACGTATGACCCGCTCAAGCACTCTGTTGTTGGCGGCCTGGCAGGATCGCTTGGTGCCGTGTTGACGAATCCGTTGGATGTCGTCAAGACCCTGTTGCAGACCAAGGGGAGTAGTCCCGATCCGCGCATTCGGAGCTGTAATGGCTTGTGGGCTGCGACGAAATTGGTCTATCAACTGGAGGGTTATCGAGGTTTTGGGAGGGGAATGGTCCCTAGGACTGTTAATATTGCTCCGAGTACGGCGATTTGTTGGATGTCGTATGAAATGGCGAGGTGAGTGAGCTAAAAAAAAAAAGAAAAAGAAAAAGAAAAAAAAAAGAAAGAAAAAAAAGAAAAAAAAAGAAAAAAAATCTATGTGAGCATAATAAGTACTGACTACTAGTTATTCTATAGACATTATCTTACAAAATCTCCCCAGTGAGGCCAGTCCCCTATAGTTCTTAATTGGGCGGGGGTGATATGTGCACACTTTCCAAGAATTGTACTTGACTAGTGTGTCTACTATTTGCGTAATGGCGTGAAATGGTGTAATTAGAATTTATATTTAGCGCTGTTTGATGATGCAACCTCATACCAGATATACTAGAGAGCATGATATAAAAAGTACTATCTAACATGTGGTCTTCAGCTTGGGGACTGGGCTGATAACTTCCTCCCTCGTCTTAGATAATGATCTATAGCGATTTTTTTAGAGTGAAGGATTGTCATTTCTGTTTAGTATGGTGCTCTCTAGCTTATCATTGTCTGGGAGGGGGAATATTGTGAAATAATGTCATGCGCACTGCTTTATATCTTAGAAGGGATCCTCGCGCCGTGATCTACTATAGCGAGGATTTTTTGTTTTATATTTTCTTGGTGTTTTGCTCTACGAATTCTTCTTTCATGGCTCGGCCAAGTCATGCAGCATCCGTAAATTATTGTAATACTTGAATTGAAGCCTAAATCATAATTCGTCCTTCGTAGATATTCATACATACTGCTGATAAAGACATAGGAATGAAGCCTCGTGTTTAAGGGGAATAAAAAAAGAATAATCGTGCCGTCATCGAGAACTATTCATCTCCCGCTGGGGGAGCACTTTCAGTCCTTGGAGTAGGTGGCACAGAATCACCAACTGTACTATCACCATCTCCGTTCCTCTTAGCACCCGTGCTGCTAGTTGCACCAGAAGCTTCTGCGTTGCGTCTGGTTTTAGCCCCTTCTTTGAGCTTCTCCCATCGTTCCCGGTACCGGCCCAACACGCTCTTCAGCTTTTCATTTTCGCGGCCGACTTTCTCGAGATCTTTCTCGGCACGTCGGACCTTCTCCTCGAGTTCTTTCAGCCGCTGGTCACTCTCGTCTCCTGCTGGGCGCTGCTGGTGTGGCACAGTAGAAGGTACAGGAGACGGAAGGCTAATCGGTTGCCCAGCTGGATTGTGTTGATGCATCGCTTTCAGAGATTGTTGGAGTGCCAGGGATGACGTCTGAGCGTTTACCTCCCACATATGTAAACGCTTGGACAGAGTATCTGAGAGCTGCTTCAGAGCCTCATTCTCCATACGCAGCTCCTCCAGGGTCTTAGTATTTCTGAAGCCAGATGCATCCGTACTGCGTGAGGCTTTTCCCTTATTCCTGCTGCCGCCCAGATTTTGGACCATCTCAGGAGAAGACGGAGTCTCACGAGCATCAACGAAGTCTTCTTCCTCGTCCATGCTGTTTCGTCGTGCTTCCTTCTCGGCCCTGGAGAGTATCCCGGCGTAAGAGACGGTGCCACCTGTGGTGGGAACGACGTAAAACGATTCCGCTGCGCTTCCAGGTGTTCCTCCATTAGTGTCGCGGATAGCTCGCAGGGCGGCGCGTGAGAAAAGCCTGTTCACGTCTGGTTCAGAAACGGGGCGATCACGAGTCGCATTGGCGCGGTCAACTTTGGTCTCGGCAAGTGACTTCTGACGAGCTGAGTCTGTATGTCCGGAGGTATCACTGCCCAGAGGAAGACCTGCAAAAGCCAACGGCGCAGAGAGCTTGGATATAAGCCCTTCAAAAGTGGAGTAGAAGCGCTGAAATGGCTCCTCGGTTGAGAGAAGCCTGCTTTTTGGCTGTCCCGTCTCCGCGGCGTCTGCAGGGACAACCTGATGCGACGTGATATCTGTAGGGCTAATCGAAGGGGGCGCCCAGGGCTGCTTAGGCGCAGGTACTCTACCACTGCGTTCCCGTGCTGCCTGCGATTGAGCATCTCGCAGTCGTGCATCGCCCGTCCTTCCCTTTGGCGATTCAGTCATTCGAGCACCAGCATGGTGGGCGGATAATGTAGGTGACACCGGCGACGAACGACGAGGAGGGTTAGCTGGTATTCCGCGCGCAGATGCTAAATTACTCGCAATAGACGAGGTCTCCCTTGGCAGAGGAAGGTTGTGTCCTGGTAGCCGCGGGGGATGCTGATGAGCGTCGGCCGTTATCTTCGCTGACCCCGCCTCACCAGTTACTGGCAGATTGCCTGCAGGATGAGATGCGACGCTGACGGAATCTCCAACCGCCGCACTAGGATGCTCATGTTGAAATCGGAGGATCTCAGCCAGCTTCTTATGGTGTTGTTCGAGCAGGTGAAGCGTGCGCAGTGCCTGTAGAGAGCGTTGTTAGACCATCCATCCAGTTGAGGTGATGGAAATGATACGTACCTCCGGATCTGCATTGCTCTGAGCCGCTGTCGCAAACTCGCCTGCGGCTAGATCATGTTCTTCGCTGGCTGCTACAGGATTCGATTTGCGAGTCTCGATTAATGCGTTCCGCGCATGCGTGTGAGCCTGGGAATCGCCGGTCAGAACCTATTATTCCCACACGACCACTGTTCCAGGGCACGTACCAAGGTTAACGGAGCTGTCTCCATAGTTATTCGGTTAGCAGTGAGTGCTGAACAGCTGCCACTGCCGACGATGACTTCAGGCGCAGTGTCAGCTTGTCGCGATGGCTGCTGTGAACAATTAATGAACAATTAACTAAGTATGCGGGCAAGACCAGACCCTGTGACGCCATGACGAAGACGGTAAGTTACGTACGAGGCGTTACGGGAATACGCCAAAGTTACCTGTTTCGGACGCGGGAAACGGGGTAAAACACGTAAGGTTCAGATCGGCCGTTCCAGGCGGGCTGGGCTGGGGTGGGAGGTACTCTCGTGGTACTTACTTTGAGCTGCAAACAGCACCGACTTGTAAGTACCTTCCAGGTCACTCCGCTGGTCTTGGCTCACCGCCCCCCGCAGCCTCCTGAGAACGACAGACAAGACGGCAGCTCAGCTCAAGGAGAACGCCTCCACCTCCCCCCGTACTCTCAATAATAATACTACGGTGCTATCTAGCCATCATTTCTACCGTCTCTCCCATCTCCAAAGCCATCCACCGCCAGCCTCCTGGAACGGACAATGCTGCGGGCTGGCCTTGATCTTTCATCCTCAGATCCCGTCTTGACAGTCGTCCTCCCGTACTACGCTCCTTGCAGGCGCTTGGCACCAACTGCTCATACGTGCTGCTAACATCACCGCTGCCAGCCGGTAACAGATCATGTCCTTGCGTCCTTAAAATCATACCGTTACTATTCCATTCCCTCGGACTTCAGGCGCAGGCGCTATCCATCATCAACTAGGGACGACACACTCGATTTCATCATTGGGGACTTTTGCGAGTTGAAGGAACAAGCACAGGCACAGGCACAGGCACAAGCACAAGCACATATATCCATGGACATTGCGCACGAGACATCACCCGCTCCCGCTGACCCTAAGAAGGTCTTTGGGAACCCTCAGCGCCATTGGACCATTGCCAATGATGTAGACAATACAGCCAATGTGTCCAAGGGCACTCGACGGTCGTCGACGGAATCCACTAGCGACATACTCAGACCGCAAACCAGCGGGGGTTCGGAGGATAAGGCACATGCCAACGGGATATCGAAGCTCTTCCCCAAAGGACGGCGATGGAGGAAGAAGTCAGACAATGAGTTGTCATCGCAACTCAGTGCAGCCACAGACTCGCGAAGGGGTAGTGGTGTCGCTTCTCAGGACGGGAATTCAGGATCGGGTGCGTCGGGGACGTCTCTCAACGGCAGTCGGAGTCCACCGGAGAATGAACAGACAGGCAATCTCTTGACGGATGACTCTGAGCCTGATGGGTAAGTCAACGCTACTATGTTACGCCTGTGGTCAGCTGAACTTGTAAAAGTCCCTCGCAAGTTGCGTTCTGCCAATGGCCCTCAATACGCTACATGTCCTTTCCCTGTTAAAAGGACCAATGCCTCAGAACTAACACATTGTGTCGTAGGACTCCCTCCATCTCCGTTCAAGATTCTCACTCCGGATTCTACACATCTTCCTCTCCGCTCATCACGACTACTGCTGCAGATGACAACGATGACTCCAAGGCAGACAATGCAGATACTGCTTCGTCAGGCAGTGCGCCCGCTGTTCCCGCCTCCGACTCAAATCAGGACCTACCATTGAGGTCTTTCACGACAAACGATTCGACTCTTGAGATCCCAGGAGACGGCAGTTCGAAGAAGAGGAATGTTTCCCCGGGAAGAAGGCTGAAGGATGCTTTCAATCCTTCCCAGGAGAAGAAATCTCCAAGCGTCAGCCCGGACCGGACATCAGGAAAATCATCTGGCGGTAAAAGTGGGCGGAATATTTTCAGTCGCAGCAGGACTAATAGTCTCTCGGCCAAACGAGCGGCGAAGGCTGTCACTGAAAGTCCACCACCACCTGTTCCGAAACCCATCCCTACCGATGAGGTCGAGGACAGTTACAAAAATGGAACGTCGCCTGAGCGCGGTCCGAAGACCCCCCCGGAAAGTAGTATTCCTGCACCTCAAACGACAGTCACTCCTCCCACTCCCACAGATCTGCGACCTCTGAAAGTGACGACGGCGGATCTTACAACTTCCCCTGAGTCCGTCAAGGGACTGAACAACTTGCCGCCAGGGACTGTAGTTAGCCCGTCCGGAAACATGATATCTCACAGACGCGTGCGGTCAGCCTCTTCAGTTCATCAACCGAGTAAACTATCGAACTCGATAAGCGCCTCTCTGAGCCCAACATTCGAAGAATCAAAAACTGCCGGTTCCCGAACTCCATCGGCTAATCAACAAGGTGGTTTTTTCTCCTCAGTATTTTCTGTCGCTCAAAATGCAGCGTCTACGATAAGCAATACCCTAAATACACAAACGAGGGCTCGCAGTTCGACACAGCCTACGTCTCCAGATAATGAGAACCCATCCGCTGGCGAGATTTCTGGAATTTCCTCCCAAGCAACGAATGAACGAGAGGAGGAGAAAAGACAGATGGCTGTCGATACCCTTGGGAATGGTGACCTGAACATCAGTCAGTTCGACATTGAAGCCACCAGCGGGGGTGTGGTCACAACGAAGGATGGCGTTGTCATAACCAAACCGGATACAGCTGCTGACTATCGTAAAAGTACGGCATCGCAGCGAGACGAAGTGGCATCAAGGCTGGAGGACATGCGGGCTGCACGGGCTATCTCCATGGCGTATGGGAAGCCGTCCGAGGGCTCAACAACCCCGCCTGTCGCTGCAGGAGATGGACTGGAAGTTCGCCCCAGTGCTTCAATAATCGGACAGGGCTCTGGCGAACAGACAACCCCCACCGGCAGTGTCGTCGATGGGGAGCCCGGTAATAGTGTCAAAAGAAGTGGGAGTGTCCGCAGTCGCCTTGCACAGCGTCGACACAGAGGCTCCTCTGGGGCGACAATATCAACCATCGGTGCGGTGGGTGCCAGCGCTCTTGCTCTGGGGATACCAGGAGCGAACTCGAGTGCACCTCGTCTCACGGGCTTTGCCGTTGCTAGCAAGAAGCGAAATCGAGACTTCCATCAAACCTTCCGGAGTGTCCCTGAGGATGACTATCTCATCGAGGATTACAGTTGTGCGCTTCAGCGGGATATCATCCTTGCAGGCCGCATCTACATCTCCGAAGGCCATATCTGCTTCTCCAGCAATATTCTTGGCTGGGTGACCACGCTTGTAATCAGCTTTGACGAAGTAGTGGCGATCGAGAAGGAAAACACTGCTATGGTGTTTCCCAATGCAATCGCAATCCAGACGCTTCATGCTAGACACATCTTCCGAAGTCTACTTAGCCGAGAGACAACTTATGATGTGATGGTGAATATTTGGAAGATCAATCACCCTGCATTGAAGAGCTCCATCAACGGGACTCGGATCACGCAAGGAACTGGTGACAAGACCGAGAAAGCAGACGAGAGCGAGGCAGAAAGTGACTTATCGGATGAGGAAGAAATCTACGACGAAGACGAGGATGGTGATGGCATGGAGAGTTTCGTCGAAGCAGGAGAGGGGAGTGTTGCTGCGAGTGAGCATGAAGAACCTGCAAAGCCCCTCAGCCGCAAGGCATCTGGGATCCAGCAGAGCAGCAATGGGGCGACACCGTCCCCTGGGATCAATTTCACTAGTGATACCAAAGGTGGTGGGAAAGCTCCCGCAGCCGGGGAATCTGGCGCGGACTTCCCAGGACCTGCCACTCATGCGCCTACTGAGTTCACCGATCCCTCCGGACGATATGAGAGACTTATTAAAGATGAGGTCATCCCTGCACCTCTTGGCAAGGTGTATACACTAGTCTTTGGTCCCGCGTCTGGCGCATTCATGAACAAGTTCCTCCTCGAGGATCAAAAAGCTACTGAATTACAATTCGAAGATGATAAGAAGGGCCTGTCAAACGATACCAAAAGCCGACAGTACTCTTATATTAAGCCTCTCAACGGATCGATTGGACCCAAACAGACAAAGTGTATCAGCACCGAGACATTGGATTATCTTGATCTGGAAAAGGCAGTACTTGTGACTTTAGCAACGCAGACGCCCGATGTCCCTAGCGGAAACGTGTTTTGTGTCAAAACGAAATACTTGTTCACCTGGGCGCCTGGGAACCAGACACGGTTCTTGATGACGTGCACGATTGAGTGGTCAGGAAAGAGTTGGCTCAAAGGCCCCATCGAAAAGGGCGCAACTGACGGTCAAATTGCCTTCGGGAACGATCTCATCAGGGTCCTCAAGGCATCTGTCGTACCTCAGGGACGTGCAAATGGTGTAGCCAAGAGCGGTAGCAAGGCAGGCAAAGGCCGACGCAGGAAAGGAGATACTTCTACTTCTGAGGCCGCGACTGCAGCTGCTGTAAGCGCAGCGCTCGAGGCTAAGCAACGCGAAGCAGAGACTTGGGGCATTTTTGAACCTCTTCGTGGGCCGTTGGGTCCTATTCTGAGTCCCTTCAAAGTGCTATGGAATTCCAATGTCGCCCTTGGCATCATCGGCATTCTCCTGTTTATCGTCTTTGTCAGAGGTCCTGCAAGAGCCCCCACGTTGGTCCCAGGAGTGGCATATCCAGGTTTGACCGTACCGCAACGTCTCGCTGCCTACGAAGAAATGTGGGTGAGGGAGGAAAGCGAACTGTGGAATTGGCTGGAAGAAAGAGTGGGATTAGACGGACTCAGTTTTCCTGTTGTCGACACACGTTCCGGGTCCCAGGCACGCCAGGGGGAGCAGCGTAAACGGCTAAAGGGCGCCAATGACCTGAAGACGCGCATTAACGAGGAGAAGATGTCCCAACGCGAAATGGATGATGCGATCCGCGTGACGCGCGAGAGACTTAACATCCTTGAGGAAGTTGTGAAGAAGCGGAAAACGCAGAAGCAAAAGGATGAGGAAATCCATACCGAGCTTTAAAGTAGACTCTTGAGGCAAGCCTCAGGGTTCTCTGGCTATTATCATCTTTGTTGATACGTCGCAAAGTATATTTGTCGTTCCTTACTCGTGTTCTTGTTTTTGCTTTTTCATTTGTTATCAATAGCGGAGGGAAGCTAGCAATCCGCCTTGGTTGCTAGCTATACATCTGGCGTACATTCTGTTCCCTTGTCTTTTTAAGCATCTATTTGCGCTGTTTTTCTTTTTCCTTTTTGTCCCTTCGTTTTCGAGTCCTGGCTGGTACGGACCGGATCCAGGCATCAATGCTTTCGTCCCGTTCTGCGCAAAAAGTTCGGTGAACGCGGATGCTACTGGCCTTTTTTTTGTTCTTTGTTTCCTTGCTATTTCAGTCTTGACACCAGTTCTGTTTCCCTTGTTTTAACACACACTCAAAACTCACTCCTCTATGTTCGCTTACATCTCTCAGGGATCTCGTCCCCCGTCCCCCCTTTCAAATATCCGGGCTGGTCACACGGGCTTTGAATAACCAGTTCTCAATCTGTTGTTTTTCCTTTCCTTTTCTTTCTCTTTTCCATATAGCCTTTCTCTTCTTGTTCTCCTTTTTATCTCTCTCGGTCTGCAGCGTTCTGTAGCAATATTACACCCAGATAGAGCAAGCTCGACCTGAATCATTGAATTATTATAGCTAGACGATGCGCAATTCGTGGAGGTTCTTTCTTTTCCCCCGTGAATAAGAAAATTTTCCGAGGAATTTTATTCGAACGTCTTCTTCTTCAAGTCGTCAATTATCATTTGAAATAATTGATACTAGATAACTAATAGATAACCTTAGTAAGATGATATGCAATTCTAGACCGAGGACGGATGGATGCGGATGCGGATGCGGATGCTCGCCGGGATGCTTAGATGGATGGGTGCCCTTTGCCACCTACTCTATAGATCGATCCTATGGTACTCTGAAGTCAGCGGCGAAAGAACGGAAGGAAGGAATATTATCTACCAAACACCGAATATATCCCGTGTAGATAGATAATCGGAATCAAGAAAATTTTTATCGGAGTTCATCGGCTCGTTATACTTCTGCGCGGATACATACATACATACAGAAGTCCATATCGTATTCATTCGGCTCGGACATATTATCAATCAATCAATCAATGAATCAATCAGATCGATATACAAACCCCTCTAATAACACCTATACCTGTACAAATGGATGATGATCGTAAATCCAAACCAAAGTTTCCTCTCTAGAATGAATAGAGTGGGAAGGTGAGGGAAGGAGAAGAAAGGAAGACGTTATACATAATATCATGCCCGTGAGAAAAAAAAATGTTACATAGGGCTCAAGAAATATAGATGGTAAAAAAAAAAAGAAGCTTCCCATATCCAGCATTCATTGTTTACCGCTCATAATGCAGTTCCCAGTTCCATAGTCCAGTGTCATAATCAAAAAAAAAGAGCTTTTTCCCCTTCCAGTCTGGTGAATCGTTAAAAGGTGGGAAATGGAAGTCATTAAAAAGGTGTATATATGGCAAAGAAGCCGAGTTGAAAACGTTTCGGTCATTTCACGTGCCGGGGTAAGGCTGTAGGACCTCCAATTCGATGTTCCTTCGCTGTTCCTTCCTTCTTCTCTTGACCATCTTCTTCATGGCCTCTTCGGTCAGCTCCTGGCGGAAAAGCCGCTCGACAACGTCCTTCTTCCGTGTCATCCGGTCTCCGACCATGATGAGAACGCCTGCTGTGATGTTGCAGGTGATGGAGCAGCACAGAATCACGGTGGTGAGAGCGAAAGGCCGCACATGGTAGTTGATGGACCACGTGCAGGTACCGAGCGCGATCTGGAAGATGGAGTGGAAGTCCAGGAGAACCACGACAGCAACCAGAAGGCGCAGCGGGAAGGCATAATGGGTTACAGTCTCATGTGGCTTGTAGAAAGTGTGGGACTTCGAGAACTTGGCTTGATGGTGCATAAGGCGTTTCTGCTGCAGCGGGCTCAAGACAGTAAATTCCAGGTTCTTTTTGTCTCCCCTCTCGTTCCTCAGGTCTTCAAGATCGATATCTGTCTCTCGTAGCGACGGGAGGTCATTCTTGTTCTGCAGCTTGGGAAGCGCCCGCTTCTTTCGAAGCTTCCATGTGAGATGATGATAATGGGCTATAAAGATCATGTGATAAGTATCTACCGCTCGAAACGGTGCCAGACCGTCACCCATGATGGCGAAAAGGGCAACGAGGACGTTGTCGATAACATTGATAACGTAGAGTTGCCTTCCACCAACATTGATCCAACCTGCACGGACGGCTCACATTAGCCAGTGTCCTTACAGTATAGTTATACAAACTTCTAGGGGGTACGTACCGATCAAGAAGAGCACCCAGGCAAGACCGAACAGGGTGATGAGAGTCGCATACAGGAAAACGAGGAATCCCAGCGCTGTATAGGAGGGCGGGTTAGTTATACTTTCCGTAGAGGGCCGAAGAACAAACCACCTACGTTTCGAAATATATTTCCCGAAGCCTCTCATAGAACGCTTGAATTTGGACCGACGGGAATGCAGCATATGGCGGACGTGGTCGTTCAGTTCCCGTATATCCTCAACCGTCCAACCTTCCAGGTCGCTGTTATCCGGTAATACCGCGAATTGAGTTTCGTTTTCCGAAAGCGCAGAGGTAATGGCAGTCAGAGACCGCTCCAGAGTCTCACGGTCCTTGTCCTTGTCTACAGGCGAAAGCCCGTCCTCCTGCGGCTTCTGGGGCCCCTCCAAAGACTCATCGCTGCTAGACTCATCCGTCGGGCTTCGCGAGAGGGTATAAGTCGGCATACGATTGATGTATCGACCTAGATCCGGAACGAAAAGAGAGTTCTGGACGTTGGTGAGGGTCGATAGCGTCGAGACCTCCGGGTCTATTCTTGGTCAGAACGATGTCTTTGAGTCTTCTGGATCCCTGGTTATACGTACCGACGACGTCCAGAAAGTCAACGAACCGCGAGTCATATAGAGCTGAATTTCGACGAGCGCCCTGGTCTTGATCTGTCCCATGGTTTCCACTGATTGTCGACACTCTATTGCGACCGCTCAGTCGCGACCTGGCAGCCATGCTGGCGCGACGCAGCATACTGCGGTGATCCTGGCCCTCTCCGGCGGCGGGAGGGGGCGGCGCCAGGTGCTCGGGCGCATGTGAGGGTACGAGGCTGGCGGCGGAGGTCTCTTCTGTCAAGGGAAACATGCGCATCTGAGAGTCGCCGGTCTGGAGTCGCTGGAGGACGACTTGGGGCGGCGCAGACCATCGTCCTGGCCGTGGCTCTGAACTGCTGCGTCGACGTCCCTGCCATGAGTCTTCCTCGTCGATCGGGGACGCTTCCGGATTATATGGGTTGTATCTGATGTCGTTATATCTGATCTCGTTTGGGGCCTGGTTGGGGTTGGTCGTATTGGCATCGTTAATTTCCAGTCCATTTACGTGGATTTCAGGCGCAACGTGGGATATGGTATGAGCGGAGGATTCGGACGGTACACGGCGTAAGCGTATACTCGGCCGGCGGTTGCTATGCGAACTCTGCGATCCCCGGGGAGTCTGGAGATATGACGTTCTGGGTGAGGTCGGATCCCCGGGAAGCAGAAAGGCACGAGAGTTACGAGAGGTCTCGTCGCTGGATCCCTCGCCCGGGTCCATTGGGAAGAGTGGCAGATCCCAAAGCTTGAGACTGAAGAGGAAGAAGAAAAAAAGGAAAAAACCGAGAGATAGAGAGAGAGAGAGAGAGAGAGAGAAGAGGGTATCAAGACGAAGATCACGGTGGTACCGAGACCCAGGCTTGACTAAGCCATCCGTGGACAGCCTGACTTTTTGGCTTTTTTTCTGCTTATCCTGGCTCTGGCAGGTTCTGGCCGCAGGCAATATAGGCCTAGGACATGATATAAATCAATAATAATCACATACGGTTTCTCTCGGCTGCTCTTCTTTAAGGCTGTGGGGAGAAACAGCCCGTTCCCCCGCTAGAAAGCCGATGATTTGCCTCCCCGACTGGTTCTCGCCGCCCGTTCACCACGTTAGTCGCTGATCGCGAAACAGGCGGATCAATGCGTTTCAATCCAGTGCGCTGCTTAGATCTCTCTCTCCGCGTTTACTACTGGGGGCCAAGAGAAACGGGGCAGCGACAAGAGTATGCTATAGGATCTCACCTGCAGTGTCTAACAGATTGCAACTGACAAGATCAACCAGCGAGATGCTTCGAGTTTCGAGCGATCAAAACCGCTCACTGATGTGATGTCAGCGCGGAACTGATCTACCTTATCTGACCAGCTTGAAGTCTCCCGGCGTATCCGTCGCTTTTGAAATCGTTCCTTGTCCGGCTTTCGGAGTTGATTCTCTGGTTCTACCATACTTTTTGCGACGATGCCTGGAATAACAATACTAATAATCGTATCGTCTCGACTTTCATCTCTCCGAAGTGGCACCGAGCCACGTGCTCATCCAGTTAACCGCGCAGGGAAGAAACCACCAGATAACTACCTCTCTAGCATCGCAACAGAGACAAGGGAAATATATACATGTATATACCCTTGAAAAGCTGCTGCTTGTATACAAAAATGACGATCGAGGGCTGTGTGGTGATAGATTTTTGGCCGCATCCACTAACGAAGTTGGCTACCAAACAATCGCCCCAAAGGTGATTTCGAAGTTATACATACATCCATGTTGGTTCTGGCTGTTATGAGAGAGGAGGTGGGATGATGATTCTTACCTAGTTGCGTGCCACGCTATCTTATTATGAGAATGTCGGTTGCAGCACTTCGGAAACTGAAGCATGAGATAGCGTACCTAGCCTAGGATAGGTATCTTTAGAGGATTGATCTTCTTATGGGATATAATTAATTGCCCTTCTTTTCTATTGTTCTTCTGTTAATTTACTACCCTTCTCAATATCCTTATCACTATATTGCACTGCCATTCTAATGATAAGCCCACTCCCTTTCTCTTTCTCTATTGTATTGTATTCTAAGAAGCAGATGCGATAGAGCCGTTGATTGGTGATCATAGACCCAGCTGTAGGGCTCAACCCTAATCGCAATGTCCGCAACGCAGCAGATACAGAAGCTTCTAATAGATTCACCACGGTCTTCTTGAATAATACATGGGAGCTGTGTAGTTCGAAGAGATGCCATGATTCAAAATAATAGGATCGTTATTCGATTATCACTAATACCACTCAATAATAAAAGTCCATTGGTAAACCAGGACAAGGCCCGATATAATCACGTGATACAAATGGAGCGGCTGTCCCGATCGGGTTAGCCCTCGCTAAACGCCCCATCCGGGGCATTCTACAAGCACACAGACTGAAAGTCCTCACCATCTCGCTGCTGTTCCCTTTCCAACGACTTCGTCAACGAAAAGCTTCACGACGCCCAGCCCAACATGACGCACGAGTCGGTCTTCTACTCTCGCCCCCGCACCTACGGTAAGGGCAGCCGTCAGTGGTATGTGGAATCGAATCCAAGGCCGTCCTTTATCGGGATGTTTTTTTGATTTCGCAGATGACTGACGAGAAATTTGTTGTATAGCCGCGTCTGCGCGCACAAGGCTGGTCTGATCCGGAAGTACGGCCTCATCGTCTGCCGTCAGTGCTTCCGTGAGAAGTCCACCGACATCGGTTTCATCAAGGTAAATCACTTCCGTCCATATACTCGTTCCTGTTCGACAGGGACAAGAGACTCCGCTGTTTGGGTGGAATCATGGAAAGGGAAAATCAGTCATGTGTTGAAAAGGACGCTTGAAGACTAACACGTATCTTTTCTCCGTCCCTACAGTACCGATAGATTACTCAACCAACCAATCCCATCCAAACTGGCGTTGCGACGATTTTCAAATAACCGAAAAACCGAGTGGACTTCTTTTTTACGTTGGCAATGGAAGGCAACATGAAAAAAAAAGGCACGCATGAGACAGCAGTTGTGTCGAGGGGGAACAAGGGAAAAGGCGGATGGCTCGGTTTTTTTCGGGAAGCGTGACACGGTCAATTGGGTTGATTTCCAGATGGGTTGTCGAAGCGAAAGACAAGTTGTTGCATGGCGTTAGAACACCCTTGACAATCGGAACTGGGCGAGGTCCTTTGTTTCTTCTCTATGGTCCTCTCTCTGTGCCTCTGCTGCTGTACGCCCGCCGCGCATTCAATTAGCAATTGAAAATGCCTCCAATTCCAACATACCTCGTCCAGTGTGTTTGCTATATTTCTTGCGAGAGCGCGGCTCTACACACATCACTACTAACTACAGCATCGACTTTGTACGGCGTTTCGGGCACGGGCGACTCCCTCGAGATGCGTACGAACAAGTGGACCCGTAAATGATGTCCCCGAACTCCGACACATCCTTCAACCGCAAATCAAGTATAAACATGACCGAGCCAGCCTCGCTTATTATTGAAGATGGGGTGTAGGAATTTCCTGTGAACCTCCCCTGGATAGATAAATCAGCAGTCAGCCCCGAAGTAACCAACTGTAAGGACTTTGCCATATACCTAGACCAGACCAGTCTGTACACATCTACATTCAGCTCTCGTCTAAACATCCAATTCATGACCATCTCTATTCATCCTATTGAATAGGCCACCCTATTCTGAAGTCCATTCACAGAGTCATGTCCATATCTTATGCAAGAGAGTGCTTGTGTTATGCCACTTTACTGATTGATCTATATGCACCTACCCATTCATGAACTCCGCAACAATGAGCGGCATTGTCTTTGTCTTCTGTCAGTGTTGTTTCTTTATATACCAACCTTTTTTTATGTCCTGGCTGTTCAAAAGCATCTTCATCCCTTTCGCATTCTCTTTCATTTCATATCGTATGGAACTGCACTGCGCTAGATACTGCGATCTGTCTTCGTTGTGCCACTTCTACTCAAAAAACAAATAGGATAAAGCTTGATATCATCACGATTACAGAACTGCGCTTCTCTTCAAAAAAAGGGAAAGCAGTAATGGCTTCGACTTCTACTTCTACTTCTGCTTCTACTTCTGAACAATCTGATAATATTCAGTCGAAAATACCCATCATCATCCTAAACAGCGATGACAGCTCCTCCTCTTCCTCCGACGATGACGACGATGATGTCCAAATCATCTCAGTGAGAAGTGTACAGAACAACAAGAAGAATCACCATCATGGAGAGAAAAATGCTCCAGGACCTTCTGACGCCAACGTCTACCAAGAATCCATTACATCTTCTCAACCACCAAAGCGCTTGCGCTCGCTAGAGAGAGCAGAAACGAACAGTTCTCCTCCCCCGAAGAAACAACGACGTAGTACTGAACCCGAACCTCAAAACGGCCCAGATATGCCACCTTGCAACACTTCCGGGATCACTATGGGGCAATTCAACGAACGCTACGGGTCGAGAATAACAGCAGAAACTCCGATACGTCCTTCTGATCCAGAGGATAAGAATAATAATATACATCCATCTCCATCTCCATATACGAAGGAATTCTTCATCGATCTAGCTGATACGATCTCCATCATCTTCCCTATCGGTTCGTTCGCTTCGAAACATAACTGTTCGCCAGCTGAGGTTTCGCGCGCTATCAGCGCGGTGGTTACCAGTCCGTTGCTGGATCCGGAGTTACATGAATCCTGTTCTTGGGGAGATGGCTCTTCTTCTGCGATGTCTATAGAGGAGTATGGGAGGATGATGGTGGATATTTGGAAACAGAGGTATAGGAAGATGGTGATTGCGGATGAGGATGTGAGTTGGGGGGGATTGAATGGTGATGGTGGAAGCAGTGGGAGGGGAGAGAGGGACGTGGCTGATGTTGAAAAGGACGAACCGACGACTACGAGACGGTGGATGGAAAGAGATGTGTTTGGGATCTATGTGGAGTGTGAACCGTCTGTTGGAGAGCAGTCGTCGGTGATTGAGGTTTAGGGGAGCGTGTGGTGAGGAAATGATGTTTGGATGCAACGGTTCTGAGCGCAAGAAACTAGTCTAGGATGGAGAAGAGTGGTGGTACAACGGTGAAGAAAGCCAGACAGGGGGTGCTTTGGCCCATGCGTCGCTCATGCAAGTTACCAACGGTCGGATCTTACCCATGAAGGAGATGCGAACAGGAGATCCATAGCAAGAGAAATTTCCGGTTATGAATGTTCAAAGTATCCGAATGTCTAGCTATCATATCAATCTGTCTACAGTTGATCACAGGATTGCCAGAGTTGCAACGTTGTCCGTAACATTAGTTAACTATTCTTACCGATGAATTGGTCATCTAGCATAATAACCTTGGAATAATGCTCTGAAGGTAGTATCCCAAATGATAACAAAGCCTATCATGGAAACCGTTCTCTATACTCGTGTGGTGACTGTCAAGGAGAAGAATCTATCTCTCCTACGAGTTAGAAGTAATAATAATGCACGAGAGTAGTATGGTAAATCAGGCAGATCATGTCGCTGGTGCCAGGATCTTACCTACCTTACCTGGCCCACTTAAATTAGACTCGAGTAGCTCCGTCAGAAGATGTCCAGCGCTCCGTAGCTCTAAGCGAGGATCGTATCGTTAAGTACTTCTGGAAGTGTGTTTAATTCAGTTGTTTAGCGGAGATATATTGTGTCTAGAAAATACGGAGGTGTTGTAATAATAGCAGGATGAAAATGTTCTATGCATCTGTGGAGTACTGAATTTCTAGGTAAATCGTGGAATGTGGAATGCTATAGGGTATCGATAGATGGTGCAGTGGCAAGTGGCGGGGGCGAGTCAAATGGTTACTGCCAACGTAGACAGCACAGGTATATAGGTACTATACTTTGAGTTACTGGTAGCAATGCAGCGATAGTGCAGCTGGAGTGGACGGACTATTGTCTCTGAGCGTGCGGAAAGTGACCACGACTGCTGGTGATGGCCATCGACGTGTACCTAATAATTATTTTATCTACATACTACTGTTCCTGCCGATCGTGGCAGCAGCCCCTTGGCCTGGCTACGTCACGGGCTTTTTAGCGGCAGAAAGCGGTGAATACCTTATTAATGCACACTAGAAGGTGGGGATGTCCATTGGCGCCTCAGGAGTCGGTCTGTCTGGCTGCCTGGCTGGATGTCCATGGGTCTTGGAGATAGCGCCAGTAGACTATACGAGAGAGCTTGAACCGGGCCCCAGCGAAGGCTCCAGACATGGTCTGCCTGGAATACCAACGGTACTCGATGCTAGTTAGTTAGAGAGAGCGGTTCACAGTCCCGTAAGCAACAGAGTATTAGTATGGTAAAACTGTAACTTAACAGATTATTATTTCGCAGTGCAATCATCACCATCACCGCCTTCCGGTTACCCAAAAGTGCGCCACCCTTCTCGGCCTAGCGCCCGGTCGTGCCTCACCTGCCCTTTTTTCACACCTTCTCCTTTCTCCATCCCCCATCCAGACATCAACCTTCCCCAAAGGCATCGATCACGTCCGTATCAACTTCCTCTCCAACTTCCAGTATCTAGGGCACCAAGCTACCCTTCTCCTCCCCCCCCTCTTCAAGTTTCTCCCACACAAGGCAGCCTTCAGCTACCTGAGTCCTTTTCCACACGGTCAAAGCTCTTCTCGTCAACTCAAACAAAGACCTCGTGTCCTCAGCCATCAACATGTCTTCTGCCGTCGACAACCTCGCCGACAACCTGGCTTCCACCACCATTAACGATACCAACGGCACTTCCCCTGCCGCCGCCCAGACCGATGCGGCGGCCGCCAGTGCCGATGAAGGTCGTCGGTTGTACATTGGGAACCTCGCGTATGCGACCACTGAGGGGGAGCTCAAGGAGTTCTTCAAGAACTACACCATGTGAGTGTGCTCTGCTCTGTGTCTCTCTTTTTGTTTGTCGTTTCATCCTGCGCTGGTGAAAGAAGGTCTATCATCAGCGGTCGGGAGATTGTGGTATTATTATCACCGCTGGCAAGGTTATGTTATGGCGGAAGTGCGCTGTAACCGTAACACTGGCCTGTTCATGTGTGGGCCGTCACTGATGCCTGACTTCCGCCTGTCGTCCATGCGCCTCACGATGCCAGAGAATCTAGGAAATAGCGGCTAACCATCAAAATCACAGTGAAAGCACCTCCATTCCGGTGAACCCTCGCACCAACCGCCCGGTTGGCTATGCGTTTGTCGACCTTGCCACTGCCCATGAGGCCCAGAACGCCATCCAGGAGCTGTCAGGCAAGGAGATCCTCGAGCGCAAGGTCTCTGTCCAGGTCGCTCGCAAGCCCGAGCCTGCAGAGGCCAAGGCGGAGGGTGCTGTGAGTGGTGGTGAGGGTGCCAGCGGCAACGAGGGCCGCAAGAGGGGATCGGGCCGGGGCCGTGGCCGCGGTCGTGGCCGTGGTGGCCGTTTCGGACGTGGTGGTCGCGTAAGTCTTTACCTTCGACCAGATATATTCAGAACTTGGCTAACAGGATCGGCTCAGCAGCAGCAGCAGCAGAACGGCGAGCATGCGGAGCCCACCAACGTGCCCGGTCAGGTCGCTCCTCTGACTGAGGTCACCAACGAGAACCAGGCGGAGGCTCCCAAGGACGCCAAGCCTCGTGGCCGCCCCCAGAAGCAGCGTGGCCCTCCTGAGGATGGTATCCCATCCAAGACCAAGGTTATGGTGGCCAACCTGCCCTATGATCTGAGTGAGGAGAAGGTGCGATCACACCCCTGTTATTATGGTTTCCTGGCATTATCAGTACTGACTTCGGCTATAGCTCAAGGAGCTCTTCGCCGCCTACGAGCCCGTTTCCGCCAAGATCGCTCTCCGCCCTATTCCTCGCTTCATGGTCAAGAAGCTGCAGGCCCGTAACGAGCCCCGCAAGGGTCGTGGCTTCGGTTTCGTCACCCTCGGTTCCGAGGCTCTCCAGCAGAAGGCCGTCGAGGAGATGAACGGCAAGGAGATCGAAGGACGTGAGATCGCTGTCAAGGTCGCCATTGACAGCCCCGGCAAGGAGGACGATGCTAACGCTGCTGCTCCCGCCGATGCGCAGGCGCCCGCCGGAGAGGCTGCCGCTCCCGCTGCTGCTCCGGCTGAGGAGAACGCGGCTCCCGCTGCTTAAATGACAAGATCCGTTTTTTGCCCAAACGGTGATGGATGGGGAAGGGGATGATCGTGGGGCTGGTGATCAGTATGATGGATATTTTCATAGTACGCATCGGAGGATGCGGTCTTACACTGTGGATATCTCTTACTATTCAGCAGACCTAAGGTGATGACGAATTTCATGTGTCTACAGTCTACCATGACCACATAATATGGGGACGCGCAGGATGATTCTGGTTGAAGGAACCCGTGTGGAGGGTTGCCTATTCAATCGTGGCCTGTATCTTAGAAACCATTTAACTTTATGATTTGCCTCAAGGCTGGCCTTGTAGAAGGTATCTTTGGTGCATTCTATACGACGTATATATCTTATTCTTTTGAGAGTCTGTAGCGGTCCTGGTATGGCAGGCTAGCTCGGCCAAATCGGTAAAACCCAGGATAATCGCCATGGACGGGTAAATTCTATTGGCATTGGTTGCTCTGAACAGCAGCAGCGTTGTTCATGGTCGAGGTCGGGGCTGGCCCATGGATTGCTCGCTTTCTCCGCTAAAGTCAGTCTGGCAAAAGGCGGGAGAACGCCACCGTCTTATGGCAGAGAAACCAACTCTCATCCTTCTTGAAATTAAGAGTCGCAAACCTCCTCGGCCAGAGCAGCTCTTTGTTATCTACCCGTCATTACCTCAGTGGCGCCAGATAGATCGCGCCGGGTCTGAAATGCTTGTCGCCCGCTAGGGGACCGCAAATCATCAGGAGTGACGGCGGGCCCAATCCCTAGCGGACAGACGGATTCCAACGCGCACGGGGGAGCCACGACCTCCGTGCGTTGTATTCTAACAGTCGTCTGATTTCTACTACTCAAATACTGCTTTACGGAGGGAGTATTCGATTGTATATACGGAGCAATTTTGTCCATCTCCTTTTTACGGTCTCTGTGGTTGTCCGCTATTCTAACACTCGCCTCCCCTCTGGCCCAACATGTCGAAGATGTGGGAAGTCGACCCGGAGACGAGGTCAAAGGTGTGTCTGATCTTTGTTCTTGCCGCTCCTGAACGATGCGAATAACCTGCTAACATGCGATTCTTCGATCTGTAGCTCATCCAGATCTCCAAGACGAACGGCAATGACCGATGTTGCGACTGCGGGGCGCCGTCACCACAATGGGTTTGTGAACCTGCGTTGAGCATGTAAAGCGCGATAGATAAGAGATCATAAAAAAGGCTGATAGATTTGTTTTTTCTTGCAGGCATCCCCCAAATTCGGAACCTTCATCTGTCTCAACTGCGCCGGAATCCATCGTGGATTGGGCGTGCACATCTCCTTCGTCCGCTCCGTCACAATGGACGCCTTCAAGAACGCCGAGATCCAGCGCATGGAAAAGGGCGGTAACGAGCCGTGGAAGGTCTTCTTCGATGCCCATCCTCTAACCGTTTCGGAGGGACGAACATTCGAGGACTCTACCATCAAGGAGCGCTATGAGGGCGAAGTCGGCGAGGAGTGGAAGGAGAGGTTGACGTGCAAGATCGAGGGGACAGAGTACGTCCCTGGACAAAAGAAGAAGCAGCCAGAGCCTATCAGTTCAAGATCCAGCACGCCATTGTCATCCACCGCAGCGGGGATGACCTCGTCAGCTACGCTAGAGAGGTCAGGGAGCAGAAAGGAACGCAACGAGGCGTATTTCGCGAAGCTGGGTAATGACAATGCCACGCGGTCCACCAGTCTTCCGCCATCCCAGGGTGGGAAGTATACGGGTTTCGGAGGTGGTCTGCCGGTTACTTCACAGAAGGATCAAGCTGGCATTCCTGGTATCGACGAGTTCCAGAAGGATCCCATGGGCACCTTGACGAAAGGGTTCGGTTGGTTCGCTTCGACCGTTGGAAAGAGCGTCAAGACAGTCAATGAATCCTACCTCCAGCCTACGGCTAGACAACTAGCGGAATCCGACTTGGCTGCTCAGGCTCGCTTGCATGCTGCTCAACTGGGCCAGAACCTGCAGACAGGAGCTCGTGGTGCCGCTGATACCTTTGGCCGTTTTGTCGAGGGTCCAGACGGTCGTCGGGTCGAGCCTGAACGGAAGGAATTCTGGGACGAATTATCCTCTATCGGCGCCAAAGAGAATCGGAAAAGCACATCTTCCATCGGCACAGCAGCCATGAAACGCGGTCCTTCGTCCAGCATTAGCAGCGGATTCGGATCAACCGCGACACCAGCACAGACAACCTCGTCATCCTCAACAGGGAAAGATGACTGGCATGATGATTGGTAGAGTTGAAATTTTGTCATATAGCTGTTCTTCTAGTTACTTAGCGCTGCAATTTGGTCTCTTCTTTTTTTTTTCATCATCGTCGCTCAGTCAACGTTTTTTATTTTCTGGTGCGTTAGTAATGATTGTTTTTGGCATTGACTTGCTTTTTTTCTTTTTTCTCACTCATCCTGGTCATGAAATGGACCTATTGGCTTAAGTATTGATTAGTTAGTTGTTATTTTCAACGAAAGGGGAACTTTCCTATGTCACTTCAACTATCTTTTTACTCAGGTGGGAAATTAATGTCTGGTTTTTATTTATAGTTTATACATACAATACAAAGAGGGGATTTTAGGGATTCATTCTTAGAATATATTGTTTTTCATATTTGAAGGGGTATTTAAATGTATTTTGCTTCTCTGGCTATGATGTCCTGGTTGGTCAGCTTGTGTGAGAGGGTATTAATGGGATTAAGAATACCTTTGTTGCTGCCTGGCATTGGTTCACCGGGTTATTTTGAAGTAGCTTTCTTCGGGGAGGATATTTCAGATTGTCTAAGATGTGCGTTGTCCACACTTATATGTAGCTAGTGCTAGCATATGCAAAGACGATGGTAAATCGAGTCGTGAGTGAGTCCTATCATACATTGTTCATTCGTCTATTATACATGCTTTCTTTTGCTTTTGGGGGCTATTCAATCATTATCTGTTATCCAACATTGCATTAGGTAGCTGGCTATTGATATATACCCTGCAACTCTGACAGAACAGCTTTCTGCCGCGGTCCGCTGACTCGATCGAATCTATCGATACTCATGACGAACGTTCCTCTACCCGAGGTCAAGCTACGGAGGTGCTTCAAGTAACCGACCATTTCCTTCAAGGGGACTTTGGCAGTAATTGTGCGCGGCTGGTTCGTCGAGGAAGGGATAGATGCGCCGACACTGGCTGTGCCGAAGGGGTCTGGAGGGGCGTAGATCTTGCTCTCGTCGATAGTGATTGCTTCCTCGATCGGTTGAGGGGATGAGGAGACGGCCGTAGATGAGATAGAGATTTCTTCGTCGAGAGAAACGATGTGGCCGCCGCGGGCTGAGGAGATGTCGTGCACGACGGCACCGAGACTGGCTTCGTCGACGCTGATGATGACGTTCATGACGGGTTCCATGAGGGACGTTCCCCCGCCAGAGCTCGTCAACAGGTCTTTCAGAGCGGACTGCGTGGCGAGACGAGCGGCAGATGACAGCGCAGATGGTGTGGTATCGTTACCGAAGACATGTTCGACCGGGTCGAACGTAAGAGTCACTTTGGTGCTGTGCATGGGGAAGGAAAACTGTGGGCCACGGGCCAAGGCAGCTAGACATCCGTTGTAGAGGGACGTACGGAGAGTTTGCACATCCAGGTGGGATGGTAGTGACCGGCTCTCTTCTGTTCCCTTGCGGTCCTTCTCGATGTCCAATCCGGGAGCACGGATGACTATCTGGTTTCCGTCTCGTGTCTCCATTAGGATAGCATCTTCTGGAGGTTCAGATGTATCTGGCTCCATTGGATCAAAGGGCTCAACAATGGCGGCGCACCCTGCCTTCCCACGGCGACCAGCAATCTCCTTGTCGTAAATGGATGTGATTGGGATTGATTGACCCAGGGCACACTCTCTATATCCGATCTCAATACGGCCCATGGTGGCTTTGGCTTTGAGATCGTTGATCAATCGATCGCGAGCAATCTCAAGATGCAGTTCGCCCATACCGCTCAGCAGCGTCTGTCCGGAGTCTTCATCAATGGTAACGTGGAGACTGGGATCCTCCCGCAAGAGCACAGCAAGAGCTTCATGGACATTCTTCTCCTCGCCCAAGCTGTGTGGCTCAACACTGGCGAAGAAGACGGGCGGTGGAACGTCTATCGGACGTAGCTGTAGTGTGTTCAATGGCTCAGGTGGTGTAGCTTTGTTTCCGGCATACGAAATCAACGTATCACCCGTACGAGCTTGTTTCAGGCCAACCACGACTCCGATATGTCCAGCTGGAATGGAGTCGACCTCGACAGCATCATTCGCATACATCTTCAGAAGGCGAGGTGCGCGTTCGGAGACATTTAGGTTAGTATTGAAAAGAGGGGAGTTGCGATCAATCGACCCAGAATAGACGCGGATATAAACCAGCACTCCCCGCTTAGCATCGTTGACGACCTTGAAAGCCAGTGCGCAACCTTGAAGTTTAGAGATTGGATTCTGGGCTTCGGCCTGAGAAATAGCCTTTTTCTTTTGCTTGCCTCTTATGCCAGACTTTTGGCTCTCCTCGATTATAAGGTCACCACTGAGAAGACGCTGCAGGCTACCCTTGACATTGCCAATGCTCACTTCTGGGTCAGCGGTTTCAGCTGGGCTGGGCAACAAATTCACAACTGCATCCAACAGAGGCTGGACTCCCATATTGCGGAAGCTGGCACCTGCAAAGACAGGAATGATCTTGTTGCCCTCTGTCTGAAGACACCTTCGCAAGCTGTCCAGAATGTCCAAGGGCTTGACTGCAAGATGGTCCTCCTCGCATTCAAAAAACTTTTCAACGATAACCTCATCATGCTCACTCAGAAGCTCGATGAGGGCGATGCGAGCGCGCTCCAGTTCTGCGGCAAGTCGGTCGTCTGTTTCCTTCAGCTGCTCAAGGCTGAACATCTTAACTGCTTTTCCATCGCCGCCCTCGGGCCATAATAGACCTTGCAAAGAAATAGCGTCTGCCACACCGGTAAAGCGACCATTACCCCCTTCAAACCAGGGAATCTGGCAGACAGCAGGCCAACCTGCCAATCTCGTGCCAACCTCCTTTACCGTCCTTCCAAAAGCAGCACCGTCACGGTCTAGTTTGTTGACATAGATAATCCTGGGAATGCGATAGTTACTTGCTTGATGCCAGACCTGCTCTGTCTGGGCTTCCACTCCGGCGACGCCGTCCAAGATACATACCGCCCCGTCCAAGATCCGCAACGACCGCACGACTTCGAAGGTGAAATCTGCATGTCCTGGGGTATCTATGAGGTTTATGGTATGAGGAGTAGCAGATCTGGGCAGCCCTTTGGCTTTCAGATCTTCAGGACTGAGGGCGCCTGTATCACCCGCTGATTGAGGCGGCCAGTGGAAAGTGATGGCAGCTGACTGTATGGTAATTCCTCTTGCTCGTTCTGCTGGAAGGAAGTCTGTAACAGTCGATCCATCATCCACATCTCCTATCCTTCGAGTGAAACCGGAATAGTAGAGCATGCGCTCCGTGGTGGTAGTTTTGCCAGCATCGATGTGAGCAATGATACCAATGTTCCGTGTTCTGTCAAGATCCGAGCTCTGTAGTGCAGAAGCTGTCGCTGAGAATGAGCGAAAGTATTTTAGGTCTGTTCTATGGGAACAACTGCGTAGGTATCTCTGGGCAGCTAGCCTCGATGCTGAGGCCATCTGTTGCGTCGCCCGCCGGGTGACGACTGAGAAATGAGCGGCCACCATTGTGCAGCTTCACAACGGTAGACTCAACACGCTGAGAACACAAAAGAGAGGAACACAGGACCCATTGTAGCTCCAGCTGTGTAGTTGCAAGACAAGATCGTGCCATCAGAATCTGAAATGGGCGGATCTTCGACGGAGAGCTGGTGGCCCAACGCGGTTTAGCGTGCTTCTCCATATCAGCTCAACTCGGATGCCGCGATCTAGTGAACCTCTAGTGAACCCCATCCTCTCCAGCCCATCCAAGCCCGTTTTATCTTGGAGCCTGTCACCGCGCTGGAAGCCTGACTACTTTCATCTTCTCTTTCACCTCACCCGCGGCCGTCGCGCGGATTCCTGGCCTCTCTTCAGTGTCCCGGGTGGAGATTGGAGAGCTTTGAGACAGTCCACCCATATCTAGTGTCTGCTCAGTCGAACTGTGTCTACCTGTCCTAACCGAGGGCGATTGAAAATGGACTACTCCGCCATAAATAATGACCCTGATCACCCGACGGGCGCATCGCCTTGGGATTCTCCACGAGCTGATCGCACCACGTTTCCCGCCTCCGTCACCAGCGATATCCCCCCTTCCCCTTTGCCTCCGCAGGAGCAATCGCCCTACGGAGCGGATCAAGCCGCGCATCCTGAGGAGAGTCTGAAGAAGACAACCGATGCAGAGGACGATGAGTCGGACTCCCCGGATCTTTCTGAGCGCCTCCAGAGCGCACAGTTGGGAGATCCCGACTATGTCGAGCAACCGCCGTATGCCACGCGCGCACAGTATTCCCAGCATCAGAAGTCACAGACTCCCGCACGATACCAGACCGGGGCCAGACAACATGCAAGGCAAGCGCCAATCTGGAAGCTACAGGCAAAAATTACCGGCCTGGAGCGAACGGGCAAGAAAGATCCAATCTTACGTTTCGATGTCCATGTAAGGAATCAATTGGACCAGTCGCGTAACAGCGCAGTGAGCTAACTGCCTTTTTGGTAGACGAACATCCCCAAATTTAGAACGACGCAATATCGAGATGTCCGCCGCACCCATTCTGAATTCGTCAAGTTCGCTGAACATTTGATATCGAACAACCCTGAAGCTCTGGTCCCCGCAGTGCCGCCCCCATTGACTCCCGCAGGTGCCGGAACTGAAGAGGACGAGATTCGTGTGAAGGCAAATATGCAAAGATGGCTCAACTACGTCTGTAGTAACGAGGTGCTGGTGCAAGATGATGAAACGGTGCTGTTTGTGGAAAGCGATTTCGGATACAGCCCTGTCGTGAGGATGAAGCAACCGGCAACAGGCGTACGCCGGAAGGTATTGAAGCAGTTTGCCCCACCTCCAGATGACACGCCGGAATTGCAAAACGCACGTCCAGTTGTCAAGATGTTCTATCTCGGTGCGATGGACGCTAGTCAGAAGGTTGACCGTGTGGTCAAGGCACGACGCGGTATGTAAAAGTGCCATTGTTATGATCTAGGCCCACTTACTAACCCCTGAGACAGGACTTGGTCTTGCAGAATCCGATTTTGGTGTGAAGCTGGGCCAGATGCATGTCCAGGAGACGCACACTGGACTGGCTAGCGCATATCGCAAGTTGGGAAGGGTAATCCAGACCGTTGGAGATTACCATGCAGCCCAAGGCACGGCGGAAGCGACCACTCTTGGGGATCCTCTCAACTATCACTCTTCCGATGCATTTATCGTCAAGGAAACTCTGACAAACCGGCACATCCTCCTTCGAGAACTCATCCAAGCTCAGCAGGCTGCGCGAAGCAAGCGTGCCGCAGCAGACCGGCTGAAGGCTAGCTCTTCTGTCCGTCCGGACAAGGTGGATGAAGCGATTAGTTCCCTGGATGAAGCTCTCAGTCACGAGAATTACCTGACAAAGAAGACTCAGCGCGTGACTTCGCATCTTCTACAGGAGAAGAGACGCTGGTTCGATCGTACTACGAATGAACTTCTGGCGAGCATTCGCGAGTACACGCTCCGGCAGATTGAAGCTGAACGTCGTACTCTTAGCACTTTGGAGAGCGTTAGACCTGATATCCGTGCTATTGACTCGTCTGGTGGCCTCAGCCGTTTGGGTCGGGAGGCGCATCCAGCAGCTCGTCGAGCAAGTCTTGCCTCCAGCCAGGGTCCCAAGGGGGACGCATGGAGTGGGGTTCCTCGTCGAGGGGACAGTTTGAGCCGGAGCATCACTGGCAGCTACGTGGCTCCTGTCCCAGATGATGAAGAAGTCAATGGAAATGGAGCGGGCAAAGGAAGAGTCCGCGCTCTGAGCGGAGTTGGCTCGATACCCGAAGAGGATGATGATGACCGTCTTGATGCACGCAATGCTGCCAGCCGCCTGGCTACGAGCACCTTCTAAAGTATATTGTAGCATATGAGTTTTACCACACGAGTGCATACTTGATTCCAGCATATCATATTTACGATCATTGAGCCAGTCTTGAATCACCTCGCTGCTTCCCTTTCTATTTATAGGCGACCAATCGAGCCAAGAAGTCGCATTATGTACATAGTTCGTTCCACTGCCATAGTGAAGCCTATTATACCCATAGTTACCCGTTGTTATATCTGACATGGTCGCTCTGTCATTCAATCTCAGCACTCAGTTGAAAACTGCTTATTTGGGAGCAAATGAAGTTATCTGGTTAATACAATCTTTGACTCCACATGACGTATCTTTCCATCTATAATTCGCTGCTTATCCTATCTACCTGTAGTAAGGCGGCCAGCCTCTAGACCTTATGCCACTCGTCTAAAAAGACTAAACACTGTAATAGCCGGCAGGCTATTACGGGGTGGCACCCCTTATATAGTTATATTAAACTCTCGCGGATAGATGGACTGAGGAAGAAAACAAGCTGCGCGCGAAGTCGCACCGAATAGTTGCTCTTATCCTGGAGCAAACCGCCCTAGCCACGAGCGAATTCTATCACTTTCTTGGTCTCGCTAATACTGTAAGTTAGACAAATATTAGCAAAATGTCTACTATAGTATTCAACAGAGACTGATCGATTTCTATAAAAAGAAACAGATTGCTGAGTACAAAAATATAGGAAAGAAGAAGATAACCTACATTTCTTGTCAGTCACTCGGAGAATAAAAGAGAGAGGAAGGAGAAAGGAGGGCGGTTTTCTAATATGGCAAACTGACTCTCAGACACAGAGCGGAACACAAAGCTGGAGGTTCGTGACTTTTCGGGTTTCGACCGACTCATTGCAATATAGAAATCAGAGGGGAAAATGCCACAGCTCAGTATATTAGCAGCTTTATATCAGAAAATGGGCCCTATATCCTGAAGAGCTGACCACGGAGAAACAGGTCCCAGAAACCCCAGCCAGGCGAAAGCCATGTCAAAGCCGACTGGTTACTATTCGTGTATTCTAGGATTAGCTGCTTGCAGGGATAAACAAATAAGTAGTAGATAATGTGCCCCTGATGAACAAATGGTAGGACGGTTATAATCGAACGGAGATATTAACCTCCATAATTAACAGAGAGTTTGCTCCCCACCATTGCTGGTTGTTTTTAGGTACGTAGGAGATGATCCTGGGAACACGGCATTCCACCTCCCAATCTATTGCTCAAACACCTGACGGGTTTCATAGGAATTAACGTTTATAGTCGGCCGCTACCCAAGGCCATAATTATTCAAGTCATTCTCGAAAGTAAGAGATAAAATATACTCCACGTGCAAGTGCCTCCTTGCCAGGATATATGATATTGCAGAAACGTGGGGTTCTTGAATAGATTTCATGATATAGAGTCCGGAGCTTGTGGAAGAGTATAGAGACGTATATTTATACCTTCAGAAAGCGAGGATACAGTGGAGATGGCCTGATTGTGCCCCAGTTCACACAGATCGAAACGCAACGAGGGGGGCAAGAGGGCGCCTCTGGGGTTCAGCTGGTCGAGGAGTAGTCGACAACAATGACATCGGCTTCCTCGTCATCATATTTATCAAGCCTTAGAAAGAGGGATCTGCTCGTATATATGGGAGTACGAGAGAGGGGCAATCCCTCGGCGTGATGACTGGCATATGTCGATGAATGCCTGCCGCTCTTTCCCCCAGCATAATTGTCAATCTGCAGTTAATGACAGTGACCCTAATCCTTTGACTTGACCATGGAATCAGCGGGAGAGGCTACTACAGGAATCCAGCACTCAATACCTAGGTATTGGTTTCCCGCGTTCCCCAGGTTAACTAGTTCGTGAATAGGCCCCGGACTCGCTGCCACTTACGCGAGAGATGAAGGCTTTTCCCAGATTGAATCTGCGCTCGAACCTCTTGATTTTGCGTGATCTTCAATGAAATCTCCCCTTCACCGACAATGTACGATCCTTCACACTGGATAGTCGATGGTGGTATTTAGTGAGAGTGATTGTCCTATCTTCTCCATTTCCACGGGGTACTCGACAGTGCATTGGTCAGAACCAAGAATACATCTTCCATTCCACTGTTCTTTACCAGGAGATCCCAGTGCTTGTGCAAGACTATGGAATATGGTCCCGTGCGTCGGCAGGCATCATGAATCTCGCCGACGGAATAAATTTTAGAATCTACATTGTCCGGATTGAGACATGCCTCGGTTGGTATTTAGTGCACCTCCTGTGGCAATTTTTCTTGAAAATAATTCCACTTTTCACCTCATAGTCTAGCGATAATTCTCAGATATTTTCCCTTCTAGACGTCCTGTGTCCGTCGGCAAGATTGTTGCTCCGCGCTCCTATTTTGACTTTTCCATGATGTACTTAGATCTCCAGCACCGGGTACTTAGACTGTTGTTCCGTAACAGTCGGATTTAGAGCGCTATTAGAATTACGAGCATTCTCACAGCTCTACGAGGGTAGAAATAGTGAATCTGTAATACTATCGGTCTTTGCGCCGTCCAGACTGTCCATCTGTCGCACAGGATCCATTCTTTCATTTCAAGAGATTCCCTTTCTGCATTGCAGAACTCCACAGAGCGATGTTATCCCTTAATATTTCATCTTACTCGACACCATCTGGATATCAGATTTCGGAGTTGCCTAAGCCGCAGCTCGTCAACTCGAAAGATGTGATCATCAGGGTTTGTGCTGCTAGTATTAACCCAATCGACGTCAAAAGAGCCGCTGGCGCTTTGAAACTGGCAGTGAGAGACTCGTACGTATTATCTCCCTCATCTGTGCACACGAGAGTGATAACCAAAGCAGGTTTCCGTATAAAATCGGGTATGATTGTGCGGGCATAGTTACAGAAACTGGACAGGACGTGCACCAATTCAAAGTTGGAGATGCAGTCTATGCTAGACTACCAGAGATTTCCCGAGGTACGGATTAATCATGACTGTTAGCATGCCGTATCAATTGCTAATATATACAAGGCTCATGCAGTGAGTTTGTTAGATGTTCAGAAGAACATATTGGACTTAAGCCGCCTTCGTTGTCTTTTGAGGAGGCAGCTTCAATCCCACTAGCAGCAATGACAGCACTCCAGGCACTTCGGGAGTATCGTGGTGATCTTGCTGGGAAAACAGTATTTGTGCCTGCTGGCTGTTAGTTACCTACCTAGGACGGTCCTATATTTTGATTCATATGCTGATAATGTCTTAGTAAGTGGGACGGGTTTATTCGCCTGCCAGCTCGCAAAGAATGTATTCAATGCTGGGATGGTCATTACCACGGTCTCAACTGCGAAAATTCCAAGGGTGAAAGAGCTTCTGGGTGAAAACACGGTAGATCAGAGTACGTCCGCATTTCCTTTATCTCTTCAACTTCTATGCTCTTTGTCGAACTCGGTCATTGACACCTCCGAAGTTATTGACTATACAAAATCCGACCCGAGAGATGTCATCGAACATGGCTCAATCGACTTTCTTTTCGACACAGTTGGCCTTGCTATGGAATACTTGTGCTTGATGCGACCAGGATCTAGCCGTATCGTGTCCGTCGCAACTTTACCATCCGGTGACCAGCTGCAGAGTTCGTCGCTCTTGGACCTACCTCATCACCCCATTATCCCACTTCCTTTCCGACTGGGGCTTAATCTACTAGATCATATTCGCAAGCTAAGAGCAGCACGTTACAAGACGGAGTATTCATACATGTTTCTGAAATCGAGTGGCAAAGATCTGGATGAGTTAAGGCGCTATATTGAAGAGGGCCGACTAAGAACAGTTGTGGGCACAACCGTGGATCTTCGAGATATTGAAGCAGTACGAAAAGCATGCGACGTCGTTTATAGCGGACGGGGCGGTCTAGGAAAGTTGGTGATTCGGGTTTCTGAGCCCGGGAACGTTTCTTGAGTTTGGTTGTGTTTCTGCATCTCGAGATACTGTAGAGAGTCATCTTAGAAGAAATATAGTCGGGAATATAAGAAAATGATATATCTCTTGTTACCAAATTTGTTCTTGGCCTATCCAGTTCAATGTATCGGATATACAATCTTCTCCCAGATGGCGTCCCTCCCTGTAGTGTATCGATGCGCAATAACGAGTAGTATAAGGATGGTGGATTTTAGAGTCCTGACCCCTCCATCTGCGTCATCGGGAGCTTGAAGAATCCACGAAAATATTGCCTATTTGACTCGCGAGGTATCTTGCCATGCTGTATAGTAATATCTGCAAATAGAGTGTTTGTCAGTCATGCTTATAGTTAACTAAGTTATATCATATAAAATAGAACATATGGTCGGCAATTATATCGGACACAATGCCGACATATTATTGTCTGGTTCTTCCTAGAGCTCCATCGCACCCCCACTTGTGGGCTTCGCCCACGGGTCCTGTTGCTGCTCGCGGTCTTCTCACTCGTCCGCTGACAAGAAAGACTGGAATATAGTCCTCTAACAGTCCTCTAAAAAGACGACATGTTAGAAGTCCCAGAGTGATCTAGGCGGTGACCCCACCATCGCTGGAATTGCCGATGCTCCTCGTTTCGCGATGGCGGAGAGCTTCCCCTCCGGCTTTCGAAGCTTTTCTAGCGGTCGCAGAGCCGATTTCAAAGCAGGCTCCAAGGTCCACTCGTGCAACGTTATTAGTATATATGTATGAGGGATCGCCCAGGTTCGGATCTCAAGCAACACCTGATCTCTAGTGATATTGTGCTGTCGATTGTCGAGACGATTATTTGCAACAATGGCTCCTAAGGTTTTCCTGTAAGTGAAATATATCGATTGAAACCCCGGATGTTGCTAACCCCAGGATCTAGAACTGGTAGCACCGGCTACATCGGTGGCGAAGTTCTCTACGTTGTCTCGCAGGCCCATCCTGACTGGGAGATTACGGCCCTTGTCCGCAGCAAGGAGAAGGCTGCCCAGATTACCAGCAAGTTCCCGAATGTTAAGATTGCCCACGGTGACCTCGACTCGAAGGACTTGATCGAGGAGGAAGTCAAGAACGCGGATATCGTCTATAGTCAGTGACCAGTTATACTTCCTCTTTTGAGCGAGAAGCTAACAAATTTCACAGACTGCGCCGATTGTGACCACGTCGCATCCGCAGAGGCTATTGCCAAGGGCGCCACATACCACACTCCAGAGAAGCCTCTCTGGCTCATCCACACTTCAGGAACTGGTATCTTGGCTGTGGAGGACCAGCGGGCGAAGAGCTATGGTATCGAACGGCCAAAGGAATACAACGACTGGGACGGCGTGCAGGAACTGTTTAACATCCCCGACGACGCCCTCCACCGCAATGTGGACAAGATCATCATCGCTGCCGGCCTGAAGTCCCCGGACAGTGTGAAGGTTGGTATCATCTGCCCGCCCACGATTTATGGAAAGGGACGCGGCCCCGTAAACACCAAGAGTATGCAGGCCTATATGCTGGCTGCTGCCGTCCTCAAGAACAAGAAGGGATTCCTTGTTGGAGAGGGCAAGAACATCTGGCACCAGGTTCACGTGCAGGATCTCAGCAAGGTGTATCTCGCTCTGGGAGACGCGGCTGCTGCAGGCGGTGGAAAGGCAACCTGGAACAACGACGGTGGCTACTACTTGGCTGAGAACGGTTCCTTCGTCTGGGGTGATGTTGAAAGGGCCGTGGCCAAGGTCGCCTACGAGAAGAAGCTCATAGACTCGCCTGAGGTCGAGCAGCTGAACTACGACCAGGTGGCGGCCCTCAACTCGTTCGGACCGTATGCCTGGGGAACCAACTCGCGTGGCCATGCCATCCGCGCCAGGAAGCTGTTTGGTTGGAAGCCGGAGCAGCCTACCCTCCTGGAGCTGATCCCTGAGATTGTCGATGTCGAGGCCAAGGCTGCTGGTTTGGCTTAATTTAGCTGGAATGGCGACATCGTATCCTATTAATGTAGCTACTATGCCGTGATACGCCTGTGGTAATGATATGAGTAATGACACATATTCCTCTTTCTTTAGTGTCCATTAGTAGTAGTAGCGAATTGCAATTTATACAAGCAAAGGATCATTACTGTTACTGCTTTCAAATAATGGTGAATGCGAGGACGCATTTAAATACCTACTCAGGGCCGTCTGAAGAACAACAAACGAAGATCGGTGCAACACCTTATCTGATTCACTGACGAGAAGTCAATGAAATGTCAATACACGTGATGTGTCCACCTCAATAGACCATCAATAATGATATAGAATAACGATACCAATAGAGGATTGCAAACACAATAGTTAGTACAGTTAGAAAGCGCGGGTAGTGGCGGCGGAGCGCGCTAACGGCGGAACAACAAGCGACAGAAGCGCGAAGCGGTTCAGTTCTTTGGCGCATCTCCGATTCCAACAAAAGAAGCTCTCCAGCGGTCTGACGAACACATCTTTGCTAGCGAGTTGGTGCTTTTCTTTGCCTTTTCCTTGACATGGAGCTACTCCAGGTACTTTCTGACCCTATCCTCTCGTTCATTTCCCCTTTCCAGTTACTGACGATTCGATTCCAATCCAGTAAACGGTCGTCACTCATGAACCGCGCGAGCTTGTCGTCACAGGCACACCGGTTCCGTAGCTGAGCTTTTTCCTCAGTTGCCTGCCAGCTACAATGGCTCCTGGAGCGGGCGGTAAGAGGAAGAGAGGTGATCGTTCTTGGTCCGGTGATTCGGGAAACGATAATCAGAGACAATCTCCGCATCGGCCAGGAAATCTCAATCTAGCGCACTATCCACAGGGCCAACAGCCCAGTCAGCCTCGCGAATTTGGAGAGAATCGTGGAAGAGGAGGGCGCCGCTCGAGTCGCGGTGGTCGAATGCCCTCTGGTCGACGACCTAGCGATAGCCAGAATTCTGCGGAGACGCCCAAAGACACAGCTATGTCTCCACCGGCAGCAACACCTGCGAAAGAGGTCTCCGATCCCATGCAGACAAACGGCGTCGCAGCGGCAGCGAAACCACTGCCGCCTCCATCGCCGAGTCCGGCGCCAACGCAGAATTCCTCCGCAGAACCTCCGCCGGCGCCGGTTCCTTATGCATACGAATACGCGACACAGGATGTCGTTGACAACTGGATGACGACCGGCAAGAAGAGCCTGGTGGAGAAGGGAACTCAGGCGCGGTCTGAAGAGGATGCTATCACTTTGGCGGCTATCTTCCAGGAGTTGCTCAGATCGGCATTCGATGGACGGATACCGGCAACGGAAACGGGAACTGCTGTTAAAGAGATCATTGGTGAGGAGACCGTCTCTGAGGATGTTGATATGGCAGGTGGTATCGAGACTGCAGGGTCTGGATTTGATCCTCGGTCGTTGTTCCTGGATGCGCTCTCCATCATGACCGATGGTGAAACCTCTAATCCTGCCTTGCGCCCCTTGGTCTTTTCTACAGCGATATCCCCCGCGCTCCTCCGCCTTGAGTTGGAGACGCCTTTACTCCAATCTTTGGGACTTGTTCGGGACACGTTTGCTCGTATGGGTATTCGGAAACAGACGAATCTTCTTTACAGGCAGTCAAACTACAATCTTCTCCGGGAGGAGTCGGAGGGGTACTCTAAATTGCTGACGGAGTTGTTCACAACGAGTAACAATGAACCCCCTTCCAGCGAAGTCGTCGAGGATACATTCGAACGTGTCAAGGCTATGATTGGTGCCTTCGACATGGATGTTGGTCGTGCCTTGGACGTTACGTTGGACGTATTCGCGGCTGTTCTCGTGAAGCAGTACCGCTTCTTCGTGAAATTTTTGAGAGCCAGTTCATGGTGGCCTCAGGAAGAGAATTTGCGCAATGGAGGCGGCATCAGACATTCAGGGCTTCCGAACTGGGCCCAGCCTGGCTTTACTGGATGGATAACTACTGACGAAGAGCGCGCTGAATTGACTCGAGTGAATGAGCAACGAGATAAGGTCTTCTGGGATCGAGTTAGGGAAGTTGGTATCCGTGCCTTCTTCGAAATAGGCCGGCAACCAACTGATTCGGATGTTCTGAAACACTCGATATCTGAGCTGAGCGGACGACCCGAGGATGAGGATGAGACAAAGAAATGGATCGAGGAAACGGGGACCTTGCCGCCGAAGGGCAACAGAGTCGCTGCGCAACTGTTGGGATTCAAGCTACGATTCTATTCATCTCCTGCTCGCGACGAATCCGATGTGCTTCCCGACAATCTTATCTACCTAGCAGCACTACTCATTAAAGTGGGCTTCATCTCCCTTCGGGATCTTTACCCTCATTTATGGAGACCAGACGACATGATGGATGCTCTGAAAGAGGAGAAGATGAAGGAAAAGGCAGAAAGGGAAAGGGCCGCTAGACCTGGTGGAGGGATAAACGCTCTGATGATGGCTGGCGCTCTTGCAGATGATACTCTACCTGCGCCTCGTCGAGAGGCGGAAGCTCGCCCAGCAACGCCATCAAAAGAGCAAGAAGCAGAGAAGGCAAAGGATGAAGAAAAAGACGTTCTTCCGGAACCGTCAGACCAGAAAGTGCTGTTATTGAAGAGTCTATTAGCCATCGGAGCTCTCCCCGAATCACTCTTTATACTCAGTCGCTTCCCATGGTTGATGGATGTATACCCGGAGCTTCCTGAGTTCATCCATCGCATCCTACACCACTGTTTAAGCAAAGTTTATGGTGCACTTCGACCTCTGGCATCTTCGGATCACTTCAGGGAACAAAAGCAGATCACAAGTTCCGATCAATCTGGAGTCCCCAAGGGTCAGGTACGACTTACAGATGCTCCACCGAGGAGAGTGCTTCGATGGGCACAGCTTGACAAAGAAGATACGAATGATGGGACCGATTACCGGTTTTACTGGGATGATTGGGCAGATAACATTCCTGTCTGCCAGAATGTCGACGATGTGTTCGCACTGTGCTCGTCGTTCCTGAACGTTTCTGGACACAAGATTGGACAGGATCCTGCGCTCCTCACAAAACTCGCGAGAATCGGCAAGGACAGCCTGGGCAAAGACGACTCAGAGGCTAATAAGACTCGCTGGAGAGACCTCTGTAAACGTCTCTTGGTCCCTTCGTTGAGTTTGACGAAAGCCAATCCTGGTGTGGTGAACGAGGTATTTGACCTTATCAGCCACTTCCCGCGAGAAGTTCGCTACAACATGTACGCAGAGTGGTATTCTGGACAGACGTCGCGGCTCCCAGACATCAAATCTGCATTTGACCAGGCTAGGGCAGAGACGAAGGACGTCTTGAAGAGATTGAGCAAGACGAACATCAGACCCATGGCGCGAGCCCTAGCGAAGATAGCGTATGCCAATCCTGGTATTGTTATCAACGTTGCTATCAGTCAGATTGAGTCGTACGAAAATTTGATCGAGGTTGTCGTGGAGTGCGCTCGCTATTTCACCTATCTCGGTTACGATATTCTGACCTGGTCTCTGATCAGCTCCTTAGGCCAGAAAGGGAGGAGTCGTGTTCAGGAAGGGGGTCTCTTGACAAGTCGGTGGTTGAATGCTCTAGCAACCTTTGCTGGAAGGACGTTCAAACGATACTCGGTTATGAATCCAACACCAGTGCTGCAGTACGTTGTGGAACAGCTACGACATAATAATTCCACCGATCTCATTGTTCTCGAGCAAATGATAAGCTCAATGGCTGGAATCATCACTGACACGAATTTCAACGATAATCAGATCCAGGCCATGGCTGGTGGTGAAGTACTTCAAGCTCAGACTATGCTTCAGCTTCTTGATAAGAGGCATGAATCTAAGACGACATCGAGACGCCTCATGAAAGCTTTGACAGACTCAAAGTTGGCTGGGCAATTGCTTATTGCTATAGCCCAGGAGCGTGCAACGTGTGTTTTCAAGGAATCGGAAAACACCTCGGAACTCAAGTTGCTGGGCAATATATTCGACGAAATTCACCGGATTCTCACACAGTATCTGGATCTCTTACGGAGCAACCTATCCGTTACTGAATTCGACTCATTCGTGCCGGGACTAGCTTCTTTGATCAGTGAGTTCGGGATTGAGCCAGAAATCGCTTTCTGGATCAGCCGCGCGAGTCTCTGCCAGAAAGTGGCGGAGGTCGATCGTGCTGCGCAGGAAGAGGAAAAGAAGCGTAAAAGTGAGAGTGGGGACGATTCGCCCTCTAAAGCCGCTGATGGAGATGTGGAAATGGTTGACGATGAGGAGGCCGGGGAAGCGACCGACAAGGAGGGTGCTAGCTCTGCTGATAACGCCATGGACGTTGACAAGGAGACGCAACCTGCCGCAATTGAGACGAACGGTGTTACCCCCAGTGAAAGGGCAGCCCATACCGGAGTTTCTACGACTAATGGCGACTCAGTTCCATGGCACCCAGTTGTGCAGGAGTTAATGGATCAGGTCAAGAGTGCCCTGACTCCAGAAACCTGGGAAGTTGTTGGCTTGCCATTCTACGTGACTTTCTGGCAACTTTCTCTGTACGACGTCCACATCCCTCAGAAGGCTTATGAGGACGAGATCGAGCGGCAGAAGAAGAAAGTCATCGCCATTGGAAACGATCGATCTGATGTTAGTATGGCAGGCACACAGCGGAAAGAAAGAGAAAAGAAACAGATTACGGAACTCCAGGAACGGATATTGGAGGAGAACAAGCACCACCTGAAGTCATACGGTCAGACGAGGGCTAGATTACAGAAGGAGAAAGATCGATGGTTTGTCGGCATGCGAGGCAAGCATGATGCCCTGAATGTGGCCATATTGGAACAGTGCTTGCTACCGCGACTCCTTCTCTCCCCTGTCGATGCATTTTACTGTTTCAAGATGCTCAAATATCTTCACAACTCGGGGACGCCAAACTTCCGCACAGTTGGCCTTTTGGATCAACTTTTCAGGGACCAACGCCTTACTGCATTGATTTTCCAGTGTACCTCGAAGGAGGCCGACAACCTTGGACGTTTCCTCAACGAAATCCTCCGAGATCTAAGCCGATGGCATGCTGACAAGGCCGTATATGAAAAGGAGGCGTTTGGAACAAAGAGGGATCTTCCTGGATTTGCGATGGCCGTTGACCCTGAGGGTAAACCCGCGACCTTCTTGGACTATGAGGACTTCCGTCGGCTGCTTTACAAGTGGCACCGGCTCATAGCATCGGCCCTAAAGACCTGTCTTAACGGAGGAGAATACATGCACATCCGAAATTCCATTAGTATTCTCAAGGCTATTGTTCAATATTTCCCCGCTGTGAACTGGATCGGTCGCGATATGCTCACTAGCGTCAACAACCTAAGCCAGAACGACGAGAGAGACGATGTCAAGACGCCTGCGGCATCTCTGATCGGAGATCTCAACAGGAGAGAAAAGAGATGGATGCTACCGCAAGCATTCATGATTGTGAGTCAACCATAAACCCATAGTCAGATCGAGGCTAATACACCCAAGAATGAGTCCATACCAGCTGGAAAGTCCAAGGCACCCCGGCCTCGGTCTACTACCCCGAGACCGCTGAGCGCAACAGCTCCAGAATTCAAGCCAATAGCAGCTACGAAGTGAGTCGATCTGCCATAACTGGATCCCAATTGGACTGATAGTTCTGATAATGATATCCTTTCTAGTGTCAACGGCGGTGCGAGGGCTGCAGGTACCGGGAAGACAGAAGTCGAGGATGGAGAGATTGAAGATGCGAAGATGACAGATACACAAGCCGAGGCAACATCTGAAGAGGCCAAGAAAGAGGATGAACAGGCCGAGTCTCTGGTGGAGACAGCCAAGGAAGAATCTAGGCCTGAGACAGCTGCTGCGTCCCAAGATACGGTGCCTGAGTCCAGAGAAGCTGACCAGCATCCTTCCCGTGCTCGAGTCTCGCCTTCACCGTCACGATCACGCCCCAGCCCCAAGCCATCAGACACTTCCCGCCCATCAAACGTGCCTAAGAGACCAGATATCGACAGAACGTCTTCGAATAATCTCACATCTCGTACAGACCCGAATCTACCGAGCAGGCCAGAACCTCGTCCCTACAGACATGGCGACGGTCGAGGACCCAGGGGGCAACCGGATCTCATTGATGAGAGACGCGATCCTAGGGACAGCAGGCATCCGGAATTTTCGAGGTCTGGGAGGTTTGGAGAGCATGATCGTGATCGCTCTTTCGAACATGGCAGGCCTGACCGTCTTGAGCCTCCTCGTGGTGATAGAGACTTCCCTACCAGACCAGATGATCAATTCCGCGGGCCCTCGTATCGAGACCGTCCACCCCGTGAGGCAGACTGGCCTGAGAGACCAGGACGCGGGCGTCCACCTCCAATAGAAGGGTACCATGGAAGGGCAGATACCGATCGCTTTTCGAGGGACGGGCCTCTCCCTCTGCGGACCGGGGTCCAGCCTCACCCTGACCGGGCAGAGCTCATTCGTGAACATCCTGATCGGGCGTCTCTCATCGAAAATGAGGGGCATCGCCGTGGAGAGAAGGACGAGCGGAGGTCTCATTCTTCGAGGACATCATCTCCACCTAGGTTAGATGACTCGCGACCGCCTCCCCGTCCAGAACGCTTTGACGACCGCAGAGGTCCTGGTTACCCTTCGCGACAGGACGACTTCCCTAGTGGACCTCGCAGCGAACGGCCTGGTCGTGGTGATATACCTGAATCCAAAGACTCATGGGGAGGACCGGATCTTTCGCATGGACGGTTACGGCCACCTGAGCAGCCCTCAGACATCCCTTCGGGACCCAGAGGGAGAAATGCAGGGCGACGCGATGCCCGCAATGCACAACACGCACCTCCTGCTCCTCCGGTTAATTCGACGCCTCTTCCGGAGCGTCAACCACCGACTGGCCCTGGCCGGCGAGGGCCTCCTCAAGAACCAGCTCCATCGTCAGGCGGACCACCTTCTCCCGCAACTGAAAGGTTAGATACTACCGGGATTCACCCTGATAGGCTTAAGGCGTTACAATCGTCCATGGACCCAGTTGCACCACCATCAGGTCCCCGGGGCGGTGCTCATGGACCGCCTTCGGAACAGCCGCCTCCTAGAGGTCCTCCTTCAGGCCCGAGCTTCGCTGGAGAGCGTGGTCGAGGGGATAAGCGCTTTGCAGGTCTCAACAACATGTTGCAGCAATCTGGCGGTCCTCCAGAGCGCGGATCGGGTACTTCAATCCGTGGAAGAGGTGCCAATCGTCAAGGCGGTTCGATGACAGCTCCCTCACTCCAGTCAACGCGCCCACGGACTCCCACTGAAAGCCACGAAGAGAGTAACCGTTCTGGTCCTCACGGCCGTCCTGAACTCTTCCCCAGTCGTCCTGGCGGGCCCCCATTTCCCACCGATGACGCACATCCTCCAACGCGTCCAGCCGGTGGCAGACGCAGCGAGATAATAGAAGATACAGCCGCAGAGCCTCGACGCCTTAGCCGTCACTCGTCAAGTTCTAATCTGAACCCGGAGCGCGAACGAGAACGTGACCGTGACCGGGACCGTGAGCGCCGCGGTGATGAGGAAGCTGGTCGCAGCAGCAGCCGAAGGGAAGAGCACCGAGATCGCGCAAAAGAGTATGACCGCGAGACTCGCCGCAGGGGCGACAACAGTGCTAGCGCAGGCCGTGAGGAATCCTTCGAGTCAAGAGAATCCTCTTCCCGCCGAGGAGGTCACAGCCGCGATGAGAACCGACGAAGGGAACGACGAGAACGTGACGATGGTTTGGGACCTGGTAACGAGAGCCAAGGCCGTTTAAAACCACCTCCTATGAACGCTGGTGCTCCCCCGCCTCCCCCACCGCCACCTCCAGGTGGCCCAGCCGAAGATCGACGATGGGGCGGTGGTCGCGGTGAGAATCGCGATCGCGAACGTAACCGCGATAGAGACCGGGGTGACAGAGACTACCGTGAGGGTGGCAGTAGCATTCTCCCTCGAAAGCGCGGCCGTCCAGGCGGAGACGAGAACCACGGCAGCCATCAGGCAGGCGGAGGCCGTGGCGCCAGAGTCGGCAGCGAGAGCAAGCGCGCAAGACGGGGTCCATGAAGTATCCTTTCCTCTTCCTACGTCCTCTATCATTTCACATACGCCATTTCTGCGAGTCACGAAGACAAATCAAAAGGGCACAAAGACCATAATGTATGCATCCAAGTCACATTCCCCGTGATGAATCACTACCGTCTACTATCCACAAAACATAGCATAGCACAGCCAAACCTCTTTTATTCTGTTTTATCCTTTTCTCGGCTTCATTTCATCATTTTTCACATTTACAATCTACAATTTCTGCGAGGAGGGAAAACCTCTCTTCAATCATTCCTGTACGGCGCAGCATGACGATGAATTGTTCTTTCTTTCGTGTTCTAGGTATTATATGTGTCAGGGGAGAAATACCTTTTTCTTTCTTTTGTCCGGGTGGTTCTTTTACTACAATAACGTGTCTTAGTTGAAGACTTGAGTGTCACTTTTGATACAATACATTGATAAGTGTAAATTGGCAAGAGAGACTTCTCTCGATATGCATCCGAGATGTCAACTATAATGCTATCCTAGTGTGTTGCGATTTTTATCTCAAATCAATTACTCCCTTGATGACAACCTCAATAACCGCTTTATCAACTAGAGTATTAACAAAAACTCCTGATTGAATCTATCCATGCCTAGCGAGCGTACTTTTTCGTCTTTGGGTCTCTAGCTTATATGATACATGACCAAGAGTGTATGAATCCACAGAAGACACGCTTTGCAAAAGGGAACAAACAAAAGAGCTTAGGGTATATGGTTTGCAGTAAGACATGTAAGCGAAAGTGATTTTCATATGAAGAGAAAGATGCATCAACGCAAAGAGTAGACATGATATCAAAGAGGATCGGAAAAAAGAATATTTCGTCTGATCGTGCCATAATTTGCAGGGTATCTTCTATAGTTATTTTTTTGGGGTCCTTCATTCGTCCGCCTTCCCATCCACGAATATACCTCGTTGCTGCCGAAAAAGGGAACAGATCAGTTCTCACATGTGTGATAAGAACTTATCCAAAGATAAGAAAAACCGGGAAAAGAGCGAGAGTAATGTTGTCCCCAATTGAAGTTGGTCTATCAAAAGACATCGAGTGTAAAATGCTGTTGCAAACGCTCTCTATCATCCGAAGGAAGCAGTAACCGCGGAAGACTTCTTCTTTCCTAGGCCTAGGACAGATAACTTGCGTCTCAGTCCGTGTTTCTTTTTGTGTGTCGTATCTTTATCCATGTTTGGAAAGAACGTAGGAGACTTCGGGCCTCCCAGCTGATTAGCCATTCGGGTGCCATACTGGCCTGGTTGTATATGTTCGGACTTCGTGCTTGGCCAGAGGCTATAGTCAGCTCCATCAGCAGGCTTCTCCTGGTGACCGCTAACACTGGTAGCGGTAATCACTCCAATGGAACCAGTCATCTTTTCCGCAACCGCCCGTTGGAGTTGTAGCTGGCGTTGTCTCTCCTCTTCCGCCGTGATGACACCTGTGCACATCTTTTCCATGACTGCATTCTGCAAGTCTAGTCTCCTCTGTCTTTCTTCCGCCGCTGACATGACACGTTTCTCCCCATCAGCGTCGATGATGATTGCGACACCTTCACTTCCATTGACCATCGCAGGTCCATTGCTTTCCCCGTCTGACCGTATGTCACTAGCACCTCTGCTGCGCTTCGACATAGACTTTGGGCGAGATAGGCTGGGGACTCTGCAGGGAAGCTTGGAGCCACTGAAGCCTATCCATGGATCTACATCAGAGTCATCGAATTCGGACTCTGCTTGTCCCTCTGTCGGGACCATTGTGTCCTGGGGAGGAATTGTACTTAAGAGACTGGGATCGAAAGAAACTGGAGGTTCAAATGACTGGTGCAGGGTGTCAACCTGCTTTCCTTCCAGACCAGCAAGTGACTGATCAATCATATGCTCGATGCCAGACGTAGATAGGTGCTCTGGCGATTGTTCCCTGGCGGACATGAAGCCGGAATCATCCATGTTGTGCGTTTCGTCACGAGCATTGCTGAGTCGGCTATAATCTTCGGGTTCCGAATCACTCTCGGATTCATAGAGACGAGTTGCGCCAGTACCTGCAGCAGACCCATTCTGTTGGTAGTCTGCATATGCTCTGGACACACGATGTTCTCTCGCGTCCATCATGAGAATCCTCCTGCGGCGCTCATTCATATCTGGGGACGAGGCCCCAAGTGCCACGCCAGAATCATATTTCTCTTTCTTGAACACTTCGTCTTTGTTATCCATGGGGAATAAATAACCGTTTTGGTTGGGTGACCGATCCCATGTTTCCTGAGCGGACTGTCTCTGCGCATAGAACCTGTCGACTGTCTCCGTCTCTGGCTGATATGACAGCGTGGAAGGCTGCCCAGTCTCGATATGATGGAATAGCAGCATGCACGAACACCGTAACTTCCCCATGGTCTCTGGAGAAAACTCTGGGCGTTCAATCAGAGGGGATTCCGGCCTGTAGAAGATGGGGGTGTCGACAAAATCATAATACCGGCTGCGGTCCTCTTGAGGTAAGCTCGCCTGCCGTTTCTGTAAACAATGTTAGGATCTCACATGGAGATGGTATAAACGCAACCAGGAATGGCTAGCCAAACACAGTCCTGGGACAATAAACTTACACTCGAACCCCGCGATAAGGAGAACATCCTAGCCTTCATCTTGTCAGTTGCCCTATACAGGGTAGCTTGACCCTAGTTGAAAATTGAAATCAAAGTCCGGAGGACCCGATTGCAGATCTCAGACACCGCAGTGGATATTGGCACCTATGCAGCTTGGCCGGAGCGCCAGGCAGGAAATTCAACGATCGAAGCAGTTGATAGACCGATGTGGAGAACTCGAGGCGTATCGTAAAGCAGTGAGAGTCAAGTCCACGAGGTACGTGACTGCGGGAGTTCTTCTCTGGGTTGCGCTGACACCGTGGGGTTCGAGCAGGGGACACAATGTGGCCAGAACGCAACTTCGTGATTAAATATACCGATAGTAGAACAGTTCATCCATCAGACCAGTGTTGCGCCCAAACTGAGGCCATCCCGGTTGTTCTTTGTATTGCCAGCTTGTCTCACCATGAATCAGCACTGTGGTGCAATCCCGGAAGCATGACGTCCAAATATCGGATCTGCAGTGCGATGGGAAGTGAGGTGTGTGGAGAAGTCCAAACCGGCGTCTCGCGGAAGGTTTCTTTGATTCGTTTCTTTATGGTCTGAAGAAGATATGATCAACTAACTGCTCGATAGATCTAGAAAAGGACTGTCCTTGAGGTTCCGGGGCACAACAACAGCAGAGGATGGACAAGAGGGACTCAGAGCACAGCAGTCAGAGCTCAGGAGCACCGACGTGGGGAGGCCGAGGCTAGTCATTCTATTTATTCAATCTAGTTGACTCTTTTCTCGCCCTCCTACGAAGGAAAAACAAAGAACGGGGGGTCATCATCTGGAGAGCATCGCCAAACTGGCGCGACTAACCTGTTAGGGCGCGCCAGGTTGGGTCACCTCCTACACCAGTCCACGGCTCTAGAACAGGTTTGGTCTGGTGTCACGCTTGGTGATGTCTAGCTTGCTGGTTTAGTGACCTTTTATTGTTTTAGTGCCTTTCGGCAAATCTTCGCCATGGGCGTTCTAGAGCTGCCCGCAGCCCGAGAGTCTTACACTATTATGTTGAACCTATCCAAAAGCGCCGACAGATCTTGGCCAGGTGGTCAACTGGGATTCTGGGCTGGATGGATGAAGCGCCCAGATGGTCTTTGTTGTAATAAGTCCCGCAGAACTCATGCTCCTGAAAGCACATCTTTTCCACCCTGGATGTCTTATTAACTAACACAATAGGGATTTATGGCAATGCTTTCGCAAGTTGATTGGTCTCAACAAATAGGATGCGTCGATGGTCTAAGACATAAATTCATGCTGACTGATTGATGGCTAACACGATCGTGCTTATCCACCAGGGGGATCCATGCCAATAGCCTCCCAATGTCCTGCTACCTTATTATTGTTCCGGAGCTTTCCTTAATATCCCAGGACAAACAGTCGCCACCAATCATTTACTCCCCACCAAAATGGCAGTATCGCAGAGATCTCCCTGTGGACAACATCCGGTGGTGGTGGTGATGCCAACAGAGCAGCGCAATCAAGATTCTCTGCTTTGAAACAGCGTCATGGCCCCCCTCCCCTCGAAACACGTGCTGCATAGGTCTCTCTCGGCCTTTCGGGATCGCGAGGAAGATATGCAGGAAAGTCCCGATGATAACATACAGCGTATCCCAGCACGCGTCAGGGCCCCGAAGGCGCTGTTTGGCTCCATCTGAGCGCAAGCCCGGAACCTGTTCACTATGTCCGTCTTACAGAGATGTGGCTGAGGAGATGAGAAGTTCGCCGGCTCTGATATAGCCAGCGCCCGCCGGCAAATCTTCCCAATGCGGTCTTTGGATGGTCCATCTCACTAGCTGCGAAAATGCAATGGCTGTGTGCCAAGCAGCGTCTCTATCAAAGGTGTCCCTGAGCTGAGCGTTGCTTGCGGAGTATATCTTGATGGAAAGTAGCAATGCAGTTGGTTTACTACTGAAGACTACAATCCAGCTCATGCTGAGTCTCCGTGACCGTTGACGGGACTGAAAGTGAAGATGGTGTTCTTCCGCTGATTGATATGGTGCAACAATGGTCCACAATGGTTTCTTGGCAGGTTCCCATAAAGTCTTCGCTTTTCTTCATAGCGTCCCGAACTAGCGACCTTTTCGTACAAGCGAAGAGAAAAGCCTTCATGTTTTTGCCCCTTTCTCAGGGCCAACAATACTAGACTAACCAAATAATGAAGATGATCCACCAGCGACATCCGAGCGTCATGTGATGTCTTCGGAGGAGATTCCGAGATGTCAGCAATTCGAGATCGAAGATGGTGATCGCAATGGAAATCCGTCGTTGTTGACTGTTGACAGATCTTGGCTTCAATGCTCCACGATCTGAATCTCGCAGATCATCTGATATTTGTGGAAACAGTAGTCCCTCCGTGGACTGCAGACTCCAACTACTCCTCTTAACTAGAACGGGTCCGGCGACTGCTCGCAAAATGTGTATCTCGATAACTCCAGCGAAGCGCATTGCAGGTTCACCAAACAAGCACTCGGTCCTCCTGAACGGGGCCCGAGAGTGTTTAGTACCCAGGCAACGACTCACATTTGGAGCAGCTAGTTAGTCGCTCAAGCAAGGATAGTTAAGGATACGCCCTGACATCTTGGCAAAAGCGCGCATGGACATTAGTCTTATGCAGATTAATCATGGGATGGTTTTGGAATAATTCAACCCCCAGTCTTTGGAGCGCTCGAAGTGTCGGAGAATCATTAATGGCCTCCTGTCTTGTGCTTCTGCTAGTATAACAATGCTCAAAACTGCAAGGAGGTCGACGCTTGATAACCATCACGATAACTACCGGCTGCGTTGCATTCGCAGGCAACGATGAGGGTCCCCTGCGGTAAAAGACTCCCATACTGTGTAGTCTTTTGTTGTCATTCGTTTGTGATCCCTAATTACCTATTTTCCCTTTCCCCGCATTTTTGACCTTGCTACTCTTCGCGCTGTCTGCAGGGCCCGAGTCACAGCTATAGCACTATCAACTAATCACAGATGAGAGTAGCACGGCTACTATAGCGCTACAGTAGGTCAGGCGGTCTTGACTTGGTGCATCTGGAAGAACTCTACTGTAGCCTAAAAGTTCGCCACAGGCGCCAGGTCTAAATTTCTTAGCTTGAGGCAAAGTCGAAGAGGCTTAACTCTTAATGACCTCCTTATTGAGTTTTTCTAAGCGAGGAGAAATATGGTTTGGAACGTCGTGGTGGTTTCGGCAACTTACCACGTGCTATTATTCGCTTGATCGTTTCATGCATCCAGGTGGGTGTTTTGTCCTTCTGTCGTTTGGATCGTGGAACTTTGACATAGATGATTTTGGGTAAGCTGTTCAATTGAAAGGGAGGTTGGGGGTGTGAGAATCGATGCGTCTATTATTATGATTTGCTCATTGTGAGATCCAATGTATGGTTTGAATCATATTTGATTCTTGTTATGTCTATGTCTATGACTTAGATGGAAAGGAGCCATCCCTTAAGGATAAACTTCGCTGTCGATAGCCATCTGCACAGAAGAGAAGTAAAAGTTCGTCGTCGATGAATGGAATCTGATATCATAACGGTTCTGAAATCACATTAAAGCCCAACGAAAAAAGACACCAAATGAAGCTCATACCCGATGACAAACTAGAAATGACTAAAGGGTATTCACCAAGGACCTATCCCCATTCGCAATACTCTTCAACTTATCTGACCCCAGATACCGTCCCTTGAGGAGCCAGACAGCGATGCTGGGAATCCTGAATCGGCCAGCAATACCTGTGCCTTTGCATCGACCAAGTGTCACTGCGAGGGCGCGCATGCTATTCGCGCCATAGGGCAGTGGTTCGTTCCCTCGAAGGACATTGTCCAAGTTCTGAGCCAAATGGAGGGCCTGTTCTTCTGCGTATTTGGCCTGTTTGGATTCGAGACCCGTTACGTCGCCGGCGGCCCAAATATTGTCGGTGGTGCGGACGCGCAGGAATTCATCCACTAGCACATCGCCGGACTCATTCACGACAGAGAGCGGTAAGAAGTCTGTATTGGCTTTCTCTCCGATGGTGGGCAGGTATAGATCCACGATCAGATCAGGCTCCCCCGTGGAGAATGTGAGTTTCGTCTTTCCGTCCGGAGTCGGAGATGCATCGGTGATTTTTGTATTGCGGATGATCTTGACGTCTAGTCGCACCAGCTCTTTCTCAGCAATCTCAGAGACATGCTCTGGGAGACTAGGTATAAGGCGCTCGTTCGACGTCACGATAGTTACCTCCTTTCCTTTCTTGTGGTACTCGTATGCGATTTCACCAGCCACTTCAGACCCAGTGGCACCTCCGCCTCCAATAACAATAGTCTTTGCAGCAGCAACCTTCTTTTGAAGCTCGTGCACGGATTCAACTGTCGTCTGGTAATCTTTCAATGGCTTCCAAGGCATGTCATTCTTGTACGAGGCGCCAGTAGCCACAACCAGATATTCATAATGGATCGTCTGTCCATCAGAGACAACGACCGTGTTGCTTGACGGATCCACTTTCTGCGCAGTCCCCAGGATAAACTCGAAGCTCTCCTTGGGATATTTCTCGAAACCGGGTAGGAATGGGTGAAAGAGATCCTCGTCACGGAACTGGCCCGGGACGACGTATCGCACTGATGCTAGGTTCCAGTACAACTGATCTGAAGGATTGATCAGTATGATCTTGATGTCCTTCAGCTGAGGATATGAATGTTTCAACAACTTGTGGGCAATGGCTAATCCAGAAATGGATGCACCCAGGATAACAATTGTACGGGTCATGACGTTGGAAGGCGAGGACATGAAAAAAAAGAGCAATAAAGCGATTCCGGGATAGATCCTTTGACAAATGCAAAGTAATAAATCAAAACAAGAAGTAGAAGTCAATGGTGATGAGGAAATTAGGCTTGCGTAGCAAGGACACTGAATGCTTTCTAGATCGACCTCTTTAAGACAGATTCCGTTTCGGCGTGTCCGACCTCACCATATATAACAATCGAGTCAGTAGAGGCAGCAGGGCCCTTTTTTATTAAGTATTATTGCTCCACACTGCGAACAGCGGGCAATCGCTGGTCGTTGCAAAGGACGCTCAGTTGCAAGGCAGAAGTCGATCTAGTACATAATAATTCCAGAAAAGGAACGAATTTGTCAGCGCTCTAACATAAGCAGTCGATAAATCGGAAAAGCCGTCCGACAGATGTTTTCTTCTGTATTATCTCGTATGTTGTCAATGTCAATGATGAATGAAAGCAACCGAGAGTTCGGCTCGGCAGGTTTTCGATCCGGGCGCGGACACGGCAGCAAAACAGTCCGAGTCAGCAATGCGGGAAGATTGATTGATTTATTCGCATTTCTATCAACTTCGATTTGATGAGCTATCTATCAGTTGAACCACGAAGAGTCATTTTCTTTCGATGTCACTCAATCGCAAAAATCAATTTCATCACCGTCTGTGAATTTACGGCGCTCTAACAGGATCTAGTGTGGTTGCAACGTTGTACTGAGTCCTGAGATCTGGATTTGTCGCGTTTGGAGGAATCTTCAGTAAGAATGGCAGAATCGTCCACAGCTTTGCTCGTCCATAAGTACTTATTTAGACAAGGGCTACAAGCATATTTCCAAATCCCACAGAAGGTATGAATTTGACGTTGATCATCTGGAAATTGTGCCCTACGTACGGCCCTGCGGTAGCTTTGCGTTCGACAAGCTATGCCATCTAGACTGCAGAAATGAATAACCCATATCTATGTTCATGCACTGTTGCACCGGAGTCATACGTCTTCGTCATGATCTTCAAGGGGAAATACTCTCGGACAGCAACTCCTTCCCTTTCAATATCAGATTGCTTAAGGAGTCCTGCCCTCATCGCTTGCGTGATGAATCTGGACTTTTCAAGTTGTGTTCATTATCAGGCACCCAGCCAAAAGCATCAATCCCAATAATATCCCTCATTTCAACTCACCCACCTTTTCCTGTTCTTGGTCATATTCGCTGGTGCCATTCTATATCTCTTCTTCAGAGAGATTAAGAGGCCATTTCGTTGGCTCCATACCTAGACGGCACCCCGTGAAAATGCATAAGCCAATTTTGGCATACATGGGTCATAACATACTGCAGAGATACGAAGCCTCTCTCCCAAAGAGCCGCTGCACGGTTGAAAAGCTGAGCTCGAAGCATTGCATTTTTCATCTCTCAGAGCATCGAAATGCTCTGGGATGTCCTTCATCGTCAATACTGCATAGTAAAAATGGACCAAACGCTTACGCATAGTCTTTCACAGCCTGTTGTTTCCCGGTGCTGAGATCACGGAAACTTTCAGGTAGCTTTACCTCTGGTTTGGTCAGAGATTCAGAGAGTGGACCACCCCAATTTCGAAAATAGTACGCTGTATCGGCACACTGGCAACGTGGTAAAGCCCCAGCATGTTGCCAGTCAATTATTCCTACGATATCAGCCGACGCGCTTCCCAAAGTATTATTCGGCGAGTCCGGGTGGCGGAGAAGACGGCATTAACTGGCGAGTTCTAAGAATTAACCGGCCAAAAGCCGTTGAGAACGTTTGTACTGAACTGAGCGCTTCCCAGCCTCAGATGCCTGGATATTCAGCTAGACGATAGCTAGACGATGATAATGCAAGCAACAAACCCAAATCGACGGCCCAAAGGAACCGAAATGGAGACACGAGGCATTCGAGCTCCCTACTGGAGTAATATTTTAATTCTGCTTGACGCTGGCTGGACCTGGCATAAGAATATCTGCCCTGAACTCGACCACCGCCAGTCCATCGGCGTGGACGAGATCCCCATGTCTCGGATGCTCGCGCGACTCTCTCGACCAGACTTCTCCCGGCTTCCGCCAGGTCACTTTTTACTATTTCTGTCGACACATTCGGCTGAGCCCGCCGGAAAGCCGGTGCCTGGCAGGGATCGACGAGATCTCATGGCTGCGCTTCTGCCATTGTCACCTTCCACTGCTGGTTAATCGCGTCCGGCGCTGCTGAGATACGACGTCGCGAAGCTTCTCCGGCATGAGCCTAAAAGCTCCGTTTGCTGAGGAGAGCGAATGGCGGTTGAGATGATTGATAACCGAACCAGCCATGGTGGAGTCAAAACCGTGTTCCCCCGCGCCCTAGATTGGATCGCCGTATATTTGCCGGCCGATATGATGATACGACGGGATCGGGATGTTCCACGACCATCACAATCATGAAGATTGCAGGAGACTCATGGTTTCTAGCGGAGCTGGTACGACAGAGTCTTGTTTGTCTGCATTCCTGTTTCCGTGACCCTACGCGAGCAGCCCGGAATGTCTACGAAGTAATAAGAACAGCACGTACAGACAAGGGCTATGCTACGAAAGTAAGCAGTGGCTTCATGCGCCATCAATGCTTAACAGCCTTAGCTCCATGGATAACGGTTCCACCAACCCTCGCATCACCAGTCATGTATGGTCGACCTACGGAGTAGTCGGTCACAATCAGCGCCAATGACGGAATCCATTGATCGACAACTCGTTTCCGGCTGCGATGCTCACAGCCCGGTCTCTGCAGTCAACGCCGTTCGCCATGTCCGATTAGTGGCACTGTGGCACGCGTCTGGACGAGCGAGTGCGTATATATAGACTCCTCACGATGGCCCTCCCTAGGCAATCACACGAGTGCCTCTGCCAACCGTTCGAGGGCCGACAATGCATCTCCTCGCCCCAATTGCTCTCTTCCTCGGTGCCGCTGCGGCCTTGCAGAGCCCGCACAAGAGGGTCGCGAAGCGGACTCCCAAGGCGCCTGTGCATCGACAGGAGGCTCGTTCAGTCCAGGACAGCCAGAAGCCACGCTACCTAAACCCCAAGTCGCAGAGTATGGACTCCCTTTCTGAAACTATAGAAGTTCTCCCAGGAACGAAACTAATCGACACTTTCTACAATAAGAGTTCGCCGTCAATGGCAGCGCTATCCCCGAAGTCGACTTCGATATCGGCGAGTCCTATGCAGGAACCTTGCCCAACACTCCGTCCGGCAACTCTACTCTGTTCTTTTGGTTCTTCCCATCGGAGAATCCCAAGGCTTCGGACGAGGTAAACATTCGATTGTAACCGCCATTCGATCGCATGCATGGGCTAAACAATGTATTTCAGATCACTATCTGGTTGAACGGCGGTCCGGGCTGCAGTTCCCTGGACGGCTTGCTGCAAGAAAATGGACCTTTCCTATGGCAATCAGGAACCTACCGTCCGATTCGAAACCCTTACTCCTGGACCAACCTCACCAACGTAGTCTATGTCGACCAGCCAGCCGGAACCGGTTTCTCTCCGGGACCTCCCACCGTCAACAATGAGATCGACGTGGCAAACCAGTTTAACGACTTTTGGAAGAACTTCATGGACACGTTCGAGCTTCAAGGCCGCAAGGTGTACATCACTGGCGAGAGTTACGCTGGTATGTACGTTCCGTACATTGCGGCCAGTATGCTGGACAAGAACGACACCAAGTACTTCAACGTGAAGGGCATCCAGATTAACGACCCTTCTATCAACGAGGACGATACTCTGATATATGGTATGATCGAGCTCTTTTTAACCTTCAATAGCAACACAAACTAATGGAAATAGCCCCTGCCGTACCGGCATTGAACTACTTCAAGTCCGTTCTGCCGCTCAATGAATCTTTCATGACCGAGATCAACGAACGGGCCGAGAAATGCGGCTACTTTGATTTCCTGGACAAGGCCCTCACATACCCGCCTACTGGCAAGCTGCCCACAGCCCCCAACTCGTCCGAGCCCGGCTGCGACGTTTGGGACGTTACCTACGCAGCCCTCCTGGACATCAACCCCTGCTTCAACATCTACCATCTCACGGACTTCTGCCCGTACCTCTGGGATGAGATGGGCTTCCCCTCTCTGGCAGGCGGCCCGAACGACTACTTCAACCGCTCCGACGTCCAAGCCGCTATCCACGCTCCGCCCACAGACTACTCCGTCTGCGGTGAAACGGACATCTTCCCCAATGGCGATGGCTCACTTCCCAGCGCTCTCGGTCCCCTACCAAGCGTGATCGAGCGTACCAACAACACCATCATCGGCCACGGATGGTTGGACTACCTCCTCTTCATGAACGGTACTCTCGCGACTATCCAGAACATGACCTGGAACGGAGCTCAGGGTTTCCAGAAACCACCTGTCGAGCCTCTCTATGTCCCTTACCACTGGGGTCTGGCTGAGCTCGCTAATGGAACTGTCTCGGCTCCGTTCACGCAGGATGCTGGTGCCGGATACCTCGGTACAGCGCACACGGAGCGTGGCCTGACTTTCACCTCTGTTTATCTTTCTGGACATGGTAAGTTTTGAAAACAAATATATTCTCTTTGTGGTGAAGGGAATCTGGTAAGGAGAAGTTGGCTAATGATGGTGATTGTAGAAATCCCGCAATACGTCCCTGGTGCGGCCTACCGACAGTTGGAATTCCTGCTTGGCAGAATTGGAAACTTGTCTGAGCAGACGGGATATACGACTCTGTAATCACTGGTTACATTGTAGATGAAATAATGTGTACATAGATCTACTACTGGAACTTTATGGAGAGGTCTTCCAGCCTGCTTAGGAGAAGCAATGTACAGTGTGGTCATCTGGTCAGAAATACGGAAGAACCACTATATATGCAAGTAGATGTGCCATCTATTCTACATTGTGTAGTCCAGCAACAGGTATCATGGAAAATGACTAATATGGTAGAGTACATCGATGTGTATGTACAAGGGCCCATCGTCCTTAGATAGCAAGCCTTCGTGCTTTGAGAAGAGTATAAAACACGGACTGCTGAAAAGGAGACATGATGGAGAGCAGTTGGATGCTTCTTTTCAAATATCTGCGAGAGAGGCAGTTGGATGCTCTTCTCTCCGATTCGTTGCGAAATGAAAGTTTGTAAATCTCCGAATCTGGTTCACTCGTCTTCCGCAACATCCCCCGCGGGATGTCGCTGCTCCACAACCCAAGCAGACAGAGCAACGACTATCAGTCTGATCTCAAGAAGCTTCTCATCCACACCTGCTTCTCCGACGGCATAGCACGGTACGAGGTCTCTATAAGTGACCACAGTAGTGCTGAAACTCGGCCGAACAAGGGGGTTATCCCCCGTCCTCTTTTACCAAGCTGTGATATCCTCCACTTCAGCCTCTCCAAATGTGCTGCTCTTGGTCAACTTGCCCACTGTGTCAACAGCGGCGTCGTTTGCCTCTTTGGACATAATATCTGGGAGCACCTCTCGGAAAAACTCCAGGATATGACGGTTGACCTGCTCAAACTGAAGCAGGAAAGCGTCGTGACCCTCCGGGCTTTCAATCCGCTTCAGTCGTGAGTCTGGGATTCCAGCGGCGATTTCCATCTGCTCTTCGAAAGTAAAGAGTCCGTCACTCTCAATTCCGATGACCAGAGCAGGTTGTTGAATAAGCGACAGGGCGTCCTTGACAGGATCGGAAGATTTTGGATCAGCACGATAGCGAGACACGTCGTGGGTGTCCAGCTTGCGGGTAATTGCAATATAGCAGTTACTGTCGAATCGTTTTACAAATTTCTCGCCTTGGTAACGCAGATACGACTGGGCCGAAAAGTAGGTGGTTGGCCGTCTCGTGGCGTTTGAACCGTGACTAGTAGGTTTTACGGAAGCCGTAAAGGTGGTGGTTCCACTGAATTGGGGATCCGTGAACTGCACCTCGGCCTGAGGAGTGGGAGAGCCAGGCGCACTGGGGGGTCGGGAAGATCGTGTGCTCTTGTGACCATCGTTATGGATAGCCCAGTGTTCATTTGGTGGGCTGGGAAGCCTCTCTTTGCCATCCATGTTTTGCCGCTTCGAGGGATCGGGAACGTTTCTACCGAACCTCGACTCGAAGGAGTTGCGACTCCTGTATGTGAGAAGGGCTGACATACGAGCAGCACCTAGTCCAGTGGTTGGAGGATCGTCAAAGGCATAGTAGCCATCCTCGTATTTAGGATCACTGTAGATGCTCTGTCTCTGGGCTTCTCCCCAACTGATGCACCAAGCAGAGTGCCGTGCTGATGTGGCAATTGGGACGATAGCTCGCACGTAGTCTTTGCCGAAATAAGCGTATTCGAGGGTCAACATTCCTCCCATGGATCCTCCAACCACAGCAGCGATCTGTCTAACACCCAGATCATCTAGAACGAGCTTGTGGATTCTGGATGTACAATTAGCTACAGTTCCACGAGGCGCATGGATCGTTGCACTAACCTAACATCATCTCTGATAGTTGTCAAGGGAAACTCCGGGCCATATCTTTCTTTGCTTCGGTCACCGTCCTTGTATGTCACAGGGCTGGCGCTCCCATACGGACTACCCAGACTGTTCAAGCAGATGACGAAGAACCGCGACACATCAAACGCTTGGCCGGGACCACCCAGAAGGGGACCCCACCAGTCCGCGACATCAGCACTGCCACTCAAAGCATGGCAGATCACCAGAGCATTATCTCCGGATGGGGACAGCTTGCCCCAGGTTTTGTATGCCACTGGAACATTGTACAGAGTTACCCCCGATTCAAGGGTGAATTCAGGTACAACAGCAATCGACTGATCGGTAATGAGTTGTGAAAACGGGTTCTCAGGTTGGGAATCGACTCTCTCTACGGGATTTAGTAGCTGTCCAACCGGGGCATGCCTTGATCAAAGCAATTGAGAGCGGGGAAGAGAATGGGGAATACTGACGGAGTCGCGGGCCAGCAGCGTGGCTGGCGTTGGCGTCGGTCATCTTGATGACCTGGATAAAGAAGAGATATGCTTGATTGTATAAATAGAGATGAGGGAGACGATTTAAATAAACGAGCTCACTTTGGACTGACTCATTCCATCATGGACAGTTAGTTAGGCCAACGAAGCGGGACAGAAGAAGGAAAATTGGGGGGGAAAGAAAATGGCAGAATGACTCGCCGCCTCACTATGGGCCAATCAGAGCCTGTTTTTCCTTTGGCGGCAGAATTCCCGTCGAATTTTCGGCATGTGGTATACTGCCGGGCGGTGAGGCAGGTTTCTCGGTCAAGATGGTTGTTGTTAAGTGGGTTTATTAAGATGATTCCTGTAAGAAGATACTAAAACATCTAATCCAACGCCTGTCACGTTGCAATTGGACCATTATCCAAAATCTACGATTGCTCACATATCAAAACATGACCCAATGATAGATCCTAAACAACCAAAATTCTTACACCTTTGCTGTCCAGTTTCACTCGCGGTGTGAAGAAGTCATATTTATAACGCACGTCGCTCTTGTCCGTTTGATATAATTTGTAGTCGAACCGTCGGAACATCATGCCCATGACGAAAAAGAGCTCGGCCCAAGCGAGACTGTCCACAACATTGTCCATTTGGTCAGTTTCGGTCATTTGAAAGACTTTGGAAATAACCAAAAAGAGAGAAAAGAAAAGGCGCAAATGTGATAGCAGGAAGATTTATGCCAATCTAGCAACTTACTTTATTCCCAAGCACATCCTAGTACCCCTTCCAAAAGCCAACAAATAGTGCTCCAGCGGCTGGCCGTCGGGAGCCCTAGGATCATCAAGCCATCGCTCCGGATGGAACTTGAAGGAATCCGGAAAAAGTATTTCATCGTGATGCACATCTACAATGGTCATGCTGACCGTTGTGCCTTTCGGGATCGTATACTGATCGTTATACCGCAGGTCACGATCAGGATGCCGCCGCGGATTACGAGCAGATATACCGTAAGACAGACGGAGAGACTCCTGGATACAAGCCTTCAGGTAAGGGAGTTTCTCGAGCTCGAGAAGCGAAGGCATTACAGTGTCGCCGTTGGGGAAGGCGTCATGCAACTCATTCTTGAGACGTCGGTAGATAGCCGGCGTGTCCACGATGTGAAAGATGCCAACGGTCAACGCGAATGCCGTAGTTTCAACACCAGCGGCAACAAGGATGGTAGCTTCGTCAGCGAGGCGTTGCTGCGCTTTGTCGCTGGCGGGGAGCGTCGTCGAAGAGAGTATTTCACGGAAGATGGTTGTCCCAGTCTTCAAGTCTTCTTGTTTCTCCGGCTTCCCGCTGAGTTGGCTATTGATGGCATGGCCTATTATAGACCATTGGTCCTAGGTAGGCCTGTCAGCCTTCCGCACTTTCTTCACATGGAGGAAAGAGAAAAAAAAAAATACTCGTTTGAGGCGAAGCAAGCTCGCCATGCTTGGTAGAATCATTTCCATCCATGCATCGGGTATAGAATTCAGCGCCTTACATTCTGTCAGTTAGGTAGGGTAGACACAGCAACGGCAGACAAAGGCATAGATTACAGTAGTGACCCACGGAAAAAAAGACGCAACGTGCGCTGAGCCCCCAATCGCCATTAACGCCTCATGAAATGAGTCAAATGTCGGCGACTCGAGCTGTTTATAGCTAAAGCCAAAGGCGTACTCCATAATTATATCACCCGTGAAGGCAGGTAACATCCCGGTCACCGAGAGAGGTTGCTTGCTTGCTTTGAATTCGGCGATTCGCTCACACAACAGCTCGGTTTGCTGCTGGATGAGATGTTCTAGAGAGAGGACAGAGCGGCGAGAGAACCTTTTTCCTGTTAGGTGATTGCGACTAGAATTGAATAGCAAGAGAGATTAGGTATTACATCGGATTGAGGACGGCACGTCGTCTTCGATGAGTCGAGGCATCGGCTGTCGTGAATACTGACGACGGGCTACCAAATTTGACGTCCCATCCGGGCTTCTCGACGCGCGAATTCTTTGCGTAGACTTCATCGTAAAAGGCTGAATCGCGGATGTGAATCTCATCGGGTGCAACCCGGACAATGGGACCTGATTTTATTGCACGATGACTTAGTTTAAGAGATCCTTTTTTTTATTCTCTTTGTCTCTAGTCGCAAAAAGGGGGAAAGGAGATACCGTAGATATCATGCAACTTGTTAATGTGGAAGGAGTACTGCCCGCTCAGCACGATCTCATAGTAAGCCTCGTACCACCTTGTCAGAGCTGGCAGTCTCGGACCTGGGATATGCGCCAATGGACTGAAATACAAACGGTACACGGCAACAAGAACAACATATAATGACCAGAAAGCTAGGATGGTAGTCCAGAAGACCACAGCGAATGAAGGCTGGACGCCGATGCCGACGCCAACCGCATCGAAGTCGACCATGCTGGCGGATTTTGCAGAGGTTGGCGATCAGGAGAGGAAATACCTAGCAGCAGCCTTTCTCATACCTAGAAATCGGAACAAAGGCATTAGTTATCTCCTTTGAAGGCGGGGTTTGCTAGCTTAGCTTCACGACAACTGCGCTATATAAGATCCCCTTCTCGATACCTTCACACTGGCGGGGTCAGTTGAGGCGTGTAGCCTCATCCATGCAATATTGCCGATCAATCAACTGCTGAAAACGTCGCACCGGCGACTGTCAGCCGCGCTACCGATGATACCACCCCTCCCACAGCATCTGTCATAGTTATCCAAGGGATTTTCGAGTATATCCCGGTGGCTGATACTAGTTACATGACAGGCGTTGGGTTGCAGAGAATATATACGACTGCCTGACTGTGTCTAAGACTTACCATCTCGTTTCCATCGACAGCCTTGCCAAATTTTTAAATCTTTAGCCTAGACTAGAAAGGACCATCAAGTGCAGTAAAAGAGGTATGCTTTGTCAAGTTTCCTTTCTGCACAATTCGCTTCCTGAGCAGTATTAGAACTGATAATAAAAGATACCTCGGAGGTGCGAGTACTGACTATGAATTTCTCGAAATAGACAACGGTTTCTTCTTCTTCTTCTTCTTTTTTTTTACGAGATACTTCTCTGCGTTTGTAATCTGGTTTTCTTCGTAAGTTTCTGCTCGGTAGAAGTGTATCCAAATAACTCCCTTTGAATGATCCTTAACGACTATTATATTCCGAGGTTTAGGACCTCCCGCGTTGTATGAGCGCTTTATGTTTTTTTTTTTTCAGGACGCCGTTGATGAAATTATCCATCCGTCGCTGCGTATCTCCACGGGGATGCCTTTCTACAGACTGCTAGTAACCTTAATGCGCACACCCTGCGAATCTAATCTCGGGCACGGAACAAAGAAGTCGCGTTCTGGTTTTACATCGTCGACCGTGGTCTCGAAGAGATCCATCTCGAAACGAGCTGCGACAGTGGACAGGGTAAGGTATAATTCTGCCCAAGCGAGGCTGCGAAGTTCAGTTATGTGAATCAGTAAGACGAGATACGAAAGGGGAGGGGGGGTTGTACTTTATGCCCAGACATGACCGACTTCCTTTAGAAAAGGGTACCAAATACCGCTCTAATCGGACGCCATTCTTCTTCTGTTCAAGCCATCGTTCGGGTATGAACTCTTCAGGATCCGGAAATATACTGGGGTCCTGATGGATGAAGTAAACACTTTCGCTTACAGGGGTCTGGAAAGGTCATCAGCGATCGAAGTCAAGATTCAGCTTCATGGACCTTACTCCAGGAGGGATTATCCAATCACGGTATTGAAGAGGTTCATGTGCAATCCGTGGTAAGCGACTCATAACGCCAACTTTCAACCGCAGACCTTCACGGATGACCGCAGTCTAGACAAAAAAAAGTTGGTCGACGCTCTCTGTATCAAATGAGCCACTGAGGACTTACCAGATACGGGAGCTTCTCTAGATACGGCAGTCGGGGTTTGCCATCTGGTATTGATGCTAATTCCTCCCGCAATTTGTTTAGAATCGTCTTATCCCTAAGTAGATAGAACGTAATGAGCGTTAACGTTCCCGCTGTCGTTTCGCTGCCAGCACCGACCACGGACTGCCCTTCGTCAATTAATCGATCCGCTGATTTCTCTTCTGGTGGAAGATCACTATCGAGCATTGTGTGGAAGATAGTTCCATTATTTTTATTCCCCTTAGTATGTTCTTCCATCATGATCGTAACTTTGTCTTTGACTATATTTGCCCATTCCATCAATGCAGCTGCGTTTGGGTCAACCTTCTGCAGAATTGACATGGGGACAGATTGTAGTATCGGCAGCACCCACGGAAAGTTGCGTAGGAGGATCCCATTCTCCAGTGCTGAAACAACAGCATATCTCCAGGTGAGTCGAAAATCTTCATGCGCGAGGTAATTGTAGCTCTCCCCATATGCGTAATGACAGATGACGTCCATGCTTAGAGCCATGTAGGCAGCATCCAATCGGATGACTACCTGAGCCTGGATTGCTTCCCGTAGACGGGCACACAGCCTTTCAATCTTTTCCACAATCAACGGTTCCATACGTGCAACTGCTTGCTTGGAGAAGAATGGATTGAGCGCACCCCGTCTCAGACGGTGATGGTTGTGAGAAACCGTGGCGAAGGAAGCCTCTGGTGTACCAGCGAGGACTACCCAATGCTTATATTTGTCTCTCTTTCTGGATGCAGGAGCATAGAGCTCATCGTAGAAATCAGGATCTCTAATATGGAGTTCATGTGGGTTAATGCGGACGATGGGCCCTATAAGGGATCAGTCTCCGGAGCGGTGAACTCAGATGGAGGTCGAAAAGCTTTACCGAATTCCTGATGCATTTCCTGGATTTTCCACACAAACATCCCGCGGCGGATCAAGTCATGGTAGGTTTCATACCAGCCTGTCAGAGCGGCGATTTTCGGCCCAGGAAACTTCGCGAGCGGATGAAAATACAGTCTGTATATAGCGCCACAGATCAGGTAAAGAGCCCCAGCCACAAGAGCGGCGTAAGCCAGATTTCCAAGAGAGACTTGTACTACCATGCTGGGTAATTACCCAAGGTAATGTTGCGAATATTGTTGTCGGTAACGGATTTCTTGGTGGGGATGGTGAGTTGGATGGAGAACCCACGTTCTACAACGGGGGTGCAAGGACATTTGGCCCCATTAACGAACGCTTTAAGTAGCGGGCTGAAGGGGGGTGGTCAGACGTGGACTGTGCCCCAGCTGCATATTATACGTAGCGTAGGTCCCTTGAGCTTTCACTAACCGAACTACAAATTGTATATCATTAGGAGAGCTAATAAGCGTGTCTCTATGAACCAAAGACTCGTACTAGCGGCCAGAAGAAACGAACTTTTGCTTCGCGTCAATAATGTATACATTAATTGAAGGTGCAACGTGTTGGACCTGCCGAGTAAGATTTAAAAAGTGTGATAAGAACCGCCCCATTTGCGAGAGTTGCACTGCGTTGGGCATCGATTGCTTTTATAGCTCCAATTGTCAACTCGTCCACTTAATATCACTACATATATTCTACTCGATGACTACAAGTGCGATATGTACAGTAGATTGTTCTTCCGGCCTGACAGTTGAAATATTCTCCTCCAACATCTCTACATCGAGATGATATATCTGTGTAATTTGTAAGGTAAAATTCTAACTTTGATAGAGGTAACTTCATCTTCCAACATGTCTCACGTTGTGTAACCTCTGGATAACTGGGATTTCTTGGAATATCGGCTGCGGTGATTCAGTCTCAGGAATAGAGAATTCAAGCACCAGGGTATGCTCTCAGCCACTCAGCAATTTCAATGTGGCCTTCTTTCTGCGCGTAGCCCGCCGCGCTCGTGCAGACAGCTCTTAGATCCTCCGGTCCTTGATAGACATTCAAAAGCAATTGCAGCATATCCCATCGCCCATTCTCTGCAGCGCCAACGATCGCTGTCCGTCCCTCAATTGGTGCTGCTGGTGCTGCAACGTCTGCTCCACGCTGTAGAAGTGTAATGGCTACCTGAATGAAGCCCTTCATTGCAGCTGCCTGAAGGGCAGTCGCTCCGAAGTATTCCGCGGGAGGCGCATTCACATCCGGGTTACGTTCCAAAATGAGATTTATGGTGTCCATATTGTCCGACAATATCGCTTCCTGAAGAGGTGTTCCTGCTCCTGACGTAGCGGGGATGTGTACTGACGCGCCTTTATCAAGAAGAACAGAAATAGGAATACAGGTCCCCCATTTGTATTTCATAATACGCTGCAAAAATGTCGTTTTGTGTTCCTTGTGGTGCCAGTTGATATCGGCATCTATCTCCAGAAAAGATTCAAATAAACGTGATCCCTCGTTCTCTGATTCATGATCAAGTGGAAGACAATCCCATGCCTGCCGGATGTGTTCGTCCCGCAAAGGCTTCGGAAGAGTCAGTATCCTATCAAGGATCAACTGCGTAATCTCATTATCCTCCTTAAGATGATATAAAGCCTGTGCAAAAGGCGATCTGCCGTTGATAATATCGAGTATGCCGTCTGTTTCCAGAAGGAGATCGATTATCTCATGCACACCATCCTTACGTACTGCGTCCCAAAGAGCATACCCAATGTAAATGGGGGTTTTGTTTTCCAAGAACAGCTCCACCAATTCTCTATTCCTGTGACGGATGGCCCAGCTTAACGAACTCTCCAAATGATAATAGTCGTCAATATTGGCGCCATGTTGTAAAAGATATTTTACCCCATCCGGCCAGTCAGCCTTAGAAGCTTCCTGAAGAGGAGTCCCACAAACGGAAGAAGCTGGAGCATTCACATCTGCATCATTTTGGATGAGGATTGCCATCATCGAAAGGTCCCTATGGCGTATGGCAGCTTGAAGAGCAGTCCTACCTCTGTATTTAGATCCTGGCGCATTCACATTCGCCCCCAGGCCTATAAGGTATTTCAGCAATTCAGTATGACCGCCATCTGCCACCGCTTCTACAGCGGTAAGGCCTCTCTCAAGCGCTGGGGGGGCGTGTAGATCAGCACCATTGGCATACAGAAATTCAAACATATGCCTATGACCTCTGCTTAAAGCAGCCTGTAGCGCAGTCATTCCTCCTGTATAACAGGCAGGCGCATTCAGGCTAGCGCCTTGCTGCAACAAAGCCAGGGCAATAGGAATACTTCCACTTTCCGCACATGCCTGGATAGCTGTTCGGCCAATGAATGTAGCAGGGGGGGCGTTCACGTCAGCTCCATTCATTAGTAATAGCGAAACAATTTCTTCGTTCCCCAGCTTGGCTGATATCTGAAGCGCGGTATCCCCGTAACCCGTAAAAGTTCTGGAATCAGGATCGACTCCGACAGAGAGGAACTGAGCGACAAGGCCAAAGTTTTGATTCTCAGCTGCGTATTGGATTGCAGTTGAAACGTTATTGTGATACTCATAAAGTTGCGTGTCTCTCAAGATGTCCAGGCTATCAAAAAAAGTGGTTCCAAAAGGGGGGTAGGGATAGACAATTGCTGAGGCTCCATGTTCTAATAGTATCTGTACAATCTGAGAATTATCGTTTTTGGCAGCAATTTGGATCGGAGTTTCAAGGGAACACGAGTAAAAAGGCCCGACTATACCACGCAGCTCGTATTCGGCACCATTAGGGGCATTAACGTCGGCACCCGCTTCAATGAGAGCCTTCACCAACTCTAAATCATCACAGACAGTAGCTGCCTGTAGAGCAGTCCCGTAATACTTTGGTAGGTAAACATTCACCCTAGCTCCTTTCCTTAAGAGAAGAGCCACAGCCTCAAGATTGCCCATTGATGCGGCAAAAAGTAGAGGGTACCCAGGCTCTACATCCATGATAAAGCGTTCAGGATCCGCTCCACAGGCGAGAAGTGTACGTAACACTGGAGTTCTTTCTCGATTCATTAGGGTCCGAACCCGATTCCAGCCATTCGGTTTGGCAATCTGAGGCCTCGCTCCTGCTTTACACAACAATTCAACCATTGCCAGGTCATCATTACGAACTGCTGCACAGAGTGGACTCCATACGAATGTGTCAGGGTGAACTCCATGTTCCATAATTTTCCCAGCAAGTGAAGTGTCTCCTGAATAAACAGCCTCGAGGAATAGCTTTCTCAACAATATCTTGAGAAAGGGTGGTGTCGGTGAGCAGACCCTAGCTAATTGTTCCGTCGTCAGTCCTCCAAAGAACGAAGATATTGGCTGGTGGATGAGTAGATTATTGATAAGCATGATAATAAAACAGTTTATCAAGCGTCTCACAGTCGAAATCGGAGGCATGATTCCCGAATTATCACACACACTGTTCGAATAGGCCTCTTTATGTTCCAGGGCCTCTGGAAGTACATAGTGGAAGAAAAATTGATCGTTTCCATCCGCCGTATCAGACCGTACATATGACAGCGCATTTCCTCGGAGAATGTCGGGGCTTTTTCGAAGTGTCGAGATTTGGTGTCTTATTGTCCGCAAGCAATCAAGGTCATATGATTGACTCCAAGTCTTTCCTATTCTGTCAAGAACGCGAATTGCGTGTCGGGCATACAGCTCGGCACCCCTTGCGCGTCCGGCATTATGAAGCGGGAACGTTTCACGTAACATATGTTGTACTACCGATAGTCAGATATCATTCATATATCCACTCCAACCCCTTTTTCAATAATTAAAAACGAGGGATACATACTGAAAGTTTGGACTCTCTCCTTGAACTGCACCGATGGCAAGTTACCGATGTAGACCTCACGATGGCTCAAAGCAAAGTTATCGGCGGGTGGAGTAAAAATGGTGATACCCTCAGGAGTAGATGCATCCTCCATGCTTTCGAACGTGCTGGTGAAGGTGACATGGCGCGCAATTTCTTTCTGGACCTTGCTCCGTGGTTGCAGTGTTCCATGGAGCAATATATTGCTCTTTTTGCCTTCTCGTGCTCGACTCCTCAGTTTCCTATCCGCGTACTTCCAAATGCTAGATTTCGAATTTTTTGCGATTCTCCAGTCCTTGAGCTTCCTTGTGTACTGGTTCTTGCTGCCAGTCATGTCAGTTCCCGTTCGACTTTCAAGGAGAGACATCTTAATACCTTGCTTGAAAACCATGATTAATGAACACGCAGTTCATTGTCCGCTCTAGAGTTGATCCAGACTCTAGATAAAGGGTAATTATTTCTTGCTTGTGCTTTTCCCAATTCTTATCGGGAATTCTAGATGGCTTTTTCGACATCGTTTCGAGAAAGTACCCGAGTCGAGAGGATCACTGATCAACGGAAAGTCCAATCCACTTTTGAAGTTGTTCATTTATTTACCAGTAGAAACAGAACTCATGAGAGTCTGAGTCCGAAATCAAGTGGCCCGGGTGGTCAGTGTAATATATTTTTCCTGCGGCCAGCCTTGCAGCTATGATCCTTGACGTCAAGGTCTGACAACAGTGATTGGTTGATTCCGGAATTTGATTTAGATACAGCCTCACGGTGGTGTCAAAGCACGATTGGCTGAAGCCGGGGTTTAGCATTGCCACGTAATAGTATCATAACCAGCTAGTCGGACCAAAAGGAGGATTTCCGCTTGATCTTTGTAGATCTGGCGGTACTACCATACAATCTCAATTTTCAACTTGATTCGCTAAGGCCAGAATCTGAAATAGAGGACTTGTCTAATACTTACCAGAATTCTGTTTTTGCCTCTTAGTTTGCATCCCCAAGCGGTGCCCTCTCTCAGCAACGACTTTGTAAAATTGTCATTATCCACTCCGCGCGTCTTATTGGAGACGACCGAAATCTGCTTTTCAGAGCATCATTCCCCTATTCCTTACCCGACTTTATTCTTAGAAAGTTCACCGACCCAAAAAATTTTGATCGTACCTCTAAGGAGACAATTTAAAGCTGGCAGTAATGGCGATGGTCACTACATCTCTCGTCTTTCGTAATTTCTCTAGGGCCGTTATACTATGGCGTGGTCGGTAGCAGTCGTTATTGCCTTGGTTAGTCTCATTGTCACTGCTCCTTCGTCCCTGCTAGTTGTTTGGGCCTATTACAGACGAGATCAGCAGGAATCACACAGGGCAGGTAAGTCAGTGGGTCGAGTGTATACTAGGAATCAAACGCTCATGTACTAATTACTATTTCTGGCTCCTTAGAACCCATGTCAAACTATACCATTACCGCCGAATACAATCCTCGAAGAACGGCTCAATTGGGCATATACAATGAGGAAATGTTACTCGAGACAGGCCCACATAGGCGCAGCACTCGAATGAAATTTGATGGTCTACGCTGCCCTTGATGTTATTATTTGGCACATGTTCTTCCTGAGGCTGGTAACTGAGAAGATAATAGCATGTGTGGTACGCTTTCTTCACGACCGAAGAAAGTTCATAGATGGCCACCCATGATTTATTTGTCTTGGAGCAGCCGCGATCGAACAAGGTGCCCTTGAAGTCTAGAACATAAGCAGCATGAGGTTATCAAGCCATGATCCGAGTCCTTTACGAGGAAAAGCCTATATTTTAGGTCATGGGCTCGTCCCAGCGTTATTACTTGGAAATGAGAGATCTGGACCCTTATTAAATAAAAAGCCCTCCGGAGCTGATCTATCTTTGTAACGTCGATAATTCGCAAATCAATGCTATCAAGGACGCTGCGAAGAATACCGTTCTTCATAATGAAGCTCCCAGCTATCACTGTCAAGATCATATTCTTGAGTTCTTAGATGATTTGGGGCATAAAGGAAACATTCACCGTAAAAATGCAAGCTATATTTGGAATAAGAGAAACCTGGCATACAAACAGGAAATTTTCGTGTGGAAAACGGTGTTTGTGAAGGTTACCTGATGATGAGCAACGAAATGGACCAATCAGGGGAAGCGCTGGCCAGGTACTAAATAATAATGTTTCGCCAGCGCTCAACAACCATCACTCTCGCCTCATTGCAGAATGAAACTTCCTCATCACCTCAGCTCTACACGATCTCGATATTGATACTATCCATTTTCACAATATGTTGATTACAGAGAAAGAAATCTTGAATCCTTCCATTCCTGACCTGCCCAGCAAAGAGCTCGTCATTGAGCTCTGCAAGAGGGAAGGGTCTCGCCGCAATCACCTCACCTACTCGAGCAAGGATAGGGAAATATTCATCAAATACAACAATGCTTCAATGAGTGAAGCGCACACGCAGTTGTTTTTCTACAATTACATGATGTCCAAAGATAATCCGGTTTTTCGGATTCCTGAAATATACCACGCTTTCCAGACCGAGGGGAAGGGAACATATATCCTCAAGGAAAATATCGACATTGAAGGCCAGGCCTCTGATGAACAGAGAGTCCAGGCTCTCTGTGAGTTAGTCAGTGTTCCCCCGCCATCTGGTGTGTTTGGCAACATAGGCGGTGGCCTTATCCGGCATCCCATTTTTGATGATGAGGAGGCTCCTGTACACTTTGCCTCTACGGCCAAGTTGGAAGCATATATCAACAGGGTATGTTCTGATATTTACTACATATCACTGAAGTACTAATACCTCTCAAAGGCTCTTCAGTGGTTCAATAGAATCAATGGCCGACAAGACAAAGTTGATTTCAGTAACGAACCACTTATGTGCTATTATGCAGATTTTCACCGCAACAATTTTCCTGTCGATGTAAATGGTCAACTTTGGGTGATAGATTTCGAACACGCCGGTGTCTTGCCATCTAGTTTCATGAGTTATGCGCTTCGTGCACATCCTAGAGGCCTATCGCACTCTCTCCGAAAGGAAATCCCAGTTCCAGTATCGAACAATCTAGTGGCAATGGGCAATGCTTCCTATATCTTTAAATGCGTACATAATGATTTCCGTGAGTTGAGATATCCCCCCTATTTCCCTCAATATTCAAGATACTCATAGGATCCGTATCGCAGATATTTCCCCCGAAAGAACTCCAGACCACCAACCTGGCCAGTAGCTTGATATCTAGAAATGCTCTGTGCTCCTCTAAGCGTACCTGGTTATGCATAATTCTTTGCCGCAATGACTAATTCTTGAGTGAATAATGAGATGGTTGAAAAGCTATTTCCTTTCACAGCTGGGAATGTGAATCGGCAGCTCATTACTCCTGATTTGTCTCTGGCCCTATTATATATAGGCTTCTTCCTTCCACTTTCTCTAGGAAAATGCAATCTCATCTGTCACTTGTACTTATAAATCGCCCACAATAGATTAGCAACTAGAACTATCATCTGCCTTTCTTTATTTGTTAACTTCGATATAAGAATCTAGCTGATATTTTCAATAGCCCAAACGGCTTCATTTTAGGATAGCTGACATCGATCCAGGAGGATTATAAACTTAGCTTTCTGGTTCTTACTCTATAAGCCATTTATATACAGGCTCATTCTTATCCTTTTTCTTTTGGCAAGTATAATCTGCTGTTTATTACAATACTTTATGAATTACCGCCAACGGATTATCGACTAGGATTATTGTCTATCTTTCTTTACTTGCAGAACTCAATATAAAGATTCAGCCGATGTTTTGAACGGCTAAAATGGCTCAATATCAAGATAGCCGACCTCGATCCAGGAGGATTATGGGTTTAACCCCGCTTCCGCCTCCTCAATTTCCACCTCCTCCACGTCATCCTGTGAATGAAGGTGCCATAATCTACAAGTCTCCCGACATTCCTAGGAGTCTTCTCCATAAGCAAGTAAATGACTATTACTTGGAAATCCTAAACGGCGGAGAGAAACTTCCCAAAGACCTTGAAGCGGAAGATCCGGAAATGCTCAGACGAGTGAAAACCCACATTATATTGAAGATCTTCTTCAGCAATCCGTGCTATTGATATCGTCGCACCAATCCGTCTCTGGCAGAATTTCGAGATGGAAGTACGCATGGCTGTATAAAATGCAAATCTCAGCCAAAGATTCCTTCATCACGAGCTGGCTGGGCCGCATGGTGCTATGAACTGCTCTCACATCAGGGAAGTGAATTGCCCATGCTCGAACGAGGGCGACGTCCAGGGCATATTCACCTAGCAATGTCTTAACAGCGCTCTACCAGGAAGAAGGGACTCAATGCCAGTTCAGCTCTGGCCATTCGACAACGACTGACTGTGGAGGAATCCCCGATATAATCCTTGCTGTATCTACTCTGAGGACCCTGTTTGTACACCGCCTAGAGCTGAGTGGGATTACAAAACCTGATTTTGAGGTCGAATCAGTCTACCAGGTATTAAAATTTAGATATCTCTATTGGATTAGTTCCACGGGACACGCAATCAACACCTAAATTGACTCCCCGCAAGTTAAGTTAATAAGAAAGCTCCAATACCTCCTGAAGCGAGTATCTTAAGCCAGAAAGTGGGTAAAAATTGAAGACAATACTAATACCAGCGCGCAGTTAGAGTAAGTCATTTCTACTTTCTGTAGTGAAATATGCTGACTTTCTATCAAGCGGAGCCACGGATTCGGAAAAGACCATACTCCACGTTATGGGCTCTACTGGGCGTTATTATTTCGAAATAAGAGCATCAGACCCTCACCTCTCAAAGTCCATTGAGGAAGTTTTTATAATCTTTTCTGACTCTACTTTTAGAACCTTGTTTGTACGCAGCCTAGAGCTGAGCGGCATTATAAAACTGGATTTTGAGGTCGAATCAGTCTATAAGGTATTAAAATTTAGATATCTTGATTAGATCAGTTCCATAAGATATACAAATAACACCTTAATTAACCCCCCGTAAGTTAAATTAACAAGGAAGCTCCAGTACCTCCAGAAGTAAATATCTTGAGCCCGGATATGGGTAAAAATTAAAGGCAATAGTATTGCCCGCGTGCAGTTAGAGTAAGTCATTTCTGCTTTCTGTAGTGAAATATGCTGACAGCCAACGAATTTCAGAAAGAGATGCAGCGGCTGCACAGGCTCCGCAAGCACAAATGCGCCACAGCAACGGCAGGATATCGAGCCGCATCAGCACTCTCGATACTCCGATGTATTGGCCTTTGAACCTTATATATCAGTCAATGGTCAGGGATAAACCTGAGGGAGTTGCTACGGGAATGATGAATCTGGTTTTGAATCATTACTCCGAGTTTTTGGGGATTTAGAGCAACGAGTCCGGACATCGGTAGTCGTGACCGAAGATCTAGTGATTATACTTATACTTTCTTGAGTGCTTCCATGACTACGAACTGTTGACCGTAAGTCTGTTGTATAGATTTGGATGATTTTGTATTATGGCGATAACCAATGCAATAAATTCAATGCTCATGTCCATCTACCATGTAAATCCTTGCTGATAGAAGACGAATCGCTCAGCAAGCTTAGAATAGAAGTACCTGGTTATAATGGTTCCAGTAATGGAGCAGCGTTTGAAAACTATGAGAGACAAATTCTTTCTGCTGGATGTTTTCTTCGTGCCATCAAGTCGTGGCAGAGTCCACATTAGGGGCCGGCTCATTTAGCACCTAAGCCAGCGGTGACTTAGATCATGTCTCTCCAGTGCTGTGCCTTCATCTACATTATTCAGTAGTCAACGCCATCCTGTCTTATCATCATAATACACAGAAGCTATTGTCGTGGATATAGAGAAACTTCACTCGCAAGAGCTGTTTAGCAGCCAACAACTCCAAATCAGACATGGAGCAGACCTCCCACCGAGAAATTGCCTTCATATCCGGCCCGCTAGACACTGGCCCCGACGCTAGTTATTTCCGCAAACACTACACCAAGCGCATTGATGCTGCCATCACTCGTGGCGACGACTTCATAATCGGGCCTATTCCTTATGGAGTGGATGCAGACGCCCTCGATTATCTCCTAGCATACCCCGTATCTCCCTCCCGCATCACCATCTTTGTCACCCCCGACGAGGACCGTATGTGGGGTACCAAGTTACGCAACCGCGGTGTGAGAGTCAATGTTTTGAAGCATGATCCAGAGAGAGGTACACCAGGCCCAAGGGATCGAGATGCTGCGATGACGGCAAATAGCACATATGACATTCTTCGTTGGCGCACACGAGATGAAGCAAAACAGTTCTATGGCAAGGCATGGAGAGACGGACATTTGACGAATACAGAGCGGAATTGGAGACGCAGACGGGGCATTGGTGAAGATGTTGTCATTAAGGAGGAAGATATTGATTTCTTCATGGAGGATGATAGAGCAAAATATAAGGGGAGTTGTCTCGTGTCTTAAGCTGTTTGAGCAACTTGTCGACAAATTTCTCGTACCTATATCGAACAGAGTCGAAAGTCCGCTATAAAGAGGAAGAAGGTCCATTCCAACAGATTCCCTTATTAGCTGATAGAATGCTGAGTCGGGGCCCCTCTATCGTTTATCAAAGCTAGCTCCGGATGTTTATGTACGACTTAATAGCTGTTGACGTTGTACTGTATATACTCCTTTGCAAGTCCTTTCTTATTGTACATAGCATCTAAGACATTGTTTTAAACCCAAATTCTTCTTATTACAGATACGGTACAAGGACTAAATAGCTATCAATCGATCACGTAAAAAGATGATCGAGGGATTTCGCTTATACTAAGCGTACGCATCTGTACAGTACAGTATGAACAATTCACATGCATGAGTGCATGATATAAGGAATCTGTATGGTTAGACACTAGATGATAAGAGTTCTGCGAGGAAAAGCCATTAGAAGCAAGCCAACGGGCAAGATGGTTGATCTGCATCAGATACTGATACTGAGGACTAACAGGTAGCTACCGACTCCAGGATGCTAAATCCAGCACCAGCCTTCATTCCCCTTGGACGACACGCATGCCAATGATAAAGGTACACATCGTCATCCTGAAAAGTGTCAATAATCTCCAAGCCACCGTATTCGAGGCTGGCAGATACGCCTGGGGGCTATGCCACGACAACATGTTGCTGGAGGCTGGAGCCCGTAAAGAACCCATAGGTCCCCTCCAACTGCTTCTTGGCCGTCACAGAGTGTGACTGATCCAACCTATAAATATGCCTCGCATCGCCCAGCATTTGTAGTCACCTTTTCATCTCTTTTCTCGCCCTTCCCCCTTCTCTGGCATATCTCATTACACAAAGTAACCAGCTTGAAGACCGCAAAATCATACATATCATTTATTGCAGAATTGGATAATCAGCCGCAAGCACCATGGTACGTGGATGCTGCTGTTTGGGGAATGCCTTGGTGCGCTAACGAAATCTGAAGAACGGCCCCTACGAGGACAATCCCTTTGACGGCTCTAGAGTACTTGACAATGATTGGGACAACCCCAAATCCATCGTGTGCAGCATGGAATCGGTCCTTAAAGTGTTCTCGTTCGAGCAAAAATACTACCTTTGGGACGAAAGAGAGGATAGAGTTTATCGAGTTGAGAGACCGACTGAGGCAAGCGACATTATCGACGCATTCTTGAAGAACGGTGTCCAGGACTTTGAGCTGACGGAACTGGGGCCGGCGGAGCTGATGGAGATGGAGACGGAGGAGCAGAAGTTGATGAGGGAAATGGAGTGGAAGCAGCAGAATAAGGCTCACCATTGAATGAGAAGCCATAGGTCTAGTTGTGATGCTTGTGAAGCCATTAGATACTAAACTGTGCACAAAACCATGAGTTTCAGATTTCCCTCATCATCAAGATCTATTTCTGTGAATGTATCATTTACTCACCGGGTTCTTTTTAGCCAGGATCTACATTAGATCTTGAATCTACTCGTGTGGCGTAGCTGAGTGCGGGGTATTTGCAGATCCCACGTAGGATTGTGATTACATGCAGACAAGGTTCCCTGCGGAAGAGATTATTGTTCATGCCATATACTATAACACATGCTGTGATATAAGTAGATGCTTCTGCATGGATATTTTGTGGGAATATTATTGTTTTACAGTCGTGAAGCATTCGATGCCCCTTCCGGTAATCCATTTCATGTTTATTTTCTTGTTGTATGTACATACATACATCTTTGAATGGCGTCTCCGACGCATGCCGGTAGTCCGACGCAATAATGTCTTCCACACTTGAAGATAGTTTTCGGTGCTCACTTTCCGGACAAAGTCTAGGCAGACGCACAGTAGGATAGTCAGATAGCTAGCTTCAGCATCCGGATAGCTCATGAACCAAGCATCAGCCATATTCCTCCGTCAGCCTCCGGGAATACTCCTCATGTTGGGCAGTGTATTCGCGTTCATGGGTCTTAGTATGGTTCACAGTGGTTGTCGATAAGTGTACTATATGCAGATTGATGCCAGATCACCCCAGCTCCACCTTGGTGGACCTCCAGCTTCTTGCGCCATCCAACCTCAGCCATGTCTGCTCGTGTATGAGAAGTGTTCGGTCTATGTCTGTATGGCTCTTCCCGTATGATAAATATCCCTGTCTAGATCGCTTATGTTTTATTGTATATAGCAATGATTTTACTCCCTTGTACAAGGACAATATAGAAGACAGGATAGAGTCGATAATCCTGAAGCAAGAATGAACGGATGCAATATATTCTCTCTATTGTACTGATGGAAGACCCGAAGCATGGTATGAACGTACATCACCTAGCTCTATGTAAGACTGAATGATGATCGAATTTTGTCGGATTAACAACGAGGCCGGATCATCTAGAACCTGTCGAATGAACGAGATGGAAGCAAAGATATGGGCAGAACATGTGGCGAGGCTGAATCCTCTTGCATCGGTTACTGTCTCGAGACAGTAATCTGTCTGATATTTATGCTAACCTACCTGGTATAGGACGTAGATAGTGTCTGAGAACACATTTGAGTCAGGCTTGCCTTATTGAGAATAATATCCTTAAGTATAAATTCGAATAACGTTCAACTTACTGAAAATAGAAGCCCCCTAAGAATTTTCCTTTTGTATCTTGGTCTATCCTATTATTGATTGTTGACGGACGATGATCTTCAGGAGCTTTTAGATAAGCAGAGTGGAGACTCCCGGCAAGGCGCTTAGACTAGTCCGTAAGGATACTAGCGTATACTCACCATACGGCAGCCGTCGCGTTCGGCAAAGTATCGCGCTTGGCTTCACTCTCGAAGCTGTGTTCCTAGCAATGGCAACTTGAGTTACCTGCACCATCGACACAGCAATATCTAACGGATCGATTCGAGATCCTGCATAGGTGCGCACTGCGCACCATTCTGAACAGTCACAATGACCGACTACGCCAAATGGAAGGTGACCGACTTGAAGGCGGAATTGAAGCGTCGCGGCATACCCCAGACAGGGTTGAAGGTCAAGCAGAACTTCATCGACAAACTTCTCGAGGCAGACAGCGCGACGGCAGACTCTACAGGTGGTGAAGAGAGCGGTGCGCCAGAGCAGGATACCAATCAGCCGACGGAAGAACCGAAACAGGCCCCAACCGTCGAACAAGATCATGGGGAGATAGAGCAACAGTCGCAGGCTCCTCCCGAGCCAGAATCCGGCAAGAGTCTGGGAGAGGAGACACCGGCGGAGTTAGAGAAAGTCCCGGAAGGAGTCAAGGAGAATGATGCAGCGACAGAGGTTAAGGAGACCCAGGAGACAGATCAAGACCAGGCGGCATCGCAGCAAGGCCAAGAGACTTCAGAACAGATCGCTCAACAGAAAGTGCCAGAGGACGCAAAGGGTGGTCTTCAGGAGCAGATGGATGTGGAGCGACCTTCGGAAGAATCAAAAGCACCTCCTGAGGCTACGAGTCAGCAGTCACTCGATACCGAGAAACCCACATCGACCCCTGTGGAAGAAGTCATTGAAGACATGCGAAAGCGCAAGCGTCGCAGTCCTAGCCCCCATACAGCTCTGGATCCGGTCGTCCAGAAGAAGGTGAAAGGAAACGATGGAAGCCCCCGTGTTCTTCTGAAGGAGGATGTGGGTGCTGAAAATCTGCCGCAGCGTGCCGTGGGCGATGCTGGTGATATTGAAATGGATGAAGCTACACCTGATGGAAAATCTACCTCCGAAGAAAAGGGAGAAGTTCGAGCTTCTGAGAAAGAAGGAGTCGATGAGAGTGAGAGGGCAGCCCCCCCTTCGTCCGAACAGGATGCGGGGTCCAAAGACCAAGCTTCCCATGTCGATCAAGAAAAAGAACGCCAACAATCACCTCTTCGAGACATTCCTGCCGATACGGATGAGGATGGAGCTGTCGAGCCTGCTTTGCACCCAGCAACCTCTGCTCTCTACATCCGCAATTTCATGCGCCCCCTCCAGCCGGCAAATCTCGAGAACTATCTTATCTCCCTGGCCACTCCTCCAACGACATCTCCAAATCCTGATATCATCTTGGACTTCTTCCTGGATTCGATCAAGACTCATTGCTTCGTCAGCTTCGCTAACATCTCTGCTGCCTCGCGGGTCAGGTCAGCGCTCCATGGCCGAGTCTGGCCCAATGAACGAGACCGGAAACCATTATGGGTGGACTTCATACCAGAAGAGAAAACCCGCGAGTGGATCAGCATCGAGCAGAGCTCTGAAGGTCGAGGTCGAAGTGGGCCACGCTGGGAAGTTGTCTACGAGGAGACGAGCAATGGTATTGAGGCTGTTCTCCAGGAAGCACCGTCGCTTACGGCGGCCGCTGGCTCTGGGCGGGCGATGGGGCCGAATGTCCCGAAAGCGCCTCTCGGTCCGCGCGGAAGCTTTGCCGATCGGGATCCACGAAGAGGCAGTCAAGCTTCTGCTGAACCCAGAGCTCGCGGTGAGGGATTCAAAGCTCTTGATGACTTGTTCAAGTCCACCACGGCGAAGCCCAAGCTCTACTATCTTCCTGTTCCCAAGGAGGTAGCGGCCAGACGTTTGGACAAGTTCGATGAACTCGCACGTAGGGGACCCTATCCCCGCCCTGGCGGTGACGAGACAAGGCGCATCAGCTTTGAGGACACCGACTTCTTCGTCGATCAAGGACCAGAATATGGTGGCCGCAGACGTGGGGGCCGCGGTCGAGGCGGTGGTGGTTATGGAGGCCCTTGGCGAGATAGCTGGAGGGGCCGAGGCCGTTGAATGCAAACTGTTAGCCGTCTCCGCAACAAGGGAGAGCGTGTTCTGACAAAGATGAAAAGTGCATGGTCATGGTTCCGTTCATGTCGAGAATGCGGGCATTTTCGACTAGATATCTATTGTGTGGAATATACCGGCGAACTGTTATGGTTGTGCCTCGCATTTCTGATTGTTTATTGGGCTGGTTTGCGCACATATTGAAAATCCTGTAGAATAGTTGTAGTATATTAGTTAGAATGTACGATCAAAGCAGCCTAGCAAGCTAAGGATTGAAAAAGCCTCGCATGAACATCCTAGTCATTTTTAGTAATAAAAATAAATATAAGCGCTTCTTACATTAGAAGCGTGAAAATGTTCTCACATACTTATCGGCGAAAATACATCTTCACCCACTGGGTCCGTACGCCTCAGGCATCCACCGACCTTATATCCATGCATCTTCCACCCATGCATTCATCTATCCACCCAATAATATAAACTGGCCATCCTTACTCTCTTTACCTTTTAGATCTCCAGAAATGTCCTCAGTCATCCGTCCAACTTTATCTGCTACAAGGAACTCTTTATCAAAGTCGTCTCTTCGTCCCGGCGACCTTCTTCAAGGCGCCCATTGGGACTACCGCGTCATCGACGCTGTCAAAGGAGATAACACGCACACATCCACCGTCTTCAAGGCCAAGGTCATTCCACACAAGGATGGCGCAAATACCCCCCTATGGTTGGTTGTGTTGCATCAGCCGTCTCCAAACTGTAAGGCTAAATCTGCCACCTAGGGCTATAATCAAAGCAGCTCCACCTGGCAATGCAACTGCCAGGGAGAACCTGGACTGTGAACGTTCTACTTATCACCTTCCTGGTGTCGCCTCGGCCGTGTGCTTCCGGAAAATGTACGATGCCATGATTGACGACGGCAGTGATGGCAGTGTAACGTATATCGCTTTGGAATGGCTGGACACCACTCTTGCAGAGGTGAAATACCAGCCTGACATTCTCACCTACGCCCTCATCAAGACGGTCCTAGAGGCAACGTTAACCAGTTGCGTCGTTCTGGAGGACCAAAAATGTGTGAATACAGGTACAGTACCTGGTCTTAAAGAGTTAGCATTCCCTAATTAGCCCAGACTATAAACCTGCCAATATCCTGCTTTCTGACGTCGCGAATGGCCGTGTCACTGCCAAAGTGGGAGACTTGGGACTCGGTGAGTAAGCGCTAATAGACGAGACAGATACCCTTTTTCTAACATGCTTATAGTATTTCCGGCTGGTCATCGTCTCAACGCGCAGCCATACGCCATGCGCGCTCCTGAAGTTTTCCTAGGCCAGCCGTGCACTGCGCCATCGCAGGTCTGGGCAGTTGCCGCGATGCTGCTTTGCTGGATCAATCCTGGTGTCTTGGGCGCGTGGGACAGCCCTCATCCTCTCATCAATGAGGCTTGGTGTATGGCAAAGATCAAGCGGCTCTTCCCCGAGTGGAATATTCCAACTCCTAACGAAGTCGAGAGAATTACCCTTAAAAATGCCGTCCAATCTGCCAGACGTATCACTGAAGAGGAGCCAGTCATGCAAGCGATATTGCCATTCGAGAAGGAGCCGCAAAAGGTGAAGATACCGGAGCAGCTGAGGGAACTTCTTCGTCTCATGTTGGTGGTCAATCCGAGCGAAAGGCCCTCCGCATCATATGTGCTGGCATCGAGGGAGTTCAAGAATTTGATGCTATGGAATACTCCCCAACCGCAGCAATAAGGAGATCAAGCGGAAAGGGAAACACGCAAGGAAGAAATCATTTTATCCACCTGGGCCGGCAGTTGCGGGAAAACGATTGGTATGAGTATAGAAAGCCAATCATTAGAGTTAGCATATGGTCCCAGATGCTGCTTTATGTCTTCTCCTCCGTGAGACTATGCGAGTACCTTGAGGGGATTTCTCGCGCGAACTCGGGAAGAGGTTAATACTGCAGAGTCAGTGGCATCTTTCTCGAATCATCGTGATGGCTTTCTGCCAGTCGATCAAAAAGGAGAACTCCTAGTTGGTCTACCTGGATCTCTAACACATTGAAATGGTGGATCGCTTGCTGATTGCTTTTAATCCAGAATATTAAATTCGGAATCATTAAAAATGAGCTGGGGACGAAATGGGAGCTCGGGGGAAGCCCAACGTGAGCCAACGCAAGCAGGCGGGAGTAAGTATGGTGCGCGCTGACGAGATGGAGGCCTGGGCGCGGGAGCAAAGCGGCGGGAGTCTTGATAAAAAAAAAATGGGCGACCGAGCAGTTGCAATTATTTTCCTCGAAAAAACCATAGATAGTCTAGTTATTATTAGGTGATTGTTGATCGGAAAGCCAAGACAAGCAAGCTTTGCGAGCAGTTGATGTGAAATGCTTATTTTGGCTGATTGACACAATTTATTGGATGTCGAAGTGCCCATTCGTGATCGTCGAAGCTTGTTGGAGGGTAAATAAATAACAAACATAGATACTCAGCTGGGACGAACGGATGGCCCGGATGACCATGTGTCCATGATCTACAGAAACAACGCCATGAAGAAAAAAGAAGATGATGGCAAGGCGCACCGTGCACAGCCATCGTCGTCCTTGCAATCTGAAACTTGAGAGGCCAAAATGGTTTTATATGCGTCGATCGTGGCACCCACCAAGCCCTTCTACTAGTGGAAATGAGGCTCAGCCTCCCTAAGTGACCACCCAAGGTGTTCCATCACTTGTCTGCAGGCCTTTTTCTGTATCACTCGCTATGCTTGGGTGAAAGCGGTTACTCTTCCCAGCCAGGCCCAGGACTAACAACTCAATCTGGCCCCTCGCATTCTTTTATTATCAAAGCTGGCTCACGCTGCGTCCTTCGTTTTATTTCTTAAGTGCCCCGTGGTTCCCGAGACCGTTAGGCGCCACCACTCCCAAACGCGGCTCGCCCTTGTGCCTGACCCGGATAAGATACTGCGACCGCCTCCTTGATATCTTTCTCATCACCTACTCTCGTTTGCCTTTTTCTCTCAGCACTCCAGCCAGGATGGGCTGGCCGGTGTGCAATTCAACTCTGGAAGATGAGACAAGTACGTGCGATCCTTTCGATGTAGTGATGGCTGGTTTTTGGCCTTCGATTCCTGCCTGTCTCACATGAATCACAAAACTGACCAGGGTTCCCGCAACAACAGTCATAGAAGACCCTCTCTGGGAGGGAGGCATGACCTTCCATCGTATAGGTCTCTACGTATGCGGGGGGTTTGCACTGGTTGCGATCAGTATAGCTCTTGCCCTTGTTATGTGCCACGCCACTCATTACAGCAAGCCGCGAGAACAACGGCAGTATGTGCCATCCCTCCGCTGAAACACTTTGAGGAACATGTTGCTCACCCAATGTCTCTCGTGGATTTTAGTATTATTCGTATCCTTCTCATGATCCCTATCTACTCGGCCGTCGCTTTCCTTAGCTTCCTTTACTACCGACAGGCTGTTTATTTCGAGGTCCTTGGCGACTGTTATGAGGCCTTCACCATATCCTCTTTCTTCGCACTACTATGCCATTATATCGCACCGGACTTGCACAGCCAGAAGGAATATTTTCGAGGAATAAGACCGAAACCATGGCTGTGGCCTATGAATTGGTTACAGAAAGTTTGGGGTGGGGAAAATGGAATTTGGAGGACACCGCGAAGTGGCTTGACATGGTTCAATGTGCGTACCGGAAGGAAATAACTTGCTTGGATAATTATTCGGCTGACATTAAGGATAAGATCATATGGACTGGTATTTTCCAGTATTGTTTAGTTCGGGTCCTCATGACTATCGTCGCCGTTGCGACGCAGACCGTGGGCCTGTACTGTGAGGAATCATTGAGCCCTGCATTTTCCCACATCTGGGTATGTCGAGGCACTCTATCATCTAGGGTCTGTTTGAAACTGACGAGTTTCTAGGTCCTTGTCCTTGAATCCATCTGTGTCTCCATAGCGATGTATTGCTTGGTCCAGTTTTATGTCCAGATCAGACAGGATGTCAAGCAATACCAGGTGTTTATGAAAATCCTGTCGATAAAGCTCGTTATCTTTCTCTCCTTCTGGCAGACGGTAAGTCTTCTATTTATTCTTTTGTCTGCAGTCATAACTTTGAGTAGGATCTAATGCGCAGCTAGACTCTGATCTCCTTTCTCACATCTTCTGGTGCCCTTAAACCTACTCGCCTGGTCCAATCGCAAGATTTGAAGATCGGTATTCCTAATCTACTTATTTGTATTGAGATGGCCATCTTCTCCGTGATGCACCTGTGGGCTTTCAAGTGGCAACCATACAGGCTGGATTCACTCAATGCCAGCGCTGATCCCGAATTCTATGGAGGAAAGGCGCGATATAACGGAGGCTTTATGGGAATTAAGGCGCTGATCGATGCATTCAATCCTTGGGATCTCATGAAGGCTATTGGGCGTGGCTTACGCTGGTTGTTTGTTGGCCGCAAGACGAGAATGTTGGATCCCAGCTACCAAAATGATCCCAGCTCTTTTGGCATGAAGCCAACGGACGCTTCCGCTCCAGAGACTAGCTTTCCGGGACCGAATGTTACGGCTTATAAAGGACCTGGTGTTGGTCGTGCTGGTAGTGGGAGGTCGGACCGCTATGGTGGTTCTTCTCCGGATGACGAGGGCGAAGAGCTCCTGCCTAACGCGCAGCCCCAGCCGCAGTCGCATGTCCCACATGGCGAGATAGGAGTTGCCATGTCATCCTACGATGAGGAGCATCCTCTGCGTACGCACAGCAATTCTTTGAGCTACTCTGTCACCGATTCTCCGGTAGATTCTCGGTCGCATTCTCCTCTTCCTTTCCAACCATACCAAGCTTACCATAGTCCTTATCACAACCCATCCACGGCTTCAGAAGATGGACGACAAGGAAACCAGCGATTCTACAATTCATACCACCCGCAGGCAGGCACTACAAATGCATACCAGCACAGCGGATTATCGCATCAGGAGGAAATTCCTATGCCCATGCCAGCACCTTATCTTCCGCCTCCTCTCGATGACTATCATAATCAGCCAAGATGATAATGACATTAAACACTGCGCCGATCTTGTGGCCTGGCAAAAATACTCCAGACTGCCTCAACTCCTCGTTCACTAGTGATCGAGCCGCTTTATGTTATAATTATGCCTGTTGTGTCTTTATGGTATGCCATCGGATGGTCCTTGAAGGTGTTAGTTTCCTTGGTTTTTTTCTTGTGGATTTTCATCTCCAAGCATGATTCCCCTGTTCATAGCTCTTGCCTTGGCTTCGGTTTTCCTTTGTTGGGAAAGGGAGCGCACATTCGACTCGGTTTCTTTCTCTTTTTGTCTTTTCCCTCAGGTTGGTGTTTGGGATCTCGATTGATTCCCCATTATCGCTTGTTACAGATGGCTTTGTGCTTCTTGTCTGGCAAACTCGCGTTTCCTTTATCCTTTTTTTTTTTTGCTCTAGGGAAACAAAATTCTGTTTTGTTCCACCGTTCCAGCCCGACGAATAGACCCCTTCGGACAAAGCGCTGTCTTGAATTGTCATTCCGAGTCGATACCTCTCATGGCATTCAAACTGCCTGTGATAATGACTTGCTGTTATATTCCCCTTTACCTTTGCCTGCGGCCATCTTATCTCTTGCATTATTTACTTCTTTTTTTAGATTTTGCTTCGGGAAGGCTTATGTACCTAGTAGTACAGTATGGTGCTGGGTTTCGCCAAAACAGAATGTTGTTTATAATTTTCTTTTGTTCTCTAGCAATCGGTCGTTGATTTGACTCGTAAGAATAAATAGAATAACTTCATAGCGTGCGTTACGGAGGCAATACCCATGTTCACTAGCTGTTTAAATCGTTTGCAGTAGTCTTCATTCGTCAGAGCTATTTCGTACGTGGATGCATGTAGTGCCCTTACACATCTAAAGTATGGTTTTGATCGGCACCTGGGGCTTTCTGAATACATTTCTTGCACAACGCCAAGACTCCTTTGAACCCAGTAAGTGATTCGTAGAAGGTCGTAAAAAGTAAAAGGCAGCCCTGCGGCTCAAGGGCCGATTGAAGCAGTAAAAAAGCAAGTACTCTCTCGAATCCAGCGAAAATCTCTTAAGAGAGGAACATGGCGCCCGCAGCAGCACCATTCCGACCCGTAAAGTATTCGTCGTCCAGTCTGCTTTGGAATGCCATTTGTGTCTTCCGCGATGCGTTGGTTTGCTTTGTCGACTCGACGATGTTTGACTTGCGTCCCAGCTCACGCATTTCCTTTACGCTGTTTCCGAGCGCCCCTAGAAGAGATACGAGGGCGACGTCGTTACTCTGAGCAGTCCACTCGGTTGAGAAGGAGTCGTGGTCTTGTGGCGTGACAAGAGAGAGGTGGGAGATGAGGGCGGATACGTTGCGCAGGATTGAATGTGATAGCTGAGGGGCGGATCCTTCCTTTGACTCTGTGGACGGGAAGTTTTCCAGATATGATGGAGGCAGACTGGAGAGATAGCTCTGTATCACTCCAATGCGCGATTCGAGCGTCTTTACGGCATTCAAGCGAGTGTTGAGGTTCGCGATTACTGTCATATATTAGCCGTTGTCTTTAAGGATGATGGAATGACATGGATTCCTTACGGTCTTCATCCTCGGGGGTGAGCGCTGACGTTGTATCAGCAGGCTTCTGCTCACTCTCTGCACCCTTCTTCGTGCTCTTAGGACCCCTCTTTTTCTTCTCTGGCTGAGGTTGAGGCGCTGCAGCCGCCACTGCTGGAGCCTCTACTGCTGTAGCATTTCCTCCTCCTCGAGCGACGTAATCGACACTGATCATCTCCGCTTCTCCTGTCTCCACGGAATAGGGCAGCTCTCGGAACCTGATATTCGAGGAGGGCTCCTCCCCGTCAATCTGCATGGCCTTATCGCCCTCCCCAGAAGTGTCGCCCTCATAGATAGTTTCATAGATCGTAAGTGGTAGCTTGGCTCCAGCAGACGATGAATTCAAAAGGGACGGATGGAAAGCCAGAAACACTGCAGATTCGTTATATTCGTTGAGAATCTGACGGTGTATATGGAGGTGTGACGGCTCGGGACCTGAGGGCGGGGTGACCGTAAACCATCCTACAAGGTCAAGAGCTGGGTCCTTGTGGACATCCTTAACTATAATTACATAGTATCAGCATCGTATCTGATTTTGACAAACGGCATATCGTACATTGCTTAACTCTTTCCTCGAACCATGCTGTATGCAGTAGTGGCTCTCCGTTCGGTCCATAGATGACATTACACTCGAATGCATGCTCAAGGGTGACTTCACGGCCCTCCTGTTGGCCCAGGAGAGCTCCAATAATGGGACCTTGCTGCTGTCTTGCCGCATGTCTTGTGATATGATCGGATACTGTGAGGAGAACGAGAGGATGGAGCTGCACGTGCAGCCCTGAATCTGAGGATTTCGAAGAAATTAGAGGATTATGAGCTTCTGCCATACTGAACAACCGCTATGAACAGTATCACAAAGGACAGTATAACCGTAGATGAGATGATGGTTCTGGGAGTGTACAAGGTTGTAGCGTTGACACCGCGGAGTCTAACGTCCCACCGCGGTGTTTGTTCGGTTTGCACCTCCGAGCTCCCCGCAGCATCATCCTGTTATGCCTACTGTTATTGCCTCCTAAGGTTATCCCGTTACAGGGTTACGGCGTCTGATACCTTCTAGGCTCTATTATGCGCGGAGCCAGTCATGTCTATCCCTCCAACATATAAAACGGTGCTATCGCACCTTGATCAAGTCTTAAGTGACCCATCTGTGCCTCTGGATGCCCCCGCCATCGAGAAATTGAAGGCCGAGTTTACTCAGAACACTGACCGCCAGGCGGCTGCGACCTTGCTCACACGGATATCACAGCTCCTACCTGTTCTTCAGGAAGATCCTACTCCGCTGACAACTTTGGGAATAAAAGCTACAGAATACTTTTCCTTCTCTGATGTCCGTTCGGTTGATCCTCCCGTTAACTTGATCGCGGGGATCAAGGCGCCTTCTCCGCCGGTCAATCTTCTCGCACTCTCTCTACTGGGAAAGGCCGGGAGAACGCCGAGTGATGCAGCAATAGTAGCTGGAAATTCCGAGCTAGTCTCAGCTCTCGTGGAGCTCTGGCTGTCCACATCCGCAACTGCCGTCTCTCAGGCGGCCTTCGATGTTTTATGGTCTCTGCTTGAGGTGGATCATGCTAGCCAGCTGGAAGATGGTGATCAACAGAATAAGAGAGAAGAAGTTGCTGCTGCTGGCCAGGGTCTTATGTGGCGCAGAGTATTTGGGGATAAGGACGTCTATGGACTTTTCTTCTCAATATGCGGCCTCGCAGATGCCCTGCAACCAGGCCAGCTGACTAAACGAGAAAGGACAGTGGCACAAGGCAGGCTAATGGACTTTATCGTGAAAGCAGCCTTATTGCGATGGGATGCAGTGTCAGAATCGCATATAGCAGACATCGAAGCCAAATACAAAAGTTCGAGTCTCTTGCATTTCGCGGCCTGCCGGATGGTTGATACAGGGGATGTCTTGATGCATATGACTTTGCTGAACTTTTACCGTGAACTTCTCCAAGTCAATGCTCCAGGTCTTGAGGCTAGGAACTATCTCAGTTCAACGTCAACTGTTTCATCACCTGCACTTGATTTCCTCGAGGCGAACGGGCTGCATTCTACGTTGCTGGGGTACTATTTGAGTGACGGATCGCAGCTGGAAATTACCGACCTCTTGTATCTTTCCAGTCCCATTATGGCATATGTTGCACAGTATGCACAGATGTATCCAAACCATCTATTGCAGAACTCTCAGGAGACTCTAGATAAGATTCTAGAGAAGATCAACCGGTCTTTCTCAATCTCATCGGCAGAATGGGCTCATGGGACCGTCCCCACGGGAGATCTTATTATACTATCCTGTTTGCCTAGAGTGATGCTTGTGGAAGCAGGACGAAGATCTCTAAACCCGCTCTCGGCGCTTCCAACGAATCCACCGAACAAGGAGTGCTACGAGGCCCTGGCACGAATCTTCCAAGGGCCACCGAAGCCTCAGCAACCGCAATCGGTAGATCTGAGTAACCCGAGCGTGACTCCCACTAACTGGCAAAAAGAGGCTGCGGCAGCTCGAGTGCTTTACTTCACATATTTGAATAGTCACACTAATATGTGGACCGATGCCACAACAGCCGCTGATATCGTTGCCATGCCGGACGTCGCTTTGGCTGCCCTTTCCCTTATGAAGGCCGTGATCACAGCGAACTGGCAGCCCCTGTCACAACAGGCCGATAGTGGATCAACTAGCTGTCGCTTTCGATTGCCAACAGAGGACGAGCTGGGCAGGTTGTCTCCCTCTTCGCAAGGAATACTCCCTTTGACAGGGTTCTGGGCAGTGCTCACTCCACCGGCCTTGACTTCAGTGCTGCCGTATCTCTTCAAACCGCCACGGTCGTATGCAAATTTTGTTGGAGGGGGCAGAGGAGATACAGAGAGTGCAGTTTGGAGGATTGCCACAGCAAAGTATGACGTCCTGGTGTCTCTACACAGTGCTCTCAAGGAGAACAGAGGCCAGATGGAGGGATTCGATGATGTCGTCCGCACACTTGCACAGCGGGTGGCAGAGGGTCCAGGGGGTCCTATATCACAGGCAGGGAGCAGGGTAGATGCTCTGGAGCTGTAGACTAGATTCTAATGATGACATAGAGAATGTTAGAATGATGTACGATCTTGTTCAGAAATCAATACCGCCACGATCAGTAGGTTATCAATTCTTAGACTAGACATGACATCCTATGGATAATATGGAAGGATCTCAACATAAATCCTGACGGTACAACTAACTACCTATTATGCGCTTTCAAAACAGTTGCAGATCAATGCTGCTAAAACATGCATCGCTGATCGACGCGGGGTAGCTCTTAGGTTTTTCGCGCAGAAGCCCTATTTTCCCCTTCCGGCAAGAAGTCAAAGGCGGTGAAATGAAAGCTGCGGGCAACTGTTGATGAAATCGCCGGAACTTTTTTCTCCGTAGTGTCAAACTGCAAATGGCTTCTTAAAGAAACAACTAAAACTTCAGTTCTTTGTTCATTGCCGCGCATATGTTGGGTCCAAGAAAGACCGCATAATCACCCCTGTCTCTCCGATCAGCTCCCGTGACCTCCCTAGCACATTGGTGACACGCGGCCGATAAACCATGTCACGATTCGGCGCAAAGAAGGGCAAGAAGCTCCCAGGTGCGGAGTTCACCTGGGATACAGAGCCTGGCGGTCAACCGGACACTGCTCCTACGCCTCTTTTTCCAGTAGGTTTATTCTCTTCGCCCATTTAGCCGGGCCAGACTGACGCTGCGGCAGAAATACACAGTTCCCCTTGCGAGAATGCTCTCCGCTCGGGAACAGTCACAGGTCAACCTATATCGGGAGTTGAGAGAACGATTCCATGAAGGCCCGTATTACAGCGTTCTCGGTGGATCAGGCACAGCAGCAAAGAAGGGCAGCGCTGCTCGTGTGCACTTTGACCCTTTCCATGGGATGCCTTCCTATTCGGAGAAATACCAGAAGAAGAAGCGGACGCTTCCAAGGCTACAGGGAAGACCTTATGGTATGTTCTTTAGTGTGTGGATCTTGCACTGGTGTCTGGCCATTCTAACATTTCACGCTTCCCAGTCCTGAAGTTCTTCCCACGAGAGCTCTGGCAGACTATTCAGCCCAGCTATAAACCAGAGGGCGGTCTTGATGCTTCACAACGCATTGGTCTCAAGCGTGGCTTTGAGGATGAGGAGGATGACGAAGAGGAAATTTCAAAGCGCCGCAAGGCCGACGATGATGAAGATGAGACCGAGGAGCGCAGACAGGCGCATGATGAAGATGAGGAAGGCAATGACCTCGATGAAGATGAGGAGAGGGAAGAAGAGATCGTTGATGATGATTTCTCTGAGGATGATGATGAAATGGGTGGAGATTACAACGCAGAACAATACTTCGATGGTGGAGAAGACGAAGGTGATGGTGATGGTTTCGCAGATGGAGGCGGTGGTGGTGATGAGGACACATATTAAGCCGACTATCTCTTTAAGATACCCCTCTTGTTATCTTTTCTTTCTTGTTCAACAGCGAATCGCATGGTCTGGCTCTGGAAAGGCGTTGCGAGTGTTAAAATGCTGTTTTGCCCAAATGGCTGCACACGGCGCAGTGCAGTTAACTACCTACAACAAGCACATGGTTAATCTCTTTCTTTGGCATAGTATAAAAAAAATGGAGCGTTTGCATATTACATTCTACTCTATCGTATAAAGATCATATAGGTTTCGTTGGTGATGGATAGCAGCAAATATATATATATCGGAAACTTCCGCGTCCATCTACTCAACCAATCAAACGCGCTTTTGATATGCCTTCCACCACATCCTCATGTTACTCAAACCGTCGCCTGATTTATGCGCAGAACGATCTATCCATTGAACGAAATCAGATCATATCTTTCTTTCTGATTTCCAGCCATACCGTGACGTCATTCCCAGGGGCGGGGAGTTCACTAAGTAAGTGGAAGCTAAAAAAGAAAACTATTTCTCAAACCCCGAGACCGGCCAGTCAACCCCGCGTAGTCTTCATATTGCTGATAACCGTACGGACGCTTCTGATCAAGATGAGTTCCGGCGATGATCGGGAGAATGACAGATCAGCAATCGTGTTATACGGTTCAGAAACCGGAAATGCACAGGAGGTAGCGGAGGAGTTGGGGAGGCTTGCTGAAAGATTGCATTTCTCGACTCACGTGGCCGAGCTTAATGAAGTTAAAGCTGTATGCAAATCCATTCCAGTATTGTAGTTCAGAACGCTCATCTGAAGACATAGGATTCTTTAGCATCATATACGATTACGATAATCGCCGTGTCGACCACCGGTCAGGGAGACTTTCCAGCCAATGCGAGATCGTTCTGGAGGACGCTTCTGCTCAAGAGGCTCCCGCCCACTTTCTTGCAGGGGGTGAACTTCGCACTATTTGGGTTGGGAGATAGCTCATATCCAAAGTAGGTGACAAATTCTATTGCCTCCAGATGAGATATCGGCTAACTAGTTAGGTTCAATTGGGCTTCGCGGAAGCTGTATAAGAGGTTGCTACAATTGGGTGCTAACGAGATATATCCATCCGGAGAAGCTGATCAACAACATCCAGAAGGGTGAGGTCCTTTCGAGTCTTCATATTTGCCACGTACTAATAGCTCATAGACTCGAGGCTACATTTCTACCATGGTGTTCAGATCTGCGAAAGCATCTCCTCGACGAGTATCCCCTTCCTTCCGGTCAGCAGCCGATACCGGATGATGTACCGCTTCCTCCTAAATGGATCCTAGAAGAACAGAGCAATCCTTCAGTGTTCAAAGAACCAGACGTGAAGATAGTGTCCGGGGTTGAAAACGACGAATACCCAGGACTTTATCGTCTTGATCATGACGAACGACCAATCCCTAACACATTCACTGCCAAACTCACTCAGAACAGAAGAGTCACGCCATCTAAACATTGGCAAGATGTCCGCCATATATCTTTAACGGTCCCTGAATCTATGAAATATGATCCTGGAGATATGATTTCCATCATGCCGAAGAATTTCCCCCAGGACGTTGATAACCTGATAAAGATGATGGGCTGGGAAGAACAGGCAGATAAGCCCATCAAATTTGTCCCTGGGGTCGGCCTGCGGTCCAAAAAGAATATTCCACCAGCACCGATTCCCTACCTCGTCTCCTTCCCACATTTGACTCTGCGGATTCTCCTGTCAGATTATTTGGACATCAAGTCTATCCCTCGACGATCCTTCTTATCCGCCATTGCCCATTATACGAATGATGAGATGCATAAAGAGCGATTGTTGGAATTCACGAAACCTGAGTATATAGATGAATTATGGGACTACACGACGCGGCCTCGACGAAGTATCTTGGAAGTTCTTCACGAATTCGACAGCGTCAAGATCCCCTGGCAGCACGCCGCCTCCGTCTTTCCTGTTCTGCGTGGTCGACAGTTCAGTATTGCAAGCGGTGGAGAATTGAAACAAACCCCGGACGGTGGCACCAAGTTTGAGCTGTTGATCGCCATCGTCAGATACCAGACAGTTATCAAGAAGATTCGGGAAGGGGTATGCACGCGATACCTCTCTGTCCTTCGTCCAGGGAGCACGGTTAAAGTTCAGCTGCAACGAGGAGGACTCAATTCCTCCATGAAGCAACTTATCGGGCCATCCGTTCTTGTCGGTCCCGGAACGGGCATCGCTCCACTACGTGCCATGATCTGGGAGAAAGCTACTATCGCAAAAGCATATCGTACAGAGAATCCGGGTATAGATCCCCCAATTGGACCCACCGTCCTTGTATTCGGCGGCCGCAACCGCGCGTCAGATTATTTCTTCGAAGAAGAATGGAAGCAGCTCTCGGAAACAATTGATTTAAAGGTCCTAACGGCCTTCTCACGAGATCAGAAACAAAAGTTCTACGTACAGGATGTCATCAGAGAGAACTTCAACATGTTGTTCAATCTCCTGCATGATTTGTCTGGATCTGTGTATATCTGTGGTTCATCTGGAAAGATGCCACAGGCAGTTCGAGAGGCGTTGATAGAGACCTTTCAGCATGGAGACCACAGTGGAGTGGAGAATTACACTAGGGAACAGGCGGAGAAGTACTTGGTCGAAATGGAAAAACTCGGAAGGTATAAGCAGGAGACGTGGTGATAGAACCAAATATTGACCCATTGAGTCAGATTGTTCTGGATCATATGCTTGGATTGGTAAAGACCTTTATTTGGATATGCTAATAGACCTGTCTGCACCCTCTCATCTGACGATAGAAGCGAAATGCTCAAAAGAAAGATGCAAAAATGTTTCTTCCTGATTAGAATTCCGTACGTGATGTGCGAAGGAAGCCCGATCATTATGACACATCTCCAACTCGGTCAGTGAATACGGAAATCATACCTGACGCCGGAGGTAAGGCCGTCTTCCTGGTGTCCCGGGATATTCTTTTGTGCTCTCTTGGAAACGGATAGCTCGGACATGCCGCAATGGTGTCGGGGAAGATGATCGATCCATGGACATGGACACCAGGAACCACTAAAACCGTGCGGCACCTCATGTTTATTGAACAACATTCGTACATATGTTGTAACAGAGACTCAGGGCGAGAACTCGGCCCCTCACGATCCATACTATAGCTGCAGTCGGTACTTTCGGGGGTGTTGACCTGAATCGAGCGCTGCGAGACAGAGTTCCAGCATGCAACAGATGATTTGTTCAGGCAATTCGATTTGATAAATAAGCCCGTGTTTGGGTAATCTAAATGATAGTCAAGCTACTTTTAAGCGGCTTACAGTATGAGCTAAGATAGGGTCCGTAATGGCAGGATATTCTGATACTTCGACTCTATCACTGGTAATTCCTTGGCAGTGAAGTATAAATCCCATCTAAACCTACATTCAGCCTCTAGTCTAATTGACCAGACCTTTTGTTCCGATCATATCTTATTCTGCCAGGTTATATCCAGGGATCCTTGAAGGGACAGATCTAGAATTAAAATCATACTTTGGGACCAAGCTGAGAAACTCACAGCCGGGGCAACTCCATGTCCATCTCTTCTGTTTTCAAATCTGTGTTCAGTGGTTCCTCCAGCTCGTCCATGATTTAGTGATACTAAAACCTAACACAAAGCATATTGTTTAGTACTCCTCGTAACGGCGTGATATAATCGTGATGGAATGTGGATTTGATTATGCTGTTGTTCTCACGATCCGTCTTTGGAGCTGCAGTTCCGAGGCTGGATCTCTAGTTATCCTAGATGAAGTCACTGGGCCCTGCCACGTACTGGCACAAGATATCTCTTTGTATGGTGAAACTGAATACAAGCGTATGATGACAATGCATTGTGTACTATTTGTTATGATATCCTCATCGTGCTTCAATATCAGTCGGCTACTCACCACTGCCTTTCCTAAGTGCTAAGTATTCGAGCCATGGGCTACATAGGGCTAGTCAATATACCCATTAATCATTTAAATTGTCTTTCTCACTGAGTTTAGGAAGAGGTTTCTTCCGCAACCTAGTTCATGCATGGGAGACATCGAAAGTGCGAGCTCGTTGTGTGCTGTTTCTACAATTAATTCCTCCGTACGGTCATCCTCAACATTTGCTTCGGTAACCTCTGGTTGGGATTAAGCGTTTTGCAAGTGCTTGATTTGCTGCCCCCCTGTTGGGTAGGATATAGCGCAATGAGACTACAGGCAGTAGTTACCAACTCCTGTATTCTGTTGATTCAGGTGATATCTGCCCTCCGCTATGATCCCGAAGAAGTTGGTTTCAATCTCAACGAAAATGAAACGGCCAGAGACCCTATGGATTACTGGGGAGAGTGGAAAGATCACAGCTACTACCCATCTCCAGACAATTGGCGAATCCCGTTCTATACACTCTTCATTGACAGGTTTGTGAATGGTGATCCTGCCAACGACGATGCGAACGGGACGCAATTCGAGCATGATCTGCTTTCAAACCAACTTAGACATGGCGGGGACGTAAAGGGTTTGATGGACAGTTTTGACTACATACAAGGCATGGGAGTGAAGGTAGATTTGGCCCATGATATATATCTTGAAGGAGCTGGTTCTGACTTACACAGGCTCTCTACATTGCTGGCATGCCGCATATCAATATGCCTTGGGGATCAGACGGATTTTCACCCCTTGATCTGACCCTTCTCGATCGTCACTTTGGTAATATAGACGATTGGCGCGAAATGATATCTGAGGCTCACAGACGAGGGATCTATATCATTTTGGAAAATACTATGTCTACGTATGTGGGAAGCAGAATTTCAACACAGAAAGAGAAGCTGACAACTTTTAGGATGGGTGATCTTATCGGCTTCAAAGGTTTCCTGAATACATCCGCGCCATTCAATCCTTACGAGTATGATCATGTGTGGAAGTCATCACGTCGTTATCACGATTTCCAACCTGGAGATTCATGGCTTGAAGAATGCGCGCATCCTCGATTCTGGGATGATCTCGGGAGAGGAGTGACTTCACAGATAACATTAGTCCGTGGCTGTCGTGATAGCGAGTTCGATCAGGTAAACCAGACTGACTGTGTGGGGTTGGGAATCTGCTGACGACTTCCTAGTACGGTGAAGTTGCGTCGTTCGGAGATTACAGAGAATGGCAACGGCAAGTCAGCAAGTTTGCATTCGTACAGGACCGCCTTAGGGAGTGGCGAACCGATGTCAGGCAGAAGCTTGAACACTTTTCTTGTCTTACCATTGCAATGCTCGATATAGATGGATTCAGAATCGATAAGGCAATCCAGGTTACTCTCGATGCGCAGGCAGAATGGTCAGATTCTATCCGTCGTTGTGCCCGCCGGTTTGGAAAAGAGAATTTCTACATTCCCGGCGAAATAGTGTCTGGAAATTCGTTTGGATCACTTTATATCGGTCGCGGTCGACAGACAAACCAAACAATTACGAACATGACAGAGGCTGTCACCTTGACCAACGATAGCGACCATAGAATGCATATCAGACCTCCTCAGAAGGCAGCACTCGATGCATCTGCGTTTCACTATAGTGTTTACCGCTCTCTAACAAGATTCCTTGGGTAAGAAGTGATTGTTTTGGATGTTTGGTGCGGATGCTAATTTGGATTCTAGCATGGATGGCACATTCGAAGCAGAAGGGGATCCGCCATCGAATTTCGTCGAACTCTGGAACGGGCTGGTCCAGACGAATGACATGGTCAATGTAAACACAGGAAAGTTCGATCCGCGTCATCTATATGGCACGTCCAACCAGGATGTTTTTCGGTGGCCAGCGATCAAAAACGGCACAGAAAAGCAAGTCTTAGCACTATACGTGGTGTCTTTGTTGATGCCAGGGATACCAAATATTGCTTGGGGAGAAGAACAGGCGTTCTACGTTCTCGAAAACACCAATGCGAATTACGGTGAGTAGCACTTCTCGAGAGGCTAGACGCGGAAATCACTAAACAATTATAGTTTTTGGACGTTCCCCTATGTCTTCCTCCTTGGCATGGCAACTGCACGGCTGCTACAAGGTCGGCTCAGTGAAATATCACGATTTCCCGATTGGAAGTGCTTCGTATGGTTGCCTTGATGACAATGTCAGTCTGGACCACCGTGATCCAACGCATCCTGTTCGGGGCTTAATCAAAACAATGTTTGAGATGCGTCAGAACTACCCTGTCTTGAATGACGGGTACTACCTTCAACAGCTCTCAAATAAGACCTATGATCTCTATTTACCAGGAAGTAATGGTACTCCCACAGAGACGGGCATGTGGAGTGTACTGCGAGACCGGTTCTGGGGCGTGCAAGACTTTACTAGTATAGGCCAAGGAAACCAGAGCGTTTGGTTAGTCTATCAAAATGATAACAGGACTATAGACTACAGATTCAACTGCTTTTCAGAGGATGCACTGATCTCACCGTTCGACGCAGGAACAACGGTAAAGAATCTGCTTCCTCCATTCGAGGAGTATACACTAGAAAGGAGTTCAAAAAAACTACGGTAAGCTGGATATCTAATGCGAAATACTGGTTGCTGACCATGACAGGCTGGAGGGATCTGAGAGTTGGAATGGCTGCCTGTCCATGTTAACCTTGTCTCCTTGGTCATTCAAGGCATTCGTTCCTAAGAAAGTGTTTGTGGAACCCTCACCATTTATTACGAAGTTTACTCCAGGGCATGACTGGCGTATCCTTTCCACAATAAACGCCGGTGAGAGTATATATATCGGTTTTCAATTCTCATCAGAGATGGATTGCAACAGTATAACGAATGCGATCTCAATTAAATCAACGGCCTATGGGAATTATACTGCTCAGCTTGACAAGAGTACAGTCTCTTGTAACACAATCGCTGAAACACAAATGGTTTCTTGGCCTGGAGCTCTCGCAAGCGTATACAATTACTCGGTCCAGTTGACAAACGTATTCCACGGAGTGCACGAGATAATCGTCAGCAACGCAAGCAACAGGAACGGGAACCGTATGACCAATGTGAGTGATATAAGATCTAACACGAATAAACCTCTAACGAATATGCTAGTCTGTCGATCATTTCATATTTCGAATAGGGTCCATGGATAACCCAATTGTATGGCCAAGGGAGGCTAACTACAGTACATCACTGCTCTACGAGGATATTTCAAGAAATGGAACGTTATGGGTCTCTCACAAAGCTCACGGTGCAGACAAGTGGCGTTATACCCTTGACTTTGGATCTTCTTACAGTGAATGGATGCCATATCAAGGTGGCGACCAATCCATTCCACCCAAGAACTGGACTGGAACAAAAAAGCAAAAATGGGACGGCGAACATATCATGGTGCAATACTGGAATAGAATCACAGGAAGCAGTGACCATTGGCAACACGGAGATGTAGGCATCTATGGCCTTCCACCTAGGCGATACCCCCATTTCTGGATCGAAGGATCATTCAATCAATTCGGATACGATTCTGGTTACGACAACGAGATGGCCATGAATAATCTTACCGGGAACTGGGAGTATGATTTCCTCGCAGAGTGGCCTGCTCAACTCTCGTTGAGCGCATGGGGAGTCAATCCCGATGGTCAACCAGATGAGACACAAGTATTTGGGGATCTGGATGGAGACGGGGTCCTCGATCGCATTCCACCGTTGTCGCTGTTGACGAACCGTATTAACCTAACAGATCCCCCGCCTTCTCCATATCTCTCCTGGAAAGTTTCTCTGGATGATGGCAACCTGAGATATTTCAAGATACCAATCGGATCATGGAGAGTGCAGTTAACTCTTTATCTCCTGCTTGCTCTAGTACCGGTTGCCACTGCTATGATCTCAGTGTGGGCATATCTGAAGCTCTTCTATCAGATCAAACTCAACAGATTCGGTATTTCTGAGAAGCAGCATATCGTACCTTTTTCAATACGCAATTGCTTAACCCAACTGCGTGGCACTTGGAATCGTCTCAATGCAGAAGGAGGTTTTAGCAACGCCATTTCAAGGATCCTCAAATATCCGCAAGACAAAAGATCCAACAGACAGGCGCCCAATGCGGACGCAGGAGATAATCGACGTACTGTCCTCATTGCCACCATGGAGTATGATATCGAGGATTGGGATATAAAGATAAAAATTGGTGGGTTGGGAGTAATGGCGCAGCTCATGGGCAAAAACTTGGGTCATCAGAACCTTATATGGGTCGTGCCATGCATCGGCGGTATCAACTATCCAGAAGATGAAAGAGCCGATCCAATAGAAGTGAAAATCCTTGGGAAGACCTATCTAATTCAAGTTCAATACCATGTTCTCCGCAACATCACATACGTTCTTCTTGATGCGCCGGTATTCAGATCTCAGTCCAAATATGAACCCTATCCACCGAGAATGGACGATCTTAACTCGGCGATCTATTATTCAGCTTGGAATTCATGCATTGCGGAGGTGTTAAAACGATTTACCGTTGATATATACCACATAAATGATTATCATGGTGCGGTAGCTCCCTTGCACCTATTGCCAGAAACAATACCCTGTTGCTTATCTTTGCATAACGCCGAGTTCCAGGGTCTATGGCCCATGAGAACAAAAAATGAGCGCGATGAAGTCTGTCGAGTCTTCAACCTTGATCCGGTGATTGTCAAGACATACGTCCAATTTGGTGACGTTTTTAACCTTCTTCATGCCGCAGCAAGCTACTTGTATATCCATCAAGACGGTTTCGGTGCAGTTGCCGTCTCCAGGAAATATGGAAAAAGGTCATACGCCAGGTACCCTATCTTCTGGGGGTTGAAGGAGATAGGTTCACTTCCAAACCCGGACCCCTCAGATACAGCAGACTTGGATGCAAGTGAAGATTATAGTAATGCTCAAGTGGACCATAACTTTGAAGCACGTCGAATAGCTCTGAAGCAGCAAGCTCAGGAATGGGCCGGTCTACACCAGGATGCAAGTGCTGAATTGTTTGTTTTCCTTGGCCGGTGGTCGATGCAGAAGGGGATCGATATCATCGCTGATGTCTTCCCATCTGTTCTGGACGGTTATCCAAGGGCACAGCTCATATGTATTGGACCTGTCATTGATGTTTATGGGAAGTTCGCTGCTATAAAACTCAGAAGATTGATGGAACTTTATCCGGGACGGGTGTCTTCAAGACCGGAGTTCACAGCCTTGCCCCCTTTTATATTCAGCGGTGCTGAGTTCGCTTTGATACCATCTCGCGATGAACCGTTTGGCCTTGTTGCAGTCGAATTCGGCCGCAAAGGGGCTCTGGGGATCGGATCCCGGTGAGTAGCAATCATGGGTATCAAGTTACGTTTCTGACCTCTTCCAGAGTAGGTGGTCTCGGGCAGATGCCTGGATGGTGGTACACGATGTAAATCCGCAAAGCCCTCAGACAGCACGTTCTATACTAACAGTTTTCAGTGAATCAATGACAACGAAGCACCTTATTCACCAGTTCAAGCACGCAATCCACGAAGCTTTGGCTTCTAAAACAGCTACGCGCGCAGGCATGCGTGCCCAAGCCGGAAGGCAGCGATTCCCTGTTATGCGATGGCTACAAGAGCTTGATACTCTGCAGTCAACGGCAATTAAGAAGCACAAAAGGTATAGGTCTGGAAAGACTTGTGCATGGTGGACCCCAGCGCTCTGTCTTAGTATGTTTAAACCAACACCGCCCGCTCCACTTGGCTGTGGAGAGTCCTCTGGTGGCGCAGGGCATATTGAGGGTGCGTCTCATTCATCTGGAAGCCGAGGAGGTCGAGATGAGACGGAAAACCGCTCAAGGAATAGATATGAGCTACAGATTGAGGGAAGCTCCTCTTCTGAAACCGATGCACGATCATCAGATGACACAGTAATTCGCACAAGGCATGGCCAACAAAGTCGACTGACACTGGACATTGAGTCAGATAGCCCTCAGCATTGGAGGGATAGGGCGATTCAAATATACTTAGACTTCGGAGACTTCGATCTCGATGATTTCGAGGTCCCTTCCGCATTCCTGAGGGACCCAGCGATCAATTCTCCTCCGGATTCATGCCTTAATACACCGTCCACGACAGAGACTTCAACCACTCTGCTGGGTTGTCCTACACCTCTCCAGTGGCAAGACTCAACAGCCAGTCTACTAAGTGTAGAGAGCGTCGTGAAAGAAAACCGTGATTATAATCTACAGAAGATCCGTCCTCTCTTCACCGATTCAAACAATGAATATGCTAGAAGATTTGAGAGGAAACTGGAGAACCTTAACGGAAAGAATTCCGAAGACCAGTTATGCATCGACGAATTCCTTTCTAAGTGTGAAAAACACTGGTTCGGCCGATACCGTGATGCTAAAATGGGAAGCATGCCCGCATCGTCAGTTGAGCGGGCCAAAATACACAGCGACAGTTCACAGAGCTCATCATCACACTCTGTTCCCCTCGACAATGATAATGATATTGAACAGTTTCTTCTGCCACGAGGTTATATTCCTCCCTCCGGTCTAAAGAGACTTCTTCTCAGACGGTTGGGTGACTGGCCCTTATATTCCCTGTTACTCGCATTTGTTCGTCAACCGAATAACCTCATCGAAGGACCCTGCTGACATTCACCAGGGCCAGATAATTGCGGCAAATTCGTACCAAGTTACTCTATTGAATGGCGAAGTTGGTGAACCAGCTGAGAAGCTATACATTGTCGCAACCATATATCTCGTATCTTCTATCATATGGTGGATCATATTTCGCTTGTTTAAGCCAGTTGTGGTTTTGTCTGTACCGTTCATTGTACGTCACGAGATACCTGTGCTTTTCACGTATGCATTTTCATGTTTTTACTGACTACAATAGTTCTATGGCTCTGCCTTCCTTTTTATCGGCTGCTCTCCCTTTGTCCGAATAGGAGTGGGTAGGGCTTGGATGCAGAATGCTGCAACAGGCCTGTATGCATTCGCATCATCCAGTGGATCTATTTTCTTTGCCCTCAATTTTGGGGATGAAGGTGAGTAAGAGATCGACAAATAAATATTTTTTGTATATGTATTGACTATCCATGGAGGGAATGCACCTGTAACGTCGTGGGCGTTTCGAGCTTGTGTCATACAAGGAATTCAACAACTATACGTTACCTTCCTCTGGTTCTGGGGGAGTTCCTTGACCACAGCAAGTGAGACAGGGTTGAAAAAGACGAGCCTTGCTGATTCCAATCCTCACACACTCATTGGAGTGGGAGTGGGTATTGCTATCTTCCTCTGGGCTATAGGTGGTTTAATATTCCTTGGGCTACCGAGCTATTATCGCCAAACACCTGGCAAAGTCCCATCGTTCTACCGGACATTGCTGCGAAGGAAAATAGTTCTCGTAAGTGACATCCCAGCGGAGGATTATGCCATTTCTTCAGCGTTGACTGTTTTCTAGTGGTTTTTCTATACTGTCTTTATTCAGAACTATTTCTTGTCGGCCCCCTATGGCCGAAATTGGCTTTACCTCTGGTCTAGCCAGCATGCAAAGAAATGGCACATTGTACTCCTTGTACTGCTATTCTTCGTTGTTGTCTGGGCGATATTCCTCTGGTGTTTCAGTGTGCTTTCTAAGCGACATGCATGGATTATTCCCATATTCGCTGTTGGACTGGGGACACCCCGCTGGTGCCAGATGCTGTGGTCGACATCGAACATAGGCGCATATCTTCCCTGGGCTGGCGGGCCACTGGCCAGCGCTCTTGTAGGTAGAGTGCTCTGGCTCTGGCTTGGTGTGCTCGACACGGTTCAAGGTGTCGGTAAGTTTGGATCCATGGATTATTTTATCCGCACGTTTCATCATGACTGACGCATGGTGGAAATGCAGGCTTCGGTATGATCTTGATAAACACACTAACACGGTTCCATATCGTATTCACCTTACTCGCAGCTCAAGTCATTGGGTCAATTTCCACTATCCTGGCTCGTGCCTCTGCTCCAGATAAAGTAGGGCCCGGAGATGTCTTTCCCAGCTTCGCTGCAGGCGTCTCGGATGGACTGTCTAGAGTATCATTCTGGATATGCTTGATCTTTTTGCTCTCCACAAACGTTCTTTGCTTCATGTTCTTCCGCAAGGGGCAACTGCAGAAGCCGTGAATATTCTAGCAGGTCCTATCAAATATGGCATGCGAGATTTCGAGTTATCGTTATAGACGCTTGGCAATTATTTTCTGTCTGAGCTTTGTTTGATAGTCTCCTAATTTATGTGCATGTGCTGTGGTTAGCATACATTTCTTATTCCATTATTGGATGTCCGTCCTGGTATATTGAATAGTTTATTTCCATCGAAGATCCATTGTGGCTCCATTGGACCTGACATGTTGTTGCATCTACTTGGTGAGCGTGCGATTAGCATCAATTGATTGCCTGAGTCCACAGAAGATTGTGAGATATGTTGTTATGGTGTAGGATGAGATTAAGTATGAAATAGAAGTTCTCGAAACATGAAAAAGACCAGAACGGCAATTTCATTCTCGTCTTCATTGACGTGATTGATAGGTATACTGCTAATTGTAAACCGACACGAAGCGATAACGACCTCGGCTGTGGGCAGACTCGGGAACGGACGACATCGGCCTCGGGTTGGCTTCTCCGGTGAGGCACAGGAGCTTTCTCCGCCAAAGCATACTCTCCCCTCTGACTCTCCGGCTTTCCTCCACGACATCGCTGGTCTGGTCCATTGTATCTGGCATTGGACTTGTCTATACCTCGGTGAACGTTCAAAATGGCCAGCGCCCTGCGGATCTTGGTCCCTGTCAAGAGGGTGATCGACTATACGGTACGTTGACTCTTTTGCCCTGTGCTGCTCCGATGCGGAGCTGCAACGAGGTCGCTTGCTCTCTTGAAGAAGCGTTCCAGGTCCAGCTTCTCTACGGGGGTAGCCATATGCCTTCCTTGTCTGTTCCTTACCCTGACATTCATTGCGCTATAATATAATTAATTCCCAGTGACGGGCTCGATCTAACCTTAGCTACAATCCAGGTCAAACCTCCAATCAACAAGGCAAAGACGGGCGTCGAGACAGCCGGCGTGAAGCACTCTCTCAACCCATTCGATGAGCTCTCTATCGAAGAGGCCGTTCGCATCCGCGAGCGCAAGGGCCCTCTGAAGGTCGACAACATCCTCGCGCTCTCTGCGGGCCCTGCCAAAGCCGCAGACACCCTCCGCACGGCCATGGCCTTGGGCGCCGACCGAGCCTTCCACATCGACGTGCCCGAGTCCAACGACGGCGGCCTGGAGCCGCTGACTGTCGCGAAGCTGCTGAAGAGCGTCGTGGAGAAGGAGAACATCAATCTCGTCCTGCTGGGCAAGCAGGCCATCGACAGCGACCAGGGCCAGACGGGCCAGATGCTGGCTGGTCTGCTCAACTGGCCGCAGGCGACGCAGGCCAGCAAGGTTGACATCAAGGACGACAGTGGCACCATCGAAGTCACCCGCGAAGTCGACGGTGGTGTTGAGACCCTCCGCACGAAGCTGCCCATGGTCATTACGACGGATCTGCGCCTGAACGAGCCGCGTTACGCCAGCTTGCCTAACATCATGAAGGCGAAGAAGAAGCCGTTGGAGAAGAAGACTCTGGCGGACTTTGGTATTGAGAATAAGAGGCGTTTGAAGACGTTGAAGGTTACCGGTATGTCCAATCAATGCTTGACCCACCAATGTTTTTTGCGCAAATGTGGTTCTGCGTACAGAGTGACTAACACAACGCGAAAATAGAGCCCCCACCACGACAGGGTGGAGGCAAGGTCGAGGATGTCGACGGTCTCGTCTCTAAGCTCAAGGAGCTGGGCGCTCTGTGAGCTGTGAGCAAGTAGATGTTTCAAGGCTTGTTTTTGTTGTCGTTGTTGTTGATCTATTATATTGAAATGTGCCGCTGCGTTGCGTTTTATAGCCCCGTATGATTTGGGTCTACGAGCTTTTTGTCCCTAGACGATTTTTGAGGATAAAAACGAAAGTCAATGATAATTTGATTGTTTCCGGAACATTAGTGAATAATGTACGGTAGCTCTGGGAGAGTACTTTCTCCACCTAGTTTCTAGGAAAACTAACGTGATCTAATCTAAGCAAAGTAATACTCTAAAGTTCAAGATCAGCGTTCTGGCTATACATTCCAGTAATACAGTACTGTACATAGTCAGGCTGAAAATGGGACGGACTCCTCCCGCCGTACCTATACTAGCAATACGAAATAAAATGAAATCAAATCTATCAGACCCTCCTAACTAGACATAGTAAAATATAACCATACAAGTGATCAGATAGCACAATATCTTCAGAATCAGAAATTCCATAGGAAACCCTTTCGAGGTCTTGACCCTTTTTGTAGTTGATATATATCTCTACCCCACCTATGTAGGATAGGATAGGATAAAATAGGGCTTAGCGAGGAAAGAAGTCGATCTGAGACTTTGTCGGATAGGCTTCCATAGGGCCTATCTAGTACGTCTATCCGAAACTTCAAAGGAAGAAAAAAAGAAACAATGCATTGAAAGTCGGGCTAAATATCGCCCATACATTAGGTAGCCTTTGAACTCCCCTGACAGGGAAAAGAAGAATTGAGGAAAAAGAAAGATATTAGCATCATGCGAGCAAGGAAAAAAAAAAAGAAAAGAAAAGAATAGATATGAAAATATCTCCGTAATTGAGATCAACAGATGGGCTTGCTTGCTATTTGTCTTGGAGGGAGTCATAGCGAATGGCCATAACCATTATTCCCGAGTCTCGACAAATCATACTGTACTGTAAGTAGTAGCGCAGGATCCTCGAGGCTCGAGCCCCCGACGGTCGGGATTTTTTTTTTTTCAAATCAGTCTGCAAATAAACTAACTAACTAATAATGGAGGGATTATTAGTCTAACTTATGGTGGGTAGATAATTAATGTATTAATGTAGTTAGTTAGTTAAGCCCGGGATTAATTACTTCTTCATAGATAGTTGGCCGGAGAGGATCGGACCCTGGAGGTTGTTAGTCGGATCCCGAGGCTGGGGATAATGCGCAGATCGTGTGGATTTGTTCGCTTCACGGCAAAGTCCAGATGATCACTAACTAGGTAGACTAGACTAGACTAGATACATTATGGTATGGTATGGTATGGAATTGGATGAGGGCTGAGAATGACGATATTTCTCAAATGTCCGTCCGGAACGCTGTAGCCGTGACTGACGTACTGTACTCCGTACTCCGTACCTATATTACTGTCGCTTCGCTTCGCTAACTAAGTACCTAATGTAAGTAACTAGTGCTTAGCGACTACTTACGGTAGAAACGGGCCTATTTAACTATCTGTCATGAATACGGAGTAATAATAATAGTTCGCACCATCGCCATGTGGCATGGATGTACCTGAGAAAAATCCTAGTTTAGGTATGTCTTGGCGCGAACTCGATTTCAATTTTCATCGCATATCAGGGATAATAATAATATAATAGGTTAAGATAAATAAATAATCTCGACAAGACGGATGGGCTGAAATGGACGACGGCGTGAGGTTGTGCGCATGCATATGAGGTGTCACAACTTAATCAACCCCCTATGCGGACATAGTAAGCAAGCCGCATGGGTGATCTTTTGAAGATATAGGATGATTTCAAATATCGACCGGATATTATTATATTATTACCGCGAGAGAGGAATATGCAGGGGTTACTTAGTTAGTTAGTTAGAGTCTTTAGAGAAAGAGGGGATATCATAGAGAAACAGCGTGAGGGCGAGACTAAGTATTTAGTTAGTTAGTCGAGTTTTTTCCTGTTATGATGTATTTTCCTCCGCGGGCCGGGTATCAGAGAAGAATGCGACGACATTCCCCAGCAGACACAGCGTTGAAGTCTTTGGAATTCATGGATGATGATGATGATGGTTATTATTATTATTATTCTTATTGATGCGCTAGCACAAAGAAATTGCGTGTTTTATAATAATAACTAATAATAATAAGTTAATTAACTAATACAGTCCGGAAGAGCGTAGGCGAAAAGCCGAAAAACTCCACCATCCGGATCCACCGCGACGAGGGAATCATCCACGATGGTTCGTTCCAAGCAGAGAAGAAGAAGAAAAAAAAATACATACATGACATCGATCCGCTCGTTTTTTCTCGTCAGCCACGGCGCCACGCGGGGACCGTCAGTCCTTCCGGCCTCAGCCGTGCTGATGCTGATGGAGGAGGCCCAAAGAAATTCCCTCCCCCGTCATGCTTGTTCTGCCACTAGCAAGTATGAAGCCTGTAAGACCCAGGTTCATTCCCGGATTGCCCGCCCCGTCCTTCTCGAACCTGCTAAATAATGTCTAATGACCGATGATTAATATTTTATTTGATTTTATTTAATAGTTGACTATTATTCCCCTCCTCCCACCTTCAGCTCGCGGCTTCAATGAGAATAATGGGTCGACACCCGATCCATATCCGCGCTGTTGCTGGTTCTCGGATGTCACAACTCTAAATTAAAAAGGACTTTTCTTGCTCTCTTGGGTGGCTCCTCAGTGGGTTTGGATGTGGCCCTGGCGATCTCGGTTCACACCAATAAATCCGTGGTAGCTCACCCTCTGCTGCATCAGATAACATCGTCCCATGCAAGGCGTGCTCTCGGACGCTGCGAGCCTGCGACACATTCTTCGTCTCCGAGAGCGCTCGATCGTCCACCAACGCGGCTCAGGCCCAGAAGAATTTGCATTCCTATCAGATTGAGGACATTGTGGTCAGCGTGTGTCTGCCCTTCTCGTCGTGAATTCAGCCCCTCGCGACCTGGCTAGTATTATTGCGAGACCGTTGCGTATACAAGGACCGCCAACCGCCATCATCCTTGGCCGTCTGACCGACTACGTTCTCCCCCGCTGCATCTTCCGTCCGACCAGGTTGTCCCGGACACCATGGCGCCGTCAGCGTGGGAGAGGACCTTCGGGTATTCGAAGAAAGGCTTTGACAAGGCCTGGCAAACCCTGGACAAGTTGGGCGCCCCCGTCAACCGTCTCTCCAACCGTGTGGGTGCGGAGGCCTTTTGGCCTATGTCACTGGACAAGGAGAGTGATAAAGCTGCCCGCATTCTGCGCAGTTTCTGCAAAGATGGCTTCTACGAAGACTTGACTCCAGACGAGGAACGAATGAAGCGGGATTCGAAGGGTAGGCTCGATCGACCGCAAGGAAAACAACGAGTACTGAAGAAGATTCCGACGGACGTGATCAAACAAGCAAAGGGACTGGCGATCTTTACAACCATGCGAACGGGACTCTGGGTCAGTGGCGCTGGCGGGAGTGGTGTGTTGCTGGCGAGGATCCCAGAGACGGGAGAATGGAGTCCGCCGTCCGGAATCCTGCTACATACAGCAGGGATAGGATTCATGGTGGGCGTCGACATCTACGATTGCGTCGTCGTCATCAACACATACGAAGCGTTGGAGGGTTTCAAGCGAATTCGCTGTACGCTGGGCGGAGAAGTAAGCGTGGCGGCGGGACCGGTCGGTATCGGTGGTATTCTCGAGACGGAAGTTCACAAGCGCCAGGCTCCTGTGTGGACATACATGAAGAGTCGTGGTATCTATGCGGGGGTGCAGGTGGATGGCACAATCATCCTCGAACGAAACGACGAAAATGAACGGTTTTACGGCGAAAAGCTCCGTGTCCATGACATCCTCGCCGGCAAAGTGAGGCATCCGCCAGACTCCCTCAAGATGCTGATGCAAACCATCAAGAGCGCCCAGGGTGACTCAGACGTTGATGAATCTGTTCTTCCATCTCCAGGACAGGCACCAGGTGATATGGAACTGGTTGACAGCAACTTTGGGATCCCCGCAGCCGACGATCCAGATCCTTTCGGAGTCAAAGCTCTGGAAGCAGAAGGTCTCTTCATTCGCGAGGCAGCAACCAAGGCCAGGCCAAGTCACGAAGTCTTTGAGTTTCGCCCAGCACCATCGAGTCCTATCTACAACACATTCCCGCGGTACAGCATGGGCAGCTCGCGGCGGACGAGCTGGCGGGGTAGTCTGCAGAGTTATACCAGCGTCGATAGGGGAACGCAAACTGAAGATCGTCCCATGACTGCGACCACTACGACAAGCAGGATGTCATCTCCTCGGAGCATCAAGGAGTCTATCTCCCCGCAGCCGGAAGAAGTTCTCGAGGAACGCGAAGAACACGCAGAAACCGAATATACGAACGGAGACCACGAGCCCAACGGTGAGCCGGAAGTCCACGAGATTGGCACTACGACGGTTGCCAAGCGTGAGAGCGCTGTCAGCATTCCTCCCACTGTTGATGACCAGACGGTCTCGCCCGAATCCAAGCGACTGTCGCCGACATTCACGCGTGCGCGGTTGGTAACAATTCCCAAGCGGATCCCACCGGCTCTCCCACCACGAAACCCCATACGCAAACACGATTCGATGTCAACAACCGCTTCCTTGCCCTCGCCGACTGCGTCCCTGCGACGCGAGATCAGAATGTCGAACGAATTTTCCGGTGGTGAAACAAACGGCCTTGACCATCTTCCTGAGCACGCGGATGCCTCGTCTGAAGAACTTCCTCCTGACGTTGAAGCTCGCATTGACGCCCTTGTCGATGAGTTTGCTAATGGCCAGCACGAGGATCATGTCGCTACGACTGTCACGGAGAAGGATGAGTTCCACTCGATTGCTAGTTCTCAAAGATCGTCGAGGAGCGAGCTGGTTGCCCGTGGAGAAGAGCAGGAGAACCGCGGGGAAGACAAACACGAGACTGAAAACGGGGAATACAAACACGAGACCGGAAACGAGGAACACAACCATGAGACTGAAAACGAGGAAGACAAACATGAGATCGGAAACGACGAACACAGACACGAGACCTCAAACGAGGAAGAACCCCATGCTGTGTCATACTATGAGAGTGTCTCCCGACGTAATTCGACAAAGGAGGACCACACCACAACTGAAGTCGATGTCGAGGATGAGGCCGAGAGGGAAACTGTGAATGGGATCACGGATGATCAGGTCCATGAATCTCACCCTGGCACGGTTTATCTGACAGATGACGCCGCAGAGGACGAAGAGAAAACTAAGAACGAGCCTGCCCATGGGGCTGCCCACGAGGCCGTGGAGTCCACCAAGACTGACGTCCACACGTCGTCATGATTGGTGATATTACCACACGATCTTTCATTCTCCATGACTTATTTTGCGACAACCCAAGTTTCTCGACCACTCGATCAGGTTCATTGATACCTTCTGCGGGCAAAAAAGAAGTCTAGCTGTTGGCGCGCTCATCTTCCATTGTATATGATTCACGGATTCGAATTCTCATTCGCCAGATGATAGCGAAGTCGGGCATTATTCTTCATGGTTTTGACTATTTTCTGATATTGTATTTTTATTCCTGCATTGGACCATTTCTGCCCATACGGGTTATATTGGCGTCATGGTACGGGTGCATCAGGGGACCATCTACCTTACGAGGTTCGTGGATCGTGGACTCTCTGCTTTCTGCTTTTTTTCTAGATTACTTGGCTTTTAGGCCTTGATGGTTTTTATCTCAGGTTACAGCATGGAGAAGGGGGTTGGGGTAGGGGAATGGGAACATGCCGTTCCTACCTTGAAGAATCCCGTTGGATGGATAGACAGTTCTACTTTACATGTATTTACGAACTTCATTCAGTAAACACTGCTTGATCTTGTTCTGAGTATCATGTGAAATTTCTCGTACGAATTAATGTAGTGACAATGAGGGAATTCTCTTGCTTCATAATTCGAATGCAATACTTGTCTGGGACATTTACTTTGAACCTGACTGAAATAAATAATAAATAAATTCAGGGTTATTCTGGGGTAAAAAGAAAAGGGCTAGGAGCAAAGAAAACTTATGTTGGTCTAGAGGATCGAAGATACGTATCCCTACGCTGCGTAGATTGAGTTGAGCCTTGCTCGGCCCCTCAGGAAACCGTGTTCGCTGCGTTAAGTACAGGGGTCTATTATCAGCAAAAGGCACCGCCTGATAGAAAAAATGGTCTTTTCAGGTTGTAATTGGAAGGCTGGGATTAAGCATTAGTACACTTGGCAAACACAACTTCTCCCACTTATTCCACTCCCGGGGTTGCTCTTCTTTGTTGTGATCAGGCAACCAGCTCGGATTTATGAAAATAAACAAACTGAACTACCTACTCTGTCCTTGTTATTTTTCCCAGCGCCCTTTCTAAAAGATTTCCCCTTCTCTTCCAACATAATCCTTAGCAAACATGCATAATCATATACTGTCTCTCTCACTCCCCAAAGCTGAAGCCGCACAATGCAACAGAAACCTCATGCAAGAGTTCCAGGCGGCGCTCGAAAAAGACCCAACAGTGGATCTGATCTCTATTATTCCCGATTCATATTATCGCGAACACTATAATGCGCAATGTCAAGAGCTATCTTATGCAGCTCAGATCAATCTCCGCACAATAAATGAGCTTTATCAGGAACTGGAGATTGAACCGGAAGCCAATCTGCTATCTTTATTCCCGAAGAACTATAACCGCAGGATTCAAATGGCGACTGGATCCAGAACGGCGCCTTCGTTGGAAAAGAGCGAGATACAAGGTCCTCCTGAGTTCCGCACACGTCTTGATCTCGCTGATACTGCTACTGTTGTGTTTCCGTTATCTGAGAAGACTACGACTTTGCTTACGCGATATTCAGAAAGGTCAGGCTCTGCGTTTGATACCACAGGGGAATCACTTGCTGTATCTCTGAAAAAACTTCTGTGGGATTCTCCTGTCCTCTGGGAGAGCCATGTCAGGGGTGTCGTGGTTAAATGCAGCGAGGACATCGTTGCCAAAGTTATTACGGGACACAGAGATTACACAGAATACACTAGCATGCAATACCTCGAAGAAAAGGTGCCTGATATCCCAGCGCCAAGGCCCCACGGGCTGATCGCATTAGGACCCTTTCGCGTCATATTCATGTCGTATATTCCAGAAATCACATTAGCCACAGTATGGGATGGACTATCTCCCCAGGAAAAGCGCTCGATACAAGATCAACTGGATGATATCTTCGTCCGATTGAGAAATCTTCGACAGGACGACGGCAATGAACTCGGTGGTGTGTGTGGAGAAGGCGTGAAGGAACATAATGTCGATGAAACTGCCCTGTGGAAAAATATCACTCAGGCTAAAGAGTACAATGACTTGCAGTTTACGGCCCGTCATCATGGCAGCAATACATATGTCAAGTTGTTACGTTCATTCCTGGACACGACGGCTATGCGGGGATCGGTATTCACACATGGTGATATTAGGAAGGAAAATATCATGGCGAAACGAGATTCAGGTAGTCGTGATTCATATGTTGTTACGGGAATCATTGATTGGGAGGATAGTGGTTTTTATCCTGAGTACTATGAGTGTACTACATTGACGGGCAATCTTAGTCTGGTGGAAGAGGATGATTGGTACTTGTATCTTCCGAGGAGTATTGCCCCGTCTCGATTTCCTATTAATTGGTTGGTCGATCGGCTTTGGAAGATTCATCTTAGGACTACGTAGATGGGAATGAGCATGGAGAAATGGTTTGGTTTGGGGACTAATACAGTATGCCATGATGAATTCTAAGAATAACACTACGGAACAACATGAAGTAGCCATAACTCGTATCCTCTCCACATTGTCTGCGTGGAAAATGAGAAACTGCCGAACCCTAATTGCTTGAATTGCTTGCTTGACTCTAGTTCTGTATACACACGTGTACTTCTGCTCCCTGACTTCCTGCCAAGCCAAATATTTCAGGACAGAAGCACTTTGGATGGCGCTAAGTAACAACGGCTCGATTCAATTTTGATCAAACCAGGGACACTACATCCGTACACACTCAGCGCCTAAACCATCACATCCGGAAGAAGCCGATCGGCCGAAGTCTTCGTGATAGTTGCCTGAACATTTGGTAGCCTGAACGATCACATGATTCGCTAGAGCCGAGCTACGCTTAGATCCCAGGCAGCAGCAGGCAGAGACGCCGTCCCGCGCGCTGGGACTTCCTAATTGGGGAAGCTGGCGGCCCACAGCTGTCGAGCTTGGACGTTAGAGAGTAGTAGAATACCGACTCTTGCATCAACTCTCTCTCACTGCTTTGCGGTGGCGTATTCTCTGGGATCCGATTTAAGAGCGTGTCGAGACCCCGTGGTTTGGCTTTTATTTGTTTCTCAACTTTCAATTCAGCTTTCTAGCAGTCTGCGAATTGTCATCACGACATTGACTACCTAGTTAAGTTACTTCTTTCGATTCATTGAGAGGAACTTGGATGCTTGAGGAAAGATTTACTATTTATTGAGCTGTGCTTTTGCTTCACTTCACTTCACTTCCAACTTATTTACATCTATTTCATTCTACTCTTTCTTTCGAAAAAGCGAAGTTCATGCCACTATGACTCGTCGGTCTGCTGCGTTTCTCAAAGACGCTGTTGTCGCCGTGACTGGCACATTCCCAGGCTATAAACAATGTAAGAAAGCCCATTGGAATTCCTCTCTTGTTAATATCTACAATTGACACGTTCTTTAGCGGATCTGAAGACGATTGTCGAAGAGTACGGCGGGACTTTCGTCTACAGAGTCATTCCAGAATGTACCCATTTCATAGCGACGCAGAAGGAGTTCGACGTGAAAGGGAGCAAAGGTGAGTGTGCTATCTTTCACTCTTCCGTTCGAAATAATGCTTGTGGTGCATGTGTTTATGATGTTTGTTATACAGTTATACAAGCTATGAAGGTGTATACCTGCGACATTGTCACGCTTGACTGGTTGCTTGAGTCTGTTGAGGCGAAGAAGCAACTCCCTGGAAAAGATTATCTCTTCGAGACGAAGAAAAAGAACGATACAAAGGACGATAATGCGTCTGCAGATGATACGAAAGACTCCAAGAAATCAAAAAAGAGCAAGGAAGACGATAAACCGCCCAAGAAGCGGCCACTTGAAGAAGCTCTCAAGGAAGAGGATGATGGCCACCTCGATAAAAAGCAGAAAGATGGCCAGCTGGCTAAATCTAAGGATCTGAAGGTGGATGTCGACGACGGTTGCTATCTGAGGAGTGAGTCGAATTGTTTCGCTAGAGAAGGATTAGCATTTACTGATTGATGGTTCTCAGCCAACCATCGTGTCTACATTAGTGATGACGGTATGATTTGGGATGCGACGCTTAACCAAACCAATGCGGCTGCGAATAATAACAAATTCTATCGGATTCAACTGCTTGAGAGCCATACCGGAAACTCCTACAAAACATGGACTCGATGGGGCCGTGTGGGAGAGATCGGTCAGAGTGCAATACTAGGACAAAATCTAGAGAGTGCAATGGCTGAGTTCAAGAAGAAGTTCAAGGACAAGTCAGGTCTCACGTGGGAGAATCGACTGGATCCACCCAAAAAGGGGAAATACACCTTCATTGAGCGCAACTATGAAGAGGATTCAGACAACGATGAAGATGAAACGAATGGCAAGAAAAAGAGCACAGAAGAGAAGAAAGAATCGAAGGCAGTCGAAAGCACACTCTCGGTTCCAATCCAGAACCTGATGAATTTTATCTTCAACCAGGGGCATTTCCTTTCCGCGATGGCTCAAATGTCATACGATGCTCGTAAACTGCCGCTGGGAAAGTTGAGCAAACGAACCTTGCGCGCAGGTTTCCAGATTTTGAAGGATCTTTCTGATCTTTTTGCGGACCATTCTCTCGCAATGTCCAAATATGGTGTCTCGTATCGGGATGCGACGGAAGACCTCAGCAACCGTTATTTCACGACGATACCTCATGTTTTCGGTCGTAATAGGCCTCCTGTGATCGACAATGAGGCCATGATTAAGAGGGAGGTCGTGCTCTTGGAAGCGCTGACAGACATGGAGATTTCAAATGAAATCATGAAGGACTCCTCCAAGGATGAAGAAGAGATCAACCGCCTAGATCGCATGTTCCAGGGACTAGGAATGGAAGAAATGACACCTTTGGACCACAGCTCTTCTGAGTTCATGGAAATCAAAGATTATCTCCTTGGGACGCACGGTTCGACGCACCACTTGCGCTATCAGGTTAGTCACACTACATTTTTGAAATTATCTTTTGCTGACGTCTGTCTTCAGGTACTCGACATCTTCCGCATTGAGCGCCAGGGCGAGAACGATCGATTTAACAAATCCCCGTATGCAAATCTTCCGAACAGCAATCGCCGTCTCCTCTGGCACGGCTCTCGAAGTACCAACTTCGGAGGTATTCTCAGCCAAGGTCTTCGCATTGCACCACCAGAGGCTCCTGTCTCCGGATATATGTTCGGTAAAGGTGTCTATTTCGCAGACATGTCGAGCAAGTCTGCCAACTACTGCTGGTCATCCAGCAGTGCCAATATGGGTCTCTTGCTCCTCTGCGACGTGGAACTGGGTGATCCAATGCTCGAACTCACCAGTGCCAACTTCAATGCCGGCAATGATGCAAAGGCGGGCGGTATGCTGTCCACGCTGGGGAAGGGCATGACAGTACCTCAGGGCTGGAAGGACGCGGGCTGCGTCCACCCGAGTCTAAAAGGCGTCAAGATGCCTGATACTTCGGCGCCTCTAGGTAGTTCGGGCGGATTCCATGGATTGATGTACAATGAGTATATCGTCTATGATGTTGCTCAGATCCGCCAAAAGTACTTGCTTCATGTCCGCATGTGAGCTGGATTAACAGGTGCTTTATGCGTTGAACGACATCGCGACTTCTCCGATATTTTATCATTCTCGTTTGTTAAAAGGGCCACCGGCTGGCGTTTACGAAGCGGGTTTCGAGGTTCTATCTTTGCTTTCTGTATAATAGCTCTTATCTATCTAATTCGTGTCAGTATTGATATCGATAAAGTCCACGTTCATCCAACCGGTCATAGTTATGTATTATTGATGATTAATGGCCTGGATTGGGACATCTTTACCCCCAACTTCTGATCCGTAGTAGATACAGGAAATTATAAAATAATATGTAGGTCCCCGATAGTGATTTTGGGTCAATCCAGCCGGGCGCGAACAGTCTATTAAGGATAGAAAAAAGCTTCTTACTGAATGAAGAAAATTAATCCCGGCTACTCCAAGATTCCTGCACGAGAGATGCGACTAAACCATATGTTGATTATGCGACACGATATGCCAGAGATCTAACATGGGAACGCGTCATGATTTCCTGTTTCGGATAACGACCATCACGATACACTAGACGGTGTCCCGAAGAAGATGGTATTGTTATTTCTTAACTGACAAGTCCATCGACTTAAAAGTACATGCGAGTCTGTTGGATCTGCAGGGACTCCCGGCATGTGCGACTGTTAAGCTACGAGATCAGCGTAGCCGCCTTCCGCTTTCCGTTTGGCACGAGAGATAAGGCGTAACTAGGGCCGGTCCGATAATGACTCCAGACCCCAGAGACCTCAACTCCTCTGAACGAGAGCCTGTGTACTCCGTTACCCCATACCAGGATCTTTGAGTCTTTCAGCAGTGGCCACGATCCTGAAGGGCACTGAGCTGGGAGTGGCAACCGTTCCTGGTGATCTCGTGCTTGTTTAGTAGCTAGGCGACGTTACGGAGCCTTGAGAACCTTGGGGGCCCAGGTAAGTCTGCTCTTGTCCCGTATATAGACGCATTTCTCGCTTCTCTTCTGTTTTTTTGTGATTTTCTTTTTGTTATTACCGGGGAGAGGCATCTGGTTTTCTTCCTGGGCTGTTTTCGGCCCAATACAACGCGGCTATGGGGTTTCTTGCGCGTTATTTCGCCGTAGCTAGTCTGGCGGGCGGTGTTGCTGCTCAGTACTTCCCCGCGACGCCTGAGGGCCTCAAAGTCATCAAGTCAAAACATGAAGAGGGTGTGACTATTTCTTATAAAGAGGTACGTTTTATTCGTTAGATACACGTTTGTCAGTTGTGCTGACGTACCGCCAGCCGGGAATCTGTGAGACCACCGAAGGGGTGAAATCATATGCGGGATACGTGCATCTTCCCCCAGGCACATTGGAGGACGTCGATGTAGACCAGCGTTATCCCATCAATACATTCTTCTGGTTTTTCGAGTCTCGACATGACCCGGCTAATGCGCCGCTGTCCATATGGATGAACGGCGGCCCTGGATCGTCCTCGATGATCGGTCTGCTTCAGGAAAACGGACCGTGTCGAGTCAACCCTGATTCAAACTCGACGTATCTAAACCCCTGGTCGTTTAACAACTATGTCAATGTCTTGTATATTGACCAGCCTAATCAAGTTGGATTCAGCTACGACACACCCACCAATGGGACTTATAATCAGTTGAATTCAGAGTGCGATGTGTCTCCATTTTCCGATGGCGTGCCGGAGCAGAACAACACTTTCCAGGTCGGAACCTTTCCCAGTCAAAATCCAAACTCTACGGCGAACAGTACTGAGAACTCCGCTCGGTCTTTGTGGCATTTTGCACAGACTTGGTTCTCTGAGTTTCCAGAGTACAAGCCCAACGATGATCGCGTCAGTATCTGGACCGAGTCGTATGGTGGACGCTATGGTCCATCTTTCACTGCCTTTTTCCAGGAACAGAATGAGAAGATCCAGAATGGTACCCTGAAGGGTGATGGGGAGACGCACTATATCCATCTAGATACCCTTGGTATCATCAATGGCTGCGTTGATCTGCTCGAGCAGCAGCTGTCGTATCCAGAATTCGCATACAATAATACCTATGGTATACAAGCTATCAATGAGAGCGTTTATAACGCTGCTGTGGATGCCTGGAGCAGACCCGGTGGCTGCAAGGATCTCATCATTGAATGCCGCAATCTGGCCGCTGAGGGAGATCCGGGGCTCAATGGCTCCAATGCCACAGTCAATGAAGCGTGTCAGAAGGCAAATTCGTTCTGCGGAAATACTGTCGAGGGTCCGTACGTTGAGTTCTCCGGAAGGGGATATTATGACATCGCCCATTTCGATCCCGATCCATTTCCTCCCCCATATTTCCTTGGCTATCTGAACCAGCATTGGGTTCAGAGTGCGCTTGGTGTACCTGTCAACTTCACCGAGTCGGTCAGTAGCGTCTACGAGGCGTTCTCCTCGGTGGGTGATTATCCCCGATCTGACGTACGCGGCTATCTTGAGGATATTGGCTATATCCTGGACTCCGGCATTAAAGTTGCCCTGGTTTATGGCGACCGTGATTATGCTTGCAACTGGATCGGAGGAGAGGAAGTCAGTTTGAAGGTCAAATATACCGACTCAGACAAGTTCCGTGCTGCTGGCTATGCCGACTTGCATACGAACAGTTCCTATGTCGGTGGCCAGGTTCGTCAGTATGGGAACTTCTCTTTCACCCGTGTCTATCAAGCCGGTCACGAGGTGCCCGCGTACCAGCCAGAGACTGCGCACGAGATCTTCTATCGAGCTCTGTTCAACCTGGACCTCGCCACGGGCAATGTCTCCACTGCCCAGAATGAAAGCTATTCCACTGAAGGCCCGAGCTCGACTTGGGATATCAAAAATGATGTTCCTGACAGCCCCAAGCCGACCTGTTACATCTTGGCCATGGGCAGCACCTGCACCAACGATCAGGCGCAGAGTGTGATCAACGGATCTGCGACGGTCAAGGATTATATTGTGGTCGACTCCAACTCTGAGGGTCTGTTTGATGGCAACGAGACATTAAAAGATGGCGGATCCAGCAGTTCCTCAGCGAGTGCCGTCGCCGGGAGACTCGAGTTCGCTGCCAGTTCGGTACTGGTCTCCGTAGCTCTTGCGATGGCGTTTACTTTGTAGATGATTTACTAACCTGGCGATGTTATATACACAGGGCGAGCAACATGTGATCATAGATAACCAGTGAACGTTCTGGAGGGTTATACAGCACGCTGATGATATACCATGATGGCTAAGGACTCACCGGGTGATATTGTCATGCACTGACGAATGCGTATCCCTGCTAGGAGTATTTTTATGATACAGACTCGGTTTCGAGAAATACTGTACATATTCTACTGTTATGAGACGTCTAGCACAGACAGCAGTGGCGAAAGAAACCAACAATGCCATTATGATACTACCGTAGTTCTTACGGCGGGCCGTGCCAAAGCCGTAGAATAGAAAACCCGATCTCGGTCCGGGTCTGAGCGCGATAGGGCCGTCCCGGTCCTCCGGGGCCCCGACTCGAGGTGGGTCACCGCCAACTTAGAACCTCAAATCGTATTTGGAGATATTTTCGGCTCTACCTCTATCAGTCTGTCGAGGCCTTGCATTTCCCATCTGGACACACATGTTGCGGTGTATTATGGTTTTGTACTGACTATCAACCCATCCTGATCCAGCGTGGGATTGTCACAGCGTCCGGAGAATGGTCAACCTTGACCAGATCCTACAGGACCTCATCCAGCTCATCAAACGGACTGGTATTGAGGTTGGTGAGCACTCTGGAGACGATCTCTTCGCACGGTTTGCCGAGTTTCTGCATGCCTTCAAGGCTGGGTGCATGCAACGTTTATGCCGGGAGAAAGCGCCTCAGGAACCGCTTGGCCGTATGATAACTCGATGCTGAACCGACCGGATGTCAATGAGATAGTGAATCAAAGCCCGGAACAGTTGAAATCTATGGACCTGGGAAATAATATATGGCTAGGGAACATTTTTGGTTGGTCATGAGTGGGCAGATATTTACTACCCAGTGAATAGAATGATATAGAAATGTATATAGCTTTAAAAATATTTTATTATACAACTTATTAATTTTAATTCAAGGAAACGTCCTAATAATAATAATAGATCTCGGAGAGCTTAGCTTATCAGGAACGCCCGCTGATAACGACTACCGAAAAGAGTATGGAACTATCTTATCTGCCATCTCCCACTCCGCCATGTTCACGCCAGTTGCTCATTATTATTGCGGAAGAACATGCCTATTCCAGCCATCGCTTAATCCCGTAGTCCGATTGCTTTTCCCTAGCCTTCCGGGAATCATAATAATAATGATGAATTAATTAATTGAGCGTTGTTCTTCTCCGTTCGGCCATTCTTTTTTTTTCTGGCTCGGCGATTGCACGCGGCGTGAGGGTGGATGGAGCTCTGTGATTGGCTGTGATCGCCGACGGCCAGCATCATCGCGGGGCAGCTCCAGCTCGACCGCCATTATATAAAGCCACCAGCGAATGTCTCGTCGCTGAAATTCTGTCTCGGGAGCTACTGTTTCTACTGCTTCGACTGTTTCTACCCGTCGTCTATTTGACGAGTTGTGCTCAATTGGGTGTTTTTGAATCTCTTGTACTTGTCAGGGGACCTTCTGGAGCTCCGTGCCCAACCGAGCTTCATTACTCCACATTCCACCCAGCGACGTCAACGTCAAGGGAACTTGTTCTTCCTCTGACAGTCGAATTTGACAATTGTCATCTTAGAGACATTCAAGCATCATCAAGATGGCTTCGATCCTCCGTTCCAGCTCCGCGAGCCTGCGTTCTGCGGCTCATGCCTCCGCTACTCGCTCTCTGAGCACCGCGGCTCACTATTTCCCCAATGAGCCTTCTGGTCCTCAGATCAAGACTCAGATCCCCGGCCCAAACAACCAGAAGGCCACGGCGGAGCTGAATGAGGTCTTTGACATTCGAAGCTTGAATCTGATGGCGGACTATGAGAAGTCTGTTGGTAACTAGTACGTGCGGACTGGTCACCATCAGAAGCGGGGGGGTATATCATGCTGACAAGAAATAGCATCGCCGACCTCGATGGAAATCTGCTTCTGGACGTGTGAGTAACCAGTTTGATTTATCAACGGTTGAATATATAAAAGCTGACGATCGCAGATATGCCCAGATTGCTTCGATCCCGGTTGGATACAACAACCCGAGCCTCGAGAAGGCTGCCAAGTCCAAGGAGATGACCAACGCGTTGATCAACCGACCGGCTCCGGGTAACTTCCCGTCTGCTGACTGGGCTCACATCCTGAAGACCGGTCTCCTCAAGGCCGCCCCCAAGGGCATGAACCAGGTGTTCACTGCCTCGTCTGGCTCTGAGGCCAACGAGACTGCTTACAAGGCCGCTTTCATCTACTACCGTCAGCGTGAGCGCGGCGGCCCCAATGCGGAGTTCACTGAGGAGGAAACCACCTCGTCCATGGTGAACCAGACCCCCGGTTCGCCTCACCTGTCCATCCTGTCGTTCAAGAAGGCCTTCCACGGCCGTCTCTTCGGCAGTCTGTCCACCACCCGCAGCAAGCCCATCCACAAGCTTGATATCCCTGCCTTTGACTGGCCGCAGGCCCCTTTCCCGGCCCTCAAGTACCCCCTGGAGGAGCATGCCAAGGAGAATGCCGAGGAGGAGAAGCGCTGCCTCGAGGAGGTCGAGCACATCATCAAGACCTTCCACAACCCGGTCGCCGCCGTCGTGGTTGAGCCTGTCCAGTCCGAGGGTGGTGACAACCACGCTTCGCCTGAGTTCTTCCGTGGTCTGCGTGAGGTCACCAAGCGCAACAACGTTCTCCTCATCGTCGACGAGGTCCAGACCGGTGTTGGTGCCACCGGTAAGTTCTGGGCCCACGACCACTGGAACCTCGAGACTCCCCCGGACATGGTGACTTTCTCCAAGAAGGCCCAGACGGCCGGTTACTACTTTGGCAACCCGGCTCTGCGCCCCAACAAGCCCTACCGTCAGTTCAACACCTGGATCGGTGACCCAGCCCGCGCTCTCACCTTCCGTGCCATCCTCGAGGAGATTGAGCGTCTCAACCTGGTTGAGAACACCGCCCTCACCGGCGAGTACCTCTACGCCGGCCTCGAGCGTCTTGCCCAGCAGTACCCCAACGAGATCCAGAACCTTCGCGGTAAGGGCCAGGGTACATTCATCGCCTGGGACTCTCCGACTCGTGACGAGTTCGTGGCCAAGGCCAAGACCGTCGGTCTGAACATTGGTGGCAGTGGTGCCAGTGCTATCCGCCTGAGGCCCATGCTGGTCTTCCAGAAGCACCATGGTAAGTATTAATCCATTCCTCTCAAAACACATAAGAATCATCAGTATACAAGTTGCTAACTTTTATCTTTTAATTAGCCGATCTCCTGCTCGAGTTGATCGAGAAGATCTTCAAGTTGTAAGGAAACGATCATCTACAGGTCCTTCATCGATGAATGAATGATTGACGTTTCTTGTCTTTTTTTCCATTTTTCTTTCGGGACTTTACTTTTCCTACATAGGCGTTTGATCGATCCAGCCCCTTGGTGGTGGCTTATATTGTTTCGGGTTGAAACTCTTTTTCTCTTTTTTTTTTCTCGTTCTGTTTCTACAAGCATATAATCAAGCGGATATGCGATGCATGTCCATGAGTTTAGCCAGAAGCAGTAAAGATATGATATATCTCTGCTCAGATGAAGAATGAAAATGATGATCCATCCATCCCATTATCACATTCAAGTAGGAAAAAAAAAGGAGCACTGGGTATAACTTTATCACAGTATCGATACATCTATCCATTTTTCAATAACCACACCGTTATATAATAAATAGTAAGGTAATTAATGCCTAAGTGAGATATAAAAAGGAGAATATTCACACGAATATAATAGGAATATAACAATAACAATCCCCAAATACACAACTCCATCGCTATCTAACCTTCCACCATCGGAGGATGGATGCATGCCAAAAGCAATAATTTTCTTATGTTGCGAGTAAAAACAGATGTCCCTTTTTTCCCATTTTCCCTGAAACTCCGTGGCAAATAATAGTATAATATGACTGGTTTCGATTTGTCCTCCACGCGCGCTCTCACACTCTCACGCAAGGTATCAAGATGATGTAGTGGTGGTGGTGGTGGTGATTACGCTTCTTCTTCAAGGGAGCTTCCATCGCGTCTGTAGAGATATTGAATCGTCAGAACTAGGGTCCATACTGAATGAAGCTAGAGTGAGAAGAGGATCTGAAAAGGAATTTAACTTACGGAATGTATTTCACACCCGCATCTTCTAGACTCGCGACTACTTCTGATGGTAGCTGTATTGCGCGAATTTTTTTCAAGTTAGTTCGGTTCAATACACTGGCCGTGGCCACCAGGGATCACATCCGGCAAGGAGATGCAGAGATGAAAAGAAGGAAACTCACCGATCCAACCACTTTAACTGCATATGTTCCAGGAACGTATCCTTCCAACCGCTGCCATCGAGCGACCCAGCTGGTGCGCACATCAGATAGAGCGATCAGACCCTCGAAGACTTGTGACGTGCACTCCTGCACGGCTTCGCTGTTGCCGCGGAGACTCAGGACATGGTCGCAGTTGGGACAGCCTTCGCGGACGAATTTCTAGACGGGGTTAGCATTGTAATGTAATCATGAGGAGGGTGAAGATAGAGGCTATAACTCACGCTTTGGAGCTGGACGAGGGAGCAGACCATGCACGCGCGGAGAGTGCGCTGCTGGCCTGGAGCAACGTAGTAGGACATGGTTGACGGAGAAAGATAAAAAAGAAAAAGAGGGATCTGATACGGGTAGACTGTCGAAGGTTTCAGACTCTGGATGTTCTCTGCGCTTAGAGGCAAGTTATAAAATGAGTGTCGCGTTGCGTTCAAGGTGCTGCGCTGCGGAGGAGACGTTCTCCAAATCACGGCTCTCAAATGGCGATGCCAAGACCGGCGTTGGCATCGGAGAAAGAAAGGGTGGATGGAGCTGGTCGTCCCTCAGAAGAAACAGAAAGGTACCGCAGCTTTCGACAGACGGCAAATCTCAACCCCTCTCCACTCCTCTTTGCTACCGGTCGATATTATTTCTCCTCCCTCCTTTACCACTGGCATCTACGACTCAGTTCGAGCTTGTATCTCAGTCTCTCTTTACCTGCGATCCCTCCGTTTCCCCCTCTCTTGTGCGTCGTGTGCCACTACCGATAACTTCCCCTCAGTTCTCCGCCGATGACTTCGTCCGATGCTGAAGCCGCCACTGCGCTGAAGCTGCAGGGCAATAAGGCATTTCAGCAGCATGATTGGCCTACCGCCGTCGACTTCTACACCAAGGCCATAGAGAAATACGACAAGGACCCTTCGTTTTTCTCCAACAGAGCGCAAGTACGTCTGGACCCCCACTCGAGCGTGCTACATCTGTTGCGACGCGACGATTCTTGAAGGGTTTCTCGCGGAAATAGTATTGGATAGTTGCTGACTTTTCGTCCTTTTCCAGTGTCATATCAAACTTGAGGCTTATGGCTATGCCGTCGCCGATGCGACCAAGGCCATTGAGCTTGACCCCACCTACGTCAAGGTTAGCAGCCTACTCTGTTCTTAGAATGAAATGCACACTCGTGTAGTTATTTGTATACTGATGCGCAGTGGTTTCTAGGCGTATTGGAGAAGAGCGCTGGCCAATACTGCGATCCTGAATTCTCGTGAGGCGCTCAAGGACTTCAAGGCGGTCGTCAAGAGGGAACCAAACAACCGAGATGCAAAGCTAAAGCTGGCGGAATGCGAGAAGCTGGTCCGTCGGATCGAGTTTGAGAAGGCGATCGAGGTTTCCGACCCGCCGTCGGCATTCGAGGACCTGGACATTGACTCCATCGTCGTCGATGACAACTACGACGGCGTCCGGCTAGGATCGGAGATGACGCAGGAGTTCATCGACGATATGATCCAGCGCTTCAAGAACGGAAAGAAGATTCATCGCAAGTATGCCTTCCAGATTATCAAGGCAGTGAGAGACATCACCTATGCGGAGCCAACAATGGTGGAGATCGGGGTGGACGAAGGTACCAAGCTGACGGTCTGTGGTGACACGCACGGTGAGCACTTCCACTTCACTATGTTCCTTGGTGCGCTGTTTTCTGATCTGTGGCAGGACAATTCTTCGATCTTTTGGAGATCTTCAGACTGAACGGCTTCCCGTCGAACACACATGCCTACCTGTTCAACGGAGACTTTGTCGATCGTGGATCCTGGTCGACAGAAATCGCGTTCCTCCTATACGCCTACAAATGGCTGCGACCGAACAAATTCTTCTTGAACCGTGGCAATCACGAGACAGACGATATGAACCGGGCGTACGGTTTCGAGGGCGAATGCAAGGCGAAATACAACGAGCGGACTTTCAAGCTCTTCTCCGAGTCGTTCTCTGCTCTGCCTCTGGCTACGTTGATCGGCAATAAATACTTCGTTCTCCACGGCGGTCTCTTCTCCGACGACAACACCTCCTTGGACGACATCCGGAAATTGAACAGACACAACCAGCGCCAGCCTGGTCAGCAAGGCTTGATGATGGAGATGCTATGGACCGATCCACAGCCCACTCCCGGCCGTGGTCCCAGCAAGAGAGGTGTTGGAATGCAGTTTGGCCCTGATGTCACCAAGCGCTTCTGCGAGAAGAACGGTCTCGAGGCGGTCATCCGATCGCATGAAGTCCGGATGGAGGGATACGAGATCGAGCATGACGGTCGCTGTATCACAGTCTTCTCTGCGCCCAAGTACTGTGACACGACCGAAAACAAGGGTGCTTACATCAACATTGGCCCCGAGCTGAAGCTGGAATTCCACAAGTTCGATGCCGTTCCTCACCCAGACATTAAGCCTATGGTACGTTCTATCTCACCCCCTTTTGTAGCTGCATTATGCTGATGTTCAACAGGCCTATGCTCAAAACTCGCTCATGTCGATGATGTGATGAATCTCTGCATCAATTGGATCCTGGGAGAAGGCGGAAGGCGTTTTCGGATGCAAAGGCGATTTCTGTAGACCGATAGATGCCCTTTTTTGGTTGAGTGACACGATGTTGGGAGATTCCCCCCACGAGGCATATTTCTACTTCTGGGACCGTCTATTGCATGTTTCTTTTTACATACAGAAGCAATCTGTATAATCCTCTTTATCTTTCTTTCTCTTGCAGCGTTTTGCATAGCGATACGACGGAAAGCGGGCCTTGGGTTTTGCGCTTGGGAAGTGCTTTCCGCTTCGGAGAGCTGGTGAACGTCGGGGTTAGTATATGAAGCCATTTAGCAAACGGGTAACAGACCCGATAGAAACGACATGATTTTCAATTTTTGATATCTAGGACGTGAAGTGTAGAGAGGTTAAGCAGTAGCTACCAGGTCGTCTTAATTGAAGAAGACGTCTTCACCGAAGCCGCGGAGTAAGATGCCGTAATGACCCCGCGGCTTGCCAATAACTTACTAAGTCCAACACCTGGTGCTTTTTTTCTCTTTACCATTCTTTCTAGAGCTCTGTTCGTGCTCGTCCTATAAATTAGACAGGCATGGAGCTGGATCCTAAGACCCGTACGTCCTGTCTTCCCCGCAACGTATCCATCCTTTTATTTTCCCCATGGAGGGGCAATCCAGCTAACCCCGCCAACCACCAGCTCAATACCTCACCTCTGACCCCAAGAGCTTCGCCTCTGTCTCAGCACATGAGCGATGGCCGGTCATTGTGGTAAGTCACTTTCTCCGTATATCCTTCCGTATTCCGCATACTAATTACCATTCCTCCGTCTTACAGACGGGCGCAATTGACGATCTCCACCGAACTGTTGCGGACGTCACCGATGAGGAGAAGCGCGCTGAGGGCAAGAGCATCATCGAGTCCCTCGCAAAGCTGAAATATGAACTTCAACATAACAGGCAGTTGACGTGAGTGCTTGTCGGGAAATCTAAGACAGAAGCCAGGACTAAACCCTATTCCCCGCAGGCCACTTCCCGACGATGGAGAACCAGATATTGCCGAATACAATAAGGAGTTAGAGCAGAGGGGAAATCCGACATGGCACAATGTAGCATGGCTGTTCTCAGAATGCTATCTCTGTATGTTCTAAGACAAATTCGGAGGCCTCCATCTACGGTAGCTGACTGTGATCCATAGACAGGCGCATAAGCACCCTATTCCGGCTCTCCAAGCATTGGAAGGGCTATGATGTCTTCTCTCGCCAGAAGATGTCCACGTTCAAGTCCTCCCGCCCTGCTGTACTGGAATTGGCAGGTAAATACAGAAAACTTGCTCAGGAAGCAGAAAGCGGCAAAGGGACCGACGGCAAGAGCCCAGAGCAGGTCGAGGAAGCAGAGAAATTACTCTTCTCTGAGATGTGCGAGATCTGTCTCTGGGGGAATGCCACTGATCTCTCCCTTCTCACATCGCTTACCTATGAGGATATTCAGAAGCTTCAGGGCGCGGATGCCCGCAAGGCTTCCCAGAAGAACATCATCGTCAACGACATGGACGCTGCGTTTGATGTTCTGCGGAATGCGCGCAAGACCAAGAAGAACCAGGAACGCCGTGTAGATATCGTTCTCGATAATGCCGGCTTCGAGCTGTTCGTCGACCTCATCCTGGCGGGTTACCTCCTTTCTGCAGACCTGGCCACGACCGTCGTCCTTCACCCAAAGACCATCCCGTGGTTTGTCTCAGACGTCATTCCTAAGGACTTTTCGGACCTGCTCAACGCCCTCTACGACCCACAAGCATTCTACACTGCTCCTGACGACACGGGAAAGACCTACGAGCCTCTATCCGACAGGGAGGTTGAGGAAGTCAAGTTCCTCTTCAGCCAGTGGAGTCACTTCCACGCCGAAGGAAAACTGGTCCTGCGTCCGCACAGGTTCTGGACCACACCCGGAAGCTACTGGCGTCTTCCAACTACAGCTCCTGAGCTCTTCGAGGACCTACAGCAGAGCGAACTGGTCCTGTTCAAGGGTGACCTTAACTACCGCAAGCTAACAGGCGATGTAAGTTTTCATTCCACCAGCGAACAACAAAACAAAAACCATACTTTTCTAGACTTGCTAACTTTTTCTCGTCCCCAGGCTGATTGGGATCCAACCACCCCGTTCACCACTGCAATTGGGCCTCTTGGTCCCAAATCCGGTATGCGCACACTTGCCTTCCGCACTTGCAAGGCTGATGTCGTCGTCGGACTGCCCGCTGGCGTGGACGAGAAGCTCCGACAGGCAGAGAATGGAGGTGGCGATTCCGGAGCCCGCAAGTGGGCTTGGAGCGGTAAATGGGCCGTCGTCTCTTTCTGCGACGGCAAGGCCTGAGCAGGAATATCAAAGTCCACGTGAGCTAGAAATGGCGGCTTTGTTGCGTCTTTCGCTCCCTTAATGATGGCACATACGTATACATGGCTAGATCGGATATACTTTGTATCTATGCTCTCTTTAATAGATTAGTTTACCATTTACAATTTTCCGTAAAACAACAGACAAGTCGCATATATATATATATATATATACGTTGAATGTCCAAGCTGTACAGTAGGGAGTAATACTGACCTAAACAGCTACATTTCAAGAACACTTGCCGCGAGCGAAGATTGAGCGGCTAGAAAATATATAATTTCCCAATCTGACTTGAACCGACTGAAAAACGCTAACCACGACTCGGGTCTCCGGGTATATCCCATTGAAAAGAGAATGAACTCAAGAGACAAAAGAGAAAAAAGAAGAGTAATGAAAGAAATGAAGAAGCAAGACTGAGGGATAATGGCTGGATTAAAATAAGAAGCAAAGCAGGTTGTAAAGGAAGCAAAAACCCAACCACTTGCGCCGTATCCCATACCGCTAAGAATGCTTCGCTTCGCTTCGAAGACGCCATACTCCCGGCTCTAGCGACACCACTTCCAACAAATATGCAAAACAAGTTCAATTTCAGCAGCGTAAAAGCAAAAAAATAATTCTGATCAATTAACGTAGGCTTTCATGTTTTCTTTCCCTAGGAGCTCTTCGCCTTTTCTGCTCTCGTGTTTTCTCTGTTGCAGCCTGGCCTGGGCGGCAGCTATGCGTTCGGGGGACATAGCATCTCGTTTGACACTTGCCAGACTTAGGGTCCGGCCATTGTCTAACAAGGCCGGCTCCGCCGACACAGTATGCAAAACAGGAGGCAGATTGTTGGTTCTATGACGAGACTGCCTGGAACGATGTGTATTGTGTCTTCCATGATCTTCTGGCTTGTCGGAACTTGCAGAAAAATTGATCATTGTAGGCCGAGGAGAGGGCAAGACACGACGGCTAGGTTGATCATATTGGACTTTCTGGGGTGACACGCGTGATCGATACTCGGTAGGGAAGAAGTCAGGAGGCGATGAGGGAGGAACAGCTTCAGCAGCCTTCGTGCGACGGGCGTCAGAGTGATAAGCAAGGTATTTCGATGGAGACCCCTCCAGGGTGATTATCGGGTCCTCATCATCATGATCCATAGGAGGCCTTTTGGACAGTCTCCATCGATCAGGGACGCCATTGGGAGCATTACTCCGCATCTGACGGCTATCGCGTTTGGATGCAGGGCTGGGGCTACCGGGTTCCTCGAGTTCACGCTGCTTGCCGACGTATGCGGTTTGCGGTTCTACTGCGAAATCGTATGCTTCGACCCCGGAGAGGCGTTTCGTCGGGCTGTAAGTATGAACCGCACCAGATGTACCAGTCTTAAACCGTCCGAGACTTGTGATTGTGCCTTGCAATGCGTCAATGCGTTCCTGCATTCGTTTACGTTCCTCGTTGAACGACTGCTCGGCATCGCGTCGTTCCTGGGCAGCAGCCTTCAGGCGTCCTCGGTATTCCTGGTTTCGGGCCTCAAGCTTGGCCTCCCGTTGTTTCAGTTTAGCTTCTTTCTCCTTCCGCCGGCCTTCATACTTGGTCATCTCCTGCTTGACGCGCGTGAGGCTTTGCTTAAGCCGTGTATTCTCCTTCTCGAGAGAGGCGGCCTTCTCTTCGAATGTCCGCGCTAAATTTTGGAGTCTTTCCATATCTGCCTGTTGAAGTGATAGTTGCTCGATTTTCGCATTCGCTTGGTCCAATGCTTGCTGGGTCTTCCTAAGGTCCTCTTCTCTCTTTTCAGAGACCGTGTCGTCATCGGGTTGTTCGGCGTCGCTCCCGACAACACCATGCCGTTCGAGGAGCTTCCGTAGCCTATTCACCTTGTGCTTATACTGTAAGGCTAGAGCTGTCTGTTTCGTGAGGTCTTGAATGAGCTTTTCCTTATCGGCATCGCCTCCCGTGCCAACCATAGTAGAAGCAAGGTTGGAAACGTGCTGTTCCATATCCGCAACCTTGGCCTCTTCTTCTCTAAGCTTCTCTGCCAGGCGTAGTGACTCCATATCCTTCTTTCTGGCGTAGGACTTCGCCACGGATCGATATTGGATAAGTTTCTTGATCTCGCGATTTGTTCTCATCCTATAGCTTTCGAATTCTGCTTTCCAATATTTCCCTGATTGAGAACGGGGATCGTCCAGGTTGATTGTCACGTCTTCCGGATCGTCCTCTAGCTGGTCTCTTGTCGCAGATTCTGTCCCCTGAGGGGTCTTAACGGGCTTCGATGAATCGAGATTCGGCGGATCAAGTGATGGGTTATTCCGAGCATCGAGTAAACTTTGCGTAAGTTTGCTTCGAGCTTTGTTCTTGCCATCCAGCGGAGTCGACGTCCATTGGCTACTGACATTCCCCGAGGGTGTCAATTTAATTGCCTTGGACGCTTGTTCATCCTTCTTGCGTTCATTATCCATGACTGATTCACCAAAAGAGACAGTCTTCCGGCGGTTGGACGTGGTTCCTGGCGTAACTAGGATACTCTTGGTAGGAGACGCTGCAGGCGGCGGCTGTGGCATCTCGTTGTCCGAATCCTTTCTTTTGGGCATGTCTATTGGTACCAGCTTATCTGCTGATGGCTTCGGTGCTTCATTTTTGCTTCGCGGGAGCTCTACTGGTCGAGTCTTCCTCAGTATGTTCCGCTCACCATCTGCGTCGTCCTCTGCTCCCGGAGTGCCGAAAAGGGCACTCTTGAAGGCGCGAATTGCGAAGACAGGGGCGGGGGTTTCTGGGGGCTCGAGGACTCTAGAGTCATCTGCACCAGTCAGTATCATCTTTTTTATCTTTCTGATGTCAAGGCAGGAAGCAAGGTCGCGTTTCCAGGGCTCCTTTACCTGCTCCGTCCCCATTCTGGCCAGTGATCCAACCCAACATTTTGCCCGCTGAAAACAAAAGAGCTGGTCTCAAGTCACGCACACGGAAGCAAGACACATGGCACTGCGAGCCCCATTGGGTTGACGTGGAACGATGCGCTTTGTTTACCTGGTGGTTCTGGCATCCGCATTAGACTTTCTTGGGGCGTTAATGTTGAAGGCCCCCTCCGGCTGCCCCTTTCGGCGCCCTGCTTCCTAATGATCACATGACCTAGGCGAGCCCATATAGGCTTCGCCTAGCTCCTAGATCTAATTAAGTAAGCTTTCTTTAGCTTTCTTTAGGTTATATCGCCCTTATTTTTATCCCTTAAGCTATAAGCTAGTTACCTGTTAAATTAATATTTTATTTATTCTATTAAATTCTTTAGGTTCTATTTACCTATTATAAGCTTTTATAGCTTTAAAATATACCCTATTTTAATATTTTATTAATCTATAAAAATTTTTCTTTAATAAACCCCTAAAAAGCCCTAATTATTAAAAGTATTAGCTTAAGGATAGGTATATTTAGTTACTTATTATAGTCTAATATAATATAATAATATTATTATTCTAGACACTATATTGCTTTTAAAAAAGCTTTATTAATTATCTAATTAAATCTAAATTATAGTTTAATGCCTATTATATATATATAGGCAGCTATATTTAAAGGATTCTTAGCTATTTTAATATTATAACAAGTAGCTGACCTTTTATTAAATAAACTAATCCTTTTTATAGAGCTAATAGACCTTATTCTTAATAAATAATTATAAGAAGAGATTAAGATAGCATCTATATAGCTAGAGAAGACTTATATAAAGATCTCTTATAATATTCTAATAAAGTTAGTTTATAAAACTATTTCTTTATTATATATTTTCCTATAGGAGACTCTTTATTAATTTATAGAATAAGAACTAAATAATATCTGTCCTATTATGTTAGAGATATATTAGGGTTTATTCCTATATTTAAACATTTAAGGCTATTAATAATTAATACTATAGTTAGTATTAACTATAAATCCTATTATTTTATTAAATTCCCCCTTATTATAGTAGTAGGAAGAATATTATAATATTAAAGTTAATCTATTGCGCAAATAAATTAATAATATGCTTAAATAATTAAAGATACCTTAACTATAATTAAATAGCAGCAATTTTTAAAATTAAAGCTAGCAGTTTAAGCTCGCTATTAATAATCTAAATATTAAGAATCTTAATATCTTTAATTAAAGTATTTTACCTAAGAAAGATAGCTAGTAATAAAAAACTATTTAATCTATTATAAAGAATTAAATTATAATATTGCTAGACCTAAGAATCCTTAAAATTATTTAATTTTTAGACTAGCTTATTATTACTAATATCTAGCTAAAGCTAAATAAGTAATTTAGTATTATTAGATCTATATATTAGGTTAAGCTCTGCTAGGAATTTATAGAGCTTATTAATCTCTTTATATTAATCTTGCCTATCTCTACCTATATAAAGATAAAGTATATTCTTACTAAGCTTTAAGATTTTAATACTATGCTAAAAGATCTCTTTTATAATTAATTCTTAAATTTTATTATTAAATAGGAGTTTAGCTAGGCAAATAATTATTTTAAATAGTTTTATATTACTAGCACTATTAAATACCTAGATATTAAAAATCTAGATATTAGAAAGATATTAAAAGACCTTATCTAATATAAAAAGACTATTACTAATATTAGATCTATATAGAGACTAATAGTTTAAAATACTCTAATAATATTAAAGCCTATAATAAGGTCTACAGATTTAAGACCTAGAGCTCTATAGAAACTATATAGTGTCTATAATAAATTAGGCTATATTATAGAGAGATATTAGATAATATACCCTAAACTATATCTATTGTAGAATTAGAATAATATAATCTCTAAATCTATAGTATTATTAAATCCTAATCCCTTAGTTTATTTTATAATCTATTAAATTAATAGTATCTCTGCTATACTGGGAGTAATATCTATATATTATATAAAGAGGAATTAAATACTAGATATTAGATTAGATATCTACCTAATTACTTAAAGAGAGGTATTTCTAGTATTTAAATCTATAAGAATTTCTACAGCTTACTTTAAGGATATTTATAAAAAATAATTATTATCTTAAAGAATTAATACTATTCTAATATAATTTAATAATATTCTATTATTTATCTCTAATATTTATTATGCTTTAGAAGCTAATAATAATATTCTATTATTTATTTTATTAAAGAGCTAAGGATTTAAGATCTCTATAGATAAAGATAATAAATATTTTACTATAAAGACCCTAGAAAATAGCTGTTTTTATAGTATTATTATTCCTAAAGGGTAAAAATATCTTATATATCTTATAATATCCTCTCTTAATAAATAGATTTATATTGTTTTATCTATTACTGCTATAAATATTTCTAAATAGAATATTACTACTTAATTAGTTAATCTTAAACTATTTAAAGCCCTATCTCCCTATTATATTACTAGATTCTTAATAGAGTAGTATTAAATTTTTAGTTATATTAATTAAGGCGATCTGCTCTATTTAATATATAATCTCTTTTTTAGTATTATTATTATAGAAGCTAAAGATCTCTTATTCTATATTATTTATTAATAGGCTAAAATTATTAAATAAGTCTTATAAAGGCCTATGCTTAGAGCTATAGTATCTGCTAAATATTTTTATATTAATATTATTAATAGTAGATATATATTAGATTATAAAATAAATAAAGACCTCCCTAATTATATTAAGATAAAATATACGCTATTAATTATAGATAATACTATCTGCTATAGATAGGTATATCCTATAGTAAATAGAGCTTATATTCTGTTCTTTATTAATAATTTAATATATTAATTAAATATAGAGGGTTTTATAATTATATATATCTGATTAGATAATAAGCTTTATATTAAAGCTCTAGATATTTTTTTTAAGACACTAGGCATTGCCTATAAACCTATAGCTGTTTATATACCTTAGCAAGATAGTATAAATAAATGCTCTATAAGGACTATTATAGAGTAAGCCTGAGCTATAATAATTAACTCTAGCTTAAAGCACTTTCTTTAGCTATATATTATTTAGTATAGTATATATATTATAAATTAAATCCCTATTTTAGTTCTATTATTTTATAACTATACTTTAAGAGCTATATCTTATAACAGTAATATTAAGCCTGTTAAATAGCGCGTCTTAGTTTAAGCTTAGAAGAATGCCCCTATTATAGCTTTATACCTGTACTAATTTAGAGCTTTAGTATATTATTTATTAACTGGCCTTAAAACTTTATTAAATAAGCTTCTCTTAAAGGGTAAATTAGTCCTTTTTTTTAATATATCTAATAAAAGCAATATATTATTACTAAATACTGCTACTAAAATAGTAGTATAAATTCTATATTTTTATATAAATAATATTGCTATATTAGTAAAGCCTAGCCCTAAGCTTTATAAGCTAGCGCTTATTATCTTAGCTATTATATTAAATTTAACTAACTATAAGGATCCTGCAGTATATAATAAAGAAATTAATTTTATTAAAGATTCTAATATTATTTAATACTAACCTATTAATTTAATAAGAATTTATATAATTTTATTTTAGGAGAAATTAAATATTCTTAAGTTATATAAAGCTATTATAATATATATTAAAGTTCCTTAGTAGCAGGAAGCTATAAAGAAAGAAATTAACCTATTAGTAAAGTAAAAATACTAGTATTTAGTCTATTAAGATAAGCTCTTCTTTAGGACCTATCCTATATCTAGCAGATAGGTATATAAAAAGAAAAAAAGTCCTAATAATTTAATTATTTATAAAGCTTACTAAATTATCTATAGTAATATATTAGATAAGATTATATTTAATATAATAACCTATATTTTAGTAGTCTTTACTATAACTACTAATATATTAATAGCCTCTATTATTTATTACAGCTAGGCTATTCTTTAAGCTAATATTATATAGGCCTTCTTAAATAAAAAATTAAAATATAATATCTATATATTTTAGCCTATTAGCTTCTATAAAAATAAAGATAGTATTTTAGTTTATAAACTGGATTAAGCTCTCTATAAATTAACCCCCTTTATAAAGATATAGTATAATACTTTAGTAGAGTATTTACTTAGTGTTGGCTTTAGGCTATCTCTATATAACTCTTACCTTTAAATCTCTATTATTATAGAAAATATCTATATTATTATCTATATTAATAACTTTTCTATATATGCCTTTAAGTAATCTATTATTTAAGTAGTTTATAATAATATTTCTAAGTAATTTAAAATAAAGAACTTAAGGCCTATTAAGTATTATTTAAGAATAAAAGTCTCCTATAATAAAAAGGATATATAGCTTACTTAAATAGAGTATATATATAAATTTATCTAATCTTTTAGATAAAAAGATTTTAGCTATATAGAATCTTTTATAGATTCTAAGCTTTAAATTAATAATAAGCCTAGTTCTATAGTTAATACTAAAGAATATTAATAAGATATTAGCTGCTGCTAATAGCTAGCTATTAAAACTTACCTTAATCTATTTAAAATTATAAGCTTATTAATTAAAAAGAATTTTTGTCTAATTTTAAAAAGCTATATAGCTTTAAAGTATATTATATACTATTTAGCTAAATACCCTAACTATAGTATTATATACTATAAAGGTAATAGAGATATTAAACTCTTATAAGTCTATTATAATTCTAATTATGCTAAGGATTATAATAAATATTATTTTATCTTTAGATATATTTTTATATTTACTAGCAGACCTATTTTATAGAAAATCTGTAAATAAACCTATATCTTAATTAGCTCTAATAAGGCAGAATATATAGCTGCTTTTAAAGCTGCTAGAGAAGCCTAGTAGATATATTATTTAATAATTAATATAGATATTATAAAGAATACTAGTCTAATTATTCTAAATATTAATAATAATAGAGCCTAAGATTTAATCTATGCTTCTGCTAGCACTAAATACTTTAAATATATTAATATATAGTTCTACTATATCTATAATATACTTGCCTAAGGTATAATTAATTTAAAATATATTAATTTAGCAGATAATATTATTAATAGTTTTATTAAGGGGCTAATAATTCTAAAATTCTAGATATAGCTTAGGTAGCTTAGCTTAACTATAACTACTTAACCATATAACTAAATTATTTATTTCTTTATTTTTATATACTATCTACTTTCTAGTTAGTCCTATTTATTTATATTTAGTTATTTAGATAATTGCTATATATTCCCTAATGCTTAATATAAGGGTAGGTGTTAAAGGCCCCCTCCGGCTGCCCCTTTCGGCGCCCTGCTCCCTAGTGATCACGTGACCTAGGCGAGCCCATATAGGCTTCGCCTAGCTCCTAGATCCAATCAAGCAAGCTTTCTCCAGCTTCCTTCAGTTAAGGCTGAGGCGGAAAAATGACGGGGCGGGAAGTCTATCAATACCGCTCTTTGCTTAAACTCACTTGTACATACTTGCATTCACTGCTCTGCCCGTCAGCTCACTCATTCACTCCCTCGTTTCATTCACTGTTCAGCATGTCAGTCAAGAGATAAGAGGCCTGCAGCTTCGGCTGCAACACTTGTCACTCACACGTGACAAGGGCCAACACCGTCGGATGCAGTTTCTCCGCGCCGCTCAAGGACCCCCGCGATGCCTCACAAGCACAAGAAAACGAATAAAGATGCCCAGAAGAATGGCTCAAAAGGGTCTGATGACAAGTCGGCCCCTCTGGAGCCAGATGCTGTGTCTCTGCCACTCCTAGCCACCACGAATTACCGAGAAATCCATCAAAACGAAGCGGAAGCACTGCGTTCGATCTACGGCGATGACTTCGAAGAAATAGAGAACAGACGTTCAGCGTGGCATGTACGTACATGGACTCATGATTGCAGTATGCTCACATGCTAACGGTTGTCTCAGCAATCCTCAGATGTCGCATTCAAGCTTCGACTGCGAGCCTCCTCGAATCCTGATATCGCAGTCGTCTTAGTAGTCGAGCTTCCAGCGACGTACCCGAAGACCGCGCCGCAGCTTTCCTTGCAAGAATTAAATGATCTCCGTCGCGGAGCAAAATCAAGGATCGAGGATATCGTTCGGAACAAACCTAAAACCTTGCTCGGTTCTGAGATGATATATGAGGTTGCGCTGTCTATCCAAGATACTCTCGAGGACGCAGCACAGGCGCAAGCGGAAGACAAGGATATCCCAAGCTTGGAGGAAGAACGCATTGAACAGGAGGCAGTCGCGATCCAGCACGCTGAACAACTCAGGCAGGAAGAGCTACGTAAGCAGGAGGCAGAAACAGCAGAGGAAGAACGAACGCTACAGCAGCTCATTCAGGACAAACTCAAGCAACGAGAACGGTCTAGGATCTCAAGGAGGAAGAGTCGCATAGCCAATATGGATGGCAATCTGCTGGAGCCCACGGAGGAGACTCCGGGTGTCATTACTTTCGACCCTCCTCTGGTCATGAATGACAATGAAGGCCAACCTCTGGTTTTCCGTGGTATCTGGGGGAAGACTATGCTCAAGAGCACGCACGACAAGGAGACCTTCACGGTTCGGCCGGCAGTCCGCGATAACAAGGACAAGCTGCGCGCACCCCCTCTTCTTCTGAAAGAGATTTTTCTTGATGAGCAGGGCCCCGAGACACCAGCTTTCCGCCAAAAGATGCGGACCAGCGAGGACAAGCTGGAGTCACTAAAGAAATTACGACATCCCAATCTGGTCGACTTTATCGGGTTCAAGATCCATAGACCACTCGATGCGTACGATTCTTATGACAACACATGGCGCATATACGTGCTATTTGAATTCGCAAATAAAGGGTCATTGTCCGAGCTATTGGACATTATCGGCAGCGTCTCTGTAGAGATCATTCGTTCTTGGATGCTTCAGCTTCTACAGGCACTTGAGTATTATCATCGCTGCGGCATATCTCATGGCAACATCAACTCTACTCGTGTTTTTCTTTTTCGAAGCCCAGCGGGCGACACGACTGTAAAATTGCAGGCAAGCGTTGAGGAAGCGTTGCCCCATCCCTCAGGCACGAAGCAATCTCTGGCAACCTCAAAGTCACCATTTTGGTTGCCACCAGAGCTCACTCAGGACAGTGTGTCGGCAACGAATAAGACCGACATATGGGATCTGGGTATTGTGTTTCTCCAGATGGCATTTGGAAAGGATGTTCTACAGCGGCACACATCTGCCAATGCTCTGATGGGTTCACTCGACCTCTCAGAGCCGCTTCAAGATCTGCTCCACGAGATTTTCAGACCAGATCCTAAGAAGCGCCCTGGAGCCTTTCAGCTTCAAGCATCCGAGTTCTTCCGTGTCGATGTCCCATTGATCATGCCCAGAAGTGCATCGAACTCTGTTTCGCTTCAAAGACGCCCTAGACTTGATTCTCAGGGTGTGATGCCTGCCTTTTCACGGTACGGCCAAGATTTCGATGAAGCAGGTCGCTTGGGAAGGGGGGGTTTTGGCCAAGTGGTCAAGGCAAGAAACAAGCTAGATGGTCGTTTCTACGCCGTGAAAAAGATTTCCCAGACATCCTCTGCGGCACTCAAGGATACTTTGTCGGAAATTATGTTGCTTTCACGACTTAATCACCCCTATGTTGTACGATACTACACCGCATGGCTGGAAGAAGACTTCGACAACGTCGATGAAGAGGCAGTATCCTCCACGGATGGGGACCCTCTGTCTAGCCGAGATGAAGGTGACGGGGATGATGAGACCGAGTATGAATACAGTACGACTGGTGGCCTTGATTATATCAGTTCGAGTGGCTATCCTAAGGTCGAGTTCGGCTATGACACAGATGAGGAGAACGATGGGACGGCCACTGAAGATAACGAATATGTAAATGGAGATCATACGTCAACGAGCGACGGTCGAGAACTTGCTCGAATGACGTCGGGCTCCCAAGGTCGGCCCGTTACCACGACACTGTACATACAGATGGAGTACTGCGAGAAGCACACTCTTCGCGACCTGATCAGGAATGGACTCTACGATGATATTGACAGTTCATGGCGTCTATTCCGCCAGATCTTGGATGGACTGAACCATATCCACGGCCATGGCATAATACACCGGGATTTGAAGCCTGACAACATCTTCATTGACGTCGCTAACAACCCACGTATCGGAGATTTCGGTCTGGCTACAAGTGGCCAGTTTTCCACTGCGGTGCTCTCCTCTGGAGCAGCCGAATATGCTGGCAACTTCACCCGCAGCATCGGCACCACCTACTATGTTGCTCCAGAGATGAAATCGGTCGCCGGTGGTAACTACAACGAGAAGGTGGATATGTATTCTTTGGGTGTCATCTTCTTCGAGATGTGTCATCCCCTCAAGACAGCCATGGAGCGTGACCAGACCCTACAAGCAATTAGGGAAAGGGTTCATACGCTTCCTGCGACCTTTGAGCTTCCGGAGAAAGCTGTGCAGGGCGAGATCATCGAGTCGCTTCTCAGCCACCGCCCAAGCGAACGCCCCTCAGCCGCAGACCTTCTTCAGAGCGGTAAAATCCCACTTCAGATTGAAGAAGAAACATTCAGACGAGCGATCATTCGTCTTCTTTCAGAGCCAAACTCTCCAGACTACAAGAGAATCCTCTCCGCGATTTTCTCCCAGTCTCCCAAGAGATTTGAAGACATTACGTGGGATCTGGACTCTCGCGGCACTCCAGCAGCAAACGAAATGCTCGTTCAGGGATTGGTGAAGGAGAAATTGACCGCCATATTTCGAAGACACGGTGCAGTCGAGACTTCGAGGCAGCTGCTTTTCCCTCGGTCAGGGCATTATGGCAATGGCGTCGTGAGACTCTTAGACTCCGCAGGTAATCTGGTCCAGCTTCCTTTCGACTTGACTCTTCCAAACGCTCGCGCGATCCCGCGTCAGCACACTTCGCTCGAAAGGACATTCGCGTTTGGTACCGTCTATAGGGAATCTCCTCATGGTGGTGAACCTAGAACCCACAGGGAAGCTGACTTTGATATCGTCTCCCACAATACTTTGGATCTCGCCTTAAAGGAGGCCGAGGTCATCAAAGTGCTCGATGAAATCATCGAAGAGTTCCCGCCATTACGAGCCGTGCCCATGTGTTTCCTCATCAATCATTCGGACCTGCTCGCTGTGATCATGGAATTCTGCCGTATCACTCCTTCTCAGGTCCCCGTTGTGAAAGAGGTCATCAGCAAGCTGAACGTGGGCAAGTGGACCATGCAGAAAATAAGAAGTGAGCTTCGTGCCCCTTCCATAGGCGTTGCGTCTACTTCTCTAGATGATCTGGCGAGATTCGATTTCAGGGATACTCCAGAAAAGGTGTTGCATAAATTAGAGACGATCATGGAAGGCACGGAATACACTGAGAGGCTCCCGCCGATATTCGCTCGCATCAACGGTCTGATTTCGTATCTTCAAGGCTTTGAGATCAAGCGAAAGGTTTACGTGAATCCCCTGAGCAGTCTGAACGACAAGTTCTTCAGGGGGAGTATCCTCTTCCAATGCGTCTTTGACAGCAAGAGTCGTGATGTATTTGCCGCTGGTGGTAGATATGACCGACTGATCCAGGAATTCAATCCTCGGGTCCTCTCCAGTCGGTCCCAGCCGCATGCAGTCGGTTTCAATTTGAGTTGGGACAAATTAAGCAGCAGCATGTTCGACTATCTGAAAGCGACAAGTAAAACATTCTTGAAAAGTTCAGAGACGGAAACCGGGGGATTTTGGCGCACTCGAAGAGTAAGATCCCAGTCCCAGATATGAGATTAGTTATCTGACAGCAGCAGTGTGATGTTCTCGTTGCGAGCTTTGATGCCACTGTTCTGCGTACTGTGGGTATCAAGACTGTCCAGGAGCTATGGGCGCACAATATCAGCGCTGAGCTTGCTGTTGATTCTTCATCACTTGAGGAGCTCCTTGCAAGATACAGAGATGACAATCATGGTTGGATTGTCATTGTGAAGCAAGATAGCAGAGAGCGTGGCTTGAAGGTCAGAAGTCTTTTCCCGAAGGAGGAGTTCGACGTGAGGAGCTCTGAGCTAGTTCCCTGGTTGCGAAACGAGATCCGCGCACGCAATCAACGCGAAGGTACCGCGGAACATCCAAAGCTGCACAGATTGTCCAACCAGCAGGAAGGCAATCTCTCTGCCGGTGATCGTGGAAATGATGTGCGCATCTTGGTCTCACAGCACAGGAACAAGAAGACCAACAGAAGAAATATCGTGGAATCTGGTAAGCTTATCACTTTTTACCGTTACTATACTGCATCTTTCTAATCATGACTGCAGCTCTTCTGCGCGCTCGTGAAGTAGCTGACAAGGCACTTAACGGCCCTATCGCTGCCATCGACACGAGAGACGATGTCCTCGACGCAATCAGAGACACACGCTTGTCCGACCCCGACAGCTGGCGCACTGTCATCCAGAGTGCGCCTCTGACTGAAAGAAAATATCTAACTCAAGTGCATGAGTTACTCAATGATCTTGCAAACGAAAGTCGTGACGCCGATGACGGCAAGGAGAGCTACTCGAACGCATTTATTTACAATTATCGCACGGGATCGTGCATCTATTACGATCTGACGCGTGGAAATGAGAGATGAAAGTTACGACGACAGGAGTTCATGTCTATTGGTGGTTATCTGATGTCAACAAGACAGATCTTGGTCTTCCAGGTATTACATTTGTAACGAGGAATGACTTTTTTGAGGTTATCGATCGAGAAACAGGATTTCCCCTTTAGGTATCGCTACTATTGTACACTATGTATGCAGAAAAAAACAGAGACCAATGAAGCATTGCTATGGTTTCAATCACTTTCATCATCACTGCCGTAAGCAACCAATGGACCTGCCGTTTTTTGAGGCGCCTGCGTCGTGATATTTGCTCCCGCAAATCCTTTTAAGGCCGCTAAAGTTGAACTTGAGATAATTCCACCACCGCCTGCTTCTTGTTGAGGCTGTTCCGTAAATGCGGGAACAGGGGCGCTTTCAATAAGCCGCCGCTCTTCCGGTGCCTCTAGCTGCTTCGACTGGTCTGTCGCCTCCAGCTCCTTGGCCCGCGCATACCACACCTCATCTGGTGGTTCATAGCCATCCAGCCCGAAACTTCCCTCAATCTTTTTTCTCTTGCGAGCCTCTGGGTCTCTGCCTTCCAGCTCCGCCACGAATTCTGCTGGCAGTGCCCTGCGCACCGCTTCAGCGGCCTGCTCATCAATTCTCTGAGCCTCACGCTTCTGCGCCAGAGGATTCGGATCCACAGTCGCCCAGCGAACATTGAGCACTTCATTATGATCAAGACTCTGATGGGCCATGGCTTCTTTTGCAAATTGTGAATTCGCCTCGTTCGAATACGTAACGAAAGCAACACCGCGCGAGGTCAGAACTCGAATACGTTCGATCTGGCCCCATTCCGCGAAGTGGCGAGAGACCACCTCCTCAATGTCGTCGGTAACGTGTATCCTGCCTACGTAGAGAGTTCGATTCTGCCGCATGAACGAGCCAACGCCACCCATGTCGTCGCGGTAGTCGCTGAACTTGTCGCGGCCGAAACAGTCTACGTTCGGGTTGAACATGTCGTGTATGGTAGGTAGACGATGAAGATATTCGCATTCATGTCCTTTGGGACTGTATCCTTCAGATTAGCATCGGAAGGGATGACGCTTCATGGACATATAAAGAGCTAACTCACCAAACACCCCGAGCGAAAAACAGACAGAAATACGATCCAGGCACCTTATCAGCGCGCGTATATCCACTATCCTTAGCAATATTACATCGCGACGGAGCATGAGTCTTAGAAAGGTATTTATCCTCGCGATCACCGCCTAGAAAATGTTGCCCTCGCCGTCAGCCTCTTTCAATCTCTCCATGCGCATGGATTTCCCAACGACTCACCTGACCATTTATTATACCAGATATTAAACACCGTACCCGTCTGAGGCGGTGGTTCTGATTTGATCGTCGACGGGTCGACTTGCGGTCGCGCAGGTCGTCGTTTGCGACGGATTATCTTCTTAGTCTTCTTCTCTCCTTCGTTGCCGCCGTCCGTGGACGTGATTGCGTTCTCGGCATTTTGGGTCGTGAGTGCGTTTTCATTCGTGGAGGTTTGATCTGTTGTGTTCTCGTCTCGCTCCACGGGTGGAGGACTCGTTGTGGATGCCATAGCTGCTGTTTGGGGACCTGGTCGGTCTCATTTGCGACTTGCGATGAAGTCGTTGATAGTCTGGAGAGCTATCTGGATTATGTAATGATTCGCGGGTAGTTTGTTAGTTAATGCCTCAGGCAGTAACTATATTCTATGGAATGCCGTTCATGTATGTCTATATTGTGCGAGATGGGAAATCTAATGGGTATTAATTCTTGCTTCAACTTATACTTATTTGAAGGCTGTTGAGATTTTTTAAATGTGAAGCGTGGTGGCCAAGAGGATGATCATACCCGGCCCTTTGTACACTACATATAGTATGTAACTATGTAACAGTGCTTAGTCCTTATATAATTACATGTACGGCTATCAATTACCTGGACCCTCATTGCACTTTGGACCGTTTAGCAATCATCAGTATTTCCGTAGCCATTTACGCCAGGGCATATATATGGATCCAACTCTTGATCTGCAATTACAAGAATTGATTATCTAGCATTACGGCAGCTAGACTCTTCCAGCATGGATACTGACGACGTATTAACTGCTTGGTATCTACGGACGTCTTTAGACCATCAAGAATAGCTCTTTACAGATGACGAGATTTCTCGGATCGAATTAATCCGCATAACGTTATCTACACATTTCTCATTTGGCAACTATCGAAACGACATCCTCATCTGCCACGACATGACCCAATCCAACTCTCTGCGGGATATGTCTTGCGCTAGCGCCCCATACCAGAGCGTACTTGAATGTCTCCTTTAGTGTGCGGTGGATATGGTCGCACACGTCTTCGATAGTAGAGTTGCTGCGCACAATGAGCGCTTCGTTGAAATCGGGGTCGACTCCTTTTCTATACGGTGATTTTGTGGTTAGTCTCTTTCTTCGTTTGTTTGGGATTCGAATCTGGAGGGGAAAAAGGGGGAAAGAAGTTGCCTACCGCTTGGTGTATATTCGGATTAGTCGTAGTTCTTTCCAGACGCGCTCGACGACGTCGTCGATTCCAAGATCGAGCTCACAGCTCATTACGATCGTGTGTGGTTCGCGAGCGAGTTTGTCGAGAAAGTCGATGCTCACACTGTCGATTTTGTTGTATACGTAGAGACTGCTAGATATTAGTGCGGGTGTTCGGCTGTTTATCATATGGGAAAGTATCTTGCGTACCATTTAATGTATTTCCTGTGATCCTTCATGATTACATCGATAAGGTCATCGACGGTAGCTATAGCGCGAGATAGAAATTAGTTATTTGCCAGAGACAGGTGAAAGGCGGGAGGGTGGGTATATTGATCATACCGTCTTCATCTCTTATCAACACTTCGCAGTTGAGAAGTTTGTAATCTCGAAGAATGTTGGAGATCATTTTTTCATCGATGTTCTTCGGTGGCGTCTGGAAAGTGATCTTCATGCCACCGGCTTTCTTGGGCTTCAGGTAGATATTCCTGATCGACGTTAGTCATTCATGATCGAAGACAGACGATGCCAGAAAATGAGGAGAGCATGGACTGCAACATACGGAGGTTCCCGATTGAGTCGAATTCCAACAGCTTCTAATTCAGCTTCCAACAGGGCGCGCTGCTCAGCTCGTTTCGTAGCATCCAGGACCATCATAATCAGATCACTTGTCTAGAACCCGACAGATCAGCCTCAGAGACTCCAATCCATTAATACAGAAGACGCCTACGTACTTTCGCCGCAGAAATGACCTGTCTTCCTCGTCCCTTACCCTCAGCAGCACCCTCGATGATACCCGGAAGATCAAGAATCTGAATCTCAGCACCACCATACTCCAACACGCCGGGAATAGCTGTGAGCGTCGTAAACGAGTAAGCAGCAACTTCACTCTTCGTCTTGGTGATCTTGGACAAGAACGTTGACTTTCCCACGGACGGGAAACCAACGAGTGCCACACGTGCATCACCACTCTTGCTGACATCGAATCCTGCACCGCCACCAGAGCCTGCACCACCGGTGGGTTCCAGTAGTTGGGCTCTTAATCTGGCGAGCTTTCTATACGGCGGGGTTTAAGTCAGTGACCAATGATAATGGTGCAGAGAAGGAATGTATCTACTCACCCTTTCAGAAGACCAAGGTGATATTCTGACATGAATGAGTTAATAAAGGTTCTCTTTTAAAATAAACCTTCCAGAAACAGTAATATCCCACCTGTCGCCTTGTTCTCTGTTTAAACTCATTAATTAGCGGGGTCCATTCAGAGAAAAAGAAAAGAAAGAGGATATTCGAAAGATCTTACTCTGCGTCCTCCGCATCTCATCTTCGATCCTACATAGAATCCCGAGTCAGATCATGCATAAATACCCTTGATCAGGACGAATCATCTCTCACTCTTTGATCTTCTCTGTGATGTTCACCATTTTGGCGGTAGTTGGAGAAGAGACCCCGCGATCAGATTACTAAAGAAAGCGGACCACCCTAGAGGGGCAAAAAGGTCTTCAGAGATTCTGTTGAACAAGATAAACAAGAATACAAAATCAACGCCAAGGGGCGAGAAATATTTCTCCGGTTCTATGAGAGTCGTGAACAGGATATTGCCGAATATCAAATTCATGAAAGCGAGCGGCGCCAAGCCTTTTGAAGCCGGAGGTCGAGCGCACGTGACGTGGGATGGAAGACAATGCTATCCAATTTTTACGCACCGAGTAGGACTCGAGAAACGAAGTCTGCAGAGAAGGTTGACATGATTTATTTACCTATCTTTGGAAAATTGGTGCGCCTAAATGATACTCGACTACGTCGCTCGTATGAGGATGGTCTGATCTAAGGCGCTACGGCATTGCTACTAGTCAATACTACAAGAAAAGGAGGTATTATGGAGAATTAATGTTCATTCAATCTATATCCACATGCATACGTCGCGAAAACATAAGATCAGAAACGAGAACCCGATCCTCCTTCCTATAAAGCCAAGACTCCAAGAGAACAAACTACAGATAACAGATTAGGCAGCGGTGGCAGCAGCCGCAGCGGCGGCCAGTTGGTTCTGCATGCCAGTGGTGGGCTGCACACCAACGCGCTCCTTGGCCAGGAGGTCAACCAGCAGAGGGCTGGGACGGCTGTCCCGCATCGGCTGGAAGACGGCCTGGCTGTTCTTGTACTTCTGTACGCTCTCAAGGTAGATGTCAAAGAGGTAGGAGGAGTCAAGAGGACCACCCTTGGCCTCAGGGTGGAACTGGGTGCTGAAAATAGGACGCGACTTGTGGATCATACCTTCGTTGGAACCGTCGTTGAGGTTAACGAAGTATGGCTTCCAGTCACTCGGCAGGGTGCTAGCATCGACAGCATAACCGTGGTTCTGGGAGGTGATGTGGCAGCGGCCAGTGGTCAAGTCCAGAGCGGGAATGTTGTGAGCACGGTTTCCGTACTTCAGCTTGATGGTGCGGGCACCGGAAGCCAGAGCCAGGAGCTGGTGGCCGAGACAGATACCCATGATAGGGACCTGAGAGCTTTCCATGAGCTTGCGGAGGTGGTAGACGGTCTCCTGGCAGTGGGTTGGGTCACCAGGGCCGTTGGAGATGAACACTCCGTCAAAGTGGTGGGCCACCTTGTGGATCGGGTAGTCGTACGGGAAGACAGTGATGCTGGCACCACGGTTGACCAGGCTGCGGAGGATGTTCTCCTTCACACCGCAGTCAATCACAGCGACATGGCACTGGGGGTCAGCAGCGCTGACGTGGAACGGAGCTTTGGTGCTGACCTGGCGGACCAGGTTGATCTGCTCAGGGTCGATGAAAGCCTCGTCCTCGTCGGCATCGTACTCCTCACCAACGGTGATACGGGCCAGAGAGGAACCCTGCTCACGGAGGTAGGTGACAATGGCACGGGTGTCGACGCCAGAGATGGCAGGAACACCCTCACGGGCGCACCACTCACCCAGACTCTCGACCGCGGTCCAGTGACTGTACTGCTCCGCAACGTCGGCGACAACGACACCAGCCGCCTGGAGGTTGGGGGACTCGAAGTACTTGAGGAGTCCATTGGGGTCCTTCTCAGCGGAGGGGACGCCGTAGTTGCCAATCAATGGCTGGGTGAAGACCAGAATCTGGCCACGGTAGGAGGGGTCGGTCAGAGACTCGGGGTATCCCACCAGAGAGGTGGTGAAGACGGCTTCACCAGAGATGTTGGACTTGGCTCCAAAGGACTTGCCGTGGAATACGGGACCATCTCGGATCGTGAACGTCGCGCGGTCGTGTGACACGGGCGTTCGTCTAGCGGAAGGCGTGGGGATCTTACGGTCGACAGTGGCCATAAATCGAGCCTGAAGGGTGGGTGCCTTCATCGAGGCCATAGTACTGGCCCTGATGGGGGCGGTGGTGAATAGTCGAGCAAACATTCTTTCTTGTTTCGTGTGAGTAGGGCTTCGTGTCTTGTTCGACTATGGCTCAGTTTATGTTGGCTTTCCAGAGGTGATCTAGAATGGCAGGTCAGTCAGTATGCAGCTCAAATTCGACAATGCTTCACACTAGCATACCCGAGATGTAGTCCTATTGAGAGAAGAAATATTAGCTTCTGTTGAGTGCCCCCGTGTGGTATGTGGCGTGCCCCCCGAGGAAAGGCCGTCCGCGGGAGAGAAAAAAAGACTTACCTGGGAGGTGAAGATGGAAACAATCACACGCATAAGCGCGGTTTTACTTTTCTTGCCGTCAGTATTAGATGGGTGTATAATTGATCGATACAACGTTGGTATCGAGAAGGCCGGTGGCAGGGTTTGGTAAATGGAAGATGGCTATGAAGTCAGACGTGAGAAGAAAGGAAGAAAGAGAACGAAAGAAGGCGAGGGGCGGCAGGCTTTTTCTGGCTCGGCCGGAGCGAAGATCGGATCGAGTCATCGGGCTCACCGCTTCGCCGCCGCCAACCAGAACCCGCCGATTTGCGCCCACAGTCCGGCTACGGCTTCCGGTGCCGATAAAGACAGGATGGAATGTTGGGATGACTTAAGAGCATCTATAATCTATTATTCTTGACTAAATATCTACTATCGTACAGTTCTATCTCGTCTAATAAATCTCTATCTACATCCAATCTGCCCAGTGGCCTCTCTATGCCCATACTCTCTCTCTCTGTCTCTGTCTATATCTCTATATGTTGACAACATCGCCACTATCTGCAAGAAAGAAAAAGTGCTTGCCCGTCAAAGTTTACTCGACCCAGCGCATAGCGCCAGGCACCTTGGGGTCATTCTCAACATATCTGCATGTCGTAAAAGTCGACCACAACTGGCCGATAAAAGAGCTCTGCTCACAGTGGTATAGGTCTCCAAGGAGAGGCTTAATGGCCTCCGTTGCCTCTTCAGCCTTGTAGAAGGGAATACGCCTAACAAAGATTTTTAGTAAACCGGCTTCTATCTTAGTTTTCTGAGAAACTTACGGGAAAAGGTGGTGAACCACGTGGGTATCAATGATTCCGTGGAACAGAGAACGTCCAACCCAGCCAAAGTCTCTGTCCACGGTTGCCAAAGCGCCCTTAACAAAAGTCCAGCCCTCGGGAGTATAGTGATGAACATCGGGGTGGGTGTGGTGTAGGTATGTAATTGCAACTAAAGCACGTTAGTATGGCTGGCCGCAGAATCAAAGGGCGGGGAGAAACAATACCAAGCCAATGATGAACCCAGAAATAGGGAACAATATATAGGAGGAACACGGCAGGCCATCCGATCGCAGTGGATGCGAAGTAGAGCGCAGTCAACGTCAATCCAATACCAAGGTCCGACAGCGCAATATATACAGCCTCGTTGAGTCGGAATACAGCGCTCCTCGGCTCGAAGTGGCTCATCCGCCACCAATTGGGTTCCTCCCGCTGCTTGCTTTTGACACCCGCAGAAACATTGAAGAACAGGTACAATTGCCATCCGAACAACTGATGGCCAAGAAGCTGTACAAGCTGTACAATTGGCGCGTCCTCGAACATCTCCGGGTCGAGGTATAAGGTTTTCAGGCCTGGACGTCCCTGCGCATCCTTCGTCTGGGGCACAAAGGCCATGTCCTTCTCCATGTGTCCGGTAAACCGGTGGTGACGATGGTGCGAGAACTTCCACGAGAAGTATGGTACGAGGAGACTCGAGTGAAGCACCCAGCCGACGAAGTCATTGAACCGCCGGTGCACCGAAAACGCACCGTGTCCAGCCTCGTGGGCCAAAATCCAGATGCCAGTACACACCAGCCCCTGAGCGTAGCCATAGGCCATCCAGGCGACGCCGCGCAGAAGCGCGTTAGGAATTTGTGGTATGTATGTCAAGGCTGCCCATCCGAGGACTGCAGCCATAGTGACATCGCGCAGGACATAGCCCATCGAAACCCATGTCGAAGGCTGGAAGCAGTGGGAAGGAATTGCATTGCGAATTGTCTGGATGTCGGGGAATTCTTGGGTGGTTGTCACCCGGCTAGAAAGCTCGGTGTTCCGATGTTTCGACATCGGATCTGGATGAGATGGGAATTAGGGCTAGTAGATGACTGTTGCAGCAACCTTCTAGAATGCACGATTATTCACAGAAGGTGCTTAACGTGCAGCAAAATAACTAATAACACGTAGAGGCCTCCTGAGGAGATCTTTTCGGTGTTAGACGCTAGCATCCTTTGGGACAGCTAGGCGAAGGGGACGGTGCCCCTTGCCCCTTGGCTAGGCTAAAAAATTCAGTGCCATTGAAGCCTCCGAACTCTGTGTTCGTTGTTGCGGAGGACCAAAGTACCTCGAATAACTACATGATGTTGAGTTAGTTTTAGGATAGCAGCCACAGCACAGCCTGAGGCTGGGGGATCTGAGGTCAGGTGCTGCCCCTGCAGAATATGTACGATAGAGTTACATGGTCTTGGCAGACTAGTTACTTACCTGCGAGAGACAGGTTTTTTTTGCCGATTTCTTGATCTATAAGACAACAATTAATTATTGCACTCGCCGATTTTCTAGGAGAGAGTATTTACCTATTTTGCTTTTCATGTATATACTGTCCAGTATGGTTGGTGGCAGAATAAAACCTACACGGTCTGACGCCTACACAACCCCTGAGTGATAGACATAGATTGCCTCAATAATGAGCCTTGAGTATATCCTCCGCAGCAGCTTTCTGGCACTCCGCAAGAATAGTTGCCTGCTTTGCTATGTCTCCCAACTTGCTCAGCACATGCTTATTACTATCCAGGATCCCATAAAATGCATATGGAATTCCAACGTCTTCACAATACTCCAGGACGAACTTCTGCGCCCGGGCCAGATTATGCCGCGGCATTCGTGGGAACAAATGGTGTATAACTTGGAATTGCAATCCACCGTACCAGAAGTTCAGCCACTCCGGACAATCAACATCCATGGTTGTCCGTAACATCTTCTGGGGAAATGACTCGCTGGCACCCAGGTCGGCGGTGCTCATGGCGAAATGGCTGACGGTGAACAAGACATGCAAGGGCATGGTGACCATATGGCTGACCATCAGGAATGCAAAGCGATCCCACATTGTTGGAATCGATTTGTATAGGATGCCGTATCCAAACCAAGCCCAGAAGAAGACTTGCCCTACCATCTCGTACCAGCGATGCCACCACGCGATGCCTTTCCTAGGACCCAGCCCTCTTAATAGATGTTCCCAACTGAGTCGATAGAGATTAAAGCGTCCGAATAGTAAGATAGGATAATACATCCAATGCTGGATCCGGATTAGTACCCTCGCGGCAGCGTCATAGGTCATGACACGTTCGTAGAATGTGCTTCGAAGAGATGTGAAGAAACGATGAGAGATGGCAAAGAATGGAATGTGCTCGATATCAGGATCATGTTCTGGCGCATTCGTCACGACGTGATGGATATTGTGGTTTCGCTTCCACCAGCTGGCGCTGAGCCCACCGATGAAGCTTGCAATGGTAAATGCAATGAGAGAGTCCGTCGTGTAGTCGTGTGTGATGGCCAGATGCGCTGCATCGTGTACTGTAAATACCAGCAGGTGCCATAGCATGCCCAGAAAAATGGCGCTGGTGTTGTACCAGCCTAGTCGGAGAAATAGTACGAAGAGAAGAGCGACGAGGACATATCGACATGTTTCAACGGCGTAGGCCCGGTATGAACAATCGTATAAACCCTCCGATATAACCCGTTCGTGTAATTTATGGAATTTGCGTACGACCTCATCTTGCTTTGCAGGGTCAACAGACGGATACCTTGAGAGGTCGAGATCGATCTCTTGTTTTGTGCGGATATCAAGAAAGCTGGTCTTCGGTAGAGACTTCGCATCGGCTTTGATACCGTTCGACGTGATCATCTGGGGTCGAGATATCGTATTCCCGTCTTGGACAGTCTCATTTTTGATCTTCAACGCCTCACTCTCACACTTTTCTTCCACACGACGTCGAAAGGTTCCCCCTTGTATCGGAGGAACGAAATTCACCCATCGTTCTTCAACTCTCCCTATCTGATATCTCTGCATCATGTGAACAGCACTATCAGAATGGAACCTATCCCATTGGAAACCGTCAGCCTCTACAATGAGCTCCAGCGCACGGGATGGAACAAGGAAAAGGGAGTATGCTTGCTACATCGTGATTTCATCCGTGGCATCTTTGCCCACCATATGCAGAATTGCCTTGTCACCCCCCGGGTGGTATTGCAGCCATGCGTCAACCTTTAAGACCTTTCTATCGAAAATGACAATCTGGTGGCCGTCTGCTATCAGCTGTTCAATCTCTCCGCGGGATAGAACCTTCTCCCGACGTGATTGGGTCTTGAGTGACATTGTGGAGCTCTTTTTATTTGTGGATGGATTGGAATTTGATTTAATTGCACTGAAATGCGTTGTTGGGTATGTTCGTCTTGCTCGTCTTGTGTTGGATGCTAGGTGAGAGATTGAAATCAAAGAGCGAAGGGGAACATCAGCTCAAGGACACAAAGGTGTTACCATTCGTCAATACTGGAGACGTAAAAGGAGGCCAATTGACAAATGAAAGATGTTTGCAGTTGATGTATAGTTGTGCTGAAAAAGTTCCAGCAAATGGTTGCATCTTGCTTGTTTGTTTGGGGGTATATCCTGTTGCCTAATAATAGCTGCCGGAAAGGCAGGGGAGATAGCTGGTATATCGTAAGATGCTGATTAACTTCTAAACTCCACACGGGAAAATACGATAGGCTTGAAAAAGACCTCGGAACATCTCTGCATCCAAATAGAGCCTAGATATCTCCACATGTTCCCAGCCTGCCAATTCTGCAGTTCGCGTGGTATGACCAACCACATCTTCGACGGTAGCATTGCTGGATGTTTCATGTTGAGGAACAGAGTCAAACAGGGCACCATGACGATGCCCCTGCTTCCATTCAAGCTTCTCAAACGGCATCCGGGGGACGTTTCAGGTGTATCTCCACACTATGCCCAGAATGCGAGAATATGACAGGCGCACGCGTGAAGACTAGCACATCCCGCATTATATTATGGGAGACATGAGCAAGACAACAATCATCCAGAGTCTGTTTATGTCTTTTACATATCCCGCCTAATTTCGTCAGACTCTTATCTCCTTTCCCTGCATTTACTGTAGTCCAAGCTGTAAGGAGGCATTGTCCAATCAAGACCAAGGTTATCACGAGCTCCCATGTCGAACATTAATCGGATAGCGCCCAACGAATTTCCTGTCTGGTGGCCACTCTCGATACTCATCATAATAGCAATCTTCCCAGTCTTGAATGCGGATCAATCGCAGCTTAGTATCGTGCATAGTTAGAATGTATCTGAATACTCAGCCACGAAGCGCTTCGTTACGTCGACCTGCTGTAGAGTGTCTCGAACTGCCCACTATAAGGCATGGAGTTTTAGCTTTGATTTAGATATGAAGGCTCTGGCAGAGTATAAGAAGAGTACACATACTTTTGGATCGTTAATTCCAGGTTCAACCGGTGCAGCCTGCGTTGTCACTGCTCTCCCATCAGGCCCTTCGTCACTTTGGCAATGTCAGTGCGACTGCAAACCCCATCTTTGGAACTAAATAGATATATCTTGTTTCTGAGCTGCTCTCGCATTAGATGTGGGAGGTCATTGTGACCATCGATCAGTGGAGTAGTCGACAGAATATACCGCGTCCGCACCTCGTATTCCTTGGAGTCAATCTCATTCTTGGTGGCGGACAGAAATGACCAGCTGGAGGGACGATATATGCGACTATTACAATGAGGGACGAAACTAAAAGGTATAATACTGGAAACGACATATTGGAGATTTGCCTTCGTGCTTTCTCCATTTGAAACTCGGCGGGTGGAATGCAGCCCTGTTCCTGAGTTCTACTTAAGTCCTCGGAAGGGGTAGGCTCTCCGGGACATCCGAACTGGTGCTCAAACAAATTCGGATGCAAAGACCTAGAGTTCGTCCTCTTTGGGTCACCATATTTAATTTTATGAGTCCAAGTCGATGATGAAGGAGCTTTGTCGAGTTGCTTGATCTTCCAACCTGATAGTGCTAGGGCCACTTTTCTCGAAGATCCTATCTCAAATTGTCTATCGCGTTGGCCTCTTTCCTTATATGACATTCTTTTTATATACGCTCCCAATCCCGCAATGGACATTCTCGAGGCAAGGGCACAATGCTATCTTCGCTGATCAGATAGTTAATTCTTCTAACTTTGTAAGCTTTCAACCGTGAATCGCCGTTCACGCGGCCAATGGCGGCTTACGCAAAAATGATTACAATCCCCGAATCTACCAGTCAATCACGATGCGCGGCTATTCTTTCGTTAAGCCTGGATAAGACAAATATGTTCATTGACAGGTATAGAAGCAGAGAATAGCAGACATACCTCAATAATAATGTCCATTGCCTGTCTACACGATTATTTCTCGGAGGTCGATGTGCTTCTTGCTACTTCCTCACATCTCCTTCCCACGCCAATATGGACTGTCACACGATCGGTGCATTATTAAGACAACTGCATTCCGATTTATTCCTTCGGCGATCGCCATTGTCAGGGACAATATTGGCGAGTTCTGGTCCAGAGCGCTCGGGAGGAAAAAAGGCACCAACGCCGCGTGACAGGACAACCGCGGGTTCGGGAGGAAAAGCGGGCGTCTACGCCTCAGTCTTTCCCCAGAACAGCTATTTGATGTGTCAAAGTCGAGAGAGTCTATTGTTAGTGCCACCCAGAGGTCGGGAAAAGCGCGGAGCTGCCGGTCGGGATCGGGCAACAAGTGGAAGCCGACAAATTTGATCCCATCCCGCACGTTTTGGAGTAGACGTCTCCGCGGTAGCGCACTGCAACTCCGCGGAGATGCACGACATACATCAGAATATCCCCAGGCTTGGCGGTGATCAGACATCAGACGATTCAACGTGCAAAGAGACCGGCCACCGGGGTCATGAAGAAGATAGACAAGACTGGTCCTTTTACAATTTACGACAATATGGTTGGTCGGTTGGCCACCATGACGATAACAAAGCGTAGGGGGTTAAATACCTAGCAAGGACCGTTGCCTGTCCACAGTACCAATTTCTTCAATAAGTGTCTTTTCTTACTATTAGCAGTCATCATTTCTTTGTTGTATAGATCGTCCAAAAGTCTATCGACAAGATGGGTTTGACTTCGCAACAGGTTGACATCATTAAGGCGACTGTGCCTGTGCTCGAGCAGCATGGCCTCGCTATCACAACCACTTTCTACAAGAACATGCTCGATGAGCACACGGAGCTCCATGGAATGTTCAACACGGCCAACCAGGTGACTCGGCATCAACAGAAGGCATTAGCTGGTGCTCTGTACGCATATGCTGCCAACATCGACAACTTGGCGGCACTGAATGATACTGTGGAGCTTATCACCCAAAGGCATGCATCTCTGTACATCAAACCAGAGCACTACAAGATCGTCGGAACTTATCTTCTGGCGGCCATGAAGATCGTTCTTGGCGATGCTTTGACGCCAGAGATCCATGATGCTTGGGCTGCCGCCTACTGGCTACTGGCTGATCTCTTGATCGAGAAAGAAGCCAGCTTGTACCGTTCTGCTGGCGACTGGAACGACTGGCGCGAGTTCAAGATCGAAAAGAAGGTCCCCGAGTCGGATGAGATCACCTCCTTCTACTTGAAGCCCGTGGATGGCAAACCTCTGCCATCTTTCCGCCCGGGACAGTATATCTCTGTCATGGTGGATGTTCCGGCCCTCAACTACCCTCAGGCCAGACAGTATTCCCTGAGTGATATGCCTCGACCAGACTACTACCGTATCAGTGTCAAGAAGGAAACGGGAGTCAACCCGTCGAACCCGCAAGCTGCTGGTCACCCCGGCTACATCTCCAACATCCTCCATGATATCAAAAAGGAGGGCGATGTTGTGCTTGTCTCCCACCCTTACGGCGACTTCTACCTCGCAGACTTCGATGGCGAGAAGGCCACCAGCAAGAATCCCATTGTTCTCATCTCCGCTGGTGTTGGTCTGACCCCGCTGACATCCATTCTCAACACGATCACCTCCAAGTCGGGTCAGACAGACAGGAAGGTTCACTTTGTCCACGGTGTGCGCCGCGGAAGTGCTCGTGCCTTCAAGGATCACATTCAGAATACCGCGAAAGCTCACTCGAATCTCAAGGTGACATTCTTCAACAGCCTTCCATCTTCCACGGAGAAACAGGGTGTTGATTACCACCATGCTGAGCGGGTTAACCTGCACAAGTTGGACCGCAACGATGACTTGTTCCTCGACGACAAGACCACAGAGTACTATCTCTGTGGACCGGAGAGCTTTATGACCGCCATGAAGAAGCAACTGCTGGAGCTTGGCGTCGAGCCAGCTAGAATCAAGTTGGAGCTCTTCGGCACTGGTGGTGTCCCTGCTTCTTAAAGCGACTTTTTAATGGTTATGACGGCGTTTTTGGTCAGATGGATTTTTCTACGCCCTAGACGGGTTAGACAGATAGTTACTACTCCCCTCTTAGAAGATTATTTTTCTTATAATTAGTTCATGAGCTTACATGTCTACATTTTTCTGTTTCCCATTTCATCTTATCTTAGAGGAGTAATATCGATTTTCATCATAAACCAAACACAGCTTCGAGCTTGACATTAGCAAGAAATCGCCAAGGATCTGATACTACTATATCTATATAGATCGTATATCGGTTATGCGATCTCTCCCAGTCATCATCTGCATTCTGTTGAACGCTATTGTTTTGAGGCCTTCTTATTCATAAAAGCACTTATTTTGGGCACTGATACCTACAAGCAAAGCTTGATTTTCTGACAACATGGGTTGAAAAGATGTATTTTCGAATCCTAGAACTGGAAGCATGGCCTTTTCATGCTGATAGGCTTCACTTTCAATAGCGAGCACTCATTGAAACAGGCACTGGTCGCTGGGTTTGTGAAGTCTATTTATACAGTACAGTGATATAAGACGGGTGTTTGATCGCGTAGTTCAAGCAAGCTTAATACCATCACTCCGTTGATGAATCTTCTTTTTCTTTTTTCGAGAATGAAAATGAAGAACTGATACTCAATCGCAACTGGTATTAACCACGCTATCGAAGCTCTTACGTTCGTAGAAGAGCATCCACGAATATTACGATATCAACCTTGAGGGTTTGTTTGACAACTTCTAACCCAGTAACTATGGTTTCGAGAAGGCAATAGACTACTATTTGACTTGTGACGAAGTTACTCGCTACCGCGCTCTTCTGTGTGAGGGCTACTATACAATACCGAAGTTCACCACGCTCCTTAGATATCCGCCATATCTCAGCATCAATCTCTAACATACTATGTAGTCACCCAGGACCAGCTCCTGACAGATAGAAGAATGCCAAGTAATACCCGCGTAGAGTCCCGCGCTATATCTTCTGAAGATTTGATTTTCCTCGACAGCACCCACCACCCTTCCCTTCTGGCGGGTAGTCGATCACAATGCGCAACATCGCCAATATCACAACCACCAATCCACCAAGTAACCATTCTAACATCGAACAACACAACCCAACCCCCTCCAATCAAAATAACATCACTTGAGCAAACAAAACCCTCTCTACAAACAACGCAAATATTCGAGTCCTCGCTTGCTACTAGCGCCGTTATTCCCCTGGCCACAAAGGTATAAATACCCCCTTCTCCCCTCCCTTTCTTCTTTCTCTTTTTCTCCAAGCCGTCTGGACGGATGGCAGTAAGCCCTACCGCAGAGGTAGGCAACCAACTCAAATCCTCTTGTGCGGGCAGCGCGAGTCCTACTACGTAGGCAGCGGAATTCCTGCTATGGTAGGCAGAGTCAAGCCCTCACGTATAGACGCGCAAGTCCTACAAAGTACCGTAGACAGCGCAAGTCTCACCGTGTAAGCAACTCGAGTCCTCATGAGCAGGCAGCTCAAATCCTCCTTCTTTAGGAGGTCGCGACCAGCTCCTGGCCAGGTTTCAATCTTTGTGGGATTTTCTTCTGGGGGCTTTCAGGGGTGTTTACACCTCGGATGGGTGGGCGGGCATATCAATCATCAGGACGACTCTTACACCACGGCCTCCGTGTGTAAAGGATACGACAAGAAAAAACTATATCGAGTGAAGACACGAGAGAGGAGAGACAGGAGATCGGGAAAAAAAACCCCCCACACAAGTGTTCTTGGCAATGTCCCATTGTCCAAGGAGTCTGCGATACTTATCCGCTTACGTGGTGTTTTTCTTCCTCTTCTACTCCCCAATCTTACACACATCTCTCTTCCTCGATATTGGTTTTTCTTATCTTTTCTCTATCATTTCTTCATACCGCCGTTGTCGTCCCTGATTCTACTTGTTCAATCTTTGGAATCTCATCAAAGTATACACATAATCGTGTATACGCATCTCAATACCTTTTTTTTTTTCATCACTATCTCTCGCATGTTCCGAGGGGTGTGGAGAAGAAAAATGGCAGTTGCGATGTGTGAAGTTGAGTTTTGTATGGCTTGGGTGATGTGATGTGATAAGTACCTATGATACGACGCGTCGAGGAGACAAGTACGTCGCGGTTCTTAATGTAAATATTTCTTCGCTCGCTCATATTACCTACATACAAGTATGCAGTTATGTGCATTCAGTTTATTAACTCGTAGCTATATATCTTTTATTCCCTTATGATTACTTTATTCCTTCCTATAGGTATGCAGGATAGATACTTGATCCCGATGCTGATCTTATAGAACGCTGACTTCTCCTTCTGTGTGGATAAGAAGTTGGTTCTTGGTTCCCTGCTACAAAATGTGGAAGAACTAGCTGATTGTTTCCTGTTCCAGACTGGAGCGGTACTGGAATACAAATTTCGCAAGATTCTCTTGAGCCGTTGTCGAGATGATATAGGGAAGGTCTTTTTTGTTTTACTATCGAAGAGACAAGAGAGGATTGATTCGAGTGTCGCACAGCTATGTATGTAGAAAGGATCATACGGGACACAGGTTCTGGTTTAGAAAGGCCAAGGTAATCGACAGGGGAGCATGAATTCATTATGGAACAGAATGGTATCTTTATATCTTGTCGGGTATGCGTGCAGTCCAATTATTTATCCTTTTTGCCAGACTTGACGGTCTCATCCTTTTTCTGGTTTCCGGAAGAGCGGGTCACTGAGAGAAGTTTCCACAGCGCCCAGAGGAATCCGAGGGCAACGATGATGATGGTACCAATCTCAATGGTCCTGGCTTGGATGATCCCTTCCAGACCTTCCTTGATTTCCAGAACGGGGACGTCTACCTGCTCAACCAGTCGGGACTGGACTCCTGGAGTCTTGTCCTTTGAAGGTGAGGGAGATAACTGGTAGAACATGGTCTTGGGTCCGAAGAGACCGTCCCAGCCGAGATTTACACGGTCGAACGGGTTGACGCCCATTTTGGTCCCTTCCTCAGCCGTGCAAGCCCAGAACACGATAGGCCAGGGGACAGATACAGTGCGGTTTCCAGATGGAGATGGTTTCAGGTAGCGGAGGTGAAGTGGTATGGTAACTTCCCAGTCCTCCTTGGCCGAATCGGTTTCTGCAGGCGTCGCCAGTTCCAGAAGGAGATTCGAGCCCCAGCGAGAAGTGACCCAATCGGGAGCTTCCAGATCCGTCTCACCCGAAATGGTGCGTAGAGCAGCCAGGTTATGGGACTCCAGGAAAAGACGATCGGTGGTTGAGAGCTGGTACTTATCGGCGAATATTGGGGATGGTAGCGTGAGATAGGAATGAAGAGCACATGTCGCATCTGCAGGAGCTGGCGGTGCAGACAGAGAGGAACGAGGAATCGAGATCTTCATCGTCGGATGAAGACCGGTCGGTGCCAGGAACGAGACTGTATAGTCCGCAGCCTCCGGTAGCGGATGATGTCGCGACGGGAAAGAGAACATGGTGCCATCTGCGAAAACGTTAATAATCCATCTTCAGCAAGAATGACACGAAACATACGCGGATGGTCATCCTCTCCGATGACGGCCAATAATCCAGCGACAGACAATTCCTCTGGCTCCGTAGCTGGCTGGCTGCTCAGCAGCCCAACCTCTATCTTCTCCATCCCGAGCTCACCCTTCCTGACGTCTGCTATCCATCCATTCCCCTCTGGAGACTTGGCCCAATATGCCGACACGGTCAGAGCATGCGATATACGATCATAATCGATGTCGAGGTAATCTGCAGATAGAAGCGACGAGGCATGGTTCTGGCATTCCGCATCCGACGATGGACATAATTTCTGCTGAATATATGTAACGAGTTCACTAATCGAGGGCAAGAGGCTGTAAAACTGATAAGATGCAACAGATGCGAATCGCTGAGAAATCAGGGGCGGAGTCGTAAACGATATCTTTCCTAGTGTCAACAAGCGATCCAACGAGGCGGTAGCACTGATAAGCTTACCTCTGGCAGCGTACACTTCAATTCCTCACTGAACGCCTTCTTGAGCAGCGGACAAAGACCCTCTCTGAAAAGGCCAATTAGTATCACGTATATACCGTATAGAAAGCTCGAAGCACGTACGTCAATCGCTGCGAATCGACCGGGGTAAAGAAGACATGTAAACCGGGAGACACCCTGCTGGAAAAGGGAACGACAGCTTCAAATGGCCGCTCAGTGGCCCATCTGATATGGAGTTCATGTGCATGCTTCAGGACATTCCAGAGCTATATGGCAGTTAGCTTGGGCCAGTATCATGTTTGGTTGTAGGTATAAAGCTACCTCCGACGGGAGCTCGTTGAAGCCAAAGGTAACTCGCTCCTCGCGGGCGGAATCCAGGCCTCGAAGCTTCAATGCATCGCTGGTCAACTGGACTTGATCCTGGTCAAAGGGCGAATCTGGTCCCTGAGCGAAAGTAATCCGTCTTCTCATTTTGGGAAGCGTGTGTACGAATGCCAATTGCGGCGTTGTTATCTCGGGGTCTGGAGAAGGCGGTCCGCCCGCCCAGATTCGGTCTAGCCCAGTTAGGGATGACATCACAGAGGGAACGCATCGAACATTGCCAGAATTAATTTATTACAATTCTCTATCAAGTCTAATTAATGGAATTTGGATATCTTTTGGAATTTCTCTTATCATGTCCAATAGCAACCAGGCCGAGAATTAGGAAATATTATAAAGACGAGGCACAAACATAGCATAAAAGTTGCAATCGACACCACCCGACCAGACCGGGTCATCCCAAAACGCCTGAAATGCAACAACATCAATCATAAAAGTTCTCGCTCAAAAATAACAGCTCATGGCAGAACGTCCTTCAGAATATCTTTCTGGGCAGAGGTGAGGCTTGGAGGGAACTTGACGTTCACGCGGACAACCAAGTCTCCGCGTTCGCCCGGCTTCCTAGAGTTGGGCATACCCTGACCGGGGAAGTGCTCTTCGTGACCCGGTTGCGTAGGACCGGGCTTAGAGACACGCAGTGACTTCCCGTCGATCGTCTTGACAATGCGCTCCCAGCCGGTCAATGCCTCTTTCAGGCTCAGTTCGACGGTCACGATCAGGTTGTCACCCTGGCGCTTGAAGACGGGATGCTCTTTCTAAAGGATAGAGTTAGCACCGGATTCTAGACATTCGTGCGTATAATGATAGTAACTTACCTCCTTGACGATCAGGTGAACATCCTGCTTGCCACCCTCTTCCTGGTCTCCGACATTCCGGTACTTGATCTTGGAACCAGCCCGCAGACCAGGTTTGATGTTGGCTTCCAGGGTAACCTCTTGTGTAGTACGCTTTCCACTCGGGTCGAACACCTTGCTCTTGGTCACGACCTTCTTTGTTGTTCCGTGGAACATCTCCTCCAAAGTGACAGGCAGATCCTTTTCCACTACAGTAGGCTCCGGGGTTGGTGCACGACGAGCTTGCTGCTGGAATCCGCCTGGGCCTCCCCTAGTCTTGAAACCACCACCGCCTCCGCCCAGGCCGGCGCCAAACATCGTCGAAAAAAGATCATCATCCATATCCGCTCCACCACCTCCGCTCTTGGCAAAGTTTTTGAAGATGTCGTCGGCTGAGCTGAACCGGAAGCCGCCTCCAGCTCCTGGACCGGTCGTGAAGTGGAATGTACGGGCGCCACCGCCGCCGGGCATACCACCGAAGGAGAAACCACCAGGCATACCACCAGCGCCGAAAGGAGTGCCGCCAGCTTCAGCACCGGGCGGAGGAGCGGCACCGCCGCGTAGGAGGAATTCTAGACCATATTGGTCGTAGACCTTGCGTTTCTCAGGATCGGAAAGGACTTCGTATGCTTGTGAAACCTCTGTATGGAGTTAGCATTGATTCACAATGGGAAGCGACAAGCTTCGAAGGACTACATACCTTTGAACTTCTCTGATGCTTGAGGGTTGTCCTTGTTCTTGTCAGGGTGCCACTTCAATGCAGCTTTCCTGTTTGATAGAAGTTGTCAGTGTCAAGATAACTCAGAAGGATTAGAGGGTGCTAGCAATTCACATACCTGTAGGCTTTCTTGATCTCTTCTTGAGAGGCACTAGGGCTAATGCCTAGGGAGTCGTATAGTTTGGTCTCCGCAACCATAATGTGAAAGGGTTACGTAGCAATGTGAGGGTAAGAAGGTGTTGTCTTGTGTCTAAAAAATATACAACAGAAAGTAGATTGAAGTTTGCGGAATCCAATCAGACTATATGAGAAGGAAACAACGTGCGATGGTGAAGTACGCTTGAAGGAGGACGTTGGGTGAGGTCGATGACGGAAGAGTTCCTGAGTAGATGACGGCCAACAGCGGGGATCAGCTGTTTCGAATTGCGTAGAACGTTCTTGGAGGACGAGCGAGGGACGGAATGCTCCGTACCATAGACCTTGCTGGATAAAACGATTCTTGCAGTCTAGCGTCTGATAGTCGAGAAATTGATTCTTCAGTGTTCCTCACTGGCGAAGAGGTTGGGATTCTTGAATGAAGCGAAGCCTCGAGCAGTGACGTGAGGGCACGAGCAGCCTCCGAGAAGCGTGACACGACAGAAGCTTCCAGAAGGTTCTACGAGGAGAGTTGCCCAGTTGGGAATGGCTTGTTTAACATGATGAACATGCACGAGAACTCCATACTGACTGCCAGTACAGCTAGCTAATAATGCTGGTGCGATTAATCCAAGCCAGAATCCCCAGAGTATTGTCGCGAGGCAGGGATGGCATACAAATAATGATGATGACAATCTAGAATAAGCGATGGCGGGGGGCTCTACTCTAAACTGGCTCTAGCCGATCAGACCCACGGCTCGTGTGGCGCGATCTCCGGTCGTTGCCGCGCTGAGCAGACGAGGAGACTCTCTATCCGCCTCGTTGGGTACCTAATGGTTTCAAAACAAATGGAGACGATGGAGAGAGTAGACGACCTAAAGTTATATAGTGCTCTCTCATGGATCCATTTATACATCCATTTGTACTGTACATCCATCTTTAGAAAGGCTAAGCGAGAGTGATCCAGACTCCAGCCGCCTGGGCCAGTCTAGATGGTAGTGAAATATATCAACTACCTAGTTAAGGTCAATTGCTGGCTGGATCCGTCAGAAAGATCATGACAGGACTGAGAAAAGTCTGGTTTGAGCCTCAATTAAGCTGAATCTTATTGCTTTTCTTATTTATGATAATTTTGGAATCTTTAGCCGGAAGAAGAATAACTACCTTTTATTAGCTGACTACGCTAAGAGCAATAACTAACTTAGGTACCTATACAAACACGGATCCTCGCATGTTTACTTCCTCCTCTCGTCAATAAATGCCTCCCTCCATACTCGAATTGGTCGCGTGTCGCCCTCGCTAGATGTCCAGCTTCACAACATAATCGTGATCACGGAGTTGTTCTTCACTTAGCGCGACGTGGTCGACACCAGTGATGGTCTCTTCTGTCTTCAGGCTCCCAACACCCTGGTCTCTTCCGCTTCTTCCTCTCAGTCTGCGAACGGCAGGCTGATGAACACACGGTGCCATGATCTCATTCCACACTGCAACCGCTTCGTCACCGGTGAACTGGTTCGCTGCAGCTTCAGCAGCTCGACACTGCTCAACAGACGACTCAGGTGCATGGCACGAATTCTCCATGCGATCGCAAATGGCGTTCATAAGTTTTGACAAATCACCATAGATATAATACGTCCCTGCGAAGAGGACGCTGTATGTGCCTCGAATCCTTGGAGCCGTGTGGGGGCAGGTGCCCAGATCATAATCTGCTGGTGGAGTGTCCATGCATGTAACAGGCACTTCGGTCGTTACAGTGGCCGTGGTCGTTTCTGTTGCAGTGGTCGTGATTGTTTCAGGCGGTTCGGTGATAGTGGTCGTCTCTGTGGCTGTATCGGTGATGGTACTTATTTCCGTAGTCGTGCTAGGGATACAAGGCGTGCAGGGAGCACCAGGGCTTGGTGTTGGCATAGGCGTTCGCGTTGGCTTCGGATGCGGGTGCGGGTGTGATGGAGGATGCGATGGCTTCATCGAAGGCGGCGGCACAGCAGGATACGTAGGTCCCTCTGGTTCAGGAGCTGGACAGGCATCATCTCCGTATTGCGCGTTGACCGTGATCAGAAAGAAGAGGGCCGATAACAAAAAAGAGACCTCCCACCGCATCTTGATCAGTATATCTTTCCAAGCAACGAGGACAAGTTGTTTGTTTAAACCTATACTACGACGGAGAATAAATAGATACACGCTTGTAGAGTACCAACATCGCTGACTTCTTATAAGTAGTGATTCTACACAATCATTCTGTTTGAGCACTTCGTCCTGAAGTCTCACATTTTTCTAGATATTCGCATGCGACCCCTAGATTCAAATCCGTCCCAGAGACCCTTCCCCAGCTATATCTTATCATGTGAGAATGGCGCATGGAGTTTCCGACCCTCACATACCTCGCAAGGTCGACCGAATTCGATTCGTTAAATTGCTACTATAAGTAATACTGTTCTCCCTTATCGAAAATAAATCAAACCTCCTATACAAGTATGCGCCTCGTAGCCAAGGCGAAACGGATACATATCACGGTTTGCAATTTATAAGATGACCAAAATGCGCACAGAGTTTACTTCTGATATATTTACAGGGTCTGGACATGGCCATCTACTAGATCAGATTTCTTTAGTGAGCTACCTTAACTATCCTACATTATGGTAATACTTCCGAGGCCGCCTCATTTTGTCAGCACAGGGAAACCTTAGATGATCCTGTCTTGGTATACATTGCAAGAGAAGTAGGAAACTACTTGCGGAAATCCATTTCTAACTAGATCTGTCTGACCCTAAACGCGAGAAAGATAGAATTTGATATCCTCCCTTGCTATTCCTAATTAATTGTCGAAGATCGATACTCAGGAGACTTCATTCTCAGACAAGGAAATTTATCAGGATCTAGAAATGCATCTATACCATACCTAGTTATCGAGTTAGATAAATAGAGTGGATTGTTCCTAAGTAGAGGAGGTTACATCTAATCAATTCGGATAATCTCGTTTTGCCTTTCACACTCGCCTAATCAGATTATCTGACTAGATCCAAGTCGGGCTTGTCGGTAAGAACGCCAATCTACTTAACCACTCAAAGAAGAAGAGCTCCACCGCACACGATTCACAACGTCAGAGCGCTGCGCGAATGCTTGAACTGTCTTTGCATCGCCATATACTCCGCAGGTACGTCTCTGGTATAATCCCGAAAAACGAACAACATCAAATTCGACGAGTCTAATCAGGATATAATCTTTTTTTGTGATCACCGATCAACCTTCACATGCTCAGCGCGCGCTCACTGAGTATGGAGTAGATACCCACTGAGTCTGACAGATAACAACACCTAGTTAACTAACTAGCGTCTATGGTATAATTCGAGAGGCGCTGCGTTGGGGCGTCCACCCAACTAATAATTTTGGCTGGACATCCAATAGAGTATAAGGCCAAGAGAGAAAAAAAAAGCTTGCGCAATAATAATGGGCTACCAGAGTTCGTGATCGGGTGTTCGTACGCCATTACCGTATCTAACTTGATGCACGGATCACTAGATGCTCATGTCGGATCTATAGTATCGGTCAAAACACTGCTCTAAAAATGAGGAAAGAAACATGAGGGAATCGGTTCCTGGGCTAGAGTATCATTATTTATTATCACGATCATGGCTATTTGTATTATGGTTCGTAATGCGGCCCCTAGCAGAAAATGACCAGGGTGCTTTCTGCGCTATTTGTTGGTTAAACGCTCGATTAAAAGGAAGCTAACTACCAGTGTCTAGAATTGCAGGGAAGTGAGACAGAGAATCCGATTGTGCCATAAAGTCAATTGTAAACGGGCCAAACTTAAGAGAAACTTTGACGGAATATACCAAAAATCAGCTGCAGAATAGTGATTCATGACTCGACACATATGCAAGGTGCATAGGCATCCCACGTCGGTCTCTTATCTTATTATTATTAGTATTATGGTGCGCTTAGCTACTGCGCACATCTCCTCAAGAAAAGAAAAGAAGAAGAAGAAGAAAAAAAAAAGCAATACACTCTAAGTTATTCCGAGATCATCCGCCGGATCAGAGGCTCTCCTCTGTGTGTTTATTACATAAATGGACCTTGCACGCAAATCTGATTGGGCGGTCTTGTCAGCTAATATTTTCCAAAAGGTTCCGCGGAGACTCCGGATGTGTTTGCTGTTCGCAGTCGCTACTGAGTAAAAGACTGAAGATGAAACTGTTCTGTTGGCTGCGGGAGTAAAAATAATTTGTATTCCCGGACACGTTCGTGGTGGACATAGCCTGTCACAAGGATTTTTGTGAACAAAGTTATCGGATCGCCTTCTGTACCTAGCTAACTAACCTAGATAGACAATCTCTGCCTGTCGATCTGCAGATTGACACGGAGGCTTCCAATTGTAGTTATCGTCTTGGCAGATGCACCGTGGGGTGTTCGTCTTCTAGCAAGGAGCTCCAACCGGCCCACATTTACGACTCTTCGAAGTTCGAAGTCGGCCCCTGAAGGATCATCAAGAGGGTTCTTGGACGCTAAAAGAATTAAATCATCATTATGCTTCGAAACTGATGGTAGTCTCATTATTGGGATATCAAGAAATCCACTCTGTTGCAGGGTCCCTCAGTCTCTTTGACGCTCTCCTGGTATTGCAGATAAACCAAGTCGTTAGGTGCCGCAAGTCCTCCCAAGTTGTGTTATTTTTTAATACCCTTGATAATTTTCATTGCGTGTTTTTGTTCCAGTTTCATTAGTATATGATACAAACGTCCAAGAGTTTATGGAACGTAAATCTTGTACGTAACGCCATAAATATCGTAACCGCTGCACATATTTGTCGTATTCAACCCGTGTTAGGAAGGCCTCTACAAGGGACCTCTATCCTCAAAAGGTGAATCATGAGTAAAGAATTCAAGTGGACTTGAAGACCCAGACGACCGGACTTCATCCTCTCCGACCCGTACATCGCAGCGTGACTCCATATGCTTCTGGTCATGATCCGGAAGGCCAAGGGCCTTTGAAGACGCCGGTAGCATTTCATGTTGGGAGTTCCTCGACTGGGTCCATGTTTCCATCTCAATCGTACGCAATATCTCAACTCGCTCGGGCCCGTCGCTACTCGCGTGTTGCTGTGCAGATGATAACCTGGATCGGGAGTCTTTCGAGAGCCCAGTAGACCTCCAGAGTTTTTGCGTACGACCGCTTTGGCCCAAACTTGACGAGGCGAGGTTGCGCGTCGACTGAAACAACCGCGGAACGAAGTGTGCCACCAGTGGACGGAGAGCAGGTGCGGAAGCGCAAATCTTGACGACAGTTAGCAGACACACAATGTGGCAATGGGGTCTCAAAATAACGTACCAGGCCCAGGTTGATTTCAATAGCGGCCGCAAGGAAAATCGGCCAGCCTACCCATGTTGAATCATACGAGGCGATCAGACTCTTATAAACAAAGGCTGTCCGGATGGCACCGGCCACATTGACCACGATTCCCACGCCGAAAATGGAGATTACTGCCACGCGTTGTCGGACTGGCAGTTTCAATCTCCAGATCAGAGGCATTGGCAGAACGGTGCACAACAGATCGGTGAAGATATTGACGACACTGGCCGCAAAGACATCGTTATTCCCATTGAGACAGTGGTACGGGTAACTTGGCTCCAGATCCCAAAACGCACGAACGGGGCTATAGGCTCGAGGTCAGCGGTCGACAAGTCATGTCGACAGAAGTAAGTAGGGCACGTACTTGCACTGAAAAATCGTCATACAGACGAACGTGATGCACATCGCTGCGACAACAAACATTGCCGCGATGAGACAGAGATTGAATGACCGAAAAGCGCCCTTAATCCCGGCTCCCAGTAGTCGCCTGCAGAACCACAGCAATGACAGCTTGGTCAGTGTCGAGGCGAAAGAGAAGAAGACCTGAAACATCATGTTGAGTTTCTCTGAAGTGGGGATCCATTCCAATGGTACATCCCAGATATGTCGGTTCCAGCCATACTGAGCGGACGCAAGAGAGGTGACAACGGCCATAGCAATCGCAAAGAGCTGCCCCGGCAGTTGTTAGCTCTATAGTTTATGGGCAATGTTTCTCGCGGCCTTACCATGCTGACAATGATAGTCGCATCGTCGAGACCAACGCTGCCAGTGATCCTCAGCCTAGTGTAGATGCGCATGCAAACGACTAAGAACGATAGAGAGGTGAAGACGATATTGACAACTAGCAGTGCACCTCCACGACTCAGAGGATCGATGTAATTCGGCGTTGGCCAGTGGGCCATCACGCTTGCAGGAGGCAACTGCATGGTGGCAGAAAGACCGTTTGAACGAAAACCGAAACCCAACGAGCGAAGATGACCGCAGAGCGGTCACTTGGGAAGGATTGACTCCGATCTGTTATTGCAGCGCAAGAATTCAACATTTATGTCAAAGGGATGACGGTCTCCATATACCCATGCCGGCCGAATCTCCTCCAGCCAAAGTTTCAGTCAGAAGGGGACTACCCCAGGGACCAAGATTTAGTCGATACCAGCTCCATCGACAGAGACTTTGCCAAAACTGCTCGCAGAGCCGTTCTAACGAGAGTATAAGCCGCAGTGATGCATCCACATCTTCCATCATCGCGTGGTACTGTGCAGTGAGGGGGCATTATTGGCGCCCTTAGTGTGCATCGACGGATAGTCATCGTTGCCTTGTGGGCCAGTTGGCTTGGAAGTCCGAAGAGCTCATCGCAAGGCCGAATAGTCTGAAGAACTACATGCAGGTCAAACTTCTCTTGACCATACGCTAGGGTTCCATCCGTGGTTGGTGCACGCACGACTTCCAAAATGGCAGTCTCTCCGATGAGCCCTGGGAGCCGCGATCTCCAGGGTATTGAAGGCCCTATGGTGATAGGTAGATCATAGGGCCCATCGGTTCGCAACCGGCTCCACGGAGGGGCGGAAAGGACTTTGATCGCACCCTGGGAGTAGATTATCGACCGAAGAGCCCTACAACAGTGTGATGGCCCAGGAACCAGGGACATGTTGGACAGCTCATGTATATCTCGCCCTTGGTAGCTGTCGAGGACATTAGCCGCGGTATAATTCGGTTATTAGCTCTCATTATCGCTATGGATGGCCGCATCGGTGCCGTATTGCATCTTTTCACCGGCAAAGAAGAGCATCGTAATCGAAGTTGTTCCTCCACCCAGCCACCACTCATCACCGGCCAAATATCCCACATTATTATTGAAAGCCATGTTCCGCTGTTACCAGGGCGTTCGGCAATCAATGCCATGAGATCCGTGGGATGAGCACGAAAGGTTCCACCGCTAGACTCCGACCACGTGCAGCCGAGTCTGCGCGGCCTGTGCCGCCCTGTGGCGCGTTGTGAAAACAAATAAAGGCGGGGGACCAGACCAGCCCAGAATATCGGCAAGAACAGCGATAGATTCCAGAGGAAAGTGTTCTAGAATAAGTAGAAGCTCAGGCAATCATTCCGTCACTAAGGATTCGCAAGATATACCAGCATTCCCGACATTCGAACCGTCTTAGGTATTATTGCACACTATCTCAGATGTAAAATGCGACGGCCGGGTTGGAGGAACGAAGTTCATCTGCTATTAGGCTTGAGCGTGGCCACCATCAACCAGGTTGCACAATAGAACTGGCCTAGAAAATCAATCGACTCGATTGATATGGTGGCAAGTGACTGTTGCAATTGGGACAGCGCTATATTGGCAGACTTTCCAGGGTAGCTAGGAGTCCTTTTCCTCTTGCTGCAGCACATCCACTGAGCAGGCGTAGCTGTCCGGGGAGTCACCACGCTGCTCCCTAGTAAGGTTGCATTGATTGACTCCAACCGCACCAGCGTTGTGCAATAGTTGATTAGTGGCAAGCTATTTGAGCACAGAGAGTTGAGCACAGAGGCGTATTACCTCTTAACTGTGTGATATCGGCCTGCTCTCAGTAAGCCATTTATCGAGCGTTTTCAGTCTCAGTCGTCTGAAAGTACGGCCTCCTTTCCAATACGACAAAAAGAGCAACAGGGGCCATGCGATGATGATGACCAGACATTCATTGATTTCAGCAAACACATGTTTTCTTATTCGCGCAGACCGGACTCCCTGCAGAGCAAATGCAGTCAAGTGCACATTCATAAATCTGGGGACAGACACTCGACGACGCGGCACAGAATGACCTTGATATTATTATTACCGTCCGTGCAATCAGGATCATAAGGATGGTGACGGATGACTGACAGAGGACGATCCTATGCAGCTCTCAGGGGTGCCCATACTTTAACTGGATGAGAATTTTCCGCGGCCTTCTAGACTCGCCCGTGCGAGTTTCAGCGCCATCGATTTCGTTTCAGATGGCTAAACGGTCGATCTCAGCCACTGAACGGTCTCCGTGGGCGCTGTACGGAGTGGAAGCGAAAATAGAATGAGGCAACAGTAGCAGCATGAGTCAATAATGGGCCGCTTGGATAGATGGGATGATAATAATAGACCCAGTTGTATTCTTCCCTCTGTCTGTTGACCGTTGGGATGACCGTTTGGCTGCGGATGAGTGGGCTGCGGGTGGCGGCTGTTCCCGTGTTTTGACATTACCGTGGACAATAGATGTGCAGTTTAGTGCCGCCCCCGGGTTTCTCAACAGAACAGCAGCTTTGAGCAATTCAGAATAATGCTAAACCAATGGCGTAGTCTAATCTTGCCTTTTCTGGGGTCTGGCAGGGCTGGATCTTGACGCAGAATGTGGAGTAGTGCTCAGACAGGCGCTGGTTCTTGCTCTGAGACAATGGCCTCTATCTACTAGTATCTAGCCTCTTAACTCTTATCCGGTCTTTTTTTCTTCTTCTCCATCTCATCCCACCTCTTTTCTTTTTGTTTTCACCCAATCCATTCGTTTTCCTTGGGTGTTTTCTTCTTTACGTTTCTTAGAGACGGACCTTTTTGTATTTCTTTTCCTCAATGCAGTTGCTAACGTCTTTCTCTGCTTGATTTCAATTTCTCACCGCTCGTACGGCTAGACGGATCGCCATCGCAACAAGATACGTACGCTTACAGTCCATTCTCCAGCCAGCAACGGAGTAGCTGCTCATAGCAGGTCTCCAGTGCCTACACAGTACACCATAGGACCCAAACCGGAAAAATGGATCATCAGACGGACCATGACACAGAGCGAGATGTCCACATCGCAGCACTGCCCGCCTTTCTGGAGAATCTCGTGCGCGAGGGACATTTCACGCACCAGCAGCACCACCGGAGCAGTGTTGCTGACCTAGACCGCTATTTCGTAAGTCTAGAACTATAATCTGCCTTGGCATAATCTAACTGTGGCACAGGTTGGTCCACGAGATCTGGATAAGCATACGAAATGGCCCGCGTTTCTGCGGTTGCATGGGAGCGTTTTCCCCAAGCTGATCCTACCCTTGATATTTATGGCATGCTGGTCGACGTTGATTACTTGTATATCTGCTTTCGTATATAACCGTAAGAGAATCCACTTCCCGCCTTAGCAAGAAAACCTTTGACTAATGCATCCCCTGGCATCTAGTCGGAATCGATAATATCCTCCTGACAGTTCTCGGTTTCGTCGTCGGTCTTTCCTTGTCTCTCCGAAGTTCTACGGCATATGAGAGGTAAAGCGAGAGACAAGCCTTTAGCCTGTCGAATACTCTACTGACATAGTCAAGATATACTGAAGGACGAAAATACTGGGCATTGCTACTGCAAACCTCTCGTACACTTGCTCGTTTGATATGGGTCTCCATAGCTGAACGGGAGGGAGAGCATGGAAAAGACGATTTGCTGGCAAAAGTGTATGGTCTCTCTAAGCGTTCTATTCGATATGGAAGAACTTGAGTCTGACTGCGTCTTAGGAGCTCGTTCAACCTGATACTCGCGTTCGCCATCGCCTTGAAACATAAGTTAAGATTTGAGCCTCATGTGGCTTATGAAGACCTCGTCCCTATCGCGGGACATTTGGACACATTCGCCAAAAGCGCCCACGACTCAGAGTTGCTCAAACATCCCAAAAAGTCGACCTGGAAAGCTGCAGGGGAATACCTTGGAGTGTCCTTTGCTGAGTCGAACCCGAGGAAATTGATCAAGCGTTCCAAAAAGCCGCTTGGTAACCTGCCACTGGAAATCCTCAACCACCTTGCCGCATATATCCAGATGAGCGTAGAGAACGGTACATTGACTAGTCCTACTGTCCAGACGCAAGTCTGTAAGTATTCAAGACGGCTGTTGACAATTAGAACTATGTTAACGTGACCAGACACTGCCCTTTCGCAGTTCACCGAAGTCTTGACGGGTACAGAGAGAGTTTTGAGCACCCCGCTTCCAGCTGCTTACACCATTGCGATCTCTCAAATCTCCTGGATCTATGTCATGGTCCTTCCATTTCAGCTATATAACTCACTAAAATGGATTACCATCCCGGGAACTATCGGTAAGATTTCTCTGTTGCGCCTCTCATGCAGGCAACCAAGACTTAACGTCTCTGTAGTTGCCGCATACATCATCCTTGGTCTTGCTGCTATCGGCAAAGAAATCGAAAATCCGTTCGGTCACGATGTCAATGATCTGCCTCTCGACAATTACTGTACGCAGCTCGGTTCAGAATTAGATGTCATTGCCGCCTCGCCCCCACCTAAAGGAGAGGAATTCCTCTCCAGAAGCGAGAATCTTGTCCTCTATCCTCTGAGTTTCAGCGGGTACGCTGACTGGAGGGAGCGCAGCGTCGAGGATATCCGAGCTGCGTTGAGAAGCAAAGTGATCGCCAACTCAGCCCGTACGCCCGGTCTATCCAAAGCGTCATCGATGGTGGATTTATCATTCCATCACAGGGCCTCAAAGCAGGGCGCCTAAATTTGATATTTCTTTTTGCTAGCGATGCGGCCAGTCTGTCACAAGATATCTTGCTCTTCTTGCTTGCTTTCAAACGGATCAAAATTGCATTAACGGAGTGGATGTGTCTGATTTCCGAGGTTATTTGTTCATTTCAAGTACATGTACTTCTTTTCTTCGCGTTCCTCTTTAACTTCTCTCACACCTGTTTGATGCAGGTGATATCAGACGGCGAGCCCGTCATTCATTTTTGCAGTTCCTATTACTCTCCTTTATGACATCTTGACCTTTATCACGTATTTAACCCAGACCTGGGCAGAAATTGAACGAGATGCGCAAGTCTTTTCGGACTGCAGTTCTCTGAGACCGTCGCTATGTAGGTGGATCCAAAGCCCGGCAGTGATGACTTGGCTGCTCCTGGTTGAAATCGCGCGATAATTCATCTCTTTATCGCTGGATCTTGAGATCACCTGGCCGTCTCGGTCTTTTGGACGCAGAGGTCCCTGCTCCGTCATCCCAAGGAGAGATGGCACGTCTGCATCAGATGACCATTCTTGCAGGCATCTTGCAACTGCACGATCGCCTACCAGCGACTCTGCGTGCATATATCTTATCGAGGGGCGATATTCCCTCTGGCATGTAATCTATATCGTAGCCCACCCTCACTTCTCATGGAGCAAAAAGATCCGTTCCTGATCCATTCACGAGCGCACCGAGGAAATTCCCTTTTGCACAAACCCTCCATGCAACATTGCCCGCATTTGCGCCCGAGCTCCCACTCGATTTGCTCCCACCAATCCATGAAGACACCGCTGATACGACCGCCGACGCGTCGTCGCGCGGAACCCGGATCCACGCGTATTTATTCGTGCCGTCATTTTCGACCTTGAGGAGGTCGATGGAGATCGCTGTGCCTGTGACACCTAGGAACTGGGAGAGAGCGGAAGAGAGATATGTTCGCGTAGTGAGCTCATCGAGGAGCGTGTTCGCAGAGGAGTAACCAGGTTGTGGGATTCTGTGTAATAAGCAAGGCAAGTTAGTTGCTTATGTCACTCGTGAGTCTTCAAAGTGATAGTCCTAGAGGCCATGGTAGAGATAAACAGAGAGGAAATTGGAGGAGAAACCATACAACTGCAGTTTCAGATAACTCCATGGCGGATTCCGAGCCGTGAAATGGATCACTTTGCTATCTTTCTGCTGCGCAGATGATGCCGGCGGGGCTGGAGTGTCTGATGCTTTGCGCTTCGAAGCCATTGTCGCTTATTCCAAAATAAATCTGTCCGGCTCAAGATGGGGTTTTCCTTGTCTGGCGTAGAGATTGCTACCAATAAGGGTTGTTGTCTTTGGCTTTTTTTTTTCTTGATCTGCAAAGGAATTCTAGCGTAAGTCGGAAATGGCGCCTATCAATCGGGAGCTCTAGGCTTGGCAAGGCTTAACGTTTAGCGTTTGGCTCCCCCGCATTCCTGGGTGATGTCACGCAGCACGCTATATACAACGATTGTTGTATTTTTATAGAAGTACTGTTTGTCGTAAAGACAAGACTAGAGTTTGTGCTAAGAGCATTTTGTCATCAGCTTCTGGTAGACATAGAATCGAAACCAAATGCCTCGTTTGCTGCGACTACATCGAACGGACTTTATATATTTTGAATTTAGAGTAGGTAGTATGAGACCGCTTATTATTGGCTAAGGTGAATAAAGATCATCGATCATACCAGCGCGGAGTATATATATTCTATAACAAAAAGCATTCACGATCAGGTTTCTTTTCCAATCATCAATCGATCGAACAACCAAATATCGAAGCGACCATATCCTTACCATAGAACATTCTACGGGTAGAAGACAAGGGTAGGTCTCGAGTTTATTTCCCATCAACAATAGCTTCACTTAGTCTCTGTTTGGCCTTCTCTAGGAAATCTGCTTCAGTCTCTCCACCAATATCCAATCCGCTTATGGAGAGTGTCTTCTCGCGCGACTTGTGACCGCGGATAATCGCGACATCGGATTTGGAGACATCGAAGACCTAAAGGGTACGTCAGAAGTGCACTTGGCAGGGATTGGAATTGTACGATGATTTAATGCATGAAGAAATGCATATACTCACATCTGCAAGGACCTTCGATACTGCCGCATTGGATTCTCCATCTCTTGGAACTGCTGCCACTGCAATGTCGACGGTTTCAGGCCCCACAGCCAATACACCCTGACGCCGCGCAGATGCGTTGGGCTTTACATGGCAGGATATCTGCAGAGTATATTTTGGCTGTGATTTGCCTTTCCTGTCGCGGATCTTCGTTGCGCTTTGTATCAAACGGAGCAGAGGTGGAGATTTGCTTGCCATGTTGAAAGATAGGTAGAGTCCGCACAGGTCAGGCACTGTTTGCTGGAAGACAGATCCTGATTGACCCATCCGGGGAACCTGTTAGCGGTGTCATGGACTATCTATCTACTGTACATGCTAATAATTACTGGGGACGATGGTTATTAGTTGTCGGCGGTGCCTGACCTGACTCTTCACCCCGGACAGATCTCGGCCCAGCATTTCTCCGGCAGCGGACCCTGGGCCAATATTAATTCTCCAACTCCGAATGACGGCCGCAGGCTAAACCCGCATGGGAAATTTACCCCTCCGTTTTCCTGACTCGAAGCGCACCCCCGCGATCGTTTTTCGATCTTGCTAATTGAACAGCATCCATTTGGATTAATAAATCTCGCTAGTTCACACAATGGCAGAAGACAGCGCTGCGCCTAGCCACGAGCAGGACATCAACCCCTGGTCCGTCGAGGGTGCCCGCACGGAGACCGGAGAGGTTGCCGCAATCGACTATGAGTCGCTCTCCAAGTATGTTTGCCTCTGATTTCCGGGAGTTCGCGCACCTGGTGTCTGCTGCTGACTGACTGATGATAGGAAATGGAATACCTCGCTCATCGACAAGGAGCTTCTCGAGCGTTTTGAAAGAGTGACCGGCCACAAGCCGCATCGCTGGCTGCGGCGCGGCCTGTTCTTCAGCCACCGTGACTTCGACAAGATTCTGACCAAGTACGAACACGGCGAACCGTTCTTCCTATATACTGGACGAGGTCCGAGTACCGGTAGCCTGCACTTGGGACACACGATCCCGCTGCAGTTCACAAAGTGGTTGCAAGATGTGTTCGACGTTCCGTTGGTTTTCATGCTTACGGACGACGAGAAGGCGCTGTTCAATGATCAGGCGACCTTTGAAGATACCCTGCATTTCGCGATGGAAAACGCCCGGGATATTATTGCGCTTGGGTTTGATGTCAAGAAGACTTTCCTTTACAGCGACTTGAAGTACCTGGGCAACCACTTCCTGATGAACGCCTGGGAGTTCTCCCGTCTCATCACCTTCAACCAGGTTCGCGGTGCATTTGGCTTCAACGAAAGGTAAGCAGCGCCACTATGGTGCCATTCAATATCTAGATCAGCGTACTAATAACATAACGCAGCTCCAACATCGGAAAGATCTTCTTCCCGTCTGTCCAGTGCGTCGCCGCATTTGCAACTTCGTACCCCGAAATCTGGACAGATGAGCCGCTCCCTGTTCGCTCGCAGAAGATCGCAGATATTGCCTGTTTGATTCCCATGGGCATTGACCAGGACCCATACTTCCGTCTTCTCCGTGATAACGCCCACCGGATGCGTTACCCCTCCCCCAAGCCCGCCCTGATCCACTCGAAGTTCCTCACTGCCTTGCAGGGAGCTGGTGGCAAGATGTCGTCTTCCAATCCAAACTCGGCCATTTTCATGACCGATACGCCGAAGCAGATTAAGGTGAGCTCTCCATATTCTCTTCGCCCGTAAGGACTAGTCGCTGACCTGTCATGTAGACGAAAATCAACAAGTATGCGTTCAGCGGTGGCCAAGTTAGCATCGAAGACCACCGCCGTCTTGGAGGTAACCCGGATGTCGATGTTTCGTACATCTATCTGACATATTTCGAAGAAGATGATGAAAAACTAGAAAAGATCTACAATGATTACAAGAAGGGTGACCTACTCACCGGAGAACTGAAGAAGCTGGCTATCGATGTTCTCACGGAGACTGTGCAGCAGTTCCAGGAAAGGAGAAAACAGGTCACGGACGAGGTTTTAGAACAATACATGAAGCCGCGAAAACTGGAGTGGCGAGGAAACCCCAACCCTGTCCCGAAGCCCCCTTCCGAGGAGAAACCTGAGGAAAAGGGGAAGGGCAAGGGAAAGAGCAAGGACAAGAAGTTGGTGGTTTTGTAGACATAAAAAGCATTGCAGCGGCAGGTAGCAGAGTATGAGGAAATGAGGTCTTCATTTTGAAATGTATTGTCCTGGTTGGAGATATATACCCTACCACTGATTGCTAGACTTTGGCTGGTGGTATCACACCACGTGCCCCATCATGCCCTTATCAGGGATTCCCGTCACTGCAGCCATGATTTAAAGGGCATTACACACAAAGCACGCAATTCTTCTTGAGTTTGAGACTTAGTTGCCAGTTCTACACCCCTCTTTGAAGGACTATATCATGTCTTGAAGGAAAATCGCGCATAACATCGCTCGCCCAGCCTCCCTTATATCTATCCTTTCATCCTAGAAGATGTCTTTGTTCTATATACTTATTATAACATGTAGATTCATTAAAAGTTCTAGCAACAAGTTAAGATCCCCTATAACAGAAAATTTATAGTAGTTAATTCTAAGCTCAAAGATTCCTAAGCGCAGGCAGGTAATCACTACATAGTTATTAGTTATCAGTACAGATCAGACTCCTGGGATACCTCCAAAATCTCTCGTCTTGTGTTTTGTTAAATTTGTCTCTTATCTACTTTTGTAGATCAGTGTCCTATCTGGTTAATAAACATTCAATAATCTCTGTAGAAGATAAGTAAAGCCACAATATATCTACAAAAAGGGGCAAGGAGATATACTCGGAGAAATCACGACATTAATCCTTGATTCTAGCCACAACTGCTGTCGGTTAGCCTTCCGTGTTGAGGTAATAGAATTAGGAAATTCTCCAGTAGGCTATACCATGTCTGGGTGAGAATAGAATAGGAAAGATATTACGAGATAGGAAAAGACATGGTAGTACATATGGAGAAGTATGGATGACCGTGATTACTGTACTTCTGTGGAATATCACGTCGTTACTTGGAGTGTAGCTATCTCCACTCAAAGGGATTAGAGTATGGATACCCCTTGTGGATAACTGAAGTAGTTTCGTCTCTGGACTTTGCTTTGTAGAGCTAGGGATATATCCGATTCTACTATTTTCTCGTGGAGACCGGAGTATTCCACCGTTGCTGTTGTTGCTGTCTAAACACTGGAAACTCCGTGTTCCATGTTAGCCATCCCAACATACCATTTGCTCCTGACAAGCGATATACTCTAATAGTAGTAAATATAGTAAACCCCGAATCGAGAGATATGACAGGATTGTTTCCTGGATACTATTAGCAGCTCATAGGATACCAGGAGAAAGGAAATTGACACCTTCCCCTGAAGATCACAACATATAAGAAACATGAAGGACTTCACCGCCGCGACGGCGCCCGCCGGTACCTATTTGGGCAGTTGTATCAACATCGCTTCTCTTACCTAAAGGGGAACGCGTCGTCCTGGACCCTCTCTCACTTCTCACCTTTGTTTACCTTTTGTCCAATCCTTTCCCGCATGATGTCCTGAACCTATCTTGGAGAAGAGCAGACACTCCTGGAAATCTTGTTTTGTTTCGTCTGGGAAGATTCATACTATCTTTGAAGCCTTTGAATAGGGGCTCCTTAGGGAGGTCCTGGCCGTCTTTCTGGCTTTCTGGAATTTCCAAAGACTGCTGCTGCAAGAACACTTTCGTGAGAGGTTGAGAAGGGCCAAAGAGTGTTTCCAAACTCTCCTTTCCCTTTGACTTTGTTAGCTGAATTCTTGGGACTCCCCTATCCCTACATCATTATTTCTTTGGAGGCTCCTTTTGTTTGTTGATCGTCAAATCGTCCTCAGGGGCAATCATTCAGGATGGTTCAGACACGCAGGAGCTCTAGAAAGGTCACAAAGGATAAGGGTGAACAAGAGAATACAGCCCATGACAAAGAAGCTCATGAGCAGGATAGGAATGGGTCATCTGCAGCGTCTGCGCATCCCAGCACTCCTGATGCTGGGGTTTCTGCCACTGGCAATGACTCTACCGCAGCTATGTCGAAGCAAGGAGCTCTTAAGAGCCCTCAGAAGAAGATCAAGTGGAGAGGTGCGCCGAACGATGATGACTTGACTGCATACCATCCGGAGCAAGTTGACTGGAGCATCGACAATCTGCCAGAGATCATTTATGTCTTGAGGCCCACGGCTAAGCACGCCAAGTCAAGGGCCGAAGTCACCAAGACGACATATGAGATTTTCGGGCAGGTCGTGAACGACTTCCCAGTGCTACCCCGTCAGATCTCTTCAAGAGTGGAAGGATGGAGATGCGAGGCCTGGTCTCGCATGGATCGTCGCATCACGCCGGAAGATATCGTGGCGCGCGTCAATCCTAAATATCAAGTGACTGCCTCTGATATCGAGATGCGCCGATACCGTTTCAGGCAGGGATTCAAACTGGGTGCTTGGGGTTCTGGATCATCCATCGCTGCTGCCGCACGTATTCTCCAGAAACACGGAATTGATCCTAAGCTGAATAGCACGAGGGGATCAACTCCCGGCCTTATCAGACCTGAGCTCGGAGAAGCGGGTGGACGTATCCCGTTAGCCAATCCTTTCCCCAACTATGATACAGTGAACCCCCGTCGTTCCAGACAGCGTTTCCCTCTGGGCTATCTTCCTACCCCTAGCCCGGCGCCAAATGAACCAATTGCACCGCCTATCAAGCCGAAAGAAGAGGACGAAACTGCTCATAGTACGAAGGCAGAGAGCGAAAAGGATGTGGTCTTCGATTCGAAGAGGTAAATCTCTGAGATGATCACCTGTTGTGATATTGAGACTAAACATCTTTCAGCAGCGAATCTACTCCGCCCTCCTTGACCAAAGAAAGCCTGTCCCCTGTCCAGGAGATCTATAACAACTTCCCATCGTATCCGGATCCTGAGGAGTATGAGCTTGCCCATCATCGTGGGCCTCCTGCACGTGCCTTCCAGAAAGAGACAGAGGAAAAGCACATGACCATGACCTTGGAGGAATACTTGCAGCACAACAATCTCACCTACGAACAATACCTGGAACGGGAGAATGAGCCTCGTGCTCGGAAGAGGCGTAGTCCGATGCTGTCAAATGGTGACGTTTGCATGTCCCTTAGTAAACGTCTCCGCCACTCTATTGAGGGGCCCCTGAAGAGCTCTGACTCCGAAATGGACGAGACTGCGAGTGAGATCCTTGGTAAATTCAAAAGCGATCCTTGAATAGGAAATGAATAATGGACGGTGGCTGGGTGAGCAAAGATGTTGAACAAAGAAACAGGGTGTGGGTCGAGATCTGAATGGAGAGTGGCAATGGCAGGTCAATAACAATAGGATTTTAATGTAGCATGTTGCGAGTTTCTAGGTAGTCAAAATTAACGCCGCTCACCACTTGAACGCAGGCCATCTTTTCATCCGTAGAGCAGGGTATATAGAAGATAAAGTCTGTATATGCTCCAGAATATCGTCAAAAATACTTCTAGATTGTTCTTCGTATAGTATATACCTATAACCAATTGTTATGTACTTACCTAAGTCGTCGAGTCGAGGTTTTTGTATCGTTTCTGTTCTAGCGCAGTGGCAGCCAGAGCAAAATAACAAGTCTAGGAGCGCACTCTCCGTTAACCTATGTTCAACGTTATCATAGCCAGCCTTCCTATAAAAAAGCCTCAAAGAGAAGTGAATAGACTGCCCTACCAGCCACAGGTTTTATAGATCTTTCCTTAGGAGAAGGTAAAATGGATCTTTCTCCTAGACTTCTTCTCCTAGACTTCTTCTCCTGCAATTGCAGAGCGTACCTTCTCCTGAACATCAAGATCACCATCCTACATCGTTTTTGAAGAAGAAATAGCTGTTCACTGCGTTGTTGAGCTTCGACTTCAGATCCCGTTCCATATCCGAGTCAAACTTGTACAATTCTCTTTGGAAAGCGTTCCTATCGACATCAGAAAGGAGTCAATATGCTTCTGAACGAACCATTTGACTTCAATATGGAACTTGCCATGGGAAATGCCGGCAACGGAGCGACGTCTCCTATCTCTTCTCTCCGTAAGCTGATATATCCTGACGGTGCAGAGGTATAGGGCTAATTGTATGACAGAGTCTTTTGACGCTCATACTGGCATTGCTATGAACAATGGGGGCAGCGACCTTTTCTCTTCTGACCCTACTCTCCGTAAGTTGATATACCTCCAGTGACGCACGTATAAAGGGCTAATTATATGGCAGACCCTTTCAACACCAACTTTAACTTTGCGTTGAGCAATGTCGGCAACGGACCTTCTTCTGCTGGTCCTGTTATGCGTAAGTCGATATATCCCAACGATGTAGACACATCGAGCTAATTGAAGAACAGAATCCTTCAAAACCAACTTTGATATTGTCATGAGCGATGTCGGAAAAGGGCCTTTGTCCGCTCCTGCTGCCATGCGTAAGTTAATATGTGGATTCATTAAACATCTGGAGATATTGGGCTAACTTAGTGCCTTTGATAGAGTCCTTCCATTGCAACCTGAATATTGCTGCGAGAAATGTCGGCAACAGAATGCTTTCTCCCAACCCTACTCTGCGTGAGTTAATATATCTCAACAATACAGTTATATAGGGCTAACTGTACTTCTCCTGACAGAGTCTTTCAACAACATCAACACAGACATTGCTATTGGCAATGCCGGAAACGAAACAAACTCGTCTATTCCTCCTCGGCGTAAGTTCGTATATCTCAAGGATAATATACAGGGCTAACTGTACGGCAACAGAGGCGAAAGCCCCTCGACAGCACAGCGTCAAGGCCGTCCATGATCCTCGCAACGTCACTGAGTTCCGTCAGGACCAGGCAGATTGGTCTTGGGAGAATCTCCCAGACATTCTCTATACTTTCAAACCCCCAAGAGCTCCAAGACAGCCAGAACCGGCGACAATGTCATACCAGATCCATGGCCAGTTCCTTCGTCACCTCCCCATCCTTCCGGACTGTATCTCATCCGACGTCGAAGAATTCCGCGTTGAAGCCTGGATGCGTCTCGATAGGCGTGTCCGTCTCGTCGATATCACTCAGCGTATGCACCCCGAGTTTCGAATCAAACCAAACGCTCTTCAGCAGCGTGGTGTCCGGTTCCGAAAGGCATTCAACATGCTGGCATGGGGATCCGGAAACAAGAAGACGCTGGAAACCGAGGCCGAATTGGTCAATAAGATGCGCAGCTGTGGAATCGACCCCGGCGTCAATTCCACTCGTGGAATGACGCCGGGGTTGATCCGTCCTGAACTGGGTGAGACCGGGGGTAGGATTGCTCTCCCCGAGCAATACAGCAGACGGTCTTTGGCTCCGGCCAGACCTGTGCCCGTTGTTGGTACAGATGCCGGGGACGGTAATGGGGGGGTCGTCAGCCTCTTCGAAGAGGCCATCGCGGCCTGCCTTTGGAAGGCCGTCGATAGGGAGGCGGCGACCCCTCCAACCGCCTTCGACCTCGGCATCGAGGCATATCTTGCCCACGACAAGATAATGAGGGCGATGGGGGCGGGGATGGGAGATGGAGTTTTTTAATTTTTTTTCTTTTTCTTTTTTCTTTCTTCCTTTCTTTTTCTTTTTCTTTTTTTTAAAAAAAAAAAAAAATTGGGAACTGGTTTCGGGGGCCCGAGGGGGCTACCCATGTCACAGCAATAGTTTTTAGTTTGGGGACGGGAACGGGAACGGGAATGTCATTCTTATTCTTATTTTAACCACATCATTATTGAATTCACTACTGCGTAAGCAAAGCATCGATTCATCCATATTACAAGCTGGCGACATTCGATTTGGCCCAGAAAGGAGCCATTCGCTGCCGAATCCCAGTCACTCCTATCTTATGTGAAAAGGATATGCATTTCCTTGGACCAGACCCCTTAATACATGGTGAATATGAGAAGAAGGTCGGGGCATATAAATCCCATGTGAGTATCAGATATATCCTTTTCTTTTCTCTATCTCTACGGAAAAAGCCGAGTGCCCAATATCCATATGGGCCCAGGTTCTGTCGTGTCCCTCGACGAATGCATTCTCAGAAAGCTTTTCTGCAATTCGACATTTCCTTGCAAGTAGTATAACTAACGGCAAGCCCTGACGGCCGCACGCAGTTGCATAATGTTAGAGATCCAGGCAGACCAACTAACAGTTCTTTTTTTCGGTCGACTGGCAGAAAGTCATCACATAACCATGTCAGCAAGAGTCGGATACCTATCCAATATTCGTCATCGAAGTTGATGTTCCTATATCAATATAGTGATGCTGTTAAGAAATTTAGGATCCTGAAAAAATGAACAGTACAGAAAAGACCTTAGAACAGAAGCTGATATACTGGGAGCAATGTGAATGTATTGTTCAATTAAACGGAGCATGGTAAAGGAAGCCTGCCGATGACGCTCACTGGTGGCTGTCAGAGTCAAGTGGCGACGTGAAAACAGCTTTCACAATTACTATTCACCAAAAGTAGAGGGTAATCTCCATTGAAAATTGGGAGTTACTTCCACGAGGGAACATAACCGCCACCATTCGCTACGACTATAAGCATTGATAAGGGCACTAAGTATTGCAAGCAACGCAGCGGACAACGAGAACCACGCTATATTAGACACGGATAAACAACAAAAGACACCAGCACCACAAGGGCTAAATGAAAGCCACGAGCAGACGCCGATCAGGTACGCGAGGCGAAACGTCAATGTGGCTAAGGGCCATCGCGCCAGCAAGTCTATCTCACTTCACTTGTGGTAAGAAGCAGCTGAGGTCAAAATCAGGGTGCTCCTATATCGGTCTCGTTACTTGATTCGTGAGTCTATTAAATGCTGCGCGCATGTTGATATCCACTAGACATTTCAGTATATAGTCGATGGCTAGGAAAGGTTCATAACTGATGTCACCGCATCTCATAAAGCTCCTGTGTAGCAATACTTACAATATGAAAGATCACACATATGAGTAACAGCTCTTGGCAGTTTTAAATGGCAAGCGGTCTACATTTATATACTTTCTACAAGAATACATTATCATAAGAACCGCACTTCAGGGAAATAGAAGACCCTTGGCTGCGTACATCAACAAATATCTTTATGATCTCTTACTATCCAATAAGGGCGCTCAAAATACACAAAATACTGTATCGACTGTGTCCAATCTGGCACTCGTTGACTGCTATGGACGGAGACTTCCAGCGCGGATTTAGCCGCCAGACTCGTGAATATAGATTGGTGTCTTTATTACACTGTATTCAGAGAGATCTATGAATAAGGGTTCAAGGCTTCGGCTATTATTGTCTCTTTGATATTGACAATAGAATTCATGGCATATTGACAGCGCTAGGGGACATTACGCGGAATATCTATCGAGCGTAGGCGGCGTGCGTTCACTGAGTCGAGGGCCACAACCTCGAGAGCCCAACACTTCTGATTTTAACATGGTCCCTCTCCTGAGCGAAATGCAACCCCAGTCCCTCTGATAACCAGAGATTGAATTAAGCTACATTTCTCGTTACTCAACAGACCTGTGGAGCTCTTGCAAGAGCCATCCAGCCAGCCTCCCCAGATCAAAGGGCCAGCCTCCTGGAAGGCTGGATATCCTTGGGCAGTGAATGGACCCAGCCACTGATTTGCGCTCTAACACAATGGCATTGAGCGCAAAAGAGACTCCCAACCTCCCCAAGATGGAGGCTGGTAAGGAAGAGTCTAGAGATAAGAGGTCCCACACCTCGAAGGTGGCTTCTGCCTCTCAGCCAGGTTCTGGTATGATGGACCGCACATGAAACTCGACGAAAGAAAGTGGCTGATGTGTTATAGCGAACCACGCGGACACCCGTGTCTTCTGTCCTCGTAAGTTGCTGCTTATATGTGTAGAATTATGACTGACATATGTAGATACCAAGGTCCCGGACTGTCTTCACACGTGCACCCATCCCTACCATTCGTCCTATTCGGAAGGATGTCTACCTCCGTTGATTTTCAGGTTGGATACTTTGGTTACTGTGAAGCAGTCGTTCTTGGGTCTTCTGATTGAAAACGGAAAGACTGTGGAGGATGCAGATGGAGTCCCGATACGGGACTTCCCTTTCCTTCCGCGGTACATATCGGTCAAAGTATCAGGATGGCTGCTGGAATACTGGATGCGCACCGATACTCGATTGACGTATCGAGATATTAAAGCTCGCATGACCGCTCCAGCGAGCGAACTTCCCTTGGATAACACCCTCAATATGCGTCGAGAGCGCGAGGCTCGCACTCCATTGAAGCTTTCTTGTCTCACCACTCGTCGTGGACAGATATCGAGGAAGGAGGTTGAACGTGTTGAATCTTGGACCCCTGACCAGGTATCCTATAATACCACAATGGACATCGAATACGAATTGGTCGGAGGAAAGAAGGTTCCGTCTCGTCTGCGCTCGAAAACTTTGACCTCTTCAGAGCCCCGCTGTTACCCCTTGGATACGTTCCTTGACGGTAGGCGAATTCACACGCCAGGCCCACGTATCATGGAGACTATAGAGCTCTTCTATCAGCTCTCAGATACTGCGACTGCCTTGAATCTGCCATCATGGGTCGACCTCCCTCTGGAGTATCTTCCGACTTCTTGGAAGCCACGCTCTTTCCCCTCCAGGACTAAATCGGGACCACGGCGCAAGTACATGACAAAGCACATCACCCTGGAAGATGATGATACTGTGGAGCTCAACAGTGATACTGAGCAATATGAGAATGGAACACCGTCAACCGGTGAGGTAGACGATAAACGGAACACCGCAGAGAGTGCGCGGTCGATATATGACACGGAATATGAGAGAGAATTGCTGAATCTCTCAGGGCTTCCTGTTGCGACGTGGTATAACGACTCTCTACGTCGTCCTGTATATGGCCAACATGATACTACCCAGCCCAGCGTATCTCAGTCCATCCTACCGTGGACCCCAATCAACGGTCACAAGAAGCAAGAGTCGCCAGTGGCGGATATGGAGCGTCCCATTAACGCGGTCACAGAACTGGTCAAGATGGAACGCTCGATGTCGCAATTTGGACGAGCAGTCCGGAACGAAACATCGCGTAGAACATTCTCCCCTTTCGAGTCATCCGAACATGGACAATTCTACGAAGAGGCTCTGAAAATGAACCCAGACGCAGAACTTCCATTCTCCTTGTACGAAGAACCAATCTGGTTCAATCGCTACCGCTTCAACAGCACGGGGCCTCACTCCATCAGGAATGACAGGAACCACCCATTGAATACTCACACTTTCGAAATCATGCGTCGCAACAATCCGTTCTTGCCCGAGAACTTGTACAACGACTCGCTGCCTGATTCTTTCGAGCAGTACCTCAATGACTCCATCAGACGCTTTCAGGGTAGTGCCTATCCTTCTCCTTGAGCAGTTCCTTGGATCTGGATCTGTTTCACTCTGGAGCCATTTGATAAAGCCTTTCTGCTCTTGTTTATTCTTGAATGTTGATACCATCTACTTTGGACGGAGTTACCAGCTCAGGTCCAGGTTATGATATGATCGCACTCTCGTTCAGGATATGCCAGGATGAGCTCCTCGAAAGAGACGATGTAAATCAGTATCAGCATGTTTGCATTTTCTTGGCTCTTTAGCTTTCCCCTTCCAAGACAATTCACACGTCCTTGGGCCACTCACAAGTCGTTCTGTCGATCGATAACTCTCAAAAAAAGTCTCTTTGCTTTCATCATGATTGGTATTTACTTTTCTCTATGCCATTTCCATTTCATCCCTTTCACCATCCACACTTGAGTCCGACATTTTCATATTTGATCGGTTTTCTCAATTGAGGTAAATAACACGGTCTCTAATATGGACGAAGGGTCTAATCTGGCCCAAAGTCTTTCAGATTGATTGTGAATATCCTTCTATCCCCTCTCAGGTTCCCTTCGTGTTTACTTTCATGTGGACCTTATGATGTATTATGGTTCAAATTGGCTATTTTCTCTCTGTCGATTAGAATGAATAGAATCTCTACGTGTCACGGTTGTATAAGTTTAACGTCTATGGATGACGTAGCACCACTACATGCATACAATCTCGGCCCTTTGATAACATGCCTTCCATCCTAGATAAGTATCACGCTGTCAAGTGAGGAAAACCCAGCAGCAACGCCGCCCTCGTTGCTTTCTTTGCCCTTTGTCCTCATTAGCCACCCTCCCTGTTCATTGTGGATGATGTCTCCATTATCCTTCCACAATATAGTTCCAAAGACGCCTAGCTCTCCGATGACGTGTCCGCTTAGGACTTGGCCGTCACTTCGGAGAACTACGTTCTTCGCTGTGGGAGGAGGCTGAATCATTTCCATCAGAACCCACCGCTTCCAATCAGTCTCCGGGATGGAACGGAGAAATTCAGGAATATCAGCCTTGTATATGTTATTGCCGCCACCCTCTCGTTGTGGTTTGAGAACGTGTTTCACAGCCGTCTCCGGGTTCAGTGCCAGTTCCCTTCCGCGGCCATTGGCAGAAAGATCGTACTGGGGAGCGAAGGTTCCCCGCAGATTTGAGATCATGCTAGGCTCTGTGCGTGGAAGAAAGCGGGAGAGATTGTCTGGCCCTGAGGGTTCAGCAAGGACCTGTTGGATCTTCTTACAGCCTGCCAACTGGTTGAGGACGGTAGGGCACTTGATCGCTGCGGATCGCTCCAACTGAAGTCTGGCATCCCAGTCACGTTCTGATTTATAGTCGGATGGGGTATAGAAGCTGCGGAGGTAAACCGTTGTAACTTCGAAGGGTGTAGACGGAGAGAACGGGGGTGTGTAAAGAAGGGGCCTGGACGGATTTGAGCTTGGTATGGACGTCTGGTTTAATATTTCCGAAGTCACTAGACGGAAAACAGGAATCTTATGGAATCTTGTGAGCTGTGACGAGAGGGCCAGTTGATCGAAGAGATTTCGTTCGCCATCCTGAACGACGAAGAGCACACACAATGGAAGTGATGGTGTGGACTTGGATGGCCCGTAGGCTTCATGTGCTGCGGCTAGGCCGGCGGCGAGCGTGGGTACCGCCGTATTCTCCGGAGGCAATCGTCCATCCAGCAAAGGATGCTGAGGATAGCTTATTGGCTGACCTGGTGGAAACGAAAGGAGTTCTGTATGCATGGCTGTCACAAGGGATGACAGACCACCGAACGAGGAGGAGATGGTGTTGAACTCCACTTGTTTTATCGAAGGTGCTGTCGCGTTAGGAGGGACATGTACCATGTAGTCCGACCGGTAAAGCCCCAGAGAAAGAGGCTGGACATAACCCTCCTTCTGTACAGCAAGGTGGACTTTCCACAGGCTCGAGATGAAGTCATCTACGTCGATAAGTCTACAACCGGGAGGATTTAGCAAGACGATATTTCCTCCAGCAAGGTAAGTGAGACACAGTGGAACAAGTTCCCCGTAATGGAGAGACCAGATAGGCGACTCACTCTTCCATAACCTTCTCGAGCCATGCTGTATCGCAGGTGATGTTCGCATACAGTTCGTTGTAGGCTTTCTGAAGGGCTGTCGCTTCTTCGAAACATGACTTGGGGAAAAGACTGGGGAACAATGTCACCGGTGCATTGGTTGCCAAGACGCCTTTCTCATCTGCACCTGCCGGTAGAGAAGCAGGTGAAGGCCTGACAGTGAGGCCATTGTGAATCGTCCAGTCCTTCACCGTCGTCACCAGGAACTGTTCCTGCGCGGGGTCCAGAGGGGGAGGGTAACTGGAGTAAATTGACTGGTCCATTGATACGATATAAATGCCAGATCTGTGCCGGGTTTTAGTACAGGACTACTCCCACGTCCTGACAGCAACTAGAATGAGCGAACAACCTCGTCAGATGTAGCAGAAGAAGAAAAAAAAGGATCATTGAGACGCCATCGAGCCCCTCCACGGCGCGATTCCTAAGCACACGAGGCGGGGATTTCTCTCCGGGCTCCCCGCGATAACCTCACCGCCCGGCAAAAAAACCGCGTGGGCTTTCTTTATCTCCTGGCGATCTTGGCCTGCTTTGACGTTCCCGGCTACAAACAGCGTCTAAACGTTGTCTAGGTAGCGTTGTTTTTTATCCTTTCAGTTACTCTCTATCTGGTTATTTGTGTTTCTTGCGTCATCTTCAGCTGGCTGGGCAGACTGCATATTCAGATATCGTCATATTCGAAAGTCCTCCAGTTGTCGCGCCGCAACGCAAAGCTCTAGCTTTACAGGTCGCGTGCCGCTCCACAATATCGACATAGACAGCGACACTAGAATGGTCTGCGTTAAAAAGGCAATCGCCTCAGCTACGGTTTCTTTGTTTCTGGTGTCTAGGAAGCCGCAGTACGTTCTGTTTAGTCTTGTTCTTGACAATCTCTGGTCCCTCACCTAGCCGCTCCCGCAAGACCAAGAGATATGTCCTCGGACGACGGGGACCCTCTCGACTGGACGGTAGATCAGGTAGTCAATTGCCTATGTTACAGCTCCTCTACACCATGGTGCCAATCATTATCGAGTGCACCCCGTCCAGATCCGGCTACGTTCGAGGCCGCTCTCAGGGAGAACTTAATTAATGGCGAGACTTTGTTGAATGATGTGGACAAGGATGCTCTACGCCAGGATCTGGGCCTTAGGGCTCTTGGGCACCGCAGTTTTGTTCTTGCTGCAATACGTTATCTGAGACAAGCCTCTCTCAAATATCGACGTGCCAATGCTCTGCCGAATTCTCTGCTTGATGACCGCTCGCAGGCAGCTTCTCCAAGCTACTTCCCTTCGACCGCTTCGTTTTCCGCTACAGGTTCTCCTGGCACCCTTGCCTACTCACCGCGTTCTCTAGCGGATCTAGCACCACCTCAGCAGCTGGCGCAGTCTGCATTCTCCAATAGTCTCGGGTTTTATACGCGGCCTACCGACGTGGCAGCTAGCGCTGGCTGCCATATCGCCAGAAAGCCCCCAATCCCGAGCACAAATATTGCTACTATAAAAACACCAACGAGGCTTCAGAGGGAAGTGAGTGGTAGTGACGGTCCTGGTGAAGCGAGTCAACAACAGGAACGTGCTATTTCACAACAAGCTGATACCCGCGATGGTATCTTCAAGACGTCTAGCCTGCGCCCTCAAGAGCAATATGTCGTTGGCAGTGATGGAAAGAAACGCAGGCGACTTGATCTTCGGTCGAAGCCTGAAACAGCGGCGAGTGGCATGGCGATCGGGACCTCCAACTCGCTATACCGGAAGAAGCCCGCCAGCTGGTATATGGGTCCGAACAGAATCACCGCCGATGAACTTTTCTATCCAATCCTTCCAAACGAAGACAATGGCGACGGTTCTTTTACCATTTTGAGCCCCGGGTTTCCACGCGGTCATCAACTCTTTGTAAAGCACTGTCTTCATCATTATTATCGACAACGACCAGTACGTCTAAGTGGCGAAAAGGGATACAAAAGATGGGCCGTTGTCCCATATGAGAAGCCCAGAACGCAGGGCGATCCGTACCATTTCACTCTATATTCCTTTCGAAACGGAAGGGTAACTATGACCCAAGAGGAAGTGGCACGGTGGCCCGAGCTCAATACCAAAAACGAGACGGGACTTGACGACTCAGCACCAGCCTTCAAGTCTCGGGATCCGTTTGAATATCTCCTCCAAAAGTACCCCGCCAAGGAGGACGACGAAGATGCTCATCCTCTCTATGGTGAATCGGGTTCGGAAGGCGAATACGACGACGATACATGGCGTGAGATGCAGGAAGATGAGCGAACGCCATCTACTGCCAAAGAGAAGTTCCTAAGCGCCCAGGAAATCGACTTGGTTATGGAGCAATGTGTGAAGGAGTATGAGGATAAATGGAGGAATGACCACCTGCCAAGAGAGGAAGCGAAGGCACGCAGGATCTGGATCTTGGCGAGGAAATATAGGAACAGAAATCAACAGACGAAGGCGCTGTTTCTTGATATTGGTCTACTGGAACATCGTTTGACGAAGATACAGAAAAATATCCGTCTCAATGAATACACCAAAGTCGAGGATCTCAAATCACAGTGTCAAAGCATGGAGCAAACAGTCTTCAGCATCCAGGCACAAAAGTGGCGTATCTCCGTCCTTGGACAAGAGGCCTGTCCTCCGCGGGTTTCTATTATACCACCAAAACCAAAGCGAGTGGCACGGCATCAGTCTGACCTTGATGAAGAATCGCTGGGCTCTGAGTCTGACGAAATATACGACGATGACCTGGATGAATTTATCGATAATGATCTTGCCAGTGTCGACCAGTACAAAGCAGATGAGTCAATGCCGATAGGTGGCTTTTCAAAGCCGAATAGGACTCCGTTCTCTTCTCATGCGCAGTTCGACTCTTCTTCTTCTGACAGTGAATTCGACGCAATCAGCCCCTCGGGGGAGAAAATAAAGGTCTTTTCTGAACGACGTCGCGGTGTGGCAATGAAAATGCAAACAGAAAACAAGGCCACTCTTCCATCACGGCCTCCTCCACCGAGAGATCAAGAAATCCAATGGATCGATCTCACACAAGATTCTCCACCTCCGGGTGTCGATAATTTCGACATCACTACACCTCCTCTGAACCCTCTGCGCTCTTCTCCTAACGAGATGACTGGGATTCTTCTAAAGAATGAACACCATTCTCGGTCCCCCACGCCCTTGCATCTGGAGGAAGCCGACAACCCCGGAACATCGCCACGGTCCTCGAGGAAAGACAAATACGGCAGCGATATTACACTTCCCGGCGTCCTTGATTTCAAGGGTCTCCAGCGGGTTGATTATAGTGTGCTTGAGGACCTGCATGACCGTGAAAGGCTACTTTCTAAGCTCTTGGCAAGTTTGCCAGATGAAGAACGAAACCAGGTGGTAGATTATGTGCTATCTTGTCGTACATCGAGCCTTCGTAAGAGGGTAGTCGAAGCTCTTAGGCTGTGGCTTCGACATGGCCGGATGATCCGGGACTTAGACGAAGTTGAGAATGGGGTTATAATGCGAACAACATCTTTGTATGTCTCGTGGACTCGCTGCGTGGCGGCTACCCAGGAGGGAATACCGAGGAGACATATCAGGAATGCTATCAAGCAAGCAAGTAAATTCCCAGAGTTTGCCAGAGAACTGACTACGCGTCTCGAAGTGCTGGCAAAATACTATGGTCAGACAGGTGGGACTGAACCCCGCCAGAGAAGTACCTCAGCAATTGCCGGTTCCGAACAAGCTGTTCGAGGTCCCGACGTCGATATACAGCAAGCTTCGTTTCTTACTCCTCATAAAAAACGCAAGAGGGAAGTTAAAGAGAGGCAGGAGGTGAAGCAGAATCATGCAAGTGCACAGCTCCGAGCAGCAATTCAGGAAGAACAACGTAAACGCCTCGAACAAAAGATGGAAAGCGTTGGTGTCGGTAACGATGATCCTTCTCGTCAGGCTGTGACATTCGAGACACCAATCATATACCTCGACCCTCATATCGGTCGTCGAGTCAAGCCACATCAACTGAGAGGTGTGCAGTTCATGTGGCGTGAGTTAATCCAGGATGAGAAACGCCAAGGATGTCTCCTTGCCCATACTATGGGCCTGGGGAAGACGATGCAAGTGTAGGTGCCTGCCTTCATTATCTCCGAAGAAAGTGCAAGACTGACGTTTGATCAGGATATCCTTTCTAGTCACGATATCTGCTGCTGCTTCTTCGAACAACCCTGGCATTAGAGCACAGGTACCGGCCTGTTTCCATAGGTCGCAGACGTTGATTCTGTGTCCTTCTTCCTTGATAGACAATTGGTATGAGGAGTTTCTCATGTGGACGCCACGAACAAACTACCTGGGACCTCTTCGAAAGATCACCAGTGCGAGCGCATTCGGCGAGCGAATACGGGAACTCTCTGCCTGGGACGAGGAAGGTGGCGTGTTGATCATGAGTTACGACATATTTCGCACCTGGGTTCACAATAAGGAAACCAAAACTCGCGGCCGACCTTTGGAGTTTGAGGATCACGTGCGGATCAGGGAGCAACTCCTTGACGGCCCGAACATCATTGTGGCGGACGAAGCCCATAAAATGAAAAATAGGACCGCTGGCATTTCCGCTGCCGCAAGTGAATTCCGATCTAAAAGTCGTATTGCCCTGACAGGTTCTCCGCTCGCTAATAATCTTGTTGACTACTACGCTATGGTTGACTGGATCGCGCCGGGGTACTTGGGAAATTTCGTGGAGTTCAAGGCCAATTATGTGGAACCTATTGAGGAAGGCCTCTACGCGGACAGCACCTATTCTGAAAGACGAAAGTCTCTCAAGAAGTTACAAGTGCTGAAGGAAAACTTAGGTCCTAAGATAGACCGTGCTGATATATCAGTGTTGGAAGGCAGCCTTCCTCCAAAGGTGGAATTCGTCATTACAGTGCCATTGACTGACCTGCAGAAAGAAGCGTACGACATGTACGTCAATTCAATTCAGGCGGGTAGATCCGAAGTTGGGACTGCCAGATTATGGTCTTGGCTGGCAATATTATCACTGTGCTGCAATCACCCAGCCTGCTTCAATGACAAACTTCTCACTCAGTCGGATCGTCCACGAAAGCAAGGTAGAAAATCAGACGACTTCGATTCAGAAGAGCTACCGGGTGACGAATCGCCAATCCAGGCGGGGTTGTCAGAGACGATGATTGCTTCTCAGAGAGAGCTGTTTGCTAAAGTCGATAATCTCAGAGCTCCTGGGCTCTCTTACCGTGCCGAGATACTAGATCAAATTATTCGCGAATCCGTCAGAGCCGGTGATAAAGTTCTAGTGTTCTCTCATAGTCTGCCAACTCTCGATTACATCGAGCACATGTTAAGGCAATCCGAGAGAAGATATCTCCGCCTTGATGGCCATACCCCAATCTTCAGCAGGCAGGCCGCCACTAAGAACTTCAATCAAAGTGGTTCCGATCAGCAAGTCTATTTGATTTCCACCAGAGCTGGTGGCCTGGGTCTCAACATCCCCGGTGCGAATCGGGTTGTCATATTCGATTTCTCATTCAGTCCTACCTGGGAGGAGCAGGCTGTCGGCCGAGCATATCGGCTTGGACAACAGAAGCCTGTCTACGTCTATCGCTTTATCGCCGGAGGCACTTTCGAAGAAGTCATGTATAATAAAGCTGTCTTTAAGACACAGCTTTCGTTCCGCGTTGTCGACAAGAGAAATCCAATTCGTTGGGCTTCCAAGTCGGCTAAAGAGTACCTCTTCGCTTCCAAGCCAGTCAAAACTGAGGACGTCTCTGGATATATCGGGAAGGATCCTGAAGTGTTGGACAGGATAATCCAACGAGATAACCATAAAATGATAAGGAAGATCGAGCTCACAGAGACTTTCCAGCGAGAGGATAACGATAAGCTGACCGAAGAAGAGAAGAGAGATGTCAGAGAGGAGTTGGACGATGAGATTCTCAAGAGGAATAACCCGGAGGCGTATTATCAGAAGCTGAGGGAAAGACAGGCAGCTGAAGCAGCGTTGAGACCTCCAGCCTCAACATGGGGAGGGCCTTCTTCTTACACAGCTCCTGCATTTGGCCAAACGCAGAGCTTTGTCGCTCATGCACCTCTCACCCAAAATGATACCGCTCACTGCCCTCCTCCCCTAGAACCAGATATGAGCCTTCTTCGCAGCCAGCCAGCTCCAGTGCCTGGCACTTCTACAGCGAAGCTTTTGAATCCTCTAGCGCATACCAACTTGCCTCAAGGACACAGTCCCGCCACTCTCGAGCTGGGCGCTTCTGGGGCAGCCCCTATGTCACACGATGATACAGTTCGGCGATCTACTCAGGCACACCACGTAGCAACAGCTACGCAAAATGAACCTGAAAGCAATGGGATTTTCCAAAACCATGTCCCTTCTACTGCCACAGTAGAGTCAGATCGGACCGCAAACAACGCGGAGTCTTCGAAGGCTTCTAGTACTGCATCCTCTGGCTATGCAAGTCGGATAAACTGTAAGCAACAATGACTCCTGTATTCGGGCAGATTTTCTTCTTGTTCATAGACTTTTTTTTCTTTCTTTCTTCATTGACCATATAGATACAGCTAGAGATCCTTTGGCGCACATGATACCCAGTGGAACTTTGTGATACCCAGGAAGTCCGATATTCTTTTTTTTAACAAGAAACCTTACTAAATTTACCTAATGCACTATTCCATTTCGCCCAGTGGCGTCATTTCACTTGAGAAATACTATTTCATGCGGCATAAGCACGTTAGTTTGGACACATTGACTTGATGATCCAACCAAGTACTGCCTTGCCGACTCAACTAATTCAACAATTGCAGTCCCTCAATAGACTGCGAAATATCCTTTGCAACCCCTCAAGCTACGCGGTTCTTGATCTATTTTGCGGATGGGCTTTTCCTTGCATGTTCATTTTGTTCGCTTCTTTTCCAGCAGCTCTGAAAATCAAGGCATTGCACACGCTTTCCCCCCCTTTTTTCCTCAAAATATCTCTCAGATACTTAGTTTGTCTCACCACCAGCCGGTCCACGCATCTAATATCTGTTCTCCGGGCATACTTATCTTCAAAACACCTTTGATTTTAATCTGCATATCTAATAATGAGAAAAAAAAAATACCAGCAGCCAAAATGGAAGCGCTTGGCGCAATCGGGATGGCGGATGGCGTTCATCAATAATGAGATCATGGAAAATGATGATATGATGACTCTCCTTATGGTTCTTTATCTTGGCTCTACCCGACATAATGTGAAGGACGAAGCGGGGAGTTTATTCTCGGTTTATGCCCTCGAAAGCTTTCTATTCTTATGTGTATTTTTCTTTCGGAAGCTTTGTCTTTCTCCTCGTGCGTGTGTGTGTAATAATTCAATTATGTGGTTGGAAAAAAAAAAAACCATGTTTGCTAATTACAGTGAGATCTTAGATGCTATTTATGTAAGAGATACTTCCCTCTCCAGTTCCGAGCCCATGGTGACGATGCGTCATCGGTTATTATTACTGTTGCCTCGCTAGTAAAGTGCGCCATGGGGTAAAATATACAACTACGAAAAGGAACATTGAAAAGAAATATTCATACAGTGAACTATCGAAATATGTAGCCGAAAAGTAATAGGATATCCTCCGCGAAGCAATGGAATCGGTATCAATATACATAGTACACGGATATCAAAGTTAAATCGACTAATTTGATTTAGCCAGATAGAAATTAGAAGCCGGTAGGAGAGCAATCGAAACATATGTGACAGGTGAAAATATTGTGTTTTGTGCAGATGTAGAATCATGGACAACGAAAAGGAATAGCTGTACAGCAGAAATGACCGTCTTGAGTGTTGCCAGGATACAATATCCCTCCTCAACCGATGAGCTTTTCCAGATCGGCAAGTCTTGCGGCCTTGTCCTCGGCTTTCTTCTTCTTGCCTGTCTCGCGGAACGCAGCCATCATGAGATTGCGCTTGGTGTCTTGGATCTCTAGGACGCGGTCTTCAATACTTCCTTCCATGACCAGCCGCCAGATAGTCGTCTCTCGCTTCTGGCCGAGTCGGTAGACACGGTCCATAGCTTGATCTTCAATAGCGGGCGCCCACCAGCTGTCCGCAAGAATGACCTGATTTGCTGCAACAAGATTAAGACCGACGCTGCAGACATTCAGACTAGCGAGCAGGACTTTGCACTCAGGGTCATTGGAAAACTGGTGGGTGGACTTGTCACGTTTGGCAGATTGCATCTTTCCGTCTATCCGAGCGAAAGATATGCCGTTACGCTCGAGGTGAGGCTCGATGATGTCAAGAAATGAAGTCCACTGGCTGAAAACGACTGTCTTGGTGTCCGGGGCTTGGCCCTTGGCTGTGAGGATCTTGATGAGAGCTTCAATCTTGCTGCTGGGACTGTCCGGATCGACCTCGCCACTGCCCTCATCCTCTCCCAACTCCACCGCAGGGGATACAAGAGTAGATGTATCCTCGATCTCCGCACGGCACAGGGGACACTTATGTTGTTTTTCAATGACCTGCTCGATGCATGCACGGCAAAACGGGTGGGCACAGGCCGTGATAACAGGCTGCTCCAATAAATCCAAGCACACTGAGCAAACTTCTTGACTCTCAATTCTGAGTTGCAGCATGTCCTGGAGTGCTTTGATGTTTTCCGGTGTCAATTGGACAACTTTGTGCTCTTCCAGCATTGACATCAGCTTGTCAATGCGATTCTTGCACAGTGACCAATGGTTGCAGACTTGGCGCAGCCGAAGAATAACTTCGAGAAGATGGGAATACGTTGTGTTGCCGTGCTTATCCTTGGACTGATAGTCCAACATCTTGCCCTTCGCCTCGGATCTAATCTCGGTTAGTCACTGAAGAAACACAATAAGTATGAGGACTCACAGAAACATGTCGTATTTTTCCTGTTCGTGCGGATGGAACTTCACACGCAGGACGTGTGATCTCAGCGGCGGGAGACGCAGATTGATGAAGTTCATATCTTTCCTTCTCCGCAAGCAGATAGTAGCCATCAGACCCTGAAGAAGAGTGCTTGCTTCCGGATCACCGTAAGTCAAGGGTCGAATGAGGACACTATTGAACAATGCAAGATCTTCTAGGCCGCCAGAAAGTCTTAAGAAACGGATCTGAGAATAGAGATCTCTCAGAGAGTTGATAATTGGGGTTCCAGTCAACGTCCAACGGGAATCTGCCTTTAGATTGCAAGCTGCAAGGGCTGCTTTGGACCTGGGGTTACGGATTGTATGGCCCTCATCCAAAACGACTCGGCGCCAATTAGTCGCAAATAATCCCTTGGTCGGGGTGGCTTTCGAGTCCGGCTTGTACTCTTGGCTGAGCGCGCCATAGCTCGTGACAACCACGTCGTACTGGCTCAGATTGCCGGCTTCTTTCTTCCCTGGTCCATGATACCTGAGCACGCGGAGACCCCTTTCTTCAGTTGTGTGGGTTGCGATCTGATCTATCCAATTACTCATCACTCCAACAGGCGAAATAATCAGTGTTGTCTTTGATCCAGACGTCTTCGGTTCTGAGTTGGCCAGGATCAGAGAAATAATCTGTATAGTCTTTCCCAAACCCATGTCGTCAGCAAGAATCCCACCGCTAGCAAGAGGCGGCTCTTGTCTGGTCGAGTAATTCGTAGCAATATTGGTAAAATAGCTCCCGTTTCTCTTCCAGAGCTGGACAATAGCCTGTGAACCAGGAGCGGGCAAGACTGGAGACTCCTTTTCAATCATCCATGCCAAACCCTGACGCTGGTAAGGGAGTAACTCCGTCGTCAAGCCTGCAGGGTTCTCAGCCATGGGCATATTTTCCAAATCCGTCTCGTCGACACCAAATTTCTCCACAACTTGGCCCATCTCTCTAGGATTGAACGTGCTACTTTGCCCGATAAGGTCTTCCAGGCTCTCCGCCTGGCCCTCTCCATCCGGAGTCGAGAGATTGGCAAACATTGGTTGACCCTGGCTGTCCCATTGTACTCCCTTTCCTTTGGCAAGGGAGCGAGATCGTTTCTCAGCTTCCTTGCGCTCCTTTTCTCGCTGCTTCTGGAGCCTGAGCTCTTCCCGCTCACGTTTCTTTACTTGGCCCAGTGGGAGTCTATCCAGTTCCATCCGGGCCTTGAGTTCTGCCCGCCGTTGCGGATCATATGGACCATAGAGTTTCAAGAGCACAGGGCAGTCAAAATCTCCTTTGGGTCCGCTCAGAATTCCCTCTATGAGAAGATCTCTGGAATCCTGCAATCGGTTACCAAGTGTGCTCGTCCTCTATCGGGTGATATCGAGACTTACCATATATTTCGCCAGTTTGGCTGCCGTATTACGAGGAATATGGCCAATCTGATGCCCCATGACATTATCCACACGGATAGCATTGCGATCATAGGGGTTGCCCGGCTCTCTTTTGAGAATGACATGTTCTCCAACAGTAGCCTGCCCTCGATAGTAGCGCACGCCGACAATCTTCGTAGGGAGATTATCTGTGCGATGTCAGCGGACGACACCACTAGCCTTATCAGATATAATAAGGATTATGTGCTAGTATACCGTAAAGTTGATACTCGCTGTACGTGGCATCCTCAAAACCCTGAGAACCAGGAATCAACTCGACAGCGCCCGCATCATCATCTTCGTCCTCCAGACTCGCTTGGCTCAACGGTAGAAAGGCGGCATTTACGCCAAAACGGCTGCCACTGCTCCAACTTTCGCGTTCCTCAAGCTCCGCTCTTGTCTTGCTGGGACGAGCAGAAGTTCCGCTGGTATCCGTGAGGTCGACGACATCGATCTTACGCTTGCCCGAAACTCTCGCCATTTCCCCAAAACGACTGATGAGTGGCCACTTTGCTATACCCTGAGATAGAAACAGATATCGGATTCAAGGAAGAATTGGATATCAGCAGCGGAATAGCGCAACCGTGACGCGCCGCATTGATACTGTGTGCTGAGCTATCTTAGGAAATATCAAACATTAAATTAATGATAGGATATCTATCCTCGAATTTCCCATGGAAGGGATGAATGACAGTCCTTATCCAAATCGCTTTGGAGAGTATGTGGAGGAAGGTATGCTGACTAGGGGAACTCTGGGTTGTTGATAGACGCGCACTGATTCGGACAAAGAAGCAAGCGCGCTAAGTAGAGTCGCGACTCCACATGATCGATCAACACCAACTTATCTAACGTCTCGCGATCTTCGTCCAAGTTTCTTTTCGACAACTCGGACCAACGGCCCGTCCTAAAGCTACCATTTCCTTTCGCTTTGTCTTCTTGGCATTTGCATGGCGTTCAGTCTGTCATTTCTGTCTTCTTGGCTTCTAGCAACTAATGAGCCATGACCTGCTCTCGTTAGAATTATTCCCGTGCACTTCCGGGCACAGCTCACTTCTACAGTTTAGCTCCAAGACCCCGAGAGCTTTTGGCTCCCAGTCCTGGATCTATAGAAATGGAGATCACGAACGTGAACACTTACCGTGACCTTATAGCACAAAGGGGTAAATACGTCGAGGATGTCTTACGGAGCGGAGAATATGACCCTTTTCTTCTGCACCATTCCTTCCTACTTTTGGCACTGCCACTTGCTGCCTTATTCATTCCTCACAGAAATGCTCTTCTGCGAGCATCTCGATATATATTCTTTCCATTGATTCTCGGTTTGGGATCCTACATTATCGTGTACACCAAGGCCTCCGCAGTTGGCAATGGCTACTGCATCGGCCTTGTTACCACATGGTGGATTCTTTGGTCTGCCATTATGCTTATTATGAATGATGTCCAAAAGGACTTCAAGAGAATTGAAAAATTCTCAGTTCCTGCCAGTGATGATGCAGACAGGCAACGAGTCAACCGTACTCCGGAGCCTCCACGCATGGATTCAAGGGTGAACGGCAATGACTCGTCGGTCAGACATCGTCATACTTCAACTACACAGGATCCTCCTCCACCGGGAACAGACAAAAATTATAAAGAAGTGCTTCGATGGCAATCATATCCTGAGTCGCTTGGACACCGTTTCAACTGGATCCTGGGCCTGCTGTTCAACTTTCGAGGCACGGAGTGGAACTGGAGGATATCTGTTGTTCCCGCATTTCCACAACCCATAGCTGACCAAATGGAAGGGAATTCCTCTAGTGTGGATACGTCCGAAGTCATTGATCTTCGGGAATCTCGAGAGTGCCTCAAACAGGCCACTTGGAGATTCTTGAGAGACTACATCGCTCTTGACATAATCAAAGTGATCATGATGCGTGATCGCTACTTTTGGGGCCTCATCTCGGACCCAACCCCGCCCCTTTTCCCTTTTGGCATACTAGCCTCGATCCCTCTGCTTCTCCGTCTCTATCGTCTGGTTTTATCCTGCATTGGGGTCTTCGTCGCAATCGATTTCGTGACGTGCCTGAATCCCATCTTCTTTCTCGGTTTCTCTCTGGCCTTTCCAAATGCTTCGCGGGCTATGACGAGCGTACCCCTTGAAGCTGCGTGGCTTTACCCTGACGAATTCGGACCTTTCAGACAGTCCATATTGGACCATGGCATCGCTGGCTGCTGGGGTATATGGTGGCACCAGCTCTTCCGCTTCAGTTTCTCTGAACCCGCCAGGTGGCTATCGTCATTCCTTCCACGCGAACTACGTCACAATGGAGGCCGGCGTGTCGTCTACTTACTCGCCCCCTTCGCCATAAGCGGCCTGCTTCATGCATTTGGAAGCTACTGCCAAACAGCAGCAACCGAGCCGTGGTCTGGTCCGTTTCCGTTCTTTTTCCTACAGAGCGTTGGCCTCGGTGTACAACGAGTCCTAGCTAAACACGTTTTACCAAAGATACTGCCATTTCAACCACCTTCATGGCTGCGCAGAGCGACAAACCTCACAGTTGTTATCGCGTGGTTTGTTTTCACGGGCCCTGTTGTCACAGATGACTTTGCAGCTGGTGGAGTGTGGTTAATTGAGCCTGTTCCGATTAGTGTTGTTCGCGGATTGGGATTTGGAGCTGAAGGTGATGGTTGGTGGCGCCTTCGTGGACATTGGCTCGAGTGGTGGAATGGGAAGACATGGTGGCAGAGTGGAATTCGGTTCGTATGATGCGATACCCACGTGCAGTATACCTTTTGGATCTGTGTAAGAGGACGAGACGAAGGATCTGCTCGTTCCAAGCGGGCTCTATATATTATCGTTATTATCATTGTTACTCGTATCAATCATGATCCACCGTTCACCATCCACAAGGTTACCGTGCGTACGTATATAGTTCCCTGATGAGAAAAAAGGATCAATGATACCCTAACAAGTACACCATGAGAGTACTAACTTGAGACCACCAACAAGAACACGCATCCATCTCGACTTAAGATTCGGAATATGCCGGCCGATTGATGGTGTCGCTGGCATCTCCGAACTCTAGAGTAGTTATACAATGATGCAAGGTACTGTATATATATATATACTTTTCCTGTTCTATCATTCGATCTATTTCGTTGTACTTTAGCTATTTATACAGAAAATTATGATGTGCACTTTTATCCCTCCATGTCGACATCCTCTTCATCTTCGTCATCAGTATCCGGTTCAATATTCAAGGCTGGCAGTTCGTCATCACTGTCTTCATCATCTTGGGTAGCGGCAGCTCCGCCTTGAGCTCCCGTGGCTTCAAACCTGGTAGCAACGGATGCAGGGACGGAGACACTAGGGTTAGACACAGATGGAGCGGAAGGCCCAGATACTGAAGGAGCAGTAGCCGGCGTTGCACTAGCCTCTGACAGGGTTACCGGAACTGTTGCAGCGGCACCTTTATCAGTGGCTACGATGCTTGATGCGGCAGGGGTTGGAAATGTCCGTTCAAGAAGTGTTGGTGCATTGGCGGATTCGAGACGCATTTTCTTTGACTCCCCGTTGGTGATGGCGGAGGGTCTGGGTGCGTCAGTTTCCATGGCGTCTCCAGGGTACGTCCTCTTGCTATGAGCGTTTATCAGGTCTTGCGCAACTTCAGCTTCGACAGCTACTTGGTTGTGGGAAGCTGGGAGGAAGCGATCAAGGGTGTCTGTTGCGGGTCTGGCAGCTTCATATTTTGGTGCAGTGACCTCATCTTCTTCCTCATCTTCTCCGTCGATCATGGACATGTTTCTCTCGGGACCGCCGAGTAGGACGGGCATTCTAGGTCGCAGGAGCCCTTCGACTTCTAGTTCAGCACTATACTCTCTGGCCAAGAATGGCATGATGCTTGGGTTTGCTCTCCGGCCCTTAACGACAGGAACTGGGTTGAGGACACTAGCCAGCATGGCTTCCTTGTTTTGCGTTAGGATCACTGTCCGGTCAATCTCAGCCCGTAGTGGTGGAGGTACATGCTCAGCAGGGAGCCAGACGAGTAAGACTGTCAGAAGTCGAGAAGCAGCGAGTTGAAGACCTTGAACTGATGCAATGTCTCGGAGTTGTTGGATCTTTCTGACGTCTGCGTTCAAGAAAGCATCGGCATTCAAACTACCCTGCTTAGACTTCGATTTTCCTTTCGACTCCGACTGTTGGTTTTGCGCAGATTGTGTATCGACACTTGATGGGAGGAGGTCTTGGCAGCAAGTCCTGATCAGCGGACTGAGAGTAGAAATATGTTGTTTCCTCATTGAGCGGCCGACCAAGGGAAGCAGGCGGTACAGCAGTGCGTACAATGCGGTGCGGACGTCTTTGTTGAATTTCTCCGAATCGAAAATCCAGAGCGCCTGCTCCAGCATGTTCTGGGCAACGGGTACCACACCCGTCTCCAACAAGTCGACCACCGTCATGAAAAGCTCCAGGCAAGCAACATGGATGCGAGGGAGTTCACTCCAGAGGCTTTCACGTTCATCTCGGCCAATCTGTGGATTCAGCTGCACAGTACTCTCAAGTGTGTCTTTTCCTTCTGGGGGCACTGTAACAGAGGCCAGCCTAGATGTTAAGTCCAGTATTGACCCCAGAGGGATATTCACAGTAGCTGCTGTCCGCGTCGAGATAAAGCCAGAAAGAAGATGTAGTAGATTTGTCAGCCTGTCAGACCCAGCATGAATTCCTTGCCATCCTGGAAGACCCAGAGGATCGGATTCCCAATCCCCAGCTTGTTGGCTGTAGTCATGGGGCCTTGCGACCTGTCGCAGAGTGGAATCGGTGGACTCCCATTGCTCGACGACAGCTCTAAAGGTGTAGTCGGCGGCTCTATGAGTGGAAGAGATCGTCAATCGGAGGGCTGCCTTCCATTCTTCACCGTGGGTATTTTTCGGGGCGCAGTTGTGAAGGGATATGAACAGTCGATGTGCCAATCGGTTAACAGCTTCCGGGAAAGACTGGCCTGATGTTCCAATGATAGCGATGAGAAGGCTATGAATCTGAGCAGAGAAGGGACGCAGTACTGTCGGGTGTCTTGCGATCAGGTCTGTGAGAGCATGCAGGACGGTTTCGAGCAGCGACGCATTCGGCTTGAGCACTCTAGTCGGCTCCGACGTTGGTTTCACAGAGACGGCATTCAGACACGATGTGATAAAACCAGGCAGGGAGGGAGTAGTTATTTCTCGAACCAACGTCTGATATTGGTATGTAAGGTGGAATATCCGCGTCAACGTGATGATGCAAAGTTTCTTGGTCGATGTTGGGTCCGGTTTCTAAACAGATGGGCTTCAGCAAGCGGCTACTTGATAAACGTGAAATCTGAAGTTGCGAGAGAGGGCCTGAAATATTAAAGACGACCAAATTCAGAAATACGCACCCCAAGCACGCTCAACAATCCGCGCACCCATGGCTCACATCCGCGCAGAATCTCCCATCGACCAGCTTCTATTGTGGCCTTCACCAAGATAACCGCCGTCCATCGTCCTTCAATACTGCGGTCCTGGAGCAAGCCCGTCAATCGAGTCTTGAGCTTGTGGACCTGGAGAGAAGCATCCGACTCCGATCGCGCATTATTCTGGGATTGAGGTGCAGAGAGGATATCAGCGCAGTCCCCCAAGGCTGTCGCAAGAAAAGCAGCAATCTGAGGCAGCTGATTCACGGGAGTCGTCGTTAATCGATGCGTCACGGCGCGAAGAGTGGTGAGGGACGCCATTGAGACTTTGGGGTTTGAGATATCGCAGGATAATAGAAGTCGCCTGTGAAGGATCTTCTTTCTCCCCGTCTGAATGAAGAAAATTCCTCTTTCGCATCAATCTGAAGCTCGACAAAGACCGCGGGGAAGAAAAAATATTGAGCACAGACCACCACAGCTGTGGTGTAACTTACAGTGTAATTTTGGTCACCGCATTACACAGCGTTAGCGGTCACAGGCCGTCTGGGCGGTAATGATGATCATCCCGAGGCCAGTGAACCCGTTGGGGGATCTAGCAGGTGGTCAACTCGCTGCTTATGAGATGATCTAAGGGCCCCCGACCTTTCTGTGCGAGTATGGGCGTGAACGTCCCTGTCATTCCTGTCTAGAGTGCTGCCCCCGCAGACCAAACCAGGATAATGAGTGTAAGTGTCCTCCCGGTGTGAACAATTGGCCTCCTTACGCGTCCTTAAACAGTGCATGGAGGGGAGCAACAACTGACATATGCAGCAGGGCAAAGACAACGATAAGGCGCATCGCTATATCGCCGCCTTGGACGATGCACGCTGCCAAGATAGATGGAGTGAGATTCCAGAGTTGATTAGGAAAGTTACCAAACATGCGCCGGAGAGGAAATGTAACACTATACTGTCCAATAATCCCTGTTGCTTGGACCGAACGCTAACTTGTGGTATGATTATTAGGTCTTCTACAGGTAGCCAGCGCAGAAAGCCAGGTAGTGGCTTATATCAACAGTCGACCTTCCACAGCAGCAACGTCGAATTCAGGGTCCGCATCTACCCAACTATCAGAATTGATACCTACCCTTCTATCGGTCATTGAGGAAGCACAAGGGACACCGCAGGATGTCTTCCAGGCCCAGGTTTGTCTGGGATGGGTACACTGGGTGTTGTCAGAGCCGGCTTTGGCTGCTGCTCGCCTGCCGAAAGATTTCTATGCTACCGTACAGACACTCTCAGGAGAGGGTGAGGCACTGTCACCATGGACGGAGGTCTGCCTGGTGAAAGGGTGCTACATAAAGGGTAAGACTACTGGCAAACCAAAATGTATGTCCACTAGCTAACATGTAGCAGGTGCAGGCCAATCCATCGTGTCGACAGCCGATGAAGCGATGCAGACTTTCAGTTCTGTTCTACCCTGGCTCGCCGCCCTCAACCAGGCAACGACTTTCTCTCCACAGCTTCTTTTCTGGACCGAGAAGCTTCTAGCTAAAGCAGCATTAATATCAAGCGGAGAGGCCCAGGCTCAGGGGCCTGCCGCAAGCGAAAAGACCATCGAACTGGCTCTTAAGTCGTTTAGACTGTGGTCCGCCCATCCTAATGTCAAATCTGAGTTGGCGCCTCAGAATGCATTTCCGGTAGAAGCACCGCTGCAGTCTTCCGTATGGAGGTCTTACTACGATCTTCTTTCAGCAATCCTGCAAAGAGGCCTGGTCTATGTGCCTTCCTCAGAAGGATCAGCACGCCTCCAACTGGCCAGCGAATTCAGACGGGTAGAAGGTGTCTGTGAGAGCAATCTGCTGAAGGAAGTCAGATTCCCTGTTGCAAGCGCCAGAGCGCCGCAGGTAGAGGCATGGGTCGAACAGGTTATCGGAAATTGGGAAGTGCTCTGTGGCCCGGACTGGACGGATGAAGACCTTGGGGAAGGAGGTCAGAATGCACTAAGTAGGAATGTTGTCGATGTGAGTGTGAAAATACAGCAGACTAATGGCTGATCAGATGCACTAACTTCGTCTTCAGATCCTTTATCGTGCCGCTACCAAATCATACCATTCGCACCTGATCCTGCGACGCCTGTTTCACGTCCATTCTGCTCTGGCTGATTTTGACCTTGCTATGAAAGCTCTAGATTCGTATGTCGAGATTGTTCTGAGCGCGAAGGATAGAGCAGAGAAAGGCGCAGAGTTAGGAGAACTCGAAGATGAAGAAGTCCTGCTAAAGACTATCTCTGAAGGGGTCCTCATGCTGTGCTCACTAGGCGCTTTCAGCGAAGCTGAAAAGGCCAAGAAGCTGACTGAAATCCTCGTGGATTGCGTCGAGAAAGACCTCCGAGGAGAATCCCCAGGCAATAAACAACAAACTGTCTCCCCTCCTGTGATTGCTATGGCCTACAGGGCTATTGGCATCGGACTTGCAAATTGGGCGAGGTGGACTCCAGTCAACGAATCTCGTGATGACATCAGGGCTGAGGCCCTGGATAACCTCGAGCGGAGCATCGCCCCGGAATGGGAGGATCAATTCAACATTTCGAGCTATTTTGCGCTGTCGTTGCTCTTGGCTGAAACTAGGGATCTCGATGGTGCAATTGACTGCGTCAAATCAGCATTGGCATGGAACAGCCAGTCCCTCAGCGAGCATGCTGTCATGGATTCAAAGAGGCTTTCCAGAGAGCGTGACCTAGTGCCTCTATGGCACCTGCTTGCGCTTTTGCTCAGTGCTAAACAAGACTTTGACATCGCGGGCCGCTCGTGCGAAGCAGCATTCGAGCAATTTCCAACCGCTGTGAACGCCTTCGGTCAGAATGGACGTTCTGTGGACCGAGACTCAGCCGGTTTTGCGAAGGTACTGATCGATCAGCTCAGCGGGCGAGAGAAAGAGCGCATAATTGAGACACGCATGACCCAGCTGGCGTTGGTTGAGGTCATGGACGGTGCTGAAGTTGCTCTTAACCGTAGTGATCAGTTATTGAGTCTTTTCGCTGCATTGTTTGGGGAGCACGATCTTGTCGAGAAGACTACCCCAACTACCCCGACGACACAAAATGGCACAAAGACGGAGCAGCTTGAGATACCCAAGACCTCTGCTGGTAGTGTCAGAAGCTTCCGTGGTAGCATATTTGGCCGAAAAAAGAATGCTCGACAACATGACAGTGCTGCTGACAATGACGGAGAGCGAAATCTGCCAACGCGCTCAGGAAGGTCAGGCTCTCTGCGGCACAGATTGCACAGACATGAGGACAGCAAGACCACCCACCCCGAGGCTCAGCACCAGAATTTGAAAGAAACTAATGGTGTTGGACCGATTGAGCCCAAGCAGGGCGCCGAACAGCCACAGTCTCCGGAGACGGTAGGCATTGCAGTTTCAGATCACGCCCCCTCGCCCTCCTCTCCTCAAAATGAAAAGCAAAGCTCAACGCAACCCCTGCCGCCGGTTGCTCATAATATCAAGCACAAAGATCTGCCGCCGCCGGCAGGTCACGAAAAGCAACCTCCTGAACAGGATGTCCGATTGCCAATTTCTGACAGGTTCGACTCGCCTACGGGTGCAGTTATACGATTCCCTGCTGTGCAAGCACAGAAGCATGCCTTGGTGATTCTCGTCAAAATCTGGCTACTGATCGCTGGTCTCTACCGACGATCAGGGCTCTTCGAAGATGCCAGCGAAGCCTGCGAGGAAGCATCGAAGCAGGCTGCTCGGTTTGAGGCGTTGGTCGCATCCCAGGAATTCTCTGCAAAGAAGTTCTCTGAGCGTACCTGGGGAACCGGCAAGAGCTCTGAGGAACTCTGGGGAGACGTCGAAGCTGAACGGGGTGCGATCTCCCTCGCTCAGGGGCTTCCACACGAAGCAATTAGCCATCTTGAGAGTGCTTTGATGCGCTTCCCGGACCATCCCAAGGCAACTATCTTGTTAGGGAATTTGCTTCTCGATATATGGGACAACAAAATCCCAGCGGAACCACGATCTCCCAGCCTCCAACCCGACTTCGCTGACCTGTCACTTTCCGATTATGTGAAGCTTCCGGGTGCTTCTGAAAAGAGTGGCAAAAAGCCTTCATCTTCTTCTGATGGATACGCGCAATCCAAGCAGACACCTCAGCGTGACATTCAGCCAGCCGAAAAAGATACCCCTCAGATCCTTAGCCGCCTTGCTGCTCGCGACAGAGCCTATATGCTGGTCTCCACGCTAACCAAGTTGGGCACGTCGTGGGATAACTCTGAGGCGTGGTTTACCTTGGCCAGAGTCTACGAGGCCGGAGATCAGCTCGAAAAGGCAAAAGAGGTATTGTGGTGGGTTGTTGAGTTAGAAGACCGAAGACCCGTCCGGCATTGGTGGGATCTGGGCTCCGGTGGTTACGTGTTGTAGGATTGTACATATCGTTGGCATTTTACCTCTTTACTGTTGGACTGCTTTATTGTCCCCGGGTTACTATTGTCGAAGGTGCAGCTTTTTGATTCCAGGTCCTCGCTGCATATAGAGAGTTATTTATGGAAAATCGAGCGAAAGCGGATACCATAGTTTGTCCGTAGCGTTTAGTGAAATTGATCTAGCAGTCGCACATATATACAAGTTCTCCAACAAACCTCAGCAGCCAGGGCACTCTGTGAGTGTAGAACGGAATGGACGCCTCTTGAGGGAAAATCTATCGCTCAGCAGCGACAGGAGTCCAGGCCTCAATCTTCGGCCGCGTACTGGTCACACTGTCAGTCTATCCCTGCAAGCATAGCGCCATTGACACCATAGCCGAGGGAAACTTACGTCGAGTACGTCTTGTAGGCAGCACGGCTGAGGGTGAGGTTAGGCCTGTGCTCAGGCAATTCCCAAGCACGGATACCAGTCTGCATGACTCTGTCTACGGTTGGGGGAGCGTCAACCATGTAGGACAGCCAAGCGTGCCTATGAAAGGTACCAGATCAGCATTCCGGCTCAAATTCGACAAATCGACTTCCGATGCAGAGCGTAGGGGGAGTCCTCACCAGCCAGGCTCAATCTGGGAGGGGTCGTATTCCTTCTGCTTGTAGTCGACCCATCGTGTCCGGACTAAGTTCACCCATATCAGCTCACGGAACTGCCAAGTCAATTCGACTCCCCTCAGTCTGCTACTTACGAGGAAGCTCCTCCTCGAAGTTCTCGTAGTACTTGTTGCCGTAGCGGTCGGTCGCAATCAAGGTACCGGCCTTGGTATCACCTGTCGCATCCGTCAGTTTGGGGGGCTGTCCAGAGGGACCAATTCTCCAACAGACTAACCGATGTACTGTATTTATCGCAGACAGAGCTCGCAGTTAACCCTCCTGTTTCAATTGACACGATATCCGTCAGGCGCTTGCGCATGAACATACCTGCATTTGGTGGCCATATTCCTGTAGAAGACGGGCGTTAGCAATGATTAACCGGTACTGAACGGGAACAGTCGAACCTTGAGGCCAATCCTTCTCAGGTTCCGCAGCGTACGGAGAATAGTCGACATCTTCGCGGTGTGTGCCCTTGAATGTGTCGTTCGACGGAGAGAGTCGTGAAGTCGTCACGGAAGCAGTCGAGCCAGAGCGGGATTGCAGGGCCGCCCGATCGGGTATAGCGTGATATCGGATTTGTTATGTTTGCAGTGATTGGCCAGAGATCCGCCGCGCGCAAGATAGAGTATGGTAGATTGGTTAGCGCGCATATCGTTTCGAAGATCGAGATCAATAATGGGTTGTATGTAGACCGTCTTCTGATCGAGAAAGAAACTGGTCTGGGAACATGATGCTCTGCCGAATTGGAGGACACAGCTTTCGCTGCTCAGCACGGCGGTCCGTTGCTACAAGAGGCAAGCTTGCGGGTCGCAAATTCTCAGTCTATACCAGCTCCAACGCGGCTGCTCCTTCGACTGCGTCGCCATTAGGCGGGCTGACGGTCGAATTGGACCGTATCGCGCCTCGGTTTGAAGTGTCTGCCTCTCAGATCACAATCCTTGACTCTCCAAGCTCTTTCTACCAGACGTTGAAGGTTTGTCGCGAGATCACGATGGCAATGGCTCTGGACAGGACTAATTGGTTTCTATTGGCAATAGGATAAGATACGACATGCGAAGCGGCGCGTCTATCTATCTACTTTGTACATTGGGAAGACGGAATTCGAACTCATTGAAACGCTCGACCAGGCGCTTGGCGAAAACCCACGGCTGCAGGTTTCCATTCTGACCGATGCTCTGAGAGGAACTCGCGAAACACCCAACCCATCATGCGCGTCACTGCTCGTTTCATTAGTATCGAAATACGGGGCAGATCGAGTGGAAATACGAATGTTCCATACACCCAACCTTACTGGTCTGAGGAAAAAATGGGTACCACGAAGGATAAACGAGGGTTGGGGCCTGCAGCACATGAAGCTATATGGCATTGATGACGAGATTATACTTTCTGGGTGTGAGCTCCCGTTTGCATAACATACTTGATACTAGCTAATTCTTCTGGTCCAGAGCAAATCTCTCGGATGATTACTTCACCAACCGCGTCGACAGATATCATGTCTTCAACTCCAAAGAGCTAACGAATTACTACGCCCGCATCCACCATGCAGTCTGCAGTCTTAGCTTTCAGATCTTACCAGATCCACACAGTAACGCAGGATACCTGATGGATTGGCCGGCTGCGAACATGGGACCTTCGCCACTGGATGATCCAGAAGATTTCATATCCTGCGCGTCGGCAGTTCTGCACCCTCTCATACAACCATCCGACTCGAAGTCACTCGTCTCCTCGAATTCCTCAAAACCGACATATGTATACCCTGTAGCGCAGTTTACGCCGCTACTAAAACCCGATTCATCTACCGAATTTCCAGCAGTGACGACGATTCTCAGCCTTCTCACAAAATCCCCTTCCCTGGCCAATTCTCGCTGGCTTTTTACGGCCGGCTATTTCAACATCCATCCTGTGCTATCCTCCCTTTTGATAGCAAGCACATCCTCGACCCCTCAAGCACCCTTTCAGACACAGGGAACTGTCCTCACGGCATCACCCTGGGCTAACGGCTTCTACGGCTCTCCCGGAATTTCCGGCATGCTGCCAGCAGCTTACACTCATCTCTCTGCACGCTTTCTCGATAGGGTCGCAGAAGCTCAGAGGACTAACTCAATTCAGCTCAAGGAGTGGCGTCGCGGAACAGTAGGTGAACCCGGTGGCTGGACCTACCACGCCAAGGGTCTCTGGATCACACTTCCCAAGGAAGAACACCCCAGCTTAACCTTCGTTGGAAGCAGCAACTACACGAAACGCTCTTACAGCCTCGACCTGGAAGTTGGAGCGCTAGTAGTTACAGAAGATGAAGCCTTGAAGAAGCGACTAGGTGAAGAAACACAATGGCTGCAGCAAGATGCGCAGCCCGTGTCGAGAGAAGATCTGAGGAGAACAGAAAGGAGAGTTGGATGGAACGTCCGACTCGCCATGTGGATTGTGGAGAAAGTGGGAGGTGCATTGTGATAAAAGAAACAAGGCATAGACAAACCATTGGTTACATATTTGTACAGTATATACGTCGATAGCAACATCTAGATGCTAACTTAGTTGTATGATACACATTCGTATAGTTACTCGGGCTGGAATAGAGAGACATACTATCTTTCTTCGAGAACAAGACCATGGTATATAATCAAAGCTAATGAGGGTAATACTGCATCATGATCTAAAAACCATAAACAAAAAGAAAAACCGAACAGATGCATTCCGGAAAATAGAAAAAGAAAAACGCCTCGGACCCTTTTTGGTTCACGTTGATGGTCGTCGAATTCATTCAATTTACTTCAAGCATTGCCAGAAATTTTCCCAGGGATTCTGGCTGGACCCAAGCCCTGCCTGACCTCATCCAGCATCTTGATACCAATTGCTTCGTTTCCGTTCTTGCCTCTCTTTGCCTTTGCGCCTTTCCTCCGGGTTTCCTTGGAGCGATCGGTCCATCCGGACAGGAAACTGTCCATGACTTCGTCAAAGTCACTGCGTAGAGGGACGTTTCCGCTCTGGGAGACGAAGCTGGGAGCCTGGGAGACACCCGTCGCGCCAGTCATGCCGGTCATGCCGCTGACGACAGACATGCCATCTTCGTATTCTTCGCCTTCCTCATCTAGAGCGTAGAGAGCCTCTATCTTCTCGAATCGGTCGTCCAGGAGCCGCAGTCCTTCGGTACGAACAAGGGAAGAGGAGGTCATGGAGTATGCGGAGGGGTTTGTCAAGGCACCCTTGCGCTTCTTCCTCCGGATGGGGGTGCCACCAACGGTGAACATGGTAGATGCAGCCGTTCGACGCTCAGACTCTGTTGGCGCTGCGGGGACGGCCTTGGACTTTGAGTCCTTCTTGAACTTGGCAAACTCGCGCATCCAATCCCCGTCTTCGGGCTTCATGTCGGGAACGGGGGCATCTTCGCTGGGCAACTCCCCTGAGACCTCTTCATCGTGGGACGAGCTTGTCTGCGACTCTTGTTGTGGCCCTGACTCAGAGGTACTTTTCTGAACAGGGGCTTTCTCTGTAGCATCTGACTCCCAGCCATCGTCCTCATCTCCATTATCAAACAGGGAGTCTTCCCACTCTTCAGGGTCAACCTCCTCTCCTTCCTTCGTAAGGGCACCGAAAACATCTTCGTCATCCTCATCGACGTATGCTTCGTCCTCAAGAGCCTCCAACACCTCACGCAGTCGAGGGTCCATATCTGGCTTGAAACCCGCAATCGCATCGGGCACATCCTGTTGGTCCTGGTACGTAGGCTTTTTCACGTACGAGGAGGCAGTAGATCTGCCATCGTAGACAGAGCCATATTCCGAACCATAGACACTAGCACCCCCAAACTCACTCCTGGAGTCATCAAGCGACAGACCGTCCCGGAGCGCGTCTTCGAGCTTCTTTCCCTTGCCCTTTGTTTTCGCCTGCGCAGCTTCGATGAAGTAAGAGTTTCCACCGCCACCGCCCAGTTCGCGCAGATGCTGCATGTAATCGTACTTGCTGTCATCGTAGAAAATTCCATAGTTCGCCGCTTCACCCTCATTCTTGCGGACACCTGAAGTGTCGATTTCTTGTTCGAGATCCGCGAGGTGCTTGATCGGCCTAGAGGAAGAGGACTCGCCTGATTCCGAGCCACCAGTGCGTGGCTTAGAGACTGGAAAGAGAATACGGTCTTGCGCCTCCGGATCGTGGATTAGCGGGTCATTTTGCGATCGGTGGAAGAGCTGATAAGTCGTAGCAGACTTTTTATCGCTGGAAAACGAAGAGACAAATTAGCATCGGGGGAGAATGGTGGGTCGACGATCAACATACATCCACTGCTTCTTCGGAGCCATCTTTGCGTATTGAACAACCCTTCAATTCTCTAGTTGGACGTTTGGTGTCTCTGGTCCATCAGGAAATAATTTCATTTTTCGGAGTGGGATGTTCAATATGCAGTCACGTGAGGTGTTATCTTATCGGCATTTTTTCTACAAGAAAAACTACGCACAACGGGCACATTCGGTAAATCGAAGAACATGACGACAAGTAATAGAATGGGTGGATTGATCAGATATCATATATATATCATGTCAATTATAGATTATCATATGCAGTTTATCTATCAACAAGCCTCCAAGCAACTGAATTGAATCGAATTCCGGATGGGGACTGGCATGGCTGACTAATTTCGTTATCTTATCCAGTGGGGAGGGGAAGTTCAGATTTCAAATTCACCACTTATTTTGCCTCCGCGCCCTGTCCACATTTGCCGGAGAGCACAACCATCGATTCTTTCCCAAAGGACACTGAGAACCAGACAATTGCAGGTGATAGAATCGTCCATCAGTCACCATGGTTCTTGCGAAGTCCAAAAACTCCGTGGGGCTGGGTAACAGCCTCATGAACGATCGGTTTGGCAAAGGAAAGGCATCTTCGCAGAAGAAAGTCTCTCACAACCAAGCCATCGCTCGAAAGGGCGTCAACGGCGAAACCTACCTTACCAATGCGCCCAAGGAAGCATCATGGGTTAAAATGCGCAGTATCACCGAACAGGCGGCACTCGACGAATTTTTGAGTACCGCTGAGCTTGCGGGCACCGATTTTACCGCTGAAAAAATCAACAACGTCAAGATCATCCACGCAGACCAAAAGAACCCCTACCTTCTCTCAGCTGCCGAGGAGAGGTCGGCTGTCAAGAAGCAGCAGAAGAACAAGGGACGGCTTACCGTTCCCAGAAGACCAAAGTGGAATGAGAGTACAACTCGGGAGCAGCTCGATGTGATGGAGAGGGAAAGTCTGCTTCAGTGGCGGCGAGGACTTGCAGAGTTGCAGGAGAATCAGGATCTGTTGATGACACCTTTCGAGCGAAACCTTGAAGTTTGGAGACAGCTGTGGCGTGTCATCGAACGTTCCGATCTTGTCGTGCAAATTGTCGATGCTCGAAACCCTCTTCTCTATCGTTCGGAGGATCTGGAGCATTATGTGAAGGAAATTGACCCTAAGAAGCGGAACCTCTTGCTTGTCAACAAAGCAGATATGCTGACGCCCAAACAACGAGAGATGTGGGCCGACTACTTCGAGGAAAATGACATCAGCTATCGATTCTTCTCCGCCCATCTTGCCAAGGAACGCAACGAGGCTAGACTCCTTGAGGAGGACCGGTCTGAGAGCGAAAGTGAAGACGAGGACGAGAAATTGGCTGAAGCGACTGAGAAAATGCGCGTCCAAGAGAAGCAGGAGGAGGACGAGGAATGGTCGAGCGAGGAGGACCTGGAGGAGGAGCATGGCGGAGCGAAGATCCCCAAGGGTTCCAACGATTATAGGACACGGATTCTCGACGTTGAGGAACTGGAAGAGCTCTTCCTTTCAAATGCCCCCGATCGTCTCCCGCAGAGCGACGACCCAGAGCAGCAGCAGCAGCAGCGAAAGGACAAGACAACGATCGGACTCGTCGGTTACCCTAATGTCGGTAAATCTAGCACTATCAACGCTCTTCTAGGAGCTAAGAAGGTCTCTGTCTCTGCCACCCCCGGAAAAACGAAGCATTTCCAGACGCTTTACCTCTCTCCGAATCTCCTTCTTTGTGACTGCCCCGGTCTGGTCTTCCCTAATTTCGCTACCACCAAGGCGGAGTTGGTCGTCAACGGCGTCCTGCCTATTGATCAACAGCGTGAATTCACCGGTCCAGCTGGTCTGGTTGCTCACCGTATTCCGAAGCACTATCTCGAGGCCGTCTATGGTATGAAGATCCACACCAGACCGCTCGAAGAAGGCGGCACAGGCATACCAACTGCCAGTGAACTTCTTCGCGCTTACGCTAAGGCTCGAGGCTTCTCTACCCAAGGTCTGGGACAGCCTGATGAGTCTCGTGCTGCGAGGTACATTCTGAAGGACTATGTGAATGGAAAACTGTTGTTCTGCCACCCACCGCCTGCTTCGTCGAAGGAGGATGCCGAGGAAGGTCAGGAGCGGATGGACCCTCTCGAGTTCAACGAGGGCCACTACGATATTACGAATCTCCCAGCCAGACGACAAGCCATGATAGCGAAGGCTGCAGCGTCTGAACTAGATCGTGCTGACGATGCATCGTCCGACATTATGTCTCTTCCTGCAGCTAATGCGATTCCTGAGGGCCCACGCTCGCGTAAGATTGACACCCGCTTTTTCGGACCCCCGTCACTGAGGTCTGCCGGCCACTTGACGATGCCGTTCAATCACCAGTATACCGAGCAAGGACAGCAGCAGCGGAAACAGCTGACTGGCCGAAAGGAACGGCAGATGATCGCTTTGGAAAGGGGTGTCGATGTGTCGGAGGTCAGAAACACGTCGAAAAAGCACTTTAAAGGCGGAAAGAGAAAGGCTAAGAAGGGAAGAGCTGCTGCTGATGATGACTTTTGATGCCAGTCACTCGCTGGCGAGTGCTCTCGTTTGTTGCGGAGGTTGTAATCCTGTGTCTATTCAGATATGATTTCTGCAAACCAGGTCCTGAGGTTCATGATTTAGATTTTCTCATTATGGTTACGCGTTAGGGTCTGCATCTAGGCCGCTCTTCTCGGTGATATTCTTGGGAATATATACATATTGCATTTCCCGTGCGGAAGTACGATATGCCTAGCATTTATCTTTGATCCTCGCATTCCGAATTTAGAAGGTGCACCGTAGAGGTTCATTACTAGGAAACAGCGTAGAAAGCAGGTTTCCTACTTCCGTCAGGGAGGGACGTACGTAGAAGAAGCCTGCAACACATATCAGACTACACCTAAGACTCCTACGACATTGTACGATATATTCGGATATCAAACAGCATCAATACTCAAGGAGGCCCTTCCATTGATCTTCTCTCCGCTGATACTGCGCTTAATGGAATGGAGTCCACCATATTCAACATCCGAAGCGTCTTCTCCACATGGCTGAAGCCTTCTAGAGCAGAAGCCACACAGGGTCCGACGCTTCTACGCAACGATGAGCTTATCGACGAGGAGACAGTACCGGGCTATGATTCCACAGAATACTGCCCTGTCGGTCCCGGAGATGTATTCAACGATCGTTACAAGATGGTAGTTAAGATGGGCTGGGGAGGTTCATCGACAGTGTGGTTAGCTCGTGATACAAAGCGGTATGAAGAGCCAGCCCACTGATGTACAACAAACTCGTGGGTCTAAGGGTCGATTTCACTAATATGCGCGCCAATTCATGCAGAAATATCTTCCAACGCTCTCGTTTCGTTGCAGTCAAAGTTCATAACAGCAGTCAAGGAAGCAGCGACGAAGCTATCGGGGAACGGGACCTTGAGCAATATATTGCAAGGAAGAATCCATTGCATCGGGGTCACGCGTTCATTCGGACCCATGTAGATGCATTCGAGGTGCCTGGTTTGAGCAGACGGCATCTATGTCTGGTGTATGAACCTATGAGGGAGCCGATTTGGCAGCTTCGACAACGATTTCCTGGTGGGAGGTTTCCTCCCTCCCTCGTGAAGGCGTATATCTTTATTCTGCTTCATGGACTGGACTATCTGCATTCAGAGTGCGGAGTGGTGCATACCGGTGAGATCCCTGTTTGTCTTGTGTGGAATAAATGGATGGTTGATTGATGAGGAGGATGAATAGACCTGAAGCTCGAAAATATTCTTGTGAGCTGCGAGAATCCTGCGGCTATCAAGCAGTTTGCTGAGAAGCAAATGAAATGTGGTATGCAAAGAAAGATCGACTCAACTGGCCGCGCTGTATATCTGTCTGTAGGGGACTTTGGGCCACTCAACATTAGCGCCTTACGTCTCCTTGTTCCTACCATCACAGATTTTGGACATGCACAGCGGGTGACGTCCGGCGTTTCTGGCTTTGCTGCTATACAACCGGACCAGTACCGCGCTCCTGAGGTTATCTTAGGCTGTGGCTGGACGTACAGCGCAGACATATGGAATGTCGGTCTTCTGGTAAGCTACACCGAGCAGTATGGCTATACTGCAGGGTTGATTCCATTCTGTCACTTATGAAATCGTGGTACCATAGATGTGGAATCTCCTAGAAGGCAAAGACTTGTTCAGCCAAGTACACGATGATCAAGGGCGTTATAGCAGCTGGATACATCTTGCCGAAATGGTTGCCGTATTAGGTCCGCCGCCACGACGAGTACTGGACCTCTCAACTGAACGGCTGAACTATAGGTGGCAGCAACCTATTGAGAATCCAGAAGGAGAGCTTTGCTATAGACCACGAGAGTACTTTGGAGGGCCCTTCTTTAATAGAAAAGGTATGACATATATTGGCTCACACATATATTTCAATTTTCAAGAGTCTCAGGCTGACCAGCCAGGTGCTTTTTTGAACAAAAAGCTCATCCCAAACCGCAAACTGGAGGACACGCTCCCGTCGCTGTCAGCGGAAGAGAGTGCCGTTTTCTTGAAGTTTGCGCGGTGTATGCTGCGATGGGCGCTTGACGAGAGGAAAACCGCAAGACAGCTGTTGACTGATCCTTTCTTCGATGGACTATGCGAGGAATGATATTATTATTATTAAATAGTGGTGTTTTTTCTGGTTTTAAGGCGCGATGTTCCATAACCAGACTTACCACAGGCTAGAGTCGGTAGAATATATATAGACTCATTTTGTATCATCGGGTTTCGTCCGACTCCGTGACTGGAACGAGGGTAAAAGACAAACTCGAGCTTTACAAATTACTTCGAAATGTAGATTTAATGTGTTATGTGCCTCCGAGAAGTATTCATATTCAACCTGATTCAGGACTGTGGTGATAGTGGTCCGGTTTTTGGAATGTCCCAGCCAATAATAACGGCTTCATACAAATTTTCATACCATAACTGTATCCTGCTACAATTCTCGAACCAAACATTGTGAATACGTAAAAACGGTAGGAAAATAATATAATCATAAAGAGAGGATAGTTATATATATCACGCATCACAGATGGCTAATCCTCGGCTTGAATCCCTTTTCCGCCAATAGCCGCTCCGACTGCTCCTTCTGCCACTTCAACTTAGCAGTGACGAACTGTTTGCGGGAATTATTCTCCCTGCGACCCAGCTGCTGCAGATGCACCTCATCCGGACCATCGGCGATACGCAGCGTTCGGATCAAAGCCCAGAGATAAGCCAGTGGCGTATCCTGCGAGACACCGGCAGCACCGAAGGCCTGGACGGCGCGATCGATGACGGTCAATGCGGTCTGAGGAACGAGTACTTTCGCCTGGGCGATTTCCTTCAGGGCGGATTTGGCGTCGCCGTTATCGATCTTGATTGCGGCGTTGAAGACGATGAGACGCGCGGCGTCGATTTCGAGACGGGATTTAGCGATCCATTCGAGAATGACGCCGTGGGAGGATAGGGGCTGTCCGAAGGTTTTCTTGCGCTCGTCGTTGACGCGAGCGATGAGCCATTCGATGGCGCGCTCTGCGGCGCCGATGGTGCGCATGGCGTGGTGAATGCGGCCGGGACCGAGACGGCCCTGGATGATTTCGAACCCGCGGCCTTCGCCGAGGACGATGTTCGAGATGGGCACGCGGACGTTCTTGAATGAGATGTGGCCGTGGCCGTGAGGGGCGTCGTCGTAGCCGTAGACGTTGAGCATGCGGTGGATGGTGATGCCGGGGGTGTTGGATGGGACGAGGATGACGGATTGTTGCTTGTATTTGTCTGGGTTGGAAGCGTCTGTCTTGCCCATGACGATGTAGAGTTTGCATCGAGGGTCGCCGGCTCCGGAGGACCACCATTTCTGTTATTCATATCAAGTTTTAGTTACTGTACGGCACTTATTATGATTCTTTGTGGGTTTTCCATCTTTTATGATGGACGAGAAGGAAGGAGGGATCTGACATACCGAGCCATTGAGAAGGTATTCGTTTCCTTCACGACGGATATTGAACTGGATATTGGTAGCGTCACTCGAGGCGATATCCGGCTCTGTCATCAGGAACGCAGAGCGAATCTTGCCATCCAGCAGAGGAGCCAGCCACTGCTGCTTCTGAGTGTCGTTTCCGTACTTGGCCAGAACTTCCATATTACCAGTATCAGGGGCGGCATTATTCGTGGCCTGGATGAAGCACATATCCAACATCAATCAGTAAGTATATAAACCAACCTCCCATCAAACAAAAGCAAAGATAGAAATTCCCACCTCCGGCGCAACGGTACTCTTCCCCAAATACTCCGCCATCAAACCATACTCGAGATTCGAGAATCCCGCACCCTGGCTGAAATGGTTCTTGGGCAGGAACATATTCCACAAGCCCAGCTTGCGCGCCTTTTCCTTCAACTCCTCCATGATGGCTGGGTTGGTCGTCCAGCGCTGCTGGCCTTCACCCAGTTGTTCCCGAAACACGGCTTCGGCGGGGATGCATTCTTTCTCGACGAATTCTTCGACCTGTTATGTAGGAGGAGGGGTTGTTAGTTTTTGTTTTAATTGAATAGAATACTATCTATCTATCTATATGGAATGGATGGATAGATAGTAAGGGAGGGAAAGGAACATACCAAATCCAACGTCTTCTTCGCCTTCTCACTGACAAAGGGCAGCGCGATAGGCGGGATCTTCGAGGAGGCCGACATGGTTAAGTAAAACGAAGCCAATAAACTCGATATACAGATACAGATAGAGATAGCGATAAACTGATTCCCTCTTCCCCGAGAAAGAAGAAGTCGCCACGAATGCGAATGAATGTTCTTAAATAAATAAGAATCTCTTTTCCCCCGGTTGTTGACCCCGACGCGCGGGGAGGAGTCAAGGCAAGTGATGCTCAACCAGACTAACCAAGCAAAGGGAGTTCCAGCTGGTGTGGAGTAGCCGAGCTGGGTCTGGATCGAACCTCGGCTTTTATCGATCGGCCTCTGTTTTCCGGAGATGATCGATCTTGCGGTGATTTTGATGTCGGGTTTTTTATTATTACACAGAGTGATCATGGGAATTTTAAATAGATGTTGGGTATTATGATCGGGGTATTATTGATTCTGGCTTTTTTGTGTTGGTTCGATTGGAGTTGTTGAGCTCATACGAAGTCGCGATGGGCGTAACTCCGCATTATTATTACTATCGGCGAGTTCTCCGAAGACTCGTACTGACCAACACATAAATAAATACAACAAAACAGACTATTCCAGTAACTCGCACAGGGCATACAGACTAACCGAACGGTGCCCTATAATCTACACGATCATCTAATCAAAGAACACAAAGCGTAGCCAGTTCCAGTTTTCGTTTCATTCGAATATGATACAAGTCCTGCTAAACAAAAAAGACAAAACAGAAAAGAAAAGAAAAGAAAAGTCATCGTCGCAGGTATTAAAATAAAAAAAAAGAAAATACAACCAGAAAAAAACTCAACCTGGGAACAAACCAGTCAACCAGAACTCTTTCGAAATCCTTCCGATAAGCCCACATTTCACTCCAAGTATTCAGCCAACCCAGGGGTGGAACTGACAAAAACAGACTGAAAGTCCACACAATCCTAGTAGCACGGGACTTGTTGTTGAAATGGCACTTTGAGCATCAGAAGGGGGAATAATAGAGTCCAGAGACCAGCACAGAGTGTGACAACCTAACCTAACCCCACGTCAAAGTTCCGTTCCTTTCCCAATGTGTTTTAATAAAACTGCCCATCCTATCCGTTCCCTGTGTAAAAAAGACCCAAAAGAGATAAAAAAAAAAAAGAAAAAAGGAAGGCATTCCAATTCTCAGTCTAAGAAGAAGGAAATGCATAAGAAGCCAAGAACCCAGAAACCCGAAGAAAGACGCATGGTTTGCTACCAGAGCATAACCCAATCCATGACGCAAAACAAAGTGTGTGAAATTTCATTTCGTTGCTTCATGCTAGGGTTTGCTCTCGAGGTGCAGAGGCCTCTTCGGCGGCCGAGGATTGTTCGTAGCTCTTTTTGCCCAGCTTCGCGAAGAGGGACTGTGGCTTGCCGGCACTGTGAGGAAAGATAAATGTCAGTTTCATCGATTTCCTTGCTGTGTGTGTGGAAGATATCAACCACAGGCAGACTAGACTGACTTCTTGAACCGCTTTCCCTTCAGATCACTCAGCTTCTTTGTGCAAGGGCTCTGGATACCGTCTGACGGTGACACGTAGGTTCCCTGGGGCCTGTGTTTTCGAAGACGTTAGTTAGAGACGATGTCCATAATCTTCCAGGGCCATTATTGAGCGACATACTTCTCCTCAAAAGACTGGAGGTGAGTGTTGGTCGGGCGGTCTGCCAGGGGCTGAGCCTGCGCAGCTGTCGTAGCGTCCATTATGATGTGATGATTGTGTTTCGAAGAAGAAAGATGAAGCGAAAAAGTTCAAGTTGGCTGGAAATGCCACTCCTCGTCTTCGCAATTAAAACCAAGATGGAAGAAATGGCTTAAGCCTTAGTCTAGTCCGGGTTAAGAACTGGGATTCGTTTCAACGGCAGAAGATCTCAATCACTTGTAGATAGCGGGAAAAGGCTCGTCGATCGCAACACAGAAAGAGCAGATGAAGCGTGAGTGACGGTCAAGAGAGATAGACAGGAGTCCTCGAGATGGAATTTGTATTCGCCGTTTTGTTTGGCAGCAGACAACAAAAAATGCGACGGGTGGAGAGAGTCCTGAGTTTATCGGGATAATCCAAGTAAAAAAAATAACAAGGGCCGATTGTCGTCGGGGCAACGCACCGCCACGCCTTTTCCAGCAATGTGGATAGCGCGGGTCGAACAAGACATTTTACTCCGTCAACGAGGGTCACAAGGCGCGATCGCCCGGAACGACGTGAAGTCAATTCCCTGGTGGCTGATTTCTAGAATCTGCCTGTCTGTTTACGTGGGGGGGGGGGGGGGGGAAGCAACATGGCTGACGTCGAGTGATCGGCCTGATGATCCTCGTTGTTTCGTGTTTAGTTTATACTGGTAATGGTATAGGTAGTCTCATTATGCATTAGCCGCTAGAGTTTAATATACACAAACGCCTCGTGAAGAAGACAAGGGTCAGAAAATAAACACTTGTCCAGTATATACAGTACTGTGACAATAATGGCTGGTCCGCTCTGTGATGATAATTAATGATACAGGGGTATATGTTGTGTATGTGTGCTATGACCACAATAGACGGCAGCATATCCTTACCACCGGCAGGGGCCGTCGAATATGTCGTCCAGGGCAATTCCCTTCTGCCCTGTAGTAAGAGTCTCTTGGACACATTTTGTGAGTCATAAGTTCGCTCATAAATTCGCGTCAACGGCAGGGTTGGCGGTTTACCAGCCTCAGCCTGTCTGTTGATTGACGACGGCTGGGGTCTAGTGCAACATCGCCAGCGTGGGATTGTACCCAGAGAGAGCGTAGTCAAATGAGTAGCAACAGTCCATCAAACTTATGCCAGGCTGTGCATACGACTACCAACTCATCCTTTTCGCAGGGTGTAGCTGGCAAGTCATTACAGCAATGCCGGTCGAGCCAACGAAATGAGAGTCCCGACCATTTCTGAAACGACACGGCGTAACCTCAGAAGCGCGGATGTCTTGTTGATGCGTGACTTAGCCTCCCCGACTCGTAGACGTAGACCACGAAAAACAATCCATCGGCTAGGCAGGCGGCTGCCGTATATGCGACGGCGAGAGTAGCTGTGGTGATTCCAGCTCCTCTTCCGGCTCTACATCGTGCGGGCGTCCACTCAATGTAGGCGGACTGCTACCCGGCCGGAAAGTAGGCGGATCCGGAGTAGGGACCCGAGAGGACTCAGGCGTCAGCCGCATCTTGTCATCTCCGTCAGATGGGCTTCCTGTGTCCGAGGATGGTGTAGGAGGAGAATAGGCAATAGTTGGGCTGATAGGACCACTTTGAGAGTCCTGAGAGTCCTCAGAGATGTTCCTCCTGTGACGGGCTTTCCGATCATAAGAAGACGGAGACCTGGTAGATGTCGGGCTCGCAGAAGGCGACGCGAAGGAAGGGGAAGAGGACCGCAGACTGTACGATCGCGATCGCACCATATTCTGCACGCTGGGGAATTCCATGTAGCTTCCCACTGCATTCCGCGAGAAAAGCACCAGGCCGAAACATATCAAAACGAAGATGCTCTGTATGACAGATATCCGCTTCTGGAACACAATCTCATCTGCCAAGACTCCCAGCTGCGAAGCCATCGACTGAATCTCCTGATGATACTGAATGCGCTGGTGTTCGAACTGGACAGCAACCGACCTCCATACGTGATCGTACTGGTCACGGAACTCCTTCAGTTCGTTGAGGACAGTCGTGTTAAGATTCTCGAGAAATGTCGTCGTCTTGGCCAACTGGCGTTTCTCGACCTTGTTGAATGCATCCCGCAGTATACGAGATTGCTCTTCGATGTAGAGGAGAGAAAGAGAGGAATTCGACTCCAGCATTTGCAGCCGTTTGTTGACAGACTTGAAAAAGGACTCTTGGGTGGTCGGGTTTGCAGCTGGTGGCTGTGGAACAGTAGCTTTCACCGGCTCTGGAGGCACACTCTGCTCTTCTTTTGTCGCTGTCACTGTCGGTCTGCTATCGGTTTCCGTTTGGACATCCTGTTCACTTCTGTCTGTTTGAGTCGACCAACTCGAAAAGCTAGCAGGACTGGGCCCCGGCTTATCAGTCCTTTTCTGGATTTCGCTAGCTTCCCCTGAGGCGTCATCCACGAATACCGTGCTGTTGGTTGTGTCTGTTGAGGTCGAAGTGCCATTGGTAATGCTGGTAGAAGCCTGAGTCACATCCTCAGCTCTTCCAGAAGGCAGAGGAGCCTCGTCTATGGTACAGACGTCAGTGACTTCCACTAGGAAACTCAACACGGATTCTGTCTTTTCCAACGGGCACATCCCGGAATTAGTGCCATTGTGCGAGGTCGCTGCATCAGTTATATTCCCCACGGATGGCGTAGGCTCATTGACTGCTGCACCATCATCTGGCTCCGTCGGTTGGACAACTCCAGGCTCCTCAGCTTGCTCTATGGCCAGATCAACCACCTCTTCCTCTCCACGGCCTATGTCGCCTTCATGTTTATACTCTTCCAACATGGTGGTGCCGTGAACCCTGACCAAACTAACCGGGCAGTAGAACTCGTTTCCGTAGTGCGTCAAGAACTCGATCTTGACATACCGCGCCCAGATAAGCGGGTTCTCCACTGCAAACGCCTGGATCTCGCGTGTATTCCGAGCCTCGTAGACACCTAGTTCCTTCCACTCTTTGGCCGGATAGCGATCAGAGACACTGACCCTGAAGGTGCGGAATATCGAACTGAAGAACTCATAGTTTGCAAGGACAATAGTATCAACTAGGATATCGTCGCACAATTCCAGTATGAGAAACTTATCCTTCGCTCGGCACTCGTTCAGCATATAGCTATCCTTGTTCTCAATAAGCACGGAGGATGACCCCGTACATTGCGGGTTCGTCTTTAAGACAGTAGCAGCGCAGTCGAAAGAAGCGTAGTTGAACCTCTCTTTACAGGTCGTGCCAGCATCTTTCCTTCGTGCAGTTCCTCTGCGCGACACTCCTTCAGCCTCAGCATCGCCAACTGTACCTTGATAGACATGGCCAGTCGTCGCTTCTCCGTCGCTGGACGGTTTCGTTCCCCATGCGGCACTTTCCGGCGCCTCGGCGCCAAATCCAGCGAAATCCAATTCAATCTCCGCATCCTCCCCCAGTGAATCGAGAGCATTATTGATCCCGGTCGGTCTCCGTCGATTCTCTTGTTCTCCTGCAACTCCTTGTCTATGCCGGCCAACATTCTCGGCCGACTGGCCTACCCTGGCCAGATTCTGCTTCTTCCAATCCTCAAAGGAAAGGAAATTTGAATTATCAAGAGGTGACTCTGTATCCAGCTCATGATCCGTAGCTCCCGTTCCAGTTGGGCTGCTATCAGAGCCAGAGGAAGTCGTCGACGCAGTGACTGTTGTCGTCGAGGCTGAAACTCGATCCCCATCCTCCTCCAGCAGAGCCTTCCCCTTCCCCCATCTCATCTCCAGACATACGGGAGGTTCGAATAACCCCGCTTGAGCTGTCTTCCAACTCTTCGCCGGACATATCGGAGACGATAAAGTCTGCGTCGTCTCAACGACGCCCTGTCCATTATGATGGCTCGTCGCATCAGCGGTAGGCGTCGTATCCGCCCAAACCAACCCAGCCAGTATCAAAACCAACAGTCCGAGCCGCCCCAGGTACGACTCCATCCTTGTATCGGGTAACATTTTGCGCCTGCGCATTGTCCCTGCGATCAGATATCGCTCTGCGTTATCTGTGATCTATGCCGTCTCAAAAGAAAGTCCCTGGAAAACACGTCCTCGCGTGGTCAGCTGTGTGCCCGTGGAGAAAGCTTTCCGCGCATAGGGGAATGATTAAAGACAGATGATGGCATATTGCATCGTCAACTCATGCACTGACAACAGGATATATCGCTGCCGGTGCCGGGAAAGACAGTGTGGGAGACGGGGTTGGTGGCGCTAAATGACCCTTATCTCTCACGGGATCTTTCAACGCGAGAAAAAGAAGCGAAATTGAGGCAACTCACCATCCTCTTGATTTATCAAATATCCCAAAATCACGCTTATAAATATGAACACATGGGAATGGGGAATGCCATCGCCTTTTTCCAGGACGAACAGGCAGTTGTCTCTTCCCAGGAGGCTAGAGCTTGCCGCCCAAGAGCTTGCAACGCAGCAGCGGAATGAAAATCTGCTCTTGCGGTCTAGCTGGTCGCATAGTTAGCACTCAAGATGTGCAGGTAAAGATGCAAATGGCGAGAAGCTAGTCAGCGACCATTCACCTCTCGCTGGGGGATGTTAGGATCATAGTGGTTAGAGTGCCTACACCGTTTGCCGCGACTGGCGAATCTGGCCTTTGCCTTTTCTCCACACGCGGAGTCTCCCCCATCGATTTCACCTAGACAGTGACTACCGCTTTCACCGCCTCAGGGAAAGGATATGATTAAGGGATGCTGTTAGTAGTTACTCAAGACAGATCCTACTCATTATTATTCTACTTGATTACTATGGAAACAAGTGTTTGAGAAGAGAAAGCATTGACACGATCGCTTTTCCGTTCTCTCTATCTCCTTTGAAGCGTAGATCTACCTAACTAGCTACAATACAGGCCCGTTCCATCCCAGTCCTGTCCAGTAAGCAGATTCGATCTCAACGAGGTAGATCTAATGAACGAAGCATTCAGAAAGGAGAGTAGCGCGATAAACTCTTCATAGCTGTCCCCTGGCATCTCCTTCCACTTTTCCACGTTGCAAACTTCAAGAAAAGTGGCTGACGGCTGATTCGCCGTCACTGGCCTTTTTTTGGTTTTTTCCTTTCCCTTTTTTCCCTCCAAATCAAAAACCAATCCTCTTCTAACATACTGCTGCTGTGCTTGCGTCGTCAAACAAAAACAAAATCCCCCATAAGAAAGTGAAATCAGCTTTGCAAACGCCGCTCGATGATGATATGTTGATGTTGTCATCCCGCTTTCGTGGTAGCATTTTCCGCCTCGCTGCATGGTGACGATTGCAGAAAAGAAATTGTAATATACAGAGACAGTGCAGCATCCCAGGATCAATGCCCGCACGGCACGATACAAGGTCTTGACAATTATAATTGGGAAAGAGTATGTGTGGTTGTAAAGATGTCAACGAAGATCATGAAAGCGAAGCAAAGGCGAGAAGTAGAATGTCAAGAAAGGGTGCGTCAATCGGATCATGGAAGGCAAATAGCAAGCAGGATCAGCAGCAGCAGTAGGTTTGAGGAAAGGTAGAAGCGGGAAAGTCATTAATATAAAAAAAAGGAATAAGAAGAAGTGGGGAAAACTAGAACTACAGCGGCATATCATGCCAGCCACCGACCAGGTCAAGGTCCTCGTCAACGCTGCCATCGTAGCCATGGTAGGGAAGCTTGGACTTCTTTGGCTTGATGGTTTCGAAAGCATCACGACGCCAGTCCTTGTCGAGGTAAGCACGACGATGGCGATCATTGGTTGGCGAAACATCTTTCCTAACCGTCGGAGCAGAGTCGAGGCTTGACGATGCAGGACACCAGTCCCGTCTCCAGCTCGCCATGATCGACTGCTGCTTCTGAGGCCTGGAGGGCTCCTTCGGCTGGAAATTCCTCCTCTTGTTCCCGAGCGCAGCCCACTTGTCGAAATTCGACCTCTTCGGAGGGGAATAACGCAATGTACGGAAGCGGCTGCTCGGGGTAGGCGACTCATTCTCCCCATCGGAGGTGTTTCCCGGGACTCGGATGCCCTTGGGACCAGATTCTTCCGGTGAGCTGGGGATATCCTTCGGGCCCTGCGAGCGAGAATTGACAAATGCAGTGGACTTGTGCTCGCAGAGTCCTGTTGGACGAGATGAAGACTCTCCATGTTTGCTCTCCTGACTCCAGCTACGCGAGTTCTGCTCACGTCGCTGCTGTAACATAACATCCTCGTTCTCAGACTCCTCTTCTTCCTCATCCCAAAGATCACTCCAGCTCTTTGAGATCTGGTCACACTTCTTGCGCCCAAAGACCATGGACATAGAAGGCAAAGGCTTCATGGTGCGGTTCGGCAGCGATCCGCTAACAGGAACCGGATCCGATTGGGGAGGATAGCGCTGTTCCTGGGGGCGAATCGCCAATGACTTGAACGATTCACCCAGAGCTGAATCCAAGACAGAGGCCATCGATGGGGTAGCCGGAGCTGGAATGGAGAACCACGATGTACCAGCAGTCTCGGACGGCGGGAACAGATCCTCGGTGTAACTTTCGTTGTCCGGGATAACGGATAGCTGACGAACAGGTTGCGGAGGGCTTGCCTGAAGCGCCTTGGCCCAGGGGAAGGAATCGCCTTGGTTGATCTGCGGGCTCTGGATCGACGGAGTCCTGAGCGGTTCGCGGTTGGCACTGGCAGCCACAACATCGCGATCTTCCGTGCAGAAGTCATCCAGAACATCGTCATCGGTGGTGAAGGACACTGCTCGCAGGATGGCCTCACGGACACCAGACAGGGAGCGCTTCTCCGGATCCAGAGCCAGAGCATTGCTCAGGATCTCAAAGGTGTCCTGCGACATGTTGGGGAAGACATCAAACAGTGACTGTCGGTCACGAACATAGTCCGCAAAGAGAACATCGGATTCTGTAGGGGTGACGAAGGGATTGCGAGAGAACAAGATGTTGAGCAGGCAAATACCAACAGCCCAGACGTCAGCCTTGGCAGGGGAGTAGCCGGTAGTGGACGGTTCATATTGCTCCGGAGCCATATATCGGTCACTCCCGACGCAGGCCTCGTAGCACCAAGGGCTACGGGTAGCAAGGCCAAAGTCGCCCAGCTTCATGGCCCCATCCTGGGCCAGAAAGATGTTCTCTGGCTTGATATCACGATGATAGAGCCCATGTGCATGCATAAAATCGACAGCACTGATCAGCTGCAACATGAAGTCTCGCACATGTTCCGTCTCCAGAGGACCCCGGTTGAGCCTAATGGCCTCGTACAGATCACCATTGGCGCAGTATTCCAAGACAAGATAGATGTGCGCAGCAGTCTCGAACGAGTGGATCAGGTTGACTATATTGGGATGATGGCCAAGACGTCTGTGGCATTCAAGTTCCTCGGACCGGTCATCAACGGCCACCGGAGAATTGGGGTCGGTGGATGATGCCTTGGTGAGGCACTTGATAGCAACGTCCCGGCCAGTCTTGGTATCTTTAGCAAGGAAGACCATCCCAAACGAGCCATGGTTCAAGGGAGCCACCGTCTGGAACCGCCCATCCAGGAGCTGGCCCTCGACGAAGTTGTTCTTCAAGCACTCCATGTCTGTGAAATGCCCGAGTTGAAGGTGATGTCCAAGGATTAAAAGAGAAGAGTGTATATGGAAACCCCCGGGTGGTTTGCTGGGAGGTGGTCGTCAAAAAGTATAAGGCGAATCGACCAGACAAGCTGAACCAGAGCAGCCGTCAAATGTGGTTTGCGCAAGAGTAAGAATAAACCAGGTCTGCAATCACGCCGGATTGAGGCAGCCGCCAAAGACCAAAGAGAAGCGAATAAAAACTCAACAAACACCGGATCGTTGGCTCATATAAATACGGCAAAAATGATATGTCGACAAAGGGAAAGGAAACCGATCGGCCGGATGGTACAGCGCGGTACAGGTACCCGCGAGGGTAATGACGATAAGGAAATTGAAAGAGAGCGTTATAGTTGCATTGGTATATGTTCGACGATGGACAGAGCGGGAGCCCGGTGAAAAGATAATGACAATGAAAGGTCGCGCGTCGAAGAGATCAATGGATACCCGACGGCAGTCGAAGAAACGTAAAATCGGTCAAAAAGTTGAAATGCAATCGCTTCGTAAGATCGTGACAATAATTCGAAATAAAAAACAGCTGGGTGAGGGTTGTTTCGAGACCTTCAAACACCTGGTCGGAAGGGATGGTTGCCTCAGCGTAGGTTGACGAATTTCCGGAAAACGCTAAGACATATATAAATGGAGCAGCAACCGGATGCAGGCTATTTAGCTGGACTGCAGACGTTGAAAGTAGATTCCGTTCGACAAGGGTAATGTCGTATACTGTTGATCGATGATGCGATGTATCAGGGCTCAACCTCAACCAACAGTGACCCGGGTCTGGTTATCTGCTTCGAAGGTCCAGATATGACAGAACTGTCAACCGCAACACGGTATGCTTGCAATTGAGATCCGATCACGACTGAGATGTGTATCAGACAGACGCTATTGACCGGTGGTTATTGACTTCTGGTGCCGGAACGTCAATCAGGATGGAAGCCTCGTTGTCACCACAGCTTTAGGTAGCACGAATTATGAACTGGTGGGATCACAAGAGAGGTAGCGAAGAGGATGTGAGGAGGAGAAGGGCGGAAGTAAAGAAGGCAGAGAGCAGTACACTCTGGAGAGTAGATCGGATGGAAATCAGATCTATCTAATGCTTGATCGAGAGCACTGCTATCCTTGGGTCTGAATGGGAATCGGGGAGGCGATAACGGTCGGAAGCGGACGGAGGATAAGAAGAGAGGTGAGGAGAGATGAGAAGAGCAGGAAGCAGGAGGGAGTCGAGCGGATGAGGAGAGCGGGAGGAGGAGCAACGAAGGAATAAGAGATGAGGACAGGAAGGAGAGCTTGGGAGTCGGTGAGGGAGGAGAGGATGAGTCGACAGGGTCGCCAGCTGGAGGGATAGAGTAGGCTCAGTAGTAGGGAGTTCCGTCAGCGGGAGGGCGAAGACAGGCGAACGAGGGAGAAACGGTCATGACGGCGGTTGCTTCCCTGGCGGACCAATGACGGTGCTGCGTGGCGGCTGCGGTACGGTAACGATGCTAACCATACAGACAACAATACCGGGCAGACGACCGGAGCCAGCGCGCCCGAGGTGGTTCCTCGTGGTAACGATACGTGGGCCAACAACGTCTACCTTGGAGTTACGGAACGCCACAGCAACCAACTCGGCAGCCTCCGAGCTCGCAATCATTCAACGCCGGACTTGGCTCTCGTACCCGCGTTAGCTTACTCTTTCTTCCCTCTCCACCCCCCCCTTCCACCTTTCAGGGAGTCAGAGCCAACCTAAAGCAGCAGCAGAAGTCAAACGCGCATTTGCAGCGTCAACTCGTGCCGACACCTTCCCAGCATCTCCCTTCCAGCTGGTGTGCGAAATCGAATCGACACGTTCTAGGTCAGACCCGGTCTACGTAACTCAAGGACCCCCAATTCGAAACATTCTGGAGAAGGCCCTTTGATCCCTTTGCAAGTTTGGTACGTAGTTAAGTTAGTTACAGTAAACCCTGGCTATAACGAACCTAGCTATAACGAATTTTCCGCTATAACGAACTAAACAGCGTGTCTAATTCAAACCCCCATACAAAATTCGTTAAATCTGCCCTATAACGAAATTCGGTACAAATCCCTAGCTGGCCGTCATTTTTGTATGGGGGATTCGTTATAACAAGTAACATGTCACGTGTAAATATCCTCAAATAGCCAATAAAATCCCTTTATCTTCAGGTATCTATTACATAATATTGAAAAATTTCTCCCCTTTACCGTGATTACATAACGCAAATCACCTTTCCCTAATATTTGATATAACGAATACCACGCTATAACGAATCATTCCTCGTGTCTGATTTGATTCGTTATAGCCAGGGTTTACTGTACTAGGTATCCGTGACTCATCTGGAGGGGCTGTTAATGAGCGCGCATCCACCCAACACGTGGTTCAGAACAAGTCTGCCTGCTTCCAGTATATCTATCTGCCCCATTATTATTATTATGTACTATTCTGTGCCCCTTTTGATGATTATCGCCAGTCTCCGGGGTCCAAGCTGCGCGACCCGACCTTCGCGAAAAGCTTCTGACCTGGCGCCGTTTCCAGCGGAACGGGCTGCAAGCCAATGAGACTGGATTGTTTCCTCATCTGCCCCCGCAGATTCCTGTTGATACAGCCAGTAAGCTTATGCAGACATATAATAGAGTACAGCCATCAAACTTGGGGGACTTTCTTCGCTCTGGGCTGCTGCAGGTCCTTGATGGACAAAATCCCTCAGCGGGCAAATGAGATCACCCGCAGCACGGATGATCTGATCCCGCCGACAACCAGGCTGGGCGATGTCGACGGTCGAGTCCGGGCGATGTGGAGTCCCGGTGGCGACACTATTCCCGTTTCTTCCAGTTGGCCCAACCTTGAGACGATAGCCGCCATCGCTGGCCAATAGCAGCGCTGCTATCGAACAGACCACTCCGGGGTACTATTTTCAGGGTGCATGACGCCAACAAGGATGCGTCCCTCCTGGAGAAGGCTTTGTGGAGTCCAATCTGCCGTCGCTACGACTGAAACGGAAGCGTGGACGCTGATGATGCGGCCAGCACATCCGAGGAACTTGGCCTCTCTGCCCCGTTATCTCTTTTAAAATACATAATTAATTACCTACCTAGGTAGTACCATACTCCAGCTCTGGCAATGACGACGGCGGCGGCTGGTATCTTTCACCACGGTCTCCATCCAACGCTGCAGTGGGGAGCAACAGAAGAGAGAACGTCGTGGTCTCGTCTCCCCAGCGACAATGCCAATTCGCATTGCTGCGCTGCAAGGTGGCCAGGATGCAGTGGTTCAAGGTCAATCTGAGCAAAGTACGGAGTAGAGGACGGTACGTGCAGGGCCAAGCTAACCTCGGCCGGCGCGTTCTGTACCTGAGATTGGTGCAGATCGTGGCGGTGAGCCGAGCACTCGACATACCTGTTCCTGTCTGCATGCAAAGCCCTGAAACCCCCAAGGTTGACGTGGTTTGGCAACCCTCTTTCTGGCTGCCTGCGATAAGTTATGCACGCTCGTCCCTGGTGCTTTCCAGCAGCTGCTCGATTATCTCTGTCGCGGGGCTGCTGATTGGTGCCTGTGGCCTCCCTCTTTCTATCTGTTTCTATCCTCTTCCATGATCATCCACGCTCGCCTTCACATCTTTCGACTGCACATCTCCAGATTGGGCCAACATACGCAGCACTACTCGTACAATTGACATTTTCGCAGCCACTAAAGGAATGTATCATCCAAATCAGCTGCATCGGATGAACATCAACAATTATCGAAAGTTTCGATCTCGCCACTTCCATCGTTGACCGCTCACTCTATCTACTGAGCAGTGTTCACTGATCTACTCTTCTCTAGACGATACACTGTTGTCCTTGCTATGCTATGCCGTGCTATGCGATACTATACCTATTAACAACTAAGTAATTAACCTACCTCTGCAGGAGTTTCGTCTGCCAATCTACGATTAATACTATGGATATATTCTCTGAGAGAACAACGCCAGCGATGATCACAAAATGTCGAATAGCTCGCTCGAACTCTGTCGCATGCCCTTTTGTCGGGATGATGGCCATTCCCTACCCGGCAAATGGATGGTACCATGATTCCGGGACGCATGGAAACAAAAACACTCGAGTTCTCCCAGTCCGCTACCATTATCCCCAAGCAATGTACATCGACGTACTAGTACTTCCATCGACCACTGTACGAGAGTTTACTCGTGAAACTCTTCTGATCGATCATGGCTAGTCTGGAGTTTCGGGATAAGCGGCTTCTCCTCAACCCAGACGCCACCGACGAGCATCAGCAACGATCCTTATCCCGTTCTATTTGTTTTCATTGTTTCTGCTCATGGATTTACCCCGCTCCATCTGCACCATGAGATCAACTGTCTGACACCCGTCTCGTTCTCATTGCGAATTGCTCTCTTCGAGCACAAAGAAAGGCATGGACCCAGGCGGCGATAAGATACCATAGTGAAGGATATCTACCATAAAGTAAACACCCAGAATAGGCTCGATGGAGCCTTTGGTTATTCTAGACCGGTCGCAGCTCGATCGGAGCCACGGAACACGATGTCTCCGTCGGCTTGCGGAGCGTCTTGCCGCGGAGCTTTACTTGGGCCATGTAAGAATGCCCGAGCTGTACGCGAATGATAATACTTTCTACAACTTCTGATGATTATTATTTTGGCACTTGGTTTCCTAGTGGACCAATGCAATACCATAAACAGTGGCAGATAGTAATTACTCTATACCAACCACCCCCGTTTCCAGGACAGATGGACCCTGGGACGAGATGTTTCATGATCTCTTCATTTGCTATCGTGCATGGAACAGCCGCTTATCACCCCCCTTCCCGCTCGCCCTCCATACTCCGATCCATGTCTAGAGAACTCATCACGCATCATAGATAACTTCCTCTCCGCAGGATAAGCATGATTATTTCCATCCTCCCATTGTCGCTCAAGACGATCTTTTAATCATATGTCGCAATTCCCCCAGCAGCAGAGGACCATTCTGGTAGTACCGTAGTCAACTAGACTACGGTATCAATACACATTGCGTCTCTTGTTTCCAGTCCTACATCATTCCCCATTCTGCACATTCCATCTCACCTTCCATTCGTGGAGCCTAGAATCCATAATAATAATGGCATCGTTCCAACATTCCAGCCTCGTCTCCAATAATATCAACGGTCCTTATTTGTTTCAGAGCAGATTATTGCCTCATGGCTTTCGCGACCTCGGGTCATCATCGGGGAGGGGAGGAGAAAGTGGTCTCTTCGTACGTAAGTCGACATAGTTAGTTATTGCGGGGTATTACTGTGCCATTCCTTTCCAATTCGTCTCAACTTCAAACTCAACGGTGTCGTGTCCGGGTAAGGCGAGACGGTGTCTGGAAATCTGCACACGCCAAAGGAAAATTGGGGGGCGCGGGCCACATTCCGGCTGGGTACATGTGGCAGATCAATTGAGACTGATTTGGGTCACAGGTTAATTGTTGATATTAATTACCCCAAGAGAGGTCGATCCGGATCGGATGGATCGTCCTTGGTGCTCGGCGATATGAACGAGTAGTAAACAAGTACTTCACTATCGTCCTACTCGTAATAACTAGGTACTTGCTGGTTGATGCTGTACAGTAGGAGCTGTGCTCTACTCCAGGTCTCGCAAGCTAACTCTGATGCAGTCACTAACTTAACTAACTAGTCTAATTGAGACTAATCAATGCTTGCAGGACAGATCATAGAATACTCTAATCATCATACATATCCAGTTTGTTTGTTTTGGGGGTTCCATCTCTGGGTTTACTATCGCAGACTCGCAGACAACATCATCGCCCCAACAAGTCGATAGCAGCCACACATGTTCACGCAAGTACCTATTGCTCCTGCTAGTTTAACTTAGATCCTCGTTTCTCGAAACAACACAACACAACACGAATTATTTCCCTATCCTGCTAGGTATGGCTGTTGCTGTTGCTGCGGTGGCTGGGCCACCAAATTGCCTTTATCTACTGCCAAGCTACGTCTCCCGAAACCTGACACAGCTCATATCATATCGTCTCGTATCGTGTCATATCCCATCTCAAACCAAACCCGCCCCAACACATGATACTACATACTCTACCGTACATAGATAGCGCCACCGTGTCAACTTCTGGTAGGCGTAATTACGAGCTAGATAGGAGCTGTCACGCAAAAAGACAATTAATTGGTGTTAGTTAGTCTAGCCACAAGACCGCCCCATTATTATTTGCAGACTGATTTCCCTTCTCACGTGGCCAGATGCCACTTGAAATATGTCCTCGTGACCCGAAAATGAAATGTGGCCCTTTTTGTTTATTTGCTCCTTTCCTGCCTCTTTCCCAAGGGTCAATGATATGATATTCAACTCTCGCTAACTTAAGTTACTCTAGTCTAAGTACACATATTCCGCATCCGTCATGTCAGGCGGTCCTTTTGCCATTTGCGACGACAAGAGGCGAAAAAAAAGGGAATAGGAATAGGAATAATAGACTCGAGAAAAAGAAAAACTTTCGTCCCGGGCCGAGCTAACGTAGGTTTAAATTTAATCTTTCTGGTTGCGATAACGGTGAAATCTGGCGAGCGAGGTTCGATGAGTGATATCCTTCATTTCGAGAGGCTGGAAGTAAGGAAGGACTCTGTCAGTTGCTTTGCCTCCCTGCCAGCAGAAAGAGCAGAGACAACAATACCCCCCGCCACAGCATAAACACAGATCGCTGGCACTAGCAGGAGTCAGAAGTGCTTCCTGCGATCTTTTGCGGCGAGAGACAGGTTGCAGATATGATCGAGTGGATTGAAGTATTATACTTGGAGAGTATTGATTTGAAGGTACCTATGTAGTTACGAGACCTGCATATGCCTATAGCTACGCCTCTATCTTCAGGATAGGGTAGAAGCTCTTCGTCTTAATCGTAGCAGAAAATTATCCCGTATACACTAGTTACTAGCTAGGAGTGGGTAATTACTGGATAGTTAACTGGTATAATCATCTTCTATAGATTTGACTATCTCTTTGCAATCCTGCGATGACTCATTCTTGAAGTAAGACGGATCATTTTCACGGGATGGCAAAAACTACTGTTCTTTTTTTTTTTTTTTTTTAATGGAGAAACATGCGAGGAATAGTATGAATTAAGTGGAATATCATTTAATTTGTTTGTTTCTTTCGCGTTGTGGGTACTTATTAATTGCAGAAATAATCCAGTCTGAAATCTGTGGGAACGCTGATACTATCTAACTGTTACTAGTTATATATCTCGACAGTTAGAACTCCGCTTTGACGAACGAGTTTGTTGTATATCCGTCAAAACACGAAAGACAGAAGAGGTCTCCATTATTCATATGACGAGTCTATAATCGTACTTGGGGTCATGTGGTTGAAGTAGACCTACTTAACTCTACTAAAAGATAAAGTCGTTAAGTTTCCATTATTGGAACGCGCTCAATACAACCGAGAGGCTATGTATATCCTTTCCTGCATAGGCAATATATTTATATCTCTGGAGTCACTTTCCATAATAAAACTAGATAAAAAAAATAATATACATCTCCCATCTTTATTGATCTTTCTGATGTCGAGCCTCTAACCTCAGGCCAAGTATTTCCTGGTTGGCTGCAAACTCGGGACATCCGCCCCGCAAAACTCCGATGGCCAAAAAAGGGAGTCAAGAAAGGGAAGAAGAGTCATTGGAAAAAAAAAAAAAAATACAATTCCATCCGCATCAAGCGACACAGTCTCATCCCGAAAGCGCGCGCGTAAAATCGTCCCTTTTCTAAAAGAAACTGAGCGAAAGAGAATTTCATTTATCCATTATCTTATCGAGTCAACATCGCAGGAGTGAGAAGAGATCGAGATTCGACAATGGCTGCGTAGTCGGGTCCGGAGAAGATCCCCATCCGATACCTTAAGCCAGCCGACGCTTCACATCGCGCGCTGCGCCGTGCGCGTGCGCCCCGTTGATCAAGAGAGAAGAAACGGCATTGGGCTAGAAAAAAAATATTAAATAATGCAACATGAGCAAGCGTTCGTATGACGAGTCTTCTGCTGCTACTGCTGCTGCGACTCGTCATGGTCCGAATCATTCACGGGCTGGGAGTGTCCATGAATCCACCAATAATAGCAGTAACAACGGTCTGCCCCCAATCAATGAATTATTGTCGCCGACGACCGATGATCAGGAGTCGCACGGGCAGCAGGCGGTCAAGAAGCCTAGGAGTTTTATCGCGACGGTGGTATGTACTGTATTTCTTTTTATATGCGCGTAGTTCAGCCCTTTTCTAGTTGATATGATCAGATAGTAACTGTTGGATATAGGCATGTGAGAATTGTCGTCTGAAGAAGACGAGATGTGACGAATCGAGGCCCAAGTGCGGCCTGTGCAAGACCCTTGGCTTAGAATGCGTCTACAATGAGCGCAAATTATCAAAGTGCGTTGCTGTCATGTTATTTTACCATATGCGTTGCTGATTGTCCATACAGGAAAGACCACTCCTTGAGTTTGATCATGAGTACTTTGCATAGGCTCGAGACTAAATTGGAGAATATCCCTTCATCTGTATATGAAGCCCTGCAGCCTGCAACAGCGCATGTGCTGCAGGCAGTGGAAGGCCTGAGAGAGACCAGCACCCGCCCGCTCACGTCCCATGCTAGGACCTCTTCCATTCAGTATACACAGGCCACGACTCCATCAGTATCAGAGCCTCCGGAGTTTGAACCGAGGGAGCCTCAAGATGCAACGGATTCGAATGGACGCGTGCCTATCTCATTCAGTCAGCACGGTGTGGTTCTTTGGCCTGGAGCCAGGACTATCCTTCCTGAACGGCTGCTTGCGGCTCATGAGAGACTGGGGAAGAACTATGTCATTGACGTGGAGATGAGCCGTCCACCTCTCCCGATGTATATCGACCCGTTTCCTCCGCATGCTGGGGAACGCTGGCTGGAGACGATACCATTTGCGATAATCAAGGGTCTTTCAGATGCGTATTTCGCCACGTTTAACCCCATCAGTCCCATTATGGATAAGAACTTTTTCTTCTCCTTCACAATCGGAAGGGTCATGCAGAATGGCTTCGGACACACCATGGAAACGTGCATTGTTCTAACGGTGATGGCGTTGGGATGTCTTGCTGTGCAAGCTTACCAACAAGGGAACTATCCCCTACCCGGCTCCCAGGGCACTCAGTTTGAGCCTCCGGAGTGGATTGGTGCTATTCTCGAAGAACAACCGGGCCTGCGTTTCTTCAACGAGGCTCGCAGGCGGATTGGATTTCTGATGTGCGAAAATGACATCCAGAGCTGTCAGTTCTACCTTTTATCTTCGTGAGTACCGTTCTCTAGGACAGACTCGGCCGGTTGACTGATCTTTCCATTCAGACTGTACTATACGCAGATCATCCGTCCAATGGATTCATGGGCAATGATAAACCGAGCCGCGACCTGCTGTCTTTCAATGCTGAACAAGTGAGCATGTCCTTGTCCATATGAATTGAATCGTCCCTTACTGACATCAGCGAACTAGTCATGAAATCAACTTCGACGAATGGGAGGGTGATATGAAATCCAGAGTATTCTGGAACACACTAATGTATGAAACTATCCTCGTCCAGGAGCTTCATCTGGCCCCGAGCGGCCTGTCACGTCTCGAGGATTATGTACCAATCCCAAAGTTCATCAACTTCAGCACAGCCGGTTACGTCCCAAGACTGGCCGCGTCAGAGCAGCTGGATGATTCCTTTTTCCAATATCACTTTCTTGCGCAGGTCGCACATCGCATTATACTCACTCGTATCCGACATACCCTCTATTTCTTCTGTAAGTTACCCTAACCCAGGAACCTAACATCATAAGCCGCATCAACTATCCCCAGAATCTACCCTAACACCTCGCAGCCGAGTCAGGAACTTTCCCTCATCCAGCCATTAACACCGAACTCCACCATCAAGTCGAACAATGGCGCCTTAACCTCCCTCCAGCTCTCCAATTCTCCGACCACCAAATCAGCACCCCCTTAGAAACAGCCGCTTCACCATCGACCCCTGTACCAGCTCTATCCATCGACCCCCGCCGCCCCGTCTCCCCCGCCACAGCCGTCGCCGAATCAATGCTTCGGGGCAGATACATGATCGCCAAATTCCACATCGGACGACCATACCTATACAAAGCGCTCCGCATCCCCAACTCCCTAACGAAAGACGATCTAGAACAAGTAAAAAGCGGTCTTCAAAACGCAATGGATTGGCCCGTCGTCCAGGGCGTCTTCAGACAAATGAAAGCTTGTATTCCTATCAAATTCGCTTTTTGCTCTCAGTACGTACCACCCCCCCGCCCCAATTATTATCACAATAAAATATCCTCACCATTCCCCTATTTCTACTGTTCGAAGTCTAACAGAACCAAAAATGATTTCCAACGAGTAGATTCTTCGGCCAAATCCTCCTCTTCTATTGCATTTCTCACTCTCCGAATCCGCGTCTTCGCGAAACTCTCCCTTTGGGCTGGGAGCGGTGGTATGATGATATGTTTCGATTCATCGAGGATTGCGCACCGTATAGTCCTTCTATTGCGAAGGATTTGGAGTTGTTGAGGTTGTTGGTGTGAGCTGCATCTGGGGGCGGGCTGGGTTCCAGGAATATTCGTTTTTGTAAATAGAGATCTTTTTCTTTGTTATGAGAGATATGGTTAATGATTTCATCTGTTTGTGTTTATTTTTTTTTATTTATTCCATCTTTGTCCCATTCGGACGGGCTGCCCCGTTTGTTTAGGATGAAGTCTACTCTTTGGCGTGTATATACGATGCATCTGGGAATTGGATAATCTGTATTGCCTATGCTGCACTGCTGCTATCATACATGTCGAATAGAGAGAAATCATAAATCTAAACACGCAACCCCCCTCCAGGCTTTTCTTTGTCATACTAAATAATTCATAAAGCGGCTGATAATCCGAACATGATGCGCTTCTGCCCCTGATTACATTGCGCGTATAAGATAAGAAAAAAGAAAAAGAAAACAAACGAGATCCCTTCACTCTCGTTATAGTTGAACTTGGGTATCACTCGCATCCGTACGAAACTGGGGAAGCAACCGAGAATCGCGAGTCTATCGCTTGGTTGGCTTCGAGATAGACCGCGGAAACATTCAAAGAGAGAAGGGAAAGAAGACAGTAGAAGAGAGAAAGAAAAGACAAAGAAAGAAGCAATCGTGATATAGGACCCGTCATCACGACGGTGGAGTCACCTCGAATTTCACGCTTTTTCTCATCGCATTGTCAGGGTTAGTCCTCTTACTCGGACCGTTTGGCTGGAAAGCTCCATCATGTGAGTGCAGAAATGCGCATTCAGCCCCGTCAATTCCCTACCATTCCACCGGTTCACATTGGGGCATGATGTCCTGCGGTGCTTTGACACAGCAGACAAAACCAGCGTCCGTCAGGCCTTTCTCAAGCACCTTGGTCTCCACTTTGCCGTTGTCAACGTACCAGATGGGAATCACGAGTGTCCAAGGACGCCCCTTGTTAAGGCGAAGTCCTCGTAGCGGCTTGAGTATATTCGAGAGACCTTTGGATTCGGCCAGGTTCTTCGTCGCTTGGAGGGAGGTAACTGCATTGTCACTGCACCAGGCAATCTCCATGACAAGCACAAACCTCTCAAGGCTCTTTATCTGCATGATCTCCGTACACATCGTCTCAAACGTCTCCTTGTCATCAGGTGGTTGGTCGGAATGTATCCAGTTGTTCGTGCTTTCATGGAAGCAGTGCATAAAGCTGAAGACTAGTTCCACTTTGCGAATGCGCTCCCATCGTTTAGGCAATATCGTCTCGTAGAGAAACATCAAGGCCCAGGGGTGCTCAAAGTGGAAAGTGATAGTGCCATATAGGATGTTGACAGCCTCAATATACCTGCAGAGCATCCTTGTCAGACAATTCGGGAGATCTATTACTCTGGATCACTCACACTTGGCGACAAGTCCGCAGCAGGGAAGTCAAGCTCCAATCCGCAAGCTTACTACCTCTCGAAAATGGCTCGCGCTTCTTAATCTCCCAGATATAGAGCGGACGCACACGCACTTGATGACCGATTCGCTTCTTTTTGCGGGCAATGGTGACCACACTTCTGCCAAAGACACACTCCCAGATCGCCAGTCTGACTTCAAGAGGCAGCTTGTTGAGCAGAAGAGACTCGGATTGGGCGCGATGCGATTGAGCACGCGTCAGACGGCTTGCTCCAGGTGAAATCGTACGCCTGAACTTTCCAGGCTTGAATCGAGGGATCTGGGCTGCGCAGTCAAATGAGTTACTTCCAATGTCTTGTGAATGATCTATTGCGTAGAACCATGGGAACAGGGAGCGGCCGCTTAGTCGAAGGAAGTCACAGAAGAACCCGCAGTCTAAAGATCACTCCAGGGAGGCTATCGCGCAAAGTTCCAGGAGCACTGAATTTCAGGGAGTAGAGACTCACCCTGAAAGTCCTTATTGCCAATTATACTCTCAGGCATCGTCGGGAGCCTGGACGTGACAGGCATGGTGATTGTCTCACGTATGCGGCTCTTGAGAAGGCGATGACAGAAGAATGACAGGAAGACACTCTAGAATTGCAAGGCCGACTGCAAATTGGTTGCAAGAAAGGTGTAACGAGTTCGAGCTCAAGTAAAGCCGCAAAGTAGGTGCCACTGTGATGGAGCGATGAGGAACAGCTTCAGATTGAGTGAGGGTTATGTACTCGTATAAGCTGGTGGGTGTGCTTCGAAGGAAGCGAAGTTTTGAGGATCATCCATTGAAGAATTGTGTTTTGCGTGGGACTCCCTTCATCTTTGCAACGTGAAGAGTGATGCCTGGCTGTGAGTGCACCGCCAACACGTTCCTGCCGTCAGGTGAAAGCCTCAGCTCAAAAGCCGGCTTCTCACGACAGCCCAGCCTTGTGATGCAATTCTTTTAGCAGTGAAATAACAGTCATTGTATGAGAGTCTGCTCATTAGACGGCTACTAGCTACTTATTTTCTCTTTATAATGTCCAGACTACTACTTGGGTATCTTGCGCTGACAGCCAGCGCCACATATACAGAACTCAGAAAGACAGATCGTACGTCCATGGCTCATAATTTCAAAAGGGAACAAGTAACAATCATAGGGCCCATTCATCAGTCCTGTCAGACTCGCTGATAAATGGCTTATCAATTTGCTTGATCGCGTGGTCACCACATAATATGCTATACAGACGTATCAGCACTCAATCTTGGGGTTGAGTAGTGGGGTATCTTACCAGGATTCAGCCACCAAACCATCCAACTCCTTCACGATCTTCTCCTTCTTGGACGTCGCGATATCGCCCTTGTGGAGTTGAGCCTGCAGGTCACGTATATATTTCTTCTTTCCTCCTGCACCTTCGAGTACCTCTTTACCAAGGCAGTCACTGTGAAAGGCATGCTGACAGGGAAAGACAAAGAACTGTCGGCTGAGCACGGGCAAGAAGCAGATCCAACACTTCTCCCCCGGCTCGACGATAGCATAACGACTATCGAGATCTGCGATTTCCGCGCGTATCTGCTGGGCTGTCTGTGCCGAGTTATCCATCTCCTGTCTCAGGGAATCGATATGGCGTGAATAGTCCTCGAGAGCAGTGCAGATCTCGTCTTTGAAGTCATCAATAACCACAAAGTCAGGGAAAAAGGGAATAAGATCTTCAATGCGAAGGAGCTCGCAGCGACGCAAGAATTCAATCGCGTCCTTGATACCAGTTCCAGGTTGTCGGATTTTCTTTTCAGCCACCAGAAGCCATAGCTTCTTGCGAAGCTTGTCATCGCCCTCAGGACGGTCTGCAACAATGGCGGCCAGCTCGACATCATTATGCTTCAGAGCAAGCTCAACTGCCTGCACATACTGTCCCATCGTGCTATAGATGTGGATGCATGACTGCACCCTTTGATGCTGTATGCATAGACGTAGGGCGAAGTCCGCGTCGTACGGTGGGGGAGACGAAGGCTGAGATTCGAGGTACGTGAGCAATGCAGCTTCTGATGTAGAAGGGCTAGATGCATGAATGGAAATCAGGGTATTGTGTACTGCTGCTGAAGGATTAGGGTGATTTGCGATGATGAAATTGAGGTAGCGGACGGCTTGGTTCTGGCTCAGAGACACGTTGGAAGCCTTGTTGTAGCTGAGCAGAGCGGGTATAAGCTTCTCTGGATCGAGATTTGTCTGTCTCATCAGGATATCGACCACTCCCGTAGCGGCATGTATCATCAGCACGCTGCTATATTTATAGAAGACTTCCGGATTAGTTTGCTTTTGCAGAACATTCAGAGCCTCCGACCACTTTTCCCGTTGGATCCAGTATGACAATACGTAGTTGTAGTCATTGGTAGTCGTCGCGAAAAATAACAGCTCCTCTTCTCTGCCATGGCTGCTGATAATGTCATATACTGTTTTCTGGTCAATGTCGGACTTGTACTTTGTCACAAATTCCCGAAACTCGCTCTGGACACTGTCAAGCTGGCCCTTCGCCTCTGTAGGACTTGTGCCTTCAGCTAGCTCTGCCTTGGTTGCAATGGCATCGTCGAGAGAATTAAGCTTTGTCATGAACACTTCCACAAGCCAACTGGTGAGCATGACCCTCTGCATCACGGCAGATCTTTTGTAAGATGACAGTTGAGTGAGGAGGTATTTTCGCAGTGCATCGTGTTCCCCACGGTCAATAAATGTTAGGCAGACCTCCTCAAAAGGTTTACTGCTCTTTCCCCAGACCGCAGCCGCTTCGAGATAACGGCCTTTGCTGGCTAGATAATCACCCGAAGCTGTGGCAACGGCATCTTTTTGGGCGGAGCCGCGCGCATAACGCAAGGCTTCGTCAAACTTTTGTTCTTTCAGGAACGACTTCCAGACATCCCGGTCTTCATCATTGGCAACGACCTCGAAGATCTCCTGGGGCGTAAAAAGCCAGAATGTATTCTTGGTCTGGTCCGACAGGAGGCCAAGAGCGCTTTCGCCCGGTTCAAGCACGGCTTGATCGTAGACGCGTTCTCCGCTAAGACGATTTACAGCGACCACCTGACCTTCAACGAGAGCCAGAACATGCCATTGCGAGAGCGTCAATGATGTTATTGGGTCCTGTATCATTTTCCGTCCTCCTCTGGCGGATTGGGTCTCAGGGAAGAAAGAACGTGGCAGCATTTTCGCGTCATCGAATGGTCGACTGGTGCCATCCGACGAATTACGAAGCTGTCCGTAGAGGATTCCTTCCGCAGAAAGCCATGCGAACTGTCTCTCTGACAATTGCCCCTCCACATAGTGGCCATCTGACGGGTTTGGCGAAATGCTCAAAACGGATGGAGCCGAATTGGAGGGCTTTGATATCTCGTAAACTTGCGGCGTTTCCCGCTGGAAGAATTCCGGAAATATTGGGCCACCCCCTTCCCTTCCATGTCGGCCTGTACGCCCAAGGAAATGCAAGAGTTTTCCTTGAGTAGATAAAAGAACGCGTCTCTGGTCGGACTTCCCAGGAACAGAGTCCACCCAAATACCGGTGACAGATGTATCGGCCACCCTGTATACGTTGTTGACATACTTCTCCTCTCTTCTATAGAACTCCGTGGAGGGCTCAATGTACACCTCGAAGACATTACCATCCGTAGTACCAATCAAAATCTCCCTTGTCGACGCCGTGGGCACTGAAGGATTCCATGCGACACTCTCAATTGAGACGCCCTTCAATCGTGACAGCGGTTTCGGGTTTCTGGACTGGGCATGCAGGTAGTAGTTCTCTCCGAGAGTCGTAGTTATAATTAGGTGTGACGCAGATGGATCAAGGAACATGCGACGGATCAGTCCTATCTCCGAGCTCTTCTTTGGGAGGTCGATATCTGCGAATTGAGTTGTATTAGCACTTGTGGAATGGAGCACGTATTGGACTTTGTATGCGCATACCATCAACATCCTCTGGGGTCTCAAGATCAATTCGCAGTATTCGTCCTGTCGATAGCGCTAGGATAAGCACATTGTTGGCGACCTGGGCTGCTACGAAGTCCGCAGCTACTGAGAACTGAAGCTGTACACGTTGGACTTCGAAAATGGGAAGCGAGGCTTCCGTCAAGTTGCTCGAGGCAACATAACCAGTGGACACGTCGAGCGCCATTGTGCGCTAATCATACGGAGATTATATCATATCCAGGTACTTAGGAACTCTGGATCTCCGTCTGCGTTAGACGGTCAGCGGCATGGAGCTCGATGTCGTGTTGCGTAGGTTAGCTCCGATAACAGGACGCCAAGCAGCTGCGCTTGGTGCCTGAGGCATCAAACTAGAGCCACATCCGATAAACGAGCGGACACGAGGGGACCTGTATACATTCACTCAGATTAATATCTAGAAATTTGAGTACAACCTGTTATTGAAGCAGCCATTATCGCCAATACATCCTCCACTACTTCAGAATCACAAGCATGATACCACGAACTGAGGACGATAATGTGATTGTGTGGGCCGTAATGACCTTATTCCTCGGCATAATCTGTAGATTCTACTATCCCACAATGTCGAAGCACTTCGAACAATCAGATTTCTAATTCAGAACTTGTACTTTCCTTGCTGACCCTGATGGTTACTCCTCTGCTCCTAACAGGTTCACGTACAATAACGACTTCTGATCCTATATCGTTCTAGAAGTTGCCTAACGATACTGAAGAATATGGCTCTATATTTTCATCCAATATGCCTGATATGTGATACGTAAATCGTTCTACCTTAAACACCTTCGAACCTGGAGGAAATAAGTCGTCAGTGTACTCATATATCTGATGCTTGAATAAGCTGCTTCATCCATCGTCCACAAACTAGCATCACCAACAGTAAGGGGCGTGCTGAACTGCTGGCCCGAAGAAATCTACGTTTCTCAAAAGAAAACGAACAGAATGTCATCATCGATCTCCTTTAACATAGAATGACATTACAGACTATGACGGGATAGTGGTGCTATATTTCTCTTGCCTCGTGGCTACTTCGCAGCTTCCTCCTATTTCGCTCTTTCACCTAAGTTGCGCTTCCCCGCTGTAAAGTAGAGTGAACGACAACTAGACGCGAATTCCAACAGACAAGAACTGCGTTTCCTTCTCTCACTAGTTTTCGAAATATCATACTCGACCACATTTAAACCCAGAGATTCCCATTATTACTTGAACACACCAGAAGGATACATTAGGGGGAATCACCCAAGCTGAACAATGGCCACTCAGGAGCAAATCCGCAAAACGAAACTCCTACTTCGTGGGCCAGGGCTTGTGTTGAGTATGGTATTTCTCGTTCTGATCAGCTATTGCTCTATCCATCGGTACGTATTGTCCTAGACTACCTGGTTATTAAATTTCCTCGAGAGAAAACAACGCAGGAGAATGCTAATACCGACCTCTAATAAGTGGCTGGTGGACGGACCTTACAACCCCTCTCACTATAGGCGTTGTAACCTCTCTGGCAACACTCATCGTGATGTCAGCCAGCCTCTTCTACATGCATCGCTCTTTTGGCGACATGATATCCGGAAACTCGGGTTACATCTTCAAGAAGATTCCAGCGTGCACGGTTCCGATGCTCATTGACTTGATACTCTTGAACGCTTGGATATGGACAGTCTTCTTCTCTGTGCGGCACAACAAGGGAAGAGATACAACCAAAGGGATGAATCAGCCGCCAACGGCGTTATGGACTCTCGCCATTAGCTGTGCGGTTGCGGAGTGGTCAGTAGCATCAATGAATTTCTATTTCGCTCTGGCTCCATGACCACTGAACTGACATTTTTCAGTATCATTTGCACCCTAGCCCCTGTCCACTGTTTTATGGAATACCGTTCCCGGTCCGTGAGGGAGAAGAGTGCAACATCTTGGTGACCGGCTTCAGCTATAAAGAAGCATATCTTACACTTGAATTATAGGTCACAAATTGGGTGTTAATTACTTAGATCAGGGATTCCTGCAGACTCGGGGGTCTTTGCGTTCCTTTAGTTCTTGAGGTCATGACTTTATCATTAGTCGGGAATTATTGTACTTGTAACTAAATACAATCATTTGTCTTAGAGACGCAATGCAACCAAAGAGGAACATCGTGGTCTGATATCTCCCGTAGCAGAGATCAACAGCAAAAACCATTGTTCAGCTAGACTCTTTTTGCCTTCGCTTTGGCTCTTGCGTTGGCCCTTGCAGCCACGAAATATTCGGAATATATAGTACCAAATAGAAACATCACAACCCGTCCGATCAAGAGACCAAAGACAATGGAATACTGAACTGCATGCGTACTCAACCGCAGCAGTCTCATCAGCCCTGGAAGCCTATGCCCTTCCATACTCAATTTCATCCTCTCTTCCTCGGGAGAGGGACAATCCACAATGGGAAAGGGTAACTTCACCTCCGGCCAAATATCCATCGCGGCCTTCACACCAGCTGTAAACCCTTGCTCATGGAATCCCTCCCTCATCCAAGCCCCAGCGAACCAAATACCTCTACGTCCTTGGATTTGATGTAATTCATTCTGTGCCTGCATACTGGCACTATCATAGACTGGATGGCGAAAGTAGAATGTGCCCTGGATCGATGATGGGTCGGGAACTCGACAAGGGTTGAGAGTAGTGAGGATAGGGCCCGTTATGGAGATATCTTGGCCTGGCAGATCGTTTAGGTTTGCTGTCAGGGAAACATGAGGGCCAGAAGGAACAGAGGTGCTGAAGTCATGGTAATTCCATGCGGACCACGCTTTGCGATTTCGGGGCATGAACTGGTCGACACTTTTGCATCAGTAAACACGTTCCATATGTTTCCAGGGGTTTTTTGTAATTATCCACCCCATAACAACACGAGATAATATACATACCGATGTATCCGAATGCAAGAACACTCTACTCGGACTTGTCCTGAAGCATCCCAATATCCTCCTCTCATCATCAGTGGCCCCATCTCCCAGAATGCGCAACGCCTCATCACCAGCAGTGGCTACAATAACCCTATCGAATCGCTCAATAGATCCATCTGCCGTATGCAACAAAAGCGAAGCCCCCCTCCCTTCAACCCTGCAATCTGACTCAACCTTAACAATAGGCGTCGAAACATGCAAATTCCCAACTGGGAGACCCTCCAAGATACGATCCACATATTGCTTCGCACCATCTTTGATAACCAACCACTGCACACCATCATCGCCAAACGAGGAATTGAGAAGTAAATGATTCTTGAAATACGCAACGAGCATTAGTATCGGTATCGAATTTAACGTCTGGTTCGGATCATTAACCCATATCGACGACGCGAGTGGGATTAGGTAATTATCTCGAAATGTCGAGGAGTAGTTGTTTCGTTTGAGGTAGGAGCCTACGGATTCTTCCTCTTCTTCTTTCTGTTGGGATTTGAGATTCTGGTTATGGTTCTGATTCAGGGGGTTGTACTTGTTGTTGTTATGGTGGAGGATGTCCGTGGCGAAGAGGTTAAATCTCCATATATCAAAAAGCATGCGCCATACGCTTGGGGAGAGGAGGTTTCGGCGCTGTGCGAAGAATGTTGAGAGGGAGGTGGATGACCATTCGAATTGGCCGTTGTCTCTGCTGAGGCCGAATGTGATTCGCATGGGGAGAGAGGCGATGTTGAGGTGAGAGAGTAAGGATGTGAAGTTTGCTGGATGGGTAGATGGATAGACAGGGTTAGTTTGCATCTTCTTATGTCTAAACCAGGCATAAAGTGAGAATGTAAGTACTCGAAAATGAAATTTGAGAGATAAGTAGGTAATGATCACGGAACAGAAAAAAGCATACGATATGTCAACTTATTATACAGCGTAAATGCAATATCCACCATTGTAACGCCACCAGCTTTCGAAAGATTGCGCCATGGAACTGTCAGTGTATGACCGCCTACACGGTCGTCTGCTTCGTAAAGATGTGTCTCAATCTCGTCTTCTTCGTCATGTTGCTGTTTCTGTTTCTGCTGCTGTTGTAGCGTCCATAGAGCAGCTAGACCCGAGACACCACTACCGACTATCGCAACGCGGAGTGGCATGACTGGCAATTCAAGACTGAAACTTGTGCAGTTGGAAAGAACTGCAAAGCAATATGACATGAAAATTGGAAGAAGTATACGTATATTTCCTACGTATCCCAGGCCAAAGAAGCCGGAAAGGCAGCTTTTAGGTATTTATAAATTCAGATCTTCCCACGTGGTGCGTGCTAACCTTAGCATCCGTGCAAATAGGCATATAATTAGAATAAACTAACAGTATCGTAAGCAGCCAGATTACCCTGGCTGAAGGATCGAAGAGTATTGAGAGATTTAGTTACGGCTGTGACGTCTGAGTAAACATAACCCCTGGGGGCCGTGCACCCTCTTTCTTGACAGAAGGACGAACCATTAGAAGAGGATGTAAGACGTGGACATAGGAAATGATTCGTACCATCTCGAGGAGGTTGTTTGCTTCTTGTGGTGAGATGTTCTTGTGACCGAGTTGATACACATACATAGGGAGCAGAATGGAATAGAGTCACAACTAGCGTCGATATTGTGAGGCGAGTGTTACGAGCTGTGTCCCATTGGGATGACGGGCTCTTCAGCTGATAACCTGTTTCGAGTCAAGTACTACGACATTGGAAGGAAGAGTCTCTTGTCTTGTACTACGCCCATCATCCTTCCATGACATGTGATGAACGATAGTATACTCATATACCAGAGACAAAGTGCGTTGATGAATCTCAACCTAATCTTTGAGGGTGTGCAACCAATAGTATTTGTACAACAAGTATATTCTTCTGACTGTTTGATTGTTCTGCCCCCAACTTCTCAGTCTCACGTCATTCTTCCGACACCAAACAGTCTTTGGTATCCTGGCATTTCTCGATTTGTAATATTGACAGGCTTATTGACATGAGCCCGATAAGCACGTAGGGACATGCGCTTATTTTCATATCTATATATAGCTATAGATCTTGAAAAAGGATCTAGGTAGAATACTTGGACCCAATCGTGGAAGCACACTTTCCCTGAATCTTACTAAAATCTGAGCTCAGCTCTGCATACCAGGCTCAGTGCCACGTGTTCGACGTCTAGGCATCTTCAGTACACTCTTGAGCTTGACTTGGGCTAGAAGGGTCTTAGCTCACGTGTGGCGGCGGTGAATTCATCAGAGAGAAAAGGAAAGCAGTGATAAAAGAAGCCTATCAGAGCGCAGTGAAGAGAGCGGAATAGATGCGATCTTGGAATTAGCATTAAAACTGTAGCCACTGTTGAAGACCAGCTTACAGCAAGTTTCACATTCGGAATGTCAAATTTACTAGAAATGCACACATCCATATATCATCAAAAATGTTCATAAAAGAGTCACATAAACTCCAGTGGTGCGCCTTTTGGCCTATATAAGAAAGAGAACTGGGATATCAATCGAGCCCAAGACAGTCAAGGCTCCAGTTAAGAGGAATGCAGTCGAGAAAATAATCTGTACCTGACAGCGCAGTTCGACAGTATGAAAATGAGAAGGCCCAGAGAAAAGGGACTGAAGATCCGCGGTGGAAGATCCAAGAAGATAATGCGGGATGCTTTCCAGTGATAGGGAACGAACTGCCACTTGCTGACAAGAAACTTAGAGGCAATAGCAAACAAAAGTAACATAACTTCTTTGAGAAGAAGCCACAATAATCCTCATCAGGGATCTGCATCCGGTGTACAGCTTTTCGATGGAAGACCCATGGCATGAGATGTTAGATCCTGCATAGTTGCCACTTATGCTCGCGGAATAATGTATGCTTATGCTGGATTGTTCGTTCCGGACATCTCAAGGTCCTGTTGACCATTTTCCTCCACGTGGAATGGTATCTTCACATCCACAGGCAGAGGCTCGCCAGACCTGGGGGAATGTTCCTGCTCATCAGTTGCAGCTCTTGCGGGACGCTTTCTGCCTAGTCTCTCACACCAGGTCTCCGCGCTGACTAGAGTGTCGTTTACAACACTGCTGACCTGCGCCATCATCTCCAGACCCTCTTGGGCAAGCACTAAAACTCTATGAGCACTGATAGTCGCTTCCGACGAGGAAGACGAAGACTCTGGGTGAGGATTGGATGTCGAGGCAATGCGGAACCTCTGCGGCAGAGAGGTGAGATGCCTGCGGACAAGATTGCGCGCGTTTTCAGGCAAGGCGCCTCCTGCGTACTTCGAGACGATGTCCACGACCTGTTTCAGGGTAGCTAGTACATCTTCCTTGACAGCCTGGATCCGTTGGGAGAGCTGTGCATGATCAGCGGAGCCTTGAGAGCCGTTGACAGTAGGAAGGCCCGCAGCCTGGTGCTCGTCCCATTGCTTCAAGACATTCCTGAGAGCCAGAACAGCATGACCCAACCGGCCATTTGCCCACTTCAACCAAGTGAGACAATACTGCAAGCTGCGCAGGGATTCTTCGCTCATGGCCACACCAAGGCCAGAGGTCGAAATCACCAGTCGATTTGCCCACGCTTGGCGAGGCTGCACTGTCGTTCTTTCATCACTATGCCCTTTCTCATCATCCTGAGTGACTTCTTCATACTTCGGGGACTTATTGTCATCATAAGGCGGTAAGGGCTCTGCTGAGGATAGGTCAGAGGACCGGCGGGAACGGGCTGGATATTCGAATTCCTCCACTCCTTTCTCAATGTCCATTTGATTTGATTGGGCGTCGCCATTCATCTTCCTCCGCTTGCTACGGTCATTACCTGTCGCTGTCGATTCGCGTCGCTGCAATGCCCAGCGGAGGCCGCCTTCCACGCCAGTCTTGCGGCCCACCGAGCCCACTGTATTCACAACGGGAGATCCGATATTGCGCTCGATGAATTCAGCACCGTACCTGAACCGTGGAGAATAAGATTTGGACGTAGTATAAGCAGACATTGAACCCTTGATCGCCGACGAGACCAAAGGATGGGTCGAGGTGAGTAGGGACAGCAGCGGTTCCGCCTGCGGGGTTTCGGTAGTTGGAGGTCCTGCGGGGGACACTTGTTGCGCCGGGTGTGAAGATCGAGGAGATTGTCCGAAATCTGTGCATGTAGCGATCAGTGACGCTGTATTTCGATTTTGCAGACACCCAGCGCCTGTTCAGTCAGGCTTGTCCTTACCGGAGCGCAGCCCCTCCAGCGCCTGGGCAGCTTCGATATCATCCATGGAGAGCACACTAGTAGCGCGCCGCGAGCGGTCGTCTGCCGCAGAATTCCTATCGACTTCCATCATACTGGCGGATTCATGTTCAAAGCGGGTGGTGGTGGTGGTGGTAGAAATAGGAGGTCCTCGGGGATCCCTCACTGATGAGACAGCAGGAGTTGGAGACGGCGCAGACACCACCGTCGAGAGTTGGGGATCGAGTCGAGGATAACTAGCGGGCTCGGACGAAGCAACGCCGTCAGGGCGGTTCGCCATGGGAGGCTGACCTATAATACTCGGTTTTCTGTCGTGGCGTTGACAGCACTTCTGCGTCTGGAGGGAGCAGTTCGGGGATGCGGTTTGCTTCGCACGTGAAAACGAGGAGTTGTCCGCCAATCTGTCTGGCGATAATGTCAATCTCTTCGGGGAATTCTGAGTCAAAAGCGTCGCAGGCGTCGATGCAATAGGGCAAACGCTGCAACCGATGCTCAACCAGAGGGCAACATGGCCATCTCTCAGATGCGATGGCAATATTGTAATGGGTCCCGCTGTGCGATGTCGGGATCAGATGCGATACGAGGTGAGTCGGGCACGGCCGCCTGGTTCCGTTGCCGATGGTACTTCTATGTATACGCTATTTGTATACGCTATTTACTCTCAGATTCCTTCAAAGCGCTGTTTTACAGAGCAGAAAATGATCTGATTTCCAAACTGTCACTACTCGTATAGACTGGTTGAGCGGACATGTGTCTCAGCCGATCCAGTTATCGGTCCTTTTTTCCCATCGAAACATCTCCCGCTTCCAAAAGGAGCCTCCAAAGTCAGTACTACTCGACGCGCAAGTCAATCATTTCAAGACTGCCCAGAGACTAGAAGGAATCCCCTGCATCATCTATCCTTTTGTCGTTCATCCCAACACAAAGAAAACCGACGAAGGCGAGAAGTCAGTCACGAGTCGCACAGTCACATGCAACCTGCCCAATCGCTCCTGCTCTTTCTTTCTAGTTCTCGCGCCTGCCTCGACATCATCGGCATTGACATGTGATTACTTCGCCGTATCGGGTATCGTAGCCGACGATCCGGGATGTCGATCGTTTGCGGAATAGCGTACCACGTGAGACGCATCCAATCACGGATCAGGTGATGTTCTTTCTTTCTCCTGTCTTGGACTTGCAACCGGAGTAGAATCCTCATAGCTAGGGCTACCGAGCTTGCTGAAAAAGAGACAGGACTTTGATGTGGTTATGTTTCTGTGTCTGGATTGCCGCTCATGGAAAACGAATATGTTATTAGGTAGGTAACTTGAAAACAATACTTAGCAGCAGGCAGCAGCGCAGCAATTGTGAAATCCAATTCTCACAATCGACCTGACGAACTAGTTGTATCTATATCAGAAGTTTCAGACTCTGCTGAAATTTCCGAACTTCGATGAAATTCCCCGCGATACCGGAAATCCATATATGATGGAATCCGTTGATGGGACGAGCATCTTCAATGAAGAAGCTCTTGCGCAGCCTTATCGGCGCTCCTACCATGTAATGACGTATGGTGATCTGGATATGTATCTAACATTGAACAACGTCACCATGACTTGATGGGATTGATGCATGATCCTGCTGCAGAAAAATGAAGGGAGACGCTGTAGTGCCAGAGTGCGAAATAATTGTATCCCGCGAACAGCTCTCGCGCAGCGATAAGTCTCGCGTACTCTACAGTTATGCAGGACCAGCACGCATGTGGACATTATCATGTAGTAATTCGTGTAAAATTTTGAAAGCACTTCCTGAAAAGTCTTAACTTAGTTTGACTCACCAATTGATCGTGTTATACTCACAAGAGAGACTCTCTTACAGCAACATAGATCCATATGGGTATTATCGTGGACACTGACGTCAGAGAAGATCGGCGATCTGACCGATCTCAGCCAAGATCGCGCCAACAAGGGATAGATAGAAGTACTGTAAATCCTGGCTATAACGAATTGAATTAGACAACGTATTAGATTCGTTATAGCGAGTAATTCGCTATAGCAAATATTAGCAAAAGGTAATTTTCATTATGTAATCCTTATTTGGGACCAAAATTTTACAATATTACATAATATAGCCTTGAAAATAAATAATTTTTATTGGCTATTTGAGGATTTTTACACGTGATATGTTACTTGTTATAACGAATCCCCATATAAAAATCAGCAAAATCTAGGGGGTCGGAACGAATTTCGTTATAGGGCAATTTAACGAATATTTGTATGGGGGGATAAATCAGACACGGTGTTCAGTTCGTTATAGCGAGAAATTCGTTATAGGGAGGTTCGTTATAGCCAGGATTTACAGTAAATGAAAAGCTCAGCAAGACACAAAAATCACTTGTGTCTCCTTTTTAATCGCAATTGCACTGGTTCCTCGAAACCGAACCATTTGACACGCTATAATGGCCCCCCAGAAACGCAAGACCGCAGGCACAGGCAGAAATGACACGGAACAAACCAACAAACGTGGAAAGCTGGACCTGTCAAGTCCACATCCCAATGCGCAACAGTCTGAGGATTTTGGCATTGTCCTGCGAGAATTCTATCCGCCGGAAATGAGCAACGAGCGCTGTTTGGCCTACAAGGACGGGGCCCTGGAACGACCGATCGAGACACTACAGCGGGCCTACGAAGACACTTTCGACCAGCGTGAGGCCATCAAGGCCGGCAATGCAGTGGTGCACTGGTTCAAGTCTGACCTGCGACTACACGATAATCGTGCACTACATTTGGCATACCAGAGCGCGAAGGAAAATAACATCCCGTTAATCGGGCTGTATATTCTGTCGCCGCAGGATTTGACGGCTCACCTATCGAGTCCGGCTCGGGTCGACCTAACTCTGCGCACTCTAAGCCAATTAAAGCGCGATCTGAGCGAGTTGGATATCCCCTTGTATATGGAGACGCAGGAGTCTCGCAAGAAGATCCCTCAGCGGATTGTGGATTTGTGTCAGCAATGGGGAGCGAACAAACTCTACGCGAATCTGGAATATGAGGTTGACGAGTTGCGACGCGAGGCTAAGCTGATCAGATTGTGCGCAAGCAATGGAATCAAGTTTGAGGCCGTCCATGATACTTGCGTTGTGCCCCCCGGACAAGTGGCCAGTCAACAAGGTAAACAGTACGCCGTGTATACTCCCTGGTACCGCGCATGGGTCGGTTACCTGAACGACAATCGCGATTGCTTGGAACCGTCAGAGGAGCCAGGTTCCAATCCAGGTGATGCGCGGAGACGCTTCAAGGAGTTATTTGCTAGCGAGGTTCCTGCTGCACCACAGAACAAGCAATTGTCGGAGGAGGAAAAGAAACATCTTAGTCAACTGTATCCAGCGGGCGAGCACGAGGCGCTACGTCGATTAGAGGTATTCCTGGAGGAGAAGGTGAGAGATTATGCAGATGCACGAAATACTGTATGCGGGCAAACGACCTCAATCCTAAGTCCCTACTTTGCATCGGGCGCACTGAGTGCAAGGACGGCAGTCGAACAGGCCCGCAAGGCCAACAAGGGTTCTCTGCAACATGGTGACCCCGGCCTTGTTCAATGGATTAGTGAGGTGGCCTGGCGCGACTTTTACAAACACGTCCTGGTGCATTGGCCATTTATCTGGTGAGACTTCGATCTACTCTTCGCGCAGCGTATCTAACTGGAGTAGCATGAACAAATGCTTCAAGCCTGAGTTCACCAATCTGGAATGGGAGTACGATGAGGACAAGTTCAACCTCTGGTGCGAAGGGAAAACCGGCTTTCCCATCGTGGACGCCGCCATGCGTCAGCTCAAGCAAGATAAATGGATGCACAACCGGACGCGCATGGTCGTCGCCTCTTTTCTCTCCAAAGATCTACTTATTGACTGGCGCCGCGGCGAGCGGTATTTCATGGAGAATCTCATCGACGGGGACTTTGCGTCCAACCACGGCGGCTGGGGATTTGGATCGAGCACAGGCGTGGATCCTCAGCCATACTTCCGAATCTTCAATCCGCTCCGTCAGAGTGAACGATTCGATCCGGATGGCGAGTATATCCGAAAATGGGTGCCAGAGCTGCGTGATATCCAAGGGCCGGAGATACATGAACCCTACGCACGAGGAGCGGAGGCAATTGCGCAGAAGAATGGCTATCCACGCCCAATGGTTGATCATTCAACAAGCAGGGACCGAGCGTTAAAGCGCTACAAACGGGCGAGTGAGAATGGGCCTTGATCAGCGGTCACTTGTAAGTATGGTCATGAAACAGATTAAACGTGACGCAAGTTCGATGGGAACTGGCAGTGTACAGTATGTATAGCCATGACGCAAAGCCAGGCAAAACAAGCAAGCACAGCACAGGACTATTCTGAATACATTATGTATAGTAACGCTTTTCTTTCTCGTTTCCCCATGAGAGCGATTCAAAAAGAAAACTAGGCACGGGATACACTTACTACTTCAAGTTCCATATGACAGGCGGAGAAAAATACACTTTAAGTGGAAGATCAATAATTTGAATAGAGTAATCGAGGATTCATCAAGCCTGTCGTAATTGGAAATTGTCTCATTTTATATATCCTCTCTGAGAACTCGACGATCGGGTATTTCTTTTTCGTGACCCTGAAGAAGTCCTTCCTTACTTACTCTTAGTACTGTACATATAATGCCTTTCGGCTCTTTTTCTCCGCTGTGGAGTTGGAATATTAACTAGTTACCCTTTCTTGTAGTTTAGGTAATTGATTAAGGTAATTACTGGTTATGTCCTGGAGTAAATCGGCGATGTGTACATGCATAGTACAGTAGATCTCGTGTCGGATGATGTCATTTTGATTCTGCGACTGGGTAAGTAAGTAAGAGGGTTGAAGTGTATTTATGATTATTGGAGGGGATTTTTTACGACCCCTCGCGAACTTATGCTAATTGTCTGTTTCTAGGAGTCACTACGGACGTGAGGTATTTGGGGAAAGGGCCAAGATACCCGATGGAAGAAGGAAGCGAGGTTAGGAGGATACCTAAATTATCGTACCATAGGGCTGTGCTGTCTGATCGGCAGATTGCAATGCTAGACTATTAAAAAGTATAACAATATGTACCGTGATATGCTGTTAGCGCTTACTTCCCTTGGACTAATTAATTACTCCGTGATTAACTACCGTGGTCGGGGTCTGTACCGTATAGCCGGGTCATCCGGCAACCCCATGGAGGAGGCATGTACCATATCCAAGAAAGCACGTCTTTTGAGAAAAAATCGAACAGAGTGGTATTGTTGTTAAATCATAGCCTAGCGTAATAATATGTAGGGCCCGAACACAGGGTATCTAGGACACCCACGAAGAACGTTTCTCATCAGACATACGAAATCCCATATCAGAACAGAACATCAGAAAAGCCCCTGGACCTGGATCCGATTCTTTCGAGCGAACCATGGATCCCAGCTGCAGGAAGAAAAAATGCACCTGAAGGAATCCCAGACAGACACAAAAAAAAAAGAACCAAATCCCGGCTCCTCTCGCTCTCAAAACTCCGCCGCTCGTAAGAAGAAAAGAAGTGAGAGCGGACTAAAAAAGGCAACAATGTAGTCAACTTTTTTGTACACAAGGCGCCGTCGACGAACAAGACAGGTAAGTGTGGAGGAATGTGAATTTCAGCCCCTGTTTGTTCGTCGGATGGCCCTCTCAAAGCCCCGAATGGTGTCTAGCGGCCGTTCGTAACGGTATCGGGTAGGATTGGAGATGTCAGGCTCGGCTAGCGGATCTTCGTTAGTTCCGTTGCATTGCCACCAGAACCAGACAATGAAGATTGTTGGGCAGCATAGGCGACAATGGGTTAGAAAAAGAACTTACTGATAGGGTTTCCTTTGGCATCCCGGTGCTGCATCTCACTCAGCGATGCCATGGTTGACTTTTCGAATGCGAGGGCAGCTTTTGTCAGAGATGGGATGTTAGCCGGGCCCCCAGATATACTTCAGCGATGCAGTGGAGAGTCAAGTAGAAAAGGGAAAAAAAAAAGAGGACATACCTGGCTGCGCTTCATTAATGGCCATAACTGGGTTGGCCTTGGTCTGCAGGTTGACCTTGAGATCTTTCGATCCAGCCGAGGTTCTGCTTCCATCAGAGGAGGAAGACTTGGTGGCCTTGTGAGACTTGAACATGTTGTCTCTGTGTGGTCTGCCTAGATGATTTTAGGATCCGGATGGATGGATGGATGGATGGATAGATTCTAGATAGACAGAATGAATGACGAGGGGTGGATTTGATCCGCGGTAGGATGGAGTCCAGTGAATGTAGGTAGTAGTATATAGAGAACGAACGTAAGAGAGCGACGCAGTGCAGCCCTTTTTTCTCTTGTATCTAGGTTGTTGTACGGGATGGTACTGAGGAGATAGAGCGGAGTGATAGAGAATGGAATGGAGGGGATGGCTTGTTCTTGAAAGAATAAATGGGCAGACAGGGTTCCGCGGACAGAGTCTCCTCTCCATCTGGTCGATTGGACATCCCATCCGATGGGCAAAGCCACCGATTGCTATAATTATTCCGGAGCACGGCAGTTGTTCCAATCCGACGGGCTAACTAGTCTAACATTCTATTCTGGACTCTGGGCTCTCTCTCTGCTCCAGCCCATCCCAGCATCCCGTGTCTGTCGCTCTCTGACAGGCTGTCGTGGCCTCCTTCTGGGCTGTCTTCTCGAAACTTCAACGAGCTGCTTTTCCATTCCTCCAGGAACGCGTGTCCCGCTGACGACATTGGCCCGTCTTTGCATCATCGCGGTTTGCATTAAATGGTCAAGCTTTTTAGTCGCAGACGATCACAGTCCGTTAGTTACTTTAGTGAGATGCGGGACAAAACAATCCAGTCTGGTCTGTGCGAACTTGGAACTTCCACGAATCCACGCTGAAGTGTCTCAGATAATAAGTTTTTCCTCCCATCAGCGTGTTCCTGGCTAACTGGAGAGAGCAGCATCTCTCTCCCAATGAGATCCGGAATGTGATCGGGACCTGGCAGACTGCACTGCCCGTTTCAACTTTGGCGTCAGGGCTAGAGGACCAACCACTGTCCCACAATGCCTGATCTACTCTAATAATAATCATAATGGTATTCTTGCGGGCTCTAGTTGGGAGTTACTCTACTCTAGATCCTCCCTACACTTCCTCCAGATGCTGCTGCGCCGCCCACTTGTCGTCAGGAACGCACCTATGCTAGCCAGGGCATACACTGGACGAACGGCTGGCTTGTATCCGTCAACGGTGCCAATAATGACTAATAAGTTGAGGCGCCGCAGGAAGTCCAGGCAGCCAGCGGAATCAATTCCCACACTAATTATGGTATGGTATATCCGGAGACCGGCTCATTGATGCATCCCTCTAGATCCCGGCCAGGGACTATTGATAGTCTGACTTGAAAAATTTGCCGCGGCAACACCGACCCGAAAGAAACTCCTGGAATTCAATTATTCGATGACACTGACATCTGGTTCTACTATCAACAAATCTGTCTCATAACAAAATATACTCTACGAATACAACATTCTCTGGCTAACGTCTTCTGAATGTCTCATATGATCTCAACTGAGTGCATAAGGCCAAACATATATATATATATATATATGGTACGTCATGGCTTCTCAGAAGACGCCACGAGAATTTGATCGCACAGGGGTATCATCGCTATAGACATAGCGCCAACTGAATAATAGGACAACGCTAAATTCAGCTCAAATCCAAGACCGGACGATGGTTTTCGCCCAAACGCTGGAATGATGGGGTTTATTCCACTGATGCATTGTCATCATCGTCGTACTCAAAACCGATACTCTCTCCACGACTGAGCAGCGCCTCAATCGCCTCCTGGCCTTCGTATTCTCCATCACTATCCTCTTCATCCAGCTTGGACGCCAGTCGTTGTGACGTCTTGATGCTGAATTTGTAGCAACTGTACATCATATCGGTCACGAGGCGCGCAGGAGCATGTCCGGTCTTGATGCGGCACAGCGTCTCCCCAAGCGCATAATACACAAAGTCAGATTGCGGATATCTCGCATAGGCACAAGATGCTAGCAGCCGCTGCCATTCATATCGGCTATTGCGCCAGGTATGCAATAAGGGATGGTCACCTGCCGGCGGCTGAATCTGCTGGACAACGTCTCCTGCGGCTTGGGCGACGACTTTGAAAGATCTTTTCTCGTTGAGCCAGTTGTCGCGCCCCCACTTCGTGTGGGCATCCTCTACTTGACATTTAATCACCTTCAAGGCGTTGCCCACAACTTCCTGGCCTGCCCCGCTCTCTTGCCTCGCCCTGTTGACGGCAGTCTGCCACGGTCTCTCGAGGTCTTTATCAGACCGAGACTGGACATCCAACTTATCGTACAGGTCCTCTACTGCTTTCAGAACCCGATTCACTTCCCTTCTTGCTACTTCAAACTTCAGGTAGTCGACAATATTGTTCGGATTCCATCCACGATAATCGGGGTCCTTGTAAGCTGGCGGTCTGCGCGCACGAGGACTGATCTTACCGCGATACCGCTTCCAGGCATCCTCCGGAAGCCAAAGACCTGCCTTGCGGCTATCGACTAGGTGGCTGAGAAGTGCTGCCAATTCCTGGGCTCTACCGGAGTCTAGCGACTCCTCGTAGACAATCTTTTCATGCTCGACGGTGCACCGTCCCAGGTTGGAGGTGGTCAGGTTGAACATAAATGTTTTTTCGAGAAATTCGTCCGTGGAATGGATTTTTGTCATTGGAGCCGAATGCTTCACGAGCTCGAAATACTCTGGACCTGGTGGATCTTTCGGGAGATGTGCGTTTCTGAAACTCTTCACGATGTTTTGGTCCCAGCAGATCCATGGAATATCTCCGTCGTAATCACCACCGGAAAGCATATGCGCTAGCGGGATATCTCCCTGGGTCGGGAAGACAATCACATCCTTGAAATGGCGCAGCTCTTGCTTCCACACGGCTCTTCGGCGCTGGATGTCCGATGGAAGATGAGCAGGAAGACGCCCTACGAGAACTTCGACGCCATCAAGCATGTTGTCTTCGAAACTGGGGTCATCCCACGCAGACGAAAAACCAAAGTGAACCTCATCTTCCTTCAGGACGCCGTAAGGATCGGCAATGCAGTACGCGTATGTTGAGAGAGGCACCCGGATGTGGAGCTCTTCAAAATAACGGTCCAAAGCGGCTTTCAAGCAGTTCCTGAGCCGCTTACGCAGAGGTAGGAAGTTGCGCGGAGTAAACCCTGCCTCTAGGAACCGGATCACACTCTCTGAGTTGTCTAGCCACCAGGAATCCAATGCTCGAGACTTATTTCGAGACAGCCCCTCTTCTGCCGGCGGTCTGATCTTTTGGATCAAGGCTCTGCATAGCAGAGGACTGTCCTTTACCATGGCTGTTGTGAAGTCCTGATGGGCCTCCTCTATGCCGTCACGCACCAGACCGGCGACATAGTCCTTCACGTCTCCTCTGTTGTCAAGGATATTGAGGAGTTGGATGTTCAGATCGACCGAGTGCAAAGGCTTCGACCAATTTGTGACTTCAAACGTGAGCTTTTCCTTATCGGAGCCAGGGTGCTGCCAGTAGCGGGGATGGGGTTTGACTTTCAGCTGGGAGTCTGAGATCTGGATCCAGAGCTCATCGCCATCTCCAAGAAAAGAATTGTGTCTATCCACCATCCATAGCCCTTTAGCTCCTGCTATCCGGCCCTGGAAGCAGCTAGGGGTGCTCCCAGAGATTCCCAATTGGTCGCAGATGGTTCGTGCCAGAGCCCTAGACATCAAAGCACAGCCATCATTCATCACGGTCTTACCAGGATCATCTTTCAGATGGAAGATCTGGTCCGGGCGGAGAACGGCAGTAGCCCACGTTTTCGATAGAGCCAGCGAAATTCGCTGAAAGAGCTTGCAATCAGACTGCTCAACATTTGGCAGCTTGGGTATATGCCATTCGAGCAGCGATTCAACGCTCATTGGAGTGTGCTCGTCACTTCCCTGTCCAGCAGGGGCTAGGGTGGGCGCTTTCCGCTGATTGTGCTTGAAATCGATACCGTCCACGGCGAAGAACTCGACGCGGAACCTGATCTCTCCTGTCTGTTTCTTTTTGTTTTTGACTTCCTCCACGTAGAATGGTCTCCATGTTCTTCCAAGACATCGGTGGTCATTCTGGGTAAGCCACTTGACTATGCTCTCCCGCAAGAGTGATGGGTGAGAAGGAAAACGGAGGTGTTCTGCTGGCCGGGAGGGTGCCGGTATGGTAAGGGTCAGAAATCTATCCGAGCCAAAGCGACGATGGAAACGGCAGCTCTTTTCCACGCGAAGAGGATTCAACTTGAGTTTCAGGATGCCTCGCTCAGACCAATCGCACCAGGACAGATCCCCTGAAAACACGGTGACTTCAGAATGTTTTTCTGGGTGCTTGAATTGGTTAACTGCCGAGTCCCAGGCACTCGACGCCGATTTTTCAGGAAGCGCCCTGCCGGATCTTTGACCGTGGTTCTCAATCCATCTCCAGAGGTCGTCGTATTTGGAAAATGGGACCTTCTCCCCTACAAGCATCTTCTCTGAAGGCAAATTCCATTCCCGGGCAATTCTTTCCAGTTCATACCTACATCGTACGGGAATATGGTGGGAAAACTTCCATTCTGTGGAGAAGGGGCCATGCTCAAGAAGTTCATTGACAAGCCCTTTCTCATACGGTGACCCGGGCTGAGGTGCATCTGGTATGGAAGGGCGTTCTGGTTCCCGCGTAAGATCAAACAGGTCATTTGCTTCATGACCGAGCATCAAGTCGACTATAGGACTGTCCTGAGTTGGACCGTAATCCCATGGGTCTGTCAGATCAGTGGCGTCAGTTCCAAATGAAGTGTCCAGATTGCGCGAGTCCCCGAGGCCAAGATAACTCGACGATGCAGTGGTTGAAAAGCTGACCGCGGGCTTGCTCGCAGATCCTGCAGCTTGTTTGTCAGTTGGCGGCTCGGACAATGGCTTTGTTGCCTTCAGAAACTCGTGTATGGTGGATTGTCTTTTCTTGGACTTCTTAGGAGATATCTGTTTCTGTGCGTCGTCGATCGCGTCATCAGTCCTGCTCATCGCATCGATTTCCATGTCATCCAGATCTGAATCGTCAAACTCGTCACCGTCTGCTGCTAACGAGTCTGAGATCGTAGGAGACTCTACGGGGGAGCTAGGAGCTGTATAAAATACCTCTTGTTCGTCTGATGGCCTTCGTTTTGCAAAAGATAGTTGGTGTCTTTGAGTGCTGCCGGAAATATGTTCTCTCGATGGGCCATTCGACAAGTCTCTCGGCATTGCTCTCGACCCCAAGGCATCCGTGCCATAAGAACCCCTGTTGATGAGATAGATCTCATCATCGATCAGTTTCAACAATTCCCGCAGACGGATTTCTCGTTCGGCATCCGAAATCGCTTTGCGGCCGTCTTTTCTCAAGAAATCATGCTGGGAGGGCAATGTGCCCGGTTCCTGGCCCCGTTTGTAGACCCATTGCGTCTGGCGTGGTGTCACCCACTCTTCGAAGTTGTTGATCACCCTTTTTATATCGACGTTGCGATTATAATAGATGATCCTGATTCCATAGAAACAACGCCAGTCCAAAGGTTTGTCCGTCCCATGGGTAGCTGGAGAATACATAACCGGATTGGGCAACTGCAGTTCATATTTCACATTGAGTGTTTCAATTATGCGATTTAACTCCTCAACGGGCTTCACTGGGGTGCGAGGACTATTCATGTTGCCGTTGAGGAAGTGGCCTGCGACTTGATCCCAGCCCTTCCACTCATAAAGTGGACTCCCACTTGAACGAATACCACACAGAGAGACAATAGTCCTATCCAGGTACAAGATGCCTCAGAAGAATGCCGACTTTGCAGTCTGAGACATCAGAATGATAATAATAATAATAATAATGTTGAGGTTAGAACCCCACTCATGAGTGCAGAAAGAGAGACAATAATTGCAAAGTGGCAGTCATCACAGCGCAATCAACGAACAAAGGCCCTCTGTCGTTTCGTTTCTATGGCGATTAGTTTGCCATTAGTGCCTTGGAGCTGCGGATGCGTACATGGCCATAGAGGGGCAGACAGCCTCAGGCCAGACAGGCAGGGGAAAGCACAGAAATAAAGGGAAAGGGAAATCAGAGCCCACGCCAGCATGAACTGGGATTAGACTATAGTGCCTTTTTTTCTGCGACGGTCGGCACATGTCCACAGCCACCGGCTCTGCGGAATAGCAAGGATCCGCACTGTTATCCTAGATAGTGCGAGCTGCAAACTCACCATCCAGGGGTTTTCCCTTGGAGGCAGAACGACGATCAACTCATGGAGATAGCCAAGACTGAATAATAGACAATATGATCAGACCAAGTCAGAATCTTAAAGGCTAGAACAACCAAACTGCATTGGCAGATGGGTTCTGTAGTGTATTTTGTTTTTGTGGGTGAGATTATTATTCCGTCCCAAGTTTCGGGCTAGATATCTTGACGCGGGCCGATCCCGGTGCTCCACCTCCACCGTCTTTAAAACGTTGCGATCCCGCTGGGAAGAGAACCACGAGACATGATGCTACCAGATGGAGAGAATGCAGTTTGTACTACATGATCATAGAAAAAGAGATCTGATTCCCACATGATTCACATTACAGTATTGCCGTCCACATGACCTGTTGTCAAGTATGTAGGTGGCTTTCCGGGCGGGTGCTTAAGCAGCGTTCTCATGGCCTTCTCTTTATGATGTCGAGAGAAGCGATGAAACCGGAGCTTCCTGCACCTTCGCACTCTGTGGAAGTAGGTCATTAAACTACTCCGTACTCGAACAGCAGCATTTCGGAGAATGTGAGCTTGGCAGCTCATTATTCGTTTCTCATGCATAGATGACGTCCACCTCCCCCCTCTTGTTCTTTTTTACTTTTCCTTTTCGGAATGCTCCAAGGAGGATACATCGTGAATATACGTAATCATTATAGAGATAAATTATTACACAGCAGAAAGAGCTGATCGTAAAGAAATAGAGCACACACACTCATCAAGAAAAACATAGCCTCGTAAACGTAACATGGGCACGACATACATAGACCAGTTAACAAAAGACAGGACCATAAAGGAAGAAGCTCTAGATTCGACTCTCTATACCAAGAAAGGGAAAGAAAAAGCCAGCAGCAGTCAAGATTCTCCTAGAACAGCCACGAAACAAAAATATTGTAGACCCAATTGCGCTGCTGGTGCTTCGTTTCGGCTGCCTTACGGGCCTCATACTCTGCTTCTTCGCGATCGATGGCATCCTTGCCTGTCCAGAGGTCTGCTTCATGCGGTTTGACGCCTTTGGACTTCATGATGATCTTGTAACCGAATATGAGGATGAGGTATAGAGGAATGCCAAGGTAACCAGTAATGAAGTTCTTGTAGTCGAAGTTGCCGTATTTGAAGACATCATAGTTCTTGGTAAACGCGATGATGATGCAGAATATCAGGGCAGCCCAGGATCCTAGAGCTCCAAAAGGAGCCTTGTAGGCGAGCGTAGACTCGGGGACGTGCTGGGCCTTGCGGGCTCGGATGAAATAAAGGTGGGTGACCAAAATGGAAATCCAGGTCAAAAGGCCGAAGATTGTGACCAGGTTGACGAAATACTGGAATACGGTCGTCGAGCTTGACGAAACGTTCATGTATGCCAGAAGACAAAAGAGTGAGGAGAGTCCCAATGCGTAGATAGGCACTCCTCTGCGATCCGTCCGGGCCAGGATCCTAGGTGCCTTGCCTTCCCTCGCCAGACCGTAGATTGTCCTGGTCGCGATATACAGGTCTGAGTTTGATGCAGAAAAGACAAAGACCAAAATACACGCGTTGAGGATATCGGGAAGAGCAGGGATAGTGGCAAGCTTGATCGCCACAACGAATGGTGAAGCGGCGGCGGAGTTCGAAGCCTTGGTTGCGAAAATGAGTTCGTGCGAATTATACGGAACCAGCATGCCGAGCAGGAGAACACTCAGAATATAGAAAACCAAGATTCGATAGAAGGTGAGTTTGATCGCACGTGGGATCGTCTTTCGAGGGTTCTGAGCCTCTCCGACAGTCACACCGACCAGTTCTGTGCCGAGATAGGCGAATGTGGCCGACACCATGGTGGCCCAGAGTGCGTAAAATCTACCAGCAGCTCCAGTATCAATGTACGTATTGAATGCCCCTGGGTTGTTCCAATAGCGGAAGCCCTTCCTGTCGTGATCGGGACCGCCTCCCAGTGCCAAAATCAGAGACAAAAGGATAAGGCCCAGGATGACAACGACCTTGAACGAGGATAACCAGAACTCGAATTCACCGAAGAATCTAATTCCGAAGTAGTTGATGCTGACAATCAATACCAGGAATATCGTGATCCAGACACCTGGATTCACCTTTTCACGGTCCAGCCAGTACGTTATCACCATTGCGCCGGCGGTCAATTGGTTTGGCGTAGTGATGATATATTTAAACCAGTATCTGTAGTATCGATATTAGCCTCCTAGAATCAGAACGGGTGTCCAGTTTCAGACTTACGTCCAACCCAAAGTAAAACCGAGAGCTGGGTCGCAGAAACGAACGGCGTAGCCAGTGAAGCCAGAAGGCAGTGGGAGCCATGCAGCCATCTCTCCAAGCGCACACATGACGAGATAGACGACGAAGCCGACGATCGAGTAAGAGATCAAAATAGAAGCAGGCTACATGGGTTGAAATTAGAACTGTATTCTTCGTGATCTAGATCACTTACCCCAGCCCTGCAGGGAATCGTTAGCACATAAAGATCCCCCTTCGGTAGGTTCCAGATTGACTTACTTTGCAAGAGCACTTCCAGTATTAATAATAAGGCCAGTCCCAATAGCACCACCGATAGCTTCTAGAGTCAGCTACATGAGAAAACATCTTCTGCAGTTACTCCACTTACCGATCATTGTAATATGACGAGCCTTGAGCCCCCGGTGGAGGTCAACGTGGGGTTCATCGTGAGCAGTGATACCCTCTTCGGAGGCAAAGGTAGTACCAATTTCGTGCTCATTCTTCGACGGACTTATCGTTGACGAACTGTCTGTTCTGCGTTGCCAAATTCCCATCTTGACTGGTTAACCCCGGAAATGGCAGGGTTTATACCATAAAAAGCGACGTAGCTGAGGATGTTAACCCGCCAAAAAAAAGGCTGCGAAATTGGCCTTTCCTGAGATTGGGATTAAATAGCAACGAATGACCCCAAGGAGCTGCAGAGAATACCTGGCACTTCCTCTTCAGCCCGGGGCGCACACGAACAGGTGTGTAGCCTCCACGTGCCAGAGAAACCGCAAGGTATGTCTTTGGCGTACGTTGGGCGGTAAATATTGATAAGATTGAGTATTCACAAGGGAAAGGGTAGTTATAGAGAAGAGAAAGAGGACATGGGCTGCTGGTGAGATTTGTATCCCGGTGTATAAAGAGCAGGAAGGAGCCAGGGCATCCCGCACCCTGGGCTTCTTTCGAATTATCGAATATTATTATCCCTCACGGTGAACACCAGCCTTCTGGTACATTTTGAGCCGCGGTATCAGCCTAGCCGCCGGCCTTTTGGAGCCAAGAAAACATGGAAATTGAGGGCGCCAACCATAACATGATATTGCACGCCACAGGGCGGGTTAGCACGAGGCTCTGGCCGCCTGGGCGTACGAGTACGCGGTTGGATGGTCCAGTTCCTTAATCACCATGAAGGGCCTGATCAGGAATCGTTCGAGATGATTACGAACTGTCCATGGATCAATGTTGGTTGCCCACTGCTAGAGCCACGGATCACCTGTGCAATCCAACGGACTCGATATATGCATCTCACAAAGAGGCGCGCACCCTTCACCCGCACCAAGGCACCTTACATTTTGGCCTATAAGCTCTTGCTAACGATCTCTTATCTCTCAATCTTAGATCGGACAATGCCCAGACTCAACTTAACCTAAGAAGGCACCGGGCCCGCTAAGAGGAAACACGGCTGGTCACTGAGACTGATAAGAGCTTCAATACTACATATTACTGATATCTGCTTCTGCAAATTCTGACATCCGGGCACCAGAAACAGACCCCACAACGCTCGATCTAGAAAACACCAGACTCTGCCCAGAGATTATTGTCACCCGCAAAACCGCTACACAGACAAAAGAATCTACAATATGGTTGAACTAGGCAGATGACCCCGTCCATAGCCGTGTATATCCGTCAGCCAAGAAAGCCATGCAATATCACTAAATATTCCGCCGCTTCTTGGCATCATTTTTCCACCCAGTCTGCTCAGATGGTTGAGTCGGTTATCTACGAGTAGTGAAGCTTCGCTTGGCGTCCCTAACAATCTGCCAGGTGCAGGATACGCGCCCTGTGCCCGACCAGGTGAAGAGGTTTCACCCTCCTGGACAAGGCTGTCATTGCACCCTCATTACACCCTCCGCCAGGCTCAGCACAGGGAAGACACGAAGACGGAGGTCAGCGGGCATGAATAAAATAGTCAGATCATGCTCTCTGAACTCTAGTTGCCTAGCATTTCAACGCGTCACCGCCTGATTTTAACCCATTAGGCAACTGTTTGTGTCCCTAAAGTCATGTTGTAATAATAGAAACTCGGAGGAGAAATTGAAGCTCTATTCCACCGAAGGGGCAGGGGTTATAAACTACCGTAGGCAGTACAAGCTGGCAGTATAGCTGTCTCTGTTTCTAATCATTTCGACCTTCTTTTCTAGTCTAAATAATTCATTAAAATGACCCAAGACTGGCATCGGATATATCGCTTGGTCGCAGCGCAGTTGTTGGAAATCCCTGTGAACCGTGCGACCTGCTCTCTGAAGCTGTCCATGATGCAGTCTATCCAGTCGTGAAGTAAATCTGCCATGGCAAACTTCACTGAATCTAAGCGACAGCGTTATCAGCGCTAGCTTTCTCTGCTAACTCTTTTAATGACCTCTTCTCTTTTTCGATTCCATTCCGTCGCTGAGCTGTATCACAAAGCTCGATATTTCCACATTCACATTCACCACTCTTCCTGACCCAACGGTATGTGATGCTCCATCGGTCGCCTCGCGGTCTCAGCGTTCCGTCCTCAAGGATATCGTTCTTGCGCTTTTTAATCCCATGAGTCCAATGCAGTCTCGAGTCACCGGTCATTTGCATCATAGCCCGTGGAGTCAAATCAACATCCACCCGCTGCTCACCCTTTCGGAACTGCATGATGACCGGTGCACCAAAGGACAACGCGTAGAGCTGATCATAAGGCCCATGCGCGTCTACATGCGGCGGAATACCACTGCCAGGCGGATAATACTGCAGACAGACCTGGTCGGGCGGTCTATCTTCAGTAGTCGGAATAAGCGGCTGAAGCCATTCGGGAAACTCCTTGTATGGGATATCTGGATCTATGCCAAATGTTTTATAGTCGAATGTGTAGCCGTAATGGAGTGATATGCGGCCAGAGCGATCTGGCCATTTTAGGTCGTTGAGGAAGATCGAGATGAGACGCTGCTCGTGCTCGGCGGTGACGAAGTCATCTTGCCAGAAGATGCCTCGCGGCTCGATGGGCAGCTCTTTGAATTTATTTTGCTCCTCCATCCCCCGTCTCCCTTATCGGTGGATGCGGTGATGAAGAATTAGAAGAAAATGATATTCGCTTGCACGTGATGGCGAAGCTTTTTTTCCCCTTTACTTAATGGTTTGCGGCCCCACAGTCTAAGCAATCCGAAGGCGTTCTATCACGCATGTTTGAATGGACTGTTCGATATATTGTATTTATTCTATCGCTCTTGTTCATATGGCGTTTATGGTGCCCCTTTCCTTGTATCATTGGGGGGGAAAACAGTGACTATAAATCGAAGAACAGCGAAACCTAGCGATGAACGGCCTGCGTTCTCTGTTCATCCCACGTCTCTCCACCCCAATACTCTCATTAGTCACAAACGCTTACTGACATGTATATCCGCCATCAACAGGAAGAGAAACCCCAGTCATCCAAGAATTCTCATCACTAGCTAAGAACACAGCTGCATTTGCAATATAATCCGGTTTACCAATTCCACGGAAAGCATGTCTCGCAAATAGTGCTCCTCTTATCGTCGCATCCTGAATGAACGGTGCTTCATTGATAAGCGGTGTCTCCACGACTATTTTCTAGGAATTAGCACTGGCCGCGCAGTTGATCAGGGTTTTACTCACAGCCTGGACACAGAGCGTTGACTTGTACTCCGTACGGAGCACAGTCGATGGCAGCGGCTTTGGTTAAGCCGCACACGCTATGCTTTGATGCAATATAGCTCGCTGGAAACTAGCGTCAGTGGTTGCTCATTCATAATGTCACCACTGTACAGTATTTCGTTCTGGGCGACTGCTTACCGGCCATCCCAAACCCTCTAAGTCCCGCTATACTAGCGACATTAATAATCCTTCCTCGACTTCCACTAGGCAATGGATCTTGTTCGATCATCTGACGACTGGCATATTTGGTGCCCAGGAAGACACCGCGGGAGTTGACACTGAGGACCTGGTCCCATGTCGATTCGTCAGTGTCCCAGATGGGAGCGGGATGTTGACCTTCCGGGGCAATTCCCGCATTGTTGACAAAGCTTCAGGAAGGTTAGATGTAAGGTGGTCGAGAATGAATAAAGCGCAAAACCCCGCATAGAATGATTAAACGGGGTTATTAAATATGAGCGCAACCTACATATCAATGCGACCATACTTATCCACCGCTGTCTGGACAAGAGCTTTCATATCATCTGTCTGCGACACATCGGCCTTACAGAACGTTGTCGTACCCCCCTCCTTGCTAATTATTTCGTGGGTTTGTAGCTCCTCGGCATTATTTGAGCTGATGTCTGAACAGACTACTGTGCACCCCTCCCTGTGATATGCTAGAGCGATGGCCCGCCCAATTCCGGATAAACTGCCCGTTATGACAGCTACCTTTCCTTGAAGGCGTTTGGGGGCAGAATTTGGAACGGCAGATGAGGACATGGTCGTAAGGAAAACAGCAAGTGGCTTATGGTAGGATGAATTCGATGCATCAAGGCCATCGTGTCTTCTTGTAATCATGGATTTTGGGGGCCTTCCCTACCCCTGATCAACCTCTCTTTCCGGATTAGGGATAGCTATGCGCATGGTGAGGTGTCTGGATGATGATTGATCTGATAGCTGGCTAGTTAGAGCTAGGATTCTTCGGACGAACAAGAAGCAGCAGCAGCAGTAGCCTATTCAGTAACTCGGAGATATGACTACTTAACGCGTCGACCCTTCTCAGTATAATATCACTGTCGGAATGGAAAGGATTGTCCGACTACCTAGGTAGTAATACGGGAATCACTATCTTTCTCTACATTCTACACCACAAGAAGATTCTATTCTCGCCCCCTTCTGCTGCTGCTGCTGCTGCTATATATTTTAATTCTCCCTGTAATTTCCCCACGTGCGCTAAATGTCCGTGCGATGATAACCTTGCAGTAATAACCGTTGGACCCAGTTCCTGACGTTCTCGCTAAGTACCTAGGCTCGGGACCGTAGAATCAGTCCACTAACTTACTCATGGTCTACTCCAGCCAGATGAATATGTTAAGCATTTCAGAAGAAGTATTCCTAAAACAGTACATCAATTCTTGATATTGAGAAGAATACGCTCAGAGACCCAAACTTCGAACAAGTTCAACATTACATGGGATTCATCATGTATGTACAGTACATACACACGTCGAGCTAAAGTAGTCACCGCAGCACATTCTTCCAGACCGAGGAATATTATGGGACTTTGTACATACATACATATATTCCTACTCTACAACCCAGCAGAACCGCTTACTTACTTACTTAACAAACAAACTCCAGCTAACTAGATATTCTTTCTCATATGCATGCAACCTGCATATATCGTACGGATGATTTTTTTTTTTTTTTTTTTTTTGGGTGCAACCCCGCAGAACAACAGCGGGGATATTATTCCAATCTTTCATTTCATATATCACCGTGGAAGACCTATTCTATGGGAAACCAGCCATTGTAATATTAATCTGAACCTCGGAAGAAAGACCAGATCAAGGAAAAAACACGGCAACGGCACGTAATATCTGTACCATGTCCGCGAGAATATTTACTATAGGCAATCTATGGCCCTCTTTTAGTCGAGTAATTGAAAAAGAAACAACAAGTCACTTATCGACTTATATCTATCTAGCTTATTTCTTGGTTGGTTTTCACATGAGCTGGACTTCTTTATTCCTGACATAGTCATTCTGTTAGACTATAAAATACTGTACATCAGTTTAGTTGGGATCATTCAAGCTGCTGTTTCGACAGTTATCATAGTCGGTGTAGAGTAAATGGGCTTTTAGCATAGTTCATTACAGGATGGACCAATTAATCATCAATGTATCCAGACCAGAGATCGCATGACTTTACACATGATACAGTACAAAAGTCGGGAGGTCGCACATATTCGCTACATATGCTACCTAGGTAGACACTGGAGCCACCATTGCTATTAAACTTTAGGGCTTCGAAACCAAGTGAGGCAATTAAATGACTCTTATTTCATCTGTCAAGATAAACAAGTCTATCACAACCCAGCGGGCATGGTGCCTATTGCTATCAACCGTTCATCCGTGTATCCATAGACCCAATAATAACTGACATGAGAGGAGAAAAACGAGACAAACGGAGCGGAAATAGCCGCGATGGTATTTGAACAGGGAATGGAGAAATCACAGTAAAAATCAAAATTCACAACGCCCATATCGAAACCGTTCATGCATAAAGCGACGAGGGGATAAGCCTCGACTGTCGTCACTTCAAAATGCCCCAAACTGAAAACTGCAGTGGGGAGATCGAAAAGATAAAATGCCCAGGCATTCTATTGGCGAAGAAAGGTATGCTGTTGGTTGCAATTCGTGAGTTGAAGACGGCCACTGGACCGCAGGACCGTTCAAGCGGAAGGCGGGTATTTGGAGCTAGATAAAGAGAAAATAAGGTTCAGGAGGACTTTTCGAGGATTTGGATTCTAGAGTTTCTTACTCGAATCGCTTGATCCGGTCCGTGTAGATTCCCTTGGCAGAGCCAGAGAATACGTGCTTGAGGTAGTCCTCAAAGTTGCTGGGCTTGAAGTCGGGGTAGAGCTCCTTGGAGGTCAAGTAACCCAGGTACTTGGCGTACTCGGGCTTGTTGTCTCCACGGATACCCCACGACAGCTGGTACTCGGCGATGTATCGTGGAACGTACTTGGCAGGGTCGTACGGGTATGTCTCACTCGAGGCGCGGGCCGAGGCGACTCGGTCTAGAATTTCTTCCGCAGAGACCTGTCCGACGCCGTCAGCACGTGTTTCAAGTGAGTCGACTCAAACAGGTTTCACACTTACATGCTTGCGCTCGATCTGCTCTCCACTGATCTTCTCCAGCATATCGTAGATCTCGTTCTGGGTCAGAACGACGTCGTACGCGAACACCATCTTGTTCAACGTTCGCTCATCGGAGATGATCTTGGCGACGTAGTGGCCGATATCCCGAAGATCGGTGAGGGCGCTGGGGGTGTTTCCATCGCCGATGATCTCATCGTTGGACATGGTCATGGCGTAGTCAATCTTTCCGGAGGCCAGTCTGGGGTAGGAGAACTGGTACCACCAGCCAACGTCGATGATGGTGTAAGGAAGCCATAGTTGCTTGATGTGGTTGTAGACAATCTCTTTCTGTACGAGTTGGCGGATGGTTAGCCAAACAGAACTACCGTGCGACAGTCCCCTGGAAAGGTCACTCTGTCCCTACTCACCTGGTCACGAAGCCACATCACTCCTCCTGGAGGGGTGACGGGAATGAAGCCACAAGGCACGAACCGCTTGACCCCAGCCTTCTTGGCGGCCTTTGCAAGAGGCAGCTGCTCGAGTTGGTCCGCTGGACCAACGGTGCTGATGACGACATCAATGTCCTTCAGGGCCTCAAGGAGTTCTTCCTCGGACGCAGTCATGTCGCACTGGCGGACCTTGACACCCCGGTCCTGGAGCGCAGTCAGGGCCGGCTTGGCCACGGATCTAGGTCGAATAAGAGCATAAACCTCCTGTTGCGCACCGCAACGTTAGCAACAGGAACAGGCGTAGATTCGACCAGATGGAACTCACAAAGGTGCCAGCCTCGAGGAGACCGTTAGCGATGGAGCCACCCGTCTCACCAGTCGCTCCCACGAGCAGAACCTTAGTCGTCGACATGTTGGGCGCGAGCGATATTCAGTGTAGTCAAAAGTGTCGTCGTAGATAGACAGAGTCCGTTTCTCTATCTGGGATTATCTAAGCCTCGTAGGAACGGGTCCAATGTCTCGAGTAGAGCAAGGTTCTAATGTCCACGTACAAGACCGGCTTGATGAATGATTGATTGAAAGAAAAGATAGAATGATGACAGAGAAATCTGAGGCAGCGGGAGATGAGGAACAGGCGACGTTATAAAGCAAGCGTGTCCCACTGCTTACCCACTCTGTACCATCCGGGACCGGGCGGTTGTGGGTCGTCTGGACAGTCCCAGGGTTTTTTTTTTGTCTCTTTTCTGCTGGACGAGGATGGCAAATTTCCCCCGCAACTTGTGGGCTTGCAGGAAGCGCTGGATAGCGTCCGTTGCAGCGCGTGAGGATGAATGCGCTGTGGTTGGGTGGAAGTGGAATGGAGGAGAGAGTCGTCAGAGTGATTCAGTTGATGGGAAATCGATCTCTCTACAACTACAACTAGCATACTGAGTATCTACCATACAGAATTACAGGAAACGAAACAGAATACCATAATAATACCATAATAATACCACAATAATACCACAATAATACGTTCCTAGCAGTAGCTCGTCGGCAGCCAAGAGGCGATCAGGGCCCGTTCGCTTCGGCATCCGAACTCTAACGGCGGCCTGACGTCACTGGCACACCACCCGATTTGGCGCGCAACGAGGAAAAATGGAAGGGCCGGCCGACTCTCTCTGGCTGGCCGAACCAGGAAACCACCAAAGCTTCTCCGTCCTTTAATTTCCTGTTCCCATTTCTTTCTTTCTCTCTCTGATTACAGTATGGTACCCTCGATCCCTCGAGTTCCCTTTCACGCATTCATTCATTCATTCATATCTTCATTCAACCTATTCATTCAACGCATTCATTGATTCTATCCACTTCCCCCATCCACTTCTGCTCCACCAATCCACCTATCCACCCACGCCCTGCTGGCTGGTGGATGCCGCTGCAAGCTGCTCGGCCACTCGCTGCCCTGCGTCTGCCGGGGCGCACTGCTCCGTCGGTGGGTTTGCCAGGCTGAGGCCGGGCGGGGAGGCTCCATCCTGACGTACCTCTTACATCCCGGCCGGCCATCCCCACGGGCAGGAGATCGGCGCTCCGGACGACACGTTGGGTCGGGCACGTTGCATCCGCCATTCCCACTGGTCCAAGTTACACGTCCAAGCGGACACAGCTCACAGCTCACAGCAGACCGCAACGATGGTTGTTCCCTATCGAGTAGGTAGGATTCTGAGACCAACTAACTATCTGGTATCTAGTGTAGAGTACGGAGTAATAATTGTCTGCATTCGAATAGTAGTGACTGCTGGGAGAGAAACTGGAAAATCCAACAGGTGAACCAAAGCGTCCTGTAGAAGACCGGAAGTTCAAAACACAAAACAGATCAAGCCCCCTGTTTGGTGTCCGTCGCCCTGGCGAGTCGGCATCGGGATCTACCAATAGTGAGTGGCTGATGCCGCCACAATGCGGATGGCCTGAAAAAGTGTCTGCTCAGTGCTGAGCAGAGTGCTACTCTGTAGTCAATAATAACAATCAATAATATCTCACCCGTTGATAACCTCCTGAGGCAGCATTTCACCTGCAGCTGAGTGCTGAGTAGCAGGCATCATCATCACGATCAGAATTGAGGTCCAGTATTAGAGCAGCGTACCCCGCCAGATCAACCCAGCACGGCAGTAGCGGCTGCTGTGTAATTTCGAGGTTGCGGGGAAATGTGAAGTCCAACGCTCCAGGATGATAGTAATAAGCGGGGAAGTAATCATGTCGAAAGGACCGAACCGTGGACGATCTCGTTTGTTTCGATATCATTGAACCTTGACTCGACATCTAATCACTCCATATCTCTGGAGGGATTTCCATTTGCTCCCCCAACACCGCTTCAGGACGGTCTCAGGAACATAAAGTTACTACTCTACCACCCTAACTATGTGTGTACTAGATATGTAGCGTAGCTGATACCGACGAAGCGACCAGTAACTTGATCGTTAAGGGCGGTACCGTGCCAGGCATCTGATAGGAGTCCTCTCTTGATATTTCACGATCCTCCGAGATATCTGACCTCCTGGAGAAAGAGGAAAAGGCGCCTGACGTTTCTTCTATTGTGATTCTAATATCAAGCATGTCTCTACTCCGTACCAATACACCTTAATCATGAAAGCATACCTTAAACTACCATAATGATAATTACCACAACCATCTCTCCCAGCGAAGGTTTACCGTATATGGTAGAGCCCCGCCACAACCCCTCCTATTCGCCCCCCAATCAGCCAATCACACCAACAGTCACCCGCACACCGCCAGTGGCAAAAAAGCACCCGGCCCATCTATCCAATCTGGTTCGTCGGCCGCGCGAGCGGTGTGGTCGGCCTGCCGGCAAGAATCGTCTGATAGGCGGGAACCGCTTTCTCAACACGGCCGGATGAAGCAGGTGGCCGCTAAGGGTTACACTTGGGAAATCGGAGGAATAAGAAAATTGCTCGTATGGTATAGGGTTTTTATTTTTTTATCTGCCGAGAAGTATTATTGTGAATGTGAGATGGGTGGGATACTACGGTTGGGTGGTTTCTTGATGGTGTATTAAATGGCAGTAGGTAGTTAGCGGAAAGAGAGTTTTTCTTAAGTATGGCAGCCGCTACAGTAATGGACCATAGATTTCGTAACGATTTGAATAAATTAGGGTAAAACATTAAGTTTATCTTCTGGACGCCTACTTGTATATTGAATAGTGAAGAATAATCTAACTCCGCCAAAAAAAAGGTAGGTTTCTTCTTGTGCTCAGAGCTGACATGACATGAGCGCTAGTAGTTAGGTAGTTACTCGAGAGTCGAGATAGAATTTCTCCTGATCAGAAAGGTTTACAGAAGTACAGTACAGTGCATCTATAGGCAAGGTACTGTACGAAGTAGACTAGTCGAACTGGGCCACGGGTACTATGACGATATCTTGCATTTATTGTCTCAGATGCATGCATCCTTGTGTTATCCGAGCGCAACGGCTAACGGAGGAAGTGCATATGTGTATGACATATGTAGTTGGATGAAATTGATCAAAGTGATTACAGCTAGAGAATAGCCCTGGTTAACAAGCAGATAATACGCTTCAAGGATTTCTTTCTGCGCTGTAACTATCGTTGATATAGTCTACTCAAGTAGTTACGGCACCCATTAACTGACTGTAGTAATTCCTCGCGCTTGACAACTCCTGATGGATATAATGATAAGTAACCGAGTTCCTAATCAGAATTATCTTATCGAGAAACACGACATATCCTATCTACCTACCTACATAACGAACCAGTAAAAGATAAGTTAAATAGATAGAAGCTTCGCTTCGTCATTAGCCGGAGCAGCCCTCGCCGACTCAGCCACACATCTCCGAAACTCCGCAGCAATGACAGCCATGAGCTATAGCCAGGCGAGTAGTCTAAGCATAAGCATACTCCAGAGCTAAGCATATAGGCACTGACCACTCTAGAGTTCGGAGACGCCAGCGACACCATCAGTCGGCCGGCGTATTCCGAACCCTAAGTCGAGATGGATGTGTGTTCTTATTGGTGGTTTCAAGTTAGTATTCATGATATTCTACTTACTGGGGCATAAGTGATCATTTCCCCTCATCAGGGAACTATGTACGTGCTCATGGGAATTCTGTGGATGGGTGGACGTTCGATAATAATTAATACGAGTTATAACAACAACAACAACAACAACAATAACAACAATAACAACAATAACAACAATAACAACAATAATAACAACAACAACAACAACAACAACAACAACAACAACAACAACAACAACAACAACAACAATAATAATATCCACTCCATACAACCCGCTCCGAACGAGCAGCTTTGACAAATGATGGCATGCCGTGAGTTGTAGAATAAGATCGGGGATTCGAAACCGTCGGTTTTGCAGGAGCCAGAAGGTGGTTTTGGACCAGAGGTGCTTTGCTTTTGCTCTCTGTTGAGATGGAATACTCTAAGATATATGCGCATCCCATCTTCTCTTCCCCTACGGATATGTCTGATGGTATGTATATTCTCTCTGAGAACTCGAGAAGCCCAGACTGGAGCTCGGAATCTCGAACTCTTGCCTGCTATTGCAAATTATGCTCAATAGTCTTACGATCAAGTTTCACTATAACTGATCTGCACCTGGCATGTTCTACATTTCGATGTCAGACGCTCTATGGCCTGTTTACCGGGCACTAACTTAAACATCGCGTCTGTGTTGACTACTGGACGGAGTACGTGCATCTTTTTAGACAGTAATAGCGGTTTATTTGCTAAGCATCAACTCTTAGCTTCATCAACATGGGGAAGTATCACCGCGCAGGAATCCGTCCTCGTCGGTTAGTAGTGAGTAACTACCTCGTTAGGGGGACCTCTGGGCTCTCGTTTTAGTCCTTCGTCTTTTCCTTCTGTGTCTTTGTTCCTCCAAACCTGAATATCTTTTCTCGGAGGTATCGAGTGCAGTATTTACCTCATACTTTGGACGGCATTAATTATAACTTGATTACATATACTTGTAATCAGTCCGGTCTTGACCAGCGTTTATATCTCACAATGGAGTCTCCGGCGCAGAGGCACTGTCCGACTGATGATTAACATCGCGCCGGATGCTGTTTCGAGCGTAGCATTACGAATACTGCCTTTGTTTTCGTCTCAGATTGATTTTAACTAATGACGAATATCCACCAGACTAATACTTCGTGTTATTGGATCAAGCATCTGGGAATATATATAAGCAGTTTGACAAGATGATGCTCATTGATGTGGGTTGTCAGGTTTTCTCGGCCTGGCGTCTGAAGCGCGAACTTCTCCGAAGGCCTCGGTTGCAAAGAGAGACCATGAGTTATCTGACTGGCTGGGGCCATCCGTTTGAAAGAGAATACGAAGAGAACTGGGATGCTCACAATATCCCTTCATCTCCAGAGCTCCTCGTGAATATGTTCAATGAATCCGAATACAGCAAGAGAATGTCTGATGAAATGGCTGAATATCGGACCAAGATCGAAACGAGAGAAGCAAGTCCACGAAGATTATGATATTGCTTACAGGGAATGCGAGACGAAAATTCGCTTCATAATCCTCTGTGCACTCAATTCTGTTCTAACTGCAGGTCTCGGAATTCATTTAGTCCCCTACTTGAATGTTAACAGGCGATAATGGTCGGATATAGATGTGCTATAGGCGATTCTATCTTGCGAAATTCTGTCGTATACATCTTTCTGTTCTCTGGTTGCTTTTTTTGTGCTTAGAATTTATTGAAGGCAAATGATGGGAATAAAAATGTAAATAGAGTAATCGTTGTACCATATAAGAACATCTTCTATATCCCACATGGTAACAAGCCACAGAGGCATCTATCCCACTCACCTTGAAATCCCAGATTTCGACTCGAATACAGATATCTGATGGTGTGCAGGATTGGCTCACTGAATCCCTGATATATTTCCCATCAAATACACACGATGGCATCTCATTCTATGATTCCCCATCTCCCCACATTCCCCCACGGGGTCAAAGTCTCCCCCCGGCCCTTCCCACGCCTTTGACAAACCACAGCTCACTGACCTTCCTCTCTCTCCCCATCCTTCGACACTTCCTCCCCGAGATGTCCGTTATTCAACCCTGATTCACAGCACTCCTTGCAGGCATTTCTCCGCCTATGTGATTTTCACATCATCTGCTCAAAACAAACCACCATCGGCCAATGGTCCGATTCGTCGCGCTCCTCACCCTCGGACATCTCACCGATCATCTCAAACTATTTACCAAGGTTGTGCACCCTCTCACTGATGGTATCTACTCACGGCCGAGAAATGCACCCCACGCTTGGCGGAGTCCGTGGACAGGATCAGGTAGTTCCTTTCGGGAAGTCCAAGATAACTACCCCGCAAAAATGGTGATGATAGCGTCTAGGCATTACCCCGGAATTGCCCTGAAGTGGACCCAAGCTCGCGGTGGAGTTGCGGGGAAGAGAAAGATATAGGATGGATGCAAGCTGCCGGCTGCTTTTCGACCATCTAGACTACGAGCTAGGGCGGTTGCGGAGCACATGTTGTTTGAAGTTCGAGCAGTACTGATAATGATGTCCCCTTCCTCCCAAGGGTTCTATTCTGTTGAAGCTACTGCCAGCTTTGAGCTCACTGTGTCGCACTGATTTCTTCACTCTCAGACGGAAACAAACAGAGCCTTAAGGTCGTACGAGGCATAGAAACCAAGATGGGCGAGAAGGCCGCAGAGGTCTCCCCCATGGAGCCATCTGTTACTCATGAGGAGTCTATTGCAACGCAGTCAAAATGGAAGCTAGCGCAATCTACCGATGGAGATACGGCCATGGCCTTATTCTCTGACCCGGAGGAGCTCCATGAGACCATTGATCCCGAGGAAGAGCGGAAATTGATCCGGAAGATTGATTTTATGATCCTCCCTTACTTGGCTGTTTGCTATGCGTTCTTCTATATTGACAAGGTAGGTGAACTGGATGTAGACTGATGTATGGTCTTCCAGATGCTAACAGGGAGTGGATAGACGACGCTCAGTTATGCTGCGATATTCGGTATCCGCGATGATCTCAAACTCCACGGTACCGAATATAGCTGGTTGAGTAGTATTTTCTATTTTGGGTTTTTAGCCTGGGCCTTTCCTACAAATTTCATGTTGCAGAGACTACCAATCGGTAAGAGTTTTAACGAAAAAAACTATGTGGATACGCTGACTCTGTGACAGGCAAATATCTGGGCGCGAATATCTTTATGTGGTAAGTGACTCGAGAGATCCGTGCACTTGGGTATCAATTTTGATGTCGTCTACAGGGGCGTCTTCCTTATGATTCAGGCTGCATGCCATAACTTTACGACCCTCGCCGTCCTTCGCGCTCTCGGAGGCGCTGCAGAAGCGTGCTCAGACCCTGCCTTCATGCTGATCACTAGTATGTGGTACACTCGAAAAGAACAGCCAGTCAGAATTGGTCTATGGTACACTGCAAACGGGTTTGGTATCGCCCTCGGAGGTCTGCTTGGCTACGGTATCGGTCATCTCAGAGGTGCACTTCCATCGTGGAAGTATGAGTTTCTTGTCATGTATGTGAAACAGATTCAGCTATCAAACGTCCCTTGTTCAGGATATGCTAACCTATTACCAAGTGGTGCTCTCTGCTCAGCATGGGGTATCGTCATGTTCATATTTCTTCCGGACTCGCCTGTCACCGCACCGCTTCTCAGCAAAAGACATCGCCGAATGGCCGTAGAGCGGCTGCGAGAGAATCAGACCGGTATCGAAAACAAACATATCAAGCCTCACCAGATTAAAGAAGCATTCCTGGATTACAAGCTATATCTGTTCTTCATACTTGGCGTTGTGTGTAGGTTTATCAGTCAACAATCTTGGTGGACATGGACTAGAACATATTGGCTGATATTTGACAGGCAACATTCCCAACGGCGGTATATCGAACTTCGGTACCATCATTATTCAGGGATTTGGATTCTCTACACTAGTTACGACTCTTATGCAGGTAATTTTCCCACCAGTTCTATATAATGTTGCCAACAGAGGCTTACCTGATCCAGGTCCCATACGGAGTCTTTATCGCGCTCTCTATCCTTTGCTGCGTCTACCTCAACAACCGTTTCGAGAACCGCCGCTGCCTCTTCATTCTTCTATTTCTTATGCCAAACATTGCCGGCGCGTTTGGGTTGCGCTTCGTTCCCCTGGATCAGAAAGTCGGCCGGTTGATCTGCTACTATCTCACCGGTCCCTATAATGCTGCGTTTGTATTGGTTCTCAGTATGCAGATTGCCAATACGGCTGGTAAGTAAATTCCGAGAAACTTTAGATGTAGGACAAGTACCTCTAACTATTCACCAGGCCACACCAAAAAAGTTGTGACGAATGCTGTGCTCTTCCTCGGCTACTGCACGGGTAATATCGCGGGACCATTCTTTTACAAGAGCGATCAAGCGTATGTGCACCCTCCTCGACTCCTATGGAATCTACTTCTCTCTCGTTTATATGCTGACCGGCTCCTGAAGACCGACGTACAGCCTCGGTATCTGGTCCATGATCGTCTCTCACCTCATCGAAGTCGTTCTCATCATCACCCTGGGTTGTCTCCTGCGGTGGGAGAATAAGAAGCGCGACAGAATCCAATCGCAGATGGAAGGGGGTCTGGAGGGAAGAGACCTCGACGCAACGGCATTTTTGGATATGACTGATCGCGAAAACTTGAAGTATGTCTTATCTCATCTACTACTAGCAAATCCGATTTCGAACGAGCTTTCGCTCCTCTGGTGCCTAGTCTCATTCTTCGGTCTAATTACTAACTTCTATTCTTCACTCCAGTTTCCGGTACATTTACTAAATCCGACGACATATAAATGTTGTGTTTTCTCGCCAGTATCAGAGGATCGATGAGATACATACAATCAGAGCTGTATGGAAAAATTGAAATATACAAACTCCATATGATATAAGCTATAAGTTCCTTGGCTCTATACCATCCATGCAACTAAGAAATACATATCGTAGAGTCCTTCTACCTTAGGATCTGGAGTCAAACAACTAGTAACTACTTCTGCTAGATGGTCCAATTACTGCTCACTCTGCGACCCTTAGCGCACAACTTCTTGGCTGATATAACCATGCGGTATACAATCACATAATATATTATTACTCCCCGCATCGTAATGCCACATACTTTCCCCGTCGCCACCCTCGTTCTCAAGCTTTTTAGGGCTCGTTTCGACAAGGAAGAATTGGGTTCAACAACAAGCTGCAACGAATACTCAGAAAAGAAAGACGGTGGATCGCTGGGATCGACTCGTCAGATATCCAATCCGAACTTGGTAGGGAACTTCTCTAAGTATGGCAGCATCATCCTTCATGGGACCATAGGAATAACTGCCTTTTCTCAGTACGTATCTTCGCCCCTCAGATGCACGAGATTTACCTTTCAACATGATTCGTCGTCAAACAAACGCCTGTTCTTTTTGACGGACGGCTAACGAGCCGAACCGAGCGTTCCCGAGATGATCGTCGTCAGCTACTTAGCCAGCCATCTTCTTCTCGACAGATCTCGGACCTATTAACTATCAGCTGCTAAACACTGGGTTATTATTCACCTAAACGGAACACCGATCTTTTTAGACCCTGTCTATCATTCTGGTGATATCAGAGATATGTGTGACCGGTTTTTCTTGCCGTCATTATTGAGCTGAAGCTCCAGTCTGTTGCGGGTTATAGTATAGTTAGTGGAGCAATACTTACATCAGTGGCTGGCTGAACATGAAAATTGGAATGGAATTATATAGCGATCAACTCTTATACTCTAGGTTGAAGCACAGCGTGACTACAAAATACCCGATATACAGAACTAACACGACATCTAACAAGGTACAACTGCTTCGTCGAGGTTGATCAAATGATTTTCGCTCTGACATCGCGTACATAGCGGAAGGTATAAATGGCAGTAAACGAATATCTTAGAATGCTGTTACTGTATGAGTCTGTATTTTAGGTCTTTTAGGTTGATTGAAATATTATCAATGCCACGTATTCTGGCATAATCACAACAGAATACCTTTTCTTCACTGTTAGAAGATAATATGACCTTACTACGACCATCTATTTCTTGGTCATCGGCGCTTCGCCTGACTCAAACCAACCTAGTAAAACACTGAAGAATAAACCACCTGCATCATGAGAAATTCCACCGGATACTGGTCCAGTATATTAGGCACAAGTTCAAGCCAGTCTGGTTTAAATCTACAGGCGATTGTGGCGTTGCAGAAATCCCAGAACTCCGGATACCATCCAGCACTTTCCCAATCGAGTAGAGTGATTCTAAACTCTGGGGTTCCGTCTAGCCTTTCGACCATAATATTCTTCGGTTGAAGATCGCCATGGGTGAAAACAGTACGGTGGTTTTTCAAAGTCTCATTAACCATATTCCGCAATAATCGTATGTATGGGTCTGATTCTGTCTGACGAAGTCTCTCAAGAATAGCCAGATTCATATCTCCCTGATTTGCGAAGGGGCCTGAAATTTTAGGTTGTAGACCTTCCGTCCAGAACACCCCATCAAGATAAGGCTGGCGATTCAACATTCCCAAGTAATCTGGTGGAGGTATACTCCGTAGCTCCGTCATCGCGTCTTTAACCAAGTTGCTTATCGTAGCCTTTTCAACCGGGCTAAGGGATGGCAATAACTCTTCTAGGGTATCGCCGGGGAGATATTCCATAATAATGTAAGTCTTGTTCGTGTTGGGTTCCTTGAAAGCTTCGAAGACTTTCGGGACTGGAACCTTGCTGTTTGCCGCGAGGAACTTCACGTTTTCTGCCTCAATGAGGGATACGCCATAACCCATTTTCACTGCGAACTGCTCGTTTACCCGGACGACTTTGTCGGATGCGTCTGGCGCGCTTACGAATTCCGTCGCGGCCTCGATCTCAGCGACAGTCGGTAGGCGAATGGCGTTCGAGGCCATTGGTTTTGACATCTTATAGACAATGTTAAATTCTCGATATATCACTTGCAATATAGCACAGGAGCAGGCTGAAGTGGGTTGGATTTGAATTTGGATTCAAAGTGGGTGTTTGGTTGTTGGAGAGGCTTTTGTTGTGGTAGTGGTGGTGGTTGTTATTGTTATTGGTGGGGTGCCAGCACTAAGTTCATTACATAATCATTAATGTAGATCATGGCCCAGCGCCGTGAAAATCCGTTTATGCCTTGCACCAGAATTCTAGTTTGACGCCGCGTCCATACCGGAGGATGGCTCATCGAGAAGGAGCACAGCAGGGTTGCCTATGAGGGCAATACCCAGCGAGAGCTTGCGTTTATTTCCGCCAGAGAGCTTGGCTGCCATCCGATTACCGTATGGCGTCAATCCCACGGCGAAAATAACTTCACGGACGTTGTGTTCCACATCAGGAACTCCACGGATGCGAGCATAAAATCGCAAATGCTCCAGAACAGTCATCTGGTCCATTGCATCAAACTGCGGACACACGCCCAAATGGGAGCGTGCGGTTGCGCGGTGTCTCACCACGGACACATTTTCAACGAATATCTCGCCGTCGCTATTGGACGGTTGCATATCACCACGGATCAGGCTGATGGTAGTTGTTTTACCTGCTCCATTCGGACCGAGAAGAGCGAATACTTCTCCCCTACGGACACTAAAAGTCACGTCTTGGACTGCGATGGACTTTCCAAATGCTTTGGTCAGATGCAGCACACGTAGACCGTCATTGGCACTCGATACATGCATCAGTTCGTTCGAGATATCGCCATCAATATGGTGTCTTTCTTCCACATCGTTATGCTTGCCCTTGTCCCTGAAACGAAAGAAAGTCGGGCCACTTTCCAGCCAAAGCAACAATCCGAAGAGGAAGAAAGTCTGAAGAATTAAGTAGAGGATAGGGCCACCGTAAAGGGTGATCTCTCCCGCATAAGGTGCGACCTGCCTATCTCGGCAAAGAATAGAGAAGATGTTCAATGAGACGAACATCGATCGGGCGAGACTGCCAACAGGCGTCACAATAGCAATTGTGAAATGCGCGATGTTGACATATGAATCGATCTTCGTCGTAGGCGCGTAAGTGAGCACCGAGAGATAGGCGATAAAGTAGATAAGAAACATTACACTATCGATGGTCAGTGGATATGCTGCTGGAGAAGAAGGCATTTGGCTTACCACTGTCCGCCAGCGGCACAAGCAAAAGCGCCAAGCTGGGAACGCGAGAATAGGGAGACCACATAGGATATAAGAGTCGAACATAACCCATAGAGAAAGAAAACCACAAATAGATAGCCAGCGTGGTACCACGCGTCAGAAGCCGCTCGAAATATAACTATCGCAAGCACGCTGGTGATTAAAACTAGACAGAAGTCGAAAGCAAGATATGCGAGCCACAAAGGCAGACTCCTAACGCCGTTGCTGTAGTGTAGCGCCCTAACGTTCCTTAATCGTTCAACGGTGGGATAGAGGGCAAATAGAGCAGGGTACACTGCCATTGCCAAGCCAAAGTATACAATAAGCTGGAGCGCCTTTCCAACGTCAGGCTGCCATGGGATGTCGAAGTATTGGAATTGACTACCAATTGAGATGTTTGTGATAAAGTTATCCAGGGCGTTCAGTGCCACGGACGAAAGTGCAATACCACCATTTCCTTTCCAAACGAGTGTCGGAGGAGTAAGCGAATCACCTACGTAGAAGCCTCCAGGAGTCACATTTGCGATATGATTCTCAAGATAATTGTCGAAATCTTGAATGGTGCCAGTCACATGCACATTGCGGGTTAGGATTGGGACTCCTCCTCCAGGGAGACTAGAAGATCCTGATAATGATCTGGCATATCCATTGAGCGCAGCAGGCGTGATCCGCTCCGGAGGTCCTGCGAGAAGTTCGAAGGTTTCCTGTGATGTCAAAGACTGAGGATCAGATGCGGTGTATGTGTCAGTACCCGAACATCCGGCCCTACTAAAGTCCTTCAGAAATAGCGTGACAAGTCCAGCTGCAATAACAGGAATGAGAAAGGCGACAGCATAAGGCAAATAATTGCGACGGAGGATGGTCGCTCGCTTCAGGAACAGTACCCAAGCTTGCCGGAACATCCCAATGCGTTCGCCAGTCAGTAGCTTAAGCTTGGCATCAGCAGACTTCTCCAATTCAGGGTTATCCTGCTTTGGCTGTTCATCAAGAGTTTCTTCAACATCAGATGCCGGATGACGAACATCAAGTTCCTCTGCGACTTTGAGGAATACATCCTCAATTGTAGGGCCGCTCACGCGGTACTCCGTAATGCCCTCTTGCTCCAACATTGCCACAAACTGAGAAGCACGCAAAGAATCATGCACTGTAAATACTGTCTCATCAAATTTGACTTCTTTCGAAGTGCCCTCTAGCTGCAGAAGAGACGTCTTTCCAGAGCCTGGGACGTTATAAACATGAATCCGGTATCCTGAGCCTAGTGTATGTTTCAGCTCGACGCTTGAACCCTGCGCTTTGAGAACTCCTTTGGAAAGAATAGCAATATGGTCCGCAAGGAGTTCTGCTTCATCAAGGAAATGGGTCGTCAAGAGAATGGTCCTCGTCCCCCTTTCAGCCAAGAGGATATCCCAGATCTTTCGTCGAGAGATTGGATCCAAGCCAGAAGAGACTTCGTCGACGCAGCAGATAGATGAGCCTCCCGTGAACATTACTGCTAGTTGCAACTTTCTCTTTTGACCACCAGAGAGTGTTTTGGAACGGACATCTGCTTTCCTGCCAAGGTCACAAGCTTCGATGAGATGTAACAACTGAGTGTTTCCGTCTACACGATCGGTGCCCTTCAAGCGGTTGAATATCCAAACGTGTTCTTTCACAGTGAGGTTATCCCAAAGCACATTCTTCTGCGGGCAAAGTCCAAACCCTCCCGTATTGTTATCGTAATTGAGATCGATCTGGCCGGATGATATCTTGGTAAGACCAGATATAGCATCTAGAGTCGTAGACTTTCCAGATCCGTTAGCGCCTAAAAGGACCATTATTTGTCCTTTGACAACGTCGAGGCTCAAATTGTCGACCGCTAAGACAGTCTGCCGGCGACTTGCCAGTCTAGAAGCAATATTTCTGGAGAACCAGTTCGGTCTATAGAATTTGGTGAAGCTGTCAATCCTGAGTGCGCTCGATCCACCCAAGCTCTTGACATTCCGGTTATTCGAAGTAACCCCGTACAATGCACGTTCGACGAGCGCTGCGCATATAGGGTAGACGATAATTTGAACAATAAGCAACACCCACAAGACAATGGCAGGGACTGTCCACGGGTTGTCTGGGGCCGCTTTAACCAGATTAGTTGGTAGGTTTTGCTTTTCCCAGCGCGCCATGAAGATGGAACACAGAACATAATTCATGGGTGGAAAGAGCAGGCTCAGAATGACAACAGCCGCATTTCCTGCGATATTAGCCTTTTGGGCTATTACTCCCAGAAGCAAGCATGCAACGACTGCAGATATGCCACTAAGTTGAGCTTTCCTAAAGAAAGCCGCCCCAAAAAGACAAAATGATGACAGCGCTAAACCGGTAAGGATATGGAGGCCAATGGTAATGCCAGCTGAGGTCTTCATATAGACACCCAATTTCAGGATTAGGCCAGTTATGATCCACGCTGGACCATAGATAATATCAAGAGCAAGATGCGCTGCTGTGAACCGAGCAGCTTGTGATTCCCAAGCGGATTGATTCGGCATCATGGTGTCGATTAAAGCAGTCATACCTAGCTCACGCTCGGAAGCCACTAATCCTGTAAGCTGATAGGTAACCCCTACGATACCGACGAAAATAGCAACAGCCAATATGTCGATTATAGAGCCCATGTACCGCTCGCGGATCTGGTCTTGTCGTTGCGTTTTCGTTAGAGACGTGTAGGGATACTCTAGGACCTGAGCAGCCAGTCAGCAACCACGGTAGTCTAAACACGAAGAGAGTCAAACCTGAGTTGGAAGCGCAGATTGGTCAATCGTCGTGTTGACAGAGGCGATCGCCCTGTCGATGGAGTACTGAAACGGGAGAACATAGATCTCTTCATCGTTGGCACTCGCATCGACATTGATACGCTGTCCCAGTGCACCATCCGCCCGGACAGAGTAATTCCATATCCCCTGAGGACCCTCCTGTGGGGATGAATAAAAGACCGCAGCAGCGATACATGTCGAGACCCCACGAAGACTGCTACGACAGACATCGCGCAGTTCGCTTTCTGCCGTCAAGATCTCAACGTTTGCTGTGGCTCTAGCAGGCTCAGCCACCTCTATGATCACCCGTTCGATATCTCCGCCCACAAAGCCATTGTTGACAAAGACAAGCTTATCCCTTCCGCCGCCGACAGAACCCAAGGCATCTGCCAAGGATCGGATCGGGGTTGGATGACCGATTCCATAGACGGATGGTTCGACAAACAAATTACGTGCATATGATCTGATCTCAGTGTCAGTCGCAGCACGAATACCGCAGGGGCTACTTAATGGCGGAGGGGGTCAGCAGACATGAAAATAATAAATTCGACCGGTAGGACAAACGCTCGCAGCAGAGTCGTACACCAGGGACGGACCAGCGTGATGAGGAGGTTCTTCGGTGGGTTGGTCGCGAGGTCGCGAGGCGGCGTCTCGCGAGGTGGCGAGGTTTTTGTTACCAGTAGATTACTAGTAAATTACTATTTTATATTAAAATTATATTAATATATATTAATAGGGAATAAAATCTAAAATTTTTAAATCTGGTGGGGTAGTAAGTATAGGTAAATCTTATCTTACAGGGCGGTAAGATTGTAATTGCTATATTTTATACTAGATATTATTAAATTTACTAATAGAATTAAAACAATTTAGTTATAAATTATAATTATACTACTCTATAAGACTAAGTAAATAACTGTTAGATCTGTATTAAAATTAAGTAAATATAAGCTATTAGTACTACTAAATAAATCTCGATTTACTAATAATATTTAATATTTTTTAATAAATATTAAATAATAGATTATTAATATATATTAATATTTATTAATATATATTAGTAATTATTTAATATATTAGTATTTTACTAATAATATTTAATTATATTAAGTTATAATTAATAATAATTTTAAGATTAAATATATTCTCTCTTTTTTTCTATATATATATATTATAAATATATAAAGTATAATTATAATTTTAAATTTAAAAAAGAATAATATATTATAATTTATATTAATATAATTTAAACTTTAAATATTATAATATAAAATAATAAAATATAGTATTACTAGTAAATATTAAAATAATTATAAATAAATATAAATTATATTAATAAAATTTAAATATATTAATATTTATTAAAATTATAAAAGAGTATATATTATTTAATTTATTTTATTTTATATTAATATAGTTTAAATTTTATTAATATTATTATAGTACTAGTATAGAGGATTATATAAGGAGTTATATAATCTTATAAAGATATCTTTAGCGCATAGCTTAATCTGAATTTAAGCTCTTTAAGCTATATTTTATTTACTAAGCCTACTTATAATAGCTTATTTTAGTCTAAATTAGCTAGATAAAGATCTTATAGCTAGTTCTAGTATTAACTATCTTATTCTATTTATTCTAACTTACTTCTTAAGCCTATACCTTAATATTATATAGCTTTAATCTAGGAGTTAATACTATTAATAATATTTACCCTAATTCTCTTATTCTTGCTAATAACTCTAGAAGAATTTATTAAATATATTATTATTAGCTATAGGCTAAAATAATATAATTATTATTACCTAATATATAAATATATTGCTAAGGCTAAGTTATTTATAAATAAGGCTAGTTAATATATTAAATAAATTAAGGTAAGATTTTAAAAACTTTAATAAAAGTTTATAGCTATTAAGGTGCAGGCTTAAGAAGTAAGTTAGAATAAATAGAATAAGGAAGTTAATACTAGGACTAGCTATAGAATCTTTATCTAGCTAATTTAAACTAGAATAAGCTATTATAAGCAGGCTTAATAAATAAGATATAGCTTAAAGAGCTTAAATTCAGATTAAGCTATATACTAAAGATATCTTTATAAGGTTATATAATATTTTATATAAGTATTAGCTAATAGATTTTTATCTCCTATATTAGTATTATAATAATATTTCTCTTTTTAAAATTAAGCTTTATTAAGACTATTCTTTAGTTTTAGCTTATTTAAATAATAGTAATAGAAGTTAATAATAATTTTTTAAGTATATTATAGATAATATATAGGCTCTTTAATTAAATTATTATAACCTATTTATTTAATAGTATATTATAATTAAAGGCTTTTATATCTATAATATTCTTATTAAGAGTTTAAAATATCTTTAATAACTTATTTCTTAAGGCTATTAATTTTAATAGGCAATAATAAAGATTATCTTTATCTAGATATAAGATCTTTAGCAATAAGATAAAGCAGGCTAATATTAAATATAAGATAAATATATATTAAGATAGGCAGGTTAAGCTAATAGATATATAGGCTAATAATTTTAATAATATAGAATAGGCTAAGATTCTTCTAATTAAATTTCTTCTAAAAGTGCTAAATATAGATATTTTAGGTATTTAATTAAATAAACTATCTTATATAATAGCAGCAGGCTAAGATTTAATAATAGTTAATCTATTCTTTATAATAGGTTTAGATAATATAGATCTAGATATAAATATAATTTATAATATTTTATATTTTTTTAATAAAAGCTTTAGTATTTTTAATAATAGGCTAGTTTATAAATTAAATAGGCTTAAATTTTATATATAGATAGAACCTATAATTAATAAAAAAGGGCAATATTTTAATAGTCTTAAAATAATAGGAGTTTAATATAAACTTAGCTAAAGATAGCTAGTTAACTTAATTATTTTATAGATAGCTAATATAAGTATATAGATATTATTTTAAGATAGTATTTATTCTTTTAGTCTAACTATTAATCTTAAGATAATAAGTAATAAATAGTAAGTTTATAATATCTAGATATTAAATTAAGTATTTCTAAAAAATAATAATAAACTAGGGGCCTTAGTTAAATATTATAATCTTTAATAGCTTATAAAGCTTCTATATATAATAGATATATAATTGCGCTACTCTTTTAATATTATAAATAGCTTAATAAAGAATAAAATACCTTATCTTTATAAATTAATCTATAATAATTAATATAATATTATAATCTTAGTAAGATATAAGTTTAATAATAAAATCTATTAAGATATCTTATTAAAAGTATTTAGAGATAAAGAGCTAGTATAAAACTTCTTAATAGCCTTTATTTAAGGATATAATATAATAATAGATATAGTAATTCTAGGTCTAATAATCTATATATTAGTATATATTTAGCTAATAGTACTTCTATAAGATTAAATTATAAAGCTTATATTTTTTAAAATATCTAGATATATATTTATTATAATATTCTTATAATAAGTAGGCTTTTAGCTTATTATAATTAAGAATATATAAATAGTTTTTATAATATAGATATTTTTCTCTTTATTAGCAGTTAGCTAATATAATCTTAAGATAGTAATTAGCTTTATAATCTAAGGCTTATAAAATAGACTATATTAAATTATTAAATAGATAAGCTATATCTAGTAAGTCTTTAATATTAAATAGATATTTTAATTTATTAGATATAGTAAGGGAATTTAATTAGTTTTATTTAATAGGCTAGGCTATTTTTTTAATAAGCTAAATAGTCTCTTTAATAGACTAAATTATTTCTTTAATAGATTAAATAATTTTAATAAGCTAATTAAGTAGTAAAGTAGATTAAATAAGTTCTTTAAGCTAAATAAATTAACTTTTTAGAGTAAGTTAAGTAAATATTCTTATAGATTTAATAAGATTTCTAGCTTCTTAAGCTATTAGATTAGTAAAATAAATATATCTTATTATTTAACTCCTAATAATAGCTTCTAATTTTAGGGATTTTTAAATCTATAAGTTAAGGTTTTCTTTTTTTAAGACTATTTAGCTCTAATATTATAATTATTTATCTCTCTTCTTAAAAAGATTTTTTAACCTTCTAATTAAAATATTAGGCTTTATTTTTTATTTTTTAAATTAATATATAATTTAGAAGTTAAATTAGGATAAAAATTTAGACTAATAGGCTTATCGCTAGTTTAATAGCTTAATTAATATAAAATATTCTAAATTATAATAATCTGTAATAACTTTAATTAGCAATAATATACCTTTAAGCTTAGGGCGCTATTTTTTAAAGCAGCAGATAATTACTAATAGTTCTTTATTATAAATCTTATAATTATATTTTATAGTAAAAAGCTTCTTTAAAAAAAATATAATAAAATATAAGATTCTTTTATTATTATATTAGAATATAACTTTAGCTAATATATAGTTAGATAAATTAATTTTAACTATAACCTTATAGGTCTAATTAAATAGCTTTAAGATTAAGGCTTAAATAAATACTTTTTTTAAGGCTTTAAAACTAAACTAATAGGTAAGTATCTAATTAAAGAGAACTCTCTTTTAAGTTAAGCTTATAAGCAGTATAATTATCCTAGAAAAATTATAAATAAACTAATAATAAAAGTTACTAAACCTAATAAAGGCTTATATATTAATTATATAGGTTAGGGTCTTCTATTTAACAATTATTTTTATCTTATCTAGATTTATCTTAATATAGTCCCGGCTAATAATAATACCTAAAAACTTAATCTTAAAGATAATAAACTTATATTTTTAAATCTTTATATATAGACTTACTTTATATAGCTTCTATAAGACAGTATAAATATATTAAATATATTTAAAATAAGTTATACTATAAACTAAGATATTATTAAAGTATATAATATAAAAAATATTAAGGTAATTTTATAGGGTATTATTAATAAACTATTAAAATATTACTAATGCTTTTATTAAGCTAAATAGTATTATTAATAATTTAAATAGGCTAAGTTAAGTATAGAAGGCAGTTAAGTATTTTTATCCTTTCTTAATATAAAAATTATTAAATATAGAAATAATATTAATCTTTATAAAGTACTTTATTCCTTTTAAGTTATTTAAGGTCTTTTTAATTAAGAGTAAAGAATATTAGTCTTTAATAGTTATTATATTTAGGGCTTAGTAATCTATATAGATCTATATTTCTTTATTAGGCTTCTTAATAAATAGAATTAGAGATATAGTAGGTAATAAGTTTAAGTAGATAAATCCCTTTTTTAAGTTTTTTTTAATCTATTCTTTTAAGACCTTTAATTTATTTTAGGATATAATATATAGAGATTTAAAAAAAAGTAATTTCTCTTTTAATAACTTAATATTATAATTATAAGAATAATATAATAATAAGTGCTTAGCCTCCTTAGGAAAAAAGATATTAATATAATTCTTAAACTTTTT